CCCCCCAATGTGGTGCATCAGTCTGCGACGCCTTCCTCTCCAGATTGTATAGAGCCGGTGGCACTTGCGCCATTGGGTTGTGCGACCGAAGTTCAGCGGATCAAAAAAATTCACGAACAATTGCTCAGGTTGAGGTTTGAAATCGTATTCGAACCAAGAGCGGTGGACATACAACCACAAGACGAAAGAGCAAGGGAAGACAGGACAATACTCCCAGAATAGGAGGAGGTCAACGATACCACTCGTGCCGCATCAAAAGGACGATATACACCCCACTGAAGCAATCACTCTTATTGATGGTGGACTGTCGAGTGTAGCGATGCAAGGGGCCGCAAGATCTGGCAATGGTAGACATTGCGGCAACACTGGATTTTCAACGCAAGACTATCGCCTGGCCATTTTCGAGGTTGAGTTTCTCAACGCGAAACTACCGCCTGGCAATTTTCAACCCCAATGTTCTCAACGTCCGAATCAAAATGCAATAATGTAATGGACTTGGTGAGTACCGTCTTTGACTGCGGGCTATACACACTACCTTTTCGGCCTTTGACCAAATTTCTCAGTATCCCATGGCACACGAATACAAATGGTGCTTTATTATATGTATATATATATACTCAGTGAGGGTTTATGGAGGGCTTGGTCGCATTACTCATTGATACCCTTGCAAGGAAGGCATCCAGCGAGGAAACATGTATGATCTTTGAAGGGCACAACCAGGGCATGCAGCATATGTAGCTCATCAACCATATATATCTCATCCCTTGCAAGACCACTGCGACACGGAGATGTATTCTGGTCTTGAGCTTTTTTTTTTGGCAAATGCGCTATACTGCTCGCCACCTTGTACTTCAGTTCAGCATTGATCAATACCCGTCGAGACCTAGCGCCTTGTACGCAGCCTTGACATACGCCTCGGTCCGATCGGAGCCCAAAATGCCTGGACCCATCTTGTTCATCACATACGCAAATGTGATCTTCCTCTCCAGGTCCATGATGACGATGCTGCCACCCCAACCAGGCCAAAAGCACACCTTCCCCTGGGGCAACCACGGCACGCTGGTCGCCGTCCCACCACTCGTCAAGCCATACCCGGTCCCAAAGCACACGGGGATCCCGATGACGACGTCCGTGCCGTCGGCCTGGACCTTGAAAATCCGGTCAATGGTCTCGGGGCTGAGGAGCCGCACGCCGTCCGAGTCGACTTTGCCCAGCGTGACTGCCGTCGAGAGGATGCGCACCAACGATCTCGCATTGCCGTGGCCGTTGACGGCACCGAGGTCGGCGCGTCGCCATTCGGGCGTGTGTGCGTTGGTAGCGTCCATGACCGGGTTGGCGAACGTTTTCACCGTCGGGCTGTTCGGGTCGAGTTTGCTGAAGTCGAAGGCCGCAGGAGGCGGCGGGACGAGGCTCGCTACGCGCGGCCAATCCTGCTCTGCGGCGCCGATTTGGAAGTCCGCACCGAGTGGCGTCGCGATCTCGTCGGACACGAATTGCTTGAGTGTCTTGCCGCTGGTGCGTTTGATTAGTTCGCCGATCAGATGGCCCATGTTGACGGCGTGGTAGCCGCTTGCGGTGCCGGGCTCCCACCACGGTGCTTGGGCGGCGAGGCGTTCGACGGATGTCACGGGGTCATAGATCTCCGGCCATGTGATGGGCCCTTCCCAGCCTGATACGCCGGAGGTGTGGCTTAGAAAGTGTCGGACCAGAACTTTGTCTTTGCCGTTCTGGGCGAACTCGGGCTGTAGGCTGAGTCAGTCGACTGTATTGGAAAACAGAACAGCGGAGAATTAAGCATAGGACTTGAAGACAGAGATCGGAAAATGGCATCAAGTTTGCGGAGAGTGGGACAAATACTCACCCAGTATTTGGACACCGGGGCGTCGGGGTCGAGATGCCCACGAGAGATCTGGATGAGCGCGGCGAGGGTGGTGATGGTTTTCGTCGAGGACCATACGTTGGCTATTGTGTCCCGGTCCCAGGGCAGGGTGTGTGCAGAGTCGGCATGGCCGCCCCAGATGTCGACGACGTTCTCGCCGTCGATATTGACGACTATGGAGGCGCCAAGTTCATTGCCGGACTTGAGTTGGGATTCCAGTTCGGATTTGAGCGAGGCGAAGCGTGGGTTGCAGTGGCCCTGGACTGCCATCGTGGTGAACTGGGACTTCTTTGTTGTGCTGTGGCTCAAGTGGTATGTCTGGACCTCAAGGGTGGTTGGCCAACTGGGGTGTCCAGATCCTCCGAATGAGCGCCTTGAGAGGTCGTGGATACGCTCTTCGCCTTCACAAATTCGCTCTGGGCAACTTACTTTGCGACAATTGAGACTTTGTCAGAAGCGAAGGTACTTAAGTACATACCTTTCTGACTTTGATCGAAGCTGGTGGATGCAGGATGCGATGGTGCCTCGCATCTTTCCTCAGGCGAGCGTGATTCACGTTCGAGAGTGGAATCAGGCCCCTCGCATCTTTAGGCCTAGAGCTTCCACTGCCTTAGTGGGCCACTTTCGTGGCTCTCTCTTGGGTTGCAGTCATCCAGATCGAGTCATGCTTGCGGGTTTGTGCACCAAGCAGCCCAGCATAAACCATTGTACGAGTGGTTGATTATTAAGGGAGTTATGGCTCTTCAACAAAAGCCGAGGCACTGAACTGGCAGTGACTGGCGCACCTGCCGTCCTCGTCTGACAGTTACCCCGCGTTCTTACCTCAGCCTCAGACTATTCACGTGTGTCACGTGTGTCACGTGCGTCACGTGTATGTTGTGTGGCTGAAGACCTGTGGCTGGTAGACTGTACCTCCTCTTGGCCCTCAACTTTTTACCGATTTCTTAATGGAAAGCATGTCCAACACCTCGATGATTGCTGTAAAGCAAGCTGGGCGTGGGCATAGAATTACACGTTCACCAGCGGATTGACACGATGGCAGCTCTTTTGGAAGATGCTCTTTTGGAGGTGCCTCTCCAATCGTACGCTTCGCAGGCAAGTTCAAGACCGATCAACATATCAAAGACAATGAAGCCCCCTGCCTCGATCTACACATTCATCATGCATGAGCAGCCTTCAACGTAGAAGGACATCAGGCCAGGGCCATCGTTAGACTGATATCAAAGCAGGTCCGATCTCGGAAAGCTGCTGTGGCAAACGCATCCGGGAGCCGAGTTTTCTATGGAAGAACGTCAAGACCCCACCATCACTGACTATCTATCTACCAATACGGCCTCGACGAAGTCGGCCTTTTCACGGACATCAAGCCTGAAAGGAACTCGTGAGATTACTTAAAAAGAGTTGCATCAAGCCTTCGCCATGTCATTGTAAGCACAGTGGTCTCCAAGCCAAGCTTTGCAATTTCATTTGTGATACATCATGGGGTCCAACAACAACAGTCATCGCTCGCCAAAAGCGTCGCAACGGCTCCGAGAACTGCTGGCAGATTCGAACCGGATCGTCGTCGCCCCTGGTGTATACGAGGGCATATCAGCCCGCATCGCGTTGTCCTTGGGCTTTGATGCCCTGTACATGGTTTGTGACAAATCCCTTATTCACACTGCGCTTCATGATCCCTTTCTCAAAAATTCTTCTAACCACTCAATGTGTGTCAGACTGGTGCAGGGACGTCAATGTCCCGCCTAGGGTGGGCAGATCTTGGACTGGCGACACAACATGACATGGTCGAGCAGGCCGAGATGCTGGCCAACATCAACCCGTCAGTGCCCTTGATCGCCGACGCCGACACGGGTTACGGTGGGCCCGTGGCAATCGCCCGGACAGTGTCGAAGTATGCCCGTGCTGGCGTCGCGGCATTGCACATCGAAGACCAGGTCCAGGAGAAACGGTGTGGCCATCTCCTCGGCAAGGAGATCGTCCCGCGAGAAGTCTTCTACAGCCGGATCCAAGCGGCGGTCAATGCGCGCGAGGAATTGGGACTGGATATCTTGATCATTGCCCGGACAGACTCACGGCAAAGCTACGGGTTCCAAGAGGCGTACGAACGGCTGCGCAGGGCCGCGGAAATCGGAGCAGACGTCGTCTTCCCGGAGGCCATGACTTCGAAGCAGGAATTGGCAGATATGGTGCGGCTTATGGGGTCGACGCCCTGTCTGCTCAACATGGTGACCAAAGGGGCCACGCCAGAGTTGTCGGTGGACGAAGCGAAGGAATTGGGCTTTCGGATAATCATCTTCCCCATCTCGGGCTTTGGAGGGGCCATCAAGGGTATCACAGAGTCTCTGACGACTTTGAAGAATACCGGTCGTGAACCCGTCGATCTCATCGGGGTCAAGGAGGCCTTTGAGTTGTGTGGGCTGAACGATTGCATCGAGCTCGACAAAAGGGCAGGCGGGAAGGCTCTGGCTGGTATAAGATGACATACATTCACTTCGGAGTCTTGCTGGACCTTTTTATCTTGAAAAAAAGTTGTCTGATTCGGCATTGGATCTCGCCAACGAAGCAGGTCGCGCCTCCGTTTAGCGACATATATGAGAGTACAGCCCTCGGTATGGAAACCGATGCTTGTGTGTTTTGTAACCTTCAGACTTTCTGCTTCATGCCCTGACCCAGCTTCAGCCGTGCAATGAGTACAAATCCCGCGGCGGCCAACGCCACGCCCCCGGCATAGAAAATGGCAGGACGATATGGATCAATTGAGGTTGGGATCTCTGCTTTGTCTGCTGTACTGCTTTCGGAAAAGGCTCCTGCACCCACACCTGCGGCCTGAAGAATATAACCCGCAATGGGAGCACCAAGAAGATACCCACCAGTCCAACCCGTAATGCTCATGCTCATGGCGACTGCCGCACGGCTGCTCTGGCCATCCAGCTTAGACGCCGTGCTCATCACGACGACGGGAAACAGCGTGAAGAATGCACCGTTCGCAAGACCGTTGATCATGGCGAAAACGATCAACGGACCGATCGAGTCCGAGAAAGGCCAGATGGCCAGCATACTGACTGCGTTCAGGACCATGGTGCACAGAAACATGTTGACAGGCCCGATAACGTCGCTGGCATAGCCAGACAGTAGCCGCCCGATCGCAGTGCAGCCGTTGAATCCAGCTACCAGCCACGCACCCGTGGCAGAGCTGAGACCGATGGTCTGAGCGACCAGCGGGAGAAAATAAGGAGGGACGAACAATGAAAAGGTCCCGATTGCGCCGGCACAGAAGACGGCCGTGAAAGGCAGATGCTTGAACATGGACAGATCAAGGAAAGGCGCCCGGCCGATGGGGACTCGTTCACGGAGAAACCAAGCCGCCGGCCCCCCCGTGCCCAGAATGCAGAGTCCCAGGATCCGAAACGCCCATGCTATGCCCACTTTCTTGGTCACTGCGTCGAGCGCGATACTGAGCACCGCCGCACCTAAGCCGCCACCGAACTTGATCAGACCGGAGGCCAGCCCCAACTTGTTCGCGAAGTACTGCGTCGGGACCGTGTTGGACAGAGCGTAGCAGAGACAAGCGCCGGAGCCGAACAAGACTCCCGATGTCGCGAAAAGGCCGCCCACATTGGATAGCGTGAAGCTGGAGCAGATCTCGGCGCTGGCAAGGAGGACGACGCCGACCAGAGCTGTGAGCCGGGCGCCGAGGAGTCGCATCACACGCACTCCGAACAGACCAAAAGCCACCACGGTGGCAAGGCCGAGTGTGCCCACAAAAGATATGGTCGAAGTCGATGTTGTCTTGAGGTTTGACCGCAGAAGCGCGGCTTGCAGAACACCCCAGCTAGCCATAATGCCGTTGAACCAGAAGGTCAGAAGGGCACAGACAGTAACGACGACCCATCCGTACCCTCCATCTGGGACGGCAGTAGCAACATTGGTAGCTTCGGGCCCCGGTGTGGACGGGCCTTCGTCCAGTTGGTGTTCTTGGTTGTCCGTGTCAGTCGGCGGCAATTGTGGCTGCGACTTGAGAATTGTACGGAGTTCAGTGACAGTCGTCGTCGACATTTTGGATGATTTGGGTTCTCCTTGGTCGAGGGAATCAACGACAATGGAGTGGTGAGCAGGAAAGGCTGGGACGATAAGAAGAAGCAGTGTGACTCATTCTCCTTCAATGGCATGAAGTCGGTCTGACGTAAATGTTGTATGTTCCCGGTTCACGATGAAGAAGCTCCCGTCGATCTGGCTCCAGGCCACCTACAGGCGGAGTTGGCCGCGAACTAAGAGATGATCAGCCAATCGCTCAGTCTGGCAACAGTGTGCTGGGGATTCCGGTATCTCCAGTATATGCGGGCGGCGGTATGCTCTGTCTTCCAGGTGTCGAAAAATTTAGAGTCCCCCATTGCATATGTCCTGTGCTCAGAAAGACCATAACTCAGGGCATTGTCGACCAGCCCGACCAGCCGAGTCTGCCCAGGCGCCAAAGACTCGCTTCAAGGGAGCATCTGACTGTCGTAGTAACCAACATCAGCACTGGGAGAGAAGCCCTCCATGGCGATATCTTCCTCTTCTGCTTGTTCTTGGAGCATCGGGAAGGAGAACCCTCGACTGTCGATCGAATCGGCCGCCTTCAGCAACGATCCTACGGCCGACTCCAGAATGCCGCTAGCAATCTCGAGAAACTCGGCGCTCTTGTTGGACACCCTCAGCGTCCATCGATATTCCAGTAATCGTCGCTGGTAGAACTCGGCCTCTTCTTGGCTGACGGATGTGACAAAACAAAGTCCAGCAAAGGTCCCGATCAGCGCGAAGTTGAACTTGGATGCAAAATACCAGAAGGACTGCAGATGTTCGGGTTTCAGCCTGTTGAAAAAGTCCATGGCACTGATCAGTCGTGCCTTTGCCGCCGACCGACAGATCTGAATCAGATAAGGATCCGTGTTTTGTGATAAGGACCGTAGTATCCGCCGATGAAGGGTGATCTCGGTCGCGAAATACGCCAGATGCAAATACCCAACCGAACTCAGCTTGCCAACTCTGGTCGCGTCCATTCGAAGGGCTTCGGGCATGTCCGCATACCAGGACCGAAGTTTCAGCTGAATGGGTTTGGCTCTATCCAAGATGGCTTTGGTCCCATCGTACGAGCTCTTGACCTCCATCTCAGCCTTGAGGGAATAAAGGTCCTCGAGGACCTCTGCCAGCATCTTTGTGAGTGTAATCATGGCGCTGAACAACGTCCGGCCCTTCTCGACTTCGGTACTGCCCTCTTCTTCATCCTCGTCGGCTGCGCTTTCCGGAAAGTCACTGCCGATGACGGGCTGGACTGCCCAATTCGTGGCGGAGATGTGCGGCGGCCGTCCATAGATCAGGGCGGACCAAGTGTCTTGCATGAACAGAGCCCACGCCAGTCGTTTCCGTAGCCCTTTCTCCCAGCTTGGTATGCGCCAGTTGGTGCAATCAAGGTGTAGTCCGAGATCTTGGCCGATAGCGACCAGTTGGGCTGTCAACTGCCATGCTTGATTGCTCCCGGGACGTTGAAGCAGCAAAAGCCCGGCCTGTACGGTGGACAACTTTGCGCGCTGAGATACAGCTTGTAACGTTCGATATGCGATCTCTTCCAGCCGAGAAACATCGGGCTTGGCCGAGCGTGCAAGTTCCGAGCTGTACGACCACCAATTCAGGGCCAGAATGTACACGGCAGCAAGTAATGGCGGAGAGAATTCTCGGTGGGTTCGGCCATATTTTTCCAGGTAGACCTTTTTGTGCAGAATGGGGAAACTGGGATGGACGGTTCTGAAGTACAGCCTGATCAGAGCTTCTCCGTGAGGAGCGACAATGCGCTCAATGTTGTCAAGCTCTTCTATATCCTGGGGTTGGGTAGGCGAATCAGCGTCGGGATACTGGTGGAAGAAGACTCCCTGATTGACTTTGCGGAAAGAACCTAGATCTGCAGGGCTTTCGTTTTTGACCTGGTCATACAACCGCAGGTCCAAAAGAGCAAAGTCATGCTCATCAGTCGGGCCGATATACTTTGCATATCGGTTGACCTGGAGTCTGGACATAGTCAGCCACGGGGACGAAGTTAAGAAAGGCATTGACAAGAGGTATCAAAACTGGAACGGACGCACCCGAGGGTTTTCTTGAGCAGACTCTGGCCCTGTAGATTCGCATAATCGTCAATGATAACAGAGTCGTTTCGAACAAGTGATTCAGCGGATTGCCGTCGTGGGTCATCGGAGTCTCTGTTATCTGCTTAGCTTTCTGATAGGGCACACATGGCAATCCCCGGTCATGGATCAGGGCAAGGTTCTTGGAAAGAAGAAGGAGGGGCTCACGATCGTCTAGCCGACCCGGTGGTAGTGGTATCGGGAGGGTCTGTCTGTTTTCGTCGCCTCGGAGCTGCTTCTTCGATAAAGGTACATGGTTGATTGTGGAACTGGCACATCACACAAGCTGCAGCGTCTGGATTGATGACGCACCGGCTTTTGCGTCGCCGACAGACGTCGCAAGGACGTGATCGATCGGGTCTGATAACGCCTTGAACAGGGTTTGGGCCGTCACCCACGCGCGCAGAGGTGGGCGATGTCATTTCGCTCAGACCGTTATCGTCAGAAAGACCTTCAAAGGTAAATTCGGCTTGGTAGGGACGTGGCATGGTTGAGAGCATGGTTATTATGTTGTCTGGCCTGGAATTGCCGACCTCTACTGGTCAGGCCGATCGAAGCCAAACGCAAGCATATCAGTTGGTCTGGACAGTTGCTTTTTGCTTTAGCTGCATGGTCGGTCAAGCGTCCGCTTTTTGATTGTGCGAAAGGGCCCGTCAGGATAAGCTTCCCTCGCGAATGTTTGGGACACCCCAGCGCGCCTCGCAAACAAATATGGTAGCACTGGTAGATACAGATCTGGCAGCCTCCGGGGGAATGCAGATTTGGGACCCGTCAAGCCCGTGTAGCTAATGGGAACCGAGCCATACGCATATCCTTGCATCAAGGGCAGCAATTGATTGAGTAAAAGTTTACCAGCAAACGTCGTAGTGCAGGCTTGGAAAAAGGAGACTTGATAAGGAACCCAAGCCTGATAGGACGATCCTTCTTTGGCTTACGAGAAAGTGGGATTTTGGCGGCTGAAGATGACAGGTCCCTTTCGTCACTGGCCGCTCTTTATCAGGCCCATGATGGGCCCAAGCTTGCTGCTTGTCATAAGACACAGAAATACAAATCCCAGAATCTGGCCTCCTTCGCTGAACTCCTTTATTGTCGGGACACTCGGGTCGGGCATATCTCACAATCATGCGCCATGACGTTCCTGGTACCGGGAAGCCACGGACAACATCTCGCTGTCGGAGCAGCGGCAGCCAAGAAAAGTGATGCTGAAAGGCAATTTTCTTGGACTTGCAGCCTTGTCATCTGCGAAGTATGAGCCTGAGGGCACTGCCACGCCGCAGAGGTCGAGGACGTTGGCAAAATGTGTAAAGGTGCCCAATTTCGCGTTCAGGTTGATCGGGTCGGCGAGCATGGCTTCGATGGTTGGATGCTCGGGCGCTGTTGGTACGACGAGAACATCAACACCAAACCGGTCAGCTGAAGCGAACTGATTTGTGCTTTGTCGCGTGACAATAGCCTTCCTCTGAAGTTCACGGAATAGTTGCACTGCAGTGCTTTGGCGTGCCACAACCTTCTCGAATAGCTCCAGGATGACTGGATGAAGATACTGGGCGTTCTTCTCCAGGAAATCATCTGGTAAGCTTGCCAGCCTCTCGGACACAAACGTGCCCTCGTACAGCAAATCTCCCGCTTTTTTGAACGGGTCCCAGTTCACTGAGGTGAGAACGCCACCAAGGCCCTGCAATTGCTGGACTGCTTCATTGAACAATTTCCGGTAAGTCGGTGAACAAATTTCGAGCACCTCTGGAGGAGGAATGCCGAAATGGAATGCGTCTCTTTGAGGACCGATAGAATTGACGTGTCGTGGTAGGGGGAAAGTATCCCTTGCATATCGGTCATTGGGATCAAATCCTTCACACACTTGCCCTACAATTCTGGCATCCTCAACAGTTTTTGCAATCAGAGCAATGCAGTCGAGGGACAAGCATGCAGGCGTAACGCCCTGGAACGAGATCAGGCCCCGGGTCGGCTTGAAGCCCACGACGTTGTTGAACCCTGCAGGAACTCGCCCGCTCCCGGCTGTATCTGTGGCAAGGGAGAACGTGGCCTGGTAAACTTGTCAGCAGGAGATCCTCGCTAGTCACAACTCTGAAATACTGACCAAATCTGCTCCAACAGAAACGGCACTTCCGGAACTCGAGCCCCCTGAAACATGATCTTTGCTGGCTACGGCGTGAGTGATTCCGTACGGTGACCGACAGCCGCTCAATCCAGTGGCCAACTGGTCTAGATTGACCTTTCCGAGGTAGATGGCGCCAGCGTCAATCACTTTTTGGTAGCAGACTGCCGACTTCGAGGCCACAAATGCCAGGGGCGGACAGGCCGTCGTCGTCTCGATCCCTTGTATGTCTATGGAATCCTTAACCGTGAAGGGAACACCAAACAATGGCGGTAGCGCATTCCTGTCCGGGAAGCGCTCCAGTAAGTGGGTCACATTGTTCAGAACCTCTTCTCGTGACTGTCGTTTGATCCACACGGCTGGATCAATTGCATCGTACTTCTCAATGCGGTCGAACAGCTCGTTGACCATTACCACTGGGGAGAGCCCTTGCTTGTATGAAGCCAGCAGATCGGAGATGCCCAGGTTTCCATCCCAGGCTGGTGGTGTTTGTGGCGGTGTACTCACCTCAGGACTCGACTTCTGCCACGGGGACAGTGCGTCAAGGACCGGTTGCAGATCTGCAACAAAGCCAAAGAGTCCTTGCGACCAGTGTATCATGTCGAGCGAGGCGGTCTTGTAAGCTGCATTATAGCCTGCTGTGCTTTCGCGAATCCCGCAGCATTCGAAGCCTCTGTCATTCGCCTCTCGTATTGTCGTCGAGAAGCAGCATTCGGTCGTTACTCCTGAGACGAGAAGGTGAGTGATGCCTGAACTTTTGAGCTTGTGCAGCAATGGTGTATTCCAGAAGGAGCCTTTTCCAGGCTTATCAATCACAACTTCGGATGGCAAAGGCTGGAGTTCGCCGACAATGTCGTGCCCAAATTCTCCACGCACCAGCAATCTGCCCATTTCGCCCTTGTCGCCAATGACCTTCAGATGCTGAGAATTGCCTGGCGCAGCAGCTTGTCGAATGAGCTTTGATGATGGACAATCTGCCAGTGAAGGAACGTGGCCTTCTCTCGTATGGAAAATATGCATTCCTGCATGTCGACAAGCCTGGAGCAGTGCCTTGGTAGGGGCTATCGAGGCCTGCACGGCTTCCAGGCTCCCGCCTTGAATTTCACCAAAGCCTCCTGAGCAAATGAAGTCGCGTTGCATGTCGATGACGAGTAGTGCCGTGCTCTGTAAGGGAAAGGTGAAAGGATAGGGCTTTGCCTCGATGGCAAGGACGTCTTTCGGAGACCCGCCCATGATTTTGTTTGTAAAGAGAAATCCGAAGCAAGTAGTTTTGTACAAATCGGATCGAAATGGCTCGAAAGTCAGACTCACGAAGGCGAAGACGAGAGATCTTATACCAGATGCATGCTGGAGGCGTGGGAAATCTACGAGGCCGTCGAACGACGAGCAATGCAACCTTGTGTTAGTCAAAGAAACCCTCATCAAGGGTCAGTCTCTCATACTGTGTCGAGGGCCGTGGCACGTTATTACCTACACGAAGCACACCATTTGACTGCTCAAACAGATAAACTGATAAGGTCTCAGGCAATAGACTACCATATACAGCTAGCCTCGTCACTCCCGTATGGATGGGCTTGTAATATTTCAGCCGCCTGGCGCCTCTTGTCATCACCTTTGCTGGAGGGGCCGTCGGCAGTATCGTAACAGATGTAACACCACTCGCCCCGGTATTGAAGGCGTCGCCGTCGGCGGGCTGCGTTGCCTTCGGCACTATCTCCAGATCTGCAAGTATATCTCGAGATATCCACGCCTTCTTGCGCTCCATGATCCCTGCAATAACCCCAGATGCTGATCCTCTTGGTCTGGACTTTTGACTTTGAAAGCAATCGACGGCCATCGACCATCTCGCCGGCGTGCCTATCTGCATGCCTCCTCGTGGCACCCTTGTCTATCTGAAATATCTCTGCATGTCATCTTTTATCAAGCGAGATATCAGCCTTGAAAGATGCGGAGTGCTCGATCATGAGCTGAAAATCTTGTCTATATAGAGCTCAATCTACCCTCATATTTCGTTCGGGTCCAAACTGTTCGACTTCCTCCTTCTTCGACTCTCTAGTCTTCACATTATCGATATCAAGCCCAGAATGGTGACCTTCACAGCCGAGCGCTTCTCCCCGAAGCGCCTTTCTCCCAGGCATATCAAGGCCAAGATCGAACCTCAACTCCACTGGAAAGTTCCAATGGAGAAGGGTGTGTACAAGGTTAGCTTCGACGTCTGTTTGACGTTCACTCGGTCCATGTCCTCCTAGGTTTCTAAGTCACTGACAAGTATCGAAGGATCCTCGCTGGAGCAATCCCGACCTTGATCCAGTGAAGCCTGAAGATAGAACTTGGGGCGCAGTGGTAAGTTTGACACCCAAAAGTCCACCTGCTGCATTGCAGAATGACTGACCCTGGGTTTGGTAGGATTATTGGGCATATTGGTGAGTGTATCCTGCTTTGGAACAGCGTGCTTGGTTCCTGTCTCCCTTGATGCAGCTTGCTGACACTCTGCAGGACATCGGACATGGTACGCTCGACCAATTGTCTTGGACCTTCTTCTAGAAAACCCTGTGCTGATATCAACTCTGGCATGAATGCAGCTGGCTCCTGTAAGTTCTTCTGACGCTGCTAAGAGTGTCGCTCGATCTCTTGAAGGTCCTGTTAATCCCCAACATCTCTGCTCGATGCTGACCACACAAAAAGCCACTCTCGTCCACGGTCAGCGCGGTTATGTCCTTGGGATTCACTGCTCGAGAGACGATTCCGATTGTCTTTTGTGGCTTTCTGCTTTGCTCAGGCGCACTTACACTTACCGGCAAGATGGGGGCGCGGTACAACATCGCATTTCCAGTGCTGGTCCGCTCGATGTTCGGCATGTACGGGAGTTATCCTGTCATTGTTCTTCGATCGTTCGTGGCAGCAATGTGGACAGCTATTCTCTGCGTAGGTGATCCTTCAACACACCGAAGGTAATGATCTTAACATCTCGCGTGCGCAGGTCCAAGCTGGCGATTTCCTGAACAACTGCATCACTGCAATCTGGCCTAGCTTTGCGAATTTCCCTAACCATCTTCCGGAGAGTGCTGGAATCACGTCAGCCGGGCTCCTTTGCTTCGTGAGTACCCCTGACTTCACACTCGATGTCTTCGAGATGCTGACTAGAAGGATGGTTAGTTCCTCTATTGGATAGTCCAGACCATACTTGCGTAAGTCTTCCAGAAACCTTTCCAAAGTCTTGCTTCTGGCGTCCCCGTGCTTCCCAATCTCGCTTTCCAGAGCTGACGACACGATAGCTGTATGCCGATCAAGAAGCTTCGGATCCTCTTCCTCATCAAGGGAATAATCGTTCCCCCAAGTGAGCCTTATCCCTGTGCCATCTGAAGCACGCGCCTCATGCTTTGTTCCTGTCTGCATGGGTACAGCTTTCTGACAGTCTGCAGCATTCCTTGCACTCTTTCTTTGGGGAGCCATTGTCACGCATGGTGGTGGCCCACTGTAAGTCTCCCGGAAGCATCTCTCCTAGTTGCTGTTTCATTGGCCATCCTTCGATACTGACGCAGAACAGCGTTACAGGACATGCGAAGATGACCAGCTCGTACATGAACACGGCGTACAGCGGTACTTCCTCCAAATTGTCATTCCGCTTCTGACTCGGTCAGCTGACATGCTGCAGCATTGACGGCCTTGAACAGTATCATTGGCCTTTTCAGCTCCATGGCTGTGAACTTTCCCGATTTCGCACGCTTCTCGAAGAACAATCTGGCCGGGTACAATCAGGTTCTGGCTTTGCCAATCATTGGAACGTAAGTGGTCTCTCCCGCAACCTCGAGGTACCATGCTTGAGGCATGAGTCTTTCCACAACATCGTGACTGACGGCGGTCTTCCAGTCTGGGCGCTCTTTGCCCGATCTTCGTGACTTCAGCGCACAGCTACCTCTGGGGCTCTTTCGAGTGGTATATGCCCGCCGTCATCGCCAAGTTCGATTCCCGTGCCGCCAAATTCTTCACGGCATTCAGCTTCATCCTTGCAACGATTGGCAATCAAATAGCTGCGGGTAAGTGTACATTCGATATACCTTGGCGACAGTTGAACCCACATACTGACCGCTTAATAGGTTCATATCCATTCTCCAACGATATAAGTGGCCTCTGTCCGAAGTATATCAACATCTTCCGCGCGACCTTGATGATTTCCGTGTTCTGCGTCGTCTCAAATCCATGGCAGATCATCAAGAATGCAAGCGGCCTTCTAGCATTCCTCTCAGGATATTCGATGTTCATGGGCGCTATCTGCGGGTAAGTGTGCACCTATGTACCTTCTCAGCAACATTTCAAATCACATACTGACCGTTTGATCTCAGAACCATGTGCTCACAATACTACCTGATCCTGAACAAGAAGCTCAACATCCACGAGCTTTATCACGGCCATGGCATCTACCGATACTCGAAGATTGGTGTCAATTGGAGAGCCTATGCCTCATTCTTCATCGCGGTCGGTCCGTTGCTGCCCGGGTTCAGCAAAAGTATCAACAACAGCCTCGACGTCGGAGGAATCTGGAAGATTTATACATTTTCATGCCTATACGGCTTTGTCGTCTCTGGCTTGACGTACTATCTCATCTGTCGATACGTGTCGGATGTAGGAGCTGCAAAGATCGTAAGTTGTTCTCTTCCCAAAACCGTGCCATCGCGCACGATCTTCAGGTTCACATCTTCCTCGTCGGGAAACACACTGACTTTTGTTTATAGGATGAGGCGGTATATCCACCATCCAAGCCGCAGACAGGCGACATCGAAATTGTCAGTGCAGATTCCGAGCAGGACTCATATGAGGAGAAGAATGGCGTGGTTGAAGTTGCCGTCGGGGCCAAGGAGTTGAAAGTTTGAACACGAATGACATTTGCGGGTACAATGAGACTAGACGCGTTAAGTCTGGGAGTACAGAGAGTCGGGAGATCTCACATGGACGTTGACAACACGTCATAAGTGGCAGACACGAATGGACGGCCTTTGCGGGATTGGAAAGCAGGCATGTATTGGAAACGAGGAGAAATTGTTGCTCAGGCAGATAGATGGATATTGCCGTGTTCCTTTTATGATTGACCCCTCAGATTCTTGATCATAAATTCGTGACGTCGTTAAAACATCAATAATATTCATCGGTACGTTTCCTCACTTCGTATTCCGAGTAACTCGACCGATCATCATCGTAATGCCGGTGATTTCGCCTGCTAGATTGACCTCTTTGCGGCGGATATGCTGGTTTCGGTGGCATGTCATCTTCGCGTTCATAAGACCTCATGACATCCTCTGTAAAAGTGCGTTTCTCATCATCATATTCTTCGTGGCCAGTGATGCGTGGATCACTCATACGCTGAGGGGCATATCTTCTCCCGTGACGACTTTTGTAGTAGTAGTCATCATCATCGTCATCGTAACCTTGCGCAGACTGGGCCCCGTGACCAACGAGGTACTTGCCAGCGATATGTGCTTCGGCGCCGGGTCTCTCATGTCGACTCTCGCTGGCGTCATGGTGGCTGACCTGGTCTCGGTAGAACCCGACTCGACTTCGTGACCGCTTGCGTTCCCAATATTCAGGAGGGGAATCGTTGCGGCCTCTCATGGCGCTCCGGAGGCGTTTGGAAGAGGCAGTAGTAGTATCATCGTAGGCTTCTGGTGGCCGCCCACGTCGGTAGCGAGGGTCGTCGTCATCATAGTCTTCGATGACTTGGACATCTTTGTAGGTTGCATTCGCATTGCTAACGGCTCGGTCTCGACCGTGACCGCGAGAAGAGTCGTACATGGCAACAACATCTTCGTCCCGTCGTGAGCGATAGTCGATATCGTAGAACTTGGCACCACTGCGGGCGTCGTAGTCTCGAGGAGGGAGCCGGCCACCACCACCACCGAGGTCCACCACATATGCGCCATCAGCATTCCTCTCAGGGCGAATGACTTCGTACTCTGCGCGTCCATAGTCCCTGGGGCGTTCGACGACCACAGCGTCGCCACGTTTGAGGTACGCTTCGGACTTCTTCTTGTCCCGACCAACCTTGTAGGTAGTCCTGGTCCTGCCAGCTTCGAGGTCACCACGGTTGTTGTTGTCCCTTTCGATGTCTAGCCGTTCGTCTCGGTGCTCGCGACGCACGGGCCGCTCGTCGAAATGGTAGTCGGGCTCGTCATAATCGCGCGTCGGCCTGCGATTGTCGACTACGCGATCGGAGTCTTTCACCCTGCTTTTGTAGACCACCTTGTATCCACGATCATCTCCGCGGGAGGACATACTGCCTCGGCGCGAACGATTTATCTAGCCGGATCTCAACATAAGCCCTCGTGCTCTCCTCTAGTGCGAGGATTTTCTAAGTACGAGGTTGAAAGAAGTAGTAACTGCTGGTGTTGACTCTGTGCCCAGCTTTGGAGTGCACGAGCTGCTTTCTGGATTGACTGCTTGCTGATATCATCAAAAGTGGACTGACCGCTTGCTGTCCCTTCGGCGCGATCAAATAAAGAGCACCTCTGACATCCCTGTCCAGCACAGCTATGAGAGGAATCTGAGGAACCTTTGGAGAGATTTTGCTCCTGTCCGTGGATTCTCGGTGCGACGGAATCTCAAAGAATGACTGAAATTTCAGGCTGAGAAGATGCTCTTCGACTAGGGACTAGGCGTGTGAGACCGTTAATGCGCTGTAACATGCCAAGCACCCAGTTCGCCAGCTAAGGGATTGCAATCTAGGACTGAGCACGTGATCCGCCACGTGACCGTCTCATGTCGATTCTCTTTGCAGGTTTGATCTGGTGTTGCTCCCACAGAACATACCGCTACCGTTCTACGGATATCATAAGTATATTTCGTACCACTTGTGCTATTCTATCGCCAATCGTGTCTCGGGTATCAATGCTGTCCTAAATCATAAACCTCACTTATGCTGAATGCTCCTGAATGGGATTCTCAGGCTCACCATCCTTCGATGGCTTCATCTTGGAAACAATATGAGCAACCTTGGCCATGCCAGTCTCCATTGCGCGTCCGGTCGACGTATCTTGCCGTCCTTCGCTCTCTCCATCGGGCATCTCATCCACGCCATATGTTCTAACACCCTCTTCCTCAGAGTCAGATTCCGCTCGCCGAAGTTCAGTGCTTTTGCGCGTGGGAGTTTCCTTCACGCTCGACGCGCGAGACATGTTAGCACTGCTAGGGTCAGACTTCCTCAGCCCTAACTCCTTGCTCAGCGTGCTCGCTCCTGCATTGATGGTAGCGCCCACCGTGAGTAGACCTCCTCCAGACCGGCCGCTGTCCATCCCATCTGCAGGTTTAGTATCATGGTCGTCCTCACCACGCCAATCTGCGGGCGGATTTTCAGGCACCGGCTCTCCCTTGGCCGGCTCCGTGATGACTCGCTCCATCTCATCCTCTTTATATCTCCATTTGACCACCAATGCGTCGAGTGCTTTCGTGCCTTTCCGGACACTTCCTTTGATGCCATCCATGGCCTCCCATTCAATCTCGAATTGACCAGACTTGCGCCCCGTAAAACCACCTTCGAACCACGCGTTCCACCAGACATGAGCTAGTGAGGTCACCATGGTGAAGCCTGCAGGTGCTTTGTTCCGTCGCTCAAAGTCTATGTTGACGTCGCTGGTGGGTAAGATCAAGGGAGTGGATGGCTTGAGGATCACGTTCTGTGTATTGCTCGCAGAGCTATTAAGGCTCACTGAGGACGATTGTGGTGTCCGATTAGGTGGAGTGCTCAGCACTTCGAGGTCCTTCTTCGAGTCTGAAAGCGTTGGCTGTTTGGACGTGCCCTGGTCCATACTTATCTTCTCGTGGCGGCTGAAAGTGTGGAATTGGTGGATCTTGCGACCAGAGTCGACATAGCCTTCCACAGTCACCTTCACACCGTCCCTCAACCCCCAAACGTGGATTTCCTCAATCTCCACCGGTTTGTCTTTGTAGATCTTGTTCATCTTATTTGTCCACCTATCGACGTAGTCGACCCACCGTAGCTGACTGGGTATGCTCACACCGAGCCCGAACCCGGAGCGCATACGTCGGGTAGTAAAGCGCACGAGAGCATCATCTTTTGGCCATCCTTCTTCGCTGATGAGATATGAGCAAGAAACAGTGCCGCTGCGTCCCTTTCCAGCCTTGCAATGCACGACTGCGACCCTCTTGTTTGTGTTGTCCAAAACATCACCAGATTGCTCGTCGTAACCGCGGATCCAATTTCGCATTGCGGCCATGATGTTGGGTATTAGTGCGAAAGGTGGAGGATGATGGTCAGGAAAGGGGAAATGGTGAATGCGATTGTAGACTTCCGAGTCAGGATACCCCGTTCCTTCTGCTCGAAACTCGAAGATGGTCCAGTCTTGTCCATGCTTGCGGTCGAGAAAGGCAATCAATTGATCGAGGGGATTTCGATAGGCTTTCTTTGGCCAGACTGAGCTGGGTCCGGAGGTGACGACGACTGCGAAGCAGTTAGCACGGCATATCGCAGGAGGTGCTCAACTCACTGTAGTCGGTCACATAACACAAGTCCAGGCCGGCTTCAGGATGCCTGGCTCGTGGTCCTGCTACGATTTGGCGCAGTAGCGACGCCTGGCAATGGTTAGGTCGGACATGTGAGATTGTATCGGGGCTGCGTACCATTTTTTTTCTACAGTTCTTTCCCTTTTACCGTGACATGATGTTGGACGTTTCGCAAGGCTCTTTGAATGCGTATACAAGGGCTGGTAAAGAGAACAACTCGTAGTCAGCTACTGTGTAGTCTTGAATGATTGAGGTGTTGCAAAGGCCATGCAAACGAGCCTGAAGTTTGAACTCATCGGTCGCTGACGTCACTGTCGACAATTCCTACAATCACTCTTCATCTTCATCTTCATTTCCATTAATATCTTCAGGCAAGCTGCACACAGTACACTGGCCTGGCCAGCCTGAACGACACCTCGCAATCTTTCACTTGCATACAACTATACTCACTGTCGAGGCGGTCTGTCGTCGGTGCGATGGTCGTTTATGGCTCTGCTCAAACGGCATACGACCTGAATCTTGGCCCAATACTACCCTTTAGACTGGACATTTTCTCCTTCGGACCAACTATAACACTCAGCTTCGTCCTAACTCTCCATCGTCAGCCATCAAACTCGCGCAAACATATTGTCATGGTCAACGTTCTCAAGTAGCCCAATGGAATCGAAGATCTGGCTATTCCAGAAGCGTCTGAGTAAGGACAGGTTGAGAGGGATTCTCAGCCATTGACAGGTTTGACCAGATCAACCCTGCTTTGTGGACGGAGTGTTTTACTGCCTTCATGCAACCGTTTCCTATGTTACTAGTATATCAGCCAGACCGAGCACGGAACCATTACCGCACGGTGATGGGCGGCATTTGCGGAAGCCGATCTTGCTTATCAAGCCTTGCGGCCTCCACTGGACATTCATACGCGTCGGTATTGCTATGAGACCTGTTTTTGTCTGTCACTGAGGGATGAATGCATCAGTTATCGTTGACGAACAAAAGTGCTGCGACCCGCTTCGTCGCCCAAGCAAGACTTTCGCACGAAAACTGCTCCTTGATCATGTCTGCATGATCGACCTGTTACTCCACATCCATCCGCATGGACATTTTAACCGGGTGGGTCGAGAAACCATTCCTGGGACATGACGTGCCCCACGGAGTCCATACTTGGATTGCCGTCCCGTATCTTCAGTTCAAGTACTCCGTCTCGTCCATAAAGATGGCGCACCCCATCGAAGGGGGATGTCAATGACCTACTAACTTCCGCCATGGCCTTGAAAGACGAGGGACATACCGGGGCACCTGAAGGGGTCCCAATAGCTAGCCGAAACGATCTTAACCTTACAAGCCACCAAAACGAGGGATTACCGGCCCAGCCTGACCCGGAAGCTCAAGAGCTAGTCATCAGTGATGCTGCTCTGCTCGAGAAAGAAGTTGGCCAAGACCAAGATGATGCCTCCTTGAGGCGGACTAAGTCGATCGCGGAACAGATGCCACTCCTAAGAGAAATCTTCTTCGTCGGAATCATCTGCCTGGCACAGTTCACCACCCAGGTAAGTCTCACGATGAAGCTATAACTGCGTTGCAAGAGCTTTTGAAGCTTGCCTTCCTTCCAGTGCAGCTTCTCAGTGCCAATGACATGGATAGGTTGGACTCGGTCAAACTCTTTTTATTCTGCCCATAATAGGAGAGAGCTTCGGTCTGGCCGATCCCAACGAGCTAAGTTGGCTCATTGCTGGATATTCTCTGACTGTCGGTATGTACTTCTTTGTGAGAAGCTGTGCAGGCCACGCAAGAGCTTACATTCCGGACTTGGTCAGGGTCGGTACAGTGCTCTAACGGGTTGCAGGTACCTTCATCCTGCTATCCGGTCGCCTAGGTGACTTATTTGGCTACAAACGTCTCCTTCTTATTGGTTTCAGTTGGTTTGCGCTATGGTCGACCGTGGCAGGTTTGAGCGTCTACTCGAATCATGTCCTATTCGTGTTTGCCAGAGTCTTTCAAGGTATTGGTCCGGCTATAACCCTACCAAATGGACTGGCTTTGCTGGGTGCCACCTATAAACCCGGCAGGAGGAAAGATGTTAGTGTTCTCATTCCCGAAAGACTGCACAATTCTAGCACGAGTCATACTCTTCGTTCATGTCTCCATTGGTACAACTTTCTGACTACTTGCAGATGGTGTTCTCCTTGTTTGGCGCTTGTGCTCCAGGTACGCGCTCTACCTTCTGTCACCTCGTCCGGGTATTAACTTCTGCTGCAGGCGGCTCAATTGTGGGAGGCGCATTTGCCGGGCTTTTCGCGCTAACGTGGTGGCCGTGGGCATTCTTCTCTCTCGCCACCACACTCGCAATTACCGTCGTTGTCGCCAGTTACGTGATTCCAGAACCACCGCAGGAGCAACGATTGAAACGCTCACTCGAAGAAAAGGTCCAACTTCTGGACATACCAGGAGCAGTCGTTGGTGTTTTAGCCTTGGTGTTGTTCAATTTCGCTTGGAACCAGGCACCGATTGTGGGTTGGCAGAAGGCTTATGTTTATGTTTGTATGTTCCTTGGTCTACTTCTCGTTCCCCTGTTCTTCTACGTCGAATTTCGGGTATCGAAGGCCCCCCTTGTGCCCTTTGAAGCTCTCTCTGCCGACGTGGGGTTCGTCATTGCTTGCATTGCCTGCGGTTGGTCATCATTCGGTGAGTGGACTGCCCAACATCGAACCAGCGCCATTGCGATGAGCTGACGCAGAAGTGTTTAAGGTATCTGGGTATTCTATCTCGTCAGCTTTCTTGAAAACCTCCGAGGCGCATCTCCACTACTCGCTGTGGCTTACTGCTGCCCGGTCGCCATATCCGGAGCATTGGCATCGATCTGTACTGGCCTCATACTGTCCAGATTGCGCGCTGCTTGGGTGATGACCATCGCACTTACTTTCTTCACCATCGGACAAATTCTCATTGCAACAGCGCCAGTTGGCCAGACTTACTGGGCTCAGACCTTTGTCTGCGTGATTGTCATTCCATGGTAAGTAGACCCCTGGCCTTCTCATCACGGCTCTTCGTTGATGAAGATTCATGAGCTGACCTCCGCTCCGCGGCTATTAGGGGTATGGACATGTCCTTTCCGGCAGCAACCATCATTCTCTCCAACAGCGTGAGCAAAGAGCATCAAGGCATAGCGGCCAGTTTGATCAACACTGTGGTCAATTACAGCATCTCTCTTGGCCTGGGCTTCGCAGGGACTGTCGACGTCCACATTAACAATGGAGGCAAAACACCAGAAGACGTACTGCATGGGTATCGTGGCGCATGGTATCTGGGCACCGGCCTTGCAGGTCTAGGTTTGGTCGTCAGCATCATCTTCCTGCTGCGAGGGTACTGGAAAGAGACGAAGGCATCCCCATCTCTCTCGTGAAAGGAGCGTGAGGCTATGGCGCCTTCGATAAGTTCGCAAGAAAGAATGAAGCGTAAGGGACAAATGTAAGAACGACCTCCATAGCATCGAGCTCAGAACCGGTACGAGTGAAAGTCATCGATTTGAGCTCTTTTTTTGATCTCGATTATTACACTTTGATCTCGAGCTCATCCTCTGACATTTCGATATGCAGCCCTCAACCCGAAATATGTAATGTGCCAAGCACATATTCTGTAGCTCGATGAATCTCCGGCCAAGCATGCTCGTAACTTTAAGCCGCTCAGCCAAGCTCGCCTAACATCAGTAACATGCTGCAAATACCAGTGCCATGCTATTCACCATCTTCAATACCATTCCCATCAGCCATTTCGGGTTCTGTTTCCTCTAAACGCCGTAGTCATCGCTAAATGCATGCACTTGCTTTCATAATCTTTGCCGTAGACATCGTAGTCACACTCGATCAAGAGTCGGGTCTGAAATGTGCCAAGTGACATGACAGTCTTCTGACATTCCACTGACAAACTAGCTGACATGTTGTTGAACAGCTTCCTTGGGCACGACGCCTTGACTGATAAAGATGTCAATGAGTCCCTGGAGCGGCTCCATATCCTTCTTCGGCAAGAGGTCATAGTACATGGCAACCGTGATGAAGTGGACGAAGCAGCTGTTCAATTCCAAGTGTCGGTTGATGTGCCAGAATGGGTTGTCCCAGTGATTGTGGTACAAGTGAGCATAGCATCGGAACATCTGCTTGATAATGCTCTTGACATCTTGGTGGTAGTGTTGTGGGAAGCCTGAGGACTTGCCAACCCATTCATCTTGCAATCCAGCCAGAGCGTTCAGGGACTGGTTCAGATTGGTCGGTCCAGCGGCAATAGGAGTCTGAGCCGAATTGGGCGTCGAGTCTGTATCTCCGGATGCGTATGCGGTATTGGCAACGTTGGGCGGTGGTGTGGTAGGGAAGGTCTTTTCGTCATGGATCTTGCCCACGATCCATCTCTGGACTCGCACAATGTACGATGGCGCTGGGATCTTGGCTGGTCGTCCATTCTCAAGCCAGGTGTATGTGAGACTGTAGAACATCAGCTGCGACTCACTCCAATTCACGTGCAACATACCGTCCAGCGGACATTGTGGGACAGCTGACTTCATTGCACAGAGGCACCCCAGTATTAGTGTCAGCCTCCTGAATGACTTGGATCATGGCAGTGAGAAGTCTGTTCATTTCCACCACTGTAAACCATCAGCAACCCATCTTTTGACTTGGAAAGTATCACAAACGTTGATGGGCAAGCCATTCCCCCAGCTCGACATTCTTGGGCTGCGCAGCCAAAGTGAGAAAGTTGCCCTTCACTGAACACTTTGCGTGTTTCTCGTTCATGAACTTCTTCGGCTCTTGATCTTGGTAGGCACTCTCTTGGCTGAAGGTAGAGGATAATGAGGGTGAATTCGTCAGAGGAGGCATAGGAGGTGCTTGTTGAAGGCTTGGTGACTGAGAGCCATTGTACTGCGCCTTAAGGTTCTGATTGCTCTTCGTGTTGCTTCTGGTGAAACCCTGACGACTGCTGGCATTGTCAGCGGCCTGAAACGGCTTGAGAAGACCGTGAAAGTTGATTTTCCACTTCATGGTCGCTTTATTTAGGGAGGTTCTTGGGTAGATGGGTAAACAAGCGGTGCAGGGGATCGGAGAAGAGGACACGACAAGGGGATACATACACGCTCTGAAAGAACGTCGCCATTGCGTTCGGACTATTCTGGAAGAGCTCTGGTCGCGATTCAACGACAAAATTCTCACAATTCTCAGAGTCGACGTGAAAAGGAGTGAGGTTTACTTCACATGAGAGCGATACTCCGTAGTTCACATTGAAACACATCGTCCCTCACTCAAGCAAGTTAGCCGAGGCGCTAATACATAGCGCCATGGTTAATCTTCATGACTTCGTTGTGTGCATCGTCTGCGCGCTGTCCTTTGTCCCCATCTTCCCACTGGGCGGCATTTTCGTTGTGATAGGACTGGCAACAGTATTTTATGTTGGTCTTGTCGTGATCCGGTTCTTTGACGGTCTTGTGCCTTTCAATTGGCTTTGACCGCAACCTCATTGCCGTCCTTTGCTCCCAATACTCACCCGGTTGGATTTCGACATGTCTGCAGACGTGGAATCTGCGCCTCGAAATGGCGACCTCGAGGATCTTGACATTCCGGAAGACCTGAACGGAGGAGACGCGTCGGACGATGCAGATCTATTCGGAGACGACGATGAAGAGCCCGCACAAGGCGACGAGTACGGCTTTACTTTCAGTGCCTATTGAATCCCTGTTAATTTGAATCCGTAGTTTACAGCGAAAAATCGACGACTCTGAACTCGACTCCGGCGACGATGAAGGAAGAACCGACCGAATCGCACACACCGTTGAAGACGGCGAGGAAGCATACTCACAAGAAAAACCACTCCGACTAGTGAACATAGACATGGCACGAGTCAAGCCCCCGGAAGGAGAAGAGCTCTACCTATTGAACATGCCTCCGTTCCTGGGCGTCAAACACAAAAACTTCAACCCAGCTACTTATGAAGCTCCTCAAAAGCCTCACGACGGCCGGGATCCAGCAGTCGACCCTACCGCGAAATTCTCCCCCTTCTCTACCGCAGCCAGCTCAATCTTCTGGCGGCGCGACCCCAAAGACGCCGAACTTCTCCAGTCCAACTCCCGCATCATTCGATGGTCCGACGGTAGCTTGACTCTGCAGATCGCATCCTCTCCTAAAGACCACTACCGTATCTCTACCACCGCCCTGAGACAAGGCTGGCCTAAGAAGCCTGGCTCGTCCCAACCAGACTACGACCCGAACAAAGATACTCACAACTACCTCGCCGCTCCTCACGCGGCAGTGGGCCTCGACGCTCAAATCATTGCTCCCTTCGATGCGTCCATGAAAATCCAACCCACCGGAGACGTTGCAGACGAATCCGTCCTGAAACTCCAGCAATCCCTCGCAGCAGCAACACAAATGCACGACCCTCTCTCTAGCTTCAAAATCACGACTAAGGATCCTGAAAAGAGGAAGAAAGAGGCCGAACTGTTTGAGAAAGAGAAACTGCGAGCATTCCGCAAGGTAGAAAACGCACAAGACCGGTTACTACTGCGAAAGGACCGCGTTCTTGGTCGCTCTGGCCTAGGTCGCAGCGGCGGCCTAAGCATCGCCGGTCTCGAAGACGACGAGGGCATGCCCACAGCGCGCGGAACCAAGAGTAAAGCACGGCCCAAGAGAAACCGTCGCGGCGAGATCTATTCGGACGACGAGGATGAAGACTACCCGCGTGGTCGTGGTCGACAAGATGAATACGATCGTGAAGACGACTTTCTTGCTGCTAGTGATGAAGAGCCCGAGGTCTACGACGACGAGGCAGATGAGGTTGAAGCAGAAGAAGAGGATCCTGATGTCGATGATCTTGCCATTGATGGCCGGGACACGGTGATCGAGAATCGGACGAGAGGAGGAATCAGAGAGCGGGATAGAGGGTCCACGCCGAAACGTGCAGCCGAGGACGAAGACGAAGACACTGCGCCGAGGGACAGCCCACAAGCCCGAAAGAAGAGGCGCGTCATTGATGATGATGAAGATGATGAATGAGCGGAGACAGTCCAATTGGCAGACTACGACAAGGATTGGGTCTCGCCATTTCAGCAATGCCCGGCGGGAATATGGGGAACGAAAAATCCAGCTGATAACGATTCAGCGTCATATTGTACGGACATACAGAAGTGATTGGAGCATTGCCGGTGTCGACACGAAGGTCTGCTGCACACACAAAATGTTGATGCATAGGCGTATGATCGGATAGCCATGCTAGCTGCAAGGCATCACCCTCACCATCACCAGTGCTCACAGCCTCCATCTTGGAGAGCAATACCCAATAAACTCAAAGATTGCTGTGGTCGAAGTCCCTTTTCTCGCTTCCTTATCTATCCTAGAGCTCTCTGCCTCACCACCCATACACCAATCTGCTAGAGTACTATTCTGTTCAGCCGTAATGTAACTCAATGTCCAGCGATTGAACCATGAACTGGACAGATAGGAAATCTCGGGACTGGACAAGGTCTGAGGAGATGTGAATGCCTACTGAAATCTAAAGGGTGGTAGCAAGGTCGACTGTACCGCAGAGAATTTTTGGTTGGAAAGGATGTCTCATTCCTTGAAATCTTACACATACATCCCCTATCGAGGATCTATCTAAATACTCCTCGTTCTTTGGCCCTTGCTACCAATAAGAAAACAAAAAAAAGGTCTCTCATCAAGGAGCGAGGCAACCCTCAACTCTTTTATCAAAACCCCCGACGGCCGTACCGTATGTTCATCCGACATAACACATTGCGAGAATACATGTAGAGTAATTTGATCGAGATCGCCCGGGCTAGCATTTGTGTGCATCTCGACACTAATTGCAGAGCGAAATCTTAGTAGAAGACCACTAGCTCAACAAATTCTTCAGACTCGGGCTAGCACTTGCACCCGGCCCATCTCTCCTCTCATCCTTGAGTCCTGCTGCACCAGCCGGAGTGATCGGTCTCTGATGAGGACTCTCCGGGAATTGTCTCGGCCCAAACCGTGGCGTGCTCGTGACTTCGACGCTAGCTTGTCTCGAATGTGTTCGTCCACTCTGCTCGGTCGCAGCTTGCGCAATTTGTGCGAGTGACTGTGCCGAAGGTGATTGTCTTGTGACGGCTGGAGGTGGAGGTGGTGGCGGAGGGACTTGGCCATACAACCTAGACGCGGCTGAGTGGAGTGCGGAGTAGCCGTTCACAGGAGAGCCCATACTCGGCTGACGATGAGGCTCCGGAGCGAAGGATCGAGACAGTATACTAGACTGTAAGCCGAGATGCGGCGAGGGCCCTGGTGGTCGGTCATACCGCGATGGGGAAGGCGGCCGCGCCGGTTGCGGTGGAGTCGACGTAGTGGGTGGAGTCTGGTGAGGCGGAGCGACGTATGGCGCAGAGGGAGGAGAATGCTGAGGCAAGTGTCCTGCACTAGGAGGCGGTGGGAGTGGTGGAGGGACAGTCGAGTAAGAGTGGTGCGGTGGTCGGCCGTAGCCAGGAGCCTCGTACTGTGATCGATAGGCAGGAGGATATCCTCCTCCGAGAGGCGGTGGAGATGGTCGACGGCCACCGGGCATCGCAGACGATGACCACCCTGAAGGACTCTGCCAAGATGGAGGTTGATGAAGAGGGGCTCCAGGAGGAGGCGGCGGTGGACCGGGGGGATGAGAATGCGGCGGTGGTAGTGCTCCTTCTAGTGGTGTCCGGTTCAGAGGATAAGCCGCTGGTGGAGGCGCAGCATAGGATGATTGATAGGCAAAAGGCTCTGGAGCTGGAGCTGAAGCTGGTACTGGCGCCGGGGCTGGCGCTGGCTCTGAAGGAGGCTTCTCACGAGGTCTGACTTGAGACGGCGAGGAAGGAGGCGTTCGCTTCAGGATATGACACTTGTGACATTGCCACATCGATCGGTCCTTGTTGTGAGCAATGTTGCTGAGAGAATTGGTCTCCGCAGGTTCGGCCTTGACGATACCGTTTGTCATCACAACATCCCGAGACCCATTACTAGTCGCATGGTCGGGAGCCAGACTTGATCCCAATCGATTAGCGACCGGAGCCTGTATCTCGGCCGGCTGTAAAGACCACCATCGCGGACTGACATCCACTAGACAAGTGCAGCACTTCTTGTGACCAGTAGCCCTCTTGTCCGTTTCCTCAGCATTTTTGGACTCGGCAGATCCTTCTCCCAAGTCTCGAGGGGATTCCACGGCAGGCGACGATCGCACGCTTGGACCATCGATCTGTCCGTTCATGCCGTTGGGTAGTCCGTTGACTATCGATCCACGTCTGGATATGGGTTGGACAGCAGGTGCTGTGACCGGCAAGTTCGCAGTGAACTGAGCGGCTCGTCGGACTGTCCCAGTGACGGAATTGTCCACTTGCTTGTAGGTACGAGCAAACAACTGCATCGCAGTCAGGCCACCCTCCGTCGGTTCCAGCATGTTGTGAACAAAGGTCGGTGGAGTATGAGTCGGACACCAAATAGCTGCAGTGACGATACCAGATTCTGAATGAAGCTTCATTACGTTCACCGAGTCGCGTCTGCTGCTCTTGACAGGAGCCACATCGAAACCGAAGACATATTCAGCCTGGTGAGCACAGCCAACGTGGAAAAAGGTGTTGCAGTTCGACTGGTGACATTTCACGGTGGGATAACCGCCTTGCTTGCACAGTTTGCATATTGGCTCAAACCGCTCTGGTGGAATGAAACCCACACCTTCGGCATCATCCAGCAACTCTGCATTGCCAAATTTGATCTCCTTCGTCCACAGGGCACAGGTGATATGCATCCAATTGTTCCAAGCTGTTCTCTTGAGGGCCTCTCGAGGGTTGACGGGGCGACCTGCAGCTTCTTGCTCCATTCGCCAACGGCGACTGGCTTCCTGGATGATTTCGCGCTCGATGCGTTCCTTCTCACGGTCCCTCTCGGTTTTCTTTTTATGCGAAGGCTTTAACGGCTCCATGAGCTCTTGATGCGTAAATTTGACTGGGCACAGAACACATTCGTAAGTAGTGGAAACCTGCAGGTTGTGGTCGTTTCTGCACATGTCGCAGAACCAAGGCTTAGTGTTAGTTTTCGAGCCAACCCCATAACACGAGCCATGGACATGCAATCTGCAGTCCCGACATTTAAGCAGTTCTTGACCAGGAACATCGATAACTCGGCATATCGCGCATGGATGAACCTTGACCTTAGGGGGATCTGGCTCGATCGGAGGTGGTTCTTGCGGCTTTTCGGGTGCTTTCTTCTTCTCGGGAACAACGTCTGCCGTCGCGTTTGCGCCATCTTTGTCGGTCTTGCCCTTTTTCTTTGGCGGTTCTTCCGGCTGTATGATATTTTGCGGGACCTCTATACCAGCCTTGTTGACCTCATCAACTGCACGTGGAGGTATGGGGTCTCCTGACATTTGATGCGCTTCGAGGATGAGACGCAGCAACTCTTCGTCAACTCTCCGCTTAGCTGCACGGCTGCCTGAGGCTGCTATCTTCTTGGACACCTCTTCGATGTCCTCATATTGTACCGCGTATTTCCTCCAAAGGTATGCGCACCTGCCGCACAATGCAAGAGTAAGCCAACCACTCTTGTCTTTGCTATTTTTGGCGGAGGAATCCTTGGGCACGAGCGTCCCAGGAGGCGTGGCTGGCGCACGACGCCATTGCCGAGAGTGATTTGTACCGCAGAATTTGCAGACGAATCCACGTTTCTTTTGGGCTGCTTTCTCCTCGTCAAACGCAGAATCGTCTTTGTCATCAGCGACTTCATCCAGGAGCTTGACGTTACCATCCTTGTCAGCTCGCTTCGATTCTTTCTTGGAGCGCCGGCCTTCGTAATTTCCCCAGATCTGTTGACCTTTCTCTGTCTTCTTCCACATGTAGTAAAATCGGACAATCCGAGACTCTTTGACGCTTGACCCAACGTGGCGAGATACCGCATGAAGTTCACTTCCATATTTAGCGACACCTTCTTCGAAACGCTTAATTTCTTCGCGGTTCAAATCTGGTTGTTTTAAGTCGGCTCGTAGGGAAAGTCCCTTCATCGCCTCCAAAGCTTTATCGACATTGAAGTTGTTTTCTTGCAACTTCTCAATGGCCTTAGTCAGAAAGTCGACGGAAGACTCCAACAAGTTATATTGTGCTGCAATCGGTCTAACCTTCTTCATGTAGTCGTCGACAAGCTCCTCGGCGTTTTCTGGTCTTACACTGTCATCGTTGCCCCTGTCCGATGGCTCAGCATTTTCCGGCATCTTGAAGATCAATTGAGCAGTGTGCTCCTTTTTGCCTTTGATGTCGATGGGTTCGTCCTGCCCACGAGCGATATAGCCCACGGGCTCATCGACCACCCATTTCGGACGCTTGAGTCGGTGATCTTTATCGGTGTCGGTTCCGGCATCCCTGGCCCGTCTATCTCTCTTCCCGTCTGCATTTTTGTACTTTTTCTTGATCTCGGCAGGTTTCACCAATTCGACAGGCCGACCATGCCAGACGTTGACATTAGCTTGATGACGAGGCCCTAGTCTAGAACTGGCACGAGGATATATGCGGTCATCGTAGTCCAAGGCGTCCTCCACGCGGGAATGTACTCCGAGATATCTCCATGGCCATAAATTCGCCTGCGCAATCTGAGCCGCTGTCGGTGCGGGATGCGCTTCGGGAGCAGCACTGCTCTCGCGAGTGTCGTCAATTTTGGGTCCAGACTCATCCTCGTCTTCGTCTATGAAATCATCGTCCTCGCCATGTGCAGCTTCGGAAGCCGGAGTATTCCGGGCATCCATCTTCATCTCTTGAGCTCTACTGCAAGCAGCACAAGCCCAAGCGAACCCTCGAGCAGGCTTCTTCAATAGTGGTGGCCTGACACACTGCATGTGATACGTCCTCTTGCACACTGCACAGTCAACCGAGTCGTGGTTGCTCGCAAATTGTTCACACCTTGTACATTTCTTGCTCTCACTCGTCAACTCGCGACCTCGGCCAATTTCGACTAGGACAAACTTCCATCGCTCGTCGAGGACCATCTTGACGTGTTGTGGAACGTTGACGACTCGGTGCGTGGGTATGACCTCGTAATATCGATGCATGTACCGATCGAAGAGCTTATCGAACCAGAAAGAATCTTGTTGACTGCGGTATTCGTCCATGTTGGATATATCAGACAAGTGGTGTATGTTACATTTTCCTCGTATTGAGTTGAGTGGACAAGTATCTGAATGCATGGAAGCAAATACGACTCTTGTATCTTGAACACGCCGAAGGATATCTTTCGGTCTGTAGTACCAATTGACTCGTATCGCATCGACTGGAGCCTCAGGATCGTTCTTCGCATGTAGAAATTCCATGATACGCGCAAGGTAATAGGGTTCGCCAGGAGGTTCGCAAACCATATAGACATGATCTAAGAAAAGTTAGGCTTGTTCCGTGAGCTCACCGTTCCAAGGGACGTACCATTTGTCTGCACGGCGGTGCCGTCATCCGCGACTAATTGCTTCTTCGCATTCAGCTTGCGTCCGCATTTCGAGAAGCTCATCATGTTTGTCTCCACAAACCCTTTTAGAGGCATTGGAGCGGCGTGCCGCGACCGCGAATTCGCGGGCATGGCGTGGTTTGTGGCCACCGAATGGCTGCTACCAGGGTGTTTCCTTTTCTTCGAGGGCGCAGGTGCTGCCGCAGAGACAGGAGTCGAGGTACCACCAGTGGGAACATTGTCAGAAGCAAGGTCGACCACGGAGTGGTTGATGGCTGCAAAGCCGGAAGATGTTGTGTGTTGCTCGGCCACCGACGCCACCGCCGCCGGTGCAGCAGCAGCAGAGGATCTCTTGTTGGAGCGGCTAGTTTTAGGCGAAGCCTCCTTCGCCTCCAACTCTAGATCCAAGTCCTTGTCCTCGGCATAGTTAGGACGCGTCCCCGTGCGATTTCTCGACCGAGTTCCGTAGATAGCAGAGGTACCAGCACTGCCATTTTCTTGCGGAGGATTTTGGGAGGAGGAAGACGCGGTAGCAGTCATGGGCTGAGATTGGGGCGTCTCGAGGGGAAGCGCAGTTTCGGGTGCGGGCGACACATCCATGCTAGTAGCATTGCTGTTTGCAACTGCGCTTGGCGGTGCATCGTTTGGCGAGGTCAAGGGTGCGTCAGACTGCTTTTCGGGTTGCGCACCTGAAGACGCTGCCGCCTCTGATGGAATTTCAGAAGTCGACATGGCCAGTCAAGGCACAAAAGCGCGGTGACTGAAATTTGCCGAGCTCTGGCTTTATCGCATGGCGTGGGCGGATACGGGTGCGGCGTGAGGTGGCCTACGCAGGGCTGCGACGAAGGTTGGATCAGCTTACCAGCGGGCTTGTAGTCGACGCGGCAGGAGAGGGCGAGGGGCGGAGTTTGGCGGGCTGGTGGATGAGATTGCTACGTTCGAGGCCGAGGAAATGTTGTTGGCAAGGAGCGTCGCGGTGGGTAATACAGGGTGGCGGTGATGCAAATCCAGTAGAGCACGCTGAAGACGGCAGAGCGGACGATATAACAAGGCACGCGCCAGGATCGATCAGTTTCGCAATGTAGCCGAACGTAGACGGTGACGTGGCGATCGAGCCCAGCGCGGGAAAAAGGAAAGGAATAGAAGACCGTGAGGACCACTCGACTACTCAACCGGACGGTCGGTAGAAGTGTACAAGTGAAAAATAAAAGAGAATGGCGGTCGAAGTGGGTGAAGAGAGGAAGGACAAAGAGTAAAGAAGAGGAAATGATGGGGAAGGCAAGAAAACGGCGGAAGGAAGAAATGTGGCCCTAGTCGGGTGATGGTAGCGGAAGGTTAGTTAGTTGGTGAAGTGGCAGGTCGTCGGTTTGTAGTGACAGTGTTCAAGGAATGAGTGGGTGACGGATAGGACGCCGAGATATTCGACGGACAAGGCGCATGGCATATGACTATGACTAGGAGTTGGGTCGGCGGATCAGACGGACAAGGTAGGCACAGCACGCACAGGTATGGTACGAGTAGATGCGAATGCGAAGGTTGACAATTAGAGGGAGTTTGTTTGGAGGACAAGCACCAAGGCACAAACAGCCGCAGCTACAGCGAAGTGGACACCTTCAGGACACCCTGAGCACACGAGACACGAGGAGCAAAAACCCATTAGTGAAAGTGTGGACACCATGCAAGGCAAATGCCAGTAGTGATGCACTGATGGTAAGGCCAAGGCAATGGAAGGAAGGGAAATCTTGATCAGTATCTGACTCGATACCTAGGTACGATGGCGACAGATGATTGCATTACCCGCCAGACAAAGGATCAGAAAAGATGCAGAATCGTCGGCCTCAGATGTCTGATATTTACCTTACCTACCTTAGGCACCTAAATGTTCAGATGATGAAGAAAGAGATTGGAAAAAGAAATGAACGAAATGAAAGAAAATGGGCAACGGATGGGCGTCAAGATTGTGAAACATCTCTTTGAACGTCGGCATTCCCCCTTCTTATTACTCGCCAGTTTTCCACCGTCAATCCTTTGAGGTTGGCCACCGCTATTTAGAGCTGCGTAGCCGACTACAATTGCGCATATTGGCATTCTTGGTGGGTTCAATCTTCAAACATGGTGCACTTCTCATTCCAATGGATATCGGACTCCTAATAAATGCAGGAGAAAGCTGCGGTGGCTGTGGTGGCCGTGGTATTCTGACAGGCACAAGTTGGATGAGGTCGAAGTCTGGTTCTCGAGCTGCAGGGCCCCACCGAGGCTCACTAGGCTTCTTAGCGCCCGCAGTGCTTGGCGTCACCTGACTAATTCGACCACGTCGCTCTTCCTTACCTAAGGTAACTCAGGTTTCCATCTTCCATATCCTGCCATCTCTGAAAGGGGCGCCCTCAAATGAATTGGTGCCTTCGTTGGAGGCCATCTCTGCGACCATTAGGCGCTCAGTTTTGCTGGCATTAACCCCAGAATGTGCGTGCTCGATGATTTCGTGTTCTTTCTTGGGTGCCCCAACGATCACCCTCAGGCTCGACTCTTCCATCAAATAAGGTGTCTCGCAACAATCCAGGCAAAACCTGCTCCCCACTCATCATCTTTTGATCACTCGCAACGTGTCATCGCCCACTTCTTCCTTTCGCAGGCTCTCTGCGCTCCCGTTATCCCCTTCCTGCCTCGCCTGGAAGGACCCGCCGCTACCCAGTCCCAGAATATGACGCACGTTAGTCAGAGACTATGCGGGTCCCGTATAATGACCATCCATACAGTCTTGATATCTTCGAGTCTCGTTTACATTTTGCATAACTGCATCAGGTAGGTGTTGTTGGCCATTCTGCAGGGCACTTTATCTCCGATACCTGGTATTGCTTCTGAGGTTTCGGGTGGCTTGGCGACCCGAGGCCCAGATTTGCGCCATTCCATTTCGGGATTCGGCTATTTACTTCTCGCGCGTTTTATGGCGCCTGCCGGGGTAAAGATCGACTTCAACTTGGGATGCCCATCATCATCCATCATTCTCGCAACGACCGTGACGGATAAAAACCTGATCGGCCAGCCTATTCCCGTGAATGTGGTGATATGTTGTATCCTGTGCATTTCCTCCTCACTAATCGCATCATGACTCTCCGCTGTTGATGGCACCCACGTGGCAACGGCCGACGGTGACCTACGGACAGCCCACGACGCTTGATGTTGCCCGCAATCAGAAATACAACGTCGTCCCGGTTGCAGGAACAAAACGGGGCTGTGACGATATTGAAATAGCACCGCACGTGCATCCTATTCAGCAAAGCCTCTCAATTCGACAATTGCCCGCACAAACTACATCTCCTCTCTCGCCGAGGCCCCGTGAACCACCTCCACCGCCACGTCTGCAGGCAAGCCGGATTATACCAGTCGAAACCGCGGACCACGGCCAGGCCATCACTGCGTCGCGTCCTGTACCATTGCCTCCAAGAATATCATCCACTCCAGGCCCCTCACAAAACCCACTCCTAACACTTCGCCATTCACGTTATGGCTTACCTTCGAAGCTGGTCGACAACCTAGAGTCACTAGGCGTGCGCTCTATCTACCCGTGGCAATCGTCGTGTCTCTTAGGCAGAGGCTTGCTAGATGGAGAACAGAACCTGGTCTATACAGCTCCAACTGGTGGTGGCAAGTCTCTGGTAGCGGACATCCTCCTCCTCAAACGAATCATCGAAAACCCCGGCAAGAAGTCTATCCTGGTCCTACCTTACGTTGCTCTCGTCCAAGAGAAGCTGAAGTGGCTGCGCGCATTGGTTGATGGCGTGACCAAGAATGTTGAAGACATCAAAAATGCCCAACCAGACCCAACATGGCGCCGATCCAGTACCCTGATTCGAGTAGCTGGATTTTTCGGAGGCAGCAAATCGTCGGCGAACTGGTGCGACTGGGACGTGGCTGTATGCACAATTGAGAAAGCCAACTCAATTGTCAATACTGCGATTGAGGAAGGCAAACATGGCGAACTTGCGGCGGTCGTACTCGACGAGCTCCACATGCTTAACGATGAGCATCGCGGATACCTCATGGAGCTGCTTGCCACCAAGTTGATGTCTCTGGACACTGGCGTCCAGATTGTGGGAATGAGTGCAACGCTCCCTAACCCGCAACTCCTGGCGAAGTGGTTGAATGCAAGATTCTATATTGCAAAATACCGACCAATCCCCATCGAGGAACATCTGGTCTACGAGAACGAAGTCTATCCGACAGCAAATGCCAAAGAATTCTTCAGAGCAGCCAGCCAATTGACCGCTAAAAGCGTGGTTTCGACACCACAGCCAGAAGCCTGTAAAACCATCAGCAAATCTGACCACCAAGACCTGGCGAATCCCATGACCAACGCAGTCGTCGCCTTGTCCGTCGAGACTGCTGTCGCTGGCCATGGTGCGCTTGTGTTCTGCAACAGTCGGATGGCAGCCGAAAGGACTGCTTGCTTGATCAGTGATACCATACCGGTCGATGCTTGCGACCCACAGACGCATGACAGGCGACAAGACCTGTTAGCATCCCTCCGTGCGCTGCCTGGTGGATTCGAAGAGTCCTTGCTGAAAACCGTACCCTGTGGCGTTGGGTTTCACCATGCCGGACTAACCATAGAAGAACGAGACCTGGTCGCGGACGCTTACGATGTAGGTATCCTCAAGGTTATGGTGGCTACGTGCAGCCTCGCCGCTGGAATTAACCTCCCCGCACGGAGAGTGATCCTTAATGGTGCCCGGATGGGTCGCGATCTGGTAGGGCCTGCAATGTTGCGACAAATGCGTGGTCGAGCTGGGAGGAAGGGCAAAGATGAAATCGGCGAGACATATTTGTGCTGTCACCAATCAGATCTTGAGGCAGTGGCGGAATTGCTTGAAGCTGAGATGCCGCCAGTTATCAGCTGTTTGACACCGGAAAAGAGGGGCATCAAACGAGCAGTACTTGAGGTTGTTGCTATTCGGATGGCCTCCAGTCGGGTCGCGCTAGATCAATACGTCCATTCGTCCCTGCTTTGGCACACGACAGACCATGCTGTGGTTGAAGAGCTGGTCGAACATTCGATCCGCGACCTACTGGCATCCAAGCTGATCCAAACGACCGAATACGAGGGTTGTCTCGAACCCACCAAGCTAGGCTTGGCCGTTGTCGCATCTGGCCTAAGTCCCGAAGATGGTGTATTTGTCCATTCTGAATTGCGACGAGCACTGGAGTCGTTTGTGATGGATGGGGATATGCACATCTTCTACCTCTTCACCCCAGTGCAGACTGCTGGTATGGGTGAAATCTCTTGGTTGACATTTCGTGACCAGCTGGAGAATCTTGACGAAAGTGGAATGAGAGCATTGCGGCTGGTTGGAGTCAATCCTGCATTCGTCAATCGCCTTGTCAATAGTGGTGCTGATTTGAAGGAGAATACGTCAGATGAGATTCGTCTAGCCCGAATCTACCGCCGGGCTTATTCGGCTTTCCAACTGAGAGACCTCTGCAACGAAATCCCTGTCCATGAGATCAGCGTGAAATACAGTGTTCCGCGTGGACAAATCCAGACTCTGGCTCAGACATGCCACGGGTTCGCGGCGGGCATGATCAAGTTCTGCGACAGAATGGGTTGGGGCATGCTTGGTGCCGTGTTGGAACACATGCTTGACCGACTCCGTGCAGGAGCGAGAGCAGATCTTCTCGAAATGGCCCAGGTTGCCTTTGTTAAGAGTCGCATGGCGCGGATCTTCTGGGAAAATGGGTTCAAGAGTGTAAGAGCTCTCAGTGAAGCCGACCCTCAGACCTTGGTACCTGTCATGATGCAGGCACAAACCCGGAAGATGAAGCTGGCCGGCGAAGCAGCCGAAAAGTTCAAAGACAAGTTGCTGGCTAGAGCCGAGATCATCGTCAGCAGTGCAAGTAGAGTTTGGGAGAGGCAACAGATGGTGCGCTGGGAGGAAGAATGATAGGGACCTTGTCAGAGCACAAAGGACTGCTTGGGATTGGTCCGATGCTTCTGGGCATCCCAGATTGGTACCTTGCATTAGCGATCGCTCTGGTCTCTCCAGCAACAGCTGGGATTTGCAGTACGAGTAGTCCTGTGCACAAGATTCGAGTCTCAAGAAAAGATTTCCTAGCACGGATTGTGGTACAGATCCTTACTACTTGTATTTGACAATGTAGTGGCCGTCTTTGAAGCAGTCCGGGCGAACCAGCAATCTCAGAAGGGGGGTTGCGAGTACAGTAGACAACAAGACCTCCGAAGTCACAAGCGAGGTCAGAATCCGGGGCATCGCCGTTGCGGTCACCGGTCGCTAACCTGTCACCGAAGGTCCTCGAGTACCTCCCCACGCTCCCGTGATAGTACCTGTTCGAAGCATCTTGGAGGCTGACGAAGGATTGCTTGACAGGAGCGAGAGATGCATGGTGGCTGCTGGGTGGCTCCTGGCTGACAAAGAGTGCGGATGATGGCGGTGATGCTTTTGACATCGGGCGACTCCATTCCGCATATTGGTGGTGGGTGGAGCATCACGATTGGCTTGATTTGACAATCCTCAGTCAGCTTTTCATAAGCCTGGCATGAGCTCCCCTCTAGGTGCCATCATGGTGCCCCTCACTAATACCACTACGACTTGCGTGGACTTGCAACTGCAAGGGTCCTGAAGGTCCCAAGCCCGTCAAAAGTGCTGGTAGTTTACGAGCTGGTGCGGGTTGTCCCCCTCCTTGTTCGAAATCGAAAACTGAACAGATCGAGACGCAGTAGTCGTGGCAACGGAGACACCCCAATGGATCGGTCATCATCTGCTGACGCTCATGAGAGGCTGCTTCAGTAAGGAATCAGAAGTGAGAAATGCTCGACAGGGGTTGCCGGCGTTTGTGCGTCATGAAGCCATGAAGCCACCAGCCAGAGGCGGGGCCTTTTTTGTTGTTTGGTACGAGAAGCATTTACCATTTCCGAGAGACAGAAAGCAACGGATACAAAAGCCTTGCCTGATCCCCCGTTTTGTTCTCGGATCTTCTTCTCTCCATCCTCAGCTACATTTGTATTCCATATCATTCAAGATACACAGTTCAATCCAGTCACCATGGCTCCCAAGGTCGCTATCGTCTACGTGCGTCTCGCCTGTTCCGGGCAATGCCGTTCGTTATGCAGACTAACAACACGACTGTAGTACTCCATGTACGGCCACGTCGCCAAACTGGCCGAGGCCGAGAAGAAGGGCATCGAAGAAGCCGGTGGCTCTGCTGATGTTTTCCAGTATGTCCGACAGCCCACTCTCTTTCCCTCCTCTACCCTCTGTCCCACGCCTAGCTCTCCGGAGAACGTGCTCCTCCCTACCTACTCATCTACCAATCCCATACTCATCCCTGCCACCAAAACCAGCAGCCTCTAGATAGCTAACCGCACATGCTCGACTTAGAATCGAAGAAACCCTCCCCGGGGAGGTTCTGAGCAAGATGCACGCCCCAGCCCAAGACACATCGATCCCTTTCATCACGCCCGACGTGATGAAGACCTACGACGCCTTCCTCTTCGGCATCCCGACCCGCTACGGCACCTACTCGGCCCAGTGGAAGACCTTCATCGACAAGCTCGGCCAACTGTGGATGAGCGGAGCCCTGTACGGCAAATACTTCGGCCTGTTCGTCAGCACGGCCACCGCGGGCGGCGGCCAGGAGTCGACCTGCATCAACGCCCTGTCCTGCTGGGTGCACCAGGGCATGATCTACGTGCCCCTCGGATACGCCACGACCTTCCAGCTGCTGAGCAACCTGGACGAAGTCCGCGGCGGATCGCCCTGGGGCGCAGGGACCTTCGCCTCGGGCGACGGCAGCAGACAACCCACCCCGAAGGAGTTGGAGCTCGCGCAGGCCCAGGGCAAGGGCTTCTACGAGACCGTCAGCAAGGTGAGCTTTGCGTGACTAGATGGCAGCAACAAGGACGAAAGGAAGGTGGAGGCTGCCGCTGCTGCGAAGCCTCAGCCTGCGCCCACAACAACGCCGGCGCCGGCGGCAGCAGCAGCAGGAACGAAAACAACCCAGCAGCCTGCGACCACGAATGCGGATGACGAAAAGACCGAGAGCGGACCGTGTGGGTTGCCGAAAAAATGTGTCATCCTATAAGTGCCATCTTATGCTTGGGTGAGAAGCAAAACCATCTGGGAAAGAGAAGGATCTGTACCGACATTTGACTGATCCCATGCTCAAAAGAAAAATCTACATAAAACGACGTTAACGAAGATTTGAGGAGTTGTATAGAAAAACCCCTACCAGACAAACATCTATATACCAAATGAACTATTTTGAATACGTCAAGCAGGACTAGCATAATGCAAGGAGTCACCATTCCACGTAATGAAGTAGATAATCCTTGCTTGAGAAGATGCCACCTCCCAAGAGGAAGAGGCAGTGCGGTAACTTTGTACTCATCAGCGAGCAGAGAACCGGCAAAGTAATCGAGATCAGTGCGACACAGGACGCGGACGCCGGAATCGAAGAAAAGCAATTATATTCTCAACAATATAGGGGTATTTTGGAATTTCGTCGTCAAGGTATTAAACGCCTCAAAAAGGACGTGATGTCGTGATGCGCCCTCTGATATGGGTTTCATGAATCACCCAGCCTCGGCGGACCACCATCGAGACTCCGCATGATCATCCTGGCATGCTTCACAATCCTCAAACACAGCAGCCCATCGTCCCCCTGTGTCCTCGCATGCTCTTCACATTCCCTAATCTCCTCCAGGGTCATACCTAACGTGTGCCCTCGAGCGAGATCGGTGGTCATACGTTCGGGAAATTCACCCGTCTCGGTCTCTATACCATGCCACTGTTTCTGCCGACGTTCGAGCGCACAGCATAAGTCGGACAGTGTGTACGGGGACGGCGAGCTGACGGGCCTATTCGACCCTGGCGGGCTTGGGACAGGGGCATCATTGAACACGCATGCTCGGACGAGCTTGTAGCCGAAAGTTCGCCATTCCAACTCTTGCCGAATTGTCATGTTTGAATCGACATCGATCACTGCAGTGTTGTTCTTGTCGTCCGTGAAACCGTTTCGAAGGTCTATTGCGGTCGCCTTTTTCACTCTGTGCCAGTGGTCTGCTAGCACGGTGATGAGCATGCTACTCAGCATCACGTTCTGTGAGCCGGTCTGGAATTTCTGTGGGCAGATATTGCAATATATCACGCTGCGGCCGGTGCGGTGGGCGCTTAAGAGGGTGTCGATCGTGCCTGAGGAGACGGGGAAGGCAGACAGTGTTGAAAGTGTAGATAACGTGAGATATAGGTTCGGTAGACATGGACAGTCCGGTGTTGCGGGTAATTGAGATAGGTAAGCTTGGTTAGGATCGAGATTGTGATGCTGGGCCGCGAGATATGGGTCAATGGCAGGATTTGGGAGGTCAATAGAGGCATTGTTCTCCTCATATTCATGGCTCTCTTGTACCGGGACGGGGAGCATGGTCATGTCGGAGAAGTCGGGCCAAAGGGCCACGTCGGTTGGATACGATACATTCGATACCAGGTCGCCATCGCGAGGGGTACGGGGAGCGTCGTGCGGCGGAGTACTGCTGGAGCCTTGAGAGGTCGAATTTGAAGTATTGCTGACGGCCGCTGACCGCCGTATAGATTGGGAGATAGGACCATTGCAGACGTTCTCGAACTCGGTTCTTGCAATGGCTTTCTGGCACTGCTTGTGATGTGGCTTGACGCCGGGCTGACCGCATGACAGGGGCTGCTGTTGTTTCGGTGCAGGTTGCTCCTTGTCCTCGGGAGATTCATCCATCTTCTGCCTCTTTCTTGGACGTCCCATCTTCGACTGCACCGAGTAGTGGCATGTGAGGTTCTGTTTGAGGCATCGTTCGCAGCCTGTCGGGTCGCCCGAGCATTTCAGCTTGCGCTTTCCTAAGTCCTTCTTTAGTCCTGGTGATTGCATAAAAATATTCAAACTTACTGCACTCATCGCAAGCAGTGTGTCTTCTCGCTGTAGGATCAACGTCGAAAGCAGCGCTGTATGCGGGGACTTCCGTCTCTTGCAGATCGGGAACATTGTCGGTCACCGCGAAGGTCTTTGAGACTGGGTATGTACCAAAGATCTCGACCAGCTGTGTTGCCGTGTCGCCCGCCATGTAGATCGGAATCTCAAATTGTACTGAAGTTGGGGCGCAGGCACCATAAAATGGAGGACCTTAGACCCTGCAGTCAGTCATCGAGAGGGGAGGCCTGAACTGGTAGAGATGCTGACATAATGTTCCGTGCACGTAGTATGTACTGTAGTACTCCGTCCTATTGGCACATATTCGACCCGGTGGGGTCGGCGGTTCGGCACCACGGCGGAATCTTCTCCGACCAAAAAAATTCCAGAACTGCGCATTTGATGGTGCTTTGTTCAGTCAATCCTAGGTGAAGCAACACACAAACCACCATGGCCGATTCTAGGAAGCGGAAGGCGGTGACGAAAGATGTCGACCATGACCCTGCCGTTGTCTCTGGTGACGAATTGGACTTTGGCCAGCTCGATGGCACAATATCGGACGACGAGTCTGCCAGTGAGAGTGTGGAAGATGAATTGACAAGTGGTGGAGAAGACGATAGTGATGCTGTATCCATCGGAAGCGAGGAAATACCATCAGAAGAGGATGAAGAATTCCTGGGGCAGACAAAAGCCAAGAAGTCGCAGGGTGTCGACATTAGTGTGGGCGATGAAGACGCTGCCAGAAAAGAGCAACCCGAGGAAGAGCAGCCAAATTACAAAATTGTGAAGGGCGCGGATGGCAACGATCGATACATATACAACGAAATCGACCCTGGCGAGGACTCCGACTACTCTGTCCCAGATGAAGGGGCCAACACGATTGGCGAGATCCCCTTGTCGTTCTACGATTCCTACCCTCACATTGGATACAACATCAACGGAAAGAAGATTATGAGGCCGGCAAGAGGAGAAGCATTGGATGCTCTACTTGACAGTATAGAGGTACCCAAAGGATGGACTGGCTTGACGGACCCCTCGACAGGGAAGCCTCTCGAGCTCACAAAGGAAGAGTTACAATTATTGAAGAAGGTGCAGATGAACGAAATACCAGCAGATGGCTATGATCCCTATGAACCCACAGTTGAGTGGTTCACAAGCAAGACCGAGACTATGCCATTGAGTGCAGCACCGGAGCCAAAGAGACGCTTCATACCCTCAAAGCACGAGGCCAAACGTGTTATGAAGATAGTACGAGCCATCCGGGAAGGTCGCATCCTCCCCTACAGGCCTCCGAAGGAGGATGTAGAAGAGGAGGAAGGTATTCAGAACTATGACATATGGGCCGATGAGCAGCCGAGACCTGACCATGCCATGCATATGCCAGCCCCCAAACTTCCACCTCCTGGCTTCGACGAGAGTTATCATCCACCGCGAGAGTACTTGCCAGACAAGAAAGAGAAAGAGGCATGGCAAAGGGCTGATGAGGAGGATCGAGAGAAGGATTATCTTCCAACAGATTACACTGCTTTGCGGAGGGTGCCTGGCTATGATCGCTTCGTCAAAGAAAAGTTTGACCGCTGCTTGGACTTGTATCTTGCTCCCCGAGTCCGCCGAACGAAACTTAACATTGACCCTGAATCACTACTACCCAAACTCCCCAACCCTGACGAATTGCGACCATTCCCGACACATGAAGCAGGTCGATTTCAGGGTCACAAAGGCAGAGTACGATCTGTAGCCATTGACCCCACTGGACAGTATCTGGCTTCAGGTGGTGATGATTGTACAGTACGTGTTTGGACGCTCGAACCTCAGCGAGAGATCTGGTCCGTCTCCTTGTCCTCCGAGTCGGCGGTGAATGTGGTCCGGTGGCGGCCTGGCAAGGATGCCCCTATTCTGGCCGTATGTGCGGGTGATGAGATCTACCTCTGCGTCCCTAGTCTTGGTTCCGACTTCAGCCCCGAAGCCGAGGCTGCGCAAGCCGTACTTGACGCGGGATGGGGATATGCCGCGTCAGAAAGCGGCTCCTCAAAATCTTCCAGCATCAAGTGGAGTCGACCTTCGGCAGGTCAGCGTGACAAGGGTGTGGCCATTGTGATTCACCTTGGACACACAGCCAAAACGTTGTCGTTTCATTCGGCCGGAAACCATTTCGTCACAATTTGCTCTGCTACTAGCGTCCCGACATCTCAGGCAATTGCCATACACACCATCACCAAGCATCAAAGTCAACTACCATTCCGCAAGAGATTGAAAGGTGGAGGCACTCCTCAAGTCGCACACTTCCATCCCAGCAAGCCAATTTTGTTTGTGGCAAACCAGCGGGTTATCCGTGCTTATGATCTGTCCAAGCAATCATTACTGAAAATCATTCAGCCTGGCGCTAGATGGATCAGCAGTTTCGATATTCATCCGACCAGCTCATCAACAGCGGGATCAGACAACTTGATTGTAGGTTCTTACGACAGGAGATTACTGTGGATGGACTTGGATCTGTCAGCTCGCCCATATAAGACTTTGCGGTTTCATGAGAAGGCAATCAGATCCGTTCGGTTCCATCCCGCAACAGGTCGATATCCTCTCTTTGCCGATGGCAGTGATGATGGAAGCATCCAGATCTTCCATGGCCAAGTAACGAGCGATATGATGAGCAACGCACAGATTGTGCCATTGAAGGTGTTGCGTGGACATAAAATTACTGGCGGACTAGGTGTCATGGATCTCGACTGGCATCCTCAGCACCCGTGGCTTGTGAGCGCAGGAGGCGACGGAACTTGTCGTCTATGGGTCTCGTAAAACAAAAACAAAACCAATTCCATTGGTAAACCAAATAAAATGATATTTCAGCTACACTTGCAGTAGTCCCAGTCGCTTCTTTGTTGTCTGGCCACCAAGATGCCTCGCTAATCCGATAAGGCGCCATTCTTACTAAGCGTGCGGAGACTGAACCAGAACATGTGATCTCGCGAAATCTGGCGCGACTTAGGCTTGACGCGTCGTGTCAGTCTGCGACCATCGAAGCATCATTCCAACATCAGCAACTTATCCAACGACAGAGCTGCGCTGCTCGGTTATAGAAGCCTCCTCGAGGCAGCATCTCAATATGCCTGCGTAAGTCATCGTCACGAAGTTCTCAAGGTCTGTTGCTGAGTCTTACAGTGTCGGAGACCAACACAAGCCGAGTGCCAGTACCACAGCCAACCCGTTCGAAGAACCAAAGCAGCGAATAAGCGAGTACACAGCTCAGGAAATTGCAACCTTACAGAACCGATTAGACAAACAGCTGGGCCCAGAGTATATCTCCCAAAGACCAGGACCAGGTGGCCAAAAAGTACACTATCTTTCAGCAGATAAGTTAATCAATCTCGCAAATGAGGTGTTTGGCTTCAATGGATGGAGCAGTTCAATCCAGAACATACAAATCGACTTTGTCGACGAAAATGCTCAGACGGGGAAGATTTCTCTAGGTTTGTCCGTCATTGTACGAGTGACCTTGAAAGACGGTACACATCATGAGGATATCGGATACGGACAAGTCGAGAATGCGAAGGGAAAAGCAGCTGCCTTTGAGAAGGCGAAAAAGGAGGGCACAACAGATGCATTGAAGAGAGCGATGCGGAATTTCGGTAATCTACTGGGAAATTGTGTGTACGACAAAAGCTATCTGGCCAAAGTCTCAAAGCTGAAGGTTCCCGCCACAAAATGGGATGCAGACAACCTCCATCGACATCCTGACTTTGCTCCAAAGAAGCAGGATGACGAGGCCAAACGAAATCCGTCTGGTCTTTCAAGAGCAGCTTCAGCTTCTGCTGAGTTTGATGATACCTTCGATTTTCCGGATTTCGAGGTCGAGGATTTCGATGCTATCGACATGGCTCAGCAGGACGAGGTGGCAATGCCCTCGGAACCTGTGGATACGGCTCGAAGGCCGGGCAATGGTGGTTCAGAAGGTATGCCTCCACCGACCAGAGCAGACCTGACCACGCCCTCAAAACCACCAGCTCCAGTTCCTCGACCTGTAGTAACCAGATCAGCTAATGGCTCTTCCACGAACATCATCCCTCAGCCTCTTCCTGGTCAACGTCCTCAAGCTATGCCGGCTCAGCCTGTAAGACCGCTCGCAGGATCAGACCCCCGAGCTGCCGTAGAACAATGGACACGACCCTCCTCTCCCAATGTTGCATCTGATCATTTCGCTCAGCAGCCCGGCGGTCAAGCCGCACCGGGCCAACCGTTTCGAGCTGGATTCTATTCAGCCAAAGCGGCCGGCAATATCGACGCCAACAATAATGTCATTCCTACAGCTGCAGCGGCAGCTCCGAAGTTCAATCCTCATGCTGAAAGTCCGTCCATACGCAAGACATCTGGTGTCGACCACAACAAATCTGCTCCGTTGAAGCGTGACTTAAAACCAGATACGAACCCCCTACCCACGAACGTCATTAACCCACAACTCGACCAAACTCGGAGGGTTGGAGCTCCGGGTCCGAATGTACAGTTCGCCAGCATCCGAGGACCTAGCACTTCTGCATATCGACCCCCAACACGACGTGGACCTGAGCCGGCGGCCATTCATACAACGAATCAACCTGAGCAAGGAGCTGCCAAACGGACGCCACTCGGAGACGTGAGCAACATGCAGCATAGTGTCACAGCAACCACTCCTGATGGGGCTGATGCTAAAAGACAGAAAATACTGGATTCGGGCCAGGACAGTGTCAACGGTGTTTCCAGTGAAAACAAGCCTGGTGCATAAAGAAGTGTGACAGCCGAGAACATGCGTCGAATCAAAAGCACTGGGAGTATTTGTGCTGAAAGATCAGGTTGTCTGATCTTGTCTTTAAAGGCAGCGAGGTGCAACTGGAGGCCACGGTCTTTCTGATTTTCTTCCGCGAGCTATGAGGGCATGCTGTTGTCCGAATGCTATGATTGAATGAATAAGCCAATATGATACCATCTTGCCAGGCGTTTGTAAGCCCTTCTCTTGTCGGCCGCTGATTGGCTTCTCGGGACCGTGCTTCTCTGGGCCTCACCCAATTCATTTTCCGGCGTGCGGGTGATTGCTCTGTGTAGTTCTTATCCAACCTCTTGACCATTTTGCAGGGTACTTTCGGTGTACGGGACACATTTGCATAGCACTTTTCCGCCATAAATCCAGTGCTGCGGTCATGGATTGCCAAGAAATTCCCAAGTTCGATGTGGACCGGGTTTTCTCGCCGGCGGGTATCTTCTCTCCACGGTGATTCCCATCAAAGTCATCCGTCCACAACACTGATTCACAAGAAGGGTTGGGAGCAGATTCTGTGCAAGAGTCTGCAAGAAATACCACCAATTTGCTGAAACTAGATATGCTTAACGTTGGCCAAGCCGATGTCTTCGCGACTCTACCACGGGTTTACGATGCTTGCGACTCCGCCCATGGGTGCAAGTGACTTTCAGGCAACGGCCAAACACTTGCAGCGTCCCCACGCATCCGGATGCTGCTGTCTATTCTGCAATGGGTAGGTGACCTGTCTATCTGCGCCGTCTCCGTGCAACCTCCTAATCTAGACGAATGGCAACATCTCGTTTGATGTCGGACTTGAACGACTCTAATCCCAAACAAGACACCTCGAAGGACACACCACGATCAGAGTGTCGCCCCAACCAGGCAGCAATATACGACCGATCTCTCGGAATGCAATTTGACGGGCATACAAATGCCCTGTCTCCTGCCCGGTCTGCCAAGGTTGGCCTACTCGAGGTATTCCGGTCACTTTGTCTGCCCTTCATTATGGCGAGTACCCTCACAGCAGTTCTGTTCTGGTCGTCTGCACTTGCTGTGTCTTTGCCTGTCAACCTGCATGTGAAGCGTGTCATTGACTCTGGTCTTGCCAACATCCATGTCTCGTACGATGAGCCTATCCAGTCTGAGGTTGTCGTCACTTACGGTCCCTGCAAGGCGAAAGGCCCAGCAGAAGCCCACCACCTCGTCGGGCGAGCAGAGCATTGCAATCATGACCGACTTCTATGGAAAGTGCCAGATACTGCTCCCACTGGACAATGTCTCTCGGCATGGAACAGTAAGAACAGCTTGATCGGTCGAAGCGCCCCGATCTTGCTTGCACCAAACGTCAAAACCACACGTCGACGGCTAAGGAAGAGGCAGGCTGATTTCAGCGTCGCAATGGACAACTCCAGCGGCATCGATGCCGAGGGACCATGGTTCGACGGTGTCGCCCTACTCAAGAACAAGCAGATCAGTGCTGTGAATGCACGTGCAGCCAAGTCCAAGGAGATCGCGATAGTTGGTGGCGGTATGGCGGGCTTGATGACCTGGCTTGCGTTGAACCAGTCCGGCCTGACAAACCTGTCTATCATCGAAGCTAGTCAGAGGCTAGGCGGACGAGTGCATACGGCTTACTTCGGCGACCCGAGCGATAGGCAGTATCAGGAAATGGGACCGATGAGGTTCCCGTTGTCAATCACGTCGTCTGAGACAAATGAGACGCTTCAAATCCAAGACCATCGCATTGTCTTCGATCTCGCAGCTGAGGTCAATCGGCTTAACCACAATAATACCAACTTCACAGTCAACTTCATTAAATGGTATCAAACCAGTCCGAATGGACTGTACTACGTCAACGGCTCGCGATTACCCAACGGTAAGAGCCCCACTGTATCGCAAGTCCGCTCGAACGCCTCTCTCGCTGGAATTTCCTCTGTCGAGGACGATCCGAGACTCGCCGAGCTCAACACACGCATCGAGAACGTAATGGACAACGAGACCTTTATAGCGCAGATGGCCAAGAACGTTTACATGGCTCACAAAACGTTTCTGGACACCGGTCTCGGCGGAATCGGCGGCGACGACTGGTCCGAATTCGCCTACGTGCACAATTACCTCAAGTACGCGCTGAACGACACGTTCGTGGCCCTTGGTGACCCGGGCAGCGAGAGTTTCTGGGACAACCTGTATGAGTCCATGTACTTCTCCGCGACCGACTGGCGGACCATCGACGGCGGGCTGACACGGCTTCCGTCCGCTTTTCATCCCTTGATCGACGGAATCACCCATATGAACCGCAAGGTCCAGCGCATTGAGTTCAACGAGAGCTCGCAGCGTGTGACACTGCAGTGGAAGTCGAAAGCTTTAGACCGGACGTTCCAAAACGCGAGCTACGATCTTGCAGTTGTGACTGCACCGTTGGCACTCGTGCGCACGTGGCGGCTGCCAGGCTTCTCAGACCTGTTGCAGATGGCAATCGACACGTACCCGTACGAGCAGGTTTGTAAGGTTGCGCTGCAATTCAAGTCACGGTTCTGGGAGCATTCTGCACTTCCCATCTACGGCAGCTGTAGTACGACCACGGATATCCCGGGGATTGGAAGTATTTGTTATCCAAGCTACGATATCAACTCAACCGCGATGGGGGTAATGTTGGCAAGTTACACGTCGAGTGACAGTGGCTTGAGGTGGGCGAGTATACCCCAGAACGTGCACGTTCAGTATGTGGTTGATGCGGTGAGTCCCTCGTCCTATTTCTCTTAGTTGCAAGTCTTGGTGTGTGCTAGGGTTGGTGGCTCTCGTTGGGGATGATAGGACTCCATGGGCTGACACGAATGTCGTGCTAGATGGCCGAAATCCACGGCGACGTGGTGTATGACCAGTACACGGGCAATTATAACCGGCGGTGCTGGGTTTTGGATCAGTACGAGACTATCAGTTGGGCTAGCCCGGACGCTGGTATGAGAAAGGCATTTATCCCGGCCTTCTTCAAGACGGAGAAAGGTGTGGTTATGAGTGGTGAGGGAACGAGTTATACCAGTTCGTGGATTGCAAGTGCACTGGAGAGCGGTGTCAGGGCCGCCACGCAGGTCTTGCTGGAGTTGGGGCTGGTTGATGAGGCGAAAGACGTGGTCAACAAGGTATGATTGCTCCCTTTTCATATTACCACATTGGTTGGTCTGTCCTATGTACTTGTGTTCGTGTTGGGGACAAAGCTGACCGGATCAACTTTGCAGTGGATGGCGAGATGGATAGATGTCTGAGAAGACCTCTATTTCAGAGATGAACACCAAGTACTAGCCTTGAGTACAAGCTAAATCGATAGGAAGAGATAAACAATTCTTCCTGATCGGATATGCATGCTCTCCTGGTCTTCCTGGAGATTTGTTAGATGGCAAGGCTGAACCTCGATTGGGGCGAATTCCAGCCATTCCCTAGTCACATATTCCATCTTTGGAGATTTCCCTCCCTTTTCACCTCATCCCAGTCTTCACGAAGACCTCGCATCAATACTCCGAACAGGTGGAGTAGATATGACTTCGGAAAGAGATGTCCCGAAAGTGAGGAAGTGCATCAAATATTTTTGCCGGTGAAGAAGGAACTCATCCTATCACAAACGCTCTATTCCCACCGATCTTCTGCTGGACTTTAGCCGGTCAGTTTGCGGAGTATCCCAGCATCATCTGTACCAAATGATGTCGGCAATTCATATAAGATCAGTATGTCGCACGGTCCATGCTTGATGATGCCTCCAGGTAAGACTGGTCGGAAAACATGCTCCCAAAGGTAGTATTGTACGTCTGCGGATGTGCCCTCCTCATCCCGACTGCCATCGCAGCCAACTCGACCTATACCAATCCTATATTCCCGGGCTTCTTCCCAGACCCAAGCTGCATCTTCGTTCCGGAACGGGATGATACGTTTTTCTGTGCGTCAAGCAGCTTCGAGGCATTTCCTGGCATCCCCATTCATGCCAGCAAAGATCTGGTCAACTGGAAATTGATCAGCAATGTCCTGAACAGGCCCGATCAGCTGCCAGACTTGGCCATCACCAATAAATCCACAAGTGGAATATGGGCATCAACCATCAGGTACCACCAAGGAACCTTCTTCATCATGACGACACTGGTGTTCGACGACGCGGACCAGTTTAATAGTTCAAGATGGGACAACATGGTCTTCCAGTCGAAGGATCCTTTCAAGTCTTCGTCGTGGTCAGATCCTGTCCACTTCGACTTTGTCGGCTACGATACCTCACCCTACTGGAGTGATAATGGTACAGTCTACGTTGCTGGCTCTCATCCATGGCATGTTGCTCCAGGAATTACCATGACAACCATTAATCTCACCACTGGTGAGGCTGGGTCTGATCTACGTTTTATCTGGAATGGGACCGGTGGCCTTGCACCAGAAGGACCACACATCTATTCCAAAGATGGCTGGTACTACCTGATGATTGCGGAGGGAGGGACAGGTTTGACTCATATGGAGACCATCGCACGATCAAAGACAATCGATGGCCCTTACACCCCGAACTCGGCGAACCCAATTGTCACCAACGCCAATACATCGCAATACTTTCAAACCGTCGGCCATGCTGATTTGTTCCAAGATCCTGCAGGCAGCTGGTGGGGTGTGAGTCTGGCAACCCGGTCTGGACCAAATTTCACCACCTATCCTATGGGTCGGGAGACTGTGATGTTCCCGGTAACATGGAAGACTGGCGACTGGCCAATATTGCAGCTCGTCCGAGGGCAAATGAGCGGATGGCAGATGCCTCCTCCAAACATAACCATTGCTGGAGAAGGGTATGTCTCCTCCGGTCGAGCCAATGTTACGATACTGACTGTGCAGACCTTTCACGGATACTGCAGACCACCTCACCTTCCCCCCAAAGTCGAGCTTACCCATACACCTTGTCCATTGGCGCATTCCTATCAATGGCAGCTACACTGTCTCGCCTTCAGGCCATCCGAATACTCTTCGTCTGAGCCCGTCAAAGCTGAATCTGACAGGCTACGATGGCAACTATGCTGGTTCGCAAGGCCAAACTTTTGTTGGCCGCCGTCAAACAGATTCCTTGTTCACTTACGCCGTCAACATGGAGTTCTCGCCCCAGGCACAAGGTGACGAGGCTGGGATCAGCGTGTTTCTTACTCAAGTACCTGTCTTGCTCAGTGAAGATATCCCAGATTTGCTGACACCTCCAGAACCACCACGTTGACCTGGGCATCGTGTTGTTGCCAAACTCAACATCTTCGGCTTCACCAAAGCCATTGGTGCCATATTTCCGCTTCGCCGCAACGTCCTATCTCGCTGTGCCGCCACCCATCCTCGTGCCGATCCACTCCTCCTTTCCTAACTATACCACACTGTCAGATCCAACCGCTACTACGCTGAACCTTTATTTGGAGGTCAAGGCAAATAATCTGACGCATTACGCTTTCTCAGCTGGACCTGTTGATGCCATGTCTGATGTGATCAACATAGGATATGCTCCGGCGGCTGATGTGAGTTTTGGCTTCACTGGTATGTTCATTCGGCTGTCGTCTGATACTGATGTTGACATTGTTTTCTCAGGCACTATTTTGGGCGTCTACGCGACGACCAACGGACGAAATGTCAATGCTACTGCTCCAGGAACGCCTGCTTACATTTCGGACTGGAAGTACACTCCGCAAGGACAGTTCTTGGATTGATGAAGAGATCATGCAGTATATAGTGCGACTGAACAAATCGCCTTGCAAGATAAGAACGCTCAAAAGAGGAGTGCATGCTTGTCACTTCCTTGCGGTTGAGTAGGCCAGCATCTCATGGGTACTTGACTTACCGTAGACTACGGAGTACTCCGCAGCGCTATAGGCATTAGGAAGCTGCTTAGGTCAGTAATTACGGGCTCGCTAGGCATGGTTAGCCTAGTCGCTAGGCGTGGACATGAATTAAATTAAGCGCCGTGATGCGCATGATGCGCCCGTACTAAAATAAAGCGAACCTGTGGGGGAATTTGATCAGGGTACTCCGTGTCACCATGTACCTAAACTCAAAAAGCACCTGCGTTTACCATCCGCTGCTCGGTCCAACACAAATTTGTTATCGTCCGTGGCTCAGCCCAAACATCTGTCCCTCAGACCAACTATGCCGCTCCCAGAACGTATCAGCATCAAGAGGAGACGCTCGCAGGAGCCCGTGGAGTCCCTGCGTAAGACCATAACCTCTCCAGAGCTGTCCCGACTTGTCCTGACCATACTCCAGATCTTGACCACGGCGCTGTTCGAGACAAGAAGCGAAGAGCTACAGACTTCTACTTCCAACGACTCCGCGATGAAACCATCGCTCCTTCCTCGCTTCGAGAGAGGCCTACTCAGATACCCCAACCTGCAAAGTCCAGTGCCTCCACCATTCCCGGAATTCGTTGGACTGCGCCTGGGGACGATAAGAAAGACTTTGAAAAGCTCAAGGCAGATCTCAAGGCGAAGGAAGATGCAGAAGCAACATTGGACAACAAGCAAACAGTTGTGGATACCGGTAGTCGATCGGCGCCAGCGACACCTATATCCAAAGAGAAACTACAAGCCGCGAGACGTTTTCACCTCACACGCCATCTCAATTCAGGCCTAAGCCCAAACGCTCCTGTTGGGATTCGGAAGCAGAAAACGTCGATTCGACCTCCCTTGGCTACCTTTGTCGAGCGACGAGGTGCAACCTTCAGTCATGAGGAGAATCCATTGTATAGAGGCAAGCCTGTGGATAAAGTCTTGGATGTTTCTCAAACCGAAGCTCCGGAAGATGCCAAACAACCGGACTTGGAGACCTTACAGGCATCGAAACGACACGCCACCAGTACTTTCCTCCAGAATGGGTCAAAAGCAGTCAGAAAAGGCACTTCTATCAAGGACCATCCCAGTACCTGGGACCACGAGTCTGACCAATTGGCGGATGAGCTGGCTTCTTTGGCCATGGAGCTAGACCCAATAGCCAAACAGGAAGCTGAGCTTGAGAAACTTGCAGCTGCGCGGCCTGAGCCAAAAGACACTGTGATGAGCTTACATGAGAGGGAAGATGATTATATTTACGAGACATATGTCCGCGTACCCTATGAGGAGGAAGCAACTCACTCGCTTAGATTGTCTGATAATAATATCGGCCTGCTTGTTATCGACGAAGAAGACGAAGATTTGTGGCAGAAATACGTCGATAGTGATGAGGATACGGATTGGGATGACGAAGATTCTAATGGTAAGGTCACCCTCCTTTTACTGTAAGAAAGGCAATTGACATGACCTAGCTGAAGACAATCCTGCTAATGACTATCCGGAAGATGAAGTCAGTTCAGATGATGAATATGGGCACAATGCCTATCAATATCGCCATTACGCTTCAGATGATGAAGCTTTTGATGAGGATGAGGACGAAACCTAGACAGCAGCAAGTGGCAGTTCTCCTCCCAGTACTGAACTCATATGCAAACATCCTCCCAGGAACATCATGACATCAATCAACGAAGGACCAAAACGTCGCTGGCGCACGGGAACAAAGTTCCGTTGCTCAAAATATCATCAGACAACCTTCCCACAAACATCATGACATGAACAATATACCGCCGTGATTGGCACTCGTACATCAACTTTCATTTCGCCTCTGTCCCTCTCATCTCTGGCCTCCCCAAGCACCAGGGCGAGCCCACAATCTTGGCAGGGGCTGACACTCTAAATGTTCTGGCCTCATCCAGTGGTACCTGCGGTCGGTTTGGGCGATGACCCCGAACTTTTCGATGTGATAGCCTCTAGTGTTGCGTTCTGGACGACCTTGCTGGCGGACCTTTTTGACCTTATGCTGGTCCACAATGCGGTAGAAGCGGCATTGTAGGCCTGCTTTCTTCCTCGTCTCCGCAAAGTTGCGACTGTATGCCTCCAGCACTTTATTCCATGGCATATTCAAGTCGATTCTGTGGTACCAGATGAAATAGGCCTCCTCCTCGGTGTATTTCTCTCGTGGTGGTTTCTTGGGGCCCTTCGGCACAGCACAAGTGTCGTTGAGAACGTATACAATTCTCATACGATCGTCACTGTCCACGCTTGACTGGCTTGACTCACTTGACTCGCGAGAATAGCGAGCGAAATAGTGGCCCATGTTTGGTGTAAGATACATAAGGTGATGTCAGTGGCTGTGGCTTCAGGTTTCTGGTGTTTTTCAATATAGCAGAGGAATGCGAGGAATCTTGGAAGAACGCCATGCTGTTGAAGGTAGGAACATAAATACCATCAGAGGCAGGACCCGACAGAGTGGTTCACCCTGTGGTCATACGGTGGCCAGACGATACATATACTGTTGCGGCGGTCAGGCTTGGTGGATACAACTGCCTGGACAGATGTGCTGCCCTTCCGAAGTTTGTGCAATTATTCTCATGCATGGGCGGAAAGCATGATTGCCATGCCCAATACGAACGTTGCCGCTTCATGCCCAGGGGACAGTGAGGCGCACCCACACCTAACGAACAATCAGTGCGGACCGCCTTCCCCCAATGAAGCGCCTACGGATCCTCAGCACGAATAGTGTGGAATGCCGCGACCAGTCCATCTCAAAAGGGCAAATCCTCCTTCTCACGGTCTCTGGTGTCACAGGTCGTGGGATAGTACGCCTGGAAGACACAGCAGTTTGAGCGGATCCCATGCAGGGAGCGTCGTCACGGCCCCTCACCGTATCAGGACGTTCCAAAATGCAGCTGGAGACCAGGCGGTACGGCCGATAGTGCATACCATACTCCTTGTTCTAAGCACCGGGGATGCACCATCGGCTATCAATATTCGCTGCTTCAGCGCCACGAGTGGGTGTCAAGGTCCGGGAATCCAAGATCGCGAGGACAATATTGAGATAGATTCAGGCCGAAAGCAAGATCTGGGGCGTACACGGCGTCTCACCTTGTCATAGTATATCAGAGCTCCGACATCAACCAATAATACAGGGTTCTACAAGCAGGGCTCTGAAGCTGCCTCTTACAGTACAGGGGAGGGCAGCGGTTGGGGCTTCCCCGTACTGCGCGTCTACGCCATACCGAGTCAGCTGGGGTGCGCTTGTTCTTGCGTCGACGCTACTATGAGCAGTTCACATGATTGTGCAGCAATGCGTGCGAGCTCAGCCACCGGCACATTTCGCCGGAATACTTTTCAACTTCGCACAGCTTTTAGCACACAAACGACTGCCACCACAGCCCAGCAACAGCTGATGGCCATGCGTCTTACGAGCTAGACTAGCAGTTGTCGGAAGCCAACAACGGCGGCCGATCCTCTCGGGAATTTGGCAGATCATTTTTGGCGAAACCAGGAGGCCATCACAGGCCAAACCTTGTCGAGTCGACTAGCTTCTTGTGACTTATGTTCGTCACAAAAATGCCATCACTCTGTTGAATCCAAGGATGGTCTTGTTACATTCGTCTTTGAGAGGGCCTGAAAGACCTCTGCAGACCTAGGCTGGACTGCCCGCCTTCCACTACCAATCCGTCATCGAGAGAAGTAAGGAGGGGTTAAGCCGCAGCATTGGAACCAATCTTGAAGCGAGCTTGTGCAGAGTTGAGCCTGTGAAGAAGTCCAAGCTTGAAGCGCCTGCGAGTGCGACACCACCGATTGACCACGATTGGTATGCCTGGAGGTCATAGAGTACCAGGGGATGCTTTTCGGTGAGCGATGACTGGAGCGGGCATGACTGTCACAATAATCTCACCGGAGTCCGCGTCAGAAGTACCTCCATGCATGCGAGGACAGCAGAGCTTCTCGCCATGGATTAGCGCGGATCCGCTTCAGCAAGCACGGACTTCAAACCTACTGCGATATGCCATTGGCTTGACCCTTGTTCGTGTCCTGTCAAAACCCACCCTGACCCGAGGTTGTTGAGATCACATCCTCTGGCAGCTGTCGGCGCTAAGGCCCATGTCAGGATAAAACTCCAGACAAATGATGTCCTTGCTCGACGATGATCTGGCTCAACCAGACTATAACTTGAATGGCCCCCTCTCTGCCACTTCAGGACCGTGGTGCTGGGTCGTCGGCCTTGATTGCTCAATACGACGGTCGTCACAAGGGGCTTAGCTTACCCTTGTTACAGGCAGTACTGAATCCCTGAAAATCGTACAGGTCCAATTCCAATCAATTTTCGAGCTATCACGAAGACCAAGACAGAAGACCTCTCTTTCAATGGCCCAAAGGAGACCGCCCTTTCCTCTAGAACGTCTGGCGTCAGCACTGCTTGCTCTAATTGCATGAAGGGAAGAAAGAGCGGTATGAATGAGCATCGGTGCCAGGCAATAGGCTCGATCACGGTGTCGCCGAAGCCAACCTCCAACCCATGATCTGGGCGCTTGATGAGATACTTTCTTGTGGGGGAAGATCAGCCGAGATTGGGTGAAGGGTGCAGCTACCTAGACCTGTGGGGTTGCAGAAGTCTACAGACCGAGCAAACCATGGTTGTCGGTTATTGTTATCCCAATTTTGGGGTCGATGAAGGCATCCATCAGACTCTTCAGTCATGGGTCTTGAAATCAGGGTACCGTCGACCTTGATGCGCCTTTCTGAGGGAATGTAACGCCCACTCGGATCCTCTACCCCAGTTCCTCGATTTCATGACTTAGGACGGCCACGTGGACTGACTGAGTCGGCCTCAGGTTCGATTTCTCCCTTCTTGAAAAACTCCTTGCACTGAGGACATGTCGAATTCTCGTATTGGCAGCTCCCGTGCATACGGCCTCCTCTTGCTTGCTCCTGCAAACACTGCTACCACTTGCCAGGTTTCAGACTATGCCGGATGTTACGTCCACCATAGAATGGCTAGCTAGTGCATCACCGAGGCTGAAGGATCGAGGACGATACGAGTGTCACTCCCGCGAAAAGCCGTCAACACAGATCCACCATCAGTTCGCCTGCCAACAAAAGTCCCTGTGGCAAATTCTGTGTTGATTCAGGTGGAGTTCTTGAGGCGAGACTGCATCCGATCCTGAGTTGATCTCTCGACTCTTCTGCCTCTTTCCTGTTTCGTGAGCGCCACGAAAATAGTCAACAATGCTGGCTCAATCTGTTGTCAGTTGTCAGAAGGCATTTGTGCCTGGAGTGCCAGGTCTAGTCTATTGTCAATGAGGGCATCTCGCCAGGCAAAACTTCGACCTGAGGCACAAGCGAGACTATCTGAGGATTGGAAAATTAGGCCTACCACCCTTCGATGTGGACGCTGTGAACATACTGTTACTGTTGCAACTGTACACGGCTGTTACTTGATAGTTTCGGAGGAGTCTTCATTTTCGTTGGCTATACCCAGTGCCAGCGGCGCCACCGTGAGGCATCATGTGGCCGACCACTTCTTACAGCTGTGGGTAACACTCTGATGCGCGAATTGCATCTATTTGCCGTCCATTTTCTGATCTCAGATCAGCCCCAATCATGGCAAGCCACCATCCATCTACTCTGTGAACACCCAAGTTCTAGCGAGCCAAGCAGAACCCGTCCAAAGGCCAAACAAGCGCCGTTTTCTTCCCTCCCACTCGTCCTGGAGCGCATGCTGGCTGGCACAAAACTAGATCAGATGTTGGACAAAATACGGTGAGAAAAGAAGGAAGGTGGCCTGCGATGCACGCTTGGATGAAGCACGAACTAGACGGCGGGGGCCATCGAGGGGTGGGAGAAGAAGGAGCACTGATACACGCAAGGAGGTTGTGTTTCTTGCCAGCCTCCTGAAAGACGATCTGAGTCAACCCAAGTCACCTCCGCTTCTTGTGTGCCTCCATGTCCAGTCGCTAGGATGAGAGACCTTCCGCTCTCTGTCTCTTTCTTTTTCTCGACCACTTTCGACCATCTTCCCCGGCCAACATACAGTATCCTGTCGAGTTGGCAGATCGGAGCAATGACAAGCCTTCTTATGATCCTATTTCTTCTATTCTATTCAGATGTGCTCGCCGTCGAGACTGACGGCAACACCAAGCATAGCGCTTTACCCGCAAATATCATGCACGATTACTTACTAGCATCTTCCTTCTCATGCTTACTTGTTCTTCGTACCCTGCGCTTCACTGCGCTGCACTGCACTCTTCTTCCTCCGCCTACAAGAACCTTTTGACTCGACTCGACTCGACTAGCCCTGCGCTTTCCATAATTCGATCCAGAAAAAAGAAAAAGAAATAGACTGGTCGTGGCCTGACCCCAAGCCTCATCAGCGGCCAGCCCCATTCTTGTCTCCCTAGGCACAACTTCTTCCTTTCCACCGTCCAACGTCCGCAGAGCTGCGTTCGGTCGATTTAACTTGAGATGAGGTCGACTTAAGAGTAGGACTTTTTGACGCCTTTGTGTGAGCCCAGCCCAACCCAATCACAAGGGCGAGACTGATGGAAATGTCACACGGCACGTAGGACGGAGGCGTTTCGCTAAGATCCCACGTTGAACGGGGACTGTTCATTGTCGATCCAAATCTTGAAGGAGAGGTTGCTACGACTATGACTTGACCACGAGATTATCCTTCTATGGAAACTGCTCGGACAATGAAAAGAGAAACAAGAAGATATCATGATTCATTAGTTCCAGGTGCTGAGCCTCGCCCGCGGTTGTACTACCATTGCTCCTGAATTGAGACGCGCACCGCACCATTGAGCCCTTGACTGCCCAGCAAGACAGCATGACACGCAATCTGCGATGCCGCCGCGCAAAGTTCAGTCTCCGTTCGCGCTCCCTGAGTGACTGGATAGACTTAGTGCACCGGGCCACCCTCGTCTTCTCTCATGTCCTGCTCCCACCATCATCCGGCGTCGAAAATTACCTCACTTGAAGGGCTTTTGGAAGGTAAGAAGGCTGGTGAGCCTCGTCCAGGTTCGTCCCAGATCCAAGTCCATTGCACACGTTTCGCACTATGCGTGTCGTGGCCTCACAGCAATCTGCCCACCGCCCAACGCAGCTACCGCGCTTAGCGCCTCCCTGGCCGGAGCTTTGTGACAGCGTTAGTTAGTGAACGCCCTCCGCGACGATGTTGCCCGAAAGCCCTGTTATCGCCTGCCCAACAGCGGTGTCGCCTCTAACAAACCCACCAGTCTCGTGTAAAGTCTCCGTCCACTCGTCACCATTGCTCGAGAGACCCATCGCAACACACGCGGCACCAAAGTTCAGAAGCAGCCTGCCGTCAACAGTCCGGAGATGCTCATAACATCGGGCCAGGCAGCCGGGCACGATGCGCAGCAGAAGCCGCGGTAGTAACGCTCGCCCTGCTGGGGACTCGACCCATTCCACGCGCCCAACTTAGCTTTGACCGGATCGTCCTCGATATCGATAGCGAGGAAGGAATCGTCCAAAGGTACTGTAGCGGAATATCAGCGCGGATGCTCTCAGAGACACGAACATTTGCGTTCCGATAAGCTGTCCTCCACCCAGGCGCCAGGCACACCATCACATTCTTTGGTTACGAAGTTATTGTCTTGACTCCAGACGTCACCCATACAAGGATCCCACGACAGACGCCACGGTTCGACTGGCGTGTCAAGGCAAAGACGCTCTACCCGAGCGATGCCTTTCGTCCATGCCTTTCTTCCCAGGTGGAACCAATTGTGCCTGGTGTTGTTGTCGAAGTCGTTTTTCTCCGCACTGCCATAGTGATCCAGATCCAAGCCTGCTGCTCGCGCAGTCTCGGCCCACAGCTGTATCGCACAATCCACCGATCCTTCCCAGCAGTCCCCAATATCCTCGGCGCCTCTCGAATTGCCAATGATGACGCAAAAGAGAGGCGTGGCCTTCTCCACCTGTCCTGTACAAGTTGATTTGATATACGATGTATCCAGCACGGGGAGTGGTACGAAATCCGAAGCGATCTGAGAATGAGACAATGCAATGCGCACCAGGCTCTGCCACTCAGGGACGTCGGCCACGGTGGTGGCGCTCTGGAGACGGATGCTCAGACCTAGCAGTGCTAGGTTAAGTACGGGTAGCTCGCATTCCACCGACCTCGCCACGTCTTTCCCGCAGATCTCGCCATCTTTCCGCAATGAGACTCTAAACTCGGCTGCACCGCGCCAGGGATTGAGGGCGATCTGCAAGGCGCAGCGCAGTCTAACCTGTATTAAGTCACAGTAATAATGAGGGAAGAGATGGGATTGTAGCAGCAAGAAGGATTCCGTTGTGCCTTGGTAAGGAGCGGTCAGCTGCTGGTCTGGAGGTTCGCCTTCATAGCATTCGTACTCGGCTCCCCGAGATAGCAGATACATTTTGAAGTCCATGATAGCTTGACTTGGGGGCGTATCCGGGGTGGCGGAGTCGAAGCATCTTAGGACAGTCCTGAACAGGTTTGTCAGCCAAAGCTTTTGCTCTTGCGTGACAAGGAAAAACCATACATCTTATGGCCCGCCCTGTGGTTGACGTCGGCGCCCATGAGCAAAAGGCTCTTACAGATGTCAATGTGCTGTCCCAAAGCAGCATGCTGCTATGTCGTTAGTGTATATCCCCGGCGTCGCTGTCGGGCAGAACTGACATGCACAAGAGACCAACCATTCATATCTTGGTCGAACGGAGACGCCGCTCGTCTCCCAAAACATTCTAACAGGCGGTCCAAGTCGCCGTTCCTGACGTATACAAAGGGCTCTGAATCCCTTGCCCTGATGGGGTAGGACGCGACGTACATCCGCCAGCCCGAAGAAGCCTTTGCGACCTGCAACTCCCACGCGAAGCTTGCAACCCACCGTGGACAATAGAATCGTGCACAGAAATCATCACCAGCCCTCTGAAGTCTGACCGTAAAGCCTAAAAACTGAGACCTCCAACTGCTAGGCGGACCCCGCCACTTCTCGGCTGCTGTGGAATTCTGTTGTACGTAGGTAGTACGAGTCTGGCTTTGGGCATCGTCGCTGTCGACTTGTTTGTCGGCGGTTGCGTGCTGGCATGGACTATCTTGGCAATCCGGCTGCCTGTGCGGAACCGCCCGAGTAAGAAGCTCTATCAAGTACTCGTGATTGTGTCGAAATACAGCGCTGCAGTTGCGGTTAGTGAGCTGGTCAGGAAGACGAAGTTCCCATTACTCACGTCATGTAGAGTTGCTGGGCAAGCATCAGGAGCCGGATGGCTCCGGCCAAGTCCTTTTCAAGTCTGGCGAGCGTGTCCTTGGTCAGTATTACTTTTAACGACGCTGAAAGCCTTCTGCGTTTGGTGCAATTGATCTCGTGGTTCAACGTTGTCACCATGTCTCCAATTGCTTGGCTTGACTGTCGACAATGCTGGATGCATAATTTGAGGGTCGCATCGCTCAAGCCGCTGAGCGAAACCGTCGATTGGATAGTTTCCGCCTCCTGAAGAAGCAGCACCAAAAGATCGAGCTGCTGAACAAGGGATGCCATCATGGGCGGGACATTTCTGATTTGTTGCAGTAGAGACCTCAGCTTGCCGATGCCGCTGCCGACCTGAGAGACCAGCTGCGTGACAGCCATCCCACTGGCGAGAGCCGCTAAAGCTTCTGCCATGGTCAGAGACTTAGTATCCTAGATATGCAAGGCGACTTTGAGACGAGAGTAGCGATCAATGGCTGTCGCCGCGGGGTGCTACGGCAATCGCTGTTATGAAACCATCCGCCAGATGGCGTGCACGCGGTGTGACCAGCTGGTGGAGATATCTCTGTGAGCCGCTCAGCTAGGTACATAAACGGTATGCTATCAGGTGAAGGTGTCTCGGATGGGTTTGGGGCATTTCAAATATGTCATAACATAGGAAGGCAAGGCGTAGTTAGGCTCTGTATGGAGGGATTGATGCCCGAGGCAAGAGTGCGCCTAGATATTGCCCGAGCGAGTGGTATGCTGGGCGGGCACTTTAACCAATAAGATTCTCGCGCTCTTCGACGACAACGCATGAGCCTCTCAGGCTGACTGCCGGTATTTCGGCAATCAAATTGCATGTTCAGGTACTCCGTACGCCTCGAAGGCATCGTGCCACGATCGTGTCAATGCTCTCGACTTGCGAAACCCTTGCCAAGAGTCGAGCACGTGACTTGGATTGTGCCGGCACGCCGGGCATTGCCTTTATAGAGCAACAGAGCCCAGCGAGGGGGAGATCCCTGAGATCTGATTATGGTAAATGAACCCGACTGGTCCTCGTGGTCACGGCCGGGAAGGCTACTGGGCTTCCCCGAGGGCTAGTGGACCTGAGTCCCAAGGCTCATTGGTTACCTAAACTTCAGCCACTGTACTATGTACTCGGTACTATGGTAAGTACCTAGGTATAGGCGGGGGATTTTATGTGTGGCTCTCTGAACAAGCAAATATAAAACGCAGCGTAACCGCAAACACAAATGGATAAAGATTCAATGTCAGCTTGCTGTTCTTCTTCATTGTATGAGGTGGTACAGCAGGTGCCAGCACTGAAACCGTCCTCTCGGCAACAGGCGAAGGAAAGGAAAGCTGCATAAGAAAAGGCGGTGAATACTAGGTATATGGTGATTGATGGTTTCGGTGGCCCTGGCGACGTATCGCTCCTCAGAACAAGACGTACAAGAACCTAAGCTGCCTAGCCTCCAAAGTCGCAGCATGATAGCGATACACCAGTCCCTTTTGAAGAGTCCTCTTGACTGTATCAAAATACTCTCTCGACACCAATCTGCAGACTATACCGGTGGCAGCACCGTCGTGCGTCCGGGTTGGTACTGCGTGAGCGTACCCTCATTCCGATCCAGCTACATCTTTGGATGCTAACACCCAGCGCCATCAGTCTACCTGTGGCCAAGGGCCCATCCCAGCAGGGACCAACCCCTGCCCAAAGTGCAGTCATCCCCGATGCGCGCACTGTAAAGACGCGTAGACATAAATGCTTTCAACTGGACTTGTTGTCGGAGTCTTTGTTCTCCATACTGTGAACTTGACAGCTGAGAACGTGGTTCCCAAAAAAAGGCAAGTCTACTGAAGTTCTGGCAAGTCCTGTCGTTGATTTCCCTCAGGCAAAACCAAGTACCCCCCTCGTGCCCCCCAGACTTGCAGTTACGCGGTACTACCAGTACTGGTAATACCGTGTCCGGACCACGAGTCGCAGCGCCACGCAGCGCCTGTTCGATAACACCAGAATACTGGAGTATACAGTCGTACGGTCGCAGCACGCCGCCGATTGTGCCGATATCTACCCCACCAAGCAAGACGAAAGGCAGGAAGGAGATTGATTCTCTGAACTCGGGCACCTGCGCTATTTCTGAAACGTAAGTTTCAGGTGCAGAAGAACCCAAGAGTAGAAGAGAACGGAGGAAGAGGTTAAAGGCTCATCAGTCTTCACAACTTTCCGTACCATATCGACGTGAAGAGGCTATTTGGGACGAAGTGGGATATGTAACAGTGTGTCGTGTGCATAGTCTGCAACGCCGAACACAACCCGTAAGGAGGAAAAAAAGAAAAGAAAAGAAAATGTCACTTTATACAATGAATAGTACATTCTCATCTCATGCGAAAATGGATCCATATTCAATCCGACTCTGCCGCGGCCCCTTGCGCCCATTTTTCAATGCCCTATACTTTATAGGACCATGCATGCTCCCTATTCCCGTATGATCGTGGGTATACCGAGAAGAAAATTTTCGTGAAATCAATACAGTATGAAATGTAGGCGGCCACGGTGGCATAGAGATCCACGACCATCAGGCCAGGCAGATATAAGAAGTTTTTAGAGCAGGTCAAGCAGGACTTGCCATACCTAAGCTCCTCCTGAAATCGCGGTCTCACAAGACACCCGTCACACATCCACGCAATCGTCCAAGACAGCAACTCCTCTGGAATAAAGATCCAGGCCTGGTTGAAGATGACACTTCTGGAGCCGAATGTTTCTGTACAGTGATGTGCAACTCCAGTCACGATGGAAAGAGGAGTTTACTCATCTCTGATGTCCAGTTAGCACAAAGAATGCCCTACTTCGAAGGTCGACTCACCCTCCGGCCTCTCCCACCAGAATGGACGGTCTGCATGGGTGGCGAGAAGTAGAATTGCTGCTGTGGATAATTGTACATGTTGTTGGGCATTGTTTGGGGGTAATTCGGAGGAGGGAATCCCCCAGAGCCGATGACAGGGCTTACAGAAAACGAAAGTGGCGACGACGATGGGTTCGGCATTGTGCGGAAAGGATCGACTGATGCTGGAGGCGTCGTGTAATTGCTATAGCCGTTCGACATGAAGCCACCGTCGGATCCCCGCGAGGCATAGTTTTGATACTGTGGTTGGGACACTTGTTGATATGGAAGTTGGGAATAGGGTTGTGTTTGGAAGCCATTCATGTTGTATGCTGGGTAGCCGAACGAATCTGCCGACCCCGTTCGAATGCGACTCATATTGTTGTCGAAACCATTGCCATTAACAAGGTTGTCGCTGTATTGACGTTGGAAGCTTTGCTGGTGCATACCGTTCATGGGCTGGGACATCTGTCGACCTCGATCATTGAAGGTTTGATGCGCATGAGAGGGGTATTGCTGCGCTTGAGGTTGGCTAGGTCGAGAGGACAAGCCGACTTCGTCCATGATTCGCTTGTAGCCTTGATTAGGCTGCGCTTTGATCTTGCTCAGGACTTTGGAGACATTCTGCACGACATCCGGTCTCATGCTGTCGTCCAGGAACGGGGTGGTCAAGATCTTGAAGATTAGGGTCACACCAGAGGTTTGATCGCACAAAATCTGCTCTAGTACCCTGTCCTCTGGACTGAAGAACAAGGCTTTCAGGACCATATCTCTTGCTTCAGGCTCATTACGTTGGTTGATGACCTTGAGCACTGTCAAATACGCAACTTTGTGGGTGCAAAGCTGGACCAAATGAGGAACAAGCCGGGGCGCCAACACAGAACGTCGCTTCGGAAAGGTGCAAGTGTCGAGGAGCCAGGTCAACAACAAAGCCCCGTTGGCATTTTGTGCGAGCTGGACACTGTGCAAGGCAATGACGGCAGCCATCATGCGCTGTTGATTTTTGGTGGCATGATGAGCTTCGAGACAAGCTCGCATAGCCCTAGCACCGAACCGACCCTGAGCTATCTCCCAAAGGTGACTGAGCATAGTCTCGAAGATGAAGTCGTTGTATGGCGGTCCAAATCGAAGACAGCACTGAAGAACGTAGTTCCCATACTGGTCGAGGAACAACGGGATCGTGTAAGGGTGGAGAGCATTGACAAGAATGCGAGTTTGAGGCTCCGTCTTGCATACTTCGATGATCTTCTGAGCGGCCCACGTACCGTTCTTGTGGACGCCAATCTCGGCGAGATGAGGAGCGATGTACGTCAACATCTGCTCCTTCGTTTGTTCTGAACAATATTCAAAGAGTTTCTGGACGACAGTGTTGCCGAGATAATCAGACGAGAGCTCGGCGATTTCTGGCAGCATATCGATGGCCGTCTGTTCGATCTCTTGCAGGCCACATGCTCCATTATCAATGCGTTTTCTGATGTCTCGTAGTCTCGGGGCATCGTACATCCTAGCAGCGCTCGGTTCAGGAACGGGTGAAATCTCCTTCTCCAGTGACTGGTAGCGGATGGCATTATCAATGCTACCAGAAACGGCTGGCAGGTCTGCCTGTTGTCCGCCGAAATCAACAAAGATCTGTAATATCTCCGACTCCATGTCAGCTAGGCGATCGGTCGAAGACTTGTTGAGAGCTTGTTGCGCATTTATAGAATCAACCGGGCTACCGTTGCCATCCTTGCCTTGTGTTGTGACAAATGGATCCTGCTGAACGTTGGCACTAGGTGGAGGGGTTGTGTTCTGGACCGGGGTCAATGACACGGAGGTTGGAGCTTTGGCGAACCCGATCCTCACAGGCCCGGCTCCTGGGAATATTTCTTTTCCATTCAGAAGCTGACGAGCACGTACTGCGTGTTCGACCGACTCGAAATTAACGAACCCACAGTTCTTATGTGTGAGAACCCTGGTCGACTCGATAGGACCGTATCGACTGAAGATGGCATCTAGAGACGACATGGTGGTTGAGTTGGGAATGGAGCCTATCCACAAGGACCGCGACATCTGCACTTCCGAGTCGTCCATGCTCTCGAATGCGAGTGCAGCATTTTCGCCCATGTTCAGGTTGTGAAGGGCTTCAGCTAGCGAAGATTCGTCCAGACCGTTTCCTTGCATGTCGAAGTTGAGTTCTGCATTTGGCTGAACAAGATTTCGAAGGGAAGTGCGCTGGGGTGTTTCGACTAGTCCGGCAGTTCGAGCTCGTGGCCGCGCCGCACTGGCGTTAACAGCAAAAGCCTGGACAGCTTGGTTGTGGAGCCGGACCTTCTCTTGAACACGTTCATATTCTGCCTCGAGTGCTGCGGCGGCTGACGGTGTTAATGCACCGCTCTGGAACGCTGGATATCCAGCATCTTGATTCTCCTGCCCAAACTTCGTTTCTGTATTGACAGAAAAAGACCTAAAGCGACTTGCATTGCGCATATTGAGATTGTTCAGAACATCAGATAGACCAGAGTCTTGACCACGGCCATGATCTTCCATTTCATGACGAAGTTCGTTGATTCTCGATTGTTGTGGAGTTTCGACGAGACCCAAGTAGTCAAGAGTGCGTACGCCAGAATCTGACATACCATCCCTGGAAAACCCCGGCTGTTGGGGAGAGGTGGGATCCTCCGCAGAGCTTATGCTGGTTAAGGTGGCGGCGCGTGTTCTGGCTCCCCAACTGGAGCCAAAGACGTTCTGCCCGAACGCCCCGGAAGGTCCGAGAAGGCTTGCTCGCTGAGGCATACTGCCCGCACGGAGCCTGGACAGCAGAGCGGCATTGCCGGAGTTTGATGTGTTTGGTGAAGTCGAGTAGAACGCGGTCTCTGCCGCTGACGTGGAACCGGGTCGAAATGGACTTGTGGAAGGTGTGGGTCGCGAAGTCTTTGAGGTCAAGACATTGACGCCGTTGACTGTGCCAACAGGAGAGATTCTGGAAGGCAGTGTACCGGCTCGACCTCTTCTCGCAGGGCTGTTGATCCCAGTCTCAGTTAAGGGAACGAGATCAGGAAATCCATCTTGGGACGGGGACTCGGGAATCTCGAATAGAGGAGTCGAGGTGCCGCTGGTAGGGGGACCCCAGATATTGGGGGAAATACCGGCCTGTGATTGTAGTTCTCGGGTACGCTTGGGAAACAGCCTCGAGGCTTGTTCATGTAGAGGAGAGCCAGCTCCAACTCTTGCACCTGACAAGCCAGCCAGCGCAGACGAGGGTTTGGCACCGCCGAAGGGAGATTTTGTTGTGGGGATTGATGAGGGATCCGTGATCGGGTTCAGCCCAGATAGATTTATGTTGAGCTGGCTTTCGGGCCTTGTAGTAGGAACCATGATGAATGTTTTATGTCACTGCAGCTCTGCTCGTATATTGCAGGATTATTTGGCAAGAGCTTTTTCTGGTAGAGATTCGCCTGCTCGCCCAGATTTTGGATATTGCGAGATGTCTGCTCGGCCTTAGAAGGTCAACTTGAAAATGTACTAGAGGTATGTGGACGAAATCAAGGATCGTGGGATGAATGGTAGTATATTCGCTCGTAGAGGTCACACAGGATTTCGCACCCAGTCAGTGCGGACGTGGGATTTGAATCGACGGAGACTCGAGCTTGTCTCGGTGGAAGGAGGCAGTGATAGGCCGTCGTATAGGAGGTATTCAGGGTATAGATCTCGATCTGATCGCAAGCACTTCGAATTCTGGATAGCAGTGAGTGAAGGTCGGATCGAGCAGGATATTACTTTAGCGGCCGTTGGACATGATTCTTAAGGGACGGTGGTAATCAACAATAACACAGGTGAGGTCAAGAATCGAAGCAGCACCCCAGGGCTGAATGGACATTAGAGAGGAATACGACAGTGAAAAAGTGTACGTAGTAAGGTCAAGGAAAAGGTGATGCAGAATCCGTGAATTAGGGGGTGGGAAGGTGCAGTCGAGTTGGATAGAGCAGCGGGCAGTTAGAAAGACGATGGATCTCGTGGAGAAGGCGCGGATGAGCAGCGGCTTTGACGACGAAATACTGACAGGGGTCTTGGTGGTCGCTTTTCCAGTTCCTGAACCGTCTCTCGTCCGCTACCGAATCTACACAACCCAACATGGAACATCAGCCTGATATCTGACCAGTCCATTGCCAATACCATGCCCTCGTCGTGCTCAATTCTGTGCCTGCCAAGCCGATCAACCACAAGGCGGCGGCTTCTACCAGTCGAGCAGTATCGTGTCTGTCAATCGCCAGTTCTTTGCTCTTCGACCACCCTTCTGCAAGAAACCAGTTACAGACTTGGCCACAGACAGAGACATAGAGGAGGTCCCCGGATCGAATTTGGTAAGGCTGTTTCTCTATTCACAATGGGACCTATAGATGTGATGTCTCCCGCAAGTCCAAACCACCAAAGTCCACTCATGAAACGTGCTCTGTCTGTTGACCATGATACTCAATTTCACACCGTCATCCTGATTCCAGGTTTCTGGATGGAAGCTGGCCGATCATACGCCGCATGTCACTGAAAAATTCTGCCGTCCTCGACTGATGCTTATTATTCTCTGCCAACTCAGGGATCCTTTTCCTGCTTGCTGGGAGCTTACGAGTATGCGGCCCTCAAGCGGATGGTGGTGACAGAAGTCTGAAACACTGGTGTCGGGTCTCCTAACCAACCACGTTGCACCATCAAAGAAGCGTCCACTCTGGGATTTTGGGTTCCGCGCACGCGACTCGTCGAACGAAAGGCGCTTGTGTGGCCTGAACTGCCCTGTGCGTGCCTGTGCTTCCTGTTTTTGCGGGGATAATACCAGTCAAGAAGAATCTGCCCCTGGGAGCTGCGTCTGCTTTTCTGGTCAGTGCCCAAGAGCACGGTCGAGTTCCTGGTGCGATCGAATAAAAGCCGTCAGCTTATCCAACATCACCCGACCACGCGCGTAACACGAGATATAGGATTGCGTTGTCACCATCAGGGCCAATCAGCCCATCGTCACGTAGGTGAGTTGGTAACGAATACCTGACCACGAGAGAACAGGACGACATACAGGTTCTCACTGTGGTCGTAGGCCATCTTGCGAGTACAAGCGCCTTGAGTACCTCCAGATGATGAATGTGGAAGACATTGCAAGCCTTCACTTGGAAGGAAGCCGTTCAGGGGTGACGTTTGAGGGATTGAGATCTCAAATACATTGAATATACCTCTCGGTCTTGCATGGCTGCCCCAGAAGCTTCGCCATACACCCTTCCTAGGCTGCCAGTAAATGCATGGCCCACTGAAGCGATGGACTGAAGCAGTTTGCTGTCAGAGTCTTCGGCAAGGTCAAGTCAGTCTGAAGAGCTCCTATGTGTAATCCGACTCCTCCGCTCAAATCTAAATCTATCACAAGCCGTTGGAGTAATGTGTGAAGAGTCTTAAGGACTATTGATCAAGTTAAGAACCATCAGCACGACTCCCCATCTTTTATGAGAAGCCTGAAGCTAGATATCTCAGGATGGTTCTGTACCTTGAGAAGCGATACATGCCGCTCCCGATCTAGGCCTTTGCAGCAGTATCCAATGACCCCGTAAGGCTGAGGTGCAATGAAGCTCGTCTTCTGATATGGGTGGCGGTGGCTTGCTCCTGAAACGTAGGTTTCATCTGCTCCAGAGCGGCATACTTATCGGATGGTTCGTCGAGCAGATGCCCGGCGCAATCAGTTCCTCTTTGGTGCACCTTCCTTAGTTGATGGCTGACCGCTCAAGCACGTTGTGTGCTGACGGTGCTCGAATGCGGACGGCACGACGTTCCCGTCTCTACGTAAAATGCCCGTCCTGAGATTGCAGGGACCTAGACGATCTCCCGCACAGATAACCATGTGTTGCAGAGAGATGAAGGGCGATGCAAATGCCTGTGGTTGGATGGGAATTTTGAGATTGCCGATCCGACTTTTCCTTTGTCCGCTGAACTCCAACAGCAGCAACGAACTGTATCTCCCTGTCACCCATACAGAGGACAGAAGGAGGAGGGTTGAATCTGAAGATCGTCTTTCCCATACTCCTTTTCCTTTTATCCTTTCATTCGTGCTGTCGCCGAGCTGCCCTTCTAGAGGACCACGATTACAGTCTCTCCCATCAACCCTCTCCCCCCGTCCCATAACCACTACAGCATTCACCGGCAATGACCTTCCGCAGACACCATGAACGGTATCACGGAGCCGTTACCTGGCCTCCTTGACGATCCTCAGTTCCAGATAACTGATCTACCTGCTCTGACCGATTTTCAAATTGCTCCGCTTCGCAATCCTGCTCCGACTCGTCATGCAAATATCCCTCTCCCTCTCGAACCCTTGACCGATAATATCCTCAACAACAGTCGCAATAGCAAGAACAAGAAGCCAGTGGAGGACCATAACGAGAAGAAACGGGGCCCAAAGATCACGCCAAATGATGTTCTGCTGGCCCGAGAAGCGAAGAAGCCGCACCTGGCGATCAGTGAACTGCTCGAGGCCAACAATGGTCCAGAGATTGCACCCACCCAGCTGCCCTCATTCATAAGCCTGTCCGTGGTTGAGAGATCCCCGATCCAAGCACCCACCTCTTTGCATCCCTCAAACAAGCGGGCCAGACTTGACGTTGATCCGGATCACATTTCCCTTGACCTGATCAGACGGCTTCCTCGCCCTGCCCAGAAAGATGACCGACAGAACCGACCAGCTCCTCTGCTGCCAGCCATGGTTACTGGCTTACACGAACCCCCACCATCAGCAGCTTTACTACCATCAATCGACGTAGAGTCTCGACCCGCCATCTCACGGTCTACGACTTCCAAAATCCATGTCAAGGACATACTCACACAGCCCGAGAATAGTGAGTCGACCGTTGCAGCATCTCATCTGGTGACATCTTCTTCCCAGGAAGTCAAACACACGGTCGAACCACATGCATCTAATTCACAGCCAGACGCCCAGGCTCTTACAGAGTCAGTGCAGCCTGTTACAATATGGGACGATAAGAAGCAAGTACGACGGCCTCGGCGGAAATGGTCAGATGATGAGACTAGAGCGCTCCTTGCAGGTGTTAAGAAGTATGGTGTCGGGAAGTGGAAGCAAATACTCGATGACATGGGATTCAACTTTGTTGGTCGCAGCTCCGTAGATCTCAAGGATCGATACAGAGTCTGCATAACCAATAATACCGTGGCGAAGTGCGCTCCTCCGTTGAGCAGGAGCCCGTCTGCTACCGATTTGCCTGCTGCGCATGACCTATCAGGACTACACCAAGACACCGCGTCACCGGAAAATGTCACACGAGCGAGTCCGCCGGAGGACCTAGATCACCCTCAAAAACAGCGTCGGAGACGGCGGGCCTGGACCGATCAGGAAGATGCAAACCTTCTTCGAGGTGTAGCCAAGCATGGGTTTCAGTGGACTGCTATTCACGATGACCCCGAACTGGATCTTGGACATCGAAAAGCTACTGATCTTCGTGACCGGATCCGTAACAAGTTTCCTGACGGCTACAGACATGCAGAAAGCGCGCCACTGAAATCAGAAGTAAAGAGGGCGGAAAAACGTCGCGCTTCACCATCCGCGACCACCAGGGTCGACGTGAACAAGGTTGTAACGCCGATCAAGACCGCAGACATTCGGGTGAAACTTCCAAATGCTCCAGGGCTGTCGAGTACGAGTACACCGACCTCAGAACGTGCTGCTGAGGGCCAACCACCTCGATCTGTCTCACACACGACACTGGCGATGCTACTCCGTAATGATGAGGACGGCGCTGAGCACAAGGACAGAGTTGAGAAGGAGAAAGAAAGAGACAAGGACCAACCTGGTGTAACACTTCCGAGCTTCACGCTCGACGTCGATGATGACATGGACTGGGGGGATAACACTCTCCCTCCTCTCCACGAATGGGAGGAAATTGGAATTTGACCACCAAAACCAGATTCCAGCGAAAATTCATATTGGGAAAATGAGATAGAATTGGTATCACAGGACGGAACTTCGCGCAAAGGAACAAAAGTTTGGACATGACTCTGGGTTTGGGATCGGGGAAAAGCTGGACGAACTAATTATTACACAGACATGGGAACTGGGAGCCAATTGCGTGATCTATGGCAGTTGTGCTCGCTGCGCTCACAGTTGGACCAAGAGCTGGAATCAGGTATGGCTTCGACGGGACACCAGTATATGTATTGTGTTATTTTTTTCTTCTGCAAGCGACAATGATACCCAAACAAGCGATGTAATGGGATTAGGAATATTGGCGCCACTTTTTGCTAAACATACAAGGGAACATAGGAGTCTTTGGGTCATGCATCGTCGTCTAGATATCTGTGAAGCAGGCTGCACGGTATAGACGATCAATTACGAGGATCAATAGTGATTTCTGTTGTCCCAGTCTCATCATTGGATTCATCCTCGTCTGCCTCTCCGTGGTGCAATTGCAACCTGTCTCTGTTGCGTCGTCGAGACACACACAGTCTTGCGTGCTATGCAGGGTACGAATGCTGCCCGTTGCAGTATTCTAACATGTATGCACCAAGAGACTGCGAGCGACCTTGAAGAAAGTCTCTTCGTCCCTGCACTTGACGATATACGAGCCCGACCCCTGAAGTTTAGGTTCAAGTACTCCGTTCGCAGCGCTGGAAGAATGCCGGAAACCCCTCCCTTAAACCGATTGAAAATTGCTCCAACCTTGATGCGAAGCTTTTGGGCTAGCATGCCGCTCGTCATTTCGTGTCTCGTTCTCGTTCGCTTCCTCGAACCGTATCTGTTCCTCAGTGCATGCTGGACATATTGCCTATGTCACCTCAGCGCCTTCATTCGTTCCTACCAGGCATTGCGGTCCCAATTCGGATCTGTAGATCTTGCATCAGCATATCCTCACTCCTGCCAGTCTACCTTGTTGTTGTCAGAGCCTACCTTGTATAAAAGCTCCCAGCACTTTACTCCCAGTCTGCAGAAGCGGATGTCCAACCACGATCTGCAGAAACCGCTGTAGGCCTTCTCTCCTGTGCTCAATTACGTCGTCCGAGAATCTGTTCGTGAATACTTTGCCGGGCAGTGGAGGGATGGTGACTCTTGCGCTCTCACGCTCCAAGATGTCCCGGAAGTATTCAAAATCGGAGTAGCGGCGGCGCACGACAGAATGGCGCAGCTTGAAGGCGGGAATGTTGGTTCGCGTGTGGATCTCGTAGGAAGTGTACATGTTGCGGGGGGAGGAGCCGTGCGTTTGAGGGTTCTTTACCTGTGCTGGGTGTTAGCGATTGTTTGGCTTGTTGGCCAGGGCCGGCGCAGGATGCGCAAGGCGGGGTTTGAACGGTATAGGAGCCGTGTGCACACATGAACGTACCTCGATCTCGAGGAAGTTTTCCGGAGGTCCATAAATTTCCTCGAACGTTTGTTGACGTGATTCTGGTAGAGCCTGCATTGCGACAGTGGTGGTGGGGTGTAGAGGAAGAGTAGGAAACGAGTAAGGAGTCGCGTGGGCTTCTGAGAGGTAGAGTTTCGAGGTCGGATTAATAGTCTCGTGCGAAGTTGTTGGCCTGTAAGATGTGCCTTTGAGGTAAAGATAGGAGAGACAAACCGGTTCAGGTGTCAGTCCATAGTCTGTTGGAATCGAGAAGTTTCTTGAATTGCGCCTGATGGTGCTGTGCTGCTGTAGCTCAACTCGGCCGTTTCCGCTGCTGCCACCCCGCAGCTGCCAAGACAAGGTTAGTAAGCAACTAGGTGGTAAAGAGCCTGCAAAGGCTAGTGTCGTGAATGGCCAGCGAGGCTAAACAAAAAAAGTTCCTGACAACCCAAAAGTTTCGTTCTGGGATTCAGATATCCAGCACACCGGACAAAAGGCATTCGTTCCACAATGTCCAAGAAGCGGAAGAGGGAAGTTGACCTGGAGCTGGTTCAGGTTTACGAACACTTAGCGGACGACACTGAAGCCATCCGCCTCAAAGCCGCCCATACCTTGGTCGCGAAGATCTTCAAGCCCGGAGTGACGAGCGATGATCAGACAACGACCATACTGAATCGACTATTTCGCGGCCTTTGCAGTAGTCGGAAGTCTGCTCGTCTCGGCTTCTCTGTCGCGCTTACAGAGCTCCTGTCTCAACTTTCCCTGGCTGGTGATTTGCCTGCTTCTACCCTGGTGGATATTCTGGAGACTCAAACCGTTGCAGAAGGAGGTACCTCTGGTCAGGATGAGCGTGACCACTATTTCGGACGAGTCTTCGGTGCTGAGGCTGTACTCAAATCTGGCTTTCTCTTCAGGAAACCAAACCCCGATCAATGGAAACGAGTGTTGGATCTCATTTGCGAATTGGCCATCAAAAAGCCCTGGCTCAGACAAGAATGTGGCTGGGTTGTTTTGACGTCCATTGCTTCTGGTGGGCCAGATGTCCCAGAACAATTCGCCGTCGATTCGGTTGAAGTCTTGGTTGCCAACAAACTCATACGGACGCCGGAGGGACTCGCCATATGGTTGACAACCGCCAGGCTCTTCCCCGACGCCAAATTGCCCAAGGCGGTTTGGAAGCACGGCGATCCATTGGCGACGAAGGATGTTAATCTTCTTGCCGATATTCTCAAGGATGCCAGGAGTCAACCTCAAGCCGATGCCGAATCTGAAGCTCAAGGATCAGCTCGATGGTCGGCGACATTGCACTTTGCCTGGGACGTTGTCTTGGGAGAACTATTTCGGGACTTAGGACCATCATCACATAATGGTCTTCATTATGTGGAGGACAAGAATGGGCGGGTCACTTTCGCGTTATTCTGGCAGAAGGCCGTAGACGGTATGTGTGATGCGATTCCTATGAAGCTATTACTGACTTCCGATCATAGAGAGTCTGTTTTCGTCCAAGAGCAGCGCGGAGCGCAAAGCTTGGGGTCTTGCACTATGGAAAAAGGTCTTCGAAACAGCTCCGCACAATATGCTGCAGTATACGTTCACAGGACAAGCCACAGCCTGCCTTGTCAACTCGCTTAAAAGCTCCGAGCGACTTCTCCAGAGACATGCTCTGAGAGTCTCCGAGACCTTTCATACTCGCCTTCAAGGTGAGGTTCTAGGCTCAAGTCTCAACCAAGGCCTGACGGGCGCCTGCTTCAAGGCACTTCTTAACAGTGTCTCGTTCGGCGACTTTGATCAGATCACGAAGACAAAGACGATGCAAAACATCATAGATTCTGCCGATGACAGCTTGCTGCAGACCATAGGCGATGCTCTGTCGACTATCGCCCTTGAACCTGTACCAGGTGAGGACGAGAGACGCTTACTTACGCGGCAAAAAGCCGTCATCGGTCTTCAGTTCAAAGTTATAACGGCTGCTCTCAGACATGCGGAGCAAAAAGGGCTGTCTGAAGATCCCAAGGAAGCACGGGCTGCCCGTGATATAATGACGGTCTGGATTGTTGAAACTTCTTCTGTGCCCAATCAGGTACTCCATCAGACAACAACAAAAGACCATACATTGTTCCCGCCCAAGCTACTTCCCGGTGCCCGCGAGTTCATGGTAGAAAGACTGACCCTGGCCTTTGAACAAACGCTGAAGCTCGGGGCGGTTGGATGTCGGATGCTCCGAAATACGGTCCTGCTCCTGAAACCCAAGGACAAAGATGGCCAATCGCTGTCTATGCAATTCGAGGAAGACATCAAAGACCTGCTGCTACAAGCCTGGCAGAAGCTGAGTCGCTTATCAAAAAATCTTGAAGAGCTGTGGAGTAATTCTCTGTCTTCGGATACAAATTCTGCTGACAATATTTATCCGGCAACCTACCCGACTTTCTCGGACGGCCTCTGCCTGCTTTATTGCCTGGTCCTTTTCCAAATCTATACTGGCCAGAATGAAGCGGTCGAAATCTTGCAGGATCTACTGGAGTATCATGATCGCTGGGAGGCATCTAAATCGACGAAATCGAAGGCCCAGACGGAAGATAATCCTGCTGATGCCATGATAGAAATCATCCTCAGCTTTGCTTCTACGCCGTCCAAATTCCTCAAGAGAATCACATTGCAAATTTTCGCGGCCTTTGCAGCTTACGTTAGTCGCAATGGCCTGGATTCTCTGTGTCGCATCCTGGAGACGAAAGAAAATGTGCAGGGTCAGCAAGAGATGTTCAAGGCCGAAGATGTCGAAATGGAAGATGGCGAGGATGCCAGCAATGACTCTGACGATGCATCTCTAGACTCTAATGTTGAAGTCGAATCAATGTCCGACGCCGAAGTGTCTACCTCTGACGAGAGAGGATCAGGAACCGAGTCGGAAGAATCAGATGATGATTCCGCAGACGAGTCGGAAGACGAAGAAGACGAAGAGCTTGCCGCATTTGATGCGGCGCTTGCTTCTGCCCTAGGTACCCGTCGCCTGGATCAAAATGACCTCGCTGACGCCTCTGACTCCGAGTCATCCTCTGGTTCTGATATGGATGATGACGAAATGATGGAACTGGATTCGAAGCTTGCCGAAGTCTTCCGTGCGCGGGAGGAGCAGCAGTCGAAGAACAAGAAAAAAGAATCGAAGAATGCGAAAGAGAACGTGGTGAATTTCAAGAACCGGGTACTTGACCTTCTCGAAGCATACTTGAAACACCAACAGCTGAACCCTTTTACCATCTACTTGGTTGTGCCTCTGCTTCGACTTGCAAGGACAACTTCAACGAAGCAGCTTGCAGAACGCGGATGCAGCGCGTTGCAGCAGTTCTGCGGTCGTTGCAAAGGGACGAATGTTCCCATGCTGACTGGCACCGCTCAAGTTGGGGATGCCATTCAGGTCCTGCAGTCAATACACGACGAGGCATGCATGGAATCTTCAAATGCACATTCGAAAGCTGCGGGCCAGGCCAGTCTTCTGCTCGTCAAGATCCTCGTCCATGCAGACCCGGTGAACATCACTTCAGTTCTTGAGATCTATACGGCGACGAGATTGAGACAGTTAACCCAGAAGAAGTGTAGAGTCTCGCCCGGGTTCTTCACGGAATGGAACAATTGGTGCCAGACTGCGCGAGAGAAGTTGGCAAGATGATACGTGTCTGGTATGCGACGTGCGCGGTAACTGAATATCAATGCAATCGAAGAATGCCCACCTCGGAGACTCAACACGACAGCCCTGTCAAGCCCAGGTTGTCGCAAGCCTTCTGGTCCAGCTACTCGTGTTCAGGGAGCTGAATAAGGCAGAGCTATACTCGATGCGGATAAACCCAGTTGCTTACACCACAACCTCCGTCCTAATACGAATGTCATTTCCCCCTCGAGAAGCACTGACCCGGATGCACTTCTTCTGGCAACTACCAACCGGGTTGCAGATCCCGATGCGATTGGTGCGACATGCCTCGCTGGGAAAATTATACAGTTCTCCACCCTGTCTATTGGGTGTACTTCGTGACCAGGGAGCCTTGCTCACGCCAAATCCGGTGTGTACAGAACGCTTAGCTCACGGCTTACATGAGCCAGATACATCAATCAGTCCACCATGCCCTCCCTACATCCAGCTGTGCATCCGACTGTGAAGCGTTGAACTGATATGCTGTTCCAAAATGCTTCTGCTTTGTCCCCTCTGCTGTTTCTTCTCCTCTTCCTCCACCTGATCCTCGCAGTCTGGTTTTCGAGGCATGCTGCGAGTCACTCGACGTTTGTTAGATCTTGTGGGCTTTCCTAAGCTGCCTTTGGATCTTGACGCCACTGTCGCAGCATTTCTACGTGCTCCTGCTGCCCGGGCTTGACATTGCTTTTTCATTCGACCCTTCTCAGGCTCGGTTCATCTTTTGCTGTACTGATTCACGTTGGGACCGACACAATGGCGGGATCGATGCGACCTTCGAGGCTGAAACAGATCGTGGACAAGCTTGGGCTGAAGTTGAATATCCCTATCGTGTTACTGATGATCAAGTACGTTGATCCAGACGAGCCTTTGGTTCACTTCCCGGCCTTCTCTTTAAGGTCTATGGGCTGTCAGCTGCTCTGAAGAATGTTCCCTGCCTGTTCGATGCTAAATGTGTAACTTATAGGGGAGCTATTGCACCGACCATAGGTCTTGCCATGTACGTGCGTCCCGTTTTGAGGGGATCAAGAAGCTTACTGTCGTCAGCTACCAAGCCGACCGTGTGGCTAAACACTATAGCACTATTGGCTATCTTGTTCCTATCATGTCACTGTTTGTCGTTCCTATCCTGCCCCGCGCAAGGTTTCTACAGAACTTGTTTGTCACCTGCGTATGTCCTGCCTAAGACTTTGCCAGCGAGACCTCTCTTGGTTGATTCACTTACAGTTTCTTACCTGCTTCGCGGCTGCAATATCCTTGTTGTACATGTGGACCGCGATCAAAGCTCGACAGAATACCACACATCTATCCGCCGAACAGCGCATCAACGGACCTGTCCCGGGAGCCCAAGTTGTCCCCTACAACGCAGCAGCAAGTGCATGTCTTGCAGTCTGGTTCTTCTTCTGGCTATGGGCATACAACACGTAAGCCTTGATCAATGCGCTCATAATTGTCGCATCGCCGCTGACGACTAGATCAGGTTTCGTGCGTTCCGGCCGCAGTACTTCCTCCCTCTCATCGTGTTCTCGGTCTACATCAATGTCACTGCAACATATGGATGCATCTTTCCCGCGATGGAGCAAGCTTATAGCCTGAGTATTACCACATGGCTCCGATGATCGGGCAGAGATGCTAATCGATTAATGTGCAGCGAGACGCTTACTTGATTGCTTTTTCGTTGGCTTCGGCATCGCCTTCGCGGTGCACTTTGTGGTGCTTCCTATCACGACACGGGATTTGAGCACGATAATTCTCAACGAGTATCTTCACTATCTCAAAGCCATCCTCGATGCCCAAGCTCAATTGGTTGAATCGCTACCTAGCCGCGAGTGGGCCGCAGGCAACACAGCACGCAGTGTCGGCAGTGATAGTGATAACAGCTCCAACGACCGGCTCACGGAATGGCCCGAAGCAGATACATGGCGGGCTGCCACTGCGGGAGCCACTGAATGTCAAATCAAGATCCAGTCTGAATTGCGCTATGTCAAGCGAGAATTCACGTGGAGCAAATTAGCAGCGAGAGACTTCAAGTGTGTCTCGAGGATACTGAGAAATATTCTGATCCCGATCGCTGGTATGGAGACCATCATACAGGCGAGTGATCGGGTTGTGAAGCTGGGAGGGTGGACTGCTACGAACATTCCAAAGGGAGCACGCTCGGATTTCTCAGACAGTGACCAAGAAAAGCAGACCTGGGGGTGGCTCTTTGGTCAACTCCATGAGCCTTTCCATAACATCTGCAAAGCCATGGTGGAAGGTCTTGACTATGCCTTTTTCACCCTCGGATTCACGAGGAAGCCAGCATTTTCCACCAAAGAGGAGCTCAAAGCACGCTCATCTGATGTGGAAGGATTTACTGGATACCTCCAGAAGACTATCGACGACTTCCTGAAAGCACGAGAAGGACCTCTCAAAGAATGGTGCAGCATGAATGGCATGGACGCGCTTGCTGGTCCGAATGTACGTCAAGCGATCCAGCAACGCAGTCGTTCGCAACTGTACCTCATCCTTGATGTAGGTTGACGTCGCAAAGACAATGTTGCTCGCTAACGACCTTCACAGCTGGAGTTTTCAATCATAACCACGGCCCGAGGGATCCTAGATCTCGTCCGCTTTGCCGACTCCAAAGTCGAGGACGGCACGATGAAGCACAAACGCCTGATAGTGCCGACGTGGAAGACGCTCAGAAAATGGGCTTGGGCCCTGATCACCCGCGAAGACAGCAACCTCGATTACCAATCGTACAGCTACCGTAGCGGCACTCCTACCGTGTATCTGGGCGATGCGCTGGGCGTTGAACGCGATCCTGAACATCTTCCTCCGGAGAGCTGGTGGGAGAAGTTGACCGACTGCTTCCGAGTCGTCCCCAAAATCTTTGGCTCTAAAGAATCATGGTTCGGCTTCAAAGTGGCTGTGGGGACCATGTTAATTGCCGTGACATGCTACCTGCGCAACTCGCAAGAGTTCTACATCAAGCAGCGGCTCATCTGGGGAGCGATCATGGTAGCGATTAGCATGACTCAGACCGCTGGATCGGGCATGTACGGACAATTTCTGCGCGTGTTCGGCACGTTTCTGGCCATGACGTTCTCGTATATCGATTGGTACATCGTCGACGGGCACAGCGCGGGGGTCATCGTCTTTGTGGGAATTACTATGTTCTTGTACCATTACCTGCTGGTCACGAAGCCGGACGACCCGGTTATCCCGATGATCGGAATGATCACAATTATGTTGATCGTTGGGTACGAACTGCAGGTCAAGAAAGTCGACATTGCGATTTCCGAGTCGAATGGCCAGGTGTTCCATCCCATCTACGAACTGGCGCCATATCGTTTGGCCTGCGTGCTCGGCGGCGTGGGTGTGGCGTGTCTTTTGACCTATTTCCCATCCGTGACGACTGCTCGAAGCGAGATGCGGAAAGACCTAGGAAACACTTTGTATCTGCTCGGGCAATATTATGGCTTGACGCATAAGGCTGTCTTCCTGCGGTTGAAGGGTCGTGAAGGGAACGTGCAAGACAAGAACAGTCCCATCCGGAAGGTCGAAAAGGCGCGGGTCAAGCTGTTCGCCAAGGAGTTGATCCTGATCCAAGCGATGAAAAACCACCTCCATTTCATCAAGTGGGAGCCGACGTTTGGAGGGAGATTCCCGGAGGAGACATATGGGAGGCTGTTGAACCATACCCAGAAGTAAAGTCCACCTTCCTTGCTTGTGATGGCATGTCATTGTAGAATTGCTGACCAGCAGCCAAGTATCCTTCGTTTCACGGGCATGATCGCCTACGTGACCAAGACGTTCAAAGAACTTCCCGAGAACACACAAGTGCAGACCGGCGACAAAGAGGAAGGCAAGAGGACAGGGACTTGGCTCGAGGGCTTTAAGCATCTGGTGGCGTCTCTCGAGCTAACTTCGCACAACGTCACGTCACTCCTGGCCATCCTTTCCGGCGCGATTAGCAGCGGCAAGCCTTTACCTCCGTACCTACGAGCTCCCGAACGGTGCCACATCGGCGAGATGCTCACGACGCTTGACGCCGGTATTATGAACACCCAGCATGTCTGCGAGCCCGGTTACTCGGCGTTCGCGGTCTTACAAGTGAGCACGACTATGCTTGCGGAGGATCTGGCGGACCTGTTGGCGGACGCGAAGAAATTGGTCGGCGAGGCTGATTTTGAGCTCGATGTCGTGCAGGAAGATTACGAGAAGCAGGTCGGTGCAGAGCCGGTTCTGCCGGCAGTCAGGACCAAGGCGGACTGAAGGTGGTATTCCGGGAGACAATCCAAATGGTGATTTGTGGTAATGAGTAGCGAGAGGGAAAGGAGAGGGTTGGCTCGCTGTGTGCTCTGAATATGTTTTGGTATGGAAGGGGTTGCAATACTCGACTAAGGATTGATGTGGGTGTGTAGGGGTCAGAAAGATCACAGTTTGACCGTCTCCATCCGTCTGACCATGGTCGCGCCTTGACATTGTTCATCCGAACTACTCATCTCTACTGATTGCGAAATGCCTTACTCCATTGACGTTCGTGGATTGACAGCTGCTCATGATATGACAGTGCCCATCTCAGCCTCGTTTCATTACATTACACTTGACCATGCCCTGCCCTGCCCTTCCGGATCAGCGTTGCCATACCATCTCACACATGAACCAGTAAGTACTACTATCCAGATCCGGCCACCTACAAATCCTACGTACACACCCCTGGGCTGCAGCACACCTTCCAAAAAGATCAAAAATGTTCCTGCCACAACTTCCACACGGTCCAATACCCAATGATGGTGGGAGTGCCATGGATCATGAACGACGACCACCACCACGATGCCCCTGCGTTTCCTTTTGACTTTCCATTTCCGTTTCCCTTTGCCGTTCCCAACTGGAATCCTGAGATCAAAAAGTCGCCGACACCATTGATCCCTATACAGGCCAACAGGATCGTCGCGGCGCGCCACTCGTCGTACGCTTCTAGAGTCAACAAGGCGAGACCCAGACACAACTCGCGCACGGCGAACAGGTAGAAGAACGTCTGCATGGGCTTGTCGGCCGGTTGCGGAAAGCATGCCGATGCGCAGATGGCGTGTGGGCTGACGAGCGAGCCGAGAAAAACGCCCAACAGCATGATTGGGATGAAGTAGGCGACGAGGTATTGGAAGGGTGGGAGGGACGAGAAGGTGTCCATCATGGTTTGAGGGGTGTAGTCTGGGCTGTTTGGCGTTTGGGCTGTGCTGTGCTGAACGGTGATGATGGGTGATTACCCACTGGAAAACAATTTCTATGTCTCTGGGAATTTGGTTTTTGTCTGAGGATTTTGTGAAGACGGACGACCCTTGGGATGGCCTGGTCTTTATGTGGTTGAGCATGAATACGCTGTACGGCATACAGAATCAGGCGTTCCACGTCGTTTTCGCTTAAACGGCGTACTCACAGCCTGGCACGCCTGAATCAGTCTATGATCGGACGTACGAGGAAAATCCTTGATGTGTCTGACTGGTGGTGAGAAGTTTCGTGCTTTCCATAGGGCAGCACCTAGGTGGCACCGTCGTCGTCTTGTCTTCTCTTGCACATCTTGACCTTCCGGACATCAGAAATGCTCGCTTTCGATACACTGAACGCAATGAGATCATCTCAACAGAAGCGTCGGCCGACTTAAGTTCGTCCGTCCGAATCTCCATGATGGCTTACTCCGTACCGCAGTCCAGTCAGCAGCCCGGAGCTCCGTGCAGTTCATCACGAGATAATGTTGTATGGCTCACATGGGTGCATGGTAAGCGAATGTGGCCGCCCTGGCACTGGGACCTACTGCCCTTTGGCAAAGCTCAAAATGAAACTGTTTCGTCGAGTTTGGGATTTCTCGCTCACGATCCTTTACTCCTCACCATTTATCTGATATCAAACCCAGGTCGTTTGACGCGGTAAACGAAACGTCCCATTACTGAGAAATCCGAAATCCGAAACCTCCTTCTTGTGATCCGGCGACGAACCACATGGTTCTTGGCTCGAGGATGTTCTGTCAGATCCTGCGATTCACCCTTCCTCATCCACAGACCATCTCGAGCAGCGAGTTCCACGCTCTTCGCGATCACGTCTCCAAGGTCTGTCTCAGCCAGTACTTCGGATATACGGTGTCGGCGCCTTTACCACGGAACGACGAGGAGATATGCTGGGCTATTCGTAAGGGACCTCACCACCCATTTCCTTTCTGAATCGCGGACCAACCTCACCCACTGCAGAATGGCCTTCCTCGTCGACTCCGACCGAACGAGCTAAAGCCCTCAAAAGCTCCCACGATATTCTGCTAGGCCAGGACGCAACGTCCTTACTCCTAGAATTCAGCGACGAGCAGATGCCAGAACTGATCAAGGCATTCGAGGCCCCAGTGTGCGAATTCGTAAGTGGTCCTTTCCTTCCCATTCATCCGTATCCCAACCCCGGCCTTTAGCCTTTAGCCTGCATCCAGCCCGGGCCGAAGCGAGAACTGAAGCCTTAGCAAAGGTCGCTGCCCGTAATGACGATTCCTATCTAGGCATTCATAGCCCTCTCGCCAGAGGCTCCGCTCTCATCTCCCGAGCTCCAGAAGTCCATGCACAAAACTTACACCGACGTCTTCGGTATGCGCGGCTTCGTAGGCGGGCAATGGTCGTACTGTCTGAACACAAACGACTCGACGGGTATGCCTCTGCACAGCGAGGAGCGCACATTGCCACCGGCGAAGCGAAGGCTGGCTGTTTACCCACTCGGATGGGAGAGCGTTGAAGTACGTTTTGAAGCCCATAGGTCAATTGTCTTGAACCACCCAAAACCCCTTTCTCCTTTGGGCGGGAAGTCAGGAAGCTAATTCGCATTTGTCCATGTCCAGCTCCATCAAGCAGCTACAAAGACTGCTTTGTTTGCCGAGGAAATCGACAAGCTGGCACCGTACTTCGGGCCTGGCACTGGAGCCTTTTACGTGTCTTTTCGGAGACACTGAATCACCTGATAGAGATATAAGAATACGATGTCGACTGGGGAGGACTTGTAAGTAAAACCATTGGATGGCACAGCAACAGCATGCCGAGTATCACTGTCTCGTCTACTCTCTTCTCCTGCCGCAGTGAGGGGCCTGTCACCGCTCATGGCTGCGCACTGAGGGAGTGATGATGGTGATATTACAAACGAACGGTTTTACTTACAAGTGTATATAAACCCCCCCAAATTCGTAGGACAGATCAATCGTCTCATCCTCTCTGTCTCATATCCTCTCCTCTCCTCTCATCTCATTGTTCATTCAGGTAATGCACACTGGGTAGTCCAATGACAGATACAGGTACACATATATCACGACCAGTCATATTTTTAAGACCGAAGTTCTGGTTATCCATCCCCGGTCCACACCACTGGATCCATTCCTCCCATCATGTGTATCGAATACGAGGACAAATACACCCTGTGCCGCCACGTCGCGTTTAACTCGGACTACTGCAGTCCACGCATCCGACGTCGAGAAGATCACCCACTGAGCTTTTGAACGTCGTACCATTCACGGAAAATGCCCAGACTGTGTGGAAGACAAACGAAAACGACGAGAGCGAGCAGAAAGACGTGCAGCAAGACGACGCCGTCGGACGAGATAGTACTCGTGGAGCATGGAGCATGGAGCACGTAGATGGAAGCATGGGCGGCGGCCCTTAACAAGAAACAAGTGAGGCTTCGATGCTGTGCTGGCAATTCTCTGATATGACAACCGCGGAGGAGAGATATAAGCATATCAGGCAGTCAAAGTCCGAGATTTTCGGTGCTGTGCCGGTGTTTCGAGATATAAGAAAGGATATGAGCATCGACAAGAACAACATCATCAGAGAGGCAGGCAAGCGAGCAAATACTATAAGACATATCGATGACGGCGAGCCAGGTCAGACACAAGGGAGTTGCGGCAAACAAGGAAGGCAGCAGTACCAGCGTCACTGGTATCCTCGGATAAGAAAGACATCTGCGAGATATCAGAAGAAGATCAATTAAAGAAGTCATGAGATACTGGAGAATGAAATTGAACCTTTGAATTATTCTACTAAGTATAACAGTTATCCCGTCCAACATCAGTCGTAAAATCAGTAATGAAGTCATCTGCGCTGTATAAGTTACTGGTCTAGATAACCCCAGGAACACCGTCGCTATAAGAACCGACAGAAAATGAATAGATAGACCAAGGCTTAGCATGCGCGCTCAATGCTCAATGAAACGCTACAGTTGACGCTCATGACGCTGTTTGTTTACCTCACCAAACTCACGAAATTGGCCACGTCCTTACCACCAACACCAAAGTCACCCGCATTGGCCTGGAAGATCACCTGCTTCTCCACGATGGGCTCAACGTGCGTCCAGACCTTCTTTGACACGACCTTGACGAACTGCCAACCTCCAAGCTCTGTCTGCTTCATGGCCACTTTCGGTTCCTCGGCTGGACCCCGTGCAGCCTCGGCGTCACCACCGTCGCCCGAGGCTCCTGACTGCGGCTTTTGGAAGAGCTGCTCGACGTTCTTGACTGCGGCTTGCTGGTGGGACCCTGCCCCGTCTGCGAAGTAAGCCGCGGCCAGACCCTTGACGCTGAGACGTTCCTTGACCGACTGTGAGACCAGGGGATCCGTAAAGTGCCACACGGCGGCGGCGAGGATCAAGACGGCGACACAATAAAGCAGCTTGAGCCCGATCAGCGCGAACAGCGGGACCATGGGCACTCGCGTGGCACCGTAGGAGTTATCACGAAGCTGTTCGACGAGGTTGGTCCTGGGCTGCATCGACCCGGCGAGCAGCGAGAGAGCATATTGGGAAAACTTGCGGGACCAAAGGTCGGCCAGGTTGTACGAACTGTTGGTCTGGGCGATCGAGGTTGAGGCTTCCGCCAGGGCCAGCATGGTCGCGGGCAAGCCTGAGACGAAGGGAAACGACAACATCCCGCCAACGTCGGCGGGTGCTTTGACCGATTCCACGAATGTGATGTTGGTGCGGTTGACCGCCGAGTAGGTCGTTTCGTAGATGGTGGCCGTGCAATTCAGCATCCAGATGTAGTTCCAGTAGTAGTCGTAGTATATCTCGGGGTCGACATCCCAAGCTTCGTCGAAGCCAGTATCGTTCGCGGGAGGCACCTGCCAGCCGACAGACCAAGCGCCGAAGTTCAATGGGTTCTGGAAACTGGCAAACTCCGAGTGGGGGATCTTGCCACTTAGATTGAAATTCGGTGAGAACTGGATGCCGGCCATGACGCCGCCGGAGTTGGTGGTTGTGTTGAACCTTGCGGCACTGGTGGCGCCGTTGGACAATAAGCTGCCGTTGAAGCCAGAGCCACAGTTGAAGAAGTAGTCCGTGTCAATGTACCCCGGATTTTCTTTATTGTTGCCCGCTGGCAGACACTGGGAAGTCATAGGCCAACAGGAGGTCTCGACCGAAAGGGTTTTGGTCTTGAAGTCCCGCGTGCCGTCAATGGCTTTGTCCGCCAGGTAAGCTTGATAGTAGGTTGCGTTGTCCTCTGTATTCCAATGTTCCCATATCCAGTTGGTGTCTGATTGGATCTTTAGTGTGTTGATGGATTCGTCGGCCTCCCAGAGGAAAATTGCGTTGGTGTCCTTTGCGTCTGGGTCGTCGAACCAGTCTAGATTGTAAGGTAGTCTGACGTCGCCAAAAACGGTTTCGTTGTAGTATATGCAGTCCTGGCACCTTATTTGTCGACCGTACGAGGACACATTAACGCTTTTCTCGAGAACAACAACTTTCACAGGCGTAACGGTAGTGGCAAACCACGTATCAACTAGTGGAATGATGATGCTTTGAGCGATATCAGCTTTCGCTCGTGCAGCATGCAAGATGGCAGGCTTACCCAAGACCAGTGACCACGACTAAGGCTCCGAACGCATGTGAGATAGGCGCAATGAATCTTTGCTTGTGCTTGACATGATAGTGTACACAATCTTTGAGCGGAGCGAAGCTACTGCCTCCTAGGAGTTGGATGAGAATCGTCAGCTGATGCGGTGAGAGTAAGTCGGTGGCTTCGCTGTCCTTGGACATGTTGATGATCCGACGAGCAGCGAAGAACGAGACCAAGGCCATGATGGAGCTCGACAGATAGGGAATGATTTTGCTGGTCAAGGAGACGAGAGCCGTCAGTGAGCTGGGGTTGAAGTTGATATAGAACGCAGCGTTGCCGCCGTGCTGCCTCCAGTTGCTGAGTGTAGACCACAAGCCACCCGAGGAAGTCGGCTCCGACAAGTTGCTATGTAGCTCAGGCCAACCTTTATAACGGTCGACATGCTTGACGTAGATGACCCCAATGACCGCAGCCACTATGCTCAGAATCAACAAGCATGGAATGGCTGCACCACAGACGATTGAAAGCACAGCGCCATCCATACGTTCTTCATGCTGACAATCGGGCTGAGGCGACTCTTCAGAGGACTTGACCTCGTTCACGGTAGCCTGCACAGGCTCAATCTTGTCGTCGAGCTCCCCCATCGCTGCGCCAACGAAAGTACAAGAGAAGAATCATGAAGTGTGACGGCACGATGATCCGAGGGGTTAAGTAGATTTCTGGAGCTATGTCTGCCAGCCATTTCTACCGACCTGGCTTGAAAAGATCTCCCGCAGGGTGTGGCGGCCGGTTGAAAAGGACTGTCTTCAGCCAGCCGCAAGAACCGTCGGTGGGGGATGTCTGTGCCTAGAACAGTTTTTATGCCATGTCCGATGGTTGTGGAGGCCCGAAATCGAATGGGTCTGAGTATTGTGGGAGGCTAAGAAGCTCCAAAGCAGTCGCAGGTGGACCATTTCGACGTGTCGACGTGTCGATGTGCAGATGGAGAAGAAGAATTGCCATGACGGTCTTTTTTGTTGGCGCGAGAACAGAAACCATAATGGGCCCGTGTAGGCCTCCCGAAGCCTCAAATGGAAGGTAGAAGGCTCACTTATCCTCGCACGGCCTCGCTTGCGGATGGGTGATCCACTCGAGCCACCGGTTCTCTCGCTAATGAGATTCCAGACCTGTGCACCCACCAGGCTCGATCGAATCACGGCCACCGGGCTGGCCGGCGACTGAGACAGGCATGGCACTGACAGATTTGGCGTTTGCAGTAGCTGTTTGCGGGTATAGGTTTCTCCCTCAAGTTTGATCATCGAGGTGTATACATTGCATCCTTTGTCGTTACTCGGCCTCGCGGAGACTGGCATTTGTGTGTTGGTACGGCAGGCATGTCGTGCAAAAACCGGCACCACGATCTGACCGTGATCTTAGTGGGCTGCAGTATGCGTTTTATCTTCCCAATGAGTACATGGGCACGGATCTCAGCATGATAAAGATTGTCTAACCGCGTCCATACTGTACCAGCTCCTTTTCAGACAACACCGACTCGTACCAGGGCGATATAATAACAGTCCAGGCGATTGATTTGTCTCCCCCCGGAAGAAATATCTTGACTCGAGTGTTGAGGTGTTTTATTCTTGCATCCAGACCATAGACCGCACTGGCGCGCAGGGCACAGTATGACTCAATAGGCTCTTCAACCATGAGCACGCTTGGCTCAAAGACACTTTGCTCAGAAACGCTCTCAGGAGCTTGCCGCCCGTGAAGCTCGATTTTCTCCCTGATTCCCCTGTTTGTGTAAATCTGCTTACTCGAAGCTGACATTTCGAAGGCTTCTTCAGTACTAGTACTTCTAGACTTCATGGTCGAGTCTACACGAGTCTGAGCACGACTCACGAGTAAACAGACGGGGCTGAAGTCGAAAGCAAAACCAAAAAAGATTCGACCAATGGGCCCGTGTTCTCTGGTATCATAAAATCCATCATCATCCATTGTTGCCCATCTGCAAATGTCGCTCTCCACAGATGCCAAGGTTCGAAAAGGTTCGTATTCAGTGAAGTATAGCCAGAAAGCCTAAAATCTACCTTGCCGTTGGCGGTGGCCCCGAATAAGGGATTTGAAGTCAGGCTGAAATCAAAGCCGTGATTAATTCTATGGTGGTAAGAATCCATCATGTGCTGGCCGCCAGGTCGTGAGACGATCAAAATCTTGTGCTTTTCACACTCAGCCCAGACAGGGTTCAGCCAATACGAGTCATCGAGATGGTAGATGTCCTTTGCCATTGAAGAGGTTCGGAAAACTTGGCCGGTCCGTGGGGTCCTCGCGAGAAAGATACCCGTGCAGTGCGATAGGGCATACGGAGCCTCTGCCCGGCAGTCGAGCACCGCAAGGTATGTGGTCATATTCCACCGCTTCATTGGCAGAGAAATGGAAAGGCCGACATTGGTCAGAGAGAACTGTTCCGGTGTAATTCCTGGCTTTTGCAAAACCTTGTCAGATACCGTGTTAGCACAATCCTCAAAACAGGTTGGGCTGGATGCAAGGAGATCGCGCGGGCCGTCGCCTTCGCAGCTCCATGCGAAGATAGAATGATCGTCAGAAGTCCGAATGATCTCTTCTTGCAGCCTTCTGCAAGCTTTGTGTCCTTCTCCGTAAAGCATTGGCATATTGACGTCGAACAATGCCATCAAGCAGTATGCTGTATCCTCTGTCCGGGTAGTCACCCTCTTGGAAGCCCAAGACATCCTTTGTGCCACACTCCATCTTTCGAGTACATGGCGGTTACGAATAGCTGACCGTCCAATCTTGGCGGTGGCTCCTTTAAGAAGCTCGACTGGGACACCACTAATCCCCGAAAGCGCCTCCGCCAGGGACGTTTTGGTTCCTATGGATTCCCACCGACAATTGTAGAACGTTGCGCTCTCCGGAGCCTTGAAGAACCTAGTTGTCAGCAGAAGACTCCTTGAGATCCAGGCACAACATACTATCAATTCCTGCAGAGTCCATCCTCTCGTGAACCATGCACTCTTATCCAAGTCCTCAAGCGAGTCCACGTCGGACAAGTATACGTAGCAAACAGCGGCCTCCTCGTACCACCGATACATGGAGTTGATGGCCTCCTGCAACTCAGCACTACTCGTCTTGTCGATGCAGCAGGTATCGGCCCACGCGTATTGATGTCCGTTTTTTGCGGCTAGTTCGCAGAAGCGCTGGATTTTGATGTAGCCGAGCTTGCCATGAGCGTCGCCAGCAACGAACTGCTGAAGCGAGACTTCTTCATCTTCCCAACGATGCGAGAGAATTGCGTACTTGATGCCCTCCGTGGCCACGAATTCTTCCAGCTTGAGTATTGTTGTATTTAGCAGGCGCATTTCGCGGTAAGAGGAGAGATGTTAGAGATGTAGAACAAACTGAAAATGATGAGTTGAGGTTGTTGCTTGAGTCGTTGTGCAATGAGGCTGAGGCTGTGCCCGACCAGTCGGTTGAGGCTGAGCCAAAAGTTCAAGCCCATTGGACATGGGAGGACCAATTGTTGCACAATTCGCTTGCAGTGGTGCCGGGGTTGTGGCAGAGGCTGATTGGTGAGAAGACACAAAGACTCCCGGAAAGGCGCCACGACATGTATGTCTTCCGGGCAGGAACGACGAGTCGAAGGACAATGGGGACTGTCGGGAAGGAAGTGATACAAAGTCTCTGGAAGTACTCGTACTTTCGATTTCGGTATAGCACAAGTCTTTGAGCAGGTACACATTGCACTTATCACACTGTCATTGAAAGAGGTAACTGCACTGCACCCAAACCATAATCAATGACTCTCTTCGTATCATCATCAACACCAATCAGATCATGCAAGCACGGTCGAACAATGAACCCGGCTATATGGGCTCAAAGCGCATACCTAAAGCCCGGCACCCCTTCGAGGTCGGTACCGTCGCGATCAGCTTGCTTATTCCTCTTGTGGTACGTCCAAACCATGAAGGCCAGACCGAAGATCATATAAACTGTGAGACCGATAGTCGTCTGCAGTCCGTCAGATAGCTGTAAAGGTAGAGAACAAGCATGGGAGTCATACATAAATGCCCGGCCCGTACGTTGGTGCATCCTGGCCACGGAAGATCAAGCTTCCAATGATACCACCAATGGCGCCGCATGCGATCAGGATACCAGCACTCACAGCCCGAGCTGCAGAGTCAATGACGTTGGACTGGTTGAAGGCCAGCAGGGCTGGTGTGTTCGAATGCACACCCATTGTGGCCAAGAAGATGCCAAAATACCGGACATGGTTGGAGAAGCCCTGACGCATGACTGCGAGAAACCGTTAGCAACGAGTAAAGCTCGGCCAGAGGGAGACACACTTGAGAAACCGACAATCATGACAATCGAGTTGAAGATGCAAATTGACGCTCGTCTTTGGTACTTGTCAGAAAGATAGGAGGTGATTCCGAGCAGACCGAGAGCTGCGAAGAACGGATACCCCGAACGCAGGCTTGCATCGAGGCCAGAGTAGCCGAGACCCTGCAGTAAAGTCAGAATGAGGCAAACACGCTGGATCAGGTGCTTACGGAAATGATTGTTGGCGTAAAGAATCCAATAGCATTTGCAGTGCCGACATTGAAGCAATAGATCGAGCCTTGAACCCAGAGAGTCCAATCTTTTGAAGTCTTGAGAAACGAAGACATGTCGACTTCGCCAGTCTTGTATTCTCCACGGTCTTTCTCGAGCTTGGAATAGAGGTATACCCTCTGGTCTGGCTTGATCCACTTCGTTCGATCCGGGAATTTCGGGACGAACAAGAAGGCGAGGAGGCCAAAAGCCATAGATGCCCCTCCTTCAATGGAGAAGATCCATCTCCAGCCCCTCATACCCCTGGTGCCGTCCAGTTGTCCAAGACCATAAGAGAGGATGCCTGCCAGGGCGGAAGCAACAACCCCGACACCGTACGCAAACGAGATTCTTTTGTGCAGCTCATGGCGAGTATACCAGCATGCAATGGTGAACTGGGAATCATCAGTGACGCGTTGTTGCAGTAACAAAGGCAACGTATGAGACGATTGTATGGTTGTCTTGTGGCAGGAAGAAAGAAATACTCACGGTGATACCGGGAAGAACACCACCTTCGAATAGACCCAGCAGAAATCGTAGGAACACCATGACTTGCCAGTTGTGGACAAAGCCCATGCCGCAAAGCACAGCACCCCATGCGACTGTCAGGAAGGACAGCCAGATGCGAGGCTGAACCTTGGTCAGGATCCAATTGGAAGGGACATCTGATAGAACGTAGCCAGGGAAAAATAGCATGAGGATGATCGAGTATCGTGTCCCTTTGCCGAGATCCAAATCATCGGCCATGCCAAGTACTTTGGCGCTGCCAATGTTGATGCGGTCAATGATGGAGACAGCATACATGATCCCAAGGATGGGTAGCACATGGAGGTCGAGTCTGACCATGAAGCGACGGATCTGTGCTTTTGACAAAGCGGGAGTCTCATGTTTATGAGCTTCGTCGACGAGTTGCTCGGTGTGAATAGTCTCGATTTGCTCCTTAGCCGTGATGTTGACATTGCCTTCGGCTTCAAGTGGATCCATGGTGGAGGTGGAATCGGGAGGCAGGAAATTGATAGGGAAAAGCAATGAAAGGCCTGCTGGTAGTCTTTGCGAGGGCACTCTACCTCGCTCGCTGTGGGCATGCATAGCGCTTTTATACACCTCCAAGCAATGGCTGAGAGTGGGGCTGTACTGCAGCTGATTCCGCCCTCGACTCCATGTTTCTCGCGTAACTGTGTGCATTCGACCATCTGAATGCCTCGGGCTTGGAGACAGGACGCATCTGATTCCGCTTTCAGCACGGTGGTCTCGCAAACATGGAGTCAAAAAGACCATCTGCCGTCCTTGGCATCTTGCTCCCCACGCCTTGGCCTACCCCAGTTCTCCAAACAGTTATGCCATACAAGCCATACCAGCCATGCTAGAGAGCTGGGAGACCCCGCTTACTGGAAACATGGGGATTTTCCAGCTCCCATATAGCCTGGCGAGGATTCTTGATAGGTAGACACGGCAAGCTCAAGCCCTAAAGCTTTGCAGGAGAAGCCTCGTTCGCCTTGGCAAACGACCAGCCGACCTTAGCCCTTGTGCTGATCAGGCGAGAGACGGCAGAGCAGAGAGACACCCTGCAATTTGGAGATTCCCAAGCCGGGATGACAGGCCAGGACTGGCGCATGAAGCTGCAAGATTGCCGTGAGGATGCAGGCGGTCTCTCATAGTCTCAGGCAATCTTCCAATTCGCCTGGCTGGGCTGTTGGTGTGCCACGATGCTCGACGAATTCAGCCCACGTTGTCGGATGGTGGGTGTATGTTGTGCCACGCCCTGCATGGTTTGCTTGGTTGGTCCCAGTGTCTAGCTTGCTCCCTTTTCCAGCTTGCCGGGGATCGTACGACTAGAGCAATATTCCTCACGGGTGGAACGGTGGCCATGCTCAACATATGGCTCATATTCCGTATGAATTGAGTGCATGAGGGGTAGATGTCGCGCTTGAGCTAGCCTGGACAGTGTGGGAGCACTGCGTTCAAGCACAGCTGTCCCTGAAGCTGAAGCAGCTCTTAGCGTGCATCGCTTCACGCGCGTCAATCTTCGAAGACAGTGATCGGCAAGGATTATTTTGCGGCCTTTGCCAGCAAATCGACTCCAGGCGGAACGAATCGAATGTCGCATGGCAGCCCCATGATTCCCTCGACGAATGATTCAAGGAGGAATAAACGAAGAGACAGAATGGGTGTAGAAGGGAGATCAAATCTAGATGGTGAAGATGATGATTGGAAAGTGTCAAATTCGCCAAGACGCTAATCCTAATGCGATAGTATCATCCCACGCTTACATAAACAAACACGTGCACAAGGCATCATCTGCAGCCCCTGATTCCACCGACCATTGGAATCTTCTCTGCTTCATACCTAGGTACTAGGTATGTATTGAGTATTGTACCAAGTAGTTGATGGCGGAGACGAGTACCATCTGAGCCATTGCTCAGACTGCTGAAATCAGTCAAATGCTACATTGCAAGACTCTGCTTGGTGTTGATCTTGACATGGGTTCCGCAGCTTCTCCCACCTCATAGTTCCTTTGTAGTTCGGTCGTGGCCAACAACGCACTGAGAGTCAGAGTCAGTCTGAGTGGCAGAAACCCAAACAAGTCTGGATGAAGGATCCAACGGACTTGCTGGACATGGGTCGATGGTGTCAGGCAGCCAACCGCTGTGTGGTGCACAGCAGTGCACAGCCTAATCATCAGCCAATCATGCTCACCTCCATAGGTTGCCTGCTCACAAGGTACCAACATGACTCAAATGCTATCACACATTGAACTTGGCTTTGTATGGCCCTGAAGAGCTTTATAAGAGGCTGTGTATAGTAGTTGAGTGTTTGCCTAGCAATCTTTTAATCTTCCAAAGAATCTGGTATCTGTTGAATACTACCTAGGTAATTAAAACTCAGGGCAGGTTGGCAAGCAGTATTGGTGCCTGCCCGCCATACCTCCTGTCGCCTTGGCTTCAGCCTTACTTGGATCTTTCGACTTCACCCATCCATCAAAACTCATCTTCTGCCACTCATGGCTGGTTCAATCTTTTCCTGGCTCCTTCACCGTCTCCGCTTCTATTGTCACCTTCACTCCCGCCGATCTACTGCATCAGCACCTGCCTTCCATGCCACCAGCTCTCAACCTACAACCACCACCGCCCATCGATATAGCGATACTAGCGATTCATTCCTCCTCCTAGCAACAATGGCCGGCCAGGGACCGACCTCACTTGCCATCGAAGGTGTAATCTTTGATCCTACCACTTCTCTCGGAGACTTCGAACGCCAATTTGCCGGGGCAGAAGGCTACCTTGGAGCCAGAATATCAAACACCCGCAATGACAGCATCGGAAGGATCCTACAAGACTTTGTGTTCGAATTTTCAACAGCCTCAGAAGCCGCCAATGCCCTTCAAGCCAAGCCTAATCTCATGGTCAACACCCGATCTTACCCTATCGTACCACATGGCGGTGATTTTGGGGACCCTCAATATCACATCGGAGACGACGAACAACCATCTGTCGTGCGTTCCAAGAAACGGGCGAAGAAAGACGAAACATCTGGAAAGCTGCAATGCAAAATCTGCTTCACTGATCTAGAGGATGCCTATTCTGTTCCATGTCGACGATGCAAGGCTCCTCGATGTCACGACTGCTTGGAACGTGATTTCAAAGTCTCCATGACGGACATGGATAGGATGCCGGTCAGATGCTGCACTACAGTTATGCACCACGAAGTCGCCAAAGGCATCCTCACCGCAGCTGAAATTGAAGCGTACAAATCCAGATTTGACGAGATGAACACCATCGACCCACTCTACTGCCCCGTGCCGACGTGCTCTACCTTCATTCCTCCTCGCATGTTTAGCCAAGACGACTCCGAGGTGACTTGCCTTGTTTGTGACACTCGGATTTGTACAAAGTGCAAGCAACTTGCCACCCCGGAACACACTTGCTCAGAGAACCATGAACGTCAATTTATACTCAAGACATTTGAATACAAGACCTGTCCAAAGTGTGGGACTGGAGTGGCAAAGATGTACGGTTGTCCGCATGTGCGCTGTCCGTGTACGGCACATTGGTGTTGGGACTGTGAGCGACCCATGAACGCATGCTATCAAAAGCCTTGCCAGGCCTCTCGAGACGGTGGTATACATTCAGATGGTGGAGATGAGGATGAGGATGACTCCGAAAACGAGGCCGCCAATTCTCAAGAAGAGCAAGGAGGAAATGAGGCTACATCTTCAGGACCAAATCCTGCACCAGAGCAACAAACCAGGGCAATTGTTGTTTCCCCAGTCTCAAACAACGCAAATCATGAGAGAAATGTCATTGATGACGTCTCGACAGAACGGCAGAGCGCTCCAGTACCTGCCGTTGACGCTCAGACAGGCATCATTATAGATGTCAGCAATATGCTTACAAGGCCAACTTCCGATGGAAACCCAGGCTTCTCCGCCCTACTGACTGCTATAGCGATGCAAACCTCCGAGGATCGAACAGTCAACGGAGAAGTCACGACACCGGGTGATGCTCAGATGGTGGAGACGGAGGCTTCTCGCAATTCCACGATCCAATTGAACACCGTCGCGGCCAGTGATCCGGAGATCCTTACCGCCGACTCGAACGAAATACAGGCTCCTGACACCCAGGTCAATGGAACGGGCACACAGGAAGAAAGTACCGACCCCACGGGAGCACACGATGCCACCACACATATAGAGGCACCCATCACGGACCAGCCTGTGAATTTGGATGACCTTTGGAAGTATGACTGGGAAGCTATGTCTCTTGATTTTGGAGAAGAGCCCACAGACGAGACCTGGGACGTCTGGGGATGCCGACATCGGTTTACCAACTTCACAGCAGCGGCAATCCCCAAATTTTGGATCGTTGATGTTGATCCTACCAAAGCTGAAAACATTGAGGTTGAATGTATGGCATGCTTTAGGAAGACGAAGGTCTGGGACTCCAAGTCCGCTATGAAGGAGAAATTGGAATCGGGGAAGGCTTCTTCTGGTGGCGAAGCGTCCGATATCAAAGTTAGAAAGTCGGAGTGCTCGTTTGAGTGTAAGTTGTGCGGAGTCATTTACTGTGGCTCCTGCAAGAATGCGGCAAGAAAGCGAATCAAGAAGGAGCGAAATGCCGCGGACATGGTTTGAGAGAGACGAAGTTGAATGTACGACAATCCACCACCGGCTGAGGAGGGTTTACCAGAAAGAGTCACTCAGTTCATCGAGTCGTGTTGGTGTCATGGATGCGGTGCGTCACGGTGGCTGGTCCTGGAGTTTGTGCCTTGTAGCGCCCGTCCATCGAAAGCTAGTAACATAATCAGCACAAGCAGAGTATATTACGTGCATGTGTATGAGATCAGACATAACGACTTGTTCAGCTCTACTAGATATTGTTCGATGGAACGGTTTACGAGGGAGTTCTTTTTCAGATGAGGCGGTTGAGTCCACAAGACGAAGCAGCGCACCCCTAACCTAGCTCGAGCCTGTTCGAGCAAGTCCAATTTTGCGTGCCCGTAACGAAGTAAGCATTGAAGCCCTGGTCCGTCCAGAACCCCAAGCGGCATATCCGTGCAACGCCAGGGTGTGATGGTTCTCTGTCCTGATCGACTTGAAGTATTCTCGCGCAGCTCATGGCGGATTCCATCCGTCTACGCTCCATCTGCCTGATCCTCGTCCTGCTCAAGTTCTCTGTATTCGGCCTCGAGCGTAAGCGGCCTCAACTCGGCCAGCCTATCCCGCCAAAAGTACCGCCTCACGAACCAAGGCAAGTACTCCGTGACCTGATATTTGATAAAAGTCCGCGTAGGAATCGAGAAAACATCGTCCAGTTCATCGAGGGTCTTCATCCGCGTCTCAGGCAGGAACAGGAAAATCAAGACGCCAGCCACGACGTTGAGGATAGCGTAGAGCGTGAACGCCCCCGGGGATCCCAGCGCGGTCAGTACGCCTGGAAACGTCAGCGAGAGGATCGCGGCCCAGAAGTTTGTCGTGGCAACGGCGAAGCCCATGCCGACTTCTCGGTGGGAAAGAGGGAACACTTCGGCCGAGTAGGCGTTTGGAACAGGTCTATATGGCATGTATGTCAGTTCTAGGCACCTCACTAACGAAGCTGTTGAGAATGTTCAACAAACTTACCCCATGCCGGGTGAATATTCGAGACAAAACCCATAGATCAAAGTTGCAAGCAGACCGAAATGTGCCGGGTTGTCTGCTGGAATATTGAAGCTCAGGCCCGTAGCGAACATAGTGACGCCCATGACTGGCAAGGTCAACAGTAGCAGTGATCGACGACCTAGTGTGTCCATGGTCCATACCGCCGGGAAGGCTCCCACGAAATTGAGGAAGCCGAAGACGCAGGAGGCGAGCAATGCGCCGAAGAGTGAGAACCCGGCGTCGGAGAAGATCTGTCGTCGTCGTCGGACCCATTCAGCAAATCAAATCGCGTGTGGTTGCAGAGTTTTCAACCCGCTTGTCGAAGCGTATGGTCGAGGGCATGATGTGACCTACCGTGGAAGAATAGAAGGAGATGATATTTACTGCGAAGAAGATTTGTTAGTCTATGTATGGACAGGTGCAAAGGATTGGTAAATGGGGCCAGTGGGACTCGCATACTTCCGCAGAGCTGCTGCGACAGCATGACCACGTAGCTAGCGGTCGTTGCTCTTCTGATCCTAGGGATTGTGAACAGTTCGGCCACTTTCGTGAAGAACAACGGGCTTCGTTCTCCCTCGGACATCTTCGCCCTGACACGGCCCTGGAGGTATGCGGTATAAAGCTCCTTCGCAGCCTGAAGTTCGGTATTTCGCAGGGTGCATAATGACCGAAATGCTCTGTCGTAGCGTCCCTGCTTTTGGTACCACGACGGTGATTCGGGACATAGGTAAATCATTGCAGCAAGAGGAACTGTTGGTATGGCTGGACCAGCGAGTTGCCATCTCCATGCACTCGGTCCTACCTAGCAACTCGAGGTTAGCAGGGGTCTTCAGTAGTTGGCTGGGTGTGGTGGAAAACAGCTAACATTATACACAGCAGCATTCGCGACAAACCCCAGGAAAATACCAAAGGCGGTCGACATTTGCCATGACACAGCCAACCCTCCACGTATCTGTTTTGGCGCACTTTCGGCAGCCCATACGGAGACAGTGCTTGCGTTGATCCCAAGGCCCAAGCCAAGGATGAGGCGAAAGAATAACAGCTGAGGCCAGTTCGCGCTGACGCCTGAGCCCAGATTGGCTATGAGGCACAGCATACTGCCAGTGAAGACAGCTCCTCTTCGTCCTAGACGGTGATTGACGGGATCAGACAACCATGCTCCCCTGTAGGTATCAGCACTATGCATCTTGGCCTCACACTCGGACGATAGAATGCTCACAGAAGTCCTGTGCTGAGATAGATGCCGCTGTTGATGAGTCCGACAACGAAGTTGTCATGCTTGCTGTCTGAGCCGATTCCGAAGGCTGTTGGGAAATACAGATTGGCACCGTTCATGCCAGTTTGCGCCCAGCCTTGCTCGATGGCGCCAATGGAGCAGACGAGAATGGTGAAGTACAACATCTTTGGTTGCCGCCATTTCCTGGAGGTCTCGTCGCGCAAGGCATCTCTCTCCGCCGACGTGAGGTCTAGAATGTCCTCACCCTGTATCAGAGCCGCTGCTTTCTGGAAGACGTCAAGTCGATGGCTCAGACCGTGAGCTTTCGCAAAGGCGTGCACTTCAAGCGCAGAAGGTTCATCCGACGGAGTCTTGTGGAGGGTCAGTTCCGCGGGACGGGATTCGTTATGTGACGAAGAACCAGTCATAAGAGCCTCCGCTGACTCGTCCTGATGAATGGTGGACTTTGACATTTGGAGTCTGGAGACCTATACGGAGTATGCCTTTCGCAGACAGAGAGACGCGAGCAAGGACAGGGGTTGTTCGGAGACGATGCTCATTCAGCCTATGCCTAAATGGTTCTCGTTGGTTGAAAAACGGCAGCTGAGCCGAGTCTAAGTTACCTCCCATTATGCTAGCTTACCTGCGAGCTGGTTTCCAGGAAAAATGGTATCGTCTGATAGGGGTTATATAACTCCTGCTTGGAGATAGGGAGTCTGCTAACGGTAGATCAATGGAGTTATGGTTATAGTACTAACGGCCTTCTGTGTGTCAACGATTTACGCTATAACGTTATATACGAAGGATTCCGGATAGACAACGAGTATCACGTCAAGAACGACCATATGAAGCCAACGCACTCCTGCCGTCAGACAGTGCCACCCTTTTTCGAAACCGGCTCGCCTGGTAGGTGTGTGGATGACATCGCCATCATCATTCTTTGCAAGGGAAAACAAGGCGAGTATAGAGTATTGTTGATCGATGTATCTGCCTACTACAAAATCGCTGGTGACATATTCATCCCATCTAGTAGGAACGCCACCTGCTTACTCTTTCTCTCAAAGCTCTTTGTCTTGTGTACGAATATGTCGTGCCGATTCTAGTCTGACCACCTGGACTGTAATGGAATCCCTCTTAATCCGTACCTTCTGGGCCGCCAAATTGTCTTGACTAGCAACCAGCCCGTACTGAATATCCGGGCCTCCACTCTTCAAAGAATAAACAATGAATCCCAGTCGTTTCATTCATAGCCACCACGCTCACCACAACGTTGCTCCTGTCGCAACGGCGCAGAGAAGTTGTGCCTCGTTCGTTGCACCAGCACCAATTTCTAATGGCCTCACGACTGAACAGCAGTTGCATACTTCCAACCTTGCAAATCATTGTCGAGACTCCGATTCAGCGTCGCCACGTATTCGACCATACCGCCGGCCCTGTTCAATCACACAATTCTGTCAGCATGCTTTCTCAGACTTTTACTTCCACTGTGGAATCTCCCAAAACATCAAAGGCTTGGGGGTTCTCCAAAATGGCAACTCACCAATTCAAAGGCTCGACTTTGCGGCCCGGAATATTCGCCCCCTGATACCAACTCTTCGCCATGGGGAACAACGTGGCATCCCACTCCTCCCGCAGCCTCTTGCACCAGTCATCTTCGCTCTCCTGCGTGGCCTCGAGCCTTGTAATACCCTTGTCCTTGATCATTTGAAACGTGCGTTCTACCCACTCGGCCTGGAATTGCGTACAGCTCGGGCCGGACGAGAACGCAGTGGGAGCCTGCGGTCCATAGAGGAAAAACATATTCGGAAACTCGGGCATGGCAATACCCATGGCGGTGCGCGTGCCGTCTTTCCAGTGGTCTGCAATCGTGCCGCCCTTGGTGCCCTGGATGTTGAGCTGGGCCAACGAACCCGTCACGCTGTCGAAGCCAGTGGCCAGGATGATGACGTCGACTTCGACATGACCTTCTTTGGTCTTCAAGCCGGTCGCTGTGACCTCTTCGATGGGGCTCTTGTTGATGTCGACGATGCTGACGTTGGGCTGGTCGATGACCTCGTAGAAGCGTTGCTCGAGGCTGGGCCGTTTTGTGCCCCAAGGATGCGGCGGGACCTTGGGCGCAAGGAGTTCTTGCTTCTTCGGGTCCGTGATGCGCTTGAGGACCTGCCTTCGCCAGAAGTTGTAGGCTTGCTCGTTGGCCTTCAGGTCGAACAGCATGTCCTTGTACGTTGCGAGCCAGAACATGAACCCGCCGTGATCGACCATGAGATTGTGGTAGAACTTCTCGCGTTCCTCGGGCGTGTCGTCGAACGTGTTGCGCTGCACAAAGTCGTACGTGAACCCGGCGAAGGTGTGCCTGGTCTTTTCCATTTCCCGCTCGTACCAGCCCGATTTCTTCTTCTCCTCTTCTTCCTTGGGATCGAGCTTGCGCTGGTTCATTGGCAGACACATGTTCGGAGTTCGCATGAACACCGTCAACTCCTTGACCACGGGACCGATTTCTTGAATCACCTGGATCCCGCTGGCCCCCGTGCCGATTTCGGCCACGCGCTTGCCCTTGAGATTCACCCCGTGCTGCGGCCATACCGCCGTGTGGTAGATGTCGCCTTTGAAATTGCCCAGACCCGGGAACGGCGGCGTGTACCGCTTAGAGGCGAACCCGATGCACGGGATGAACCACCGCGCATAGATCTCGGTGCCGTCGGCGCACTCGACCAGCCATTGCTGTCGAGACTCGTCGAACACGGCGCTGTCGACGTTCATGTTGAAGCTCGTGTGGTCTCTGACGTTCCATTTCTTCTCGACGTAATCGAAGTACCGGCGTAATTCTTTCCAGCCGACGTAGCGCTCCGTAAAGGTGAAGTCTTCCCAGAGTTCCTTGTCGAAGAGTTGGTAGATGGGCGTATCGGTGTCGACTCGTGCGCCGGGGTAGCAGTTCCACCACCATACGCCACTTGCTGCTGAGCCCTTCTCGAAGATGCGCACGGAGAAGCCGAGTTTGCGGAGTCTGAAGGAGGAGATTAAGATTAGTATAGGGAGTGAGGAGGTGGTAAGGGTGACGAGTGTACCGATTTAACAGCGTGAAGGAGGAGAAGCCGGCTCCAACGAGCAGGACGTCGACCTCTTCGATTTGCTGGGAACCCATCTTGTGTCTATTGCGTGGCGTCTCCTGGATGAACAAGAAGAAGAAGCAGAGAAGCAGTGAGAAAGGCAGTAATATCTATAGGCTTGAACAAAGAGGACAGAGATATGCCCAATCGAGGATCTCACCAGCGCCCATCCTGGGATTTATATGCCCCGCAACTCCGTCATGTCTCCCCGTCCACGCCCCCGGACAGTCCAGCTTCGAGGGTGGACGGATCTCCAGTTTAGGGATCCCGTGGGACGGACACGGACGGGACCAGTGAGGGGTCGGTTAGGCGGGCCAAAGGAGTGTCGCCAAAGAATTCCACTCCAGTGGGTTTTTTGTAACAGACGCAATGGAGATTGCGGAGGTGTGATGGGCCTTCTAACTTAGACCTTGATTCGTCATGTTGCTGTCAGGGCATGGGGGGGGCCTTAACTACGTTAGTGAGATTCATACACAGGAGGAGGAACCGCCGGACGAGGATAAGGGAGCCTCGTGCGGATGAAAGAAGAGGATCATGTCTGGTTGGACGACGCCTTCGATCAATGATGAGCTGATATTGCCAAGGTGGGTATACGAGTTCGAGCGAGCTTAACACAGTAGCTTTCCGAATACTCGTACCGACATGCGTCTCGAAGATTCGTGAACCGAAGAACACAGCACTAACCGACGCTCAGCACTTCAGAGAGATGGTATGGCAATCCGAATAATGCATCTGAAGACTCTCATCACGTCTTACCATTGAGGGTTTCTTTGACAGAGTCCCCGTATGATACGTGAAGTTCGTGTCAGAAGGTTGAATGTAAATGTGGCGTTTGATATTGCGTCAGCGTCTGGGTTGCGAGATATTTCGTACACCGGTACCGTAGGGACAGAGACGGCGGCACCCACGGCTGGATAGGTACTTTGGTTGAGAGGGTTTCTCGTATCGCTGCCGGCGGTGGCGTTGCTTGTCCCTCTTCCGCCGGCTCCAGCAGATCATCTCGTCTCCGTTCGACCTTATCTCGATGTCATTCCGCGCGGAGTATCTTGATTCCATAAGTTTGTACCGAGGCATGCCTGTCGTTCGGTTGATTCGCAAGCGAGAAAGCAGAATTCCAGGAATCATCGGATGGTGATCACCGTTGCGCCAGCCATGTCCGGACTCAACAGGAGCGAGTCAGCTAACCTGCCCATGCTGTTCGGTGGGCCACGCTCCGCGCATCACAATTCGAAGCACGATTGAGCCGACGGCTCAAGACTGTAGAGATGGGTTGTTTGCCGCATGGCCAGAAACAGTCGCGTTCGCGGAGAAACAGCGATTTCCAATTGCCAAACTTTCTTGGTAAAGACACTGCAAGCCAAGTTGGATGTGCAATTCCTGTCTAGATAGACTGCCTGACAGAGTCTGGATTGAATAGGATAACACAGTAGACCAAGAAATTCAATTCCTGTCCGACAAGAACACGATTTCTGCCCACCAACTCCTTCGCTAAATTCAAGAGTGTCCAGATCTCACAACCCACAGAATTCGCCCTGCCGATACCAAATCAGACACCAAAGGACACAGGTACCGAGCAACAATCATTTCAAGAAAGCCCATCAAGAACTGCCATCCTTTTCCTCTTGCTTTCGTTCCTTACTGACTCCACCAGATTCTCTGCGAGCCAAGGTCTCTTCACTGGAGCCATCCTCTTCCCCGTCCTGACATCGCGTTTGCTCGCTAGGATGATGTTTCCTGGTCTCCTTCTTGACCTGATTTTCCTTCTGCTTTCCTTCACCCCGAAGACTCTCTTCCAGTCTTTCAAACATTTTCTCTAGCAACCATTCGGCTTCCTCTTTGTCCCCCATCAGAGGACTTCGATTACCGATCCAGCTCCATTTCACTTTTTCCCGTTTCTTGTCCGGGGCTTTTTCGTTGCCTTTTCCATAAGCACCTTCCTGTCCGGCAAGCTCGAACGCTTTTTGGCGAGTGGCATCATCGTCGTGTCGACTGGTCAAGTCCTCCAGCTCGGGAGCATGTTTGTGAGATGTGGCGTCTCGCTCGTCTTCGCCCAATAGTCGGAGAAAATATACCCATTCATCATATGAGTAGCGCTTCGGAGTCGATGCCGTAGTGTCTGCATAAACCTTCCGGATCTGAGAGATGAGCACATGCCGATAGTGATGTTCATCTGGGCCTGTGAGCATACGAGTCATTTACCAACGCTGGGAAACACTTACCCTCTTCCAATCGATCTCCATGATCGCGGGCTTCGCTCTCGTCAACCTTTTCCGACTGCTCAAAATCTTTGGCGAGTTCATCCCTGTTGGCACGGTATCTCTTGTCAGGTCGCCGTTGCTCGCCGCCTGCGCGGAACAACCTGGCCAGCCCAGGGTGCAGTTCCTGAAATCCGGCATCCTCTTCCGAGCCATCTTCGATGTCCGGATGAGGTGAAGATACTTTCCCCATTGTCGCTTTATGCAACCCATGTTGCAACCGTTCTCTCGCACTGCTTTCATCACTAGGCAGTACGGTGATTTCGCCTAGCCAGATGGTGGCATCTTTGATCGCTTTGACCACAGTGTCTCCCATATTGGATATCAAAATGGTCAAAGTTGGGACGGCCAGTAATGACCAGAAGACGAAAAATGGCTTGCCACTGTTGCTCATCGGTATAAAGTCGCCATAGCCAATGGTCAAGAGTGTCGTGTATGAAAAGTAAAGGGCGTCAAAATAAGTCCATTGTTGATTTTGCTCTGCGCGAAAGAACACCAAAGCTCCAATGCACCACTGTATTTGATTAGACCAGGGAAAAGAAAAGGTGAATATCTGACTTACCAAGAATGCAAATGCGAATGAAGACACGCCGAGGCTCATGTATTTGCGGTGCGTGGCAGCCCGGTCCTGAACCTTACGCATCGCCTCAAACTCAGCTGCCCTCCTGTCCAACTCCGAGATCTCATCGTTCCCCGGCTTAACAGTCAAAGCGTCGAGTGTTTTCTTCCCAAGTCCTATGGCGATCTGACGCCGGAGATCACTTCGCCTTTTTGTGGCCGCGGCAATCTCCCTGACAAGTCGAGCCCGAGTCTTTTCGGTCAAGCGAGCGGCAATCTTCTTCTTTCCTCTTTCCAAGATCAACGATCGGATTGATCCTACCACCAAACCCAGGATGATAATACCACCCATGGCAAACGGAAAGAGTAAGCTCCGGCCTAAGTGCGTCGAAGGTGAATAGTCAGAGCCTAAGCCGATGGTGAGTGTTGTAAAGTCGGCCCAGTACACGGTGTCCAAGAATTTCCATCCCTCGACATGCGAGTAGACCAAGGCTCCAAGCAGCAGGTATGTGAGGTAGGCAATGGTTTGCAGCATCAGGGTGCGTTGAGCGACAGTAAGCTTGAATTCCCTGCTGTAGTAGCCCCTAAATGCGCCGTAGACCGTAACGCACATAAGATAGGAGATGATTTGATACAGTCCAGCAGCAAAAATGGCGTAATAGTAGGCTTGAGTTAGTGCCTGATTCTTGACCCCAGGAGCATGAAAGTGATGAGAGGCCACTGCGATCAGAGCAATGAGGAGCACCGAGGCGACCCAGAAGCCTATGATGGTTATAGGTTGGGCGATCTGGAAAGGTACTCGGCGGGCCATATTCAGAAGCAGCGACATATTGGCAGTCAGAGCGCAGACGAGAGATACCGCATTCACTGCAATTAACCTGTGCTCGTCCGTTCAGTATAGACTCCAACAGCAGGCGAGGATAGCGTACCATCTTGGGTCTTTGATATCAAGGCCGTGTTCCTCCGTCCCGCTTGGAGGGATTTTTACCCTCCAATTTTCTACCAGGGCGCAGATACTGAAGGCATTGGCCATGGGACCAAATGTGCCTGCAACCAAAGGAAACCCGGTGGATGCGTACCACCACCTGGTAGGCACCAAGAAGTTTCGTTCCTCCTCTTCCTCGTCCATGTTGTCCTCTGGATGTTTGTCATTGGAGTGAGGGACATTCTCATGGACTTGACCGTCGGCATCGTCGATGGGTCCATCTAGACCGGGGTCGTTCATCTTTGCAAGTAGCAGTTAACAGGTAAGAAGGAACTGGCTATCGCAAAGTCGGTCTGTTCATTGCGGACTGGCAGGTCGTGAAGAAAGGCCAGTTATGAGCGTCTTCTGTATACAGCGCGTAGATGCTCACAGCGCTGGTCCCGACGAAAGGCTTGCAGCAATAATGGATGTCTTGTATCGAACGAGTTGAGTGTGGGAATGCGAATCCTTGATTATCTGGGGGCTAGTGTGGCCAACTTGAGCGTGACGTCGGTGGCAGGCCTGTTGCAGCGAGTTGGTCGCCTGGGCGGTGCCCCACCAATGCAGGTATTTAAGTTAGTGAGGCCTCCCCGCCTCCATTTCGGTCCTCACATCTTTTTCTTCACTGAATTACAAGTATTATACTCGTGAGGACCTCCGCTCAGATTCGATCACCAGTCACTTGCCATTCACTTTCCATTGAGGACACCAGGAAAGTCTAGGGTTATATTTTCCGGTTTTCCATTTATCCTCAACAATCCGGGTCTGGCTGGAGAGCGCTCTCCCCTCAGACCCGGTGCGTTGGCCGAGCCGGCAGCTCCTTCGAGCATCACTGTGTCCCTACCAGCTAGCTGGTAGGAGCAACCGATGCTTGCGTATAGGTTGGGCTGGCTCGGTCAAAAAACCGATGCTGTGGCAAAAGCGCAGGCGGCCCGTGTTTCGACTGCGTAGTCACGGCTTCGGTTTCTCTTCCCACAAACTCTACAGTAGGGCGGTACTGTAGAGGAGGTGGGAAAGAGTTTTTGTCTCGTGTTCGATTCCCGTTCTTCTTTTTTTTTGATCATATTGAAAGGTATGAAAGTGTTGTGCGATGGATACTATGGTTCAGAAAGTCACGCGGTGAGGCAGCAAGGTTTCTCGACGCGATACGACTACTATGGTGCCATACTCAACAGCATGGTACCCTATCATGCCTCATGAACATTTTATGGCAGCCTGTCACTGTCCTGGTGGACTGTGGATTGAACAGTTTTGAGCGCATGTACAATTGTTCAATTATCTTTCAGACATACCTTCCTGCGCCTGTCTTACTCTTTTCTGGTGTTCTGTGCTGGACGAGCCCGGAGACCATCATCTTTTGGAGAACCAATTCCTCGAGCTGGCCTGCCTATGCTGATGCCACCTCAAGCGAGGCCTAAGTTGTTGTCGGGCGATGGACGGCGGTAAGCAGCTACGGAAGACAGACTGCCACATGAAAAGGTCGATCTGCCCGGCCACAATTCTGCTGAAGTCAAGGTTTCGCACGGATGTCATAGGTCTTGACAATCCGCCCAACGGTTTCCTCGTCGTTACACGTCTGATAGCCACTCACTAAGAGGTCGTGCGAGGCTATATGTATAGCAAGGGCACACATACATCAGGTACGCCATCTTGAGGACCCAATAATTTTCATCTGCTCCAGCCTCCAGGCCTTGTTGCATATCAGTGGAGGTTGAACGTGACGCGGCTGGAATAGGAGATTGAGTTTCAGCTCTGAGGAAGCGAGATCCAGCGCATTCCGTCGCATTTGATGTTTGACCCACGACGTTTGTCATACATAGATAGTATCCGTACTGGGCCAGCGGACTGTGTGCTACATTTATCATGGATCATGGTAGTGGTCATTCGTTGACGACACGACCACCAAATCAAGAATAGAGTCGAGTCAAAATCCGATAGAAAACACGAGGGCCAGTGCAGGAAATGACTCCATAGTGTGGACCACGCTCCCCCGGTAATGAATGGTTCATCTTGAGATCCCGTTTGGTCTCTCCGCTTGAGCTGCATGAATTGCGGACTGCTTTTCCAGAAGGCTAACTTAAGCAGACTTGCCGAACGAGTTGCTCATGGAGACCAGCCACTCATGGAGACGTGGTGAGAGTCCACCGAGCCATCCACGCCATCCGAGCCATCTTTTAGCCCACTCCTGCAGGACTTGGTGGATTCTGTGCCTTACTGCCCTGTTTTCCTCCCACCTCCCGCACCATCTGCATGCAACGACTGCGCCTCATCAAACCACCTTCCTAAGCCATTTTCAGGTCTATCTCGATATCTCAAACATCCTTCACACTATCCACCATCATCGCTTGTAATACGGAGACCCTTGCGCACATCTCGAGTCTCAATTACAGACTGCATCTTCGCTCGTTCCACATCTCCATCCATGCGCACCTTCCATCCAGCTCGACTTTGCGCGCCGGCGCCATCGACCTGAACCTCTTCTCTCACCACCTGCGGCCTCCCACCGCTCAGCCAACCTGAACGATGCTGAGACCCGCCACGCCGCTGACAATTTTACTGCTCATATCCTTCGTTCTGCTCCTCTTGTCCGTCATATCAACTCCCATTGTCAAATCAATTCCTATTGCAACCTATCAGGGTGTCAACTTTGGCGTCTTGGGTTATTGTACAACGACCAAATGCAGTGGTATAAGAGTGGGCTATACAACGGGTAATGACCAATTCTTCCGCATCCAAGACGACATCCTAACATTCCACAGATGGCCTCTTTGGTTCTAACGGAGATGGCGACTTCAACTTGCCCTCTTCCGCCAGACACTCCCTATCGTCGTTACTAATTGTTCATCCGGTCGCTGCTTTCTGCAATCTAGTTTGCCTTGCCCTCGCCGCTGCCGCTCATTTGCACTCACCGTCGCACTCTGCTCGATACCTTCTGGGCCTCCTGATTCTTCTACTACCCACCTTGCTGGTCACCTTGCTGGCTTTCCTTGTCGATATTCTACTATTCGTGCCTCATCTACAATGGGGAGGATGGATTGTACTCGCTTCCACCATTCTAATAACGGCATCGGGCGTGGTAACATGTGCCATGAGAAGAACGCTAGTTTCTCGGAAAGCAAGAAAGAAGAGAATTGCTGAAAACGCCGAAATGAGCGGGGAGAATTTCTACAGCAGACAAGCTCAAGAATCCAAACTTGGAGCGCAAACTTTTACCGCACCTGAACCTACTATGCCCATGGTCAACGGAGCTCCTGGTGCAGATCGATTGCCCGCATTTACGACATTCGAAACTGGCAAGCCTGACGAAGACCGCCAACCACTGAGATCACAAGCATTGGCCAGCGATGGGACTACCCTTAGAGATGGTGCGTCCGATCGCTACTACCCTCCTCCATCCGTCCGGTCGACCAGTCGACCACCCTACGAAGGACCAAGAGATCAGTTTGGCAACCCTGTTCCCCCTCCTAACGGTGCTATGATGCCTCCTGGAAGAAGATCCGGAGAAGAGCGGACTCCCGCTGGCTCGCACCGCGAAGGCTCCGTGCCTCCACCAGGTAGTCGAGGCTACGGCCCTCGAGGCAGAGGCAACTATGCACCTCGAGGAGGATATCCGCCCAGAGGAGGAGGTTATGGTCCTAGAGGCCCTCCGCCACCTCAAGGCTATCCAGGACGAGGTGGATTCTCCACCGAGATGAGAGGAGGCTACACTGGACGTGGAAGGGGAGGATACCCTCCTGTTGGTGCCATTGGTGCCGTTGGTGGAGGAATGGCAGCGGGAGCCATGATGGCTGATGGACAACGTCGACCACCACCGGGTTACCCACCAAATGGCGGCGAACGGATCACACCACCCGAAGCTTACCCAGACAGAATGGGACCTTTTGGTCCCATCGCCAGTTCCAATCCATACGTCGAAAGTGCACCTCCCAACAGGGCCGATGCCATCAGCCCTTCGGTATATACGACTGGACCAGATGAGCAGGTAGCTCCATACGGAGCCCGAGCACAATCTCCAGGTCGCTCCCCCTACGGAAGTCGAATGCAGTCCCCAGCTGGCACCGCCCGACAACCTTCACCGCCGCCAGCCATGCCTCCAATGCCCGCAACTCAAGCAGCAGAGCTGCCCAGTAGTCCAAGGTCCATTTCCAGGAGATCACAGAGTCAAGATCCGTAAGTTGAGTTTATCCAAGCGGATCACTATTGCTGACAGAACCAGATATGTTCCCCCACGCGCTCAATGGAACAATGTGTCTCACGAGGATTTCGCCCAGCCGAGATCACCAGGACGATATACCTCTCCGGTTGAGCTCCCTTCGACTGGAAGCCACGTTGGAGGCTACGGTGGGACTCCACGACGGCCCCGCGTAAATTCTGGTGGCAGCGATGTATATTATGAAGATGTTGACCCTCGATTTGCGTCCGACCCTGCGACAATGCCTCCAGTACCACCAAATCCCCATATGCAAGCTCTAAGTGTGCCGCCACTCCTGACACCAGGACAGCCCCAATACCGACCTGATTCGGTGGGTGGACTGCCGCAGACGAATTCGTACGAAGATCTGCCTGGTGCACGATCCCCGGCCGAAAGCGAAACCAGCAATTTCACGTCTGTCAGCCAGCGTGGGGTCAACCCCAACTGGAGACCGGGTAATGGTGGAGAGTTCAGCTCGCTTGGTCCGATGAGGCCGCGAAGAGAGCACCAGGTGAAGCGCGATGTGCTTCTTGCGGGGAATCCGGACTTTGAGATTCCAGGGATGAGCGTACCGGGTCGTATGGGACCACGAGATGGCCGTGGCGGCACGAGAGGTGCAATGATGATGGGTGGAGGGCCTCCTCGGATTCCGCCCGCCAGCGCTGTGGGAGCAGGAGTCGATGGGAGGTATCCGATGGGACCGCCGCCGCCGCCTGCTGGACCGGGAAGCATGAGAGAAATATAATATGTTTGACGCCCCTGATTATGGATTTGTTGAGAATTACATAAAAACGACGATCAGTATTTTAATGAATGTTTGGCACACGGCCGCTACATTATGACTTTCAACCTACGAGGTTTACTGCGAGGATCTGGGCATAACACTTACGATTGATGATTCGATAGTATGTATATAATCCCCATAGAGGGTGAACATGGCGATCAGGATTGCTCATGTGGGACTGAGAGTTGATATCTGGGGCGCGCCAGTAGCATTCACAATTTACAACTTTCTCCTCTAGCAATGTACAATCGTACCACGCTGTACAGTATTTATTATAACAGAATCCGTCCATCACCACTCCTCGACCCGAACAAGCCGAGAATATTACTTCCACTGCCAGTATTACCACCTCTACTATTGTGGCCTGGACCAGCCGGATCCGAATGGATCGATTCATCAGCCGATCCGCCCATCCATTTCGGCCTCTTGAACACTCCTCCTCCCCCTCCCCCTCCTCCTGGATTCGTTCGGCCAGGCTGCATCCATCTGGGCGTATCAATCGTGTCCATCGTATTCTTGACCCGTCGCCCGAAGAGCGTGAAGAAATTCTCCTCGTCCTCAGGCTCCGGGTCCAGCGCTGGTCGAGTCCCTGGCCTGCTCGTGCCCACTGCGGCAGCAGGAGTACTCGTGCGGTCCGCAGGAGGAACCCAGCGTGTTGGTCTCGATCGCGGAGGCCTGTTGTTATTCTCGAAATTCGGTCGCGGCGAATCAGTCAAGCCCAGCGTTGTTGTTGTCGATCTGTTCCCCTGCAGGTCTCGGGCAATGAGATCACGACCTTCGCGCCACCCGCCGGTCCCAAAGCCGGACGGATTGACCTCTTCGTCTTCATCCTCGATGATATCGAACCCGCACACGCTCTTTATGCGGCCGTACAGGTTGAACAGCGTCGCGCAGACGGGGATGAGTATGAATATGGGGAAGAGGTAATCGAACCAAGTCCCCAGCGGCGTCAGGTTGATCAGGCGGCCCAGGAACTGGTAGAAAGTACTCGACTTTTGGATGTCCCGGGGTAGGAATGTGAGGAAGTTATAGGCAAGCGGAACAGTGAGTTTGGCGATCTGCCCGGCGTACCAACATGCGGATTCAGCGTAGGTGTTACGCCTGACCAGGGCGCGCTGGTTCCATGTCGGCACATCGTTTACGCTGGACAAGGCGCAGGCGCACATGTATGTGATCCAGCAGGATGCCAGGAGTTGGCCGCCAAAGCCGATTTGGTAGTTCTTGTTGCTGGGGTGGTGGATGACCGTCAGACTCACGGCGGAGAGGTGCGGAGCCGGGAACTTGATGATTTCGGACCATATAACTGCAATGGAGGCTAGGGAGAAGACACCCCCGAGGGCAACGCGCAGGGCTGGGATGACGTGTACGTATAGGTGGTATCGCATGAAGGGTGTGAGGAGGGAGAAGCGTGACTGTGAGCGGCCGAAATCCAGTTTCTTGGAGGCTTTGGAGTCGATGATGGTTTGCATGTCGGAGGCGGATTGGACAATGTTGTCCCATTCCAAAATATAACGAGCTCGCCTGTGTCGGGCGCGGACCAGACGTCTGGTCAGGTCTGCGAGGTATCGCTCGGTAACGACGGCAGGGACTTGGGCGGAGGCATCCATCGTAGTTGGATTGCTAAAGATGCGAGACTCGGGGTGACCTGTCATGTCAACCAGCTCGTCTATCCATTCTTGAAAGTCGCGAGCTGTTCCAGTCTTCCTCTGGTTGAGCTGCATGACTTGGGCTTCGAGACCGTCTAGCGCAACAATGGCATCTTCGAGCCGTTCGTGGACCTTTGGTGCCTGGCCTTGTACACGGCGCAGGCTACCGGCAATATCTGCATTGCGGAACATCTTTCTCGGAATTGCGACGAGACCGTGGCCCATGAGGTAAATAGCCAGCATGAGACCCCAGACATATGCCAATGCCATGACGAGAGCTCGGATTGCCGTAAAGTCGAAACCGTAGGAAAAGATCATGTAGATCAAGCCTGCAATCGCGCATGCCAGGACAATGAGTTGGTAACGGCCATTGGAACGTAGCGAATACACCATGCGAGACTTGTAGTCGCGGTAGCCGGCGTCCATGTATTCGCCCAACAAAGGGAGGACAACCCATGTTAGGATGAAGGTCAACCAATACACTATCCGCCATGACACCAGCACTGCTCTTTCAGGTAGCCATATTCCTTTACCGCCGTGAGCGCTTTCTCGGGCGCTTGAGGCAAGGTCGATGGGTACAAGGAGAATAGCGCTGGCGGGGAGAACGAGCGATATAAAGATAGGGACGAGGAGAAAGGCGGGAGTTGATCGGAGCGGTAGGTAGTGTCGAAGAAGAAAGAGGACGGCGACTGATATGGTCAGGAAGGCCAGGAGGGCGAAGACGTCGGACCCAACTGAACTAGCCATGGTTATTGCATAGAGCCTGTCGATGATCGCTCTCACCAAGTAGATTGAATCATGGCGCAGACAGGAGTCGATGATAGGCGTACGTTGACCACGGTGAACACGATTCGAGATGAAAATATACGTCAACCGGTGAACAACAAAAGGTGCAGTGCGCAAAGCCTCGTCAGCCACAGATGGATTCTGCGATACGGCTGGAGGCTGACAGATTCAACGCGAATTGAGGGACATAGAAGACAATAGAGTGGAATGATTTCTGAGGAATGAGGATGCCAAGATACGAGGCTGCGTCATTAGCGACAAGGCAAAAGGAAGTACTAGGCGTGTACTAGGCTATGCTGGGCAAGGTTAGGCATCTCTGGGCTGAAGCCAGGCTGCCTTTGTTAAGCAGAGACTACGAGACTACAGAGTCTCCTCGTTGTCATCTCGATCCACATCTTCTCCTCCTCCGTCTGCGCTACTTTCGTGCATTTTCATACTGACTTGTCGTATTCAGCTGCTGGCCATTCTTGCCGACACCTCTTCCTCTCTTCCTCCTCCTTCTCCTCAAGTTGTATTTTCTCTTATGGGCTCGTCAAGGACCAAATTGACTCACAGCATTGTTATTGGAACCAGTCAAGGATCAGAACCATCGGTAACATCGAACTCAGTGGCTTGTTGGCTGGATCCTCAGCGACGCGCCCGTTTGGCTGCCCAACCACAATCACGACCACGATTCAGGCGCCATATATTCACCAACACTAGTGCCAGCCTTGATTCATGCCTGACTGATCTGCTGTCTGATTCCAAAATATGTCCTCCTCGCCCAAGCCGCTGCTCTAGTCCCTCGCCGACTCATTGTCAACCGAGTTGTGCTACCCAAAAGCCGCCTTGGATTTACACCACTGTTAGGCTGGTCCATATATCCTGTGTCACCTCCTTCGTTCATTCCTGGAGACGCCTTTCCCCTCCTGTCCCTGCTTCCCAAAATTTCCGCCCGTCGATCTCCTCCTCGATCGCAAACGCCGGCCGTCGAAGTCACCCACGAAAGACAGTATATACCTGGATGCTGTGAAGAAAACACCTTTGCCTGGGCGACTCGTCGCTACCTTCTGCAAGCATGAATCCGCAACAATTCCAAAACATGGCCGGCATGGGGAGAGGCTTGCCGAACAATATGCAACAGATGGCCATGCAGATGGGAGGGCAGATGGGAGGGCAGATGGGAGGGCAAATGGCACCACAGAGGGGCGGCCAAATGGGAGGACAGATGGGAGGACAGATGGGCGGACAGATGCGAGGTCAAATACCTGGAGGAATCCCCCAGCAGATGGGCGGACAAATGAGTCTCAGTCATCCCTCAGTCCAACAACATATATTCGACGTGCTCAATTCACAAGGACCTTACACAGGTTGGCAGGCCAATGTCCATGTGAAAGAGCGTGCTGGTCAGATCAAACTCCTTGTCGATTCGCTCCGGCTGGTTAGACCTCCAGTTGAGCTGCACCGCGCGATCGAGGTCGCCTTGCAATTCGAGCGGAAGTGCTTCACTCAAAGTGCCAGCAGGGAGGATTATGTGAGAGAGTGTAGTGACAAACTCGGGAGAATTCGTGACCAGCGGGCTCAGCAGATGAATCAAGGCGGCGCCGGTTTCATGCAAGGCATGCAGATGCCTATGCAGCAGAACATGCAAATGCCCAACCAGAATTTTGCTCAGATGATGCAAATGCAAAACATGAATCCCAACATGGGCAATATGCCTCAGATGATGCAACAACAAATGCAAAGCTCGCCCATGATGAACCAACCTCAGCCCACAGGCAAACCACATTCTGTCAATCAACCTCCGCCTGGGATGCCAGTCAACATGCAAGCAAACAATCAGCAGAAGCAGAACCAAGTGTCAGAACTGACTCCAGACGATAACAAAGCGATCAACTTGAGGGCAGCCGAATTGGCAAAGAGCACCCCTAAAGAGGAAATGAGAAATATTGTTGAAAAGATGAATCCCCAACTGAGGCAGAGTCTGTCTCAAAAATCTGTTGATCCCATCATATATTACTTTCGCATGCTCGCCACAAAGGAGTTTCGCCGAGCCAAGCAGTTGGAGACTGGCATGGGCGGTGCTCAGATGAACAATAACGCCAACATGATGAACCAGCAACAGAATCAGCCCAAGCAAATGAATCAGTCCATGAACGGTGCTTCAAATGGGATGGGTGACATGGGCAGGTACCAAGGTCTGCAAGCAGAGGGTCTAAGATCCCAAGGTGAAGGCGAATTGGTGGTGCCTGCCAGTAATTCTCAAGGCATCCTGCCTGAGCAGATGCGCATCCAGCAGCAGATGTTGGCCAATCAGCAGCGCATGGGTCAACAAGGTCAGGGCAATATGAACCCGGCATTCATGGCCCAGCAACAACGTCTACAGGCTGCACAGGCGACAAAGATGCAGCAAGCACAATTGCAAGCCCAGAATCAAGCTCAAGCTCAAGCTCGTGCTCAGGCTCAGGTCGCCCAGGCACAGATGGCAAATCAACGTCAAGGGATGCCTCAGTCTAATACTCCCTTATCTGCCATCAACCGCCCTGTTGGTCCAAACGTCTCGGGCGCCAGCCCTGCGCAGCAAATCTCCCGGCCTGCATCAGGCACGCCTATGATGAACCAGCAGCAGATGCAGATGAGTAACGGCATGCAGCAACCAGGACAGCAGCAACAACAGCCAATGAATCTGGAACAACACAAACGAGAGCAAGCTCTGGCAAATTTCCCTGCACCTCTTCAGGCAATTCTCCGGTCCAAACCACAGAGTGAATGGCGCAACGTTCTGCAACAGTTCCAGAACAGTGGCAATATGAGGAGGAGTCTATCGCAGCAACCTCAAGGCGTGCAGCCTCAGCAGCCACAACAACAGCAACCCCACCAAGTTCCGCAGTTGCAAAATGGTGCTTTCCTTGGTGGTGCAAACATTGGAGCTATGCCGATGATGCAGTCTCTGTCGCAAGGAGCTGTGTCCCAGCAGGGGGACATGAACATTATGCAGGCACAAATGCAGCAAAATCAAGAAATGATGAGACAGCGTCAGATGGCCATGCAACAACAAAAGCAGCAACAACAACAGCAGCAGCAACAACAACAACAACAGCAGCAGCAGCCGCCGCCGCCACAACAACAGCCACAGAATCAAGGCCAGCAGCAAGTCCCTCGGCAGCAATTGAACTCTCAACAGATGAAGATCATGGATCAGCAGGCTGTGCCTTCATCGGTCTTCAATACCATTAGGCAGAACGCGCCACTGCCTGAAGTGAAGACCTGGTATCAACTAAAACAATGGCTGATACAAAATCCAGTACCGAACTGGCCAGTCTCCCACATTTTGGATATTCAGGCCACGCACTTTCTTTACATAATGAAAGGTCGAAGCCAGCAACAGCAGAACAATGCTGTGCCCCAGGGACAGCCGTCTCAACAAATGCCGCAACCTCAAATGCAAGGCGCACCTGCCCAACCACCCGTGCCTCCCAATTCGATGCGAGTGCCAAATCAGATCGACGTCCAGAAGGTGCGAACTGCAAACCCAAAGTTAGCTAACGCGACCGACGACCAAATCCGTACAATGATCCTTCAGCGACAACGACAACAAATGCAGAAGGCAATGCAACAACAACAACAACAACAGGCAGCTGCCCAAGGTATGGGGCAGCCGATGCAGTTCTCATCATCACAACAAGGACAGCAATTTGCAATGCAAGCACCCCAAAGCCAGCAAGCGCAGCAGCAACCTCATCCAGCATCGGCTCAAGCAGGCGCACAACCTCGTCCATCGCCAACGCAGCCCGACAACAAACCTGTCAAGCGGCCTAGTGATGATGATGTTATTGAAATGCCTAACCCCAACCTCAACAAGCAACCTCAGCCTCAGATGGAAGGAAAGTTGCCGCAGTTGACGAAAGAGCAATTCAATGCACTGGACCCAGCAAAGAAACAGCAGTATCTGAACATGCAAAGAGAGCAGCAACTGCGTAGGAGGTTACACGAGCTCATGAAAGAAGTTCAATCGAGCATGCCCAAACTGCGACCAATTCCAAACATGGACCCGGCAAGTAAAGAGCGTCTCACAAGCATGTTGACTTCCGAAAATGTCAAAAACATGGTGGGCAGGTTCGATGCATTCCTCATTGCCTGCTACCGCATGGATCAGAACGAAGCAAATCTGAAGCAGCTCACAATGCAGAAGATACAACTACTGTCACAATATAAACCGGAGGCTTTGCAGAGGAAAGCTTTCGAGGTGGTAGACAATTTCAGCATTAGCCCTGAGACCGCCGAGACCATCATCGGCAATATTATGGCCAAGTTCCATCAAACCGTGGCCACGATTCCCCAGAACAAAACACGACAACAGCCTGCACAACTCACGCCTGAGAATTTGAATTTGTTGCAAGCTCAGGAAGCGGAACGGAAGAAGTCATTGAAATCAAATCAAGTCCCGCCTGCTCCGACATCGACACAACCTCCGTTCCAACTCGGTGACAAGGGACAAGGAGCTCCGACTTGGTATGGTAATCAGGGCCTCAAGCAAGAAGATTTGAAGCTTCCTGCCAATAATAAGAGACAGAAGAAAAATCAGCAACAAGCTACTCCAGCTGCTGGTACACCCCCTGTTGTTACTTCGCCTCAGCAGTTGAAAGCGCCAAAACCGACAGAGTCTTTCAAGTGTCCTGTCCAAGGTTGTGAACATCAGCTCAAAGGGTTTGCCACACAGGTTGAGCTTGACCAACATCACAATGTAGCTCACAAGTTAGATATGGAACCCGTCACCGATCCTCTCGCCTTCTTGAAGGACTCGCTGCGATCCGCACTGAACTTGGACGAAAATCTGAAGCAAATCAAGAAGCCAAAGGCAGAGACCAAATCGAAAATCAAAGACGAGAGTGCTGCAGCTACGCCTATGACCAAGATCCCCAGTCAGGCTGGGACGAAGACTGGTGACACCAAGATCGAAGACGATGATCCCTGGCAGCACACCAACATTACGCTTGACCAGCTACGTGTTGCATTTGGTGGGGATGAATGGGATGAGCTGTTCCCTACGCAGGAGAAGCATTTGGAACAGCAGTCCAGGTTCTATGAATCGTACCGCAACAGCAGTGAGAGATGGCGCAAAATCACCGAAGGTGCGCACGGTGCTTTGACGGATACTTCGACTGAAAAGTCCAAGAGCCCCGAATTCGCAAGCGATAAGGAATTGCCTGCTGCAAAGGGCCAGAATGCAGAATTGGAGAAGAAGGAAGATGACGCGTGGGTCGTCAACCTGCAGGGTATCGAGGGCCTTGACCTCAGTGGTCTGGACGAACTGTCTCCTTTCGAAAATATCGGCGATAATGACGTTACGATGGGCGAGAGTGGGTCTCCGTTCGAGACGATTGAGAAACCTGCGTTGTCGACGGAGGAGATGTTCCTGCGGCAACATGGACTGGATATGGCGCATCCCGAGGATTGGACGGTGCCGCAGAGGGAGTTGGCGGATTTTGTGATGCAAAAGAAACTGTGAGATTTGGCAAGGGCTGGCTAGGAGGGGTTGGCAAAGATCAGCTCGCTCTTGACCTACGACTACATGCATTCAATAAGTATTTTTATTTCAGGTGCGACAGCTAAGGCTGACCTGTTATTTTGAGCACGGTGTCGGTTGGTATAGGTGATATCAGGTATTTTGGAGGCTCATGGGATGCAATTTACGACTCAATGACTTTCTTTTTGTTCTTTTGGCGAAGGCTCAACCTTGACCTTCGCCCGGTACCTATGGCGAGCCCTGTTGGCCGTGGCTTAGTCTGTGGTTTTGTATCACTACGACAAATGATATCCCTGCAGATTTCTCCGGTCGGGCACTTTACGATGGATCGGCCACTTTGAGCAATGCTACTGGTGAGGCTCTGGAGTTGAATATGATATGACCACAAAGGCACGATAGGTCAAATATAAATGGAAATGCTCCGTACCACATTCATTAAGTAAGGTATCGAGTACTCGATAATTGTTCCAACTTCTCCGATTGTATCGATCAAGTCAACTCCTGCCTGCCTGTCCATATATTGTTACACAGCAGACAAGACTCAAGCTGAGGCATGCACTACTAGTAATTGTACCGAAGAACGAGGGCCTGAAAAAGAAATACTATATTGCACATGAATACTCCGTATTCAAGACGAATATCCAAGACGATAACCTGCAACTGAAAACCCCCGATCAGGACTATTGTAACTCCGTGAACAAAGAAGCATTCGGCGCGCCTGATGGGGTTATCCTCCGTTGTGCTGAATGATTAGGAGTGTCCCCTCGACATACACCCATCAGCTCTGGACCGCTTCGACAGCAGGTGCTGCTTCTGACAACGATGTACTTTTCAAATTTCAGTCCTCAACGTCATCGTCCTGCTCGACAATGCACCTTTTCGAAGTTTTCAGTCAGTCCTCCACATCGTCCTAATCGACAATACACCTTTCAGACTTTCAGTCAGTCCTCAACATCATCGTCCTGCAGATCCTGCGCCTGGAAACGGCCTTCGACGTAATCGATTCCCAATTCGCGTAGTTTATTCAGCATTCGGTTGCCGATACTCACTCTCTCAAAGCCAGGGGGGAGACGGCGTCGTGCTCTGCATGGCAATAAAAGCTTGTTAGCGAACGAACGTGTTCAAATTTTTGACGTTAGGTAGCGTGGTCGTGGTCTCGCACCGCCCTAGGCATATACATCCAGTCTCTCTTGGGGGTTCTAACACCTGTGCCCACCTACGCAACCCACGCAGCGAGACGTGCTTCGAAAAGTGTACGGCAACAAGGTGGGAAGTCGGCGAGGGTGGACCGTTCTCAGGGGGTTGCGGAAAGACTGCGAATGGGTGGGGGTTTTCAAGTGTTGATACGTACTTCAGAAAATCCAGCTTGATATTCCGCGCCTTATCTTTGAGCCCTACCTGATCGCGTGATTGGAGCAAGGGGCCATCGACATGTGCCATGTCCTCTTGCAGTATGGCCGACCACTTCGGACCCAGCAACTCGACGAGCTCCATGAGACGGTGGACTTCAGCTTCCGTATAAGGCTTGCGGACTTGTATGGCAGAGCCGCCGCGAAGGAGTTCCCGAGAGATTTGCGTGTTGCGTTTGGCTTCGGCGTTGACGGCCTTCAGATCCGGGATAAGGGGTGATGTACCGCGGCGAGGAGGGGAGTGGGTGGTGGTGGCTTCGCGAGGCCGTGAGCGGGCCGGTGCGGTGGAGGGAGGGGGCCGGGTGTGGTCGGCCACAGGGCGAAGAGGGGCTCGGTCTTTGTCTTTCGGGCGCGAATGTTGGGTGCTTGTGCGGGCGGGGGCGGGTTGAGAGGCTGATGGGAGTTTGGAGCTGATGCGCGGACGCTGTTCTGGCGAGCGAGTGCGTTGGCGACGGGATTGAGAAGCGCGGTCACGGTGACCCTGAGCCGCCGTGTCGTCCTCAATGGCCGATGCCTCAGGAGTACTGTGCCAGGGAAGGTGGCGTCTGCTGGATTCGGCGGCGATGCGAGGCTTCTTGGGCGATCTGGCATCGGTTTCGAATTCGTCGTCTTCTTCCGACTCTTCCGATTCAGCAGGTCTTTGACGTTTGCGGGCCTCAGCTGGACGAGGAGTAGCTTCGTCGTCGGCAGGTTCGCTCCATGGGACCTTTTCTGCATTGGGTTGGCGGTCTAGAAGCGAACGTTTCTTTGCGGGTGCTGCATCCGTTCGGTCGTGGATTATATTCTCCTTTTCGCTCTGTTGTTGTTGTCGTTCAAGCGTTGCCATTATAATTCGGCTTTGTTGGGTTTGCAGGATCTCTTCTTCAATGGACTCGGAAGGAGGTTCAGATTCTCGCGGCTCTTCGCCTGCATCTTCAAGGGCTGGCTGTTCAACATCTTCGTCACCTGCGAATTGTGCTCCTTCTTCCTCGGCGTCAACTAGTGGTTGCTCAACTTCATTGTCATCGTCTGCTGCTGGCTCACTCTCCGCTGCTGGCGTCGGTGATTGTGGAATCACTCGTTGGGGTGTTAGCTGAACTTCACTGCTCGCCTCCCGTGAGCTGATATCTATCGGATCAGCGCCGATAGCAGACCGGCTAGCGGCAAGTCTCGCCCTAAGGTCTCTGAGTCTGCTTGATTCGGCTCGAAGTGCCTTTGTCGTTGGTGGGCCTTGTAATCTAGTCATTGTGAGCGGAGGCGTCTTTTCTGTTGTCGCTACAACAGTGTCACGACGATGGGGCTCGTCTTCCCGTTCTTGATGGGTTTTTGTTGGCTTTGGGGTCTCGTCCAACTCGGCTCCGGAAATGATGGCCTCACTTATCATGTCGACACCACCTTTCGCTCTGATCAGAGCGTCTATGTGTGCTTTGCGAGCTAATGACCACTTCAAAACCTTGACGGCAAAGTCCGACCACGAGAATTGCTGCTTGAGGCCTTCCAGATCAAGAGGCTTTTGCGGATCTGTCCTGAAGTGCTTCCTTATCACCTGCACACGATGGATGATCTTCTGCTGTGTAGTCTCATGCTGATATCCTCGAATCTGATCATCGTCATCCCAGAAAACCTGACTAGCTAGTACATCCGGGTCGAATGATGCGTCTGACTGCTTTTCGGCGGCTTGTTGAATGTAAAATTGAGTAAGAACATCAATGCTCAAATCAACAGCATCTGCGACCAGGTCAGGGTGGAGAGGGTAATGATGAGTACCGGCAACGGGCATGGGAAAATTGATGGTCATGTATTCGGGGTATATGGTTCGATCCTCGGGCGAGGAACTGAAGACGTGTCCGATTCCCAAGGCTAGATTCGCGATATAAATCACGAGTAGCGGACGCAACGCGCTCTCGGGCAGGCTCTCGTATTCGAGTCGATTGGCAATCTTCAGTGCGATGAGATCTGGGACAATGTAGTCGTGGGTGCCGAATGCCTTGCGGGTGTCCAGGAGACGCTTAATTCGAGTTTGAAATCTCCGTCGTTGCGAAGACTCTGGCTGCCATAATTTATCGCATTGACTGCGCAGAGTGTCATCATCCAGGCCCTCGAAGAGTAACAGCAGTTTTGCCGAATCGTAAAAAAGGTCCACAAGGCTGTCGACGATGGCATCTCGATCTAGAACATCTAGCTCGGCTTCGAGGTACGAGGCCCCTCCTGAAGATGAGGGGAGGTCGATGGACTCAAGGTCCTCAGCTATTTCCTGATGAAGTTCCACTTCCTCGCCCACAGGCTCCAGCACCAGGTCGATATTTTGTAGCTGCTGTTGTGCCGCTGTGACCTCGCGGCTTCGTGGTCGTGTCGGGCGTGGGGTTTGAGACGCCTCGGCAGTGACGGTAGATGGTCGCGGTTTTGGGGGCGAGAGAGGAGTGCTTTTCCTGCTCACTGAACGTGCGCTTCGAAGTCTCGCCATGGTAGATGGGTGTTCGTGAGTCTGTGATAGAATAGTCCGGCTCTAGGGTTAGTAACCCTGATGATTATGGACCTGTGCTGTCATTTTGCGGAGTGCATGCCGAAGTCGCGGTCGAAATAGGCTGCAGCTGTAAGGCAGGGAGGCTTGGCGCGTCGCGTATCAAAACAAACACCCTCTCGGTGCCTCTCCTACTCTCACCCAACTCTCACCATAACCTCTTCCATCTCTATCTATGTACGGGGAAGGTTGATTATTACAGTCATTACCTGCTACTGAATCTCTGGGCCGCAGTGAGCGTATAGCTCCAGAGCAGTGTGTCACTTCCTTTTCGACATTGAGGATTCCCTTCGTCACAACTATCTAGGACCTACAACCGGGATTAACTACGAAGGTTCTCAGCGTTCGCGAAGTTAACTTATGAGATGCGATGACGGCGTGCCTTGAGCTCATCATCAACCACTCATGTTTCGTTGAATTGGTTGTTGATTGCTCAAGACACTCCCGCCCACGTTCGTAAATTGAGTTATGTCCAACAAACAAAAAGTGGCATTCCCACAAGCACCGAATGCTGCGGCTGGTCGGAAGGAGGCATGACGCTCTCTAGTGCAGAGATACTGTCCAGTGACGTCTCCATCGTGCCTGAATGTCCACTATGGTTCGACCATTCAGACGACGCTGTTTGCTTCCTGGCCGACTTCGTACCTCGATTTGAGACATGGTCCCCCACAGACGAAGAAGTGTACCCATCGGGATTAAAGAATGTCAATCCTCAGTACACCGAGGCGTAGCGTTTGACTTCCAACCCCCTTGACCCAGTTAAGTCACTTTGACACTGATATGTCTGTGCAATTCACGAAACCTATCAAGTTGGAAGGCTCTGATCTCTCTTGCGACCGGACCGGCACATTCCTCGATACGTATAAAGCTTGTACAGGTGTATTGGCGGGTGCAGTGGTATCGCAACTGATGCTGAGCAACTTTGTCAGCCTCGCTGTCCGGTCGTAGAGCGACAACTTGGCATGGTGGAATTGAGGAACGTAGATTGTGGTCCAGAGCATCGGCTCTATTGATTGGGAATGTCTTCGTTCTAGCAGCCGGGTTTCTGGAAGGAGTACTATGACTGCTTCGTCATTTCTTCTTGGCCATAGTCGCCACCCGAGCTGCCATTTTCAGGATAGCTGTCGTGCCCTCACGCTCTTTGTCCATCGCTTTCAGCCTCATCGTCTCAACAAGATCAGCGTGCTCTGCCTCAGCATCCGTAATTGATCGGGGCTGCTTTCTCCGCCGCTTGACATTTCCGTTTCCATAGATAACTGCCCAGTCCTCTACATCCCGATCGACGGTAATGCCAGCGCAGACTTTTGCATGGGAGCCAATTGTTACACCCGCAAGCACGGTGACGTGAGGTTCAATGAGCACAGCATCTTTGATCGTGGCCCCTGCATGAATCTGCGATGCTGCATGGATGAAACAACTTGATCCTATCGTTGTTTTCACTGGGTCTGCATCCTCATCGTCGCCTTCATCGCCATGGGCTAATAGTGGGCTGGGTTGGGCACTACCACTGGATGGTTTAGAGGCAGCATCGGCCACGCTTGAGCTCTGCACAGGTCCGCCAACGACACATTTCTCTGAGATGATGCATTTTTCACCAATCAACAGTGGGCCGTTGACAGCTATGAGGTGAGAGCGCGGATGGATGAGAACATGCTCGCCGAGGGTGATGGCATGAGTACCGCGAACGTAGGCGCCTGGGTCAAGGTGTGTGGTCTGTCCAAGGGTGACTGGTGGCCTAGTCGATGAGGTAGATTGGGATGGTGGATGAGCAGGTTGAGTGCTCATTGTGCGTCTATACAGGATCTGGAATGAAGGTGGTGTTGTCAAAAGTGATAGTATGTGGACTTGTTTCAGCCTTGTCGGCGGACCGAATTGGACGCGTTGACAAGGCTGGGTGTTTGACGCGTCTCATTGGCTCATGAGAACCTCTATTTGACACCCAAAGTCCTTTCTAGAGACAACGTTGGTTGTGCCTGCTTCTAGACCTCGCCAAAACAACGAGTACATGAGGAAGAACGACACGAAAGACTGCCTGCTCTAAGCAAAAAAGAAAGCAAGGAATGTCCTACTATGATGTTGACGCTATCTTGACGGACACGCAAAAACTACCATGTACTTTCCAACTTGATGTGCCAGGACTTGGATACTTGGATGGTAATGCTGGTGGAACGGCAAGTCAGGCTGCTGAGAAGGGCAAAACGCAGGCTTACGGCGAGACAGGTCAAGGCCGGCACGACAATAGAACTGCCCATGTGGTTGGGTGTCATGCTCGCAGTGTCAACCGGGTAAGATTTTGTCGACTGGAGTTGCCGACCTTTGTCGACATGCGAACTTTGCGATTACTGAAGGAGAGACTGATTGAGTCCCTAGCAATACACCTGGCTCGCCGCAACTAGTCACGCTGAATTTCCCCCCTCCACTTCAGCAGCGAGTGATCAATGCGTTGAAAGCAAACCCAAGGACAGTGGATTTACGAGCCCAGGCACCGCACTACTACGCTCTAGGTGCACGAATTATGGAACTGTTCGAAGACCAGGCTGTACTGGATACTCTGCTAGATGTGAGCATTGAATGATATGAACAGCACCTTGTGCGTTGACGGCCGTAACGCAAATACTGACAATCTGCAATACCAGACCTTCAAATCACGAGCATCAGAGATTGCAGACCAAGCGCACAATCCCCGAGGAGCATTGGGTGACGGTGCTGATTTCCTCAGAGGCCTGGAAGAGAGCGAGCGCCAACTCTTCAAAGCTGCGCATGAAGGGCCGAAATCAGTGAAAGCGTGGACGCAAGATCTGAGGAGGAGTACTTGAGACGAGGAAAGGGAAAGAAATGGGCATGAGTCATGATTTGATGAAGCAGTCGAATAGATGACCTGTATACAATGGCGAAATTCGCTTCTGTGGAGAATACGCCCGCCGCAACACCTGAACGTGAAGTCGTAAGAGAGATCGACAGCTTTCCGTCCTCAAGTTGAAGCTGATGTGAGTCCAAGCTGACGGAGACTGGTGGTTGCTTGGAAGATCGGACTGCCATATCTTAACCAACACCGCCGGCCGCCTCCTTGATTTTCGTCTGTTCCGGCGGTTCATCGATGAACTGCGGTGGCGCTACTTCGTCCTGCAAGAAACCCGGCGTGCTCTCTCCCACCCCCATCTCTTGCTCAAACATCATGTCTTCACCCAGGGCTTCTAGTTCGGCGTCCAACTCTGCCTCGTCCACATCTTCTGGAACATCGTACGCACGACTTATGCTCTCGTTGATCTCGTTGCCGATTTCCATTAGATCCGCCATCTCGTCCTGCATCTGCTCGATCTTGTCGATGTTTATTTTGCCATACTGCTGCTTCAATGCTTTGTTCGTCGTCTTCATCGCATCCACCGTGGTCATGACATTTTTCAGGTTATCTTGCATCATCCCGGCTTGTTCCATGTTCCATGACTGCTGCTGTAATTGATCTCGTTGTGACTCGTACATCTTGCGCCGTTGAAGGACTTTGAGGGCTTTTTGCTTAATGGCTTGCTTGCCGGGACCATCGCGCATTTTGCTCAGTTTCTGCTGGTACGTGGAAAGTTCAGCATTGGTCTTTGCTAGTTTCACATCGATCGAGTCGATCCTCGTGTCTACCTGCTCAAGAGGTTAGACTGCGGGTGTGAAGCATCGGTGGGACGTACATTTGAAATGGCACTGTTGAGCGTCGGCTTCGGGGCTGTATTCTTGGAGCCGAACAAGCGATTCATAGTGACTGGCAATGGCCTGACAATGCGTACTGTGGTATAGGAGGCTCTGTGGGTTATCTTAACATTCAGTTGTTCCTTTGTCGCAAAGTGCAGATGAAAAGCAGCCTGCGTCATTCAGGTGCCGGAGATTACCCGATGCTTGCTTGTCCATGTCACGCGTGGTCACGATATCCAAATGCTCTGTATGGAGTATCTTGCTGCCATACAATGTATGAATGAGGTTGTCTACCAGGTGCAACGGACCGACCATAGGACAAGCACATGCCGCACTCACGAAGTGAAAGTCGGGCATAGACTCGCTCGTGGCTGAAAATGCAGGGATCTTCCGGATGAGTCTCTCCGGCACTGTTCTCTCTACTACAGTCATATTGAGGGAAAGCTATGTAAGAGGCGGCAGCATAACCTCTGGATAAGCCCGTCAAAGAAAAGCCACAATCCGACGGATCGTAGTCTCTGAGAAGACTGCGGCACTGCGAGAAACGATCAACTACTTGTCGGCGATGGAGCAACTGAACGAAGGTGCGGCTTTGTCAGAAAGCCATGTGGCATCGGCAAGTTGATGGAGGGCGGACGAAGGATGAAGGAAGAATGGTTGATAGATTTGGCCGCCACGTTGCCTGCATCCTCCATCATGGGCCCCGAAAAGGGGCAACCGAAGGCGAAGGCGCTTGTTTGTGGAGGCGCCGGCATAGACACAAAGTTCATTCACGGCCCTGCGGAATGGTGCATCAGTTCTCTGTCTATGGGCTTCCCTGTGCCTGATATCCGTAACACAATCGGACTATTCTTAGACTTGGTGCTGGAAAGTACTACATACAAGTTGTACGCACATTGATAAGAGCATTCACCGTGATCAGGCAACTTTTGTTCGGTGAGAACCGGCATTGAATTGAATCACAGGACAGCGCATTTCACTTCGGCATCCGCACTGGCACTGGCACTGGCACTGGCACTGGCACTGGCACTACCAAACCTCGCCTTGCCTCGCCAAGTTCGTGCATCTCGTCCGCCGCCGCATCCAGCAACCAACAAAGTACCTCGCCTTACAACTCAATTAACACGCGATCATATCCCTTGTACAACAAACCTGCGCCTGGCTCAGAGTCACCCTTTCAGCCTTACTCTTGGACTTCTCTTCCAGTCATTCCTTTGTAACAACAGGTGAGTCCAGAAGCTGCCGCGCATCAAGCAAGATTCGACCCTGTCTTGCCAACAACAATACCTACAGATTCCAGGAGGCTGACTTATAATCATCTCTTAGCGCTGGAACGCCATTCTATGTCTCGCTCAGTCATCGATTCACGAGTTACGACTGTCCACGGCCTGTTATACTTCAACCACTCGCCCCCGCGTCTGTACCATTACTAAGACCATCCTCCGTCACCTTCCTGCGGTCGCCGCGACGACGAATTCGTGAAAATGTTTTGGCGTTTTGGAGGCTACTCCAACATATCAACAATTGACACTCTTCTCGACAAACCTAATGTCAAGCTTGAAGATCTGCTCGAAGAGTCGGACCTCATTCAAGAACTCAAATCCCACCACACAAAATTGATTGAATTCCTTCGTGAGGAAAAGAATCTCCGCGCTTTACTGCAATATGTGGTAGCTCCAGGTCCACCGATAGAAGAGTTTGCAGAGGATGAAAAAGGCAAAGGCCCTGTGCAAGACAATGACCAAGAGAAACCGTCCGACGAAGAACAAGAGAAGACCGAAAAAAAGAGACTGAAATACGCATTTGTCGCTTGCGAGATCTTATCCTGCGAGACATGGTCCATCACAGAATCGTTAATGGCCAACATACCCTACCTCACCGAGTTCTGGGATTTTCTTCGCCGACCAGCACCATTGGATCCTCTCCAGGCAGGCTATTTCACCAAAGTCAATGAGACTCTCTTGGAAAAGAAGACGGAAGATATGCTGGAATTCTTCAAGTCTTTGCCAGGCATCGTACCGGCTATCCTGCAACATGTTGACTGTCCTATGGTGATGGATCTTTTACTGAAGATCATTAGTCTTGAAAAGTCAGATGGTGGTGCGGGCATCGTGGACTGGCTGCATGATCAAGATCTCATCCAGATGCTGCTGTCGAACTTATCTCCGGACTGCAATTCCTCGACCCAGACTTCTGCGGGTGATTTCCTGAAAGCTATCATCACAATTTCTGCAAATGCAGCTCAGGACCAACAGTCTTGCATTGGCCCTAACAGCCTCACCCGGCAGCTGGTGTCAGAGAAGTGCATCCAACAGCTCGTTTCGTATATGCTCAAAGGCGGCAATCCTCTTACAGTCGGAGTCGGCATTGTGATTGAAGTCATTCGGAAGAACAACTCTGATTATGATCCTGACCAAGGGCATAATGCGGATAGTCCTCCAACGAATCACGACCCCATCTATCTTGGTACCCTGTTGAGGTTGTTTGCTCAGCATGTTCCCGACTTCATGGATCTCATTCTCAGCTCGAAACACACAGTCACTAAAGGGGAGAAGACCAGCGTCGAGGAGAGAGGTGTACTTAAATCCGCGTGGGGTACGCATATTGAACCTCTTGGGTTTGACCGGTTCAAAACTTGCGAATTGATGGCAGAACTACTGCACTGTAGCAATATGGGCTTGTTGAACGAGCCGGGTAGTGAAGAAATTATCAAGAAGCGGGACGCCGAGAGAGAACGACTGAGAGAGCAAGGTGCTTTCCTGTCTAACAAGCAGTCGGAAGACTCCGCCGTCGATATCTCGGTCAGTTCCTCGAGGTTCGAAAATGCATTCACTCCTTCGGCGTCGACGTCTACCGAAGAACTCCGAATCGCGAACCTTGGTGACGAAGATGGATTTGAGAAGGTTGCTGTTTCGGACGCAACAGAAGCACCCAGAAGCTCCGAGCAGGCTGCTGACGCCAAAACAACCCAGGACCCAACTTCACCCGCAGAAAATCTGGACGACACCGTACGACGACTGAGCCTGGAGAGCGCCGAGGATACTATCATGACAACACCACCTAATGAATCGGAGACAAGTACGCCTGAACAACAAACTGCTCATCCTGAAGACAAGCCCGCTCCGTTGTTCTCATCCGATCCCAACAAAACACCAACAGCTAATAGCCCTGAGCCAACCACAAGTCCTAAGGTTGCAAAAGAAGTCGGCCAAAGCAGTCATGTGGAGGGAGATTCTTTCCAGACTGCTCAAGATGAGACGATGCACAACCCGCCGTCTGAAGGTGCCGCCGACCCACCAGTTGTAGGAGATCACTTGAAGCTCATGTTCGTTGAGAACAAGGTGGTGCCAACGATATTGGTAAGTCGATTTGCCTCGATAACATCATTGCTAATCTTGGAGTAGAGCTTCTTCTTCCGCTTCCCGTGGAACAACTTCCTTCACAACGTGGTCTACGACGTCGTTCAGCAAGTGTTTAACGGCCCTATGGACAGAGGTCATAACCGATTCCTCGCTTTCGATCTCTTCGAGACTGGCCGTATCACCGACGCCATTGTCGAAGGCCAGAGACGCAGTGACGAAGAGCAACAGTCCAAGAACATGCGTCTCGGCTACATGGGTCATCTAACGTTGGTGGCGGAAGAAGTCGTCAAATTTGGCGAGCGACATCCCCGCGAAGTCTTGTCCCCGACCGTCCAGGACTACATCTACTCCCAAACCTGGGAAGAATACGTTACTAAGACACTTGCAGAGACCAGAGAACGAGACAATGCCATTCTAGGCGGCTTCAGACCTGATAACGGACTTGGTCCTAGACAGGCTGTATTAAGCGCTGTCCATGCTGGTCAAAACTTTGGTGCTTCAAGTGCATTGGCTGCTGCGGGAATAGGTGGACAGCCGCTGGACAGTATTGATCTGTCTAATAATGGGAGTGCCACTAGTGCAGGCTACAACTCGAATGGTTCACTCTCCAGTGGTTTTGGGAGCTCGTCGGATGATGAGGACGAGGACATGGATGATGCAGATGAGGAAGAGCATCGTCAGCTTGCAGCTTCTGATACCGGTCTGGCGGAAAATGTAAGTGCGACGAATAAACGCAGACTGTTTATCTTTTAGGCTAATAATGCAGTCTGACCAGCCTGTACCATTACTACCACCTCCACCGGCACCACTTAATATCGAGCCATCACGTGCTCGTCGACGTTTGGCCGACCGCTTAGCGAGGCACAAGCAGGAAGCCGAACAAGAAGTGGCAGCGTCGGAATTTGGGTCCGAAGCAGATGATCCATTCGCTGCCCTGGGGAACGAAGACCGTGACCCTTTCTCACTGGATGAAGAGGAGCAGGACATAACCACGTTTGGAAAGCGCAAAGCAGAGCGCTCCAGTCATGACTTCTCGGTTAGTCGCGGATTGACCAGTCTCTTTGCGCCACATAAGGAGACATCACATGATGATTTCAACGGGTCATTGGATGATTCGTCGTCTGATACCGGGTCAGATGGCGATCCTGAAAACCCTCCCCTGGAGGCGCGGACGAGTTTCGAGCGACGGCCATTGGAGGTTTTCGAAGATGAAGAGATGGGAGAGATGGTGGCGCCCACCGAAGAGGGTAATAGTTCTGATGAAGAGGTGTTGAGTCCTATGGAGAAGAAGAAGCTGGGTGGCGCTTTTGGGATGAGTGATCCTGACGAGCAGGCCTCGGAGTTTGCGGGTCAAGATGATCATGATGACGACGACGATGGAGACCAGCTCGTCGAGATTGCGATGCCAACGAGTTCGAAGAGAAAGTCGAGGGGTTGAGAGGACCTCTTTTCGGTTTCGATGAATGCGTCTCACCATACGTCGCCACCTAAGCGACGAGTTACCGGTAACGAAGAGAAAGCAGATGATGGCGAGCCGAGAGAATGATTCACCAATGTACAATACTGAACTCTGATACCCAAGAACAACAACAGCATCGCCGTCCCGCAGAACGACGGCCACCAGACGGTATGGTAGGAACATGCCACATCACAAGGGACTGTGATGATGCACCCGGTCCAGACTAGGGTAGGCAGAAACATATTTTGGAAAGGACAGGAAGTAATGTTTCGGGGGTTTCTTGGAGTGCGGAACCCAAAGCCGTGGTCGATCAGAAAGGCCAGCATGGTGATGGGTCTCTGCATACCTGAATACCTTGTGGCCGATGTGAGCAGAAAGGGGTCATGTACGATATGGGCTCTGTAGTACAGAATTGAGCCGATCCAAATGACTGTCATTGTCGTAACCGTGATGTCTCTGTAGATGTTTCTTTGTATATTGCAACATCACAAGTAATCATGTATGCCGCTTCGGCTGTGACACCTTGACCGTCATTAGCCGTCGACTTATCTATGTCTTCAACGTACTCGGACAGCGTCTTGACTCCTCCTTATTCCCTATGTCTAGATGCAACATGCTAAATCAAACAGGCCAATACCGCCCGGACCGGAACGCCTTGCTGCCAATAGAATTCCTGAGATGCCTGTATGCTTGTCTCTCTATCCCCGACTTTCCCGGAGTCCATACAGGACGGGCGATTGTCGAATGACCGAGAGTTGCTGAGGTTTTAAGGTCGATAATATCATCCCTCTAACTCGACGACATCCTCCACCTCCCTTCGTAGATCCTTCTTCGTGATCCCCCTACGCTTCCTCCACTCCCACACCCCGGCATCGACCTCGTCCCTGGTGACGCCGTCTCTCACAAGCCAGAAGGTCACGCCCAATTCTGTTTCGACATTGCGGTTGCGGCCCTCGTCGTCGAAGAATAGCATGTCCTCGAACGCGACTGTCCCGCCACCGCCGTGTTTGGTCGTCGCAGCTTGTATCCGACGGAAATGCGTCGTTTTGCTGCCTGGGTAAATCTGGCTGTGGGTGAAAAAGTCGATGGCGCGGAGCGGTTTAGATTGAGATTGAGATTGAGATTTTGAGTTGCTATTGCTGTTGCTGTTGCTGTTGCTGTTGCTGTTGCTGTTGCTGTTGCTGTTGCTGTTGCTGTTGCTGTTGCTGTTGCTGTTGCTGTTGCTGCTGCTGCTGCTGCTGCTGCTGCTGCTGCTGGCGTTACTGGTGGCGGCAGGGGATGTGGATGTGGACGAGGGGACGTGAAGGCCTCGAAGCATGTCGGCGGCTAGATCGGGCGCGTGGGTGCGGCTGGCAAGAGACATCGTGATGCCTCTTTCTTTGGCGGAGGCGAGGATCGAGGGCACGTCGCTGTAGAAGGAGAAGGGCTCGCCCCAGCGGTCCAGCATGCGCGTGTTGTGTTGCGGATGTGGGTTGGCCGGTTTCAAGGGTCCCGACACGTGTGTGTCGACCCAGAAGGGCCAGAGGGTGTAGTCGAGATCGAAGACTATAAGGGCCGGGAGGGGTAGGGCGTCGTTGAATGTGGAGGGTGTAGGAGAGGAGGGCGCAGGAGGGATCCTCTGGGGTTGTTGTGGTTTGGAGCGTGGCATTGCGGGATGGTGAGAGCGCAGCGAGGAGGAGGAAGAGAAGGAGGGTTGCGAGAAGGTCGGAGAGAGAGGACGCTGAGGGAGGCAGGTTGGGAGGGGGAGGAGGAGGAGGAGGAGGAGTACAGTGGCTGAGATGTTGGAATACTGTGACACAGTGAATGAGGAATTGAAAATGTTCGGGGCTACGGTCAACGGAGGGGGGCGAAATGACGACAAGGCTGAGGCCGAGATCGACAAGATAAGCCTTGTCACGTGGAGATAAACACGTGGAGAAGAACATCCCTGTGATCACTTGAGCTGCCGTGAGCTGCCTTGCTGCGCGGCTGTAAGTCGGTCGAACAGCTGTCCGATCCGACCTTGCTTGCGCCGATCAGGCGCAGGTGAGTACTGCTCGCCGAAGCATCGCAATCATGTTCTTTACGGCCGGCAGTCGCAGGATATATCAAGCCACTCGCCGTATGCCACTGGCATGAAGTAGGTTCGTGGAGCGAGGGTCATACCAATCATTGCGGCGGGAATTTAGAAGAGTTCCAGCATCGTCAAAGCAGCAACTGAAGCAGGTGCACGGCTCTCATGCTTTGTCCTGAGTTGGATGGACGCGCGGATCTTTGGAAACAAGCCAGAGACGGCCCAGCCCTTCACGCGATTGTTACGTGCCATAGTGAGGTGGACTAAATGAACGGTGCTATGCAATGGCAGCTCAACTGGCTAGGCTGTGAGGCTGGCAAACAAATTAACGCCATGGTCATTCTGAAGGACAAGACAGAAAGAATCATCAACACCATGGTCAAAGGACAAGACATGGATTGAATATTGCATCGTCATGGTAGGTCCATTCCATCTTTCCGCCGATGAAGACTGAGAGGCGAGACTTGGACACTCTATTCCGCCTCTCTCGCTACCGGGAGTCCTTCATGTCCATCTTGTCCATCTTGTCACTGCCTCACCGATGTATACTTGATACGCTTCAGCATGAAAGCCTGTGATTTTGGACCATACAACACTTTCGCCAAGCGCCTCCCTGCCACGAAGTTCGATTTCTGATGAAATGGACACCGAAAACGCAGTCTACAAAGCTCAATTGTCGTGCCTGGCGCGATTGATGACATCGCATCATTCATCCCCATCATTGGTCAGTTTGCAGCTTGAATCCCTTGTTCGCTCGCGCGTGTCACACTATTCACCACTAGCCAACGATGAATACGCCAAATCTACGACTGGAGAACCCAGCCTATGACAAATTGGTCGACAAGCCGCTTCAAGACCTCAGAGAAAGCATCGCCTACACAATGGACTCTATGCAAGGCACAGCGAAACAAGCCCTTGATCGATACAAAGACACTTTGAAGGATGACAGCATCATGCTTGATGAGGACGTGGAAAGAATGCTATCACAGGCCGTTGCTCGTTGTGAGAGGTCACTCACGGCAGACATGATGCAAATGAGATATACGTTCCGCAGACAAATCGACGAAGCCATACAGGCGTTTACTGACGATTTCCGCCACAAATGGTACTTCAAGATTGTGGACGGCCTCAACAGCGAGATCCTCGACATCCGCACTCGGCTCGAAGAGTCGGTTGAGAAGGACAGACAGAAGATCCGGGAACAGGAACTGGAGTGTCAGAGAACCGAGGAGACGTTGATCATTGCCAGTGACTTTCTCGAGAACAGGGATCGTCGCTGCCAAATCCTGGAGATTGCCTTGCGTCACCGGCTCGAGGAAGCGCATGTCCGGGATCCATATGATGATAAGACAGGTGGCAAGAAGAAATCGGGTCTCTTTCGAGTCATCTCTCACAAGATCAAGGCATCCTGGCTGACTCGCAGGAACCGCAAGTAACGGCCTACAGGGGCGTCAATACGGTTGGTTTGGACACTGTTGACATGAGTACGAGGGGGCCTTCGGGGCTATTGGAGCTCCATTGGATATCAGCACGAATTGTTGTTGAGGCCGAATGCAATGATATATTAGCTTGGATCGAATGTGCTTCCGGTAGACGTCCATTCCAAGTGTCTCCAAAGATGGTATGTAGTTCGCCGACTATGGCTTATCACAAGTAGTAGAGCGATGGAAAGTCCGTGGACAAGGCTGCAAGGGCCGGGCGTTAAATACCCACCGGTCGGCGGAGATAACTGGTAACTGTTCGACCGAACCGATCGATCTGCGCATCGATAATCGTCATCAACTTTTTTATCGGGGGACTTTACTACTTTCACTTTCCGCAAGGCAGATCAATAATCCCATCGTGTGCTCTCTCTGCATCCAGCAATGCTTCTCTCACATTCAACTTCTTCCTAAACCCCCCTTCTCTACATGGCCTTCGCAGCAGGGCGCATCTGCGCTCGCTGCAGCCATCCCTTCCTATCGCCACGCCCTTCTCCTCCCCCACAACTGCGGCCACAGCGCCGTGCGTTCTCGCAATCCGGCTTCCGCACGGCTTTTGCGCCACCAACACCTGCATCCCTCGGAAAAGCTGTACCGGCAAAACAGTTCAAGCGGACGAAGAAGTGGTTACGGAGGCTGGCATACGTTTCGTTGTTCGGGGCCTTAGCATACGTTGTGGACAAGAAATACTATGCATCGAGTCTCACACGATGCACGCGGACCTTCGCACTGGGTTTGACGGCCGCGCTGGATTACAAGATCAACTTCCGCGAAAATCCGCCCTTTGCCGAGGATGTCGGGGAGGTGCACGCAAGGAATGCGGCGAAGTTGTTCCACCTCTTGCGCACGAATGGCGGGCTGTACTTGAAGATTGGTCAGGCCATCGCCATGCAGACAGCCATTCTACCACCGGAGTTCCAGAAGATGTTCGCCAAGATGTTTGATGACGCTCCGCAGAATGACTGGGCTCAGGTGCGGCAGGTCATCATGGAGGATTTTGGTGGCAGAACCCCCGAAGAAGTCTTTGGGATCTCGTTTGACGGGGATCCGGAGGCTGGGGTTATGGAGAGGAAAGCCCGTGCAAGTGCCAGCGTGGCGCAGGTCCATTGGGCGAGGTTGAAAGACGGGCGTGAGGTTGCCATCAAAATCCAGAAGCAAGAAATCGCGCAGCAGGTAGGGTGGGATCTGTGGGCGTTCAAGGTCGTCACAAAAATCTACACGTGGTGGTTCGACATCCCCTTGTACACTCTTGTTCCATACATCACGGAACGATTACTGCTCGAATGCGACTTCCAGAATGAAGCGCAAAACTCGAAAAGAATGGCAGAGTTTGTCAAGGGGGAGCCTCGACTGCGAGATAGGGTCTATATCCCGAAAGTCTACGACGACCTTACCACGACACGCGTCATGACGGCCGAATGGATTGAGGGTGTCAGACTGTGGGATAAAGACGCTCTTACTCGGCCGTGGAAAGGCGGCTGGAGAACAGGAAGCCCAGGTTGTCATGGCACACCTCTCGACCCGCCTCAAACTCCTATCACGACTTTACAACAACGTGCTCGCTCGTACGATGAAGAGCTCAAGCCTGACAGGAACTACTGGCGTGGAAAGGACGGCAAAGGCGGTCTCGGCCTCAACTTGAAAGAAGTCATGACCACCATGGTCGACCTGTTCTCCGCGCAGATGTTTCTCTGGGGCTATGTCCATTGCGACCCTCACCCAGGCAACATCTTTGTCCGCCGGCTGCCTAATGGACGCTCCGAACTCGTCCTGATCGACCACGGTCTGTACATCCACATGTCTCCGAAATTCCGCCACCAGTACTCACTCTTCTGGAAATCGCTGATGACATTCGACAACAAGACACTCAAAGAAGTCGTGAGCAGTTGGGGCGTCAACAACGCCGAGATCTTTGCGTCGGCGACCCTCATGCGGCCGTACGAAGGTGGCGACCACACTGTGGCGAACCGCATCAAGGGCATTAGCGAAGCTGAGAAGAAGAAGAGACAGTTCGAGATGCAGCAGGCCATGCGCAAGGGGATCAAGGAGATCTTGGGCGATGAGGAGAAATGGCCGCGCGAACTGATCTTCATTGGAAGAAATATGAGAATTGTCCAGGGGAATAACCAGTATCTCGGCAGTCCGGTGAACCGTATCAAGATCACAGGGAACTGGGCTAGCCGGGCGCTCGCCGAGGACAGGGACCTCAGCTTCAGTGAGCGGTGGAAGAATTTCGGGAGTCATTTGATATTTAAGATCGTCCTGTTGGCGACAGATGCGTACTTTTGGTATAGTAAGTTCAAGCAAGCGCTGGGACGGGGGAAGGGCATGGATGACGATATGGAGCAGCAGATGAGGAGGATGGCCAAGGACTATGGGATTGAGATGAACCATAGTGTCTTTGAGGGGTGAACGGTATCTGGCATAGAATGAACATACGCATGGCTGGCCGCATGATGTACATATAGATAGACTCGCATGGCTGGACGTCTCATGATAGAGCGTGCAAGATTGGGAGCACCGCGTCAATGCGCGGAATGGGAATATCCACTCGTCTGCCACAAGTTCGCTCTCTTCTTGCTCTGGAGAATTTCAAGAGATGTCTGAAGGTGGAATCATGTCTGTCCTCTATGGGGCTTTCAGAGCTTTCTCTTGGCACGAACGATACAGATCCGACAAAGGATTCGCTCGTAAGCTACTTTGGTAAGGACGTCTTCATGTACCTCTCCTAGTTATCCCGGACGCCCCAAAAGGGAATTCCGGAGTCCATAAGGGTTGATGGTGGTCATCATGAGTTCATGGGGTAATCGGCAAGCCTTCAACGGCCACCACCTTTTGACCCGTACTATGTAAATTCAAGGTGATAGATTTCCCCTCCTTCACCACTTCTTTGCTTACACTTGCCGGCTCCATGGACAGGACAACAACGGCAGAGAACGATGGGCCTAGTATCGATCAAGAGGTCCTCGCGACCAGCGACGACGACAGTAGCCTCGAATATGTGGAGCCTATTGAGTTCACTGCAGACGAGGATCTCGAGCGATGGGATACTGATGCGCCGCCGCACGCGCCATTCTCCGGGGGCGTATCTCTTCCGTGTGTGATCCCACGTAAGTCGACAGTGATCCCTTATTAGGCCGTTCATCCTGATAACGTGGTCAGAAACGACGAAAACGATCAAGGGAGCCTTCTTCAGCCCGTTCGTGCGAGCCTACGTGCCGGAGCTCGCGGCTCATGGCATTCGAGAGGCCGACTTTGTCACCTTTATTGACGGGCTCAACGAAGCATTCATAGCACATCCGATATTCCAAGGCCTTGGGATCGTTGGAGGTGTGATGAGCATGTTCTATGGAATCACCCCGGTCCAATGGGCCGGTGCCGGATTACAGGTCGCATCCGGAGTCGCCAGTATTGCCACTTCCTACCTCAGGACGAGGGCTTATATGAAAGCGGTGAATCAAGACCTGTTCCATCCCTCCGGGCTACACCTTAATATCATGACCACCACGAACATGATGAAGAAGGTCGGTTGTCCAGAGGACAAGCTCCAGCTGCCACCTCTTGAGTCCAACAGCGACCTAGATCAAGATATCTGGTCTGACGCAAAGTCCACAGTGGAGGCGTCTGACACCAGTTCACCGGCACAAGACGACCCGAGAATGCGCAGAGTCAAAGCTCTGCAAGGTTATGTGATGCCGATAGATTTGGATGTCCCCGCAGCTGTTGCGCCTGATAGTCTCTTTCGCAGAATGGGGGCCGCTCGGGCGGCGAAACAGATGCGAAACCAAGAACGGAAGATGACGAAGCAGCGGACCAAGGGCGAAACGAAGTTTCAGAAAAAGTCCAGGGCGGCGGAGAAGAAGCAGAGAAAGGGGGAGGAACGGATTGGAGGGGTGCAGCGCGAGTTCGCCAGCAACAAAGCTGCCCTGGAAAGAAGAATGACAGAAACTCAGGACCCGAAACAGCAAGACAAAGCATTAAAAGCGTTCGAGAAAAAAGAGAACAAGTTGAATAGTAAGCTGGCAAAAAGAATGGCCAAAATGGACAAGCAGGTCGACAAAAGGCTGAAACAAGCCGAAGCAGGGCGGTCAAAGGTCGACGGTGAGGAGGCGAGGATCGCGCATAAGGTCAGATGGATCGTGATATCGCCGTGGAATGGCGGCGAAGGCTCTGATGAAGATTCTCTGCCTAGTTCGGAGTCCGAGGTCGACGCTCAGCATGTGGTTTAGATGTCATAGAACATAGATCATTCGGAGATATGGTTCTTTTGCTCGTGTACGGGCGACGGTCTCTCTCTCTCTCTCTCTCTCCAAAAACCAGCACTGTTCGTCTCACTAGTAAGATCAGTAGCGACAGTCTAAAAAGGAAGATCAGCGAGCGACAACTAGATCTGTAATAGGATTCTAGCAAGATCAGCAGGCGACATCCTTCAAGATAAGATCGGCAAGCGACAACCATAAGCAGATTTGTATCGTGCGAGTTTTCTCTAGCCAGGGGTTCAACTCCGCCTGGCTAGAGTTTTTGGCAATCCAAAAAGGGTGCGAGAATAATATCATGTGGTCATGTGGGTTGAAGGTGAAGAAGGTGAAGAAGTCGAAAGCTACCTGGGGTGCCCGGTATCTCTCAGAAAGGGCCACAGCCTCGTGGCACACGTGTTACGCGACAAGGCTGCGGGCCGCCGCGCAATTCCCAGTCCCAGTGAGGCTTCCTCCACGTCCCCTCCTAAAAATAGGGACATGATGGGGACCCATTACGAGCAGGACCAAGCCTCCCAAGGCTGTGTCAGCTTTTAGGCCAGCCACGCCAATCCAACCTCAGCTCCTTTCGCTCCCCGTGAAACGTCCAGGAAATTCTGACCATCAACCATCTTTGAGGTCGACAACATTTTAGAAGTCGTCTTCATATCGAAACCTTTTCCTGTCGGGTCATTTATCATGAAGTGATTTGAGCCTGTTCTGGCCTGGTCTTTACAAGATCTTCTACGGTACTGCAGCGACATGGCAGACGAGGGTTTGGCTGGAACGATTATCGGCACCGCCAGAGCCGGCATCAGGCTCTCTGTGACACTGCACAATTTCTCCGAAACCGTCACCACCGCGCAGACAGAAATCAAAAGCATCGCGAACAACGTCTCACTGACGGCATCGGTCCTCCACGAGCTTGGTGTCAAGCTCGATCAGGATGATGATGACGATGGCGATGATGAAGGTCAGTTGTACTCGAGCTCGGCGACAGGCACAGCGCGAGACGTGGCCCGGGAATGCGAGAGCGTCTTCCGCGAAATCAACGCAACAATTGGGAAAGCCATGCAAAGTGCTGCGGAGCGAGGCGTGAAGAACGGAAAAGTGCCCGCCTTGTCGCCCCTGGAGCGGATGAAGTATCCTTTCTTGCAGCCCAAGATGGAACTTCTCGGAGCGAATTTGGAGCGGTTGAAGAGCACGCTGGTACTCCTGCTGAACGTGCTGAGTTATGCTCGAGACCTGAAAACCGAGTAAGGCTTGCTTTCTTGGAACCGTTACCGAGAAAATCCAAATATGATCTGACAAAAAGCACAGGAAGCACGACACCACCACTGAAGACGATGGCTATCAGAAATTGCTTATCGACAACCTCGTCCGAGCCAACCAGGAAGCAACGAGGACTTACGAAACCCTGGTCAAAAAGCTCGATGATCAGGATCACGACGGTATTCCAGAAGACGGCCCGAGCCCGGATCGATCACGCCCTACCTCATCGGAAAAAGGTAATGGAAGCGCGAGTCTTAGACTGTCCATGATCAAGGCGCCTGACTCGGACGACTCCCATGTCGAGGCTAGCAGTCCCAGGGCAAAAGCAGCCTCGACAATTCAAGCCTGTCTGGATCGCATTGAAAACGCCCTGGTCAAAGTCGAACAGTCAAGTTCTGTGCTGCACCACTCCTCCGGCATCGCAGTCCGCATCGAGCTCGACAGGGAGACCAGACTTCCTGCAAATGCGCAGCAGTCCCCAACCCCGCGCATAACAGTCTCGATACTGCAAAAGCAAACGCGTCGTCGACAGGACTCCTTGCAGTCAAGGACCAACAGCACCCGCGGGAACACCAACGGCCTAAGCAGATCGAACACGTGGTACTCTACGCTCTGGAATTCCATGCCGTCTCCCTACTCTGCAGTGAGCTCGATTCAGCAGTAAGTCAACTCTTCCTCCGTATGCTACAGTAATGATATTTTCTCCCTCCCACCCCCACTACGACAACAACAACAACAATCCGCCATAGAAGCTGACTGACTTTGGTGGTTTCCCAGGACCCTCGACAATACCGGCCTCTTCCTCGCCACAGAACAGGTCACCGAAGATGCAGGCAACGTACTCAGCCACAATCTTGACCAGAATACCCCGTACGGTCAAAATTCCGGCATGGGATATGGATACCACACCGCATACGCGCCGCTCTCCGATGGTGATGAGAGCCCTGAATCCGACGGGCCGACCTTGGCAGAAGCGTTCCGCGCCGCTCTGCCAGAATCACTCCTCCCTGGGCGCCGACCCGATCCGTCGCTCAGAACTGGCGATATAGAAATGAACCCCGTCCAGGCCCATCACGAAACGTTGCGACCGTTGATCCTGCCGGAAGCAGTTGAGAGCGGCAGTGTCCACGGCCATGGTCAGGTTCCAGAAGTGCGTGTTGAGCCGGATACAGCCACAGCCACGACTGCAGTCACAACTCTGGATGATGCCCACCAAGACCAAGACCAAGTGCAGCACGCTGCTGTTGCTGTGCAAGATCAATATCGAACTCAAAATCAAAATCAAAATGGCGAGGGTCCGGCCAAGAACGACGACAATGATTGGAGCGTCGAGCAAGACGCCCGTATGAAGGATATCCTCAACGCCAGCATCCAGGCTGCCGTCGCCGAGGGCAAGAGAGAAATGTCATCGCCGAGCTCTGTAAGAGACAATGAAGGAAGTCGTGACAACACCGGAAAGCAGGCAGAGAAAGACGAGTTGCCGACTGGAATGGTGGTGGTAGACAAGAAGGGCAAAGGAAAGGGAAAGGGAAAAGCCGCAGAGTATGAGGTGCCGTCCATACTAAAGAATTCTGGCAATGGCGGCGGTGGTGGTAATGGTGGCGGCGATGCGGTTGATCGATTACTAGGCGAGTGGACGACTTTGCGCGTCTCTGGCTCTCCTGCTGGTCATGGCGAAGGCGATACTGGGACTGCAAGCAAATCCCCTTGATCGATCATCGCCATCGCCATCGCCATCGCCGTCACTGTTGGTATTGGCACCTGTGTTTGAGTTACTGAATGCTATCGAAGCGGGAGTATTCGTGGATATCAAGTGTTTGGGTAAAAGGTTGAGATAGGCCAATCCGGATTTTTGGCTTTCTGGGCCAAAGTCTTGTGTTCAAGATGGTACCGTCCATGCTACCTTTTGACCTCCACCCCTCCTCTTCATCCTGCGACTCACACATCGTACATTCACGAGGTTCGCCTCTTTGGTGAATTCAGCATACTAGTACGGTTTCAAGGTAGTCACAGACTTCGACGTCTATCAAGCAGCGCACACCGCGACTGGCGTAGTAGGCCATGCTCTTCTTCGTAGTGAAGCAAGCTACTAGTTGCCCTACGCAGGGAGGCACCTTCGTGTGGTGCAGGGTGTGAGTACCTGTTTCAGGGAAACTGAGACGCCCCGAAACATCTTCTTCAATGTGTCTTTTTCGTGACTCACGAAGCGGCAAGGACGCTTGAAACCCTGACCCAGAATGCATAAAGCCTAGGTGGAAGGCACGTTCGACCTTTCGGTAGGTGCCATTCTATCATGAAGAGTGCGAGACGACCGCGCCTTCTATGCAGATATATATATACCTCACACGTTGCATCTCCTGAGTTCCTTCGATTTCTATCAACGAGCAACTGGACTTCGTGTTGCCATCGACAAAATCACCAACGGTCATTCCATCTATCGCCAATGTCTTGCCCACTGTGGCGAAGTTGCTGGGTTAGTCTGGGCGTGCAGACGCACCCGGATGATGTTCCAGAGCAATCAGCATCCAGTCATGGTGCTTACAGACTGTTCAGCAACCCGCGGAATCGTCAATGCCACGGTAACTCTACTGAAGAGACGAGATTCCAAATCTTGTCCTCTTGAGCATTTACGCCAAGCAAATATCACTTCCCGATTGACAGCTTACATTTATCAAGTCATGGTCGATCCCAATGTGAAACGCAAGAGCCATTGGGTCACCACAATGACTGCGGGTCTTTCTGAGGACGCTTCCGAACAAGAAGTACACGATAAGACTGTCCTGTGTTATATGCGGGCGGCCATGGTCCGTTGATCCATCTCCAGTTGCGGTATGCCTTGGGCTAACTAACAGACTGCAGTATACGTCGTACTTCCATGTTTACCGATCGAAAGTCGAGACCGCATTGAAACAGACCTGCCCCTTTCACCAGGTGGAGTGGCTAGGTACCTGATCTCATTCTGCCTTGGAAGAGGGCGTGCATACTGCAATTTCTACGGCTCATGCTGCTGTCTACCATCAAACTTACCACCGCCACTGGTGTCTCAACATGTTAGCGACTGAAACGCCTGAGCAAACGCTCGAGCGCAAGCGTATCGATGCACTTCGTATGCGCGAATCACGAGGCCGTCTTGAGACAAACATTGAGGGAAAAGCAGCTATCAAGGCTGGCAATATTCAACGTGCAGCCCGACGTGCCCAGCTTCGTGATAACCTTGATCCCAGGACAAGGTCGACCTATGATGTATCGCAGAGCCTATACAACCATGCATACATCGAGCAAAGAAAGGCCACAGAAACAGTTCAAGAGAAAGAGACTCGTATGGCCAGACAGGCTGCGAACACTGATCGATATCGCACGAAGAAAAGAGCCGAAGATCCAAAGTTCAGAGAACAAGATCGAGCTTACAGAAACGACTTCAAAGAGAGAAAGCGGGCAGCAGATCCTGATTTCGACGAAAAAGAAAGGCTAAAAGGAAAGCCAGAGACAAGAAGAAGCAGCAGGATAGCCAAACAACGGACGCGGACTACAAAGCGAGAAAACGCAGCAGATCCTGATTGGGACGAAAAGGAAAAGTTCAAGAAGAAGACCGGAGAAGTCAAGAAGAAGAAGAAGCAACAGCTTTTGATGCAAGGGGGTCAGCAAACCCTCGACAGCTTCGTCAGTAGCAACAACGCGACCCATGACAACAAGCCCTCACCTCTAGCAGACGTCGGCAATGGTCGTCGGCCTGGTCTCTGGTATTGGAACCGGAAGGCCTCACGTCCAAGTACTACTCGTAGGAGTACGTCAAGAACGACAAGGCCAGATGATTTCTGAACCGCGCCTGAAACGACGCGGGCTGTTATTTCGATCTCTTCACAGACCGTGGGACTGGTCTTGTCGTTGGATGGTATACCGGCTCTGCCAGTGGGTGACAGGGTTGATTTGTCCCATGAGAATGACTACTGGCCATTCTCCCTAGACCGTCACAAGATGGCTTGACACCGGAATCCTACTATATAGTACGCGCCAAGTGAAGAATGCGTGGAAGGAAGACGGAGCACCGCAATTGCATGCTGTCACTCCTCAAATTGTACGGCCATCATCCTTCTGACTGCGCAACCCTCCATTCCAGACCTCTCCACGCCCAAGAGCATGTCCGCACCATGGAACAGACACCAGATCCTCTTCTCGAATATGGAATTCTCGCTCTGCCTCATATGCCTGGCCACCCTTCAGGCTTCCAGACGCCGCCAAATATGGACGCTCAAGCTAAGATTGCTAGACTTTGAGCCGAGTTGGCCTCGGTTACGCAGGAACTCGGTGAGATGAAGGCAAAGGCGCGACTTGGAGATTACGCCGGAGGAGTATTCAACTTTCTCAAGAAGAATTCACCAGACAATGCCCGCCTGAAAGGCCATGCTCAGCAGGACAAGTGCCGCCATCTGTCTTTCATAGTTCACGCGCTGGCCCAGTTTCTCGACAGATCTCAGAATGTAGTAGGCATAGCCACCCACATGTCGGTCAAGTTGAAGTAATTCAGATTGAACTCCGCCAGTAGACCCAAAAGCCGTTCCAAGTCACGGCGTAAACGACCAATATACTCTAACCCAACCACTATCTCTATACGATCTGCAGAGCCCCCTCACGAGCAAGGGACAATTGTCATGCCGATGCGAGAGCCTTGTGCACATCGAGCGTCGACTTGAAATCTCGAACAAAGTCCCAAAACATCTTGCCCTTCCAACCCTTCATCTTCCAATCATTGGCCTTGAGCGGGAAGAGGTCCGCATAGTACTCGACTGCCTTGGAATGGGCATAGATGAACAGGACGTTGTCGTCTGCGTCGGCATCCTGCGCCTTGAGGATCGTTTTCATAGTCTCTTCCGCATCGAAACAAAAGTCCGGGTTCGGGATGAAGAAGGGGTCGTCTGCTGCGCGGGAGCGATTTTGGTTGAGTCGCTCGAGCTCCGAACCAGGGCAGAGCCACGGCGCCACTTGATCCGGAAGCTCGATGTGGATCTCCTTGGGTAAACGAATGTGCTTGGACGGACGGATCTCGCCCCCGTTGTGACAGAGGTCGCCGCCGCAGAAGATAAAGGTATCTGGATTCGAGGTCGTCCGCACCAGCCCGGCAAGGTGTCCGACCGTGTGACCTGGAGCATCGAGAACATAGAAGGACCCGTCCCCGAAAAAGTCCAAGGCCCTGAACTGACCGATCTGAAGCCGAGGACCGTCATCGAAGGTGATTTCTCTAGTCTTCCGGCCCCTGTATCATGAACCGGTATCAGTCCGCCTGGGGTACAGCCAAGTAAGGAAGGAGTACACCCACGCAAAATCACTTTCCCGTACAGGAGCATCTTTGATAGCCGGGTACCCGGGATAGAACTTCTCCTTGAACCCAGGACCGACAACCAGCTCCGTTGTGCCGGGAAAGGTCGAGGGATCTCCAATATGGTCGAAATGCCAGTGACTAGGATGAGGGAATCAGTTTGGAACCCTCGGATGCCAAGAGGCCTGGAAAGACACAGCACTGACCTCCAAATGATGGAATTGATCGAAGCAGGGTCAATTTGGCTTTCCTTAAGAATGTCCGCCACATGTTTCTCGGAATGAATCTCCCAGGCCGGATTTCTCAGCTGGGACTGATTGACGGGCGAAAGGTCGAGAAAGTTAGGTGGCACCCCCAGATCGAACAAGGCCCTCTTGCCCGTTGGGCTCTCAATGAGAAAGGACCACGTAGGGATATCGGGCATGTACTGCATGCCGTGTAGAGGTGGTTGCATCAAAAAGCTGACCGGTAGCCTGATGATCCTCGAGGTGCAGTCGATGATGCGAACCCTGGCCACGGCACCGGGCGGCGCGTTGAAGAGGTTGTGTGCGTTTGAGGCCATGTCGTGATTCCACTTGTGAATTGTCGTCGTGCGACGAGGCTACCAACAACCGGGGTGGGTTTGAGTGATGCTTGCCTGACTCAAAGAGGGTTAGAATATTAATACTGCCCACACTTTTCTTCGTAGAATTCAGCGGCCCGCAAAGTCAGTAACCTCGCAGCTCGATATCAATATAGCTGAACGACCCAGGGGGACGATGTCGAGTCTCATGTCTGAGTGTCGCTTGGTCCACAGTAATCGATACAGAGGTAATCCCGGGCCGACGGATGAGCCAAATGCTCCGACCGGACGAAACAAACATATTCCGGGCCATGGGGGAACCAAAAATAGTTCCCTGTTCCTCGGCTCTCTGATGGGCATCTGGTTCGTCCCAGGGTAAGCATCGGCACGCAGGATGATACTGTTTGTTGATCGGACACGCTCTGACTTCATTGAAAAGCCTGTCAAGGACATGGGAGCAACGATTGACCCAGCATCCCTTAAACGTGACATTGGCCCGGATGTCGTTGCAGACCGTCTACCGTCTGACCTCGCAGACCGGGTGTGATGGCCTGATCTTTTCAAGAACCCGTGCCCACCGCCAACAAGCATGAGATTCTCATTAAGGTGCGCAGTGTTGCCCACCAGAATTGAATCTTAGAGTGACGAGTCTGGCTCGTGCCAGATCTACTACAGACATCGTTGAATGTGACCTCAACCGTCATCCGTTCCCCATGCAAGCGGCAGCACCGCGTAGGCCGGGAGGTTTTCGGTCGAATCCTTGGATACGTGCAGGTCAGCATGGCTGCCAATTTACTGGCGTCGTCTCGTGCCTTGGTGACGCGCAGATTTGTCGGACATGGAGGAGATAGACAAGGATATCAGATTGTACCGTACAAAGTGACATTCGGTTCTTCGCAATGGATCGTATGGCTATCCCAGCTGACCGGTGTGAGGTAGGCTGGACCGATGGGTCATGTCCGGCGGAGGCGTTGTGGGATGTTGGAATTCCCGCCAGGCTAGGTGCCAGGGGCAGAACTGAATATGGTACAAGCATTTTGGAAGCATCGGGCTAAGATGCGGCATGGAGTCGAATTTAGCCCACGGGCAGGTAGATCTGGGGGCCGGCGGAATACGAGTAGGCCTCGCATTCAACCGGAAGTCCTCCTACCATATAAACTGTCCTAGTTACCGCTTTAACGTCGAATAGCACCCTAGTACTAGGTTACAGGATTTATCTATAAGAATAGGGGAGGCTCTGGTCGGTGGATCCCACCTTACGTTTATATCTGTGCGGAACCAACCACCAACAACTTGGTCATATAGCTTCCTGGCCTTGCTGGATACCTCCGCCCCCATCTGGCTAGCTAGAGTTGTGATGCAAGGTGGTCAGCAGACCCTCACGGGCTTCGTGACTAGGAACAACGCCAATACCGATATCAGCAAGCCTCGACCTCTGGGCAGACATCAGCAATGGTTGTGGGCCTGGCCTCTGGCGTTCGGCACCAGGAGGCCAGACGACCAAGTACTAGGAGTACGTCAAGAACGACGAGGCAGATGATTTCTGAATCGCGCCTGAACGAGCGCCTGAAACGACGGGTGGGTGACGGGACGGCAAGCGAGTAAAGCTTTGAAAACGACGTAGAATGAGCAACGCTACAGAATGCTTCTGCTCTGCATGGTATGCACACTAAGGGTGCTCCCACATATTTCGCCGCTCTTAGTATCGTCAGCTCGTTTACCAGCAAGTATATCCTCCATCTACTATCTGTGAAACACCAGTGTCAGCAGTGTCTTCAAATCCAGAAAGCCAGTGACAAGGTCTAGCTCTGCGACTCGAATGACTTACCACGTCCGATCCATTGAGATAGCTGCTCTGTGAATCGTTAGGAGAACTCTCTGGCACAGGGCTTTCTGGATGATGCGAACTTACTGCGTCACTTGCCATCCAAACAATCGTCCCCCTCAGCTCGTGTGGTTCCGCCATCCTTCCCATTGGAATATCCTTCTCCCATGACCCGACCAGTTCCTTGCCCTCGTGCTCCAACAAGCCTTTGATAAGATCTGTCCTCATATAGCCAGGACTCAAACTGTTCACTCTGATCCCTCTAGGTCCCCACTCCGTGGCCAGACTCTTCGTCAACATCTGGATGGCACCTTTCGAAGCATTGTAGGCGGCTTGCTTTTGCGGTCGAACACAAATCGTCGCCGACATACTCGCGATGAGTATGATCGAGCCGTGAATATTGTGCTGCAGCATATGTTTTCCGGCTTCCCTTGCAAACAACCAGCTCCCATCGACGTTGATGTCCATCATCTTCCGCCAGCGGGCAAATTCGTAGTTCTCGGCCTCGACGTTGTCCACGATGCCCGCTGCAGTCACTAGCACGTCGACTTTGCCAAAATCCTGCACGATCCGGGCCCATGTCGTCGTCACGTCGTTTTCGATCGTTGCGTTGCAAGCGTATGCTCGCAGTTCGGGGACCGGCTCGTTGGGATATGCCTCTTTGACTAGGGATGCTACTGATGAGATGGATGCTTCACAGTCCTTCTGAGAGAGATCGATGCAAGCTCCCCGTGCGCCGGAAAGGGCAAATGCTGTCAGAAATTCCTTTCCCAGGCCTCGTGCCGAGCCAGTGACCACGCAAGTTTTGTTCTCAAGGGAGAACGAGGGCAGTGTTCGCAAAGGGCGGGTTGTCCTCAAACTAGCGAGGTTGTGTCGTCCGAGCGAGCGCGAAAGCACAGGGCGGAAGGATGAGCCAAGCAGCATCCTGACAGATCTGTGAAGCCACAGGATGAAGTCGAGATTTGAGATAACCGAGAAGCGACCTACCTACCTGAGTGTTTGCTGCTACTCCGGTTCACGAGAATCATAGCCGGATATTGAGAAGAATCATTGCACCCCGCGGACTGTTGTGCCGCGAGGAGGCAAGTTGTGCTTGTGACACCTCTGTAGCGTATCCAATCGGGCCTTGTCAGGCCGATGAAAGCTTGAAATGGTGGCTGTACGTAGCTTCGTACGTGACTTGTAGAGACAAATGTTCAGCTGGCTGCTGGTTGGCACCGGTGGGCAGTTCTTTTGGTTGCGGGGATGCCCAAAGGGTCATGGTCACCATGGCCCACGAGGGACCTGGGAACAGGCGCGTCTATCCTCCAATTTGCCCGCTTGAGTTCCGTATCTGCAGCCCTAATGCAATGTCCACAGCTAAGTTTGGGGGCGGTTCACACCAACCAGCCAATGTGATGTTTCAGCTGAAGGGTGAGCAGGCGTAGCAGGCCAGCCACTGCAGACCAATTTATCGAGACCGGGCGCAGCTGAGATTTGTACCTGATGATCTCCCCTTTTCTGCTCCTTCGACACGGGAAAATTCGTAAGTGCTAGCAAGAACAGGTCTTATGAGCATGCCAAATGTCGTCAATGCTAGAAGTTCGCGACCAGCGTCGATCCAGATCAAAATCCCCGGGTGGGAGAGACAGGGATAGGTCGAGATCGCACTCACGCGACAACCGCGGGTCGGATGACAGAAGCGAATACAGCAAAAGGTCGAGCAAGAAATATGTAGAACCGGAGGAGGACGAGGAGGACCGCAGGTACAAAGAGAAGAGATCGGGCAAGAAGTACTACGAATCAGAGGAGGAAGACGACCGGCGCAGGCGTACAAGCTCCCAGAGATACGTCGATGACAGGGAAGAGGAGGGCAGATACCGATCGTCCAGGTCTACACAAGAATACCGCAACCGGGACATCTCAGTCTCGGACGACGACAGAGGATACTCGCGATCCAAGAAGAAATCAGACAGCGACTCTGACAGGCGCAGAGAGCGGGACAGACCAAGCAAGAAGAAATACGATGATTCTGACGAGAGCGAGAGCGATGATTACCGGCGACGTTCCAGCAAGCGAGAACCACATGCCGACTATGCTGAGGCACGACCTCGGGAAGTCCGTCATTCGAGTTACAACAGCACAGATTCGCGCTATGCAGCTGCTGGACGTGCTCCTTCTCCTCCTAACCAGCGAACTGCCTCGAATGGCCAGCGATATGCAGAAGTTGAACAATACAAATATGCACAGCCAAGCCAGTTTACAGAGAGAAAGCCGGAGTATGAGCGGTCTCGACCGTCAGACAGCAAGCGAAGAGACGATGACTACAGAAGCGATAAATACGAGAAAAAGTATCGGGACGATGGGTATGAGGCACGCGAGCTCAAAGAGAAGAAATACTACCAGGACAGATACGAGACCCGCGAGCCCAGCGACAAAAGATACCACGACGATAAGTACGGTCCTTCACGGGACAATGTGACCAAAAGGATGTCTGCTTTGGCCGTCGGGGGCGCCGCTACATTAGGAGTTGCAGGACTGGCCGCGCATGGTGCTGGCGGTAAGCCACCAGCATCACCATTGCTAGAGGCGTATAAGGGCACATACCAATCGATTTCGCCTATGCCTTCAGCATTGGTCCTTGCAAACCACAAAGACGACTCGGACCTTTCAGATCTAGACTTGGACACGGATGGGGATTCCGACGATCCAAATGCCGATCTCAAACGTAAGATCCGCAAGCTCGAGATGGAAAAACAGAAATATACCAAAGACCAAAGAAAGAGTGTCAACCTTGGCACAACAGAAGTTCGCTCACGACGACTGTCCAGCCTCGAATCACCTAGCGAGCACACCATGATCGAAATCACGCCCGGTGGTGGCAGACGGGAACGCGCCAGCTCCAATGTGAGCATCTTATCTACAGGTGGCACTGGCAAGAAAAAGTCGGTATCTTTCTATGATCCTACAGACGATGCCGAACGGATCGCCGCGGCACTTGCCGGCACACGAAGCGCCCCTGATCCGAGGCCACTCGTTCAGATCCTTCCTTTTCTGTCAACAGATGACCTCCTGGCGCTGCGCGGCGAGTATAAGAAACATGCCAAAGTCAATGGCCAGGGGATCAATATCGCCAAACACATCAAGATGCGCATCCCGGGTAATCTGGGTAAAGCATGCTACGCGACCGCTCTGGGCCGGTGGGAAAGCGAAGCATACTGGGCGAACTCATGGTACCAAGGAGGCGCGTCACGGCGCGAATTGCTGATTGAGAGTCTCATGGGCCGTTCGAACAGCGACATCCGCGAGATCAAGAATTGTTTCAAGGACAAGAAATACAATGACGACCTGGACAAGTGTATCCGCACCGAACTCAAGGCCGACAAATTCCGCATGGCCATCCTCCTTGCGCTCGAGGAGCGTCGCATGCCCGAGTCATCGCCCCTCGATATCAAGCTCGTGCGTGACGATGTGCAGAACCTGGCGCGAGCGCTGGACTCTCCAGGCGGCGAATCCGACATGATCAAGATCATCGTCATTCGCAGCGACGCGCACTTACGTGAGGTGCTCAGGCTATTCGAGCGGACGTATCGCGTTAGTTTCCCACGGCAGATGATCTCCAAGTCGCGCAACCTGGTGGGTGAGACGCTGGCGCACATTCTCAACGGCGCGCTGAACAGACCTATGCGTGATGCGCTGTTGTTGCACCAGGCCATCAGCGAGACTGCTCCTGGCAAGGAGAGGACGGAGTTGTTGATTTCCAGGCTGGTCAGGATGCATTGGGAACCGAAGCACCTGCAGAAAGTCAAGGCCGTGTTTAAAGAGCGGTATGGGCACACCGTCGAAGATGCGATCAAGCATGAAGTCTGGGTGCACATGAAGACGCCCGAGGGTCGGATTTGTGCAGAGTTCTGTGCTGCTTTGACACAGAGCAGTTCGTATGATAGGAGGGGCGTCGCGATGGATACGCCTGTCGAGTTCATCAGGTAAAGGAGTGGCAGAAAAAGAGAAAAGCAAATGCTTCGACCCGGCCACGAAATGTCTTGGGGTTGTATTTTCGAAAGGTCGTGTCTAGTTAGTACTCATCGAAGGTTGATGAGGCTGGGTGGGCATGGTATATACTACCGTCTCATGGGAAAATCGTGGAATGAAACTCGCTTAACCGGGGTGCCAAACAGCTGCGCTTTGAATCGTCGAAACAGCAGTTGGGCTCACCTTGAACATGAGGCCCTCCTACCACATGAACTGTCGTCGCTGTTGTTTGTCGTCGAATTGCACCCGGCGCCAAATTACACGGTTTGCCCATGAGACCGTACTATATCAGATTTTATACGCCTTGACGCTCGAAGAGGAGACCCGCGCACCACCGGACATCTCACATCCACAGGTTAGCCATGACCCTAAAACCATGAAAACCTTTTCAATCATCATTGATACACTTCCAAGCTCCATTGACCGATCGGTGGCTTGTCCTGTCTTGATGCGCAGTCGAATTTGGCTACTGCACTAGACCACGCCCATTCTATGCACGTCTGCATCTAGGACGAACAGGCGAAATGGGTGTCACGATGTTGTGGGCGGGGCAATGGCAGTGTGTTGAATTGAACAGGGATGCAACTTGGACTTGAGCTTGATTGTCATCTGCCGAGGTTACCCGTCTGCAGAACTTGCAGATCTCAAGATTTGTCTAGCACTGTTGAACACATAAGGCTGGAATCTCCCCATGTGCCTTTCCCACTCGCGAGAAAACTTCACTGATAAGCCATGAAAATTGATTTTCAGCCCACCAACAATGCTTCAGTCTATTTCTTGGATCCAGCTTTCACGGCTGCTTTAGTACTGTTTGTGGCATTAGTAACGTTCGCAACACATTGGGGAGAGCACTTACACTTTGCCACCGGCCTTGTCAGCTACGCGATTGTTAGCATGATATCTCATAGAAGGGGGGGGTTCACAGAACTCTTAGCAACGCTCTTGATGACTCCTACCGCCACTGTTTGACGCATGTCACGGACGGCGAAACGACCGAGAGGAGGGTAGTCGGTGAAGGCCTCAACACACATAGGCTTGCTGGGAACCATCTTGACGATGGCAGCATCACCGGACTTGATGAACTTGGGGTTGTTCTCAATGGACTTTCCGGTACGACGATCGATCTTCTCGAGGAGCTCGGAGAACTTGCAGGCAATGTGGGCGGTGTGGCAATCCAAGACAGGAGCGTAGCCAGCACCAACTTGACCAGGGTGGTTAAGAACGATGACCTGGGCGTTGAAGGAGTCGGCACCCTTGGGTGGGTCGTTCTTGGAGTCACCGCAGACGTTTCCACGACGAACCTCCTTGACGGAGACGTTCTTGACGTTGAATCCGACGTTGTCACCTGGGACACCCTCGACGAGCTGTTCGTGGTGCATTTCGACGGACTTGACTTCAGTGGTGACGTTGGCTGGGGCAAAGGTGACGACCATACCGGCCTTGATGATACCAGTCTCAACACGACCGACAGGCACCGTTCCGATACCAGAGATCTTGTAGACATCCTGGAGGGGAAGACGGAGAGGCTTGTCGGTGGGACGGGAAGGTGGGTCGATGGCGTCAATGGCTTCGAGCAGAGTCTTGCCAGAGGCCTTGCCAGCCTTGGTCTCCTTCTCCCAACCCTTGTACCAAGGGCAGTTGGCAGAGACGTCGATCATGTTGTCGCCGTTGAACCCGGAGATGGGGACGAAAGGAACGGACTTGGGGTTGTAGCCGACCTTCTTGATGAAGTTGGAAGTCTCCTTGATGATTTCGTTGAAACGTTCCTCGGACCACTTGGTGGTGTCCATCTTGTTGATGGCGACGATGAGCTGCTTGACACCTAGAGTGTAGGCGAGCAGAGCGTGCTCACGAGTCTGACCATCCTTGGAGATACCGGCTTCGAATTCACCAGTACCGGCAGCAATGATGAGAATGGCGCAGTCAGCCTGGGAAGTACCAGTGATCATGTTCTTGATGAAGTCACGATGACCAGGAGCGTCAATGACGGTGACGAAGTACTTCGGGGTCTCGAACTTCCAGAGGGCGATATCAATGGTGATACCACGCTCACGTTCGGCCTTCAGCTTGTCCAAAACCCAGGCATACTTGAAGGAGCCCTTGCCCAGTTCAGCAGCTTCCTGTTGATGGGATTGTTAGCATGTCTACATCATCATCACGTGATCGACCAGTTGCCCCTCCCCCACCAAACAAATTTTTGGCGGAAAAGATGATAAGGCCACAGTGAGTCAAAGAGGTCAGGAAGTCTTACCTTCTCGAACTTCTCGATGGTACGCTTGTCGATACCTCCGCACTTGTAGATCAAGTGACCTGATGTGTGTGTGAGTGTTTTGATCTTGCTCAGATATGTCCATCCATCTCTTACCGGTGGTGGTGGACTTGCCGGAGTCGACGTGTCCGATGACGACGACGTTGATATGAGTCTTTTCCTTACTAAAATGATAGAAGACATGTCAGAGATGCTCATTGATATCAAAGAAAGGACGATTTTGCGCAGCGCAGGTGAAATTTCTTACCCCATGGTGGCGGTTGTTTCTGATTTGTGATGCGATTGTCTTTTTGAAGTCTTGTAGCTCTGTGGCAGATACTAGAAGAATTCGCGAGGAGATGCTCAGATACCACGGCTTGCGTAGAGGTGCTTTGTGATGATTAGTGATGACCAAAGTGTAGGGGGATGGTGAAGAACTCACTGAGCGACGAAAGGAGGGAAAAGAAGAGGTGTCGAGGAGTGTGCGAAGATTTTGTAGGCTGCGGCCCAAAGACAGGGCTTGGCGGGAAATGGGCTGTGAATCACTCAAGAGTCAAGGCCACTTCAGTTCTCCGTCACTATGGCAGCCTCTGCGATCCTGAGCCCCCACCATGCTCTGACCAGACGATGTGATTGGCGAGTACTATGAATGAGCTTCTGTGTCTGCTTTTAGACATGCATATCGTCCTTTGCCTCATAGCCATTCCCACCAATTGGGCGACTGTAAATACTGGAGCGCGCCTGATTTTCTCGTTCAAGGCTGTTATAATTGTGGCGATTACACCTACAATATCCACCTTGCAAAAAGTCTGCGCGGCAATGCCGTACAGTCTAGAGCTTCTATCAAAGTGTCTTCCGCTGATTCAATTTCATGTTCAATGAGAGGCACCCAAGAGGTGTGCTTTCCATCTCAGACTAAAGTGTCATCAGATGATGCAGCCCAACATCCCTGCGATCATGCCATCTCGAACCACTCATCAGAGGGTTTGACTCAATCCCTCTTTCCGCCCCAACCAAATGTAGTGTCTTGTCCTGAGTGCCTGATAGCCTTTTGGGGCCTAATGCATGTGTCTCAATCTATGACTCGACTTTCTTCCAGTTTTCCTGATGCCCCCAAACGATTCCAGCAGCGACCATTTGCGAGGAAGTCCGATCGTGAACGGCGGAGGTGTTGCTCGATAGCGCCTAGAACAGTACAGTCCTGCGCTTTCATGCATGTTTCTCCCAACAATCGGAGAAGGTTCACCTGAGCTGCTGTAAAGATGACGGGTGTATCCAGGTAAAAAGAGCAGATGTCGAGATTCTCAGTATTCTCTCCACTGCTTTCCGCATTCGACACACTGTACAATATCAGCTGCTGGGCAGATTCCGTAACAAGGGCGGCATACCTTGAAGAAAGAGGTTGGAGGCTCGTCTGCGCTTCTCGTCTGCAATTGGTAGAAGTAGGCTTTCTTGGAATCGCATGTCTCGTTGGGACATCCACCAGGCACTTGCAGATATTAGCATTCGAAAGCCAATCTTCCGGGTCATGGTAGACTTGCCTTCATTGACTGGCAAATCAGACTGCTCCTCGCCTAGAATGTCATCCTTCTGCTTCTGCTTCATGTGCGTTCGCTCGTAGTAGGGCTGATCGAGAACAAATTGGTAGGGGCATGTCCGGCATGTAAAGGCGTTCAGACCTTGCGGGTGCTCTCTGGTACCAGGAGCTCTTGCAATGGTCAGACAGTTGCAACAGTAAGGACAGACTATTTTCGTTCAGTTGGCAACGTCGCTAGGCCCGTGGGACTCGTATACTCACAAGTGGGAGGCATTGCGCCAGGCTAAGCGCCAAGTGCCAGCAACTGCGTGGTATGCGCCCGTGTAGTATGTCGTCGCCCCTTTGTCGCTTTTGTTTGTATGCCCAGCGGAGGCTGCGCGCGCAAACATTTTATAGAGAGGTTCGATCTGCGGCGGGAGAACCTCGGCTCTGACGAAACCGGGGCAACTGTAACCGAAGTTCGCGACTATACTTGGCAGGGGCCAGCGTGATCACTAAAGGACAGCGTCAATCGTACGTGAGACACTTTACCGGGGTTTCAGACTACAAGGCGAGATCTGCGATCTAAAGAAGCGGTCCAAGGTTCGAAAGCATACCACTCCTGCTCACAGGTCTTTCGAGGAGTCAAAGCCGCAAGTCTCACTGAAACTGCCCGTCACCGCCTGCCTTCCAGCGGCGCCTGTACTTTTCTCTGGACGAGACAGCACTCCAGTACTTCTCTTCACACAGTCCGGGCCACAACCGGGCCACGGCCATCATGGCTGACGTTGAGGTGAGAGGCACGCTCCACAATCCTATCTAGGCTAACTTGCAACGCAGGGTGCCTCTCCAAAGGAGCAGGTGCTGGAAGCGTGCCGCAGAGACAATGTCGAACTATTCCACGAAGTACTGAACGACATGAAAAACAAGAGCAAGGATCAAATAGCAGAGTTCTTCAATACCGTCACAGATACTATGGGCAACCATTTACTACACGTCTGCGCAAGTTACGGAGCATGTAAGCCGCGGAATCGGCAGCCTAGATGCTCATGAAGCTGACATCTGTGCAGACGACGTGATGGATGAACTCCTGAATATCGAATTCCTCGAATGTGACCCTCTGACCAGAAGAGACAAAGAGACGCCCATCCACTGTGCAGTCAAATATGCAAACGAACGAGAAGTGGAACTGGGAGAGGCGATGGCAAAGATGCTGATCGAAGCTGGGGGGGATCCCAGAGTAAAAGATGGCCACGGCCGAAAGCCTGCCGAGCTCTGCACACCGAGGACAGAAGAGCTTCGCGGAATACTGATAAAGGAGGAATATGTGCTCAATGAAGGTCTGAAGAACGCGGATGTCCACGAGGACGAGGACGAAGACGAAGGAGCTGGATCCGCTTCAGACTCAGATTGAGCTGGAATCGAGTGCTTTTCAGAGGTCGCAGGTCACTAGCGAGCTGGTCTTGCAAGCCTCCCTCGACGACAAAATCCCGCCGACCGACTTCTATGGTTGGCCACAGCTGGCATAAGACTCTTTATCAGTCTGCCCTTGGCATCAGCATCCAGGCGATCACCAGCCCCGAAAGTCGGTCAAATGTTGGGAGGGTGCGGCTGACAGTCTATCGTCCATGATGTACGAATATATCCAGACTGTGCTGTGCCCCGGAAAGCCATCGTTTGAGCTCTCCAGCAAAGGTCTCGACGGGATCAGTATCAAGATTTGGAGCCATGCAGATGGTACTATCAATTGTTGAATATGAATGTGATGACAACCTGAATGCATGTGCATCGGTAGGCAACTTCTCGAGCTTTTTTCCCACTTTGACGGAGAAGAGTTGGTCAATGCCAGAAAAAGGCAATTCATGCGGCATCTTATCGCTTACGTGTCTCTCTATGACCATGTCCTTGGGATTGTGTTATTGATATCTCACAGTGCGGAACATCTGCCGCAACAACTGCCAGTCAAAAATAGTTTGGTGGAGCAGGTGGACCTTGCGTTGGGCTTGCTTGAATAAGCGCTTCTGTGCCTGACACCCACCTGAGAGATATCACCTTTTCTGTCGGTTATCAACGATCGCGGCAACCTTCATGGGAGTACCAGATCAGGCTGGGAACGTCGAGATCCAAAATCTGTTTTGAGATTGGATGCCGGGTTGTCAGACCATCGTCCGACTTCGCCGAGATGTCGAAGAGTTTTCACTTCTACATGAACAGCGGCTTATCTAACATGCCTCATGGAGTGGGCCACTAGGCCTACGTCAATTGGCGTGCGAGCCATCAGCCTTGTGGGCACGGCGAGACGGTTATCACTCGGAGCAAGGAGGCATTTTCAAGCCAATATTGCTCCTTGTGTCAATGCATTCGCTAGCGCTCTTTGATCCAGGTGCTGCAAAGACAATCTCCCATCGTCAAGGCATTTTCTACCTTGTACCACAGCAAATGCGTGAAACTCCTTAGCTTCGGCTATCCATATCCGACCCCTGTCGAAGTTCAGGAGCGACGTCATTTTCTATATTTTTCGTATCATCGATTGTCAAGAGGCGCGCTTAAAATCCATTCCAAGTCCTCTCATATCTATAGTACAAGTTCAGACACAACCACGCCGTTGCGAAGGCCAACGAACTATCTGGAGTACGAGATTCTCGGACCATGCGTGCAAACGAAAGCACCGATTCGGTTGACAACAGTGCCGTCCTCGAGAAGCAAAGGAATGAAGCATACGATGTAGATGCCCATCACCCTCTGCGCGAGGAGCCGACCCTCGACAACGACGCCACAGCAGCTCATTCAACAACCAACCGAGCAGATCCTGGTCTTGCTCGCCATGAGACCGTACGCCCAGACTTTGGTCACCGAGCCAGCTTCACAAACACCGTCTCTCGAGTCCCTACAGCCACAAAACCGCCTTCGTTTTCTCGATTACACGAAATCCTGTTCGTAACAGTCATCACTTCGGCACAGCTCCTAACCCAAGCCGCACTCGCTCAATCAATCGCGCCTCTTCATGTGATCGGCCGCACATTCAACGCTACAAATCCGGGGCAATTATCATGGCTGCCAGCTGGCTACTCTTTGACTGTCGGGACTTTCATTCTCCCTGCCGGGAGATGGGGCGACTTGTACGGCCACAAGAAGCTATTTGTCATCGGATACTTCTGGTTCGCGCTGTGGTCTCTCGTCGCCGGATTCAGCGCCTTCTCGCATTCCTTGATCTTCTTCGCATTTTGTCGCGCGATGCAAGGAATTGGGCCTGCGATCATGCTTCCCAATGGTATTGCAGTGCTGAGTCGCACATACCCGCCTGGACCGAGAAAGGATATGGTGCTCAGCCTGTTTGGGGCAACAGCGCCCGCTGGATTTCTCGTTGGGGCAGTGTTCTCTGGAATATTCACGCAGTTCGTGTGGTGGCCATGGGCGTACTGGGTTCTTGGTATGGTCTGCGGCCTAGTTGGAATCATGGTCATCTTCGTCGTGCCAAACATGCCCGTTGCAGGAGGTGCAAGCACGTTCAAAGAACTTGATGCTACCGGCACAATCGTTGGCGTGGTAGGACTCGTGCTGTTCAACTTCGCTTGGAATCAGGGTCCGGCTGCTGGATGGGAAAAGGTTTACGTTTATGTCCTTCTCATCATCGGCGCTTGTCTGTTGGCGGTCTTTTTCTGGTACGAGAAGCGCCGTGCGCCATTCCCACTGGTACCGATGTCCGCTTTCTCACGAGATACTATACTGGTCTTCGGCTGCGAAGCCATGGGATGGGCCTCATTCGGAATCTGGGTATTCTATTTATGGCATGTTTCCTCCTCAACGCTTTGTTATGACCCTACTGACAGTAGTGACAGGCAATTTCTCGAACTCCTTCGTGGGCAGAGCATCCTGCTCACCGCGGCCATGATTGTTCCAACCGGAATATCGGGCGCAATCGCAGCGATCACGACGGGCTTTGTGATCAGCAAGATCCAGCCGGGATGGATCATGCTGATCTCTATGACTTCGTTTTGTGTCGGGAACATCCTTCTCGCCACATTGCCCGTACGTCAGACATTTTGGGCGCAGACTTTCGTGTCCCTGGTTGTTACGCCATGGGGCATGGATATGAGTTTCCCGAGCGGTGTGATTGTGCTGTCAAATCATATGCCGCCTGAGCACCAGGGGTTGGCGGCGAGCTTGATTAACACGGTCATCAATTACAGTATTAGTATTGGTCTTGGGATGGCCGGGACAGTAGAGACACATGTTAACAATGGCGGGGTTGATGAGTTGCACGGGTATCGGGGCGCATGGTATCTCAGTATAGGTCTGGACGGAATCGGAATTTTGTTAGCTGTGTGTTTGATTTTTTCATGGAGGGCGACACTGCAAGCAAAGGAGAAAATGGCGTTGAAAGAGAACCAGGTTTAATGGCAGTTGTCAGCCTCGCACTTGAGATAGCAGGCGGGATCCCCTCGTCAACATCAGTACTATCTGTTGAGCACTGAAGCACTCCCTCCAGCCCGGATTATCTTTTGGCTGGCAGATTCACATGAAGTTGAGAGGGGTCCAGGTGTATCGAGGTGGAAAGCAGACTCCATATCTGCCAGTGCTGCCGCACCCCTGTTGGATACAGCCTTGGCCTATTAAGTGGCGCTCGCTTCGAATCTTAGTAAGCTTCCAGGGTTGTACGATGATAATACTCTTAGATTTCTCAGCAGCAAGAATTGTGCTCTCTGCTCGGTCAGTCACCGTGAGGAAAAAGGCAAGTTGTCATTTGCTGATAGCATAATACCAAATTCCGTGTCTGATACATGCCTTGACATAGCGGATATTATGCAGCCAGGAAGCGTTACGGCACATGTAAGAGAATGCGTTGAGAATAAATTTGCAGCGCGAACAGTGGTACTTCAACTCCTCATCAATCCAGACGGCTCCCCTTAGTCGTTCTGCCAAATAGTATGTCATCGAAGATGATGCATTGCACAATGGCGCTTCCAGCGGAGATGCAGTCTGTCACTGTCCACCCAACACAGCCATTGATAAAGACAACCATATCGACCATTGCATTGCCAAGTTCCCTTGCACCGAATGAAGTACTGATCAAAGTCTACGCCGCGGCATCGAACCAAAAAGACTGGCTCCACCTTGTCGCACGCGGCATCTCGCTCAATTCAGGTGATGACCTGGCTGGCACTGTTGCTGGACTTGGGTCAGATGTGGCACAATTGCAGATTGGCGACAAGGTTGCTGCGTTTCATCCCATGGGGCAACCGTACGGAGCATACGCCGAATACGCAGTCGCACCGGCGCATACAGTGTTCAAGATTCCCAGCGCTATGCGCTTCGAAGAGGCCAGCACTATCCCCCTCGTCAGCTTAACGGCAGGGATTACACTATTCCGGCGGCAGGGGTTTGCAGCACCATGGACTCCGGAGGCGGTGGAGAAGAATGGACAGCCTCTCCTTGTGTACGGAGCAACGACCGCCTTGGGGACGTACGCGATTAAACTTGCCAAAGTCGCTGGAATCGGTCCGATCATTGCCATCGGCGGCAGAAGTAGCCAGTATTTGAGGACATTGCTTACTGAGCACGACGTGTTCCTGGATTATCGGTCAGGCATGGACAAGGCACGAGAAGATATCGGTCACATTGCGAAGGGAAAGAATCTGAAGTTGCTGAACGCAATTGATGCTTTCAGTGCGTCGGGAACCTGGGTGGAGGTGAGCCAGATGCTGGACGGCGGCGTACTCAGCGTCTTCTCGGGGGCAAACAAGTACGACGAAGCCGGAATACGAACCGGGGTCCGTATCGTGTATACATATGTGGGCACAGGGCATGAAGGAGCGTACAAGCCTGGCATGCCGAAGCAGCCAGCAGCCGAAGATGCACAAGGCGATGTCAATTTCGCCGAGGAATTTTTCATCTGGCTGGTAGAAATGCTCGAACAGGGCAAATACAGCGGGCATCCGTATGAAATCGTGCCTGGTGGACTTCGCGGTGTTGCTGAAGGCCTCAACAGGCTATGTCATGGCCAGGCAGAGGGGAAGAAGTTGGTGTACGTTGTCGGAGGAGAAATGTAATTCAAGAATGCGAGGTGAAGAGACTGTGGCATCAAGATAAGATAGCGAGCGAGTGGAGGCGCGTCTCAAACAGGAAACCCACTGTAAACACAAAAGAAAATTAATCTATGACGTCCACAACGAGATACAAGACTGAACTGAGGCATTTGGATTGTCGTTTTGATGTTCTATACATGATCAGAGGTCTTGATCTCCATGAACCGGCATGCCTCGTAAGGAGTATCTTCCTCCGCGTCCTGCTCCAGCACCCTGGACAGCTTCGAGATGCAAACGGACCCTTCGACAACTTACCTCGTTCGTCAACAGACTGGAAAGATGGCACAAGGCGTTTCTGGCTGCTCAAGAGGAGGACGCAGCGCAAGACAACATCGAGGAGCAAGAGAAGGAGTCGGCCCCCGTCGGGGCATCAGATTGGTTGGCATCCGATGCGAACTTGAGAAACAAAAGGGCAAAGAAAAACTATTCATCCCGCAGGACCACTGCTCCGAAAACACCGCTGTTAAAGCGTCCACCCCCTCGACGGCCCGTTATGACTCCTCGCAATAATGCCATCCCATCCATCTCCGCATCCATAAAAGGGCAAACTCCGCCGCAGCCTGGGCAGTCTCAACACGCAACAAGAGGTGGAGAAGGCTGGAGGACCGCGATCCGATACAATGGAGACTTCTCGCAAGAGTGGTCGCCTAGCACCGCTCATCTTTCCCAAGAGTATGAGGCTATAATGCAGCAGGGCCGGTCGACCATGATCACATTCCTTGTTGTCACATCGGATCCTGGACTTCCTTTGATGCGGGAAACCCGGGAGGTGCCTCCTCAGCAGGGCGCAAGATCCCTCTTCGACATGTGTCTAGACAAGATGTCTCGACATACTGTTGAACAGCAAAAGGACAATGAATCCAGCAATGATGGTTATGAGGGACAACAGGATATTCTCGGTTCATACCTCCAAGAGCTTGAGGACTATTTTGGCGACCCCAAGTCAGGATGGCCTTCACTGAGGACGGTAGTACGGACCTGTGGTATTCACTTGATAACCCGGATAACGAAGTCAGGAGCACTTCGTTGCAGCACAGCTACACAGATCGTCTCCCGTGGCCGTAATCCTTTCCTGCGTGACTTCCACCAAGCCATGTCACTCGCCCTGGTTGAAGCCCACTGTCGCAAGTACGATGTCAACGACACTATCTGCCATATGCCAGGCGACAGTAGCTCTGCCGGACCATCAGCCCAACAGTGCTTGGATGGATCCATGAAAATGTTGTGGACGCTACGACAACTGCAGGAAGCAGAAATCCCGGCAGCTGTGATTGACCGCTCCATACGCTACCGGCATCTACATTCCCATTTACTGCTGTACAACAGGAGTGCGGATCAATCCAATCTTCCAGTTCCCGAGCTACTCGAAACGATATTTGTGGGAGCTTTATCGCCACGGGGCAGGATTGACCGATTAGAGCTGCTACGTGGGGGCTTACTTGACACGATGAAACCATATTGCCGCGCAATGTCTAAAGAGCTCTGGCATCGACTCAAAGCAACGCTGAATCTGATCTTCTCCTTTTGTGGCCATGCACCCACGGCCGCGACCTACATTCCCATCATCGAGAGGATGTCAAAGAAGGTGCAGACACTTGTGGAGCTGGATATACATTCGCAGATGTGGTATTACCAACGTTGCCTTGCCGCGCACATCTTTTTCGGGAATCTTGTCCAGCGGTTGATTAATCGTCGTCGCGTGGATGCAGGTCTGCTAACAAGCCTCGACACCGTTATCTCTGATGAATGCTTATCGACGGTTTCTGGTGGAGTGATAGCCACAATCCTTTGCATGCTCGCTGAGTCTGGAACTGGCTTTCAAGCATTCCTAGAACAGATGTTGGTAATGGATTGCAAGGACTACGGAAAGCTCAATTTAGCTCTCGCCAAGATTGGTGCAGGAGCTGCTCAAGAATACACCGTTGCATATCCAGAGCGCTATACCGACGAGCGTTGGGCAGAGGACATCAGCGAAAGATTCCGAGCAAAGCTGCAGCACCTTGTTGGCCGTGAGCCACGTACACCTTCCTTGAAGTTGGACCCGACATACTTGTGGGATGCAACAATTGCAGAATGGATCGCGGTGACTCCCCAGGCTAGTCAATCAAGCAAGAAAAAGAAGCCTACCACATCGCGGGACCGCATTCGTGCAGTCGATTGCCTAGAGAAGCATCAAGGGCTTCCCACTGTCCGACCAGCTCTCGCACCCTTGTCCGGCAATGTTGCTATGATCAATGCAAACCGAAAAAGGCGAAAGAGTGCGCCGACTGACTTCGAGACGCACTGGGATGGCGACTTCCAGTACAAAAAGATCAAGTGCATTGATTTGCTGGAGAGTCCGAGGGTAACTCCCGAACTCAGAGCCCAAAGACTATGGGCAGACGATGGATCCGAGGATGAGTTAAGCTTGCTCGAATAGGTGCGCTCGTGAATGAAGGCCGGCTCTGTATTGGGCTGCCAATGGAACTTGGATAATGTTTCACGGCCCTTGCAGACACGAATGTCCATGGCAGAGTTTCAGCAACACTTATCCATTCTTCGCCAGTACCTTGGTCTGTGCAACGATAACGACAGCAGCCAAGACTGCGGACGTCAGCTGTCTTGACGCTTCGGATACGGAGGAGACGTCAACAGGTGACACGCCATTTGACTAGTGGGCCCAGGCGAATTTTGCGCATCTGGGGCTAACGTTTCAGAAGCAGGACGTGGCCTGGAGTGAGATAGGAATTCATATCACAACTGGCTTCTACCGAGCCATCTAGTTGTCATCCTCGCCATCCAAGGCCGACCCAAATTGGTCCGACCTGGTTGGGAGCCAATTGGAGTTGCAGATTCTGTCATTTCAATCCTTGATCCAACTTCCGCCTTTGCTTTCGCTTCTTTGTTCCTTTTCTCGCGCGATCGCGTCCTATTCCGGACTCCACATTCTTTGCCCTTCCAAGGTACGTTGTCGACACCTTTCTACGTGTGCAACAGGCTTCTTGCGTACGGAGTACTACGTTCTAGGGCATCCTCATTCCTCTTGGTCGGGACCTATACTCCCGATGTCCTGTGTCACAACTACTGCTTAAGGTATTTGAATCTACAGTCACTTCTCGCCTCTTGTCCGATATTGTGTTACTCCATACAAGAATGAACATTCCTCTCCCTAGGCAGGCCTATGCAGATAGTGCCGGACCTTAACAGTAGGGGAATCAAGCATGACCTTGAAGCGTTTGTTTCAGATTGCTGGATTTCCCACATATGTCTCCAGCGAATCCGTCATCTCGTCTCTTCACTCGACGCTTGGCGAGATATTGCAAGTATTCACCAGGTCTATATCACAACACTGGGATCTGCCGTTGTTTGCCTTTCCCTTTCACTTCCAATCTGCCCGGCACTGGCTGCGTCATTTCTCAAAGCTGCTTTGTTGGTCTTTGTCACTCGTCGCGGGCTGAGCCCACCGTCTGTTCTCTCCCTTACCCTCTCGCTTTGACCAGCGACATGGCTTTACTTACTTTTCTAACAATTGCAATGGCGTCGAGCGCCGTATCTGCCCAGGCCCCTTCTTCTGGTAATGCAACTCATGGCAGTCCTCAGTATCAGAATTCAGCTACACAGGAATACCTCGATCATCTCAACAAGACCCTCGCATGGAACTATCTTTGGGCTTTGCTAGGGGTGATTGCTTTGATCTTTGTTTACACGACTCTTCTACGCCTCAATGCTCACGTGCGGCACCTGGCATCCATGAGCAACCAAGGCGCGCATCGATATTTTTCCAAATGTTCACCGACCGTCTCTCTCATCAAGAACAACATTCTCTACGCACCTCTCCTCCATTACCGCCGAGCCCGCGAGCTCAAGTTCTCCCAACACGTCACCTTCGGAACAGTACCTACGCGCTTTCAAGCCATCTTCATCTTGCTAATCATTATCACCAATGTCTTCGCCTCGACATGGAACATCCCCTGGTCCGATCCCCAGTTGGAAGTTCTACCTATCCTCCGCAACCGAACCGGGACTCTGTCAGTGGTCAACCTCATTCCGATCATTGTCCTGTCTACCATCAAGAATCCATTGATATGGCTGTTGGATATTTCTTATGATACATTTAACATGATGCACCGCTGGCTCGGACGTCTATCCATCCTACAAGCCGTCGCCCACATGATATGCTATCTCGTCGCCAAGGTCCAGCAGAAGGGTTGGGCGGGTGTGAAGGCATCGATGCAGGCTCCTTTCATCTACAGTGGATTGATCGCTGGGATCGCCTTCACGGTGATCCTCCTTCAGAGCCCCAAAGTCTTTAGGGCCCTGTCATATGAGTTCTTCCACCACTTTCACATTGTCCTCGTCATCCTAATGACAATCTTCCTCTGGAAGCATCTCGAAGGACTTCCGCAAAGAGGCCTATTACTCGGCTTCATCATTTTCTGGGCAGCCTTCAGAACTTGGAGATTTGCCACCTTATTGTTCAGAAGCTTTGGGACAACCGTCTGCAAGGTCAAGGTTGAGCTTCTGCCTAGTGGGGCGGTCAAGCTCAACATCTCCAGCCCACGCCCCTGGAAATACCGCCCCGGCCAGTCTCTATACCTGACGATTCCATCGGTTGGTCTATGGACAGCACATCCATTTTCCGTTGCTTGGTCTGGTGTCGACCAGCCTCTCTCACGGAGCGACTCAGTCAAGACTTTCAAAGAGAAAGCACCCATTGTGGCCAGCAGAGTTGTGGAAATCGAAACCCAAGGAGAGCAGACCATGTCTCTCATTGTCAAGAAGCATCGCGGCCTAACTCGAAAGCTCTGGGAGCGTGTAGAGAAGGCTCATACTCCTCTGACGCTGAATGCGTACATCGAAGGGCCATATGGTACTGAAAAGAGTCTATCGAGCTATGGGACGGTCATGTTGTTTGCAAGTGGCGTGGGCATTACACATCAACTTCCTTATGTCAAGGCACTCGTCGAAGGGTTTAGCCAGGGCACAGTTGCCGCCAAGCGGATGACGCTGGTCTGGGTCATTCCTACCACCGAATGTCTAGACTGGGTCCGGCCTTGGGTGCATGAGGTCTTAGGCATGGAAGGAAGAAGAGAACTTTTGAGAATCCTGCTATACGTCACGCGAGCTGGCCTGAGTCAGTCAATCAGAAGCCCCAGTGAAATGGTCCGCATGTCACGCGGAAGACCCGATGTACAGTCGTTGATGTGGAATGAAGTGGAGCAGAAGATCGGATGTCTCGGTGTCAGTGTCTGTGCAGGCGGCGGCCTGGCTGATGAAGTGAGACGGGTCTCACGCTTGATGCTGGACAGAGGAGCGAATCTAGATTTGGTCGAAGAGGGATTCGGATGGTGATGCACCGTCGGATGGTGGGCGTGCTTGTACCACAGTGTTTTCGAGTAATTGGTGCTTAGGCGAGCAGGTAGAGTCTGCTGCATTGCGAGGGACTGGGATTGGATAACGAGGTGGCATAGACTCGACTACTTCGCAATGCGTCAATAGGTATACAGAGATAATGAATCAGAAAGCATATGGACCTGGACTGACCGGGGTAGCCGTACCTAATAAATTGCCTCCGTAAGTCGGACAACGAGGTGTTGACGACTGTGAAAGGACCTCTGGCATGTGCTCTGGTAATTCCGATCAGCCCACGCGTTTCACTATCTGGGGCTGGTGAGGCGTCGCCCCAACCCGGACGCACCAGCCCAACCTAACCCTTTGGGCGCCGAGCCTAATCGTCAAAAGGCTCACGGGACGACGTGAGCGACTCCTCGACCTTTTCCCACCTGGTCCTCACATGTATACATTCGTCAGTCCTTTGCCCCTTATTGAAGCGAACCTTGGAGGAGGCTTATGCTTTCACATCTTTTCCTGATCGTACGCTTGACCCGCCTTTCCGGTCCGCAATCCATGTCATGGCCGGCCAACTAGGCCCATCGGCGCCTGGTCTCAATAGCCCGAACACTTTATATGGCGTTGCGAAGCATTTGCCAAAGAAAAAAGTTACAGCGTACGAGTGCTCCAAGGGAGATGCGACAATGTCCGACAACACTAACAGGTAATTAGCTGCGGCCGGTGTCGTGCAAGGAAAACTAAATGCTCGGGCGAACGGCCTTGCCATGGTTGTATCACAGCTGGTTCAGCCAATTCATGCTCGTTTCATGAGAGAGACCGGACTGTCAAGGTTCGTGAAAGGTTGGTCTTCCGAATTTTATTACACTCAATCATGCTTAAGTAATGCAGCTACTTGCAACGCATTCTAGCAGAATGTGAAAGTGCAAAGCAAAACGCAGCTTCAGCTTCGACGTCTCTAAGGCCACAAATCTCTTCCCGTCTCTCAGACGCTCCTGTCGAAACCAATGTTTCGAATCCTCTGATCGAGGATCAGGCCTGGTTCGTCCCTCATACGACCCCTGATGTTCCAGTCTACATTGGAGAGTCTTCATCTACGGCGTTTGCGACCAGTCTACGCCAGGTTCTTGATCACTCTTGTACCCGTGGTGTGCATGTTCCGAGAACGCATTATGTGCCAGATACAAGTTTGGTCCTTAGGCCAATGAGCTCTACATCGTGGCCGAGCGAAGCCAGGGCTCGGCTGCTTGTAAAGGTGGCACTGGCTTATGTTGGTCGAACACATCATATCATATTAGCCAGTGCTACATTTGACAGACTCCATCAGATCTACCAAGACTTATCGTGTATCACAGATGTGGATGTGGGGAAATTCTTTGGCTTGTTCGCCCTTGGGGAAGCATATTCAATCACTTCTAAACCAGCAGATGGCCACGAAGTTCGTGGCCTTGCATACTTCATCACAGCAAGTAAGATAGCGCAGAACGTTCCGGAGCGAGCGACCCTAGCTTGCATAGAGAACCTGATGCTACTTGTACGTCAGCATCACAAAACCACTACGGTATTCTTAACTAACATCGCAGGCATTTTACTCTCACATTCTAAACAGACGCCACTCGGCCTACCACTTCGTCGGCTCAGCTCTTCGACTCAGCATGACAATCGGGTTACACCACGGCCTTCCGCAGTGTTTCACTATGAGCCCAGTCCTTCGTCAACATCGGATCCGAATCTGGTGGACCATCTATGACTGCGATCGTACATGGGGTTCTGAACTTGGCAACCCAGCATCGATTCAAGATAGTACTGTCTCTGTGGAACTGCCATCAATGTCGGGCCTGGAAAACAAGGAGAAGGAGGACTTTGCGGATCCTGAATATGCCATCGCCAACATCAAACTTGCCGGAATTGTGGGCGATGTGATGACCGACGTCTACACCCGGAAGCAAACGCAACCTTTTCTACACAGCGTCAGCACTATTCTACGAAAATTACAGAGCTGGAAGACACATCTCCCAGATTCACTCAAGCTGCCACATACAGATACCTGCGCATCCTTACCCCGGAATCTGAGTTCTCTACATCTGTCTTTCGATCAGGTAACACCTTCATCACACTTGATCTAGATTCCTGCGCTAACATAGTGTCCAAGACGGTCATCCTCGTAACTCGTCCTGTCCTCCTTCACGTCCTCAAAAGGACGCTTCAGACTTCATTAGGACGGAGTACCTCGCATACTACACCAATTACACCGCTTATGTCTGAGCTTGCAAATGCTTCTATAGACGCAGCCCGACACATTCACGATCTGCAATCTCAAGCTTGGATCAGCGGCACATTACCGAACGTTGGGTACTTTGACTCCCTCTATATTTTCTCGGCTGCCATCATACTCGCCATCTCCTCAATTCTTTCTCCAGCAGGTGCTGATAAGCTGTGCTTTGAGACTGCGAGTCAGATACTGCAGACTCTGGCTGAAAATGGCAATCTCCCGGCGGCGCAACTCTTGACACATTTGGAGAGGGTGCAGAGTTCCATTGACTTGCATCGGCAGAATGTGACCAGCAAAGAAAATGAAACAAGATATCGAAGGGACGAAGGCGCATTTTTGGGGGCAGCTCAGAGGATTCCAATAGGTGACACCATGGATACCACGTCGATCGAGGGTTTCTCGTTGATTGGCGAGGAGTACGCGGGCGACTATTTCGATTTCCTTGGTCCGTTGGTGGGATTTGAAGGTGAGTCATTTGTTGGTGATCAAGATGATTTTGGTGGTTAGAAGGTTCAATTGGTATTTCTGTAGGTACTGAACGCATGGTAAAGTAGATATGCGAGAGGCATCAGCTCGGAGAGGATAGTAATCCGACATTGAGTTGAGTGGCTGGAAGGTTGTTCATCGAAGTCCCACAAAAGTTACTGATGCGCTGGTACACGCCGTAGGTATATTGGTCGCTCCTCCTGTACTAGCTGTCGGCGCTTCACACAAGACGGCGATTGCAAGAAATCGCCCCGACCGGCAACATATCACTTGGCCGGATCCACAATGACAGGCAATCTTGTATGGCCTGCATCATTGCTAACCTCTAGCACCATCACCACAACCTGGGTTTGATGCGGATCGCTCAGGTACTGCGTGTTGTCATGACCTCCAATACGCCTGTGGTGGATCTGTGGCCGTCGGCATGAGCTGTCGCTCGGTTGTTCGGCCGGCACCCAGGCTGTGAATTTGAGTGAAGATCGAGGATTACCGCATTTGTTGGGAGGCATACCCTAATATTTACTGTGGCGATCTCATGGTTTTCCTATCGGGGTTTCAAGCCCGGCGCCGTACTGACAGGAGCGTACCTCGGAAGCTACAGATCTGCTGAAGTCCGATATTGGCCTCTAGTACAAGTACAAAGTCCGAAGCCGCGAAGTTGTTTCTCTGCCCTTTGCTCAATCAACTACTGGACTTGCACCATGGGTTCTATACAAACCGAATTATCGCTGCTGCAAAAAGCTCCCCTTTTCCCTCCCGACCCGATATTTGGGCTCACCAAACAGTATCTTGCAGATGGCTCTCCCAACAAGATACTTCTCGGCGGCGGCACCTATCGCGATGAGAAGGGGCAGCCGTGGGTTCTGCCATCTGTTGGGCTAGCAGAAGAGGCCGTAAGGGGTTCTGGCCACGAACACCTTCCCATAGCCGGTCTCCAATCATTTCGAGATCGAGCTGCGGAGCTGATCCTTCACGGAACGCAAGCATTAAAAGGCGGAAGAGTATGAATAGTCCATCTACCACAGCGAGTATTCAATGCTGACTGGTCTAGATTGCTTCTTGCCAGTCTCTGTCCGGGACAGGAGCACTCTTTTTGGCTGGCGCTGCATTGAGAGAGATAGATCCAAGCCCCAGAGACCTTTTACTCACATCGCCAACTTGGGCTAACCACAAGCGCATCTTCGAGTCATTGGGTTTCGTGGTAAAAGACCTGCCATACTACAAGAATCAACGTTTCGACTTGGACAGCTACCTGGGAGCCCTGGACTCCTCTCGTCCTGGTTCGATCGTCATTTTACACGCATGCGCACACAACCCAACGGGTTGTGATCCAACTCGAGAACAGTGGAAGAGGATAGCGGCCGTGGTCGAAGCTAAAAGCTTGTTTCCCATCTTTGACAGCGCATATTTAGGGTTCAAGTCTGGAGACGTCGATGCCGACTCGTGGGCAATCAGGTATTTTGTGGAAGACTTGGGCCTGGAAGCAGGAATTTGTGTATCATTCTCCAAGAACATGGGTCTTTATGGTACCTCCAAATCCTTTGACCCCTATGTCGATTTCTCCACTGACCATATGCGTGACAGGAGAAAGAATTGGTTTGGTGGCATTTGTCACTAGAGACTCGTCTCTAACGCAAAACGTTGTTACAGTGCTCGAGCGTGTTCAGCGCGCGACTGTTTCCACTCCGCCATTGTACGGCGCAAAGCTAGTATCGACCATTCTGGGGACCTCAGAAATAAAATCCCAATGGGAAAAGGATATCATCACCATGTCTAGCCGGATCTTGGCGGTGCGCCAAAAGCTTCACCAGAGGCTGCTAGAGCTGCAGACACCAGGAGACTGGTCGCATATCATAGCGCAAGAGGGCATGTTCAGCTATCTAGGGTTGAGCCCAACGCAGGTGGCTCATATTCGAGGTGAGGAGTAGTATTGTTGGATTAGTTCCTCTGGACTTCTGCTGACTCTGGACCTTCAGATGAATATCATATTTATATGTTAGGAAGCTCAAGGATAGCGCTTACCGGTCTCAATGATGGAAACCTGGAGTATGTCGCTCAATGCGTGGACAAAGCGGTCAGGCAGATAGAGTAATCCATCAGCGAATCTGCCTTTGATGCCTGTGTCTCCTAGATTGGTACTCCTAATGCTCGATGTCATTTATGCATTGGAAAGGCCTGACTGAACTTCCTGAAGCTTCTTTAAACTCGGAAGCTGCCTCTATTCATGGATGTGAAACGCGGGTAACGATAATCACCTACACGTGACGGTATGTGCAAGTCGAGGCCATCGAACCTGTCTACCAATCGAGATGTTCGTACCAAATCTCGTGGTTCAATTATCACAGAAGTGAGCTTACTTAATCGAAAAGCAAAACCCCCGGCCATTCAATGTAGAAATGTAATAGGTACAGGGATATTTACAGGTTTGGGCAAGGCGGGCTGTATGGACACGATTGAATCCCGAAGCCATTGAGCATTCAGTACTAGGCTAACCTCTCCGGAACTTCCTAAAGGCATCTGTAACAGACATACCATTTCTTACAGCTTCCATTGCCTCGTTATCCCGCCTCACGAGACCGGGAAGCAATTCAAGCACTTTATCCAACTTGCTTTGGGGGATGACGACAACTCCATTAGGATCACCGAAGACAATGTCGCCCGGTGATATAGGAAGTCCCCGGATTGCTAGAGGAACATTCAAGGAGTGAACCCTGGTCAGACCGCTTGAATTCACGGTGGAAGTCCCCTTTGCCCATATCTGTTTCATGTTAGAAGTCTAGCCAGCCAGAAACATGTGGGCGCTCAGCAAGGAAGGGGCAGACAGAGATGAAGGGCGAAGGAACGAGCGGCCTAAAAAAAGGACAGGTGATCCTGAACCCGAGTTGAGACTGAAAGATGGAGGAACCGACGGAAACAAGCGTACTGTTAAGCCCGATTTGCCCAGTTCTTCGATATCTCGAACACGACCGTGAACAACAACACCTCGGATATTGCGCTGTGCCAACCTCACGGCTTTAATGCCACCCAAGATTGCATTTTGTTGCCCCTCTGGCTGACTCATGATGACAACGGTATCTTCTTCAACGGAGTCCACCCATTCTTTGTTGATCTGGACATTTTCTTGACCTCGACTGCCTGGATCTTGGTCGTAATCCGTGAAAAGAACAGTTGAAGCCCGGCCCACAAGCGGTCTGCTAGCAAGGCTCCCGTATGGGACCAGATCTGGGATGAAACCTGAGCCAGGGGTTTGCAGCTGATGCAAAGCATCAGAAATGTCACATGCCGTGTATTTGGATAGATTTGTCACTTGGGACGAAGACATGGTGCGGTTTGAGCGAACGACTGGGATGGAGGTATTTTAAGATAGAGTGGGAACATGTCGGGCGTCGAGGTGCTTTAAATACCTCTTGTCTACTAGGAAGCTACTTGAGGCCATGCTCGGGCATGAGCTTAACTGTGTGCTGTGTTCAATAGCCTTGAGCCAACTGTTCACATGCTAAGGATGCGGTGCTACCACATCAACAGGTATGCTAACCCAGGAGTAAAGTCGGTCGCCACCGGCCACCTAGGCCCAATCTCTGGGAAAGTTCTCCTTCTCTATTCCGACAGTCCTTCGCCTTATAGTGAACACGGCATTGGTAGTTAGGTTGTGGGTTAGGAGCAAGAAATTGGTGCCCTGACGGCAGTTGTTCTTTCTGGTGATGCTGGTATCATACTCCAACCTCGTACACTCTCCCGCGCCCAAAATCCGCCGTCAGACTATGGCGATCGCAGAGTATTTCTGACCACCGATGCCTTGCCCGTACGAACTACGAGAAAGGACAAGGCCTTGGACTGAATGAAATTGGGGGTTGGATCATTATCGAGCCCAAACAGGCTAGCCCCGGAAGGGTCTGCTTGGACGCCGGTCTTGGCATCGGCACAATGTCTTTACGCCGGACCGTAACTCTCTACGCGCCCCAAGTCTTTCCATGGTATGTCTTTGATGTCTAGCGGGCATGATAATCTCAATCCACAACCAGGATGGCCGGCGTTTGAGTAAACAATATACCATTACCAAAACATGTCTCCGTGTCTCCCTTCACAGGCGCTATCACTACAGGAGATTGGTACATCATTTCTTTGGACGATGTGCAACACGGGATGTCCCGGAAGACGTACTGGACCGAGAACTTGAATTTCGGTCTGTTCTTCTGCAAATTTGACTTATCCTTCAACAGATGGCGAGCTGGAATCTACCGCGGTTTGTCGGGGAGACATCATTTTGCCGCGGAGAAGTCGCCATCTTCCACGTCGGAACTCCTGCCACGAACACCGAGACTTTTCGAAGTTCTTTCCAAAGGACATCTTATCTCGCACTACGCATGCGGACCCAGTGCCTTTTCTGCTATATATGATCGCCGTCTGGAGGGCTGTGTTCTACCAATCTCTGGGTGTTTGTCTATGTGTGGACTTTTGCTTTCTTTCTAGCTTCAGACAGACGGTTACCAAGACGCCCAAGCATCTCCTATCACCAGTTGTCATCGAGCTGCCATGGACAAAATATCTCAAGCACCTTCACCTGAGCTGACGCAGCAAATCACGAAACAAGAGGGTTCAAGTTTTGAGTTGACAACAAACGATGGAAAGACTGCTAGTCCTTTACCACAGGAGCAGCGCCTGCATAGGGGCCTCAAAGCCCGTCATATCGCGATGATTGCAATCGGCGGCGCTATAGGCAACGGATTGATCATCGGTACTGGTCTGGCTCTCGCTGAAGCTGGACCCGCTCCCTTGCTCATCAGCTACACTATTATCGGATTCCTGGTCTTCGTGGTCATGACAGCCCTTGGGGAAATGGCGACTTGGCTACCTCTCGGGAGCGGCTTCACCGGGTACGCTGCGAGATTTGTTGACCCGGCGCTCGGTTTCTCCCTGGGTTGGACGTAAGTAGCTCTCCAAAGTCGAATGTGATAGACTTGCTGAAAGCAGGCGGTTGTTACAGGTACTGGATAAAGTATGCTCTCACCATGCCGAATCAGTTGACTGCAGCATCACTAGTGCTTCAGTACTGGGTCGATCGAGACCGCGTCAACCCGGGCGTTTTCATTGCAGTATTTCTGGTTGTCGTTGTGGCCATCAACTTTTTCGGTTCGGCTTTCTTTGGTGAAGTGGAATTCTGGATGACTTGCGTCAAAGTCATTGTCATTGTCGGTTTGATGATTTTGTGTATCGTGCTAGCCCTAGGTGGGGGCCCCAATCATGATCGAACAGGCTTCAGATATTGGTCTGATCCAGGTGCATTCAACGAGGTCATATTGAGTATGCCACTTTAATCATCTTACCAAGTAAGATTGCTAACCTCTTACCCACCCAGCCGGTGCCTCTGGTCGGTTTCTAGCTGTCTGGTCCACCTTGATCACTGCCACTCTCGCATATCTTGGAACCGAGATGGTCGGGGTTACCGTCGGCGAGGCGCAGAATCCTCGTCGGACCGTTCCGAGAGCAATGAAGCTTACCTTCTACCGGATTCTGTTCTTCTACGTTGGTTCAGTCCTCTTTTTAGGGATGGTTGTTCCGTACAATTCCGAGCAACTAGCCTTCGCCACCAAGCAGTCAACCTCCGCTTCGGCTTCGCCTTTTGTGGTCGCTATTCAACTGGCATCTATCAATGTCCTGCCAGGTATTGTCAACGCCTGTATCTTGATCTTCCTCTTCTCGGCGGCGAACACCGACCTATACGTCTCCTCCCGCACTTTGTACAGCTTGGCTATCGAAGGTTCAGCGCCGCAAATCTTCAAGAATACCAATTCGAATCGAATTCCAGTGTACGCCCTTATCATGTCCGCGAGTTTCGGCTTACTTGCGTTCATGAATATCTCGGACGACTCAAAGAGAATTTTTAAATATCTCATCAGCATTATCACAACTTTTGGCTTGTTGACTTGGATTTCCATTCTCGTCAGTCACATATACTTCGTGCGTGCAAGACGTGCGAGGGACGTGCCCGATACCGCTTTGGTATACAAGGCACCACTGGGCATATATGGTTCATATGGTTCACTACTAGTTTTGAGCCTAGTACTTTTGACAAAGAACTTTACCGTCTTCGTATCGAGCTCACGAGCTGGTGGTAGCTACGGCAAGTTCGATTACAAGACTTTCATCACTGGTTACGTGGGAATACCTATCTACTTGATTCTGATCTTGGGATATAAGGTCTTGATGCGGAGCAAGACTGTTCGGCCTGAGAATGCGGACCTGTTCGGTGGGAGACGGGAGATCAATGATGAGGAAGCAGAGTTTCTGGAGGCCCGAAACGCGGAAATGGCCAGTCGAAATAGAGAGAGATGGGGAGTGGCATACCGCTTTATTGCTTGGCTATTCTAGCTTGTGCATCCCTCGCACTTGCCTTCATAGCGAGGCAAGGGATAGAAATGATTGGGGAGGACTCGATGAGTGATAGACCGGGCATGCAACGAATAGGCTGGAATCTAATTGGCTGGTATGCTGACATAAGCATGGTGACGCAAATCTTGGCCTTCAGCTCCTGATTCACCATGGAGAGCTCGCGTGATTGCCGCGACTTCGCCTTCCAGCGATGCGCGGGAAGTAAGGGATTCGCAGACCACAAAATTCCATTCAACTGGATACCGGTCGTGAAGTCTGACTGACTACTGCACAACTGGACAAATATTTCGGTTGGAGACAAGTCCTTTGCGTGATCCAGAAGACTCTGAAGCAGACGCATTCCACCAGCTCACAATGCCTCCTCCTCGAGGCACACCGCCGCCAAGTCAGGGCTACAGCACAGATACCGCTTTCGGTCGCGCTCATCCCAAAGTGATGAAGAGCCTTATCATAGCGTGTCAATTCTCAGGACCGCTACTGATTGGGACGCTACTCTGGACCGCCGGATTCCTGAAGCGACCCATGTGGGAGAGAGTCATCATGTGGAGGGCATATCTATGGACTTACATCTCGAGATGGGTCCTCGTCAGCTGCGCGATCACTTGGACGTTGAACGGGTGGGATTCTCGGGATGAAGGACAGGGAAGGAACACGGATCCAAATTGAGCAGCTTGCCCACATGCCAGTGGCGGCCTTGCTTGTGAGCTTTTGGAGGGACTTGCGCGGACGGTGATGACATGATTGGTGGAGCCTTCATTTCCAACAGCATTTGAGGAGCATTCTTTTCCAACAGGATCTGAGGAGTACGGTCGCTGATGTCCACTGTTCCAAGACCAAAAGTCGATCAAGGAGCAACTCGGGATTAATAGCTGGACTTTCCGAGGGTACTAGCCTCCTCATGAAGAGCAATGAGCACGGCATCTTCCACGCATCTTGATCCCCACGGCGACAACGAGAACATCTCTGACACCCTATAGCTCGCATCCAACCAGGACATTATTGTGCCGGTGCGTGTCACTCCAGCAGCCCATCCTACCTTCGCAGCATCGCCCTCGCCATCGCCCTCGCCCCTTGGTATCACCAGCAGAAACCGACCTGCCACACCGTCTCACGGTCTCACCGCCTTCCTTACATCATTTACTTCTCTTCAATTCACTCCGCCTCACTCAATCCTTGCTGCTCTAAACACGGCGACCTCCCACTCACCCACACAAACAATCACTCCGCCCGTCGAAAAAGGGCGCAAAAAAAAGGGTGCCCAAAAAACTTTTTCCACCCTACCAGGTATTCGAACATCTGAACTTTTCTCCTTTTCAGGGGTCCATAGAGTTACTTGGTGGTTCGATCTGGAGTACGGTTAACGGGTGGGAAGTTGAAAACTCAGCCCTTCTCTTCTCACGGTTCTTGATCCTCGAGAAGGGCCTGGTTTTTTTTCTTGGCGGGGGTTTTGATAACTTGAGCTATCGACACCTTCATCGAGCATCCACATTGATTGTTGCGGTGCTACTCCGATTGTCGAGAACAATTCGACGAGTTCGGTATATCTCCCCTATAATTTTTCTGGGTCTGGGGCTGTCGGCACTGAAAAGGGCGGGCACAAGGCAAAAGGCAAGAAGTGAATGGATGCAATCATGTGATCAGGTGCGACACCCTTGGTCCGGTGTTGACAATCGGAGGGCGCTGGCGGGTGAGTTGGCAGTATAGTGGCTACGGCTGACAAGCCCAGTGAGTACTGAGGAAGGTGCTTGGATACCTAGCTACCTAGTTATGAGCTTTACGGAGTAGTGTGGTGCAGGATATGCTTGCATCGCGAGATGAGATGAGATGTTCAAGGCAATAATACCTGGACATCCTTACCTGCTGAACGAAGCTTGGTAATAGTCAGCCGGCCGCTGGTGGCAGCGTATCAATGAGCATCTAAGACTCCCGCAGGATAAATTGGTCGATGGCATGTACCTGATGTGCTTTGATTGCAAATTCTATACCAGATTGAAGAACCGGTACACAACCAAGGAATGGATCCGCACACATTTGTTGGTACAAGTGTTCATCGACATCACTTCGTCAACATCTTTTCATTCATTCAGCCCTGGCCTGCTTCTTTCCCTTCATCCGCCGCTCTTGTGAACTCTAGCAGGCTGCAAGCCCCGGAGAAGGGAGTCTTTGACATGTCAATTCTCCGGCAAACCTCTTCCGATCCAAACTCTTGCCGGATCAGTCCTTGAAATCGCCCTTGGTCTGATAATCTTCCCAATCGTAATAAGCCTGGAACTCGGCGTAGCATGTCTCGGAATCGCTTTCCATGCGGTTCGTGTAATCGGCCTCCTCATCCGAAATCAGCACTTTTGGGATCTTACCGCCCTCTGAGGCGGCCTCAACAAGCAACTGTCCCTGGCAGGCATGCTCAAGCGAGAGGAATAAAAACGCTGCTTCGTCGACAGTCTTACCGACCGTCAGCAGGCCGTGGTTGCGCAGGATGCACGCCTTGTTGGTGGGACCGAGAGCTTTGGCGATCATGGCGCCTTCTTCGCTCGCCAGCACGACGCCTCCGTACGAGTTGTACACGCTATGCGACTTGTAGAATTTGCAGGCATCCTGAGTCAACATTTCGATGGGCTTGCCGAACACGCTCCATGCCTTGCCGTAGACGGTGTGTGCGTGGCAGACGGCGTGGACGTCCGGGCGGGCTTTGTGTACTTCACTGTGGATCAGGAATCCGGCAGCGTTGGGCGGGCGCGTACGGTTGCCTCCGACAACTTTGCCGTCGAAGTTGACGGCGATCATGTCGCTGGCTTTGAGGAGGCCAAAGTGGACGCCCAGTGCTGAACAGCGGTCATCAGTATGCGGCCCCAGCCTGGGCGAGTAGAAGCAACGGAGGGTTGGACGTACGATTTGTCCAGAATACATCTTCGTGCTCTGGATCTCTGACACTGATGTGGCCCGAAATACCCTCGACGTAGCCTTCACGAGCCCAGTGGCGGAAAGCGGCGGCCATGTGTTCGAGTTGCCATTGGCGCTGGGCGGCGAGGTCGGTAAACGTAGGCACGCCCGGAAGCATCACGTCGCCGTGGGAGATGGCGGCAATGGGCGTCTTGTCTTCCATGCCGTGGACATGACGTTCTTCTTTGACGGGGTTGATGGATTTCGAGGTTATAGGGCCCGAAGGCAAGAGGTCGCTGATAGCGGAGGGCGCCATATCGAAGTCTGAGAAGGTGGAAGGAGAAGTTGTATGTGTGCACTGGGAAGGGGAATGCAGCAAGTCAAGGAGAGAAGATGTAAGGGGTCAGATGAGGTTGCGCAACAACGAGAATATGCGCTTCAAATAATTCGAATTGAATATGGCAAGCGATCTCCGAGATGATCTCGATATCGTGGTTAAAAGGCGTACAGGTCAACGTGGGGTTCTCCATCTGCCTCGCCGCTCGGGATCTCCTGCCACTTCGCAGATGTCCGTGAAGCCGCCATTGGGAGAAGCTTGGACGGCTAGAACGTCCTGAGGAAGGTGACAGCGAAAATCCTGGCGTGCCTGGGCGTGGACTTCTCTGGCAAGAATAGCAATCCGGGGAGTTGACTGTGACTCCGATTGATGATATTGCTGACTCTGGTTGATGATGCCCTCAATATGAAGATGCGAAGACCAAGTCAAATAACAGCACGTGACTACTGGAAGGATACACGTGCAAGGCTGAGAATTTCTCCTGCACGTGATTTCTGTCTACAAAAAGGCTGACGTCATTACAAGGCTGAGACTTTGTGCCCATCCACCATCACAGCCTTGACGCCAACTTGCGCTTTCTTTCTGATCAATGTGTGTATAGCTGCTAACGTGGCATACTCACAGCTCCCACATCCCACCACCATGGCGGCGAATGTCCTTGAAATCCCTTTCCGGCGAACGCACTCGGTCGATCTCTCCTCCGCCATCAAACAATACATTTCCAGTAAATATGACCAGTCCCCAGGCATGTTCGCAGATGACCTTCGAGAAATCGACCGCCTTCGTTCCGATGCCATCAGTGTCCAAGAACCTCACATTAGCGGGATCCGAAGGTTGGCCGTCTACGCTGCACAGCTACGCTATCTGAGCGGGAAGTTTCCGATAGATATTGGCGTGGACTTCCCCTGGTACCCTGCCATTGGTTATGACAAGGACAAGCCGGTGCTACAAAACAATTTGAGATTCGAGTTGGCGAATATACTGTTCAACTTGGCCGCCCTATACTCACAGCTGTCTGTACGGACGAATTGGACCACTATCGATGGACTCAAGCAGGCCGCTGAATATGGAATTGCAGCAGCCGGAGTACTCGCCTTCATGCGCAAAGAGATCATGCCAGACATGCGATCCTCTCCTCCAGAAGATATGGATGACGTGACATTGGACAGCTTACAGAACCTGTGTCTGGCCCAGGCCCAGGAATGCTTTTGGCAAATAACGGTCAAGAAGAACATGTCGGACGGAACGATTGCCAAACTGGCAGCAAAGGTGTCGGACTACTATATTATGGCAGCAGATGCAGGTCGTCAGTCAAGGTCTGTCAGCAGCGAGTGGATACATCACATGCAAGCGAAACATCACCACTTCGCGGCCGCTGCTCAGTACAGGCAATCGAGATATTGCCTACAGAACAAGCAGTATGGCGAGGAGATTGCTCGACTAAAAGACAGCATTGTCTGCGTCAATGAGGGATTGCAAGAAGCGCGGTGGATCAGTGCGACTGTTGTCGGTGATCTCAGCGGTCTCAGGACCAGAGTGCAAGCGGATTTGAAGAGAGCGGAAAAAGACAACGACGTCATCTATCTACACGCAGTCACGCCAAAGTCAGAGCTCAGAATCCTAGACCGCACAAATATGGTTGCCCCAAAGACACCAGCAGATGTAGCCGATGGGATTTCGCTCCTTGGCGAAGGGCAGCCATTTGGCAAGCCGTTGTTCGACAAACTTGTGCCTTATGCTGTACATCAAGCAGCCTCAATATATGAGGACCGACGAGATCGCTTACTCAACCAATCCATTATAGCTGATCTGGAGGCCATGACTGCCAGACTTCGGGAAGTCCTCCAATCCCTCGACTTACCCGGCTCCTTACAGGCCTTGGAGAAACCTTTGGGGCTGCCGGGAAGTCTAGTATCAAAGGCGGAGGAGCTCCGCCAGCAAGATGCCTTATATCGCATAAAACGATCAATGGAGGACACCACGAAGCTCAAGACGAACGATCTTACAATCTACCAGGAAGGAATGTCACTCCTAGAAGCAGAGAAAGCCGAGGACGACAGAGCTCGCGCGAGATATGGTACAGAGAGGTGGAGCCGGCAACCTTCAGAAATCGCTTTGGCCAAGTTGTACCAGAGTTCAAAAGAACTTCAAACCTACCTCAACTCAGCGGCCTCGAGCGACAACCTCGTGGAAGCAAAGTTCCGCGAGAACGAACACATTCTGAAGACTTTGAGTGGCACGAATCCTGATCTTGAGCGGTTTGTGCCTTCGTCGAGGCAAGTAGAGATGACACCTGCGATCGACCAAGCTGCATCACGGCTAAGGACTTGTCTCAACGAGGTCTCTCGGCTAGAAACGAGGCGGAAGAACCGGATCAACGCATTACGAGAAAAAGCAAAAGCTGACGACATCGGCCCAGCTCTACTCGCTGAGGCAGCACGATTAGAGCGCGAATACCCCATGCAGAAGATCGAACCAAATCAATTTGAGGCTCTCTTCGATAGAAGGCTTCAGACATATGAATCCGACCGAGATATCCTTGCCGCCGAGCAAGAAGAACAAGATCAAATTGTCGCACGCTTGCGCGAGGCCAACAAAGCATTCCTTGACGCTAGGCGAGGTGATACCAGCACACGCGATCGGCAGAAAGCCCTACAAGCACTGGATACAGGTTATGCCAAGTACAAGGAGCTGGTCAGTAATCTCGAGACGGGGCGGAAATTCTACAACGATCTGGCAGGGCACGTGACGCGCTTCAGGGAGAATTGTAAAGCACAAGTCAACGAGCGACGGGTGGAGGCGAGTCAACTCGAAGCGGAACTCACTGGACAGGACATGGGCCGGTTGAACCTTGAAGAGACGAGAAGGGAGTTGACGAGCCAGAGTCAAAGCCAGGGGCCGCAGACTAGGAGCAAGGATCCGGCTCCCACACCGCAGCGACAAGATGGGATCACAGCGCCGGTGCCGACGAGGAGTCATCATCCACCGCCAGCAGGAGTCATGCCTTCAACGGCACCTGTGCCTGTAAACGTCGCAGGCGGGACCATTGCGGGAGGGGGAGTCTGGAGGCCGGATATGGGTATCAGGTTTGGTGGTGCTCCGGCAAATCAGCCTGGACAGGCTGGATATCCTGTTCCACGACGACCGTAGTGCGGTGTTGGATGATTCATGAATAGTTGGCACGTAGGTTCGTAGCGTGGCGTAAAAGGCAGCGATCGCATACCAGCAAGGCCACACCGTGTTTGAAGTCGTAACGAGACAAGGTTAAGAACTTTGACGAGATCGAAGGAGCAATCAATCGCCCAGTTCGATTTTGAACTTCTTTTTGATATATAATTTCCCGCCTCGTGGACTCGTTATATGCATGCAGTATTGCCCAATTAGTATAGATATATCTGTACACAGTACAGCAGAATAGCCCGCTGGCCTGTACAAGGGATTCGCTTGCTGAAATATTCGCTCCAAATTTGATCAACTCCCTCTGTCTCCGCCTCTGCCTACCTTCCCTCTCCGTGTCTCCGACTTTATTTCCAAGCAGCATAAATGTCACCGGCCGTCCCGAATTCGCCGGCCTTGGCCTCGGACAGCACAAAGCTCTGGACGATGGGCTTGACGCTCTGCCACGCCCCGTTGGCGAGCAAGACGAACTGCCACGTGCCCGCGCGTGTCGGCATCAGTCCGATCTTGGGTTTATGGCCGGCCTCGTCTCCTTCAGCTCTTGCTTCTGCCTCGGCGCCGGGACCACGACCCGCAGGCGCTGTGGCGGCTCGTTTCAGGGGCTGAATTGGTGCTGATCCGGCTTGTTCTTGTTCTTGTTCGCGTTGTTCCGTCGTCGGAGACGCCGCGGCACTGCTGCCGCCGTTCTTGGCCTGCTCCAGTCGACTTTGCACCTGCTTGACGACATCCTGCCTGATCAGGTCGGGCTGGTCGAAATGCGCGGCGGCCAGGCCCTTGACGCTCAACTGGGCCTTGACGATCTCCGTTTCGGCCGGGTGGGTGAAACAATAGGCGCCAATTGCCAAAATGACGACGACCACGACGTACAAAAACTTGAAGCCCAGCAGCAAGTATAGCGGGACCAAGGGGATCCTGGCCACGCTCACGCTGCTGTTCCGCAACTGCTCGAGATCATTGACGCGGGGCGTGAAGACGCCGACGGACAGTCCGAGCGCGGCCTGGCTGAACTCGTTGGCCCAGATGTTGGCCATGTCCGTGGCATCCTTGCCGTGTAGGACGCCAGGTACGCGGCGTTCTCGAGGGCCAGACTCGTTTGTTTCAGACCCAGCACGCGAGGCGACCAGGCGAACGGGCCGGAGAAGAAGGCGCCCCAATCCGGCGCGGCGACGCTCGCGTTGAAACGGTGCAGGCTGCCGTCGGTGTAGCTGTACGTGACGTCGTACACGGTCGACGTGCAGTTGAGCATCCACACGGCGTTGACGTGGCCGTCCGGGAACACCTGCGGGTCGCTGTTGCTGAAGAGCGCGTTGTGCATGTCGTCGCCGGGGAACCCGATGGCCCAGGTGCCGAAGTACATTGGATTTTCTTTCAGGAGAGCGGAAAGATAGCCGGTGGGCGAGTCCGTCAGGTCGGTGAGGTTGTTCATGCCGGCTGCCTGCGAGAGCTGGGCGTCAGTCGCGAAGCCGATGCCCGTTTCGCAGCTGCCAGAGTCGTCGGCGCTGGCGGGCCATACGTTGGGCAGGCATTCGGTCAGATCGCCTGCAAACCCGGCGGAGCAGCGGAACGACGTGCCGTTGGAGTAGTCGCCGTGGCAGCGTTTCGTGGCGATGTGGCATTGCGTCGAGATGCCTAGGGTTTGGACCTTGAAGTCGACCGTGCTGCCGCTTCGTGAGTCGCTGTAGAAGTAGAACGTCTCGTTGTGCTTGGACGTGGAGGAGAGTGAGCCGGTGTAGTTGGAGGTCATGTCATTGGTGGGCTGGTTGAGTTGGAGTTTGGATGCTGCTTCGCCGCCGACGAGGAAGATGTTCTCGGGATGCGGCGTGCCGATGTAGAGATTACACGGCCAGTACCAGTGTTGAGCAGGATTGTAGCCTTGCCCTGCTGCCCAGCCAGGCACGTCCGGACAGACAATGGAATCCGTCGTCCCGGGGTCCAGCTTGCGGCCAAAGGAGTGGTAGGCCGAAGCGGAAGTGTTGTACAGTTGACTGATGGTTGCAGGATGGACCGCAATACCGAACCACGTGTCGATGATGGGAATGAAGACTCCAAGAAGAGTGATGATGAAAAGCGCGGCGAAGGCGGCTGGAAGAGGGGCTACAAGCCTCTCTTTCCGTCCCCATCTGTAGAGAAGCGTATCCTTCAGCGGACTGAAGCCACTGCCACCTAGGAGACTGATCAACAGAGTCAGCTGCTCCGGAGTTGGCAGCTCAGTATGATGCCCATGCTTGGACTTCAGGACGATGTGTCGAGCTGCAAAGAAGGCAAGCAGAGCCATGATGGAGCTCGACAGGTATGGGATAACGCGACCTGTCCATGACGCGATGGTGGTGATCGTAGAAGGGTTGTAGGCGACATAGTATGCTGGTCTTCCACCGTCATGCCGGATTTCCTTGATGAAGTCGGTGATATTGCTGATCCCAGGATTATCTGTCGGGACGTATAGTTCGGGCCATCCAGCTCGAGGGACGACGCGATGTTTGAAGATGAAGTACAGCAGAACAGCAGAGACAATGATGATGGGTATGCAGGGTAACGCAACACCACCTACAATGGTGTAGATGGCTGATCGTAGGTCCCGACCTGGGCGAACTGTGTCGCTCTCTAAAGAGACCGGGTCGTCATTGACGGGAGTAACGGTGGCCTGCACAACGGGCTTTTCTGTGATCGGGTCGATCTTGTCACCGTCCATGTTGGTGGCCATGTCGTCAGTGTGTCTCGCAGCGGCAGTACCACATTCACCGTCGAGAGGGTCCTTGTTCGCGACCAAAGAGAATCAAGGGCACGCTGGGGGTTTGAAGGATTTCTTATTCCGTAGAAGAAAAATCATCCTACCTCTGCAGAACAGCCTCGATTCCACCCCTGTGAGACATTGAACACGTCGACTGCTGTAAAGAAGTCGGTCGAGCAAGCCACGAGCATCAAAATCAGCACCGGCGTTGACCGGTCCTCCTGGCCCTTGGGTCGAGAGATGGATAACAACCCGAAAGAAGATTGAGGTTGAGAAGAGACTTCGTGCAGGTGAAGTTGGAAGCTTCGGAGTCGCCTATTTTCCATGTGTCTAGGGCTAGTGGGCTCACTTAGTGTCGCTTGGACTAGGCTAATGCAGGCTTGTTTCGGTTAAGCCTTATGGATCTCCAGGCTTCGTTTTCGGTCCATCGACCCCTAAGGACTCGATCATACTCTCTCGGGAAAGTCATCTCTACAACCAGGGACACTAGGCGAACACTAGGCTGTGCTAGGCATGAGCAGGGGAGGAGGTCGTATTCTCGATTACTGTGTACGAGTACTCCTGCACCCAAACTGTTAAAATGAGAAATGCAACACGTGATGGATGAGAAGAAGACGGACCGCAGCTTCAAGGCTGGCGTGCCGGAGGACAAGAATGATAGGATTATATGCAAGAATTTGTAACCCAGGTACTCACACCTGACTGTGTGACTGTGCATATCTCAGTGACTGTCCCCTGATCCATGCCATCCAAAGCAGAAACCCAACATCACTCGAACGCTATACTACGTAGATGAGCACAGCAACCACCGACCACGACTCCCCGTCTTCCGAAAATGCAAGTCTTTGACTTGTAATATTACAGCTTCGCCTCCCTCGGACTCCCACCACCTCTCTCCCGATCCTCCGCCCTCCTCAATTCGCGCACCTCCTTGCTCCCAGCCTGTGTAACACTCTCACTCTCCTTGCCAAACTCGCCCGCGGTCCCTGGAAACCGTCCCTCACGGTAGACTTGCCATGCCTCCTCCACGACCTTCTGCGCGTTATAACTGAACAGATACTTCTGAAACACTGGATCGCGCCATCTGTTCTGGTACCCCTGGAAGGGCCGTTCCTGGAACTCAAGCAACTGTCTATCCCGCTCCTTCTGCCTCGGCCCATCGTGCAGATGGTATATCGTCTGGCCCGTGTTCGAACTGCTCTGAACAACGTGGCTGGCCCGAGGTTTGCGCACCGCTTCGTAAATCGTCAAGAGATCGGCCAGCTGGTACCTGTGTTCCATCTTCTCGAACAGTCCCGCCAGGACAGCAGCGTCCTCGACCGCCTGTGCCGCGCCCTGCGCTAGGTACGGCAAGGTCGCGTGGCATGCATCCCCCAACAAAGTGAACTTGCCCGATGGGTGGCACCAGGACCTCATCTCGCGCGAGTTCTGGAGGCGCCATTTCGACGTCTCCTTGCACAAGTCGAGCAGCGCACGGAGTTTGGGGTCCCACCCCCTAAATAGCGCGTGCATCTCCTCCAAGTCGGCCTTCTGCTGGTTGACCAACTCGGGCAAATTGTCGGGAGACGCGATGACGATGTTGTACAGGTTGTCACCCCTGAGAAGGTAGCAAACGACGTGGCTGTCCGGTCCGAGCCATATGTTGAGATTAGGCACGGCGGCCAGGTCAGTTAACAGCGGGTGAGCTTTCATTGCTTCAGCCGGTACGGTGATTCGGTATGCTAAGTCCCCCGTCAAGTAAGGCGGGTCTGGACGTCCGAGTAGTGCTTCGCGGCAGACACTCTTCAGGCCGTCAGCGCCGATTATGAGGTCGCATACGAGAGGATCCGGTCGATTCTTGACATGGACAGCTGGCCGCTCGAAGTCGATTCCGGTCACGTAACTATCAAGCTGGATCTCGACGCCGCACTTTCTCGCCTCCTCAACCAGGATCTTGTGATAGTCGGCACGGTGGATATGGAGGTAAGGATAGCCGTAAACATCTTCGCACATTGGAATCAGAGGCTGACTTGAAAGAACTTTGCCGTCTCGGTAAGAGCGCATAATGATATTGTTGGGCCGGACAGAGACCTTTTCGATAGCTGGGAGTATGCCCCATCGAGCCAGGATTCGCGTGGTGTTTGGTGGAATTTGTATACCTGCCCCAACTTCGCCCAATTGAGGCGCTTGTTCGAGAAGGGTGACTCTGTGACCAGCTCTAGTCATGCCAATAGCAGCTGCAAGCCCACCTAGACCGGCGCCGATGACCGCAACGTGAAGCTGTGGCTTTCCCATTTTGGAGCGTGAAGGTGTCGAACAGAGAAGCTGACCAGAATCGCCCTTTGAAGCTCGTGCGCTTTCCACGCAGAAGTGATCCGCAACCTCAGGAGCTTACAGAATCAGCCCTCACTCAAAATTTACTGCCGTTGGAGTCACTGAGAGTGCGCAGTCGTAGAAATCCAAGGGGAAAAGAGCAGAGAAATATCAATCTTACGCTGATATAATACCCTCCATATCCAGCGTCACGATCGTGGTGCATTTCCGAAGAATCATTCTGGTTTCAACCCGTCAGCAGCGGGAAACCCCCACGGCGGCTTTGAATGCACAACATCATCTCCGTACTGTGAAGCCGATATAGGGGAGTGACAGCAGTGAGCCCCGGTGAGCGAGGCGCCCATCATGCGCCCCGACTCAGTGGCGTGATCCCCACGTCGGCACCTGGACCATATCTTCGGCAATTGTCATCCCACCCTATTTATGCTTAGGCGTGGATGCGACATCTTCAGCCTCGTTGACCAAGGCAATAACTGGACACCTCTATCACCCTCCAAAAACACCGGCGAATAGGCAACGAATGCTCCTGCGCCGAAATGGTACAGATGCCAATATGTCGATACTGTTTAAACCTCAAGATGGAACATGTTGATGAAGAACGGTGATTACGAATTATCAATACCCAGCACCCAAGCCTATCTATTGATCATGTCTGGTAGAGACACGACATCAAGACTCTTCCCAACCCGTTCTTGATCTCTCACTGCACGTCACCCCCGTCGGGATGCATTAAGATTACCATTACCCGCTGATGTCCCCAAATCTATCAGTTTCGAAGAAGCCCGTCTCCAATGCCTCCAATGCCTCCAATGCCTCCAACCCAATCTCTCACTATTGCCAGCTTCAAACCAGATCTCTTACTATGGCCAGCTTCCTGTCCGGAACATGGTCCGTCAGTAGTACTTCGCTTAAGCCGAACACCCCCACGGCTTCTTTGCGGCTCCGTTCTTGATCATGCTTGATATGCTGGAGTAGATGCCGACAAAGCACTGTAAACAGTCAGTATCCCAAGTCAATTTCTCGTCCGCGCCAGAGACTTACCAAGATCGCTGCCACAAGGATGTTGAGTGTGTTGACCAAGAATAAGAATGTTGTTCGCCAGGTCCAGAAGCGGAAGGGAATCATCTTCAGCCTTGAACCCTCCTCCTGTACGAGGTTCAAGCGCATCCAAAACATACCACTGAGGCCGAATGTGAACCAACTTGCGAAAAGAGCACTGGTAAGTCCCACCAAATCACCAAAGACCGGAACGGACTCTGCGATTATCCAGGCAGCAATCCATGATAGGGTGCAAATGATCACCCAGATACCGTAGGATTTGATACCAAGCCAATTCCATCCAGTGGGCACCCCTTCTGTTCTGTGCCTCAATGGTCGCAATGGTCGATGCATCAAATCATCCTTGTTGTGTTGAAGCATCCGCACATACACGTATTTGACACCAACGTGACCATTGACTACACCGGCAATTACAATCGTTGGAATGGCAATGCCGTATGCGACTTTTTTGACGACCGTGCTAGCGCTGTCCAAAGCGGGACTTTTGACGTTCTCGCCAGCATACAGGTACACAACGATCGCAGTAACGATGTACATGCTGATGTCGCTGCATTGCAAGAAAGCTAGCGCTTTGGGGAAGTCGTCAGGATTCCTCAACTCGGAAATGAAGGTGAAAAAGGCGACATGTCCGGCATATGCAAAGACCATGGTGTTGACTGCTTGGAATCCATCTTGAAATGAGAGACCGGGTTGCGGCCACAGTCTGACATTCATATGACCACTGGTAAAGCCAGGCTTGGTGATGCTGACTCCGATCATGGTAATCATGACGGCACCAATGATACTGAGAAAGCTGGCCACAGAGTAGTAGGAGAGGTTTTTGAGTGTCCGCGGCAGAGTACAGGCCAGACTGAGGATTGTACCGACAACCATCCAGACGATGGTGCAAGATCCGTGATCGGTGATAGCGTTCATCATGATGGAGAAGGTCAGGATGTGACTACCCATGATGAAAACGTAGAACAAGAATTGACCCCATCCGAGAATCTCGCCTCCCCATCTGCCGAAGAGAACCTCGCCAGCGCCGGCCATGGAATGAATATGACGGAATCGCTGCTTGAATTGACCAATGACATAGCCGGAGTAGGAGGCCATAGCACCGAGAGCGAGGAGAAGGATCAATCCTGGAATGATCCCAATCTTGGACATGGCGTACGGGAGCGCGAGGATACCGAGGGAAATGGTCTCGGCGACCATGACCATTCCGGCTTGCCTGAAGGCCGGTCAGTAAAAAAATGTGTTCAGGGAAGACTTCAACACAAACCACCAAGCCATGGATTTGTATTCGACTCCATTCTCAACGTGCTTGTTGGCCATAGGGTCCTCCTCGGTTGTAGCTGGTGCACGTGATGTCAGAGGCCATTCATTCACCATCTGTGGTTACCGCGTGCATACCATTCTTCTCGTGCTCTGGTGTAGGTGTACTACCATCCAGGACACCACCACTGCTCGAGGTTGCGGTCGACTCGTTGCGGGCGGATTCACTAACGACGGCCTGGTCATTCTTTTCTGGATCTTCCCTGTTGTTGAAGAAGGAAGCAATAGATTCCCTCATGAGCCCTCTGCGCCACGAAGCGCTGGACACGGTGCCGGAAGCTGCCATTATGGCCAGGTCGGATCGTCAGAAAGGTAAGGATGTGCCTGTCAGCATGTCAGACGCAGCACCACCAGCGAACCTTGGTATCAGACTCACAGAGTAGCTCTTAGCTCAGAGACGGTACTTCGATGATGTACTTTGTGAAACCGTGGGTGAGAGGGAGACAAGCTTCTCGGCGCAGCATGCGCTTCACGGGGTTAGGGGACAAAAAGGATAGCGAGGAGAAGAGGAGAGGAGGAGCGGCATGCAAGAAGAGAGAAAACGAAGGGAAAGGAAGAATACCGCCCTACTTATGCGAGTCGGAAGAGGTGGTGAACTGTACGCTAATGGAAGAACCTTCGAGGGTCAGACATGGTATAGAAGAATCGTTGGTTGACCATGAAAATGTACGCTCGGCAAGAACCACACAGAGTCCTTCAGCAGGGCAACCGCTCTTGATCGGCAAGAGCCATCGCGACAATCCTGGGGGAAGAACCATATTATCAAAGGTAGCGCTAGACGACGGTGTTTTTCCTGCCTCTGAGTTTCGACGTTTTTGTGTGGAACACCTTGTTTACTGAAGTGCAGCCTGATCGGGAAGATAATCGACCTCAACAAACTTTGTAAGGCTGAATCTGCTGCATATCGGGACAAGGCTATGCGGGCAGACTTTAGAAGTGTGTGGGTGGTCGAATAAAGTCATTGCTTGCGGAGGATCAAATAAAGTTTTTAATGTTGATAAATGTTCGGATGGAGTCATTTGTTGGCCGGAGACTCAGTGCCTAGTCCGGGGTTTTGTCCAGGTTGCAACTTCGAATCGCTCTCCAGGGTGTCCGCGGGACCATCTGTAGTGTTGTCAGCTTGTCTCTGGGATGTGGGTGAGACACCGTGGAGCAATGCAAAGCTTACCATATCTGGAATACAACTTCCGCTCCCAATCATCCGCGAAGCCAGCCCTGCCACTCTCAACATCCTTTCTCGACACACCGAGCTTGCTCTTGGGCAGACCCATCGACGCCAGGAAAGCCACGCTGTCCTTCCACTCCACCTCTTTCCGCTTGCTATCCCATTTCAACTCTTCGGCCATCAAGTCGATCACCGTGGGCAACGCCTCCAAGGCAGCTTGGGCGTTGAGGAACGCCAGTCTGGTTCTTCGGGCAATAACATCGACCGCCCGCTGTGCGAATTCATGGCGCACCGCATACCGCACCTCGCCGTCCACAAAAGGATAGAGTGGCGAGATTCTCTTCCCTCGAACAGGGAATCTCTCGTCTGTGGGACTTGAAAGGGCAGCGACAGTCCAGGCGCGATCACCATATGCTTCGGCAAGGTGTTTGGCCACTTCTGTCTCGATGCCAAAATGTTGAATCAGGTTGATGAACAGTGTCTTGGAATATCCGTGGGCACCGACGAGTCGAACCTGATGTGTCTGACACGATCCATCAAGGGGTGAAGCATCGTTGACCCTTTCCGAACCACTTATCCGTCTCGGCGTTGTCAAAGGCCTGGTCTCCAATTTGAACTGCTTGACAGCCTCGTCGACCGCGTCCTCCGCCATCTGTCGATACGTTGTCCACTTCCCGCCGGCGCATGTAAGCAGTCCTGACTCCGAGACTGTGACCAAATGATTCCGCACCAAAGACTCCGTATTCTTCGCCTTAGGATCTTTCACCAGCGGTCTGATACCCGACCACGCAGCCAGAACATCTCCCCGCCGCACATTGATATCAGGCGACAAATACCCCTTGATTTCGTTCAAAATCCACCCAATCTCATCCTCGCCCGCAATGGGCTGCTGAGTAATGTTACAGGGCGCATCGGTCGTGCCTGCGATCGTGTTTCCCTGCCAGGGCAAGAAGAAAATAACCCTTCCATCCGACGTGCTCGGATCGATCAAGCCCATACTGTTCTTCTGGGGACTGTAATACCCCGGCAGCACGACGTGCACGCCCGAACTCGGTGCCACGATCTCCTGCGCCTTAGCGTCATCCATTTTGCGAATCGAATCGCAAAAGGGGCCTGTGGCATTGATTATCCCTCGTGCGCGGATCGTGATCGGGCTCGACGGCTTCCCATTCTTCTCACTGACGAGATCCTTTGCCACCGCGCCTGTTAAACGTCCGTTCTGGTCCTTGATCAACTGCGTGACTTCCATATGATTTACGATTGTAGCCCCATACAACGCCGCGGTAGCAGCAATACTGACATTCATCCGACTGTCATTGTGCGCGCCATCATAATACACCAGCGCACCGATGAGATTGTCCTTTTTGAGCATCGGAAACGCATCGAGCGCCTTGCTTTTCGTCAAGAAATAACTCGTCTCAATCCCTTCACTCCCGGCCAGAAAATCGTAAAACTTGGTACCCGCCCAGAAATACGGCGCTTGCCACCACTTCTGCAGTGGGATCATGATGGGCAACCACGTACTCAGGTGCGGCGCCGTGTCGAGAAAATATTTTCTCTCGCGCAACGCTTCCTTGACCAGCGCGTACTGATTGTAGTCGAGTTCCCAGACCGCCTTCTCTAGATATCTCACCCCACCATGCACGAGCTTCGTGCTCTTACTGCTCGTCCCGGCGGCAAAGTCATCGCGTTCGACGAGGGCGACCTTGAGGCCCCGAGTGGCAGCGTCCAGGGCGATTCCAGACCCCGTGGCACCGCCGCCAATGACAAGCAAGTCATACGGTTCGCCAGCGTCTTGGTCCGCGGCCAATACTTGGTCTTTATCTTGCTCGCCGCTCGTCGCGCCGCGCAGTCTGTCAAAGCTATTTCTGAGCTGCTGCGTCAGCGGTGTCTCTGTGGCCGACCCGACTAATCCACCACTCTTTCGCAAGTCGGCAACCTGTTCGGCGCGGGACTTGATCAAGGGAAACTTAGGCGGTATGATTTTCCCATCTTCGGTGCGCAGGACGGGGACAACTGCCCCTTGCGATCCGGGGACATTGATAGGGCGGTAGGACACGTATATAATGGATGCCCCGGCCCCGGCGAGCACAGCTGCGGAGTAGAGGAGAGGCTTGAGGAACCGGCGGGACGAGGAAGGCGAAGGCCGGGCAGAGGCCATGGCGGGCTAGACTTCCAGACGAAGTGCGCAGCCTTGCTGGTATCGCTATGCGGGTCGATCGTAGATACAGGAGGGCTGCTCGTGTATGCGTATTGGTCCGGACGGTCGTTCAATGGAGATCACTCCTTTCCCGCTGCCATGGTCCGTAACCTACGCTTCAGCTCACTGTGGAGTGGAGTTCGAGGAACGACGGGTAACGTATGAAAGGAGGAATGATAGGGGCGGTAGCCAACATGAAATGGGTTAATAATGCGAAATCAAATGGACGGGACGCCAGAAAGGAAAAAGGGCTGATGAGGATAGCGGAGCAGTGAAGTCGAACGCGGCTCCAGAAATGCCCAGCACGAGGCCCTCAGCTTCTCTGGGTGTCTGGGTGCGGTGGGTATGGCAGAGATGCAAGGAAGATGTCATACTTGATTAAACTGCTGCACGTCGGTCTTGTCCAGCCCGACGTTCGACGAGGTTTACCACAGTAAAGCCCACCATTGGACGCCACGTTTTATAAGTATTTATCCGCAGCAGCAGCTCGGAAGTCGTGGCAGTCCTTCTTCTGGGCATGTGAATCAACCGAGGGTCAATAATAGACTGACTCTGAGAGGCGCATGTGCTGCACGATATGCTCACTACTGATGTGTTCAAGTCATAAATTCTTTTGATATGGACCTTTTTGGAGTTCTCAGCTAATCACTCAATATACAACGTCTCCCGTCAATCTGGTGAAAATGCTCATCAAGGCTCCTCGAGCACAAATCAGGTACTTTTGCCGTCACTTTTTTCAATCCAGTGTTGAAGTCCGTATCAATGCTTTCAGTTTGTCTGATATGGAACATTGTTATTACGCCTGCTCCGCGTGACCATTGAGCTCGGCTTTCTTTTCCAACAAACCAATGTCGATCTTATTTGCTGAAACACTGCCAGCATCCGTTGTCGACATGTTCAATTTAGAAGGTGTGGGTGGGTGCTCTACCGTCGTAGAATATCTCAATGGACTCATCGGGCTGTCTGCAGAATTCAGGTTCAAGCGCTCCAGTGCCTCCAATTCAGCTTCGGAAAATTGTCGTATGTGTTTCGGTCGGAATGGCACAGGTGTCGACACTCGTGAAGTTAAGAACTGCGATCAATTAGCTTCATCCCGCAGTGAGTAATAAAAGGGATCCATACCGAGCTGGCAGCACTCAACATTGCGATCAAAGATGCTTGAACCACATCCTCGTGAATGCCGACACCCCACACTTTCTCGTGAGAACTGCTCGCAGTACACTCTATGTAAGTGGCGGCTTTCACGTCACGACCTTCACCAATAGCATGTTCCTTGTAGTCTGCAACGTCAAGATCAATGCCCAGGGAATGCAAAGCATTGGCCAATGATGAAAGAGCACCGTTGCCGACACCCACGACAGGATGCTGGACGCCGTCAATTGCAATAACACCAGCAAATTGTCGTTTTGCGGTGGATGTGTTCTGAGCCGGCGCAACTGTCTGAGGAGGTTGCCCAACTGAGGTCTTGGTCGGAGGAGCTGGAGATGATGTTCTGACTGCTGTGATGTTGTAGTCGACAAGGGTAAATCTGGGATTCTTCTTGAGATGGTACGACTCCTCAAACAGAGCCTGGATCTCCCGAGGAAGCAATTCTCGCCCTTTGGCATCAGCTTCTCTCTGTACGATGCGGCTGAAAGCAATCTGGAGGCCTCGTGGCAGATCGAGTTCCAAGCTGCGTTGGATAACCCAAGCGACGCCGCCCTTGCCAGATTGCGAGTTGACACGAATAACGGCCTCGTACGTACGGCCGATGTCCTGTGGGTCGAGTGGCAGGTAGGGTAATTGCCATGGAGATTCATTCGTGGCTCCAACCTTCTTTCGTTCGTTGAATCCTTTCTTGATGGCATCTTGGTGGGATCCGCTGAATGCGCATACCACTAATTGTCCGCCATACGGCCATCGTTCGTTGACTGGAATCTTGGTGGATTCCTCGTAAACCCGGATGATTTTCTGAATGTCGCTGAAGTCCACGTTCGGCCAGATGCCCTGAGTATAGAGATTCAGGGCTAATGTGACCAGATCCACATTTCCTGTCCGCTCGCCGTTGCCAAACAAGGTACCTTCGACTCTGTCTGCGCCTGCCATCTGGGACAATTCCGAAGCAGCCACCGCGCACCCACGATCATTGTGACAGTGCACTGAAACACAAAACTTCTCCCGTTCGGTCATGTGGGTACAAAAGTATTCGACTTGATCAGCAAATACATTTGGCGTTGCCATCTCCACCGTCGCCGGAAGGTTGAATATGATTTTGGCGTCTTCGGTCGGACCCCAAGCCTCTTTGACAGCCTCACACACACGCACAGCGAACTCGGGGGATGTGTCGGAGAAGGTTTCGGGGCTGAACTCATAAAGCCATTCAGTGCCTGCGTGACTGGGATCGTCCTTGGTGATAGATCGAGCGAATTTGGTGCACTTTACAGCCAAAGCAAGTGTCTCTTCCTCCGTCATGCCGAAAACTATTCTCCGAAAGCATTCGCTCGTAGCAAGGTATAGATGTAAAATGGCTTTCTTCGCTCCTCTTAAAGATTCTACCGTTCGGCGGATAAAATCTTCCCGGCACGGCGACAGCACTTGCAACCACACATCATCTGGAACGACGCCAGGTGTCTCGACCAAGTATCTCGTAAAGTCGAAGTCCGTCTGTGAAGCGGAGGGGAAGGAGATCTCGATTTCCTTATAGCCGAGTTCGACCAGCATCTTGAAAAAGCGCAATTTTTGTTCACCATCCTGGGGGCTTTGTCAGCTGGAGTACCTGGTTGTTCGAAGCTATTCCTACCATCGGGTCGGGCAAGCTCTGATTTCCATCTCGCAAATCGGTGGCCAGCCATCTTGGAGGGGCGTCAATCGACTTGGAGGGCCATTGACGGTTGGGCAGGTCAAGAGGCTTAAATTTGCGATATTTTTTCCATGGTTCACGAAGCCTTTAGGACAGTCAGTGAGGTTTGCATAAAACTTGAGGCAATTACTAGCATACATAGGCATCTTCGCAAGAATCCTATAAAAGGGTTGGGTTCACTGGGGTCTGCTGAATACAACTGCGCAGCAATGAAGACCGCAATGGACAAAACCGGCCCAAGACTGAATGACCAATGAATGCTGTAAGTTCGGGGTTTGAGGCAAATATAATAACTCAGTCAAGTGGTCGAGTTCTTGTTCAAGGATCTCCAGGTCTGATGTTGGAGGTAAACAGTCAATGCTCAGATGAGTCACTCTCTGTAAAGGCGTACACGAGGCGTGACGAGGCAAAAAGATTTCGACATGCGTGGGGCAAAAGGCGCAGGAACCGAGGAGCGAAGGTCCCTCTTGGTTGTGGGGTAAAAAGCCGATTAGCAGGGCCTCATCGGTATCGCATATCCGAGGCTAAACGACAGTATGCGCGCCCTTGGACTGCCTACGAGTAGTACTCCAGTGTCCTGGGTACTGATGGTACACAGTGAACATCCCCGGTCCACCTCTGACCGTCTAGCATTAGTTATGCAGCACTTTGTGATAATACATGGGTCATGTATGTCTGTTCGGCCCCGGCCCGTCCTACACCATCACTTTCGACGATGGTGCCTTTCTTATCCATATCATTTCCGGCAAAGGTGTGCCTTGCAAATCATGCCCTTCAATGAATACCGACTCTGCCTCGGCATAGACAGCTGCTTCGTTCGGATACAACGATTCGAGCCTCCTCCATGTCATGACCTTTCCCGCAATCCTCATACCTGCAATGGCATTCCACCGTCACTGGGAGTATCCCTAGCCAAGCCTAAGTCCTTCTCTCCTCCTGAGGCAGTCGATGGAGAGTCGATAACCACGGGAACCTTGCTCACTGGCGTACCGATGGTGATAGATGGAGACAGAGATTGGCGCTTGCGTTTTGACGCGTTGGAAATTGATCTTTGTCTGGTGATACAAACCGAGGACGATCTCACTTCGGCTAGAACTAGGCTGCTGCGTCTCCCCGTGTCGTTCGATGCTTGGGGCCGCTTCGGACTGATGTCGATCTTGCTGTGCTTGCGGTCTTTCTCCCCTTGGCTGCCTAGACTACTACAGTCTGAAGAATGTCGTTCACTGTTTTCATGCTTTTGCAAATCTCTCACCCACATGTCCGCTCCGATTTCGCCAACAATGTTAGACTGTTCCCTAGTGCTGGGGGCTGCAACTGTTTGATCGGCAAGCAAGTGGACACGGCTGCGATCCATGATTTTGCGCGGCGTGTTGGTTGGAGGCTGTGTTCCATGTGCAGTATTCTGTGACTTGCCAAGGGCTTTGAACAACTGCTCCTTTCGTTCCGGACTGAGCGCTTGGATGATCTCCTGTGGATTAGCTTCGTTCATGTGCTTGAGGAAATCCGCCCCTGGAAAGCTGAGCCCGGACATTTCTGTGGGTGCTCCGCTATTGTTTGAGGTGTAATCGAGCATCGGAATATCGTGGCTGCTGGACCTGAGCTGCGCCCTCCATTGCCGAGTCGAGACAGGTGCTGCGGAGAGAAAAGGATCTTCACAGTCTGCACTGCTCTCTCGACTTTCAGGGGAGAATTTTCTCAGGGCTGTGAAAGCGGCTGATCTGTTGATCGGGTCGGATTGCAAATCTGAGAACGTCTGCACGTTGAGCAGCTTCTGGAAAGCTTCCATCTCTTCTGATGATGGTCTCCCACCGTTGATTGCACCAGCTGTACGGCGAGGTGAGTGAGAATGAGCTTCGTGACCGGGAACTGGAGGCAGGCGACTGCCAATTGGTGGCGGTCGCATTGATCTTTTAGAAACCTTGCCAAAGAGTCTCATATTCGGCCAGGCAATACCAGAATACTCCAGGACATCTGACACCTCCATTAGCTACGCACAGCTGCAGGTGGAATCCTCACACACTTTGCGGCGCGTGTTGGAATGAAAATGCGACAACGTCTCGGAAACGGTCAAACATCGCAGCTGAAGGTGCTGGAGGTGTAGTCTCTCTCAGGACTCCTTCAGAGAGAACAAGTCTGATGCGGCCGACTGGGTCGCCGGGTTCCCAATGTGGTTGTTGAAGGACTTCCTTATGGAAACTGGGGAAGCGCAGACGGTGAGGACCTCCTTCCGACATGTCAGCTACTGTTTGATCGAATGAACGTAAGCACAACCTCTGTCCGCTGTTGTATTATTAGTCAAAAGCATAGGACTTTCGGAAGCTCGTACTACGTACCGATCACTTCTGGCCAAACACCATCTTCGAATGTTCGCTGACTAGGAGTCACGTTCAGCATGAGGAAGTGCCTTGGACTTGTGCAATCTTACGCCATCAATATACCATCAATATACACCTTGGCTTCAAACAAGACGACCTCTTCTGGTGTCTTGTAACTCCGGAGAAGATTCGAGGGTTTCGGCTTCTCCCAGCTATGGATCGAGACTCGAAAGGATGAACCACGGTCGAGACTTGCCACGAAACACGTCAACGTAGGGAGTATCGTCATCGACTCATAACTGTTGTGGCCACCGTCAATGGCTTGGAGGGTTGATGCGCGACCATCTGACGTGGTTAGCTCATATATAATACGTCTGGAAGTTGATGGTCGCTCACTTTGCTCCAATGCATAACATTTTGTGTCAAACTCCTGGATAGGGATTTTGGAGTCGGCAGGAAACAAGAGTACATCCCAATTCTGGTACCTCATGACGGTGATCGTGTCTCCAAGTCGCCTTCTTTGCAAAAGCAGCAGAATCAACACAGCTTCCGATAGAAATGCAGTAGACTCGAAGACGCTTTTGCAATGATGGTGGGCTCTCGAAGACAGTCATGCAAGTAAAGGTCGAAACAGGTGAGCCGTTCCTCCCCATTTCGTCGCTCCGTCCTCAACGCACGATCTACAAGGGGTAGTTGCGAGCTGCGTCGTCGGTGCCCATGGTTGTGGAAGTGACGAGCGATGAAAGTATGGCTGTAGCTTTGGCGAGGAGAGGGTATTTGCAGGAATAGCATCTCGAAGAAGTCTGCTCAAAAATACCTGGTGTTTAGGCGCTCTTCTTGGTTGCACCAGCAATGCTGCATAAACGATAAAGAGACTCAAAAAGAATACGGGCCTGGAAATCCTATACCAACACTACCACATATAACCTGTTCGAGTTATGTCCAATCAATAAGTCATTTTCGTCCTGTCCGAGCAGCGGGTATTGTAACCAAAATGAAAGTCTGTCAAAACCACAGCGTTTCCAAAAAGCCGCGCACACTTTCGCCTTCCATGCGTCAGCGATCACTGTAAAAACACAACGCCAAATGATTAGGTAGATGTTACAGAGTGGTTGGCGTCAGTCAAGTATCGACTACTCGCTGGGGTCTAGACCAAAATCTCCGCCGACACCAATGGCACCGTCAAAATTGAACGTGTCGTCGTTTGTCGTGTTTAGGAAACTGTCAAAGTCAAAGTTTTCAAGCACATCGCTGTTCTCCAAAGTGCTGAAGTCGAGATTGAAATTTTGGTCCGGACCAAAATTGTCAGTAAAACTCGGTTGAAGGTCAGGCTGGTGCATTGGTGGTTGAGTGGGAGGCATCGGCTGAGCTGGTGGCGGACCTTGATTGGCATTTGGCATACCAGGCGCGTTTGGTTTGCCAGCTGGACCGTTGAAGCCTTGTGGATGCACTGGCGTAATAGGGGTTGACGGCGTTGGCGTGGCGGGCGGCTCGTTCTCGGAGCTTGCTGCGTTGGCCGCAGAGTTCTTCTTTGTCGGCTTCTTCTTATTGCTATCCTCCTTGCCCTTCTTAGATTTGGGATTTGGCTTATTGGCTGTCGAGGGCGTAGGTGGTGCGTTGCTGCTTTGAGGTGACCCTGGTTGGTTGCGCTGGGCACTGTTCACTGGAGGAGCCTGCGGGGGTGGCATCTCGTTTCTTTGGCCGGGAGTGCCCATCGGTGCTGGCTGGCCCTGAGACGGCTGCTGAACCATGGGCTGGCCACCTGGAAACTGTCCTGCCATCCGCTGCTGCTGCTGTTGTTGTTGGCGAGCCATGGCTTGTTGCATATCCATGGAGGTTGGAGGTCTCATGTTAGGGCCCCCAGGTACCATCATGCCTTGATTGTCTTTCATGAACATGGCTGGGTTGAAATCGCCAGTCGGCATACCGTTCATGAAGTTCATGCCGGCCGGTGATCGACCTGCCATTGCCTCCGCAGCCGAAGGCGAGCCGGGCAATCCTCCCAGTTGCGGGGTTCGTTTCATCTGGTCACCAGGAATGGGCGATGTGCCAGTACGGCTACCCGATGGTGACATTCCACCAGGCTGCATGCCCACCATAGGAGCACCATCCCTGTTAACGGCATTGTCTTGTTCTTGTCTTGCCATCATCAACCTCTTCTTGTTCTGTTGTTCAAGCAACATCAGCTGCATTTGATAATCTTGAAGAGCATGGTTGCCGCTTTGGCCACCGCCCGGTGTACCTTGCATTTGCTGGCCGATGCCCCCCCTCGGGTTGAATATTTCCAGCTGGATGTTTTCGTTGAATTGCTGCGGAGTCATGCCTTGCATCATAGGAGAGCCGGCATTGCCCATATTCATCATGCCATTTGCCATGCCGGGCTTTGAGATGTCAGTGAGGGTACCAATAAACAGAACCGGGCACAACTCACCTGCATCGGCTTCTGTGGCATAGCACCATTTTGTCGGAACTGGCCATTGTTCATGTTGGGTTGGAAGGCGTTCTGTATCATCATGTTCCCAGGGACATTAGGCATTCCTGGCCGAACATTAGGCATCATGCCACCGTTGAAGTGTTGACCTTCGAGCCGTGGCCTCTTGGATGGAGACCCACCGTTCTCGCCTTCGACTGGGGATGAGGGACGACCATTCATGTCAACATCACCCTGATCTCGCTGCATCTGCTGCTGCTGCTGGCTCATTGCAGCTTTGTTCATTTGCTGCAGCTGTTGAGGGGTACTGGGCCTGGAGAGCGTCAACGGCAAGTTTCAGCATGAGAAGTGACAAGCTCACATTTTGTTGACCATTTCTCTTGGGAGGTTACCATTGATCATATTGTTGCGCATGTTGGCACGCACATAGTTTTGATTCATCATGTTCGGTCGGGTGAGATTCTGGCTTTGTTGGCTTTCCCTTATGCGTTGCATATTCTGGACAACCACGTCAGTCAAATGGCCGAGCGTTATAACAATCACTAAGCCTTACCTGATGCTGCATCAAGTATTGCGCAGCTGGGCCCATGTTTGCGCTTTGGCCACCCTGCATCTTGCTTGATCGTTGATGAGCAGTGAAGAGGTCGGAAAAGATGCTGAACCATTCGAAAAGAAATCCGATCCCCGGGGTGTTTTCGGCAGCATGCATAGGACGGGGCAGATCATCTGGTATATCATCTCTGACATCTGTATCCATGGCATCTGCATCTACTCCATTCACTTCCCCATCTTTGCGGCGGCCGGGACTTTGCTTGACCGCAGGCTTGGTACGGATTTCGAACTTGTCTTCATTGACCAGCCGTCGGGCATGATCATACAATCCCAGCTTCAGGAAGTATTCATAGATGTATGTATTCAACTGGGCCTTGACTTGATCTGGCGATGGACTAGTGTTGACCTGCATTGCCGGGCTGCCGTTGTTCATCATCATTGCGCCGCCGACGGGACCTCCAGCGGTGGCTGGAGGGTTCATCCCGGCCATGTTCATCATGACTTGGCAGAGACTCAGTGTTTTCTGACTGTTCGCAAGCGCCAAAGGACGGGGATGATGCGCGTGGGAAGAAGAAAGACTGCGGTCGTGGAAGTGTGTCAGGTGGGTCTGAGGTAAATTGACTGAGGACCTGCAGAATAAGATGTGGAGAGCCGGTCGCGCGAACCGACAGCGACTATCAGAAGAGAGAGGACAGTCTCATCTTATAGGTTGTAAATAATGTTAAAGGCCGCAGGAAATGGAGGATCGTCGAGGATTGAGGTGAGCCGTGAGGTCTTTTGGACGAAACGCGACCGCCACAAATTATCGGCGAGCCGGGCTAAGACTGGAGCGCAGCGCAGGCGTGGGCTGGACCCGGGTGTAGAGCAACTTTGTGTTGGCAACAGATAATCTGACGGGTACCGAAAGATCGGGTGAGGACAAGAGCTCAAAATAAGAGGTGTGATGAAAGAGAACAAGAGAGAACCTAATGGGGTGACAAGTGGTGGGCGGCGAGGCAAAAAGTGAGGTTCAGATTGCTGAGGATAGAAGGTTGGCCCTGGTTAGGCTGTGGTGTCTGCCCTTTGCTTCGACGGACAGACGGCGAGGAATCACACTGGGCAGGTTCAGGGCGCAGGCAAAATGTCGAGCGAAGAGGGAGGAACCGAAGGCAAGCAAGCAGCGAGACAACAGGGCAATCTGACCACCGACCAGCCACTCATAATTCACGTTTCTTCAGCCCTACGGCCCTGCCCCGCGTAGAGGACAGCACGCTTGCCCTGAATAGGGGCTTCCAATGGTGGGGTTGCTCGGCACGAACGCGACAACCTCACCTCCAGCATACAGAATGTAGAAAGCTATGAAAATAATGCTCCCAATTAACAACAGTTCGGTGGTCGCATTTGACCCGGAGAGTCGCAGTTCGACTGTTTGATCGGCTCAATATCTTCCACCTGCTTCCAGAATGCGCTTGCCCCTGCCCCTGGTGTGCTGCTGAAACTGCTTCAGGGGTAGAAGCATCCTCTGGCATTTATTGATTGCTATAGCACTCATCCGCCCGCGAAAAGGGGGCTTCGGCACGTGACCCCGCACTGAGTGGGCTAGTTCGCGCTCACGACACAAGGAGGGCTGGATCTGTGACAGAGAAAGTACTATGTACTCTGTGTTTGAGGCGTATCATTCGTCATCAGGAGGCATCTCGTCTTCGATGTAGCGGATCAGTGTGACGCGCATTTCTGTCACATCGTTTCCACGCAAGACGTCGCTCACAAAATGTGCCTCGATGGACATTTGAACCTATGCATGTAAGCTAACATCCCAAAAGGTTCGGTGGCCACATCTCCTACCATCTCCAGCGCACCACGGAGCACGCCACAAAGGATATTGGAGAACCATAACTGATCTTGGGCTCGTCCGTCGTCAGGAAGTTCCACAAAATCAGCCAAGGGGTTCTCATCGAATAGTAAGGAGAATTGTTTGTTGTCTGCAGTCCAATTCGTAACAGTTGGCGTAATATTGAGGAAGATCTTGAAGCCGACCTTTGAAGAACATCAGTCAGTGTGACGAAGGAAGCCATTGGTAAAACCTGCCTTCGATATCATTTCTGCGGTATCCCTGAAATTGCCACAACGACCAGTATTGGATTTTGCCAGAAAATCCTCGATAAGACGCATGCCGATGTTGTAGCCCATCTTGTCGAGCTGTTGATTGACCTGAGCATAATCATATTCATAATCGGTACAAAGCTGAGCCACGATAGTGCCGTATGTGAGAGTAACCAGTTCAGCATTGACTTTATCGACCCGTGTCCTAGACTTTTGTGAGCTTCTGCTATAGGTGCTGATGAGTGAGGTGGCTCACTTCCAGATCCTGCTCAATGATACTTTTAGTTATAACTCAAGCTGAAGAGTGATCGTTGGCTTACTCCTCGCCCACTCGGGCTGCTTTCTGGCTTGACGCCATCAAGTCCTGGACGGTAATCCTTACGCGTCCAGCATGTCACTTTGCACTTTATATTTCCGTCCGGCGAATGTTTGTTGGTCGCATGGGAGAGGATAGGAAAGAAGAGGAGCAAGGCTGAGGCCTCGACGACAATATGCATGCCAAGCAGGGAAGCCCGATCTCCGGATTCATCGAGGTCCCGCCTGCGATTTTTCGAAGATTTGGAGAAGTGCAAGAGGAATCCAGAAAATGTCCATCGATGCTCGTTCGTCCTTCGCAATCACTTCGATACGTGCATTGGCATTGGCGGCCTCTTACAAAGTCTTGAATTCCATCAGTCCACCTTTTTCCAAACCTCTCATAGCGGCGCAATCATGATGCCGTCCATAAAGCGACAGGCGTCCGACAGCTTTAGCCAGCCACAGTCTCTCGTCAAGAGGCAGAAGTCCAATTCAGACCTTAACGAGAGTCGAGCCCTGACAGTTGGCGGCAAAGGCCAGGATGGAGCTCTTGTACCATCAGTATGCTTGGACCGCAAGCAGCAAGATCATGATTCCTTGCTGACTATCTCTAGTCAATGCGAACGAGCGCACTCGCTGCGCCCATCATGGAATTGACAGGTATATAATGGGCACATAGCGGGAACACTTTCGCTAACAGAATCAGGTCACTCCGGCGAAATCTTTGCCGTGAGATTCGATCCTACAGGTCAACATATCGCCTCAGGCTCAATGGATCGATCGATAAGTACGCCTCTATCCCGCTGCACCGCGCGAGTCATGTCTGACACATATTAGTGCTCTGGAACACGTACGGACAATGCGAGAACTACGGAGTCATGACGGGACACAAAGGAGCGGTGCTGGACCTACAGTGGTCACGAGATTCCAGAACGATATATTCAGCATCTGCTGATATGACGGTCGCAAGCTGGGACCTCGAAATGGGCCTGAGGATACGAAAGCATGTCGGTCATGAAGAGGTCATAAATTGCCTGGACTTGAGTCGGAGGGGACAAGACTTACTCCTGAGCGGCAGCGACGATGGCTGCATAGGGATATGGGATCCTCGTCAGAAAGCCGCGGTCGACTACATTGAGACTGACTTTCCCATCACGGCGGTAGCTATGGCCGAGCAAGGCCACGAAATATATTCCGGTGGCATTGACAACGATATCAAAGTATGGGATGCTCGCAAGATGGAGGTAACATATACTCTGGCCGGTCACGGAGACACCATAACCTCGCTAGAGGTTTCGCCAGACTCGCAGACATTGTTGTCCAACTCTCATGATTCGACTGTACGAACCTGGGATATCCGACCTTTCGCACCAGTGGACAGAGCTGTGCGCACATACGACGGCGCGTCTGCAGGATTCGAGAAGAATCTCATACGGGCCAGTTGGAGTCCGAAGGGTGATAAAATCTGTGCTGGCTCCGGTGATAGAACGGTGGTAGTATGGGACACTCGATCTGCCAAATTGCTGTACAAACTACCTGGGCACAAAGGCACGGTGAATGATGTACGGTTTTCACCTACTGAAGAAACGATCAGTAAGTGGTGTCGCCTCGTGTAATCGATGTGGAACTAACATGCTCTAGTTGCTTCTGGCTCGACTGATCGAAATATCGTTCTTGGTGAGCTAGGAAGATGATGAAGCACCCTGCAAAAGAGAGCCTCCGGATGTTGTCAACTACCACTTCGATCTGGTGTATTTGCAGATCACGCAGACCTGCCTCCGAGCGAAAACCTATACCGAGCGTATAGACCTGGCCACTCAGTTTTTGGCTTGTGTTTTTCAGCACAGTGACGATCCATGTGAAAGGGTTAGCGGGTGCCGGTCTCGTGTGCTAATGACACTCGAGTCTTCATCACACCTTGATGCCGCATGGGAGTGCTGGGATTTTTGCCAGCCAAACAGATTGAGTAAAGCCCCCCCTGCTTGAGGAGCGACGAAGCCCAGCTGGATTTTGGACTCGCTATAGGCTGAGACTTGGGATTGCCACTGACCATCTGGAGCCAGTGTTTTTGGAAGGCAAATCCGCGACCAAAACATGGCTAGACACGTATGATAAGCAAGAACGTGGGTGCCTACTGCCCATTGGCCGATCTGAAACGGTTGGAGTCAAATACACCGCTACGGGTAGGCGTACGCATGAATCAATCTCGGTAGGATGCAGGCAGACGGAGATCTATGTAGTCACGGCACGGCACCATCGTTTTCGAAGATCTGCTGCGCTCACAGGTCATCCCGTTTAAAGGAGGGTGATGCTGCCATGTGCTCACTCCCGGCTTAGGCGAGCCGGGTGGATGATGACTTGTGCCTCGTTTTAGGAAGAGGGAGAGTGATTGATATTATTTCGTGAGCTGCTCCTAAGAGCACATTTTCTCATATCTCGTCTTCCATAGGCAATTCGCCTCTGGCCTGCATCTCTGCGCTGACTTCTTCCACTCTCCTCCAGACCCGTAACACGTTGCCACCAATGATGCCTTCGATCTCGTCGTCACGCAGGCTACGTCTGCAATATTCCCGCACGAGATCGGGAAACTTTGCGACGTCCTCCAAACCTTTCGGTGTGTCTGAAATCCCGCAGTAGTCGCTGCCTATCCCTACCTGTTCGAAGCCGATCTTCTTGCCAATGTACAAGATATGTTCCGCGACAAATTCTAGGATTGAATTGGCCGGAAAGAACGTCGGCAAGTTGCCTGGGACGGTAGAGTTGCCGAAATGAATTGCGGGACAAATGTGACCATGACAACACAATTTGTTTGTTTGACCATTGTCAGAACATCGTCTGGCACGTTCCGTGGATGCGGGCACAGAGCGTACGCGGAGGAGTGAGAGAAGATGACGGGCGCTTCTGAACCAGAAAAATATTTCGTCTTATTGCCGCCAAGTACGTCGAGCATAGTCGCAGGGTGCGTATGGGAGAGATCGATCCGGACCAGGCGCCAGGCTTAGGGACCATCCGCTTCAGAAGTCAGGTATACTAGGTACCTGGGTAGGGTTGAATGCTCACCCTGATGCCAAGTCGATTCAATTCGCGGATGGTTTTGACGCCCAGAGGACTCAACCCAACCCAATAGGGCTTGGCTGGCTGTGCAGCTTCGGGGTCGAGTGAGTCGTCTAGAACCGTGACCTGGGCGGCGTCGGCTATCGCGTTGCGGCAATTCCAAGTCAACGTTACATACTTCACACCCAGTTTATGGTACAGCCATAGGGTGGACGCAGTGCGCCCGATCATATGGAGTCCTTCCAGGCCGATAGGCGACAGGAGATTGCTCTTGCGCCGGAATTCGTACAGTGCTGAAGAACTGTCCAGAGTGCCGGGAGAGAAGACCTCTGGATAAGCTCCCTGCAGACGGCGAATTACGTCGAGCTGTGACAAAGTCTCGACGACAACTAAACGACCGGAGGTTAATCGGTATGACAAGCTCTAAAGGTGAGATTAAGCATAGCACATACCAGGAGCATAATTCTCGTTCGAGAAGTCGTACTTGTTACGTGGGCAGTCGACCCAACAACTCTACAAGAAGCCTCGTTGTTTTCCCTCATTCATCCGCTGAATATCAATATGCTCCGTCAAGCCACAGACCTCGAATCTTGACTTGAAATCCGGTAAGTAGATGTGGTTTAAATAGAGCGGAGCCTTTCCTCTAGGTCAATGTGTCCGTCTGGCAGACGTGAGTTTTCGTACTCCTGACTTGAGATCTAGAAGAACTCAGGCCGATCTTGTGGTCCACGGGGGAGACTCACTCACCGATCAACGGAGTTTAAGTCATAAGCCGGTCGACTCGATCGTCGAGCGTTATGAGTGAGGAAGGGATTAGCGATGTCTTCACCAGCTGTAGGATCAATTGATAGCGCATTGTGCGAAAAAGCTAGCGTTAACGTAACTAGTAAGGCAAGAAGAGGGAGTGGTCGCCATTGCGATCTAACCCGGCCAGCGCCACTTGAGGCTGCTTTAGGTTTCCTGAAAGCCATTGGAGCAGGACATCTTCACAGTCCTCGGCGATGTGATGGAAAGTATGAGCTGATACTTCGAGAGCGATGTTCTCGTATGGCGGTTGGATGCGTCGACACGCCAGCCGCCCACCCAAGCCGCCGAGTACTCTTTCCTTGGTCCCGATTGAGGCACGATCAGAGCAAAATAGTACCGTCGCTCTGGCCGAGACGACCTTGATCAATCGAGCAGTACAATGGTCCACCGAAAGTGTTTTGAGGGAGAGGACGGTCTGTAGAGGTTTCCATATCGGTGTCGCTTATGTGCAGCTCCTCTTACAAAGCCGAACCAAACCATACGGGGAGAGCATTGCACGCTTTCCCCTGCACGCCCCTGTCCGAGCGGTTGTGCTCTTTATTCAAAATCATCTCTTAGTGCTTTGGAATGCTTTATATCGCGAGCTGAACCCGAACGATAGTCAAGGTATTCTTCGTGGTTCATTCTTGATGCTGGACCATTGTGCTTGTGCCGCCAAGAGATCAAGAGATCCGAAAGTGACGCGCTCGTCGACCATCATGTTTCAGAACGCGTCTTCATCAGAGCGACTTGTCAAATTTCCACGTACCATTAAGTCCTGCCTACAACGACGATGCTGTAACACAACATCTCATCCCGTGCATGCTTTCTTACGTCGAGAAGAGAATGACGCCCTGTCAAGTCCTTTGTGTCTTCTATCCGGAATCTGATAATGTTTCACTTTGACCACAACTCCAATTTGGCTCTCCTTGCTTTTCTATGGACAGGATGGCTCCCAAGGGTGCGGCCTCTTATCAGACTCGGTGGCCCTGGAAACGGTCAGGTTTGTAACCTCCAGTCCCAACGCGGCACGTGTATTCATTGCTTGCTTGTTTTGATGCCCTTCATGCTGGCATCAGATCGCGATTCGAGATAGTCCCCACGCGTGGGTTTAAAGCGTTCCCTTCTCCCTTCACCCTAAGTCCAAATCGTCGTCGCAAGCTCTCAGTTCTCGTCACTCTACTGCCAAATGGATCAAGCAGGCCCACGACCAAACCTTTCGTCAATTGCAAAAAATCCACAACAGAGGACAGTGGGACGCTTATCGCGCCTGTGGCGGACGAACCAAGAACGTGCCAGCTCTGCCAGCTCAACTGCCGCTCCTGGCAAGACTTTTGTGGTGCCTTTGTTTCTTGCTACCTCGAGATCTTCAGCCCGAAACAATTTGTTCACGCAGGGCGCATTGCCTACGACTTCTAGGACACGGACTTCAACGCGTTCAATCATTGACAACATGACGTCTCGACCTGGAAATATGCCACCGCTATCGGTGCGTCGCCACGACCAAGACGAGGTTTCCGACATGTATGCTGGAAGTTTCACCGGAAGTCGATCCATGACCCGAGGGCAGGCTCCTGGGTCAGTTCTCACTGCTCCTGACGTGGAAGATGTCAGGTCGACGTCGAGCAGTTCAGGGACGCGTCCAGCACGGAGTGGCAGCAGCCATAGCAACCATTCTTCGGGGCGAAGCGGCAGTCGTAGCACCACCTCTTCTAGGAGTGGCAGCCGGAGCACCCATTCCTCCGGCCGCGGCGGTCAGCGACGCGTGACTAGGTCGAAGAGGTCGTATCGCGACCCCAGAATCAGCGCAAAGGCGAGGATCAGTTTCGCCTTCGGCATTACCCTAGTCATTGCGATCATCATCTGTGAGTTGAGCTCGCTCACATCATGTGTCAATAGCTGACGATCACAGACTTGGTATTGGTCTTCACGGGAACTGCCAGAGGCATAATGTTCCACGTGCTATCGATACTCCTGATTCTGACATTGGCTGGAGTCTTCTTCCATCAGCTCGTCAGCATGCTTATGCTGAGACGACGTCCCGTCAAGCCTCGATATAGGGCGGCGCACAGTTCTAGGCATCAACATGCACGACGGCAGGCCAGAGAAGCTGCTCCTATCACGGACGAGTTGCCTCCTGAAAAGCCCATCCAAATTCACATGGCGTCCGATGACGGCTTGGGTCCGGACCTCGAAGCAGGGGAACATCCAGCCGTACGAAAACCACCTCCAACATACGGTAACACTCGCACAAGCATGGTAAGTCATCCGGTGTGTGTGGAATCTCATTAGTGATGTATGCTGAAATGAATTTCGCAGAGGATCAATCCAGATTTCGTCTATGCAAAGCAGGTAGTGCCCTCACCTGTAACACCGACCTACGATTGAAGCCATGACACATCTTCAACACACAGTGGGCTACCGACCTCCAAGTTATTTGTCGGAAAGTGGAGCGAGTGAAATCGTCGCGAGTCAGGCTCGAGACGTCGACGCAGCACTTGAAAATATTCACCCTCTGGAGCGAGAACGCATGAGGATATTGGCAGCAGACGCGCTAGAGGGTCGTGGCTGATGGGGGTTGCAAGAGCACAATGTCGACGAGCATACAATGTAGGCAATAATTGTAGTAGTAGGAAATGATTTGCTTCATCACTGAAATTGTATTCAGGACTATCAACCTAATTTAGGTGTCCATGTCATTTGGGGTAGCGCATGCTTTCCTCCACATTGATTTATGTCCTATCAAACTCCTGTTCATCGTGTGTCATGCCCATGAGATGATTGATCCTCTAGTGCTTGGCAGCCTCCTTGTGAACATCGGCCTTGCGGTCGTGAGTCTGCTCATCGAACTTGTCGGAGATGGCATCGCCAGCGGCCTGGGCGCGGGTGCTGAGGTTGGCATCGCTGTCCTTGGCGACGTTCTTGTTGGCCTCCTTGGAAGCAGTGGCACCGGCGCCAGAAATGGACTCGGAAACGTAGTTTGCGGCGTTCCTGGAACAAGTCAGCTATGGTATGTCGTGAAAGAGGAGAGTGACGGGAGCATACTTGATGGTATCCATTGTGAAGGCTTGTGTATGTTGACTTGAAGTCTTGATTGATTTGATTGATTGATTGATCTTTGGTTTGAGAAGATGTCTGGCTTGATTGTGCTGGAAGGAGAGGAAGATGTTTCTTGCAAGGGATTTCTGGGATTTATATACACAAACGGTTCTCATGCAGGGGGGCAACCAGTGAACGACCCCTCGTCAGCTGGGCAAATGCATCTCGAACAAACAACGACGTCATCGAGGAGTATGACGTAGTCTGGCCAATCAAAACCATTGGTTATGAAGTTACTAGTCCCTACGAGGAATCGGTGGCTTGGCAAGATCGGGAGTCCCTTAAAAGCCACACTGACCAGTGACTGACCCAATCGATTCACTTCTGTCGCTGTCGCTCTGACAGAGCTCTACCTGGTACTCACCCACCAGTAAACCCACCACTGTCGTCAGCTTGGCTTTTTGCCTTTGTTTGATTTTCCAGCCTCTGCTTTCGGTCAGCCACAAAATTGCTCAGAGATCGGAGGCGTCCATCTAACTTAGGCCACGTGTGCCTGATCGTCGAATCTCCTGGCATCAGGTGGGCATCTTTGGAAAACATGCTCTTCACATGCAGCGCCCCCTGAATGGCGTCATTCGAGTACTGTGCACTGGCCGCCACAGGCACGAACACAGTGGTTGATGAAAGACGCCCAGACCATTTGACCTTATGGGAGTTCGCTGTAAAGGTGATCGATCGACCATCAAAGCATCCGTGACATCCCCAGGGCAAATGGAGGTGCTCGACCCAGGTATCCAAGCTTAAGTGATGCCCTGTGCATTGTACATATTCAGGACGTTTTGGTTTGCTTGTTGTCTTGCCAGTTGCCGAAGAGAACAAAGGCTGGATCTGAATGGGGAGATGGTGGATCTAGGAGTTCACCTAACCACGTGACCAGGTGGGTGACGATCTATGGTAGACTGCTTCTACATATTCATTTCAGTCGGGACGGTACAGTCGTGAGCATTGTTAAGGCAATCACGCATCGCATTGGTGTACGTGCCCCCACCGTGCAGCTCGATTGACCGTTGTCTAACGTTAGGTACGGAGTATAGGCACTCAGCGACGCCGCTGACGATAACCCCACCCGTTGTTTTGATATCTACAGGATCGAGCTGAGTAACACAACTCCCACCACCGACTTTGCACATACTGTTATACAAGAACATGTACCGGTACTCATGCCATGTATGAGCAATGGCTTCGCTTCAGCTCGTCGATCCTGGAGGCCGCCGAACTAACACCGATAAAGGATGATCCGGGTTGCGAATCCCCGCTTCTAGCGTTCGCGAGCTTTGGCTGAGGGAATATTATTGTCTCAGCTCGTCGACGTTATTTTTTGCCAACGCAACGACGCCTCTGCACCCTGTCATTGCTGTCGTTGACTGCTCCGATTTTTCGGAACAGCAGGGATGGGTCAATATCACAAGCCGTCTATACGGAAGTGCGCGCACAGCCAACATGATCGCAGTTGAGCACTCCGAACTCCAAAACGTTGCCATCCACATCCCCGCGTAATCGCAACTAGCCCGAGATGCATATGCATGAACAGCATATCCGGGGCAGTCTAGCCTTCGAAGTGCGGCCCACGATCCTCCATGCAATGTTTTCATTTGCTCCGCCGCCACACGAAAGCGAACGTAACCTGAATTGATCTTATCACGAGATATTTCCATAAATGGCCTCCGAGAAAAATTTCCCTCGTTGCATGATAACCGAAGCAATCACAAGCTGATGCCCGATCCGTGTCGGGCAACTCTTATCTTCTTTACGGACGGCTGATACGAGATGGTAGGTCTTGCGGCGAATTGTTTCGCCCGGACAAGGGACACCCCAGGGATGGAAGCCAGGGGATTGTGCAACATACGGTCTAGTATATCTCTGTCGTCTGTCACTTCAACGAAGCCTTCCACTTTTCTAGCACTGCCTGACCCAAAACCCCTACTTACCTATTGCTCATCGAGAGTCGTTCAAAAGTACTTCAACAGAAAATGTTATAGCCCGAGAAGCTGTCGTCTCACGTCAGGCCAAGGAGATATTCGAATACGATCTCGTCTCATGCTCACGAACGCCAACATCGCTGACTGACCAAGACCAGCATTCTGAATAAGCTTTCTTGTCATCGCCGACGACTTAAGAGCAATTGGCATCCTCACCAAACCACAATCCAACATTAGCCTTGCTCAAAATGAAACCCAGCCCTACCGTCACAACCATCGAAATCCAAATGGAATGTCAAGGCATATCATGCTGGGACTTTGCCTACCCAACCGGCAAATGCAGCCTCCCATCTAAGAAAGACTGCCCTTTCACCAAGTCCGGTTCCAAGTCGCGCAAGTCCAAGTCGAAAGACCAGTCTCGACCAGAGTCGTCGAATGCCACACTCAGCTTCCGGAACAAAGCCAGACGCGAGTCGCAGACCATCGAAGCGAGGACGTACCTGGTGTCCTGTCCGAACCCATCATCCGTCATAAACCCGCACACATACACGACCATCTCAACACTACTGCTGCAACCACGTACCCAACTCGTGCTTCTTGTGCCACAATCGCATATCGTGTGCAGTCGTGTATGTGAGATATCGCGACTCCCTCGCTCCGGCGGGAGTTGTATCCAAGTCCTCCCCGTCCCGGAGGTCGTTGCGATGACTTACACAACAACGAGCGCCGAGACCGGTGCCGATAGCGATGATGATAATGTCAACACCGTGGAGAAAGCCAATGTCGCCGAGGTGGTACGAAAGATTGTCAAGTACACCAAAACCAAGAATTTCGACGGATACCTCGTCTTCGAGGAGGATCGCGCCAGTTGGCAGTTCCTCGAGCGCGTCGGCAAGGGTGTCATCGCTGCAGTGAGGAAGGGTGAGAGTCGAAAGTGATTACTTTCCTCCCTTCCTTCTCCCTTCTGTAAAGTAGGCCTATGGTTGCGGACCACTGCCTGCGGAAACGAACGAAGCGATGTCCACCAGTCTTCAGCGGCCAGCGACCCTACGTGACCACTCCCCCTCCACCATCGACTGTTACGACATACTCGGGGAAACCGTCCACAGTCCGACCGAATTGTTTACGACAACTAGAAACTTAGCGACCTTCTATCAAATAGACTCCTATACCCCGACGCTTCTCATCTACAGCTTCGGTTTCGGTTTCAGTTCCGCGCGACTCTGCTTCTTCCTCGCCTTCCAACTCCAATGCTTGCTCGGATCTCTGCGCATCTCCTTCCACACTCCGAGATCATCCTGATCCGCATACGATCCCAATCTCAACTCAATCGCGTCGACAGCCAGATCGACGTACTTCCTCGCGCCCTTCACACTGCCCACAGAGCTATACATCAGCGCAGCATGACAGTACGCCGGATCCAGATACCCATCCAGGCCTTGATCCTGGTACAGCTTGATCAGCCGCTCCGCCTGCGCGACGCTGGCTTTTGACTCGGCCGTCCAGTCGCCCAAGCTCGCCTGCAGTGCATTGAGCTCGTCAAGAGCGTCATCGCCGGATCCGCCGCGCCGACACCGCCGACAAGTACACTCGAATCCGAACGATTGGCGGAGATATCGTTGGCGTTGTGCATAGGTGTCGAGCGGGTTGGTGTACGCGATGCTGATCTCCTCATCCGGCGGGATCGGTCGGACGGCGCGGACGTAGTGCGTCAGCGTGGCCGTGTCGATGTGAAACTGAGCATTTGGCGCGCAGTCGTGGTTGATTCGCGAAGGTTCCGGGAAGGCTGCCAAGTGCTTTTGCCCGTGCAGTTGGATGGCGAACGTGTTGGCCGCGGCGATGTCTTGCATCAGGATCTCCGGGTTGCCGTGGACAGTGGTGAGGTTGAGGTACGCTTCTCGCGTCGACGCAGGCAGCTGGTGGATTGCGACCTGGAGGTACCTTTCCCGCTCGGCTGGCGAGAGGAGGTTCTCGGAATACGCGACCAGGACGGGCGTGGTTGCTACGATCACATCGCCACGTCGGAGAGGGCGTTTCGCGAACATGCCGATGCCCTTGTTCGAGATGGGCTGAGTGTACCACGCCCCTGAATCAGTATTGAGGAGAGGAGAGAGAACGTCCCTATCGTTGAAGGGCGGTAAAGTGGTGGTCTGCTCGGCGATCTGGGTTGTGGTGAATATGGAGATTCCTCGTCCGTTGGCGAATGTTGCATTTGTGTACACGCACAGTTCGCTGCCGACCGACGGGAGTGTCTGGGTGCAGACTGGCTTGAACGACCACGGTGCGTATCTGCTGGTCTCGTCCGCGTCGGTATTGAGGTTGAGTTCGACGGACTGGAAAAGTTGTTGGAAGTCAATTTGGTAGAGGCTGTCCTCCACGCCTATTGTGGACGCAATGATAAACATGAAGCAAGTCCAGACAGCGGACATCGTCGTTCGAATCAACCCCATTTTCAGATCAGCAGGGCTGAGAAGGGGCGTGCGCTGCAATAGGATCTTGACGGAGCGAACCCTCTTTCGACTTTCAGCCTCGGCCGCCCTCACCGCCGGTCATCTTGTATGCTAACTCTCATATGGATCTGGGAGAGAGTACGGTGTAATCAACAAGGACGACCATCCTCACAGAATAAACCGTCCTAGGTTCCTAGGTCGAGAGATCATCGTGTCCAAGAAATTCCAAGAAAGACCAAGACAAACCGTTCCACCTGTCAAAGCCGAAACCAGGGCACGCCAAGGGGAGAAGTCCTCGGCTCCAGACACTACGGATTCGAAGAGACTCTTTTGATTCATTCACCAGCATGGATCTCGCCTGTGGAAAGGACTGCGTGCTTTTCATGTTACAGACACAGAAGACCATACCTGACTGTCATCAGTCAGTCACACGATCCAAATCATAAGCTGGAGGCCCTTTCATTTCACCCTCGTTACTAGTATTGAACGCCTTCTCGACGTCGTCCGCGAATTCCTTCAACGTGTTATACCGCCACGCATACCCGACCAACCCCTTCTCCAATGCCATCTTGCTTTCGGCCTCTTTGCCCCATCTCGGCCCATCGCCAATCAACCACACACTACTCAAGCCCAGTCTCTTCGCCGGTGCCTGATCATGCCCGAGACTCTGCGCGACGTGGAGGATTTCGTCCTTCTCGACGCTCCCGCCCCCACCGTTGGAAGTGCCACTGGTAGTGCTGGTGCTAGTGCAGTATCCGATCAATGTCTCCAACTTGATCTCGTCCGCGCGTGCCGCATCGTCGCCGAGATCTTCGGCCGTGAACACTTTCCACCAATCGACCTCGCCGAGCCTGCTTGCCGGTGACGACGACGTGATGGACCACGCGTACCTGTCGATGTTGGACAAAGCAACGAGTCTGTAGTGCTTGCTTAGTGACCTGAGAGCCTCCAGAGTGCCGGGAAACGTAGGCCAGCTTGATATGACGGCCTCGCTTCCAAACGCAACGGCTTCCTCCTCGCTGCTGTCGACCTGGAGCTCTTGCGCCACGCGTCTCCAGATCTCGGCGAGGATCTCGTCGAATCTCTTCGCGGGCTTTTCGAGCTTGATGGCGTCTTCTTGTCGTTGGAACAGTTTCAGAAACTCAACGGACCCTTTCGTAGCGGAGTCGGGGGTCGTCGTTGATAACGGTGTTGAGTCGAGATAGGGCGACGACGGGGACAGGCGCGATAGCAGGGGTTGGAAGGAATTTAAAATCTGACCTTTATATTCAACGAGGCTGCCGTAGACGTCGAATGACAAGACTCTGTAGTGCGTGAGCGGGAGTGGGGGACGAGTTGGTTCGGGCATGGGAAGCGCCATGCTGCTGTTGCTGTTACGGCTGAATGCGAGTGAACGAATCGTAGGATTGCCCACACACGATGGCTACAGATGGACTGGTGATTTGCGGATGTAGCTGTCAAGAGTCGAGGTACAAGTTTCCGGACAATAGATAGACTCATCTGTGAGGATTATGAAAGGTCTGTGATGGTCACGATGGTTAAACCAATCATTGGCCAAGTATCGGACTTTTGTTCTTGCAAACCGAGGCACTGCTGGGGGAACACAAGGACTACTATCCATTACTACCTAGTATGTATACTGAATGCACATAGCCCTTGAAGTCCTAAACGCTCGGCGTAGCTACTTAGGTAGTAAAAGAAGACGAGCCGTGTGTTCAAATCGATTCGTTAATCAAGGTATTCAATCAAGGAACCATGTCATCGCTCAAATCTTTGGACCATTCCGTACTTTCAGGGTATTGAGAGCCTCACACCTTTGTTGAGCCTCTGACTTCTTCGCACTGGCGCGCCATCCTTCTGCTTTTTGTCTGTTTCCTCCCCTTGTCGTTCGAGTTGCTTCTCGATCTTCTTCACTGCTGCAGCCACCTTTCCATCTGCCTTCTGCCTAGACTCTCCCTCTCCAACGCCGCCGTGATCTTCGGCAGACGCTTTCTTGGCCTGTTCTACCAATTTGCCAACAGAGGCGGTAGGTTTCCGAGTAATATTCCTACTCTTTGGATTGCCCTTTGCTTTCGACCCAGTGACAGATCTCTTCTCAACCTTGCCACCCTGGACGGTGGACTTCCTCCTCTCGCCACGTTTCGGTGGCTTCAAGAGTCCGCTGTCATCTGGGATCGGCGGGATACATGGCTTGTCTGGTGAAGTGGATCTTCTTGTATTCGATTGTTGTATCGCAGGAGGAGGAACAGACATCTCCCTTCCAGTGAAACTTGGCTCATAGTCATCTACAATGTCTGGCATCTCGACATCTGCCTCATGACGGGAGAGGGAGAAGGGAGAGGGTGTGCCGGACCTATCCTCATAAGCTGGAGTACATTCTCGTTTCCAATTCGGGGCAGGAAAATCCGGCTCGACACTCTGTCGGATATAGTCTTGGATAACTTCGTAGCCATAGGGTGTCGGATCCCTGCCATCGGGACGTGGGCGCGGTGTGTCAGGTCGACTGGGTGGTATGCTATGGCCAGCATGATTCGATATTGTCGGCGTGGCGGCCCGAGATTGACTCTGTGAAAAGTACATAATGTGTGATAGCTTGAGGCGTGACTCGTAATCGTCCCTGCCGGAGCGTGCAGTCACATCATTGCCTGTTGCTAGCTGGTGAACGCTATTTACTTTGTACTGGGGGTAAATCGCCGGAACGAGAGGACCATTTCCTACCTCATAGCCGTATAAATGGTTGTTTAGTGTGTCTTGAACTGATTGGTCAGGGAAGTCGTGGTTGCCGCTCCTCCCTCTTATAGTGCTGTATCCTCCGTCATCGATGTTGTTCAGTGCCATTGTGGAATTCTCCATTCTGTTGTTTAAGGTCTTCTCTGTGCTTTGGGTACCTTCTAATGTTACCTTCGTGGTCTCTCTTGTAGTACGCGTATCATCGCAATGCACAGGAGCTTGGAAAGCAGCTTCGGCTAGCTCTGAGGATTCTCTGATAGACGTAATGCTTCCATGAGCAGCAGTAAAAGAGTCTGGAGTTGGCCTTAACATGTCATTCGTATCGCAAATTCTGTTGCCGGTTGAGTCATTACGATGTACTGGAAGATCCGTTGCAGGGACGGATTCGACGCTATCGGCCTCTTGCTTGACCTTGAACTTAGCCGAGTCATCAGCTCCGTCCATAAGCCTGGCATCGTCGAACGAAAGATGCCCTGTTTGCAAAGAGGAAGATGGAGGTAAAGGTTCGCGGTCGACCCGCGAGCTCTCTACGAACTCAAGTGGCGCATCTAGGGCGGATATCTCGTTGTGGAGGTTTCCAGGCTCATCAAACAGAGAGTCAATGTCATCAGGTCTCATCTGGCGAGCTGCGTCTGGCAAGAGCCCAGGACCAAGTGTGCTTGAGCTGTGACCTTCAGGATGCGATATTAGCTGTAGGCCGGATATGAAGTCAAAGCTGGCAGGCGGCCCCGTTCCTTTCAGAGTCGTGGAGCTGACCTTGGCTTCTTGACAAGGGTCTGGATCCTTAGCCCCGTGGTGCTCGTGAATACTCTTGCTTGCGACATCTCGGGCTTCCGATAATATTGGCGAATCCGGCAATGCTACCTTGTGCATAACTCGATCCACAGGCGGATGTGGACTCATTTCCTCGTCTCGTGATAGCAATCCAGGGATATAATCCTGCGAGCTGAGGGAATATGCTGGCGAGTGTGATGATTCCAGTGCTCGATAGGGAGGCAATCTTTGGCTGTGATCCAGCGGATGTCCGGAATAGACTGGCGATTTCGACAAACCCATCTCCCGAAATGATGGCGAGCTTGAGGAATAGTCTGGCAATTGAGTGTGATAACTTGTAGACTCTGCGGAGCACACTGCTTGCTCTTTCGGGGATGTTGGGGCATAAGATGGCGCAGCGCCAGTATCTTGATTGTCTCCATCCTCAGATGCAGTCATTCGCCGTACGTCCTGCTCGTCATGCTCCAGATCATAGCGCGGTGTTTGGGGATGCTCTTCGAGCCAGTGCGAGGGCATCTTGACTTGATCTGTACGCCGTTGCTGCGCGTCTGGTCTGTTTCGACGGGTGTTCTCGTGGCCATCCAAAGACGGGTCGTCCGCTTGCATACAGTCTTCGGCCGCAGAGTTGGCCCATTCAGGGTGCGGTATTGCAGGGTCCGAAGAAAGGAACATGACGGGATGACTCAAAACATGAACTTACAGCGACTTGTGGCATCAGGACAAAAGGAGATATCGTCAGGAGCATTTACTGCGTCCATACTTTCAACGGCGGGCAGGAATGTGATCTAAGATTAGCAACAACACTTTGCATACCGGGGGGAAAAGCTGTTGCTAGGGACAAAATACTCGGTCCTGATAGTACAAACACAACCTGCTCGACTGAGACGAGGTTCGAGGTCAAGTGGACGGAGCTTGAAGAGTTGGGCGCTGAATTAGGTCAACAAATGTTTACTCCTACCGTAACCGTTTGCAATGATACCCCGGACGGGAAAGATTCGTAGAACTATCCGATACAAGACATTCTGGAGGACAGGTCCGGATTTTGGGAAGACCTGCAGACGGAATGTTGTCGCGGTTTGAAGGACGCCGATGTATTCGCGGCAACGTTTTGGTATTGATAAGTTGATGGTCCAGCGTGTCGTCGAAGTGTGGGCGTCTCTTCGCCAGCTGCAGTCCATTGATGTCAGGAGCTCTGGATTGCTTTGGAAGTGAACAACGAGGCGATGGTAGAAGCAGTGGAACTACTAACTTAGGAGGCAAAGCTTCGTCCATCTTTACCAAAGCCAAAATCCAGTCACGACCCCTATTAATTTAGTGGGTGCCGAGGTGCATGGATTGCCTTAAGTTAGGCTAACTGGGCTAGTGATAGGCTCACTAACTTAGGCGTCCTCCCACCAGTAACTCCTTATCATTTCCCTACTGGCCAACGAATTTGACTTGGGCACCGTCACACACCATCATGCACCATCATGCACCATCATGCACCTCAGGGTAAGCCACGCTCGTGTAATTACAGTAACGACACAGCCTCACCAGTCGGGCTTTTCGACATTGTTTCTCATGAGTCCACAGCCTCAAAATGATTCCTCTGGAAGCAGCTGTAGATATCCTCCTCTCCTTGAAGCATCATAGCATTGAAATCTGTATGCAGAGATCCTGCGACGTACAACGTTGAGATGCAATGTCGGGCATCGAAATCCTTGGGATTGCCGCCAGTGTAATCCAGATTGCCGAGCTCGGCGCTCGCCTCTCGGTCAAGCTATTCGTGTTCTCACGAAAAATCAAAAGCGCGGACAAGTCTATTGACAGCATCTCTCAAGACATCGCAGCAACTGGTGCCGTTCTGCAACAGCTTGGCAGCGAGCTCTCCAAAGACGAGAACGCTGAGTTGTGCTCGAATGAAGCGTTGGCCACCACCAGAAACTTGGTTGACAGTTGCATGAGCGTATTCAAAGATCTCGAATCTTCGCTTGATGGTCGATTTTCCAGCTCCAACTCTGTAGTGGCAGGATGGAAGCAAAGACTGAAGTTTCCGTTCTTGGAGGCACAGATCGAAGTGCTGCGCTCGAATTTGGAAAGACTGAAAAGCTCATTGCTGGTTATGCTCAACGTGCTCATATTCGCAGCACAAGTACGAAGGTGAGTGACCATTGCATATGATTCGAGAAGCACCGACCAATCATGCCTTTGGTGTAGTCATCGAGATATCGACGTCCTCAAAGATCACAGATCGCTGGTCGAGACCTTGATTGAAGAGAAGAATGCTTCCGAGAAGAGGTATCAACAAGCTCAAAAACACATCACTTGGATTTCTGCTCCTTCATCACAGGAGGAGACGAAGGCAGAGGCTCCGATGGACCGTCCAAGTGAGGGTGGATCGAGAGAGTGGGAATCCGCTTCCATCTTTACGGTGAATACAATCGCCCTTCCGAACCACGAACCGGCGATGACGACCAGCCAAACGATGCCTCCATTTTCCAAAACGTCCTCTTTGCCTGCAGGATTGAAATACCGCATGGAAGAGGTTCAGCACCATGGGGTGGCGGTCCGGAGTCTGCTTGCGGAAGTGGACGCTTTCAATCGTCAAATAAGTCATGAGTTTCGCGACAAGCTACAGAATGGAATCCTGGCAGCGCACTGGGAACAGTGGGCGCCTTTCCGACAAGTATATGGCGACCAAGCGCTGTTAGATGCAATCTCTGAATACCCAGAAGTGGTACGTGTCATGCATGATGCTTTGTCTTAGGCTGAGTGGAGAATCCCGCAGTCAACATAGCACACTTGAGCATAGGCTGACTTTGCTGGTACCAGATTCGCTATTGGGTGTCTAGGCTAGAAAGAGAGACTGCCAATCTGGGGACGGACAGCCGTGTGGTTATGCCCAACAAAAGGATTGGGAACAGTGCTCAAAAGCCAGATCAAGCGAATTCCTTAGTCTCTCAGAGGCAGCATTCTCATCTTGGAGCTGGTCAGAGCGGGAACCATGTGCTCCAAGACTACCAAATGCAGTTGTGGGCGCTTGAGAAGCAGAACAAGGAGAGGCTGATGATGACGAGACAAGAACAAGACAACGCTATCGACCGAAATCGCGCAGGTCCTGCTCACGATCCCTCGGCCCTGGGACACCCTCCCAGTCATTCCGAGACTGAGGGACATGCTACGCCCTTTATTGAGAGCAAAAACAAAGCCGAACCAAAAGCAGAGAAATTCGATCTCAACTCCAGCACTTTAGAGAACAGCGACGTGCTGGACCACTTTGACTTTGACAGTTTCCTGAACACGACGGACCACGACACCATCGATTTCGACGGTGCCATTGGTGTAGGTGGAGATATTGGGCTAGATCCCGGCGACTGGTTTATTGGTCACGAGCAAGGACTGCCCCCCGTTATCGAGCCTGGTCAATCTATGAAGGACCAAACACGAGCGGTAGACAGTACATTCGAGCCAAGAGAAGAGTCTGTGGTCATGGGTACGATCATTTGCCGTCTCCTCAGCAGCATTCTCCTGCCGGGAAGCCCCCGGGGTTCAAAATCTGCTGTGCTGACGATTGACAGCTCTCAATAAGCAACAGAAGACGTCTCTCGCAGATTTCATGCAAGACAAAGGTTCGTTTCACTGGGAGATCGGCCTAGATCGGAGATTCGCTGACTTGTCGCAGAAGATCCATGGACAAGTGGTCACTACCTCAGCCACGTCGACGATGGGGAGCCAGTCGATTCTTCCAACATAATCGGTACTGAAAGCATCGAACACGATTCCTTGTATGCTGAGGCTGGGGGACTGGACAGCATTGACCTGTCGATGTGCTCGAGCCGATATGAAGTGTCATTCCTGAAAACAACCGACAGCGTCACAGCTTCGCAATTAATCAATGGCATTGGGGCTGCATCAGCGAACCAGTTTCTTCCGCTGACGGCACCAGCAGATCGCCGCCATACAAGGACGACACAGACGCGTCAACCGGATCTCAGCACGCCACGTATAGATGCGTCGGAAGTAGTAGGACATCCCTCCAATTTTGATGATTACATTGCACGCTGGACCAGGCTTTCTGACAACGAGAATGCCGATACGGCGATTTGACTATGCACGCCCAGCTGGTGATGCTTTGAATCTCGAAACGAATGATATGTCTTCAAACGATCTTGCTGTCTCGCTTTAGGCAAATGCGATACCTTTCGAAGATGACTTAGCATGGCAGTACCCAAATCTTGGCTAGGAAGAATCATACCTCCATCTGTGAGCACAGACTGGCCCGTAATGTTTCTCGCTTTCGGACTCACAAGGAAGCTGACAAGATTTGCGATATCCTCGGGTTCCTGAACATGTGAGAACCCCCCGAAAACTTGGAGCAAGGCAATATAAGCGTACCGAATGTCGTTTCAGGGCAGTTCGGGTATTCACCGAGTTATTGAATGCTTCCTCAGGTGTTACTCCAGTATGCTCAGAGACACTCTGCGCGATCTTGTCCCACATCTGCCAGCATGTCAGGATCAATGTCACGGCCAGGGAGTCTTGCTCACGTCTGTAGGAACAGGTCCTGGACAATATGCTGCAGGGTATTTCGTCAATTCACATGTTCACATCGCAAGCCTTCTACAATGGACTTGGCTCACCGTTGACCTGCAGATACTTCAGCACCGTTATCCAGCTAAAGGAGTTGACTTACGTTGATGTTGTGCTGCCCTAACTCCATCGCAGTGGCTTGGGTGAGACCACGTACAGCCCACTTGCTCGTTCCATACGCAATGACGCCTCCCCCGGACTGCATAATGTTCGTTAGGTACTGTCACTCGCGGGTATCTGCACGCACGCACCGGCCGATGACCCGCTGTTGAACAGGCACCAACAATCTTGCCTCCTTTACCTTGCTTGATCATTTGCTTCGCTGCCTCGCATCAGTTGAGTACTCGCAGGATCCACGCGCCGTGTAACTTACCGGCTTCACGATAGCAAAGCATGACGCCTCGGACATTGACCTTTGCAGGAATTCAGAACAAAGGGTCCATGGTGAAGGAACCTTGTACATACCGCCATCACTTTATCCCACTCGTCAACGCTGACCTCAAACAGAGATTTGGCCACTAGGATTCCTGCATTGGCCACCATAACCTGCTTGCTGTGAGTCTTCCTCCAACGCTCATCCAAGGACATGACTTACATTTAGCTCGCCAAATTCCTTGACAACCGCTGCCACCATCTCTTGCACTTCACTTTCTTGAGTGACATCTGCTATAACACATGTCGCCCTTCGCCCTAGCACGTCATGAGCGTCCCCATCCCGAAAGAATTCTTCGCTCAATTTAGCAAGAAGATACCTTTCTTTTCGACCTCCTTTCGCACATTCTCCAAATCTGCTGACTGCGCCTGAATGTCATTGAGCTAGACAAGACAGACGTTAGCACTCCCTAGTCTATGTGACTCTGATATACTTGCGCCAACATCCATTCCATCCTCAGCCAGTTGCAACGCAATTGCACGGCCAATACCTCTCGAGGCTCCTGTCACGATAGCGATCGTCATGTTGAAGATGATCTTCCCTCTTCTGCAAAAGAAACTCAATTCCTTACTGCAAGAGCAACATCCGAAGATGCGGTCGCTATTTTATTCACAGGGCCGACTCTCCTCACTTCGGCACCCGGCAAGGCCAGTAACCCAGGCTCTCCGGGCAACTTCCGACTCCGCACGAGGCTGAAGCTTTGGAGGCATCATGAAGTCAAAGGATGGTACTTCGTATGGCATAGGCTATAGGCGGCTCCTTGTCTCCCCTCGCATTTCTCCACTCTGTGGAGAGACCCCAGGGAGGGCAAATGCTTCGACTACCAGCCCTTATGAGGAGTTTGGGAAAGATGGGGCCATGAGGGCTTCGGCAGATGATTTTGAGACGGCACAAAATTGCCGGATAGCCTGTCTTACTGGTCGCTACTTCGAGATCTGTGAATTATAAGGTCTCATGGTCGTCCCAGGGAGGGCATATCGAGCAACATCCTCGCAAGTCTGTTGCTGGCAGGATATCTTCAACCCAAATAGAATATCTCTTTGACTTAGCAAGATGCCAGGACTTCTCATCGACCCCGAGACCGACTTCAAGACTCTGAAGATCAAGGAGCTTCACCCTACCTTTGCCGCCGAGATCGAAGGTGTCGACTTTTCGAAGCCGATTCCAGATGATGTATTCAACGAGATTCTCGCGGCGTCAGCGAAGGTAAGCAGATCTGTCCTGACATGCGCCCACAACTTGGACGTTGATCATGATGATAGTACGGAGTTATAGTCTTCCGCAGGACTGGCCTGGACGATAAAGGGCATGTCGAAATTTCTCGCCGCTTCGGCGATCTGGACGATATCAGACCGTACATGACGAACGGCCGAAAGCCACGATACGAGTATTATGAACTCTTCGACGCCGGAAACATCGACCCGGACACCGGCACTGTCTTATCGCCTGACAGCCCACGAGCTCAATACAACAAAGGTAATGCTCTTTTCCACGTCGACTCATCTTTCAACCCCCGCAGGGCATCATACTCCATCCTGAAAGCTCACGAGCTGCCGCCACCCAATACTGGAGGAAATACCGGCTTCGCGGACACCCGAACGGCATTTGATGAACTGGATCCAGAGCTCAAAGCGGAGCTTTTGGAGCACGACTATATCGGTGCGCATTCCCTATACTCATCTCGCAAAAAGGCCGCGCCCGAGTTTTTCAAAGATGTCGACGTCAATGCTTATCCCATGCACAAGCATCGCATCGTGCAGAAGCACGAGCCTTCGGGGAGGATGAATCTTTACATTGCAGCTCATATGGATCATGTGGTTGATGTGCCGCCGGAGAAATCGACGGAGCTGATGGAGAAGCTCATGGCACATGCCACCCAGGACAAATACACCTTGAGCATTCCTTGGAATGACCCTGGTGACATGGTCATCTGGGACAATACGTGAGTATTTTCGGCGGTGCCCATGAGGTGCCACAATGGCTGATATGCTTGTGCAGATGTGTGATGCACCGCGCTGAAGGCGGCTCCTTTGCTGGGAAGTACAGGAGAGACCTGCGAAGGACGACCGTGCACGATGCCAGCAGTCAAGCATGGGGTTTGAACCCAGTGGAATCCAAGAGACCAGGTTTCGCGGTGACTGCTCTGTAGGCTGGTATCGCAGCACAGGTTTGAGAATGGGTGAAAGCCTACTGTCAGTACTCTATGGTCTGGGCTTCTGTCCTTGTGGTAAGGTTGAGAAGTTTGCTTCAGTTAGAGCAAACGGCACATTCCGACCCGCAGCATGGGTTACAGGTAGCCGAGCTTGTTAGTATGTCCTTGCCATGACCATATTCAGGATAGTCTCACTGTTGTTCACCTTTGGGGAATGAAGTCTCCAAGGTCTCTGTGAGATCGAATGTAGACCCTGCCAATTGTGCGACGACCTCCAAGGCGTTGGTAGGGATACTAGGTGTCCTAGTTAGTCTCTACCATGTGGTGAAACAAATAGGAGAATTCAATGCAAGGCTGCACCTGTAACTGACAAGGCTGATGCTTGGCGCTCGCTTACATAACCTCAATGAGCATCTGCGACTACGAGTACGTACTCCATACATTGTCCCGCACTCACCTTGCCCGTCCACATCGACGAACCGCCTGCACTACCACCCCTTGCTACAGGCCCCGACAACACTGATTGCGCCTAGAAGCAGACCTGCGATCGTACCTTTTTTCCGAATACGAAGTGTCTGCTCTTGCCGCACCAGCGGCTTCCTGCGCCCAGCCGAATCTGAAATAGCCAACCCAACCCACGCCCTGCAGGAGTCCAGAAAGTCCCTCACCATGGCGAACATAAACTGGCGGACGATAAACGTCGACGCATACGACCCGGAGTCGGCGCTGAACTTTCCCATGACCACACTTCTCCCCGCCAACCTTCCTGCGCCCTCCACATCCGCCGAGTCAGCCCAGATAGGCCAACAAGTCCGTCAACTTCTCCGCGCAGGCGACAGTCTAGGAGCCCTACAATCTGCGCTCGAGACCGCCCCTCTCGCCGGCGACGAATCCTCAAAGCAGGTACACCTTAGCACCGTCCTGGAAGTACTGCAAGGCATCCGGCAGAGCGACGTAAGCAGGATATTGAACGAAATGCTCAAACAACCTGGCGGAACGGCCCTGGGCGATACACTGATGAAATACATTTACAAAGGCATGGCGAGTGGAGCGGGCGGGAGTGGTGGCAAAGGCATGAGTCCCCAGGCGACAGGGTCCGGGTTCACTCAAATACAGGCGAGAAACTTCGGAGAAGGTGGTGGCGGGCAGGTCATGAGCGTGCTCCTCAGCTGGCATGAGAAGTTGACGGAGGTTGTAGGCGTCGGAGGGATCGTCAGAGTCATGTCTGATCGAAGGACGGTATGAGAAGCTGGAAAGTGGCAATGTTTTTTGCTTTCTACAGAAACGCTCAAGATCAGAATACGAAAAGGTGGATCGATGTCCGAGGAAGACCTTCTTCCCAAGTCTGCCAGGCAGGATAGACCAGCCAACTCAAGCGGCCTGCGGATGATATTGTATGACTTCCAACAATAAAAATGCATCCTGGGGTATCGAAAAGGTCACGCCTGATATGTGCCTCAACTCCATCCGGCTAGCAAAAGACTTGTTCAACAATCAACCCTCCCAATCCCAATGACCATCCAATAACTCAACTCCCTCTTCCCATCATCGACATCCTCCCCCTCATCGAGAACTTTCTCCCTCTTTCGTCTTTCAATAGCCGCGTCCTCATCCGTGACTGTCCATTCCAGCCTCACTCTAATTGGTATTTCGATAACATCCTCGTCCTCGTCCAACTCCTCGCCTTGCTTCCTAAAGATACTCGCCGGCACGATCTCCAGCACGATACTGACCCAGTTCCTGCCTTGGTCGTACAATTTGCCGGCGATCTGCTCACCTCCGCCTGAGTTCACCATGCCCCGATTCGGCGGATTGTTCAGCGCGTCGTCCCACGCATCACTGTTCTTGCCTATCTGGAATTGGGGACACAGTATCGTGACTCGATGGCCATGCTTACCCGGCGTCACGCTGGGACTGCCCAAGCTGACGTTGACATCCTCGAACAGTGGGTTGCGCAGCGTCATTATAAATTGCACGGGCTTGCTGGCTGGGAGGACGATGTCAGCACCATCGGGGCCCGGATGCGGAAGACCACTAGATACAGATAGTGGTACAACGGTCACGTAAGGGATGTAGTTGAGTGCGATGAGTTTGATGCGGTAACGCGCAGAGCTTATCTTGAGTTCCGGACGTGTGAGGATGTGCTTGCATGCCGCACAGCGTTTGGACCTCTTTGTGCGCATTAGTGTTGGCATTGGGCGGAGGTCGGAGACCTTCATGGCGTTTGCGTTGCCTATGAAGGAAGGATATTGGAAGGCTCGCTGAGAAGCCGTGATCGCTTCATTGTAGCCGAAAGATTCAGGGGTGTTTGCTGTTCTGAAACCCTCACTGGGTGTTCTAGCTTCGCGCATTATTGTGAATTTCTCCTTTGCTCGTTTCATCGAGTTTTCTCGGTTGGTGTAGATGTTCATTATTCGTTGGAGGGATGACGGTGATGAGTATGCCATGTCGAGGGCTGAGGTCGGAAAGCTAGCATCTGTGGCGGAAGACTCGGTGATTTGTTCCTTGTAGAACGCCTTCAGAGCATCGAACCTGGAAGTTGCATTGGTAGGGGGTTTTGGCACGGTTTTGTTTGAAACTTGAGGAGTCTCAATCTGTTCGCCAGGAGAAAAGGGCGGCCGAGAAAGCGATGATTGCCTGGAAAGTTTGGGCTTGCCGCCATTTGCCAGCTCGTCCATCTGGCCACGAATACCAGTGGCTTTGTCGAACTTGATGCCTATGTCGAGTGTATTCCACATGCAGTGATTGCAGTTGAGAATGAACGGCCCATCCTTCGAATCCCCAACTGAAGTAGTGATCATCTGCGATCTACAGATAGGACAAGTGTAACAGTTTCGTGGACAACAATTGCCGCCCTCACTTCTGGCCACGACCTTTGGACTTTCGACTATTTGCGTCGTTAGCACTGAAGACCGTACTCGGGGGTCGAAAGCATCGAACGCTCAAAGCTCGTGATAGACGGCTATAGGTTCCTGGTGCAACTTACACAAACAGTGTGGACAATAGATGGCGTTGACTTCTTCTGACACACATCTTGGACATTTGATATCGTGGCATTCTTCGCAGTAAAGCAGATGCTCAGGGGGAAAGAGCGAAAAAGCCGATCGAGGATGCCGAGGATCAAACGAATCTTCATCATCCTGTAAATCCCGATCGAACTCTACATCCCTCGATGACCTCTTCGACGTCAATGCTCTCCTCGATGCATCAGAACAGGGGCAAGAGATGAAGGTGTATGGAAACGCGACTGCCATGATTGCGGCCGAACGGCTGGTGCAGTTGACTGACTTTCCTTCTGTGATCGATGCATGAGAATTTGTGGCACTCTCTCCGTTCGCTCATGCTTCTCAACAACGAGTTTTGTTCAAGCACTCGTGCAGAGTTTGTTCCATACCTATGCATAGGACCAATACGTTGAAGGCATAGAACGAGAACGTGGTCGGCAGACCTTCCGTCTCTAAAATTTCCGAGACCCGCCAATGATTGACATCATCATGAACGCGGCTCGAAACTGATTCATCTTCTACCTCTGCTCTCCACGGCCAGACATTAACTTGTCTGAGCCCATTGCACGCTTGCTCGCCATGAAGCCACCGAATCTACGGCCTTGGCTTCCCACTTCAGCTCTTAAAAGGCGTCCAGCTCTTCGCCGCCCATACGCCATTCAATCCCCCGGCGCGCCCACTCTCCAAATCTTCAACGAAAACGTCAAATACCTCCAGAAAGAACGAGCGGCTTCAAATCACGAACACAGCCGCAAAACGGACTATCTGAAGGATGAGGTCGCTCAGCGCCTCGTCGACCGTCTGCTTGACATCAACAGGCAATTCCCACGAGTCCTTGACCTCGGCGCGAACAGCTGCAACATCGCCCGCGCACTGTCGAAACCACCACTCATTGCACCTGAGATTCCGGAGGGCAAGGATGAAGCCAAAATCCCACTGTCTGAACGTGTGCAACATCTCGTGTGCGTAGAAACCTCTCCGACGACCCTGCACCGCGACGATGCACTTCCTGCCCCAGAGGTCCCTATCACACAAACCATATTGCCTACTCTCGAGACACTACCTTATGATGCGGACAGCTTCGACGCGGTAATATCATCGCTCTCGTTGCACTGGATAAACGACCTCCCCTCCGTCCTATCGAGTATAAACAACATTCTCAAACCTGACGCTCCTTTCTTGGCTGCCATGTTCGGGGGAGATACACTCTTCGAACTACGTTCATCATTGCAACTAGCTGATCTTGAGCGGAGAGGTGGTGTGTCTCCACATATATCACCCCTGGCAGATGTGCGAGATGTAGGGAATCTACTCAATCGAGCCGGCTTCAGGCTCCTGACCGTCGACGTGGATGATATTGTGGTGGAATACCCGGATACATTCTCTCTGATGACGGACATACAAGCCATGGGCGAAGGGAATGCGATCCTCAAGTCTATGGGCGGACCTATGAGCCGGGACGTTCTGTTGGCGAATGAGGCCATATACAGAGAATTGCATTGTCGGGAGGATGAGAAGGATAGAATACCGGCCACATTCAGGGTCATTTACATGATTGGGTGGAAGGCTGGAGCAGGGCAACCAGAGCCCCTGGAGAGAGGAAGCGGGAAAGTCAACATCAAGGACATACTCGGCGGTGGAGACTTCAGTCGATAGCAAGGCCGGCTGAGATTTCTCAAAAAGAAACATAGAGCCTGCCAGAGCTTCGCCCCTGCTTGTAAAGCTCAGAAATGGGAAACGAGAATGCGTGATGTGAAACTGTTGAATTTTGCATTGCTTGGTATCTGCACTGACGTTCAACCTAGACACAATGCAACCTCTGCATGCTTGCAATGTCGGAACTTTTCCTTTTGATGCAAAGCGATGTCCTCATCCCCATTCAGAAATGGACGCCATCATGCCCCTCGTGCACCTTAGTTCTGAACACCCCTGTTCAAGCCACGACGTTTTTGATCCATCTAGTAATCCGTAGCAGCGCTCATTGGGAACTCAAAGCCACAAACACGGCCGGTCAATTTTCGGTACACCTCAGAGTAAGTATCGAGTCTGTAGTCCACACCGCCGCGCTCCTTCTCATCGAGAACGACCTTCAAGACCTTGCTTCCGTCCTCCTTTGTTCGGAGTCTCTTTCCGACAATCTCGACTGGGTAAACGACGTCGGCGAGAATGGACTCGTGGACCGCGGTCAAAGTTCTGCTGCGAGGACGCTTCTGAGTCTGCGAGGTGCGAGATCGGTTGGATCGCTTGGGGCGGGGGAGGATGCGACGCGAAGCGATGAACAGAACGTGGCGGTCGGAGAACTTCTTCTCGAGCTCACGGGTCAGACGTTGCTGAATCTTGTGGAAGCCGCCGAGGAGAGGGACGGGGACGAAGACAACGACCGCACGCTTGCCGTGGCCGACTTCGAGCTGTAAATTCGAATTTGTTAGTTTTTGGATCATTCAATCTTCCTCGTCTCCGCCTTTTCGGCACGTAATTCTTTTTCTGTTTATTTGCCAGGGGCGTACCTCGCGAGCAGAGACGAATTGAAGCGGTCTCAGGGCAGACTTGAGGTCTGGGATGTTGGTCTCGAGTTCATAGAGGGCAGTCGCGATGCTGGTCTCCAGCTCGGATGGGTGTTGCCTCGAAGGGCTGTTGTGGGCGATCTTGTTGAGGGCTGGTTGAGACATGATGGCGACTGGAGGATTTGGTCGACTCTATCCCAATCGCTGAATGTCTCGACTTTACAAGATGGTGCTGAGGTGTTGGCGACCTTGACTTTAGTGCGTTGTGCAGGGAAAATTCTGGCTTGGCAAAGTGCGTGCCTCTCGCCCAGATAGGGAAGGCGCGGATGTTGCCAGAAGCCTCAATGATCGACCAGAAAAAATGCTACAGGGGTCCTCATGGTTGACCGTACATCATGTTGTCCATCAGGCCCTCCCCCTCCCCTCCTGCGGCACCACTACCCTTTCTTGATGGACCGTCAATATCATTCCACGCTATTTCTAAGCCAGCGGCGTGTCAATGTCCTGGTCATGTCCACTCGCTACGAGTAAGTATTGCAGCTATCGGTCTGGGCTTTTTGGTTCCAGTTTGATTTTCCCACCGAAATGGCTCCGAACAAGGCCGCTTACTGGGTTTGGTGGGTCCGTTTCATTGCGTCAAGAGTTGCACGTCAACCACAGAACATGAATCGTCCCTCAGGATGAAGATGGCCTTCGGCAGATGGAATTTTCCTTAACCTGATCAGGCACTTTATTATTGCAACCCAGGATATGGGTCCTCTGGATTACATCAGAACAGACTCTGGCCGGATTTCAAATCAGCTTTTATGCAAAATTTTGATTTCATGGCCAATACCCCGCCGCATCAATTAAATAAATAGTAAGTCCGGCTCGTGAAATCCGGGGCCTCACAGACCTCTAGTATATTGCTCGTTGCAGATTCGAGTGATCTCCTTGATTCTCAAGTTCCGTTGCCTCGCTTCAGTTCTCCTATCAGACCAGCACACGATTTGACATGTCCCTGCCTAAGACAACCGACGCCTGGGTTATCAAGGGCACCGATGGCTCAAAAGGCTGGGGTAACCTGAAACTCGAGAAGAACAGGCCGATTCCCGAGCTCGGTGATCATGACTGTCTCGTCCAGATCCAAGCGGTGTCGTTGAACTACCGAGATCTGACCATTCCTCAGGTTGGTTGCTATATGTTCCTTCTAGCTCCCGTGATGAGACTGATTCTTTCCAGGGAATGTACCCTCTGCCACTCAATATCCCGTCAGTCGCCTGCTCTGATGGGGCCGGACGCGTTGTCGCCAAGGGCTCAAGAGTAACCCAATTCGAAGAAGGCGACAAAGTCGTCACGCAATTTACCCAAGCCCATCAAGCCGGGCCCATTACCGCCGACATGTTAGCCACCACTCTAGGCGGCGGTTGCGACGGTACACTGCGTCAATATGCAGTGTTTCCGGAATCTGGCCTCGTGCGAGCGCCGTCGAATCTTACGCCAACTGAAGCAGGCACATTGACATGTGCTCCGGTGACGGCATGGAACGCTTTGTACGGCCTCGAATCGAAAGCACTCCAACCAGGCCAGGTTGTCTTGACTCAAGGTACCGGAGGCGTCTCTCTGGCCGCTATTCAATTCGCAAAAGCAGCCGGGGCCACCGTTATTGCGACGACTTCTTCGGCCGAAAAGGCCAAATATCTCGAGAAAATGGGCGCTGACATCGTCCTCAACTACAAGGAGGATCCGAACTGGGGCGAGACAGCCAAGAGGTTGTCGCCGGGTAAGGCTGGCGTGGACTTTGTCATCGAAGTTGGCGGTCCGGGCACAATGGCGCAGTCGCTGAAAGGTAAGCACATCTCACGCATCTCTTCGTAACGTGAACAATAGACTGCCGACTAACATCATTCCAGCAATCAAACTCGAGGGCATTATTGCCGTCATTGGATTCCTTGGTGGTCCCAAATCAGAAGAGGAGCCCAGCACATTGGCCGCACTGTCAGCAGGCTGCATTATTCGCGGTATTCTGATTGGGTCCAAGGCGCAACTGAAAGCCATGAACCGTGCTATCGAGGCCAACAACATCCATCCGGTTGTGGACCAGAAACGGTTTGATTTCGAAAATGCCATTGATGCCTATGAGTACCAGTGGAAGCAGAAGAATTTTGGCAAGGTCGTCATTCAACTACCTGGTGCAGGCGCATAGAAGGCTCACGATGGGATCCTTCGTAATTCATAGTCATTCACGAATTGAGCAATGCGAATGTGCCTCTGGCAGCTCAAATTAGATCTAGCGAACATCAAGATCCGCCGCCAGAGTGGTCTGTTGTGAAATTCCGTCCTCGGGGTGTCAGAATTCGTTCCCCCAATGGATTGTCTTACATGACTCCTCGTGTACAATTAAAGTCTTCTGCCATGCATGATTAGGAACTAGTACCTAGTAACTATCCCTATCAAACCAGCCCTGTTTGACTCCCTCGCCGTACAACGTCTTCAATTCCTGGCCCCCTTCAAGCCCAAAAACCTTATCACTCACCCCCAATCTATCCATCATCCTCAGCCACGCGAGCACGATCATATCGGCATAGCACGGCGTCTTGCCCTGCAAAAAGGGCCCCTCGTTCTCGCGTAGCATTTCGCCCAACTCCCGGATGAAAGGGCTAGCCTTCTGGATGCCCTCGTCGGCTCCTTTGGCAAACTCCTCCAGGCCCATACCGACGGCCTTCTCGCGGGTGGGTATGAAATAGGCCTGACTAGCCGGGTTGAGAAAGACTTTCGGCACGAGCGGAACGAAGACGGGCCGGATTGGTGTGAGGATCTGGCCTATGAGGCTTTCGATACGTGATTGGTACGGTGAGTCCAGGTGTAGTGGTGGATTGGGGTGAAGGCGCTCGAGGGCGTCGGCGATGCGACGTGAGTCCATTACGTAAGATCCATCTGGCAGGCGGATTGTCGGGGAGGAGTAAGCTGCGCCTGTTTCGTTTGGAGGGATGCCGCTTGCAATGCATCATTAGCTCTGTGAGTCTCACATACCCGGCCGGGCCCAGATTGTGTGCCGAGAGGTCGTGACTGTTTTGGCAAAGGAGGAAGGGCTGAGAAGATGCCGGACCAGGCCCATGCGGTGAGTGATAGAGTGCGCGAAAACTTACAATTTCTCAAACTTGGGCTTGAGGTCAGGATATTCTGTCCATTCAGTCTTGTATGGAATGCTCTTATAATTGAGAACCAATCTCGCTACCACAAAAGTCCCGTCAGAATTTCGATGCCCCTTGTTCTGGATGTGGCCATACTAAGCAGAGAAGCGTGGTGCGTAACGTACTCTTCCAGGGATTGTAGCTCCAGCAATGGCCTTGCTTGGAAGGGAGGTCATATAGTATGACTTCATCCGACATGGTTCGTAAAATCCTTGATCACTGTGGTGAGTTAAGAGGCTGACCAAGGGTGAACAGATCGTGAGACAGTTTCTGGTATATCAACTTCCAACAGGTACAGTCAGGCCGAACACTTTTATACGGCTGTTCGGGTGATCCTGATATTAAACCAAAAAGCAGCTTCCTTTACCTGAAGGATACTCACGGTACTCCAATTCTCGGACTTCGTGCCTCGGACCCCACACGCCTTTCGAGATTTGCCGAACCCGCGTATACACAATACCGTGAAGTAGCGTTCAGATAATGTGTAGATGGTCGTCGGTGGTACGTGCTGAATTTGTCAGCAGCACCTGTGAAAAGCTCCGGGGAGCCGCTGTAACATGAACTTGAAACCATGATCAGCGTGAGCATGCGTAATAGAGCTAAAACATGATTGTTTTTGTAGATGTTTTGTAGACAGGAATAGGTTTGGAGGAATATCTTTTTAAATTATATTCATAATTCATAACCAACTGGGTATGTATACACGCATTGACAGATATATTTCTTGGCCTAAAATCGGCGAGGATACCTCAAAACACCTTGCGGGCTAAATGTTCCATCTAGTCACCAAGACCACGCTTGCCATCGCCATCAGCATCAGTGCGAGGATTCAGACGCTGCAACACACTTGGCTTTTTCTGGCCGGTCGTATTATCAGCATCATGACGTCCACTGCTTCCGAGGCCAGTGTTGCCAGTTCGGTCACGGTCAAGACCAGTGGTGCCAGTTGGGTTTTGGTCAGTGCCACGGTTAAGGCCAGCCTCCTTTCTCTCCATATTGTTGTCAAAACCGCTGATACCCGAGTCTGTTTGACGATGGTGAGTTCCAGAACCAACATTGTTGCCTACACCAGTGCCGGTAGTGCCGGTAGTGCCAGTGGTGCCGGTAGTGCCAGTGGTGCCAGTGGTGCCACTGTGGTGACCAGAGATAGCCTCTTTAGCCTCGAGACCGAGCTTCTCGAAAGTAGTAGAGAGCTTCTCGTTGTACTTGCGCGGTGGGCCATCATACTCTTCGTGTGCGCCGTGCTTACCACCAGAGAGAACACCACCAGAATTCTTGAATTCGTCAAGGGTCTTCATGGGCAAAGCAGACAGACCATGGTGTTGGGCGGCTGCGTGGTGAGTTCTGTCATAATTAGTAGGGGCATTCGCATATGGCATGGCTCAACTCACTCATGGACGGGAATTGTGGTGTGAACGACTTCTGGTTGAATAGTTTCTTTCTGGACGACAGGAACAACAGTCTCGTGGACGTGATGATGGACATGCTCGCCAGTCACAGTGGGAGCGGCGGCTTGTGTATGATGGGTCTGTTCGACCCTTTTGTGGTCCTTGAAGTGAGCCATCTCACTTGTGAGTCTTTGCTCAGTATCTTGCTTGTTGTCATGGTGGAACTCTCGTTCCTCGGCAGGTAGGATGTTGTGGGTATGCTTCTCTGGCAATCTCTCCTGGTGTTGGAGGGGCTGGACTGTCGTGTGATAGTGGTGTTGGTGCACTTCACGGTCAACAGCCTGGGTGGCTTCCTCATGGCGATGAGGCTTGATGGTCTCTTGGACGACAGCAGGGTTGACCGACTCTTCGACCGTGGTGTGGTGGCCTCGTTGTCCGGTGATCTTGTTGACTGCTGCTCTGGCTGCTTCCATGGTGGCGGTGTTTTGGGAGTATGTGAAGGTAGAATGTGAAAGTAGGTAGAGTTTGGAGAAATGGCGTAAGATGTGTGAGGGCAAGGTATATATGCCCCAAATGCTAGGAGTGACATATGAGATGAGGTAGATGCAAGTTCACTTTCAGACGGCTGTGAGATCATCGAAGACCCAGTTTGTTGCCATGGTCTGATCTCACCCATCCAAGCTTGGAAAATCCAAAAAGTCGTCAGTGAACCGCATACGGTCAATCGATTGGTGACCGATGTGGCACAACCCCCAGTGGCACCCTTGCAGGCTCGCTGCTGAAGTGTCGATCGGATCTGGTGGGATCATCGTTTTGTCGACTTTTTGCCGAGCGATCTGGAGCGAAACCATGGAGCCACCCAGCACCCGCCAGGAGCTTTCATTTCGCTAGTTAAGGTTAAGCTGACCTCGAGGAACAGTACGTAGATAGGTTCTGATATCGCATGTCAAATCCGGTAGGGTAATTGATGCTGCTGGTGGACAACGGTATGGAACTTTCCTGCCCAGCAGTTGTGCTGTTCGCATCACCGCGGGGCCTGCCAGGTCAATCCTGGCAAGACGAGACGAGTATATCGTCAACGGTCAGACACATCCCTGGCGGGGCCGTGGATGGGAATTGAGCAGAGCCAGCTGAAAGACCATGTCCGTACGTCATGATGCATTATGAAGTTGTCTGAAGTCACATCGAGGTGTGGCTGTGGATAGATCCGACATAGTGTGGAGGTGCTTGAAGTCGTTTCTGGCCCCAGCGAGGACAAAATGATGATGAGGTGTGTCCAGCCACAACCGGGGGGGAGATCCGGACCCAGCTCGCCCAGGGATCTCTCTTCCATTTTTCCCTCTCCACCTCTGTCTGTGCTAATGGGCTACTCATTGTCTTCTGACGGGATTTAGATCTCCTTGACGTTGCTGCTGTCACTGCAAGATGCAAGATGCAAGATGCAAGATGGCCGTGGATGACCGAGATAGGCGCTTGGAGTGACAGCTTTCCGGTACATTCTCCTGTTCTCCCTGAGGCTTGAACCCACCCCTGTCACCCAAAGTGTGTGGCACGGGAGGAAATTGATGGCGGTGATGGCGGGCTCCCTCGCCAGCATCTTTAGCTTAAGCCCAGGGAGCCCACCTAATTACCTAGGTAAGCATGGTCTAAATGACACGTTGTTACTCGGCCAATCGCCTGGAAGCAGCTCGCGCCCGTTTCTGCCCCCCTGTCCCCTAGAACGTTTGCCGATCATGGGCATCCTGGCGCTGGCTCTGCACCCCTGCAAAGCTGACCCGTTCCCTGGGCAGGCTATCAACGAACTCAGGCAGTCAATTCTCGCTTGGAGTCTAGCCATGTCTAGCCCCCCTCGTGGCTCTTGGGGCTTGCCGTGGAGGGTTTGGACACAATTTTCGCGACACAGAGAGTCAGGAGGTAGGCGAAGAAGGGAGGAGGAGGACGAGGATGGGTAGTCAGTTCCTGGTTTTTTTTCTTCTTGGGCGCATTTCGTCAATCTCCAGCCAGCTCTTGTTTTTCTGTCGCAATATGCTCATCAGTCATACCTGGGGAATGCAAATAGGATGAATGACCGATGGGATGCGCCAGTTTATTGACAATTTGACAGCAGCGGCTGCTGGATCAACGCGCAAGCACTTGACAACCACGGACGCATTTCCTACGTCATGCCAGCCAATCGAAACGACAACCAGGACGGCCATGGAAGTCTCAATCGTAGCCACAGCCGCAGCAAAGAGCAGAAAAAACATCATCACTTCGGCAGCACTTCTCAGCACCAGGCCAATTACACTCTTCGCCCAGCTACTGCTCCTGCGAACCATCATGCGCCTCGTCCCACAAGATCAAGGTCGCGTCTGCAGAAACGAGCCTCTTCCCACGCTTTGACCACTTCTACCAACGGTCCAACGGTCATGGCCCCATCTGTTACTGTTCCCCCATCCCAGAATCGCATGTCAGTTGATCGTCAGAGTCTCACAGCCTTGCCCCAATTGCCCGAGGCTATCCCTCATCGCTCGTCATCCCTTCGCCAGAAGACTCGTCCTCGAACCACCGAGACTGCGAAAGCCAAACCCAAGCAATCTTCCGAGCACCTCAAGTCCCCAGCGCCACGGCCCAGCACCTTTCCATCCGAACACAAATCCTCATACGACCAGAAACCTTCCTCCTCTCTTCCTCCACAGGACCACTCCAGCACGCATCCGCCCCGAACTCCTCGTCACGTCCCCCTGGCGCCCTACGATCCGTCACCTCTCAATCCCTTATACCATATACCCTCCCCAGACATGACCAGTTCGTCGTTCACATCTATGTCTTCAGCGTCCGCATCGTCGCCTCCTCGACAGACAATTACCAATAACACCACCCATGCAAGCGAACACGCAATCCTCCCGCCAGGCTTCCGACCCGGTACCAGCACGACCACCGACGTAGAAACCACATGGCATCCCGCCGTGACTCGCGAAGTCGTCAAAGAGCACACCATCGAGGTCATCCAGGAGGCAGTCACTCGCGAGATCCACGTCCACCACTACTACACACACGTCCAGCCCATCAAGGCTGTTGAGATCCTGCCAGCGCGGCACTTCATCATGGATCCCACCACTGGTCAGAAGGTCGAGATTCCCGCTCCAGAGGGATGGGAGATGCCGGCAGACTTGCGACCCAGAAAACCTGACACCAGTGTCCTCGAGCCAATGTCGAGACACTATCTCGTGGATGAGGAGCATCCGAAAGGCGTACCGGAGCTGCCGCCGCAGGACTTCAAGAGGCGGAGTCAGCAGGAACTCAACAAGGTCGCGAAAGCAACCCATACAGCGAAGTGGTCGCCATTTCCGAGAGTTGATTGACCCAGGCCCATATTATATCAGCCGCCGCAAAATATGACCAACCGGGACAGACGGTTAGCGAGCCATTCACGTACGACTGCCCTCACGGTCGAGATGTGAAATGTGCGCAACATCAATTGGTTCAAGGATATGCCCCGGCAATCGAATCTTCAGCCGAACTGCATCATGATGACACTCCCAACATTGCAGTCTGTCACCTCGGTCACCGGTGCTGGACCCAAGCAGCTTACCTCCTCCTGGCGGGCGAAAGAGCCATGCTGCAGGTTAACAGTACGAGCATTGTGCCTCAGGAATCCATCGATCTATCTACCCGCCACCACCAACGCTTGCCTGAGCGACGTGTTGGCCAGTTGGAGAACATGACAAGACAATTAACTTGAGCAAATCTAAGAGTTGGAAAGTCTAAGTTTTTGTGCATAAATCGTACATGGGTACAATGTTTGTGGTCGTTAGCCGACGCAATGAAGCGATACAAGACACCACTACGCCATTGAAGACCGGAATAAGCATCTGTATTTTTATTGCGGCGGCTTCTCCTTCTTTTCTGAAGCGATTCTTCAGTCCACTTTGACTTTGCCTCGCATACGAAAAGCGTTGATAGCGTTCATCTTCGCTGAAATTTCCATACTCTGGAATTTGTTCTTGCGGATTGCATGCAACATCATCACGGTTCACTTAGCGTTCCCTAGTACACCTGCAGAGATAACCAGCTGTTGAGCATTGAGTTGCATTCAAAATTGTATATAGCCATAGCCGTTGTAGCAGTACAATTACAATAATAAAATCCACAAAGGTCACCAGTCTCGTCTGAAGACAATCCGACCACGCAGTCATGCTTATGCTCCAGACTCCTTGCGAAAAAGCGGCGACTGCTATCAGTTGGATGGCATCCCCAGCAACAACACCGTCCATGAATATGTGCATTCACCGGTTCCGGTCAGCAGGAGTCTGCCTCCAAAGTGTATCGCCACTCAACCGACTCACGCTGGCGCTGATGTTTCTCCACACCGAGCTGGCTTCTCCCACACCCTGACCCTGGACATCATCATCGTCTTCTTCCTCAAGCAGGGGCGCATCGACATCGACGTCGACGTTCTGGCCCTGCTCGACGTCGCCATCATCGCCGCGCAAGAGACTAGGAATCGGAATCGCCGCACTAGCCTCCTCGTTGGTGGACTGGGCGACTCTGTCCTGTACCTCGTCGCTTGTCTGCTCGCCTTCTTGCGTCTCGTCGTCGCCACCGCGAGAAGTCGCCCGCGCTAAACTCCTTACCACATCGCCCTTGCAGATAGGACAAGTCCGGCGGCGAGTCACGAGCCAGGGCGTAATACATTCGGCGTGGAACTCGTGGCCGCAAGGGAGAGACATGACTTGGCTTTCGCCGTCGACGTACTCTTCCAAACAGACGACACACTCGACCTGGCGGCCGGTATATCGTTTCCGCCTGGTGAATTTGGCCGGAGACTTTTCCGAGGGTGGAGTTCGGGCCTTGGACACTGTCTCGGTGCTGCCCGAGAAGACGGCGTTTGTTGTCTGCGAGCGCGGCCGAGATCTCTGTGATACATTTTGTGATGTGGATATTAGAAGTGGTGATGAGGGCGAGGAAGCATTTGGCGAGGCAACTTGCGACGAGGTTGTCGATGATGCTGTTGACATTGTGTGGTATGTCCGGACGGGTAACCGCTCTACAACGGATTTCGGTGCCCGCCATCTTCGTCGTCTAATGCGGGAGCGCAGTAGCAACAGTGCATACACAACGGTCAGTGTGACCAGTGGGCTCACGACCAGAACGAGCAGAGTATCGAAGAAAGGACTCGTTGAGACGCTCGTGGGCGTCAGAGTCACCCACAAGCCTGGATGCTCCTCATCCTCCTGCTGACCCAGTGGGTGATGATTCCTGGCCGTACTAGCCTTCTCGTTCTTTTCTTGCTTGGATGCAGCCGGTTTGGGAGCATCTTTGGACGGTTGACTCGATTTGAACAAGTCAAACCAGGAACCCTTCGATTCCTGTCCCTGAGGGCTAGAGGCTTGTTTAGCCTGTTGCTTGGATTGCCCTTTCCCTCTATTGTAACGATTCACCTGCTCGGATCTTTCATGAGCATATTCGCCACTACCGGGTGTAATGCTGCCGCCTTTCAGAGTGTCCTGGGGACTACTTGATGATTTGACCGTACTGGCAGTTTCCGCTTGAACATCCTTGCCATTCTTCGCGTCTGCGGGGACGAAGGTAGAACTTGTTGTGGGCTTCGGTGCCACGAGATCTGTATCCCGCCAATCTTGAACCCCGATAACGAAATCGTCTCCTCCCAGCCGTTTTGTGCTTGTGGACTTGGCCTTCAATGTCGAGGTGGACATGGTGGGAACATTTGCCGCTGTCTTTGCCTTTTTGCTTGACTTGGCAGGTGCTTCTTCGTCCCAGTCTTCTAGCAAGACCCAATCAATGTTTCCACTGCTGGGTGGCCGGCGGCTGTCCTCGACATGAGAGAAGGGCGAGTTTTCGTTCATTACAATAGCATCGAGGACATTGTTGACCCAGGTCTTTTTCGTCTTACCTTCAGAGCCTTGCATAGCTGGAACAATGGTCGGCTCTCGTGCTTGGGTGTTGGTAGAAGTAAAGACGGGTTTACTGTCCTGCTGTTTCTGATTGGCATGCTTGTCTGAACCTTTCGATGTTTTATCCGACGCTTCATCCTCGCCTGACTCGGGTGGGACCAGTGATGCCAGGAGATGAGCCGAAGTATAGGAGGTGAACAATGCAGGTATCGTAACATTTGACGTATCGCCCTTCGCGTACATGATGGTCAACTGTGCTCCTCGCTCATTATCCCCCACGATAAGGGCAATGCCGCCACGACGTTGGGCCCATTTGACCTTTTCCAGAAAACCACATCCGCCGCGGCTGAGCATCACGATCTTTCCCGCAACATCGGCGCTTTCTTGTAGTGATTCAATATCGGCATGCGTAGGATTTTTCTTATCGGACGGGTCGACGTTGGCAGGCTCACCTAGCTGACCAGGTGTAGCAGGATTGGAGTCCGGTAGCGGGTGATGGAGATGGTCGTCTGTTCCGTCGTCTGTGATATCGTCCGCAAGAGCATCCGGGCCATCTGGATTTTGTTCGCCTACAGAGCCATCTTGGCTTAGATCTCGCGGCCTTCTGGTTCTCCTCGGTGGCTGCTCAACCTGCGGGAGATTCTGCACCCTCTTCGACGCTCCGTCAGCCCATCCTGGAACGTCGGAACACCCCAACTCCCATCCAACGATATGAATGTTCTCTTCTTTCAACAGTGCATCATCTCCAAACCCTTTTCCCACCCACAATTGGCCACTCAATCCTTTCGACGGTAGACTTGGTCCAAAGGCAGCCGGTCTAGCCAGGAAAAATGTTGAGTTGTCGTTGGTCAGGCTAATAATGGCAGAGGGCGGGAAGAGAGAAGAGGGGGTCGAGAAGGAGAAGAGGGCCCTCAAGCGGCTTGGTCGGTTGTAGCCTGCTTGGAACGAGTCCGCAGCATTGTCGGAAAAGGTGAACAGTGAGAATAGAAGCGCAATTGGTACAGCCACAAAGCAGGTGAGTAGCAGAAGGAACCGCAGCGGACGCATGATGGCGACGGAGCCTGCGACCCGATCAAGGAGTAATTGGCCGTAACTCCATGCGCCTCGCTTGCAACGTTCGACGGGATAGATCAAGGCTATGAACGCTTGAGAAGAAGGCCGAAGGACGTAAGGCTGGCAAAAACGAAGGCTGTGGTGGGCTGAGGATGTATAGCAGAGGAAGTTCCAAGTTTCGTAGTGCAGCCTGACCAGGGCTTTGATTGTCATGGGACGAGGGCGCAGGCAAGGCGTGGCCACTGGCAAGGGTTCTCGTGGTTCTCTAAATTGTCTGCACCTGAGTCGCAATAACCTACCGTAGCTGTAGCCTCACGTGACCATGGTTCAGAGAGAGCTGAACAACGCGGGATGGAATGTACTGCAATGCAATGCTCGCGTGACACAGGCAATTCTAAACCATGATCAGAAGACGAGCAGGCCGGCAACATTCTTTATGATATGGGGATTCTTCATCCAAGTGGGTTGGTATGCTTGACATGTTAAGCAAATCATGCGCATATAAACCTCTGCATCCAAGGGGTCTGGTGTCACAAACTCTCAGTTTCCTTGCGGAACGAGACACGCACCACGGCAATGGCATCTGCATCGTAACACGATGGCCCGTCCCAATGGATTTCTGACATTTGACCCTGCATCTATGACATTTCTACAGAGGAAAATCTTCTTGGGTAGCCATGTTATTCCATCAACATTTTGGCCACTGTTATCAAACATTACCAAAAATACAAGCTTGCGCGTCCAAGTGATAAAAAATCTTTGTTAGATCAGATCCATAATGGAGACCTCAGAGCGGTGTCGATGTACAAGTAGCCCGCGTGCCCGCCCACTCGCCTAGCCATTTGTGCTGATTTAGTGCCTCACGGCCTGAAACGAAGCGCACAATTGGGGAATGGCCTCAGCTTGACAAGGGCTAGGAGAGCCTAATCCGCGACGAGCGGCTGGGGGCTCGTTTAGTGGAAGCGGTATGATGCGCGGGACGGGTTCCAGGCGCCAATTGAAGCTCCTTGATCTGCCTCTTTCGTCATGCTCGTTGTCGATTAACGAGAGGAGCTGGTCGATCTCCAGTATCACATCCATCCAGCGTGCCCGTTCAGAAGTCCACTACTCACCATGTTCGGTCGACGACCATTCATCGACCCAATGATGGCCCCAAGCAGTAAGCTCTCGATGGCGTCCAAAGAACCTAGTACTCGAGGCTGCTGGCCGCCATGCCACGTCGACGGTCAAAAGTTGCCCTTACCTTATCTACCACTTCTCGGACTTTTCTGACATGTCCACCTGGGCGAACTGTTACTCGTATTCTCGAGAAACTTGTTCCCTCGAGCTGAGTCGTTCTTGCATTGCGCACTCGTCCTTTGCCATTCTGCCTTTTGATTTGGTTTGAACAGACTGGGGCAATTGCGTAGCTTTGCGTCGCAGCGTCCTACTCGTTGACTTCTTTCCTACCTACCTATTGCAAAGGCGCGCTTACCTCCTTCCCTCTAACTGTGCAACAACGACAACAAGGGCAGGAGCCTCCCACCATGGATAATATCCGTGCCCGGTCCGGTTTTCTTCCTGGCCTCTTTGGTCACAGAAGAGGCAAAATCAGAACAGCAGAGAATAGTACTGGAGTAACACCTGACGGCGAAGACGAAAAGATGCAAGGCCCAAGAGCTCATCCTTTCTTCAAGAGGATTCCCAATGGCCCTCGGAACCACTTCGTCGCCATGGCTGGCGAGTTCGTCGGCACATTCCTCTTCTTGTACGTTCATCTGTCCCACAAACATCAAGCATCAATCCGCTGACAGGCATCTTTCACAGGTTCTTCGCATTTGCAGGCACTCAAGTAGCCAATACCCCTCAGACCGCTACTGGTAGCACCAGTACCACTCTGCCTCAAGGCCCGAATCCTGCACAACTCCTCTACATAAGCCTCTGCTTTGGTTTCTCTCTTGCTGTCAATGCTTGGATCTTCTACAGAATCTCTGGTGGTCTCTTCAATCCGGCTGTGAGTTGATCGAAGACCTGCAATGGCAATATCGCTGATCCCACCCAGGTGACTCTGGGTCTTTGTCTGATCGGTGCCGTTCCATTCTTCCGCGGCTTTCTTGTGTTCATTGCACAAATGCTCGGAGCTATGGCATCTGCTGGTGTCGTCAAGACTCTGTTCCCTGGCCCTCTTGCTGTCACGACTTCTCTTAGTGGGGGAACCAACAAGGCGCAGGGATTGTTCATCGAGATGTTTCTCACGGCGCAGCTTGTGTTCACAATCTTCGTAAATGATTCCCTCTCCAGAAGCTGTGCCGTTCGAGCACGAGTTCCATGTTCTGTTCCTGTCTACGCCGGTACATTTTCCTGACAGTTTACAGATGCTAGCGGCCGAAAAGCACAAGGGCACCTTCCTCGCTCCAGTCGGTATTGGACTGTCTCTGTTCATCGCCGAATTAGCTGGTATGTTTCATTCACGTGCAACCTTCGAGTCTCTGAACTGACTGTTCCAGGCGTCTACTATACTGGCGGCTCTTTGAATCCTGCTCGAAGCTTCGGTCCTTGCGTTGCCAACCACTCCTTTCCTTCCGAACACTGGATCTACTGGCTCGGACCTCTTCTGGGAGCGTTGCTTGCTGCAGGCTTCTTCTGGTTTATCAAGAGCTGTGAATACCAAACCGCCAATCCTGGGCAGGACTTCGATGACCTCGAAGCTACAGCCTACAACCCGGAAATGGACATCACTCGACCGGTCGTTAGTCCCACCGCGGTGATCGAGCCTGTGTCATCCCGCGACGGTGTGCCGAGAACTTCGAAGGACGATAGATCCGCCTCGCTACTACCACAGCATCGTGTCATGTCGTCTCAAGATACTGAGCCAGACACCAATGGTTCGGCTGCAGCTCACCACAGAACGACTCTTGGTTGAAAAAGTCAACATGAAAGTCCACTGGAAACACGGCAACCTGAGAATGTTTGGGTGCTGTCGAATCTGTCATTTATTCTGTCAAATCGATCTGGTTTTTACGGATACCCCAATGCTGCTATTGCTCGTCGCGTTCCAGCAAGTTTGCCGAGCGTTCGTTTGAGACAGAGTGAAAAATGCATAATGGAACATTGAGTTGCTCTCGAACTGTGAGCTGTATGGAAGCGCAAAAGTCAGGGGTGATAACCTCTTTTGAAGGCATGGGCACACGAGAATAGCAGATTTAATCATTCACACGGTATACAGAAGTGTGAGCACAATACATCGTATTCCATAAACCATTTATTCCACCTAATGCTCGTAGCTTCACTCGGAGTGTCTACGCAAGCATAGCAATCGCATGCCATTGCCAATTCTTTAGGCTTATCGTGGTTATTGATATAGGCTGTAAGCTTGTAGGCTCTAACCTTGAAGCTGACCAGACCGTCATCCTGCGTTTTTGAGCCCACCTCGCAAAATTCCTCTTGTCATCGCTAAGAGGAAGTCTACCGAGCTAGATGACAGCAGGCGGGTGGCCATAGCATTTCATAATGCATCCAATGCCTCCGCCTCGCATTCAGCCAGTGCTTCCTGCAGCTTCCATTGCAAGAGCAAATCACAGTCCAGGGTCCAGCTAGAGCAGAGCACACTGGCGTTCATGGATTCCTCGACAGGCGTGCTGCTGTGAAATACACATTGTGATGCGATCTTCAATTCGACAACTCAATCAAGAATGTATCTCGGCCTTCGTAGCCGCTGACACAGGCAGCTGCATCGCATCGTCGGCTTATATGGAAATTCTAGGTTCCAGAGCTGTTGCCGTTTCTTTTCTCCCTTGTGATCTGCAGGTAGTAGGTAGAGCCAGGCAGCTTGGCTGCCAGTTCGTGGACGAATGGCCCACTGTCTCAAGTAGACTTCTTGCGGGAAGACAGGTCTTGTAATGCCATTCATGGCACGCTTTTCGAAAAGGAGCCGAGAAAGTCAGGGCCCGGGCTGGAATCTCATATGAGATAGCAGAGCCATCCATTCAGGATCCGTATTTACTATGAATTCTCTGAATCTGCTCTTGCACATTAGTCGGCTGCTGTCCTTGTCCTTGGCCTTGCTGGCCTGGCGCACCAAATCCCGCTCCACCGTCCAGTTTGATGCGCTTCCTTCGCTCTTCTTCTTCTTGCTCACCGAGCACTCTAGCCGCGGCCTCAGCGACTGGATCAGCTCCTGTAGCAGCAGCGCCCGGCCCATCGGTCCTTGCGCGCAACCGCTTGAGGTTTGCAGCAACATCGGTGCCGCCAAGATTTGTCGTGGAAAAGCGCGCGGTGGCTTTGGCTTGCTGTTCTTTCCACCGTGGGTCGAGCAGTTCGATACGTAAATGTGCATCGAGTTCCGAGACGGGGATCTGTTGGCCGCAGTTCGGACATAGGGCAGTGGCGGCACGGGAGGTCGCGGCGCGCTGTTGAGCGCGCGGGATGTAGTCTTGTTTTATGCGCATGGGGGGCTGGCCAGGGATCGGAGCAGGAGAAGCTGTAGGTTGTGGCGAGGGAATCGCTGGAGGGGCGGGAGAGTATAGCGCCGGTATTTGTGCTGTTGCAAAGGGAACTGGAGATGGTTGAGGTGGGACGGGTGATGGCGTGTATGTTGGCATCGATACTTCAGACGGAGCGGGTGCCGGATAGCCATTCTGAGGATGCGCTTGCTGGGCGTAGGGATCGGCGTACCCTCCGTAAGCGTAGTCCATATCGGATGTAGGCATGGCTTCTTCGATACGCATGTCCGGCCTGGCGAGGCTCATCATGGCTTTTTGCTCGAGACTGGCGGACTGCAAGTCGTTTAGCGTTGTCGGCGGCGGAAGGTCGGCCTGGTCGTCTGCCTCGGTGAACAAAACAGTCTCGACGACGACGAAGTCATGCCAATCGATCTGGGCGTATGCGAGCCGCTCTGCCTCCTCGGCTTCTTCCTTCTTTTGTTTCTGCGTTTCTTGCCATTTGACGTACTCGGCGCGCTTCTTGGCCAGGTTCAACACGCGGAAGCGGTCTTGGATGTTAGCCTGAAGAGCCTGAATGCGCACTTGCTCCACCTTTTGGCCCTCCGGCCCAGTCTGGAGAAGAATAGTGTATTGATCAACGAGGCGTTGGAAGAAATTGTAAAGGGAGTGCTGGGGCCTGAGGAAGTCGAATTGGAAGTTCCGCGCCTCGCGGGCGGCTAGGGCGGTCATCCAGCTCTTACCCTTGCGGGCGACATGAAGAGCGGTGAGTTTGACAACTTCGAGATCCGAGGCGGAAATGTTAGGCATGCGCGCGCTGAATTGGAATTCGGGAGGTGGTTCGGGGCCCTTGGGCTTTTCGCGGACCGGAGTCGCATCGCCAGTGCGGCCAGCTGAGACGGCGGTGCCGCGTCCTGAGCGTACTTCTGAGAGGCGCCATTGGTAGAAGGGAGCGTAGGCATCTTGAGGGTTGAGGAAGGAGAATTTCGAATTGGATTGTTCTTTGTCGCGGATGCGGTCTTCGAAGACGCTGCCGTTGCGGGCGACATAGCCTGCAGTCTTTTCGATGATGGCCCGAATGTCTTTGGGAGGGAGGACGACGCCTTCGGGAGGTCTGGAGACTGCTTCAGGGAGGTCTGGGACGGTGCCGTTGGAAGTCATGTTGGTTGTAGAATATCGTTCCTCCTCTTGGAGTACGGTAGCTGCCTCGAGCAGAGCTTCACTGCCCTATAGATTGATCGGACCAGTGCTATCGGCCAGATATTGCAACCACATGGATGAGGCCTTCGGGGACAGGCAAAAATGGGTGTGGTGAATAGCTGCGTTGCGGGCTGGCGAAATTGTAGAAATTGATGCTGTTGAGTTTGAAGTCTGTGGCACAAATGTGGCTAAGGGCGAACTGTGGCTAGAGTTCATAGTAGGGAAAAGCTTTCTTTAGTAGCAGCTAGAGCCTGGCACCCACCGAGTAGGTGTCGAATAACAGGGGTTTCGAGGCTAGTGTGGTTCACTAGTCGCGACGCGCATGTGGTGTGCTGCTTGTGTCACTTTTTTGACTGCGGAGTTAGTCAATCCAAGAACAACTTGTCCTGTCCGTCAATTGTCACTCCTGAACATTGAGTGTCCTTTTATTCAACCCTTCTCTCCTTTCGCTCTTCTTTTATTCCATGACTCTTCTACCCTCTTCTTGAGATGGTCTGCTGACCGGTTAATGACTTTCTTCCCTTCTTTGTCTGCCTTTGACCACGTTTCCCCTGTCTAGATTGGGGCCGGAATTCCACCACCTCTGACCTGCCATCAGCCTCATCCGCAATACCTGACAGACCTCCTGCCTTCCGTAAAGCTCCTCCCTCCGAGCTCCTCAACATGGCGTACAAGCCGCGAAAGAATGGGACTATTCAAAAGGGCCAGTCTCCTGCGCCCACAACAGCAGTGACACTAAAGAAGGAGAGCTTCGCATCAGAAGGAGTCACAGACAATGATGTCTTTCTCCTGCCCATGTCCGACTACCAGATCATGGGGCTTCTGACGCTACTGGCTGCAGTCGTCCGTTTGTTCCGCATCTATCAGCCAACAAGCGTGGTATTTGACGAGGTTCAGTAAGTCTGCATCTGAAAAGCATCGAGACATAAACTGATTAGATTGCCAGCTTCGGTGGTTTTGCGACCAAATACATCAAGGGCAAATTCTTTATGGACGTCCACCCTCCTCTCGCAAAACTTCTCATCACGCTCGCTGGTTGGGCTGCCGGTTTCAAGGGCGACTTTGATTTTAAGGACATTGGAAAAGACTATCTCGAACCCGGAGTTCCTTACGTCTCGATGCGCATGTTGCCAGCTATCCTCGGCGTCCTGACCATTCCTACTATGTTTTTAACCCTGAAGGCCGCCGGTTGCAAGACGATTACTGCTTCGTTAGGAGCCGCCCTGGTTATCTTTGAAAACGGCCTGGTTACACAGTCTCGACTAATTCTTCTCGACTCACCTCTCGTCATCTGCACTGCTTTCACCGCTTTGGCTTGGACCTGCTTCAGCAACCAACATGAACTCGGTCCTGAACGCGCATTTGATGCCAGTTGGTGGTTTTGGCTAGCGGCCACTGGTCTAGGGTTGGGTGCAACCGTCAGCGTCAAGTGGGTTGGTCTGTTCACCATTGCTTGGGTTGGCAGCTTGACCCTCCTCCAGCTGTGGGTGCTCCTCGGCGACAATGTGACTGTCACCCCAAGAAAATGGTTCAAACACTTCTTCGCCCGGGTCTTCTGCCTGATTGTCATCCCAATCGCTTTCTACGTCGGCATGTTTGGCATTCACTTCCTCTGTCTGGTCAACCCGGGCGATGGCGATGGGTTCATGTCGTCCGAATTCCAGGCAACCCTGAACAACAAGGGAATGGCCGATACCCCTGCAGATGTGGCATTTGGTAGCGAAGTCACCATCCGACATCACAACACTCAGGGTGGCTATCTCCATTCTCACCCTCACATGTACCCTACTGGCAGCAAGCAACAGCAGATCACGCTCTATCCTCATAAGGACGAGAACAACGTTTTCCTGCTTGAGAATCAGACCCAGCCGATCACCGCAGAAAACGTGACCATTCCTGGGCCTCGGGCATGGTCAAACTTGACCGAGGGTCCGCAATGGATCCATGATGGCGATATTATCAGACTCTATCACACCATAACGCACCGTCGCATTCACTCGCACGATGTCCGACCTCCGATCACAGAAGCCGATTGGCAAAATGAAGTGACTGCATATGGCTATGAGGGCTTTGAGGGCGATGCCAATGATCTCTTCCGGGTCGAGATCGTCAAATCCATGTCCGATGGGGAAGACGCAAAGCAGAGACTGAGAACCATCCAAAGCAAGTTCAAACTCGTCCACATCATGACCGGCTGTGTTCTTTTCTCCCACAAGGTCAAGTTGCCAGATTGGGGTTTCGAGCAACAGGAAGTTACCTGTGCTAAGGGCGGTACTCTTCCCAACAGTGTCTGGTATATCGAACAAAATTATCATCCGCAGCTGAACGAAACCGCTGAGAAGGTCAACTATAAGAACCCTGGTTTCCTAGGCAAATTCTGGGAACTCCAGAAGGTTATGTGGAAAACCAATGCCGGTCTGGTCGAGTCGCACGCCTGGGATTCAAGACCTGGCTCGTGGCCAATCTTGAGACGTGGTATCAACTTCTGGGGCAAAGACCATCGACAGATTTACCTTCTTGGAAACCCTGCCATTTGGTGGCCTTCGACATTGGCCATCTTGGCCTATGGCATATTCAAGGGCATTGCCGTTCTCCGTTGGCAACGAAGCTGCAACGACTATGCTAACGTCAACTTCAAACGATTCGACTACGAGATCGGTCAGACTGTTTTGGGTTGGGCATTCCACTACTTCCCCTTCTTCCTTATGGCGAGACAATTATTCCTACATCACTACTTTCCTGCCTTGTACTTCGCCATCATGGCCATGTGCCAGATCTTCGATTTTGCCGCCAACAGAATCTCCTCCCTTGGACTGAAGCGACATCCGGAGATAGGCCGCGCCGTGGCTGTTCTTTTTGTGGCTTTTGCCATTGGAGTTTTTGCTCTGTATGCTCCCTTGGCGTACGGTAATCAATGGACACAAGATCAATGCAAAGCGGTCAAATTGTTCGACACGTGGGATTTCGACTGCAACACTTTCCATACTGATGTAAGTGACTAACATTTCTGATATCACTCAATCCTAACAGAAGCCAGTACTCTAAATACTCCGAGTCCGCTCCCAGTCTCGGCGGCGCCACTCCCACCGTGCCATCAGCTCAAGTGCCTTCTGCACGGAAAGACGATCCCTCCGCTGTAACTCCGCAAGTCGGTGATCAAAATGTCATCGGCCATGAGGAGCGCGTCGAGTACCGCGACCAAGACGGTAATTTGCTCGACGAGGCACAAGTCCAGGCTCTCCTAGCGGATGGCAATGCTTCCTTCCAGACCAAGTACGAGACACGAACGAGATTGGTTGACGAGAACGGCAACGAGGTCAACCCGTCGAGCGTCGCGCCAGAACACCCAGATGTCGAGGGACAGAACCCGTCGACGAAGGGTGTACCAGAGGAGCAGGCCAATCAAAAGCCTGCGCAAGCGAAGGCCGGAGGGTCTGCGAAGAAGGACGAGGACGAAGGCAAGGCAAAGCCTGCTAGCGATGCGAGTGAGGCGACGGCCTGAGACGTTGATTGTCTTTCGAGAAGAGGTGATGAGTGACAGGAAGCGAGATGAGCTAAGGTAACGTGATCTTGAATGTAATACCAAAGGCAAAGAGAGAATACAAAAGTAATCTTCACCTGGAGTCAGCTTTCAGTGGCTTTCCGACTTGGTAGAGTTGCCTCCGTGACTCCGCCTTATCCCAATCAATGAAGGACTCTGGCGCTGTACATTTGTGCGCGACATCACGGTCTGGATTTCCAGGAACATTTTCACATGATCCAGAAGATTTGGATTGGGCCCCGTAGCAATATACTGAAGGTCCTCCAAGCCTTGGTTGTCATTGTTGTCATATATTGTGTCCTTGCTCAGGCGTGGCAGACTGGTACTGTATCGAAGAGAATGGAGTGAAAATGGGGAGCGGCCATGTCCGTCCTCCATCCTCCCTTTCCCTAACGCCCCTACCACTGCAACACTAGCCCCTAGACTTACTGGGCTCTAGTACTTCTTCCAGGCATGATAAGGCTAATAATGATTGGTATTGATACCTCGTAGCGGCTGGTGATCGCGGAGAAATGCCCGGCGGCAAGATCCCAACTCTATTTCTACCGAGGACTTTGTCGAGTCGTGTGTCATGATTCTTGCATCAGCCGCAGTAGTGGCCAGGGCATGGCTATCTTAGCGAGTCGACTGCCAGTAACCGGTGGTCGGTGTCCGATCAACCTCTTTTTGTTTGTTCAGTATTTGCAAGCGTCTGCTCTGTTCTGACTGTTGTCCGTGGCGCTGGCCTCGAAATTCATTGCTGAGGCGTTGCGACACTGTTGCTGACAGTGTAATCCCAGTCGACCTCTACGTCTTACCGGTTAACGGAACGGCATCCGTGGGTCCATGCGAGCGGAAGAAGACGAGTCGAGACTCAAGTCAACTCACACCACATTTACTCAACACTTCTTGAGCGTCTCGTTGCTGCTGAAAGAAGAGACATCAACCCACTTCTTCGATCGATTAGTGGAGAATAACCTTGCCGTCACTGTTACATCTCGAAACTGCGCATTCAGAACAGAAAGACGGTCAACAAAAACGGTCAAACCCCGTAGGCTGCTTAGGAATATATAAGGCAAAAGGCAGAACGAAGAGCACAACAGTGGTATAAGTGGCCAGAATGGGCGACGCAGGACCCCCAACGCCGCCGCCGGTGCTGGCGCAAGGTCACTCTGCGTTGAATACAGTTGAAGCACAAGATGCGCCGCCCTTGAGGGAGGTAAAAGTCCTTGTTACTGGCTTTGGGGTAGGTTTGTCGCTTTTTTTCTTCCTCCCACATCCTTTCTCGAGGTGCAGGTCAGCGTCAAGTAGATGGGTCGACCGCATGCTTCCGGAAGGACAGCCAGACGAAAGGTCATGAGACGCTTGTGGTCAACGACAGGAAAGAGTCACCGCTTCTTCTTAGGAGCAGCCCTGGGTGGATGATGGCATCTGTTCCTCAATTGGGCAATCTTGCATGACTGTCCGATGGCCGTCAAGCAATGAACCAGCCCGCTCACATCCCTACCTTATCGTGAATCCCTTTATCCTTGAGCGTTTCGCGAGGATCAGATACTAACACTGCCAACTAGCCCTTCAAGTCATTCCTAATCAACCCCTCCTGGCTTATTGCGTCAGCATTACCCGACGAACTTCCACCCCCAACCTCTTTTTCAGCGTCATATCCTTCAAAAGCGGCATATAAGGTCCGTCTGATCCTACACCCCTCTGCCATCCGCGTCTCCTACAGCACCGTCTCCGAGATCGTGCCCGAGCTCGTACGTCTCCACGATCCGGATTTTATCATGCACATCGGCATGGCGGGTGGTCGCGATTGTTACAGCTTGGAAACCCGCGCACATCGCGACGGATACAGGATAAAAGATGTGGACAATTGCGACGGGTATCTCTGTGGCGAGTGCAGATGGAAGAGAGAGGGAGTGCCGGATGTACTGTACACAGGGTGGGACGAGGGGGATGTCCTGCGTAGATGGGAGCAAGGGGTCGAGGAGAGTCTGCGAAGAAAGGGGTTTCTCGGCCCGGCTACGACGGCGGTCAGCAACGACGCAGGCGAGAAAAAAGAAGATGGGGCGGAGCAAGCGACCGGGACAGGGACGGGGTTTGTATGGGGTCGGCATGTCGACCCCAATGCCAACGCGAGCGTGACGGAACGAAGAGCCGAAGAGAACAGGAAGAAGGCGGCTGTGAAACTGTCGAGGGATGCGGGGCGGTTTCTGTGTGAGTATGCACTTTACGAGAGCTTGAGTCGCCGGTGGGTCGAGGCACAGAAGGTGGTGGAGGAGGGTCAACGGCAACGGCAAGACTTGAACCGAAGTGTACATCCTTGGCCGCAGGCAACTCTTGCCAGCGAGAGATTGGGGAAGGTCGCGTTCCTGCATGTCCCTGGATGGACTGGCGTCGAGGATATCAATCGTGGTGTCATGATTGCTGAGGAGGCGATTCGGGCGCTGGTGAGTAGTTGGGAGGATGGGTTTAGAAGGGATGGGAACGAGAGTGGGAGTGGGATGGTAGGGAAAGTCGGATTCACGGATCAGACTTCGGAAGGCAAAGGTGGTCAGTAGTCTTTACAGACGAAGGCAAAGCAGTTTCAGCATGGATTGAGTATATTCTCGTGTCGCTCAAGTTGGGAATGATGGGAAATCTGCCCAAGACGCAATGCCATGCGATGCATGATATGGGATTAGCCGATGTGAACACCGTGCTTCAGGCCTCTCCTGCCTCAAGTTTGATAATAAGCCAGTAGCTGGTCGTATCGAGCTGATTTGCTGTTGTGCGCGGATGAGAAAATATGTCCCTTTCTGGGTCTAGATACGAGAGAAAGTCACGATGGTCTTGAGCGAGGGGCCACTATCTATGCCAGATCGTGCGTAAAAACAATCATGATCCTCTCCTCTATCAGGACAATTGCCCTTTGCGCGTTTGGTCATGCCAGGATGGCAAACAATTGATGGAGTGAGATGCAGAGAGGTCATCAGGCCTGAGCATGTTTCGTGGAAGCGTCGGCCGCAAAGTTCGGGTCCATAGTCAGGCGCTTGTTTGATGTTGTCATAAGTAAACAACCATGGGGCGAGATCCAATACCACGGCCAGGCAAATGCTACTGCGGAGAAACGTCCAGACCATACCGGTCAAACATTGGTTCAGACATACTTCAAGGGAGGGTTGTTCCTGGGTTTGGTTGAAAGCCATTTTTCAAGACATGTCAAAGGGTCCAGCGGGACAGAAAGGCTGATCGATGGAACTTGACTCGGTTGGGATATTATTGACAGCAGATCGGTACTGATGTTGATGCTCGGATCAACTCCTCACACGGTCCTGCAATTCTCTCAGTCGGTTTCTGAAGACCCGGACGCTCGGACGCGGTCTTGAATCTGAAGCAGTCACGAGTAGTCACAAGCAGTTCGTTCTGGATACCCGTACGTAGTATGTCCGTAAGGTGGCCTTTGCTGATGCTGACAAAACAGGTACAAGCCGAGATTTCCGAGCTCGTGAACGAGGATGATGCTAGTTCATTGTTTCTGTAGCCGAGAAATACGAGGTTTGATGGCTTGGCCCGGATGATGGACGGGTCCAGATTGGCACGATCGGCTATACCATAGTAGAAGCAAGGGCATCACGGAGTGCGTAAGACTCTACGACAAAGGGGATTGTCTTCTCCCTTGGAAGAGCTGTAGCTAACAGTATTTGTTTACCGTGTCGATGATTGTTGATGTGTCAAAAGTCTGTGCAGGCCAACCACCACCGTCCTGGTAGTAGAGTGTTTCATGACTGGAGACGTGAAGTCATTTTCAGGCAGAACCGGGGGGTTTCGAAAGCGGTTGATGGCTATGAAAGGAGGGGAGTGGTGGATAGGACGAAGTCTGTTCAAGATGGCAGATGGGAGATCCCTGGCTGTGTTCTGTGGACAGAAATGATTGGTCCATACCTACTAAGGTAAGTACTGACACCGGATGAGGCGCAAAAACAACCAGTGACTTTCCAGCTGCGGTTGTTTTTAGCGTGTTTCGTTCGCGTTTTTTCTTTTCCGAGCTTGACGCGCTCAAGTCTGCAGTCTGTCAATGAAGCAAACGACAGCTTCAACATGTCCACGATGCCGCAAGCAAGGGAGAACTGGCCAGCATTTGCACCCAACGCACCATGGTAGCTGTGCTCACTATCTGAGCTGATCAGGCCACATTTCCTCTGCAGCAAAGTGGAGGGCAGGGGAGGGGAGGAAGTCGTGGAAGTACATGTGGTGGTGCTTTGACAGCGGCTGTACAAAAACCGCGCGAGTCTGTGCTCTGTAGTATCCGTAGAATACCATGACGAATGAAAAGAAGCAGGCAGTGGACAACTGCAGAAGGCATGCTCCTGGTCAGATACAGAAGGACGGCTCGGCTTGATGGCGCGAACAAACAGGCGACTCAGCCATTGGGAGCAATCATTGATCACCTGTGGGTGGGTTGGACAGAGGCATCAACGATTGAGAAGGATGGAAGAGGTGAAGACGGCGGAATCCACTCGAATGCATGATGCAGCTGAGACAGCGGTCACCAGTGATCCTTGATATCTCTGTATCGATTGCATTGATAGTCTTTGAGTTAGTCTAGTCGTCCCTTGCCTCTGGTCATTGGAATCGCAGCTTGGTGGTAACTACTAGGGAGGGCGCTGCACGACACTGCTAGGAGAATTTCACTACTACGTAAATGCTGCCTACCTGATGCCCTCATAGTGCGCCTACGACCAGACCTACAGTGCACTCACTGCCAACACTTCTCCTCATTTCATCTTCACTTTCACTTCAACTCACCTCAAATCTATCACCATTTTACTTCGTCATCATTTCATCCTTCCCGTCTCTCTCTCTCGTTTGCTCATGAGGACTGTTATTTGTTTGTTGTGACTCCGCCTGTCAACTCTTTCAGACACTTCACCGCCGAGTTCCCACTGGTCGAGCCCATCAGCCTTTGAAGTTCCTCAGCACGCGCACAGACCCCGAAGACAAACACACTGCAAACCAAGCCTCTCTCCACTGCGCTGGGACTTAAACCGGGGCCAAAGCTCGAAAGAAACAGGCATCTCACACACACCGAACCTGCACGCTCCTCTCCACGAGTCCACGTCCGCCCATCGATATCCTCCCGTCCACTTGGCCAACATTCCAACCCATCACTCTCCCGCCGACAATCCCCTTCTTCCTCCTCTCTTTCCACGTCAGATGTAAACACAACAAAAGAAATAATCTGGCAGTCTTTTCTATACTTCGATCATCTCGAATCAACATCGCCGACCTCACTTTCATTTCACCGAAACCCTAGTCGCTGTTCGACCCCTGGTCCCCCAATTTCTCCCCTGCATCTTCCCAGCCACCATCATTTTTCCACCTCCTCGTACTTTCACCTGCGATCTCCCGAATTTTGACAGACACCCTGCGCGTCCGGCACGTCTTTCTGTCGCAATCCACAACGACTCTCGCAACACACTCGCTCTTTGCGCGACACTGTTGAGCCTTTCCTTCGTTACCGATCTACGCACCACTCAGTCTTCAAACGCCGTGGCGCGATACGGTTGCTGGCATCGCGCACCCAACAGCTTAGTCGACCGCATGACTGCATAACCGAATCCTGACACGCGTCCACAGCATGAACGCTTGAGTACGGCGAACATTCCAATCTACCTAGACCTCTTCACAAGTGACTGCCTGCGCGGAAACTCACTCTCACTCTGTCGATCCGCGATCGCGCTCTTCCTGCATTATGGCCGACCGCGAACCTTCGCCAACTCTCATGGCCTCCTCGGCGCAACGCAACAGACCACACATGTCCATAACATTACCGCGCAACTTTGCTCCTCTAAGCCTTGACGGCAGCGACGATCCAAAGACTCCTGATCAGACGTTCGCTGAGCTCAAATTACCACCTGCACCCCATCACTCAACTTGTCGAGTTCGACGGACGCGAATCACCATGGACAATTTCCAGACGCGCAACAACGCCCTTCTCCCGACGCTATTCGCTTCAGAGATTCCAATCCCTTCCAGTGCCCAATCAACTCAGTCTGCATTTCTCGACATCGATGTTCCTATTCCTTCGATTGAAGCACCGAGCTCTCGGCCGCCATACATACACAGCATTACCGATCCGTCACCAAGCGATAGACTGAAACTGTCCGCTTTCAGAGATTTGCAGCTTCCACGTACTCCTATTGCTCAGACCAAGGTGGTCCACTCGGACTACAAAAGTGGTGCCTGGGATATGCGTCGTTCTTCCTCGGAATGTTCGGTCCGCTCAGAATCGTCGGAATCTTCCTCAGACATATTCACTACCCGACCTACCTCTTTCGATGGTAGCATAACAAGTCCAGACCTGGACTCGCAAGATCCATTCTCGCCCTCCATTGTCAAGATTATCCCAGATACCCCGTCACGAAAGTGTAAAAAGTTGAAAATCAACACTCTCATGACCAAGGGCAACGTACAGTGGAGCATCGAGATGGACAACCATCTATTCAACGTCTATCAAATGTACTTGGCGGATCCTACTGTGACGCCTTTCAAGACACTGCCGGGCAGTATTCCTCCTACAGGTGTATGCCATCGTGTAGCTCGAAAAGCCAAGGAGACATGGCCAAGAGCAAGCAGGATCAACAGGCCGCTCATTAGGAGATACAAGATGCGCAACGTCATTGAGAGCCGGAATTTTGTCAAGGACAAGACACCAGAGCCAAACGACTTCCTGCGTACCGATGACGCAAGAACTTCCTGGCCTTCAGAATCAGCCACGAGAAAGCGCTTGAAGCAGTTGTGCAAAGAGAAGTTCACCATCTCAGCACACTACCAACGCTTGCGCGAGTCGAGGAGTCCTTCGCCGTTCCACGAGCAATTCCCTCGCCGCCCTCCGTCGAGGCTCTCGAGGTCAATGTCGCGGCAAGCAGACCCAGAAGCGACCACTGCTTATGCAACTCGAGAATTGGGAATCTCTTTGGTGGCTAGCAGTGCAACCGGACCTCTGGCTCAAATATTGGCACATTCGCCTCCAGCACAGAATACGTCGGATGACTGGTTCAATAGTCCCGTCAATCCCTATTGCTCGGACGCGATGTCGATCTCAACTCCGCTCGAAACTGAGCCCAATAAGTTGAAGGTTGCCAGCAACATCCCCCGCTTGGCCTCGCCTTTCAACTACAGCACTTGGAATGGTTCCAGTAACGCGAACCATCAGCATCGTCGACATATCAGTCACCATCAATTCGAGACGATTCATGCGACTGGCTCCAGGTTGCTCTCACCTTTCAAGTTGGATGCTGACAATTCACTCAATGTCCACAAACGCCGTGCTCAGCACAACTTGGAGGATGAGTTGAGCCCTAGTGGTAGCAACCTCCAATCGAATGTCGATCTGACTCTTCCTACTCCTAGCACCTTTGAGCCAAAACCCGAGCCTCGTCCTGAACTGGTCTTCACTGGTGCTGGTGACATTAGCCAGCGGAGAATTCGTGTTCGCAGTCGAGGAGCAACTTTGGGTGCTATGAACAGTCGAGAACATATTGATCGCCTCTTCACCCCACCTACCTTTGTCATGGACGGCGCTGGTGATGATGCTGGTATTCCTCCTGTTCCACCGATCCCTACATCGCTTACAGCTCTGGCAAATCCTGCCGTCAAGGCCAGCACGTCGACTCTGGCTCCACCGGAAGTCGACCCTGCTCAAAAGCGACTCGGAAGTCCGTTCGAGCTCGACCCCAACAAGCGCAGCCATCGTGCGAGGATGCCCAGACACGTTCCAAGTTTGAGCGATCCCTTTATCAATACAAGTGCATTCGCTACGACGCCCAGTCGTGGCCATGGTCATACTAACAGTATGAGTATTGGTGAACGGTTGGCAATGTTCTCTACATACCATCCCAGCCACTTTCAACGTCGAGGACCGCCTCAACCACCGAGAGATGATCCTTTCACTTGATTTGATAGGAAAACTGGAATGAGCATAATGCTTGGAAAATTGCATACCGAGCTTAAGGTGTTATTTGTTGTTTGTACTGAAGGAGTTCACATTAGTTCTCCCAAGCTGGATGGAACGACTATGGTTATTTTTTGGTGGAGATCTCAAATCATGGAGTTCAAGGGCATTCAGAGCAGGGTCTCACACTATTGGTAGTCTGGCAAAGCGGAAGGAGTTGTCGGATCAAATCTTCATGAGCAACAGAAAGATTGCATTTTGGGGACACATGGAGTGGTTTGCATGCTCAGAACAGGGACCGCCGGGGTGTTGACTACTCCGACTCAAAAAGCCAGAGACAAGACGAACAGAATTGGCCTGACTAGAGAGAAAGGAAAGGAAAAGCATACAGCTGGACTTTTGCAAAGCATGGTATGAACAAAAGGATTCCATCTGTGGATATGGGTTACGAACGTGGCTGGAAATGTGTGAGTCGGCTTGAGTCAAGATTCAGTCATCAGTTGCCTTGGGAGGTACAAGACACGATATTGTCATTGTTGTGATTTTTAACGAGGTTACGAACTCTCAATACGAGACGAGAACGAAGAATGGGAACGAATATATGAGCTTCATTTCTATCTTGATCCGTCTCTTCATCGCGCGTTGCAATCGTCGTAGCTGTTACAGAGGAATATATCCAGAGTTAGAATCAGGATATACTGCGGCGGGAAAGGGAAGTGACTCGATATTTGAGCGGGAGTCCTATAACTTACGGAGTATTCTAGTGCTAATAAGATACTGATCGAGTCTTCAGGTAAACCAGCTTACCTACGTAAAAATGTGGTCAGTCCAAATGGGACCACTAACGTAGCATTCAAACAGCTTGCGGGTACTCGAAGGACCACCCCACAAATCTTTGGTTGGACCTGCAGTATTTCCTACGCCTCCACAAATATCGTGGCCTAGTGCAGAACCACCAGCAAAAGCGGCTGATAACGGAGAAAAGCAAACCGGCGCGAGAGAGGAAAGAATGATGGTGAGAAGTGAAGCGTACTCCATGGTCGTGGCGACTAGAGATATTGTCAAGAGTGTGCTCCAGGCCTGGCAATGATAGTGGCAGCAATAGCACAGGTGTTGAAGTCACAAGTATACAGGAATAAGTACACAGTAGGCTGCCCAGCTTTGGCATAAGGAGTACCTGCCAAAAATCAACTTAGTTGTGTTTGTGGTCGTTGAAGACATCGCCTATTCGCCATTTTTGCTGTGTTCTTTTACCACTTTCTTTGCCGAGGATGTGAGTGGTCCAGCTCAGCCACGGTACAGAGTTGCCTGGAGGGGTCACTGGGGGTGCAAGGTGCTGGGGAGGTGCAACAATTTCCCCTCTTCAGGATTCTCTGCCGATTCAAGCAGCCTTGATCAATACTGATTACCGTGAACCATGTCAAGTACAAAAGAACTCAAGGTACTGCCCTTTATCAAGGTAAGTCGTTGCGAGCATCGTAACTGCGGCAGCTGACGCTGGCAAAGGGTTGTCAAATCCGCCTTCTTAGTAAGGAGGACGAAGCTGAGGATTCGGCCGACAAGTATCTCGCAGAGGCATCATATGATGGAGAGCCAGATTCTGAAGTGTTCTATGTGGCACCGCATTGGCACAAAGTACCCCCTTAAACTATCGCGAGGTGTTCGTTGGAGGTATTTTGACACATTATTGCAGTACCACGACGAGTACATGTCAGTGACCGAAGGCCGACTCGAGGTCACGGTTGAGGGAATCACTAGAATCATCATTGCGGGTGACGATCCTGCTTTCATCCCGCGGTGGCATGTACACAGTATGAAAGGGTTCAAAGGGGAGAAACTGGTCTTTCAGGAGAAGGCGGTCCCGGCTGGCCCAACCAAGGCGCTGTTAGTATTTCCATCTCCTCCCCCAATGGCTCTGGGGGGATGTTGACCATGGCGAATAGATTCTTCAACGACCTTTTGTCACAAGGTCCAGATGTCAAGATTCCACATGCCCTGCGAGTCTTTTGGGATGGGGATACGTATCCGTCGCTGCCTGGGAATATCAAGTTGTTGGATCAAATTGTACGTATACGCCCTCATCTATGCTTGCGACTCTGACGTTATGTATCAGTTTATGTTGGTCTTGGGTGGCATTGCCAAAGTCACACTTTTCTGGGATCGAAGGCCGAAGCACTTTTAGCAGTTGACCAGATTGATACTCCACCGTAGCCTAGACCCAATACTTCGTAGTCCAATCGTGTTTGTGTAGTGACACAGTTCAGCCAAGCTACGGAGTATTGTTGTTTAATATTCCTTCTTTGTAGCCGAGTGCGCTATGTAATGCAGATCGCTCATTGTTTTAACCTCAACTCCTCCCCGAAGCCTCACCAATTGTTTTGGGCGGCAGGTCCAGGTCCGATCTCGTGTTGGCCCGACGCATGGCCACATCGGGACACTGTACCGTGTAAACTGTGTGAAGGCGGCTCGAGGGCTGCCCTGCAGGTCTCACTGCAACAAGGATTCATGGACAAGCTGGAACAACCCCACAAGGTATGAGATCCGCGGGGAAGACACAAACCAGTAGGGTTTCTTGTACCATCCAACATGAATGTCATTTCTCGCCCTCACAAACAACACAAGCTTGTGGCGCGGCTGGAATACGCCGTTTGCAGGCCAGGTGCGTAGTACGGGATGTTACTCAGAAAGTAACCGAGTTGCGAGAACATTTACACCTAAGACTCAAAAAGCCCTGGGAAAGCCCTCGACTCATGGGGGAAAGGGTCCATCTTTCGATTTATTTAGCCTGGCACTGAAGAAGGTCAACATCCTCTCCACCTTGGTCAATCTTGCAGACAAGAAATTGAAGGTCATCATACATTCGCAATCCGGCCTCGAGCCCTATCTAGGCTCCAGGTCCACGGAAGTCAACATTGCGGCAGCGCTTGAAATGAGCCGCACACTCGAGGCTAGAGCATTTCGGCAGACCTGCGCAGCTGGAGCAGTCACCTTACAAAGAGCGCCACATGCTACGTGGTCTATCCGTGTACGTTCTACAGATCTCTTCCCCAGATCGTCCATGAAGCGAGCCACCATAGTGGTCAGCATTCTCGGCTCGACAACCCGGGAGTGGAACCATGCCAGGAGCCGGCGATGGGGATTTGTGCAGCAAACGGCGGTTGGATTGGCGAGGGGTGTACCCGGGGTAAAGGGTTCAGGGCTCTCCAGGTTTGGCGCCACCGCATTCTAGTTTGGAATCCATATTTCATACATCCTGAGGCTTTATGACAAAGGTGGAACATGTCATCTCATCCATATGGGGCTAAGGAAGTGGCCGCCCAAGGTTTTTAGCTAGAAGGCGCTTCCTCAGCGTTCAGCAAAGAGAGGCAGAATGTAGGTGCTGGGGTTGAATTGAGCTTGAAGTGCAATATGGCACCCATAACAGTCGGCCAAAATCAACAAGCACTTTTAAGAGCGGCTGGGTCGTGGCCGACATCACGATCAAGCGAGGTCCTGATGTCGTAGATCAGTAGCCTATCATGGTCATGCAACGACATAATTCTGCATCACAACCCGCCCGTCATGTTGTTAGTGGCGCAATTTTCAAACTGACCGGACAAGGTACTGCAAGCGACATCCCGCAGGTTGTCTTGCGGGACATTGTATGTTGGTTTTACGGGTGGACACAAGATGGTAAACTTGAATCTGCAAGATGGTAAAGTCAATTGCCTACAATCACCTGCAATCACCTAGACGTTCAGGCAGCCACCCCGCGTTAGAATTCCCTGAAACGAGGACACAAATGCCATGATCCGGCTATGCGATGCGGTCAGCGGTCGTTCGTCGCGTTTCCGGAATCAACAATTCCTCCTTCTTTGCGTCCGTCCAATCGAGCTAAACATTACAACCCGTGAAAACTGAACTTGGATAAGCGAGGACCCAAAAGGAGTCCACAGTGCAGTAAACGGGAACAATGACAATCCCGCGACACTGATCCTGGAATTCGCTGGGTCGTGTTCGATTGCTGCGAGCACGAAGATGTTCGTTTCTCTCGAAAAGCATCTGGCGGAATATGGGTCTCAATATGCTCCACGCAGACTGGCCGTCTACACCTCTCTAGGCCAGGCAAGCCAGCTACAGACAAAGTCGTCTCATTTCAAATCCAGAATGTCCCACGCAGCTGTACGACAGGAGGGGTTCTTTACCGTTCCGAGATCGGCCATGTTCACCAGAGTCCAGAACTCGATTGATGGGCAGTTCTATGTAAAGTTTGGACGACGAAAATGGCAGAAACACGGCCAGTTAGAAGCCTTTGCATTCTCACCTCCATTGGAAGGCATAGAGGCTCGCTAAAGTCCCCAAGTCAAGATGGATACCGACGCGGCTTAACACGAGGGAGCTGGAAAAGACGAGCTGGAAAAGACTGTAGCCGAGTACCTCTACGTCTCTACTTTTCACCCACATACCTGATGAAAGGGATGCGGAGTAATGGAAACCTTTCAGCAAACGATGACCAGCCGGAGGTGTCTCATGGGTATATAAGAGCAGTCCATTCTCAAGCACCTCCATCCTTCTTTGTCTTCTCCTCAATCACGACTTCATACAACTTCCAGCTAACACATTCAGTTCACACGCTATCTACCCCAACTCCCAAGCCACCCCAGCCCATCATGAAGCTCAGTTTGTCAGTTGTTGGCGGCCTCCTGCTCGGTTTGGCCCTTGCGTCACCTCAGCCCCGCTGCTGAACCAGGGAGCCTGCTCGGTCTGTTTTACTACCTCGGCCATTATTTGTAAGCAGCATCACTAACATCAACAGCTCGAGGAGGAGGAGGAGGAGGAGTCGAATGCAGCACTTGCCCGGACCACAGTAGCTGCTCCAGTTGCCCCGACAAAGATACTTGCAGGATTAACAGTCCATGTCAATGGAATCAGGGGTATTGTAAGGATGTTGGACCGGGCAATGGCGGCGACCGTTGTGACAAAGCGGAAGACAAGCGCAAAAGAACCCAAACTGTGTGTGGGTTGATGAGCCCTGCTGTACCAAGAAGAACTGAAGGAGGACAGACAGATGCAAGGCAATCTGGCAGAGCAATTGCCTACCATGGGTTTTCATGTATTGTCGACGCAAGCCACACAAGCCGGATCAAGAGGAGATCGCTAGCCTTAGCGATATGGATGGCATTATTTTGCCGTTGCGCTCATTTTAGTCATTACCTTGGCGAAAACGAAGAGAAAAGAGTATGACATTGAGATACTGAACTGAATCAGACCCAATTAGCAATCTTGGGTACAGATGTTTCCGATCTTCCACCCGCCTTGAATCTCTCGAAACTCTGACAAGTAGTGAAGCGATTTATATTGAGCCTCACATTACCTCCCCAAAGCTTGACCAAATTAGGAAGGCTTGACGTCTTTTTGCACATGCTCCACATCCATGGCGGGCCGGTAATCGGGAGACCCAATCACATTCACCTTTTTACTAAGTCGCGTGTACATTGAGGAGTTTTCACGCTCTACCTTTTATTCTAAAATTCAATGCTCCGTCATATCAAGCTGAGGATGGATCTTTTCCAACGCCGTAGGGTAGGTGGTATCCTCAGCTAGTGCCCCCAGTGCCTATGCGAAACAACAAGCACAATCGAGCTCGTGCAGCCTCCAACGCCTTGCTCAATGAAATAGTCGATCTCGCTCACATGCCCAGCATCAATCCACGCCAATATGTCCAAGATCCAGTTCAAGATCCCGTCCAAGGCCAAGGCCAAGTCCAACTCCTTTCAACGCAATGCAATGCAGTACATGACCCGTTCATGCCTCACTGGGGAATGGGCGAGTCACCAGTGATCCGATCGCGCTTGTCGAATAATTCTCCTTAACTTCGTGTCGACTCCGGTCACTTCCCGCCAACAAGTCTCTCCATCTTCCTCAGCGCGGCTCTCAAATCTCTCCCGCCCCTCTCACCCTCGTCGACCAACCACTTCTCCATTCTCACCCGGACTCTCTTCAAGTTTCCTTGAATTGGCATTTCTTCTCCATCGGCCACGCAGCCGGGATTCAGCAACACGTTGAACACGTCTCCCCAGATCTCCTTCTCCCAATATCTCTTCAAATTCTCCTTGAGCTTCCACTCCTTCTTCTGGCCGGGACCGGTACCTAGACCGCTATTTGCTGGTATCGTCTCGATGTACTTGCCGAACAACAACGAGTGGATCACGCCCGCCGCCCCGTGATAGTCGATCTGCCACTTCCAGGGCCGGCACTCCCGGATCTCCGCACAGTCGGTCGTGCAACTGGGCCAATCCGCAATGAACTGTGCGCCAGCCTTGAACATCTTCGTATCGATCCCACGTCCGAAATCGATCAACCGCAAGCCTTTGGCTCCCCAACCACGGCCACCGGAAGGATCGTAGGGCCCCTCGACTTCGCCGTCCCCGAAGCGGACGAGGCAGTTGTCACCCTTCAAATCGCCGTGCAGAACGCCGATGCGGTGGAGGTCCTCCAGCGTCCGGAGGAGTTCGACGCTGAACCACATGGCCAAGACCTCCTCGAGCCCTTCGGCCGGCTTGCCCGCTCGCACATTGTCGCTCCTAGCAAGGTTGACCAAGTCCAGTAGCGTGCCTTGTGGGCTGTACTCGAGCACAATATATGCCTCGTCACGGTAGAGGTGACATTCATGTGCAAGCACGATGGACTGCATAGTGCGCGCGGCGTGGCCGAGACGCTGGCGCACGAGGCGCAAAATGTGGAATTCCCAGACCAGTGTGCCGGCCGGAGACTCGGTCTTGAGCGCTTCGAGATGTTGGCGGCCAGACTCGCTTGACGCAAGTGGTGGACTGACATTTTCCTTGTTGTTGTCGTCCTCTTCGTCACCGACGGCAATGGCGTTTTGACCCGGGTCGTAACTCTCGACCAGATACACTGGTGCGAATGCGCCTTCACCGAGTTCGCGCTTGACGGCGTACACTCGGGAAGTGCCCGTGAACTTGAGCAGTGGCGGGACGGCCTTGGTAGCTGCATCCTTGCTCTGGCTTTTACGCGGGCTGGGCTTGCTCTTTGTCTTGGCTATCTTCTCGGCATAAGATTTCAAGATGGGGTATTGGTTGAGAACTTGGCCCGAATGATCATGATAGCCTGCGTAGGAAAAGATGGGCGGATGGACGGCAGTCAAGATCTGTTGTCGTATCGTATCGTCGCACGGGTTGCATTGCAGGTCCGCGATGATGGGTGCCTTGTGTCGAGTCGCAGGTTGGAGGACAGATCGAGATGGAGATTTCACAGGTATGGCGGGAGCCTTGAAGACAACGTCGTCAGGCTTGGACGGAGACTGTGCTGGAGTTCCCTTGGTGATTGGGAAGGGGATGTGAGAATTCAGATCGGCCTCCCCACGTCCCGAGACCTTGCGGCGAGGCGAAGACGTGGCTACCTCCTCTTCGGTGGCGCCGGTTTGTTCGTACTTTCGCTTCGCTGAGGATGACGGAGTGCCAGGTTCTTGTTGTTTGGGACTGCTCATCAAGAGTCGATCGATCTTGACTTGTGACGGGCTCTCGTATATCTCCTTCGCCGATCTGCTTGGTGTCTTGGAGCTGAAGTAGTCGGGATCATTGAACACAGTCGAAGGTGCGAACGAGCTCTCGGTTCTCTCGACAATCGGCGTCATGAAGGGCATTTTGTTTTGCGCAACGAGCGCTGGATCTCGGTAGGTACGCACTGGTGTGGGTTCATAGTCTGCCGGAGGAATAGGAACAAAGCGAGGCTTGTGCGAGATCTCCATGTGTTCCGTGAAGACATCATCAACTGGCGTTGACAGGCTTTCCATGGTGTCTTCTTCATGCATTGTTTGTTGTTGTGGTTCAGATTCTTCAGTCGCGCCCGCGCCCGCGCCCGCGGAGCTCGCGGTCTGCTCATCACGGATCTCAACATCATCCTGTTCTTCATCATCAACCTCTCCAGCCATCCTCGCAATGGCCATGGTGTCCATGTCGTCGAAGTTGCAGTTTGCAATGGCAGCAATGGCTTGAGTGTCGAAGCCACCACCCAGACCAGAGGTTTGTGTTGCGTTCTGACTGGAAGAGTCGATACTTTCAGTCACATCTTCACTCACTGCGTGTCTGTGTTTGTTTTTCAGCTTTGTCCTAGCATGACCTTTGCCTGAAGAAGCTTTGGTCTTGCCAGGGGGAGCAGTGTGAGGATCAATGCGTGGCACGTGTCTGCTGGCTGTGAAATCTGACCAGGGTGAAACACTTTCAGGCTGGCTTTGACTTTGTGTTTGGGTCTGGCTTTCCGTGGGATCAAATCGTGAAGCCAAGGTATCATCGCCAAATTCACTGCTGGGTCCGGACACCCTCCCAGTGCCAGTGCTCTCGGCGTCGCCTGTTGTGCTGTACCCGTCGTCTATCTCTCCCTCAGTGAAATCTGTCTCATCACCACTCTGAGTATCGTCTTTGGCTACCTCTGGTTTACGAAGCGGTTGGTTGAACATGTCATATATCTCATTAGTTGCTGCTTTGGAGTGGAACGTCATAGTCGGCTCAGCTGTGTTCTTCCTCTTCAATTTCCTGCCTGTAGGCGATTCAAGCCTTGTCTTGACAGTCTGAGTTTCTTGCTTGACCTCTCTGATCTTGTACTTCTTCTCTCTAGGATTTTGGCTCTGTTGTTGGGATTGAGGCGCTGGCTGCGGTTCCGGCATTCCGACCATAGATTGTGACGATACATCAAGGATACTGAGATCCCTTTGAGTAGTATTGTTAAGATCAATCTTCTGCTGGAAGGATCTACTCAAGTTCTCAATGTCCTCTGGCTCTTGGGCTTTGTTGGCTCTACCCTTGGCCTTTGGAGACGTTGTTGCATTTCCTGTCGTATCCTTCAGCGGACTGGCTGTTGCTGCTGGTCTCTGCCGTCTCCAATCCTTTTGGAACCACCCTCGAGCCAGGGCTCGTAACTCTTCGAAACTGAATTCTTGGTCAACGCTGGGATAGATCGCTTCCACGTCGACAAATACACGCTCCGTCCGGCCTGTACGAGGGTTAACGACGTCACCCGGACGTTTTGTGGACGATCGTGCATCAGTTGCTGCTTGTAACGCCTGTATACTCGGGTTCAATCAGTGCTTCATTCGACTAGTAGGGCAGTGATGGAATTTGAGACAGCGGATTTGCATGAGAATCGGCATTGAGTATTTTTCAATCTAGGAAAACACAGAGGTCAATCATACCGGGTCTTTGAAAATCTCCATCTTTTGCACCGTTCCTACTCTGGTTCCAGCTTTTATCTTCTCACCAGCCCATGGCTTGGCTTCAATGGTGTTTTCCTTCTTTCGCTCCTTGATCGACCCAATGTTATCCCAGCCGTTGGTGGTGGTGGATGTTGCTGGAGGTGGTGCAGCGCTGTCTGCGTCCGAGAATATAGCCATCTTCGGTTTTCCTGAGCGAGAACTACTTGTAGAACCGCCTCCCACTCCGTTCTGTTGCCGAGGTGCCTGTGGCTCCTCTCGTTGTGCGAATGGATCAAGCTTCGCTGCCAGAGCTGGCCGCACCGTCGGAAGGGCTGGCGAGCTTGGCTCATTCTCGACCTGCGGTCTAGCCTCGAATCGATGCTGAAATTGATTGTATTTCCGTATCAACCTCTCTGTGGGCCGCGCTTCTCTCTCAATTCCCAGCTTGTACACCTCGTCCGCCTGCACCCAGCGACCCGCGCCCTCCAACCAAGTAGCGAACTCCTCGTAGAAAAGACCAAGTCCATCACCTATACTATGCCGAGCAAGGAAAGCGAACGTTTCTCGAGGACTGTCGGAAAACAACCGAATGTAATGCAGCCACAATTTCAGATAGCGTGGGTCGTTTTTGTAAAGGGGAGAAGTGAGGCAGGCTTTGGTCGCACGCTCTAAGAGAGGCAGGAGCTGCGACTGTGGTGTCGCCTGGGCCGAAGGATAGGCGTTTAATGTCCATCTGACGTATCGGTCATAGATGTCGAGGGGGTCGTCCGAGTCTGCTATTGACTGTAATTCAATCTCGTACTCTTGCCGGATGGCATCGTTGAGGGTCTTTGTTTCATTCAGAGTCGGTTCCGACTTTGCGCCAACTCTTCCTGAAGGTAGTGGTGTAAGGATGGCAGCCAGTTGTTTGACTGATCGGCCGCCGGGTAGTGCTTGTATGTTTTCCTTATGCGATTCTATTATGTCGAAATTAATCAGGTCGTCGGCCATTGTTGTAGTAATTCTGTGCCTGTTCTATCCTGTGTCGTTAATATGCTGAGTGACAAAACGCCTGCGACAAGAAGTAACTGACCAAGAAGAACGAAATGTATGGCAAGGAAGGATGCGTCGTGATGATTGATGATTGGTAGAAATCGATGTCAACAAACAATCGTCTTGGCTTTGGCTCTGCCGATATTTAAGCGCCGTAGCCTCACGGTCACGTGTGCTACTGAATGGCACGTGACTGGCCACGACCAGGCATCATGCACGATCACTCACTTGCACTTGACCTTCAGGTATTCCTGACGGCGCTTGTTTGGAGAGGTTCCGAGATTCAGTGATGATATTAGTGTGACATCGATTCTGTATCGATTGTATATATAATGACACTTCCAGATCGAGGATATTGACCCGACCATCAAATCCTCAGAACAGCCAGGAAATGTATCGGCGATAGAACCTTCCAAGCCTGTTCTGCTTCACCATTCTCTCCGCCTCAAACTTAGCGAATTCTATCTCATGAAGCTCGATCTCGTCCAACCCAGTGTGGAGGTCGGCTTCGGCGGGACGGACGCCCTTGGTCCGGTAAACAACCTTATAGCCAAAGAACATGATCAGGAAAACCGGAATCGCAATATATCCGGTGATGAAGTTCTTGTAGTCAAAGTCCGAAGTCTTGGTGTGGATGAAGACCGAGAAGTTCTTAGTGAACACAACAAGCACGCAAAAGACCAGCGCTGCCCACGAACCATAGACTCCACAAGGCGCTTTGTATCGAAGATGCTGTTCCGAGACTTGCTGTGCCTTTCGCGCGCGCACAAATTGAATGTGGCTGAGAAGAATGCAAACCCACACAATCAACCCGAAGACCGTTATGCAGTTGATGAAGTAGCCAAAGATCTTCTTCGAGTCACTTGAGACGTTCATGAACGCTAGTAAGGCAAAGGCTGCCGATGTGCCCATTGCAGCGACAGGAACACCACGACTGTTCGTCTTTGCAAGGAAGCGAGGAGCTTTTCCGTCCCCAGCAAGGCCGTAGAGGGTTCGACTTGAGATGTAAAGATCAGATATGCCCGCCGAGAAGACAAAGATCAGGATGCAGGCGTTCAAAATGCCCGGCAATACCTTGATACCCGCCAAGACAATGGCCACGACAAAGGGCGATGCTGCCGCCGAGGTTGACTGCTTTGTCGCAAATGCGAGCTTGGGAGAGTTGTAAGGTACAAGCATACCTAGGAAGAAGACCGAAATGACGTAGAAGAAGAAAATCCGGTAGAAGATGAGGCGTGCTGCGCGTGGGATCGTCCGGCGAGGGTTTTGAGCCTCGCCAACGGTAACTCCAATAAACTCGGTGGATAGGTACGCAAAACTGGCAATACCCATACAATACCAGACGCCCAGGAAGCGACCCAAGGAGCCGTCAGCCTTGTATTCCTTAAAGGCACCCGGGTGGTGCCAATAGCGGAAACCCTTGGGGTCATGGTCGGGACCGCCTCCGCAAGCAAGAATCAATGAAAGGAGGATAACTCCAACCAGAACCAGCACTTTGATCGATGACAGCCAAAATTCGAATTCGCCGAAGAACCTCACTCCGATGTAGTTGACCAGGATTATCACCACCAGGAAAATAGCGATGAACACTCCAGGGTTGACTTTTTCACGTGGTACCCAGTATTGCAGGACCAAGGCGATAGCGGTCAACTGGTTTGGTGTCGATATTGCGTACTTCAGCCAGTAACTCCAGCCTAGACTGAAGCCCAATGCCGGATCGACAAAGCGCGAAGCATAACCCGTGAAACCTTCAGCTATGGGCAGATAGGTACCCATCTCGCAGAGGCCAGTGAGCATTAGCCAGACCACGATACCGACAACGGTGTACGAGATCAGGACAGAGGCTGGGCCTGAGCTTGCAAGTGCTGAGCCGGTGCCGATGATGAGACCAGAGCCCAGCGCGCCACCCAATGCTGCAAGACCCGATTAGCCACGGCTGTAAGTATATAAGATCTTTCGAACTCACCAATCATGGTGGTATGGCGGGATTTGAGCCCACGATGTAGAGCCGTGCTCTTGTCGATGGATATCTCGCCGTTGTTGACTATCATGTCGGATTTGGAAGGGCTGAGAGACTCTTTGTTGGGAAGGACTTCAAAGTCCTCACCACGCGAGGAAGCGTCCATTGAGGCGACCATATGGTGAAAGGAGACCCTGTTCCGTTAAACCGAGCTTGATACACCCTGGCGGAATAGGTGCTCGCCTCGCTTCTTTATATCAATACGTTACTTCGACGATGCGGCATCCGAGACTGCGACATAACAATCGCCAGGCCGCATCCCCAAAGGCGAGGTCACCGTTCCTATGGCCGGTAACCGACGGTGCCCGTTCTTCTTATCAGTCTTGAGTGGCCGCAAGTCCAAGGACCCAAAGTGGTCTTATCAAGGGTCGGGACATATGAGCCATAGCGCCATAGGGCTGTATGACCCACTATGTGGGTCTTGACATCGACCTGCCATGATAAGAAAAGCATGGACCATGACCGTGTTTTTGGAACAATTTGCTGGCCCTTTTGTATGGTCTGTATGGCCTCTCAAATCGGGAGACTTTCTTCGCATCGAGCCCTGAAGGAGACGGATACAAGTAGGCCGCGGACCAGTGCTCTCTCAAGCGACTAGGACACCAATATACACCTGGTATTTGTGCACAGTGCCTGACAGCCATGGTCCACGAACTTGGAAAGCCGGATTATGTCTCTGCAAACGGGGTGCAGTTGTACAACCCTTCCTGGTGGTAAGTGATTACTTTCCCTGCGTGGAAGGTGCTCTTGTCAGTCTGACAGATGAAGTTACAAACCTACCGGCACGTGGTCGATCGCGAGCAAACGCGGAAACACTCTTTATATCTCTGGTACGGCCACCAGGCAAATTTTGAGATGGAACAGACTGACACGATCGGACCATGCAGGCATGCGCGGGATATCTCCAGAGACGCAAGAGTTGATCCCATTCAACAGCGAGGGAAAGCAGGATGGCCCTCCCAGCCAATCGCCTGCGTATCCTCGGGTACTGAAAGGTACCTTCGTCGAATTCAGATATGTCTCACGAGCTAATCATCAACAGCCTTTCAGAACATGTGCATGGTAATGGAGGCTGCTGGCGCCACAGTAGGGGACTGCATACGCCTTGTAGTGTAGGCCTCCTAAGGCCTGTGTTTGAGACTTAGCTTTGCTGATATGCATAGATACACCACGGACATGCCACAATATAGGCCTCTCGTGAATGAAGCGCAGAAAGAGATCTGGGGAGAGGTCCCCTTCCCGCCACGCTCGATAGTAGAAGTGTCGAGACTCAACCAAGTGATCCTCAACCCTGTGACGTTTGGTCATTAGCAACATCTGACAATTTGATTAGGACGACATTGTGGAGGTAGAGAGTACGTTTGCCATCTCCGAATGATACGATTCAATGCACAAACACGTGTAGAGACATGAATGCATATTGGCGTCACATGATTGAATGGATCAAGAATACCGTTGCTCGAGCTCCAGACCATTGGGAGGTCACCTCTGTGATGAAATAGAAAACCGATTATAGCATCCGATGTGTCATGGGTGCTGTCATTTCAACTGGACAGCCGTGGGCCGGAGAGATTGTTACAGTTCGAATTTGTGATGATGATTTGCATTGCGGAGTTCATCAATCTCCGCCGGTCTGCGTCGGCCTTTCCCTGTTAGCCGCGACAGCTGCATACCCGTCCATGATGGGCCCAAATATTCGATGTTGGTATTCACAAAGGCTTCACATGGGTTAATTTATCACTGACCAAGGCGGCTTCACCAGATGCCCGCAATGCCTCTGAACTCCGTCGTTTTCGAAGCCGACCCCGAAAAGAATGCTTCAGTGGTCGTGACCCAGTCGAAACAATCTCGTCTCTTGAAGCATTGGAGACAAGACATCCGCATCAAGCATTCGGACATCATTCTATTGATGTGCAGCTTTCTTTCTGGCCTTTGTGACAGTGGTGCATTCAATGCCTGGAGTTGTTTCGTCTGTATGCAGACAGGTACGTCCATCCTCCGGTTCTCAAGCTTGCAGTCAGTTGGCGAGCTTGCCTGGAAGAATGGAACCGCTCACGTCGAACTGCAGGCAATACCATCTTCCTGGGACTTGGTGCAGCAGGATTACCAATTTCAAAGCCTTATGGTTGGCTTCGCTCGCTGATAGCAATTCTCGCGTTTGTGGTGGGCTGTTTCGTTTTTTCGACGAGCCGGAACCGTAATCCAAGGAGTCGAGGGACGTTGGCGACATCTTTCCTGGTGCAAGGAAGCTGCCTGGTTGTGGCTGCCGTCCTCGTGCAAGCAAAGGTTGTACCAGACGCAGTCAAGGACTCCGAATCGATGATGGTTCTCATTCCACTAGTCTTCCTTGGGTTTCAAGCTGGAGGACAAGTCTGGACTGGCGAAGTTCTCGGTTTCAAAGAAATTCCCACAACTGTGCTGACGAGCGTCTATTTTGGGCTTGCCTCGGATGTGAAGTTCCTGCAGGGCCTGAAGATGAACCTTCCCAGGAATCGGCGTTTAATCGCTGTGGCCGCCCTGTTAATTGGGGCTATTTCCGGCGGATGGTTGAGTAGAAGCCGAGGAGGCATTCCGTCGGTATTTTTCGTCGCCGCTGGCCTGAAGTTCTGTATATCTGGGATATGGATGTTGTGGCCGGCGGACGAAAAGGGGCAATTGGTCCCCCGAGTGACCATCGACCGACCATCCCACTGAAGAACAAGCCTGCGAGATTGATGGAGATTGATTGAAATTGAACCTTCTTTATTCATTCAAGGAATGTGAACTCTGTATCCTGATTGCCAACACCGATCATCCAGTTTTCGAAGAAATCCTCGACGGTGGGGAGAGCTGCAAAAAGAATATCATCATCAGTTCCGTTCATGTGGGAAAACTGTCCTGCGTCGCTGGTGGAGCTAGTGGGATTTCCGTTGGTCAGACTCGATCCTTCCAGAGGGGCCAAGGCTCGTCCTTCCATCGGCACAGTGAAGAACTGGTCTGGGTTGCCTCTGAAGACGGGCGCTTGATCTGGCCTGAAGGAAGGCGTCGAAGTACGGGTTTTAGTAGGGTGTCTGGTCGGTCTTGGGGGTAATATCTGGCCTTGGCCGAGCTTAAGTTTCTCCATAGCAACACTCATTGCCGCAGGTAGATCATGTGTGGCCCGGGAGTAATGTCTGCAAACATCATCAATTGTCTGCGCGATGTCCTCTCGAAGCGCGTTGCGCAGGCATTCAGTGCAATCAGACAGGACAAGAAGGCAGTAGGCAATGGAGATAAGGTGAAATTTAGGCAATTCCTCGACAAGGGAAGCGGACATTTCCAGGAAGATCTGGGCCATGGAAAGGGCGTGGTCCCGTGCGTAGCTCTGGAAAGTATCGATAGGCAAACCGGAATCATCCATGTCGACGTTCACGTTGGCGTCGGCGCCATCAGGGGCAGACTGTTTCTGTCCCTTTGGGCTATTCTGAGAACGGTGTCTCTCGAGTGTGCGCATAGCCAGCAAAAGGTATGCAAATTCGCGACAGAACTTAAGCAATGTTGCTTTAGGCGAAGCTGTAGTAGTTCGAAGGATGAGCGAATGTACCCAGATTTGATGACGGGCTACTTACTCAGTAGGTGTGCCCATCTCTGCTCCCAAGCCGCTAGATCCCGACTTTGGCCGTCTCGATCGAGCAACAATGACGACCTGGGCTTCTCGCACAACACCGACAAAAGCAATATTTCTGCAAGTATTATACCATCTTCAATGGAAGCTTGCGGGTGGTTAAGAATAGATGGGCAGTGCTGAATATATTCCCAGGGAATAGTGGTCGGCTTACCCGTTCCGACGGCGAACCTGCAGCAGTCAGACATTCGTTCTACCTCCCATGGGGAGAACAAAACCTGAGATTGACGAGACAAATGTTGTTCCACAAGGACAAATATTGCTTGTCCTTGCTCTGATGTCTTCCCATGGTCAAATTGCCTAGTATCTGGACAAAGTTGATGGATGAGATGGCTTGCTGTGCACAGATGCCACTTAACAGCCAGCTTTCGATATATTCGTAGGCAGGCTGGACGAGGGTTAGCCGGTGCATCGAAGCTAAGGACATGTAGACATGCTCTAGGGGCGGCCTCGAATGTAGACATGATTAGCAACGCATATAGTTCCTCCACCGGCAATGGGCTGGCAAGAACGACCTGGCCAAGCATGTCTCTGACTTCTTCATAAAGCTGCCTGTGATCGCTAGTATTGATCAAGTCGGGTTGATCGCAGAACCGCAGCCCATTGAGGCAGCAAACAGCGTAGAGTAACGGCGAGCTACGCCGAACGGATTGCTCACTCGTGATGTCTTCATTCAGCTTGATCTGTATGATGTGTCCGAGACGGCTCACAAATCTAACAAGCTCAAATCAGCAGCTGGTGATGAGGAGCAGAGACTCCCATACTTTGAGAACAGTCTGTTGGCAATATCTTCCGACAGTATCTGCTTGGTGATGATATCCTTGCCTGGTTCTTTGTAAAGCCTACGTGTGCTTGAGCGGTATTGTCTGACCATCAAAATTGGCGCAGACTCGTTCAGGCCATTCTGTACCCTGGCCAATGGTGGGAAATCTGGCATATTCGACGGATCTTCAGAGCCTGAAGGCCCTTTTTCTCCACTTGCATTCTGGCCAAATAAATCGTTGAGAGGCTCGGGTGAGCCTTTAATATGCTCTTGGAGGAAATTCAAGATTTTGTCGACGGAATGCTTTGTTTCAGCGACCGAAAATTCCAGTCTAGCCAACCTTACAGAGTCAGCTGCGTCTGCTTCAAGAGGCGCCCAAGAATGAGGATACCTGTCATGATTTTCAAGATTCTTGTTGTCGTGGCTGACTTCGATCGGGCCTTCGGGCAGACCCTCTCGTTTGAGCGAGCAATTGATCCTGATACGGTTGAGAAAGTTGAAAATGTCCAGGGCAGTTCATTTCTGACCTCAGCTTATGACACCGATGACAGGAATTGAACCGCACATCATACTCGCAACGACTTTTGAGGCGTCGACACGAGTTGCAAGAAAGGATGCGACGTCGTGGCTTGGTTGCTAGCGACTCGCGTTGAATTGGACTCAAGCCGCTCATATTGTCCGCCAGCGCCTACCACGATTGGAGCGCTTTCAGGCCCTTTACGCCGGGTCCAGAGTCGAGAGGGACAATGTCAAGTTTGTGCAAGCAGTACAGAAAGCATGAGAGAAAGCACGAAGGCGAGAAGGGTACTGTGATACTTTGACCTTGCAGCCGCATTGCGATTATCTCCGTATGCTACGGAGTACTTGTATCGCCTTTTACCGCAGATTTGCCGGCACGAGTACGCACGGAGAAAGCTGCACTGCAGTCAGTCAAGGCCTCCCAATACTCCTTAGAGATCTAATGAAAGTCCTGAAATCATTGGGAGGTAGGTCAACCTGTGACAATAGACAGTCAAAGATACATCACTTCTTCGACAGAGACGCGACACTGCCTTCAAAATGCCCTACTCCGCCCTTCCTGCCTGGCCGCTGATTCTCTTTGGCGTCCTCGAGCCTGTTGCGCTGTAAGTCGGTCAGCATTTGTGGACAAGAAAGAGTCCTTCTTATTGACACTCTCCTCCAGAGTCTGGGGCTACGTGACGGCCTTGCGAACCCCGGAACAGTACTACGCTGATCAGACGCCCAATGCTGAGCTGGCCAAGCTTGTTTTCACACCTCAAGCACTCTCCTTGACATTGCAGCTGGGCAACGTTCTCCTATTGCTAGCGGCAGTGGCCATCATCTGCTGTTGGACCACGCATGCCGAGGTCGCCCGAAGATATTTGATTGCTGTTGCGCTTGCGGATCTGGGTCATATCTACGCTGCGTACCGTGGACTCGGGGACACCGTCTTTTGGGACGTGACACAGTGGAATGAGATGGCGTATGGAAATATTGGAGCAAGTGCGTTTCTGCATATAAACAGGTGGATGACAGTGGCGGGACTCTTTGGGAGACTCGGTGTGCATGGTGATAAGAGCAAGAAGAACAGATAAGGGACAAGCCCTTGCACCGAAGCAAGTTCCGCATAATTTTTGGGTATTTGGCCTTCCTACTTGAGCCTCCGCGGGCGGAAAAGCTGGCTTGTACAGACTCTTGTGCTCGTAGCGGCTACGGGCCATCATTGTGCAGCGTGCACATATCACATCCCCAGACTCCATTCCATCTTCAAGCTCTCCAGTCCTTGCATATCTCCAAGGGCATTGGAACTCTCGCGTAGCTGTGAATCATACCGCAGAGCGGATGGACAGAATCTAATGAGCCATAGCAACAGCACGACGACGATCTCTCTCCTCAGCGATGGACAACTGTAAATCGTGTTAGAGAACGAGACTTGCAGCTTGGAGTGTGATTTCGTACCTTGACACCCTTGCCCTTGGGCAGACTGACCCATGGCTTTTCCTTACCAATGATGAAGACGTTGCTTTCCCGTGTAGCGAAGGAGTTGTCAATGGCGTCCTTGATGTGAACGATGTTGAAACCACCATCATGTCTCTCACGGTGAGTGATGACACCAACACGACCCATGTTACGACCACCAGTAACCATGGCGATCACACCAGTATCGAATCGAATGAAGTCCGTGATCTTTCCAGTCGCAAGATCGATCTTGACGGTATCGTTGACCTTGATGGCCGGGTCTGGGAATCGGATACTATAAACCCATCAGCATTTCTGATCTTTCCAACCACATCTTGGCCCAACGGCTGATAGATGCTGGCGCAGACTTACGTGCGAGCATCATGCGTAACCAAGTATGGGATTCCTCCTCTACCAAGTTGAACACGCTTGACCTTGCCAAGTTTGTATTCTGCCTCAGCTTGTTCGACTCGGTGGACGGCGAATCGACCTTTGGTATCGTAGATCAGACGGAAGTGTTCGCCAGTCTTGTCAATGGAGATGACATCCATGAAACCGGCAGGATAGGTAACGTCGGTACGGACTTTGCCATCGACCTTGATCAGACGTTGCATCAAGATAGCATTGGTCTCACGGCCGTTCAGGGCATACTTCAGGCGGTTTCGAAGGAAGACGATCAAGGGAAGGCAGTCGCGCGTTTTCTGTCCCTGACGTTAGCACTTGTCCTTGATCCTTGCAGCAGAGTCGCGACGAACATGAGGCCCAGGGGACGCCTTCGGGGCATAGGCGCCCGAGAGCTTGTCCAACAGCCAGTGTGAAGGCGCACTGAGGCGTTTCTGATGCTTCTTTGGACCGCGACCCATCTTGATGTGATGTTGTAAGTTTGAAGATGAAGTACAACTCACTTCTCACTTCGCAGTTGAATTTTGGTAAGTGGGAAAATTAGCGCCAAGATTTTTGACGCTTGGCAGGACGTCGAGAACGGATTCTTTGAAAGACGAACTTCTCGGGATAAAGACGTCATTTGAAATATGATCGGGAGTCTCTTTTTGTATTGCTACATTCTAGTGCCTGTACAGTAAAAGAACACCCTCCTCATAGCAGACCCTGGATGATGGCCGCCTCTGCATTCAATATTGAAGAACCTGCGGCACCAATGACCGTGTTGTGGCTCAGGCATGCAAATCTGATGTCAAAGTGTGAGCCCTTGGCAGCCTCGCGAACTCTGCCCACACTGACGGCATAACCGCCTGAGATGTCACGATCGAGTCGAGGCTGTGGTCGATCTGGCTCGTCGAAGACAACGATAGCTTTCTCCGGGGCCGACGGACATCCAAGCTTCTGGGCCTCGGCTACGTAATCCCTCATGGCTTGTTTGACCTGCTCTGCGCTTGGTGGAGGTCTTTGCTTGAATCTTAGCGAGACGAACGCCATATGACCATCTGTGACGCCGACACGTGTGCATGTTGCGCCTACTGTGAGGCCAGACTGCTCCTCAAACGCAGTGGCGTCTGCATTGATCGAGCCCAGGATCTTTTGAGCCTCGGTCTCCAGTTTGTCCTCCTCTCCAGCAATGTAAGGAACCACGTTGTCGAAGATATCCATGCTAGAAACACCTGGGTAGCCGGCACCTGATACCGCTTGTTCGGTAAACACCTCCACATCCTCGACGGGTCCGAACTTCGCCTGTAAGGCCGCGAAAGGGATGACAATCCCAATCACAGCACAGTTGGAGTTGCAGACGAGAAATCCCTTCTTGAGGCCGAAGTGCTTCCGTTGATGAGGGATGAGCCCCAGATGTGAGATGTTGACCGTAGGCACCACCAAAGGCACAATGGGATCCCTTCGATAGTTCTTGGCATTGGAGAAGACGGGGATCTCGGCTTTGAGGAATTCCATTTCTAGACGAGTAGATGTGTGAGTATGGAATTGCTTGGATTCGTGGAAGACCTACCAACTTCTCCGGCCACGTCGCTGTCCAGACCAGAGAAGACCAAATCACAGTCTGTGAAGTTACTTGCTTTGCATTCCCGAACCGTAAGGTTTGCTAGGTCGGTAGACATGGGCCTTGCCTGTTTCCACCGGACCGCGTCTTTGTAAAGCTTGCCAGCCGACCTCGATGAGGCGCCCACGGCCTGTAAATGAAGCATAGGGTGATCGGCCAGAAGCAGTATGAATCTCTGACCAACAGATCCTGATCAAATTAGGGTTTCCATATCTGACTTGAATCCAGCAAACCCACCTGTTGCGCCCAATACAGCACATTTTCTTTTGGGTTGGGACGTTGTGCTTGACATCTTCGAAGTATCGAAAAATAGGACTAGAAATTGAGTCGAGGTAGTGTCAAAGAAAGAGCTAAGGACTGAGCTCCAGTTTGTATCGAGTGATTGCTTGAAGGTCTTTCTTGCTGAGTACGAACTTCTCGGCGCTTTCTTCAAGTTTCTGTTATCTTGGTGAAAGTGACACGGTGAGCGGGCTTTGGAAGCAAATACCGATGCGGTTTGAAAATAATTTTAGCGAGAGACCTACAAAGTATCGCCACCTGAGTCACAGCCAAACATTTGAAGAAGCGGCCATTGCAACATGCCAAGAGTGTAAAAGCGGCGAGGCCTCGAACGAATATCAAAACTACTCCACGACAACCTCAACCTTCCGTTCTGATCTTCATGTCGTGTTTCACAAGCTGAGCATCATGTTTTTACTCGAGTGAGACATCGCGAAGCATACATTCACACTATGCTGAGCTTATGGGCTCGTTCTTCATCTGACCATTGGCAGTGCCATAGTACGCTGAAACCTAAGAGCAGAATGTTCACAATGTCTCAACGCGACCAACGAAACCTGGAATTTCTTCACTGTTGTATGGATGAACTTCACGCTTCTGCCTGAACTCTTCTACAAGACCCCATATCTACGATATAGTACTGCTACTTCGTGCCCAACATGCCCAACTTCATCAGCAAAGCCTAGATGCTCCTATACTATATATACGTCCCTCTCTTCCCTCGATCGCTTTCTGCATCCTCATCCTCTCTCTCCTCAGTCGATATATATATAATCACTCTTTGGAAGATTCAACTCAACACAATCACGTTCTGTCCGTCTTCCAGACACAAATCTCGACCTGCCAACCAGTCAACCTACTGACTTTGCTCTACCGTCTCGCCACGTCTCTCCCTATCACAACATCATCATGGGCGCAGCTTTTTCTCTTATGGGCGCTGTGCTTGGAATCGTCTTTGGAGGTGGTATCGGCGTTGTATGTTTTGACCTCCCTGCAAGACTGTGCCATTTCATCAAATGCCCCATCTACTCCCTCTTACACCCGTACAAGTTTCTGACTATTCGCAGCTCGCCTGGCAGCTTGGAGAAGCTATGCAATCCAGGAGCGTCGAGGGAACCACAATAACTGTGGTGAATGGCATGCAAGGATTGCCACAAGCGAATCTGTCTGGCGTTGAAATATATGGCGCAAATGATACTTCGCGCTTTCTAGGTGGGCAACGTAAGTGCTCTCTCCCTCAGAGGCTGGTGCATCTCAAAGCGCGGGTCTCGTTTTTCATTCCTATCTTCACTTGTTCATTCTTCTGACGAATTGCAGATGCCTTCCTTCCACATTTCGGCAGCCATAGCTTTCCCGCTTTGGAGAACCCGAATTACGTCTACATCACGAATTCGGGTGACCCTGTTTGTATCGCCGGGATGGAGGTGCGGTTCCCTAACGGGTCAAGTGTGGCCATCTCCGGTAACCTCGGTAGGACTTGTGGACTAGCAACCTACGAGTCGAGCCAGAGCGTTCTCCCAGCACCATATGACAAAGCCGGAGCATGTGTCTGGGTGGATCGTCACGGGTCAAATGGTATTCAGCAGCATGGCCTCATTTTCGACATTACTCCGGTCTTGCAAGATCGCGAAAAATACCAGGCTCAAAGGCCCGAGGATCTCTGCAAGCCGCCATTCCACAACCCTGTTCCAGAGTTGCAGCAGGCTCTGGTGAAGAGAATCGAAACCAGTCCGGGCACCGGCGGTTTCAGTACACAACTGATCAAAAGCAATCTGGAGAATACTGGTGCTGTTGTCCGCCTCTGCGAAGGCAAAACCAATATCGGTCCCGACTTTGCGAGTCTGCCTGAGAGACTCTACTGTGATATGGACACGAGAGAGATTCACCCCTTTTGTGAGGAGAACACTCGTGGCGTTTGCTTCGATCCCGAGCAAGATACTCTTCTTGAGATGAACGACGAAGCTTCTATTCCAGAAGTTGGTGGCGTCCAGGCCCGAGGGAGCAAGACCAGAGTTGTCAAGTCTTTCAAGCAGGTCCAGGTCTGGAACTAGTCCCAGGTCTAGCCTGTCAATTTTGTTCCTCAAGTGAGTCGCTTTCGACAGAGGAAAGTGTGCTGTAGGCGACGGCCAGAGTGAAGGATTTGTTAAGGCGTTTAAGTAAAAGATATTGTCAATTGCCGCGTTTCTCGCCCACCGCTGCCTCCAAAATGCCCGTGGCAAGATTCTATATATACGGTTGCCCGAGGAGTCCAGCGGAAAAGTTGACTAGTCCAGCATGTTCACTAAGGTAGCAAGCACGAGAATTCCAAGCCATTTACTGAAAATCTGACGCCTCTGCAATGACTGACATATTCCTCCCAAGAGCCCATTCCAGGTCCAAGACCCTTGCACATCCAGCAAGACAGCGTTCGTTTCGACAGAGTTCCCTTGCTCCTCAAGATCGAAGTCATCTGATCGACTCGGCGTGGTCGGCCCCCAAGTGCTGGTCCCCAGGCGTGCCAGGTCAACGAGGCTGTGCCAGGCAGCCAGTAACCCCTCGAAAATGTCGAAAATCACCCATCGCCTTTGAGCATCGGTGTTCCTCACCGTGTCATGCAATATTGCTTTGTTCACCGCGCCTCCAGCCCAGTACAAAGATGACTATGAGCCTCGGGAGGCCTTCGCAGCAGGAGCGTCGGGGACGAGTCATCTTGGAAACCACCGTTCTCCGAGGGGCCGGTCTCCCGCCTCCAGTAGTTTCGTCATCTGCAAGAAGTGGTCATGGATCCTGCAACTTCCGTGCTCCCTTGAGGCTCACTATGGTGGGGGTAGTCAAATTGGTCACGGGCGCTATGGTTGGCATCCTTGGCCTCGTCGCGACATGGTGGGCACTCGACCTAGCAATGTGGACTGCCGCAAAGGACTTCCGCGAGGACTGCCGGGAGCAATTCCAAGCCTTTAATGTCACGTCTCCTGAATGTGACAAGATCCTCCGCCAAAGTCTACGACCACCTCCGACCTGGCGAGATTACTTCAAGACAAACATACCCAAGGTCCAATATTATCGGGTCCACGGCAGCCCGTCCCATGATGAATTAGGTGCATCGGAACCTATTGCGACACAGTATGGTGACACCGTTATGTGTGATACCTCGACTTTGATCTTCAATTTCCCCCTGGATGAGGCCGTGTGTGAAGAACGTTGGGCCTTCTCGGCCACCATTGAGGAGAATTGTGCTTGCCACGTCTGGACCAATGGTACGGCGGTAGGAACGGTCGAGGTTGCAGATGTCTATGTGCCACATTTCTCAGGGCCAGAGCAGTGTGAAGAGCTTGGTTCGCTGATGCAGCTGGCAGATCAAGAGCTGTGGAGACTTGAATGTGTCTACCCGTGGACAGCAGCGCAGCCGTCGCCCTCGCCGTCGCGCCTCGAGGTTGGTGGTACGGCGGGAATTCCGGTAGAAATTGTCGAGGCCTTCGGTATCGCTTTCCTGCTTGCTAGTTTTGCAAAAGGGCTGTTCCGCTGGGAGTTTGGGAAGAGGACGCGTTGAAGAATAGATCTCACCTTACTATTTGCATGGAAAGGTCAGCTGCAATGAAAAGATTCACCTGATACTAGTACAGCTTCCTTTCTGATCAGTAGCATCCACGCCCTTGAACTCACGCAGCAGCCTGACTCAGTCAAAGAATGCGAGAACTTTCTGCCTCCCGCCCGGACACGTGCAAACGTAAAACATGCTTCTCGAGGACCGTCGCAACGCCAGAAGGGGTGCGGCACAACCCACCCACAACCCACGGCCACCGCCATCACCGCTCAATAAAAGAAAATCCGTTCGTCGCGCCCTGCCGGCTCCCAAAAAAAAAAGAAAAAGAAAAGTCACAAACCCGAGAATCGAACTCGATCGACATCTGGAACCACCGGGCAGCGGAGCAAAAAATCCATGTGTAGATACATGGAGAAAACACTGCCTCACAATCAAGCTTTCCGTCTAGGAGGGATCCTAGATGCTGTAGTATCAACGGCAGGGTTATTGCTTCTGGGTTTCAGTAGGAGGGTAAACTGTCTGCAGCCAGTAAATCCATCTCTACCTATCCAGACAATGTCCGGCCCCACACGTAGTTCATAACCCGATCTAACGGAGGGACGATTGTTAGCAGGAATTCGAGGTTTGAAATATATCAACCCTGCGAGTTTTCAGCTGGCATTGCGGGCATTTGTTTCGCCAAGTAGAACACTTCCAAGAAGGTAAGGCAGGTCAGGTACCTGAGGTTTCTTTTCGTGCCAAGCCGTAGAGTAGGGTACAGCGTGAGGACCGCACGCATGGCGACGACGCGACGTGAGGCTGACACGAGAGGGTGAGAACAAAGGGCAGGGTAGGGGTAAGCAGGTAAGGTTGAGGGCCACCACACATGCCGCAAACCGCAAAAAGGACTTTTTTTACGCCATCATCGGCTTTTCCGAAGAACCTTCGTTCAGGTTAGCGGCATGTTCTTCGGTATGCTTGAGTAAGGATATGAAATGCAAGCGATGCGTGGGTGATCTGATCATTCAGCATCGCCGTCCGGATTCGAAAGAAGCATCAGGCCGCGGTTGCAGGCCAAACTCCTCCAATCTCTCGGGTAGCTGATTGTATGTCCTGTAATACTCCAGTGCTTCTCCGACACAATGCTTTCTCTTTACCCTGTAACTACAAATCTAAACAGGAGTTGGAGCAATCTTGACGTTGGAAATCTTTTGTGGAGCGATGCAGATAACTACTGTGCAAATCTGGCTTAGTTCCAATCCTTAGTCACCATCTGCTCACGTGATATTGCTGTTGAAGCCCGACGGCGTGGCTAATACAGCAACTAGAAGTATCAATCGCTTCGAATATGTCCGTCCATTACCCGCTTTAATGGTTCCAGATTATACTGGTACTTGTTGAAGACTGTGGTCAAGAATACCCTAGGTATGAAATCAAACGCCCAACACCCCTTGGAAAGTTGACTCACTACGACGCACTTCCCCAGGCCAAGCCAGCCAGACCGGCTCGCGCTGTTTCGTTCTTTACGAATGCCAGCTGTAGCTCGTACGATTCGCCGTTTCCTTCTCCGGCGATAACCAGAGCCCATACGCGATGTCCCTCCTGTCGGCATGTTTGTCGAATCAGAGATGCAGCTGCCAATGGTCGGTGTTATGCCAGCCCCATGACACTTATCTCCGGGGGGACTTCTCGTCAAGGCCTACTGTATATTGGGCATTAAACCACCACGTCCCACCAAGGGTAGGCAAGTCTAAAACCCCCCTTTCCTGCACTAAGACCCAAACACACTGCTTGTACATCGCAGAAGCACTTAGATGTAGCCCTGGAGATTGTGTTTTAATTTTTTCGCGCAGTCGTCCACACGCCGTCGTCGCCGACCGGGGACCCGGTGCCAAAAAAGGAGAAAAGGGAAAAAGTATGTCCTACGTCGCCGCCCGCGCCGTCTTCTCGCCTACCGACAGCACCTCCCCGTTATCCGTTTCGCCCTCCGAGACGGCCTTGCTACTGATCGATTACCAGAACATCGCGGTCGCGAGGCTCGGCGACGCGGCGCCCAGCGTGCTCGGCATCGCGCGGCAGATGCGCGACTGGGCCTTGTGCAAGGGCATGTCGGTGTATCACTGTCTGATCGACACAAGGCCCGGCATCACACAGCCTCCTGCGCGCAACAAGATTGCCGCCAAGTGGCGCATGTACGAGGACAAGTTCGCTGCGGTGCCGGGCCTGGGGTTCGAGGCCGATGTGTTGGCCCCCGTTGATCCAGGCTGGGAGAAGACGGTCCTGCGCACGCCGGGACTGATCTCGGCGCTGGAGTCGCGCGGGCTGATGGATGAATTGGTCTCACGCGGTGTGAAGAGCTTGATGGTCTGTGGCATAGTCACAAGTGGGTGTGTTCTGAGCACGGCGCGGGCGGCCACGGATCAGGGGTTCATCGTAACGGTCGTGGAGGATGCGTGTTTCGATCCTGTCCCGGGCTTGCATGGGATGTTGTGTGCGCATGCATTGCCGATGACGGCGCATGTGGCGACCGCCGGCGAGATCAGGGATGCGTGGAAGGTGCTATGAGTGAGGTGCAAGCATTGGTAGGTCATTCAATGGTGTGGCACATTACTATGAATAATCCGGTCTTCTGGGATCGCCGACGTTCCCCAGATGAATAGGACCAGCGGCCGGGATCAGTTGACACTTTTGAGGTGGTTGGCTTAAAGAAGTGCTCTCAAAGAAGGGAGACGATTGTCAAAGGATACAAATTGAAACGTGAGATAACTCGGTCGCCTCGGTATACCTGCCCATCACTGCCCCAAGCCTAAATTAGGGTTAGTGAGGTGCTTCGTAGGGCTCACTAGGCTAGGCCACTAGGCCTAAGTGCGCCATGGGGCGCCTATAAGGTAGTGTCCTAAGCGGCCACGTGAGCTGCTTACTGTAACTCCTAGGGGGCGCCGTGATAGGAAGGGACAAAATCTCTCAGTATTAGAATGACTGTGCACCAGACCAAGCTGGGAGTCCTAATCTCAGATTTTCTATGCTTGCAGGGCAGTAGTAGATAGTATCAGTTGTAGCAAAGTCCACATAGTGACTTGCAATTAGTATTATGCGTAATAGACATAACGATCGTGGTATCATGAAAACCAAAGCAATCCTCCATCTGGGGGTATCAACTCCTGTTTTCTTCCCTCTACCACTCCCATTCTTGTGCATGCTTCCTCTCCACCCAGAGTTCTTCTTTCTCCTACCTATACCTTTCTAGTCGATTCGGTCGCAACCATTACTCCACGTCTCCAACAGACAGGTCTCTGTCTTTTCTTATTCTCGGTGTTCGAGCTCCTTCTCGGCTTGCGTGCTCTCGCTGTCTCGCGCAAGTTCAGCAGCGCCAGCAGCAACAGGCTGGATTTCTCCGGCCTCTGCAGCGCCATTTTCGGTACCGGCTTCTCTCCTAATCTTGGCAATCTCTTCTGGCGGGGGTGCAGCCCATTTCCGGCTGTCCCATGGCTTGACACTGAGGATGTACATGGTATCAATCTCTTCGAGGGTCCGGCCTTGGCCTTCAATGACGAAGAAGTAGATGAGGAACAAGCCTAGGATGTTGCAGCCAGCAAAGACATAACCGTATAAGAAATCGATATCGGCGGTGATAAAAGGGGTGAAGAAGGCGAGAAGGAAGTTCCAGAACCAGTTCGATGCGGTGGACAAGGCCATACCTTTGGCGCGGTAGCGAGAAGGATACAACTCGCCACAAATGGTCCAGATCATCGGTCCCCAAGTTGTTGCGAAGCCAAAAATGAAAAATGAGGCCATAACAATCATTGCCGTACCACTGGATTCTGTGCTCTGGGGATCGTTGCGATCCAGGGAGAAGTGGCCGACACTGGCGAAGATCATAAACATGAGGAACATCCAGAACGACCCGACGATGAGCGACCTACGACGACCGTAGTGCTCGACGATGTACAGTCCGTAGAAGGTAGTGCCGAAATTGATGCCGTTCAAGATCATTTGAGTGACGAAAGAGTTGTTGATACCGGTAGCCTTGAAGATCACCGTACCGTAGTAGAAGAAGTAGTTGGCGCCAGTCAATTGCTGGAACATCTGGAGGGCGATGCCAAGAAGGATACGATATGCCATCTTGGGAGCTCTGAACATGTTGATCCATTCCTGGACGACTCCTTGATGTACGGCTTCGGCGCGAAGTTTGGCTTCGATCTCTTCCAGCTCGACGTGGACGCTATAATGGTTCTCCTGAGCGCCGTATACTTTGAGCATAACCCGCTTGGCTTCGTCCTTCTTGCCTTTGCGGTAGAGGTATCGAGGTGTCTCCGGGAAGATTAGGATGCCCGCGCCCAAAATGAACGCGAACACGAAAGCAAGACCCATGGGGATACGCCACGAGGCCGAGCTACTTCTTTGGTGTTCGTAGCAACCATAGTTGATACACGCGGCCAAGAAGATACCCAAGGTGATCTGGATTTGCGTTAATTTTTTGTCGAAAGCGACGGTGAGGTAGAAATCTTACGAAGAGTTGGTATGTGCTGATCAAGGATCCACGAATGTGTCGAGGAGCGGTCTCGGCTGTAACAATCAGCATCGTATCATGCGACATTGATAGCTCCTACTTACCCATATACATTGGTACCAGCAAAGACAAGGCACCGACACCAAGGCCAGCAACCCAACGACCCATCATCATTTGATACCAGTGGTGCTCGGATGTAATCATGACAATGTTACCGACCGAGAAGATGCAGCACCAAAACGTGACAGAGGGCTTCCGGCCAATGACATCGGCGATTGGAGCCGCAATCAGAGCACCGATCAATGTACCGATTGAGAGCTGTGTATGGTTAGCAGAAGATCGTGCAAAACAGTATGGGCGTGTCACTGACCATTCCTACGATGAGACCGGATCTGACGTTGCTGAAGTAAGCTGTGCCATCACTGTGGTGCTGGCCAAATCTGTCGAGGAAATCTGGCAGCTCCAGGAAACCGGAGATCTGACCAGTATCATATCCGAAGATGAAGCCTCCCATTGAGACGAGCATGCCCATCCAGAATGACGCCCATGTTACTCGTCGCAGAGGACTGTAGTCGAGATGAGACAAGGATTTTCTCGCATCAGTAGAGTCTTCACCGTGCGGATTGTATCTGGACGTCTGTGAGATTCCCGCTCACACAAGGGGCAGCATGAGAAAGGACGTACCTGTCGTAGTTGACGTAGTTGGTCAACCCCAGAGATTGCCGCGTGGGCATCTGGAACTTTGGAACCTTCATCAACCCCATAATTCTTTCGTAGGTTGAGTCGCAATTTGTTGTTTATTGTTCGAGTCAGACTTGGATGAGAGAGAACAAGCGAAGCGATTGATCTTATACCTTCGTGTCAGATTCCCACCCGAGAAAATTGTTGTACAACACGTGGTCGAAGCCGGAGCGGTGATGTTACTTCCAATGGCGGAGGCCCACAGATGACACCACGAGAGGAGACGGGGGTACTGCATGGTATGTCAAATGATGATGGTGACTGAGTGATTTCTCCAGGGATCTGTAAGCACAAAGAGCAGGGAGTTGAGCGTATGACGTGAAGGCGCAACGCTCCATAACGCACAGTGCACAATACTGTGCAGAGTAATCCGGAATATTGGGCCCCTTCGACAGGGTCGCCAGTAAGATGGAATCCGTGGTAGGTGCTAAACAAGGGCCGTCGCAAGTACCGAAAGGCGAGTGCATAACCAAAGATCTAGAACAGACGTGCAATCGAATGACTGGGCCAAAGCGCCGCAGACGTCTTGTGGCGTGAAGAAGCATTTCGGGTGACCGGTCTCGATAGCTTGTGTAGATCTCAGGATATCAAAGAATGCAAGGCTGCGAACCTACCGGAAAGGCGCGGCTCCCGAACGCAAGGCCGGTGTCCACGATGTCAGCATTGGCACAAGGTCATTTGATCAATGATGGATCACTGTTACCTCCAGTAGACTAGGTACTACTGTGGTTCTAGGTGGGAATGTTCGATTTCCTTCCTCAGAACCTCGTAATCAATTTGCCCTCCCCATGGGGAGTTTTCCTGGGAGGATACGAGGCAACAGTCCTGCATGTCAGCAAGGAGAGAGGCGACCAAGGAAGACGTCGAGATGGTGACTTTTGCTGCGAAACAAGAGCTGCAGTATACAGTCTGTCTCGGGGACAGCTCCTGAAGAATGCTACCCATGACAATGAATCAGTACATGATGATTAATGATGGGTCGCATTACAGTATTGTGCAAGAAGTGGACGGCGAAGGGAACAACGTCGAATAATCTCTCGGTGCGGGACTCTGCCCAGAATATTGGTACTAACTTAGTTAGGTTAGTCACGCCAGTTCCGCGAATGGCCTCTCAGTCAGGTGATGCCCTATGGTTATAGAGCCTCCTCGGCTTGCCACTGCCTAGAGCCTGCCACCTGCCCACCGGGACCTTCCTTTAGTTAGCCTGGCACGCCTGGGCATCGCCTGGGCCTTCAAGCCACAAGAAGCTTGAATGTGGTACGTACGATGTACCTGCAGATCACGAGCGCAGCCAAGTTTTCATCGAACATTCGATGTTGTCTTCGTTGCTCCATTATCACGAGAATACTACTGTATTAAAGAGTCCCGTGTACTGTGTACAGTACTGTATCTTTTCGGCGCTCCCGTGGTCCTTACTACGTAGGCGTGGTAGGCCAAAAACCCGCGTCCTGGGGGAGATACTTGTACGAGTAGGTCATCATCATCGACATGTCAGCATATGTTACATCTCTTGCGGGGCTCCTGGGTACCTTGCGAATCCTCGATATCCCAGCTTTCGCGCCCCGGTCCACAATCAACCTGTCCTCGGCGAACTTCGCCCATAACCCTGAGATCATAGGTATGCGAAAGTGGTATGATTAGGCTGCGGATACCCATCTTGAGTAGTCGACCAGAGCGCCACCAAGGGTCGTTAGGCACAGTCAGCCATCACTTTCTGAACAGTGTTCAATTGTCATGTGGACGGCTTGATCAGCACTTCTTCCATTTGACTGCGGGTGGGTGTTCTGCTATCTCCTGACAAAGCGGATTCCCCCTGTCTCCGGATTCTTCACATGCGTACTGATGTTGAAGTACTTCCCATCCAATACACCCATCAACCGCGCCCTTGCTGCTTCTTCAGTTTCCCCGTTCTGTCTCACTGGCTCGATCTTATACGCTGAAAGCACATGCGCAACAACCGCAACGAACTCGACTTGGCTGAATTTCTTGCCCGGGCAGACGCGCGGTCCAAACACCCAAGGTATGTACATAATACCATCAGCTTCCGGCACCGTCAGTACATCTTCGCCGTCCTTCGACTGGGAGACGAAGCGCTGCGGCTTGAACTCGAATCTATCTGCACCCCACAGAGGCGACAGATGCAGGGCATAGAAATCTGCAGTGATCAAAGTTTCGGGTTCTATCATGACGGTCCGAGAGTGTCCAGGCTTCTTGGCCGAGGGAGCAATAGGAAGCAGCGTCGAGGTGGTGGGTATCCGAAGCATTTGCGGCGCGGGTCCTGCGAGTCGTAGAGTTTCGTACATCACTGCCATGACACGAACAAGCTTGGAGTATGTATCTGCATAACTGACCTTGGATAAAGTGTGAGTATACTGCGCGTCGACTTCTTCCCTGACCCAATCTTGCGTCTTAGGATGTGCTGCGAGATACGGAAGAGCGAAGGTCATGGTCCCTGCCGTGGTTTCAAATCCAGCCAAGTTGAAAACGAAAAGATTTCCATAGAGCTCGGAGTCTGTCAGATATGACGGCTTGGAAGAAGCTGTCTGAGCTTGGGATTGCGACTTCTCGGCCTCGTTGGCGTGGACCATAGCCTCAAGAAGACTGGTGGTCTTTCCCACAGACTTCTGGTTTGATTTGCGCAACTGATAAAGAACAGATTCCTGCATGTACTTGCGGAACTCGGCAACTGAAAGCTTGAGCCGACGAAGCGTCTGAGGGAGGAATGGGTCGGGGACCTGGATGCCGTTGAAGATGATGCTCACGAAGACATGCTTGAGGATGAATCCTAGCGAATCTAGGAGTGTCAGGCGGTGGCCAGGCGGAATTGTCGTCAAGGCGGTGCTATCTTGGCCGAACCCGACAGCAGCGAGCACATGCATGGCAAGAACTTCGAAATCGGATCGGATATCTGCCAGATTTCGAACGTTTTCGTTGTCAAATCTGATGATTTCGCGGGCCCGCTCGAGAGACTCGTCCCAGACATTGCGCATGTTTTGGTCATTGAAAGCCGGAGCCGTGATCTTGCGGTGACGTTGCCAGTCCTGACCGTTCAAGCTCGACACATTCTGTCCAAAGAAGGTGAAGAACTGCGCAAACGGGTCCGGCAGGATCCATGTCTTCATGTCCTTGTAAAGTCGCTCAATCGCGGGCTGGTGACTTGTGATGATCTGATTGCGGGTAGGTGTGACCAGGACGAACGACTCTCCCAGTCTCGACACACTCCTCCCGCCATCCACCATCGGCCACCCGATGTCAGTGTACAGATACCAGTTGCCGAGTCCGCAGGGCAGCCGCTCAACCCATGCAAATAGCGGTCTGAGTGGCGCGAACCATGCGTCCTCGAAGGAGATAGGCAACAGCACGATTGGGAGCTTGAGACGACGGGCGCCGATGTAGTTGACGAGTAGTCGGTAGGACCTGTAGACGGTGAAGGCAATGCAAGGGAGAAAGACGATGTAAAGTCCTATCTTCATATTGAAGCCGGATGTCGATACCACTGTTTGTTGGACTCACGCGCGACACCAGCCTTGGCCCAGACAGTTCAATTCTTATGCTGTTGACTTGAAACGATTACTAGATCTCGCATGGATGGTGTTCCAAGTTGAAGCTGACCAGAGACGAATATGTCGACGTTGCGCGTCCAGTCGTATTGGGGGCCTGATGACATAGTAGTTGGAGGGGAGATTGAGTTTCTCACCTGGACACCAGATACCCACTAGATTCTGATATGCTTAGATATGTACTGGAGGCTTTCCCGTGAAAGATCCTCGTATACAGTGGTATGTGAAGCATCGGGACTTTTCTGACAATCTTAGATGAAGAAGACTGACTCACCGTGACCAAAAGATCCTCGCTTCGATAAGGCAAAAAGTGAGTTGCCTGACAGTTGAGTTCCAGAAAAAGATCAACGCACAGGCTTACATGTACAGGGCATACTACCCCTGCACGGCACATAGGCAAAAGATTTTAGGCACCGAGAGAATATTTAAGTATCTGTCATTACAACAGATATTATTCCTAAGCAGATATCCGACAAATGCCATTTCGACGGTACATAACTTTTTGTCACTTCCCACTGACTCCTCAAGTTCCCTCGCCGCACACACCTACTTCTCGTTCCACCCAGGCCAGATCTCCTCCGAGAGCCGTTTGACCAGCTCCAATTTCTCCCACATCCTCTCTCTGCTCATGCCCACGCCACCTTCACTGTGGTCGCTAGCGAACCCACACTGAGGACTCACCGCAAGATTATCTCTGAGCGCATCCTCCCTTGCCCTACCCTGTCCCTCCGCAATTGCGTCCGCAGCTTGGTACACCCTCTCTTTCAACTCATTCAAGTCCTCCAATTCGGCATACTTGGTCGTGACCACGCCCAACACCACAGCCTTGTCGACTGGCAAATGCTTCAACGGCGTGAAATCGCCCGCCCGAGGACTATCGAATTCCAGGTAGAATAACTTATACTCGGTCTCATTGAACAATTTCCTGGCAATCCGCTCATAAGAGCCGCTGGCCAATCCGACTCCGTTGGGAAAATTGCCTCGGCAGATGTGAACGCCAACATGCAGATCTGAGGGCAAGTCACGGATCGCATCATTGTGCGATTTGATATACAATTCGAGCAAACGGTCGAGATCGACCCCTTCGGCCTTACAAGTCGCGATCCATTCTTCATCGCAAAAGAAACTAAGGTTCGGGTCGTCGACCTGGACCGCACGAAGGCCGTGGTCATAAAGCGTCATGATCTCCTTCCTCACAGCGGCACTCAAATCGGCCAAAAGGGCTTCGTCCGAGGAAAACAAGTCCGGAGAAAATGGCTGTTTTAGTTGAATGTGCCACCATCCAGGCGGTGGCACGGTCATCTTTGCGTTCTTGACCTGATCTTCGGGAAGCAAGTTGCGGAAGAACAGCCAGTCGTCCAGATAGGCGGACTTTTCCAGCGTGACCTTCTTCGCTGTCGGATACCCAGCGTCGCGCCCCGGGACTCCCCATTTCGCCAGGGGACGATTGGTGGGGAAATCCTTTTTAAAGTCTTCCATGGGCGTATAGCGGACCTCGAAACCGCTCAAGGATTCGAAGAAATTCCCGTAGAAGATGCCACGTTCAAATTCGCCGGTCACGATTGGGAGGATATTGCGCTGGAGCTGTTCGCTGACGACATCCCTGATGGCGGACTCTTGCTCATTTCTGAGTGTTATCAGAGGATCACTGGACTCGTCGGTTGTGCCAGTACTGCCGTCGCTCATGGATGCGTCTGCCGAAGGTCCAGCCCGTAGACGGTTCCATTTCAAAGTCGATTTCTTTCGCGCTTCAACGAGGCTCCTGGGTCGTAGAAGAGAGCCAACTTGGTCGGCTCGAAAGGGTGGTGCCATTGTTACGTCAATGATCGGTGTATCTTCAAGGCAGTAGGTCGTCAGGTGAGAGCACGAATGCTAACTTAGTAGTACCCAAGAGGTTGAACGTCAAAAGAGCCTCTTCGTCGACGTTCCCCCGTCAATTCAACAGCCTCGGAATTGATCCATTGAAATGAGGGGAACAACTGGAAGAACTCCGCTTTATTCTTGCGGCGTCTCGTATCGGCCTTGACCTGATGACCCCATGATGACCCCATTATACTTACGTGCCCAACATTGCAGACGCGGACAACCTGTAAGATGAGCTGTTCAATGAGATTGATGGCCATCCATGGCTTCGGTCTTTTGCGCATATAGTAAGGCAAGGTCCGCGCGAGCTCAACGATAGCCATGACGTCGTTTACTGCTGTTCCATGGTGCTATCCTTCAATGGCGCCAGACAAAAGGTTGGTAGGTAGGCACCTAGGTCAAAAGTCACAATCACCACGATACTCGCCTGTGCTGGAGTAGGTCATGCGCAGCGCAGGGAACATCCTCTCAAGTTGGCTGCAATTCGGCTCCCTTTCGTGGTGGTAAGGGAAGACACGCTTTGAGACCACATTGAGTGGTAAATCTTACCATTCCGAAGCCGGTGACGGGCGCGCGAGCTGCCAGCTTGATGATCGTCACATCGACCGGTCCATCCACAGGAATATTTGAGGAAGTTGCTTTTTCTCCGCCACCCATATGCAAGTCGGCAGAATGCAAGGTGAACCACCAAGCTACTGTATGCCGGCAAATGCAGGAACGAGCATGTTACTCGTATCTTGGACAAGCATCCACAAGCATTTCCGGGACTACGCAAAGCCTGGACTGGACGGGGCAAGTTGTGACGGGGGCCGAGACCAATTTGCTACTGCAGTGATAGTCTCAAGTTGCGTCTTGATTCTACCCCTGAGACAGGCATTACCCTACATCAGGCAAAAGTTACGAGAAACCGGCCTCATGGGCTGGCTCGTGGTATCGGGGAAATGCACACGATCTCTGACATTGCACGGTTCGACTTGATGGCTGTTGCATTGGCGGCGGCATTTGGCCTGCGTGCATGTGGCTGATCAAGCTGGTGGGTCAACACTGGGAGACTGGGATCATGCCTTTCAGCCTGCAGCCCATGCCGGCAGTTGAAGGTGGATGGAGGAGCGCTGGTACTGCGTAAACCCTTGCGAGGACTTGCCCTTGCATGTCCAGTATGATATCGCCCATGATCCTGGACCGCGGGCACATTATCAGCCGCTGCATGCATTCCAAAAGATGCAGGAGAAGTGACAAGATCCTGATTCCGATTCCAGGATCAGTCAATTCTCCTTGCCGTCTCGAGCGCCGGATCAACCCATGAAGAGAGGAGAAATTCCTCACTTTGGTGGGCTTTCAATCATATCTGTACAGAAGTCCTGTCCCGCCTATCCATCATAGTCGTGTTCACGGCCCATGCGCCTTTGCTGGTCATCCACACCTCCCAATGCGGGCCCATTTTGTGTAACCGGATCACCGACGCACCGCATAACGTCCAGCGCCTTCCAATGTCCCACGCCACCAGGCCCATGTTCCGTTTTGCAGGGAACAATCTCCAAGAATATATAGGTCTAAGCGTCTTGATAGGAGATGCTCCATTCCTTCGTAGTTTTGATAATCATCGCTTTGCTCCCATCACTTCCGTCGCTTCGACCCCCGTTGGAATTAATACTGTCACTCCTGTTGCGCTCTGGTCTTGGATCCATATCGTCCTTCTGCGCCTTGCCACCACGTCCGCTGTGGATGACGACGCGGGAACTGCTCGTGAGCGCCTGTCCAATCCCACGTTCTCCCGTATCGGCCAATGTAGTACCTTGACGAGGAAGATCAAGGCTCTCGCCTCGAACGTCACTCGTAAGTGCCTGACTCCGGACAGCCGAGATGGCTTTGCTCTGAGCCGTCTTGCCCATAAGATAACTGTCATTTCCATATCCGAAGCGTCCATCTTCCTGGACGACTCCAGACAAGTATCCTGCCTGGATGGAGTCCATGAAGGGTCGTAGATGTGGTACGCACGCAGAGAAAACACTGAAGAACACTTCGAGGATCGTCGCAATCGTGGGAAGCCAGCTGTTGAACGTGACATCAGTGCCACGCTCGAAGAAGCGATGGATTTCAGTCAGCCGCCACACCGTACACGCGACTGCACCGATTCTGAACGAGAAAGCGAAGCAGACAGCAATCTTCTTCTTCGTCACAAGCTGCAAGTTGTAGACCAAGAACATCGGCAAAGCCATGATGGCCACGTCGGTGAGGATGTCGATGACTCCGAACGCATCCCAGAAGCCGGTCTGGCTGAAACATTTACCCGTCGTGATCAGATATGGGTGTGGTAGATCGCATTGAAAGGCGCTGGAAAAGACCGCGGTAAACGCCCACACAAGGATGATACCTCCCACAGCCCGCATGGGCATTCGGTGATATGACTTGTTTGGCGCCAACGCAATCAGAAGTGACAATGTTGAAAGCTTGCCCAAGGCCAAGCTCCAGATGTACAAAATATTCCAAGCATAGCCGGCTTTTTGAAACCCCTCATATTCTTCTTGTGAGACACTGGAGAGCAGTGACCCAAGCCCATTGCTGACCTGGTTGTTGATCGCAATGGTGAAGCCGATTGAAAAAAGCTGCACATGTTAGCCTTGTCGCATAGCCTACACACTGACGGAGCCTCGTGCATACCATGGCCGTCGTGATAATGCTATCTGCCCACATCAGCCTCCGCAACACCACCAGCTTGCTGATGAGGACGGTAATAACGGCCAGACACAAAGTTGCCAACGCGACCCATGATACTAGGTTGACGACGGGTCCTTTTGCTGTAGCTGATATCACGGGCGTTCGAGCGATAAGAGCCCGTGCCGTCGCCATGTTGGAAGAATAGTGTCTGGAGGCTTGAACGGGGACCAGTTCTTCCCTCGGGACGTTGAAATCTCAATGCCTCTGAAAGCGAATGGGCGCATTGAGAAGTCCCCGAGAACAAGTAGAAAACCCGATGAGCAAGACCATCTAGGGGGAAGAAGAACTGTCTTGCAAACGATCAAGGTTGGTGATTCGAAGCCGGGGTTAGTGAAAGACGTTGCAACGTGAATTGTGATGGATTCTCGGTTGGCTCTGGATGCATGAAATCAAGCAGGGGACCATCGAGGTTGCTGATAAGGTATCAGTACCGTGGATACCCTTTCGACGAGCAGCAGCCTTTCTGGCCTTCTGCTCGTGTCAGAGATCTTCGGCATTACCCCTGTGACTTGATGGCCTAATCTTGCTATCATGCTCAAATAGGACCTTGGGTATCACTCGGCGACCTGCTGGTCCTCGGCACATGTATAGCGGAAACAAACCTACTGAGGGATGTGCAGGCAAAAGTGCTGGCATGGGTTGAAAAAAGGTTATGGACTTGGTGGGCTAACGGGGCGCGGAGGTCGTGTTCCCAGACGCCGCTTGTGGCAGCCCCGATTTAAGCGGTAACGATCTCCCAAGGCCCACTCCAAAACGACCAAGTTTTCTCTGGGGGCGATGGTCCCTCCCGGTGCTACCAAAGTACATAGTGCCATGGTATGCCGGGGGAAGAGCTTAGTCTTTCAGTGCCGGACATTGGTGTTTGGTCAACCGTTCACAGCACCCATGCAAGCTAAACAAGTAGCGCAGATCGCTGGGGCGGATGGTGGCCAGACATTGCTTAACTCGTCCTCATTCGACCAACACAGTTCCCTAATCGCTTCGACAGTCAGTTGAACAGACACGCAGGATGGCTTCGGGTGCAAAAGTGTCAATGCCACCTATCGCATTGGTGATGCCCACCATGCCTCATCTTTGGCTCGATACTCCAGGAGCTGCCGGGATGATCCACATTGAAGTGATCACCAGGACGGCTGAGACACCTACGTCGTATTTGCTCCCCGCATATGCAAGCATTTGTCTGGTTGACAGCTCAGACGGCGTTCTAGGTCTTCTGGTGATTTCGGATCAAATACTTGGGTCAACCATGAGGCACCTCGTTTCTAAGGCATATTCCGTACATGACGAGGGACTTGGCCACGAATGCTCCAACGGTTTGACAGGAGCCACTGATCGCGTGTCGCAAAGCACGCCTCTGTGCTTACTTGTAGCTACAGTAGCGTGTGATGAAGCTTAAAATGAATGCTGGTCAGGGGCTTATCACAAAAAAATGGCTCCCTGCAGTTGGCACATTCAAGCACTTCCTTTCAAAGAGAGGCCGCCAAACCTCCTTTCGGCGGTGGATAATTTGTAGACAGCTCGAGGACTGAGATTGCTGTGTCAGTCTCCCTCATGATGGGTGGTTGGTCGGCGAAAACCAAATGCAAAAATGAAAGCCTGCTGATACCGTCTCGAGAGAGACCAGCGTGCCCTGCGTTGTTGATCCCTGCTCATCGCAAGACCTGACGCAAGCATGAATCCGTTCGACTTAGGCGATCTGTCGCAACCTGTTCGCTTCGTGCTACCTGGTAATGGTTCGGGGGAGAAAAGAGAGGGAGGTCCCATCGCGTACAGAGTCGCGGAGAGCGTTGATCGCGTCCCACCCAAGTCTCATATATGTATCAGCCAAATTGAGTGATTTGTGGCTTCACAGGAAATGACACTGGCTGGGGCTTGAGCAGTTTTGTGAAATCCAACAATGATGCCAGGAACTCTCCGGGGTTATTGTAACGTTGGGACGAGCGCGGCCTAGCGAGCTGCACGAATTGCATTTCCGTCACACCGGTAAGCTGCCATCACTTTGGCAGATCATCCCCGTCAGGTTCGTCGCAGAATCTCGGGCCTCATCTGCCCATTTTACCATCATAACAAGTAGTAAGGGGTTTGTCCATGGCTTCCAAGCTACAATGTTGGAATGCTATGTCCTTCCAGGCAATATTGGCAATGGATTTTGCTGGCTGTCAAGTTCCTTGCTGCATATTCGGCGGGACACACCTACAGAGTCAAATGAATACGTGATATCGGGCAATAACTATACCCTGTGGACCCACTTACTCGTACAACAATAGCATGTGAGTACAAGCTCTCGCGTAGAAGGCTGACACTCATGCAAGCCATCTTTTAAGTGACGCTCGAGACCATCCGGGGATATTGGCCTTTTTGAGCCACCATCCCCGTCGGGGGCTTGCATGCCGCTTGAGAGGCGTTCTGGACCCTGGTCACCGACATTGGTCGTCAAACATCCGCATTGCGCACCGACCACCAACCCGTGAACGATGCATGGTTCCAGTATCGCAATGGGTTGATCCGTTTCTCAACGCATGGCGCATTCTTGTATCTAGGGTCTTTTGGGTCGTGCAGTACTCATTGATCCGTAGATTTCCATCTGCCGTTCGGCAGGTAAATTAGATGGACCGTCCTGTGCACATGTTGCACTTCTGATTTTCTGATCTTTTGAGATACTAGTATCTTGCTGGTCTTTCGTCGTTCCTTCAGTATTCTCACATATTGAGTTCTCAATTTATTGCAATCACGCCGCACGGCCGCTATTCATCTGCTGAAAAGAGAATATCGCGTTCGTTCTCGAAGTGCAAGATGGGCGACTCATACGCAATGAAGAGTGGCAGCAAATATGCTTCTGAGATTCACCACTCCAGAACTTCGTCTGAAATGGCACGCAATGTCGAAAAGTCTGTCGATCGGGATGAGCAGGAGATGGCGAGACTCGGCAAGCGTCAAGAACTGCGGGTGGGAATGCAACATGCTCCAAGTGATCCGGGAGAATATGACTGACACTTCACAGAGAAACTTTGGCTTTATGAGCATGCTCGGCTTTTCCTGCACGCTTATGATAACCTGGGAGGGACTCCTAACGGTATTCGTTTATGGATTGACCGACGGAGGCCCAGCTGGACTCGTGTACGGGTTTCTCTTCTGCTGGGTTGGGTACTTTACTGTTGTTGCTTCTCTGGCCGAGATGGTTTCAATGTAGGCCAATCGGACGTCCTGATGATGACTTGCGCGCTGACCTGTGCAGGGCGCCCACAGCAGGCGGCCAGTATCACTGGACGTTTCTGTTTGCTCCGAAGTCTTGTCGCAACTTCCTGTCGTTCGTTACGGGATGGCAGTCCGTTCTTTCATGGCAAGCTTGTCTCGCATCGGCTGCTTATCTCGGTGGTACCATCATGCAGGGGCTGCTCGTGCTTAACTACCCCAGCTATGACTTCCATCGCTGGCATGGAACTCTCCTGCTTTTTGCAGTGATCACTGTGGCGTTGCTCTTTAACACGTACCTGGCGAAGCAGCTGCCTAAAATCGAGGGCGCCGTCTTGATCGTGCATATTGTTGGCTTCTTTGGAGTGCTCATCACTCTGGTCTATCTTGCGCCGCATGGATCTGCCCACGACGTTTTCGTCAAGTATCTCAACTCCGGAGGATACGACAAGGGCACCTCCTTTTTTGTGGGGTTGATTACCACGGTTTTTGCTTTTGTGGGTGCCGATGGAGCCATTCACATGTCCGAAGAGATCATCAATGCGTCCACAGTTGTACCAAATTCCTTGGTGGCATCAATTGGCTTGAACGGTGCGATGGGGTTCAGTATGTTAATCGCAATCCTGTTTTGCATCGGAGACATCGAGAGCGCGCTCTCAACGCCGACCGGCTTTCCTTTCATCGAAATCTTCCGCCAGGCCGTCAACACGAACGCAGGAGCCACAGCCATGAGTGCTGTGGTCCTTTCATTGATGATATTTGCAACCATTGCTGTCTTGGCAGCCGCCTCGCGAATGATGTGGGCTTTTGCAAGGGACAATGGACTGCCTGGCTCACGGTTCATCTCTCAAGTCGAGCCTCGGACGAAATTGCCCCTGTACTCGGTTGGGCTCTCAGTCATGATCACGATGTTGTTGGGTTTGATCAATATTGGTTCCAGTGCTGCGTGAGTTTCTCTTCCCGAGCTCTGATGCCCCTCATTGGCTTCGTCACCTGGCTTGTGAGTCTACAAGATATTGTGCTGACCAGTTGTAGCTTCAATGCCGTTGCCTCATTGGTGGTTTCAGGATATCTTTCCAGCTATACCTTACCCATGATTTTACTGCTGCATAAGAAGATATTCCACCCTTCGTCTATCCATTATGGGCCATGGAGATTGGGACGAGTTTTTGGCATCTTCTGCAACGTCTTCGGTCTCAGTTGGATTGCCATTGTCATGGTCTTCAGCTTTTTCCCGGCGGACCGGACGGCTTTGTCGGCACAAACCATGAACTGGTCCTGTCTCTTGTGGGGAGGCACCATGATCATCGGAATCGCAAGCTATTTCGGATACCTTCGAGGGCGTTACAATGGCCCTGTCGTTGAGGGCGACATTGTTGAGCAAGTTCGGGGTGTCTGAATCTTCACAAATCCGGAGTAAATTCCAGGTTAGAGAAGTCCACAGGCTTGGGCTTGGGACCTCAGAGTTGTCCAAAGGGGAGACACATTTGGTGAGCAGACGCCATGATGAACACGAGTGGTACTTGGATATGTTGACTGTACTTTTCTTCTATGACGGATGCAGGAACCGATGTACGTAAAAAGTGATGCTGAAAATGAAGATGAAAGGGTTGCCACTGTCGCGTGAACATCTCGCGCCTGGCAGTGTGACAAGGTCAAAATTTACCGTTGATGACCACAAGGCCCAGACGTTTGCTGGCAGGAAGAGGGAACACGACTCGCAAGCTTTGAGGCTTTGAGTGCCTGGTTAGAGAATTCATTGTGCCAATGTTACCTAGGTAAATACCTGACCTGAGTACATTGCGAGATTTGATTCTCACTGTGCAGCTTCACGTGCAGAAATCTCTAGGTAGGGTTCGGACAACCTGCCCTTCTAGACAGACGCGTCAAAGCTCATCATCAGTACGGATAGAAATGAAACAGATCGACAGGGATGCGAAAAACACGTTCAATCACACACATCATTAACCGTCAATCTCTCCGTACAGAGTACCCTTTCATCAAACATGAGGCGGACTGCCCAGTCTTCAGTACGAGTAACATAACCGACCAACAACTCTTGGACAGACGCTGGTCGAAACTTGCTCGACGTCGCCAACGCGCAGGGACAGCCAAAGATCGGGTTCTCGAACCATGAACGCCGACTCTTATTTTTAGTGCTACTACCTGCAGCTCCAGCCTTGTTCAAGACCTCGAAGACCATCTTTACTCGTGTTTATAGCCCTATGATTGATGTGTTGGACGAACTACCATAGTATGCTTCCTCTCAGCCGGTGAGTGCGTGTGTGCGAACGGGAGTGGGCTTGACCCTGTTTCAGACCTTGGATCAGCACGGGCAAGCGATACGCAGTGGATTTATGTGGAGAAACATCGCCCATCAAATCCTTGAGATTGCGACTGGGAATGGCGTTCGTTGCTCGGAGTGCATATTATGGTAGTACTCATCCCTGCACCCTGGTGCGCACTTGCTTGGTTAACGTGATTGCCCTACGAATTTTGTTGCTGCCGCTCATCTTGTGCCTTCCCATCAAATCGTCCTAGACCTGTCTTTCTTCTTACCATTCGAGATGTTTGCTCACCCGGGCCGGAATCATGAGCTGCAGCGACTCTTCCCGAACTAGCACGGATGAATCTCAAGTCGGCCTTCTCAGTGAGAAACGGGACTTCTACCACGAGGATGAAGAAGAATTATCCCCTACCACGAGGTTGCCCAGGCCTCGCACCACTTACAAGCTCCTCCTCATTTGGCCTTGTTTACCCATACGACATCTTGGTCGGTTTCTCGCCCAGATAATTCATCTGTTGCTACCGAGCTTCCTTCAGCCTCGTCGCCAGAGTGGCTCTGGGAAACCTGACACTCTCCCACCGACAGCTTTCCTGGATGGCATGCGAGGTCTTGCCGCGTTCATCGTCGTCATCTGCCACTTGACATATGGCACTTTCGACATTGGCCATGCCTGGGGTGCAAACACGGGTTCAGAAGCCAACCCCCAAGGTCAAGAAGCCAACAAGGAATTCCTCCGTCTACCTATAGTTCGATTGTTATACAGTGGCCCGCCAATGGTGGCAATATTCTTCGTCATCTCAGGCTATGCACTCAGCTACAAACCTATCAGGTTAATGCGGTCACAAAGTCACGAGCAGCTCATGACGACCATGAGCTCCGCCGTTTTCCGACGTGGACTGCGACTCTTCTTACCATGCTTCGCATCCACATTCCTTGTCATATGTTTGGCCCAACTCAATCTGTACGAGCTCACGGAAGAGTTTGCCAACCAGATGCGCACGCTACGCGAAGACCACTGCTATACTCAGCCTTATTTTTGGTTACAATTCACCGACTGGCTGCAACAGATACTCATCTTCATCGACGTATTCGACTGGTCACTATATGCCGGATCGATTGAACTGGACCGTCACCTCTGGACCATTCCTGCCGAGTTTCGTTGCAGCATGGCTCTCTTCCTCAGTCAGATGATGGTCGCGAGGATGTCGACGAGACTTCGCCTTTCGACCCTTTCGGCGCTCATGGTCTGGGGAGTCTCATGGGACCGGTGGGAGCTGTGCCCGTTCTGGGCTGGTGCGATAATTGCGGAATTGGATATCATACGGCTTTCGAACCCTTCTCGCCTTTCCTCCATCGCTGGGCAATTATCGTCTCGAAGCCTCAAATGTGCATCCAGTATCTTTTATACGCTTATGTTTTGCTGCTCGCTATTCCTCCTCTCATACCCCGACGCCGCTGGCCACGCAACACCAGGTTACGTCACCCTCACTCATTACATTCCCACTTGCTTCACACAAAAGCACCGCTTCTGGCCGACCATCGGCGCTGTCCTCATCATCTGGTCGGCCTGCCGCCTAGACGTCCTTCGAAACCGGGTATTTTGCTTTGCTCCGATACAATATCTCGGCAAAATCAGCTTCCCGCTGTACGTAATGCACGGCCCGATCATTCATACCCTTGGCTACTCGGTACGTTCCGCATTAACTTCGTCAGACGTGATCGAACTAACGAAAGTCCCAGATTCTCCCACGAACACCTGACCTCGAAACGCCCGAAATCATGCGCCAATTCGAGCTGGACTTCTCGAAGGCGTCTGTTGTAATAATGCTGATGGTGGTCTGGGCGGCCGATATTTTCTTGAGACTGATCGATATACCCTGCGTCAACCTGGCGAGACGGGTCGAGAAGATGTTCTTCGTGACCTGAACGTCTAGAGAGTTGGTACACGTCTGGACTACGTTGCGCGCGTAACCGACATATGGGAAATGCCAGGCTGTCCGGCCGTCAAGATCCAAGAAATCTGTCCACGCTCGTGACAAAATCAACGAGAAACCATCTGTATCATCCTTGGGACGCACACATTCGCTGAGTGAGTTGAACATGCATACGAACGTGAAAATGGAAAGTGACGATACATGGATACTGGACAGGATGCAGATACTTTTTTTTATAGAGGTAGACCTACAATGTAACTCGACGGGCGATAGTTGCAACCAGCTGCCCTGCACTGCCATTCCTATTGTTGTCTACGGTGTTGCAGATTGATTTTCATTCCGCTTTGGCCCATCTTGTGTCAGGAGGGTAAAGACCTTATTTGTGCTCCGTGCTTTGGATCCGCTATACCAGAATTGTGGTAGTACTACGTTAATATCGAACGGCTTTTGTTCCGAGGTCTCAGGCCTTACTCGTATAACGTGCCCAAGTAAGTACCCTACTAGCATTGAGTTAGCATGTACTAGGTAGGGTCGGTAGGTTAAGGTAAGTCCAAGGCACTTAAGTCTATTCTCCAGCCGCACCCCTCTCGAGCCTTCGTGCATCGTGAATTCCTCGTGTCCATACTGATTACTAGTACTCCGTAGTGGTCTTAGGGATTTGTGCCTCCATGGTGACTCACAGCGTGCACAGATGAGCAAAAATGAAGCACGAAAGCACGAAAGCACGAAAGCACAAAGGCGCAAAAACACCAAAATACTCCGTTTCAGCCTTTTGACAGACCAACATGCAGTTCTTTTCTTCGTGTGCAGGCAACATACAAGGTAGCCTATTGCGAGCCCTTTGTTCCAAAACCTTACATCAATGACACTAACCGGACGACACGGGGGCGGACCGGACAGAAAAGATCAAAAGCCCTATAGCTCCTGGCTCGCCCAACTGGCCTCCAGCCTCTCCGCCTCGAGAAGAGCATCGACATCCAGATCCTTCGACTTCTTCGTGACGCTATCGTCCAAGAAGTCCAGTCCAGCCATGGCTTCCCCACCGCATGCCTGACCTAGAGTCAAGAAGGCAAAGTGTCCTCCCACGACCGGCCGGGCGAAGAAATTGGGCCCGGGAAACCCGCCGCGACCTTCAGTCATGTGCAGATCCGTCAACGGTCGATCCGTGTCCGTCTCGTTGACCCACTTTGCGACGGACTGCAGTATTCCAGCTCGGACCTTGGGCGCGGCGACCGCCATAGCGAAGAACTCCCAATCCGTCTTGGTATATAAATGCCGTGAGTCCAATGGCAATCCATACTTCTGGCGTACCGCCCAATACCAATCGCTCTGTAGTTGGTAGATGTGCTTCGGCACGAATCCATCCTTGTCGCCTTCAATCTTCTTAAGTGGTTTCTGGTACTCGTATCGTCCTCCTATGCTCGGTGGAACACTCGAAGTATTTTCCGACCCGAGATGGAAGCACAGCAGGCTGTCCGCGTACAGATTGTATGTCGTCGTCCATGAACCGTACCAGTCGTAGGCGAGCTTCGCATGAGTCTTATCACGAGAAATACCAAATTCTTCCCATTTGGCAATGTAGACCTTGGAAATGTTATTGTAGACCTTGGCGTCTTCGTAATTCTCAACAAGCTCTGACAGACCCGCCATAGCCTTGATGCCGATGATGCCTTTAAGTGCCAGATTGGTTTGCAGCGCCAGCCAGCCAGCAAAGTCGTCGGTCGACAACTGATTGTGAGGTTCCAAGGAAAAGTCCACAACATAACTCGTCCATTGCTTCCACAATCGATAACTCCTGCTCACCCATTTTTTAGCCCTTTTGAGACTTTCCGACTGCCCAACGTAAGCATTGTCAATGTAGGACAGACCACCTTCTCTGCCAACAGAAAGCGGACTGAGGCTCTCACTCGTCGATGTCGGACCTGGCACCCCGCTCATAGGTTGCCAAGTTTCAGAGACAGACGTATTTGCCCCGTTCTTCAGGGAATTTGCTAGAGCAAGACCCATGATAAGAATGTTTCCGCATTCTTCCACCGGCATATACTCATCCCTTCCGAGAGGATGTCCGGTCGCATTGGGAAAGTGGGCACCGAGGTCGTGCATTGCATACTTGTTCGGGTATTGTCCGCTTAACATGTGCTCGATCAATGGCTCAAGCAAGTATCCGAGCCACCGAGGATTCGTGTACAGGAAGAATGGAAAAGCAGGGAAGATGACGTCTATTGTCTGGAAGTTGCCGTTGGACGAGATCTCCTTCAGAAACAGGATGGGATCATCGGGAGTACCGGAAAAGCTTGTGGCGCCCAGCACCTGCCGAGCAGACAGAGCCACAATGTCCACATAATCCTCTGCTCCGGACTTGTAAGCATCGGCGGCCAGCTGGGCCGAGTAGTTGTACGCTAGTTCTTTGGCGGAGTAGAAATCCAGATAGTGGAATGTGAGCAATTTGTCGACCGTGGTGAAGTAGGACTCCCATAAAGGTCGCATATACGTCAAACCCCGAGCGGCAGCAAATTGTACGACTGGATCCTGGATGTGGGCAATGGTAAACGTGATGCTGTCATGGTGGACGGACTCGGCGCTATAGTTCATGGCGAAGGATTTCGAGAAGGCAAAGACTGGCTCCTGGTCCATGATGGGACGGAAGTGGGAATCAACCAAGTTTTGAAGAGTCCCTGTCCTCGAGAAGCGCTGCCTCAGAAGCGCGGAAGTACCGACTTCGTGTCGGACATCTGCTGGGGCAGAGAAATGCAGGCTACCCCATTCAGCACGATCTTGGAACTCTGTAAATAGTTGTTCGACTTCTCTTCGAAATTGCCACGTCTTGAAGCCTTTGCCCATGCCATCCAGAGGCCTTTGATCGAGTTCCCAGACAATCTTGCTGCCTCTGTCCCCGCTCACCCATTGGCCATTAACATCGATGTAGATGTCCACCGCGACGTTGCCAGCAACATAGACGGTGACGTAGCTTGCGGGTAGCGACTGCCTGACAGTAGACGTAGGAGTTATAGGAGACAGAAAAGAAAGAGTGATGTCGAGATGGCTCAAGGCGGAGTAGGACGAGGTGAGAGGGAGAGAGTAGGACAGGTTGGTGGTCGAGGCATCGTACTGAGCCCCACGGTAAACAGGGTAAGAGATAGTATAACTACAGCAGATTAGCCATTGGGAGGCACAGTGGAGTTCCGCGATCTTTACTTGTCGCCCTCACTACGTAGCGAGTCTTGCGGTCTCCCAAGCAGTGGATACACCGTCCTTTGTTCTCCCACACTGGCTAGAACGGAGAAGCCGATTTCCTGACCGGTCCAAAACATGGGCCATTTTTCCCAAGGGAGATCCCTCGCATTCTGTAGCCAAGTACTCAGGTAGGGGTTTCGCACGATGAGAGGTAAGACAGGAGGTGTCAGGCGGGAAGAGTCGACGACGGAGGGAAGGACAGCCGCTAGCACTGCCCACGCGGAGACCAGCCGCATGGTGAGAGACACAGAATGAACGATGCCGGGTTATAACGATGCCCGAACGAAAGAACGAGACGCAAGTTGCTCTGGAGTTTTCTCTGAAGGAGGAGAGAAACGAAGGATGCAGAGTGAAGCTCGTTGAAGTGAAGGCCCCAATACGCAGGTGGTGCAGGGTACAGGTCAGCCGACACAGGCGAGCACTGCGATGACGGCATTTGAGGTCCGCTGTGTCACCTCCAACCTTAGGCATCTAGCCCCCCAGCTAGCCCCTATTAGGTAGCCTTGGTAGGTACCGACGGAGGCATGGGTCCGCCTATTCCTTGGCCCAAGGCAGCCCGCTATGCCTGTTCCTATCTCCCTCTAGATGTGTCACTTCTGCAGTTCTATTGGTTGCTCCGACTCTGGTGCGTGGACATTTTTCTGCAAACATTGACGCTTTGAAGAGCCTTTATATTTGCCATAAACCCTTACTTGTTGGTTTCTAGACTACAAACATTTCATTCTTCTGTCATCAGATAAGTGTCGCTATGGACGTCCAGAACAAGGAAGCTGTCCTCGCTCCCGAGGCGTCTCCCTCCACCCAGCCTCAGGATGTCGAGAAACAAGACGGACCACAAGACACGCGTCCACTCCATACCTCCGCCTTCAAGAGCCTGGGACTTCTCGACCAGTTCCTTGCCTTGTGGATATTTCTGGCCATGCTAATAGGCATCCTGCTTGGGAACTTCGTCCCTAATACTGGTCCTGCTTTGCAACGTGGTGAGTTTGTCGGAGTGTCAGTGCCAATTGGTGAGTCAGGTCCTTCTGCATCAATATACATGGTCTGACTCCGACGCTAGCGGTTGGTCTGCTCGTTATGATGTATCCCATACTGTGCAAAGTTCGGTTCGAGACCCTTCATCACTCTTTTCGAGAGAAAGCATTGTGGGTGCAGATTGGCTTCAGCATTGTAGTCAACTGGATTATTGCTCCTTTATTCATGGTATGGATGGTCTCTGCAATGTTTTGTACGATAAGCTGATCGATATGTAGCTTGCTCTGGCATGGGCTTTCCTTCCAGATGAGCCCGCCTTGCGAGAGGGTTTGATTCTGGTCGGCATTGCACGATGTATTGCCATGGTGTTGATCTGGACCGGCCTGGCGGGAGGTGACAACGAGTACTGTGCAATCCTGGTTGCCATCAACTCCCTTCTTCAAATGATCCTATTTGCACCACTTGCAGTCCTCTTTATTGTCGACATTAGCCATTCTCACGAGGGCGTCGACGTCGACTACCGCCCGGTGGCAAAGAGCGTTGGCGTCTTCCTCGGCATTCCGCTCGCAGCTGCCATCGTGACGCGCTTTACTCTACGAAACTTGGTGGGAAAGGAATGGTACGAGAGGGTATACCTCAAGCTGATCGGTCCATTGTCATTGATCGGCTTACTGTTCACCATCATTGTCCTCTTTGGATCACAAGGCCGGCGGGTCGTCCACCAAATCGTCTCAGTTGTCAGAGTGGCGGCGCCGCTGGTAGTGTACTTTGCTGTCATATTCACTTTGACATTGCTGATAATGAGGAGATTTGGATTCGGCTACCGACTGGCCTGTACTCAGAGCTTCACGGCCGCAAGTAACAACTTTGAGTTGGCCATTGCCGTGGCCATTGCAACATATGGTGTGGATAGTGACCAGGCCCTTGCGGCAACGGTGGGACCGTTGATTGAGGTTCCAGTCTTGCTTGGCTTGGTATATGTGGTCAGATGGTATGGACGACGAAAGAACTGGACCGCTTAGCCCTGTTTGGAAGATCTTTCATGTCTGGCTGGTTAGATATCCCTCCTGCGCTTGCCTGGCATTCATATCATTCAGTACTCGAAATAGCACTTGAGTGTTGAGCCGACTCCCGGTGTTTGGGCTGAAAGCTGTCGCCAGCCGTGTCTTGATCTCCTCCATCTCTAATGATGTGGAATCGTACTGTTCGATCATACTCTTCGCCCCTGAGCATGGCACCGTATTGCAGTCGTCTGGCACAAGCGTGGCGGTCTGCGGAACATGAAAGGTATCGCAGGAAAGTCCATTGTGACTGGATGTACCGGAGCCACCGGCGTCTGAGCCGAAAAGCCAGTCGTACGACGGCATTGGTGAAGGGTCATTCGTCTGAGGCGGCGTGGCCACAAGGGTTGGTTGGGCACTCGTCAATGGACAAGTGTAGTGAGCGTCGTACGAATGGAACGCCTCAGGGTTGATGTTCGCCTGGGGAGTACAGTAGGAGGGCGAAAATGCCGTAGAACAAGGAATACCGTGATACTGTTGCATAGATTGGTTGCACAGCGAATATCGTTGGCCACTATCTGTATGTTGAAATTTTGGTTTAATTTGTCGATTTGAAGCCGCCGCGATATAATCCCCATGACTGTGAATGTTCTTCCGTCTGAGAGGGTCTGCAACATCTCGGCTGATTCCAGCTGTATTCAAAAGACTTCGGAGTCGAGCATTTTCGGCCTGGAGGTCGGCGAAGGCCACACGTTGCATTTCAGCCTCGCGACAGACAGCGTGACATTCATTCAGCCGTCTCTCAAGCTCAGCCAGGTACTCTGCCCGGCGAGCACGGCTTCGCCTCTGATTATCTCGAATGCGTTCTTGCTTGGTTCTAGTGGCCGGCGGCGGGGAGCTGTGAGTGGGAGCCATGTGTGAGGACACGGACGTAGACCACTAGTAATTGCAGTATCAACATATAAGTATCCTGGCGACGCACTTGACCTCACCGCGACCATAATCAGCGTGGGCCATAAACGGCAACAAACCAGCGAAGGTCCATGTCCCCTTCCGAGGTGAATGAACCCGTTCGAGTGGCTGAATAACAAGGGACACACAATTGGCTATCCATCGGCCCCCAGAAACGTTTCTTATCATGGGGACACGTAAACCGGCTGAACGAAGGCTCATATCGCTGTTGTACCCGTTGTACACCGATCGAACAACACGGCAAAACGTTGCGGTGGTCTGGGACGCGCATAAGATGAGGAAGTCGAGCCAGAAACGGCTTAGGATACGAGTGGCAAGGCTAATTGTGAGGCATTGTGCATGAGCCAGGGGTCAAAGGAGGCTTCCCACTCGATCAGGCGAGATGCTTAAAGACCGCAGCGAATGATGATGCTGACGCATTGAGCGTGGAGCAGAAGGCCTTATCCAAGGTGGCTGCATGTCGAGGATTGAGGATGGGCAGTTGAGGCAATTGTGCCCAAGTCCTTAGCCGGATGCGAGAGACTCTTCGGCGTGGTCCATTGACACATTCTGCGGGTCTTCAACTTGGCCGGAGACTCAGTCAACAAACGATGCAGCAGAAGAAGAGTACCTAGGTATCTTCGGTAGGCTCTGGCAATATCAAGCACGGCACGCCACTGGAAATGATGAACGGGGAGGTTGCTGTAGGTGGGCGCGCTGCTGCTTCTCCTGGCTCAAGGCTGAACCGGCGTCGGCAGCGGCCACTCTTCCCCCGACGCATTCTCAAAGGCTTCATTTCTCAATTTTCTTCTCCTTTTCCTCTCCACTACCCACGTGTGTACTGTGTACGAGGCACGTTCATGAATCATATGTTACTTCAGCTGAGTGCAGGATGTCTCACTCCAAGCTTGAGCTTCCCTTCGGCTCGAGCCTTACCCACATACGGACAGGAATATCCTTGTGGAGTGTTCGCATTGCACCGCCAACGGCCGAAAGACAGACGCAGACCAGCAACTGAGGCAGTCTCGTCGAGTTATTTTTGGTCAGCGCATGTCACTTGATGCGTCACCGTCCACAGAGCGAGCCGTTTGCCTACTTGAACATGATGCCAGCCGACATTGCAAGATAGGCTTCATGAGCACCATCGCGAATCTTGAGGGATCATTGGTCCTTTTCCCGAGGCAACAGCAGGGGGCCTCTGCCTTGCGAGACAGTGATATGCCGCCGTCAGCCATGGCCCGCTCACAGGCTATTCTCCCTCCTTTGTCAGCACGCACGTCAACTAGCAGATCCAATTCCGCTGTGGCAAACAGAAGCTACACGTCGAGGCTTGTGCCATTTCAATATCACCCACCATATCATATTACTCTCTCGAATGGTGCGCAGCCTCCCGACCAGCAATCCTCCCGAATATCAACGCCTCGGCAAAATTGGTACTGCTTTGATATGCATGGCCCCAAATACTCCCAAGCTCTCCAGCACCGTACAGCCCTCCTATCGGGTTTCCATCGACATCAATGATCTGCGCCTTCTCGTTCCTTCTCGCCCATCCCTGAGTATTATACAGCATCGGCATCATCCTCACCGCGCAGAATGGACCGTTCAAGGGCGGGAGGGTGTCAGAATCTCGACCAAAAAGCTCATCAGAATCTTGTTTACAGGTATGATTCCAGATTTCAACCGTTTGTTCCAACTCTGGCAAGTTGGGCTTCACCGCCAGCTCCTTCAACGAGTCCGACACGATGATCCATCCCTTCATGATCTCTGCTTCGCTATGCTGCGACCACTGATAGCCATCCACAACGACTGGTTGACTGAACATGTCCACGGTGGGTGACTTGTCGGGATCCAGCATATTCTTCTTGTCACTGATCAAATACATGGGGTCGTGTCTTGCACCACCCGTGTATGAATCCTGCGCCATGGTTTCGACGTGTGCCCGGTGCGACTCGACCAGCATCTCATCGACGAACTGTTTCCCTTCGCGGTTTATGTAGATGAAACCAGGTTTCCGCAGGCCCAGAGCAAAGCCACATCTCTCGCCTTCCGGGTGAAAGCCAAATGCTGTCGCCTCGGCTCATGTGCCATAACTGTGCTCCCAACTCTTGCGCCAATTTGATCCCGTCACCATAGTTGTACGGAGAACCGAGCACCCCTAGCTCACGCGAACTTATCCAGTCTCGGCGCAAGGGGACATTGTTTTCGAACCCTCCCGTACTGAGAACAACGGCCTTTGCAGAAATCCGCTCTCCGCTCTCGAGCCGCACTCCGGTGACTGTATCTTTCTCATCGTCCTTGAGTATCCTTGACACTTTGACCGATGTCCTCACCTCTATGGACGGTTGTTGCTGAATGTGTGAGTCAAGCAATTCCCAAATCCTCCTCCCCCCCAGTTGGTGCCGGGCATCTCTCCGTCTGTTTCAAATGCAGCACGTTGAGCTCCAGTCCCTTTGCATTTTTCAGGTGAGGAAACGTGATTCGCGGTATCACGTAGGTATACCTTCTTCATGTCAGCATCCTGCCGTTTCAACCATACTAGACCAAAGAAGGCAGAAATTCAGGTGAGGATAAAGGTGGGTCTGGAGTGAGTGCGAAAGAGGCCTTGCATCTTGTCATAATTTGTGTCGTCCAACTCCCCTCCAAGCGACTTCAGCCAGTCCGGTAGTTCATACAGTCCCGTGGCAAATTCCCTAATGACCTCTCTCGGCGTGGGATGCTGCGTGGCTTCGGTGAGATAGTCTGTCCACTGATGCCCTTCGTCGCGCAGCATTTCGTCATTGAAGTTCATGGGGAATGTCATGTTCGCGGAGGAGACGAACGAGTTGCCGCCTCCCTTGACGCATTTTTCGAGAATGAGGATTCCCTGCGCCCCTTGGGCGGCGGCTTCGAGAGCAGCACTGGCAACCTGCTGCGCCGTAGCCGAGGATGACCACGTCGTATGCGCTGTGGCATTGTCGTTGCTGTTTGATATTGTGGAAGGAGTCTCAAAATCAACAAGCTAATTACAATACAGGATCGAGTTTCTGTTTCTGACAGTCAGCCTAGGACGAAACCCCAAGACTTGGGCACTTTGGGATAGGTACTGGTAGTACGGATAGCAATAAATAAGCTTTTGGTGTATATATACAAGGCTACGAGTAGTGATATCAAGGCTGAAAAAGGGGTTTTCGGAATTCGCCTACACGGTAGAGTACATGATCATAAGTTTTGTCACCATGACGTTAGACGAGAGGGTACATCACTGCAGGACTACTGTATTCCTCGTAGAACTCCGGTCGCATGGACTTGTAAAAAAAAGAAAGACTTTTCGCAGAGACCGGTTGCAACATCCTAATGGGCGAATACCGCCCTCAGCCTTGCGCCACCTGAAGGCTAATACGAGTTTTACTGCGACTGCAAGTATGATACAAAAACTCATCGAGGCGAGGTGAAGGTAGATGGGATCAGATTCTCTTTTTCTTCGATGACCACCGCGAGAGCTAGCTTCCGAAGAACCCGTGGCAAAACCCTTTCGATCTACTCCTATGAGGTGTTGGGGAAGTGATGGTGGAGAACACAGAATGCCATCGACGCTGTACTACTAGTACTTACAAGACGGCAATTGGGTGTCTGCCAGGTGGCTCGGGTGGATTTACACCTCAGTTACTCCGTACTCCATACTGTAAAGTGCCTGCTCGTTCTCCACGGCCGGCAAAAGTACCGGAACACACATTGGCAATCTGACTGCAATACCTTAGGTTGGGGAGACACCAACAAGCCCAATAAAGAGAAGAGCAAAATGTCTCACGAAACGAAAACGCAGAAGACAGATCAAAAAAAACCAATGATTGCTCGAGTTCCAACCTAACCCTCATAACAATTTTTGACGAGATGACAGACACAATCCCTTGGTGTCATGCCTTGTGAACTTTCGAACTTGGAACTTCGAGCTTCAAACGGGATAGAAGCTACAACTTCGATTTCCCACCGCTCACCCTGTTAAGCTGGAGCACATCACGCTCCTCCAGACCATACTGCTTCAGCAACTCTCTGGTCTTGTCCTTCTGTGCCTGAATCCTCTTCAACAGCGCTGGACCACGCTTGTTTTCATTGCGGCCCAGTTGCAGCATGTGCACCTCATCAGGTCCATCGACGATTCTCATCGTCCGTCCACTGGCCCACATTTTGGCCAGGGGCGTGTCTTGAGACACACCGGCGCCGCCATAGGCTTGAATGGCGCGGTCGAGCACGTCCAACAGCATCGAGGGCACTTGGACCTTGACTTCGGCGATCTCCTTGAGCGCGTCCTTGGCGTTGGACTGGTCGATCTTGATGGCGGCGTTGAGCACGGCAAGTCTGGCCGAGTCGATTTCGATGCGGGATTTGGCCACTCGTTCGAGCATGATGCCGTGCTCGGACAGCTGTTTGCCGAATGGTCGCTTGGCCGGGTCGTTGAGTCGGGCGAGGAAGTACTCGAGTGCTTTTTCGGCCTGGGGTTTCGTGTCTGGTTAGAATTTGGGCCATTCGGTTTACGAAAGGAGGGAGGGAGGGAGGGAGGGAAGGGGAAAATAAGACTTACAGAGCCAACCGATCTCATGGCGTGGTGAATTCTGCCGGGGCCAAGACGGCCTTGGACGACCTCGAAGCCTCGTCCTTCGCCGAGGACCATATTGCTCTTGTGCACTCGGACATTGTTGAAAGAGATGTGGCCATGGCCGTGCGGGGCGTCGTCAAAGCCCATGACGGAAAGCATGCGGTGGATGGTGATGCCTGGGGTGTCGGCGGGGACGAGGATGACTGATTGTTGTTTGTAGGGGCTCTTGTTGTTGGGGTCGGATTTGCCCATGACAATGTAGATCTTGCACCGGCGGTCACCAGCGCCGCTGGACCACCATTTCTACTATCATGTTAGTTGGGAAAGATCAACGATAAAAAGGTGGGCGGAATGTGAACGCACCTGTCCATTGAGAACCCAATAGTCGCCGTCTTTGCGCATGTTGAGTTCAATGTTGGTGGCGTCACTGCTCGCCACTTGAGGCTCGGTCATCAAGAAAGCTGATCGGATCTGGCCGTCCAGCAATTGACCCAGCCATTGCTTTTTCTGTTCTTCGGTGCCGTATTTGGCGATGACTTCCATGTTGCCTGTGTCGGGAGCAGCACAATTTGTGGCTTCGCTGGCAGTGACACTCTTGCCGAGGTATTCTGCCATCAAGCCGTATTCGAGATTGCTAAAGCCGGCGCCTTCTTTGAAATGGTTTTTGGGCAGGAACATGTTCCAAAGCCCAAGTTTCTTGGCCTTGGCTTTCAAGTCTTCAATGACTTGTGGATGGGAGTCGAAGCGAGCAACGGTGCCTTGGCCGATTTGTTGCTTGAAGACGGCATCGGCGGGGATGCATTCCTCCTCGACAAATTTCTCGACCTATATCAAGCGGTTAAGATGGTACCTCTGGAAAACAAAAGCAACAGGGGTTTGTTTTACCAGATCCAGAGTCCTCTTTGCCCGCTCACTCACCCATGGGCGAGCAATGACTGGGATTCGTTCCGATGCGGGGATGTGGCCAGTGGCACTGTTGAGAAGGTAGGGAACAGACATGTTGAACGACTTAGTGGGCAAAGGGATCTGGGGTAGGATGGAGGTAAGATGGAGTGATGGAGATTGATATATAATGTGAACAGGGAAAGGAGAGATGTTTGACTTCGTGATCGAGTTGATGTGATGAGCGTGGATCAGCTTCCTACGGTAAAGGCTGGACCAGCTTCCGAATTGCCGAGGCTGTTGTACGGAATTGGAGATGGCACGAGATGGCACGAGATGGCCGTAATCAAATCTCGACTTCCGATTGCTCCATGACCACTACACTTGGGACCTGGGATTCTACCACTGGGTGACCACAGTCCTTACCCCAGACCACGCCCATCACGCTGTTACCTCTACGAAGTACTACAGTAGCTTGTCAGGCCACTGGTAACTGGTTGGAAGGTGGCCTTCCCTTTCCCTGAGGGCTCGTAATTGCAAGTACTTGTATTTCGGCTACAGGTCTGTGTCAGTCAACCCTTACTCCGTAGATCAGATCACCACCCAGTGCCTGCAATGCTGATGATCTCTGCCATTGTGCAGTCCAGTGGCATGCTCGATTATGGCCCTGCCCAAACTGAAGGCCGCCGCATGCCATCTCGCGCCAGTCTTTCTCTCAGCTTACAAAACGACCGAAAAAACAATTAGTTTCATCCATTATGCCGCGGCTAAATCGGCCAAATTGGTCGTGTTTCCCGAGTCTTCGATACCAGGATTTCCTTACTGGTCGTCCATACTTGCACCTTCCCAAGGCCACGACTTCTTTAAGCAGATCGCTCGGCAGTCTGTGTACGTCGATGGGGAGGAGATCGGTGCCATCCGTCGTGCAGCATCCCGGCTGGGTGTTATGGTCAGTCTAGGCATCTCGGAAAAAGTACGATATAGCTCTGCGACCTTGTTCAATTCAAACCTGATTATTGGAGACAATGGCCAAATCCTGGTGCATCACCGTAAGCTGATGCCGACGTTCTTTGAGAAATTGACGTGGTCCCCCGGTGATGGCTACGGCCTGCGAGTGGCGGACACCAAACACGGAAAAATAGGGGCACTGATATGTGGCGAAAACACCAATCCCCTAGCAAGATATGCTCTCATGGCGCAAGGGGAGCAAGTGCACATCTCGACATGGCCCGCCATCTGGCCTACCAGGTTACCCAAGAAGGGAGAGACCGGGCCCGCCGTCGGCAACTACGATAACGTCAAATCAAATACCACCAGAGCTGCAGCTCACTGCTTCGAAGCAAAGTGCTTCGGGATACAGTGTGCCGGGTTTCTCGACGAAGCAAATATAGAGGGTATTGCTGCGATGACAGAGGATCCCCAGCAAACGAGGAAAATCCTCTCAAGCTACCCACAAGCCTTGACTCAGTTTCTTGATCCAGATGGCCAAGTAATAGATTCGCATGCTTTTACGTTGATGGGTGCTCGACGTACCGCTGCTTGGCTGGACAATGAAGAAGGAATCCTACTTGCGACTCTAGATCTGAACAAGTGCGTGGAAGGGAAGCAATACCACGATGTGGTAGGAGGATATCAGAGGCTAGATGTGTTCAGCCTGCAAATCAATCGGAGGAGACTCCGGCCGGCCACCTTCAAAGATCAAGATCCCGATCCTCCAATTCCGGTGGAAAAGCAAAAGGATCAAAAGGACCTCGGTCTGGAGGCCAGTCTTCAACGAGCGCTCAAGGTGCACGACTAACTGAGGTCCCTAGTCTTTCCCATCCCGTGTATCAAGGACCATCTAATGGCAAACACCACTCGTTGTCTTCTCTGTACTACCGCCACCTATCCTGGTTGTAGGGATTTCAAGTTGGTTCATCGTCATCCGTCATCACGTGATTGAATTAGATAATCACAGATCCCCGACAGTCCCGTCTCCATCTTGACTGACCTTGACGTCGCATTCTCAGGGTTTGCGCTGCGCGGAAATTCTAGACTCTAGACTCGTTCTCGTCGTCCTTGTTCTTCAATAATTGCCGCCTTGGTCCTTCCGCGCTTCTCTTCATTGATTGTATTTTAGCCTCCCTTCGTTCTCCCTCTCTCGTCGTGATCTCCGGCAACGCGGATTGGGAACCTTGTGACGTTCATGACATTTTCCACGGCTACTCCGAAGCCTTTTCCGGGTACTCGAAAAGGAGAAGAAAACCTCATACCACAATCCCAGGAGACTGGGCAAGTGGTTCCGGAAGGACACGATGCCAACGCGGCTACGGTGACAAAGGAGAAGCCTGTGGCTAAGCCATGGGCTCATTTTGTTGCAGGAGGGTACAACAAGCCATCCCAGCGCAGCCTGCCGGGCAAATCGAAACTGACGGATTTCTAGCATCGGTGGCATGACCGCAGCAGCCTTGACTTCTCCTCTCGATGTTCTTAAAACCCGTTTACAATCCGACTTCTACCAGGCGCAATTACAAGCGCTGCATGCCCAGCACCACTACCCTCAGAAAACCACTCTCACCTCGATCCCTCGATCCGCATATTTCCATATTGCAGAGACTGTACAAATACTACGGTCCATACACCAACATGAAGGTTTCCGCGCGCTCTTTCGGGGTCTGGGGGCGAATCTGATTGGCGTTGTTCCTGCCCGAAGCATCAATTTCTACGTCTACGGTAATGGCAAGAGGATACTTAATAATTACTTCAATCCGGAAGGTCGAGAGAATGTCTGGAGCGTACATCTTGCAGCGGCAGCCATTGCCGGAATCGCCACGGGCACTGCGACCAATCCCATATGGTTGGTAAAGACCAGATTGCAACTCGACAAGAATACCGCTAGTCACGATCCGACACGAGGAAGACAGTACAAGAACAGCTGGGACTGTATCAAGCAGACTGTCCGACACGAGGGTATCAGAGGCCTGTATCGTGGACTGTCGGCTTCGTATCTGGGAGTCACAGAATCTACGCTGCAATGGGTATTGTACGAGAGGCTGAAATTGTCTCTTGCACGGCGCGAAGCCAGGCGGTTGAACACTCCAGGATATCGACGGACGTGGCTAGATGATGCAGAAGAATTTGGGGGGAAATTCACCGCTGCTGCTGGAGCGAAGGGTGTCGCTGCCGCCATCACATATCCGCATGAAGTGGTCAGAACGAGGTTACGACAGGCGCCAACCATGACGACCGAGACTGGCAAGGTGACTGTCAAGTATACTGGTCTGGTGCAGTGTTTCCGACTGGTTGCGAAAGAGGAGGGGGTGGCTGGTTTGTACGGAGGCATGACGCCGCACTTGCTTCGAGCAGTCCCCAGTGCGGCTATCATGTTTGGAACGTGAGTGCTTGTCCGGTCCGTATTGACGCCTATTGCTGACAGATGGGATCTAGGTATGAGGTTATCCTGCGACTGTTCGGGACAACTTCCTGATGTGGAACCCGAGGAAGGGTTCCTCTGCATTGTACAAAACAATGTCCTCTTCGTCGGTATCCTTCTCCTCCACAAGCGGATGCTGTACACCAATCCGGCAACTTCGCCAAATCAAAAGTTTGCATTGGGTCAGGCGCAAATCAGAATGGGTTGGGAAGGAAACATCTTTTCTTCAGTGCGGCCGATACCCTTCTCCTGTATGATGAACCATGTATATTATGCTTAACTAGAGCAATGGCTTAGAGAACTAAGCTCGTAATCCAGACACTTTTGGCTTTCTCACTTCACTCCTAGAACCTCCACCTCCGTAATCACGTGACCGTTTATTTACATTTCCGAGTCGAGCGATCTTCAAGCCACGATCGCAAAACTTCTGAATCTCATGTACAAGGCCAGCACGTTTTCGCAAGACCAGCACGAAGCATCATAAACCAATATTGACCATGGCATCAAAGAACATCGACTATTCCGCCACGCTTTCATCCCTACGCACTCAACAAGCACAACACCCGCTCTCGATCCTCGCGCTGGCCGAGCCCATCACCGCGTCGCAGTCTCAACCAAACATTTCCACCGCGCAGCCCCGACCGTCAGACGTCTCATCTCACAATGCTTCGGACCTCGATAATGGCCAATTGACGCCCTCCAGCTTATCCGCCGACCTGGCGCACTACAAAGACCTCTTCGCCAAGCTGCGCTTCAGCTACCTCGAGCAAGTCACCAAGGAGAAGTACCTGCGCAGTATCGTAGGCGATCCGCCCTTGGTGGTGACTCACGATGACAATCTGGAGCTCGAGGCGAAATTGGCGGGCATGAAGAGCGAACTCAAGGCCAAGAAGGAGGGCGTCGAGGCGTTGGTCAAGGACATGGAGGCGCAGGCGACCATGTTGGCCGACGTTTATGAGGATATCCAGATGGGCATGGATGTGCTGGAGACGGTGCCCGCGGAAATCGAGACACTGCGGGGGCAGGTGGAGGCGTTGAAGAGGGAAGTCGCGGGGAAGAGGGATGGAACGGGAACGGGAACGACGACGACAACAAATGATCCGAGAATGAACATGTCGCTTGAAGCGACGCGTCAGGCTCTGGCGGAGCAGACGGGCCGGACGAGGGAGATTGAGGAGCAGATCGCCGCGTTGCAGCGAGAGTTGCCGGGGAAGATGGAGCGCATGGAGGCTGTGGATCGTGAGTTGGCCGAGTTGGATAGGCGGAGGAACGAGAGTGCGCGGTTGGCTGCCGAGGAGAGAAAAAGGAAAGAGATGGGCGGGCGGGATGAGGTGGAGGAGCTGGCGAGGTGGTATAGGAGTCAAGAGGTGGTGTTACGCGGCCTCGGGTTGGGTGTCGAGGGATAAGGTAGAAACTGTCGGTGGCAGAAAGTGATGACATGGTGGCATGAGATGGGTTGCCAGGGACGATGCGGCATGAAGGCACATGCGACCACGATACGACACGACGTCTTGATGCGAAGCCGATTTGAATTCTAATTTCAATGGGAAGCGGACGGGCATTTTATGGCGCCACCTGGGCCTGGAGTTGGGTGTTTGGGAAGTGACGGTAACTGTACTACGGAACAGGTGTTGGTGCTTGGAAGTCGACGGCAATCTTGGATCTTTGCATCGGGCATGCTAAGGTACTGGCGTTGAGGAAAGTAGTGTGATCACGCGAAGCAAAGTTGGACTTGGTAGGAAGTATTGATGAGAATGAGGACTCGTGGTAGATTTCCTGCATAGTCCACCAAGCTGACGTTCCTCAGCTTATCTGATTTTGAGAACCGATGAACTTGCTAAAATAGCAATCTCGACGTATTTGACTTTCTTCCCCTGCCACCGGCTTGTAGTCTGCCTTCAATTCCGGAGCGGGTCGTCTTCGCCACAAGGGTGACCCCCTTGCCACTGTCCGTGACCCCGCCCATCAATGGCCAGGCACTGAATCAACAATAGACAGTCGATCCTTGTTTCATTGCATCGTTTACTCCTCGTCTTCACCAGCCTCTTCCTCGCCCTCTTCCTTGGACTCAGCAGCCCTCGCCTTCTTTCTCCTAACACGACCAGGACGACCACCACCAAAGGGACTCGTCAGGGCGAAGTCGATGTGCTTTTGGCTGTCCAGTCGGACGATGAAGCTGGGGACATTGACGATCTGCTTGCCAACACGGATATGTCGCTGTCTGATCAGGACACGGGCGTGATGGATCGACTTGGCAAGGCCGAGCTTGTAGACGCAAGTTTGCAGTCGGCGCTCCAAGAAATCTTCGACCTTCAAGGCAAGCACGTAATCGAGCTTCATGCGGGATTCGTCGAGCACACCGACACGGACAAGTCGTCGAATCAAGGCATTGCCTTCGAAAAGACGCTTGGGGTCCTTTTCGTCGAGAGTGAGAAGTTGACTATCCAACAGAGTCAGCACCACATTCCAAATACACCTCTTGTCAATGTGAATATCCATACCGAGCAGCACGACGAATCTTGGACAGAGTAAGCTGGACACGCCAGACTTCACGCTTGTTGCGCAGGCCGTATTCGCCGACAATCTTCAATTCCGAGTCTCTGTTCGACCGCAAATGTCAGAAGGGGATATCTCAGACATGAAGCACAGGCAAGCTAGTGCTCAGTGGCCAGGATATGTAACGTACAGACGAGCAGACTCGAATGCTGTAGGACACACAATATTAGTCTCAATTCAATGCGGCCTTAATACTGCTAGACTTACGTCGACGAGGGACCTTGTAGGTCTTTGAGTAGGATCGTGGCGCCATGATTGCGATGGATGCTGCGCAATCAAAAGAGTCCGGTTTGGGCTGTTGTCGTTTATCGAAGCTGGAGAGTAATTTCTGTATGAAGCGCAAGTGGTGGTGCGAAAATGAAACCGAGCCCAAAAATGCCAAGACGCACAAAAATCGATTTCGGGCAGGTGTGGTCAACGAGGTCTTGGCACTCATTTTGGGAAACTGCGCCCAGCGAAGCCCACTACCACCAACGAATTTCCCATCCTACGACAATCATCCTCGACGCCGACCACATTTCACCTCGACAGAATCCGTCGCAATGGGTCACTCTGCAGGTCTCCGAGCCGGCACGCGCTATGCGTTCAGCCGTAGCTTTCGCCAGAAGGTACGCTCTGATCCTCTCGAAAAAGCGACAAAGAAGAAATTGGATTGGGAACAATGAGACTGACGCTCGACATTACAGGGTATGATCCCTCTCGGCACTTACATGAAGACCTACCGCGTGGGTGATATCGTCGACATCAAGGCCAACGGTGCCGTTCAAAAGGGTATGCCATACAAGGTCTACCACGGAAAGACCGGCGTTGTGTACAACGTCACGAAATCCGCTGTCGGTGTCATCATCTACAAGAAGGTCGGCAACCGATACATGGAGAAGAGAGTCAACGTCCGCGTCGAGCATATTGCATCCTCAAGATCGAGAGAAGAGTGTAAGTCCTTCCCGCAAAGTATTCCAGACACAAACATTCGCCCTACGAGGACAGAAGACGATTTGGGGGACACAGGCTAACATTTGTGCGTGTGTGTACAGTCTTGAACAGAGTCAAGTCAAACGCCCAGCGCCGCCGAGAAGCCAAGGAGAAGGGAGAGTCCGTCCAGCTTAAGCGTCAACCCGTCGGCCCTCGAGCTGCGCGCACCGTCGAATTGACCGAAGTCGAGAGCCTTGCTCCTCAACCATACGATACCCACATCTAAACGATTCGCTTGGCGTGTTGTGTACGGGGTTCTCTGGTTTGGAAAGGCATGCATATGAGGAGATGGCCGGGATTTCTGATGCTAGGAGGCTGCGGATGGCTGCATTGAAGGCTAGCACGGATGAGCCATATGACGGCTGGGATTTGGGTCGAGAGTGCTCATTCCGCAAGACATGCTGCATAGTCTCGGTGAGCAAGAGGTGCAGCCTCGAATGGATGCAAGCACTGGAGTGGTTGACCATTTCAATGTCGTCAGATGCATGTGCTTTGTTCAAACGGCTACGATCAATCAAAGGAATTCAAACCTGCACATCACGGCGTTACGACCCTATTGGGTTTTATCGTTATGTACTTTTCCCGTCCTTCCTTCATTGATCGTGAACGGGCATTTGGCTGCATGATACAGCTGGTTTCTTCATTGGTCGTGAACAGCGGCATGTGTGGAGGATGTCCCAGAAGTACACTAACATACACGAGTCTTGAAATCAAGAAAGCTGTCCTGTCCTGTCCTGTCCTCTCTCTGTTGGTCTAGTCCTCCGCCATGCCCATACCTGTCTACCTAAGGTAGCTGTGAAATGTCTTGTTCCTTGTTCAAAGGGCAACTACTACGATCGAAAAGAGTAGAGTGTCCCCGTCCAAAGCCTACCACGTACACCATCTCGGCCTGGCCGGTCACGAGCTTACCTGTATTCCCCCCCTTTTTTCGTATTCTGATCAATCGTGACGGTATGCTGACAATACTGCTGGCCAGTCTTCATGCTTCCAGTGCCTTGTTACTCATCACAGCTCCTCTTCACGTCCATGGATCCAGCACACGGGTTGTCCAGAGCACTACGATCGATAAGAGAGCTTGGAAATTCGGACAACAATCCCGTCATGTCTAAATCTACACATGGGGTGATTCTAAATCTCTTTTTTTTTTCATTCCTCGTTTCTCATGTCTCATGCTAATAGTACATACACATCATTGCTCGAGCCTCCCAAGGCCTTTTTCGAGACTGTCGTAGTCGCAGGATTGTCATCGCCAGCTCATTGAACACACTTATGTAAACCCATTTCGCCCTGAAATGCATATCAATCTGAACCTCGTCATTGGGGTATCATAGCACGCCAGCGCACATGCAAAATGGAATAAAGTTGAACTTGGAACCCTCCCTGGTGTCGTGAGGACGGAAAACACTCTGAGTGGTCGTTGCCTACCTTCCCTGCTGTCCCCCATACCATGCATCGTCCCAACGACTCTGCTTCAGCCCGCTTGTCACATTGCAGCTTTCGTTCAATAGGTGAAATCGTCCTCGTCGTCCTCGGAGTCTCCAGGCATGCCACTTGCATTCGCCTCATCTTTGGACATCAATGCCGGGTCCTTGAAGACTTGAAGTTCAACAACGTCTCGTTTCGACATATCAACACCTCGAGGCTGGCTGGACCCTCCAGTCGAGCCAGTGTCTTTGATTGCTGCAGTCGTTAGACCTTGAGCCAGGGCAGATGTTGGAGCATGAAGATCCTCCGGGCTTGTGTCGCCACTCTCAACGCTCGAGAGTCTAGAACCCACGGAAGACACCATCGAGCCGCTCTCGGATGTCGACTGCTCGTCTCGGGTCTTCGATTTCGAAGTGGAAACTTTCAACTGTGGAAGAGTTCTGGAAGAGCCCGGAGATGCTGCGCTGTGAACATCGCTCGTTCTCGTCTTTTTCTCCGTTGATGCTGCTTCTGCTTGAGCTTCGCTTGCCTCACGACTCTCAGCACTGATAGCTGGTGTCTCGGGCACGAAAGGATCAGGCAAATGCTCTCCGATTCTCAACCACTTAGCATTTCCTTCCGCGTTGTCAAAGTCATCGAGGACTGCCTTCAAATGCCGACTTTGTTCACTGGTAGTTTCGACACTGTTTGACTGGGACGCCCCGCTATTAAGCACGGTGCTTCTCGCAATCTTTCCCAACACATCTTGCAGGACCCATGGAAAGCTGATGAATGGTGCTTCAGCAGCGTCCCAATCATGATCCTCAGCTTCTTCCTCATCATGGTTCTTAAACTTTTCCCGGAATCTCTGAACTTCGTTCTGAGTAATATGGTACGCTGCTAACGCGTAGGGTACCAGTTTTTCAAACTCGGGGCCTTTGGCTTCGACAACCAAAGCATCGTAGTACTGTTGCTTTAAGTTCTTCGCGTGTTCCCCAATCTCTTCGTGGAATTTGAAGTCGCGGGCCGCTTTGCTATGGTGCAGAACAAACGTAGACCAGACCTCAAATTCGGTGCGGATCTGATGCTGTGCCATGATGCGACGCATGCTCTCATCATAACTTTTCTTGAGCTGGCTGACAGCATCCAATATTGCAGGTGGTGGCACTTTGTGCGATAGTATTCGTTGATCAAATGCACCATCCCAATTTGGTTGGAAGTTGACTCGTTCAACAGCATCGTACAATTTGCCCAGGATCTTGTGAGATCGGTACTCTCCCGATCTTTTCTTTTCCATAAAATGTGGCCATTTGGTTCGTTCCAGTGCTCTTGGCATTGTCGCAGGGACGCCGGTTTTCGGATAGTCAACAGCCATGGAATGAAGCTTGACGAGCTCCAGGCACTGTTCGCTTCTGATTCCGTCGTCAAGAAAGTCGGCAGCCGCAAGATGAGCATGAGCGATCCTGCCCAGATAGTCGTTTTGCATATAGTCGCAAAAGAAGTTGATGATGTCGTGTGTGGATATCTTCTCCTTTGTGACAGGGCTTGGGGCTTCATAGTCGAAGGGTTCTGCATTCCATTCCTTTGGTATCAAGTCTGGGTCCCAGATGACCACATAATCGTCTCCATCCAGATCACCGCCAGAACACATACTCGGTAGATCCCGATCACCCGTGCCGGGCATGACCAGAACATCACTCAGGTGATGCAGCTGGTCGACATCGATCGCTCTGACGACTCGGATGTCGCCTCGGTGAAGGGAAGGATTTCGAGCAATGATACAAACACCTTCCACGACGCAGAGTTTTCCCGTGTGTTGATTTGTATATTGCATGAATATCTCGGGCAGAAAGGGTTGCTTGTTGTCCTGGAAAGCCTTCGAATTGTTGTCAACGTGGCCACGAAGAGTCTTAGTCTCATCCACGACTCCCAAGACAAATGCTCCTTGAGCAACTGGAATCTTTGCCTTTTCTTTCAGGTATTTCAATGTCCAGGCTCGATACAATCTCAAGAGTGATGTGACAAAAGGCTCATTGCTCTGTCGAAAGCCATCCTCAATCATGGTGGCAATGCTGAGGGTCATCAAATTCGGATCAACATTGTCACGCAAAGCGCTTAGAGCGGCAGCGTCATCGATCAAAGCGCGATTAAGGGCGTCTATGCAGTCGTCTTGTTTGATCAGAAAGACCTTGTCCGGCACGCCTAGGTCCGAAAGCACCAGAATCAATTGCCGATTGAGAAATGGTTGCCAGAATTCGGACACACGAATGATTTCGAGCTCGTCTGACGTGCTGTCGAATTTGTATTGACTTGGTCGGATCTTGATATCGAGGCCAGATAGGTCAGGATCAATGACAAGTACGCCCTTGCACCCGCCCAAACGAAACTGGAATGCTGAAGGAACTGGTCCCTTCAACTTGAGATGTGCATGGACCAGTTGGGCGGTGAGTTTTGATATCTTTCCTACCCCGTCTGTGAAGGTGTATCGTCCGTTGACAATGTCCGGAATCGGGTCCTTCTTCCAGGCCCGCTTGCTCACCACTGATACAGGTCTGGTGGTAGAGAAACATTGACCCATTCGAGCAGCACGCTTCGCGACCACCTTTTCGCGCTCGAAAACGCCCATTTCTGTGCGAATGGAGTCCGGAGTGATGTCATCAATAGGTGCAAAGAAGTAGGCGCCGTGCTCTCGTAGTTGGGAGTTGCCCCAGGCGAGAAACTGGTAGTGGCGTTCTCCTAAGATGATTCCGTGCTTCATCGTTCTTCGCACCTTTTCAAAGATCAACTTCATCTTGCCATTTGTTGCCGCGTAAAGTCGGGATTGTCCCCGATACGAGTCGTCCTCGAAGCGAACACGTAGGAATCTGTCGCTGTACCGTTGGTACTTCCGGATGATACGATTGGTGATCTCGACAGAAGGCGTATGGAAGAGTATACCGGTCGCTGTGACTGTGGCATGATGTATCTCAATACAATTGGTCGGGAGTGGACGGGCTCTGACTGGCTTGGAATAACGGAGATCAGTGAAGATATCTATGGGGTTATAAACTCGCTGCTGATATGAGTCTACGTGGATCAGTGTTTGCTTGGCCCGATGTGGCGGCATGGCGGCGAGTCGACGCAAGAATGCTTCATCCAGGGTATATTCGTTCAACCAGCCCTGCGAGATGCAAACTTCCAGTTGATACCGTACATGGAAGGAGAGGTATATCTCCGATAGCTGCTCGCTGAGAGAATGCGATGTATGTTTGGCATCAAGAAGGTCCCAAACGCGGGGTTCACCCGCGAGGTCTTGGAAGATTTTGATATCAGGGTTGCGTCGAATAGGGACGTTGAAATCCTGAAGAGCCTTGAGAAATTGTTGCAAGGGTGCATAGGCTCGAGCATTTCCAGGAATCGCCTTGATCGTGATACGGAACGTCGTCCATCTTGCAATGTTGATGCTATTGAACAACTTCTTCACTGAGACGGGGCTGCCGTCGATGATACCATAATCCTTCTTGTCCTCAACAATGTCCGTCTGTCGAAACCAGGTATCGTCCTGAGTCCATCTGTGGGAGTCTGTGGCATGGCTCATTGCCACCGCATCTTTCAACTGCCTAGAGTACCATGGAGGGTTTGCGAGGTGGATGATCAATGAGGTTGTAGTCGACCCGGGGACTTCACAGAGAGAGAACTGATCGTCGAGAGCCACGAAGAAGCGATAGGAGCGTATAGTAGACGCACCCTTGGACTTCAGATCGATGGGGAAGTGGACGCCGAGTTCCAGCTTCTTCAAGTTCAGCACCAGCTTGACGGCATCTTCTCCTGAGGGTCGTTTCGTAGCCTTGATGACCATGGAGGTAGGGCGCTCCAAGTACCCGAAGTCGATGCTCTCGGCATGGAGGGTCATGTCAGAAGGGTACTTGAGACCCGATCTGATTGGGCTGTCGACCTGCTGAGCAAAGGCGTGGATGATCGGACCAAAGACTTTGACAGTGGGTGGTCGATCCCTACTGGAGTCGCCGATGACGAACTTGATCCCATTGAGACGAGGATCCCATGGTGCTGTACGTTCAGGCGGTGGTCTATGAAAGTCAGTGGTGTTCTGTGCAGGAAGTATGGTGCATACTTGAACGTGACCAACGCTGTCCTGGAAAAATCACCCTGGCGGGTCTCTTCGATACGGATGTGTTCGACATTTCCGAAACGACGAAGATTTCGGTGGATGTCAAGAGTCGTTGTCCCGGGTGGAAGATTGTGCAGCTTGCATTTGACTGCGGGAGCATTTCTCCATTCTTCGTTGCGGTCGCGTCGATTGAGATCTTGAGGAAGAACAGATCGGCTCACCGCCGCATGTTGTTGCGGTCTCATGTTAGCCCCGGACTCAACGCTCGACACCACCTGCCATGTCCCAGGAAGCGAAGGAAAGAGGAAGAGATAGATCTCCGCAGATGATTATGTCTGATAATGAAATGAGTGAAGAAGAGAAAAGGTGGCGAGTGAGTAACAGAGAGGAAAGGACGAAGTTGTTGTGTATGTTAGAGGTGTTTTACACACTCGTGACCCCCACCGACTTGCAGAATTTAAGGTGAATTTCGGCAGCGGGAAGTGAGGCTCTACCCGTGCTTAGTGCCTCGCTAATCACTTTGTACCACTGGGAGACTCTGAGAGAGAGGTGATGGAGGTGACAGGAAAGACCAGGCTAATGAGGACGAATGTGGCTGCTTTTGAGTAACGAAGCCAGTGAGATAAGAGAGTGACGGAGTGGCGCTGAGGAGTATTTCAATTCAAGAAGGATGGATGTATGGGGGATGAATAAAAGAGCCGTTAGGCCCGGCTTCAACTCTAGTCTGATCGAGCCAAGTTGTTTGCATAGTAGGAGTGAGACAATGATTGAGTCTCACGAGGTTATTGAAGGCAGCAATTGCGGCGTGATTGCTACATCAAACGGTAATGCCGCAGCTGCATTGAATCCGAGAAGAGACGTTGCTCGTTGAAGTTGCTTTCCCCAAAAAGAGTGACAACCACATATCAGAAGGGCCGCAGCCTAGTCCAAGTCAACGCTCGTATCCTTCACGCCACAGAGCACCACCCATCGATCTAGGACTCTTGAAATCCAGGAACTCATCAGCTTTATCAAGACACTCCAATTCACATTGTGGCGCCTGCTATTCGACACTGCCAGTTCCGCACATTAACTTACCCAGCGACAAACGAGATCCCATGCAAGGTCCCGCTGCCAATATCGGCACCTACGTAGCCACCCGCACAATGGCAAACAGAACAACAGGGTCCTCTATCAGTAAGCATGTAGAAGAAGACGTTTGATGGTTCCCACACCTCCCATCTTATATCAGAGTATTATCCATACCTAGTACGGAATACGTTACTGTAGTTGCTGTCGGTAGGGTATGGTTTTCGCTTATGCCAGGCACTGCCGCCTATTGGGTGCCATAATGATGCCTATACCAATTCACCCTCGGTATATCTGCGCCGAAACAAGTACTCATTGCCCCTTTCAGCCCTTAAAACCGTCGACATGGTAACGAGTACATCGAACAGCGCCCAACATCAGAGATCTACGAAGTAGGCAGAGTAATAAGACAAATAGGCCCTCGGCAATTGATTTAGAAGGCCACACATCAATCCGGAAGCTCCCACCGCTCCCTAGTCGCTGAAGCCGTGACGCTTGAAATGGTTTGCGATTAACCAGACTCAACAAGGTCAACACTGGCCAAGGTCACAGACATTCCAGATACCACCAAGGATTGGATACCAGGCCTGACGATGTTCTCATAGCCAGTCAAGAACTGTCGAGAGCATGCGAGTTCCAGGGGAGGAATTAGCCTGTTGGTACTACTGATATGCTAGCGTTCCCGCCATTCTCTTGTCCATCTACCAGAGTTTGACTGTCACGTTCCACAGCTTCGAGTCTCGATCGAAGTTCAACACCCTCACATATTCGCTGCATGCAATGTTGGCCTTCATCTTCAGGAGCTTGATCACCGACGATTTTACCGTGAACAAGGTATACTTCCAGGTACCTTGGGGCTCTCTTTCGTAACGGTTCAGCACAGGTAATGCCACGTCAATAGGTTTCTCCACATCACGTGAGGCCCAAGGGCCGTGTCGGGCATAATAAGCGTACAGGAAGAAGTTCCCCTCGAGGGCAATCTGTGACCTGAGGCTGTCTTTGACCGAGGCTGGATCCAAATATTTGAACCCGTGACCATCGACGGCCGATACGAGGTCATCAAGAAAACTGGTGTCTTGTCCTCCTTGTGAGAGAACTCGCCTTCGAATGCGATTGGCCTCGTGTAGCCAGTCGTGAGTGAGTAAAAGTGGCTCAGATCGGGTTGCTGCCCTTCCTATATTTGCGTTGGCTAACAGCGCGGCCAGTCTCGTGGTGAGCGATGCATTGGGTGGAAATTTGGCTTGTGTATTCGAAACGCCGTGATTCAATGCATTTTGGTAGTGTGCATATACAGTTCCTCCTTCAAATCGGGCGGTTTCGTTAGGCACTGCGAAAGGTTCCCGCCGGCTTGCCAGGTCTGCAAAAGTCCCGGCTTCAAATTCTGCTTTGACTTCGGAGATGGGGTTGCTATCAGTAGACTCGGTCTTTAAGAAGCGCAGTGTTCCAAACTGCAGTTTGCAGGTTATCGCCTGTACAGGGCCAACGTCATATCTGCTGATAAGTTCACCAGCGGAGTACGTGTCCAGAATGTAGAAGTTGATGACGTGGCAAAGAACCTCGCCGTCGACTTCCAAGTGGAGCCGAGGGCTTCCGTTGTCGAGTCGTAGTGCCTGGCCGGCCGGTTTCCACTGCGTGATGCCCATGCCAGGACGGATATTCAAGGCACACAGGAAATGTGCCCACGGAGCCGTCGCTGTGCAAGGCACAGAGGGTGTGATCTTGCCATCGGTGTCGAGCAGATGTTTGATGAACGCATCTTTGCGCAGGACCGGTATCATCAGGCGCCTCTGAGCATCGTATGCTTCCGTCGCCCATTCTCCGAGGCTCTCCTTCAGCACTTGTGCATCGCTCCTGCTCTTGGCCAACGAAGCAATTGGCTTGCCAACCCACCGATCGACAAGGAGAAGGACTGCGTTTGTGGTGGAAACGGTCCTGTCGATGTCGCCTACGGTTGTGCCATAGGCTGTAGTCGGTGCGGAGGAAGTCTCATCGGCAGCGTCGGCCATCATGAATCTGCGATAGATGAGCAAGCACAGTCGTCGGTATGCAGCTACCAGAGTGGTTTGCGGTCAGTCCTGAGCAGCACTCGACTTACCGACAATCGTATTCTCAGCAGGCCTAGCTTTCTTCTTCATGATTCTAGTCGCAGCCGCAGAGGCAGCCGCCAGGGCTGTGCTACGGCTGCAATAGCAGCTGAACGCTTCGTATTGGATGTAGGAGAGATGCGTTGTGGTTGGCTTTGCCCAGAGATGCCTGGGGCAGGCTTACCTTAGTCACGCTAGTCTTCGCGACAGGCTTACTGGTAGACCGTAGCCGGTGAGGTGGTCGAATGTTAAGGCAACTGCTCCTGCCCAACAGTAGCTTCTACACAGTACAAGTTGATTCACTCCCAGACTTGCTTCTGGACCATTTATCTCCTTTCATTATATCTCCTTTCATTATCTCGAAACAGAAAAGTACAAAATAAAGATGTCTAATTCGCAGATTGATACTGGCGCCTAATTAAGCAAGCGAGGCTGTCGCTGATGAAGTCGTTGGCACCACCAAGCTTTGCAGGATTGCTCTCTGGCAACCGATGATTGATGAAGGGGATTGGAGGACCCAAACTGTGCTCAACAAGCCCTTGATACATTAATGCTTCTTCAAGACCAAAGCCAGATACCCCAGGATACGGTAAGCGAAAATGATGGCAAACATGATCCCGATCCACTCTCCGATCTTGTCGTCAGACCAGGGATACTTGTATGCGCGAAGGACGGCGGTGCCACGAATCTTGCCCTCGGAAGCCAGATCACTTGGATACATGCACTGGTAGCCCGTGGCTAGTTTGGCGCAGTTCCAGATGGTACTTCGAAACTGGTTTGCCATCATTCCTTGGAAGACGTAGGCTTGGTAGTCGATGTAATGGAACACGTCTGCAAGATTGATTAGCTGGTTGCTAGATTGGCCGTGGCATTTGAAGCTTACATTTCCAAAACACATTCAAAGTACCCAAAGGAACAAGAAACCCTCCCACGCACATCCACAAACCATTGGCGAAGGCAGTGATGGCGAGCGACACGACGAAAATGGGGAAGATGCTTGATACCAGGACCACGAGGCCTTCGGCGGCCAGGAGATCTAGGAACAACCACAACACCCACATCCAGAAGCCGCCTGCTGTGGGTCTGAAGTGTCCGAGCCAGTAGGTGATTATGGAGAAGAGTAGAGAAATGAGGAACAGCCAAGGGATGCCCACAAGCGCGTTGGCGATCGTGAATGGAAGAGGGCCGTAAAGTCCGTTGGCTCGCTCCTTACGAAATGTGTGTAGATCTTCGATGATGGAAGGGACATATGCCACAGCCATGAACGACATAAAGGCTCCACCAAAGAAAATCGCGTTGATAAAGGGTTGAATTGATTCTTGGTCGTACGAGAGACGAAGCCAGACCGTGCCTGTGGGGTGTCAGCAACCGCTCACAAAGCCTGACACGTCACTTACCCATCATGATTGCCAGGCCGAAGTACATGGCCACCCGGGTACCATACGCAATGATGTCTCGGTAGGACTTGATGAAGTTACGGTGTAGCAGGATCCAAGATATGGCGAGGACGTTTTGATTGGAGTGGTGAGGCGTGGTCCCTGAAGGTTCCCCTGGCGATGTGAAGCTGCATTCTTCAATAGCGGACTTGCACTCTTGACAGGACGACCAGGAGCTTTGGATGTAACTGAGTTCATCCTGTGTACGGTGTGAGGAATTGCCAAAGTCGCTGTTGACCAGTTCCAGGAGGAATTCTGCTGGGTTTATATGCAGCGGGATCGGCCGCTGAATGCGCTCAAAATAGCCATGAACGTCCGATACTGGACCGAAGTAGCAGGTTCGTCCCCCGGACAAGAGCATCAATTGGTCGAACAACTCGAACGTCGTGGTCGATGGCTGATGAATGGACGTAATACAGACCAAGCGGTGCTCCTTGGCGACCTGCTTGATATAGTTCATGACTTCGTAGGACGCGGCAGAATCAAGTCCACTGGTCGGTTCATCGAGGAAGAGTATCCGTGGAGATGTCACGAGCTGACTGGCCACGCTGAGTCTGCGCTTTTGCCCGCCACTCAGGCCTTTGCGAAGAGGTGTGCCGACGATGTTATTTTTTTGTCGTTGAAGCCCAAATGACTCGATAAGTTCGTCCACCCTTGCGAGCCTCTCTCTTTTCGAAAGATTCGTTGGAAGCGCAAGCCTCGCAGCAAAGTCGACCGTCTCATGCAGTGTGAGTATACCGATCATGGCGTCCTCTTGCTCGACATAACTAGACACTTTCCGAATAGCCTGCCGGTTGGTGACTCGCCCATTGATCATGATCTTGCCCTTAATGTCCCCTTTCATAGTAGATGTCCTGTGGGCAAGAGTGTTCAACAGCGTCGTCTTTCCTGAACCTGAAGGGCCCATCAATGCAAGGACGTTGCCAGCTCTGACGCAGCCATAGTTCGAGTCGAGGATCTTGAGAGGTTGGCCCGATTTTCGATCTTTCACTGTGATGCCAACGTCGGCCCAGGAGAAACTTTCCACCAGCGTGTTTGTCAAATGGCGGCCGAGTTCATGGCCTTTTTCCACATCTCTCGTCAAGTCGGCCATATCGGTAGAGCCTTCGGACAGCCCAGTAGGGTCTTGATCAGACATGCTAGTTGCTGCTTCTCGTCAATGTTGCAAAGGTAAAAGGGCCAGGGAAGTAGAGATCTGGTTTGACTTGAACGCCTAATGATATAGGAAAACGCAATGAGGGGGAGTGAAGGAAATATAAGGCTCCGACATCAGTGAATAAACAATAAATGATCTCACCATGTTGACATATTGAGGTGAGTGATGTCTGATCCCCGAATGCGCAAGCCTTGCACAACTCAAAGTCCTCAAACACTCTTCAGCCGCACCGACGGTTTCCAATTGTGACATAGTGCCTTTTCACGCAGCATCCAACCATGGAAAATTGAGGGAATCTTTCTCCCGTTATTGCGATCTGAGCTCGTAGGGCTGCAAGCGACTACCATCCTTGGTCCAGCTCCAGGGGAAGGATCTCAGCTCAATCTCAATTACTGAAGCCTACCTAGTGCCCTCGGGTTGCAACCAAACCACGCGTCGTTGTATCAACAACTTCAGAAATAGATGTGGGTCGTACGACTAGTACTATGGTACACTGGCACAGTACAGGCTCTCGACTCTCTTCCGGGTTTCCCGCTTCTTGATGCTGACATAGGTGATGGCCACGTTGCAATTGAGCGCTGTGAGAAGATACGGCAGAAAACCACTAGATCTATCGGGCGTGGAGGAAGACACCATGCTTGAAGATCCCGCGCCCCAGTCGGCGATCAGCCATGGCGGGCTAACTACGTACCTACTGGTGGCCACTCGACGGTACAGTGTCTGCTGGTTGGCCTGTGCGTGCGGTAAATCTGGTTCCTCTCAACACATGACAGTTCGGATTCCCTGGCGATTGCTGGATCCAATGGCCAATTAAGCTGCACTGCCCCCGAACCACTCACAGGCCACTCTATTCTTCGATTGTGCTCCAGACCCCGAGACCCCGAGACCCCGAAAGGACGTCGTGGACGTCTTTCTTATTTTTCCCTCATACCCTCCCACCACAAGCTTGAGAAGCCCGAAGCGCCATCTCCGTCTTGGTGCATGATTGTGGGATGACCGGAGATCCTCTGGACTGGGATCTCAGGCCTTTCCCATCGAACCCTCGATAGCGCCACCTTTGTTCGCAGCGATCTTCTAGAGGCGGACAAAAACGGTCTGGAAGGCCTTCGAGCACATTACACAAGATCTGCCATTTTAATGGGAGATTGCTTCCGTCTGTAACACCTGAGCCACTTCCAATTGTTATTGAAGCACACCCAGAGTCTCAAAAATGTCGACAGCTGACAATTCGACGACGTCCGCCAACGCCTCTAAAGGCCGATCGAAGCCGCCAAGTCTGCTCGCTTGTATACCGTGTCGCCGTAGTCATCTGAAATGTAGTGGTGAAAAGCCGTTATGCAAGCGGTGCGCCGAGCGGAACAGCGACTGTTTCTGGGTAGAATCCAGAAGAGGATACCGGGAATTCAGAAAGCCCCAATCCTCCATCGACGACAAAGGTTCTGAGAGGCCGACCAGAAATGATGCCATATTCCACGAATCGCAAGCTCCCCACCTTCAACCATCCTTTCAAGGGGTCGACGAGGCTGACCCTTCTGAAATACGGTCCCTTACCTACGACGAACTCTTTCCTCTCGGCATAGATCCAACCTTCACCACGATGCCGCTGGAGCTGCAGACAATTTACCATGGGCCCTCCAGTCCAGGCGGACAAAGTGATTCAACCATGTCGATTCCTCGAGAACCTAGCTCGACCGGTCCTAGGAGGGGAGGTGATGACCTGATCGACCTGTTCTATAAGCATTTTCACCCTGCTCACCCTTTTATCATACCGAGGAAGACATACATTGACAGCCCATTAACTCTACCCAAGCCATTGCGGGCTGTCATTCACTACCTAGCAAGCCACTATGTTCCTGGGACAAACCAAAATGCCCTGGAGACTGCCGCCAAAGGCATCTTCTCAGACGACGTTCCTGACGATGGATACAGAGTCCAAGGTCTTCTCCTCTACGCCATGACGTGCTTCTCGCGCTTTACCCAAGAGGAAGGAGCCAAAGCACTCGAGCAAGCCATCGACATCGCTCTGAGAATCGGCATGAACAGACAGAGCTTCGCCATCCAGCATGGCCGCAACGACCCAACCATACAAGAGTCATGGCGTCGGACATGGTGGTCACTGTTCATTGTGGAAGCCACCGTCGTCGTCATCGGTGGGCAATCACAACCATTCAGACTATACACAACCTTCACCGACGTCCCTCTGCCGGGCGACGACGAGGACTACAATGACGCTCGATCCTCACCTCTTCCTCGCAGCCTTGCCGATCTCCGGAATCGCACCTTCTCTGAAGACACATACGCATACTCGTCCTTCGCCTACGCCATCGAGGCAGCATATATCCTCGGCTCGGTACTGGCCCTTGGACCAGACACCTTCGCCGTGACCGATCCACAAGTCGAAGCCATCGATGCCAGCATCACGAACTATTTCCTCTCCCTGCCCCCAGCCAAGAGGGAAGTCATAGGCCAATGCGGCCTCGTCGATGAAAACCTCCTCGTCGCCCATCTGCTCATCAACTGGGCTGCCATCAGCCTGCATCGACCTCGATCCAGCCTGACCTTTATCCGCAACCACTACCGCACAACATGCACAAGGGCCGAAGCCGCCGGCCTTCCTGCGCTGGCGTACTCGTCACACACAGCCAAAGCCCTCCGCGCGGCCAACAACATCGTCAACCTTGCCACTGTTCAACACTCTATGATCGATGCACCCCCTGTGCTGATGTGCGGGATCACCACCGCCGCAACCGTGCACTTGCCAGCATACTCGATGATTGACAGGCCAGACCAAGCCATCGCCATCAAAGAGCGCTTACAAGTTGCAGTTTCCGCGCTCGCGGCGTTCGCCGAGATCTGGCCGCGCGCCAACATCGCCAAGGGTCAAGTCGCCAAGTTTGCGCGAGAGGTGCTCACCAAGCCGAATGTGTGTGTGGACAGTACGGGCCCGGGTATGATTCCAAGGATCGCGCCGGAGCCCATGCCCCAGTTGCAGTATGACATGCCGCCGTTCAACAATGAGCTGTGGATGGAGAATTTGATCGAGACGCAGCCAAATGTCGGTGATGGACCCGGGTGTGCGGTGTTTGATAACTTTACGATGCCGCAATTGCAGGATACTGTGACCGCGAACATGTCAGCCCTTGAGAGCACGACGACGACAATGCCGGCACTTCAGAGCGCGTCATGAGCTGCACGCCACTTGAGGATAGCGCCGGCTTTCCTCTATACCAGGCATCGATGCAACTGCTATCGGACGCTTCGTCGTTTGCTGCTAGTAGTGTGGTTTTTGGCCTGTAAGGAAGCTCGCTCTATCTCTGCCAAAGAAGGTATCTTGCTTCGCTTCGGTCTCCAACAGAGCCAATTCACAGTCCTTGCACTACAAACTCTAGCTGCAATCAGGAACACACCAATCCAATCATGGAAAAGCCCACTCAGCACAAGCGGGGTTAGAGGTTGCTGGTAGTAGCCGGGACACAGAAAAGCCGTGTATCCCTTGTGAGGATGTGGTGGTTGAGCTCCGTCATCAGCCCAGAATACAGTAGCCAAGAGCGTGCCTCGCTTCTGCCCTAAGGTGACAAAGACATTGGTTGAGTTGAGGCGACGTACCAAATTGGGTGCGGTTGGAAAATTGGAGAACGGCAGACTGCAGGCAATGGCACGGGTTGATGAGAAAGGTCCAGAGGCGGAAGAACGGGCAATAGCATGCTGGTGGACAGGGATTAATACGCCATTGATGACCGTGAACGAAGTGTTTGTATGATACACCATGAAGGAAAGGCCTCGCAACCTCGAAGCCGGGTTACCGGCAGCTCAGGTACTAGTAGTTTATTGTACTGTGTAATGATATCCCACTCTCGCTTTCTTCACCTCAATTCAATCGACGATCACTCTTCAAGCGGCTTCAGGACTTCAACCTTGCAGGCCCTGCGTCAGGACATCTCCAGTGCAAGAGCGCCGGATAGGGTAAGCGATTCCGAACCGGTACTATTGAGGTCGGTTTACGGAAGAGACAGACCCTTCTCACCAGATCCTCAATGCCCTTGACCCGGTCGTGTTGCAGGCTTGCACGATCCGCTTGAGATGCCTGTCAGCTAGATCGAGGGGTTATCTGCAAGGCATAGTGCCGTCGTGCCGCAAAGCGCTGGGTTATGGAGTGCATGGATGCAAGCGAACTTTGGAAGCTGTTGATCAAAGCCCGTACAGCGGCCAGGACCTGGTAGTCAGATGGCCGCACCGTTCCAATCTTTCGAGGCCACATTTGCCTCGAGTTCGACCCTTTTGCCCATGTATGTGCTGCGCAGAGGTCACTGTCGGGTGTCGTGTCCAAATTTTGACAAGGCGCCAGACATATTTTTCACGCCCAAATACCTCGTATCTTTACAGGCGAAAATCGACCGTCACTTGAGGAGCTTTGGTCTGACTCTGACTCTGACTCTGGCCCGTCGCTGGGTGGGAGTGGGACGGGCGCTGGCTTGCCGAGCTGTTCGACGAACGGTCTCAGACCCATCAACCCCAACCATATAGCCTCCTCGGTCCTGATGGTGCGACTTCCTTGGCCCGGCAGGACATTGACCCAAGCATCGAACAGCTCCTTCACATTCTTCTCGCCGATGCCGTGCTCGTACAAGTTCACATCATTCTTGGCGGCCTTTTCCAGACCTGCAACGCCGCCGAAGACGAGAAGAACGTGCTTGAAACCCAGCAGGCTAGAGTCCCTGAACGGACTTCTCGACAAGACTTTGCCGAGCGGCTTGCCTCGTTCGGAAGTGCCTATTGAGACGTCGTAGCCTCCTTTAAATGGACATTCCGTCCAGATGTCGGATAGACTGCTGCATTGCCGTACTGAATAGCCCCAGTAATAGCCCTTCTCCTCGCGAGGAACGTTCGGAGCGACCGTTTCAGCAGCCGCCGTGGAGGATTGTTCTTGCAAGTGCACAGTGACGCGGGTGCCTGGAGGTATATCGTCGCTGACGGTTACGTGGTTTGACAATCCAACGTCGACGAGCGTGCCGTTACCGGGACCCGCGGGTGCGGCTCGCACAGTGACACCTTCTCGGTACTCGCACAATTCGTTGGCGCGTAGATGGTGCGGCATGTCCAGACTCGGGAGTGTCCCTGCCGTGCGCAGATTCGGGTGCATTGGGAACAGAGCCCTACGCAGGTGAGGTGGTGTTTCGAGGTATGAGAGCAAATGGGCGAGAAAGTGATCCGGATGGGAGAATGCAGTGTAGTCGGTCTCTGCGATCTCGGGTCGTCGTTGCTGTGTCGGCGTGTCTTCATCATCGAAGATGACGATCTCGTCCACGCAGAATACCGCCAATGCCCGGGCGATCTGTCCGGCCAGGAAGGTTTTTTGTTCGTGAGATTTGGCGTTGGCGACGACACTGCCTGGCAGAGCGACAGAAAGTGTCCAGGAGCGGCCGCCGGAAGGTTGGAAGACTGCAGATGGTTTCGATGTGTCGACTGTGGCTTCTTCCTCGTCTTGGTGGACCTTTCTTTTCTTTGCCTTGACCTCGCCGGTTTCAACTTTTCGTTTCGGCATTGCACCTGACCTAGCGAGGGTTGTGATATGTGCAGTGAGTAGTCAGACCTTTTTAGTAAAGCCCGGTAAGCAAGAAAGTATCCTTGGGCGATATCGAGTCTCGACGCTGTACGGAGTAGCAAGAAAAATCTCCGGCGATCATCCCTCAGCCGTTCCAGCCTAGTCTTTCTCAGCCTCGTCTATTTAAAGCAGCGGCAAGTCAGGTACCGTATCTCTGAATGGTGATTGGTGTAACAATTATTCTTTACCGGGAGGCGAAATCCTAACGGCCACTAAAATAGGGAGAATCTCTGGGCGGAGAAAAGTGAGATGCGCAATGCGTTAATGGGAAAAGGAGCGCCTGGATTTCCACGATTCACGCACCCAGATCTCACACCAAGAGCCAGGACCTAACACTTCATTGCGGCTTCTACTGGCATACTTTCCTTCTGTTAACCCCATTCTTCAACCATCCTGGTATCGCCTATTGTTCCATAGTGGCTTCCCTGCTTCAACTGCCACGCAAGCAGGCCAATCCCTACCAATCCACCCGCGCCCTTCATTTACGCACCCTCACGCGACCATGAAGATCGGACGGAGGCGTGTTCAATTGCTTCTTTTCCTACTTACCTCGGTGATCGTCTCCGAAGCGACTGACGCCTCACTCCCTCGAGAATCACTGGCCAAAAACTTCGCAAATTCGAGGTCTTTAGGCGAGGTTGTTGCCGCGTCAGGAGGGAATGGCGGAGGGAAACCTGCGCCAGTCGGAACCGAGCATGCTCCAGTGGATGGAAAAGACGGAATGCCACATGAAGGACCTTTCGTTGAGACAAATGCAGAAAGGACGAGGAAGAAGACTCAAGGTGTGGGTTATGACGACGACCTCGCGACAGAGAAGACAACATACAAAGCCGGAGACCTTCCACAATCCAATGACGCGGTAATGGACGACCGTCTCAAGTCAAATCCTGCCGAAGGTACGAGAGGCGTCGAGGGCGGCATATCAGAGAAGTCGAAGGAGGGTAAATCCACAGAGAAGAGGCCTGATCCTCCCAAGGACGCCAGACCCTTACCCCATCACGAGGTGGAAACGTTGAAGGACGCGGACAAGACGCAGACGAAACAGACCACGGAAGAGGAGCCCAAGAAGATTTTAACGGTAAGCCAAACCACGCCATATTTGGTCTCAATCGTCTAACCCCATTGCAGGCGCCTCAAGACCTCCCAGAGAAGCCTCACGACATCCCTTACCCTGAAAACCCCTCGTCGCCGAAAGACAACACAATCGTGTCGGAAAATCCTGACCGGATACCGAAAGCCAAGGAGCACGAGCCTGCAGTCATCTCGCCTATGCATTCTCTGGTCCTCTCGTTTACCATGATCCTCTTCTCCGAAGTAGGCGACAAGACCTTCCTGGTCGCGGCGCTCATGGCCATGCGTCATCCCAGAGTGGTCGTCTTTACCGCCGCCTTCTCCGCGCTGATCACCATGACCGTCCTCTCGGCGATGCTAGGCCACGCAGTTCCAACATTGATCCCGAAGACGATCACCAATTTCGCCGCAGCTGGCCTGTTTCTGGTTTTTGGAGTCAAAATGGTCATCGAGGCGCGAGGAATGAGCCCCGACGACGGCGTCGGCGAAGAAATGAAAGAGGTCGAGATGGAATTGGAAGAGAAGGAACATCAACAACGGCGCATGTCTAGGCGGCTTTCGTCCATATCCCCATACGCACTGGAATCCGGTCGTGCAGGCGTCGGCAGGAAACATACAAACGGTCGGTTACCGTCACCACCGGAAAGTCCGTCCAGTTCGCGCGAGGCATCGCCTGAGCGACGGTCGACGATCAAGAGCATGCTGAACGGAATCAACAATCTGTGCTCGTTACTGCTGAGTCCGGCCTGGGTGCAGACTTTCGTCATGACGTTCCTTGGTGAATGGGGCGACCGGTCGCAAATCGCCACGATTGCAATGGCCGCTGGACAGGATTATTGGTGGGTTACCGCCGGTGCATTGGGTGGGCATGCCATTTGTACTGGGGCGGCCGTCCTAGGTGGTAGAGCCATCGCCGGCAGGGTCAGTATGAGGACCGGTACGTATCATCTGCTTGCTATGTACTTTGTGGGTGTTGCGATTTTGAAAGCTAATGTTTCGTGTTAACAGTGACCATGGGTGGCGCGATTGCTTTCTTGGTGTTTGGTGTGATTTACCTTCTCGAGGCTGTTTATTAATCTTCCGTTCGGAGTTTTTGCGACTGCCCATCACTTTTCAAGGACTTCAATTATCACGCAGTGGTGAACAAGGGGCCGGGTCCCTTCATTCAACGCTTTCATGGTTGCCCCTTAGAGAAATCGAAGACCGTGTGTTCTGTTCGGACTCCAGTTCGATCGATGTTATACACTTGTACCTCAACAATCACGATGAGTCTCATTAATGGATCAGGTACCTCGGCGAGAGAGAGAAGGGATGATGCCTGTTGATTCTGTGGACGAGGTTGAGGGAATGGTAAAACCAGTGTGCAGTGTGCTTGCAAGCCCCAGGAGGAGAATTGTACCAAATGTATAGTGTACGAATGTTAATCTTCTTGATCTCTCTGTGCCAGTCGCGCGTGGGAAGACCAGTTGGCTACCTACTCTATTGGAGATCGACTTGTGCTACTGTAGCCGAAGATCGAAATATCCGTTCGTCCCTGACATCGACGAGTGCGGCCAGATGAAGCTGGTTGTGATACTTCCCAACGAAATTCTCGATGCTGACTAGAAACGGCCGAAGAATCAAAACAATATGTTTCATTGCCCTTTGTTCATGCAGAGCAGACTATTGATCGAGCTTATGCAGATGTAAAGGACGTCGTACTCGGACAGTGACAACTATTTTGTTCGGCTCAGCCATCAACCAGGTTGCCCCTTTTCGTCCGTCCGTCCATACGACGCCCCGTCAGCTCAATGTACCTCGACTTGTTGTCTCCGAATAATCCTCACAGTCACAATACTCCAAGACTGAAATCCCATCCATAACCCAAGTAAACCAACAGCTTTTGTGACCCGCCCGTTCCCAAGGACCTTGAACACCAGCCGCAGACCGTAGACCGTAGATCCCAAGCCCCCAGTCCGGCCAGCCATCAATATCCAGAGCATGTCATTATGTGATTTGGTCATGATCTAATCCCACTTCAGCTCCAGATCGATGCTTCCCATTTCCCTTGCGGCAGAAGCCGGTAATAAAAACAAGTAAAACATGTAACACAATTTCCGAAAAGTAGTAGCCGTTGTCATCCGACTATGAGCGTCGCAAGGTATGCTATCCCTTGCTCATGTGAGGACGCTGAGAGAGGTAGAAGCGCATGATGCCCGCAACCACCATGCAAACGATCTCTGCAGTGATCCTGCCGACCGATAGCAGTGCTAGAAATCAGTACACAGATCATTGTTCACTCTCTCTGCTTCGGTCGACTCAGCATATTCAAGCGGCTCAGACTCAAAATGCCTTTTCCCTTACGCGCATCAGCGCTCTTCTTCGCCATTTCTCTTGCCGTGCTCTGTCGTGGTTTTCCGACGTCGTTTTTCGCCTTCTCCCTCGGGTCTGTAGGCGCGCCACCGACTCTCGCACGCTTCCCACCACGCTTCTCGCCCTCATCCTGTTCGTCAGGTTGTGGGGTGTCATGCCAGCCACCAGGAACAGACGGCATGACGGAGATGCGGCGGTTCTCTTTCCCAGCATCCTCGCCTGACTCGTCATTGTCAGACACGATCGAGTCTCGACGACGTTTCTTGCCTGGGATCCCGTGTGGAACGGTCTTTACTTCTGCATCTTCGAATGGCTGAACGAGCTCCGTTACGCCGGAAGTGGTGACGCGGCGAATAGTAGAGGGAGATGGTTGTGAGAAGTGAGGGTTGCTAGGTGATCGCATGACCTTGTTAGCGTGAATGGCCGGGTCCGTCTTGTTGACTACGGTATTCACAGAGGTCAAATTCGAAGGAGGCGCAGGTCTAGATGGGTGGTGCAAAGTGGTGAAGATTGATTTGAACTCCTTAGACTCGCGGCGGTTGTGGTCTTTGGCCTTTCTCTCGAAAGACTTGTCGGGCGTCGATTGAACCGGGCTTGAAGAACCTTCAGGTAGAACTGGATAGTCGATCTCACCTTCGGCGTCTTCCCAGCAGTCGTCACCATCATCAGCTTCTAGCACATATGCCGCTGGGTCGTAGGGGACAAGTGGCGCGAGTGCTTTGCCGGGCGTGAGTTGTTGCGGGAGCTTGACTGGGCTGGGGCTTCCAGCAGCCAATTTCACGGCGTATCTTGACTTGACACTCGGAGTAAAGTCGACTTTCTTCAAGGAGCCACTGTTAGCCGTTGCAGTAGCCGGGCGCTTCGGGGTGCCTTGTCGATCTTGGATGAAAGGTACAATATCCGTCTTTCGGCCAGAACGTAGAATTGATTTCAATCCAGCAAATTTCGGCAGTTTCGAGGAGAACCCCTGGTTCTTGGACATAGTTGGACCTTGAATGCTGATAGGTGCCTGTTGGGGTTCTTCTGATTGAGAAGATGTAGGCGAAGGAACATCCTTGGGTAATGGTGGGAGGGGCCTATCCAAGTGCGATCCTTCAGGGCGTGCAAAGTGAAACATAGTCTGAGCTGTCGGTGCCCCATGAGAAGTAGCAGGTCTATTGGCCGCTCCTTGTGAAGTTGTTCTCAGCGACTTGGCCGATGCAGGGCGTTTGAGTGGTGAAGCCTTGTTGGGTGAAGCCAACGGTATCTGACTAGCTCCAGCTCTGGCCAAGGATGCCTTGGTTGGCGACAGCAAGCTGCTGGACACTGAATTTGTCAAGGTTTCGGTCCGAGCTGGTTGGGTGAGTTCTTTCGGTCGACTTGAGGAAACATCCTGCAGTTCGGAGTGTCTAGCACGCTTAGCTGGAGTGGCATTCTCGAGTCGTTCTGGCTGCGCTGGAATGGATTTGAACGGGCTCACAGAAGTTGGGCGACCAAGGAAAGGTGGCGGTCGTCGTCCAGGAGTGCTTTTGCCAGCAGTTCGAGGTCGGTCCATTTCATCCAGACGAGCTTTAGAGCCGCTTCGCTTGAGTGATTGGGCCGTAGGCTGCGCAAAACCTGGCTTCCCCCGAAATGCGGAAGGATGATTTGCAATCGAGTCCATCTTCTTGAACTGAGCCATATGGATGTCGCTGAATCGACCAGCCTTGCCCTTTGGTTTCGCAATCTTTCTACCAGAAGCATTGATTCCACCAAAGGTAGACTCGGCGTCTTCGTCTTTCTGTTGTTGAGCCTCTCTTTCGGCCTGCATCTGTGCTTTGATTCTGGTCGCTTCCTCACGCACATTGTCCATCAATTTCTGTGCCTCGCTGCTCAATTGGGATTCGCTCCCAAACTTGAAGTCCAAGCTGGTGGATTGAAAGTGTGCAGGAGTGCTTGTACGGATTTTTGAAGGCGTGTTTTGTGCGCTCGCGATCGATTGGGGATGTGAAGGTATGTCGATGAAGCCTAGCTTAAGGCCAGAGTCGGGAGCTTTAGTGGTGCTGTGATGGACGAGCTCAGGGTGCATCTCGCCGCGATCAACTCGTGGTTCAGTTTTGGGTGTCTTGAGGCCCGACAGCTTGGTGAGCTGGGATTGGGTGGTGGCAGCAGATGCTGGAGTTGCGATAACGTTGTCAATGGATTGCGGTTCGCCCACATCGGGAGTCTCGTCTCGTTCTATGAGAGCCCCAAGTGGTGCCGAGGACTGTTTACGGGTAGAAGATCGCTGCCAAACAATTAGTTCCCAGTCGGAAGAGGTGGACCATTGCGTAGGGCAGAGAAGCCATTCAATGATCACCAGAGCACAAGGCAAAGCAGTGTCAAACAACTGGCAAACATTACCTGTTGCTGAGCGTTTTTGCTCAATCGAGCAGATCTACGACGAGGGGTAGCCATTGTAAACCATGTACAAGATTCAATGAAACAGCGCACAGGACAGCCAGGAAGATGGAGAGGATCGTTGTGGATGTACACAGTACTGTAAGATGGAGATGTCAGAACTTGTGGTGGTCTGTGAGGAGTGAGAGAGGCACGAGAGCATTGGTCGAACTTGTGTGATGCTCGATTTCTGAAATGACGTGACCAAGTAAACAATCCCCGGCCGTTAGCGCCTTGGCAACAACGCCTGGTCACGTGCGGCATTTGCTGTCTTCGCATTCTTTCGATATCAGTCACACCAACTAGAACGTCCCTGCAAAAGAAAACCGTCCGTTATACAGTATGCAACAGGCGAACGGGTGTGATGCCATTTGCTCGCATTGGAACCTGTCTGGTCGCCACCGGAGAGCAGAACCCAACAACGCCAACCTCTCTCTACGGCGGCAAGAGCAATACCACTGTCTTTTGAGGATATATACGCCCTGTGGCTTCCACATCTACACGAGTGCAGATCCTTATAGGCCGGATGCCCGCTGCTTCGTAACATGCCTCTTCGTTTTCCCAGGTAAACGACTCATGATGTGAATCGGGCCTGATGAAACAATATGAGCCGGGAGTTGTGACTAAGCAAAAGAGCTTGGCTGTGCTTGACTTTGCTTGACTTGAGCACCCGCGAGATGAGCAGCTTCTTCGACGTCCATGCCTCGCCACTGCCTATTCTCTATGATGTGCCTGATACTATGGTCACGGCCGTGGCGGAGAGTAAGTCTGAGGATAGACCGTCCGACCGTTCGCCCTGCGACAGGCCGCAGAACATGCACGGCGAACCTCTCGACTACCGAATCCACGGAGTGAACATGTCTCCAGACTATTGCGGCATGAGCTTCTCATGATAGACCATTCAGGATCCCTGCGAAGCTTGCGGAACAAGCTGCTGCGAGTAGAGTGCTCCTGGAATTAACTGAGTACTGGTCGTACGCAGTCTTGGAAGAGTGGTAGAGCGGGAGATTCAGGCCTACCACTAACTGAAGAACTCTTGCAGTCAATTGATAACGCTGGCCAAAGAATGCCTTTTGTAGGGGAGCCATCAACCTTCCTGCCTTTCCTGACTTCTTCTGCATACAGTCCCCTCTACAAGTCGTCCATTGATCAGTCAAGCACTGTATAGAGCTATATGTCGTGCTCCCTCAAAGTCCTAGCAATTCGGCTCCGGCAGTCGATCTTCTGGCTGGCATCAGCCATGTACTCCGTATAGGTGCTGATCTTACCATGCCTGGATATTTCATGCGCGCAGATCGACAAGGCTGGTATCGAACTCCACCACACACGGCACGCTCCCCTCCTTTATAAACCGCCATGACGTCGACGGATGTTCGCATTTCAGCCAACAATGTCATCATACTGCTCGCATGACTATATACCCTGAATGCAATACGCCTTCGTCCTCGACTCTTGTTTACCACGACGACTACAACCACATTGAGCCTTTGGGAGCCAACGCCTACCATCAAGCGATCGTAGGCAGTATACCGGCAATAATCAGCGGCTCAATCGAACCATACTCCACTATGGCTTCTCGATCGCCCACATTGCGAGCGTCGTCGGACCCCTTCGGTCCTGACGCGGAGAAGGATGTTCAAACTCTCGACAATTCCAACCTTCATGGCGCTGCTCGTCCCGACATTGCTCCAGGTGCTGAGAAGCGGCGTCGCTCTTCTCTAGGCGCAGCGTTTCGTCGGCAAAGCGAATATAAGGAAGTGGACCCGTTTGATGACGAAGATGGCGATGGCGTGAAGTATCGGACCTTGAAGTGGTGGTACGCATCAGTCTTGCTATGAAGAAGTTCGGATGCTAACATGTAGAAACAGGCAATGCAGCATGAGTATGTCCTTCTGAGGCACTCCAGAGTCAAATTAATGGTTATCTCCACACAGTTATGATTGCAGAGACCATATCCTTGGGCATTCTGTCTTTGCCCTCCGTTCTTGCGACAATTGGCATGGCTCCTGGTGCAATCCTGATCGTGGGTTTGGGGGTCGTGGCCACATACTCTGGCTATGTAATTGGACAATTCAAGATGGCGCATCCATGGGTAAGCCTTAAGCATTCTGTCCTGCCGTGAATCTTCTGACATTTCCCTTTGCAGGTTCACAACATGGCTGATGCAGGCTATGTGTTATTCAAACCCGTCGGTCCTCGCTGGGCGACCGTGATGCGAGAAGTCTTCGGGGCAGCTCAAACGATTTTCCTGATCTTCAGCATGGCAAGTCATATTCTGACCTGGACCATTTGTCTTAACACTTTGACCAATGGAGCCGCATGCACGATCGCCTGGGGGATCGTAGGCTTGGTGATTTTCTGGATCTGCGACATCCCTCGAACCCTCCAGAAAGTCTCGTGGCTCTCGTGCGCCAGCTTTCTCAGCATCACCACCGCCGTAATTGTCTGTATGGCCGGCGTTGGTGCCAGAAATCCGTCTCATGGCCACTTCCATGCAACACAAACAGCGACTTTCGCTACGGCGTTCCTCAGTGTAACAAACATTGTCTTTGCATATGCTGGACACGTTGCCTTCTTCAGTTTCATCTCGGAGATGCGCAATCCCGAAGATTTTCCCAAGGCTTTGGTCCTCTTGCAAGTCACGGATACCGCCATGTACTTCCTCATCGCCATGGTGGTATATGCCTATGGTGGAGACCAAGTCGACTCGCCTGCACTTGGTTCTGCGGGGACCGTCATTGGAAAGGTCGCCTGGGGTCTGGCTATCCCAACCATCATTGTTGCTGGTGTCATTTATGGGCACGTCGCCTCTAAGTACATCTATGTGCGTCTGTTCCGTGGTACGAAGCACATGTCGCAACGAACGCTCTTGTCCGTGGGCACCTGGCTTATCATCACCTTGACGGTTTGGGTCATTGCATGGATCATCGCGGAATCTATTCCCAACTTCAACGACTTGCTGGCTCTAATTTCCAGTCTGTTTGCCTCGTGGTTCACCTATGGCATCTCGGGAGTTTTCTGGTTGTTCATGAACTGGGGTCAGTACACCAAGAATTGGAAGAAGATCGTTCTCACCATTGCCAACGTGGGCTTGTTCGCAATGGGTTGTGGGATCTGTGGAATGGGCTTGTACGCCAGTGGGTATTCTATTCATCAGGAGTCGAGTGGGAGCAGTTGGACTTGTATGAGTAATGCTCAGTGAGCTCGGAGGCTCTCCTCATGCGGCCTGCATGCATTGAGAACTGTAACAACACTTATCATCTGTATTAGTAGTAGGCCTAAAGATAGGGATGGAGCTGCACTTTCTTGACGAAGAAGTGATTTGCCTTCTTCATAGGGACCTTGTGGTTGGACCACCGTCTGTTAATATTCGTAATAAAAGCGCTGTGTGCATTCTCATCCATCACTTTGCCGTGAGTCTGGGCACAATCTGTCGTGAACAATACTACCAATTGCTCTACTTTGTCAAGATGTCTGGACACAAGCGAAAGACTCCATCTGACCTGTCATCCGGTTCACAACCTGGAAAAGTCACAGGCGTGCATGCGAAACGACGCGCGAGCAATGCGAAGATGCCTTTTGAGGCTCAGCAACCAGCCAAGGCTGCCGCAGGGCCAAATCCAATACGATCAGGGCCCGGTTCGCCTATTGCGCCTATGACCAGCGCCAACGACGCCCAAATTCGTTCAAACGGCGCCCGGCTAGACGAGCTCGGCGGTAATCAGAGTCCCGCTCAATTTTCCAAGAACCAGAACCAGTCTAGAAAATTCGACAAGGACGATAAGAAGCATGACAACGAAGCCGTGCAGTCAAATTCCCACAATCTTCTGTCAAGAACAATAAGTGGCAGACTGAATCATTCCGTTACTCGTTCGACGTCTTACAAAGATCCTCTCCCGCATCTCGCCGAAGCGTCAAAAGTTGACGTTGACAGCAGCCACTCTGGGCACCCTAGGCAGTCTGGGCCTGCTCCTCTCACTGAGGCAAACCTTCGGCATCTCTTACGCTCAATCGACAAGGAGAAGGAGGGTAGCGGCAGCGGCAGGAGATCTGAGCCGCAGCTACTCGTACAGCCCGTGTCAATACCCGTCCCAGTGTCAGAGCCTCTGTCCCGTCTGTCTCTGCCTCCGCTGGGTGCGCCCCACTCCAAGTCGACAGCCGCAGCCGACTTGAATTCGACTGGTGCAAAATTCAATTCATCTTCGCCCATGCGGAAGTCAAAATCTCCCAAAAAGCAGGACAAAGACAGAGACAAGAAGAAGTCGGCAAAACACGACACTGACACCCATCCATTAAATCTACCTCCCGATCAATTGCGCAAACTCACAGCCAGAATGGCAAGAGAAGAGGCTGAGAGACAATCTATGTCTATGGACCGAGAAATCCCAGGAACAACTGATAAAGACTCAATACCGAACGATTCCTCGCAGCCTGCGACCCCTTCACAAGATGCACCCGGTGCTTTTCCAGACGAGCCTGCTACAAACGGCGTCAATGGCCACAACGAGAGAAGTCCTACACCCCCACCACACAAAGTCACTCCTGCGCCGAAAGTAGACCCAGAAGCCTGCAAGGCCGCAGGTAATAAATTCTTCAAAGCGAAGGATTATGATAAAGCAATCGTGGAATACTCAAAAGGTATGGTAAAACATGTCCTTTCAACAAACTTCTGGCTGACAAATTCTTCTAGCTGTTGAAGCAGATCCTACAAATCCCACCTACCTGTCCAACCGAGCCGCAGCCTACATTTCTGCGAATAACTATAGCCAGGCACTCGGTGACTCATTACAGGCCAGCAGATTAGACCCGAACAACGACAAAATCCTGCACCGTCTCGCTCGAATTTACACATCATTAGGCCGACCACAGGATGCCTTGGACACATATGCAAAAATACCGAATGCCTCGGCGACAGATACCGCAGCCGCTCGGAAAGCATTGCAATCAATAGAATTGGCAGAGAAGCAGATCAATTCCGAAGATGGCAACGGGAATATGGCGCTATGGAGCATCGAGCAGGCGAAGCAGACCCTCGGACGGGACACACCCACGCCACGAAGCTGGCAGATACTGAAAGCCAAGGCAAACCTCAAAGTAGGCACTGCTAATGCGCTAGGCGAAGTCCAAGCCATCTCTCAGTCCCTCATGCGCGAGAACGGAATGGATGCCGAGGCAATCGTCCTTGCCGCACGGGCGATGTACCTGAGAGACGAGAAAACTGGGGGCGGCAAGAGCGACTACGAGCGTGCAGAGGATTACTTTCGACAAGCACTCTCATTAGATCCCGACAATACCGACGCCCGAAACAACTTGCGGACGATGAAGAAACTAGACCGGGCCCGGACATCGGCGAACGATATGTTTAAGCGTGGGAAGTACCATGACGCTGTGGAAGCGTACTCCGAAGCTCTCACGATCGACCCAAGCAATAAAGTTACCAACGCGAAATTATTGGGCAACCGCGCCACGGCCCGCATTAAGATCAAAGAATTCGATGAGGCGAAAGCAGACTGTGACCAGGCACTCAAGCTCGATCCGACGTACACCAAGGCACGACGCTTGCGGGCCAAAGCAACAGGGGAATCGGGCGACTGGGAGCAAGCGGTCAAAGACTACAAGGCACTGCTCGAGGACAACCCCCAGGATCAGGAACTAAACAAGGAACTGCGGAATGCTGAGCTTGAGCTCAAGAAGTCCAAGCGCAAGGACTACTACAAGATCTTGGGCGTGGAGAAGGATGCCGGTGATAAAGACATTGAGCGCGCATACAAACGTAAGGCGGCGGTACTGCATCCAGACAAGACGCAGGGTGATAAGAAGAAGGAAGAGGAGTTCAAAGACTGCTTGGAGGCGAAGGAGACGCTGCTGGATCCGCAAAAGCGGCAAATGTATGATTCTGGCGCCGATCTAATGGAGCCCGGCATGGGCATGGGCGGTGGTTTCCCTGGAGGCATGGGCGGCTTTGGTGGGATGGGTGGGATGGGTGGTGGTGGTGTCCAGATCGATCCGGAGATGCTGTTCAATATGATGAACGGCGGTGGCGGCGGTGGGTTCAGATTCAGTACGGGTGGTGGTGGACCAGGAGGCTTCTCAGCATTCGGTTGAGATGAATATTACACGTGGACTGGAAGGAACGCGACGACTCAAGCTCGCGTTGAGCGAGAGGTGCGCAATGCAGGCGAGTCCCTCTCGATTAGGGGCTGTATGTGGCAAAGCCGCTGAGACCAGATCGAAACTCTGCCATTGCCTGGATTGTGTAAGACTATCACACTGCAACGGGCAGTCAGACAGCAGACGGCGGCAGGCCGAGTAAAGTCGAGAGCAGGTCGACTTTGCATTGCAGACACGAACAGCCTGCCTCCTTGTGCACCAAATCTTGGATACTCTTCAGCTTCACGAACCGAACATCTGCATCTACACCCACGTTACCTTCGTCCCTTCAAATCAAACGATGAATTGGGACACACAAGCTCCAGATCTGTGAGAAAAAAGTAGAAAGCACATAGCGTGGTTGGCAAGCATTGCATTGCGAGGAGTTTCTTTCCCTTCAGAGGTCGAAAGTACAATCTTCGAACCGATCTATCTGCATGGCGTGCCACGGCATTGGGTGTTGGCGTTCTGGTATCTTTGTCATATTCCGGGCCGATATTCGATCATTGCATATATCATGAACTGGATTGAATGGGCCAAAGACTTGTAGAAGGGCAATGGGACATGGCCAAGATGATCACACTGTGTCACAGGAAAGAGAAGCTTCGTGCTGCAGTACGGACAGTAAGCCATCGGGACTCGTCATGGTCGTCTAGTAGTAGTCAGAGCGTCCGCGGCAAGTCGAATCAATTATGCCGCCGTTCAAAGACAGCAAGTCGAGCTTGCAGCGGCATGCATTCGCAACTATCCATGCTTCATCCATACCCAAGCCGGTCATCGTATCATCAACCCAGCACAGGCCGACACTCACTTAATCCTCATCGTCATCCCTGGCCGTCCGTCTCGGCCTCCCTCTGCTTCTCTGTGCTTGGCCTCGGCGTGACGATCCTGCTTCAACCTGTTCTTCCTCGACGGCTTGATCGTCGATTTCTTGCTCACGATCGGTCCCTGCCTCGTCCCCACCGACCTTGATTCCCAAACTCCGCGAAAGCTTCGCATTCAACTCGTCCTCCTCGATCTTGACAACCCTCCGCCTCTGCGGCTGTTCCCCTTCGCCTTCATCGTCCTCATCACCCCCACCCTGCCCACGACGGTCCGGCAGCTCTTCCAGACCCAAATCCACAGCTCCATATCCGTATACACTCCTTACCAGCCCGGCTACACCGTTGACTCCAACCTCAATCTTGCCCCTGGGCCCGGGCACCCATTCCATCACCTCCTCACCCAAACTCGTATCTCGGCGCTTTTCGACATACCCTTCCCTGACCATGCGTTGTAGCAATTTCTCCAGCGCGCCGAAGGGGGTATATGTATCCGCGTTCACCCTTTTGAGGTATCTATTCAACTTCTGGTCCGTCAAGGCCTTGTTGTTCAGATAAATCAGCGCGAGAACGAACGTGTACATCGCCGTGTAGCTTGCTTCGGTTTCCAGAGTCGGCGCTCTTGTGGGCTGGACTATGACCGGGTCGTTTTTTAGGGCGGTCGGCAACGTCGAGAGAAGGATCCATGATTTGGAAGATGTGGTGTTGTTGGACGTTTTCGACGTCTGCGTGGCCTGGTTCCGTCGGTCTTTGAGGCTGGTCTTCTCTTTCGAGGGGAGTTCCACCAATTGCATGCCGAATGTGTCTCTCAGCGTGCGCTGCGCGGAGGCGAATACATTCTTGAAGGACCGGCCGTGCGCGTTCGAGTCCTTGAAGACCTTGGCGGATATGTCGCTGCGTCGGAGCGGCGTACGCGCGTACTCGGTCGACAGCGCCAGACGGACGAGTTTCTTGACTAGCGTGGACTCGGAGTTCGTGGTGTGCGAGTCTGAGGCGGCGGCCGAGGAGGAGATGCTGGATGCGGCGGATGTGGTTGATGAGGAGCGTTGACGTACGCGTCGTGCTTGGGTTTGTGGTTCATTGTCGTCCGATTCTGATGCGGAAGCGGAGGGAGGGTCGTCGCGAGATATGGCGTCGGAGCGGCGTTTTGGAGGCATTGTGGGGAAGTGTGATGGCCGGACGAGATGGAATGGGGGTTGTAAAGGTGTTGTCAACAGGGAGCTCAGGAGTGTTGGTTTGGACGCTGAAGGAGACGATGGTCGCAGTTTCAAGAAAGCCTGCAGCCTCGTCGCGTCATGCGCGTCTTAATTGGATGCTTGGCGGACGAGGCTGGGCTCTGTTCTGTGTATGAACGCCGTTCACGATGTTCTTTAATTCATCCCTATCTGCAATCCATGCCAGGCATCACTACGCTTAATCGGCCGACCGTATAATACAGCACTGATACAGCACTGATGTTGTTGCAGGTACCAAGTAAAAGAAACCACTCATCCCAACTATGCCGAGTTTATTCAAGTCACATCCACAAATGGATGCTCGACGGCATCATTGTGCTAGCTTCCCAATGCTGCACAATTGATACCGATGCTTGCGGATGTCATCCCTATTTGCAAGCGCTGATCACAGCTCCTGCACTTCCTCTCATCTTCTTCCAGGCTCAATTGACAATCCTGCCACTCTGGCAACAAAATCGCCTGTATCGTCTCTGCTGTCTGCCTCCCCCATTCAGCGAGCCATATGTTCCCTCTCAACCAATGCAGAATTACCCCATAGTTCGCTACCATAGACAGAGCCAGCGGCTCGCCGGTGGCCAGTACTTGGAGGAATCCTGCTGGCAACATTACCGGGAAAGTCGAGATAGGAGCTTCATGAGCCAAGCTTTCGGCCGAAGCAAGCTCGATATTCAAGCGCAGTGCTGCGAGTGACTCGACGTACACCTCACGCTCAGGAGATGCAGTCGCCAACACCCGCTCCAAGAGTTTCGCGAGCACGTCTTCCACTCGTTCCGACAGTTTCGGCGTCGGTCCCGCGAGAGCACGTTTCATCTGTCTAAACAGAGGACTCAACCGCCCATTTATCAGCCGTTCGAAACTTGTTTTGGCGACAGTGCCAGTCCCACGAAGCAACGTCAGCATCTCGACAATATTATCCAACGGACTAGCCGAAGATCCCGCTGTGACACGCTGGAATCCAAAAGCGTACAGGACTATTAGGCCAGAGAAGATAAAGAGGGCGTCAACGTTGTGGCCGGTGATGTTGAATGACTGTTGATTGAAAATCTGGATCGCGCAAGTGTGATGATGCATGGCAAGGCCGATGTGTTTGTCGCGAGCTTGTGCTTCACCAGCATCCATTGACAACAGGGCTAGATGAAGCGAGCTCAAGCCTAGCATTCCATGCAAGAGAAAATCATGCTCGAAGGCCATTTCGGGCACATAGTGGCGCATAATGGTGAGTCCTTCGGGCGTGGGAAGGATCAGGTCGGCTATTGTCTCGCAGGTATATCGATCATCATGGTGCATCAACCTCAGACGGTCGCGCTCGGACGGGTCGAAATATCGTCGTGGCGTGATATTAAACGTCGACGTGACAGGACTGATAGAGGTGTGCAGACCGGAGCTGGAAGACTTTTCCTCTGATCCAGACCTGGAGCGTACGAGGGAATTCGATCTCCATGCGGCTTTTGCTTCGGCCTTTTTCGACCCATCAACGATGATCAGGTCCGGCTCAAGCGAGTTCAACGAACAGCTCTGGCCGGTTCGGACACATCTACCACAGACTGGCTTTTCCTCATCACACTGCAGACCAGGAATCAGGCAAGTGGAGACTACAAGGTAGGCTTCGAAGATGACGGCAGGAAAGGAACTCACCTTAGTCCTGTTCTTCTTACATTGAATGCAGCCACGCCGGCTTTTCGTGTGGAAACGCCTCTGAGACGTCGGCATAACCCGGGTGGACAAGAGTGCTATGACAAGAGTGCGGCGAGAGAACAGTACAAAAACTAGTAAGCGGCCTTTTCTTTTGGACAACTGGCGCTTCTATGCAGCAACCAAGTCGCTGGACTGATCGATGGAGCGAGACAAGACACAGGAGAATGATCAGTGTCGGACCCATCGAGACTGGTTAGCCTTTACGAGCACGAAGTACGAGGTAAGGTTAGTCCTTGTCAGGCGCGCAGGCCGGGGTAGATCTTATGAAATGGTCTACTGGCGGCCCCAACACCACTAACCCGAAAGCAGTATCTTGTTCGCTGTACGGTCGGTGTATCCACCTGGAATGCTTGTTACTCAGCCCTATAAGGGATAAGAACAATCCCACGGCCGCTGCAAACCACTTTCACGATCTTTTCGTCTTTAGCCCGACATTCACCTTTCCTGTAGGCTCAGCTCAAAGCCTCAGCATAGAAGGCGTTCCGCATCGTTGGCTTGTCGGGACTGTCAGTCGCCTCATTGGCATCCACAGCTGCCTCAAGTACTGTACCACCCTGCACATCGAAAGCGCAATGGTCCGACTTTCCGACGTCAAAGCCGCCAACGCCGACTTCGTGGCATCCCTCAGTGAGCCTCTGGTCGGTGTCTTCGTGGGCGGCACGTCGGGCATATGCGAGTACGCGCTTCGCTCTCTCGTATCCAACGCTGCATCTGTGGGCAAGTCCAAATCCAGGAATATTGATCTGCGGATATACATTGTCGGCCGCAATGCCAAAGCCGCTGATGTGACGATCGCCGACTGCCGCAAACTATGTCCTCAAGCCAACTTCACCTTCGTCCGAGCGAAAGACCTGGCCCTCCTGAAAGATGTCGACCGGGTCTGTGAGGAGATCATCAAATTGGAGACCGCCGCGAACGGACCGCATAGTAAGCCTAGAGTAGACGTGCTGGTGATGAGCCAGGCTGGCTCGATATTCGTCACGCGCAAAGGTTCGTCTTTCTTGCCCCAGGTTGACACTGCCGTTCCCCTTTTGCAGGGCCCTCTCCTCCTCCTCCTCCTCCTCCTCCTCCTCCTCCTCCTCCTCCTTAGCCGGCACCCGTGGAGCTGCAGCATGCATTGGGCTGACACACAAAACGTGAAAGCACAGATACGACCGAAGGACTCGACAATCTCATGTCCCTAATGTACTATTCTCGCATGCGCTTCATCGACCGGCTGCTCCCACTCCTCGTCGAATCTCGCTTGCCTCCCGGTGGCGGCGCAGCACACATAATCTCCATCTACGCGCCCAAGACCGAAGGCCAACTATTCGCCGACGACTTATCTCTTCGTCAACCGGGCCATTTCACTTACATGAACGCGCGCTCACACATTGCGTACTTCAAAACGCTGTTCTTCGAGAAACTCGTCGCACAGTATCCCGGGAAATTGAGTTTCTGCCACGTATTCCCCGGCCTGGTGCACACGCCTGGGTTCAAGAACCCCGAGTTACCGACCTGGTTCAAGGTTGTCTTTCCGATCGTCGGACGCCCGCTGATGTGGGTCTTTGGCACGTCACACGCCGAGGCGGGCGCGAGGACATTGTTCCTGGCGACACCGAGGTTTCCGGCAAAAGGGGCCAGAGAAGACTCCGATGTGGCCGTTGGCGCGGACGGGCAGAAGGGGAGTGGAGTGTATACGGTCTGGTCCGATAGCGAGACGATGTCGAGAGAGGAGGTGTATAAGAAGACGGGCGTGGACAAGGAGGAGCTGAGGGAGATGGTATGGAAGCATACGATGGGGGCGTTTGAGGACATTGAGAAGGGGAATGTGTTCACAGGCTGAAAGATCGAAAGAACTTGGAGTCATTGGTTTGCTTGCATTCTTGCTTGCTTGCTTTGCTACTTATCGCAGGCTAGCATCTCAGATGCGCGCAGGCTGATGGCCCATATTTTGTCGTATATACTAAGCCTGTGCTGTTGGTGTTTGTTGTCCATTTTGGGTGTCAGCAATGGCCTTGATCCATTATCACCAGCACAGTGGCAATAAGCCGCAGGAATTACACAGACATATTTGGTAGGAATTCGACTTGGTGGGTCCAATGTCGCAGCATGTCAGAGAGTAGAACAATTGTCACAGGATCACAGTATCACAGTTTCGGTCGAGGACGAGGGCGGCCAGGCTGCCTTCCGCTACAAGTTGGGCAACGATTGACGGTGTCTGTCCTGGTGGAAGTTTGGATTCGACACACCCGTCTTCCACATGCCTCGATGCCGACGTATTGAGTGTGGCCGCATCGAAATTGGACTTGTTTCTGTACACACATCTTTCTTGGTGTGGAAGTGAACTTTGTGAGTCTTGTCTGAGGGTGGTTAACAGTCAGGTGTCGGTGTCGAAAACTCTTCGTGTTGTCAAAGAGGCCCGTCAATTCGATACACGTCCGGGATTCACCTTTTGAGAGGATCGGTAGCGCAGGCGTATGTTTAGCAATATCCGTATCCGTATCGTCTCGGGAATGGAAGCTTGAGTCTGCTGGTTATTTGAGTTGTTGTTATTGTTGCTCGAGGCTGTGATGTCGTGATGCCAGAGTAAGTATTCCAAAGGTCGAGGATGGAAGATTTATATAAACTTGCCATCCAGCGAACGCGTTTGTGCATGCTTGACTCCCTGTCGAACGTATCGAACGAACACTAGTATGAGTGGTGGTGTCGTTTCCTTCCATTTTCTCATGACGGAGCAGATACTACGTTAGTAGATTGGAGTCATTTTTGCCTGGAGTTTTGACATCCTAGTACTAGTACCAGTGTGTTTGCTCCTTATCGTCGCGTGTGAGATGACACCAGACACCAGACACCAATCTTTGTACGATCACCTCATTGTTTGATTGTTGCATGCTTGCAATCGAGTTGGCCCTTGGGCATGTGGAGTAGTAGTAATGACATGAGTTGACGCCATAAGTCTGACACCTGCCGGATTGAAGAGCAGTGAGTCCTGTCGAAGGAGCCAGGGAGGAAGGTTCAAGCTGCTTGAGTCGACGACAACACTTCAAACGGGAGCACGGGGACGATGGATCGGATGAGTTGATCTAACTAGCGGCTTTAGTAAGAGCAATGGCGCCTTTGCCAACCTCAGATCAGAGAGGGCTTTCATATGTAGATCAGCATTTCGGGCCGTAAATTGGTCGAGAAGGAGGGTTTGGGAGGATACTAGGTTCGTCGTGACAAGAACATCCTATGGGACAATTGGAAGCACGCAGGCCAGTCTATGGTTGACTCCGAGGACTCTGAAATCTATACCTTCGATCTCGACATTAGCAATCACGTCCCATCAGGTGGCGACCTGATATGAGCACAGGCCCGGAGACGAGGAGAAAGGAACATGAAAGTTGGAAGTCTTCGTCATGGCTACTTTAATTCGCCTTTGTCGAGGGCGAAACAAAAGTCAGTAGATGGTCTTGATCGACCACTACAGTATGTACACTGGTCTTCGCAGACCACTGGCCCCTATGTACGTGCTCTAGCATCTTTTTTGGACAGTCGCTCTCCAAGACAGATGTGCTCAGTGCCTCTCGTGCTTGTCGTGCCTCTCCTCGTTTCTGACATCTTCAACGATCTCCTGCTCGGCGTGGTGAACCTGCATCTTTTCGTCGACGTGGATCGGCTCGACGGAATCGCCAAAGAGCTCGCCAATGTCCTCCAAAGACCGGCCTTTCGTCTCGGGGAAATAAAGCCAGATGGCGATGGCGATGACGGTGGTAACGGCGATGAACACGATATAATACCTCCAGCCAATCGCGGCGAACGCGGTGGGCGCGGCCTGGAGGAAGATGATCGTAGCCACGAATAGGCCGGAGATACTGACCGCCAGGCCCTTTGCGCGGACAGGGGTCGGAAAGATCTCGGCGGCGTAGATGTACGACGTGGCGTCACAGGTCGACGAAAAGAAGAGGATGTGAAGGAAGAGGAAGAAGACGGCTGCGGAAGCGAGACCTCTGTCTCCTGTCTTGTCGAAGCGGTCGACAGTGATACATTCGCCGATCAAGGCGATGACGCATCCTGCATAGCCGATGATGAGCATTCGACATCGACCGACTCGGTCGACAACCAGGGAGTTGAGCAGGTTGCCGAAGGGGCAGACCGAAATCCAGCCGGACTGAATGAGCAGCTGTTGGACGGTGTTGAAGCCGAGAGACGAGTACAGAGAAGGTCCGTAGTTGTTGATCACGAGAGTGCCTGTGATGGTGGTGCGTTAGTATGAATTTGAACTGTTGAAACATATTGGAAGGCACGCAAAATCTACTGACCTGTGCCCTGGCATCCGAAGAGGACCAGAAATCCCATGATGCATCGCTTGCGCATATGAGGCAGTCTGAGTAGATCCATCAAGGACAAAGCCTCTGTGCGTTCGTGCAAAATCTGGCCTTGAAGCAGTTTGAACTCATCCTGGATGGCCTCCTCGTTGTTGACAATGTTGTCGCTCTTCTCTGCGCGTACGGCCTTGAAGGCTTTGTAGGCATCCTCGACGCGGTCGCGATCGATGAGCCAACGAGGACTCTCGGGTAGGAAGAGGACACCGATGGCGAGGCAGAGAGGTGGCAAGCACTGGATGGCCAAGGGTAGACGCCATTGGGCACCACTGGCATTCACAAAGTAGAAGCCCAGTCCGATCCAACTGGCAGAGGTGTAGCCGACACAGATCAAGACGCCGTGCATGCCGACGAGCAGCCCTCGAATACGTGGTGGCGACATTTCTGATTGATACAGCGGGACGAGGCCGACGAGGGCGCCGATGCCGAAGCCAGTGATGAAACGCATGACGAGAAACATGGCAATGTGGACGGAGCCAGCTTGCAGCGCGCCACCAATGACGGTGACCACCGAGTATAACAAGAGCGCCTTTCTTCGGCCGAGCAAGTCGGGGAATGTGATCATGGAGAGGGAGCCAAACAGGCCACCGGCTTGGTACAAGCCATTGATGGCGCCTATCAGTTGGGTGGCATTCGAGCCTGTGTCGAGCTTGAAGTATGCGATGAAGGTCGGCTGCCCAAGGGTGGTCGCGATGATACTGCTGCAGTAGCCGTAGGTGAGCGAGCCAAGGGCAACGAAAAGGACAATGAAGAACCGGACGGCCGACGGTGAGAGAACCATTGTCGCGGTTGGAGGTGTGAAAGTACCACTTGTAATATAGATAGTTGAGGAAGTCTTGATGGAGTTGGAAGAAGCAGTCTGGGGAAGTTTGGGGTCCGGGGCAAAACTTATAGACCTTTGATCAACGGCATCTTCCCCTTACCCTCGGTACTGGCGAGAGGGGAATAATAAGTATATCTTGGTGTTGTAAAGTTAGGAGATACGCCCATCAAAGTCAAAGGGCCACTCGGACCCATGGGCCGCTTCTCTGGAGCTGTGCGCCGTGCCAAATCATGGGGATGTGCATGGGATGTGCTCTCACCGACTGCCAGCGGGGGAAAGATTGGCCCCTTGTGGCATGATCAAAGCGGTACTGCGCGTTGTGGAGGATAGTCTCCTGTTAGAGAGGAGTCTAGATTGCCCACAAAGAGGACTATGGTATTGCCACCAATCAAGTCGTCCAGTGGCATATCATTCTTATAAGGTGCGGCGGGGAATTCAAGTCAAGTCGAGTCGAATCGGTGGAACAATCCGAAAAATTGGTGGGGTTTCCCATGGTTGTTGGTGTCCCTGTCCGATGATCGGTATGAAGCAAGGAAGGTGAGGAGACTCCTCGTATTAGGACTGGAGCCGATGGCCACACGATCCTGAAGAAGCCGAAGAAGTAGGGCAAAGACTCCGTAGAAGCACTGATATCTGCGATGGCCAGGAGAAGGACGGAACATCTCGAAACGTACAGCTCGAGAGTCGACTCGTCGTCTTCCAGGGCCCCGCTCTTCGTTCCTCGCTAAGACAAAATCTCGAGAGCGGATGTCAAGCTTTCTCGAGACCTTACCCCAGCCATGCCCAGCACACCCCAGATACCACGTTTCCGAGAGACTGGAGACTGGGTTTTCTCCTGCTCAAGGGTTTGCCACTGATGGGAGGCACATGGCGAACGGGAAAGTCGCCCATCTGCTCGAAGCCCATGTTTTGACACCGTTGAGAGTCTGAGGGACTCTCTGATCCTGCTTCTGTGGTTACACGCTGTCCCCTGTTAAGAGGCCGTTGATGAATGATACTCCGTAATCCTGATGGTTTTGCGGGAGCTGAAGAACGCCCGTGAGTCCGTGAGTCTGGAGAATCCCCACAAGCTTGGAAAGCCGGATCGTCGTCTGCGATGATGGAGACGAGCCACGCTTCTGCGAACATGCGAAGGGACCAACATCGTTAGCGGCAGGCATCATGGCGGCCTCGGTCTCGCGCGAGGAAATGGTGCTCGTGAAGGAGCGACTGACGCGGCGACGGTTTGGTCAATCTTTCGGACAGGTGGCCGCAGTCGAGGCAATCTTCACGGCGTCGGTGGCCGCGCCGACTGGAATCTAGTTCAGGGGCCGGTTTCGCTGTCTCGCCGTCTAGCTTCGGAAGTACCACTCACACTATTGTCGGCATCCTGGGCCTCATCCTCCATGGTCGTGACACCTTTTCGCATTGACCAATCCGCACGCCCAAGTTGGCAATCATTATCATTGTCGAAACCAGCGGCTGAAGGGCTGTTCGCACGATGGAGCCTGCGTCATCGCAGAGGCCGCATGCTGGAGATGACCGGAGCACAAGCGCCTTGATATTCCACGTGGACACCAGTACTAGTAGGTCTATCGCGATTCTGTACTGTCGCATTGCCTTAGAGTGTTCGTCGACGACTGTGTCCATACTCAGCTCCTTAAACCTCACTGTTGGCAGATGAGCGTTGAGACTTCATGATCTTTGAAAAAACGAAGTCACTACAGAGACGGAACTGTCGATTCATCCACTCGGCACAATGGAGGCAGTCGTTTTCAATGGTCCTTGGAGGATTGACATCGAACGTCGACCCAAGCCAACCCTTGCCGAACCTACAGATGCAATCGTGAAAGTCACGACGGCCGGAATATGTGGCTCGGAATTACACATGTATCGAGGGCACCAGAAGTCGGGGACAGGGCATATAATGGTAAGTTCTTTTGTTCGATGCACCACTCTCTCCAACGAACCGCAGGATTCGGTGCCTGAGCCTGGGCCTGAACATTGAAGTCCGAAGACCTGTTCCTTAATGTCAACTTCAACAACGCTTACTGACTCTCCATTTCAGGGCCACGAGTTTGTAGGATATATCGAAGAAGTGGGCTCAGCGGTGCAGCATTTCGAAGCTGGCCAGAAAGTCGTCTGCACGTTCGCACCCGTCTGGTAAGCCCACTCTCCATCTTGCTCTCCACTCGGTATGTACCATCTAAAGCCTTAATAGTATGTCCTGCTTCTTTTGCCAGAACGGGTACACAAACCGCTGCCCCAAAGGTCTGGCACCTTTTGGCACGCAGGGGCTGGCAGGCGGACAAGCAGAATACGTGCGAGTACCGTATGCAGATGGGACACTTCAGCGTGCTCCCGAGAGCGTTCCTGAAGAACTCTTGGTCATGATGTCCGACATCTTCCCCACAGGCTATTACGGCGCCATCAGGGCCATTGAATACTTTGGGCCGTCATCGGGTCTTATCAATGGCGATGCACAATCACATACTAGTACCACCACCGCGGCCACTCACGCTTCAAAGTCACAACCATTATCATCTGCAGTCTTTGTCTGTCTGGGCTGTGGCCCGGTCGGGCTCTGCGCAATTCTCACTGCACGATCGAAAGGAGTACGAACAATCTACGTGGTTGATAGCGTCGACGACAGGCTGGAGCAAGCGGCCAAACTAGGCGGTATCCCGCTCAAGCTTGGCAAGGACGATATACCAGCCATCATTCAAGAAGCGACTGACGGCCGTGGAGCAGACGCAGTGGTGGAAGTGGTCGGAAACACGACCGCTCTGAGATCGGCATTCGATCTTCTGCGGCCCGCCGGCGTGCTGTCGTCGCTCGGCTTTCACCAGGGAGATCTCCCGTTCACGGCTCTGGAGTGCTATCAGAAGAGCTTGAAGTAAGTTGGCCAGACGTATAGATGACATGGCTGAATAGTTACTAATTTGCCGTAGCATCAACCTAGGCCGTGCCCCTGTTCGCACAGTTTTCGACGAAGCCCTCGAAGTTCTAGCCGCCAACAAGGACAAAATGTCGAGCATGATAACACACCGTCTACCGTTATCGGAAGCAGCCAAGGGATACGAGATGTTCGAGAAGCAGCAGGCGCGGAAGGTCATCTTGATACCAGGGCGGCAATCACAGTGATTCAAATGTATTTTTTGGTTGATAGAAGACTTTCTCCTCGGCCTCCGTATACTGTAAAAAATAGTTTTGCGTACTGTAGATCTCGCAAATTCATCCGGGCATCTACTGACTTACAATATTGTAACTGTCAGCAGACTACTCCGTAAACAAATCGGGATCACACTGTATTCCATTGTGCATTCTGCTCCTGGACCTCCTTGGCAAGCCGAAACTCCAAGCATACCTAGGCAAGGATAAACATATCTTACCAAGCACACCTAGGTAATGTGTAGGCTTTCCGACCGAGAGTCAGGCCGGATGTCTCCTCCTCCTCAAGGGGCAAAAGACGGGCTTTGCCTTGTCCGTCGGAGGTGGCACCGAAGCAGTGGGTAGCCGGGATCTGACCAGGTCAGCTACCCACTGCTTCGGCTGCATGTGCCATCCACCACTCAAGGGCTGAGCCAAGTGCCGAGTCCTTACGAACCAGTAGTACTGTAGGACCTTTTGACCGCCATCACGTCTAGAAGCCAGATCCGGATTCACAACTTGTCTGGGCATTGAAAGGCACTGGACGTCTCAATCTTGATCGGACAGACATCGACATACAGGATCTGATAACAGTCAACCAGTGTTGAGTGTCAGGAGCATAAAGTGTTACGAGTACCTTTAGACAGTGGCGAGGGTGACTTGGGGCCCTCTAACAGCACTTGCTCATCGGTTGCAACTCCTTGGGTGTATTTCAAGCCGACATCTTTCTACCTACACAGTACCTGAAATAAGTGTTGGTCTTCGTCAACGCCGCAAACTTGCCCAACAATATTTGGTACCAATCCTACTAAAACCACCCTTTGCTCGGAAGACGACCAACAACCGGGAGAGTTTGGAAGTTCGAAGCAGTCAAACCAGCAACCACAATCACTCAATTCCCGACCTCAAAACCGACAATAAGTCACCATGATATCCAGACGCCCCTTGCGTGTAGGCAATGTCTCTGGGGCGACTGGCGACATGCCAACCGCAATGGCCCGCATGGTTGCCGAGCCCAACATCGACATCATCACCGGCGACTGGCTATCCGAGATGAACATCGCCTGGAACGCCATCACCAAATCCTCCAACCCAGACCTGGGTTACGAAGAAGGCTTCTTCACCCAGCTGTCCGAAAACCTCGACACCATCATACAAAAGGGCATGAAAGTCATCACCAACGCCGGCGCGCTCAACACGGCCTCCCTCACTGCTAAAGTCCGCGACCTATGCGCGTCTCGAGGGTACCACAACACCATTGTCGCCGCCGTCCTGGGTGACGACATTTCCCATCTCCTGCGCGATCCAGCCCGGCGCCAATCACTGAACCTCTCCTTCCCACATCTGGACCACACCGACCGCAGTCTAGGCGATTGGGACCTCACACCCTTCTGCGGCAACGCGTACATTGGCTGTCGGGGCATTGTCGAGGCCCTCAACGCCGGTGCCCAAATCGTCATCTGCGGCCGCGTGACCGATGCCTCGCCCGTCATGGGCGCCGCTGCATGGCACTTCGGCTGGCCACTTGACTCACCCAGTCATTTTGACCATCTCGCCGGCTCTCTTTTGGCAGGCCACCTTATCGAATGCGGCGCATACATCGTCGGCGCCAATTTCTCCGGGTTCAAAGACTTTCTGCCGGAATTGGTCGACGTTGCATTCCCCATTGCTGAAATCGACGCCGAAGGACGGTGCGTGATCACCAAGACCACGACCGGTGGCGGGCATGTTACGCCCGAGACCGTCAAAGCACAAACTCTTTATGAATTGCAAGGTCATCTGTATCTGAACCCAGATGTTGTCGCAGACCTATCACAAATTCGCATCGAGGCCGAACCAGGCACAGTTGACCGCGTCCGGGTATCCGGTGTGAAGGGTCTCCCACCTCCACCAAGCACGAAAGCCATGTTCGCCGCGCCAGGCGGGTTCCAAGCCGAAGCGACCTTTTTCATCAATGGGCTCGATGTCGATGCCAAAGCAACTATGATGCGAAACCAACTCAAGCACATTTTCCGAAACCACAAATTCACCAAGCTTAGCATCGAGCAGTACGGCAGTGAAGTCGAGAATCCAGATTCACAGCAAGCCGGGACTGTCCAACTTCGAGTGTTCGCGCAAGCACGGCGGAAAGAGGACATTGACGCCAAACATTTTAAGATTCCTATTTATGCATTAAGAATGCAGAGTTATCCAGGGTACCACATGAACTTGGACTTCCGCACGATGGATCCGAAGCCGTTCATGGAGATCTTTCCCGCGACGATCCCGCTGTCTGCGATTGAACTCAGCGTCGACGTGGGCAATGGAAAGGTCATGGATATACCTTCACCCACACGGACGGCGGAGTACCCTGCACAACGGCCCAGCTATGAGACAAGTGACCCAGTCGATCTTGCGAGTCTGGGCGCAACGACAACAGCGCCGCTGGGAAGTGTTGTGCATGCGCGCTCAGGGGATAAGGCCGATAATTCGAATATTGGGTTCTTTGTACGGCATGAGGATGAGTATCCGTGGCTGAAAACGCTCTTGTCTGTCGAGAAATTGAAGAGCTTGTTTGGGCGGGATTGGTTGAAGGCTGATCCCGATCGAAGGGTCGAGAGGGTCGAGTTTCCAAATATTCTGGCCGTGCACTTGTAAGTCCAGTCTTTCGTTTGGTGAAGAGTTGAGCTGATAGATCGAACAGTCGTGTGCTTGATAATCTCTCGGGAGGGATTGCTTCGTCGGACAGAATAGACGGCCTGGGTAAGGGTATTGGTGAGTATTTGAGGAGCAGACATGTCGAGATTCCGACGAGATTCTTGGAGCGTGGGTGGATTTAGCCGTGTTCGGGATGAGATGCAGCAACAGGAGGGTGGCGTCGCAGTGTAGTAGATGCGACTTGAAGTCTGTGCATGACGAGAGGTATTTCTGCCGGGACCTTGAGTACAGTTTGTCGTTCTCAATATTTCTGCGAATGGCTGCTTGGGACGGGAAACGGTGCACGCCTGCGTGCGCTGGAGCCTAATCGGGTAAGTTGACCACAGCGCCAACAACGTAATAAAGAAGGAGAATGACAATGTCTGTGGGCTTGAGGGCGAAGGCGTTTAGACATTTTATATCTTCGTCCCATAGTCCCACGTCTGCCTATGTCCAAGCCCGTCGACGTCGAGGTCGGGGGGAGGCTGAGGCGTACTTGGCCACATAAGCATTACAGTTGCTGTGGGAAGCCGAGCCTTCGACAGTTCAATGTGCTAGGCCTGGAAAACTCTGGTCCAGGGATTGAATCTCGTACAGCCAATCCTGTGACACCTGCATCATGGAGACATTTCCGAAATCATAACTTGTGTACAGATTCTGTAGGTCATCAAAGCATTCTTGATAGCTAAAGTCGATGTCATTTGGAGTCATCGAAGGGAATGATTGCTGTGGCTGCATTGCAGGAGTCATATTCATGCCTGACATGGGTTGGGTCGGTACAGCATACTGAGTGGTGGCAGGGAACGCATTGCGTGACTGTGCTTGGAACTCGATCACATCAGTTAGTAGAGCGTCACTCAGGCGCCCATAGACTTGGTGAGCATTGCGAGCTGTACTCCAGCGCTCGGATACTGCCACGAGGACGTTGGAGCAATCTCGAGTGGTGTTGACTATCTGATTGATAGTCGGATCCGTCGCCAAACAAGCATGTGACTGATGATCGATCGTTCCGCGCAAGTGCCGGCGCCGGTTTTGGAAGTGTGATCGTACTGCGTAGATGTACGATAGTCCGGCAATGAAGACGCCGTGGAGTGTGATACATGAATAGTTGATGCGACGCGATTTGTGGAGATATGCATAGATGCTGATGGATTTTTGGGCTGCCTCGAAGATCCTTTGAAGAGTTTGATTGTTCTGAGAGACCTCGTGCAGGGAGGGTGATGGCCGGTAAAGCATCAAGATCCCGTTCTGGTACAAGAGGTCATACCATTCCCGAGACCTAAAGCTTGATCTATCCGAGTCGCTCGGAAATGCGCCCAAAGGCAAGCCAAGGATGTCTGAACGCCAGGCCTCAAGCTCTTCCGTGAGTTGACGGCGCACCGCTTCATAGTCAAATGTTGCTGTCATTCTCGACTTGATAACATTGTGCAATGAACTCAGGATTTTGCCACAGATCAGCCGGTAGCGCACAATGTGAACGAAGATGGCGGTGCGTAGCTGCCAAGGAGGGCTTCCAATGGGTTCGGTGGGAGACAGATTGTTGTCCGGGCTTACAACAATATGTGCTTCGGCACGAGGTAGCTCCGTGTCAAAGTCTTCCAGATGGATGGCGAGTGGCCGTCCTAGCGTGATACTTGTGACTCGGTCCATGGCCACCACGCACCAAAAGCATCTCCGTTTCACCTCTGACATTTCCAGTGCAGCTTCATCGGGACCGGTTGCGCCTTCTTCGGGGGCGTAGTAGACAGACTCCCGGTGCAATCCAAGTTCGAAGCACATTCTTGCGGCAATGCCGACCAGATGCCATAAGCTAGCAGATGCATCGTAAAGACCGCTTCCAACCCTATAGTGACAGATCAAGAGGATAGCTTGGAGCGCATCCAAGCCCCCCTTCCCGAGAACAGGTCCCAATCTACTCATGGCACGATCGTGATGAGTTTCAGCATCAGGCATCACTTGCCAGTCGAACTTCGAGACTTGAGCAGTGGCAATGGCGAGGACCATGTCTAAAGTAAAGGCTTCGACTGGCTGTCTCCTGTAGAAATCATCGTCGTTGTAGACTGCCTCGAGGGTTTGAAGTAGTTTGCCGGCGTGTAGAAATGGGTAGGATAGGTGGTCATGTGCTAGGTATGCTGAGACCAGACTCCTTGCCAGCATGCTTGGAGGTAAAGCGGAGACATCTGGAGTGAGGGTGCCGGCACGAGCAACGGAACTGAATCTGCGTGCTGCATTGTAGTGATCATCGTCTTGGACACCACGGCCTTTTGCTCGATTGTCAGCTTGGAGAAGACTGGCAAGAAGTAGGCCACTAGCTGAGCCCAAAAACTGCCGTTCTCCGCCAGCACTCAAGCTGAGGAATGAGACTTGACTGGCGACCTCGTTGTTGTTTGAATTGTGGTTGTTATTTGCAAATTCCGTTGTGGACGATTGACTGGTTGAATGTGGGCGTCCGTTTGCAGTTGAAGTATTGAGACTTGCGCGGTGGTTGGCTTCTCTCAATTGACTGGTCAAGGCCTCATTCTTGGCCTCCATCTGGCGCAATCTTCTTTCAAGCTTTTCCATATCCTGGCGTCGAATCGCAGGATCGCGAGTAGTGTATACGCATGGTGTATCGGCCTTGACACATGATGAACATGCCGGCTGAAGTTTGTCACAGCGTGCTTTGCGTTTGTGACAACGATCGCAAGCGATGTGTTTGGACCCGTCGTCTGACATGTTGATTGAGAGATGGTGATGGAAGGCAACAAAGTCGAGCCATCAGACTACCAGGATGAAGAGGAATACCACTTGCACCACTTGCAGTGTGGTAGTAATCAGGTAAGTAGTGAAAGGGCTGGTTGCTGGGGAAGAGATTCGAAGCCTCACCTAGGCGTAGCTAATTGGCCGTGCGCATGGGCTTTGATGGGCTTGATCGTGGGGTTTGGGGAAGCCATTTGGTGTCCGAGGTAGCCGTCAGTGCCTTCGGATCGCCTGGCCAATGACCGTTTCCTGCTTGTCATACCTATCACTTGTTCTTAGCAAGTATGTCGAGTTGGCGCCTGTGAGGAGCATCAAAGTCATCAGGGACAATCCTGAATGAGTGGTTCTGAGGAAGATGCGGCCTGTGGACGCTGAGAATCAAGGGACAGAAAATTCGGCAGTCTGACAAAAGATATTTCCGGTCGTCACTCCATTCTACCGTGTTAGATCGTTAGTCAGACACCACTAATTTTTTGATTGTAGACCGACCAGCAATCAATTGTTTAGGCGCGTTTTGCAGTGGAACTGGCGACTGTTGATTGCGCAACAACAGAAACAAAACATCTTTCTCCTCTTACCACCACCAACATTCACCGTTCAACAATCTCATACTGCAAGTCATCCCATAGATCGTCAACTTTGCCTGAGCCTTTCGTGTACAAACCATTCGTTTCGAACCTCCCTGGATATTCAGTCGCTTGCGCCGAACCCCTCCAAGCCATCGTCATGGGTGAATCCAGGTGCGCAACACACATCAGGCTGGCAATATAAGCACCAACGTTAACTAGTTCTCTGCAGGCAGGAATTGCTGAACTGGCTGAACGGATTACTCCAGCTCAACATCACAAAAGTTGAACAATGTGGTACTGGGTATGTCAGAAGCGCAAAATTCCTTCGACACCAATTGCTAACAAGATGATCCAACAGTTCAGCCTTCTGTCAGTTATTCGACTCAATCTTCCGTACGTTTACTCCTGCCATCGGCACCCGTGTGCTTTCAAAGCGAAGGACCCATGAATTAAGACTAATTCACAAATCGCAGTTGACCTGCCCATGGGTCGAGTCAAATTCAATGTCAATACAGAATATGCCTACATACAAAATTTCAAGATCTTACAGAGTAAGGACAGAGCTCATTAACATGGTTTCCTTCTCATCGGATAGTGGGACGCTGACATGAGGTGCTCTCAGATTGCTTCACCAAACATGGCATCGATCGGACCGTGCCCGTCGAATCACTAGTAAAATGCAAGATGCAAGACAATCTGGAATTCCTACAATGGTCAAAAAGATTCTGGGATCAATACTTTCCGGGACATGACTATGACGCAGTCGCACGAAGAAAAGGGACCGGCGCTCCAACTCCTGCCCCGTCTGTTGCTGCACGAGTAAGCACAGGCGCAAGTACCACACGAAAAACCGGTGCAACACCCGTCAACAGAGCTGCTCCACGTGCGCTGTCGGCGGCTTCCGGGGGCTCTGCGGTTCTCAAGCAAGAAAACGAGCAACTCAAAGAGGCCATAGGAGGGTTGGAAAAAGAACGGGATTTCTACTTCAGCAAACTCCGCGACATTGAACTACTGCTTCAGACCGCCGTTGAACAAGATCCCAGTCTCGATGCCGACGAGAACGGACTGATCAAGCAGGTTCAGACCATACTCTATAGCACGGAGGAAGGGTTCGAGATTCCTGATCTGGAGGCAAACGGGGCAGAAGAGCCGGAAACATTTTAAGCCTGAAGCAGCAGCAGCAGAAGAAGACGACAACGAGAACCACGATATCGGATGCGGACGCGGATGCGGATTACAGCGTGTGGTACATCTTCCTCTGAGGCTAGAGAGATGGCCCCAGTAAGGATATGAGCCGATGACGGGAAAGAAAAGGAGACGCAAGTGCTTGCAAGGTTTTTGGTGTATGGATACTCGGAGGGGATTCTAGTCTATACGGGCAGGTTGCAGGCCATTCCATTGCCTGGAGAGACAAAGATGAGATACCCTTCAGCCGTCAAATCGTTTCTCTTTTTTGCCCAATTTTGAGCTTCGTCTATTGGTAAACAAGATATTGCAGCAAGGGATCGGTCTGGCAGGATTGCAGAGACAGAACTTCGACCGAGATACAGAAAGTGAAAAGAGAACACATTCTCTGCGGGTTTTCTTCACCTGCAAGGGAGCCATCACCATAATTCGAGGCTCCTGCGTAGCTACGAATCAGTACGTAAGTAAGGCTGTATTGTGCTGATGTTTGGGTGCTTGACCACGTCGTGTTATACCATGGCCAGTCCATATCACTGGACGTCAGGACTCCGACAGGAACAAGTTGTTCGGAGAATAATCTCGCGTATCGCAGAGGCACGGGCACGGGCACGGGCACACGCAGTATAGCTTGAATGCAACCACAGCATATCCGTGGAGGCGGTCCTTATCTTCTATTCATGAATACTAGTAACCTGGCACCAAGCTAGGCTATCTAGGTATTGGTAGGGTATATCTCAACAGTGAACTGTTGAACCAACGGCACTCTGCATCGACAGCTTCACAATCCGCACATTCCCACACCAGAAGACGTTGCGACACCACCGCCCCTGACGAGCTGCAGCAGACTATTGGCGGCCTCGCCCTTGATCACACTGCTGGTCAAACCCCGAAGCCGAAGCTGGCTGTTGCTGTTGCTATTCTGCAAACTCTCGCTCTCGCTTCCTCTACGCTGATGACTGCCACCTACACTGCCAGTGGGACTTGAAAGATGGACAGGCGTCCTCGGTTCAACTTCAATGTGGACCCGGTCCTGGTTCTCCGTACGGTTCCCCGTACGGATATTCAAGCCACCATCAACAATTTCGAGATCGTCTCCGTCCTCGGCCTGTTCCGACATTGGTGGACTGCTGGGGATGATATGAGGGACACGGGCGTCTTGACTGTCTTGCCTGTCCTGCTGGTTGCCGGTGTTCCATCTTGCCGAAAAGGCAGTGGGTTCTATCGTTGGGATAGGAAAGCTTGAAAGAGGCTTGATTGTTGGTTTTGGATCCATGGTCGCCCTCGCGCGTGCTATCGCGACCGTGGATTCTGGAGTAAGAAGGGGGGTGGTGGTGGTTGGCCACTGGACAGAAGAACTCGGTCGGAGTGTGGAGGAAGATCTGGGAGAGCTTGATGACGGTCCTGGTACTTCTGGAGACGACGATTTGGTTGTCTTGGGGACTGTCATTCGTGAAAAGGGCATCGAGATCTGGTTGGTTTGGATCTTGTACAGGGCGAGCTGGAGTCGGGTTCGGAGCGTTTCTGCTTTCTGCAGCATGTGAGCAAGATACCAAAGGCTGTTGATTACGGGATAGAATACCTCTAGCAGCATCTCCTTCCTGGTGTCTTCCTCTGTTTTCGGTCTTTGATCCTTGACGACCTGGAGCTCTGCGAGCATTTGCATGTCATCACCTTGAGAGGAGAGGTTCTCGAAATCGATCAGACTCGACATATCCAGACTGACTTGCGACGGTTCCTTGTTGATATTTGGTCGGAGAGGCGGCACGAGCTGTGAGTTGCTCTGGGTGAAGGTCACGGCGTGCTGGGCAAACGATCAGCACATAAAACTCCCAGAAACTCCGCGACTCCAAGGCAAATACCATCTTGTCCAACGTTTGTTGACTCGGTTCGTCAAGGATTTCAAATTCGGACTCAAGTTGAACAGGCTCTTCTTGTGAAGCATGGAATGAGGTGTAGACAGTGGACTTTGCCTGAGCCGTCGGTGCGCGAACGGTTTCGTGGTGCACCGATGGGCCATCGCTTAATATCTCGGGGCCTTGAGACGAGGTATGCGAAGTGTTTGTCTTCTGAGAATCTCCCACTTCCTGATTGTGCACCTCTGCAATCTTTCGCTTCTGACCGGCTCGCGGACTACTCGAGGAGGCCACACGCTTCAACGGTCGAGGACTGACAAGTTCCCCGGCGGCTTTCGTTTTCTTCGGAGAGAGCAGCGCGTTCAGGTCTTTTTCGCCCAGCACGCGACGCGTGGGAGAGGCAGCAGCACTCATTGTGAGGTTATAGTTCGAGAAGGACGTCGAAAAGTATGGTCCGTAGATCAGTAGACCTAAGGCTCGTCAGAAAGCATCTGCTAATGCTGAGAATACCTGGACTCACTCTAGTACACTGCAAGCACACCGCCTGCGAATGCGTCGCTGAAGAACAGAACCAAATAAGCCAGGAAACTTCTTGAACAGCGAGAGTTATACAGCAAAACCAGACCGCGTCCGCCGTGTCGAGGACAGAATAACGAAAGGGAAAGAACGCGAGGAGAAAGGCAGAGGGATTCAAGTCGCGGTGTCACGTCGTGGAGAATAGAAAGAAGCCCTAAGTTAGGTATGGAGTAAGGTACCTTATGGAGTAACACGAAAGCAAAGATCAGCCTCGTATCTTCGCCTCGTCTCGTGCCACGGTGCCTGTGCCTGTGCCAGTGCCTGTGCCTGGGGAATTTGTTGTTGTGATCCGGCCCGCCAGTGTAGCGCCGGGTCCCTGCTTCAGTGCATCTGCGCGCCTCTCTAGCGAGTCACGTCAAGTGGGTGCCGATGAGAGGCGTGGAGGCCCACGATCATCCATGGCCCTGTTACTCGCATCATCTCGCAAAAGACGCGGGGAGAGCAGCTCTTGCACCACTTCTGCATCCCATCAATAGATCGAGAAAGAGTACCTTATCTTCGATATATCACATTGCAAACACTCGAGACTTGCAATCTCAAAGTGGTCTCCCAGGCTTCCCGCCATCACGATCGCATTTCTATGCATCACATCATCAGGGCTATTTTCCCAACCCAAGCAGACGCCTTGGCAAGCCGCCTCAACCAGCTACGACCTAAGGTGCAGGCCAAGTATCTGTAAGTCATTGCCCAGCCGTGAACCTGTAAAGATCTCTGACGTGAGACTCTCCCTACCTAGCTGGTAGCTACTATACAGGTAATCAATTCTGACTCAACACAAACGTGAACCCGGCCCCATCACTCGTCCCGCCGATACACGTACTACTAAACGTCCCAGTCGGACACACGGCCTGCGCGGCCCGCACACAGCCTTCCCACCGCCCTTTACTAACATTGATCGTGGCGCCCTGGTTCACCGCCGTCAGCGTGAACTTGGACGTCCCCGACGCGCCGACCGTGGTCTCCGGGTCGCCGCCGCAGAATTGGATACTTCCCGCGATGCCTCCGCATATCGACAGGATGGCGACGTTGGTGTCGTGACTATCCAGCGCGACCGTCGTGTCGTCGCACGTCGTGCCCGTCACTGCGTCCGGGTTGACGGAAGTATTGGCTGGGTCGCGCGGTGCGACTGCGACGGCGCGGTTGCTGATCGTGATCGAAGGGGACGGCTTGTGTCTGTCCGTTGGGACGACGCTGTTGGGCCATAGAGGGGAGGAGAACGCGCTGGTTGTGAGGAGGGAGAAAACGGCGAGGTGGAAGGAGAGATGCATGGTTCTGCGCCTGTTCTATTTTAGACCAGCCGACCACGACGAAGCTCGAGAAAGACGATGAGGTGAGGTAAGGTGATTTGAGCCAAGATGAAGATCTTTTGGTCCGTTGTTACCAGTACTCAATCGAGATGAGATTGCGAAGAGAGTGATTGTCAAGGTGCAGGATGGATGGATGGGTGGGCGGCGTGGACTAGTACTTTATTCAACTATTCAACCGCTCTCTCCTGTGAGTGGATTCTATGTAGTACATAGGAGTACAGTCGGCTTCGTTGATCTTAAAACTGTCGTCTGAAGAAACGACCAATCGATAGCAAACAAATGCCAAACACCGGTCTTGGTCTACGAGTTTGTAGCCCATCTCCAGAACTTTGAGCTACTATGCAGAACAGGATCCACGTGGGCTCCTCGTGGTCAAATTGCATACTATGTACATAGTAGTGCAGTGAGAGGATTGCATGGATACATAGGACTGATCAGGAAATTCATCAAATGTGAGACCAAATGTGCTCGAAACCATCGCAGGATTTCCAGGTGTCTCATAGTTGGTTGGTGAGGCATTGCACGTTACAAGACGAAGGGGTTTGCCTCGTCACGTACAAGGCTGACTCTCCCTTCCTTGACCAAGATGCTCGCCTTTGAGCAGAGCATTCACTATGAGTTTACATAGTAACTCGAACTTGCAGCTTTCCTCATGGCATACGGAGTTCTACCTACCCACCTTAGTCGCGAAACAAAAACCACAGTAATTGCTATATATGGTTTGATCCTAGAGGGTGAGCGCTCCCCGAGAAATTCCTGAGTAATACAGCCGGGGCTCACCAGGCCAATCCAGCCCCCCTGGCAACCGGCTGCTTCTGCCTCTCGGCTGTTCTGATTATGACATTGGGAGAGCTGGAAGAGCGATTTCAGGTGGGAGGTCATGAGGACCAAGGCTGAGAGAACCGAAGGGTTACGACTTGTCGCCCTCATCGGCCAGGAAATGTGTCGAGTCGGATATTCACATCCAACTGACGCCCCGAGGTATCCAGGATGATTGCTCGCTCCAAATCTCTTTGTGTGTTCTCGAGGTTCAAGCCCAGTACACACCTCTGCTCAACTCGCACCATCCTCCTCCCAGCATTAGGCGATCCTGCAAGTCCGACAAGGTTCGGATTTTGCGGTGCCGGCCAAATTTGACCGACGACACCTCACCAACTCTCACCAAGACCAATGGACATTGGACACTCTTCCATCAAGGCATGATTTTCCTTCTCATGGCTTGCGGGTGCCCATCAACTCCCATGGGGAGAACCATAAGCTGGAGCCTGGTGTTTCCTTGGTTTAGAGCTGCCGACCTGTTCTCACTAGAACCGCTGCATCAGCCTTACCAGCCTTCATCTGTCCGAACAATCCCAACCACCGACACAGGCACTTCAACCACACAAAAACCGTCTGATAGGCCTCAGGGACACTCATTCCAATCCTTCGAGACACCGTCAATTCTATTCAGCACCTCAGCAACATGTACTTCTCGCCGTGGGCCCCCGTCGACATACCCAAATGCAATATCTTGTCGTACCTCTTCCCTTCTGGCACGACACCATCAGAGCAACCGATATGGACTGATGTCAACGACACCTCCAACAGCCTGTCTCCTGCTCAGATGCTTTCACTGATCAAGCGATTCGCGATGGGCCTCGACAAGCTCGGCATCGCTCAGCAACAAGCCATCTTGGTCTTCACGCCGAACCACCTCTACGTCCCGCTCGTGTATCTGGCGACGACCGGGTCGAAGAGATTCTTCACAGGCGCCAACCCTGGGTATACGGCCCAAGAGCTAGCACATCAGATGAGGGCTGTCGATGCCGCCGTGGTTCTGGTTCACGACACCCTCCTCGCAACAGGCATCGCCGCAGCTAAGCAGGCGAAAATCCCCTTGAAACGTCTATTCGTCTTCTCCGATACCCCCGGGCCTCAAACCCAGGACCAGACTCTTCCAGACTGGCGGTCGATCCTAGCTTCCTCGGTTGAGTCGGCGTCATGGCAGTGGGACCCCCTGAATGGGGAGCTTGCCCTGCAAACCGTGGCAGTGATCAACTTCTCCAGTGGGACGACCGGCCTACCCAAAGGCGTATGTATCTCACATTATAGCCTGGTGGCCAATTCAACCCAGGCCATTTTCAACTACTATCAAGGAACACCCTACTCTCCCGAGAACCGAGGTGCAGAACGATGGCTAGCTTTCCTGCCACTGTACCACGCATACTCACAGCTCTTCACCATCAATATTGCTTGCAAGTTGCTGATCCCGGTATATATTATGCCCAGGTTCTCCTTTGAGGATTTCATTAGGCATATCCAGCAGTTCATGATCACAGCTATACAGGCTGTCCCGCCGGTTCTCGTGATGATGACCAAGCGCGCCGAGACGTCAAAATACGACATCAGTAGCCTTAAGTACATTCTATGTGGCGCTGCTCCTTTGTCGAGTGAGTTGCAGAACGAGGTCATGAGTAGGTTCAACCTTGTGGTCTCTCAAGCCTTTGGGATGTCCGAAACGACATGTGCTGCGGTCATGACGCCGGGTATGACCAAGGACCAGAGTGGCAGCATTGGGAATCTGCTGCCCAACACTGGTGAGTTCTCGTTGCTTTTCTTCAATCACTAAGTATGCTAACACTCGGGCAATGGCAGAGGCTTGTCTGCTGGACGAAGATGGGAAGGAACTCAGTGGAGATGGCCAGCCTGGAGAGTTGTGTCTGAGAGGACCACAGATGATGCTCCGATACTGGAGGAACGAAAGTGCGACACAGCAGACTATCACTGCGGATGGCTGGATGAAGACCGGTGATGTCGCCGTCACAAAAGGTGGGAAATGGTGGATCGTCGATCGCAAGAAGGAGTTAATTAAAGTCAATGTGAAACGCCTTCTCTCGCCATATATGAGTCCGCTGACGCAGTACTAGGGCCTCCAAGTCGCTCCAGCAGAGTTAGAAGCCGTGCTCCTTGAGAACGAGGATGTCGCCGACGCAGCGGTAGTCGGCATCACCATCCACGACGAGGAGTTGCCCCGGGCATATGTAGTGCTCCAGAATTCTGCCCGAGGTAGAACTACCGCCCGGGACGTGCAGGACTTTGTCGCCCAAAAGGTGTCCAAGCATAAGCGACTGGTGGGAGGGGTCAAGTTCATTGACGAGGTTCCCAAGCTTGCCAGCGGGAAGATCGTGCGGAAGGTCCTCAAGGAGTGGGCCAAGACGGATGCGAAGGAACTGGAACACACCGTCAAGGCGAGATTATAATACACAACTTGAAGCAAGAGAAATTGAGAATGGATAGTGGAGGACCAGGAGAGAGGTTTGGCCCATCATCTCTCCACATAAGGAATACACCGAGATTTCCCAACTAGCACCGGAGATGTCGCGCCCCTGATCTATACAGCGTTCACGACAATTCATCTGCATGATCTGTTCGTGCAGCCTCTTCCATCATCTTCAACCTTCCCGGCGCCCTCTCTTCGACGACGAAGCGAAACTTACGCGGCGTCGAGATCGAGGCGCCGGTATAGTCGTACCACGGTAGGCTTGCCCCCTCCTCCTTCTTCACGTTGCACGCCCAAAGCAGGCTGGAGGCTTCTAGAAAGAGGGCCTTCTCGGTCACCTCTAGGCCGGGACAAATGCGCCGGCCGTGGCCAAACGCGGCGAAACGTTTGAGGTTCGGATACGTGCTCAGCGGCTCCTGGTAGGTGGGATACTTGGGCTCCAACCATCTCTCGGGTCGGAAACTCTCTGGATCTGGGTACAGATCCTCGGCGCGCATTATGGCCCATTGGTTCGGGATGATGACCGCGCCCTTGGGGATGAAGAAGTCGTGGTATATATCGTCCTTGATCACGGAGTGAGGGAACCCTGTCCGTGTGTCAGCGTCTTTCTTTTCGAGGGTCGAGGGAAGGTCCTCTTCCTGACTTACCGCCCGAGAGGACCGGCCGCCATCGCATGGTCTCCTTAATAACGGCACGGAGGACAGGAAGGCTGCCAAAGTCGTCGAAATCGGGCAGTCGTTGCCCGCCAATCGCCGTCTCGAGCTCTTCCTGGATCTGCTGCTGCCACTCCGGAAATAGACACAAGTTGAGGATGATGGATTGCATCGCAGTCGCCGACGTCCCGGAGGCGCCGCCGTAGATGCTGGACAGGACCCAGACCATTTCGCGGTCTGTCAGATCCCAGTCCTCCTTGGACTTGAAGTATCGTCCTGCGAAGCTTTCCGAGACTCCCGGCGCGAGGGGCTCGGTCTTCTGCGTCTCCTGTCGCATGAGCGGGGAGAGATAGTCCCAGTGCCGTTTCATGAGGGTGTTGGCTTCCTTCTTGAACGGCGCCAGCCAGACGGGTAGATGCATGAGCCACGGCATGAACTCGACGGCGTACGCGCCGGGGACGGTCACGCGCTCAATCTCCTCCATGTACGAGCAGATCTCGTGGACGTGGTGCTCCTCGCCCGACCCGCGCTTCTCGGCGATGCCGTAGATCTGCTTGATTGAGGTCATAACGCCCGCGCGCTCCAGCCAGTATGCGTATTTGGTCGGCTCCCGGGCCAGGTCGACCACGGCCTGTCGCGCCTCAATTGTCTGCTTGGGGAGCGACTGCTGGATCATGTTGGTGCTGAGCATCGTCTGCGCAAACCGGCGCCCTTTCCGCCAATAGTCTCCCCAGCGGGCAGCGCCGAGGAATCCGTTGTCGGCGATCAATCCCGCCATGACAAGAGGCGGCCGGTCAGAGTAGATTGCCCCGCGCAGGCCGAGGAGGTCGTTGGCGATGGACTCTCTGGAGATGACGACCAGCGTCGTCCCAAAGGCCTTGACCTGGTAGATGGGTCCGAACTCGTCGGACCACTGCTTGAACTTGAGCCATGCGTGCGTCTTGGGGATGTCGAATGCATTGCCTACGATCGGCAGACCTGGGACTCGCCCCATCAGCATGGCCATCTCAGTCACTCAGACCGGCCAGCGCTAACTCACCTTTGGGCCCAGGCAGCGGCTTCGCACCCTTGGGCAGTTTCGTCCGGCTGAGAACCAGGGTCCGGAGCACCGAGAGAACCAACGGTGCCAGCAGAATCAGGGCTCCAAGCCGGAAGGGTGATATGTTCGTCATCAAGGTCTCCAACAGTGCCATGGTCCAAGGTTTTGGTCACAACTGAGCTCCTACATCGCGCGCTGAGATTGTCTTCCTTGCCATGGCACTATATACGGGACGGTATAGATGGTAAAGGCGAGCTTGGCCGTGGAGGCCGACGCTGATCCCTGTCCCCGTGGGTGGACCCCAATCTTTGCTTGGACCCCGGATTTAGCGGCCTCGTTTTGGAGGAGTGCTGGGTGGGAGACTGTTCTCGTTTCACTCGCGATGGGTATCACGGGATTGCCAGAGACGGTCCAAATGGCCAATCACTCAGCCCCCGTCTACGAGTACTCCAAAACTGGTGGACTTGGCTCTCAGCCGCCAAATACGAGCGGTGATGTCCTTGAGATTACTATTCAAACACGAGACTAGAGTGGACTGATTCGATTTCGGCATCTGCGTGATCTGATGAGGCCTTTGCCTTGTGTCCCTTAGACCTTCATCACCTCAGGGTTCCCTTGTGTCCACGCCGCCTTGATGGTCACTTTGCTGATCCTCCAGAGGTCATCCGCGCGGACAATGCTGCACTTGTAGATGTTGCCGAACAGGTAGAAGTCGTTGAACTCGGGCCCCAGGCCCTCGCCGCCCCGGAAATGCTGGGCCAAGATCTGAGCCTGGAGTTCGGCCTTGTCGCCGTCAACCTCGCACCGGATGTTGGTCGCCATGTGCGTCGTGTCTAGCGGCCGGCCAACGGCGCTCATGAGCGTTTCAACAATCGTGTCACGGCCAGTCAGTTCGCGAGGTATGGCGCCATTGTGAGTGAAGGAAAGGACCATGGTGGCATCCTCGGTCAGTGACGATGCAGACAGCTCGGAGGAACCCTCATCGAGCGCCCACGCGAACCGGATGAGCGCGTCAATGGCGGCTTCTCGGTCCGTGAGACCTCCGCGGTTTGGCATGCTGGTTGTTGGAGACTCGGCGGTCGCGGTAAAGCTGGATATTGATGGACTCGGGGTGGTCAACTTGTGTGGATATATCAAGATTTGAGAGAAAGAGAAAGAGATTGGGACAAGAAGAGCAATTGAAGGCGTCGATGGCTGCTTCCAGCCTCGGTCTGCTTTAAAGATCTTCTTCCACGTCCCTTTGTCTGGGTGCTGCTGCCTTGAATGGCCAATGTTCCGTCGACAGCTCTAGACTCGTGTCCGTCTTGCCGAAGTGTCAAAAATGCAGTACTTTCACGGCCATGTGATGTATAGCTGGATGATATGGAACTCCTCTAGCCTCTCCGCCATGTCCGTGTGGATCCCCAGGATCTGGACAGTCTACTGGATTTATCGGCCAGTCAGTTCAGGTATCCACAGAAAACTCCACTAGATACCCCGAACCCCAGACACTCGTTGCCCACCAGAAGGTTGTCGCTGTGGTCAGGGGCTATCGATATATTACGACCTGTAGCCTGGCCACGATGCGTTGTGTCGAGTCCATTTTCGGCAGCTCTCGCCTCGCAGTAGTTTCATCTTCTCCTCGACCAAGATGTCGGACCATTCCAAGAGCCTCTACAGTACCTGGGTGGCATTGTTCCTGTCCATAGGCTCCATTGCGTGCGCCTATTACACAGTCATCCCAGCCACTACCTCTGCCCAACCCTCCTTTGTGTGAGTCTCTAGAGCCAACACGTCTTGTTGCTACGAATTGACTCTCTTCCAGTACCTACATGGGCCTCGACACCGCCTCTAATGCAACGCAGCTCGTCGGTGCTGTCAGCGGTGTTTACATCGCCGGCTGTTTGATAGGGTCCGTTTTGTCCTCCCAGGCGACCGACTCGCTTGGTCGGAGAAAGTCGCTCTCCCTGGCCTCGGCGCTGGCCGTGCTTGGTGGTGCACTGCAAGCTGGTGCTTCCAACATTGGCATGTTCATTGCCGCCCGTCTCATTGCAGGCTTTGGAATTGGTGCGTCCACCGCACGATGCAGACACAGGGATCCCTTAACTGACCGTTCGCCACAGGGGCACTGTTTGCGTTGGTGCCTCTCTTTCAGAGCGAGATCGCGCCACCCAAATCCCGGGGCCTGATCGTCGGTACTCATGGTATCATGATCTCTCTGGGCACTATCTTACCCTCGTAAGTCCACTTACTTGGAACTTATGGGAGCTGTATGCTGAACAGTCGTAGCTGGATCGGCTACGGGTTCTACTTTGTCAATGCAAATGGGACCCAATGGCGTTTACCACTAGCGATCCAATGCATTTTCCCACTGGCCCTAGCTCTGGGCGTCTGGTTCATGCCCGAGTCTCCTAGGTGGTGTAAGTAACTAGATCGGCCTATACCGCCGACTTGGTACATGGCTGACTTCACCAGTGATTACCAAGGACCGCCATGACGATGCCTTGAAGTCTCTGATAAGGCTGCACCGCAGCAAACACGACTGTGACAATACGTTTGCTCACAAGGAATATCTCCAAATCAGAGCACAGCATGACGAGGACGAGAAGGAAAGAGTCAGCTGGATACAGATGATCACTGTCCCTACATATCGTCGACGAGTGGGAGTCGCAGTCTTCGTCATGATAGGAAGCCAGATGACGGCCACCTTGCTCGTCTCCGGTATGGTGATCTTGTCCCCAAGCCCGTGCGGTCACTAACAGGCTCAGTCTATAATCCGGTTCTCTATGGCAGCTTAGGGTATGGCGTTCCGAAGCAACTGATGTTTACGGGAATTTGGGCCAACTTCACCATCATCGGCAACACCATCTGTGCGTTTACAGTGGATCGGATGGGACGAGTTCTGGCCTTGAAGATCGGTTGGGTAGGTGATGCTTGCGCCATGATTGGGATGGTGGTGTCTCTCGCCATGTTTGAAAAGAGCGGATCCCACTCCGCCGCCATCGCCGCCATCTTCTTTTTGTATCTTCACATCATCATGTACGCCACGTTTGTCGATGCCACCACCTAGTAAGTTGACAACCTCCTCATCTGTAGGAAGGGTGTAGCGAGCTGACCGGGCGCAGCATCTACACCACGGAGATCTTCCCCAATAACATGCGCGGAAAGGGAATGTCCATCGCCATCGGATCATACTTTCTGATCCTGGTGGTCCAGTTGGATACCGCCCCCACGGCCTTTGCCAACATCGGCTGGAGGTATGTCGCATCACCGTTCCCCCAAACGCACAGGCACTGACAGGGACCGCCAGAATCATCCTTATCTACCTCTGCTGCCTCCTGGCATTCATCCCGTTCATTTGGCTTGTCTGCCCCGAGACCAAGGGCCAATCTCTCGAGGAAGTGGGCCTGATCTTTGGTGACAGACACGTTCGTGTGGCGCTGGATGGGCCCGAGTTGAGCCCCGAGCAGGCACTTGAGATCAGCGAAAAGCTGGTGCTTCCCAATGTTAATCGAGCCGAGTGTGAACACGTCGAAGGCTGACTTTGATTCCGAGGAAAGAGACTAAGTGGCGAGGAAAGACGGGCCGATGTCACCAGAGCATGATGTGAATGCGGGCAATGTTGATAAGTAGGGTTAGCAGGGACGAGGGAGCCGTACTCAACTGCTCCATGCATTGTATAGTCTTGAGGGGGATACAAAAGTTAGGACCTTTCAACCTGTAAACAACAGGTTGTTGATACCGATCATCTGTGCTGCATCCAGATCCTATTGAGACTTTCTATACTAGTAGTAGGAGATTCCGGAAAGCGAGATCGTGCATCTTGGTCGACATACATCACTTCGAGACTAGAGCTGAGACCCTTGGTACGTTGGTGTTCTATCTTCATACGCGAGTAGTGAAGAACAATTCCAAGCCTGGACATGTCCATGCACTGAAGCAGAAGTATATCGCTTGCGTGAAGGTAATCCCCTAGGTGGCACGACGAGCCTGTCTTGACCTTACAAGCCAAACTCAGCCGGCCACGACGAAAAGTCTTCAAGCCCTCTCCACAACGCCCCAATCCCCGGGTTTCTATGGAGCCTTTTCCTGGACACTCATCTGGGCGGAGTTTGCGGAGTCTCTGTCGTTGCAGAGCATCGGAGATACCGGCGTGGGGCGGGACTCGTTTGAGAAGATGGGGAAATGGAGAGCTGAGAGTTCATCTAGGGTCTAAGGGTCAAGGGTCGATGGTCAATACTAATTAAAGCACTTTCTGGACCATTCAAGTGCCTAAGCTTCGGTTGAGATACAGCAAATCCGTCGCAATGGTGAAAACTCCAGCTTTAGACCCCAGCACCGGTGGGTTAAGCTATCCCAGGCTATCTGAATAAATCTTACTGACCCCAATCCAGGACAGGGTTTCGTGGCAACGCAGCGGGAGGATTCCTACACGGCGATTGACCCTTTGCAGTGGGACTTCACCGGCCGACACGTGCTCATTACTGGCGCTGCTCGGGGCCTTGGACGAGCCGAAGCCATCTCGTACGCCCGAGCAGGAGCATCGGGAATCGTCCTCCTCGACATCCTGGACTCTAAACCTGTCGAAGCGGACCTGCTGGTAGCGGCGAAAGCAGCGGGGCGCGCTGAGCCGAAGCTCCTCTCCCTGAGGGTGGACGTGACCGACGAACAATCGGTAGCAGAGGCGGTCAAAGCGGTTTCTGACGCATTCGGCAGCCTGGACATCGTGGTCAACAATGCCGGCGCCATCACCTACGTGCCGATCCTGGAGACGGATGCCGCGACGTGGTGGAAGTGCTGGGAGGTCAACGTCAAGGGACCCTTTCTGATCGCCCGTGGCTTCCTTCCGCTGCTCTTCAAGGGTCGCGAGAAGACCATCGTCGTCTTATCCAGCGTCGGCGCTCATTTCACGTTGCCCGGCGGCTCGGCCTACGAGACGTCCAAACAGGCCGTGCTCAAGCTCAACCAATACCTCACCCTAGAGCACCAGTCCGAAGGCATCCTGGCTTACGCCATCGCGCCGGGCGGCGTCCTGACGGATATGGCTAAGGGGTTCCCCCAGGATCTCCTCAATCGCCTTACGGACACGCCGGAGATGGTGGCGGATACGTTGGTGTTTTTGACCAAGGAGCGCCGGGAGTGGTTGGCGGACAGATACATCGACTCGCGGTGGGACGTGGAAGAGCTGCTGCAGAAGAAAGATGAGATCGTCTCCAAGGATTTGTTGAAGGTCAGGATGGCTCTATGAAAGAATCCTGGAGAATTTAATACGCCCAAATATGTGGCCACGTAGGTTCGGGGATTGGGAATGATATAAAGCATTCAAAAAATGACCGAGTGGATTCGAGTACGTATTCTCTCGAGTATGATCATGGCTGGATGGTGGGGCAATTACGTGCACTTGATGTAGGTACTAGTATAGGTACCGTCCCTATGGTATTGCTTTAGGTGTCCACACCGCTCGATATCTATCTCGGGTCTGTTGGCAGCATACATTCTATCTGCTATTCAATCACCACCTAACTGCCCAAGAACACTTTAGAGAAGAAATCTTGGGTGGCAGCGATCGACTGTGGCTTCGACTCCAATTCCAGGTATGGCGAGAAATGGTTTCCCGGGATGGTGACCAGCGACTTAGGCTCTTTGGCGGCCTGGTAGGCCTCCTTCTGGCCAGGCAAGAAATCTTGGTCTGCGAGGATGAAGTGCACGGGCGTCGGGGCGATGAGTTCGACAAACGGCGTGACGTCGACCAGGGTGGTTGGCTGGTAGGTCTGGAGCGTGAGACGGCCGGTATAGTTCTTGGCCTCCGCCTCGCTCAGCTGTCCGATAAACGCCCCTTTGATGTCGTCGCCGGTCGGTTTAACAAACTGCACGTAGCGAGGCTCCTTTCCGAGGGCCCGGTCCTTGCGATCCTCGGCCAGTTCGCGCTCAAAGCGCTCCAGGTCATCTCCGTAGCCGGCCATGCGGGAGGCCGAGACAGGAGTCCATTTGATTAGAGGTGCCTGCGCAACCACGGCCTTAATACGTCGGTCCATCCATGAGATGGCGAGCACGTCTCGGCCGCCTAAGCTAGTGCCCCAGACGCCAATTCTCTGCGCGTCGACCTCGGGCAGACTGGATGCGTAGCTGATGGCGTCTTGCCAGTCCTGGAGGCGGCCGTAATGCGCTACTTCTTCACGCGGGGTGCCCTCACTGTCGCCGAAGTTTCGATAGTCGAACGAGAGTCCCGCGATCCCAACCTTGACTAGAGCAGCAGCCACGTCGGGAAGAGACCACTCTTTCAATCCGCCCAAACCATGGGCGAGGACGACAAGGGGAAACGGCCCTTGACCCTCGGGCAACTGTAAGACGCCTCGAATGGTCAGACCGTCGGAGAGAAATTCCACCGCACGTGTCGTGCCGTATCCGTTCGAGATCGCAGGCATGTTGACGGTGTGCTACAGCTGCCTTGTCGTCGAGCTCCTCCAGCGGCCATCTTGGACTGCGAGGGCATTGATCTTATCATGGCCACCTGAATCGAGATGTTTGGACGACGACCTAGGAAATAGAGGGATCCACATAACTCCGTCAACGACTCCGTCTTCTCCGTTAGCGCTGCTGGCCTATGCCGCCCTGAGCCTCGCTAGCCTTCGCCTGCATTCCCCGCCTGGTCGACATCCCCCACGATCCCCTCACCACTAACTCCGGATTCTTCGTCTGTCCGAATTTGCTAAAGGACATCATGATTCCCTATCTCCATCACCACGAACATGAGCCATCGTCTCGCTGAAATCTCTCGTCTCGACCTTGATCGACCCCCATGCCCGTCTTCGGCGGACCCAACGGCCAAGCTGGCCTGCGCAATACGAGGAAGCGGCGGCCCGTTTCCTGTATGCCCTGCCGGAACCGGAAGTACGTTACTGCGACTTAGCACCCTCGCAGTCCCCACGTCTCGAAGTCTACATGCTGACTTCTGAGCCCCAGATTGAGATGCGATCGGGATGTGCCTGCGTGTGGGAATTGTGTGAATCGTGGGGACATCACCGCGTGCTACTACTTCTCTCGCAAACCGGAGCCGCGTCCAAAGCAACCTCAGCCTGAACTGTCTAGCCTACCCGTCTCGGATAGTGGCCAGGCGCGAATTGATCACCTGGAGCAGCTGGTTCTCACGCTGCTGAAGGAAACCCGATCGAAGCAGAACCAGATCCATACTCCGTCAACCAGCATCGATGCCGACCATGACGAGAGTCTGGAGGACGCGAATGCCGACAGCGGTAGATGTGATGATGCCTCGGGACCGTCGGAGACGCAGACCACCACGCTTCGTGTGAGATCAGGGACCGTTATCAACATCAACTCCGACTACAAGGAACGTCTGTCCGTCGATGAAGCACAATGGGGTCTGTTGCTGAACGAGGTCGGCGGTTCTCTCAGTCTTTCAGATGATTTATCTAACATGGAGCGTAGATCGGCGAAGTTCGTTCACATCTCCATGCTCAGCGCAAGCATTATGAAGAACAAAACCAGATCATATCTCAGCTGTTCCGACGGACGTCTGGCGATCCAGGTCCGACGCTTCTTTTCGGTTCGGCCAAGAACTTGAGCCGACTGGAGATCCTGTCACAGCTCCCCTCCCGCTACAGCTGCGACGTTATGATCACGAGGTTCTTTGCCCATCTCTATCCCGCACTCCGTAAGTGTTGAGGTTGATGGGCTAGCCATACCAGCACTAATCTGAATAGATATCCTGCACCAAGCTTCTTTCCTGCGACAGGTTGGCAAATTCCTCGCCTTATCTGTGGCCTAGACTGACATTCTGCCCCCCAGTACGAACGCTTCTGGAACGACGAAAGCACGACCTCGATCGCGTGGGTCGCCATCTTATTTGGCACCCTGCGGATCGCCATGCTCGACTATCTCCGAGAAGGCGACGAACCTCAAGAGTTCCGGGGTAAATGTCGAGACCTCGCCAACACCTTCCGCAACCGTCTGACGGATTGTCTAATCCTGGCTGACTATACCCGCCCTCAAGACTTTCTCATCGAGGCTCTCGGTTTACACATTTATGGTGAGTACGTCTCCAGTAGGGACGCCAAATCGAGCGTTTGGGTCTTGGGTGGGATGGTCGCAAGGCTCGCCATGCGGATGGGCTATCACCAACAATCGCAACCTGGGTTAACACCGACTCCTTTCCAGGCAAGTCGCGAGCAATGTAAGAGTATTGGCACCACTGACCAACCATGACAGGTAGAGATGCGTCGACGAAACTGGGCTTATATCAGACAACTTGACATTATGATATCGTTCCAGCTTGGCCTGCCTTCTCTAATCGGGCTTCCCTTGCTCGAAGGCCCCTTCCCTCGCAATATCTATGATAACGAGGCCTTCGACGAGGACTGTACCTCATTGCCGCCGTCCCTTCCGGATTCTGAGCCCACCCAAGTCTCCTATCTAATCGCCAAGTCCAAACTAGTTTTTGGATTTGCGCGTGTTCTAGATGAGATTACCAGCTCCGAGGCGATGAGCTGGGAACGGGTTCTCGAACTGGATCGGGAGCTGAGGAATCTCTACCACAATGTGCCGGAATATTATAAGATTGGTCCGCTATCCAGCCAGGACTCGCTCGTGCTTGTCTCCGCACGATTTGTCCTGTCGAGCATCCACTACAAGTCCCTCTGTGTCCTCCACAGCCGATTCCTCGAGACTTCCAACATCGACGATCGATTCTCGTACTCCCGACGGGTCTGTCTAAGCTCTGCCATATCTATACTTCGCTTCCAGGCGATCCAAAATCAAAACATCCCGGTCGATGGCCGCCTGCGAAGCTTGACCCACTACCAAACCTCCCTCACGATCCATGACTACCTGCTAGCTGCGACCATCATCACCGCCGATCTGTGCTCTGGTCAACCCGCCCAAAGCACGGCCGGCCACAGAGCCGCGCCCGGCGTGTATACCAGGACGGAGATGATCAAGGCATTGAGTCTCAGCGCGCGCATCCACGCGTCGATGCGGGACCAGAGTGTCGAAGCATACAAGGCGGCCGACATCCTCGAGATGCTGGTGAAGAAATTCGAAAACGAGGGGCCGGGCGTCGTAAGGAGTCCGAGGAACAATACATCAAAAGTCCCTAAAGACTTCACGGTCGGGGCATGCGCGAGTCCCCAGGCGGTGCAGCAAACATTGCCTCGAGACTTCTCGGTCCCGTCGAAGGCGCCCTCCACGCCTGGCCTCAACAACACCACAACCTCGAGCAGTATCCGCTTCCACCGTCCACCGAATACGCAAGTTGCGCCTTCGCACGTCTCCGCCACTTCCCACCTCAACGGTGCGGCGTTCGAACGAGCCGAGCTGCCAGATCCGGAGCCTCTGGACGACCTCTCAACATGGATCGATGACCAGCAGATGTTTGCGACCTACGAATCGTCGGCCAACTGGATGACGCCGGAGATCTCTGCGGTAAGTCTCGTGTCAGTCTACATTATCTATCTAGTGCTAGAAAGTGGTTTGGCTAACGCATTCCACTGGTGCAGCCGGTCATGGAAGACGGCTCTGGCGATCTGATATTCACGGCCGCGAACCCGGTGGCCAACTACTCTACCGTTATGGCCCTGCACGACCCGATGTCCACACTGTGGAATTTTAGCCTGTGAGTCGAGACAGCACGGCACAGCGCCGGGAAATCCTACTCAATCCAGCGAGGGAAGCATGGCTTGAAGAAGACTATGAGAATATGATGGACACGGCGCGTTTGGGCATGCACATATACCGTTTGAACGACAATCACTTGGTCAAATCACTTTTCGCACGCGTGGGGTTGAGGTCATGTGAGTTTGGCCCTAGCCTGCACGACCAGAATGCCAAAAGTCCTCCAGAATACCACCCTGTAGTACATACAATCCATATGACACAGATGGGAATGTTGAACCGCAAGGTAACCTAGATGCATCGAGGGCGCGCCATGTACGGACGATGAATGTACCAGCGGCCGTCCAAGTCAAAAATGCGTGCACTCGCTCGGAAGACGTTCAAGAGAGATGGTCACTCATCCACCTCGACAGGAGATAGGCCAATTTTGCGACATAATGCTTGAGAACACGCATTTTGAAACATCACCAACAGACCCGGGAGTCTCGAAGACGTTACACGTGATAAGGGGCCTCAAGCCTTGCCACGTGATCCAGCCACGTGACTACAAGCTTGGCGAGTTTTTAACTTTAAACCTACGGCACAATCGCAGTCAGTCGTGGTGTTCCGTCCTTACGAACCTCCCCATATAATGGCCAGTACTCATGACCACTCCAATTTTGAACATGGCATCGTTGCTCAGAGTATCTCTGTGTAATTTGGTGCCCTGCAGAGACCAATCTCGAGCATGGCTGCATATGCCGTCTCACCCTCCGCTTCCATGACGACAGGAGGCATCCACTTGACGATTCTGGCCAAGTTGGAAAATTTTGCATTGAAAAGTTCTGCACGTGCGGTCCAGTGGGCTTTGCTCCCCGTGCTCAGGCCTGATGGGCCGTCTCTCCGCCTTCAATTGTTACGGTCTGATGCTGCAATTTGAGTTTTTGCCGTTATTATTTCTTTGTGCTTGGTTTGCTCTCATCTTGGAGACACCCCGAGCAACCCAGGGAGACCGAATCTCTCATTCCTGATTGTTGGTGGAAATTCGACCCCTAGGCAAGCACATCAACAGGGCACATTGACCGCGTACGTCCCAACACAGCTTCCTGGAGTCTTCACTGGATTCCGAAAGGGTCCCTCTTATGGCTTTGCTGGCCTGACAGTGTAACAAGTTCTTCCCCCAGATATCCCCGAGACCAACCGGTTATTTTGCACAACACCTCAAGACACCCATTGGGAACGACTCGCAATAACAAGATTCAATATGGCGCCTCAGACTTCTATTCCACCTGCGGCAAATGTGCTTGGTACAATCGGCACGGTTTTCTGGTGCGTCCAGCTCCTTCCTCAGATATATCGAAGCTACCGCACCAAGTCGACCGAAGGAGTACCGCCTGCCATGATGTTCCTGTGGTCGGCCAGCGGGGTGCCATTCGGGGCTTATGCAATCGTTCAAAACTTCAACATCCCCATCCAGATCCAGCCACAGTGTTTTTGTCTTTTCTGCCTTGTCAATTGGGGTCAATGCATGTACTACTCGAGGTATGCATGCCCGCATTCCCAGCACTAACACCGATCTCGGATACATTCCGTTTTTCACGATTTCAACAAACTAACCTGTCAAGCAGCAAATGGAAGGCAAGGAACGTCTTCCTGATCTGTACGGCCATCCTTGTGCTCGACGGAGGTCTTCAAGGACTTCTCGTCTGGCTCCTTCGCAAGGCCTACTACGAAAAGAATCTGGAATGGCCCTTGACATTGATAGGCGCACTAGCTTTCATCCTTCTTATCTCGGGATATATTCCCATACCTTTCGAGTTGATCAAGCGAAGAGGAAGGGTGGTTGGCATTGACTTTCTGTTCCTCATTATCGACTGGTTTGGAGCATTTTTCTCCTTGATGTCACTGGGTAAGTTCGCTCATTTTGGCTCTCACTAATAATGCACATTCTCACCGCGTGTCAGTGGCCCAAAATACTTTCGATCCTTTATTCGGGACATTGTACGCTTTGTGCGCGTTCCTGGAGATGTCTATGTTCGTCTCCCATGGTATCTGGCTCCTTCGGACTCGCCGTGTGCGGATGAAATGCAAGGAAGCTGGCTTGGAATTCGACTCGCATCCGGAAGCCCTGGAGTGGCAGAACAACGGATTCAGATTCCCTTGGAACCGCACGGCACCGGTTTCTAAAGATCAGGAATCGAGTCCTGATGTTGTCGTGTCCGAGCCCACTCAGAAAATTGCCTCGACTGCAACTGAGGACTGTGTATAAATACTTCTGACATTTCCTGATATTTACCCAGGTGTATTTAAACAGCTTGCTAGATAGCATGAAAATCTATGGAATGACGAACTCATACACGTCATAACGACCCTGGTATGAGACGGATACTACCTGAGCCCGGGAGGGCCCTTTGAGAACAGACCGTCTCACCCTGCATGTGTCGGGTGGCAGAACTGCTCGGCATACCTATCGTCCGAATTGCTGGGGTCTTCCCATGTACGGCATCCGGCCCAACGATGACAGCATCCCATTACGAGACGCACAGCTCTTCGTCACAGCATACCTCGCTGCCCCTTGCCGACCCTTTGATTCTGAGCCACGAGCTTGCCTACCCAGGTACCCACTCCTGCTCAAAGCTGCACAGCTAGGAAGCAGTAGTCGCAGCCCGGAAGCAGGGTAGAGACGCAACCAGAAAGCGACCGATAGCCAGCCTGGTCACGTGCCTCATTTATTGCAGGCCAAAGAGGATCGTCTACTCCATAGGCACGATGAATTCCTGTTATTTCCGATCATAACGATTCAAAGGGCAGCCTTCCGTCAGAGTCCTCACTGCCCACTCGTACCAAGTGCACCCAAGCCTTTCCGGCTTGATTGCGAGATGATCTGATGCTAGACTTGCTAACTTAGGCCGAACCCCCAGGCTTCTCCGCATCCGGACCGTGTAAGCGCGCATCCACCCCTTCTTTCTGATGCTGGGTGGGCACGGAAGAAATAGGTCCATGATGGGTCCGAAGTCCTGTTATCGGCCCGCAAGAATCTCTCGCCGAATTGCTCACGCCTAGTCGTTTTCGGCAGCAAGCGATCTCGGCCACTTGGATCTCGTGAGTTCGGAATCCTCCGTCTGTGCACATCACTCTCTTTGGATCATTTGCAAGCAGTCTGCTAACAATGTCTATATACTTCATAACAGCCTCGGATTCGACGGTCATGGCCCGGATTCGGGATAATCGTGGCTCGAAGTCTAGCGCAAGACTACACCATGTTCAAAACTTTACGCAAAAGGCCAGCAGCGACAGCCTTGCAGAACATCTCCGGCGTGGTCTCAACATCATCGAAACGGCACCTCAGCCTGCATGAGCACCAAGCACAAGGCTTGCTTGGAGAATATGGGATCGACGTCCCCCGTGGTAGGGCGGCGACTTCGGTAGAGGAAGTCGGAGCAGCAGTCACGGCTCTCGGAGGCAACGCCGTGTTGAAATCCCAGATCCTTGCTGGAGGCCGCGGGAAAGGATCTTTCGACAATGGGCTGAAGTCCGGCGTACACATTGTCTCGAGGTAAGGTTGTTCGTTGCGTCTCCATCCGAAGAGATGTGACTGACGTTTTGGCAAACAGTAAATCAGAAGCAGAGAAATTTGCATCCCGCATGCTTGGACACAAACTCGTCACCAAGCAAACCAGCTCCGAAGGTCTTCCAGTCAACCAGCTCTACGTGACGGAGAAAGTCGACATTGCGGATGAATACTACCTGGCCTTCACCGTCAGTCGCGAACACTATGCACCAGTCCTGCTCATGTGCAAGGGTGGAGGTACCGGCATCGAAGAACTTGCCGCGCGAAGCCCAGAGGAAGTGATCAACGTGCCTTTGAAGTACAGCGAAGGAATAACCGATGACATTGTTTCGACGGTTTGCCAGAAACTTGAACTTGGCCACGAGAGGCACGCTGAGGTCAAGGACTTGCTGTCCAACCTGTACAGAGTGTTCCGCGAGCGCGACGCCACCCTTCTGGAGATCAATCCTTTGGTTCAAAACCGCAAGAGCCGCCAGCTCATGTGTGCCGACACCAAATTGACAGTCGACAATGCCGCAGCGCACCGACAAGGCGAGGTTTTCCAGCTTAGAGACTTGTCTCAAGAAAAGCCTATAGAGCTCGAAGCCGAGAAGCACGGGCTGGTGTATATCCAGCTCGAGGGCAGTATCGGGTGCCTCGTGAACGGCGCGGGTCTGGCGATGGCCACCAATGATGCCGTCGCTCATTTCGGTGGGAAATGTGCCAATTTCCTGGACGGCGGAGGTCAGGCAGATGTCGCCCGGATGGTCAAGGCTTTCGAACTCATCCTGAGCGACCAGAATGTCAACACGATATTGGTCAACATCTATGGAGGTGAGTACCACGTGGAACGAACCATGGGGTAGGAACGGGGATGATCTGACTGTCTGGCGCGTGCAGGTATCATTCGCTGCGATATGATCGCCGAGGCCGTCATTGCCGCCGCTCAGCATTTCGGAGACGTGCCGGTCGTGGTGCGTTTGCAGGGCACCAACGCCGAGCAAGGTCAACAGATGGTTCGTCATCTCACTCTTTGAACCCGTTAGCAGTGGTGATTGACCGTCTTTAGATCGCAAAGTCGGGCCTGAAACTCTTCGCCGAGTCTGAGTTTGATGGTGCTGTCAAGAAGGCCATTGAGCTTTCCAACCGAGCGACGACGAGAACCCAGGACTCTTCCACTTCTCAAGCAGCGCAAAAGTCTCCGCCAAACAACTATGTCCCCTCGAATGTGTCGATCGGCCGGAAAGCGCTCAGAGCTTTTTCTACCTCGTCCTTCTCCAGCAGCATTCTGAAGGAGCCACGAGCATCCACATCCGTCTTGGCAACTCGGCAGCAGAGTCGCCCATTCCGCAGCTCATCACGCAGAGTTGCTTCCTACAATGAATCCATCCCCAATCTCGCAATCAATCAGAACACCCGCGTTATGTATCAGGGTTTCACCGGCCGTGCGGTATGTGTTTCTCGAATGAAGCCCCCAATCGTCTTCCATGTCTTCAATGCAGTTCTACGCAAAGGACAATCTTAACACTTTTATGACACCACACAGGCCAGCAGGAACGCCGTAGAGGCTATCAAATATGGAACGAACATCGTCGGCGGCGTCTCACGGTCCCAGAAGTCCAGCTCAGGCAAGCACACCGATGCCAGCCTCGCGAGTCTCCCGGTATTCAGCACCGTCCGCCAAGCAGTCGATGAGATCAAGCCCGATGCAAGCGCGGTGTTTATTCCCGCGCAATTCGCCGCAGATGCCATCATCGAATCCATCGAAGCCGAAGTTCCCCTGATCGTTTCTGTGGCCGAGCACATCCCCGTGCACGATATGCTGCGGGTGCAGGAAGTGTTGCGCACACAATCGAAGTCGAGACTCGTTGGGCCCAATTGTCCGGGCATCATCTCGCCCGTGAACGCTTGCAAGATTGGCATCATGCCTCATCTACAGTACGCGCCGGGCATCGTGGGCATCGCATCGAAGTCAGGGACGTTGTCATACGAGGCTGTGGGGTCGACCACGAAAGCTGGGCTCGGCCAGTCCCTTTGCGTTGGCGTAGGGGGCGATCTGTTGCCAGGCACGAGTCTATTGGATGCGGTGACTGCTATGATTGAGGACCCCGCAACGAAGGGAATTGTGTTGCTGGGCGAGATCGGTGGGGACGCTGAGATCAGAGCGGCGGCGTTATTGAAGCAGTATCGCGAAGGGGAGATCAAGGCCGGGCGCAAGCCGAAGCCGGTGGTGGGTATGGTCACGGGCCGTACGGCGCCGAAGGGGAGGACCATGGGTCATGCGGGCGCGATCGCAGGTGGTGGGAGCAGCGTGACGGCCGAGGATAAGGTCAAGGCGATGCAGGATGCGGGTATTGTGGTGCCGGTGCATCCTGGTGAGATTGGACCTGTGATGAAGGAGTTGTTGAGGCATGCTGAGATTACCTGGTAATTGAGCGGGCTGGACCCTTTACTGTAGTACTACGCCACGTACTCCGTAAGATACCTTAGTATATATGCTGAGGGCCATTTTGGTTCCACTGTTGGGATGGATTTAGGATGCACTTGGTAGGAATTTGGGATGAATTCGGGTTGAGCTGGCGCATGGCATGGTTGGCATCAGGTTGAGAGTACGTACCTAGGTACCTTAGTACTCACGAAGTACTGTACGGTGTTCGCTCAGCCGAGACCAAATGCATCGGCATTCGCATCAAATGTTTGCTCGAAAATGGTGTCAGTGGGTAGCCAACTCCAGCTTGCCTCCCCTGCTAGCCAACTGTCGAATAATACCTCTGCCTGATCTACAGCCTGACCAAGTCCAGATGATGAGTTGTAACAAGACGGTGTTTCGATGGTCGACTGATTATTGGTGTATGCTTTATTCAACATTTCTGCTTGCCTCGTCTTACGCTTCTGGAGTCCTTGTATAAGAGTCTGCGCTGTTTGAACAACCTCGCCTGCAAGGTGAGTAGGGAACGTGTTGTAGACAAGGCTCAAGACTGAGAATGTCTCTTCAACCATCGATAAGCTGTCGTCCGTGTCCATTGCCAAAAGAACCATCAGCGACTGGAACGGTGTTGACAAGAGACGTTCCACCACGCCTGCCGTTGGGGTACAAGACTACGTATGGCAGAGAGCCCAGTCTTTATAATTGATAGCAAGATCGTGCTTTCCGGCAACCCCAGCGTGTCCTGGTATAAATGCAAATGTCTGCGGAACAGGTGTATGGTGACATCAGTTTTCAGGAGAATGAAGATCATAGGTTCTCCAGGTAGATCTTGAAGGGTTGACAGTATGTTCATTCTCGCTTCTTGAGTCAAGGAGGACTCTATTCGGACCATGATGGCGGTCAATTTCGCCAATTTGGAAGTTGACTCGAACTTGGGTTCTGTTCCACCTTGCAGAATAACTCGAGAGCGGCCATATTCCGCAGATATGATCATGTTGATGAAGACAGCGCATTCAAACAGGTCTGAGCGTGATGAGGTGAGCTCTGGGATAAATTCTGTCGAGTCCCCGGTGATGATTTCAACATCTTCCAGGTTCACGTGGAGACCAATCGCCTCGGCGACATGCATCGTGGAACAGGATGAGTACCATGATAGATGTGGGCGTGTAGTCAATCTTAGGTATAACGTGCGTAGAGCCCAGCCGGCTATCTGCGTCAAAGATACTCTTCCAGGTGCATATGCGCATCCGATATCCAAGACCTGTTTGGCATGCTCGACTAGCGAGCTTTCGACTGGAGACGGTTTGTCGGCAAAAAATGATCCGAGTGCCACGACTCCACAGACAACTGCTTCGATATCTTGGAGGAGGTCTTTCTTTGCCGTCCAGTATTGGGCACATTGGTCAAGGAATTTCTGCTGATCGATGAAATGATAAATTGGATCCACCAATTCGAAGAAGATGTGGCTGTAGAAAGACAGATCTTGGAATGTGAGCAGTCGACACACAGCCGGTGCGATGAACGCCGTCGGCTCAAGTCGCGTGTTGACGTTCCTACCGATATCAGCGAGGCTACGCGACAGGACACTGGAAGGACAGGGCCTGGGTTTTGGAAATGGGCGGCTCACCACCCATAAGAATGGAAGCGTATGTGCTTTGATAAGTTCATGGTCCGGCCCAGCCTGCGAGGAAGGAGAATGCTGCTATGAGCATTTGAGTATCGACCCTTCACTGTGTCCACAGTCGGCCGAAATTTGGCTGACCTAATCTCATGATTTTCAGGTCCCTTCTCGGGACCATCATTGTTCGATTGCTGCGATAGTCGAACAGATCCTGATGCTTCCGCGACTTCATGCGTGCCAACATGAAGTTGATTGAGATCAGTAGTTTTGCTGTTATCACTTTCGAGCCTTGATGTCTGTTCCTCGACGTTGCCGGGTGCGCCGCTAAGATATTGGCAAGGATAAGAGTAGCCAATGCATTGCGCGCAGGGAAGACGGCCATTACACTTCCTACGGCGACGCCGACAGGACTCGCATGCTTGCCTAGTCCGGACACGGCGCTTGATACCTCCTTCTGCTCTTTCAAGATGTCCGGCTCGCAGCCGTGAAGGTGGAGATTGAGAGGGAGGTGCCATCTGACAAGCATCACGCGCATGGGTGTAGCGCTATTGATGAAGATGGTGCGCCGCTAACGAAGAAGTCAGGAAGAAGAAGTAACCATGAAGTCGGAGTTATCAGGAACAGGCTAAAGACAAGCGACACGTGACCTGGCTTAGCAGCCGATGCAGCCTTCCTCGTGCAAGGCTGAAGCCGGGAGACACGGAATTTTTCGGAGCAATCGGGCGAGTACTACTAGTACTACTATACTAAGGTACGGTACCAAGTGAACAAATCATCTACCGCTTTTCTTTTAGACCTTGTATCATAGCAGCTCTATGAATTTCAGGGCATTCGGGGTCGCTCCCCTCAGCCACTCTTAGTTCCACTACTCATTCTACAAGTCTTTAATCTTTCCCCTATATTATTAGCTACACCCTGCAATTGGTCGTCCTCGGTCCCCAGTTTGGCGTAAAGATCTGGTGAGGAGTCTAGTGCCCCCAAGAGAACGATTTTCAGTGTCCGATGGAAGAAGCGCATGAAAGACACCGAAATAAGCTCCGGGACAGGAGGTCTGATCTCCGTCTGAACGTGGTCAAGAGCATTGACCCACGATTCTAAGGAGCCCAACAGGGCCGTCTTCTCGGCTAGCAGTCGAAGAGCGGCTCCTATCGATTCGACTTGCGACACTTTGTCGAGGAATTCAAGCGTCGATGCCGCGATCCTTGTGATCCCTCTCCGCATATCGGGCGCGATCGAACACACAGGCACCGTCGTCCCGCTCATGTCGGCTGTTGCTGGAGGATCCGCGAACTTACACGGTGCAGCAAACAGCTTGATGATGAATACATCCAGGAGAGGTAGTTGGTCATGCTGTGCTGGCACCAAATCATTCGCGGCAACAAAACCTGGCCTTGCCCGGTACTCGTGCATGATCCTGAGTCCTCGAACCATATGCTGGGCCATAGCAGCGTAATTGCCCCGCAATTGCTCGATGCTGATGAAGATCTCACAGCAAAGTAATGCCGACTTCAACCCGCTTGAACCCGGAGATAACAAGTTTGTCGCAAGACCTCCCAAAGCCATACAGTATTGCTGGACGCCATAGTCATAGCTTCGGGTCTGCTGCGCGATAGACGCTGGAACGTCTCCGGACGTCTCGAGATCTTCCCGAAGAGCTCTGAGAGACATGACTGCGTGTCGTATAGGCGGATCAGTCAAGCTGGCTTGGAGGAGTTGTCTTGCTTCTTCGTCACAGCCCAGATTCACGTCGAACATGGTTTTGGTTGAGAAGTAACGATTGAGCAGGTCGATATCTTGAGGGGCGATCTCAGTCAACGTGGGCCGGATGGCTGGCAAACCATCTCTTGATTTGATGCCACCAGCATTGGCATTTTGGATGGGTGGACTGGTGAAAAATCTAAAGGGAGACTCGTAGCCGTCGCAAGTACGACCAGTGTCGACACATTTTTGGCAAAACGGCTTGTTCTCGTCGCATTTGACCTTCCTGATTCTATTGCTATGTCAGCACAACTATTGAAGATCTAGCCAGCCGGGTGTACACTGGTGATGGGATATACTGACCTGCAGGTTGCACAACCGGTTTTTACCTTCGTTCTAGATTGGATGTTCCGATTGCGGTGGACAAGGCTTCTGGCCATGGGTGGGCGGACATGGGACAACTTCGCTTGTCGCGCAATACCTTAGAGGTGAGAGGAAGAATCGTAGCAGGCAAGAAATCCGAGCAGGTGAATCAAAATAATGCAGCTTGATTCATGACCGGCACCATGAGGAAGGGAAGTCGGTGTCGGCGACTATCTCTCCCGAGTCACCCCCCGGGGCGCCAACACTAGCTCGATTGGGTAGCGAGAGCGAACCCACCAACCATGGATGCGATTCAGGGACCTTCATCCTTCATCCTCCTATCAGGCTACCAGCACACGCCACATTCCTGCAATTGACACGATTATCGTCGTCGCTTCTCGAGGCCCAAATGTCTCAATATAAGCTGGGTGGCCCCCTGATCTCTGTCGAAATGACTCCAAGCACTTGCACATGTCGAAGCTCATCACGAATAGCCAACTACTGCACCGGTCGAAAATGGCAGCTTTCATTCTATATGGCTCTCGTGGTTCGACCAACACCGATCGTATTCGTCTGACTCTCGCCGAAGGTGGCTTCATCTATTACGACCTCGTGCCTCTCAACCTTCAAAAAGGGGAGCAGAAGGTGCGTGAACCATTTCTCTTGGAAGGCCCGACGCTGGTTCTCCTGGCCCGAGCAAATTGTGTTCGCTAACACCCTCTGCACCCAGTCCGAGGAAAACATGAAACGTCACCCATGGGGTAAAGTACCCAACATAACTTTCCCCGGAGGATTCGCTCTCTACGAGAGTCGCGCAATTTGCAAATACCTGGCAAGGAAGTACTCCATTCCACTTTTACCGCCGGACGCGGACCTCGAGGCTGCGGCGCTGTTCGACCAGGCAGAGTCGGTAGAAATGCTCTACTTCGCCGAGCCTGCTGGTCGAATCGTCTACGAGAAATTCGTCAAGAAATTCAGGGGGCTTCCTCCCGATGACGCCGTGGTCTCGGATGCACTGCGGTCGGTCGAGCTGTTTTTCGACGTTGCAGAACGTCTCCTAGAGGACAAAGACTACATGGCTGGAAAGAACTTCACCCTCACGGATATCTACTACATTCCACTGATCCAAAGACTTTTCGTGTGCGGCTACGGACATTTTATCCTCAGTCGCAGAGCTGTGAGTGCTTGGTGGGACCGCTGCGTGAATAGGCCCGCCATAAAGGAGATGTTGGCCGCTGACAAGGAGGCTACAGCGGCTGCTAGTAAATAGGACAAAGTAGAGGTAGCATGAATGCTGGAAAATCATTCATTCTAGGTCTCATGGTGCGCCGCGATGTCCAGAACAACGCTTAGCTCGTCACCCAAGCAATGCCCTCTCATTATACAGTACATATGTGTGGGGGCCCGAGGAAATGAAAGATCTAGGGACTTTCAATGTATGTAAAGTAGTTGGAAGCTGCAAATCTGAAAGGTCCTGTACAGGACCTGAGGTAAGTTGACTGTTTTGGCTTCCTTGCTATTGGGATACCAAACCTTATCAGTGTGGCGGCGGATCGCAACCTGCGGCAGCTGGATCCGGTCCCGGTTGCAAACAATTGTTCCGTTGAGCCGCAGGGACGATGAGGCTAAGGATGACATCCATCAGAAGCTCTGGCCAGTTGCGGTAAAGGACATTGGGCATGTCGTTTGGAGCGAACCCATAACAAGTAATATCAATGAACTTCATACCCGGGCATGGCACAAGCGGAGAGCAGTGGATGATCGACGCAACGTCGAAGTGAGATGTCCCAGTGATACTTCCCATCCCGTGTCGCCTGCATGTTATCATCAGTCCTAGCGACTTCCTGCCGCTGAACCGGCCATACCGGCGCCCATAGCGGCCAAAGGAGGATTCAAAGTTATGACACCAGCCGCCATTGTACCAAGCCCTGCGAGAACACCCAGTATTGAAATAATACTCCCTTTATTGGAGTTTCGCTGTTCCCGTTGCTGTTCCACTTCAAACCTCCTCCTTTCCAGTTCCCTCACCTTCTCGGCGTATCGCTCCTGCTCTTGCACAATGCTAGCTTCGAGGTCTTTCTGTCGTTGTCTAGGCCTCTCTGCCTCCGCTCTTCTTTCATCACTCTGGCGTTGTGCTTCCCTGATCTGATCGGCGAACTGAGTTTCTACCGCAGCCAAGTTCGCCTTTTCCCTCTGTCCGATCTCGGATTGGGCTCTCCTATGTTGATTATTCATGTCCTGCTTTCTCGACCTCTTGACCCGCTGCAGTATCCTGAAGGCTCTTGTCTTGGTCTACCATTTCTTTCTGTATGTCAAGTACTATCTTAGATTCAAGTTCAATGATCAGAGCAATGATGGCTTCTGCCGACGCTTTGTCATCGGTGTGTCGGGCGACTTTGCTGCCACGCCGCGCCATCAAGCCCCTTTTGAGAAAGTAACGATGCCGGCGAGTTCTATGTTACGTTTGTAGGTTTGAGCCATAAAGAACGCCACGTCTTTGAGCACGTCCGTATCAGTTCGGTTAGTGTCGTCAAATCCTGGTGTGTCAATGAGGTATACCCGTCGCGAGTTTTGGTAGAGAGAAAGCTGTTTATTCCGACCTCCATGGTGCCTGCGCTGCTGTTAGAACACATCCACCTCTGCACCAACACTTGGTAAGTACCGACATGACGTCAAATCGTGTCCGATATGCACAACACTCTCCACGAGGTGGGATATAAATGTGCTTTTGCCCGACCCAGTGATACCCATCACGGCGATCACTAGATCGTTCGGGCTGCATGATAATCAGCGTCGGCTCTCACCCAAGTTCACATCTGCCGTTACTCACGAAAGGGTCGTGAACGGTCCGCCATCGATTGTGCTCATGTTTGTCATTTGCTATATCCTCGCGTGAAACTTTCCCTGGTTACGGTGTCAGCCCTTTCAAGCAGCTTCTTCTCGAGTTCGCGACCTGTCTGAAAGGGGGCAAGGTGCCTAAAGCAGCCAATGTGTTGGACGTGGTTAAATCTGCTGGCGAGTGACCGCCTGCTACTGGCAATTTTTTCAGCAGAGGGGCCACGGTGGAATCTGTTTTTCTGGCGATCTGCGAGAAGTGCTATGGAGCAGGACGAGTGGGCGGGAGATGGAAATCATCAGGACGTATTCAGCGAACAAATCGCAAAGCTACCTGAATGTAGGAACGACCACGAATTTGGCTCTGTCAGCGGTATGTGCGGGTACATGCGCATTTCTGTCGGTGCAGTGGTTGGCAATGGTCTTGATGAGGACGGCGACATTGTCGATTCGTTGTTGTAGCCGCCTCTCGAGATGGTGTGACGTTCGACTGGGATATGATGAGAAACAAGGCAGGGCACATACCTTAGATGTATTGATATCCGATCCACCCTGTTTGAAGGGGAGAGAGTGTTAGCGTCCTGGGGAGGCCCCTGAGGTTACTTTCCCTGCAACTTGCGTCGAAATGCAGAGTGGGAAATAATTGTGCTTAAAGTAGAGATCAGCCTTGCAATGGTCGATGATGTACCAAGGGCTCAGCGAACAAATTCTAGTAATTGGAATTATCAGCTTGTAGAGCTCAGTTACATATAGGAGTTGCAGGCGTGAAAGATATAGGCGAGGCTAAGCTAGGCCATGATGGCCCTCACCAGCCAAGTCCTCGGTGGTAAGATAATCCATTCCTCGGCAGCGAGTGCTAGTAATCACAAATTGCCTACTGCCAGATCAGGTATTGTTGGCGACACCAGAAAAAATTCCATAACCATTCACGGCCTCACATCTGATTAGAAAATATGTCATTGGTAATCAGGACTCTTACTGAATTTGCTGGACGGATTCGGACGATCATGCCCGCTGAGCAATATCAAACTCGACCTCCGGCATGGAGATAACACCTAAGCAATACTAGATTACTACCTCAAAGACCAGGCACAATGGACAAGTATATAAGGAGCATCGGCAGTCGTAGAGCAAAAAAGGCTGCTCAGACCGACTGAACGGATACAGTCAAGGGCAACCCCTACTCGTACCTCGGATCCACTTCATTTTAACCAACGAAAAGGCTCTAGATCAACATGAGTTCAGAAGGACTAGTGAGAAACATCGTTGTCTTTGGAGTAAGGCGCTCTTCCCAATCATCACCACCATATGATCCGCTGTATTAAGACATAGGTATCCAGGCCGGCGGCACCAATATTGGCCACCACGTCGTAAAAGCACTCGCGGCCAAGCCCGAGTCGTTCAACGTCTCCATCATCGCTCGCAAATCAACCAAGTCGACATTCCCGGACGGTGTGGAAGTGCAGTACATCAACGACGCCCTCCGGTACGATGACCTCGTCAACGCCATGCGAGGCGCCGACGCGGTGGTCTCGGCCGTTGGTCCGACGACCTTATCGCAGTGGGAGAGAAACTGATCGACGCTGCCATCGAGGCCAAGGTCAAGCGCTTCCTACCCTCGGAATATGGCCTCAACAACACCCACCCTGCAGCCAGAGCGCTTTGTCCCCTCTTCGATGCCAAGGGTCGGATAGTCGAGATTCTCAAAAGCAAGGAGCCAACCGGCCTCACGTGGACGGCTGTACCAACCGGGTTATGGTTGGATTGGTAAGTCTCTTCCTCTTCCCTAGTTTCTAGTACTGGGTACAGTCTGGTATCCCAATTGCCAACGGACAACGCCAAGTTCGAATATTCTTCGTTAATCAAAAATGAAACAGGGCACTCGATCCAGCCATCTGCTTCGCCGATATCAATATCAAAACGCACACAGCGACAATCTGGGGTACAGGCGAGCACACCTTGTCGTGGAGTACCTTGCCCTGGGCCGCAGAGGGCATTGCCCAGATCCTACTCTCTCCTCCTTCCAAGACCGCCAATAAAGTGCCGATCCGTGCGTTTGAGGCGTCTCAGAACGACGTGCTCGCGGCACTCGAGAAGATCCAGAGCGTCAAGTACGAGATCACCAAGCACTTTGATGCGGAAGAGGTGATTGCAAAGGCGCAGGGCTCGTGGCACGAAAACAAGGATATGCCGTCTGCACTGTGGCTCGTCAAGGTTGGGATGTTCCTTGATGGGTACGGGAGTGATCTGGTCCATGAGGCAATCGCACAAGTTGGGAATGAGTATTTGGATCTGCCGGAGTTGGAGATGGAAGCCGTGATTGAGCAGGCGGTCAAGGTATGGTCATAAGAAAGGCTAGGGGACTAGAAGGACGGCGCGTCTCCGTGCGTAGACTCCGCACCTATATCAGGCATAGGGAAATCAAGGGGGATTTTGGAATCTCAGCCCAGATATCTGAGCAAAATCGAGTATCAGGGTGACTTGTGTATTCACTCCCTTTCGAGTCAACTTCTCTCATCTTGCGGTGCTGACTAGGCTCAGCAGCAGGCTCTGATGAAGGCGACAACATCATTTGGCCTTGTTTTTTGCTGTTGTCATCTGCCCCATCCGCATGCATCATGTCAGCCCGTGTTTCAAGCACCAACACTCCAGCTCAATCTCCTTTCAAGCACCAAGGTTAGGTTGCATTAGCAACCTGAACAGCCTCGCTATCACCCGCTCCTGCCCAATGGCGCCGCTCAGCAGCCCGTCCCTCCCATAGGAGTGTCGTTCAAGCCGTCTGCCAGCTCAGTCGCCTGTCTTTCCTGTTCCATGATGATGTCCAACCAGCCTCTCAGATCTTGCACATTCGCACTCACTTTCCTCAAGCATGTTTGGGCGATCATCAGCTTCAGTCGTTCCCCTGTCTCGCGTTGCATCTTGTAGCTCATGTAAGACATGCATAGATGGCGGAAATCTTCCTCCATTGCCTCCTGCGCCTCACTGACCTTCTCATTGATTTGGTTCAACACCAGACCTTCTTTTTCAAATCCAGCAAACCTCTCCTCCAGTTTGGACAGTTCTCCGTTCAGGATCTCGACGCCAGTCTTGTAAGAGCTCACCACCCGTGCAAGACACTTGTTCAACGACGACCTTGTGCTCTCATCGCACTCCAGGAGCTTGGGCTTGAGTGACTGGTGCCAATGATCCCGCCGACGCCTCATGAAGTGGAAATACTTAATGAACGGCTCGCGAGTCATCATTGCAGAAGCTTGCCAAGTCTGGGTCAATAGTGCTGGTACTTGGGCCTCGAGCAGCATTTTCTGAACAGTAGTATCCACCTTTGGGCAGAGGTCGCGTAGGAGACGGACGAGGTCTTCTCGGACTTTGTACACAGCCAGGCTACCGCGGATCTGAATGTACATGACCATAGCGTCTCGTACGAGCTCTGTTGGTTGGTAGACGACGTCGTGCAGCATGTCCGGGAGGTACGTCACCGATGCAGATGCATCAACGAACAACTTGCCATCCTTTCTTCTCGGCACTGGCATGACTAGATCATCAAGAATTGCTTCGGCATCGTAGGCAATGTCCCTGAAAGTCTTGGTGAAGGCATGATCTATTTTCTGGTGTCGTGGTATTTGTTTTCGTAGAAGACGGCGTCGTTGAGGGTCTTCGTGTATTCGGGATCGTCTTCGTAGCGATCCATACTGAAATTCAAGGCTGAGGCGATTTAGTCAGCTTGCTGTGCTTGAAGTCGAGCAATCACAGGCTTACTCCAAGAATGGTTGCTGCTGCTAGATTGGTCGTGTGCTCAAGGAAGTATCAGCTTCACAGATTGAGGTTGGGATTGGGTAATTGGATAACAGAGCAGAGTAGGTCGGTGAACCACTTGCCGTGCTTGCAATCGAGCTGTTGTACGCGTTATTGAGAATTTGTGGATGTGAGCAGATCAATCGTCTAAATAAGTAGGCACCTCAGAGAGCACGGGTCGGCCTCTAGCTTGCAGCACTCTTGCAGTGCTTGCAGAGCTTGCAGTGCTTGCAGAGCTTGCAGTGCTTGCAGAGCTTGCAGTGCTTGCAACCGAGTTGTTGTAAGTATTGTTGAAACCGCGTGGATGGGCGTGGATCGGTCGGATGAAGGAATATGTAGAGAGAGCAAGTTGGTCTCTGGTCTCCAGTGGTTGCAATGGAGCTGTGGTCCAGCATTATGGAAAATTCGTGGATGCGAGTAGATCAGTCGATTGAAGAAGTACCCCGAACGTCCATAATTAAGGCAGTAAGAACATGTAAAGCACGACGACTATGTCGGTAATGCACCGTTTGGTAGCTTTCAGTGCTTGCAGTGCCCGCGTTGCCTGCTGCGCGAGGGTCTTAGCTTGATCTTCATCGTTTTGATATGTTGTCTGATCGAGTGGCAGTGGCGCATCGCACTATGCTGAGGAGCCGGAAAAAAGGGGCTCCATGACACTTGGCTTCCGATGGCATGCATAGAGGACTCTCTATACATGACCCAACTCGCTTGCAGAGCTTGCAATATGGTCAGTCAGCGTCAATATAGTGGAACAAATCAATGACGGTCTTTTTCACGCTTTCGAATCTGGTAATTTGCGCTTTGGAGTGTACAAAGGCGGCCACCAGGGAATGCTGATGTGCACATTGAGGATAGAGCCTGGAAGCTGTGAAACAGTCAGTGAGGTTTACTGAACCCCGAAAATTGACATATTTGGGGATGGTTCTCAATGCCACCACTGCACATCCTACGGCGAGGGGGTTGTGTGGCTCAGTGGGTTCTTCCTTGGAGATTTCCATGATGTCTTGTATTGATCTTGTCGTGTATGTGGGCGTGGGAAAGTTGCACACAAGTCAAAGGAGCTTGCAGTGCTTGCAATGATCCACTCGATCTCAAGTGAGTTGTTTCTCAGGGAAAATGGGCACCAGAGAGATCTTGATACCAGGCTGGGTAAGAGAAAGATGCATGAAAGTTCATCGCCAAGCGAGATGCCGCTGACCGCAGTGAAGTACCGCTATATTGAATCGAAGCTGGCAGCATATATTGACGCTGGCTGAGCAAATTGCAAGCGCTGCAAGCGAGTTGAGTCATGTATAGAGTCACCCAAAGCTGCCAGAATTGAGTACTTGAGACTGTTCGTCATTGACTTGATCCAGAAGGACGAAACCATTCGAGTAAATCAAACATCAAAATTGTCTGGCTTGACTGACAATTGAACTACGGGTCGACGTGGACATGGTGGAAAAGATTCTCGCTGCGGCCGCACCAAAAGATATTCCATGAGCTGTGTATCCTAGTTGATCGGGTTCATGAAACCTCTCTCGATAATGTCATTGGGCCGCAGGGGGTATGAGGGGGTGATAGCAGGGCTGTCCAGGTTGCTCATGCAACCTAACCTTGGCGCTGGAAAGGATATTGAGCTGAGTGTTGGTGCTTGAAACACGGGCTGAAATGATGCATGCGGATGGGGCGGATCATAGCAGCAAAGACAGGCCAGACGTCTGATCCTTAGCGCCGCATGCTTCATGTAAGGCTGAGTTCTAAAAAATGATCAACGATGCTAGGTTCTAAAACCGATAAGAATGACTCCTTTGACACAAACGCAACTGCAGTATTTATGGTGCGCAGGTGATAACAAACCTCGAGACGCGAATGGGCCAAGCCATAATGGGACCGGATCTGTGTACTACTAGTACTAGTTGCAGTATTTGCCCTGAGTTGCTTCAATTTACCCCTTCGAATATACACGGTACGGTCATCCAGCATTTCGATGACAAAGTCCACCGGCCTGACTCGAACCACTCGTGGACGGTGACTGTACACGAACTCCAGCTGGGATCTTCCTTTGGACGCCCCGCATCTACCACTTGCCTGACAGTCTTGAGTTCCCTGGTTTCTCCCTATCAATCTGACCACCGCATCTTATCGGACAGCCTTCTCATCATGCATGACGCTTTCACTTCTCTTGATCTCGGCTTGGTGGGTGATCTCCTGGAGTCTGTTCTCCAGGTCGTGGCTGGCATAGCTATCTTTCGTGGTTCCGACAACGATCCAGGGTGCGTGGGTGAACAGGTAGTTCATCTCTTCGAGAGGACGGCGGGCGGTCTCCGGGAGAAGCAGCCAGAAGAAGATGGCGTTGGTGAAGTTGCAAATCTATGTTGTTGTCAGTTGAGAAGATTCGAGAAGCTGCTGCCAGAATGAAATAGGCTTACAATGAACAGGAAATAGAAGCGATAGCCAATGTTCTGTAAAATTCAATCGTCAGTAAGGCTTTCCATACTCAAGGAAGGGTTGGAGGTGTTTGGGCCGAGAGGGATAAAGGACTCTACTCACAGTCATGGCAATAGGCGTGACTTGGCCCTGGAAAAAGTTAGTAAGGTCAACAGGAGAGAAGGAGCCGGATCAAGTACGTACAATCATAGTGTTGAAAGCAAAGCTGGTCATGGTCGCGATACTGACACCCTTGCTTCGAGTATGAGTGTCGAAGACCTCGGCGGGAATGATCCAACTCAAAGGACCGCAAGTGCAGCTGAAGGAGAAATTGTACAGCCAGGTCATGATGATGAAGCCCCATTGAGCGCCAGTGTTGGTGGATATGCCAGGCGGGAACTTTGCAAGGAGGATCGTGGCGATAATGAACGTGACCATATTACCAAGGTTGCCCAATATGAGAGGCCAACGACGGCCAGTCTTGTCGATGAAGAGGATGGTGCAGAACTGAGCGATCAGTGCAATGATCGAGTTGATACCCTGATATTTGAGTGTGTCGTTGCCGGAGATACCAATCTGTCCATAGATTGTGACCGAATAGTATTGGATTGCAGAAACACCCGTCATCTGGATTGATGCTTGCAAGGCACAGCACAGGAAAAGTCTCCGAAAAGAGGAGGCGGATCGGAAGAGCTCGAGATAAGACTTGGCTTCGTTGTCGTGCTCGTAGGCAATCGAGGCTTGGATTTGTTCGTACTCTGCCATGACCCAGGGGTCTTGTTCGTTGCCATGCGCGTGGAGCTGGGCCAGGACCTTGAGGGCTTCGTCCGGTTTGTTGTGGTCCATAAGCCATCTGGGACTCTCTGGGAACATGAAGATAAGAAGACCGAGGAAGACGGCTGGTATAATCTGCAGACCGAGGGGCACTCGCCATTGTGCGCTGTTGTTGGCAATATGGACGTAAGTCGCCCACGAGATCCAGGAGGCCACCAAGGCGCCCACGCCTAGCATAAATTGCTGGAGAGCCGTCACACGCCCGCGGATAGATGGATGAGCCAGCTCAGCCTGGTACATAGGCACGATCATCACAAGGAAACCGACACCAAGGCCGGCCAAGAATCGTCCGGACCAAAGATAGTGAATGCTTTCTGCACCAGTCTGTAGGCCACCACCCAGACAGAAGATCACGGCTCCGATTACGATCGTCATACGACGTCCAAGGTAGTCACCACTGATACCGGCAAGGCCTGCGCCGAAGAACGCGCCCGTGGTGAACATGGACACAACAAGACCGGATTGCGTGTCATCTGGGTGGAATTTCCCCTTGAAGGTAGAACTGGCCACAACTTCCGCAATCACACCAAGATCATAACCGTAGAGGTATGAGCCCAGGGAGGCGAAAACGCACACGAGAAACTGGTACCACTTGGGTGGTAGCGCCATGGTGGGCTGTTGGAAGGCAAATAGTTGAGGCTGGCACAAGAGATGGATAAAGCGATGTTGACAAGACGGAGCACGTCCTGAAGAACAATGAGCTTCGAAATTCGGCGGACGTGAGGCCTAGATATGCGTTTTTCTGAGATATTGCTCAACCGCAACGATCTACCGGGTGTCGTCAAACCACGTTTAAACTCCCGCAGCTTTTCCCACAAGAGTTACATCCCCGCAAAGTGGCATCAAGTCGACAGCGGAGGCGCAGACTAGCACAGTAAAGGTGCGCATGATCCAAGAAGCTCCCACGAATCTCCAGGGTGAGCGATGGGAGGATGTCCAGAGGAAGGTAACGCTGTCTTTGCGATGGATCTTCGTAGCGAAAAAGAAAGCTCCGGCGGAGGAGCCATCAACCCGAAACAGAAGTATTCCGGCGTTGGAAGTCGTCGTCCTGGCGGAAATACGACTGGACTGCCCACGACTGCCATGGCCACCTTCCTGGTTCATCGACTCCGCTTCGAAGCGGGATGAATCATGACTCGCCAGTGCTCGACAAAGCCACTTGAGCTTATGCTGGAGTCTCTTGCCGAGCAACTCGATCAGAATGTGTCTGTTAGTGGCCGGATCTTCGCCCAAAGAAGAAGAATCCCATCTGGTGGTCAGTGTGTGGAACGGTACAGCATGCGGCGGCTAGCTTGAGCAGCCGGTGGTCAACGTGCATGGGTACTTGAATTGCTTCATGCATGATTGAATCTCATTCGCACACTTCTACAAGCTCGTACTGGAAGTCGAACTTGTCCATCTCGCAGATTTCAGCTCCCGCCACGTGACTGCTCGCACGTGACAACACTGGGCGTCAAGACATCAGGTTGTCAAAGGTCCGGTGGATTGGTGTTGCCATACAAGCGGGATTCTGGTATCGGACAAGGTCAGGGCATACGAAGCAAAGCTGCATCTGAATCTACTACAACAGCTGGAACAGCAAGCTTGTCCATCGCCTCGCCGCCAACATGACCACCCACACTCCGACCAACTCTGCACCCTCGATCTCCGTCTTCCCCACCCACAGGGTGTCGAAGATTGATCGGAACATCTACAGTGGCTTCACCGAGCACATGGGCCGATGTATATACACTGGCATCTACGACCCAACCAACCCCAACAAGGACCTGATCACCACTGAGGGATTTCGAAAAGACGTCCTCGAGGCCCTCCGACCGCTCGACATCCCCGTCTTCCGATACCCAGGCGGCAACTTCTGCGCGACGTACCACTGGCAAGATGGCATCGGGCCTCGCGACCAACGGCCCGCACGACCCGAACTGGCCTGGGGTAACATCGAGTCCAACCACTTCGGCACCGACGAGTTCATGGCATGGTGCAAAGCGGTCAACGCGGAACCCTATCTGTGTCTGAACTTCGGCACCGGCACGCTCGACGAGGCCATGGCCTGGCTCGAATACTGCAACGGCACCAAGGACACGTACTACGCCAATCTGCGGCGCAAGAACGGCCACACCGAACCGTACAACGTCAAATACTGGGCCCTGGGCAACGAGATGTGGGGAGACTGGCAACTCAACCAGATGACGCAAGAAGCCTATGCCGACCGAGCGTTCCAATGGGCAAAGGCCCTCAAACTGCTCGACCCGACCATCCAACTCATATTATGCGGCAAAGAGGGCCCGACATCGTGGGACTACCACACGCTCAAGCACTGCCTGCGACCGGCGGGGCTGAGTGATCTCGGCGAGGAACGATTCCCGCTGGTCGACATGCACAGCATCCACATATACACCGCGAGCGAGGACCATTACGAGAACGTGACGGCACCGCTGGCCGCCGAGCGCGCGATCGAAGTGTGCTCGAGCCTGATTGACCTGGCCTTTGTCGAGAACAAGCTCCCGCCCACCCAGAAGAGGCCGACCATCTGCTTTGACGAGTGGAACGTGTGGTCGCCTCCGCGCGCGCCGGGCAGTGCCGGCGCCGAGGAAGTGTACACGCTCTCCGACGCGCTGGCCGTCGCGGTCTGGTTGAACGTGTTCGTCCGCAAGTCCAAGGACGTCGGCATGGCGTGCATTGCACAGAGCGTCAATGTCATCAGTCCGCTGATGACCAACGAGAAGGGCATCGTCAAGCAGACCACCTGGTGGCCGTACGAGTTGTTTTGCAGATTCATGAAGGGCCATACGATCGCTGTGCATGTGGCGTGCGATGCGTACACGGGCCCGACGAAGCCGAATTGGGTGAGGGCGACAAAGGAAACGCCGTGGCTGGACGTCAGTGCTACAGTCGACGATGACGGGTATGTGACTGTCTGTGTGGTCAATATGCATCTGGACTCGGACTTGAAAACTGCATTTGCCGGCCCGGCGGGTGTGAAGGTCACGGTGTACTCAATCACTGGGTCGGATGCCAAGGGCACAAACATGGCTGGCAAGGAGGAAGTGGGCATGACCGAGTCCGAGTGGGATTCAAGCAAGGACGCAGATTTTGTGTTCCCAAAGTGTTCCGTCACAATGTTGAGATGGAAGATCACATAGATCAGGGGCATCGTGTTCGAGTAGCCGTTGCTGGGACCAGTCCGGACGAAAAACTGTTCGCCTTTTGAAGGCGTGAAGGAAATAGAATAGATCAAGCATACCGTTATATCATTAGTGTATGTTGAACTTCGACTTCGCGTGAGCTGCAGTCTCGATCATATGTAACCAAACCCTTATACAAGCGAAATGCGTGGTGACCTCCTCAACGCCATTGTTTACCCGGCCTTCCTCAACTCGGCCAATTTCGTCAAAATGTCGTAATATTCCCTGCTGACGCCCCAACACGCCAACCTCGTTCGCAGAAGCTTTGCGCCTTCAAGCAGGACTTTTTGTGGCGTCTCACAAATGTTCCCGACGCCTGTCATAAACCCAGACATGCTCTCTCCGTTCCGCACAAAATGTTGAATCATCTCATCATCGCAGGGTCGATCCAGGTGTATGAATTCAGGCTGCTCGTCCGAAGATGACGTCTCTTCGCTGTCCGACTCGGAGCTGCGAAGAGGGGACGATGCCGATGGATTAGCAGCTTTGTTCGGCTCCGATGTCGACATAGTTTCGGCATCTGACAGTTGTCTTGCACGTGGAGAGCTGATCGGCTGCGTCTCGGACCCATTAACGGCACGGTTAGCCACATTTTTCATGAATCTGACAGGCCGCCCCTTTCTCTCCATGCGAGAAGGTTGGATTGCAGCACCAGCATCAGGACCGCTCGGACCTCCTTCGGGTTTGTGGATGGCCGCGGCTGCGTCACGCTCTAGCGCACTTGATTTGTACGACCCGTAGGTCCAGAGAACCAGTGCGGCAAGGTAGACAGCAACCGGCTCGTAGAAGCTGGTTGCGGAGTAGCGTCGTACATACCAGAACACCGAACCGGCATGCACCATCGCAAGGCGGGCCTTGTGTTGATCTTCACGAAGCCAACGCCACGTAATCTTCCGGATTTGGGGCAGCTTCGCACTGTTTCGAGGTTGGTAGCTACCGTCATGGACATAAAATGATGCTTTGGAAGAGTTGTCAACTTTGCCTATCAGGGAGAACAGCAAGTCCTGGATTTCTTGAAATGGCGTAAGAAGTATAATTCGAGCGAGATGTAGGTGCAGCATGACTCCATGCTCGACGCCAGAGGCATGAGCGACAACACTGGAAGCTTGCCAATGTAGCACGTCGAGGCAGTCGCAGGCGCTGTTCCTCCAGTTGGCATACAGGGGATAGAGTGGAAGCCAGAAGTTGTCCTTCGAAGGAGTGTTGAGGAATCCACGTGCCTTCCCAGTGGGCACCCACTCACTAAGCGGCTGCTTGATGTGAGTCCCAACCTCCCATGTGCGGATGTAGAGAGCATGAATCAGCAATATTTGGGACAACTCGCTGTAAATCGGATCCACCTTCTTGTTCTTGTAAAGTGTCTCGAGTGCAACGCACAAGGAGGGCGTCTTGGGAATTTTTCGTGTGACGTCCATCCATGACTCAGCTGAAGACGCTTCCCAAGCCGACTCGACGCACGGTAGTGGCGTCCTCGCATCGTCCATGTTGCACAGCGGCCGCGCATTCGCCATATAACCCAAACAGCAATCCAGCATCCATGCTAAGTAACCTATTCGCCGCAGCATTTCGGCTCTGATCCATTTTTGCCACGCCTGATATGGGCTCTCACTGTCAACACCATCTAGCCTGAAGTCCGAGAAATCACCAGACTCAGGTAGCTGAAGTACGCCAGACTCCAGGCACCACCGTGATAGGTCGGCATGATACCGTGGTGCTGATTGACGGAGCTGGTCTCTTTCAGACTGTACAAGGCCGACAAGGTTGAGTAATCTGGCTTGTGCAAGTGGAATATCCAAAGCAACATCGGGCACACCATCGGCGTATTGCTGTACGGCGCGGCGTAGAAACTCCTGAAAGGCTTCTCGAATGTCCAGGGCATATTGTGCCTTTGTGAAAGTGCTACCAACTGCCGCTACGGCAAGCATCACGATCCAGTGCGTTTGATGCCCGAATGTGGCTCGATGAATGAGGGGATAGTTTGAGTGGAAGTTTTCGAAGTAGAGATTGATGCAAGCATTGAAGCTGGACATGTTCGGGAAATCCGGGCGCTCAAACGAGCGCTGCGAAGCTTGGTCTAGGCACAATTTTCTGAAAAGTTCCAAAATAGTTTCATAGATCGCAGGAGAGCAATAATCCCTTGAATCAGTTGAAGGTATCGTGCTGAGAGGGTCTGTTGAATCAGGAAACGCATAAGTGGTTCGCTGCCTCCTCGGGGTATTGAACAGGTCGGGTGCAAATGAAGATTTGCGCTTCTTCCGCTTTGACTCGGATGTCGATACAGTGTTGACCGATATGGCCACATTGATGCCGTCGCTCGCGGAAGACGCAGGACTTTGCTCCACACCAATCATTGAGGCGGGAAACCCATGATTTTCAGACATGTCCTGAGGGATGTCCGTTGGCACTTGGGAGATCTGGGCGGCAGAGTCCAATGGGATAGCCATATTGTAGTCAGGCCCAAGATTTGGTGTGGCTGACAATGGAGGTAGTATGAATGAAAAGTCTTGCTCAAGTTCTGCATCGTAGGGAGAGGGAATTAGTGACGGAGGGATCCAGTTCAGAGGTTCGTCAAAGGCATTGTAGTCGTAGGTGGATGGTCCTCCTACAAAATCGGAGTCAAAGGGAGCAGTCAACGGAGGATTTACAAATTGATTTTGCTGCATGATTTGGACGTCCGCCGAGTTCATTCCATCAACACCCATAGCCAGCTGATTGGCATGAGAGGTTGACGTCTGTGTCGGGTTGTAGCCCGAGGGAAAAGCCGCATGGCCATAAGGTTCGTTGGAAATTGCAGAGCTTAGTGTAGTGACCGACGTGGGAGATTTCTTCCTGGCCATTTTGTCATCCGAGCACACCTGGGTCGGGGCGTTAGCCGTGAAGACTAGTTCGCTGAAATGACCCAGGAGTTGCTGTTGAGGGCCATCACCATCGATCTCGCTTCCGGCTGGACCATTTGACGTAGAGCCCTTGCGGCGTTTGTTGGGATAGACACACTCTAGTTGTCGAACGCTAGAAGGGTCTAAGCAGGACTCATGCCAAAGTGATCAGCAACGACTCACCTGCATCTGCCACACGGGAGTCCTCCAGAGCATCGTGATCTCGCTGATGCGCAGCCATGACATGCACGAAAAGTGCCATTGGTGACGCGATGGACAGGACCGCGATCTTCTGTGGCGTGATGGTTCCTTTCGTGGCGGAGTAGCGTGTCCGAGCGGGCAAAACACTTGCCACAGACCTTACACGCGGCACTCTTGTCTGAGCCTCTTTCTTTCATGTCGGACTGCAGAGCGCCAACGATGGGCGGCAGTTCTCATTGGAGGAGTTATGAATCCATTGTGGTAATGTACGCAAAGAGAATGTGAGAAGTCGAGTCTGGAATCGGGAATCTGGAATCGAGGACGTTTGAGCGAGATTAAGCGGCCCTTTAGCGCATCACGTGCTACAGCCATAAATTGCAGAGTTTGCGGGGAAGCTGTCGAGCTGCTCATGGAAAATTATTTCCGTGACTAGAAAGACCGACCGCATATTCAGAGCCTGGCTGAGACAAATAATTCTGTCAGACGTTGCGCTTTCATCCATGGAGTACTCCATACGGAGTACTGCGTCATCTGATTTCGTCACAGAAGACCTGACCGTCTCGCATCTCTTGTCTCCCGACACTGGTATCTGTGGAAATCATGGCGTCAGCCTGGCTCTCAAATGGATCCCTAGAGCTGACGACAAACTTGTCCGGGGCGGGCGACAGGGAGATATAGCGCCTGCTCTTATGCAGCATGTTTCCTACCGAAGGGAACGTCATAGCCACCGTCAGAGTCGCAGACAAGATGGAAGAAGAGAACACCAGATATATTCGCACCTATGAAGACTAACAAGCACGAAGGTCTCTGAACCGCGATGGCGAAAAGGTATAGCCTAATGTGGGTGAGGACTCTTGTTGCAATGAGGGCCTAATCGCTGTACGTGCCATGTCAAAAGCATGGGGCTTTGAGCGTGAAAGAGAATCTCTGTTGATTGTCCAAGGGCCCCAGGCGACTAGCTAACTATATACCTCTTAGTACTGGGGCACCAGGCCGGGAAATGCTTAGAACTCTGACAATTGTCTGAAGTCTGCGTTGCAATGGCAGACGGAGCACAATCATAACATGCGCAACAATGCAAAGCCCAGCCTTAATGCAACCAGCCTGTCAGTACGAGACGATGGGTTCGCCGTCAAATTTCGCAGTTCTCTCTCTCTCTCTGAACGCTCCTTCCGTTCAGGATTTCCCTCAACATGGCGAATCTCTCATAATGAGTCCATTTTCCGGTAATCGTGTTGGTAGGCCATTTCTCCTTGATAACGCCTTCTCGGAAGTACTGGCTTCTTTAGCTTGGACATCTTATGCAAGTACACTGCATGGTGCGCTTACCTTGTCGAATGTTTGACTGTTGTTCAACGGCGACAGCTTGATCAACCTGCAAATTGAGCTCATATCCTCATATGAATTGTTCAGACGGCTTCTGCTGACCGTGGATACGAAGTTGGCATGCAGGTTGATGATCTCCTGGAAATCTCGAGTACTCTGGGTTTTGATTTCGTGGACTCCATCCAATGTCAAGATGTGAAACTTGAGGTTTGCAAGAGGCCATTGACCTTTCGGTGGCTCTCTTGGGAGGGCCAGTAGCGGTGTCGTGTCATGTCCTGGTCTTATGTGTACATTCCCAGCTGCCAATTGCGCTGCTTCCTGGTCAGATTCCACAAGGGGACGCATATGTTGCCACATCAGTCTCCTGTAGCTCTCGTAGTCTTGTTGCTCACTTTTGACGATTTTGTAGGTGGTCACGATGATGTCGAAGTCCTTGAGGTTCTCTTCGTCTCTGCCATTGCGACCGTCGCCATGGTATATCAGAATTTTTGGAAACTTTGGGTGATTTGTATCGAGGAAATCCCTCAAGTGCTTCTTCCAGTTGTCCAAGAGACCTGGCACAACGATTAGGTGAGGTACACCAGCAATTTTGTCCACTTCCATCATGAGTCCAATTGTAACCAGCGTTTCGCTTTCAAACACTGGACCTTCATTGTCACCCTGATCTTGATTGCAAGCGCTGCAAGAGCTGAAAGCGCCCACTCGAGACAAGGTCATCCCTACTCCCAGACTCTCAATTTGGCTGTAACATGTGATTGTCAAGCGCTGCCTTCCAATCCACTTCAATCTTCCATTCATCAGATTGACTGGGACACGGCCAAGGAATGGCAGCCAACCTTGTTCCGTCTTTGATATTTCTTTCGAGTCTCCGCAGCCTGGGATCTGTGTTAGTTGAGTTCTGTCACCCTACGCGTAGACTGCAAACGCTGCAAGCATTGAAGCGGAACAGCCAAGATGGAAGACTCTGCCTCGAAAAACCATGGGGCTGCCGTGACCGACGAAGCAAAACGAGAGAATGAGCAGTTGCAAGAGTAAGACTCCAGCAATCTCGAAGGCAAGGCTGTCATACTGACCACTCTAGGCAAACCGGTGGACGCGACAAGACGATCACGATCGACGACCTTCACAAGAGCAAGAATTTTGACAAACAGTCAAAGTGGGTGTTTCACAACCAGTTGAGGATGTTGGTGGCCGAAGAGAAGAGGAAGCTGGAGGAGGTGAAGGCTAAGAGAGCGCATACGAAGAGAACAAATAGGAGCGTTGAAAGAAGATATAGTGGAACTTAAGGAATTGCTAGAGTGGACGTCAGAGCAGCGCCTTGCGAGGCCGTTGGCAGGGGTGAAAACTGAGGATGATGCGCGGGCTCTGATGAATGTTTTGGTCCGCCAGAACGCCACAAAAATGGGGTTGGCCGAAATGCTTCGACAAGGACAAGGAAGAACTCGGTCTATTCCTGAAGTTCTAGGTGTCAAGCCTGGTAACCGAAGCATGCCCGGGACGTCGACGTCGACTCCAGGCGTTGAGAGGCTGGAGCCAGAGCCAGAGGCAGACCCGTTGTACGAATAAGTCGAGAGGCTTGCGACTCAGCAAATAGTTCGCAGTTGAGGTTATGTTCTACGGACCTGCGGCAATGATCCGAATTTTATCATATCCGGTCATGGTAGACATACTCTGATTTGGTCAAGAAATGTTGTGTATAGTGATTGTCGCTGTCACTGGAAGATGAAGAGCAATTGGATCCCGTGGACGCCATACTGACTTCGTGTGAGATATCCACAATTCGTCGCGAGTTGTTGGTGCTTGCACAGCTTCCTTCTGCGCGAAGAGTGGCAGAACTCAAGTAAGACGGATGTCAGGCTGCAGAAGTCACAGAGACGAGGCAGGCTGGCCAAATTGAACTTTACCCTGAACGTCCAGATTCGTGCTCTTGCCCAGGTTGTTCCTCGTGGGTTCAGTGTCGCGTGGACCCTTTTGTCTATGGTAGTCAGTGTTGTGTTGTCAACGAAGATACTCAGGTCTCACTTCTGCCAGTCTTTGTGTGCCTGGTCTTCTTCCTGAGGCCATGGATTTCCCATGAAACCTTCTGGAGCAGCGCTGTGTGAAGTCTTTGGCTTCTTGAGGTCTTCGGATCTCAAGTGGGAAAGGCATCGAAGGGAAGACATGTTAATCATATATATAAATATTGCTTTTCATCTCGGCATCATGAGACGATGCCTGCACTTCAGTGCCCTGCAAAACTGAAGATGGATTCTGAGCACAGGGATACGGCCTTACTTATATCAATTCGGTTGCAGAAGTTCGGAGCTGGCATGGCTCGCGTGCTTCGGAGTCACTGGCCTTGTTTCAAAGCATTCAACGAAGATTGGGCTGAATTTGAGACCATATTCACTGGCAGTTCCTCCATCACGGAAATCTCTGGGTATGTTTCTGGGGGATCGAGCCAGAATTCAAGATCAGATTCAATCTGGCGTTCGCTGAACTGCGGGCACTGCGTGCAAAGAAGCTGCTCTGAAATTTATTCCTCTTCAATCTGGATCATTGGCTGGCCACAGGGACCTTTTGCAGTGCATGCTCATCTCCGAGTCATTACTGTCGTGCGTTGCAAGCCGATGGGCCACTTAGATGTAAATCGTTGGCTGACCACAATTGAAGCCACATCCCGAGACATTTTAGATTCCATACTCCTACCTAGGTAATACTCATTCCTTGACTGCAAGCCGGCAGCAATTTCAGGGCTCCTTCACCTTTTCAAGTGAATGTACAATGAATTCCGGTTTTGCAGAATCTTTCAGATATGCACGCTATCTTGGAGCCATCCCTGAATCGCAAGCCCTTCAAGCTGATCATTCATTCACGGAGGCATCTGTACATCACTTCACTGCACCGCATAGCCATTTTCCGATCAAACCCGGCCTTAATTCTGTGTCCGGCCAAAGGCAGTCGTGAGGCACACTTTCAACCCTCCGGGGACTTTGTGGTTGAAGAATGCGTCGTAACTCTGTGAGATGTTTTCGAAGTTGTCTGGAGAAGAAGCGAATTAGTTGATATTGCCAGGGATTTATATAGATGTAATAGGAAATAAGGAACGGGGGCCAGAGCAGTAAGCTCAGTTTTGAATACTGTACCTTCGTGCGTGAAAATGAATGAGGGGTCGTATTTGCCTTCAACAACCATGTCTAGAAGGAGTGGGAAGTACTAGAAGATTCATACGGCAGCAGTTAGCAGCGTCCGTTTTCGGGGGGGCGCAGTGCTTTCTTCTCTTCGTCTCTTCTTGTGGCTATCATGGCGGAGGGAATATGAGCATATTACCTTCTCGGCATAGAGCTGCCCACCGCGCAGGGTGATGGCTTTTTCCATCAACATTCCAATAGGGAAATTGTTGGTCGTAAAGAAGAAGTCGCCAATAAGGGCGACATTTCCGCCCTTTCGCGTCGCCTTGATCACTGCGCTGGCAGTGTCCGAGCTGTCGCCCTCGACGCCCAGTGCTCTCATGGTGGCGTGAGCGGCCGAGTTGGTGCTCCTGAAACCGCTCGCTTCGATACCGCGGTCCAGGCCGTGCGGTTCAATAGACAGAATGTAATCTGCCGGATCAGGGTGCTCGTTCACATTGACGGGAATCATGCCAAAAGACTTCGCGATTTTGAGCCTGTTCACGTCTTTGTCAACTGCATAAACCTTGTGGGCTCCACGGAGCTTCGCCAAACGTTGGATGGAGAGGCCGACGGCACCACAGCCCCAGACGCCAACGACGTCGCCTTCGCCCACTTCCGCCAGCTCGCAGCCGTGCCATGCAGTAGGTGTCACATCCGCAAGACCAACCAGTTTCTTGGCATCTACATCCTTCGGAGCCTTGACGCAGGTGAGGTCCGCGTTAGGGACGCGGCAGTACTCAGCCTGGTCGCCAGGATATCCTCCCGTAATCATGGAATAGCCAAAGATGCCCGACAAGCGATGCCCGTACATCTGCTCCAACTCCTTCGACGGGTTGGTTCGGTCGCAGAGAGAGAACTCTTTGCGCTTGCAGTAGAAGCATTCTCCGCACGCAATGACCGGCAGGATGATCACCCGGTCTCCTGCCTTCAAGTTCTTGACTTCAGGCCCAACCTCCTCGACGATGCCGATGGCCTCATGGCCCATGATCAACCCCTTTTGCATGACCTTGTTCAGAGCCCCGCAATACATATGCAGGTCCGAGCCACATATGGTGCAGTGGGTGATGTGCACAATGGCGTCCTTGGGTGCGGTAATTGTGGGCTTGGGCACCTCACCCAGCTCGATCGATTTCGTGCCCGTCCAGAGAGCTGCCTTCATCTTCTCACTGGGATGGGGCTTGTACTCTGTGGTATACACCGGTCTTTGTGCTCACGTGAGACTGGTGATAGATATGCAATTCAAGACAGTAGACTTACTTTGGTACTTCTGCCATTATAGAGTCCTGATGTTCTTCCGAAGGTTGATCGAGGAGATTGTCGTGTTCTAATTTGATCAGGGCTTTGCCTTTTGTCGTATGCTCGAGAGATGCTGTTGAGGGCGAGCTGAGCAAAGTTACAGCTTGCCTTTATCTTCGATGACAGTCCTCCGACCTTATAGCCAGCGGACATTGCATTAGTCTTTGTCCAACATGATTTCATGGGAATGGCATGACTGCTAACCAGTTCGTCACGATCTCGTATTCGTGATATCATATGTCCTCCTCTTCCGTGCGAGTAGACCTAAACCATACCAAAGGTTATCTCAAGGGAGTCATTCGGAAAACCACCCGTCAGGAGATGCCGGAATTATACCACCGGTTGGACGATGGGCGGCGTGAGGCGGAAGTCGAGATTGACAGCGAGTGCGCGGCATTGCTTCGCTTCTCAAGGCGGTCCGCTGGACATCTCCTCAACGCCCGGGGACGCAACCGGCATCCTATGCACTGTTTGTAATCCTGACGCTATCCGATACGCGATTTACCTTTACAGCGAGAACGGGCGATAATTGGCGACGGAAGGTCGTCTGGCTGCCTTGGCAGGTTTTCCACAGAGCAGCTGAAAAGGCGTCGCCTATATCGGGAAATGGATGGAACTCCATTGTGATCGCGCTGGATCGAATGATGGGACATCAGGCTGATCGCATGTGGTAGGCGATGGAAACAAGGCTAGGCTGTCAGAAAGTGGCCAGCTACAGTTGTGGTCGGTTTGGAACGGATCCTCATCGCTAGGATCCGGAGAGTATGGCGGTGTCTGTCATCCAAGGCAACTACAAGGACTCGTAGAGATATGGGATAGTCGGTAACAAGGCTTCTAGGAGCAAGTATTGGATAAATCAGGCCAATGGTGGTTACGACACCTGAGGTAATACGACATGCAGATCGTTTGGAGACGTGGGTATGAATGGAATCCAGATGCCGGTATCCGAAGTGTTTGATACTTTGTAGTGCAGATCAAAGAGACTGTTTTACACAACCAAAGGGGAACTTGCAGAAAAGAATTTGAACTTCGGGGACGCATTCAGGGATTATCGAGCCGAAAATGCGGTCTTCGCTGCACAGGGGCCTGCTAAACAATCACGGATTTATTGAGGAAAGCTCCTATTACGAACCGAAGCACAGCACTAACCGTATCCCAAGGACCACTCTCTCACTGTCGACCTGGAGATGATTCCGCCTCTCTTCAGCAACCCAGCCCCTATCCAGATGGAAAAAACAACTGAGGTAGTTCGAGTCGCAAAAGTTTCAACTCTCGTCCTGTTGACTTGTGTGCTCCACTTCCTTCTTGGAAAATTCCTCGATCCGGTTATCGAAGTCGAAATCATCTGCGAGACCGACTTGATCGAAGAAGTCCTTGATAGTTTTACCCTCGCAATATTTGAGGTCGGAGCCCCCCTTCTTCAGACCTTCGTAAGACTTCTGCATGGCGAGCATGGCCGGGATGAAGCCGGTGCAAGGGTAAATGGCAGCGGCAAATCCTAGACGCTCGCAGTCCGAAGTACTGAAGTCGGGCGTGAGTCCCTGAAGAGTTGAGTCAGTATTACACCCGTTGCGGATCGGTATGTCGCTGTACTCACATGAGGCAAGACATTGATCAGCACTGGCTTAGGAGCGCATGCCTTAACCAGCTCCTTGCACTCTTCCTCGGTGCGCGGGCTCTCCATGAATGCCATGTCAGCTCCGGCATCAAGCGCAGCCTTGAGTCTCTTCACGCCCTCGTGGAATGCCTTCTCGCCGGCTTCGCTGCCGCCCAGATGCTTCGCCTGTCGTGCATCAGTGCGCGCGATGATGACGAAGTCTGGATCAGTCCGGGCTTCGACGGCACTTCTGACTCGCTCAAGGTAGACCTGCAGATCGACGACATCCTTGCCCTTCAGCTGTCCGCATCGTTTCGGGAACACTTGGTCTTCGATGTGCAGTCCAGCGACACCAGCGTGCTCATAGAGCTGCACTGTGCGCCTGATGTTGAGAGGGCCTCCAAATCCAGTGTCTGCATCGGCAATGACAGGTAAGTTGGTGTGCTGCACCATCATTCCAGCAATGTCGGCGAACTCGGTCTGTGTCATGACGGACAAGTCTGGCTCTCCTACTCGAGATCCGGTCGCTCCTGAACCTGCCAGGTACAAGAAATCAAACCCGACAGTTGAAGCGACTCGTGTGGAGATGCCGTCAAAGACCCCAGGTCCAATCAGGCATTTTCCTGGAAATCATTGTTAATGAGCTATCGTTTGGCCATTTCGGTGGTGTGCTTGCTCGCACAAGGAATATGCCTACATACCTTTCTTGAGAGCCTCGCGGAATTTCTTAGGGCCTGTCTTGCTCACTTTCTCCATGACGAGAGCTCAATGCAAATACTCGTGATGGGACTTCGGGCGATGCTTCTCTATGTCTTTTTGCGTACGTGTGTCTCGCCAAAGACGAACCAGAAATCACAGTTGTAGACTTGAGTTGTCTGAGAGCGATAACAGGCTGCTGAGCATTTATAGAAGCACGAGTGGCTGTGCATGCGACGTTTGAATTAGAATCAATGCGCCTTCCATGGCGGCACAGCACGGTCCGGATGAGCAATCCGACTTTCATCATCCTTACGACGATCATTCAGATGCAGATAACAATGCAGTGTGTCCTACCCGTTGGATCTGTGATGTTCGCGATAAATCCTGTTTGTGTACCTTGGTAAACACCAATCGTCGTGGCACCTGGTCATTCCGCGCTGCCGAGCGAGCCTGTAAGCTTGAGCCCGCAGCCTTGACAGTACACGCAAGACGGACCAAGCCATCCGGGAAACTTCACTATCTCTGTTGAAAGACGCGGACGCTGTATGGAACGTGCCTCTTTGCAGCAGCGTCATTGTCGGGCTTTGGCGAATGTCAGCAGCCCTTCCAGCGGGCGATGAAAAGAAGGAAGGGGAGACAGAGAGCCCTTCAGACAAACCAGGCCATGATGAGGCTCACTAGGCTAACTTATAGGTTGCAATAAGCATTGCCAAGGTGTGCCAGGCTTTGAGCTTTCTCAGATCTAGGGAGTTGCGCGCCTAATAGGAGGGCCCCGACTGCAGCAGCGGCCCTTATTGACCCCTATGACGTGCTGCCGGCTTTCAACGTCACACTCTGTACAAGTGGCTTACGCCTTGTGGCAATCGTTGGAGGACATGGGCAAATAATGGTCTCATCATGCCTCAAGTGTCGACCAGTCTGGATTAGCAGCATCGTTTATAGAGATCAGTTGGAACTTCACCTCACCTGAACAACGAGCCGATCACGATGGAGAGTGTTTACACCGACAAGGGTATCCCACGTACGTGTTTGTGGGCTTCCTTATCAGCCCGGAGAGCCTTCAAGCTGACGTCCAACTGATTTGCAGCCATTGGACCATATGTGAGGATACACAATACCATGGGGGTGTTGCAGCATCGTGTGAAATCGAGCTGACAACTGCGCTGTACCAAGTCCCAAGCCATCAAAGCAAATGGTTTCGTCTTCGTGTCCGGTCAGATGCCTGCGACCTTTGAAAATGGCAAGATCAAATTGACCGAAGGCACTGTTACGGACAAGACTCACTCGTTGTGCCGCAACGCCAAAATCGTCCTCGAAGCTGCAGGATCGAGCTTGGACAAGGTTGTCAAGGTCACTGTGAGCTGAATTTCCAACGCAAATCGCGAGGTTTATGAAGCTAATCGCGAGACATCATTGTTTGGATACAGGTCTTCTTTGCAGATCTGGACGATTTTGCCGAGATGAATAAAGTATATGAGCACTACTTCCCTCAAAAGCCGGCTCGAAGTGCCATCGAGGCGAAGAGGCTGCCGGCAGGCGTATCCATAGAGATGGAGTTGATTGCGCTGCAGTGAGGGGCTTGCAATGGTCACTACAACGTGAGCAGAAGATAAATCACGTACTCCTGCGGATGCGGGAGCATATGTTTGGATGAATTGATGCTCAATGATAGAAAACCTCTTATGCTACAGCCACAAAGAAGTTCTTCTCGCCTTCCTTTGGTTGCACAGTACCCAACTTCAACAAGTCGTCGCCGACCGCCAGCCGCAACCTCTCCGCGGTCGCAGGACTATGAAGAATCAAAGGCTCATTGACCCCATTGTCCTTCCTGGCACTCACCAGTGCATCTCTCAAAGCAAACAGCGCAGCCGCACCCAAGAACAACGGAGGCTCACCGATACCCTTACTGCTCTGGATCGTCCCGAGATGGTTCCACGACACGCCTTGGAGCAAGCTGACATTGAACTCCTGCGGAATGTCGCTGAACCCAGGGATTTTATACGTGCCCGGTCCACGTGTGAACAGCTGCCCGTCTTTGGTCCACAGAGACTCTTCGATGGTGAAGAGGCCCTGTCCCTGGACATAGGCACCTTCGATCTGACCATAGTCTATGGCTGGGTTGATCGAGCGGCCCACGTCCATGTGAATGTCCGTTCTTAGAACAGTATGATCCCCTGTGAGAACGTCAAGCTCGATCTCGCTACAAGCGACACCCTACAAAAGCATCTCTGTCAGTTCAGCGCCATGGGCAGATGGAGCAATGACTCACTTGTGTCCAATAGTAGTACATCGGTTTGACGCTGTTGATGTCGTAGTTGCCCCATTGATACCCGACTTTGGGCATTTTCCAGAACCCCGAAGCAGATAAATTGACACGGTCCATGTAAGCGGCGTGGGCGAGGGTCTTCATACTGGCATCGGGACCAAATTTCTCCCGATATGGCTGCAGCCGCTCGTTGAGTTGATCACATGCATCCTTCACAGCCATGCCGTTGAGATCACTGCCAGATGATGCCGCCGTCGGTGAGACATTGGCCGTGTAAAAGGATTGCGTCTCGTTTGTGTAGATCGCATCGACAGGGACGTTGAGCTCCTGTGCAGCGCACTGTGCCATCTTGGTGTACAGTCCTTGACCCATCTAAAACATCATTCATTAGCTTTTCACTCAACCATATGTCGACGAACGGAACGCATACCTCGGTACCGCCATGGTGCAGAAGCACGCTTCCGTCAGCGAAGATCTTGACAGCTGCACTGGCCTGGTTGAGATGGTTGGCCGTCGCAAAACTGATACCGAATTTGGATGGAATCAGTGCAATCCCTCGCTTCTTCCACTTGTTCTTCTGATTGTGGGCTTCGACAGCCGCTTTTCGCTTTTCGTAGTCACATTGCTGCTTGAGCTGGGACATCAACAAGGGCACGTGCCAGTCCTCGTCGATCTTTTGCAGGAACGGTGTGTGGTCACCTTCCTTGTACATATTCTGGAGCCTCAGTTCATCCACTGGAATGCCCAAGCCTTCAGCGACAGCATACATGTAAGTCTCGGCAATGAACATAGCCTGCGGGCCCCCGAATCCGCGGAAGGCCGTGTTGCTGTGGATGTTGGTCTTGCAGAGATGCCCACGAGCATGGACGTTCGGGATTTCATAGGAGTTGTCGATATGTGTCAGGCACCGATCCATGACAGCGCCCGTCATATCGTATGACCAGCCGCCGTTGTTATAACAGTCGATGTCGAGCGCAACAAGCGTACCGTCGCTCATCGCCCCAACTTTCCATCGCGCTTGAAATGGGTGTCGCTGGCCGCTAGTCATCATATCTTCATCACGGTTCAGCATACAACGGATCGGTCGCTTCTCCTTCTGCGCCGCAACAGCTAGGACACAGGCTATCGGCGTGCTTCGTGATTCTTTACCTCCGAAGGCACCTCCCATCCGCTTCACCCTCGCGTTAATGCGATTGCTGGGCATGCCGGTCGTGTGGCTCACCCACTCTTGCGTCTCCATTCTGCTACAATCAGTGATCCAGGTCAGAACGACGATGATCTTGTGACTTACGTGTTCTGAGTCGACGACCAGACATCCATGTACCCATCTTCCACATGTGGGATGACCATAGACGCATTCGTCTCTAGGTAGAAGTGCTCTTGCCCGCCCATGCGGACAGTACCTTCAAAGACTCGATCACAGCTCGAGAAAATTTTATCCATTGACCCTTCAATTGCAGCGCCTTTCTTCAACTCCTTATCGTGCGTGTAGAAGCTCTTCGCCTCAATGGCTTCGTCGATCGTTAGGATGGGTGGCAGGTCTTCGTACACCACTTTGACTAGTCTGGCCGCCTTCTGCGCAAGGATTGCCGTTTCCGCATACACCATTCCGATGACCTGGCCATGAGACTCGACGACCCCATCGGCAAACAATGGTTCATCTTCCCTGATGGGACCCCAATAGTTCCGCTCCTTCGAGAGGTCGTTCTTGTCGACGTATCCCACCGCTAGGCCAGGGCCGATGGCGGGCGAGAAGTCAACTTCGATCAGCTTTGCATGAGCCTTCTGTGAAAACACGAACGCTCCGTACAATTCCTGGTCTTGACGCGGCATGTCGTCGATATACTCCGCCTCACCAGTGTTTTGTTTCAGAGCTGACAAGTGGGGAATTTGCTTTCCTACCACCCGCTGCTCCTCAGGATTGATATTGTCCCGAGTACCAGAAGATATTCCTCTGTGGATTTCCTGGATCAACTCAGGGTCGACCTCGCCAAGGTTGAGCTCGGCCACAACCTCGTGCCAGAAGCGAAAGAAGAAGGAGAGCGCAAGTGTAACTCGATATGTTGCCATCCCACCAGGGACACCAAAGCTTAGATTGAACTCCTCGCGCAACGCCCGAAGACCAGCATCTAGAGTTCGGGGATTGTACCATTTCTGGCGACTGAGCGTCTTTGCCGACCTCTTTGCGAGTACGGTCGTTGGTGCCATTCCACCATAAGCCAACGAAATCGAGTCGACGTTACCTTCGCTGTCCAGCCTGACTTTGAATGCCGCGGTCACAATGGCAATGTCGTCGTCTTTCCTCTTTGCTTGCTTGTAAGCTTTTGTAATCTCGGAAGCGTTGGCTGGAGGGATTGGGATCCGAATTTTCGTGATGACTGCGTCTGCGGGCAGACTGGTCTTGCGGTAGGAAAGGAAGAATGTCTCCATCGGCAACAAAATTTCGCCATTGCTCTTGCTCTGAGCAACGACAGTGGCGCCAGAGGCGAGCAAAACGGGGTTCATATCTGAGATAGGCGAGGCCGTTGCAATGTTGCCTGCAAGTGAGGCTGCGTTGCGGATTTGCCGACCTGCAAAGTATCGGAGTTGCTTCCGAGCGGCCTCTAACACGAGTCCTCGTCGACCGAGCTTTTTAGACAGAGTCTTGAAGATCTCCTCGCAGTCTGTGAGACTTGTGTTAGCGCCGATAACCAGCTCAGTCAGGCTAGCGACGTCGTCTTCGCTTTTAGGCACAATAGTCTCTTTCAATTCCGGTATGTCGCCGACAAAGACCATAATCGCAAACTTGGAGAATTTGAATCGAATCTCAACCTGGACTTCACTGGAACCGCCAACAAGTTTGACGGTGGGGTCGAGATATTTGATTGCGAGAAGCTGCTCGAGGCAAGTCGGCCTCAGCCAAATCATGTCGGAATTGCCGTAGCAGATCGGCCGTAGTTCGAATTTCTTCAGCGAAGGCGGGAATATCAACTCAGTCGACGGAGTGTAAGGCTTCAAGTCGGGTTGAAGTCCGGCTGGATATGATTTTGGGGGAGGAGCATCCAGACCACTTCCAGTCTTGGTGCCTTCTCCTTCTTCACCAGGCGGGGGGTTTCTTTGTCTCCTCCTAACCGGCTGTCCATAAGCTGTTCCGCTAACCTCCTTTTCTTCCGACTCGGACAGAGTGGTCTGAGATGTCAGTGAGCTTTTCCCAGCTTCTTCGTCGGAAGAAGTCTCCTGATTGCTTTGTTCGGAATCGACTCCAGACGAGCATCCTGATGCGGAGCCCGGTTCGTCCCTGCAACAACCGCCAGGTCTGCCGCATGACACGGGTGACTTCTTGAGAAGTTCAGGAATGCCCGCGGGAACGTACTTGGCTCTTGCCCCTGTCTCTCCGTCAAGTAAGGTCTCGTCATTATCCTGCTCTTCAACAAGCTTGGAATGGAGATCCTCGACGATAAAAGTCTTCGCAGCAGCCAAGATAGGCTTGTAACCAGTGCAACGGCACAAGTTGCCATCCAGATGGCCCTCGAGCTCAATGTCGCTGGCTGATAGCTTGAAGGATTGCGCCGCCGGGTCCCAAGCGTTCCTGATCATGGCATACATCGATAGGACAATGCCAGGCGTGCAAAACCCGCACTGCGAGCCGTGAAGCTTTGCGATTCTTTCCTGCAACGGGTGCGGATTGTCTACGCTTCCCAGGCCTTCCACAGTGATCAAATGCTTACCCACCACTGGAACATTGTTAGAACTTCTTCGCTGCAAGGAAATCATGCGCTGGGTTACCGCCAACCAGCGGGTAGAGACACGCATTCACAGCCAGATGTCTCAACCTCTTCGGACCGGTCTGGTCAATACTCTGCAGAACAACCGTGCATGCGCCGCACCCTCCCTCGCCGCAGCCGAGTTTGGTGCCTTTGTTTCCATGTCGAGATCTGATAAAGTCCAGCAGCGTCCATTCTGGGTTGGGGTTCTCCAAAACGACTCTCCGACCATTCATATAAAATTCCAGGTTCGACTCGACAAAATCAGACTCAATGATGGCTTGCAATTTCTCGAACGGCGCAGGAACCGCCGGCCGGTGGGCAACAAAGGGTAAAGCCATACTTAGTTGCTTGGGTTCACCTTGTATTTGTGCTAAATTGATTCATCCTCGCCGTCACCGCCGAGTCAGATGGAAATCAGACCCTAGGTATCATCTCTACTACCTTCGGTCATCACACGGGCGAGAAGGTTGCTCAACAGTTACAATAGCACCAACGGCGAAATACATGGCACCTTATTGGCTCGATAAAATATGCGGACATGACCGACGGGCAACAGGACGGAGAACATCGTACATGGGTCGGATTGGGTGGTTGGCTCTTGGTGGTGGGTGGTACGTCCCTTACAAAGTTCGACATTATGATTGTAGCCGCAGATTGTTGCCATGATCAGGATCCCCCACTCTTGATTGCAACCTTCGCAACACAACGGTAGAGTCCCACAACATAGCATGGCGCACGGCAGCTTGTTGCTTGCCTTTGCATTCCAAGAGGCCCGGCCTTGGGGTCCCGACTTGTTCTCTTGGTGTCTCTGGGTGTCCACAAGTCTCAGTTAGTCAAAGCAAGAATTTGCCCACTTCTGGCAAGGCGAAAAATGTTGAAGCCAGCTGTGGGCGTGGAGGATACTCCACGTCCGAATGGCGGCGGGCTGGTATTTCTTGTGGTTCTCGAATATCAATCGTCCTTAACACGGCCAGTCGAACTCGGACGATTGCAGTATTGTGTTCGACACCAAGGACCTCGACGAAGAAGGAAGACAAGGGAAAAGCGACAGCCAAGATGCCATCAAGAACGTCACCAACCGGCTTCAAGCCGCTCGAGGACACGTTGTTGTTCAAGCCACTCAAACTCGGCGCGATCAGTCTCGAGCACCGAGTCATGATGGCACCACTGACTCGGATGAGAGGTTCAAAGGAATCAGATGGTATCTGGGTTCCGAACGACTTGATGGTGGAATACTACTCCCAGCGCGCAAGCAAGGGTGGTTTCCAGCTGACGGAGGCATGCCCGATCAGTCGGATCTCATGTGGTTACCCTGGTGTACCAGGCATCTTCACGAAGAGCCAAATTGCCGGCTGGAAGAAGGTCACCGATGCCATCCATGCAAAAGGCGGCTTCATTTACTGCCAACTGTGGCACGTTGGCCGTGCTACCGTTCCATCATTGCTTGACGGAAAAGATGCTCTCAGTGCCAGTAACATCCCAATCTCCGGCAAGGCTTTGGATGGCTCCGACTATTCATCGACACCTCCAAAGCCCATGTCGGTCGAGGAAATCCAAGAGACCGTCCAGGAATTCGGAGCTGCCGCCAAACGTGCCTTGGAAGCCGGGTTCGATGGTGTAGAAATTCACGGGTAAGTGGCAAAATCATTCTCACAAGGCTTAGGTGCTAACAATGCTCAGTGCCAATGGTTACCTCTTGGACCAGTTCTTGCACGACAATGTTAACGTCCGCACCGACGCTTACGGTGGGTCAGTTGACAAGCGATGCCGTTTCCCGCTCGAAGTTATCAAGTCCGTGACAGATGCAATTGGGGCAGATAAGGTCGGAATGCGACTGTCACCCTTCAATTATTTCCAAGACACCAAGGACTCTAATCCTACCGCGCACTGGTCATACTTGTGCGAACAGATCGCCGAGCTTCCTGAAGCAAACCGTTTGACATACGTCCACATGGTTGAACCTAGATTCGATGAGATCCTCGACGAGTCTGCTAAGCTGCTGTCTCTTCAGCAACCCACTACCGAAACATCGGTTGCTTCCAGGGCGAAGGAGAGCAAGCCGTCTTTGGTGGGTTTCCGAAACATCCTGCAGAAGGGTGGTGTTCAATTCGTGGCAGCTGGAAACTTCAACGCTGAGAATGCTGCACCCAAAGTCGAGTCTGGCGAGGCTGATGCGATCATCTTTGGCCGATGGTTCATTGCAAACCCAGATCTGCCCAGGAGACTTGCTGAAGGTCTACCATTGAATCCATATGACCGCACCACCTTCTACGGAGCCGACCCGCCCGAGAAGGGATATACCGACTATCCATTCTACAAAGATGCAGAAGCTGCAGCATGAACTTGATCAACTTGGCGGAGTGGGAACGATTGAGGCTTTGCATTTGCATATGGGATTCCCTGAGTCAAGGCGTGGTTCAAGCATAGAAGATATCCATAGGCATGGCAGTTCTAGATGGCATTTGCATAGATGTTGGGCATCTCATCAAGCCGGATCATTGATTGGCACAAGACTACCTCCTTGTACCACTAGACTGTCTATGTTCTAGGCGGGAATTGGCCTGCCACGCTCGCTTAAGGCCCATAGTGACCCCCCTCTTGAGCCGTGCGTTTCGTTACCTGTCCCCGCTGTCCTATGGCGAGCACCACAGAGAGTGTACGACCCCCACCCATATCTGGACTTGCCGGCTGGCTGTGTCGTGCTTATCTTTCCGTGACACGGCCCAAGGCTAATAGGCCATGATGGGCCGATAGTCCCTCGCCCCTCGTGATGGACCCCCTTCGCCCTGTACGAGTACAATTAAAGGCTGCCAGGTTCCCCGCTTAAGCTTCTCCCATGCTTGGACCCCTACCACCACTTTTCAAAAGTCGACTTCATTTCCCAGCTTCGAAAGTGGTGGCATATTGCCTGTCTCAGGCTCAGGTACTTGTTATTGGTCATCGAGTCAGGATTACCCAATGTCGTCCACTACAAGCACCAAGTCTAAGAAGTACATTTGCTCCCATGAAGGATGTGGGAAGGGGTTTACGAGATCGGATCACCTTCAGCGCCACGTCCTGAACCATGGTGAAGGCGACAGCACATGCACGAGATGTAGCCTGCACTTCAAGAGACCTGACTTGTTAGGTGAGTGCCATGGAACGTTGTGACTATTCCACAAGTCAATGAGGACTGATGACCTTATCTCTGCAGACAGACACATGGCCCGCCATCGGCAGAAAGATGAAGAGGCCGGAGGTGAAGGTCTTGGAGTCATCGAGAGCAGGAAGAAGCTCTGGAAAGACGCCAATGGCAACATTGTGAACAAGCGACCGGCTGAAGGTGAAGCGTGTCGAGCTTCGGCGAAGAAGCAGGCCACGGAACCAAATCATCCCAACCAAACAAGCTCAACGGTCCTCGTGGAGGGCTACAACCCCCAGGCGGGACTCCATGCTGAGCCACTTTCACCACCAAAGTCGATGCTGAGCGCCGAGTCCTTCGAGCTGTTCTCACATCAGTTGCCAGAACTGCCAGATGACCAAGATTTCATCGAACCCACGTCGGGACCTGATATGTTCGACTTCCTAGCCAATTCGTCATGGGGTTCCAGCTCGTCCAATTCTTTTGGCATGCAACCCGAGATATCGTTTGATGACATGTTCAACCCCGATACTGGTGAGTCAACAATCCAACAAGTTTACCATGACATATCTGACCAAGACCAGCAAGCTCTTTCAATATGCCATTCACGACGATGAACAATTACAATTGGTTGTTCGACCTCGGCGACACCACGCGAATGTCTATGTCGAATCCGCAGAACGTCAGCATGATGTCCGAAACACACGACTCGACGCGAGATCATCAGATGGATAACATGCAGTATCAGTCAACAGCGCAACCCACAGCCGACAAATTCGGACTGGACAATAGAACTACGTCTGCAGACACCATTTTCAGGCAACCAGCAGTCCCGCAACATTCGTCTTCAGATGCTTTCCAAGCGCCAGATGTCTACCATTTCAACTCAATGTCTGCCCCCAATGCCGGTATCGCGAGCACGGGATCTCCGTCGCCCGTCGAATCCAACAGATCTGGCAATCCTACGTCGGAAGTCGACTTTTCTCCGCCTACCACCACATCCCCAGACTCAATGCACACCCAAGCCGCAAATCCAGCCAACCCACACTCTTCGCTATTCAACATGCAAACACTCCCTCCAGCTCAACCTCGCCGATCGATGCCTACTATGGATGAAGTATCCCGCAACCAGATACTGGATCTCTTGGTGGCCGCTCGACCCAAGACACCCGAGGGGACCGAAATCTCTCGCGACCACCCACTTTTGTCCATCTCATCCATGCAAAACTACCTGGATCTTTTCTTCTCTCGCTTCAATGTCGCATACCCTCTTCTGCACCAAGCTACGTTTGATCCTTCCCAAACAGAGCCCTTGCTCTTACTAGCTGTTCTCCTTCTCGGTGCCACATACAGTGAGAAGGCTATCCACCGACTAGCCGTATGCATACACGACGTTCTGAGAGCGCAGATCTTTCAGCACACCGCTTTCTCCTCGACTCCGGAGCTGTGGATGCTTCAGACCATTCTGCTGGTCGAATGCTTTGGGAAGTCGAGAGCAGGCCAGAAGCAGCATGACATGGCCCACCTCTTCCATGGCTTGTTGATCAAGTAAGCCACTTCTCTTCCTCTCCTGCACTCGCCATCGCCCAATCTGCTAACCATCACGCAGTCTGATCCGACGAAGCGACTGCCAAACCGTAAGACAACCGAACCTTGGTGAAGGTTCCGGCGACCTGGAGTCGGACTGGCGAAAAGCAATCGACATCGAGCTTCGAAAGAGGTAAGAAACAAACCACTCTTGGACGCTGGACCACGGGGCTGATTAACAATAGACTCGCATTCCTTTGCTTCCTCTGGGACACGCAACACGCCGTCCTCTTCTCCCAGTCACTGTGCATGTCGTCATTCGAACTCCGCACCACCCTTCCATGCAACCAGAGTACATGGGAAGCCAGTTCCGCCGAGGAATGGTGGAAATACGCCAGAAAGGAGCCGCAAATCTCCTACCTCTCCGTCTTGAAAGCATACATGAACCCCGAGTCAAGTGCTCCGATCCCTCAGCTCAACGCTCTTTCTCGCCTGCTCGTCCTTCACGGCCTCATGTCCATCCAGTGGGACATGAAACGCAGGGACCAGACGTCTCTAGGTAAGCTTTGGACCCCCCCCCTCTCCTCTCTTTTCACCCCCACAACGTTCCCATTCATACTACTATACTAGTACTTACCCACACCCGCACAGGCATTGGAAGCGTCAATGGCTCTTCGCCCGACCAGCCACGCTGGCAAGACCGACTCTCTCAGTCATACGATGCCTGGAAAGCCGACTTTGACACCTACTGCATGAACATGACGCTGTCCCTCAACGACAACCCCAGCCGAAAAGCCGAATTCACCCGCTTCAGCACGGCCACCATCGCCATCTACCACGCCGCACACATCACGCTCAACGTCGAAATCCTCGACCTGCAAATCTACGCCGGCGCCCGACATATCATCGGCCGCCCCGTGACGCGGGCCGACTACGACCGCTCACGACGGATGCTGAAAGACTGGGCAAAGCCAGGCGGCGCCACGCCAGCCGCCAAAGCTGCCTGGCACGCGGCGCATCTCCTGCGCGACGGCATAATGAACCTCGACAATTGGGACGTCAACAACGCCTTCCATTACCCCTGGTGCTTGTACCTCTCCACGCTGACGTGCTGGGCGTTCCATTTCGCCAACGTCATCGACAAGAACGGGACGACGAACAACAACAACAACAGCAACAACGATCGGAACACGCCCTCAAAGAATTCCCATCTTGACAATGGCGGCGTCGATAACGGCATGGTCTGGCACGCAAAGTCGGAGATGAACGCTCTGGTCAGCAGCATGGCCAGCGTCATGCCTGAGAACCTGTGGCGCGGACTTGGAAAGTACTCGACTTCCGGACTGACTGCCGTAATGGCCAAGCACTTGAGCAACATCCGATGGGCGGTGGTGCATGAAGGCATGAAAGTGCTCAGAGGCCTCGTGCCGGAGCGGTGTATAAACGAGTATGAGACGTTCTTGAAGTAGACGACTTAGCCAATATGAAATTCAATAACGACGCAATACTAGTACTAGCATCTGAGTTTGACTCTCTTTCGATCTCCTGACCGTCAAATGACCTATCATCCTTCGTATAGCCGTGTCATGAGCACCAGCTACCATTGTTCCTCGCGTCCTCAAACACGAATTTCTCGGTAAGCCCCTGAACAAAGAGTTGCAGACGGTCTCCAACTTACTAGTCCGCACCTCTGTTGCTATTTATAGACTCGCTGGCAATTACTGGTGTAGTCGTCCATCTCCTCAGGTGAAATATCGCCAATTAGGCGACCTCTCCCCTTCTTGAAGGGAGTCGGTCTCAACATCTTCCGCCTTGATGACCACGCCTTGCTCCTTGTTCCGCCTAGCATTCTCACGCTTCATGTACAAGCCTAGTGCAAGCGTGAAGACGATGCAGGTAACATTACAGCAGCTCGTGGCGATCAGCGTCGGAATATATCTGTAGATAACCGTGAGCTTTACCCTTCGTAAACCAGTTAAGATAAAGTATTGCAGGACTCACCCTGGTGCATATTGGACTCTGAATGTCGCAGCAGAAATAATGCCTCCAAGGTTTCCCAAGCCGACCAGCAAGCCAGTTGTAGCCGCACGAGAGTTCTCTTCCAGATTGTTGTTATTGTGCCAGGAGTGGACAAGACAGCTAGGGATGTACGCCCCAGCCGCCATCAGGAAGCACGCAAAGTATGCGGCGCCCTTGTTCTCAAGAACATCAATCGCAGCGAGGATTATCATGCCAATCAGCGACAGACAGAGCGAGAAGATGATGTGGAACGTCCGCTCTCTGAAATAGTCCGAGGATTTGGTGACGCAGAGCAGGACCACGAAGCCAACACTGTTAGGCGCAACCGTCCACAAGTTAGTCTTGACCACGGAGTATCCCAGTCTTTCCACGATTTGGGGCAGGAAATTTGAGGTGGTTGAAAACGCAACAGGATATGTAAACGCAATGACGACCCAAAGCGCGAATTTCGGATTCTTCCAGGTCGCAAAGCAGGCCTTCAGGTCGAATTCCGAGTTGACCACCTTGGAAGCATCACGCAGATGTCGAGCTGTGGCAGCGGCTTTCTCGGCATCGTTGAGAAACCAGGCCGTGTCCGGACGACCTGGAAGCCAGAAGAAAGCGATGAAGGCCGTGACGACGGTCATCCCGCCCTCGATGATGAACAGCCACATCCATCCTTTGACCGAGACGTGGTTGATCTGAAAAACGCCGTATGAGATCAAGCCGCTGAAAGCTGCAGCCAGCAAAGCGCTGCCGAAGAAAATTGCAATTCTGAAACCGAGTTCTCCTCTGGTGTAGAATAGTGTCATGTAGAACACAACGCCAGCGAAGAACCCTGCCTCGAATATTCTGTTGCAAAGTCAGGATTTCGAAACGGTACGACGCCTTAGAGGCCTGAGCAGCAAGAAACTTACCCAAGGATCAATCGAATGGCCAGTAAGCCTCCGAAATCCTTCGCGGCACATTGGATCAAGGCCAAAGCTCCCCAGCCGAACATGACTGCACCTCAGTCAGTGTTTCCAAGGATCCCATTTAGCGAGACGATGTGAGACTGACGCGTGGGAAGCATAACCTTGCCAGAGAAGCGTTTGGTAAGAAGATTAAGGGGTAAATCGCAAAGTCCGAACGGGACATAGAACAGTAAGATTAGCAAAGAGTAGTCATTGCCAGTGAAGTGCAAGTCCTTGTCGAGGCCGTCGGTCTTTGCATTGCCCAGGTTAGATCTGGCGAGCGATCAACTAATGAAGTTGATATACCGCGAAGGTTCATAGCTATCAACAGAGTTGAAAAAATACATCAACGACAAGAAAGGCAACAGGTAGAAATCGAGTTTGCGGACTGCCAATGGATGTTAGTCGTGTCCTCTGTTCGAAGGAGAGGCAGCCACCGTAGGATTTCTCTGCGGCCCGGTCGGTAACAGGAGCCACCACCCCTGATTCGAGGTTTGGGTCGGCTCCCGACACGTAGATATCTTTCTTCTCCATAGTCGAAGCTCAAGCGTATGGGACAACAAGAGTTCCTCGCAAGCTGAAAGGCAAACTGAAAGGCAATGGCTTTGAGTTGAACCTCAAGATGTCTAACCTCACCGCAAACGATCTTTTCGACCAAGAGCCGATCACACACATATATATGTGCATATCAAGCTTCATATGTGCTCTCATGTCCGATGTGCAACGCCATTCTTCACGTGGAGAATGCCGACAGCAGAGCATCAGTTAGCGGTGACCACGACTCGCCATATCAGCCATTGAGGTGACATCGAAGCGGGCAAGCCTGAACCATCAGGGCTCTCGTGTCTCGTCTGTGAGCCCTTGCTTCAGAATGGAGAGTACATGTACGCGAGGTGATGTTCATGCAGACGCAGATGGAAACGGATAAGGTGCCACCACGATTAACGCGCCGCTGGAAGGCGCCGTGCAGATCATTGATAAGATTCTTATGGCATGCTAAGGCCTGTATCACTCCCCACTCTTAGCCTTGTAAGCCTGAGGATGCTGCCAAGTTTGATTTGGGAGCCGGCAATCGACCATCCATGCTTAAAGTACTAGTCAAGATTGGTTCGTCTCCGGGCAGTGACCCAAGCCTTCGACATTGAGAGAGGAAAGTGTCGGCATCGTTTGCCTTCTGGGCAATCTTGGGTTCTCACATCGACGGACATGTACGATACACGCCCCTGAGGGCCCCGAGATTGGACGACTCTATGGCGATGAAGCCGAGCAGTCTAGGCGTACCTGATGAACTCGTTGGCGGTGCAATGTCGTTCCTAAGCGCAGACACATACCAATAGTACGACCGTACAAGCCATGCTTGCTTCTTGGATACGAGCTGAACCCCAGTTTACTTCATATAACCCAGAGCTCTAGAGCACTAGATGCAATCAAGTACTTAAGGTTCAACAGCAAAGGAGAGTACCCATTGAACAGCTCATCAAGATGACCATAGCAAGCGCTCCCCCTATCCTAGACTTTTCACGTGAGTGCTCCTAAGTTGAATCGGAATGACTGATATCCCCTAACAGACTGTGTACAGCATTTTACGGAGACGATGAAGACGCCAAAGCGAAACTGGTCGCCGAGGTCAGAAAGTGCTGTCTGCATAATGGCTTCTTCCAAATTGTTGGCCATCGGGTGCCCGCCGGTTTGCAAGAAGGTGTACTCAAATGCGTCAAGAAGTTCTTCGCTCTTCCACAAGAAGAAAAGGAGCTCGTGCTGAAGGGTGAGTGTTCCTGATAACATTTCGGTGCCTTATCCTTTGACGGTATCAGAAAAGAATACCTGGAACAGAGGGTATGAAAAGATCGGATCCCAAATTCTGGAGCCAGGTACGGCACCCGACCTGAAGGAAGGCTTTTATATTGGAGAGGAGATCCCCAAGGACCATCCATACTTCGTGCAGAAGAAACTCAACAGCGGACCGAACTTCTGGCCCGAAACAATCGAGAACGTCGAAGAGTTCAAGATGACTTGTATGTCGTACTACAAGGCTATGCACGCCCTCGCCAGGGATGTTCTTGTCGTCATTGCGCAAACCTTGGACCTCGATCCAAGTTACTTCAAGGATTTCACGACAGACGCAGTCGCAACGTTGAGATTCCTGCATTACCCTCCGCAACCGGCCGATTCGGACGAGAAGATCTCGAGGGGTATCGGTGCTCATACTGATTTCGGATCAGTCACCCTTCTCATGCAAGACGAAGTAGATGGCCTTCAAGTCTATGAGAAGAGCACAAACGAGTGGCTTGACGTACGTCGGCAAGCTTGGCACCTTGCATTGCCTACTACTATTGCTGACCTTTTCCGTGCAGGTCGTGCCTACAAAAGGCGCCTATGTGGTCAATCTCGGAGACATGTTTATGCGCTGGTACGTTTCTGGCGGCCTGCTCTTTACTCCGGTTGCTGACGCCTTTGGGAACTCAGGTCGAACGACAAATACATCTCCAATACTCACCGAGTCATCAACAGGTCGGGGAAGGAGAGATACTCGATCCCGTTCTTCTACAGCGGTAATCCAGACTACGTTGTTGACTGCTTGCCCAGCTGCCGCAAGGAGGGCGAGCGGCCCAAATACCCTCCTATCACTGTTGAAGGGGCGGTGGGCGGAAGCTACAAGAAGAGCTATGGAGCAGCAGAAGCTTTCAAGAAGACAGCCTCCAGTACGATCTCGGCTATGTCAGCGCCTGTGGCAGCGTGAGGCAATACGTAACAAGGCTGTTATTGAGGAACAATGAAAATTTCCCCTTATTCTTTGCACTTCGCAAACCTCAAAGATGTACGTGAATTGTCATTAAGAATACGATCTACTGGTGTATGCAAATCTCGGAACTCATGCCTTCAAGAATCCACCATAGTACATGTCCAACCATTGCGCAGCAGCGGCGCCATCGCCCTTTCCGTCAAACCGTCCAACACTGCCAACATAGCCGTCTGGTCGAATATTGACGATAGCCACCTCATCCTGCCCGATTTCACCCAGCCACTTCTCCGTACATGACTTTCCAGCCTTCTGATCCTTCAGATCGTCCATGTAGAACGTCCATCGACTCTTCTGCAGTAAGCTGGGCAGATCCGCAATCTCAACTGTGGATTTCTGCATGGTCGTCACCGTCGCAAACGTGAACAGGTGTGATGCTGCCGTGTACCGTCCCGGCTGAATGAAGTTATCAGCCTCGACAGGAGGAAGGTTCAATTGTGCATATGACTTGGCAGCTGCCGCAGTGGATCGACCGAGTATGGAGTTGCTTGACGAGATGTGACTGCAGACGGCGTTCAAGAAGGGCTTGGCGGAATGGACGTTGGGCACGAAAAAGTACACACGGAATTGACCGAGCATGGGTATGTCGAGCTGGACATCGACGGGATTGGCGTCGATGTAGCGAGTGACCTGCGCAGGAGGCATGAGCTCGCCGGCCCGTAGAGCTCCTCGAGGCGCCTTTTCTGGGTAGTTGAGGACATTAGCGGCGTACTTGACACCAACGCCGGAGATGAAGCCGACGTTGGTGGCGAAGTTGTCGGCTAGAGCTTTCGAATCGCCATCAGCAAAGGCAGCAGCGTGCTCGAAGTCGAAGTTGATCAGGTCCTGGGCGATCTTGCGTCGTTCGTGCTGGTAGGTGGACAAGAGATCCGGTGTTGCGAGCCCACGGATGGTCAAATTGAGTTTCCAGGCCAGGTTGAAAGTGTCGTGCATGGATGTGTTCATGCCTTGAGCGGCTTTGGGTGAATGAGTATGGCCAGCCTGGAAACGGTCATTAGCTCGGGCTCCCGTGCAAAGATATCAAATACTCACATCGCCCGTGATGAACACACGGTCGTTCTCGGCTGAGAATGTGCTGGCTACTCGTTGGCCGACTTTGTAGACGCTGAACCATTCTGAAAAGCCAAGTCGTTAGTACTTGGTCGGGCTAGCATGGTAGTGCGAACAAGAGAAACTTACCGACAACTGTCCATTCGACCGAAAATGGTGCCATAATGGCCCGAGCTTTCTTCATAACGTAGTCTTGTGTTGCTTCCGTGGGCACGCTGTCTTGCAGATTTCGGTCCAGCTCGATGTAGAGTCTGGTCATGTTGCGTTCTCGGGGAATGCAAAGGACAGTGCCTTCGGTTTCCGAATGAATGACGACTTTGCTCCATAGGTCGGGGAAATCAGTCTCGATCACCCCTGGCAAAGATTAGTACGGCATTTATAAGACGGCATAGTCAGCTCCATACCATCAAGGACACCCCATTTGGAGTTGCTGCTCTCTCCGACCATCTGGGCACCGGGAATACTCTTCCGGACATTGGAATGTGCTCCATCGCATCCGATGAGGTACTTGGTCTTGAACGACCGACTGGAACCGGTCTTTGTATCATGGCAAATAGCTTCGATCGGCGCATCAGGATCGTCTGTCGCCACATAACGTTGGAACGGTGAGCTTCTCGTGACTTCGATGCCCCTTTCTTTAATATCCTCAATGAAGATGTCTTCGACCATTCCCTGGTGAACAAGGAGAATGAAGGGGTCCTTTACATCCAGCTCGGAAGGATAGTGTATCTCCCTCCTTGTGCGGTGTAGAGGTTTGGTGACCGTTGAACTCTGGAGGTACATCAATCAGCACTCATTGCATCAAGATGCCAGCATTTCCCAGCATCAAGACAAGTCATTTTCCTAGTTGACACCCATCCTTCGAGGTCCTTCGGGGTTAGGAGTTTCGAGCTTAACGACTTACCCAGAAACAGATATCGTAGATCTTAACACCCTTGCGCAGGAGTGAATCCGCGAGCCTTAACTGCTTAAAGGTCTCAATGGTCTTTGGTTGCAGACCATCTGCCCTCCCCGTCGACGTCTTGTCATCTCTGTCATCAACGATCCTAGCCTTGATACCATACCGAGCCAGGTTCGATCTAAACCACTGTCAGTCGCCCAACGTCTGGATAAGTTGTTGGTAATCCGTACCCAAGCATTAACCCGGCTGGCCCACCACCAACGATGACAGCATTTTCCACCTCGCTGTCAAATCCATTGGTATGGCCGTTGACCTTGGCCTGGACATCAAAGCCTTCGTTATCTGCGCCGGGTGACATTGTCGGCGAGACTTGAGATCGAGTGCGCTTCATTAGCTGGTTGTCAATGGAACTTTGGCCGGAATCCGGGTGTTTAAGAGCGAGCCTTGCAAACGTGGGCCGTGGCGACGAGCATGCCTTGTCAGGTGACTTTTGGCCAGAACATCCGATGTGAGCCTGTACCACAGTAGGCGAGAGGTGCCGGGGTGGACTGACTAGCTAGCTCTCAGCAGATGTTGTTGGCGTTCTGGACAATACCACAAGTTAATCCCCCACTCTTCTCGAGATTTGTGTCTTACAAAGAAAATGCAAAGGGACGTGCGAGCAAAAGAGCAAAAGCCGATAAGGACGGACATCACCTTCGAAATCCACCAATCACATCACCTGTAATTCTCCCAGCCTCGTACTGTGGTACGAACCTTTGAACGTCGTTGACGACGAGCATAGACACGTGTGATTAACGGACACGAGGCTGAGCGCAATCCTTCGCACGCGGAGTAAAGAGCCATTGCGGTATCGTCTGGCTAGGACATCATAGCATTTGAACAGGTGTAACAATGTCAGCTAGACCCTGGCAGGATGTTGTCCGAGAAAAGTGCGACATCCGACAAAAGCTGGTTGAACCCTACTTGACCAACGTCAACGGTGAGCGAGCGGTCGCCGACACTGTCCTGAGTATCAATAATGTAGACGACCTGGCCAGACTTCTGGCAAGTGGAAAGGTCACAGTGCACGATGTTACCGCCAGTTACATCAGAAGGTAAATGTCCTCGGCCCCCGAGGTGATCAAGCTGCTGAAAAAAAAAACGCCACAGGGCCGCAGAAGCGCATCAGCAGGCCAGTGAAGCCACCTTTATCAACCATCATCATACTGACAGGCCTCTAGACAAACTGTCTGACAGAGGTCTTCTTCGACGATGCCATGAAAGAAGCCGATAGACTCGATCAGTATTATCAACAGCAGGGAAAATTGATCGGACCTCTTCATGGAGTGCCCATCACGCTCAAGGACCAATTCGATGTCGAAGGTGTCGATTCGACGATAGGATACGTCGCGAGAGCTTTCAAGCCCGCTGCTAGGGATGCTGCCATTGTTCAAATCCTGAAATCTCTCGGGGCAATCATCATAGCAAAGACGAACCTTCCTCAGAGTATCATGGTACCTAATGGTCCTCTGTTGCCTCCTGAAATACTCACTAACATGTATAGTGGTGTGAAACCGAAAATCCTCTATGGGGTCTGACAACGAACCCTCGAAATCCAGCATTCACCCCTGGAGGCTCGACAGGAGGCGAAGGTGTCCTGCTCGCTCTGAAAGCATCCATGATAGGCTGGGGCACGGATATAGGAGGTTCGATACGAATCCCATCTCACATGAACGGGCTCTGGGGATTAAAGCCAACCGTAAGCTCTCGCTCGCTCAAGTCGTGAGACTTGCTTACTGACAATTCCCTTTTTTCCATCAAAAAGAGCTCTAGACTGCCATACATGGGCGTCACGGTATCGACAGAAGGACAAGAACATGTACCTTCGTCTGTTGGGCCGATGACGAGAAGTCTCTCTTCTCTAGTCACCGTCATGCAGAACGTCATTGATGCCCAGCCCTGGGTGTTAGATCCCAAAGTCACGCCTATCCCGTGGCGACAAGACATGTACGAACAAGTCCAGACAAGGCCGTTAACTATAGGCGTGCTCGTAGACGATGGTGTTGTAAAAGTGCACCCGCCGATTGAAAGAGCGCTGAAAGAGCTGCAGGCGAAACTCAAGGCTGCAGGACACGAGATTGTCCAATGGAATTGTACCGGACATAAAGAGTGCATTGAAATAATGGTAAGTGTGCACCAAGAGAAGCCTCTATTACTTCCCTTCACTCACAAGAAATCAGGACCTCTTCTACACAGCCGATGGAGGTGAGGACATCCGTAGAGAAGTCCAAGCTGGAGGCGAACCCTTCATACCACACGTCGAAGCGCTCATCAACCGGGGGAAAGCAATCTCAGTCTACGAATACTGGCAATTGAACAAAAGGAAGATTGCTGCCCAACAAGCATACAACGACAAATGGAACCTTGCGGTAGCTCCCGACTCTGGGCGGACGGTCGACGTTATCTTGATGCCTACGATGCCTCATCCAGCAGTGCCACACAAGACGTGCAAGTGGGTAGGCTATACCAAAGTATGGAATTTTCTGGACTACCCGGCACTTTCTTTTCCAGCTGGACAAGTCGAAGCATCCAAGGATCTGGCCGGGCCGCCAGAGTACGAGCCTCGAAATGATTACGATGCCTGGAATTGGAAGCTCTACGACCCAGAAACAATGGACGGGCATCCGGTCGGTCTACAGATTGTAGGTCGTCGGTTCGAAGAAGAAAAGGTCTTGGGAGTCGCTGCTGTGATAGAGAAGCTTATGAAAGCATAGAAATGTCGTCTCATCTGGAGGTCTACTCAAACACATTCCATAGACATGGGCTTTAGATCTAAACCGACCACTATGCCATCCTCCTTACGCTATGCTATTCCGGATTTGTGACTGATGTTGGACTATTCATTGCCTACCACTTCGTAACACCTCCGTCCACACAGACATCCTGGCCCGTCATGTACAAACTGGCATCACTCGCCAAAAACACACATGCACCTCTAATATCATCTGGCTCAGCGACTCTCCGGTTCATAATCTCATCCTTCCAGCTTTCCAGCAAGTGAGGAAACTTACCAAGAATTTGTCAGCTATTACGCTACTAGCACCAACGGCAACAGCAGTTCCACTTACCGGAGCAGTCATTTCTGTCCTCACATATCCAGGAGATATCGAGTTGACTCTGATACCCTACGCGCGCACGTCAGCCGGCCGGTTGCTTGACAGTCCCCGCCAATCAACAAAACTCACATATGGCACCAACTCAGCAGCAATGGCAGGACACATGGCTCTCACAGCACCCTTTGTACCGCAATAAGCGCTGCTCATTTGACTTCTGATAGCCATGTAGCTGGCAATGCTGGCGACCAGAACGATGCTACCACATTTGGTCTTGTTCTCGATCATCTGCTTGGCGGCCAGCTGTGCCGTGTGGTAGACACCCATGACGTTGACGCCCAGAAGCTGTTGATGTTGCTCGAACGAAGTATCCAGAAACGCGAGGTTCTTGTTGATGCCGGCAGTGGGCACGCAAATGTCCAGTTTGCCGCCAAAGTCGGCCTTGAAAGCAGCGAATCCTTTTTCCAGGCTCTCCATGCTGCTGACGTCGACCCTATCCCGAGATTAGCGTTTGCAGCTGCAATCCAAGTGATCCTGGACTGACTTGTAGTGCTTCGTCTTGACATTGAACTTCTTCTCGATGTCAAAGAATGCCTCAACCGGGTCAATCACGTCGAAGATGGCGACATCTGCGCCTGCTTCCGCAAGACCCTCGGCAAAGGCAAGACCACAGCCTCGCGCACCACCAGTGACAAGTGCCGTACGGCCTTTGAGTGAGAACTGCCACCATCAGAACTCCAGTGCAAGGGCCTTGAATGATTGATGGCACTTACCCTGCTCATTTTCGATATCACGTGAAAGGCTGTTTTCCAAGGGTGTTGTTCTTGTTCTTGTTCAGTCTCTTCTGGGGGTCCTAGGTAAGATGAAGCCAAGTTCGAATATCCTGCTCAAGGTTGGTTTAGATGTCAAACGGGCAAAGATGCACGACTTATTCGCTACAGCCTTTCCCGTTGCGCTCTGGCGACGTTGACGAGGCGATTACTCGGAATCGATTTCTGACACTTCCCAGTCGCTGGCGTTGACAAGCACAGTCCCCATTTTTGACGAGATACTGTTTGGTCATAGGATGGCACCGGCAACCCTGCATGAGGCCTATGGAATCAAACGGTTAGCCACCTCACGACCCATGATGACCCCCATCAACCCCCAATTCCCAAGGGCCTCCGGGCATGGACAGCTCTCGCCAGAACGGGCGTCCAATTCTCGACCAGTAACTTACACTCCGTAAGTGACCATTATTGTCGCCCAAATCCGCCCACCTTCCTCTCTGCTACCATTCCATTTGTCACCAGGCACCCACTCAGCGTCGTTTCCATTCGCATCAAGAAGATGTCACTAACCTGTCCTTATCGAAAGCAAATGGTCAAACGTCCACTTTATGCACGAAGGCCTAGCTGATTGGTCAGTAGTTCCTGCGTATTCCTCCCTCCAACGGTGATGGCACCACTATCGACATGCCGGGGCGTCAGTCAGCTTCTTATCGTTGGGCAAAGGCTACGGTCTACAAGAAGTCTCTCAAACTGAAGGCAATAATAAAGTAAACACGGTCCATTGTGAGCACGACATCGAACCGAACATACTAGTACTGGGTCGGAGAGATTATATTCCTAGGTAGTACTATCCAGACCAGGTTCACTGACCAAAATCCAACCACCATGGGCAAGAAGCGCGTCCTCGTCAGCTACGGTGTCGACATCGATGCCGTCGCCGGCTGGCTAGGTTCCTACGGTGGTGAAGACTCGACCAGCGACATCAGCAGAGGTAAGAACTCTCCTCTCCCTCTTAGACCTACCCTCGGGACCTCCCATTGATGCTTTTCGTTTTGTTTCAAAGGCCTCTTCGCCGGCACCCACGGCACGCGCCGGCTCCTCAAGCTATTCGAAAAGTACAACATCAAAGCGACATGGTTCATCCCGGGCCACTCTCTCGAGACCTTCCCCGAAGAATGCGCCATGGTCCGCGACGCCGGCCACGAGATCGGTCTGCACGGCTACTCGCACGAGAACCCGAGCGACATGACCTTCGAGCAGCAACAGGACGTCCTGGACAAGACGTTCCGTCTGCTGACAGACTTCTGCGGCAAACCGCCGCGAGGCAGCGTCGCGCCGTGGTGGGAAGTCAGCGAGGCCGGCACGGAGCTTCTGCTGTCCTACGGGATCGAGTACGACCACAGCATGGGCCACGAGGACTGCCAGATGTACTGGCTCCGGACGGGCGACACGTGGACCAAGATCGACTACTCTAAGAAGGCCGTCGACTGGATGAAGCCCCTGGTCAAGGGCAAGACCACCGGATTGGTCGAGATCCCTGGTTCGTGGTATATTGACGACCTCCCGCCAATGGTAAGCCCCTTAACAAGTCCTCCGCGGTGTCAGTGGCTGGACCGTGGACGTTTTTTGAACCCTGGCTGACCACTCATATCTGCAGATGTTTATGAAGAACTCGGCCAACAGCCACGGGTGGGTCAACCCTCGAGACATCGAGGACATCTGGAAGGTATGCAATCCACTACCCCCGTTTTGCAGCGCGTATGCTCATTCGCCGCGCTTCCTGCAGGACCACTTCGACTACTATTACCGCGAATTCGACGAGTTCATCTTCCCCATGACCATCCACCCGGACGTGTCTGGCCGACCGCACGTCCTGCTCATGCATGAACGGTACGTTTTCTCAGTTCCCCTTTCCCCCAAGTGGCACTACACTATCGTCCTCGTACACTACCATCCTTGCTAACAACTGTGTAGAATCATCGAACACATCAACAAGCACGAAGGCGTTGAGTGGGTGACGATGGAGCAAATGTGCGACGACTTCAAGAAGAAGAACTCACCACCCGAAGGGGCGATGATGCCTGCGCCGGCGGGAGAAATTTTGAAGCAGCCTCCACGGAATTGAAATCTAAGATACTCTACCTTAATATGTGGGCGTCGTCAAGATAGTAGCATGAATGAATCTAGATGACAACAACCATAAATGAAGCAGTGCTTGAGCCTGATCGTACTACAAAGTGTTTCGAAAAGTGTCAGCGGCAGCCCTGGCAACCCTGGCTTCTTAGTCAGACAAGGCTGCAGAGGTGAACATAGTACTTCCTCCAGACCTAGACTTGTTCTTTGTTCTCCTCTACACCTGTCACGCACGCTACGACAGCAACGATCTCCGTATGTCGTCGTACATCGTTTGAAAGCCAACTCTCTTTGGAGCCCCTGCCACTGTGTTAGTGGTTCCACCGTGAGCGTTCCTTGTCACCCCCATCCTTGGTCTCGACATCCCCCACCCTAACAATCCCTCCCGATTTTTGTGCCATGGCGACGCCAAAATCGATCACCCATCGAATCTATCCAATCCCTGCAAACTCTGATCGAGACCCGCGATAAGCCCATCATCCCATATGTAAGTCCAACCTTCAAACTCAAATGCCGACAGGAGCATCAGACTTGGTCGGCAATACCCCGTATCAGTAGGATGTTAGAATTCGAATCTGCCTCGTAACACTGACTCACTCGAGTCAGACAATCGTATGAGGAAGCAACTTATACTTGACTATTGGAGATGCGTATCTCCAAAGTTACTGGCATTGTACCGTAGCATTGGAGTGTGGCGACACTCGTACATCGATTCACATGCTGGGTCATATCATCACTGCAACAGCAAGCAGGTGAACGCTCATAACTCCGACGCGGTGCTGTCGACTACATGTCGCTGATTGCTTCGTCAGGAGAAGTCCGTCCAACCAAAGAATGAGTATCCATCTTCAAAGTCTGCGACTTGTTGCTCTCGTGAACTTGATAAGCGTAGAAGATGAGGCATTACTACTCATCTGTCAGTCAAGAGCGTGAAAGCCAGCGCGTAATAATCGGCAGCTGGTCACCGTGAAGATTTTCTGTACAACATCAAACAGGTTGGACGTCATCTGTGGGACGAGTCAATCGAATTGTCCAACCACTAACTCACTTCTCAACCTCAAGACAGCGACGAGCGATCAGAAAGGGACAGCAGAGCACGATTGGGGAATTTCCGAGTCTGCAAACGAAACGTTCGGCTGGTCGGGCAATCGTCAGAATGTCTACATCACCCATACCTATCAGGACGCCGCTGCGACGTGAGGCCTCCACGCAATTGAATATTATCATCGTTGGCGCCGGATTAGGTGGAGTGGGCGCTGCAATCGCTCTGCTTCTTGCTGGACATAAGGTCACGATCCTTGAAGCGGCCTCTGAGATTGCAGAGGTCGGTGCAGGTATTCAATTGCTTCCGAACAGCTCCCGTGTTGTCCAATCCTGGGGTATGCGGGAACGCCTTGAGAAACATGCGACCAAACCCTCACGAATCAACGTACTTGGCTGGAAGGGCAATTTGATCTCGCACATGGATTTCCACGAATCGGCAAGCGCGTATCCAGGCACCTTCTACTGGGATTTTCACCGAGCGAACTTGCATAAATGCCTGCTTGAACGAGCAGTTGAACTTGGCGCTGAGATCAAAGTGCAGTCGCGAGTGGTGGATGTGAGAATTGCCGGTGTTGACGCTGAGACCGCCACTGTCGTCCTTGAATCGGGGGACGAATATGTGGCGGACCTCGTGATCGGAGCCGACGGTATCAATTCGCGTCTCAGGGAAGTCTTGCTCGGTCGCTCTGATCCACCTACACCGAGCGGCGATTTGGCTTACAGATTGCTCTTGTCGACGGAACAAATGCTGAAGGATCCCGAGTTGGCACCTTTCGTAAAGGAGCCGCAGGTCAATTATTGGCTCGGACCGGATGCGCATGCGGTAAATTATGTGCTTCGAGGCGGTAAGCTGTTCAACATGGTGCTGCTGGTGCCAGATGACATGCCTGTTGGAAGTGCCAACACTCTTGAAGGTAACGTGGAAGAAATGCGTGCCTTGTACAAGGACTGGGACCCACGGATACCATCCCTGCTATCATTATGTGAGTCGGTATACAAATGGCGCTTGCAGACCCATGTGAGCAAGGATCCGTGGACTCACCCATCTGGCACGTTTACCATGCTCGGCGACGCGGTCCATGCCACCTTGCCATATCTGGCCTCGGGAGCCGGAATGTGCCTCGAGGACGCTGCTGTACTTGGTGAGTTGTTCTCACGAGCACCAAATCCAAGGTCTCCAACCGTAAAGCAGCAGCTGCTTGAGATATACGAAAATTGTCGAAAGGAGAGGACTGCAATGATCGTGGAAAGGGGCAACTTGCAGCAATATCTGTACCATCTGCACGATGGACCTGAGCAAGAAGAAAGAGACCGCAAGATGATTACGAAGGAAGAAGGTGAGGCATTGGCTTGGAGAGACTCGGGTCTGGCACCGAAGTTGTTAGGTTATCAGGTTGAGAAAGATGTGAGTAGTGGATCTCGAACACTCGTTGCTGTGGACTGACATGGAACAGGTGGACCAATATTGGCCTCCAATTTGTCTGCAAGATCCGCAGTCCTCTGAGAAGAGTCCCATTCAAAGTCACCTATGAATGCTGAAGTATGGTCTCCAGGTACGCACCAACGGAAGACGCCACGCTGTTACCCATCACCTCTTGGCTGCCTGGAAGAGTCGAGTTCGGACACAGTTGAAGTGCTCTGCAGCTCACTTCGTTCCCGGTGATCTCGATGGGTTGTCGTGGCATTGGGATCACTCTGCATGAAATGCCGGTGTACTGGACTGCCTTCCAATTCAGAGAACGCCGGTGATGTGTGGTGTAACGCCTCATTAACTGATAATTCGGCCTGGTCGAACCCGTTCTGCATGGGACTGGGCTGTTGCTGTCCTGGATGTGGACCTCCTTTGGTTGGCATGTCTTTTCTTTTGTACTGCCAGATGGAAAACGCCGTAGCGAGTGTCAGCAACCCAGCTCCTCCAAGCCCAGCTCCTACACCTATTCCGATCTTGGCATTGGCCGAAATACCCGAACCAGAGCCCGACGGTGGCGCGGTAGAGGAAGGTGGGCTTGTTGTCGACGTTGTGGTGGTGGTGGAGGAGGAGGAGGTGGAGGATATGGAGGATGTGGTTTCTGAGATTGGCGTTCTGCTGGCGGTCATGGATACAGAGGTTGTCTGAATGGAGGGACTTTGCGACTGAGAAATAGTGGTCGCAGTTGTCCGCTGAGGCGGGGGAATCGATGGTTCAGGACTCACAGAGCTCGAATTTGATTGAACGATGCCCGTGCTTAGAGGAGAACCGATAAGTGTGATCTTTGATGTAGAGACGCAGGATGTCATTGACGGCGGCCACGGCCACAGGGTGGTAATCAGCTCATCTTGCGTCAAACCCATCAGTACCTCCTGCAGGGTGACGACGGAACAGTACTCACTCGTCCCATACGCGTAAACCCAGGCTTCCACCGCTCCGACATCCTCACATGGACACAGTTGTCCGACGCAGTAATAAACTTGTGTTTGTGTCGAATTGACGCACTCTTCAAAGGTTCCTTGACCGCCTTCATAACAAGTGAGGATGTAATTGGCACATGTCGATTGCTGAGATATCATCAGTAGCTGCAGTGGACTGGCAGAGGTGACCTTACAGCACAGGCTGGAAGGCTGTGGATGTCGTCGGGACTCGATGAGGATGTTTGCCAGACAAGGGAAAAGCTACAGATGAGAAAAACCAGAAATCGACGACAGTCAAACATGGTGAAGAAGGGTAGGGTCCGCTGTCAGGATGTCATTGTGGTGGAGGGACCATGAAGATGCCGATGATGACCTTGAGCTCGAGTCTTCAGGTCGATCATACGAAATGATAGATGCATTGGAACTGGGGATGAAATGATGATCTTGCCGGAGGGAATAAGTGAAGCTCAAATTTGGTCAAATTTGCCTGCACCTTGACGATAACGTCAATTCAAGAACGCTTTGTAGGAAGGCGCAATGCAATTCCAAATTCTGGTAACACAATCGCATCAAAGACGTCAAATATATTGTCCCTCCTAGTGGTTAACGCGGTGCGTTCAAAGACCAGGTACTGTACCTTTTCTCGTCCAGGCTTACTGATGAGGCAGGGGAACGATAGTCTTGGAGACCTGGTCCAACATCGCCTTCGCCTTTGCAGATGCGTCAAAACGCGTCGCCCTCTCCCAATCATTGGAACAAGTGGAGGAGACAGTTAAGGTCGAGAACCAAAAAACAGCCGTACAATGCTTGTTCAACGATGAAGTCGCCTGAATAATCACATCTTTGGTAACTCGTTGAAGCCTGAATAAACCATCGACGGCAAGGCATGAAGAAGATGAAGTCTGAAGCGATCGATGGTCGAAGAGATTTTCCTCCGCCGTCGGTTCTCCGCGCTTCGGCGAACTCCTATGTCTACAAGTTTCAGGGTGACGCGCTGATTGGCTCTTCGCTTATCGTATCATCGAAAAGAACAGACAAAAACAAATCTCAGAGTCCTGGGTGATGGACGCCTCGAGCCAGTATAAGAGCACCGAGGAGCTTATGAACGCCGACCTTGATCATACATAGCATAACCAAGGTAGGGTTGCTGACCGTAAGTCGAGATGTCGCGAGCACAAGAAATTGCAACAGCACTGCTCTCCGCAACCGAGCACTCAATCGTCCCTCTCACTGCCAAACAAGTCTCACAAGGCTCGAAGCTCTTCGGTGCTGCCATCCTTGACAAGGCATCGTTGTCCACAGTGCTTGCTGAAACCAACAACGAGCGAGAGTCACCGCTACTGCACGGCGAGATAAACTGCATCCAGCAGTTCTTCAAGCTCCCAAAGGAAGGGCGGCCGGAGACCAAGGATTGCATATTCTTCGCGGTGAGTGCACCACGGAACGATCACAGGAAATGGGGACTTATTGCGGACACGTTACCATCACATTGTACCTTATGGTTCTTGAGGCATGCTGACGATGTGAAACGACCATAGACCCATGAACCGTGCTCATTATGTCTAAGCGGTATAACGTGGTCTGGCTTCAACGAGTTTTATTACATGTTCACCTACGAAGACAGCCGAGATCTCTTCGCCATTCCTTGTGAGTCTTCCACACTACCCAATTGCATTGCGCTTGATTGAACTCAGATCAGATGATATCGACATCCTGCAATCCGTATACCAAGTCCCATCACCCGGCGACACCGCAGAGACACTAGCAGCTAAGCCTTTGTACAACCGAAAGAACAAATTCTTCACCGCACAATCGTTGGGCCAGCTGATTGATGCCGTCGAGGACGAATCAGCCAAATCCGAATTGAAAAACGAGCTTCAGCGGGTAAAACAGCTATACGATCAATTGAGCGCCACGTATCAAGAAGGGAAGCAGGGTGGCACCGAGTCCAGCAGCTTCTTCAAGTGAGCTGTGCATGCTGAGAAAGGAAAGCTCCTCTCACAGAAATCGACCGGCCGAGTTCCTATCATGCACGCATGTCGATATCGATTGGATGGCCGCCGGATGACTTTCCAAGGAGGAAAAGCCCGATCCGCAAAAAGACGAATTGTCTCAATGTCAGTGCCAGTGTATCATGAGGTACTCAAAGATCATAATCGACTATGATCTCATTCTCTCAATGTCTCAATATTTCATAAATATCCCTGCAATCCCAGCAACCCTGTTCCGCTCCCTCCCTCTTCCTCTGTCGAATTGGAAGTTCAACCCTCCACTGGCCCTTCTTTTCCCATTCCCAATTCCATCCGTTCCCTCCAACCCAACGGACGTCCTCCCACGACTCGCCATCCCCACTGCCGCATGCATTGTTCGGAGCGGCGAAAACTCCCTTACTCGTCAAGCAGGCTCATGCGTCACGGCCTCAATATTATGTCCGGCCGGACTGATCGCAAACGCCCCGTAGTAATTCGGATGATACATGGCCCTGACCCCCGGCGCGCCATGATCCGTCCCGCCGGCCTTGACAGCCGCAGCATGGAATGCGTCGACGTCACCACGGTCTGCCGTCAATATGTCTCCAAGTTAGCTGATTTCTGTTTCCTGTCTCCCACTACTTCAGGTGGGTACTAGTACTCCCCGGTTGTATCTGGGTGTTCGCCTCCTCGCAATCGAGTCTCTCCCTCTTTTCACTTTCCACTTTGGCGAGTTAAGAGGGACAATTGTGGATACGTACCTTTGGCCGTCACCGCCAAATGCACGGTGGAGATCTGCACGTCGTCCTCGACCTCCTCGCGCGTGCTATTATGGAGACCGGACACCCAGAGCCAGGGGCTATCAGTACCAAGCCCGACAACACCGGGCCCAAAACGTATCAACTCCTTCAGACCCATGTGTCCGAACGCGGCGACGAGAAAGGCGACTTCGGCGCCGACTTTGCTGAAGTGGCATGGCAGGGAGACGTGGTCGACTGGTGACATGTTGAACGTGAACGTGAACGTGAACTTGACCCTTTGAGCAAAATACTTTACTTTACTAACTCAGGTACGTACTAATAGTACTCGCTGGTTTGTTGCTTCCTGCGGGTAGTACTGGAATGTGACTTGTTCGAGGTTGGAGAAGACGACTGAGGTGCATAGAACTGGACGTTAGGTAGGGATGCTGGGAGGATCTTTATATCTCTCATATATCTCTCATCCCAGACCAAGTCCAAGCCCAAGTCGGGCTCCGCTCTACTCCCCTCGTTCCCGAACGAAGCACGAAAAGCCCGCTACAATCCCTGGCTGCCAGCACCTACGGTAGCTCCTTACATACTAGCTACTTGGCTACTCAGGCAGCACTCACAGTGTGTGCCTACTACCGCTCATTTCCCGCCATACAGTTTATCTTCATTACTTGCACATCAGTACTTACATGCGAGCATCTGCACGACGTTCGAGTCCATCACATGTCATCGTGTCATCTTCGCGTCTACTATGTACCGATCTTTACCATGTTCGTGTCTAGGCCAGGCAACAGGACGCCTCGGGAGAACGATACTGGTCGGACACGCATTGGTGCCTGGGTCGCCAAGCCACCCAAGCTTGGGGCTCGTATCGAGGAACTTGGGTACTTACCTAGGTAGTATAGTGTGCGGTGGTTGTGTCGGATCTCAAATCATCCGGGCGAAAAGTTTTGCACGAGAATACGAAGTAAAGATTCAGGAAACTGCCCGCGGAAGATGGAGCAGGAACACGAGAGTAAGGTGATGTGGAACCATATCCTTCACCAATTGGCCTCCATACGGTACGGGATACTTGGTGAAGGACCCGCAAGCCCCGAGCACGCTTGGCAATAATAAGACCAGGCAAGCCAATGTAGGTAGGAAGCCAAAATGTAAAATGTAGGGTTTGTCGTCCCAAGGATCAAGGAACGGCTACTATTACTGGACCACTTGGACCGCCTGCAAAAGGGCAACATCAGCGCGAAGCGAGACATCACACCGTGACATATGTAGAGTCCATAGGATTTGCTGGTCTCATCGACGAAGAGCCATTGAATAGTAACATCAAAACGCGGAAGACATGTTCGTATGATCTTCTTATCAATATCTGAGGCAAATCCACAACGGCACATGGTCTCCCAGGACCGCTGGACTTGACATTCACAACTTGACTCTCCTGACAATCCTCCTTGCCCAAGGATGAGCATCACCCCTGTAGACGAAGCGGTCGATCTCGGCAGTATTCAGCAAACCAGGATGCGCCTGATCCAGCCTCGTGATTCCAACCATCTGCATCGCGGTCTCGAGTTCATCTTTGAGAACTATATGCCATGTCAGCCTCGCTTACCAAACAACCATGACGAGACCTGTAACTTACTGTCAAGTGCCTTTTCCATCCCTTCCTGCCCGTACACGATCGAGTACAGGAAAGGTCGACCTAGGCAAACCGCCGATGCGCCCAGACATATCGCCTTGAGCACGTCAGTACCTCGCCGGATACCGCCATCGACGAAGACCTCCATCTGTTCCAAGACTTCGGGGCAATTGGCTTGGATCTCCAGCAACGTCAGGATTGAAGGCGGCGCCGTGTCCACAGCTCGCCCACCGTGGTTGGAGACGTATATTCCCTTGCATCCGATCTCCAAAGCCTTGCGTGCATCTGCAGCACATTGGATGCCCTTCACGAATACCGGGATGTCGGAGAGACTGATCAACCACTTGATATCTTTCCATGTGAGATCAGGGTCGACGAATGAACCCGTCGCTCGAGCAAGACCTGTCCCTTTATTGTCCTTCGGTAGCACTTGGACCCGCGCATTCTTGGTCGGCTTGAACGTGGCATCGATCTTGATTCGCTCATCGGCTTCGCGTTTGCCCACGACTGGGAGATCCACCGTCGCAAGTATTGCTCGAGGCTTAAGGCTGATGGCCTCACGCATCCTGTTCTCCGTCACCTTCCGATCTTGATCGAAATATAACTGATAGAACTTCGGATAGCCCTCTGGCATGACCTGGGTGATTTCCGACAGGGAATATGAAGCACCATAGCAGACGCAAATTGTTGTCCCTTTGGCCACCGCTCCTCGTGCCATGGCAAGTTCGCCGTCGGGATGTGACAGTTTCGCCAATGCAGCGGGCGAGGAAAAGATAGGCATGGAATACTTCTCACCGAGAATTGTCGTGCTGGTGTCCACATTCTTGACGCCCACTAAGACACGCGGTCGAAACCAGATTTTCTTGTACCAATCAATGTTGGCGTTCAAGGAAAGGCAGTCATTGGCAGCGCCAGAATAGTAAGCCCAGGCCTTCGGAGAGACGACCTTCTTCGCAACCTCTTCGAAATCGTATAGGTTGATGATTGAGTCGAGAGGTGGCATCTCATGTGGTTCGATTTCAGGCTGACCCTCAACAGTATCGGCCTGTCTCGACCTCCATTCCTCGGTGATAGTGCTTTCGTCCAATTGGCCTCGGTTCTTGGATTTGTCGAGGTACTTCGCCACCAGTCCTGGCCCATGCACTTCGCTGTATGCTTTGGTTGCATCTTGACCCAGGTACTCCAGGATGATATCAATACCTCCTGGATGCTTAGGCGCAAACTCTGTTACGTCCCAAACTGTGCCATTGATCACTATCCATGCGTCTGAGGGACTGTTGTGCTTGCCGATCTCTGTCACGGACAGTTTGGGGGTGGACGTATCAGCCATGGTGCAGTAAAGTTGTCTTGTGTCGCCGCGCTGATCTCGAGAGCATCTCACCTTTTCACACCCGACCGATCCTCTTAGGCAAGAGAAAGCTTCTTTCTTCGTTCAATTGAGGCAAAAATAGAATATAAAGAAGAATCGTGCTGGGCCGAGGATACTTGTTGACCGTGGGGTATGGGGTCAGTGACCGGGCTAGTCGGGTGTCGTGGGGTTCGTAAGGGAAGTTTGGGGGCCAAAGCGTGCAGCCGTGCGTTATGCTCCCGAAAGACTACGGGTCTTTTATCAATTCTCATTCTTACCAACACCTCTCCCGAAAATACCAACATCGAAACCGTGAGGCTTCACGAATCGAAAACCGAACCTTGGGACAAACTGACCACAAAATGCGAAGATGAATCGTGAACCGGTCGGAGCGATGAGCATTCTCCCTCCCTGTTTACAACATGTCCTAACCTCTCACCTGCTACCCATGTTGTTCGCATCTCACATCCTCTCGTACTCAGCGCGACTTGCCAAATACTCCGCAACCTCTGAACGCACGATGAAAGCCATACACCGATCCCAGAGGACCAGTCTCTCCATTTCACGTTCGTCGTCTGGAAACACGTCCATCTTGCACTGACATGCATCGCATCTCTCCGGACTCTTGATTGTCATTGTCGGCGGAGGAGCCTCGCTCGATGGCACCGGGTTGAAACCATTCGACACTCAGATTCCTGTCCTGACCGGTGGATATGGCCGAAGCGGCAGAAATGGACGTGATGAATGGCGACTCGAAGGACATTCGCACAAAGGTCGCACTGGTATACGAAGAACATGTCGGCAAGATAGCACATGATCTCTGTCCTTGCCCTTTGCTTGGTCTGGGACTATTTCGTCTGCAGTGAAATTGAGGTTCGAAGAAACTGGACCGCAGGGGTTTGATTTTGAAGCTGTTCTTCTCAAGCCAGAAACCAGTCGCATTCATAGCGAGTTGCCGCCAACGCCTGTTTGTACTTCCTCGCTACTTCCTCGACGACCCTCGATACTTCTGTGACACGGGTGATGCTCGAACGTATCACTTATCCGTCCTGGAACATTAGGCTTCTCGTTGTCATCACCTTCACCCTCACCATCGCAATGTCTGTACCTCTGCTTGCTGTCTGTTTGGTGCGCAGAGTGACACCACTTCCAAAAGGTATATTAATCCATCCTCAAGATCTCCTGCTTGTTTGGACTCTCCTTCCTTTACATTTCACTGTGCCGCCACGGATCCAACCAAGTTCATTACCAACCACAGCTCCTTTGGCCACATCATCCACCTCGGCCACGAACCAGCCTTGCCCGAGTCACCAACCAGTCACCTGTCCCGTCCTATCCCGTCCTATCCAATCCGATCACTATGTGCCTTATGTTCAGCGGCACCCTTCGTCATCAATGTGAGATGTGCAAAGGCGTCATTCACTCGGCCGATCGGACCTATACCACGATGACTCTGTGCCTCCAAGACCGCCTCGGCATCAACGGCTGCCCCAGGGCTGTTCCCGCCATTGCCAGTCAGAATCTCAACGTCACAATCGCCGACAATGGACTATGCCCTTCATGCCAAGACAGAGTGCGCCTTGTGGAAGCGCAGGCGCTGGAACGCAATATGCTCCAGGCGAGCACCACCCGCGCCAATGCGCAATTCGACATGACCGGCAATGCTTCCAATACCGGAGGTTTTGTGTTGTTGCCTCAGACCGTTCAGAGTGCAGACCCTGATGACCTCTTTGGGTTTTTGGCGGGGGCCGATACTTTGGGCATCCAGCAAGGCGTGCCTGAGCTGGAGGGCGACTGTGAAGCAACCCGGCAGTGAGTAGTGGTATCAGATCGACCTCGAGATGATATCTGAGGCTCTTCGACAGTCGGACTTGACGAACGACAGAAGGGCATCTATAACAGAGAGCTTGATGACGCGGGAGTGATGCATAGCGCCATCTTGAGTTGTCGTGGACTTGGGACGGTTGGCTTCCAGGCCGGAGATGCTAATGGAGGACTCGATACCAAGGGAGTGAGACCGGAGGGTATGTGGAGCTGGGTTGAGCTTGACAATGACAGAGGCTGAACCGGCAAATGCGATATAGTTGCTGTGCGGTTGCAGGGCAACTGGATATCAAGTTACTACCACCTAGTCTTGGAGAGGTCGTCGGTCAGGTGTCAGACTTGCATGTTGACATACCAGGCTGTATTTAGACATCATAGCCATCAATATCATCAATATCATCAATATCAATACCATTCATATCAATATCAATATCAATATCAATCATAATTTACTAGTACCCTCCTTCGCCCTCCCACCCGCCATATACTCACGGCTAATATCCCTCTTCTCCTCTAACCTCTCCTTAGTCACCCAATACGGCCTGGGCACTTTTGTGGCGTGCATCCCTTTGCCATGATGACCACGCACCAACCCAGCAACAGCCTCAGCACATCCCAGGATCCTCGGCATCCCATGCCCCGTGAACCCAGCACTCACAAACAACCCTTCCCTGCCCGGCACCTCGCCAACCCACGGCATCAGATCCGCACTATACCCCATGACGCCCGTCCAGATATCCGTGACCTTCGCCCCGGTGCCCTCCCACCCATGGAACAGCCTCTGCATATACCCGTCAAAGTAGTCCCTCGCGCCGGGGATGAGCTGCGAATCATCCGTATTATTCCGCCAGTACGCATCGTCCAGCAGGACTTTCTGCTTCGCCCCGCCGACCACGATACTCCCGTCCGTGCGGGAGATCAGGTAATCGTACTCCTGGGGCCCGAACCGGATACTGTAAGTGTTGTTCAGATGCGGCGGCACCCTTGCAACACCCTCACCCTCAGCCACGCCCTCACCCTTTCCCTCGCCCGGGGGAGGCGTTGCAATCCTACACGCCACGCCCCGTGCCGGCGTGATTTTCCCTTCGAACTCGTTCAACAATTGCGCCGTATACGCGTTCGTCGTGACGACCACTTTCTTTGCCCTGACCTCTCCTCTCTCCGTGCGCAACACCCATCTCCCCGTATCATCCTCTACTTGCTCTTCCTCCTTCTCCTTCTCCTTCTCTATGCCCAAAACCGGCGTATTCGTCTGCAAATTCCCACCCATCTCCAACACCCTGCTCAACAAGCCCATGACCATTTTCCACGGCCACACGCTGGCCGCCGTAAAACTAAACGCGCACAACGCCCCCTTCACGCCCGACACTTGCTCCGCCCGCCCCCGCTCTCCGGGTATGAAATGCAGATCGTCCAGAAACTCATATCCCTCGCTCTTCATCCTCTTGTACCCTTCGACCACGGGCCCCGCTACGCGCTCATCCGTGTACACGTCGATCGTCCGGGTAAGTTCAAAGTCGCACTCGATCCGCTCGCTCTCCACGAGCCTCTTGATGTCAAACACCTGCCTCGTTTCGAACTTTGTCAACTCCTGCGCGACCTTCGGCCCGTATTGCTTCGAGTACAGCGCCGCATTGAAATACAAGTCCGGCTTGACGTGGCCGCCATTGCGTCCCGTGGCGCCGGAGCAGGCTTCTCGCGCCTCCAGAATCAACACCTTGGGCGTAGCTACAGCTTTAGCTGGAACTGTATCGCCTTCTTTACTGTAGGCGGCCGACGTGGACGTGGACGTGGATGAGGACGACCACGACGACGAGTCTCCTTTGAGAATGTAATACGCCGTCGCGGCTCCCGAAAAGCCACTCCCGATAATTGCCACGTCGACTTCGGCAGGCAGTTCGGGTGTAGTGCGGTGTGTGGACAGATCAGTCTCGGAGGGGTACGAGTGGGAGGAGAGCCAGTATGAGGACATGGGACTGCGGTGTGGGAGAGGCATCTTCGCAAGCAGCGGGCCTTGCTTAGATGTATGCGCCTGTGGACGGGGCGGGACGATTCGAGGAAGGACTCTGGTCTGGCAAGACGGGAGTAACCTCAGACGTCCGTCTGGCTTGCTATGTTTGCTGTTGTAGGACTGTGGTGTGCATGTGAGGGGTGGGAGCGCCCGTCTTGTGCGGAAAACGGGGACGATGGGCGGACAGATGCCCAAGGGGCACTGCTGCTAAACTTCAAGACGACGACCACAGTGCACCGGTATGCCTACCTCTTTACAAAGCTTCATACCTAGGCTTCAATCTTCAATCTTCAATCTTCAGTCGTCGGTCGTCAGTCAACAGCGGCTCGTTCGACCGGAAATGTCCGCAACCTCGGATCCAGCGATAAGGTGTCGCACACCATTGTCGCAACGCCCTGTGACTTTGTATCCGATCTCTGTCAGCTATGGGATCAAGCGCAGTTCACGTTGCTAGATGTGTGGTGGGGAAAGAAGACAAGCTTGATTCGAGTACCACAGCCATGTCTCGTACTACGTATCTCACTGCAGCCGAGCTCGGACACAAAGTCAAGGCGAGTCATGCGCAGGATGCACGACACGTTGCACGACTCATGTATTATCGAGGGTTCAGTCCGTACACAAAAGGCGACTTGCAACGAATTATGCCAGAATTGCTTTGAAGTCATAATGATATGCACTATATCGGCGCTCCTATGGTCATCACTCAGGCTCTGGTCGTCACAAGAAGAATTTTCAGGTTTCCACTCAGCATCGAACCTCGTTTCTCATGATCCAACACTGCTCGTTTCGGTCTTGTTCTTCCCCCGACTCAGAATACTCGAACTGCGATTCCGATTCTCAGAGCCCATAGTCATTGCTCGGAGTCTCTGGGACGGGCTGCTGTTCGGGCTGTCTGCTGGCAGTCCTCCCTCGAGTTTGCCGATATGCGCCATGAGTGCTGTATTTTCTTTCTGTAACTCGCCAATTTGGCGAGTAAAGATCTCTTGCTCTTTCTTCAGAAGCTCAAGCTCCGCTCTGGCCTCATCACGTTCACGTGTGAGACGAGTCTTTTCGTCTTTCTCCACTTGCTTTCGCTTCTTCTCCGCCATCTTCTTGGCTTCCTTGGTCTTTTTTTGTTCCAGCTTGGCCACTTCTTTGTTGTATCTATCCTCTTGTTTCTTGAGCTCCTTCTCATGCTTCGCTTGCGCCTTTTTCATGGCTTCATTCTCTTTCTCGTTGTCCTTACTTGCCTGACTCGACAGCTTTTCGCGCTGCTCGGCGAATTTGGCGTCCAAAGCCGCCTTACGTTCAGCAAGCTTTGCAAGGTCTTTGTCGTGTTGGGAGAGCTGTTGAATGTCGATCGTGTTCTCTGACAAAGACTTGGACGAGGTGGAAGGATCCTCGTCGGAATTGAGATGGGAACCGGCAGACGCAAATGAAAGTGTCGAGACCGACGACGAGGCATCATCATCGTGCTCTACTCCTGGTTGCCCTACCGGTTGGGTACTGTCCTGGTTCGCTTCCTCTTGCTTGGCTCCAAACGGGGGACTAGTCAGTGGAGTCAAGTTTGGGACATGATCTTTCACGACTTGAGGCGTGTAATTGTTCAACGTCTCTGCGAATGTCGACATGAAATTTGAAGGAGATGACGTCGGCCGCTGGGAATCTTGTGGTACTGCTTTGGGTGTCTGTGCTTCTTTCGGTTGCGTGCTCTCCTCGAGCTCTCGTATACCAGCCAGCGTCCCATTCGCTTCCCAGCTTGCAAAACTTTCTCGATGTTGCGCCTTTGGCCTTGACGCGGGTCCGTCCACAAATTCCTCGTCGTCTTCTCTTTGACAAGCCCAATCCAGAAATTTCACAGCATCCGAACAGATACTGGACGGAGTACCTCTTTCAACCATAAATCGTGGAACACTTCCACCTGGATCACTTCGAGTGACCATAATCCACTCCACGGGATGTTCTTCGGGGTCATAATGTTCGCCAGAGTGTTCATTTCGGATGGGACTAAGAGGGGCACCAACTGTTGCACCTCTCTTTCTACTCGCCGGAGACAGTTCTCGGCGTGCAGAGCCCTGCATATCAACCTGTAGATGTCTGTTGTCGTGCAGGTCATGTTCAGACGAAGCCAGCTGTTTCTCAGCATTGTGTTTGAGCACATCTTTCTCTAACGAAGGCTCCCTGTGGTGTCCCAAACTGCTCAGATCTGTCGAAGACGTAGTGGCTTTCAACTTCCTAGGAATCTCTCGAATGAACTCGACCGACTCGTATTGCCCTCGAATGAAGCCGTTTTGAGGCTGGGTCTCGGGGTGATTGCAGGGTTTGGAGATGATCATGTAATGTCGAGGAGCCAGGTCAGGAGATCTATGGGCATTGCCATGCTGCTGCAATGCCTTGGAAGATGTGACGAGCAGAGTGACAAAATCTCTAGGAGTGGTAGGTCCAGGAAACTGAGCACTGAGCCGATAGACTTCAACCTTGCCCCTATTCGGAACTGTGATTTCTTCCACTCGGGTTTCTGCGCCTATGCCTCTGATATTGCCCTCACCTGGCGCACCCTGCACGGCCAGAGACGTGGGAAATTCCCTCTCAAAGCCTCTCTTGAACCGACTAAAGCCTAGTCCTTCGTGTACACTCCTACGAGCGAACCAAGAGCCTTTCCCATCTTTGCTGCCGGTTTTGTATACTGATATCTCCAGAGGATTTTCTTTGGCGGACAGCTTGATGGGCTTTCCCCATTCCTTCTGTAGCGATGCGTACTCTGGCGGTGGAGGAGGACTTCGAGCGGAAGAGGATGTGATCTCAGAGGCATTGGAGGCAGCGGAGCCTATGGTTTTCGGGCGTTGTCGCTGAGTAGGGTCGGGATCGGGTATAGGGATAGACTCGACTATGCATTGTGCTTGTTCGAAGAGGTCGGCAAGGAACGGCTCCAACGCTTCTGGTTTCTGAGGTATGTCCGACCAGTCGCAGGGACCGAGAGCCTTCAAAGCTGAGTGCAGAGCAGACATTGCGGTGAGTGGCCTCTGCCTCACTCTTCAGAACTGGTCAGGAACCGAGAAGCTGAAGAATCGCCAACTTTCATGCAAAACGCACGACGGGAGAAGAGGGGTAGGAACTGGTAGCTGCGGCTAAGATGATGAACTGAATGCCAGTCCTCACTCGGAAGGACGGTGCAGTCAGATAAGCGACATTCGGGTGACAACTGAACCCAGGGACGGAATTGAGGGACTGCTGGAGGGTTAGCAGCAAATTGATGTTCTCATGATGACTGAGCAGGTGGCTTTCTGTAAAGAGCAATAGTCGAGATTTGACGATGCAGATATGCCGTGGCCCGTATTCCGTATGCAGGACAATAATGATGATGATGGTGGTGGTTCGGAGAGCAGGGAAAGCAAGAACGAGATGCCCCATTGACCATCGTCATAGGTGCTGTCTCGCTGTCCACTCATTAGACTAGGCACGGCTAGACTCCTAGGCTAGGCTAGGCTAAAGTTAGGGTCCCTCGGCTCCTCTTTCTTCCTTTTCCCGGCCACCGAGCGCACCTAGCCGAGTCCGAGGCACTGTCGTCTGCAGCGGCATGCCCTGACGGAGTGAAGGTGAGCTCTCTCCTGCTGCGACTTCGATGGTATAGAATCGATTCCAAGAAGATGACTTGTTGAAAGGTAGAGAAGATGTTCACATTTGTTTGGAGATTATCTTTATGTATCGAGGACATAACGGCCTCTTGATGTCCAGCATCCGATTCCTCCTCCACGCAGTGGATTAGAAGGCTCCCTCGACACCAGGTCGAAGGTATAGGAGATGATCCTATAAACCACACTCCATCCCAGCTGAAAGTCTCAAGAGACGCGCCGTGGTCGTCCATCAAGTCACAGACTTCAATGGCTGTTACCACTGTCAAAGCGTCAAAGCCGTACCAGTAACGCGCAGCCACGACTCGTCGCTTAAAGCCATCCAAAGAGATGTCGTGCAGTAAGGCAGCAACTGTCGCATGCCAGATGCCAACAGTCAACCACCATGCCGGCGGTCAGGTCTCCAGTTGTTCAACATCCAGTGACCACAACCTTGGATCCAAACACCTCCACGTCAAAAGGACTAGCCTGATGAAAATGAAAAGTGAGTCTCACACCAGCCAGAAAAGAAATCCATGCATATATCCCGAACCTCCCATGCCAGCCGTGAGGCTTTCCGATCTTGCGAAAAATGCGGGACTGTATCCAACCCAGGGATATCATGTTATATGACAACCAGCCGGCCTGCGCTGTTGTATGCCCGAAGTCCCACTCTGACTCATAAAAGAAACGATATCGAAATCACAACGCTTGCTGAAAAGTCAGACCCAAATCGCCCCTATTATACCGATAGTCCCGTGTCAGATGCAGAGTGGTATCCTTGTGTCGCTAAAATCAGATCAAATAACTCCGCTGGAAAATGCTGAAGACTATAATTCCCGCTTGCTTTTGTGCCGTCTTCTGTCGATCGACCGCATTATCAAGAACGCTGTTGCCTGGTATCATACTGTGCAGATGGTAACAATATCAACAACGACCCTTCATCGTCACATCGCGGTAGCATACGGCATCGTATATTCCTGATACCGATCCCAACCAAACGTGCTCAAGGTTGCAGACGTGCTGCACGGCTGCTGGGCCAGCATGCTCGGTAGAGGTAGAGGAGCGAACGATGATGCGCTGGTGGCAGCGCTATAAGCCGGTGAGCTATAGTATTGCGGCGCGCTGTAGGCAGCTGAAGAGTATGGTTGGCTGAAGGAAGGCGTTGGTGATGGCAGCTGGATTTCGTGCACGCCCACGTTCGTCCAGATGTTGTGATTGGAATCACAGGATGAGACTGGACTGGGGCTCGATGGAACAATCTTCCAGGCCTCAACCGGGGCAGGTTGGATGGAGTGCAGGTGTTGCGAAGGCCACCACTGTTCCGTGCCCGTCGAGCTTGGTAGCAGAGGAGTGGGACGCACAACATCGACTATTCTCGGAGGAGGAGGTAGTAGTGGCACGTACAGGCCCATAATGGCGGCGCGAACTTCATCGCTCCGGCCACACAGGAGCTCACCGGCACCATCTTCCTCCATGCCTTCCAAGGCGTGGACATTCGTCCGGTAGACAAACTTGTTGGCGGCTTGGACGAACTCCTCTTGCAGTTTCTTCAGCTGTTGTTCCTTTTCGGACCATGACCAGGTCTTGGCGGCGGTGTCGACGGAGAAGACTTCTTTATGATACTCGACCAGCGAATCAATCGTGTCTTGGGTGAGCTTGAAGGCGACCTCATTCTGCGAAACCATGTCGACGTGTACGACATAGGCCTCGATGTGAATTAGCTGGTAGTTGAACAGGGCTTCCACCAAGGGATTTGAGTCTGTCCGTAGTTCCGACTCGGGCGCTTTGGACACCATGATGGAGCACAATGACCAGATAGCATTAGCTGATGAGAGGGTCTCGGTAAGACATCGTGTGTGCTGCGGTACACTGTTCAGGGGTCGCTTGATCTTGTTGATCCTCTTGAGGGTAGCCGTCAACCAAGGTTCGACCTTGGTGTTGAGCACCACATTGCACGTTGATCGCGGGGCAAAGGCGGCAGCAGAAGCGGGTAATAATATCGTCGGCATTATGAGTTATTGATTGATATGGATATCGTTCTATTGTATCGTCTCGGACGGGGACATTCGATATAAGATGGGCGGGCTGACTAGGCAAGAGTAGAGAGGTAGATATAACAAACGAACAAGCAGGTGATCAAATCTTGTTTTTTTTTTCTTGAGGCGGTCCCAACGAGGGAATAACGTGCGCGCCTTGTCTCGAGGAAAAGAGATCGGAAATGAAGGTGTCGATGTTGATGTGTGAGAGAGGGAAGGGAGAGGGCGGAAATGGCGGGGATGACGAAAAAGGCAAAGAAGGGTAATATAAGAAGGAGGAGAGAGCCGTACCTTATATCGAGGGGATTATGAGAAAAGCAGTCACGAGAAGCATTGATAGGTTGGAATTCCAAGAGCTAAAGATGGAGACCTGGCACGGTCAGGCGCAGCAGGCAATATGCAGTTGGATGGAGACGGGATAGTCATGTCATGGTGGTTAGCAGCCGGAAGAGAGCGAGGAGGAGGCGAAAAAGCGAGGCGCAGACACGCGAAAGAACAAAACGGTCGACTTCCTTTGCTGGGGAGGCCGAAGCGGCGACACGTACGGGTACTGACAAGGGGAGAAGGGATTTTCCTCTCCCACCTCCTCTTGGGTGTCTTCCACTTCTTCCGCCTTTTCCACCTCTCCTCACCACATACGGAGGACCCGAGTCCGTCGTATCTGACCGGCGCCGGCTACAGCAGGAACAGGGCTCACCAGGCCTCTTGACTTTGGCTGAATCTGCGCTACATCTGCAGCTTGCATCTACGCTACTGCACGTCGTGGACCACCCTCTGCTGCTGAGCATCGTTGCAGCCGAGCGATGCCACTGGTTGCATGACGGCCACCCTCCAGCTCAGCCTGTTTCCGTCCAAAAGACTCTTCACGAATCGACTTGTACGCATACCAGAAAAGTGATGGCCCCGGATGCAAGATCAGCATTACCCTTCTCGTGTCTTCTGCACTCTGCATTTCAGCCGTCCTCGCCATCTCACTGGTGGCCTCCTCCCAGGTCCCGATGCTTCTCGAAATCATCTTCTGATTGCCAATATCCGGGTTTGATCATGACTTTGGCCAAGTTGTTCCAACTGACCTCTACAAACAATGTCCACACCCACCGAGTGGCTGGCGTCTGCTCGATCAGCAAGCCGCCTGGCCCATTAAACTCGGCTGGCCCCGAGAGATGAAGCGTGACCCGAGATGATTTTCCATTCCAGAAGGACCAAATTATCCGAAAACGTTTCCAGATTCCCTAATCCTGGTCTCTGGATTGCTTCGTAAACGCATGGCATATCGGTAATGCTGCTCGTTACACTCCTGCCAGGCGTTTCTCAATCTTACAACTGTACAATCACGTACGTTGGCCGATACTAATCCAGAAGATTTACAGTTTCTCGCGATGCATGAAACAAATCTTCCCGTAGTCGGTCCTGCCATCGTCGGAGGCTGGAGGGACCCGGCCTGAACTGCACTCGCCGTTGGCGCCCTCGCAAGACTCGGTGCCAAAGCTTCACGTCCTCCTCCGACCCCAAGTCTTGGTCGGCTGTCTCAAAGCACAGGGAGAATGCATACGGTCACGAACTCGATTTGCAGACCCAGAAATGTGGTACAGCTACGACTTGTTTCAGGAACGTGAGCGTCGACTCTGGCCCTTCCCAAGCGTCCACAAAGTCAGCGAAAGACCGTTCAAACTCATGTCACCCCCAAATGGGCATGTTTGATGGCTCGAGGATGGCAAATGCAGCATGACCAGTCGTTGGCATCTCAAGGCAAGTCGTTGCAAATCCGCCCGAACTAGCTGGTGGGAGGGAGCTGAGGTGATCCTCGTAAAAGGGCACTTCTGCATACGCATTGGCTGCGCGAGGTGGATCTAGGCGTCGTACACTAAAACAACATCCCTGCTTCGTAGATTCATTGGTTGGTAGCCTTTGTGACCTGCCATCGCCGAGCACCATGTGATGAAGAAATGGCCACGTTCCTGGTGTTTATCCGGGCAGAGGAGCTGCTCAAAATCCAGCGTACAAAGATACAAGTCGCAGCAGCCGCCGACAACCGTCTTCCTTGGAATCCGCTGCATGTTTCAGGACACTCGTCCTAAACAGTGACGACAAAGTGATTACGACGATGCTGCTAACAAAAGAACTCTTCCAAGATCTAGGATGATGATCAGCGACCGGGCAAGGCGAGAGGGGCTGAATGGGCTGAATCTTCAGGCAGCAAAGAGATGTTTTCATGCGGGCCACTGTGGCATCTTGTGGCTGTGCCATGCAAATCTGGTGCTGCAAAACCCGGCTGCTCCGAGGCAGTTCTCAAGTCACGTGAAGCCTCGGTCCTTTGGGTGCCAAGCCAAGTCATCGTGACGAGGATCTTTTGAAGGGACTTTTCTTTCTCGTTTCGTTCGGATACTCCGTACCACTGGCACCTATACAGGCTGACTGTCGACAATCCCGCAAGGCACAATCCTCTGCGGCGTGCAATTGACCTGGGCTGTAAAGGTGGTGTTTGTGTCTGTCATTATTCTGCCCGAAGTGGGAACGATGATCTATGATCAGTGCCTCTCCGGCTAGAACGGCAATGGTCCTGTATCAGAACGAGCGAACCCGGCAATTATGAGAGAAGAAGAGGTTTCATGGGAGTCTGCACATTCTGTCGTGTCCATCAGTCCTCGATAGCGGTTCCGACACTGCGTGCGCTGCTTCGAACCCAGAACGAGATCCTTCTCCAAGTAACTGTTGTCCACCCCAGACACGAGCCGACACCATGTTCCGGTACCTATGTCAGCTGAGCTGAGCTGAGCATCATCGGATCCTACTTCCTGTGAGGTAGGTACCGCGGGTGCAACAAACGAACAATCACTTTGGTCCCGCACCCTGATCGACGCTTTGGACCATGGACCAGGATCGTGTTTCCCATCTGACAGTGTCTTTGCATGCTCGCACAGAATCACATTCGGGTCATCACTCCGAGACTTTCGAGTTGCACCTATGAGAACATTTCTCATCTCACGAAGGTCGCTTGTTGCCGTTACAAGGCAAAGGATCCTGTGTTGGCGTGACACGGCCGTTTCTCTAGCTGCACGCTTCAGGTGCCACAAACCACCTGCCTGGACAAGTCTGGAAGGTCGTCCCTCGACTGTGGTATCTCGAAGGAAACATGCACGTAACCGTACACTTTCCTTTCGGGCAGGACATCTTCATATCTTTATGATGGACAACAAATTAGTACCGTTCTTCGAGACTGATCTATACGGATGTGATTTTTGTCCCGCGAGCGTGGCTGCTTTTTCCGGGTCGGTGAAGGTGGTTCGAGACTCTGGAAGACACTGATCATGATGTCTTGATTGCCAATGCCCTACACTTGCTCGCCCCGTGTTCTCAAACCCTTCTTCAGTGTACCAAAACATTTGTCCTGGCAACAAGGGCCTCGTGACAGGGGACTGTGGAAAAGAGAACTTTGCAGGTCCAGGACGTCTCAATTCATATACCCTGACGACACTCAAATTCTCTTTCCTGTCGCTTACCAGTGTCCAAACACATTTTTGCACAAAATTTATAAGAACCTCGAGACCAGCGTCCATTTTCCCCCTTGCTGTTCACAGCACCAGCCCCAACAAAGTCGAGGCTGAAAACAAAAGGAGTTCTAAAACCTACCCCTTGAAATCGACAGCCTTGCAACCAGATTCTTAGGAGTCCGAGAGGAAGTTCTAGGCTCAGAGGGCTGATGAGCAGGAACGGCGAGTTATTTTTGGAAAATGGCTCCCTATGCGGCGTTCTGGGCCACTCGAACAGGCTTAGGTCCATCTTACCGAGGGGCGATGATGGGCGGCACGGGTCAAGGGGAAGCCTTCTTGATAGGTGGCTCTCTCATCCTTAAGGCTTAGTGCTTGGAGAATCGGTGGTAGGCCTTCCGGCCCCCGAGTCTGATCGGCTCCTATCACGCCAGCTGAAGTGTTCTTTTCAACGTCTTCATAACATTCAACACCTTCAACACGTCCGTCGTTCATCCTAGAGACATTCACTTGATTCAACTAGACCAGCTACAGCTTTCGTGGTTCTTTTTACTTGTAAACTATCTTTTTGCCAGTCTCGGTGGGCGTCAAGCGCTTGTTCAATTTTATCCGGTAGTCTTCGACATCACAACAATTTTGGAGCTTACAGCTCTGCCAAAAAACAGATTTCGAAGCACAAAATTTCCACTCGTCCGTCACTGACAAAAGTTCAAACTGCACACAATGTCTGGATATCTTAGACCCTCTCTGCGAGTGGCCGGTGCCGCCGCCGCCGGTGCTGGATTGGCCTATAGCGGATACAGATATTACAACACGACGTCTTTCTTCTTCACTACCGTCCACGCCGAGTCGTTGCCATCAGATTCGAGGGCCGCCTTGAAGAAGATGGAATGGAAGGGTTTCACCGAGCTCGAGCTCCAAAGCTCCGAGATGGTCAATCACAACGTGAAGAGATTGACTTTTGCTCTGCCAGACGACGAATCAATTACTGGCATCTCTCCCATCAGTATGTCTTTCTATCATTCCATCAACGAGCCTAGGAGTCGCTGACTTGCCACTAGCATCTCTCTTGACCAGACATACTCCCGAAGGAGCCTGGATTCCGGTCTTCAGGCCTTACACTCCTGTCAGCGAAAATGGTGAGTTATTGATCCTTGAAATGGTTCAACACGACTGATCAATATCCGCAGATGTACCGGGCACCGTGACTTTCATGGTCAAAAAGTATCCAAACGGCAAGGGTTCCGGCAAGATGCACTCTCTGAAACCTGGTGACACGATGAAATTCAAGCCACTCCATGAATTCGACTACAAACCAAACCAGTACTCAGCTATAACTTGCATCGCCGGTGGCTCTGGCATCACCCCCATTTACCAACTTACTCGTGCCATCCTCAACAACCCCGAGGACAAGACGAAGATCGCCTTGGTCTACGCCAACAATACCGAGGAGGATATTCTGTTGAAGAACGAATTCGACGAGCTCGCCCAGAAGTACCCCGGACGCTTCACCAGATCTTACGTTGTCAGCAAGACCACACCACAGAACGAAGGCGTCTACGAAAAGGGCTATGTCAGCAAGGAGCTTCTGAGCAAAGTCATGCCGCACAAGATGAGTGAACGCAACGTCAAAGTGCTCGTTAGCGGCCCGCCCCCAATGACCGCAAGCGTTGCAGGTGCTAAAGGTGGCTTTGGCTGGACTCAGGGAAGTCTTGGGGGCATTCTCGGCGAGCTTGGGTACACGAAAGAAGAAGTGCACAAATTCTAGAAGGGGATCTTGGGTGGTCAGGGTTTTTATTCGATTAGCATATTACTAGAAGCGGGGCTTAATAGATATCTCTTCTCGGTACAGCGGATTGAGAGAAGAGGAATAGATGGATCAAGCAGCTTCGATGATTCACCGGCCTCCATCATTATCGAGATATGATATTTATCCCTTGTTGTAGCTGACTAATACTGCCGCAAGCTGTGGTCCGTATTCGGTCGATCTCATCCGTTAGCGAGGAGGTCGAGCGGTCGTCTGCACACGCTTATCTTTTTGACTATCACTATTGCGTGTGTGTGTCCTCGTTCATGTCTACGCAATCCGTGCGTCTCCATTTTCCGTCTACATCTGGCCCATACCGTGCGCATGGGAAAAGCGGCCCGGAATGGAATGGAAAGGAATCCACTAGCAGCTCTTCGCTTCGTCTGAGCGCAGCGCAGTTCTGCTCCTGGTATGGCCCGTTAATAGGGTGACCTCTCACAATCATGCAGGCCTTTGGTACGTCGCTTCCCTTTTCTTTCGTTCGAGCAGTGACATGGAATCCGCGTGTCTCTCCCCTCGAGGACCATGCTGCGAAAGCAAGCGCTGAACAATCTCACTTTTACAGTTCCCAAGAATCGAAAGGTACCTCAATCCTCCCCTTCACCCCTCCAACCACGGACCCTTCAGCGTGACATGACATGTGCTGATACTTAGTGCCTCTAGCCCAAGTTCGACCTCACCCTGCACATCATCGATCTGACGAACATTCCTCTGATCTGCGGCACGGCCAGCGTACGATGGCATCTGCCCTCTTCGAACGCAGCGGAACACCGCGGACGGACCGAAAAGGCTCCTATCCTCGAACACAAAGCGACATGGGACTACTGCAAGGAGATCCCGGTGCGCCTGACGATCGATAAGACGGGCATGCTCCAGGAGTGCGCACTACACTTCGAAATACTGCAGGAATTTCGCGAAGGCGGAAGAGGCGGCCGAGTACACCTGGGAAATGTGAGACTCAACCTGGCCGAGTACGCACGACTTCCGGAGGACGCGATCACCGACCGCGATCCTCAAGACGAGAACGCAGATGGCGGGATCACCCGCAGATACCTGCTCCAAGACAGCAAGGTCAACAGCACGTTAAAGATTGGGATCAAGATGAAGCAGACGGAAGGGGACACGAATTTTATTGCTCCTCCGCTCAAGTCGGCCATGGTGATCGGCGGAATTGCCGGAGTCCTAAATGCAGAAGCCGGCGAGGGCGATGACATTCCCAGCATCACGAGCAAAACCAGGGAACTATCCGAAGCACAAGATATATACCGGCGCACACTGGCTGCAACCTGGGCTTGCCAGGCGGGCGAGCTACCACCAGATAAGCTGGTTGAGGATCTTTTCGCCGGCGGAGATGGCGGGTGTCTACCTCACGTGCCGAACAAGTCTGGTCTGCGCCAAAGATTAGGCCAGCGAGAGGAGGACTTGAACAGCAGCTCCAGCGACGAAACCAAGCGGCCGGTTACGCCGCGCGGGCAGCTCCTCAGCCCACAGACGGCGCATCACGGTGGGCACAGGAGGACAGGAAGTCGTGAGTCGCCGAATGCGACACCCACGATGCATACGGGCGCTGTGAGTGGGCGGTCGAGTATAGACCAGCAGTTGCACGCGAGTCAACAGGAGCACCGGCGCAGGGAGCGGCACGAGTGGGATGAGCATAGTGAGTTTGAGCTCAGGGACGATTTGAAGAGTTGGCAGGTACGGGTGAAATGATACAGACGATTTGTAATGGCCATCAATGTGTGCGGCTGTCTCTCCTTCCTCCATCTGAACTTTTCCGTCTTGCGGCGTCCAACGACAGAGGTCAAAATTCGTGAGCCAGTGGCGTGAAATACAGCTGGTTGACTTTGCAGCTTGGTCTTCACATCTCCGCTTGTTTGGACAAACTGTGGAAAGCTAGCTTCGTGACATGGAAGGGCTGAAAATGAGGATTATCGAAGCTGCACCATCACCGAAGTCGATTTTCGATCAGTGCTTCGCCATTGCTCTCTGGGCTGCCATGCCATACTTATACATCTTCCACAGCATACCAGTGCTGTGGCCGAATCTGATACGCTCGTGCGAGAAGTTAAAGGGCTTCTCGAACCGTGCAATGCTGAGCTTGTCGTACGCCCTCACCGCCGCCTCGATCGAAGCATTCTTGCAGATTTGCTCCGCCAAATCCCCGCCGTCCATAAGGGCAAGATTCGCTCCCACGAATTCATATGGACTGAGCACATGATTCGCATCACCGGTGAACACGACTCCTCTCAGGCGTGCGTCATGCTGGAAAGCCTGCTTTTCCATAGCTGGTCGAACGAACGCGGTCGCTGGATCTGTGGCTTCAACAACACGTCTGAAGGGTTCCTGGAACATGCTTGCGGTCTTGAGAGCCTCGTTTTTCAGTGCAACGAACTCTTCTGCTGTGAACTTGGTGTTGGGTTTCCTTTCGGGACCGACTGTGCTCAACGCCCAGCCAATGGTGTTATCGTCGAACGGCGTGTAGATGCAGCACACGCCTTCGCCAGAGGACATCTGCAGGCCATAGTCCTCGCGGATTGGATCCGGTAAGCCATCAGGCAGATGTGAGATCCCGCCAATCTGCGTTGCGCCAGTGTACTCCAGCTTCATATCGTGGGGCCGTAATCTAGCTCGGATCCTGCTGTCCACACCGTCGGCGGCAATGAGAAGATCACAGTCTTGGGTCGAAGTATTATCTCCTCCCGCGTCAGATATGGTAACCCGGATCTTGCCACTCGACAGCCGCTCCGCGCCTGTGACAGTCGACGCCCATCTCCAGTTGACATTGGTCTTCTCGACGGTTTCGATCAATATCCGTTTCAGATTTTGTCGGGTGATGCGCATCGTGGCGGATGGCAAGTCAGGATGTGCTTTTGGGTGTATGGAGGCGAGTTCCTTCCATTTGTCGCTCCAAACATGGATGGCGCCGCTGTTGAGAGTGGCGTTTGCGCGGATGGCTTCGAGCAAGCCGAGCTGTTTCAGTGCGACAAGACCTTCATCTCGGTTGTCACCGTTCAAATTGAGCGTGTACGGATCTTCTGCGAGGTACGTTTCACGGCTGTGGGCGCGCTCGAAGACTGTGATCTCGGGACATTGCTGGGAAGGATCCCACTGCTGGATGAGCGCCGAGGCAAAGGCTGTTCCGGCAATGCCGCCGCCTGCTACGATTATGCGTTTGCCAGCGAGGAGGTGGCATTGTTTGGGTGCCATCGCTGCCGATGCGGACTGATGCTTGCTTGTTGCGTCCTGTCACAGAAGGTCGTTCTTATAAATACCAGCTTTCGATTGACAAGCTCGCGGGATGCAAGGAGTTTAATAAATATGGTTTCGGGGTTTCCCTCGATTGTGAGCAGCCAGCTCGAGTTTTTCAAGTACCGTTCGTATTTGAACATCTTGAAGATCACAACTAGGGTTGACAAAGATCGATATCAAACGTAGTCGCAACACCAAAACACCGTCTGCCAAAGGGTGCTGCGGGTCAAGACACGGTACCGGATCAATCAATGTTTCCATAGAAAGATCGGAACCATTTGGCAATCGAAGAGTCGGATGAAATGATGTCCCGTCAATGCACTGACTACAATAGTACTTTATCATGTCAGTGGAGTCCAAGATATACTAACTAACAGGTGGTTCGAGACGCCATGGAGCAAGAACGACTCCTCGCAAGTGACCAGGCTGTCGATTTGGGTCGGCATCGGACATTTATGAGCCGGATCAGACCGCGTATCTGTTCACTCCAGATCGTTCGGCATTGTAAGTGCACGGGATGGTCTTCAGCAGAGTTGAAGGTACGTGTACCTTTGCCTTCCACTGTACGATATGCCGAATGGATTGGGACTAGTGTCATGGTTTTACCGACCTGAAAGGCCGCAGCCTGACGAGCGTGGGAGACGTAGATCCGCCTACCTTGATAACGAGACAGAAGCTCCCAGTCAGGTAGGCAAGATTGTCTGAGGCAAAGTACCGAGTCTTACTCTGAATCGGTATACTTGACAAAGTGGTAGAAAGGGGTTTGGCTCCAGGGGAACCTTTCCTGGAGAAAGCATGGACGATACATCATGGATGTTCCATTGTCGATAGAGAAAATGGAATGCTCCGCCAGATGTTTTGTCAAGTCGTCAACGTGACTTCGGAGGTGAATCTGAAATAAATCATGCAGGATGCAGAGGCTGTACTTAGAGGTCAACGACTGCCTGGCACTCGATGAGTCGATAGTAGCTGCTTTGCGCGCGGACAGTGGTAATTATAACCCACCGTACCTGGCAAGCTGGCACCTGCCGGCTGCGATACGGTAGAGCATTTGCCCGCCAAGTCTAGCATTTTTTTGGAGAATCGCGTGCCATTCAAGATCCTCCGCAGACTTTTGTCCATATGCGCCTCCGTCTCCAGTCTTCACCATCAGCAGTCTGCCAGCCTGTTCCAGGTTGACTATCTTGTGTCCATGGCATGTTGGAACGTCTGACTAAGTCGGCTTACGTCTGCCTAAGATGCCAGAGAAGACAGATCAGAGACCATCTGTTGTCTCCGAAAGCCACCGAATCTCGAATCACATCCTCATTGCGACGATGGCAGAGCAGTGCTGCAGCCGCCCGTGTCGAAGAGGAGCCCGACGCCTTCGATCATGATCGCGAAACCCCCTCGCCTCCCGACGATGGCTCCCGTACAGATGCCCCTTCTGCGGATGCAGCACCACAAAGACCAGGCGTTGGATATCGAATATGGAAACCGAAGCGTACGGCAAAACTGGGCGTGAATTCGTTGGGAAAGCCCGCGGAGGTGTTGATCCTTCCATCAAGAGATCGAAGAATACCCCGAGTGCCTCAACAGGGTGGCGACAAGGAGGCTGTCAGAGCCGTGATGCAGCGAGCCCTCAACTTTGAAAAGGAGCCTCTTCAACTTCAGGAGTTGAAGACAAATATAGAGCAAATACGGACGCTGATCGAGAAACAACGTGGCCAATTGGACATGGAGGAGTGGACCACTCTCAAGGGCCACCTAGTGCAAGGGTTCACGTGGAATCAACTCAAGCTTTACCTTGTTTCTTACAAGGAGCGGTTCCGCGATGGATCTGTCTATCAGTCTCACTATGCCAGAGTTCTTGACAAAGGAAAGGCATCTCTAGCCAAGTTCATTGTTGAGGATATCTGGGGCTTCACCGTTCCGGCAGCCGAGGGTGCGGACGGCGAAGCGGAGGTGCACGCAAGGAAGAAACCGGGCACACTCACCATCGCTGTCAAAGAGGACGATAAGATGGATTTCCTGTTGACCAATGACAGCCAGTATCTGAAGACAATGTCGGAAGAATTCCAAGTTCAGATCGACGTTTACCGGACCCAACGCAAAATCCGAATCCACGGCCTGCGTGCCAGAGCTACCAAGGCACTGGATAAGTTATCGCGTCTTCTGAACGGTCTCCAAGTAACAGGAGTCCAACTTCAGGAGGGTCCTGTTGGCGACACTTATCTTGATCGGACCTTAAGGCCCCTTGTCGCACCTTTCCTCAGATCTGTGGCACAGAAATATCACGTGCATATCCATGTCACATCGCAAGCTATCCGAATATTGCACTTGAAACGACCAGAATCCGCAGAGCATGCGCGTCGAGAAATCCGACTCGCTGCTGGTTCGGAACCCGAAGGCTGGCAACGAGTGATCCTGCAGCCCCCAGTGCCTGTTGATCAAGCTGCTATGATACCACACGCAACACCTGCCGAACTTTCTTGGGGTCTTTATCAGCTACCCTGGACTAGACTAGTGGTATCGAGTATCTCACCCCAGTCAACCGATATGGATGCATCGCATGCAGCATCACCTGGCTCTCTAATCGGCGATATCGAGAAGTGGTTGCAGAGCCCTCTATCTTGGTCAAGACAATATACCCGCAAACACTTGCAATATGATGTTGCGGTCCAATTCGGCAAGGCGTTGTTTCGAGACACTTCGAAGATCAAAAAGCCGGCAGACAAAGATGGGGCCGCGACAACAAATAATGTGGGGAAGGCTGAGATGATCAACAAGATGGGCAGCCCCATTGGCGACGATATGAAGGCGAACAAGGACAGCCAGGACACTGTAAGGAACGCGACGCTGGTGGGCGCCAAGATGGATCAAATGCTTGGGGACCTCAAGAACAACGCTGGCCCTCAAGAGGAAACTGCGTCAAATGCGCAGCAGGGTCTCGGCGATACAGAACTTGAGGCTAGCAGCAACGATGCAACGACGACTCTTCACCCCTCCGTACCCCTGGAGAAGCCGGACAAGAGAACCTTGATGGACAAGATATTGTCGGACGTTGGGAAACCGAGCTTCGTGGGAGATGTGCCCCATCTAGCACAGCAACTTGCGCCGCTAGCGGAGTGGAAACCGCGGAGAAAGCAAGAACCGCGAGAGGTCGACCCAAATGCAAGACTCATCCTACGCCTCGAACTTGGCCCTACTACAGAATACACGAGATTCCCCAAATTGGAAGTCATCGTTGCCGCAGTGCCAGACGAAGACGGAACGCCGAAACTCTCGATTGCTAGGCTCTCGGCTATTTTCAGCGAAAAGTCTTGCACTGTTCTTTGTCCGGGTCGCGAGGTCGACATGAAACTCACCGGAAAGCTCAGGCGAGACCTCTGGCAACAAGGGGCGAACGACTACAAGCTAACCCAACCACTGTTGGACAGCATCCGGAGATACGTTGCCAAAGCTCAGCGCCCGAATGCTACTGACTGGGTCTTCTCACCGTTTGTCACATTGACGTTTCTGTCAAACACGCACGACTCGCTGGAAACTGACCAACAGAAAGTCAATCACAAACTGATGCCGTCTGATCAGCTCGAGTCCAAGAAGAAAAACGAGCGGAGTAAATCAAAGAAGTTGGAATATATGCTGCAAAGTGTCGATGCGGTGGATGCCGATTCACGGTCCATTTCAGTAGAGTATGCTGGCATGGACACAAAGGAGAATCTCTGCCTAGAGCACGTCACGCTTACCGGCGCAAATGCGACTAGACAAGAGCTGCGGCTGGCAGAACGACCATTTCTGTCACTACCGACGCCGCAACGTCCAAATGTTCGCCTCCTCGCTCAAGCTGGTCTCGAGTTGCTCAAGCGGCTTGGTCAAGATCCCACAAAGACAAAGTCGACTCAGTTGGGCGAAGACATCCGGCTCGTACAGATGTCTCGAGATGCCGGTGCCGTCGACCAGGATGGTCAAGTCGTAGGCAACCGTGCCGCGAGGAGGAAAGCCCTGAAGTCGGCCACTGCAAAAGAGGAGGGTGGGCAGAGCTTCGAGGAAACAGCGCAAGAGCTAGTCAAAGAACATCTTAGTGGGCCAGCCACGGAGTCGACTGTAGGGTCTGACGGCAAGTTAGTGAAAGCCGCCGCGAAGCCGTCGCAGAAGAAATCGTCCAGAAGGTCGAAGAAGCAGCTCGCCAAGGAGACACCCGACAAGCCCAAAGGGGCGGCAAATCATGAGCCAGCATCAAAAGCCGAGAAGAGCGAAAAGTCCGCACAAGATCGGCCTGAAGCAGAGTCAGGGCCGGAGCTTGAGAATATCCGGACGGTGAAATCTACTGTTCCGAAGGTGAAATCTCGCGCGTGGAAAAAGAAGAACTGAGGTACGGCTGGGGCAATCCCCTAGGCGATTATACTCGAAGCAGACTGAGAGGCTCGCAAGGTGTTTCGGCGGTATTCGTTCAGTGTCAAAAGCTAGGGATGCATGGTCAGGGAAGCTTTGGCGCGTTGCTGGTATCGGAGCAACTTATGTATTTGTATTTATATTGTGCTATAGCTTCTTCCTCTCCGCGAAGGACGTCATACGTGATGAGTGAGAGCAACTAACCCTCTGCATCCCCGGCGAAGTCGGGTACCACAATAAGCATGTACAGTACAGATATACACCGCAATATTGGTAGACGTGGGGAAATAGTGGAAGATGGAAACAACAGAAGAAGATCTTCGTGGGGGGCATAAGGGCACAAGAATAGTTCAGCCTTGCGTCGACGAGGCTGCAGTTAGTGTCATTCATCACCCAATAAGATGATTCCCTGAGTCATTAGGCGGCATTAACTTAGGCCAAATAACGTCAGCGCCACCAAGACCCGGAACATAAACACCTTGTCTCACTACGCCTGCATCATCTTCACCTTCACCATCACTGATCTAGACGAGGCCAATATCACTATGATCAATCATTAGTTCTCCCCGGGTATGTGAGCGACCGAACAGCGCGCAACGACGTCAAGGACCCGAACACCGTCTCCTGCGGAGATAGAATGAGCCTAGTGGAGGCGTCCAGCAATTCGGACCATTCCTCACTATCCGATAACACCACCGAGCGGACATCTACCACCTGCGAGACTCAACCTCTCTTAGACGGCGATACAGCAATGGCAAAACCATCCTGGCAAGGTGTCGAAGAATGTGCGCTCGCGGATCTGCCTCTCCTTGCCGATGGACTGGTACGCGACGATGAAGACGACGCCATGTCCGGCGCGGGAGATGCCGACCACACTGGCAAGCCTCGACCCCCCCTACGCGGCAGCAAGGCCAGTCCGCAACACGAACCGAAATTGACCGTGCGTGAAGCCATCGCAGCCTATCCCACGGCCATCTTCTGGTCCTTCGCCGTCAGCATGTGTATCATCATGGAAGGCTATGACGCCATATTGATAGGCAACTTCTGGGCTTTCCCGCAGTTTCAGCGCAAATGTGAGTTGTCGACAGTGTGCATTCCAGGTCGATGTGATTTGCTGATTACCCCATCTTAGACGGAGTATTCGTCGGCGTCAGCGACCAGACTCAGACCGGATATCAGGTATCTCCGGCATGGATGGCCGCCGTCGGAAACGCTTCCGGCCTAGGAGCCTTCATGGGCACGTTCCTGAACGGCTACCTCGTCGCCATCTTGGGCCAGAAACGTGTCCTTGTCGGCGCACTTGGCTTCCTGTCATGCTTCATCTTCCTCACATTCTTCGCCCCCAACATTCAAGTCCTCCTTGTGGGACAAATCTTGTGCGGCTTCCCGTGGGGCGTCTTCGCGACAACGGCTCCAGCCTACGCCAGCGAAGTCTTGCCAATGTCACTTCGAGTCTTTGGGACTTCCTGGGTCAACGTCTGTTTCATCATCGGTCAGCTGATCTCCTCCGGCGTCTTGAGAGCCTGCCTAGAACGCGATGATGAGTGGGCATTCCGCATTCCCTTCGCTGTGCAATGGGTATGGAACATCCCCATGAACCCCGCCATTGACACGCAGACTGACTCCTCCTAACTAGGTCTGGCCAGCCTTCCTCATACCGCTGCTATGCTTCGCCCCCGAATCGCCGTGGCACTTGGTCCGCCAGAAGCGACTCAAGGACGCAGAAAGATCACTCCGCCGCCTCCAGAGCGCCTCGGCCACAATCGATGTCAAACAGACTCTTGCGTCGATCGTTCATACCAACCATCTCGAAGAAGAACTCAGCATCGGGACGTCCTACTGGGACTGCTTCACCGGATTCGAACTCCGCCGGACAGAAATCGCATGCGTGTCGTTCGCAGGCCAAATCCTCTCGGGCCTGTCTTTCGCCTACAACGCGTCGTATTTCTTCGAACAGGTCGGTCTTGACGCCGAAACCACATATTCGCTCAATATTCTCGGGACGACCCTTGCCTTCGTCGGAACCTTGGTCAACTGGTTCTATTTCATGCCCTACATGGGCCGACGGAACATCTACCTCCTCGGTGCGTTCGTCATGGCCATCGAACTCTTCCTGATCGGCGTGTTGAACGTCTGGACGCACCACAAATTCATCGCCGTAACACAAGCCGCCCTCACGCTCGTCTGGACGTTCACGTATCAATGCTCCGTCGGCCAACTGGGCTGGTCTTACCCGGCGGAAGTGGGCTCGACGAGGCTGCGGCAGAAGACCGTCTGTCTGGCGCGCAACGCTTATTACGTCTGCGCCGTCATTTCGGGCTCGATGCTGCCGTTCTTCCTGAACCCAGAAGCACTGAATCTGCGAGGCTACACCGGCTTCATCTGGGGCACGACGGCCTTGCTCACGTGGATTTGGGCGTATTTTCGCCTTCCCGAAACCCGAGGTCGGACTTATGAGGAGTTGGATGTCCTATTCGCCAAGGGCGTGCCTGCGCGGCGGTTCGCGACGACGAACGTGGATGCTTTCGACGAGATTACCACGACCGCTCTGGCCCAGCGGTATCATGTCGATGATCTAGATGAGAGGAGGCCGAGGCTGGTCCCAAGACTGACCGGGACGATTGCCGAGAGAACCGGACGCGACAAGGCGTACTCGAGTAGAAGAAACAGTGTGGAAATCGCGGGATCGTCAGCAAGAAGGAGATCAAGTAGCATCGAAAGTGACCGAGCTGGCCTTCTAGGTAGAGAAAAATAGTCTCGAGCCGGTATCGAGAGGACAACAGGAATCTGACGTGTCTCAAACCGTCATCGATATATCCTGGTAAGGTCCAAGAGACGGTATGCAACTACAACAACCCCAGCCCACGAGAATATGCAGGACAAGTATGGGGGCTTTTCCTCTTCCGGTAGCCTGCCTGGGCTGTTCCCCCTCATCATTTCCACCCCGTCTTTTATCATCACCCACTCACAAACTTGCCTTCCCGCTTGTCTCATATGGAAAGGCAAAGCTCAACAGTCCAGCCACAATGTACAGACTCGCGGACACGGAAATCGGCGTATTGGTGTACCCAACATACGTGGCAATGATCGGCGCCATCAGGCCACATATGCGATTGCACGCAGCCGCCATACCCGTACCTGTACCGCGGTGGATGCTGGGAATAACCTCGGGCGTATAGCAATACAGGGCTCCCCACATGATATATTGGACAAAGCTGGAAATGCAGTTGAACGCCAGGATCTGAGCTTGGATGCGTGCTGTGGTAAAGGCGAACAGAAAGATCGAGGTCAAGATCAGCGACAGACTTAGCGTGCCTCGTCTGCCGATATATGGCAGGCCAATGAACCTGGAATGCTGCACGCAACGATGATGAAGTTGTTGCGGTAGGTGATGTTGATGCTGCTCGAACCACTCTGGGCCCCATGGAGGGCAAGATACTCTGGTAAAAAGTTGGAATACAAGGGGGGCGCTAACCCGATGCAGCTCCATACGAGGAGGATCAAGGAGGTGCTGAAGGCCAGCTTTTTGGTAGAGAAGAGGGCACGAACATGCTTGAAGCCTCCAGGACGAAATTGGGCAAATGTTCGTTTTATGGCGGTTTTCTTGTTGACCGGTGCAATGCCGTGACTCTCGGCAAAATCCCGTTCGACTTGTCCAAGGTCTGCGACTGTCAAGGGTTGTGTCGTACCGTTGTATTTGGCGACCTCGTTCAAGACATCGATGGCTTCTTGATAGCGGCCTTGACCGGTAAGGTATCGTGGGCTCTCCTGGAGGTGGAACAAGAAGAAACGCGCGAAGAAGGCAACAAGAGTGATCGCGCCCATGGGGTACATGAGGTAGCGCCAACCCATGTTGTCGGCTTTTCTGCATTGACCCGGTGGAGTGTCTGCACTGCAGGAATAGTGAGGAAGGAAACCCCAGGCGGCGCGAGCTGGAATGATTTGCCCAATCGACCACCAGACTGCTAGGATTTCTAGGAGAAATTGGTGCGTGCCGGGCAGGAACTCCAAGAAGACGGCACTGTCGACGGGCACTACAGATATCAGCTGGTGACGAGGATTGCATGGGCAGACTTACAGTTGCCTCCGACTCCAAAGCCACAAAAGGAGACCAGGACAGCACATGACACGAAATTCGGAGCGGCGCCAGCAGCAGTGCCAAAGACACCCGCAATCAACAATATCAAGTTGAAAGCAAGACGACGTCCGATCAAATCGCCTGGGAGTGTTAGCTCGTCTGAGAGGAATTGGTCGATCAAGCCTTACATCCAAGGCCCCAGAATGACGCGCCAACGACGAGCCCAGCGATCAAAGCCAACGAGAGGAAAGCCGAGTGCTTTGGAGCGAACTCGACTGCGACTTGAGCGAGGGCATCAGACACCGTGGTTTGCCAGAGCTGGGTTGATCAGTCGGTGTACTCGAGTGTAAATGCGTACTCATCATACCTGATCGCAAAGCCATCCGTAACCACAAAGGCCGAACAACGCCCATTGGTACTGTACCCAGTCAGCTTTGCCAGAAACAGTGGGTAGAAGGCGCACCTTGCCCGTTCCGATTGCTTGAACTGCATGATTGACCAACCGGGCCTGGTTCTCGAACACAGGATCAATACCGTCGACATGAAGAGACTTGTATTCACGGATCGTGCCGACTTCAGTTGTTTCTTCGAGTCGTGGACCGGTTGCACCGATCTTGGTATCTTTGTCGGAGCCCATGGTTTTCAGAAAAGAATCAAGATAATGCTCTTCCCTGTATGGTTTGAACCCTGAAGAGTTCGACCTGAGTCTCATGGGAGACGTGCTCTTTTTGTAGCCGTGCTCGGGCTTATCTGCGACTGAGCCATGGTGGTGGTCGTGGGTCGTTCGAACCGGCAAGCGACACTCATGGACATTGTACCTATACCTCTGGTGTGTGATAGACGACTGTTGCCCATCTTTCCACGCCAGCAAGCCCCATGGAAGTATTGATAGATGCCGACTGACGGGCAAATCTTGAGTTGGTGATTGGACCACTGCTTGCGTCCTTGTAGACAGGCCAAATTCCGTGGGAAGTCACGACGGTCAGGGGCAAGAACGATAGAGTCCTGGCACCATGAGGTTTTGGCCTATCTACTACGTCGAGTTGGATGCTGGCTCTTTAGGCAGGCGGTCTGCACATTATATAAGGCACCGTCATGGCGAGGAAAATGGAGAAGACCGCTTGGCCGTCTTGCCGTCCACGCCGTCGCACCCCCATGTTTTCTTTATCAGCACTGATGGCACTCTCCGTTTCTTGCCCATTCATTCCTTCGATGTGGCCGGATGGACTATCATCAGAATATTCGTCTAACATGGGCAACTGATTTCTGCATCAGATTGCTACTTTGGCTCAGCTTGCAATGGCACACAGAGATGGCTCCATTCTCAGACCAACGGGTACCGATGCCGTCCGACGGCGCATTGCCTCAGCTTCATTATAAAGTCGAGGTAGGCTTTGTTGCGTGCTCACGATACTACCAGAAACACAGCCAAAATGGCCGCTGAAACCATCGTGCTCCCATTGCCAACCACCGAACACGCGTCACCAAGTTCGAGCCGGTCGTTGTAACCCCTCCTACTCCTCGTTTCGATCCTTCGAAACATCTTTGCTTCGAGCGTCCCAAATCTCTCGTCACCTTGAAAGAACTTCTGCTATCCGAGGAAGATGCCATCTCCCCCATTGCCATCACTGAGCCTTTTCCTTTGTTCACCCTTGAGGGTGTCAACCAGATGCGAGCAGATCTTTTTCGTAAAGAGGTCGTTGAGAAACATGGAAACAGAACATTGCCACATTGCTATAAAATGAGAGGGTATTCGAGGGACACACCTTTTGTGGACTCCGTCTGGCGCGACGAACGGGTGCTCGAAGCCTGTTCGCAGGCCGCTGGGGTCGATCTTGAGGTAGTTTTCGACTATGAGATTGCGCATATCAATGTGCAGGTGGACGCACTCGAGGACGGAATGCCATTGGGTGACGCCCTTCCTCCAGCATTTCCTCCCCGTCAATCTACTCCAGCCAAACCTTCGGACGTTGATCATTCTGAGGAGCTGGCATCGGTCGGGTTGTGGCACAAAGACTCCTATCCCTGGGTCTGCGTCTGCATGCTTTCTGACCCGAGTAACATGGTTTGTGGTGAGACTGGTCTCAGAAAGGGTGATGGCTCGATCGCTAGAGTCAAGGGTCCTCAAGTCGGATGGGCAGTGATGATGCAAGGAGGCTGCATTGAGCATGTCGCTCTGAAAGCCGTCGGCACTGGTGAGCGTGTCACCATGGTTACCTCCTTCCGGCCTCGTGATCCCTCTCTCAAAGATGTGTCCAATCTCGGGAATGTCAAGAAAAGCAGCAGCTGGGACCAGCTGTTCAAGCAATGGTCAATTTACCGACTTGAAGTTGTTGAGAAGCGGGCGAAATCCCTGAGAGAGAAAATTGGAAAGGGAAATCTTTCCGGACTTCAAATTGCAAAGCTAATGGCCCACTGGAACGAGGAACAATTTGTGTATGAAGCATACTGCAATAGAGATGACCGGCCAAGGCAATCCAGGTTCTCAATATTGAGACATGATGAGTGAAGATAATATCACGTATTGCTCCAGACCCATTCTTGACTTCCAAACGGACTCTTGTAGACAAGGTGGTCGCCGCGTCTAATTCAAGCGTCACCAATGCCGCCAACAGCCTTTGCATCGAGTGGTATACTGAACAGGGGGAGGGGGGAGGTCACGGTTAGCGGCGCGTCGACCAAAACAGATAATCTTTCCCGCCTTATCAACATGCATACCCATCACTTCCAGCTTCACTCACGGCATAGGAGTCGTCATGCTAGCCACAACATATGGAGGAGACGACCCGAGATCAAGGGCCACGAGCCTACAAGTCTCGACGAGATCGTCCTTGCGATCTGTGCAGATTGAGGAAAATTGCTTGTCGCATTGATTCCTCACCACCATACATCTTCTGCCAAAGCCGTGGTAGTGACTGCACCTTCCTCGAGAAGCCACCTACCAAAAGAAGGCGGACCATCTCGTCAGGCCCAGCAGGCAACAGAATCATCTCACTGTCAGAACCTCCCGGCACTTCTGCTTGGAATTGGGTTGACGCTATTTCTCCTGCATTCGATAGCACGTTTTTCAACAATCTCGTCTTCTTTGAAGATGGAAGTCCTCAGTCAGTGGGCCAACATGGTTCCTCAAATGCCGCCCGAAATGATCAGACCCAAAGCAAGACAGTCGAAAATGGCAGTGGGCCCCAAGAACCGGAAATGTCACCAGAAAAGTCCTCTTTCTGGGATGTGCGAACGCTGCATGGCTCCCACTTCCCACCTGACACCGCATCTGAGTCGATATATCGTCAATGGCCTGATGGCACAAGGCGAACGACTCGATTTGCCTCGAGTTCCCTTGCAGAGCACCCGTTTGGCCGATGCCGCAAATCAGAGGCCGGAAGAAAACACGCCGGTCTTGTTACATGTCGATCATCCTCCTCCCTCTCTCATGCCGAAGTGTAGCACTCGATGCAATTCCCGGTCAGAAGTTAGCAAATTGTTATCTCACAAACAGCGCGAGCACTTGAAGGTCCTCTTTTCCGGATTTGTTCAGCAAGCCTTCCCAGTACTGCCCGAAAGCGTGCAGCATAAGATCCTTGAAGGCGATGGTCAGCAAGATAATGCATCGTTGGCATTGGCTGCCTCCTTATATGCAACAGCTCTCCCCTTCGCGATGCACGATGACCATCTCAGCGCCACCCTCACCGATGTTTCGGATAAGCGAGAACAGCTTTACTCAATTGCGGTCACAGCTATTCTGGAAGAAGCTCATCGTTCCACCATAGAACTTTTGCAAGCATGTCTCCTCCTGCTGCAGAAGGGTCCTCCTGCGCAGCATTGCGGATTGACCCCAGCATACGCCTGGTTGACATCTATGGCGGTAACAATGGCGAGATGTCTTGGTCTGCATTACGACTGTAGTAATTGGAACATACCCCTGGCCCACAAGCAACTCCGTACGCGCCTATGGTGGGCAACTTTTGTCATGGATATCTGGGTAAGTCTGGACTCGCCAGGCGGACGATCGATCGGTCCTGATGAAGATACTGCAGGTGAGATTGATATCATCAGCAACGATTCGAGGCACTTTTATCACCTCCTCGATATCACCGCCTTCTGTCACGAATACATGAAGCGTATTGCACTGTGCGTGCCGCAATGGATACGTCCGCGGATCTATCCAAATCCCTGGAACTTGCTCGACCGTTGCGCTCTGATCTGAATGAGTGTTGCCAGAGGTTAGATGCCGATCTGCCCTTCAATCATGGTACTGATTCTGGTATCAATGCATCCGTGCATCTTGCGTGTTCGATCGTTTCAATCGTTCTTTTTCGAGCACTTCTCAGACCTATTCAGACTCAAGGCACCACAAGCCCCATTTTGCCGGACGCTCAAAAGTCGGCTGCAAGAGCCATAATGACGGGCTCGATCAATTCTGTCCGGGAAGCTGTGCAATCACTGGAAAACATGGTGACTGTGGTTGGACCATGGAACGCATTCTGGCATTCGTGGTCTCAAGGCAATTTCGCCATTGTTAGCATGTTTCTTGTCCAGCTTCGTTATGTGAGCGCAGCTCAGGATTTCCAACCTGGAATGAACACCGAAGTCTCTGGTCTGATTTCTCGTTGGAAACATGCCACACGCATCGGAGCCGGCAATGGAGGCTGGGGCCACTCGTTGATGAGTCTGGCTTTGAGCAGACTAGAACCGCTCCTGAACCGGTCTCCGCCATGACTCGCGCGTCACTCTTCACGCCTCTCCAACGCGGACGCGTGAATTTGCTTATGGTGTCATTTTTGAGCATTAATCTAGACCACTCAAAGCAGTCAGAGCAGTCGTCGAAACTTGCTCATGCCGAGACTGCCAAGGACATTCCGATGTCGCCCAGCCCGCCTCGTTTCTCGGCGTTGAGATCTTATCTTCCATCATGAGCACAATATATTCCATGCTCTATCTTTGAACAAACTCGAAAAGACGGCAAACGAATGCCGGAAAGGAGCTGTGGTTGCACACGTCCCATGTGCAGATAACTGCCAAATATGCCGAAAGGGTCAAGATTCCACGTTGACTTCCTGAGCGGCTCTGTACCTTGACGGACGCCAGCCAGTTGGTTGCCGACCGACAATGGATCTGCCAAGCTCCTCCCATATATTTTGCCTGGTTGATGGTGGAGGCAGCACTTGGCTCCTCTGGTGGCTTGGGACTGGGGAAGGATCTGTCTTGGGAGTTCAGAAAGCTGGTATAAGATCAGGAGGTCACCCTTCGAGAATGACAATTCTACTACCCAACTTTTACTCAAGGCCAACCCGCTTGTCCACCGTCACTCCCATTCCTTGCCAGTCAAGATGTTGTCCCGCTCACTCCTCCTTCTGTCCCTTCCTCTCCTCATATCAGCTCATTTCGAGCTGACCTTCCCACCATCTCGAGGCACCGACGATAAGAACCAAGCCAGCTTTCCATGTGGCGGATACTCACAAAGTCAGAACCGAACACTGGTCCCTTTGACCTCCATTCCCGTCGTATTGGACCTCGGCCACACGGAAAATCTGATCCAAATAACCTTGGCCATCGGCAACGAAGTAGGCAGCTCTTTCAACTATGAGCTCCTCCCGACCATTCACGAAATGGGCCCAGGAGACTTCTGCCTTCCAAGCATACCAGTCCCCGCCGACTTGAACCTCACCGACGGCACAAACGCCTCCATCCAAGTCATCACGAACAGCCACGATGGCAGTGGACTTTACAACGTACGTTTTCGGATCAACCCGTCCCCTTTATTACTTCTCATAACACGCGAGAAAAGCTAACACGGACGTGATAGTGCGCAGATATCACATTCACGTCCACTGAGGCAGAGTCACCGTCGGCCTGCACGAATGGGACGGGTATAAGCGCGACACCACTTGCGGCAAACGAGTACACCTACGCCAATGAGTCGACCAGCCACGAGGGCCACTCGGGCTCGAGCTCTGCCACCGGATCCGCAACGTCAACGGTCTCGGAGACTGCCAGCGCTGCCAGCGGCACTGCCTCTGCATCTGCGTCTGCTTCGGCGACTGGTGAAGGCAGTGGCAGTGGTGCCTCGATGCTGAGCATTGGATGGGGGTTGCTAGGTGCGGCTGTGCTAGCTGGTGTCGCCGCTTTGTAGAGTCGCGAGAGTTGCTAGAGTCTATCACAGTACGTAGTATGCTGTACGGCGTACAGTGTTGTAGCCACAGCGGAGTTTCACCTCGTAAAAAGACTCATTCGAGACCGATATATGCCTTCTATCTTAGAACACGCCGTCACCGAACAGAACAGCAAGTAAGGCAGCATCTTTTTTCTCTCTTTATTTCCTTGGCCGCTGCTCTGTTCCACCCACTCTCAAGCCCATGACTCCCGTCCGTTTATCGATCATCAGAAGAATTCCCCTACCACCTCGAGCCATAAGCACTATCCAACCATCCATCCATCCATCACAAGACATCTCCTGCCAAACACAAACACCGATCCAAACGCGCCGCACAGACAAGCAGCACAATCATCGTCAGCACGCCGAATGCAAGGCGAAATTCATAAATTTCGTACCAAAGTAGTATGCACCGGCCGATGAATTGACGCAGAGCCCAGTCCACCGAGACTCTGTCCCAATTTTCACAAAATGGAATACTAGTATCAGTATCCTCCGCCATCGATTTTTCTTGATCGTGTTCGAGTTGGTGTCCCCCGGACTCCACCTCGGAGCTCATTCTCATGTTCAATTTGTTGTGCGTGCGCCTCTTGTCGGTGTCCGTGTCGTTGTCGCTGTCGTGTCCTTTTGGAGTGCTAGTACTTGAGGCCTTCGTTGTGGTGCTGCCATTATTGCTCGTCTCGCTTTTCTCGCTTTCGCTTTGCCCGTCCTCGTCTTTGCCGTCGTTTCGCAATGCTTTGGCTTTGGCTTTGGCTTCGGGTTTTGTCGACCTTTTCCCCGTCGTCAGATTCTCGCTTTGACTCTGGCTCTGACTCCGACTGGCACTTGCAGGCTTACAGTCTGCACAAACGTCCTTGAACACTTTCGTCCAGTCGTGCGGCTCTTTGATGGTATGTTCGTCACATTCGCCCGTCAGGACCATCCTGTAGCAGAAGGACTGGTAGGATCGGTCGTGTCGGATGTGTGTGCGACAATGGGCGCAGTGTCGGGACAGCGGGCCGGTGAAACACATTACATCTAATACCTACCTGACAGGTTAGGATCACTACTGCTGCCTTTGACCTTGACCTTTATCCTTGGCTTTGACCTTGACTTTGACAGTCTGCTTTTTGCCGTTATTGGTAAACTTGGACGCACTCCTTACTGTCCTATTGATTTGCTTCGTGGTCGGTCAGATCTCGTCTTTTGGAACTGCGGACGGGCTTTGACTTGGTATTGGTAGACTTGCCGGACCTGACCGGGCTGGACGAGAAGATTTGAAGGGGTTTCTGTGTCTTTGAAGGGTTGCCGCCTGGATGGGGAGGTCTCGGCAGGTCTGGTGTGTTGTCTGAAGTGTCGGTCTGATGATGTTTTGAAGGATCGTCGATTTCGGAAAGATGTTGCTTCCTCTTTTCAGGCGGCAGTTGATAGTTGGCGTTGATTCACACCGTTGTAGGTACTGGTATGTACGCGATGAGATCTCATTATGGAATATCTTTCTACGCTGCCTGCCAGCTGGAATGATGCGGTGCAAACGCGTTGGACAGCAAACCTTTTCATAATCATGGTCATTGTGATTACCATGGTCAATTGTCAGTATCACCAGCGTCAAACAGCGCCGGCTGCAGTGGTTGTGGCCACATGTTGAAGAGACGGAAGCCGCATATAAACGGCTGAGGCTGCTCTCGACCTACATGAGTGCACAAGTCTTCACGAGGGCTGAAATTTTGCGGTAGCCCGGGTTTTGTGGCGGACACAATCTTCAGGAAACAGTCATCAGGAGTCAATGGGAAAGGTATCGGTTGAAGACTGCTTGTGACGGTCACTGAGAGAACAGCCCGATGCATAGCTTCCGACAGGAACCGTCAGGAAGATTGACAGCAATGATAACGCCTTTTGTGTGTGAATGGCAGCGAGAAAAAATGACGAGAAGACAAGGCTACCGATTGGCCTAAGTTAGTGAGCTTAGTGGCCCTATTTAGTGAGGCCCTAGCCCCCTCGGCCCCTAGCCTTCAAGCCTGACGGCGCTATCCGCGGTGGCGGCGGCGGCAAGGCCCGGTGACAGAAAGTCTTAGCTATTAACTGATACAACAGTATCCACGGGATCCCAACGAGTAATGGCAGAAGTCACAGTCAAGTCAATGCAACTCAATGCAAATCAAGTTCAATATGGATTGTCATTACATTAATTATCGTCCCTGTTCATGTCTCGTCTCATCTCAAAGGAATGCCAATCTAGCTTTTCACATGCGAATAATCGGACCTAGTAACAACGCTCCAAAACCAGGCATGCAAGTTCTTTTGGGTTCCTCCATCTGCAGCAGAGATGACCATATACTGACCATATACTACTCACGACTGGCTGTTGGTGGACGTTGAGGCTCAAAGAGAGTCAAAGCTGTCCTTCCGAACATGCACCACACAGGAACTAATCAGGGCACCCAATCGGCCTCCTCATCTGCTTATGGAGCGTGATTCTGACACCATTCGAAATAATTCTGAAGCTTGGGGAAGTCATCCGTGGTCGAGGAGGAACCACCGTTGGCTGAAGAGCAGGCTCGGCAGGCGCTGACACCCTGCATAAAGTCTGTCGTTGGTGGGCAAAGAGGATTATACACGTAGCCGATACCTTGAGCAACAGCTTGAGTGTTGTCGAAGACGCCATAGCATGCTGACGGGGCAACTCCAAGGGCCTGGCGGCTGGCAATCTCGGCGATGATGTTCTTGCTGCCTCGTCGTGGGAATTTTGGCGTAGATGTTGCTGTCTGCTTGGGCCAGTCGTTCCAGTCTTGCCAGCCACTGGGTGTCGGCGTTGGGGTCGGGCAAACTGGTTGGCCGTAGATATCAAAGATGGCAAAGGTGAGATTGAACAACTCTGGGTCGAGGTGGAAGTAGCCTTGGACTGGCTCGTACCATGCACAGTTGCCCTCGGTTGGAGTCGGCCAGGACGAGTTCCAATCAGTGGGTACGGGAAGAGGAGGCGCCGGTTTGCATTCCTCCGGAGCGCAGACGTAGGTGTCTGCGGGAGGATTCTGCTCCCAGTTACAGCCGATTTGAGGTGGCGTGCAGATGGTTCCTGGTGGGCATCCCCACAGATAGTTGCTCGGAAGAGGAGCCTTGGGAGTGTAAGTAGGATTGACGGTCCTGGAGGTACAAGTGACCAGGCCAGTCAAAGTGGATGAGCAAGTCGAGACAGTGGTTGTGACATCAGAAACGACGGTGGAAGTGACTGTATCTGTCACGGTGCTCAGATTAATACTGGTGATTGTCCTCTCGCTGACAACGGTCGTTGGGCTGACGATGGTTGTGGGCGCGACAACCGTGGTGGGCACAGCAATTGTAGTAGGAGCCACGATAGTAGTCGGGACCGTCACCGGCACTTTAATGTAGCTGGTGTCAATCTCGGTCGTGGACTCGACAATGGTCGTGGGTTGGATCTGTAGTGAGACAGACACAGAAACTGACACCGAGGTAGTGGTCACTGTGATGTAGCTGGTATCTGTTGAGTAGATGGTTGAATAAATTGTGGTCGGGACTGTAACATATGAAGTTGACCAGTCCACCCAACCGGCAGCCGCACTTGTAGTGGTGGTTTCCCATCCGTCATTGCCAGCGATGGCCAGACTGACAAAGATGGAGCACAAAAGGCCCGCGATCCTTAGCCTCATGATGTCGATCTTGGAGATCCAAAAGATGTGCAACGAGTGACTGGTGAGTAACGATGAGGCTACAGTGGTCCGGGAGGAAAAGACGGAGAAGGAGCAGGAAGCTGACTATTCCGTCCTCATATATGGCCATTGAAGCTTACCTGCCTTGCGTGCATACTTCATTTGTCGTCATCCGTTGTTGAGGGGAGCCCGCACTGCCCATCGAAGCGATGCTACCATCGCGCCAGTGGCTTGCAGGACTCAGGCATGCCTCCCGCAACGGTGCTAGAGATGTAAAGACGCCTTTTTTAGTCTTTGGAAGGCGTTCGCTAGCGTGCTCGCTTTCTGGGGTGCTGCCGACGGCGTCCGATTGAGACTGGCCGGAGAGGAGGAAAAGTCCCGGACGGGGATAGCATCTTTCGGTACCTTACCATGATTGTCAGGGGTTCTCGACGCGAGGTGGCTCACCCAGCCTCACGGTCGACCTAGTTTGTTATATCGTCGATTCCACTCAGCTAGTATTCTTGAATGGGGTGAATGGGAAACTTGACCACTGTTCTGGATGCTGACAATGCCGAGGCCCAGAGTATTAATGGGGGCTTTTTGGGGGCTATGTCCGTGGTGTACTGTCGAGACAGCGGCTTAACGCATAAGACGAGCCCCAATATATCCTCGTGACAAACGGACAGACGTAAACACAGGAAAGAGGAGCCGAAGCGGGCGTGAGTCCAGTGCGGTATCACACCGTGGGCACACACCACAGAAGGGAGGGCAACTGCAGTGACCATGGTTCGTGGCCGCAGACCGCATAGCTTCGCCAGACTACTCAACCAGGTCAAAACGGTCCAAGTGAGGCTCAATTGCCTGATCAAGTTTGGGAGGACAACAAATGCGGTGAAATAGGGCGTCAGAAGCGGGTCTTAGTAAGTCAGCAGTAGCTTTCCTTGGGTTCGGCACCTTGGACTGGTGGGTATTTACCATAGTCACGCATGGTATCCGTGCGAGTGAGAACATCCGAAGAGGAGGGACGGGTTGGATACGAGTTGGAAGCCCAGCCCCCCTCCATCCTGCAAGCTTCGAAGATCCGTGCCAATTTGAAGAAGCCCATCACGGCCCTTACCTGCGAGGAGACCGTGATCAGGCGGCCAATCAAGCGGTGAGCTCCGTTTACCCCTGTAATGGAGCTTTATCACCTGGAAGCGTCGTAAAGAAGTCATCTGATAGACGTATTGGGGCTTCCTTTGCCAACTGTAAACAGCCACAGCATGCCGCCCGTCGTCACAGCTCTCAAGTGAGAGAAAGACACTCATCCTGCTTTGTCTCAGAGTGACGACCGTTATTGTAGGTGTATCGTAAGCCCCGAGATGATGCTGGAAGCGCCGCCCCGCCGTCTTGCTTTCGAGACCTCAGGCCACCAGTTCTAGCTGGAGCTAAAGACCTTGGCCACATGCAACCTAGGTGAGGGTGCTACTGCATACACTTTATTCAGCACGTGAACCAGTAATGGGCTGACAGGGCTTGCTCATCAAGCCATGCCCGTCCCGTTCTGCATATGCGGAGGCTTAGCCAACGCATCCCTCGGCACAGCGGACACGTCCGTCCATACTCCATAGTGCTAGTGTGCGAGAAGGACAACGGCTGGGCCCGTCACCATCAGGCTGAAAAATCTCCGGAGGTGCCTGTCGACATTTCTGTGCTTGATCTGTGTCACTAGGAGGAAGGAAGGCTTCGGGCTTCTCTTTTAGTGCTTTTTACCTTTCTCTGCACCTACTGAAGCCCATGGAAGTCGCAGGATAAAGTGATCTATGGGATAAGGCTGAGGGTGGGATTCTTCCATCGCGGTCAGAACCTGACCCCGCTAATTCTTCTATGTTTAGCGTAGGCAATGCAGCTTCTCCTTCTCGACAAGTCGATAAATGGTGTATTACGGAGTGCATGGGTGTTGTGTGGTCGGCTCAGTGGTATTCACAAACACGGGTCCCCAGTGTGAGACTTAGGACTGGCTAGGTTGAGCACTGTGGAAGCCCTGCACACGTACTGCCTCCTCCAAAAGTGGCACGATGCAGAGCTTCAACATGAACTCGACGCTCTGCATTATGTTGCACAAAGAATCCTGCTACCCAAGCACCATTGCTGTTCTGGGAAAAATCGACGTGATCTTCCTCTGCCCGCTCGTGAAGTCCTGGTCCGCCAGCCCAACTTCCCGTCTGTGCATATGCCTCAGGTGTGTGCTCGCTTGTCGGTTGGGGCAACCTGCCATGGACAATGCAACCTGAACTTTTGCAGGATCCTATGATATGCTCGTCTGTTATGGGCTAGATCACGGTTCACAGGCTAACGCAGAAACCTGAACAGACAAGCCTACCGAGTCCTTGTCCTCGGGGCCAAAACATTCCTCCTTTGATATATTCGCCACAAGCTAGACTCTTCTAGCCGGAAAGATGCCGTAGAGCCCCTCCATGATTGTGGCAGGGTGCATAGGCTCTTGATGGCTCTTCAAGAGTCAGCTTTTCCGGAAGACCGGTAGGTAAGGGTCCAGATGCTGGAAGTCTGGATATATGCCAAACTCGACTGCTTCGTGGAGCCTCACAACACTGCTGGAGGAGCACAGCTTGCTAACATACGGTAGTCATGTTTTCAACACTGCGATCTGCGTTGTGGCTACTGTCGCTGGCTGCTCTTGCCAGCTGTGACTATACTTCCAAGCAGATAGGCACATGGGACAGACCACGTGCTGCCTTGATCAGAGACTATGTATACTTGGAAGGAGGTAAGATGCAGACAGGAGCTTGGGAGGATGGCGCTTGGGATGTGACAACCGTCACCATTACACAGGGTGCATTGTTCAACCTCAGTTTGCACGAGGCGTTTGGCGTATACGAAGACAGTCCTCCGGCCGTCTTCCAGGCCATTCCGGAGGCAGCGGTTAACAACTACTACCTCGATGGATACATGTTCGCCAGCTACACCGAATTCTACGCTTGGGGGTAATCCAAAACCGCAACTGTGTTTGTAGACAAGAGCTAATCCATTCTCATAGTGGCATGACACTCACTTCTCTCAACACCGCACCACGCACAGTTAACGATCCATTGTACAACCTGCCCGCTGGCAAAAACGACGACCTCGGAATCCCAAATACTGGCTACCAGCCCCAGGACTCAAACTTTCCTGCCGGCGTCACAAATGGTGCCGGAGCAAATGCACCAAGCGAAAATCTTGGGTTCTACTTTGGCGGCTTGTACAATCAGAATGGCTCGAAGTACGACTATTTCGACCCTCCCACAGATGAAGCAAATTTCCTCGTCAAGGTGAAAATGGACGACCTCACCTTTGCGGACTGGTCGATCATTGACCCACCAGACAGCCCAACGATTCCATGGCGAACGGAAGGCGCTCTCGTCTGGGTTCCTACCAGCTCGCAAGGAATCCTGATCGCCATTGGGGGTGTTGTCAAGCCTGCGGATGTGAACTTCTACATAGGCAGGGATGAGGCAAACACTTCGATGACTTTCCTGAAGGAGTTTCCTGTGTTTGATATCGGCACCAATACGTGGAGTCTTCAGCCGCTCAACACAGGCTCTCCGTTCCCCGACAAGCCTCTCGCTCAGTTCTGCACAGTTGTGGCTTCGGCGGAGGACGGATCACATCATGAGATCTTTGTCTACGGAGGCTGGGACAGCAATAACGACACACACCCCAATACCGACGTCTGGATATTGACAGTGCCGTCCTTCACCTGGATCAAGGCTGACAGCGTCGGACGCGAAGGCGATCCCCGGCAAGGCCATGTCTGTGTGTCTCCATACCCGGATCAGATGATCGCTATTGGCGGTACAGACAAGTCAGAGAATCCACTCACAACCAACAGAAGCGTCGACGTTTATAACCTCAACACATTGAATTGGACGGGCGTCTACGATCCAGATGTCCACGATGACTACAAGCCTCATCAGACGGTTCTCAACGTCATCTCTTCAACACCAACGGCCAGCGGTATGACCTCGGATATAGCCAGCTGGTTCGACAACAAATACGACATGAGCAAGATCGAATTCTTCGGTCCCTACAAGAAACAAACCACTTCATCCAGCAATCCCAACAACAGCACTGCCCCTACACCGACTCCTCCACCCCACTCCGATCGAGGCTGGGTCGTGCCTGTTGCCGCAACCGTCTCGACCGTCGGCGGTCTCGCCCTTCTCGGCTTCCTCTTCTTCATCTGCTGTCGCAAGCGGATTGCCGAACGCCGCCGTCAAGACCGTGAGACTTCCGAAGTCAGTGGCCAGCGAAAGAACTTCATCATCCCATGGATCTTCTCCACCAGCTCCGCTGCAGCCGGAAAGGACGTCGGCTCCGACACCATCACCGAAGTCGAAACGCAGACCTCTCCTCCTGCGCAGGCGGGACCGCAAGAACTCGAAGGCGGAAGCGACTATTTCGGGGGCAGACAGCCGCGGTGGTCGTCCTCGACGGCAGTCCGCTCACCACGAGCAGAATACACCGGCCCCGTCGAGGCGCAGGACACCGGCGTATCCGTGGTGCACGAAGTTTCCGCTTCGGCTTCACCCAAGACCGAGAAGCCCGACGGAATCAACTACGAGTTCCGCAACATGGCCATGTATCCACCCAGCGTCGTGAGTGCCGGGCATGGAAACCTCGCGGCGCCGCAGAGCGCGACCATCTCGCAGCCCGACTCGGACACGGAGGCAGAGCCTCCTACATCGCCGCGAACCACGGCGGCAGCGACCAATACTAGCAGCATAGGCTCGCCCCGGGGCGGTGTGCCGACGATACCCGAGGACGGCGTAGGCGTCACCAGCCTCGACCACCATTCGCGAATGAGTCCACACGAGCCACCCATGCTGGGCGCTCTGGATCCCGTCTCCCCGCTGACGAACAAACAAAATCGACCGACGCACAACCGGCATAACTCCAGCGTGAGCAGCGGCGTGTCAATCCCGTCGCCTGGTATGGACCAATCTTCTCCCCTGCCGCCGAGGCCGAGGAGTCTGTCCATGGAAGGCATTCTTGACGACGGGGACGGCCAGGGCAATCGTACAATGTAAACACGGGCGGCGACGGAAGACTGTTTAAGCGCGCATCACAAAGTCTGTCACCCTCACTCTTTCAACGTTTTCACGACACTCCTTGCACGGTTGATTCTTGATGCCTGATGAATTGGGGGTGGGAGGTATATGTGAATGTGACCACGGAACCACTACCAGTAGTACTATTTGACGATGGCAATGCGAATGTATCTAATTTGACGGCATATATATTTCCCGTGTTCACTTTGTTCTCTCGCCATTGTTCACAGCAACATGTTGGTAGTTTGCTTAGCTCCGTCCACTGCCTTGCCGTGTATGATGCCAGTGAGTTCATTCCTTCAAGGAAGAATGCTAGGATGAAACATCCTCTTCAAAGGATGATACAGCAACCCGGTTTCTCGTCCCCATACCCATACTGATTCCCATACCCATTCCCCGGCTTACAATCGGGACAATGATCCGTGTAGTGATCCTTCCAGGTATCTCGATGCGCATCTGGGCATGCACATTGACCGTCGTTCTGCCTCGCCTCTTCACACAGCGTCTTGTGCTGGTGGTCCGTGTCGAACATCTTTCCGCATTGCGTGCACCATTTGCGGGTTGGGCCGGTGTGGCACATTCTGATTCCACTTCCCACTTCCCAGCTTTTTTCCCGTGGTAAGAGGAGGCCGAGTGGTCGCGCGGGAAAGGCCCCGTGTTACTAGTACGTATGATTCGAGCACGCTCGAGCGAAGTCGGTCCTAGTGCTGGTTTGAAGTCGGTACTGATCTGTAGTAGCTTTCGAAGGACCTGGACTTACCTTGAGTACGAGTACTAGTACTAGTACAATCCTCTTTCCTAGGAGCGCTGCCTTTGCAAAAGATCTTACACCAAGTGAACGGCAAGAACCATGTATCAGGTAAGTATCTTCATTGACGGATGGACCGATGAAATTGCTCACAATTGCAGGTTGGCGTGGGAGCGAGCGAACACGCACGAAATATCATTTTATACTCCGACAAGGCGAGAGGTGATATTCCCACAAACAGAGCTCGAAACTGAGTGAGGAAGACAAGGGGAGACGTAACGGTGGATCGAGGTGCGAGCCGGTCTTTCAAGAACAGGCATGGGCGCAACAGGACATCACTGGTAGACGCCTCTTTGAACCTGACGATGGGTCTCAAGTGATGGCTCATCACCGTCAACGCAGTCGATCGATGATAAGTCACTTGAATGACGTCCACGGCCGCGGGACGGCAAAACAGGGGATCTCGAGAGGTGACAGAGCGTCCATCACTGGCGTTGCTGGGCTTGAATAAGGAGCACAACATCAAGAGATAGACGGGCAACCTTCCATAAGCTCCTGGACTTCCACACACAAGACCGAAATGCTGCAGGCAGGGAGTCGTCTTCACAACGATCATTAGGTATTTGGAGGATCTGTTGCAGTACTTAGCAGATTATTTGTACGTTGGCACAGAGCTCGTCGAATTCGTAGACAGAATTAGTAATCTGTTCTCCCTACTATCCACCGTGGGCCAGATCAGAAGTTCTTGCCAGTGAACGCACTCTGAACGGAACCGAATCTAAAAGCATAGTCAGCCAAGCAGCATTTCCACCGGTAAATGAGCACTCACCCTTGAGGACACTGTTTGCCCAGAGCCACGCTTCCACTTCGCATGTAACAAATCTTAGCTTCGGCACAAGCAGTGCTCGTACAGTTTGGTGTCTTGACACTCATCTTGCCGTCGAAAGTGTTGAACATGCTGACAAGAGTATGATTGGCCGCCATGGCTTCTGTGACCTTGTGCCAGTAGGTTGCATTGAGCGGCGCGTTCTCTGGCCAGCCGATCGCGTACGCGTCCCGAGTGGAATACTCAAAGTTCCAGACTGGTCCCGTCTCATTGGCGTTGATGGCACCAAAGGCGCTGACGTTGGCGTAATAAGTGTAGGCATTGTAGATCGAGAAGTCACCTGTATCGACCTCGTACATGCGGTATCCGCTGTTGAGGTTGGTCAGAGGTGTGACGCTAGGCCCAATCCAGCCAACATTCAAGGCATGAGCTGCATCTTGAACAGTGCCATTGTTGGCATAGTAGATCATGAACTGATCTTCATGGGTATGCCCAAAGAAGATGCCGGCAATGACATGAGGCGAATAGCGGTCGATGATTTGGTAGAAGAGATCTTATCATGCTGGTCAGTCGCTTGGGTCCCGAAGCTTGAATTACTTACCTGTGGGGTTGGGAATAGGATTCGATCCATCCCAGCCGGTCAAAACGTGTCCAATGATCCAGACTCGCTCGCCTTTGTTCTCTGCATCCTGGAGCTCATTGGCAAGGAATTTCAAATTGCCGCTTACATCGGGGTTCGTGGTGTTGCTATATAGTTGTGAGCCTGAGTCACCAGAGACTGGAAACCTGCTTACATGAAGTTCAAGAAATTCGACTTGTACCAGAAATCAGTATTCAGCGTAATGATCCTCAACTTTGGATAGACAGGATGGTTGATGCTGTAGGCTGCATAGTGCATGCGAGCCTCATTGGCGGCTTCAGGCGTGATCCAGTTGTTCTGCTGCCAAAGCGAGGCAACGTGGTCATAGTTCCAAGATCTGAAAGGTCAGATGGTAACAACACTCTAGTGCATGACTTACTGTTGCTGGCCTAGGTTTCCTGGCATTGAGTGAGGAGAGTCAATAGCCTCTGTAACGGTATCAGTCTGGGCCCCTTTTATGTGATGCTTGGCCATTACCGGGATTGCTATCATGATTTCCCAAGACTGGAAAGATTGGCCCGCTGGGAATATATGCCTTAAGCATATGATAGATGGACCATTCTGCATACATGGTGTAGTTACGGGATAGTTCGTTCTGGCTTTCGTGGGAGACCAAGTCACCGGTATAAATGCTCCACGCAAATTGATCGCAGTCGGATTTATTGTTGTGAGTGGTCCCAGTCAACGGCGCAATGGACTCGAGCGCAGAAGTCAAAAGAAAATAGGGGCTGTCGCATTTGAAAGCGCCATACAACGGTGCTGGAAGGGAGACCTTTGACGAAGTGCTTGCTGCATTAGCGCGGCAACACAGACCGCTGGAGCAGTTGGCTTCTGATCCGACAGCATAACGAGGATCGATGTGCATATCGCTCATGTGTAGGACCTTGACCCGCTTGCCGCTCGGCTTTGGAACCTTCAAATTGGCCGGCTTTGGACCAAAATATCCGGTAGTGTTGGATGGAAGAGTTGATGGCATTGTGCAAAAGGTGCTACTGATGGAGTTGCAAATGTATTGGCCATCAGATCCCGAGACATCGGCCAAGGCGAGAATCTGAGTCCAAACAGCGCCAAAGGTCGTTGCTTCGAAATCCTCCTGGCAGGTAGTGTTGGAGTGGAGGCCGTTGCTTATGCAAAGCTCGACCAGCAAATCTGGAACCATGGATGGGACCCGCTGAGCAACATATTGGCCTACTTCCAAGGCTGAGATGCATTTGGAGCAATTGGACCCGCTTCCAGAGATGATGGACTGTACTTGACTGATGGCATCGGCAACAATAGCACTTCCGTTTGTAACGGAGTATAAGGGCGTTGGATAGTAGATCGGATCCTCATCCTCCTCAGGGATAGTATATGGGTTTGTCAGTTCAAGAGGAAAGGTGTAGTTCAATGCTGCATCATAAATGATTGGTTGTGGCTTGATTTTCCCATTAGACATCTGCCCAGCACAATCAGTGTAGGTGGACTTACCTCTTGAGTTGGCGATGCTGGAATGTAGTACGCCGGGAAAAGGCTGGTTGGAAATCCAGCGGGCACAGTGTAGGCCAGCAACTGAGAACTGGAAGCTTGAGCGTGGACAAGTTGGCAAGTACAGGTGCTCAATGTTGCTAGCAGCAACGATCGATGACAATACATTATGCGTGTCTCAGTCGAAACCACTCTGCTAACCTACCACAATTGGGGATGGACCTTGCAAGGAACTCGAAAAATTCCTGGCTGATGCTTCGCTTATAAAGGTAACATCTCAAGAGCTCCGAAGCTCGGTACTTCAGAGATGCTTTCAAAAACGTGGTGTTGATCGCAAACCAATGACGTTGAGAAGCGAGGGAATAGAACCTGTACCTGCCAAGGATGTCCAATTAGGGCCACAGTCCCGGCACGTGCCTTCAAACCACCATCGGAGGGATCGGTAGCGCAGACGCCTGTCGTTATGCGGAAGGTCGAGTGCTGCAAGCCAAGCACGGCTTGTGGCAGGCTTTGCGAAGCTTACTGGTGCATGGGCGGCTGGCTGACATTTCTTGGCCGAGGCTTGATGAAGTGCTCGATGGCCGATGAGAGTCTGCGATGCTCAGGTACCTAGTTTGTCCACCGTCTTCGACACGATCCCTTCATATTGTTGCATGCCTCTTTCGAGCTTCCGGAGGCCACCCTTACGCACGTGGTAGACTGTACCTGGCGCACTAGTTTCGGATCCTTCACTCTCACTGCTATCCTCGTCCTCATTTCTGTCGAGCTTTTCCCGGTCAACAACGCATCGCATGAAATGTCGGTCATGGGTAATGACGAGTAATCCACCCTCCCAGATGCTTAACGCCTCCATCAATGCATCGACTGTATCCGCATCCAGATGGGTCGTCACTTCATCCAGCACGATCAAATGTGGAGAGCTGAAGAATGCCTCCGCTAGCGCAAGACGCACACGTTGGCCTCCAGACAAAGCCGCTAATGGGACGTCTGAGACAGTATTTCCGCGAAGACCTAATTTGGCAAGGGTCCCTCTTGCGGTTTGCTCATCCGCAGTCCAGCCATCGAGTTGCATCAAATGGGATAAAGCCGTCCGGTTTGGATGCTGTCGGCCAAGCTCCTCGAGTTCTTCAACGGCGTGTTGAGAATAGCAAGCAAACCGCGCTTTGGAATGTACGGTGATGGTGCCTTTGGTCGTTCTAGGTACCCCGCCTGTGGCGGCCGCCATCAAGAGTGTGACTATTGTGCTTTTTCCAGACCCGTTCAAGCCGACCAGCCCAAGCCTCTCGCCAGGGTGCATGACCAAGTCAATTTCTTTGAGGGTCCAAATTCCCGATTTTGGGTATTTGTAGGAGACTTTGTCGAAGCTGAACAGAGGCCCTGGATGCCGAAGCGGCTCAGGTTGGTCTGGTAGGGTGATAGTCACAGGAGGGTCAAATCCAGGAATCTCGATGTCGTCTCGAGCTCTGTTGTGGAAGCCTACAAGATCTCGATTCAATTTGAACCGCCCTCCGTGTTGACCAACCTCGAGACCAGACCGTTCATCGAGCTTCTTCCTGCGAGACGCCGCCTGTTTGAGCTTTTTGTCGTCGCCAGTACGCTTCGCAGCTTTGATATTCTTCGTGATACTGTCCTCCATATGCTTGTTCTTCTTTTCTTGAGCCTCGGACATCTTGGTCATCCTTCGGATTTGACGTCTTTTCTCGTTTTCATACTCTGTCAGGTTGCCCTTGAACACTTCCAGAGTCTTCGCTGGCGCCAAGCGGACCAACAGCAATTCCTGGGCAATAGCATCGGCAAAGTCTCGATCGTGGGTGACCACCACGACAGTCTTAGCAGCCAATGAACTTCTGATGAAACGCTCCAACCAAAGGATCGCAGGCAGGTCGAGGAAATTGGTCGGTTCGTCGAGCATCAGTACATCGACCTGTTGTATCAGGGCGCACGCTAAATCGCAGCGAGTCCTCCATCCGCCCGATAACGACACAAATGGCCCTTCGATTTGTGGCTCCGAAAACCCGAGACCAAGAAGTATTTTCCGCGCTCGTGCGTCGGTGCTTCCAGCATCCATGGCTTCAAGGGCTAGGCGAGTAGCTTCCAGCATCTCAAGGCCAAGCTTGGTGGCTTCTTGCTCGTCTTCAGCGACTGGGGCTTTATCATAGCTGTCTTGTGTTAGATGTGTATCAAGCACCAGGAAATCACTCGCCGTCGGTGAGCCTCCTCTACAGCACTCTCTTTTTCAATAAGAGCCTGACGGGCTTTGAGACCTCTTGCACCGCTTCTTCTTGTTGCTAATAGTTGAGCTTGGGCCAATTCCCGCTTGGCTTGTTCGAGCTGAAGTGTTTGGACGGTCCTAACTAGCTTTTTCATTTCTGCCTTTTCTTCCAGAGCTGCCGAGAGGCCTTGGATGGTGGTAATGTTGTCAGCATTTATATTCCAGGCTGGAGACATTAGGACTAACGATCGGCATCTCTCAAAGCACTTTCCCGCCTTTTGTCGCTTTTAGTGACATGTTCCAGCACAGTTTCGGACAAATCTTGCGACTCTGAAGACTCTGCAAGGGCATCTGAGCTGACACGGGTCTGCCCGAGAAGGAGAAGACGCAGATTGCTGGGCACACCAGGTATTCGTCGTTCTGCAAGTGCTCGTAGGAGGGAGCTCTTTCCAGTTCCATTTCGGCCTGCGAGTACGTAATGAACACCGTCTAGGATTCGAAGATGCGCGTGATCCAGCAAGTCCCGTCCCCCAATGGAGAGACTCAGGTCCCTGACGTCGATATCTTTCGACGTTGGTGCATCCACAGCATCGACATGAAAGCGACTTTGTTGACTGGTCACCACGAGAGTCCCATCGACCGTGCTTTCAGCATCTTTGAGAGATCTGGAAGATTTGGAAGACTTGGGCATTTTGAGAATGGGTCAACGGGAGCGCTACAGGTAAGAATACGAGGCAAGAGGATTCGTCCGAATATTCAAACCTTTGACCTGGGAGAATCGAGCTCTGGGGCTTGTTGGTCATGCTTGAGCAGCCGCAGAGCTTTTCAACGTTGGACACGATATTGAGAATGCTCGGCAATGGCAGCTCTGGCGCAGAGCTGAGCGAGACCCGGCAATACCGAAGAGGTTCGATTCGTGGAATCCTTTTCATGACTCACAAGAATTTCTCGGCGGCTGCGCCGTTGATCGTGTCGACCACTCACCACAATTTGAGTGGTACTGATTTCGCCGGCGAGCTACTAGGTGGAGGAGAATGACTCAGGATGTCGAGGCAGATAGCCCTAGTAACATGGCATCATCTAGAATGCTACTCCGTGTACTCCAAAGTCTCGATGTTTCTTGTACTCTGACAAAGTCCACTCGTCTTCGGGGAATTCACAACGCCAAGCATCTTGGCCCAAAAAGGTTAGTCAATCACGTGCCAAGTCTGCGCATTCATCCTCGACATTCATCTCTACGCAGTCTCGGAAGGTTCACATCTGATAGTAGCACCAGCATCGGCAAGCCCAAGAATTGTAGGGTGCCGATCGAGCGTAATGGCACAATTCCGGCCGAAAAAGCTCGACTTGGCTGGCTTTATCAACATCAAGATCATCCGAGATCACGGCAAACGAAAAGCCTATGAGCAATTCGAACCTCAAAGGTAACCACCGTCCCCAATTTCTGGAGAGACGACCGCCCACCGCAGGCGAGACGGACGACTGACAGATCTCCTCCCTTACAGGCAAGCATTACGATACGTTATCCGAAACACCACTCTTCCACAATGGATGCGAACACAAGCCCAACTGGAACTGCAGAAAATGCATTGCTACACGAGACCTACTCAAATCAAAAACAGATGTGTCATGGGAGGTGTAGCAAGAAGTGTCTTTAGAGATTTCAGGATGGGACGTGTAAGTTCATCCACCCAAGACCTGGCACCATGACTGCTGCGCCTGCGAGCTGGACCAGGAGAACCTGCGACGAACAGGCAAGTGGCTAACTCGAGCTTTCCACAGTTCCAATTCCGCATGCATGCCCTCGACGGACTGTTACCTGGTGTCAAGAAAGCAAGTTGGTGATCTGTAAAAACATTCAAGAGCCTTGATCTGTGGCATAACGAGGCCTGGAGTTGGATTGTACATATACTAGACGAGACACGGATACAATGACTACCTCTTCAACTACCGAACAAATGCTACCTCATTCTGGACATGCGAAATACGAATGGCAAGGTCATTAATGTGAGCCAACGGCCCGTCAAACCATTGCCCAGCATCTTCTGGGGAGCTGGTATGTGGCTCCCGACAATCCGTTCTGTTCCCTGGAGTTCAGAATGACTGACAACAATCTCGTTGTCTCGGTCTGTTCAATGAGTCGCTTACTTGGACCCCATGGCATATACTTTCCTTCCCGCTTGTCGATCGATCTCGATGCATTCTTGCAAGCCCACGAGGTTGAATATCTCCCTGGGTCTCATTGAAGCTTCAGCCGGAGAAGCCTTCCCAGTCTTCTTAAATACTTCCGACTCCTGCTTGACAGCGTTGACGACAATTCCAAGGCAAATTCCGGGGTGGGTCATCACGGGGGAACCCAACTTGTGCCTCTTCAACTGACAGTCGGCCCACCCTGATCTGTATATGGATGTACCGCTCCTGTGTGATTGAGATGAGTATCAGCTCTGCCATCCCTGTGAAAATCCCGACTCACCACACAGGTCGCATTCATCTCGCCAGCAGAGCCAGACGGGCTGTCAGGCCATCCTTAACAAATGGGCACAAAGTCATACAAATTACTACGGCAGCCTCGAGAATCCGTCACAAGAATCTGTTCAGAGAGTTCTCATTGGGACCCGGCCCAAGTGATGCTGGCTGATGAAAAGTCCCAATTGAGAAATTCTACCTACCATTTAAGGAAATTTCTGGGAAGGTCTTGTCTTGGCAGTAAAACGACCTTTCTCATTTCTTCTGGCTCTCAGGATGGTCACTTTTGCGCTGTTGGTGAAACAGAACACGTCCATTCGTTCTCTTTTGGCAAATCTTCTTTCTTGTACCGTGGCCGACATCATCTGAGAACTGCCTTAGCAAAGGGCATGAAGCGGCTGACCTGATTGGGGCTGTCTCAACGAGAACCCGACGAGCCCCAGATGGATCGCCTTTCTTGCTTCTCGGCTGTGACATCCCGGTGGTGGCAGAGGCGTCGGAGCTGCCGTCCTTGGTTCGACAAATGAGAAATGAGACTTGTTCGGGAGCAGCGTGACATGCGACAAATGCCTTCACAGTGAATATGTTGAAGAAAAGGCAGTCAGACAAAACGATGGGATATCGTGTGAGACCGAACTCCATATTGAAGGATGCAGGCAACACGAGAAGAGCGTAGTTCACACATGCTGGTTACACGTCTCGCAAGTGGGATGTCTCGCTATTGACATCAGGTGTATGAGTTTTGGCCGAGGAACGTTCGTTTTCGTGTTACATGGAACATGTCACTGCACCTCGGAACATTCCAGAAGATGTCGAGAAGGTGACTCGAAGTGGTGGAAGTCATGGTAAGGGAGACTGCATATCACGAAACGAGGAATGAGTCTGACGACGATGCCTTCCTGCATTGGCTTTGTGTACCATGAGTACTTTTTCCGTTTCGCAATACCTCGCGCGAGCAACTAACTGTCCCAGTGCATGTTCTGTACGAACGCGGCTCGTCTCCAGAACTTCACCTGTTTAACCCTTGGGTGTGCTCACCGCTTCACTGGGCAAACATGAGCGATGATACATTCAGACGCACTGCCTTCTTTTAACATGGGTCGAGTCTACCCCAGCTAGTCACCTTCGAGGAACTAAACACCACCCAGTCATCGGCTGCTAGTCCGTTGTCCCTTCACACTGTCACTGTCACAGGATTCCTTTGACTCAACAGAACAGTGAGAGTGGCTGCCATCGAATCTTTGATGCAGCCAAACGCTTGCAAACAGGAAGACAAACACCTGTCTCCAGTGATGATATCCAACAAGTATAAAAGCAGGCGCCAGCACTGTTCTCAACATCCCTTTCCATTCATCCATATCATATCAACTTTGGAAATTACAACCTTTCGAGACCACCATCAGAAGACAAAGATATATCGAAAATCAACCAACTCAATTCAACCAGAACCGATACACCTGCCATTGTTTCGATCTCCAACCAAAATGGCCAACCGGTGCATTTATTGCGGAAACAACTTCGAAGGTTACCAATGCAACTGTGAAAAGAACAAGGGCGGAGAAGGCTCTGGCTCTGGTTCTGGTTCTGGATCCGGCTCGGGTTCAGGCTCAGGTTCGGGTTCAGGTTCGGGTTCCGGCTCCGGCTCATCCAGCAGATGATGCGTGGAACGTCCAACTTGGCAGGACATTCTCAGGGCTAGGCTAGCCGTGCTATCAGTGACGGTGTCCTTGGAGCGGACAGGAATGTGATGAGTACTCTTAGAGATCACGGCTGGTGTCTTTCGTGGCTCCTGCTGGATGATTGTCGGCAACAGACAACGAACAAGACAATGTGAGCCAAACTTGGACATAACTGAGCGTCATGGCTGAATAAATCGACCAAGGCTGGCGAAGGGGCTGCGGTTCAGCATCATTATGCCGGATATGGCTATCTCTGGCGCAATAAGCGTCGAGATACTGGTGCGGGACCACTACGACTTTATAACGACTGAATGATATGCATGGCTGCTCACCTTGGTTGATGGCCCCTTTGTACAACTGATTATACCTTAGCTGACTGAAGGAAAAGTAACAAATGCCAAAGCATCCCATCCTTGCCATGACTTTGATACCTTATCTGCCTTCATCGTACCAGGCAGGTCTGGATCCCCTTCTATTAACACGATCCTTTTCCGTATGTTCAGGTCTTCACTATCATCACCCTATATACCTTCCGGATCCCTCCTTTACATAGCCTTCCACCCATCCTCCTCCTTCAGATACACCACATTCGGCGCGCTCCTGACTTTGAGTATACTCATCCCGACCTTCCCCAGCTTCGGACACGCCTTCTCCAACCTCTCCACGTCCTCCTGCTTGACCAACTCGATGCCCTGTTGCCAATCCTCCTCCTCCTCCTGGCCTTCAGTGCCCGCGCGGTCCGGCACACCGACAATTTCAATCCCTTCCAACGCCCCGCCGACCTCCTTGTATCCAAAGCCCTTGACCAAATCTTGGGCCCAATCCTTCTCCAACAGCACGGCGACCGTGAGATCGACCAATCCAGCCTTGCCACCGCCAGCGCACGCATACACCAACTCGCCCACCTCGACGGGCCTGAGACTGAACATGCCCAAATTCAGCACCTTGACGCTCCTCAAGGCCCCCGTACTCAGCTTTTCGAACCTTTTCTTCACGGCCGCGGGTGCTCGCCCGTCACTCGCGAACGGAAGCACGCCTTCCGGCATCTTCTCCTTCTCCTTCTCCTTCTCCTTTTTATCACTCTCGCCCTCCGCAGCACCTTCCGACTCTTCAAGCTCATCGCGCCGCGGGACCGGCACAAAATCAAAACTCGCACCGATCAGCCCCGGCACAATCAAGCTCGCAAGTTCCTCGCCAGCCACCCGCGCGAGGAAATCACTATCCTCATGTCCGCGGAACGTATAACTCACATCGACCACTTTCAAACCATCGCCACCGCCACCGCCTTCTTCGCTGCTGTCCTTCGTCTCCGCGCCGCCGTAGCGCTTCTCTAGAATCTCACCGACGGCCTTGAAAAAGCCCGGCCGCGCAAACGAGTCAATAACATGCACCTCCTGCAATTTCTCACAGTTCTCAAAGAAGCGCTCTGCATCTTTTCTCGAGGCGTCGTCCAACCCGTCGATCAGGCAACTGAAAAACGTCAAGCTCGTCAGATTGGGCAGGGACTTGGCCAGTCTGCCCAAAAAGGGGGGTGTTCCGGGGAATCCCAGCCCGAATAACTCGAGCGTGAGATGGGTGATGGAGCTGGGCACGTTGGGCAGGGGAGGTTGAGTCAGCGGCTTTTCCTGGAGCATCGCCTGGTATTCGTCGAGTTTGATGTCGGCGGTCAGGGTGAGTTCGCGGAGTCGGGAGGCGTGCGGTGGGAATTCGGGCAGTGTGAAGTCCTTCAGCGGGATCTGGGCGGCCAGCGGGTATGAGTCTGGATCTGGACCTCCGGGCTGAGGTTGCGCCGATGCGCCATTTGATGGTGGCTCGCCAGTAGCCATTGAGAATGGATTGATGGTTGGAGGGTTTGCTTGCTCAAATACAGAATGGGGCCAGTTGCTGGTCAACCCTTTATCGTTTTTCCCTTTTTGGCAGAGCAAGGCTTTGTTAAGACTAGATGCGATGTGATGGAATGGCGACAATCCGTTGTGTGTCACGCCTTGTGTCTGAAGACTTGATTTGGTGTTTCGAGTTGCTGGTCAGCGTACCCGACTAGTGTATGCTGTCTGCGCGCCTCGAGAGCTGTCTTAACTTAGCAAGTGTCTTCTTGATATTGAAAACGCGATGGTCGGATGGTCAGATGTGGACAAACTCACCACCAATATACCTTATGTAGGTACATACCCCTCGCCATGACTTCGGTCTGCTTCCACCACCATCTCACGCGTTGAAATGCCGTTGCAATATTCGTCGGCGTTATGGTGCTTACCCCTCGTGCCCCTCAAATCCTGCAGGAAAAGACCCGTTAATCGCGGGGAAAGTGACAGGGATTGCTGCCCGAGTCGATCGGCAGTGTTGTTGCTGAGCATTATTGCTGCCTGTGCTACTGCCTTGCTTTGAATATATTGCAATCGTTCGAGATGATGGCTGGGTTGAGTCCTCGAAATTTGGGCCGTCTGTGCAATGGGGGAAGAAAGGGTTAGTAGTCTCCGGCCCGACAGGGGCAGGGCACGTTGGCGTGCTGTAATACGATCATAATACGTAAGTGGAATCTCAGGCTTCTGTCTCAATTTGAGCTGAATGCAGTACGGTGACGCCCATGGCCAAAGAATCAGAGCCCGACAAACGCCAGGACGCCAGGGGGGCAAAGGTTGGAAGATCGCCTTCACAAGACCCGTGTGCGGAGTAGATACGAGTACCTGGTACTCGTATCCGTAGGATGGAAATGCAACGCAAGTGCCTACCTACCTACGGATCACCGGGTCTTTGGGCGATCGGAGTGTAAAGTATGTCTAGCTGGCGATCGAGAAAGTCAGTCCTTCTGGATCTCCGGTTAGGACTAACTTAGCAAGAAAGGTTGTCGTAGCTAGGCTGAATTTCTGTAACACCGTGCATGCTTCTGAGTCCATTTGGAGTTCTCGCGTTAAGCCAGGCGAGTATTCGAAGGGCATAGTTGGATTCGAACACTGCCGGTGACAAGGCGGGATCTTGAGCCTGCTCGCCTGGAATAATGTTGGACTCTGGTTTTTCAGCTGAAGCCCATCTCGATCGACGATTCCGTCAAGATCTGAAGTGTTGAGCGGCCCACCCAAATTTCAGGCTATCCCAGCTGCCCCGACTTCTGGCATGGGGTATCCAAGTCTAACGTAGGCCCACTCCCCCAAAATCTGCCATCGGGGTCAGCCTCACTCACTAGTTAGTTACCTAGTAGCCAGATCAGCACCGAAAGTACAAGTACAAAAGTGAAAAGTATAAAAGGAGCACTGAAGAGGTGTCGATATGAGGCTCGATCACCACCTGTAGGCCTCGTCCAGAACTGGGTGCTCCTTACAATTTTGTCTTCAAAAGGGCAGGAATTCGATGGGTCGACTAAGTCGGGTCGAGAAGCATCTCTTCGGATGCAGGAATTCCACCATTGCCAAAATCGTGGATGAGTGGTTGGGATGGGCGCCGATGGGCAGGACACGACAAGCCACCATGACCTTGGATGAAACATGCAGGGTTATGTTCGTATTTCGAGAAAATATGCTGTCCGCAGCTAGGTGCATGTGAGAGAGAATGACAGAAATCTCTCAGCCTGACAGATTATTTTTTCGAGCTTCTAGGCGGGCTCATGCTTATCAGTGCTTGAATGTGTGTCTCGCCTCGAGAGTATAGGCGACAGTCAATAGGCGCTTTGGGTACCCATAGGATACTTCCAGGCATCCGTGACGAGCGACCAAAAAGAAAATCGTTGTCTTTAAAAATAATACTGTCATTCTCTATCACGTGCGTCATTAGCGTGGACAGTGTGGACAGTACATTTGGTTCACACCCTTGACACCTCCGTACAAATGGAAGATCTCCTCCATTGGGAGAAATCCTGTGACCGCCATGCACTCTCTGATGCTTCTAATTGGACTTAGGCGCACGCAGATACTACGTAGATGGCTGATAGCCATTCACAAAGTCCGGTTGCCTTCTGTCCGTCCATACGGCTGCCAGCCGGCTTGCCACGGTGGCGGTGGGTGGTTCGCAATGTCATAACCTGCAATATCTACCAGGTAGATATTGCCAAGGGCTGCCGGCGCTAAGCCTTTGTGTCCATCCACGTCCATCTCAACATCGACCGACTCTTCATTCCCAGTACATACCTTATTTCTACTACACAAGGCACAGCCAACGGACAAGAAATCCTAGATGGACATAAAACTCCTGTTGATCGAATCTACCAGCACCCGAAGATACGTGTACGACCCAGTTCGTTCATGCTCAGGAAATGCGGTACGTGCTCCAATGCTAGAGCTTGGGAGGGGGCTTTTTTCCACAAATCGATGAGATTGTCATGAAAAGTTGTGGCGGCTGAGGAGCCGGGCATTGGTGCTGGCAGCGATGACTTTCCCTGCTTGACAGACACCGCGATATGCTTTTCTGATCGATTAACGAACGAATACAGGCCCGCTCGACACCATCGTCATCATCGTCATCATTACCCAAAGAGCCAGACCTGCCCCGCATAGAGCAGGAAGGAAAGCGCTACCCGACAACGACGACAACGAAGGCGCCTGAGCCTATCCCGCTTGTCTTTAGGGTCTCTCGAACTGAGAGAAATGGACGTGTTTGGTGTACGAAGTGTTCGGCCATGCCAGAGGGGTTTCGCAGCAGGTATGAGCTGTACCGACATATCGAGAATTATCACACAGCAGTTCGGAAGGTATGGGTCTGCAAGGACGCCACGGGATCTTTCCTCTCTGGCTGCAAGGCCTGCACGACAAAGCGGAAATACAATAGCGACTACAACGCCGCCGCTCATCTTCGACGAGTACATTTCAAACCAAGGACAACTTACACAGGTCGACTTTGCGGACGAGGTGGCGGAAGTGATCCTCCTATGAAAGTCTTGAGGCAATGGATGGAGGAGGTGCGTGTGCGGCGATGACTTATGATGATTGATGGATTTAGCGGTTGCTACATGAGCGGACTACTTGTCAGAATTAGCGGAGGGTTTAACAGAATACACCATATTCATCTAACTATAATGTTGACCTACCTGGTACTCTAGCCATTTGTCAATGATGAGGGGCCCATCATCTATGCCCGGTTTTAGTGGAAAGGCTCCGAGGTTCTACTTGTTTAGCAAGGCGACAGGTGTCAACACATATCCGTGATTTCACGATGGATTACAAAATTGATATACCGTCCACTTACTGGGAATGTAATCTTCCTTCACGTATTCCACTTTTTTTCGTTGTCTTGTCGTATCTTTCAGTTCTTCTGAAGTGATAATGCCCTGATCTCTAGGGTCGGCCCCGCTCGAGCGACGCTGCAAGTCACCGCACAGTTGCGAATTCTTTTGAAGCTCTACGGGTCTCAACTTTCGACTTTCTTCGTCCCTTGTTTGAGGACATAAGTAAGGCTGAATTCGAAGGAGTCTGACCACAATGACTCTTTTGCGCGAGAACGACGAAATGTTCAATTATAGTTACCACGTCTGTTCACACATCGAGAAACTCGAAAGGACCGCTACTTTGAAGAAGAAAAAAAGACGAGCTGGGTTAGAATAAGATATCGCATTTCGAAGTTTTTCTTTTCATTTATCCCCCAGTGCTAAAGTACAATTTCAGCTTGGTAATCGCATTGATGTGGATCACTTGTTTTTCGTTGTCGCATAATCTCATAGCAGCAAAAGCTTGGGTCACATCAATCAGGATTCTTTGAATCAAACAGTGTGGAAAATCAACTCATAACATCGTCCACCAGCACATCAAGAAAGCTCAAAATGAAACCCATCTTTGGAAAATGGTCGAAAAGCGAGGCTGATGATATGCCAAAGAGACTCTTGCCTGTGGCCGATGAACATGCCTGATATGGTTGCAGTCACAACCGGCATAATATCCAGGAATGTCGATCCGCCTCCAGCGTAGGTCGACTTAGGCAAGACCAAAATCGACATAGGCCGATTTGTGAGCGTATCCAGACTCTGCACTGGCGGCATCCTTGCCAGTATGTTCGGTCCAAGTGATCAAGACCTTCCAACCGCCGTTGGTGATATCGTCATCGCCGAAATATCCAGCATGAATGCCACCGGCATAAATGTAACCTTCTGCAGGGGAGTCGATCTTCGTAAGGACTTTCTCGTCCGACCACTGGCTTGTCACAATACGATCGTACTCGTCATTCTGATCAACATCCAGGTCGAGTGGTAGGTGTCGATAATAAAAGGTATTGTCGGCGAGAGTATTGAGGTAAACCATGACAAAGCTGCGTAAAGCCGGGACGTAGACCAGGTCCAGGTCCTGGATGGGGATATCGATCATGGTCGCATTTGAGCTTGATGACGGCATATCATTCGACCAGGACTTGCCGTCCCAGTAAGTGTAAGTGGATAGGTCGGTGAAGCTATTTGGCGTAGTGCGTGCAACAAGAACGCCGTGATCGGTCTGACCGAAGAGGTAGATGTTACCACTATTGCCGCCAACACCGGATGTCCCCCAAGAACGAATGCCGCCCAGGGTTCCATACGTAACCTGGTCTTGCTGGTAAATCTGCTTTGCCACGCGTTGTGCGGTTGGGCCATATTTCTCATCAACCGATACGAGGAGAATGCAGTTGCCAAGGTCGTGGAATACAGCAGATTGAGTACTCATATCGACAACATCATACACCAATGCTGGATACAGTAAAGCGTGTGAGGCGTTGAGGGGAATCAATGAAGATTCTGGCCAGACGGCATAGCGGTAGCCGTCCCCAGAGAGAGCAATGTTGAACGATTCCTCTCCGGTTGTCATGGGAGCAAAACCTCGCATTCTGCCAACATCGTCTTGCCATTCGCCGAGATTGTCAACCAGATCAAGTGGCTGACCCAAGAGTGCCTTCATACCGTCATCGGTTGCCACAGAGCTAGAGACGAATCCAACCATTTGGCTTGACGTCCCGTCAATCTGGAAACTGGCAGTGTCGCAGAAGACGAAGATGTGTGTCGAGTTGATTGTGCCTCCTTTCCCTCCATCTCTTGACATATGTGGTACTACCTTCATATTTGCAGTATCGAGGTTCAAAGGTATATCTTCATCACACCAGACGCCAGTATCACCTGCGACCGGATATTTTGTGATCAAGTCGGTATTGATACCCGGAACGAGGATGCCACTTGCAAGTTTCTCTGGGGTTGCAGGAACATGGCTGACGTATTGAGTGGTAGGCTTGTTGGTAGAACTTCCGAGAATTCTGACTTCTTTAACAACAAGGTTCGAGGATGAGCTTGCATGCTTGGAGCGAGGTGTAGGGTCGGATTTGAGTGCTGTTGTACAAGTCGAAGTAGGCGTGGCAGCAGTTGCACCGACCAAGTGGATAGTTGCTGGAAGGGGGTTGTTCAAGGATGATTTGAGATAGCAATCATCTGCATCCTTGATACGCTCGGGGGCAAACACAAACCCAGCACAGCGACTTCCAGGGACATTCTTGTGATTGCACGTCTCACATTGTGCCAAACAGTCATCGAATGAGCCAGCCAGAATGAATGGGTAGATGTTTTGATCAGGGAAGTCAATGTCGCAGATCAAGGTATAGTTGTCTCCATTGTCAATGAAAGTGGTGCTATTCGCAGCATAGCATGATAGGTGTTCTGGTGGTGGAAGAGCAGTGGCGCAGTTGCTATTGACGCAAGGAGAAACCGGACTGGCGACGACGATGTCTTTGGCCGGAACAGGGTTCTTGATGGTAGGGGTTGGGAGTTCTCTTCCTGCCAGAGCAGGATGGAAGTGATGATGACCGTGGGGATGACTTGTCGACAAGTGAAAGAGCGAAAGAAAGACGCATAGCAACAGCATGACGCTGAAGGGAGAGCTATAGGGCGCCATATTCCACTGTGATATGGATTAGTTGTGATCGTAATTTCACTTTTTGAGTAGAATTTACCTGGAAATTCACAGCAGAGACAGTGTCGCGCTCAGCGCTCAACGAAGAGATGTAGGGAGTTAAGGAAAGTCGTGAAGGAACGAGTGTGTAGGCTTGAACGTGCGCTGCGTCTGAAGGAACGATGTTTGAATCTTTGGAACGAGTGTGACTGATGTGAGTGGAAAAGAACGAGCACAGCCGAGTTCACTGTACGCGCGACCTGTGTTGATAGGGAGCGGCAGAATCACCATGAACGGATGTCGTCTCCGAGCCAACCTCGGGGTGCCGAAAGAGTTGCATGCAGTGAAGTTATACCATGAGCAAGAAGTATGATGTTGGGTAAGTCCGATGAATGGGAATTTACAAGTTGAGAGCCGCTCTGAGACGTCCAAATGCTCATAATACCTACTCATCATACATGGATCTTTCTCTCTTATGCCACTCCTTCCTATCATGAAGTACTTGGTGTATTCCCCAAGTCATGTCGCTCATTTCAATCCTTGACCAATAGCGGACGGATTTCTCGTCGTGGTACAAGGCCAATCTTTGGAAGTAGTTGGCGTTTCGAATGCTGTTGGACAGGTACTCATGCACACGGACTATGTTTTCCAGCCATACGGCCGTGGTTGTCTCTTGCAGCTTCCTCGAGCAAGGCGCAAGACACTGTGCTGCTTGTGTGACAGCTGAAAGCTGGACCCTTTGCCCGGAGCAAACAACGTTGATCATTCAGCCTTCTTGGCCAACTCTCGCACCTTTGGCGACGTAGTAGCGTTCTTTTCCAGATCAGCGGCCCACAGCGCTGCACCAACAGTGTTGGTGAATGCAAAGATGAGGTTGGCAAACGGTATCATCTCTAGGACGAAAGCCGCAACACCAAATGACGTATAGCCTCCTCGATGCTCCTCAATGTGAACCTCCCGTTGTCTGTTTGACCACTCTTTGAGTTGGAAATACCTGGTATGTGCAGCTGGACCTGCTCGCTTTCCTTGCAAGAGGATGAAGATGACCGTTCCAACCACAGGGATGAAGTTGAGCGGCAGGTACAGCAGATATCTGACAATTGCGTTTGGTGTAAACTTGGCAAACGGCTTTTTGATCAATTTCCCCAGCCGAGCAACATTGTCACCGCTTGCCGAGATTTGTCTGCCTCCTTCAACCAGATTGGTGCAATCACGAGAGAGTAGTGTGCCGTCAAAGGTGTCGATGATGGCCTCTTCGATGAGGAATGTGCGCGAAAGGAGGTTGATTAAGGTCGAGCTCTCGCTGAGAGTCAAGAGGGCGGCGGAGATAGCAGCGACTGGCCCAGATGTGAAAGCCATGACGGCGGCTTGTGGGACGTATGCAACGAGGAACATGAACGTAGTAACTCCAATGCTGAGGGTAATGGTTGGCGCCAGTCTGGAGATCAATGGTCGCCAAAGGTCCTTGTGCGAGACGAAGTAGAAGATGCCCTACAGCCTGTTAGAGACTGCGAGGCTTTCAGACCCAAGATTGCATACCTTGAAGGGGTACAAGTAGGCACGAGACTGAACGGCCTCTTTTGTCATGACTCTGACTCGCTCAGCTTCCTCGGCCGCAACTTGTTTCACTCTTTCACTCATCTTGGCGGTTGGAACTGAGGTGGCACGCTTCGAGCTGAATTGAGTATCTGCTGCAGGGGTATCAGAGGGAAAGGGTATGAGAGGAAGAGAAAGGTGAAGCTCAGTCCTAAAAATTCATCATTCATATGCCGTCGGAGGGTGCAGCCGCTGAATGAAAAAGAAGTGGTTAGACGGGTGACGTCACAAATGTACTGCGTAGCGAGGTAGTGACATCGAAATTAGGTAAGCCTACTCCGCCAATTACAAGGGTCAGGCAACCTGCTAGGCATCTGCGACCATGAGGCCGCATAATCTCACCTCGCCTAAAAAAAATATACAAAAAGCCATCAGAACCTCTCCTTTAGCCAATTCAGCATCAATTCTTGATATAAAAAGACAAAAACAATCAACAATGAGGATTCGCTGCTCGTCACCGACGCAACTACTAACTCATCGGCATGCGGCTTAAGTACGGCTGAGCGGACGGGAAGCCCTGTATTACGCATCCTATGGTCGATTGTGGAAGCTATCCCAGCACTAAAATATATATCTCTACAGCTTTCATCATGATCAGCTTAACCACATCTGACCCTAGCTACCTACCGTGCTAACAGTACCTAGATTGCTCGAGAATGAAAATCCTGTTCGCCAGATGCGGCTCGGTACTGGCGAGTGGGCAAGGCTGCTTTAACATGATCTCTGACTGGCATCCTGAGCAGATGAGGGGAGCTCACTAGCACAATCTACTTACTTTGGTCTCCAGAGATCGGCTACAACTTGCTCTCAGCTAAGCTCCTGTTCCGGCTCAGCCTCAACAGCACCCCAGTGTCTACCGTTTTGAGTCGAGAATAGTATGAAGCCGAATAACTTATTCTCAATCATTGACAGACGATCGAGCAACCCTTACTACCTTTCAACGTGCCAGCTGGTCCTGTTGCTTGCCAATGATGGTCGCTACTACTACTAACAACGACGTGTGACCCGGTGTATCAACTCCACACTCGTGCTCCCTCATATGCCTTTTCCTAGTCAGATCGACCCAGTTTGAACAAGGCAACCATCTCGTCATTCGTCCTTACCTTGCCCACACCTCAAAATATTCCCCGCCCTGGCTTTGCACAATTGATGTGCGTTGATGCTATCGTGCATCGGCTACTGTATCCGTTTGGGATGCTCGCCTACTTCACGATACGAAGAACTTCTTGAGCCTCCCAGTCATGCTACTCCGGGCCCGCAGAGCTTCGGCCAACTCTCTTCCCTCGGCCGCTGCAAAAATGTGTTCGACTGCATCTGCCAGGTCCTGGGGCGCAACGTTGAACCGGTACTTCTTTCCTGCAGCAGCCCTCTCCTGCCATTGTGGCGGATGCCGAGGATCTCTCCCAGTGGACCACGCCCCATTCTCGATGAACAAACCTGTTATGCGGGTCCAGGGTCCTCCACGGAGGCGCGCAGGACCGTCCCTCTTAACCAATGCGTACGCCTCCTGCAGATATTCCTCCCAGATCGTCAATTCATCCTTCTTAAGATTGGGATTCGCACCTTTCGCGAATAACGCTGCGAACAATTTGTCTGCAGGCTTTGCGGGGTTTATCAATATTATGGACGGCAAGCACTCCCGCAGTAGAAAGGTGCGCTCTGTACTGTGGTCCGAATCCAGCACAGGGTGAGCGCAATATAATTTGTTCACGTCGAATATTGAAGAGCTGATCTTGGACGTTGAGTAATGCACCAAGCCGTATGGTATGATGACCCTCAGGATCGATCCAACAGACCCGTATCGCTCCTGCTCCCGTGGGTCTTTGAGCAGGAGGCTATGAGCAAGCTCAAAGAAAAGTTCGGTAAGGCCGATATGTGCAGGACCTGTGGAGCATTCGAGCCTTTCAGCGTATATGAAATATTGTGCGGCCAAATGTGATAAACCTGGTTCCTCGGGTCCGATGATCTTCATTTGAGTAAGTACAGACCGACAGAGAAACAGAAACGGATTCAAGGAGCCAGAAGAGTATTGCTGAAGGATTTGTTTGATGTCTTTGGATAAGAGGAAGTCTCGAACCGTTCGATGAAGGTAGTCCACGACTTGATCTCAGGTTCAGCTGTGAATGTGGAAAGGGCGTCCTGGAACTCCTTCGAAATTTCCTGGCACTCGGCCGTGATCTCTTGAAGTGCCTCTTCGGCACGTGTTAAACTTGTTCGGCTGGACAGCGATTGTAGGGAGCTGTCGATGCCTTCTCGCAGCTGCTGAAGTCGCCCTGTTGCAATATGGAATTCGTCATGTTCGATGACTCTACCAGTGGCGCTCTTATGGAGCTCATGGCCCTTAGCGAGCACTTGAATGCCGAAATCTATGAAGCTTATAATATTGGAAGCGATGCCGAGAGCGGTGAGTGGATCGATGACCATTTTGAGATTCGCTAACTACTAGTAAGCATGATTAAAGATTGTTGTCCTCTGGACCGAGCTGATGAGGCTGCAGTAAGAATCTGGACGCTTTTCAGCTTGGCACTAAACTGGAAGAGAACAAGCTTACATGTAGGAAGCCTGAAGGTGCTCAACGCGGTATTCCTCATGAGCATTAGTGTTTCCGTACGTCTCACAACTCACCATCGGCGACGCGGCGGGCAGGGTCCTCGGTCAACAAAGGCCGCGCATAATTTTGCGTGCTAGCCTTTATTGACGGACGCGCTGATTACGGTCCGGTGCCGCTGCACAGCACATATCAAATTGGCAGGCACGGGCAGGACGAGGCCAGGCAATTACAGGACAGGCATCACGAGAAGATCGAGGAGGGGATGCCAAAAGCCAGGGCAGGCCCCCATGTTGAGGCTGCGTCGGACCACTGCTTTCGATGCGGAGGTTTTATCGAAAAGAGAGTACGAAAAGAAAGTCGTTGTGCACGAGTCTCCGTGGCTTCTTGACTCATGATGTCCGTCACTTACGAGTACTACCTATGCAATGTTGATCAGCTCACTTCCACAACATTACCTAGGCACGTTACGGAGTAGGCTAATAGGCTATGCTCCCCTGCTTGTGTCAACAACGCGGGTCGTGTCGGCGCGTCGCGTACCCGCCGCGCCTCAAACCTCGAACGTCAAACGTCACTGATCACTAGGTGCCCACTGCACCGGAGTGCTTCGTACTTTTTATTAACCTACTCTCTTGTGAGCATTTTGGCTGGAGCACCACGTCGAGTTCCACCATCTCTATGTCACTTTATTTATGGAGAAGACGAGTATGATGCAGATCAGGGTCTGAATCATGTGGAGGAAAGCCAGGATTTCCGGCTACCCCTGGCGCTGGCAGCAAGGAGAGAACTTCGAGGTCAGCGAAGAGAGTGAGGGCTCTCCAAGTACTAGTAGCTACTCGATATTAGAGCCCCTCGTACCCGGAGAGTACATCGGAAACCTTCCACGGGAATCTCGAGAGGCAATACACATGAAACGGAAGTTGTCAAAGTTCTTGGATTTCAACCACAACAACACCTCTGGCGAGTACGTTCGTCATTCAGTCACCGAAGTCCCTGTGAACCCCGGACTGCAAATTCAAGACTATGGACTCGTCGGTCTTCCCATCACCGACAAGATGGCTACCTCTCTTCTCCAATATCATCGGGCTCTGAACAAAACGTCTGACGGCGATCTGGCGGTCTTCGGCGAGCGTGACATAGATTTCATCAACAACCAATGGACGTCGGCCTCGGAAAGCGCTCTGACGACATTTACGGAAGTGCTGTACCCAGGGTCCGAGATAACTACTCTTGTCAACCCTCGATTCCTCTTGTGTACTAGCGACAGCGACCTCGATACAGCATCCAGTAGATTTAGGTCACCTGACGTGCTGGGCACGTGCATGTTCACACTGCCTTCGGTCCACCAGGGATACAGAATCGAGCTCACCAATGAGACAGGGCGAGAAACGCTTTCCTCTGGTGCCAGAGATTGCTTCTCAAGCTTGGGGGTTGCGTGGCTGCGAGACACGAAAGCCAGACTATCTGGTCTAGCGCGGGGATGTTTTGCCGCTTTGATTTACGACATTGACAATACCTACCGCCGCCGCGATCAATCGTCGACCGCACGACAAATCCACAAGCGTACAATGAGGCTCCGAGGACTCGTGGCAGAGTGGTTTGAAGCACCGACTGATATAATTGGTACTGCGACCAGCTTGGCGTACAGGCTACCAAATCTCTATAACAACGAGGAGCAGCTTACCATAGGAAAGTTGGACCCTTGTGACCGCGCTTTGATCAGGATTTTGGACAAGGCCTGCGATGGCACTCCTTACACCATTTGCTTGGCCAGTATGACAAGGACAATCACTGAAGACGTGTGCGGCGACCCGGAAAATAAAGTCGAATGCCCTTCAAAAGGTATTGATTACTTCGCAATTGACTCTACCCGATTGGTCATGGTTTCGGATCTCCAAGGACATGTTATAGCAAAGAATGCTGAATTCGACAAGACCTGGCTCGTTCAGGACGACGTCTACGAGAAGGATCGCGAACCAAACCTTGATGACGACGAAAGGGATGAAAACGACCCGGACCATTCAGAGGAAGAGTTCGAGGAAGGCCCCCGGCGCCACCAGTATGATGACACGGTATGCTTCACGAAAGCGCAAGAAAGAAGCCTTGTTAACTATTTTAGGTTGTCCTGATCTTGACGCAAAAAGATCTTGTGAATTTGCTTGTTTGTCATGGACTATCTTCTGAGGCTGAGCGAGCTAAAAGCATCCAAGAAGCCCACAAGAGGTGCAAAAATGAACCCGACGATCGGGCGAAATCGCTTTTCCTACAAGCACTTTGCAGACGGATGCTTGACAAGGTAGAAGAGGAAATGGAAAAGGAAAAGAAGAGGGCGCATTCTGACTACAGGATTTCCAACTCCTTTTACAACCCGATTATAGCAGCTGGTGCGGCCCAGAAGCCAAAACAGGACGTTCTTTTCCATATCATCGATGCCATCGCGGAGCAACCCAAAGAAGCTACAATAGTAGAGATCTTGCGGAAGGCCATCGAAATGTTGGAGATCACGCAAGAGGAAGATCTCGACAAGATCATTGGCATCCTGACGGTCATCGATTTCGAGCCGATTGCTTACAGGTGAGGATTTTCCTTCTTTCGCTCACCAATTACATTTGATCATGCACTCCTCTAATTGGCAAGCAGCCTAAATCAGCCGTTCAGACGCATACTTCAGCTGAAGGATCGACATGAGCGCATCCAGGCCCTTGAACGTCGATGCCTGCAGTCGGTGCCTTCAGCACACCCGCAACTGAGAGACTGGGCTGCAGAGCACCTAGCAGAGTTCTACTGCTTACGCTCTCAGAGCGATATCAATGTCGTAGTCGATGCACAGCTGCTTGCTCAATTGGCGCTGTCATACCGAAACAGCTTCATGGATGTGTAAGGGTCGCCCCCAGCCCCTAAAAAATATTCTCTTTTGACTTATCGTTTCCTGTTCCACAGGTTCCTGGCACCAGGAATTGGCATCGATTGTTGTGAAGCACTGTTACGCGGTTTATTACGGATTCAAAAGAGTGACGCCGACGCCGACGCCTTCGTAAAGGCTCAAATTCCTGCCATAGTCCAGACTCTCATCACGCTGCTGAAGTCGGGAGAGATCTGCGTCCGCACTCCTATCGCCAAGTTGATCGTGGACGCCAGCACCCTTGACACCGGCCTCTGCAACGCTCTAGTCAGTGCGATGCTGGACTCACCTGCCATGAGAAGCAGGCAAGGAGGTACTAGTCCTACAAGTATCCCGGCTGTGTTCGAAAACCAGCTGCAAGACATCATCGAGTTGCAAGCTGCGGGCATACCACCCGATCACAGATCGATAATTGCCGGTCTTCTCGAGTCCTTGGCCACAAACTTCTACGTTTTCCAAGTCGGTCGGCCTCCCCAGAAATATCCCAACCTGCAACGGATGCCCTGCCTGTGCTTATGGCATTCGCCGCAAGGACAAGAAGTCAATCGATTCCTCCAAGATCCCAAAGCGGGGGAGTTCATCAGCGTCGCGTGGGATTCGAGGACGCGTGACGATATCATGCGGCTGTTACAATCGGAAGACCGAGACCTGACAGTGCGTATTGACAAGGTCCGCCCCAGAAGTTACGGTACGTACCAAATGCATCTACGAAAGGTCGACCGTGTCTGGGAGAAAGCCTGGGACACATGGTGCGGCAGGCGCAGCCAATACCTAGGTATGCTTAATCAACTGGTCAGTCAGAGCTTTCTACAAGGCGACCGGCACCAGTTCTTGAGGATAGAAGACTTGCAGATCATGGAGAGCCGCGTTCTACCTCAGGATGGTCCGCTTTACCCCAACAAATACTTCATTTGGTCCTTGTCACCAACGACAACACCGGCCGAGCTCACCGCCATGATCGAGAAGCAAGGGGGCAGAGTCGTCTCGATCGAAGAAATCGATGGTCCTGACGTGATAGGCATCAACGCCAGCTCAGCAGCACCACTCAACTTCGCGGGGAGTCCGCTTCGTTACTGGCAGCCGAGGATTGTCTCCGAAGACGAAATGCTCCGCGTGCTTCGAGAGTGTCAAGAAAAGGCCTCGACTGTCGATGGAAAGCGCAAAGTCGACAATATGGATCACGACCCTCTCACCGAGGACGCCAACTCTGATGGCCCAAATAAGCGGCGTAAGACACACGACGACGGAGTCGAGATAATCGACCTAGTCGATGACTGAGTATTGCTGGCGCCTTCACTACGATGACGGAGCATTCCTGATGTCTCTGCGGGCGCCTTTTGAAGAGTGGGAAAATTGATGATAACCTGGAAAATTGTAAAGATAGGATACCCTTTCCTGGCGCATTTTTATATCGATGTTTTCCTTGTCTGATGTATATTCTGGGTCGGGTCCCCTACACGGTGGCACGAGGGTGGTTCTGGCGTTATAGGGCCGGAGAAAACAAGGACCATTCTGAATCTTGATCTTGATCATCTTATGTCTGCGATCTGCTACCAACGCAATCAAAAGAACACGTCTGAAGCACGCGAGATATTCAACTGAAACATCAAACGCAATTCAATATTCGCTAGACCCGGACTCCGTTTCAATTACTGACTCCCACACGGTCAACAAGGCCTTCGCACGCTTCACTGTCTTCCCCCTGCTCTCTCAGCAGGTACTTCTCATCTACTTCGTGCTCGGAAATTCGAGAAGAGCTTAACCAATCAGTTCTCCGGTCGAGTGAAACCATGAAAACTTTCGCAATTGCTCATCGACCACCTCATACCCCTCCCAGCTGGACTAACAAGCACAATCATTGCTCTTCTGTTTGGCGCGATCCGCGAGATTGACCCTGGCTTCGTCTGCACGGTTTGCCGCACCCGACAAAGCGGCCTGAGTACCGCCACCACTGGCTCCTCGGGTGCCCTTCAACGACGTCTCTGGAATAGCATTGGCGATTGCGGAAAATACCTCGGCGACATTTGTGCCCGTCTTAGCCGATGTCTCGAAGAAGAGCAGACTCTCCTCCTCAGCGTAAGATTTCGCTTCCCTTGTCGAGATTTTTCGTGCGTCTCCGTCGTCCGTGGGCTCGGCTTCTATGTTCTCTCCACCGTCTTCATTCGCCGCCGGCGCAGCCTCGGTGTCGCCTGACGATTCGGCGCACAAATCGAGCTTGTTACCAACCAGTGCAATCACAATACCAGGTGAAGCTTGTCTCTGTAGTTCCGCAACCCAGTGTTTGGCCTTTGTCAATGAGGTGGGCTTGGTAAGATCGTAGACGACGAGGGCGGCTTGAGCGTTGCGATAGTACATGGGTGCCAGAGAGGCGAAGCGTTCTTGGCCAGCGGTATCCCATATCTCGAACTTGATGATCCGGTTGGGCAGGGAGATCTTTTGGGTCAGGAAAGCGGCTAGTGTATGTTAGTATGGCTTGTTTGGTGGTGTCTGGGTGGAGGGTACGAGGGCGCAATGGGGACACATGGGACGATACTCACCTCCGATTGTTGGCTCCTTGTTCTCTTGAAAGTCATTGTTGACGAACCGTAAGACTAGGGATGACTGCTCGACGTGTCAGCGACGATCTTTCTCCTCAATGCAAATGTGTCTTGGATAGTCCATCTCCTTCGATCAACCTGAGGATAAGGTGTCGCAATCTCAACCATGAGACCACCTGAACCCCGTAACTATCATCATGAAAAACGTCAAGGTGCGGCGTGGCGCCGAGGAAAATGGGACCTCTTGGGATCAAGGTAGCAGGTACGCGCAACCCACCTTTCCAACGGCTGCTTCCCCGAGCAACACAAGCTTTACGCTGCTGCTGGGTTTGGGTGCAGATGATGTGTCGGCCATTGATTGTAGTGGTATACCTCGGAAGTTTTAAAGTACGCGAGATCGGCTCTGGAGGGTGACTTGAGCAGTCGGGATTCAACTGCTGACGAGTCTGATGTTTGCTTTTTCGTACTATGCTAAGTCGGGGTTCGGAAGGTAGAGGATGGGACGTCGGTGAATTGGGGATGCGACCAATCGATACGCTGCCGGTGATGAAGCAGGGATTGATGGAGGGCGAGAGATTGTGCGGATATTTTCAACACCAATTTGACGGTCGAGGCCTTTGTGAAGGAAATGGGCTGAGGTGGTTTGATGGTATGGTCTGAATGGAGGATGAGGTGCAGATGGTGGTTGGTTGCGCAAGAGACTGTGCAGCGCAGTGACGAACGCCAACCACCTGCACCACTCGAAATAGAATAGCGTATCATCATCATCAGTACGACTTTTGTATTTTATTTCTCCGACGCACCTTTTCCTCGTCCACAGCAGCTATTCTACGCCTGATCCATACTGGCCTTTCGTGTGCAACCCTTACCGAGCAGAGCCTCGTGCTACACTCAACGTCGTTGCGGCCCTGCTTCAATGTCACGAACATCACAAAGATACCGAGGGAGTAACAAAATTCTTTTTTGCGCATTGGATGCTGATATTATTCAACCTTCATACTAAGTCACACAGCAAACGAGCCATTCCTCCACTTGCATTTGCATCGTTTGATGACTCACGAGACGCTTCGAACCCGCTTCTTCATCCCGGGGTCCGTTCCACTACGCGTCGTTGCGTCCGGGCAGACAATGTTTCTGACGGCGACCCCGCCAATGTCAGATGTCCCGCTCGTTCACGCATCCCAATACCAGAAGATAACTCCCAAAAGAAATGTGACCTGCGTCATACAGTCTATTCGAAAAACATCCTCATCTTTTTTCCCGCCAGCCTTCCATGACCCATGACCCCATCTATGGTGGAACGCCGGATAAAAAGCAAAGGACTTTTTGATACAATACTGGTTGTACAGGAAATAGTCGTTGATGTTGAAATCCCCGAGAAAAAGTTGCGCCGTGGTTGATGCCAAAAACAAGTGTCGCCGGAAACGCTCAAAGAATTTTGAGAGTACTTGTACAGGGTAGTCGAAATACACATGGGGATTAAAAAATGGTTGGCAAGAACGAATGTGCTCGGCCGATGTCGAGACGCTGTCAGCGCAGTTTATGCATGTGCGCCTGCCTCACGGTTGGTGATGGTAAGGCTTCAGTGTCGACCGGCCGGCGAGAGAATTGAAGTTTGTGCGTCGATGGTTCTGATCCGCAGGGCTGATCCTGCAGGTACTGGACCACGAGCGATATCATTTGGCTGGCGGGGGTGGCTTGGGGACGCCGGTGGTGTCGTAGCCTCCACGACCGAGGTCGCAAGGAGCTGAATTCGAAGATGACGAGGAGGTCATTGTGTCTGGATTTGAGCCGTGTTAGAGAAGAGATGGTTGCATGAGGAGAAGTACCAGAGGTTCCAGAAACAATGCTCTTATATAGGGAGAATTGGCTGACTCACGATGTGATATAGAAGTTCGAGGACTGCGTGTCTTGTGGCCAGTAGGCTGCGAGGAAATGACCGATGTTGTACAGAGATATGGCGCTGACCGAGAGCGTCCAAGTACAGTGGAGGCTCTTTGTAAGAGGTGCTCGGGCGAGTCAAGGGAGGAATTGAGGGATGAGGACAGGAGGCGCGTCGAGAATTTGAGTTTCTTGCGCTGTCAAAAAGGATGCAAATGACGGTGGTCTGGCTGCTGAACGACAGGTCTGGAAATAGACTATCGGCGTATATGGTACATAGTACAGGTAGAATCTCGAGTCTCGGATGCTAGATTGCGGCCAGATTTTGTACGCAGCCGGGTTGTCTCGATCAAGGGGTGATAGATCGAGTAGATTGCCTGGGTTGGGAAATTCGTTTATCGGCCTGGACCTGGCTCTGTAGTGGTAGGAAGCAAGAAATCGGCAAGACAGGAATATGAACAAGACAAAGAATGTAGAGAGGAGATGTGAAACCAAAAAAGAACGTGTAACAGTGAGCCAGGTAGGAAAATGTGACAGATATAAGATTCGAGTCAAGTCGCAAAGCTGCAGCTTTCGAAAGGGGGTCGCGCGGTGCTTCGGATTAGCTGCAGGCATTTCTTTTTCGGACAGTCACCCACAAGGCTCCCTAGGAACGGAACCAGGCCAGGAACCCAGAAGTGGATATCCGTGCCTGAAAGGCGGATGGTGGGACCCGAGAGTGTAAGTGTTGACTTCGAGGACTAAGGAATGGGCTCTAGACTAGTCAAAAAAGTTGCCAACGAGACAAGACGGTGGTGACGGGTGCCGAGTGACTGTCTCGCGACTGGCGGCGGGATACCAGGGGAGACCATCCCGTCGAGGAGCGAGGAGCAAACCGAAAGTGCTAACGGCGACAGGATGGCGATATAGCGCCGAAAATGTTTCCATCAGACACGACTCGAAATTGTAAAACATTCGTGCCTGGCCTTGGAACTGGTGTGAACAGGATCCCCGATCGTAGCGCCGCGCAGGTTTCGTTCCTTTGTTCGATTTGAAGTGACAGCTAATATGACGCATCCGAAGTGGGATCAGGGCCTGGCTTGGAACCAGGGGTAAAGCAGGGGTCTCAAGGGGGTCCTCAATCCGGCTCCCAGAGCTTCGGGAAGGCCAACCTAACCATACATGGTGGGCTCGTGAGCGTTAGCGATGGTGACTGTGGCCGGGGAAGCCAGGAAGTGGTGCAGGACCGTAGGTCGAGTGGGTTGCTTTAACGCGCGGAAGGACGTTGACGAGAGACTAGAAACACTCGAAGCATTTGTTTCCAACCCACTGTCCCTTCAGAGATATGTCTCCGCGTCTTGACTCGCCCTCGGTGAGACGGAACTTCAGCCAGTTGCAGCTTGGATACGAGAAGCAACGTAGTGACTCGACTCAGCTTGATGTAGGAGTCACTACGCCTTGTTTTGCCATTGCCTTTTCTCTTGCCGTTCTTAAGATATCCTGCGCTCCTGGCGGACTGTCAGCACAGCAAGCCGAAAGCAAGTGGGAGGAAAATAACCAAACAAACGGTTTCTTTGGTAGGGCAGCCCCTGTTCATCATACCGTTGACAAGCTTAGGGATCACTAGGATCAGCTAGCGAGGCGAGATGGGACTGGTGCCAATCACCCGGCACCCTCTTGGCGCTCGTTTAGCCACTCTTCTTCGAACTTGGAATTTTCCATGCTTGTTGCTTGACTTCGCTATCGCACTTCCGCCGTCGTTAGTGTAGCCGGATCACTGCCGGTACCTGCAGAAAGTCCCACCGACGTCGATCACATCATCGCTCAATTCGGATGCTCACAACCGGCCAGGGAATTACGTGAGGGACCTTTGTTGACAGGTTACTGACAGTCCGACGACAGTTTGGCGGGTGAGCACTGAGCAGCAAAGAATTTCGGTTATCGTACGGAAGAGCGTGCATGGCCGTGGCCATGGCCAATGTGGTGCGCGATGGACCATGCTGTTGACCTGTCACAGTCCAGCCACTATCCGGAAGATTCAGCCTTCCGATCAAAAAATCGATAAAGCCAAACGGTTTGCTCAAGATTCTCGGATTTGTGTAGCCGTGGAAATGTAGCTTGCATGCAGTGTTGCTGTTTGAATTACGAAGAGATCGTGCTTTGGGGAATGGTGACAACGCGTGAACGATGTAGCTTGGCAGCTTCGAATAATGGAAGTCGCGACTTAGAGGATTACAGACTTGATGGTATTTTGATGGATTCAGGTTTCATCGACATTACCCTCGGTTTCCGGTCTCGAGCAACTCCATACCTCCTCCCGACTATGTCAAGAGCATCAATCATGACAGACGATAGAGCAGGACCCGAGTTCAACCTCGATCTTGAACTTGACCTCGACCTGCCTTCAACACGAAAGTCCCTGACCGATTGCCTTTCATCAGGACCCAAGGTTATGACATCTCAATCCAGCCTTCCGACTTTGTCGTGAACGAGGCTCAGCTTGTCCTCCAATTTGCATTTCCTGCTCCCCGTTGCATAATGCTCCCCCAGTCACCAACCCACTGCGGCCGCTAGAATGCAGCTAGAAACCCGGCAGATATCGTCTCTCTTCCACCCGCAACCTAACAAAACTCCTCCGATGATCTTGAGATCACGACGCGTTATTAAAGAGGTGAAAGATGCTTGACAGCTCTCTAGCATAGTACATACTCACGCCCAGAATCGTCAAATCATATTCACGGTCACACAATCTTGTCGTATCAGCCGTGTCGAGAGATCGCGGAGACCCATTCCACATCCCACCACCCTGGCCCGAATGCTTCCGTCACATTCAGTGGTTGCATGAGATCCTTGCTGGCCTCGCGGCAAGGCTACCCAAGCAGTCCTCGTCGAAATTAAACATGATCAGCCATGTGGCGGAAAGCGGATTTCTGACCAGGCCAGCTGCAAGCCTCACGCCTTGGGCTCTGACACCGTCCACACCGTTCAACTCAAACAGCGCCACCAAGAATGCCTCCCCGCTTCCGCAGACACATTTCGCTCCACCCAAAAAGTTGAAGGAGATCCAGAAAAAAAGAGTCGTCGGTCTCACGCAGCAACTACAGATACAAATACAATCGAGGTTGCACCATGATCGACGCATATGATCTTGCATAATGGCTTGATCGACAACGTTTGCCTTCGTTGCGCTTATCCCTTACCTCTTTTACCTGACATTTCGGATATCACATTTCGGAGACCAGGAAATGTGCTTGCGTGTGCGTGTCAGAATTGATTGTTATGATCAGACAGACGGGGAACAGGGCACCGCTTCCGTCTTTGCTCGCGCCAACATAGAACTGCTGCCTTGGCAGGCAAGGGACCTGGTTTAGGTTGGCCATGTGTCTCCGGGGCCCATTCCAGCAGTGTCCATCCATTTGGGCTCGGAAATTATGTGGTCAGCCTACCAAAAACGGCTCCTAGGGACCCTGTACCTGCAGCCACCCAGCAATTGCAGCATACGGAAGTACAGGGCTTGTGCATCCGGCAGATCGACTGTGTGCACTCCGACTTGGTGGAAATTCTCCTTTGGAGAACAACGAAGTGGGCATCGCCCAACGTTGCCTCTTCGACCTGCGAATGTCACTTAACCCACCGCCTTGGTGACCATTGCGCTATCGCTTCTCATCATCTCGGATTGGAGACCATGCTAGGCCCTACGAGTAGAAACTCGCTCTTGCTTCCAGTCGACGGTCCTGGAAAGTCTCAGGCGAATTCGATCACTGGCTAGGCGAACGGAATATGGGACACTTCGCCTCGAATCCACTTCCTTGTGAAACAGTATCGATATTGGCTCCGACCAAGCTCAGCCATTGAATCCAGGTCTCGGGGAAAGCCCTCGTAAAACAGTCTTGACGTTAAACAGACTCGAAGGTATTTGGAAAACGAATGTACCTGGCACTGGCACTTTTGCGGTCGAGGTACCTCGAGTGACTTGACACGTCCAGTGTCCATGTTGGTCTTCTTCCTCGAAGATTATTTCGGGTCCTCACTTGATTTCCAGACGTTCCCTAGTCATTTTGCTGATCTCAATGGCCTCGATATCGATCGAGCTAGGCAGAGGCATCCGGCGCTGGCTCAGAAGACGCAGCTCATAAGTTCCCCAAGACAAGGAATGCTCGTTTGAATTTTGATTCCTTCCCGTGACTGTTGGGTGTTCACAGCTCACTGTCGATTCAAGAAGTGGCTACCTCTGCTGGTACGAATATGATGGCCACGCGAAAGAACATTCGCTCCTCATTCCACACTCGCAGGCGTGCAGTCCTTGTTCGCCCCATGAACATTGACCTGCGTTTTCCAGCACTCGAGCTGCCAGCGACAGACACTGCGCCCAGCGATGCCCCCTTTGTACCAGTGAAGATACCAACAGGTGAGAGCACGGCAATTTGAACCTCAATGTCCATTCGCCTCGTCCGTTGCCCGGCTGGCGGTAGGTAAGATGATACTAAGATCTATCTTCAAGCCGGGTGTTGCTCTTGAAGACCGCATTAATTTTTGGTGTCCCTATCTGACAACTGCTCGGCATACTGATGCAAGAGCCACAATCTCCTGCCGGATCATCCCCTGAATTCATGACCCTCCCTAGTGTGCCTGATTGAGTCCACGAAATGTTGCGCAATTGAAGGCCTTCGACAGGACCGCAAGAGCCAGTTCGTGTCCATGAGCGCGATTCCCGAGCTTTCAGCCTGTGCCCGAGGACTGACGATCATGGCACAAGATCAAAGCGGCAACGGACGTAGCAAAGAACACTATCTTGTTTCGGCAATAGATGTGGGAGCAAGTCTGATTCGATTCGATTCGTCGGTCACTGACCTTGACCGCCTGTCAAAAGACAATAGCATGCCCGTCTATCTGTCCAAGGCTGGTGGTATCAGAACGACTTACTGGACACGACTATGAGCTCTGGTTTTGTCAATACTCGCCTGTCCACGAGCCGAACTGTCTGCCCGAAGCGTTTCAGCAGCATCCCGCTAGCGAGCAACACATAGGTCTAGATAGTTCAGATCAACTCGATACTTCGATGGCAATGGTACCAGGTAGTCTGGAAGATATCGTACTCAAACATGTCGCGCCATACTCATTCAGCTGCGTGATATTTGGAAATTATGCACATCACCTGGAAGTTGGCGCCGACAAGGCCTCCATCGTTGAGCCTTTCGGTTGCCGTCGTTGCTAGCCCCCAATCCTCCTCGATTTTCGAATCCCTTTCCCGGACAGGATCACATCTTGACGCTGGCGCTGGAGGTTCACTTAATCCCTCTTCCCACAAGCCCATTACTGTTTTCCCCCTTATGAAGCTTCTTCCGATCGCCAGGACAATACCACTTGACCGTCCGTGGTGGAAGTTCCACCAAATTAACGCATTCCATGTGAAACCATTGGCCGAAGTCGCACTGCGCGTGAACCATCATGTTAGCACATCCCACACGAAAGACACTGTGCAAGTCATGGTGAAGGGGATGCTGCACCGCCTCGCTTGCTTCTCGCAGGTACATACCTTCTCGTCCAACTCACAACAAATCATCTCTCCCCAACTAACGTCCCCACAAACACAATACCGCTCCTCATCTGGATCAATAATCTCCTGGCGCCCGTCCGTGTCAATCCTTATCTGCGGGAGGACTGTTGCATTGGCTTCCGGCGTGGCCGCTGCAGCAACCTTGGGCGTCGATGTCGACTTCTGATGCTTGGCCGGTTTGGTCTTTCGCTTACTGACACTAACAGCCGCTCCACCGTCCTGGCTCGACTGCATCACTGTGCCTGGTGCATCGCGCTTGCTCCGACGACTTGCGGCTGTGGATTTCGGGCTGAGTTCGACGCCAGGTGTCTTGCGGCCTGTGACAGATGGTGTCATGGACGCGCGTCGACTGGGCCTGGAGGGCTGTGGTTCAACAGACGCTGCTGCTGAGCGGCGTGAGGGCGGTCGTGAAGGGAGAGGCGGCGTGGATTCGGTCTTGGGCGCCACAGAGGCGCGTTGCACGCTTGCTGCTCGAGTCGTTGGAGCCGGAGTAGGTGTTTTCGATTGCGCCGCGACAGGCGTCGAGACTGTGAGTTTCAGTGGGATCTTGATGGTTCCTGCGCTCGGAGCGGCAGGTTCACTGCCAGGCGCGGTGACAGCAGACGCAGGAGGACTTGACGCTAGAGGCGATGGCTTGGGTGCTGTCTTTTGCTTCTTTCTCGCGGGGTCTGGCTCTGAGGATGGTGATAGAGACGACGTAGGGGTATCTTCTGCCTTTCTCTTCTTGGACGTCTTTTCGACTGCTTTCTTGGCTGGACTGGCCGTACGGTTGCCCGTGGGTGTGCTAGCGCTGCGGTTCAACGATGCCAATGCTGACGCGAAAGGTGCCGTGAAGAGATTACGAAACTTCGTGCCTATGTCACCAAGTCTTCTGGCTGCAAGTTCTGCTTCCTGAGCAGCCAACGCCGCCTGTGATCGGGCTGGATCTTGCTTTTTCTCCTTCTTTGACTCCGACTTTTTGGCCGTCTTGGGCTTGGAAGCTTGAGCCTGAGTTGGAGTGGGCGCTGCACTTGGTACCAATATCGTATCTTGCATCTCTTCGGCCGCCTCGTCAGGCACATCCGCTTCCTTTTCGAATGTCTCTGGCTCGTCCTTTTCCTCAAATGTCTCGATCTTCTCTGCACTCTCTACTCTGCTTGCCTTTGGTCTTGGCTTCTCGGTACTATCGAGGTCGTAGAATGTAGTCCCGTTAGCCTCAGCTTCGGCTTTGGCTCGATAGTAATTCTCCCACCCTCTTCCTCGATCGGCCAATTCACGTCTGATCATGATATCGCTAGGCTCCCAAGTATGGTTCTTCTTCATCTTCTTTCTGAGTTTATACATTTCATACTCGGTCAAGTGTGTCCACGGCCTGTATTTGCTTCCAATGGGTGCATCTTCAGGGGGAGGAGTGGGTTTGTGGTATGGCTCAGTGGTCTCGCGAATGAACTGCTGAGAATCCTTGGCCGAGGTAGCCTTCTCTTTCTGTTGCAGGGTCGGCACTGGCGCTTTCGGCTGTTTGAGCTTGAGGACCGGGCGAGGGGGTGAGGGTGGAGGTGACTCCCAATCCGACACCTCTGTGCTTGCGATGGGTGAGTCGGGATCGTATGGAGGCAGAACCTCCCCCGGCACAGTCACCCGCCGTCCGCGGGGTCTCTTGAGTATTGCCGACGCAACTGCACTGCCTCGAGGAGGGTGTAGGGTCAGACGTGCTGAAGTCCCTTCCAGTTTTCTCCCGCTGCGTGAGCGTTTGATCTGCGGTGAGATGGATGGTGGGGGCGTAGGGTCGCGTGAAGGGGGTTTTGGTATGGCATTTAATTTTGCTAATATGCTCTTCATCCGGTTTTGATGCCTGTCGACGACATCGTAGAGTCGACAGGCCTCGCCGTAGGCTGATTCTCTTGCGTTGAGCGCATAGTCGAGGTGGGAAGATATCTGAGTGCGGAGTTCTTGTGCGTCTGAACGAGCGGTCCGAGCGATCGAAGGTAGCGAGCCGTAGAGCTTGGTGAGGTCATTCAAGGTAGAGGTGTGATTCAGATATGTTTGGTCGAGGCCCCGGACGAGGGTGAGAGATCGAATTAGGTCCGCAGGAAGGTACTCGGTATAATCAAGGAAGTCGGTGACGGCAGCCTGTGCATCGGGGTCGACAGAGCAATCACGCCCAATGTCTGCCATTGTCACCATCGGGGCTCGTCGTTAACGTTGGAGGAGCATCGCGCGGACTGAGGGAGGGAGGGTCGAAGCAGTGGGTCAGTCTCGAGGTAGTCACTTTCGCGGACACTCAACAGCCGGGGGCCCAGGAGATGAACTTCGCGGAGACGGGGAACGATTGACACCAAGGCGTGCAGCGATGATCAGCCTCTTCCATCCTCTTACTGTTGCAGCGACATGATTTCTCCAACAGACGCGACTTGGGACTTCGCGATGTCCAAGGCGGTGAAAGCCGGCAGTATGTTTGGGCTGATCACGTGCAGTCTCGCAAGGCTCACAATAAATTGTTTCTGTCTGATGCATAGTTTGACAAATTCACACCCTCGACACGTGAAGACTAGGCTGTGGGAAATGTTTGTCAGGCAAAAGAATTACTTGGCCGGGTTGCCCCTTCCTCTCACGTGCCCTTCAGCCTTCTTCATCCTTGTGTTACTGTCTCCCTTCACTCATGGGATTCCTCGACATGTCTTATAACACAACATTCATCGTGCACTTATTTTACAGGCTGACATCTTAGAACTGAATGTAATCGCTCTTTCTTATCCTTCACTCAAGCCTTTAGTCGCCTTGCATCAAAGGACAAGCCCTTCAACTAGACTGGTTGATCTTTACTTCTCATCCTGCCGACGTTAATTCAACTTGTCACTCCCGCTTCAATTTTCTTCTCTTTTCTGATCTCCCATTGCATTGAGTCCCTTGCTGTCTTCATCCCATGGTCTCTTCCTTCAGACGCGAGTCCAATTTCACGATTTGACGATTTGACGATCTCCATTGACTGCACGCACCCCTGCCTCAAACTTGCTATTGACGCCCACTTGGACCGCAAAAATGGCTACCACACCAAAGAGTCGTCTTAATCAGTTGTTCGCTGGGAAATCTCTTCCAAGTCCTCCGAAACCCGGTGAAGTCCACTTCTCCGTGAAAGAGCTTGAGCAGAGAGCAGCCAAAGATCAACAGCAAACCTGGAAGATCCCCTCCACTGCAGAGTACCCGCGGAAGATCATACCGCCGCCAAAACCTACCGCGAGTGCTGATGTCTTGAGCAGCTCTGAAGACGAGGACGACTATGTTGCGGCTTTCAGACCAAAACCGTCAATGATTTCACCTAGCAAGCAGCCCAGAAAATCAAAGGGGAACCCCAAAGATGCTCACATTGAGCCTAATCGTGCAATTGAATACATTCCTCAGGGCAAGGTCTCGTCCAAAAGCGCGAAGGAGCATGCGGTTTCAGAGCCTTCCAATGACAATGAAGGACTCCCAACGTCTAACGCACAGGGAGTACCCGTCACTGGTCACTTCTGTCAATTCTTTCTGGCAGCAAAGTTCCCCTACAAGTACATGAATGACGGCAATGACAGAGTCTCGAAATGCTTCTTCGCTGACAATAAGTTCTACAATCGAACTTGGGACATGTAAGTCGTGCAACTTGAATGACCATATTGGCTGTTGAGAGACCTCCTGTCCTATCACCCCCTGACATGGTTGGGCTTGACTAACCTCACAGTGCAGCTACTACCTCCATCCACCTTCCACGTTGAGCTCCAAATCTATTGTCCTTGTTCCGCATTCACAAGTCCAACACCTTGTCAACGAAATTGGCAAGACGTTCAAGGTGCCGGTCTTTGTGCCAGAATTTCCGTTCACCCTCACGTTTTTCGACGATGGCACTCCCCAGCCTCAGCATCTAGGCACCTCGAACTCAAGAGACGAATTTAATACTCTGCATAACTCTATCCCTCCAGTTGGAGAGAATCATGGTGAGCGCCCTGCAAATGCGCCACGCACGACCAAACAAGATTTCGCCGCCTTCAGAGAAAAGTGCCAAGATGCTCTTGCAGCTAGCAAGAAGAAAGGTGGTGCTACGGCTGGTAAGAAGAAGAAAGAGGACGACCGGCTGCTGGCTGTGCGGGACTGGAACTCGCAACTCAGAAGAACCCAACGATACCTCGGCCTGCGTCGCAAATCAGTCAGACTCCAACCAGATGCTGAGCTCTCGTGGGCCGAAGAGCAAGAAATCCGCAAGAAAGCCATCATGGAACCGCTAAATATCCACAGCCCCGCACCACATCCGTTCGAGAAGGAGCCGGTTATCATCTCGATCGACGTCGAGTCATACGAGAGAGCTCACAATCTCATCACCGAGGTCGGAATCAGCACCCTTGACACTCTCGACTTGGCGGGCATCGCTCCCGGCCAGAATGGCAAAAATTGGATCAATCAAATCCGATCACGTCACTTCAGAATCAAAGGTCGCCAGCACCTGGTCAATAAGGACTTCTGTGTCGGCAATCCAGATGCTTTCCAATTTGGTTGCTCTGAATGGGTCGATCTCAACGAAGCTCCAGCGGTGGTTGACAGTTGTTTTGAATGGCCCTTCTCCGTACAATACAAGCATGCAGGTCTGGAGGATCCTTGGGATCGTGAGCCTGCCACCCACAACAGTGCTTCGGATGCAAGTACGGGCACTATGAACCCTCAACAAGATGGTATAAACAGAGCAGCGATTTCCAGCGTGTTGGATGGGCTCGGAAACTCTGATGCTATTACTCAAGCCATTCGTAAAGCAGAGGCCGCCCGAGATCCCAAAGTCCTCCAACGTGGTTCCAAAGAGCGAAACATCATCCTTGTAGGGCATGATATACGCAGTGATCTCGAATACCTTCGCACCTTGGGCAGCAAAATCTTCAAACCATCCCGTGGTGCATATCCTGTAGCAGCGATGGAGGCAGTCGACAACGGAGATGGTGTTGCCAAGATACTAGGTTCTGTTCTCGAAGCTCTTGACACTGCTCCATTGTACAAAGCTTTCAAGGAGGAATCTCAGCACCGCAACCTTGCGTCGATTGCGACAGATTTGGGTCTACAGTGCTACTTCATGCACAATGGTGGCAATGATGCTCGGTATACCCTGGAAACATTGATTGCAATGGTTGTCAGGGCTAGATTGAAGGAGGGTGAAAAGGAAGCGGGAGACGGGGCCAACGGCGAAGCAAAGAGAAGCTTCAAAGGCGGCTTTGACGGACCCAGTGATGCTGGAGCAGCAGCTAAGGCGAGTTCTGAGGCAGATGGGCTTATTGCTTCCACTGAGCGTTTGGGAATGGATTCATCGATTAAGGACGATGACGAGGAGTGGGAGCTGTAAGTAAGCTGGAGATTCGTGGCTGACAAGCACGGACGAAGGGTAGGGAAGGGACACCAATTGGATCAGCCCGAGAAGTCATTGTCTGACGATTCTCTGCCTGGGTGAGCTACAAGCTTCGAGATTCTCGGACACGCGGACGCTGCTCACAAGTTGCAGCAATTGGCGCCAGCGTGCTACCATAGACTGACAGATACCAGTCATACTGTATGATGATTCCAATCACGAGCTTGAATGAAATAGTCATGTCACCCAGATTTCTCCCTTCCGACGGCGCCCAAGGGGCTAAGTCGGTGCTCAGGAGTAGACATAGGTAGATCCCTTGATTGGAATCGACGCCAGCTATGAAAGCTCTTTGCTGTTCACACTCAAGGAGGTCTCGCATGGGAAAGATCAACATCGAGACCAGTACCACTCACGATGGCCACTCCCACTCTCCAGCGGGCAGGCATCAAGTTGCGGTCCCCGCCAATAACGTCGTGGTCTGCGTCTCCGTCACACCCAGCGTAGTTGTCAATGTCTGTCTGATTACCACTGTCGTGCCTGCACCGGTCTGAGCGTCCGGTATTTGGGATGGGCTGATGATAGACTCGACCAGCCACGTCTTTGTGGTTGGCATGGTCACAGCGACAGTGACCGTTCTGTCTGAGCTGGTGGGTGCTGCGGAATCACCGAGGCGACTGCGTACGATATTCGAGTCGGTCAGGACGGCGATGGCGGTGACCGTGGAGGACAGGGAGAGCGTCGTTGTTGTTGTGAAGGTTCCCGAAGTAATGATAGCAGGCTAGACGCCATGTCTCGTTAGTTTCCGTCTTTTTCCTGGGCAAATGGAACTGCGATGCGATGGAACAGGATTTGCAACTTACACCGGAAAAGCTCACAACACTTGTCTTTGTTGTTGTTCTCGTGCTGCTCACCAAGCTCCAACTCTCACTACTTGTCACACAATTCATTCCCGTGGCATAGGGGAGACAATTCTCCACCCTGACCAGGCCTGGCACCGGCGAGGACGCACCGACCGCGAGATCGTACCAATGTGCTGCGTAGTAGGCCACTGGTCCCTTGGGTGTTCCTGTCGTATTCACACGTCCACCACCCGTCGCAGCATCGGCATCGGCATCGTTTGCAGTAGCAGTGGCGGTGGTAGTAGGAGTTGCGGAAAAGACCGTAGCAAAAGCCGAACAATGCCCATCAGCATCAAACCGAGCGAGTTCACTCGAAAAGGTAACCCACTGGTCGCAGTCGGTAACTTGCACGGGCACCATTCCACCACCGGGTCTGACGGTCGTGCTGCATATCTGCGTCGTAACTGGGGAGTAGATGGTCTGGCAGCCTGAAGGGTCGAGAATGATGCGGGCCAGGTCCATGTCGTTATTTGGCTCCTTGTCTTCACGTCCATCACGTTCATCACCACTACTGCTGCTGCCTGTTGCTGTTTCTGTTGTTGTCGAATCCGCATTTGTCGTCCCATTATTTCCTGCCATCGTGCCGGCCGATGGTGGTGGAGCAGATGATGATGTCGGACTCGTGCCGTTAGCCGTCCTCATCACAGCCGTCGAACTCGTACTCAAGAACACGGTCGTTCGTCCATCCGCCAACACTGCTGTAGCATTGACTTGCACGGGAAGATAGTCCGTCGCCAACCCTGTCGCTGTCTCATCACTGATAGTGTTTCTTGCACTCCCAGTCGTCATCAGCGTCGACATGCTCGATGAATTCGTCGTGGGTGACATCGAGAAGAATGGCAGGCTGGAACCAGCAGCCGTGTCGCCAGGGCATATTGTAGCGACAGAGACTTGGATTACCGTCGTAGGGAACATATATGATGAGATTGTGCCGCCAAGGGTATTATTCAGTGGCGCAATTACGGTCGGAGACGAGGAGATCGTGCTCGCGAGGGCGGATATGGAGATGGACATGGTGTTCATCGTCGGTGAGGTTGATCTTTGCGCCGAAGCATCTACGGGCTCCCTCGTGGACAGACCAGGTGACTCTGTAGTCTCGACCAGCGCGTCCGGACCTTGTTGACGTGGCCTTGGTTGATTAGGATGATTGTGAGATTTGCCGTCGTGACGAAAAGCACAAATTCGACCCGCCAGAGCCGTGAGGACACGCAGAGTCTGAAGCTTCATTGTTCTTGTTAGCGCAAACGGAAGGGTAGGGGCAAAAAATCTTCGCCAGCGAAGACTCCGACCACGACCACCAGGGACAAAGAAAATATATAACAGGCGCAGAAGGAGCAAGAAATAGAATGGCAGGGGGATCGAAGTCCAGTGAACCATTCTCCAGTTCGAGACTCTGCTGGTGTCTACTGGAGCTGGGCTGGAATGTGATGGTTCAAAACCCGCAGGTTATGGTTGGTATGTACGCGCGACGAGCCCCTTGGGAACATGACGCGCACGAGATGCACCCTTGACCTGACCTGCCCGGCACGCATTCAAATACCCAAATTAGTGGTACCCTTTCAAAGGAGATTCATTTCGTATTCGCACATCCAGGATGGACAGCATTTCTCCTCAATTGCCTGACCGCCCATATCCTGAATACTTCGTACACTTGTGCTCTTTCCCACCAAAAGTATCGGGATGAACCAGCTGTAAGGAAGGATATCTCAACCGCGCGTTTCTTGAGCTGGCAGTCACCGCAGATAATGGTGAGATTCGGACTCCCACGCGGCTCCTTCTTCAGGCCTGACTTTCACAGGCCTCGCACGCCTTCACTGTAACTTTGGCTAACGCTGGTTGTATCCGACACAATGAGGGCTTCGATGAGGCTGGAGATGGGCTGGCTGCCATTGCATATCCCAAGTATAGAGTCGTCCATGATGCTGTCAATTTGGCAGCCGCTGCAATCGTAGGTCATCTGCTATTTCCACATTGATGTTGAGGAAGGACCAGGCTACGTGCAGAATGTCTGCAACTTTGGAATCTAGTGAGATCGATATTGTTGCACGACCCGCTAGGATCTGGAGGCTGGATCTTGATCAACCCCAGGATTTGGGCGCCACCAGCCGTATCCCGGTCCAGTATTCTGGCCACTTCCTTGAGGCTGGGCTTGGGTATGTCCCTAACTATACCCAGGGTCCTTTCGGCTGTTCTGGCCTCCTTGAGGGTGATGCTGGTCATCATGAAAAGCGTTGCTCATGAACTCCATCTCTGGATCCGGATTCTGCTGAAACTGCATAGGCCCATCGACTTGGAATTCCGCCGGGAAGTATTGGTCAAATGCCATCATGGGATCGTACATCGAGAAGGCTTGTGAAGTCGGCAACTGTTGGACATTCTGCGGCATCGTGGTGTACATCGAAGTCGAGGTTGGTTGAGTCGTAAAGATGTTGGCGTCGTATGAAAAGTTCTGGCTAGACATATCCGGCATCATAGCGTCCTGCGGTTGGGTCTCAGGCTTACCGGGTGGTAACAGTGGTACATCGTCAACATCGCGGCCGACCTTCTTCGCAGACTCTCGCAGCATCGGGATACAGATCGCCCAAGCTCGTCTTGCCGATGAACTATCTTCACCAAGAGCGTGCAACCAGCGAATTCCTTTTTTGCTGGCTTCCAAAACACTGTCGACCTCTTCGGGCATGTGATTAGCACGGAATGTGATTTCGAGCATCAGCACTGAAGTACATTGAACGAGCCAATGCAGGATATTCCACCAAGGTCCAACTCTCAATAAACCAATGGCATTCGGCTCATCGGGAATGGATGCCAGCATCTCCATGGCAGCCTTGACACAAGCCGCAGCAGAGTTGCGATTGAACTCGAGTGACTTCGTAGATTGGTGCGGGATCTTGCGGTCAAGGCGGCAAAGACATGGTCGGTGGATGGTCATCTTCGCGCCGTAGTAGAAAAACCCAAGACTTAGGCGATATTCGTACGAGCCACGTTCACGCTGCTTTCTCCGAAATGCAAATGCTTGTGGGAGTCTCCTGTACCATCTCTCAAGCTGCTCGTCAAGCTCTTGGATCTTGGCCTGGATGTCGGACCAGGTACCTGTGACAGATGTGGGATTGTACAGTCGATGAAAAATGTTTTGAGACATTCGACTCAGTTGCACCAAATGCAGGAAGTAGAGGGATCCGTTGGGTGGGAAGTCTCTTGCCCATTCCATGTCTCCTTGATTGGTAGGCATGGAGGGCGACCGTGAATCGACCTTTGTTTGAGAGCGAGAACGATCTGTCGAAGGAGTTGAGTTGGTAGCGCTGGGCGTCTGTGTGTTTGACGCGGGAGCTCGATCGCCTTGCTGTCTTTCCTTGCTCAAGAGTTTCTGACCGTCCTCCGAGTCGAACAATTCTTCCTCTAACGGAATGGGAAGTGGTGTTGTGCAATGTTCGTCAAGGATGCAATTAACTCTGCCTGTCATGTTACAGAGCCGGTGCTCCAGGCAGTAAAGGGCCCACCATACGCGATAGCGAATTTCTTTGAGCGAATTTTTCAGATTGGCACTGTCGTTGCGCATATTCATACCCAGCGAGGTAGCAGCCCGGATTGCCACGCCGATGAGAAGCCATGCCCTGCTTCAGTTAGCTGATGCGCATGTGAGAAGCCTGCTGTTTACGCACCTATTCACTTGACTGACACATAGCAGGTAGAATGACATCAGTCCCAATACCTGGATATGTTGGAGGTCCGGATGTTGGAACAAAGTCTCTGAACTCATGGTCAAAAGTCGGGCTCGCGTAAAATAAATCAGGTGATCGCGCTCGTCGCCTCTCCAGTCTGCCTTGATAAGGTGGGAATATCTTGCAGCGATGGCGAAGATCATGTTCAGAATAGCCAGCCATTTCTCAGGCGGTCTCTGCACAGTCCCACCGATAAACTTTCGGAATTGAGCCCTCAGATTGACTTTCCCAATGACGGGAAAGCTAGGATGGACTCGTTCCATGTATGCATTAAACAAATGATTGGCAACCTCTGGTGTTGGTAGCTCATACGGGTCAACGGCTTCGAAGGTGAAGATAGATGTGTCGTCCAGGTGGTAGTTGTAGTCGTTGATGGTCCAGCCTTCTTCTGCTTCAGCCAGAGGGAGTTGGGCATCTCCCGGGGGACGCATCGAGGAAAATGAGGTGACAGATGCGTCTGCTACTTTTCGTTGTCTCTCGTCGCCCAGCATGTCTTGTGGGCGATCCCCGAACTGGTTCTCCTCGCGCAAACGTTGGAGCCAGGTAATTTCAGAGTTCTTCCCCATGTATCCGGTGGCCCTGGCCTGTTCGCGGGTGAAATCCTCATCGGTCCTATCGAGAGCACCCGTCGAGCCAGCACCAGCGGAAACCTCTGATTCGGCGCCGGAGCGGGAATCTTCTCTTTCGATACTGGGTATCGCAGACACCGTGTCCAATGTACCACCATCTGTGGCGGTTTCTTCGGCATCGTACATCTCCTAGGCATATCTCAGTCAAGTCCATCGACTGTAATGAATGTCTCACCTTCTCCAACGATGCACGAATCAGTCTTGCGTCTGCCTCGTCGACTCTGTCCATGAGTGCCCTCAGGAGTTTTTCGTAGTCGGTCACCTTCTCGGTCATAGTTCCGAATTGCCTGGTCTTCCGTCAGCATCAACTTTGCCGCAAGCAGAATTCGGACATACTTCTTGACTCTATCTCGCTTCCCATCCGCGTAGAAACATGTTATCTTGAAGTCCTGGCAGTGTCTACAGACAGGTCTCTCGCCGCTGCATTTCGTCTTTCTGTGGCGACATGGTTCGCAAGCATGGTTAACTCTGTGCCTGCTCCCGGATCTGACCGCATCTTCACCAGCAACATCGATAGCTCTCTTCAGTCTTGGTATCGCAACTTTTCCCACTTTTGCAGTAGACTCACTGCCGCCTATGTGAGGAGATTGAGGGACTCGGAACAGAGGGGTCTGCGCAGGCGAACTTGGGGTTTGTGAAGCGGAAGTAGGTTGAGCTGATGGATTGGATGATTCGACCGAGAGCACAGGAGTCTGAGCCTGCGATTGTGACTTTGTGCGATCGGGCGTTGGCTGGGGGCGCATGGCATCCCCGCGCCGTTGCTGTTGCTGTCCCTGCCCCGACATGCTGGCTACGGGGATAGCCTGATAGTGGGAGGCGAAGAACGCGGATCAGGAACAAGAGGACTTTTGGAATTCATGGAGTGGTGAGGCCATCGAGCGCCATAGCTTGGTGATGGGAGCAGTCAACGGGAGAGACAATTTAATTTACTTTGATGCGATAGAAGGAAGTGAAAGTGAACCATCAGTTGGTATTGAAGCGTGGTGCTGGTTCTTCCTCTGCTGTGCGGCGCCAGTTACAAGGAAACCTCGAATCCTGGGAAATGGCTGATGGCCCCTCTGTCAAGTCTTTCCACGAATAACACGCGCTGTTGGTATTTTCCGGGTGGAGGCGACTGGACAGAAATGCTTCCCAGCGGCCTGGCTTGCCGACTGGTTGAATAGCTCAATGGCACTTCTCCTGCGGATTGGATCTTCAGCATTTCCACATTATTGTCCAGGCCTTGAGCCATTACTCAATCTGTCAGCCCTGGCACTCCTGGCTCTCCCATTATTTTCTCTTCTTCTTTTTCGAGTGCGGAATGCCATGCGCATACCCATTATTGCATCATCCTCAAGCTCCCTAGGCGGGTTCTTTTTCCACTAGCACTTTGTTTGTCCCAAAGGTTTTCTGATTTCTGCAAGAGAACGATTAGCAGCATGTGACCATAGACTGGGTTTCGTGGTTGCACAGCATCGCACCGAGCCCTCTTTCCTCGGAGGTGTATCACCGTACCCATACGGGGCACTCCGTACCTTGCAAGTGTCTGTGAATTGCCATAATAGTTTGCAGCTGGGGGAAATCTGTTTCCATCCTCAGTCTTGTCGTTGTCGCTTAGCTCCGTGTTGGTTCCAGTCACCACCACCAAAGCCTTGGCCTTGTCCTGCATTGAACATTCCGGGGTTGAATTGATTTGCTTGAAAAGCTACTCGAATCGTTCAGTAAACGCGCATCAGGCTCTGTTAGCATGATCGGACTTACCTGGCATACCCATCCCGGCCATCATAGGATTCATTCCCATATTACCCATCCCCATCCCGCCCATGGGCATCATATTGTTCATACCACCTCGACCTCCTCTCATACCGCCAATGTTCCCTCTCATAGGACCACCCATCATGCCACCTCGATTGAAGCCTCCATAATTGTTGTTCATACCCATGTTGCCTTGGAAGCCCATGTGGTTGTTGCTGTTGCTGTAGCCTCCCATGGGTCCGGAGAAGTTGCGGTTGTACTGGCCATGTCCTCCATATCCACCACGACTGAAGCCACCGCCGCGGTTGCCGCGAAAACCTTGGGTACCTCCATAGCCGGTATCTCCGCGTGGTCCGGAATTGAAAGTGCCACCTCGCGCGGGTCTGTCGTCTCTTGCTCTCACAGGTGCATCTTTGGGAAGAGTCTTGAAGGGATTTTGTGTCGCATTCGTAAAGACAACCGAGTGCTTTCGGGAACTAGCTTGAGTGCCGCCTTGGGATTCGATTTCGTGCTTGGTTGCAGTTGCTGCTTGAGGCGAAGAAAATTCGAGATATGCTTGGCTGGTAACTGTGTCAGACCTCTATACGTCGTTGAGATAGGCATACTGACCCTTTGCTTTTGCCATTCACTTTATGTTCGCTGAATGTTATCTCTCTCAGTTCATCTTCGGCTCCTGCTTCATTAGCCCAGCCTCGAATATCGTCCTCTGTGATCCACCAATGCAAATCTGAGATCATGAGCGCATTCGTGGCACCATGGTCAACAGGTCTTTCATCCGACGTCTCTTTCCGCTTTACGCCTTGTGTTGGAGCTGGTGTATGCTTGTCTGCAATTACGCCGGCTTTGGGCGGGCGGTCTTCTGTTTTGACCTGGCGTGGAGGTGCTTGTGCAGGTGTTGGTTCCTGTTCTGGCTCGGCCTTCGATTCTGCGGTCTCTTCTGCAAGATGGCCATTCTCCGCATCTACTGCGAAACTAGCCTCTTCGTCTTCTTGTTTGTAGTCCATATTCCCATCATTTCCCATATCAATCTCCCCATCACCGTAGATGTCAATGTCAAAATTGTCCTCGTCGGACGCCATCATGACGGAGGTAGGTGTTTAAAACGTCGATTTTCTGTCTGAATCTTATGCACAAGGTGATCAAGAAGAAGATGAGCTCTGCAAAGTTCATGCTGCATTAGCCACAATACAAGACAAGGATAGAGGTACAAGCCCGCCAGCACCGTCGTCATCTCCTGCCCGTCCTCCGGTGCAAATCCCAACAAGACATACGTACAGAGATGCTCAATTTGATCCTCCCATTGGTCTCACCAGGAATTCCCGAATGTCATATTACATGAAGCAGTCCAGCTGTCTTCTTGAAAAGAGAAGATACAAGGGCCCGGAACCTCGCAGCGGGCGGTGCAAGAATGTACACAATAGAATGAAAATGGATATCTCGTGAACCGTATCACCTTCGCGAACGTCCGTGACTATGGAGCACACAGACGAATTCTCAATCTGCACGCCTAGGTGTTGTTCAGTCAAAGGCTCGGGATACCTCGTGAGAACCTGCACTGCTGATCGAGCCAGGCGCCAGTGTGCAGTGATGTAACTCGAAAAGTGTGCCGTTTGCACAAAATAGGTTTCAGTTAAACGAAAAGGACCGATGGTGATGAATGCAAGGAATGGCAATGAGACTCTGGATGATGATGATGACGGAAACAATGAGGTCTGGTGGTAAGTGATGAGGCCCGACAGCGCAGGCGCAGCTTCCTCCGCGCTAAGGGCTGCGTCTGCGCTACGTCCTCGAGGGGCCAGGGGCCTGCATTGATCGTGACTTGATGATTCTCGGCCTTTGACACCTCCAAAAGCCACCTTACCTACTTCCCCGTATTTTGTCGCTCCATAAACCCAACGACAAGTCCTCACCTACCTCAACCTTGTGAATAACCTCTGCGACCAGTATCTCGATCTCTCGCGTTCACGCTGCCAATAACACTTTATTCCTCGCTGGAGACAACCCTTAACATCAACATCTCCTACCACATACCTCACCACAATATGTCTGATCTACTGCAAGAGATGGCCGACGTGCCAAAGGACTTTTTCAAAGATGGAACACAGTTCATAAACAGATGCACGAAACGTATGTTACTGCCTGTTCTTCACAGATCTTTCTGCCCTTTGCGCAGCAGCACCGTCTTCTTTGAAGCGCACACGGAGATTGCCTCAGGCTCAAGGGAGTAAAGAAATTCGAGACCAGGAATGCCGCTGGCCTTCCGGAAATGCGACTGCGTTGAGGGAACATGGTGCTGCAGAGGCTGGGCTTGGAACACGCCCTCGCTTCTGCCCCCTTCGTGTGATCTTGCAGTGACCGTGCTAACACATCTCCAACAGCCGACCGAAGAGAATTCATCAAGATCTCGCAAGCAGTGGGCATGGGGTTTCTGATAATGGGCGCGATTGGCTACTTCATCAAGCTGAGTACGTCTACCTTCTGCCGAGATCAGAAATTGCAACGACTGACGAGACGTTACTACAGTACACATCCCCGTCAACAACGTATTAGTAGGATGATACGGCCAAAGCAAAGCGGAGATCAAGGCAGAGCCGATGATGAGCCATCCGTTTCTATAATCTTGCATCATCACACTTCAGGCGGGTCGCGCACGGAGTTGGAAGTAGTGCGCAGCGGGAGCATCTTGAGTACCTTGTAGCAAACCCAGAGGGAAAACACCATTAGATGCGATGCAGGACATCTGCGAAGTCGACTTGCATTGCGACAGCATTGCATTTCATTACGCCCTCTAAGTTAGCTAGGTTAGCTAGAGGGTACGTCCAGGAATGAAAAGATGCAGATCATGGTATGCTGAATATTTCTTCTACCTCGCTGCCGTCTGCTCCATATGCATACCGTTGTGTTCTCGTAATCGTGTTCATCGCAAACAAAAAGGTCCTCCACATGATACCTATAGGTACCCATTCGTACGTACCACACGATGCATGGTCGACAGAAACTTGGTCGTGGCCACCCACAAGCTCAAGCTTGCTCAACCCAACGCCCGCCCCGTCACGACGACTCTGGTGCTTCTGGCCACGCAGTCCGCCTCAAACTTACCCTCCTCAGGCCCCTTCTTACAGCATTCAGTGATTGTCACCAGACTCCACCACCATCGTCATCTTCCTCGTCGCCATACCGTTGCGGGCGCACGACACTACTCCTCAAACCCCTCCCCTCGGCCCTGCTGCGCGTATACCTCTCTTCGCCCCGTACCCGTCTTGCTGCAATGTCAAAATCCTCCCTAGCATCCAGCCTTGCATTATAATTGCTGCCCATAAGCGGCATTGCCTCATCGTCCTCATTCCCATCGTTCCATGAATGCAGACTTACCGTCCCCGTCGCCATGCCCCACCCATTCCAGCTCGTCGCCGCCATCACCGGCGCCGTAGGACTCCAACTCGCGTCCCGTACGCACGTCTTCCACACACTATTATGATGCCCGTGCAACTCGTAGCCGTAGCCGTCGCCGCCATCGGTCCGTGGTCGCGTATACTTCGTTGCGGCAAAGACGTCGATCATCGCCTTTCGTGTGCCGTCCATGTTCCATATATAAACCTTTCCATCCTCACTTCCACTATAGACGTATCTCGAGTTTGAACTGCCTGGTGGACTGAAATGGCATCTGATCAGAGTCTTGAGCACCGAATGCCCTCTGAAAGTGACAACGCTGCAGTCCTTCGGGTTCGGCACATAGTCGTCCTCATCGTACGGGCTGAATCGATAATCGAAGTTGGTCGTATAATTGTGCATGTCGATGCTCTTGAACTCATTCGGCGAAATCATCCTGCGCAGGTCCCAGAGCTTCATCATCTGGTCCTTCCCATTCGACAACACATACCGTCCATCGCCCTTGGAATCCACATACGTCAAGCCCTCTGTATGTCCGACGAATATGCCCGCGGGGCGTCCATCGGCCATAGATCGTCTATCCCAGACCCGCAACGTCTGGTCGTCACTCCCACTGTACAGGATATGCGGCGAGGATTTGTCGCCGAAACACACTGCGTTGACGTCGTCTTCGTGATTCGTCAGGCGTACCGTGCTCTGTCGACGCTCGATATCGTACACGACCACGCTGTGATCGCTTGTCCCTGCCACAATCTCTCTGCCATCACCACTGAAGCGTAGACTCCAGATGCCAAACCCGTGTCTGCCCATGTACCCGTACGTCGGGCGACCATGGCCTGAACCGGGCGCGAAGTTCGTAAAATCGAGCAGGGTGTGCTCGCTGTGATCTCCGGGATCGGTAGGGGCAAGACACACCGTGTGCCTGATACTGCTGTACGCCAACCACCTGTTGTCGGGTGACAGCGTAGCGTCGGTGATCGTCCACTGCCCGAAAGGGTAGTCCACCGTCTTGTAATACCGCCACTCATATGGATTACTTGTGTCATACATCCGAACTTTGAAGTTCTGCGTACAACTAAAGAAAAAGTTCCCATCGTCACTGAACTGTCCACTGTACGCCCGGCTGTCGTAGTGTATGATCTTATCAGCCGCCGTTGTACTGGGAATACTATCCTGCGCAATCAGTCTGTTCTGTTTGCGCATGCTGCTCCGCGCGTCGAGGCCCAGTCTCCGCCAGAGTAACCGCTCGCTGATAGTCCGCCTCCTCTTCCGCAGAATGTCCACATGTGAATCAGTGCTGCCGTAGAGACCAGACGTCATGAGCGCGCGGCCCGCGTCGCTGGGGACCTTTGGGAATCTGTCCGCTGAGGGTTTCGACCGACGGCCACGGCGGCGGCGGGCGGCGTTGAAACCGCCGTGGGAGGATTCATACTCGTCGTCATCGTCATCGTCAAAGAGGTCGCGGCCATTGGGACCGAAGAGGCGGTAGCGTGAGAGTATCAGTCGACGTAGGGGTGCGCTGGCGTTGAGAAGACCGCGAATGTCGGCCGTTGTCACTATACAACCACAATCAGATGGTCTGCGGCGGCAGAAGTGAGGTGAGATGAGGAGTAACGAGAGAAGGGTTTATGAAGCAGGACATATAAGGAGACGAACGTAAGCCCTGCGCCGGTCGACCTGCACGGCCTCCTTCTGTTTCTGTCTGGTTGCCGTCTTCCTCTTCATCCTCATCGTCGTCATCGCCGGTCTCGAGGACGATTTCGATCCCATTGAGAGATTCTTGGGCGTCTGTGAATTATTTAGCTGGCTAGAAAGGGGTTGGATCAGGTTGGTCGTTACCAGCAAAGTCCACATCGCTATCCTCTTCGTCTTGCAGACTGGCATCGGTGCTTATTTCCTCGGTGGGGTGGTAACTATCCATTTCATCATCGTCGTCCTCGTCTCCGGTGAAGATGTCCAGGATATTGGCAGGTGATGGGCTCAGGCCTTCGCGGTCATCCCGAGATTGTGACATGATTGATGAGAACGGAAATGGAAGCCCAAGGAGAGAATATAGGTATTGGACGAAGCAAGGTCGCAGGCTGCGGAGGTGCCGCCTTCGGTGTCGTGCTTTCGTGGACGGAATAATGGTGCTTATCTCCGAAGAACGATGACTATATCATTGACGTACCCCACAGCACGGACGATGCTGGAGATGGAGGAGAGCACACGACCAGGCCTTTAAAGATGAAAGGACAAGGTGAAGGCGCACTCCTTGCCCTTTATTGCAAAGAAGGAATTCTTCTCTTTGGAGACTGGTTCAGATGTTCGCCAAACCAAACGAGTTCATCGTGGCAGCAAACAAGAGGGCATAAATTCCAGGTGGGGCTTCCGAAGCATGATATCAAAAGATTACTGGTATTCGGAACCATGCTGGCGTGCACTTTGATTCCTCTATACTGTAGGGGCCTGGTATATTTCCACGTCCTTTCCAAAAGGCTGCTTTTCCCAATGACTCCCAGCGCCATGCAAGCGAGCATCACTCGACCAGAAATTATGAGCCAGCAGAGTCTCATGCCTTTGGAGTCCGTTGTGCCTTCTAATCGTCGTCCAACGTGCAAGTTGACTGGCTATCCGTCCACCCAACGAGAATATTCGCGATATCACTGGCATAGCAGTGTGTTGCAGATCCTTTGCCCAAGTCTCCGGATGAATCAATGGCACCGGAGTTGTATAGCCGAGCGGCTCGGTAATACGCCTCAGCATATTCGATTCCTTCGACGTCGGCTTGGGCATTGATATCGGCAGCAAACCCATGTCCAGCATCCGTGCCGCCAACTGTGAAAGTCATTGTTAGCAACGACTGTAGCAACCCCTATTTTTCAGCAAACTTACCCCCATCTGCAATCATACCCAAAATCTGATCCGTTGGACATGGATTGAGTACTTTCCCATCATTGCAGGAATGCGTTCCTTTGAACGATTGAAGTAAACCCGGATTCTTGATTCCATCCGGCGAAACGCTGGTCTTTGCTCGAACACAGCCTTTGGTTTCTTGTAGAATGGCAGCCAGAATAAAGCGGTGATCTACCCTGGTTTGATGGGCGATCTGTTTTATTGAATTGTACAAATCTTGTGTCTCTTGCTCTGAATTATTTGGCACCCCATACAGCTGGTCGCAACTCCGGCTGATTGTATGTTGATTGGAAACCCATAGATCATTGAAGGACACCCACGTCAGTTGATTGGGCCACCCTGCCGTCACCGAACCATTGCCTTCATATTCGGTGTAGTGGTTTGACCCGCCTGTTCATTGCGATCAGCATTAATCCCCGTGCTCTTGCGACGTGACCAACCATCATAGTCATTCCAGTATCCATCTGTCCCTAGTGCGCCTTGGACCACGTCTTCGGCTCGTTTTACAAGGGGAGAGGCGTAGGTCAAGGCGGCGAGCAGAGTTGCCAAGTATGCCTGCGGGAGTGTTAACCGTCTGTACATATTTCCTAGTGGTTGTTCGTACCAGCCGGGATATCCCCATGGTCAAAGACCTTCGACAGATCGACCGAGCGAGTTGACTCTAGGGATCGATGGTTCGAGTTGATGCCTGGTAAGACGGACGTTGTCGCATACGCAGGAAGACAAAGGAGACTGCAAACGCAATTGAGTGCTCCTTAGACGATCCAAAAACAACGTGGCGAGGTGGAAAGACAACGTGGATATTCTTGGGTTAGTATCAACAGCAGAGGGGATGCAACAAGGCTACAAAGGAAGACCTCGCCAAAAGGATCTGACTCGGGATGTTTCAGCATAAGGGATTGTTGGTCCGACTCCATCGCCGCATGCTGCATCCTGCGAGGCCACCCAGTCCCCAAGACAGGCAGGATGAAGATCGAGGGCCTTACCCACAGCTCTGCATATCATGGTCTCGTTCAACGGCTAGCCTCAGCCTCTCAGAGGCTCGGCCTCAGACGCAATCCACTCGAGAGGCTCAGATACAGTCGGAATTGAGAAAATAGGCGCGCAGCATCCCCAGTCGCTGTTGCGGGTCGTCAAAAACTCGACAGGTCTTTTTTAAAGTAAAAGAGTGGAACTGTGAACAAGGGGGGCCTCCGGCTCTGGCTGTGGCCCTGCGAAAGTCGGTTCTTGCCCGCCGCTCGCCCCGGCATGAATCTGACTTAGCTCATCTCACCGTGCTACTTCACTGAGAAGAGTACATAATCGGTGCACCATCGTGTATCGCACATGTGGTGGCAGTAAATTGACCTCGACATTCCGCTTCGAGAGATATCAAAGTCCAATCTGTCATCCTCGGATGAAGACTGGATGTTGCACAACGCCACCGCGTCGTGGACGCATTGACAATTGGCTCGCCTAAGCTGCGCGGCTTACGAGCGACTTCAGCGATGTGCTATATCAAATGCAGGCCATCTCTTGCTGTTTGAGGTTCACCTACGGAGTACTTCATTGCTTTTTCCTTTTGAGGCACACTTCGGGAGTGTGGGAGTCTAGTTGGACAACCGTTCCTTGTTCCCTGGCTTTCGAGGCTCCTCCTGCCTCCCATTATCTTCAATGTCTTGTGCATGTCGACGGCCGATAGCCACAATCTTGGGGATGCCCAGAATCTAGCTTGCCACGACCGCTGCTGCTGATGCCTGCTAAGACTCACCCAGCAATATGGGCGAGGTGGGACTGCTGCTTCGTTGATCGGCATAGCTACATTCGGTGTAAAGTTGAACACAACGTTGTACCAGTTGAGCAATACCAAGGACGTGACAAGTCCGTCGGACCAAAACCGACAGGCACCTACTCGGAATCATTCTTCAAGCGTCCATTTCGTCGATCTGAAATACGGCCAATCCGTCAAGCTGCAGGAGATGGGAGGGCCTCCAGGGTCATTGAGGACGCCCTTAACTGGCGTCCGAAATTCCATATTTCTCATTCCTCGAGGTACATGCAGCAATCTATCAACATGTTATGGAGCCTTCCTATCCAGGAATGACGTCGTGTATCAAGGCACGACTGTTGGTATCGGCTATGAAGGAGTCATAGAGGCCAGACCTGCAATAAGAAAGGCCCTCACACACGACGAGCAGTTTGGTCACACGTAAGAAGCAGAGCAGGTAGGATGGTCCTTGTTTTCGAGAACGTAACCCTACCAATTCTACCTGGATAGCCATGAGAACCTGCTCATTGCTAATTCGTAACCGATTGACCCATTCCCTGATGATTCCTTTTCGCTAGTACTTTTGTAGAGCGCATCTCTAAAGAACCCCTAAAGCTCCTCAAGCCCAATATGATCTCTCGTATGCCTTTTTTTTGTACCAGCTTTTTGACACATGTAGCAATCTCTGCACCAATTATCATTCTCATCCTCGTTCTTACGCTAGTTCACATGCTTGTGCCGATCCTCATCAAATCCAATCAACACCACCTGGGGCAGACCCTGGTGGTGGTGGCACATCTTGTAGTTGACCAAGAGCTGGCTGGTGGCTGAATCCGGGCTGCGCTGCTGATTCAAGAATGGAATCACGAATTGATGCAAGGCCATCACCCCACACATCGCCGTCCCAATGTTCAACACGGATCTTTGGCTTCGCATCAGGGGACAACCCACATGGCTTCTCCTGGAGGTCTTCGCTGGACACAAACGGGCGACGGGTGTCAAATGCATTGGATCGTCGAGGTCCGCAGTCGGAATACGTTCGCTTGAGCAGGGGAGGTGGAGACGTGAAGGTTAATGCGTCCAAGTCTCCTGTATGCAGATCCCACTCGTCGATTTTGGACCTCAAGATGTCGATCGATCCGGCCTTTGCCTTTCGTCGAGAAGTACCTTTCTGCCGGTCGGAGGGCACCTCGGTGCTATAGGCAGTCCCAATGGGATAGCCCGCGTCGTTGAATACTCCGTCTAGACCTGGGCTGCCAAGTGAACTCATGCCTCTTGTGTCGCGACTGTAGACGCTGCTTGCACAGTAGCTTTGCTTGCTCTGTGTACCGCCGAGCATTGGTTTGAAGACCGTCGACATGGAGGATAGGGAATGTCGTTGTCTGTACTGAACCCTGGACCATGACACCAGATTGAGAGGACGTGCTGCTTTTGTGCGTCGGGCAAAAACATTCGTGGAACACAATTTCTTGCTTAGTCGGCTGGCTGTCTTTGCAGACTCGACAGGTTTGAGTGGAGCAATCTTGGTCGGAGACGGCAGAGCTGCAGAGCTTGGAGTTCGTCTGCGACTGCGAGGCCCAGCACTTGGAGCATCGATAACAGTGTCCATATCTGTCATCTCTAATGGTGGCAATAGAATTGGAGATGGTGTTTTCGTTGATAGCACTGGTGACGTGCGAGGCGTCGAGGAAGGCCCAGGAGTCGTGAATGGGTTTGAGGAAGGTGTCCAGCCTCTCTTGAACGACGAATTTCCAATTTTACTGTCACTGGCAGTCCGATCGAACCATTGACGTATCTCTGAGACCGGCGTCTTTGGTCTTGTTACTGTGCCGGCTCGTTTCAAGCTCTGTGAGTCCTCTGGGTTTGTGCTTGCAGTGACCAGCCCTTTCTCCATGGCCAGTGCTCGTCCATTCGTGTCGTGGCGGATGGATGTCGTCTCCGTGAGCCGCGGTTTCAGGTCCCCGGCAACTGTAGCAGCGTCCTGGTGATCTTGAGAAGGAGGGTGACTGTGTGTAACTTCCAAGAACGACAATTCCTTTCCGTTGAGGCGACTGCTGCTGCCAGACTTTGGACATGGAGTATTCAGAGTATCTCTTGCAGCGGAGAGAGAGTCACAATGATCTAGCTCTGAAAAGACCTTTCCTGGGTGCATGAGGCCGCCTTTTCGACTTAGTCTAGGTATCGGCATGGGAAATCTCTCCAATTGTCTCGTCAGTGGTGGTGGTCGTCCTGCCGGTCGAGGTCGGAGAACCAGTGGTTCGGGAACAGGTAAGATGTATTCTTCTAAGCCATTGAGCCCCATTCGCGGAACGTAGTTGTGAGTGGCGTGTACAACGTTTGTTCTCTTGAACTGTAAGTCTGGATCGTGACGGCTCTGGAGACCACGTTGCAATGGCAGGTAATGTCTTGTTGGCGTGAAGAGGCCATCGCTACTGTTGGTAGAGCCGACGGTGAGCGCAATGTGATTCTGAGACAAAGCAGCAGACCCGTGGTTGAAGGTACTCAGAGGAGTAGGACCGTCTTGGAAAGGAGTCTCAATTCTGGGGTCGTAGTGTCGCAGAGTATTGGTGGGCTTCTGGCGAGTGCCACGTAAAAGGGCAGGATGGCTTGGAAAGTGAGGGCTGTTCCTGCTGTAGACCCGAGGCGTCAGTCCACCTGAGTATCGATTGGTTTTGTTCTTCCGGAATTTTGGCAGGATGATCCCCCATATGATAGAGACCAGGATAACCAGGGCGGCGATGACGCCAAAGATGATGGAGATAGTGCGTCCATAGTTCTCGCCGCGTCGTTGCAACGACTGGAAATGTCTTGGAGGCATCGTAAACTCAGGCCGGCTCCCACGTTGAGACGATGCGCGGACAAGAATAGACGATGATGTCGTCGATTATGTCGTCGACGCGGGGCAAAACGGATTAGTGGCGAGTTGGTAAAGCTGAAAGACCTGAGATCAAACACAAAAACTTGCTGGAGAAGTGAAAACCAAGTGAGGCTTTGTTGAGGGGTGAGGCAGAAAATGAAGATACTCGCCACTTCAAGACAAGCGCATTGTGGAAGGTGCAACCCGCAGTCTCTTCCATTCTCAAGCAAGTGAACCAGATCCCTCACCACAGCCTGTCTTCTGGAGGCTGTTCCTTTGCCTGTCTTGACCTTCATTGCACCGACACTGGAGATAATTGTGTTATTTGAGCAATGCCCACGTGAGATACCCTGTCAATATTACAGCTTCACTCACTCAGGCTCATGTGCTTGATCAAGTCGGTCCCGCGGCTGCGCACCAAGAACCCATCCTATCCCACTGACAAGATTATTAGTAACCATGTTGGCCACCATATCTCTCTTCCGCGTCCTCCCACCCTCAAGTGAAGAAGCTGAATCCGTATTATCTACTAAGCCACCCTCCGAACCTGTGCCTGCTTCTTTAATCTTCAGATCCCTCAGACCTCCTGATCCGAGCGGGAAAGCCGCACTTTTCCTCAAGGCTGTAGCAGCACCTCTAGCAACGTCAAACAAGCCCATCGGTGCTTCTTCTTCGTAAGACGGGCCCGCTCGCGACGTTGGCCAGATCCGACGTGCCATTGCACGTTTGGTTTCCGCCACGTCTGCGTCGCGATCTTCAAGTCCGAATCCTCCAGGAAGCGCAGCATCGGCTTTAGCGTCAAATGAACGCTCTTCGTCCACGGCTTGAGCCTTCAATCCTTCCATTTCTTCCTCATACCGCCGCCATGTCGCCAGGATACCTGACAATGCTTCTCCCGAGGGTGCCAGCATCAGAGCTCGTGATAAGAGCTCCATTCGCTGAGCCAGACTGTCGATTTGAGAAGTGAGACTTTTTGGCGAAACACTGGGCCGATACTTGCCAGCAGCATAAGCCGCACGCCAAGAGACATCATCCATGAGATTGGGCGACGAGGTCTCGGTCGGCGAGGTGGATAAACGGGTTGTGATATAGGCATAGGCCGTATGGAAGTCATTGACAGCGAGTGCCGCCATGATGGCGTGATATGTGATCCTGTGTTCCGCATCGGATACGCGCAATTCGACAGGGTCGAGCTCCTGTGCCAAAGTCTCTCGGCTAGGCAGGTGAGCACGGACAAGATTCCTTCCTATCTCTAAAAGGTCATCAAGTTTAGTGTATGCTTTCGGGTCTTGGCCCAGGACCTTCTCTAAGAGGGTCAATGGGTCTTTTTGTACACGTATGGCCACAGGCCTGAAGGGTACGCCATGTTGTAGGGTCAGTTGGTAAAAGGATAGGCTGTGCGTCGCTCTGATGAGGTGGTCGATGTCTGATAAAGCAGTCGACTGAGGAAATCTTGACCTGAATGCTCGCAAAATCTCGTAAGCTCGCTTCATGCCACCGCGGTCCCTGTTGCCATTGCTGGCGTTGTCGTAAGCTTCGAAAATTGAGGCGACTATACGACTTTCAACCCCAGATTCTGGCAATGGCTGAGGCTGAGTATCAAGGTAGACCTCCTTGGCGGCATCATATTGCCCAGCTGTGAGAAATGAGTACAGGATCTGTGTCTCAAGGTACTCCGCAGTGAGTCGACCAAGGTATGCTGGACGTGGACTGTCAGGCTGGACTTCTGAATATTGTGACCATGTTCGAAACCAAAGTAGTTGACGACGGACAGAGCGCCAATTGATTTCTTTCCGAGTCAGACGCGGTATTTGCTGAAGGAGTCGACGGAGCTCGTCCTTGTGACGCCGTTCGGAGCCAAACACAGATGTTCGGACCACATCGCCCAGGGACGATGCTAGCCCCAACTCAAACAAGGCAGCGGACGTGGCCAACGTTCCCACAAGGAGCTGGACAGAGGATTCCGAGGCCCGAGTGAATGGGTTCGTCTTTCTGGAGAGGGAGCTCGAGAGCAAATCAACTTCCTCAAGCCCCTTCACGAATGATTCGGCGAGGACAATGTGTGGTTCCGTTGTAGTGGAGTCGGGAGCGGCAAGCCCTATAAGACTGGCAACTTTCGTAAGCACTTCTCGCGAGATGGCAAGCAAGTCCCGAGAGGTTTCTGGACAGGCATAGATGATCGCGAGGCCTGTCTGAGCATATCTGGAGACAATGGCATCTGCAGGTGCCTCGACGTCCGAGGGTCCATTCCATCCAATGAATGTCTTTGCGGCGACTTCGAAATCGTTCAAGCTTTCGTTCATAAGCCAGCTGTTGACACTCTCCCACGCCGTTTCTTCCACCTTCGTTTCTGCCGCCAGCGAGTCGATCCTTCTCCTCTTCGCTCGCTGAGCGCCACATACCCAAGGTGTCACGACATACTCCAGGTCTCTGGCAATGTCTGCAGCATTATGGCTCCTCTCAGCGTACTGGAGCAGTGTGCTGACTCCACCCTCGGCCGTCATCTTCTCCAGCTCCCGCACTCCGATGATGTCCTCGGCGTCCGGGTAAAATTCATACTGCAGCCGCAGAACAGGGACAACGTAGGTCTCGTACCAATGGCGCAAATCAGGATCGTGCTCGACGAAACGCTCGACGAACTCTGTGAGAGGTTGCAACGTCCCACTGAGTGCCTCTAATCGTTTTGCCCATTCGATTATGAAGTTTGCTTGTCCACTACCCTTTTCTCGAGGCAGATGGTTGGGAACGGGTTGTATTCTCAACGTTCTGCACCGTCGTAGGGCATCCTGCCGTGAAATGGTGGAAATGGAGGAATCGACTTTGAAGTCCTCGGAATCTGTCGGCTGCCGATTGCCGTCTTGAAAGCTCTTGAGGAACTCGATGAGGGTGGACTGGTCGGGTGTTTCGACAGGGTAGAATGATAGGACGAGTCGATATGCTACAGTCTGGGACAGGATACCGCGACGACAGTCGAGGAGTGCACGCAACCGTTGAAGGTCTCCATCTGAAGTCAGATGGACGGCCAGAAGAAGGATGTGAGCGTCAGTCAGCTCCTTGAGGCTGGCCATTTCGTTAGGAGGGCAGCATTTTGTGGTTGTTATTTCGAGACAGTGCAGTTCGTGAGGTGTGAAATGATGCGACGTGGAACGTCAGTATCTCTCCGCAGTGCAGGCTGGTTTGTCCTAGAGGGAATCTCCAAACCTTGGCCGCAGCTCCAACGACTTCAATCCAAAACCACCTTACCGTACTTTGCAGACAGCGCATACCACTCCTTTGTTGAATGGACGCCTTGTAGCACGGGTCTACTGGTCAATATGGCGTCTGGTTACGGCTTGACAGGCGGTGCGTTCTTCCCTGGGCTTTGATGTTTCTTTGCATGCGGCAGTCCCGTTCCCGAAGCTCCAAACTGACGCTCTTTCTCGAACGCAGGCGTGTCGCGATGCTTTCCCTTCTGGCAAGAATATATGTCATGCTACGTTATCAATCAAAATGACCTCGAGGCGAGGAAACGAGGTGTATGCGCGCCGAGGTTAGAAGATTACTATGAGTGCCTGCACCACAAGAAGGAGGTTGGTCACCGAACATCCGGAGCGGCGAGGAGAATGAAGGACTGACCACATTACTTCAGTACGCACGCACAGCAGCCATTCAGAATGCCCTACGGAAAGCCGAAGCAGCAAGTCCGCGAGAAAACGCACCAAAGGTCGGCCAAATTCAGAGCCTTGGTTTGATTGGGAAAGACGACGAGTCAAGAGCCCTGCTACAAACGAACGCTGCCTAAAGGAAGGAGCATCTACCCCCAGTGGAAATTTTTTGCTTGTTGGCGCTGTCGTGCCGGAGGAGCTCTACAGCTTGTACATATTAGAAGAAAAAGGACACAGCAATGGACCGAGCGGACTATACCACAAATGACAGACGATCACAACGCGGCCGAGCACCAGGTGATAGATGTACGAGAAGTCTTTAGTTGGCTTGGTGGCCTTGCAAATGACTTATTAGTGCACGTACTCGCACAAGGTATTGTCAATGAGCCACCCAACGGGCTTTCAGAACCATGCCGTCAAAACATCTGGAGCCCGAAGTCGCCTGAAGTCGCCTGAAGTTTGCATGATTTAGCAAGCTTCCGTTGATGTCAATCATTTGAAGGTCTCCAACTGTAGCTTGACCAGTACACAAGATGACAATCTCAGCATAAAGTCCTGACATGCTTGCCAGTCCCGTATTAAAGAGATGACGCTCAGCGCAATGATAGCAAATGGCCGACTCGCACCCTTCCTTGTCAGTCTATCTAGATATCTGGGTCGAAAGGTCCGCTCTCTATGATTTTTGAACTACTTCCTAATCAACGTCGGCAGAGTGGTGTTCTTTACTGGTGCGTGTCAGGGCGTTAGGTCAGGCTCAAGAGACCGACCAAGGCATCGAGACGTGATAAAGCAAAACGTGAGTCACGCTTGCACAGATATTACGTGTCACGAGAACCTAGAAGCAAGTGAGGTGAGTCAACTTCTGATATGATGAGACAAGGTGCTACAGTAGGCAGAAATAAGAGAAGAATGAAAGGCAACCGACAAGTGATAACAGGCGGCAAGAAAAGATATGTAAAGATGTCACAAGTCATAGGCCAGTGAGGCAGTCACGCTGCCAAGAAGACTCACGTGAAGCCTCTATGAAAAAAGGCTTAGTTTGTGCTAGCTTGCCGTGTCTTGCCCAAATGGTGCTAGGCGGGAGCGGAAAGCGCAATCAGAGGCCAGGGGCCCATGAGCAAGCGAGGATTTAAAGCCATTCCGGACTCTCCTCATAATCACCTCGCCGCGCCCCGATTTCCAATTTCCTGAAGCACCAAAACCCAACTGAACCACCCAGAGCACCTCTGCTCCTCCGGACAAGGCTCTCACGGGCACATTTCGGCAGGGCCCTACGTATCGATTAAAGGTGCAGGTCGTGTTCTGTCCTTTACATCGACGCGTCTTTATTCCCATTATTCACTCTTTCATCACCTTCAATTTCTTTCGTTGGTGTTTCCTTCCTCTTCTACTAAATATCTATTTATGGCCTGCTTTTGATGGCGCTAGGGTTGCTGCTTCAATCAGTTGCGGCTGAATTCATTTCGTGGTCTCCAACATGGCCGCTTCAAGGTTTGACACTTCTTTCGCTGTGGTTTGTCGCGCCAAGCTGACTAACCTCTTCTGTGTAGGCTCGATAGACTAGTCACGTGAGTATCCTTCACTACCCATCAAAGCGTCTGTATATGACCAACCACTAACCTGTCTTCTCAGCTTGCTGGACAAAGGTAGCACGCAGCTCATTCGAAACACCGCTGCCCAACAGCTCGCCGATGTCCAAAAACAAAACCCCGACAATGTTTTCGCCTTACTCGGCAGAGTACTCCCTTACCTACAGTCCAAGTCCTGGGATACTCGCACAGCAGCAGCCAAAGCCATCGGTGGGATCGTCGAAAATGCCGAAAAGTTTGACCCCAATGCCGACGATGCAGGGGCCAAGATTGAAGCCATCAAAGCTGAAGACCAGTCGGTCAAGCTCGAGGATAAGCCCTCTGAGGGCGATGATCTTCTCCAACTGGCCACACTCGATATCAAGATGATCCTTAAGTACGGAAAGAAACTTTTGGGTAGTGCCGGAAAAGAGTACGAGTATTCAATGGCTGGCATGACCCCTGCTCAGCGGCTGGCACATCAGAAGCAGAATCTTACCGCCCGACTTGGCCTCGGTGGGGAGTACATCGAGGAAGACCTCGTTACTGAACACGACTTCGCAGCGGGGTCTCAGTCGAAAGGCGCGCAGACTCCGGCACTGAGCCGCGTGGACACCAAGTCGGCTGTTGCACGACAAGACAGCATCAGCACAGCATCCCCCTTCAGTGCCTTGTCACCTTCAGAGAACAATGGGCATGCTTTGTCTGAAGAGTCTGGGCTAAGTAAGCGCCAGCTCAACCAACTGAAGCGTAAGAACAAGTCCGCTGCCAAAGCCGGCTCTAGCAAGATGCGTGTCGTGGATCTTTCCGGACGTCGCCCATCAGAACCGGGCCAGACTCCTGTTTCTGCAACTCCGCATCCGATCAAGCTGAACGGACATGAAGAGTCTAACGGTGATGCGAAGCCGGACTACTTTTCCATCAAGCGAGAAGGACCCGACGATGAGACCGCACTTGTCTCCGAGTTCAAAGGCGAAGCTGTTCCTGAAAAGCCGCTGATCCAGCCAGACGAGGAACACTCGCATGACTGGCCTTTTGACGTCATGTGCGATTTCCTATCTATCGACCTCTTCGATCCCACTTGGGAGATTCGCCACGGGGCAGCCATGGGTCTGAGAGAGGTATTGCGCGTTCATGGTAGGGGTGCTGGTCGACGATACGGGAGGTCGAGAGACGAAAACGACTGCGCCAATCGCCGCTGGCTTGATGATCTCGCATGCCGCTTGCTTTGTGTTCTGATGCTCGACCGATTCGGCGATTATGTGTCGGATACAGTCGTCGCGCCGATTCGCGAATCGATAGGCCAGACTCTTGGTGCTCTGCTGACCCAACTGCCGGATGACACGGCTATCTCTGTGTACACGTTCTTGCAGCAGATGATCAATCAGACAGATACGGGACTGAAGCAGCCGATCTGGGAAGTTTGCCATGGAGGCATGATCGGTCTCCGGTACTTCGTGGCCGTTCGCAAGGATCTTCTTCTGCAACAGCCTGAGTTGATTGACGGTGTGGTGTCGGCCGTCATCCGCGGACTTGTTCACCCTGACGACGACGTGAAGTCCGTGAGCGCCGCAACACTCGTTCCTATTGCTGGAGAGCTCACGGCGATGCGTCCTCATTCATTGGGACAGCTCATCAGTGTGGTTTGGGATTGTCTTCTCGACATGCAGGATGATCTTAGTGCTAGCACCGGTGCCGTGATGGATCTCCTGGCAACGCTGTGCTCATACGAGCAAGTTCTGGAAGCTATGCGAAAGAACGCAGAGGAAGACCCGGAACAATCGTTTGAGTCGCTGCTACCTCGACTTTACTTCTTCCTCAGACATACCATCACCAGTGTGAGAATGGCGGTACTCAAAGCGTTGGCGACTTTCTTAAACCTCTCCAATGCTAGCAATATGGGCTGGGTTGGAGGCCGAGTCACTCGGCTGATTTTCCAAAACATGTTGCTCGAACGAAACGAGGGCGTCCTTTGGAAGTCATATGAAGTCTGGCAGGGGCTCGTGACCTTCATGGAGCACCAAGGCCAGGAACATTTTATATCAAGCCTGGAACCTCACATCATGCCAATGATTATGGCAGCGATTCAACCCATCGGCCAAGCACGAAGTCCCATCCCTATGGATGCTTCACTCCTCATCAAACCTTCAGGTGCTCCCATAGCTGCAATATCTTCAAAGCATAGAAACACGTCCGACTCTGAACAGCAACCCAAGAAACGACGAAAGCTCGAGAAGTCCGAGTTGAATCAGCAGCTCTCCCATAACACGGACGGCCACATGCTGCATGGCGAAGTAGATCTGGTCGGCGTCGACGTCATGCTCCGAACAAGGATCGCCTGTTCGCGAGCCCTAGGCTTGCTCCTAGGCAAGCAGCATGAATCCATGATCGACTCATACTGGACAAGCATAGTCCCGACAATCACCTCGGCCAATTCTAGTTCCAGGCTGTTTGCTGCAATGATCTTGGAAGAAATCGCCAAGAACCAATCGATCAAGCCATCAAAAACCCCGGCAATTCTGGCTGAAATGCAGAAAGTGCTTGATGACGACGGCAATTACTGGTATTCAGATATTGTATCGTCGCTGCAAGCTGCGCGAGGCCAATGCCAGTCACTCATCAGTGCCTTTCAGAACAATGCACACGTGCCTCGTGACCGGTTGCCGGCCATTGCGGTGGTCTGTCAAGGCGACAGCGGAGCCGGGCCTAAGGCTTTCTCCCTTTCGGACGCCGAGAGGATCGTGACAACTGATTTCGATCGTCTTTTGAAGGGCCTGACACCCGCACAGAGAGTGTCTGGGACACAGTATCTGAATGATGCCCGCGCCAATGCCCAGACAGCCGTGAGCGAAGCAAGAAAAGTCAAAGAGGGTCGTGATCTGGCAGTCAAGGCCACTGTCGCGTCGGTCTTCATTAGACTAGGCGAAATCCCGAAGAAACCAGGTCAGCTTATCAAAAGCATCATGGACAGTATCAAAAGTGAAGAATATGAGGACTTACAAGCCCGATCTGCCTCGGCGGTTGCAGGTCTCATTGACTTCTACACTACAAGTCCAAAACGGGGCCCAGTCGATAAGTTGGTCTCTAATTTGGTCAAATTCACATGCGTGGACACATCGGAAACCCCGGAGTTTCCGCCTAATGGCACGTTCGAGGATATTGTTCTATCTCTGCGGAAAGAGGAAGACAGGAAAGATCATCCGGACGCCGCACGCTTCGAAGAAGAAGCTAAAGAAGCCAGAATCATGCGACGTGGAGCAAAACGAGCTCTGGACGAGTTAGCCCAGTCATATGGAGCTGCTCTCCTCGACAAATTACCAATCTTCAATTCACTGATCGAGGGTCCTATCCGCCAGCTCATTGAGCCTGCAGATCCAGCCACTCTCAAACTTGATGATCAGCAAGGACAGTCACTGGTCGATGCTTTGTCCATTTTGCGCACAATGTTGCCCGCCCTGGACCCAGCCTTGCATACTTGGGTCCTGTCGCTGAGCCCCTTGGTTGGGAAGGCCATGCGTTGCAGGCTCTCTGTTATCAGGTACAGTGCTGCTAAATGCTTCGCAACGTTGTGCAGTGTCATTCCTGTCAAAGGCATGACGACCCTGGTGCAGGAGATTCTACCAAACATCAGCAATCCGCTTGACCTGCGCGACAGACAAGGTATTACAGAATGCGTCTACCATCTCATTAGTATTATGGGGGATAGGATCCTACCATATGTCATCTTCTTGATCGTACCGGTTCTAGGCAGAATGAGCGATGCCAACCACGATATCCGTCTACTCGCCACAACCTCCTTCGCGACACTGGTCAAGTTGGTGCCATTGGAAGCAGGTATTCCGGATCCTCCAGGTATGCCGGAGTCATTGCTTCAAGGAAGAGAAAGAGAGCGCAAGTTCATGGCACAAATGCTCGACCCCAAGAAAGTGGAGCCTTTCGAGATACCAGTCGCGATCAAGGCAGAACTGCGGTCATACCAGCAAGATGGTGTCAACTGGTTGGCCTTCCTCAACAAGTACAACCTGCATGGCGTGCTCTGTGATGACATGGGGTTGGGAAAGACTCTCCAGACACTGTGCATTGTGGCCAGTGATCATCACATGCGCGCCGAGGAGTACGCCAAAACCCAGGCACCAGAGATGAGGCGCATGCCTTCACTTATTGTTTGTCCGCCCACCCTTTCTGGCCATTGGCAACAGGAAATCAAACAATACGCGCCCTTCTTGAAATGCGTCGCCTATGTCGGCTCACCCGCGGAGAGAAGTAGTCGCCGACACCTTCTTGAAGCGGCGGACGTTGTGATCACGTCGTACGATGTTTGCCGAAATGACAACGACGTCTTAACACCGATCACTTGGAATTACTGTATTCTCGACGAAGGACACTTAATCAAGAACCCCAAGGCCAAAATCACTCAAGCTGTGAAGAAGATTATTAGTAATCATCGACTGATCCTCTCGGGAACGCCAATTCAAAACAACGTCTTGGAATTGTGGTCACTTTTTGACTTCCTCATGCCTGGCTTCCTCGGGACAGAGAAAGTCTTCCAAGATCGATTCGCCAAGCCAATTGCTGCTAGTCGCAATGCAAAGTCTTCATCCAAAGAGCAGGAGGCTGGTGCACTTGCTATCGAGGCACTCCATAAACAGGTCCTTCCATTCTTGCTGCGACGACTCAAAGAGGAAGTCCTGAACGATCTACCGCCCAAGATTCTTCAGAATTATTACTGCGATCTCAGTGACTTGCAAAAGCGGCTTTTTGAGGATTTCTTCAAGAAAGAACGTAAGACAGTGGAGAACAGCGTGAGCTCGTCTGATAAGGAGTCCAAGCAGCACATCTTCCAGGCTCTGCAATACATGCGGAGGCTGTGCAACTCACCTGCGATGGTGGTCAAAGAAGGGAACAAACAATACGACGCGATCCAGAAGCAACTTGCTGCTTCCAAGTCGAATTTGCGGGACGTTGCTCATGCTCCGAAGCTGGGCGCTCTGCGAGATTTATTGGTCGACTGCGGTATCGGAGTATCCAGCGACTCCAACGACATTTCAGCCTCCAACTATGTATCGCAACATCGAGCCTTGATCTTCTGTCAGATGAAAGAGATGCTGGACATGGTGCAGAATGAGGTCCTGGCCAAGCTCCTTCCTAGCGTACAGTACCTGCGACTCGATGGCAGCGTCGAAGCGACTAAGCGTCAAAACATTGTCAACCAGTTCAACAACGATCCCAGCTACGACTGTCTGCTCCTGACGACCAGTGTAGGTGGTCTGGGGCTTAATTTGACTGGAGCAGACACCGTCATCTTTGTCGAACATGACTGGAACCCGCAAAAGGACATTCAAGCCATGGACCGCGCTCATCGCATCGGACAGAAGAAGGTTGTCAATGTGTATCGCTTGATCACACGTGGCACACTAGAGGAGAAAATTCTAAACCTGCAACGATTCAAGATTGACGTGGCCTCGACCGTTGTCAATCAGCAAAACGCGGGATTGGGCAGTATGGAGACGGATCAAATCCTGGATCTGTTCAATCTGGGAGAGACGTCGGACACGGGTGGCGAAAGCGCCACAGGCGGAAAGGATGAGGATATGCTGGACATGGCAACGGGAGAAGTCAAGAAGAAAGGCGAGAAAGGTTGGTTGGACGACGTGGGCGAGCTCTGGGACGAGAGGCAGTACGAGGAAGAGTTCAATTTGGACTCTTTCGTCCAAAACTTGCAAAAATAGAGAGGCTGGAAGATATTTCGAGCATGGCATCACTAATGTATTGGCGGTGTTGGCAGAGTTTGGATCCCAGTGAGCCCTAAGGCTAGGACGCAGCTTGGGCAAAGACTACCAGGATGTCTGCGCAGGGAAATGGCCGTGGGCATATCTTCCCCCTTTTCGAGGATACAGTATCTTGAAGTATGGAAAAATGCGAATATGGCTGCTCAACGGGGCTCGCTCCTATTGCATGTAGCTCGATCCTCGCTCCGTTTCCAAGGCTTACGCCAATATCTGTACGGCAGGCTGGGCAGGGGATCTCTTCTACGCCGAAAAAGGTATCAGACGGCGAGCCTCAGGATATGGCTGCCAAACACAAGCGACGATTTACACGACCAAGAGCTTGGTCGCTTTAGAAACGAGCCGACTTAGGCACTGGCAGTATGGCCCGAACAGACCCGAAGGTGTTTACGCCGATTCTGCCCAGGGATGGTGGGATCAGGCTATCGGACGCCGAGATCCTTGGTCATGCTGCCATCTCAGCTGGTGACTTGCATTCGTATATCAGCAGGCTGCTCCGATGGGCCGAAGCGGGAATGTCTGCGGCGGTCAGCGATATGCTTGGAGAGTACGGAGTACAGTAAGACGACTTGGTTGTTGTGAAAGCAAGCGGACAATCCCGGTCAAGTCTGATCCACCAATGACTATATTGAGCACGATAACACAAAGGATAACTGATATCGACGGGATGCAACACCTTCGTGTGAGTCTTGCTATGACGGTCTGAGCAGGATGGCAGGATCCAAGGATCTTTTGAAAGTCATTTGTACGGGAGGAACGCTGCGTGGCTGCGGTCAGCACAGCCGCTGCAGTTGCTTTTCTGGGCCTCCAGCCTCGGCAGCTAAGGGTTCCGGCTAGAAAATATATCCAATCACTATACGATATCAGAGGAGGCACTTTCCCCTTCCAGGTTTAGTGTCTCGTTAGAAGCTGCTGATTAACCGCCGGTGCCAAAATAGCAGAGAACACCTTCCTTTTCATTCTCACCTTCGCCTCTTGTCGCCTGCCCTAGCGACAGGAACCACAGGAACCAGCTTCATCCTGCCACCACTCACTGTGTTGCTTATCCATCCTGTACCCATGCCGCACCGCACCGACAATGGCTTGTTCCGGTGACATCCCGCATCCGTGAACATGTGCTCGTTCCCAGATGGCGGAGCCATACCATGGACTCTGGCCCATCCAGGAATAACGCGCAGCTGTGAGCTTGCTTACCATGCTTCCAAACCGGGGGCCGCACTCTATTCAACCAGGGTCAAGGGTAAGCAGATCTCATGGTGCAAAAGAATTGCATCCATAGGTACATATACCCTCTTCCCCTCCCCTCGAAAGATACCATCCCCTTCATTTAAACAAACAACAAGCAACAAGCAAACCAGCCAATCTTTCCATCTCGTCTATTTCCTTTTTCTCTTTCTTTTTTTTGTTATCGCACACTCTTTTGCATAACAACAACTACAGCTACCAACTAATCCATAACCACCACAAAACCAACTACATTCTCACCTTCCCACAAAACCCAGTACCAACAAAATGCATTCTACTACATTTCTAGTCGCTGCTTTCGCCGCCGCCGCCTATGCTTCTCCTATGGGCCCATCCAACGGCAGCCAGAACAGCACCAACGGTCCCAGCTACACTACCGGCCTGCTGGGCAATCCAACCGCTGCCCCCAACCCAACCCCAAACCTCGGCGTTGTCGCTGAGCTTCTTACTGCCGACAGTACCGTCAACCGCTTCAGAGAGCTTCAAGCGGAAATCGCCGCGGGCGATGTCAGCCTGAAATTCGACTTCAACCCTGCCGCCAACCCCGGTGTCACCCCCGGCATGGGCGGCCAAGTCGATCTCGCAAACCGCGCCAACTTCCCGATCCTGACCGGCCTCGGTATCTCCGCTGCGGGCATCTTCTTCCAGCCCTGCGGCTTGAACACGCCGCACATCCACCCGCGCGCTACCGAGTTCCTCACCGTTGTCACCGACAGCAACATCTTCAGCGGTTTCGTGTTGGAGAACGGATTGACCGCGGAATTCAACACCACCTTGACCCAATTTCAGGGCACAGTCTTTCCCCAGGGTAGCATTCACTTCCAGCAGAACCTGGACTGCAAGCCTGCGGTTGCGATCGCCGGCTTGAACTCCGAGGACCCCGGTGCCAGCTCGATCGCCCAGAACTTCATTGTCAACTTGGATGCGGATATCGTCGACGCCACCTTGGGATTCCCCAAGCAGATTGACGGCAGCAACTTCGCTCAATTCAAGAAGAACATCCCCCTGAGCTTGGCCAAGGGTGTTGAGGAGTGCTTGATCCGATGCCACATTCCTTACTAAGCGGGCACTCTTGCGAGTGATGCGCAAATGATGGCATGAGAGGGACCCCTTTGGGATTGGGGCTGGTTAGATGGTCGAATCCGGGTCTTTTCTTGCATAGCGAGGTCATGGGTATATAGCATAGAGAGCATTGTTCACGGTGGGCGGTGTTTTGTGATTTGATAGTGGCGAGAATGGCGACTGCAGATAATAGTAGTATTGGAAATTTTAATACACTCCTTCAATTCCGACTGGAACAGATCCTTCTTCACTCAGCATTTTCCCCCCAGCCCTGTGATAGTGTGTAAATAGCATAGTAGATCGTCTCAGTACAGAAACTGCCGGACTGATCCTCATATAGTGCTAACTAGTCCGCATAGGAGCTGGGGCTTGTCTGGGAGACGGACAGATACGAGTTCACACTGTTGGCTTCTTTTTAACCTGGCGATACTCTAGTCCGACATAGCTACTCAGTCTCATAGGTGTCACGCTCAATCAGGGGCCGCTCCTCGCTTCCGTATTGGCTATGAACAATCCTCGCGTTTTGCTTCCCGAAGGAGATTCTCGAGGACAAATGAGAATGCGCGTGGTGCTCCCGTGGTCCGACAGTTCCATGTGGCCATGTGAGGAGCTGCCGGGAGGAGAACAGCAACATGACGTACTCTACCGCGTCAGTCTTTGTTTCCTCACCTGAAAGGAAAGCAAAATGGAAGAACCTCGATTGTTGGCAATCATCCGTCCTTAAGTCAGCTAACCTCTGCAGACGCGTGGCCTGATACGCTTTCCATTTATCACAGAGTTACAACAGTCTCAACGCCTTGACGCGAGAACCATGTCTGTACCAGGTGCGATCATTTACCCAATGGTTTATGCTTCATGGCCACAGCTAATGCCTCGACAGTGGGTATCATAGTCCCCAAGATGCTTCCCGTCACGGGGACGTTCGCTCCTGGTCTGTATCCCTGAGTTTTTGAGTACCGGAAGCTCATGTTGACGGACACGCAGCGTTCGCGGCCTACTATGTCCTACTCAATCTCAGGGTCAGTCTTTTTCGCCAATCGGAAAAGACTTTTCTAGGTGAACAGACCAAAACATCCATGGGCGAAGGCAAACCAACAGAGACTGGGGCCGGAGATCTTCTTGTTGCGGCGAGAGCCCACAGCAACTTCGTTGAAAACGTCCCGTTCGCATTGCTGGTGGCTGCATTCGCCGAATTGAACGGAGGCAATCGACGAGCTTTGACCGCATCTTTGGCGGGCTTGTTGTGTCTCAGAATTGCCCACGTGGAATTCGGGCTCAGACTGAAGGACTCCGTCGGTTGGGGGAGGCCAGTTGGGTATTTTGGAACGCTGGGTTTTGTTGCTGGCATGAGTTCTTATGCTGCCTATTTGGTGAAGAGCTACTGGGGCTTCTAACTCTTCCTCCCCCCTCTCTCTCCTCGACACTGGACTATCATGTGAAGCAAGCCTCTGATCGAATGCATAGTGCATGTTGGCCTGGACAAGAGGTAAGAATTGTGGGAGATGGTCTTGAGGAGGAAGTCACGAGGGAAGGCATCATATATTTCTTTGAACACACATACCAGGTTCTACGACATCTCAAATTACCAACTCCGACGCTCGCTTCATGCACATCATCACTGTTCTTTATGGCGTACCCACAGCATTTCTTAGCTGCCTCCAGATCCAATCCTTCACTACCAGGACCTCCTATCCGTCCCATTTCTGAAGCATTATCATCCTCACTACCTGCCAGAAAGACACCTGGAAAGCCTAACCCAGAACAGAACCCGCCATATACCTTCCTCTGCACAGTTTGTTGGATCGAGCATGAACCTCCCCCTCATACCTTTGGCTTGGAAAGTCGTATTGTTTGCACTGATTGTTGGCGATGGATCCATAGTATTAGCATTTGCTGGCGCTGCGGAGAGATTGTCTCTAGGAAATGTGACGCTGTCAGCTTTGGGTGGTGTTAGTGGCATTGGAGTTGCTTTTCATGCCTGCTATGTGCGGTGAGATTCGTCATGGTGGATGGATGAGCGCAAAGAACTAAACCACACCAGTCCCCTTTGCCACCTCCTCCGTATCTCGATGGCGACGGCAACCCTCACAAGCGAGGCATGGTTGTTGAAGATCCTCCGGTGTGCTCTCGGTGCATTGATCAACCCGAGTCTGTTCACAAATTGGAACAACACATTAGAATATCACAATCAGCAGCGGACAGCATCAAACCGCCCGCAAACATAGTGGACGGTGCATGCTCGGTCATATCACTGAGCGATCCGCTGAATCTTGAACCCAACGGAATCAGCAATGCGAAGGCTGGCCCCAGATTAATGCCTCCCTGGATGGCCTCGCTGCGTCCGAGGCAGCTGTCTAGCAATCGTCCTACCAGCATTCGCCCACGACGGCGTTCGACATTGCCGACAAGGACCACAGGATCGACGCTCTTTTCAACACCTCCTCAATACCCTGGGACAAGAGACAGCGCTGGTATGAGTCTAAAAGAGCCGTCTCCAGTACTGTCTTCTGAAGATGGTCGCAAATCTCCAGACGCCCTTCAGCGTAGAACTTCCCAAGTCGTGTCGGTCCCAGACACAAACAAGCAACTCATTGCGGAGCAAGACCGACTGGAGGTCCAGATTCGCCCGGCAAGCGGTACCCTCTGCGCCAATAGCGAAGGCTTGTCAGCCTCGCAAGATGCTGCGCTCCAGGAGATTGGCGAGCCGAAACTCATCCGCTCATTGCCTGGAAGTCTCATAAAGCGTAACAATCCGGTAGCCAAACGGCGGTACTCCCTGCGCAAACCATCGGCAGAAAACTCCATGATTGGGACAATTGGCGACTCCTCCAAGTCATCAACGTTTCATGAACCGGTATCCGTACCTTTGCAGGATATAGCTTCGGCGAAAAGGTCCATGGTCAAAGATCTAGCCAGCTTCTTCTCCAACGGCGCCACGAAAGCCAAGTCGGCTCTGCCAGGCAGTGGCAGCGGCAGCGTGAATGGCAGCCGAAGAAGCAGTAGCATCAAGATCAAGACGGATGGCAAGCAGACAGTCATCAATGAGAAAACCTGCGAGAGATGCGGTGCCGAAATACCGGATCTTTCGGCCCGGAGAGAGTCCAGAGTTGCTCTCACCTGGTCCAGCGGTAAGCCGGACCGAATCTGTCAGAGTTGCAAGGCTGAGACCACAATTCCGGGCGCATGGGCCTGATGTTGCGAGCATCCGTCTACAAGACTGATATGAGTCCTTCGAGTGCAAAGGCTGAAGACGAGTGTGAATGAATGCGACAGAGCAAAGTGCGGTCAATGGAAAAAAAAATGTATTCCTAGTATTCCTAGTATTCCTAGCATTCCTCGCTCACAGGCAAGCCTGCGCAGAAACATTAGAACCAGCTCCAATGACCGACTGAAAAGAGTTCAATCACGCTGACCCACGCCCCTGCACACAAACTCAAACAACTCGCTTGCTGTATAGTACACGCTTGCTAATCAACCCCCCTTCCTTGCCAGCCAGCCAGCCAGCCCAACAGGCCCTCTTAAGATAAGATCACCTTTCCCTTCAGTCCTGTTCCCCATTCCAGCCTGACTAATCTCAGTATCTCGCCATCAACCACAGACGTCTTTTTTCATCCCCGAACCCTCTCAACTTCTGCATCAAACTCTCCGTCACGGCCACATAGTCGTCCACAGCCGCATACCCAAGGCCCCTTCTCAGGACCTTATCCCGATCGAGGGCCTTCAGGCTCTTCTCCAGACTATCCGGCAATTTGACGCTGATGCCCAATTTCTCCCTTTCCTGCTCGCCTATCCCGGTGGGATCGCCCGCGCAATCCTTGTACTCGAGCTTCAGATCCTGTCTGAGCCCGTGCAATCCTGCAGCCAGGAGCGCCGCCATCGACAAGTAGGAATTGCCGATCCCATCGATCGTCTTGAGTTCATAATGGCCCGGGTCGCACTTGCGCAGGGGGACCTCTTTATTTTGCGTTCCCCAGCACACGTACTCGCCTCCAGCCCATATTCCGGCCGCCACGCGCTGGTACGACTCTTCGATCGGCAGCGTGAACGCCAGGATCGCTGGCAGATGGTCCAGCACCCCGGCGAGGAACGGAGCTTCGTACTTGTCCACCGTGTCTCCGGGACCGTTGATACTAAAGTGTGCGTGGTTCGCGGAGCCGCACCTGGATGCGAACGGGCGCGGGTAGCATGTCGCTTTGAGACCGTGCTTCTTGGCGACGTTGCGGATGACATCTTTCGCCTTGAACAGCACGTCGACAGCCTTGAGGGGCTCGAAAGCGGGCAGGGGGAACTCCCACTGACCCGGGGCAGCTTCGGAATGGAACTGCGGGACTTGGATGTCTAGTTCCGCGAGAAGTTCCACTATCTCTTCGATCATGGGCAGCATGTCGAGCTGCTGGAATGTCATGTTGGCCCAGGAGTGGACCATGTGCAGGGGTGCGAAGTCAGTGAAGTCGGATTTTCCCTCGTTGTTGATTGGGCGCATGAAGATGACTTCGAGCTCAAAGCCCATGAGGACGGTGATGTTGAATTCGGTTTTGAGCGCGTCGCATTGGGACTGCAGGAGCCAGCGCGGGCAGCGATCCCAATGGTCGAGGTTGTGCGAGTGTTCGCTTTCGATCATCCACCATGTTTGGACGGTGGCCGATGGTGATGCGATGCCCTTGTTGAGCGAGAGGGTAGAGAGGTCTGGCGCGAGAATGAACTGGCCGGTCGCTGAAACACCCGTGGCGCCGGTATCGTCTTGCATGAGTCTGGAGACCGCGGTGGTGCAGCCCATGTACTTGCCTGTTGCGAGTTGCTTACGGAATTGCTGAATGGTGACCATTCGGTTACGCAGTGTACCGGTATAGTCTAAATACTGAGTCCATATGTACTTGACGCCAGGGTTGGTCTGCAAAAAAGCGTCAAAAAGGGTCAAGTTCTGTGCAAGGACTGCTGTATTGTTCTGTCCGGAGGGAGTACTTATGCTCGTGGAGCGGACAGCAAGATTTTGGTTTGTTGCCGTCAACGTTGCTGCAGATGCAGAAGGCCCAGGTCGTGCAGATGGAATACCAGGTGTGGCAACGGCAGTGCTCGCATTTGATCGGAACGATGGAGGTTTGGAACCGCCATTGACCAAGGTTCGCATGCTATCGACGGATTCTCTTCCACATGCTCGCAGGAGTTCAGGGAATTTTCGCTCCTCATCGAGCTTGTACAGGGAATTAGAGTTCCAGAACATAATGTCGACTGCAATATCAATGGCTTGAGGCACGCTGATGTCGCCTGCGGCAACATAGGATGTGAGCAGCTTTTCCAAGGCTTCTCTGAAGTGTTTATTCGCCAGCCAATATGTCTCAGGGTAGAAGTGCCCGTCAGTGCTCCACAAGATCTTGGAGCTAGGGGTCAATTCAAGAGCCTGCCGGAGTACAGATTCCTCGCCATCTCTTGAAAGCATAGGAAAGACTTCCCCAATGTCGAGCCAGGCATTTGAGAAATTGGCAGCCAAGTAGCCGGCCTCTCTTGTGTAAGGATAAGAAGAATGCAGTATGACGAAGTCAACCTGAGGAAAGGCTTCGATCAGTGGTTGCATGTACGCTGGATTGGCTTTGACAAGATTGATATCTGTGTCGCCAAGTCCGGTGTGAAACTGGAACGGCAGGTTTTCACCATCCGTGTCCACAAGCTTCTCGAGTACGTCGCACACTGCGACAACCAGGAAATCGTTCACTTCTTTCTGCGCGATGCGATATTTGGAGTCACGAACGGCTCTTTGCAGAAAGTGGTGGAAGGATTGGAGGAGGACCGAGTCGGTCAATGACTGGTGCGGACGGAAGTTTTTCCTGCTTTCTAGACCAATATCAAGACCCGTTCGGTAGCAAATGACAGATTTGAAACCACGAACGTTTGGGTCATTGGCCAAAGTTCGGATGTGGTTGCGGAAGACCGTATTGAAGCGGACAAGGAAGCTCTCTGTCTGGCTAATGTCCCAATCTGCATCAAGGCCGACTCTCATAAACCCGGCAGCATGAGCCAGGCTTTCCAGTAACTCGGACGCGACAGCTTCGATCCGTACGATCCTGGAGACCGTGGGGACAAATTGTCGGTGCCATGTGAACGGGTGGATGATCTCAGGCGACAAGCCGTCATCCATCATGATGGCGTGTGTCCCCTCGAAGCACCTCTTGATCAGACCCGCGTAGTCTCTCCGCACCCATTCGTATCTGCAAGCCTTGACATCTTGTAGTGTCTCTGGACACTGGTAGAACGCGGCCAGGTCTTTGATCCCGCGCATGTGAGCCAGACTGGTATGAACATGATCCGTCAAGGCGTGACCCTGCGCCTCGGAAGTGATACACTCAAAAGGGTAATCTGGGCTTCCAAAGGAATTCTCCTCTGTCAACATATTATGCGCATGGTTGTCAATAATGGGAAAGGTCTGGATAATCTGCTGGAGGTCTTGAATCCCGGCGGTCTCGAGCTCACGGACTCGATGTAGGGTAGGGTAGAGCTCTGGCATGGGAGCCATAACGGCCAGCGCAGGACCGGGGAAACAGGTTGAGGAGGATTCTGAACGTGAGATGCTGCGCACATGGCTGTGAGTCTGTTATCACAGCAGGCTTGGACGGAGCTTACCTGGTCAGGTAGGAGAGACTCCACGACAATGCTCAAAATGGTAGGAGAGAATGATAGCGAGGATAAGGACGAGTGCTGAACTCCGCCGCTGCGCCGTCGATTTGATGGTTTTGGACACTGGTAGCGGATGCTGGTCAGATTGGGATTGAAACGAAAGACAGGTTGAGAGAAGGAGGAGTTGAGAGTTGTGAAGCTGTGGCTGTCCATCAGTCAAGTCGTTGTGGTGGATTCGAATGCTGATCGACACGCAGGCGAGGACAGGAGTCAATCAATAATCTGACATCGCGGAGGACGCCTGCTGTAGCCTCCTGATTCTGGCTGTGACAGGCTCCATCGAGCTCACTATTTGGACGAGTCGGAGAAGACTCCAAGGTAGCTAAAGGGAGATCCCTGGTCGCCGCCAAAGCCTTTTGGGGGTAGGGTAAATGGAGTATCAGGGAGCCACCAGTTCTTACCACAAGCTTTGGCGGAGGTGAGGCACCTGAAACTCGAACTTGGGGCTCTACCACAGTAAAAGGACGCCATCAACGCCTAATAGTGAGCCTAGTGTGCCCTGCATATGTGGGCGAGGTGGGCTCTGGTGGCTTCTCTAGGCCTGACCCCATTGGGCCTTTGAGGTCACTAGGTTTAGTTAACCCCCGTGATGCCCCCAGCTCGCGGCTCGGTCCGGGGGCTGGTGCGCAAAGCAATTTTTGAATGCGTCCGAACTTCGCAACGCATCTTCGCCCATGACGTTCGTGGCTGCATTGACCACGGAACAACCTTTACCTAAGTCTGTCACTGCCTGTCCACTTAGCATCAAAACAACCGGCATTTACATGATCAATGATTGCAAGATTCCGATTTCATCAACATCATGACCGCATGCTTGCTGACCGACTTTCCTCATGTCTTCACCACTTAAAAGAACCCTTAGCAGCACCGGCCGATCAATCAGTCCTCCTGCTCTGAAGAGAAAGATCCCACGTTTACCAGAACACGTGGTCAGCACGCGCGATGATCCTACAGACCAGTTTCGAATCTTCAGTTGGAATGTAAATGGTGTCGGGCCACTACTCCAGAAGCAATTGTCCTTCGGGTCTGTCTCGCTTGCTCCACTGAGAGCCTTCCTGAAACGACATCAATGGCCTCATTTTCTTTGTCTTCAAGAAGTCAAGATCAATCTGAAAGACACTGCCACCCAAAGACGACTTCAGGCGGCAGCTAACGAAGGTGTCAAGCCCGATGAGCCCACTTACGCTGTTCAATTTTCTCTCCCACGAGACAAACACAACGCTACGGGTTTCGGTGGGAAAGTGCATGGGGCCGCCACATTGATTCGTGAGGATTTCACCTCAAATCTTCGGGTGACCCGACGTCCCGATTGGGATTTGGAAGGCCGAGTCTTGATACACGAATTAAAGATTGGTTTGGTGATCATCAATGGATACTGGGTGAACGGAACGTCCAACCCTTATCGAGATCCAGATACGGGCCAAGTCATTGGCACAAGACATGATCACAAATTGCGCTTTCATGAACGGATGCTGGACGAGACACTCCGACTCGAAAACGAAGGAAACCATGTGGTGCTAATAGGCGACATGAACATCGCCCGAGCAAGAATCGACGGCTATCCGAACCTGCGCACTTCACCTGTACAGCACGTCAAGAACCGTGCAGATTTCAACGCCAAGTTCTTTACCGACGGGAATGGTATGCGAGGTATCGATGTATTCAGACACTTCCATGGAGATACCCGGAAATACACTTATTATCCTCGTGGCAGGCATTGGGGAGAAAGCTGCGACCGAGTTGACCTGATCATTGTCAGTCGATCTTTGGTAGACCAGGTCGACGCTGTTGCTGCCACTGATATATGCGACAACGCCCTGGATCGAGGGCATTCCGACCACGTACCACTCTGGGTATCCCTTGTCTCTTCCAAACTGCCATTGAAGACAGCAGGACCGGCACGAGACTGACGACGTTATATTGTCCGGGTCAGATGTTGCCATGTCAGTATCCGGAGGAATGATGATCCGGCAGCCCCCGCCCTCCGATCGCCGGACGCCACTGACCTGTAGATGAACATTTCTATCTTGCATTCCACCTTAAATACCTTCGACCTTACTCCAGGCTGTCATGACTGATCTAAAGCCACTCGACGGTTTAAGCTCTTATCAGCCATGACCGGGAATTGGAGCAATGTTGGCTCTCAAATCGATGCGGGTGCCTTCTTTGGCAACAGAGCACGCGACAAGCTTTCAGGAATTGCCATCAGAAATCCTCGATCTTATTGCTGATCAGCTGTATGATGCTGGTTTTGGCCTTGCTGATGGGCTCATGGCCTTTTCGCTCGTGTCCCATCTTTGTCGTCTATCAGCACTACCCTTCTTGTTCAGCAACATCAGTCACGTAGTAAGGGACAGGCTGGATCAGCAAGAGCATGGGACACTCGGTCGTTTTCTAAATCATCCTCATCTTCTTCGCCACGCCAAAGAGCTACATGTTGTACGCCCAGCAGAGCTTCGCGGATTCGTCCCCTCCTTGGACGATGCCAGTGCACGGCGCCTCGCCCAGGAGCATAGGTCAGCCGATCTCCAAGTTATCAAAAAGGGCCTGCCTTTAATGCCTCGCCTCCGTCGCATCAGATTAGACTGTTCGGCTGCAGTTGCACTCGAGATTCTCAAGCTGTTACCAGCAAATGCTATCTACGAGATAATCTTGGACCACATCTATACTTCATCGCATTGGCCCACGTTGATCGAAGCAACCACAGAATTGGCGACATTCGGAAGTAAACACCGACTTGCATTGGGTGCTTTTGGGTTGTCCCCATCACAACACGCTTCGATTGGCCAAGCGACATACGACGCAATATCAAAAGCAGCTGCAGTGGATTTGCACATGGCTTGGCTTCTCAAGGATAATCGGGTGCCTCAGGGCTCTAGTGTTGCAAGAGGTCCTTGCATCGCCGAAACACCCTCCTGGACAGAGTTGCGGCTTTTGATCAGGCGTGCTTGCGGAACAACCACTTATTCGATACGAGACCTTGACCTGGAGATAGTGCCGTGGACGAATCTTCGAAGGCTTTCGATCCTCTGGGAGTACGCAATGCCGATGAATCAATTCATATTTGATGTTGCGCCGAGGCTCATCAATTTGGAGGCACTGCGGCTGCGTGCTGACCATCAGAGGCTCTATCACCCTGCTTGCAAATACGATGTTCCGACAACTGGCCTATTTGCAGATACACCGATCGTGCCTCCTTTCGAGATTGATTACACGCAAATGCGGGAGCTTCGGGAACTTGAGATTGATGGAATATGCAATCATATTCCCATCGGGGCGTTGCTTGGGCCTAAGCTCCGGAGTTTGCGTCTGCACCGTGAAGACACTCTGTGGTCGGTTTACAGTCCCGAGAGCCAGAGAACTCCTGGTGATATCTCGTCCGCGACCAAGATCTGCCCCGACTTGGAGCGGCTTGAGTTGGACATAGGATACATTGAGAATCTCTGGCATCCGACTGCAATACCTGGAGTGGACGTGGATGTGGAGCAATATTCCTTCTTGAATGCCATTTCCAAGTTCAGACGATTACGACACCTCCGTCTGTTTCCTCCCTTTGTCCCCAAGGACTCCCCCCGTTTCAGTCGGAGTGTACCACACTGTGTTCCCGTCTCTGATGATCAGGCCATCAGAGTATTCGAACACCTGCGACAGGAGTGTCCGTCATTGCAAACACTTTCGATTGCCGCTATTCCGTCTTTCGTGATGATTGATACCATGTGTTGGGTGGTGAAACGTCGAGGCGAGAAAACCATCTTGACCACGAAACATCGAGAGAGGAATTACCAGCATCGACAGATATGGGTTGGACAGCGAAGAATTACCAGTGAGATCAAACGATTCAGCGCCCCACCCAGATATCTCCCTGACTCAGAGGGTTGGATGTTGACCCGCAATGATATGCATGACATCCGTTGACGGCTCTCCATACGTGTGCGAAATGGACGTTGTCGCCAAGTTTATTGTCTTCCACGACCAGAGCAACCACAAATAAAAGTGAACGATACCCACAGACTTCTTGGGCCTCAAACCATGACTATGAGGAATGCCGGGGTATGACGCCTGGATCTTGGGGGTTGCAGTATCTCGTATTGAGCACCAAGGAACGCGGTGGCCGCTTGATATTGGTCGACCTCGCTCGTGCCGACTGTCCAGGCCGGAGTGAAGATTCTATTCAACACTTGACCGAAATCTCTTGCAGTGCCAAGATATGGTCTCAATCCGTGTTACAACTTCCGGATCTTGCTGATGATGGAACGGAAACTTCCCCTGTGCACGTTCATACTGGCCGCTCTTGATTGGTGCAAACCACCCCGGGCGTCTGTGACGGATATTTAGACGAGGATTCGTTGCCCAACTATAAAGAACGTCCATCCAGCACCCCGTCAATCTCGACTCTTTCATGCTCTATTTCCTTGTCCTTCAATAATCCGAATCATTTGAAGGGCAAATCAATTCGTTTCCAGTGGTGTTTGCAAATATGCCATCATCGATGTGTACACCACTTGTGCTGCTCTTTCTAACCGTCTCGGCGGTGGCTCTTCCACCTCAACCACAGACATACCTTGCCAGTCAAGTCAATCTATCTGGATGGGCCGCAGACGTCAAACCACCCTCGATCAACCATAATATGCACTCAGACGAAGCGCTGCCGGTTCCTGAGGATGTTCGGAGCGTGGCTTCGGATACAACAAGCGAGCTGCCATCAGCACCGACGAGTCTACTCGCGCTATTAGAGAACGACCAGTGAACGAGGCGTTCCATTGTGAGATCCTCATTCTACTTCGACGACAGAGCTGCGCCCCCTCATAGGGTACCGATCTCTTCTGCCACTGGATCGTATCGGCAGCCTATGTCCACTCACAAAATCATTCCGTGGGCGAACCTACTTTTGCTAGCTGGTGTATCGGCAATGTACGAAGTATAGCTCACAACATTGACGCACAAGTTTATCGCTCTTGTGTCCACGGTGAGTGTGGGCCAAACACTACGCTCCATCCAATACTTGGCACCTCCTGATTGTGACGTGCGACTGTCTCGACTGGGTACTATCATCTGAAGCGGCAGATAACAGAGCTACGGATTACTTTGGATTGAAATATGGCTATACAACGGAGTGGACATGCTCGTCTCACAAAGATTATTTGCTTTACTCCTTGAGGAGGTGACTGCATCGAACCTGAGTATCAGAAACTTCAAGCCACTGGTTGGCTGGAGTCTGCCGTAAAGACGAATTGAGTGAGCAATGGTGAAGCACACATCAAGGGACGACTCCTTCATACTTGTGCTATCCATTGTGAGCTCATGTTCACATTGGGGAGATCAACGAGTCTATTCCATACGTTGCAAAAGTCATGAGGCTGAGGCTGATATCCCGACTACATGTCTCCACCATATCATTTTCTGGTATGTGGGCAGTATCAATAGCTAGCTTGCTGTTTCTAAAATAACACCTAGTATTGTTCGGTACATGAATAGTTTTCCTGGGTATTTGAAAGAGAGGAAGACGGGCTCGATGACGGTGAACGCAGCTACAAAGGTCTCTGTTCTGACCCTCCTACAGCCTTCGAATTGGACACCATTGGCTACATTTGCTTTGTACATACCGCGCTCTGTCAATTGTACAAGCACCGTATGTTCCGAGGTGTCGCAGTATATTTTCATATTTCCCATATTCCGCATTTCCAGAACATCTCTCCTGCAGCGTTTCATGCTTAGTAGCCGCGCATTGTCTGTTCGTGTTCACCCCTCCTCCACCCTACTTAGTACTGTCCAGCGATTGTGAACGTGCCCGTCTTGGAGATCAAGTACTCATTGACCGCAACATCCTTGCCGGACTCCTTACCATACCCGCTCTCCTTGATTCCACCGAACGGCGACTCGGCAGCCGACGCGTTTCCAGTGTTCTAAAAAGGCAAGAAAACATAATGATTAGCATGATTGTTCTCCTTCTTCTTCTGTACTGTCGTAGCACCGTGCTGGGAGACACGAAGATTCGAAAAATGAAGCAAGGGAAAAAGCTCTTTGAAGAACTTGAACTTACCAAACCGATCATACCGGCCTCTAGATTCTCCAACATCCTCCACACACGATCGACATTCTTGGTAAAGGCATAACTGGCGAGGCCCATACTCGTATCGTTGGCCCACCTCACGGCCTCCTCTTCCTTTTCGAACTTGAAGATGCCCGCGACGGGGGCGAAGGTCTCCTCGCGACTCAACAACATCTGCTCGTTCATGTCGGCCAAGATGGTCGGGTCCATGAAATACCCGCCGACGCCCTTGCCCTCGCCGGCGCCCTCTTTGTCCGTCGCGCCCTTGTACGCTCTGCCCGTGCCCAGGAGCATCTTGGCGCCGTGCTTGACGGCGTCCGCGGCCTGCTCTTCGGCCTTGGCCAGGCCTCGCGGCGTCGTGACGGGGCCCATGGTCGTGCCCTTTTCGGCGCCATGCCCGACCTTGAGTTCCTTGGTCTTGGCCACGAGCATCTGGCTGAACTTCTCGTACACGCCGGCCTGGACGTACAGCCTGTTCGCGCTGATGCACGCCTGGCCCGCGTGCCGCCACTTGAGCGCCATGAACTGGGCGAGCGCCTGGTCGAGATCGGCGTCGTCGAACACGATAAACGGGCAATTCCCGCCCAACTCCAACGTGCATTTCTTCAGGTTCTTCGCACACAGGCCCGCGACGATCTTGCCGACGCGGGTGCTGCCTGTGAACGTGACCTTTTTGACGAGCGGGTGCGTGATTAGGGCCTCGCTCAGGCTCGGCGTGTTGGCCAGACTCGTCGTGACCACGTTGAACACGCCCGGCGCAAAGCCCGCGCGCGTGGCCAGGTTGGCCAACGACAGGCACGTCAGGGGCGTCTCGGGACTCGGCTTCACGACCATGGTGCAACCCGCAGCGAACGCGGCGCCGGCCTTGCGCAGGATCATGGCAATGGGGAAATTCCAGGGCACGAGCGCCACGGCGACCCCGATCGGCTGCTTGATCACAAACACTCGTCGGTTTGGCGCGGATGGAACGCTGACCGACCCTTGGATCCGCTCGGCCTCGCCCGCGAACCACCACGTGAAGCCCAGCGAGTAGTCGAGTTCGCCGTACGCTTCGGCGAGCGGCTTGCCCGTCTCGTACGTGAGGATCTTGGCCAGGTCGTCTTTAGCGGCGGTGATGAGTTCGTGCCATTTCATGAGCAACTGCGCGCGCTTGCGTGGGTTGAGGATGCTGTACTCCTTGAACGCCTTGTAAGACGATTGGATCGCCGCGTCGGCGTCCTCGACCGCATTGTCCGGACACGACGCCCACGTCTTGTCGGAGCCCGGGTCGACGATGTCGAACCGTTTGCCGGATTTGGCGCCCACCCATTTGCCATCGACGTAGGATTCCTGGTGAAGGAGATCCGGGTCGTTTAATTCGAAGGGGAGTGATGGGGCCATTGTGACGGGGATTGGAGGTGAGGCTGTTTTCTGGCCTGGTTGGATGAGAATCAAATGGTCGAGGTTCCTATCACAGGATAGAATAACGAAGTAAAGCAAGGGGAAGCTAGACAGTCAGTCAGAAAGATTGTAAGTGTAGCTGCACATCATTTTGTCCGAGCCGAGGAGGGAGGAGGAGAAGTTGACCCCGCATCGCAGACCCTTTCCCCTCTGGCACCCAGGCACCCAGGCACCCAGGGTTTCCGAGTACTGTAGGGTGACTGCAAGACTGAAGACAGTAGGACTCTACCGTGCCACAGCTGTCCTCGGTCTGAAGAAACCCCGCCGTGGCACTGGCTTCTCGAAATTGGGGTCGACGATTCATCATCGATTGGAGTTCATGGAGTTCATGGAGGAGACGCAGATTCAACGCCGTCGATTTCCGAGTCCCTTCGCCGATGCCGGACGAGCACTCTTTGGAGGACATGATGACGCCGGAGTGTCCCGCAAATAGTCAAAGAACGCCACGGACAAGAAGGCCATAGCAAGCAGTCAGCAGAATGACATAAACATTAATCTGTACCTGTTCTACTTCGTCCATAGACACCACCGGCCAGAACAGGTTTGGCCGGATCCCAAGGACCGATAACCACATTTTTGTACCGCTGCAACCCAATCAACCACCAGGAACAACCTCCCATGACAAATGCTGTACTGAACCCTCCTATCGCAAATCCAATGGTGCACCGTTTTATGACATGCCATACCCAGCCCAGACAGAATCCACAGTCACCGTATGTATGTGTGTATGACTTGGACAATATCAAGCTCAACCCACAGGTCGACATGGTGACAAGAGCAAAGGTAAGAAGTAGATGTAGATTGAACGACTTGTGGCGAAGATGCCGTCGAAACACCGGGAACAGCCCCAATACCTGGATGGAGAAAAGAGTCAGACTAAACACGGCTGTTGTGGTCCGCAGCCGTGATGCCAACACTGTACTTGCCATCAGCGCTGCGTTTGTCGACAACGAAGATGGAAATGCAGGAGCACGGAATGAGGCGTGTGTGTGTGGGCGTGTCGTATCAGCCGGAGTAGTTTTGGACTTTTCTGATGAAGAAGCCGATGGCTGAGATTTGGCGGGAACATAAAGACTGCTGTAGTCGAAGAAGAAGATATTGATGATTAGGAGCCAGGTAGCCAAAGCCCAGATTGAGTCGGATGAAGTTGATCGGGTCAAGGACTTGAGTATCGGCGACAACCCGAGAAGCGCAAAATAGATCAGACCGGCGGATTTGAGAGTCTTGAGACGTGCTTGATTGCGTGGAGAGATTGACGCTGGCAACGTGGTTGGAGAGTAGATAATGCTAGGTGATTGAGGAGCTTGTGAATGAGACGTGGTCGGACGAAGATCCGGAAAGGGTTCCATTTGTGAGTCGCCCAGAGCATCAATGGGTGATATCGATTGGAAAGAGGATTTGGATAGAGATTGGCCATGCTTGCCGGCAAACTTCGACTCGTTCTCCTTGACAGCCAGATTGCTGGTCGACAATTTCAGACTGAGGCCACGGCCGCCCACGCCGCCGTTTGCATGTCCGTTCGCATGACCATTGCCATTCATTATCAGTTTTGCTGAGCCAGTAGAACTTGTGCTCGACCCGTCGTCAACATCCACAGATAGTCTGTTTGCTTTCTTGACAGCGGCCATCTCTTCTGCCTCTTCCTGACCCATCCAGTGATCCCATACAATCCATCCACCCACTGTAGCGATCGTGCCGCATGTCACTACCGACACCGGAGACAGACGATCTTGGTAGATGCCCGCGTATGCGCAGACGAAGATGGCAACCGAGCACACATGCTGCACAATGACTGCCGAGTCTGCTACCAATGGCCAGAAATCGTAAGGTCTGAGCCTCGGATTTCTCTGCAAATGATCCAAGAAGGTCTCGGTGTCTGTATAATTGTCTGGGAATCCATGTTGTTTGATCCACAGCAACTTCTTCCAAACATGCGGTTGCTTGCGCCTCCTGCTGGCTGCGCGCCTTCGTTCTTCAGCAAGCCGTGCTGCAACAGGAGGTATAGCAGGCGGTGCTCGTAAAGACGCGACTGCCGGTCTAAGAGCAGCGGCCGCAGCGGATGCAGCTGCAGAGCCATTGATCTCAGGGACAGGTCGCAGTCGCGGTGGCGAGAATGTCCTGTATGCATCCTCTGGTGCGAGGCGACTCGGGTCTGAAGTGAGGCGATGTAATTGAGGCTTTGCCCGGTTCGGATGAGTCTCGACTGGGACGGGAGGCGGAATAGGTGAGGGAGCGGGAGAAGGTGTCGGTGTTGCAGTGGTGATAGGACTTGTAGGGGGTGACGGAGTAGGCGGCGCCATCGTGCGCCTGTTATTGTTATTGCAGGGTCATCTTAGATGGGCCTGAATGGCGGTGATGATCTAGGTCGACCACGAAGACCTGCAAATGGTGATGCAGTCCAAGGGGGTGTACAATGTACGATGCAGGCGTGCGTCTGGGGAAAGTCGCCAAGCTCATGACGACGGCCCCGGCAAACCTTCCATCGGCCTCGGTAAGGAAGCTTAGACAAGCGAGTTTTAGCAGGTTCTAGTTAGGGCCGCGTACCTGCTTAAACACCCCGAGAAGGAAAGGACAGCAGAGCCTGGTGCGCCTGAGTATCGTAAGTGCTTCCTTGGGTGTAGAATACAGCATGATGCAGTTGATTTCTGAAGTCGATTCCCAGCTAGCATCACCCATAACATCAAGGCGGCTGCCATTTTTATCGAAGGGTCAGTCTCTGTCAGTTGTATCCGCCGGATACTAATCGCCCAAACGTTGAGGTACGGTTTGTCTGGATCATCTCCTCTCACAATGGTGTTCATGACCACTCATGCGAGTAATGCATCCACGTATCAGCTTCATCGGCGAATTCGAGTTCGGCTATGCTCATAGGCAAGCGCCATCAATAGCAGTGGTGAATAGCCTCCCTGTATCCGAGAACTCGTGCCTGCATTCATTTTTACAAGCCAATACGCCTCTGGCTTTTGCATCAGTGATCATCCCTCTAAACGAGCATGCTCTTCTGTTTCAGCCTTTCGGGATCACACCGCCACGATGCCTGTGTGCGGGCGCTGGGTTTGGAACCGAGCTGCACTAGTCAAAAGGCTATCTCCATCGATTTTGCTTCTTCAGGAGCACACGCTGCCTCTTTCGGTAGTAATGAGGATTTTGATGAGCCAGAAGCGACTTTTGACAGACGCCACACAGCGTCAGAGGTGGTACTCCGTCCTTTGCGCATCTCCACGTGGTTCTTCTGCCTTGAACGATGGATGTCGCTGTTATACGATGAACTCACGCAAGGTAAGGCCTTGAGCTGATGGGGATGTCTTGCAGAATCGGAGAATGCCTTTCTAGGCTTCCAGCAAGTCGATCGTAAGGTACAGTATATTAGACAAACACTAACTTACATTGCCGCAGGTTACGGTTGTCGATAATGAGACAATAGTCAGCCCCCAAACACCAGCGTGCTAACAACCAAGTTACAGTACTCTCAGGCGCAGAGATTAGACCTACAACACCCAGCTGAGAGAGTAACCTATTGATCTTTTGTAGCTCTCTTACGCGCACACCCCGCAATATCTTGCAACCCTAGGTAACCTAGGACCATTTTCCGACCATACAAACTTCCTCCAACCGCCCGGGTTCACCCAGAGCTTCAGAGTATCTTCTATCGACATCGCCATATCTTTCCGCGATCCAGAAGTCTCTCTTGTTTTGACCTTCGCTTACACCAACAAACTTTCGGAATGCCTTCTATCCCTACAAGCATTGCCCAGAAGGACTTCCATATGACCCGAAAAGGCAAGTCCTCCTCAACTTGATCGCTCAGCATATGCACGTCAGAATCTTAATTTGAACTCTACATGGCACATATCCAAGGATGAAAGGAACCCCAAAACTTAATCGCCCACCACCAAAACATAGATATTGCCTTAGACCAGGTTTGTGCTTGCGCAATCCACATCCAGAGTGGGTGGCTATGTCCGGGCGCAAATCCGAGGGTGTTCTGCACTACCCAACATCTAGCCTCCTGGAAATGCAACACCCTCGGTGGGAAACCAACTAGAACCACTTGAGCGATTAAACTCACAGTGTGCAACACGTGCTCATTGCGATCCCAAACGCTGGCCCAACTTTCGTAGGGTCACTTGGACATTGTCTCCTAGTGCCGAGCATATACCCGGGGCATGAAGAGCTTCCTGCTTACTTGTGACCCATTGGCCGAGGACAGCTTGCAGGCTCGTGCTCGGATAAGAACTTCCCGTGCGCTCGAGCAATCTGTACCGCCAAGTCAGGGACAATTGCGAATTCCCCGTCTGCATAACAGACAGTGGCCGTGTGCTCCGAGTGTTGTCGGATAGACCGCCAGCACTGCCTTATGTCATGGCCTTGGGTGAACGTCGGTTCCGCGGTAGCTGCATCGCTGAGACAACAACCAAGTGGATGGACTTGAACGCGGTGAGTAACATGTGCGTCATCTTGTGTTGGACAATGCCACTCCTCACACCTGCCAAAGCTGCCGATTCAGTACCTTGAAGGGGCCACTGGTCTTGTCTCCGCCCAGACGTAGATTCCTTATGGGAAACTGCCAGTTGCTCGTCGAAGCCGTCGGTAGGCCATAGATCGCCTGGAGCCGTTTCATCTGACCACGTATCCAATCCATCTGGCCTGGTCGCAAGTGGCTCACAAGCGGACCGGGTTGAGAATTCGGCCATTGCAGCGCTGGCGCCCTGAGAAAGTTGCTTAGTGGTGTCATGACGAACCAGCCTCCTATAGCGGCTGCGGCGCGGATATGGTCTTCCTGTGTCATTTCGACGGGGTTGCCGAACGGATCGACGTAGTTTGCCAGTTTCCGCAGCTCATCAGGGACATGCGGGTATTCGCTGTGCTCGTGAGGGAATGTAAGCGTGGTCCGATTCCCCAAATGGTACGGCACGGAAGCACAGAAACGGTCGACGATCTCTTGCGTACGGGAAATGATATTCGAATGGAGCCGATGGTCCGTCTCGACGCCGAGAGCTTTGAGTTCTCGCTGGCATAGTGCGATGAGACGGAATGCGCCAACGTGCGAGCTCCGGGAAGCGTTGTTGACGTGAGAGACTGTCAGCGAGGAATAAACGTCGACAGTGTCGCCGTAGACGCCGGCGGCTCGGATCGAAGGATGGAGTTCCGAGGCCGGAATGGGGACGGATTGCCATGACTTGGGCAAGGAATTTCTCCAGGCTTCGAGTTTCTGAGCAATCACCAGGGCCCGCTTGATGATAGACTGGTAGTACTCAACCGCGCTCGTACCTATAGTTTCGGGCCCTTCGGCGGCAGCGACGTGTAAGTCTGCAAGCTCGGCATTGATGAGGTCTAACTTTGCCGACGGAAGGATCGCAGTGTCTTCGGTGAGCAAGTCCTCGTTCAACATGACTCTCTGTCCCGTTTGCATGGAGAAGCTGATGTGCCGACTTCTCAATGCTGTGAACAGTCGCTGTGAGGTGGGGCTTTTGAAGTTCTCTTCGCCTCGATGCCGTAGTAGCGCGACTGCTCCTTGCTGGTGTGTGCCGTTGTCAATGAATCCAACGAAGCGCTTGTTCAGGGAGTCGTAGAAGTCGAGCAGGAACACCGCAGCAAGGGTGTCGTCGCTCTTGGACTCGATCGGATCTTCTAGTGCGCATTTCAACAAGCTCACGGCCCTTGCATAGGTCCCTCGAGCTAGATAGGAGTCCATGTATCGAGCCATCCACATCTGCGTCACATTGATTGCGACGGCATTGGCAGCTTGAGTTAGGGCGGAATCAAGCGAAGAATTCAAGTATAGCGGAAGAATATGCTCGATGAAGATGTTGGTGCTCGGATCTCGTGGGATATTGACATAGTTCACGAAGAAGTAGGCTAAGCATTCGGCTTCAGCGTTTCGCGTCGGTTCAATAAGCATCAGGGCATCTCCAGATTGCGGCGTTGATGAAGAAGTCGTGGATGATGTGTTCAGCTCGGGAGAAACAAGGTCGTCGAGGGCGATATCGAGATCTTCTGCTATCTCGACTCTTGGATTCTTCTTTGATGGTGCCTTCTTGTTGTTGTGGGCCGCGGTGTGAGTGTGCGTGTGGGTTTCATCCTTGTGCAGGGTGTCAAACAAATCCCGGTATCCTGAACACGGCTGCTTGCGCTTCTTGCAGTTGCCACATTCTGGTCGGACTTCGTCACACTGTAGGTGGTGATATCAGTATATCCATCCGTACCGGATTTGACAGTTGATTCCTAGGCTACTGACCTTTACCCGTCGCTTGCGGCATGTGTAGCATCCTCGACTCGGTCCTTTGTAAACCATGGCTTGCGAGCCTTTGATACCAATGTCACCGAATGCCGATCAAGCAGCTGTACCGAAACATAAATGGGATCGTTAGACAACCACCTTCAGTAGTTGTCCACTTCGCAAGCCATCCGCTTCTGAGCAGCGTCGCGTGGTTAATGTAGGTTATCCAAAGGTGCTCATATGCAATATTGTATTATGACATTTTTGGCTGCGGCCTTAGGGCATTCCACGCCGTTGAAGTCGTCGGGTCCGGTTATTGATATGGGCGTCCGACAATGGTGGGGGGCTGTGTTTAGCCCACTAGCCTGCACTCTGCCACTCATGTTAAGCTGACTGGTACCGCTCGTTTCCCAATGCGCCCTTCACTTCGCGCCTATAACTCAATGGGGGCGTATTCATCGAGGATCAGAGCAACCGCATTGGCCAGAAGACCAAGTCGACTTGCGTTCTTTTGTGCACGAATACGCCAGTACGCGTCAAAAGGTGGCTCAGATAGCTTGATCACATACCCCCGCCTGTATCGCTGCGGACTTTAGCTGTACCAATTTGGTCTTACCCAGCGCTCTGGCTTATTGAAGCCCGGCACACCGGCTCCATGTGCTCTTGACTACCCCGACTACTTCGCTTTAGGTATAATTCGCGACAGCGGCCTTTGGAATGTAAGAATCAAGCTCTGATTACTCCGTACCAGCTAAAGGACTTCTAGAATGAATACGTACGAGGACTCCACAGTGACAGCCTCGAGTTTCGTCATCAATGGTCCTGTTCTTCATGATCTGCTTCACAAGTTGTAAGTAAGTCAGTTTAAGCAGTTAGGCTGCTCAGACGAGCCAAGCCAGGGATATTATATTTGACAAGAGCACCATCTCCAGGGAAGGCCCTTCTTCACTGCTTAAATCTCAAGGAGCTTCGAAACATCATTATCTCCCAAAGCAAGCTTGGTCGCTACAAGTCTCTTGCCGATGACAAAGCGTAGCTTCTTTGCAATGTGTTGATGTTGGCCATAAGAGCAATTCTACCAGATGCTCCGCTTCCATCCGTTGTAATACCTTACAGCAGGAAGGATGAATAACTAGAATAGAAGAACAAGCCATCGTAAGCCTTGTTTGGAAGGCAAGTCCGCCGAGGGACCAAAGAAGATCACATGACACTTAAGCATTAAACAATTGGGACCTGGAGAAGACTCCCATTTCTTTTTGTCTCCAACTGAACGCTCAGCGCTCGTGCTTTGAATAACTTCTTTCGCCGTTGACAGCTGGAGTTTGCTTGCATCATGTCGTGGTTCACATCTCTTTTCTCCCCTGCGCAGAACTCTGCAACTTCTTCTCCTTCACAGGCACCTTCGGCTAACAAACGACTGCTCGAAGAGCCTGCGCTCAAGCCCGAACCAGAACCTGTCGTTGAAGCCCCCAAACCTTCAATTCCTCAGACCGCTCAACCTGAACGACAAAAGAGCAAAGTGATACTGGGTGCCGGACTTGCCTTCTTCGCCGTCTCACTCCTCATTACCAGACGATCTTTTGCCCGAAAACGGCTGGCCACCCACCCTGCCTTCTATGCAAACGCTCCAGCCCATCAAGCGGAACAAGCCCAGAAAGTGAGCGGTGCTATGGAGGCATTGGAAGCACTGAACATTGCAACAATCAACGTACTTAGCTTGTCAATGATGGCTGCTGGAGGGACAATGTGGTATTTTGACATCAACAGCATGGCCGACGCGAGACGAGTGTTGCGAGGAGGATTGGGTGTCGATGGGACTGGTAAATCTGAGAAAGAGGCCGAGGAAGATTTTGAGGAATGGATGGCGACAGTCCTAGCAAGAAAGGATGCAAAAGGGCCACGCCAACCGCAGACAAACGAAAGAGGGCAGGAGAGATGAATATGCTATCAAAGCAACAACAACAAGAGTCATGGCAAGCCTGCGACGCCCTCCAACTCCCACACCACTCTATCTGATTGTACTCCAGCCATCAGAAAGTCACGAGCAGACAATAAAGGATTCATCATGCAGCCGTACCTGAAGCAAGTTCTGGCCGGCATTGTCCAGCTAATGACTATCTCTTCGAGCTACTGACGCATGCCATCACACCATGCTGTGAATCTATTGCAGGTGGTCACAGTGAAGAACGCTGCGTTTCCTCGGTCACGGTTCGCTTCCCGCATGCAAGGCGGTACACTGAAGTGGAGCGCCAACGCGTCTTATGATATATATATATTCATCATACTCTCTCGGCTACAGCTTTTCTCCCGGCCATCGATACTCAACATAAAAGACTACCGCGGCTGCTCTCCACTCCAACACGGAACCAGACAAAACAAGCATCGCCAAACCCACTCATGTACGTATGAACCCCTAATTGTTCTTCATTTACTGACTCAGGCAGTACTGCGTCAAGCCATCATCATCCAACATTTGCCAGCGAAACCATGTCTCTCAATCCTCGCCCAGCCAATTCTACACTTCTGATGGGACCTTCGGGGGATATTGAAACCTCTGTCGCAAGAACAAGCTGAGAAACTTCTACATCGATTGTGGGGCGTTGTTCCTGACTGGTATACTTATCACCAGGCTCATCATCCTGCATGTCTATGTCTGGCGGAGAAGATGTCGTGGCCGTGACTGCGAGATCTGCCTCGCCGAGCAGGAGGACGACATCCTAGAGGATGTCGAGTTTGCTTGTGATGAAAAGGCCCGCAATTGGGAAGAAGGATTAGATGATCTTGACTAGGAGGTTGCCGTCTTTTCCAAAGGGACGTCGTACATGATGTTTGTTCTAGCAATCAGAGTTTCGCCGTTGAGGGCCTACATGATGCTATATTAGGAGTAGGGGGTGTGAGATACTCACGGGACAGGATAAGGTCGGGAAGCACATGCTCGCTGTCGTTTCTCGCTGTGGTTCAAGACATGAGACAGTTCGCCTAGCAATTGAAGGAGGTCACGTGCCCCTGTAATCGTCTATTCAGGTGCACCTTGGTTCAATCTTTCCCCTTGTGTGTTATCATATGGCATTACAAAGATAGACGTCGCTGGCGCCTCACAGTAGTCAAGATGTCGTCTACGGCCGGCGACAGGGCCACAAAAGCCAGCTCGACAGCAAAGCCAGCCTTGAGGATATGGAAGCCCAACTCAGCATCGAGCAGACGACAATTCGCCGCATTATCGTCCTCCACTGTCTCCAGCCACTCTTCTCTGGACTTCTCCGAAAACTGGTCTGCCAAATTAGCGATCGAGTCAAGTTATCGCACGAACCGTCATGAATCCACACTGGCGCCTCCAGGAGACTTCGGGCACTGATAGCGATGCCGTTTAGGGTCGCCCGTCATCCACTTTCACGCATGGAGCATGGTTTTTGCACCCTTGGCACCCATAAGGTATCTCTTTCTCCGCATCGATCCTGAGATAGAGAGCAATCAATCAATCATTCCAGCTCATCACAAACAGTCAAGTCTTGCTCCTTCCACTGCATACACAGTACTACCAAGCTGCTCCTGGCCACGTGGGACCCTAAGAAGACGCTGTCAAAGAGGGGAGATCAGTCATAATGGTCATTACGCCCCGACATCCTCGATTCTAAATGGGCCGTCGACGAAGACCAGATCAACTTCCACCAAAGCCACGCACGCGAGATGGCTGTCTCACTTGTCGTGCGCGCAAAGTAAAATGTGACCAGACTCGACCACAATGCCGGCGTTGCCAGATCGCTAGCCGACGGTGTGACTTCGGTATCGAGGTCAAATGGGAAGAAGACTTTGTCTCGAGGGGACTGGCTTTTGGTAGGGAAGGTGTATGGTCAAAAGCCGGGAGTGTCCCCCGTACTCCGCCTGAGCCAGCACAATGGTCTACCATCCCTGAGATAGAATCACATCACTTCCTGAACTACTCTGCCAAAACCTTCGAAGAGCCGTTGAGGTTAGAATCCAAGACTTCGACTCTGGACTGGCACTCCCCAGGAGATGAGGAAGCTGCTTTGCAGCGTCTGGCTTCTCGCCTCAATGAGAGCCTAGAAGACGATCTAAACGATGTTCCTGCTCGCTTTCAAAGCAACGCCCTCATCAGCTCTCGGTCTGTGCCGCTTGTACCGCATCTCGTCGACGGCGACCATTCTATGCTTCTGGACTACTACATCCAGAAACTCTGTCCGCTCACTACACCTAGCAAAGTATCTCAGTCGCCATTTGCGTCATTAATTTTACCATTCACCTTGATGAATTCCAACACCGGCATTCTTTCAATACTTGCCTTGTCGGCGTGTCACAGGGCCAAAAGTGAACCCGCTTGGAAAATGCCTGCTATGAAGCTCAAATCGCAAGTTCTGCGGATTCTGCAGAACCGCTTCAATATTGAGGGTGCGGACAAAGTTGCCTCGAGCTCCGACACCCTCGTGACTATGGTCATTCTCTGCCTTTACGAGATTATTCAGGACTGTGACTCGGGCTGGGTGGTCCATCTCAAGGGTGCCCACGACATGGTGAGGTTCCGGAAAGAACTGCAGACTGTCCCTGGGGCAGATGTGGAAGTGAACGATCTCACAGCGTTCGCGGAGAGGTTTTTCGCCTTTCACGATGTGATCGGACGCACAGCGTGCGGACAAGTGCCCCTCTTCGGCCGTGACTACTGGAACTTTGGCGAGAACGTTGTCGATGTCTGGATGGGCTGCAGTCCTGAGTTGGTGGCTCTCCTTTGCACCATCACTGAGCTGAGCAGGGCAGCTTATTCTGATCCCTCAATCTCGATCTCGGACGGGTTTCTGAACGCGTGTGCTGTCACAAGATTCAAGCTCGAAAGCCTCGAACAAATCGTCGAAAATGATCAGGACGATTTCCTCCTCATCTCGGCAGAGATCAAGCGTCTTGCGGCTCTACTCTTCCTGAACTGCGCCTTATACAATACTCTCCCAACCACCCCGCTTGTCATGAAGCTGGTCGTGCAGATTATGCGCCTTGTCTCTGACTTTGTAGACCGAGGATTTGTGACCGGTCTGACTTGGCCTGTCTTCGTTGCGGCCGTTGAGCTCAATCCCTATGATGACGAGTTATGGGTCGACGAGGCAACAAACTCGCCTGTCCATGGTAGACGGCTGGTGCTGAGAGTCTTGGAAGCTATGGAGAGTTCTACCGTCTCGAACATTGATCGGATGCGAACAATCATCAGCCAGGTCTGGCAGGCAAGAGACCTGGAGGAGGACGCCTTCCCGGAGACGCCAAACAACCACTACTCCAGGAATGACTGGGAGAGATACGTGGCGCCCATTAGCGAGAACATTAATCTGGTGTGAGGAGCATACCGGGGGGGCAAATTATCGCGCCGTTAATGACACCAAGTCGAGAATCAACATGATCTTTACGAATTAGGGAAAATCTGATTATCTATTTGACGTGATCATATGTCCTTTCGAAGAAAGCGACCTGCTCCTTCGCCCATGCAGCGAACTCCTGCGGGTCGATGACAGCTTCAGAATAGTCCTTCTTATTCTCGTGCTTATGGTGGAGCTTCTTGGCCTGGTCCAGACATCTAGCAGCTAAGACTTCCAGACGGTATGTGATCCACTGGTAGTACATCTCCGGCTTGTACGAGACATCACGCGTATGGGAGATCTTTGAGTCGTCATACAAGAGAGGGTCAGCTGGCCACCAGGAGCACACCATGGTGATCCGCTCCTCTGCACCGACTGCTCGGACGGCCTTATGCTTGACAACGTTTCCATGTAGGAGGACACCATATCCCTGTCCAAGAACGATTAGCAGCCGAAAGGCAAGGTATTGAGGAGTTTATGGAAACCTACCACATCGGGTTTCGGAGCTTTGATGATCGAGCCATCTCCGCACAAACAAGCAGTCTCGCCACCTTTGCCTTGGGGAAGAGAGAGCGACACGACCAGCGACCATGGGTACATGTCATTGTGCCACTCGATCACATCTGTGTCTTTGTCTTCGGTGATGTCCTCCTCTTGAATGCCGTCCGCAGACGTCTTTGGCTGGAGAGGCTCTGGTGTCAATTTTTTAAGACCCTCCAAACCATCTGGTCCCAATTGAACGTTCGTGTGGCCGATTTCTTGAGCAATGTTGATTTTGACTGGAAGGCCAACGACTTTTGAAACGGCTTTGATTGTCTCGGGGTGCGTCCAGGCCTCATACACGAACGGTGCATATTGAGGAGCAGCACCCCTAATCTGCACCGACCCAGGTCGAGTGTAGGTCATGCAGTTCTTGATGGTCCGCTCGCTCAAAAGCTCCCGACGCATCTCAATGATGGCCTCCCGTGAAAAGAGAGGGAATGGGTCTGTGGCCGCAACATGACCTACAGCCTGTTTGGTGTCATATTTCAAGTCGTCGAGTGTATATGTCTTGTCGGGCATCTGGAATCGCAAGTGCTTCGCGGGGTCGAAACGTACTCGCTCATTTTGCGCCTCCTCGCCCTTCAGCGACAGTCTAGGAGCACCATGCTCTTGGATCGGGTATTCGCAGTGGTCTGAAGTGAAAGTCGTGGAGGCCATCTTAGATGTCACAAGCAATGCACGCTTTGAGGCCAAAGAGGAACGGAGTATAGCTTTGTGCAGAGGAAGAAGACTTCGTCGTCCGCTGGATCTTATCTACTGCGACGAAACTACTTGAGTGCGTGCGCTCCGATGGATCGGCGAGAAGGTGGAAGCCTCAGCAGGTCCATGCGAGCGAGCCCTTGACCAGCCATTCCATGCAACCAAAGAACCTCGGAAGGTCATCAATGGTCTGGGTTCCCGCAAGCTCCATCGGCCCTTGGCCGGAACATTTGAGAATGGGTGCTTGACAATTGGTAGAAACCGAGCGATCGGGCACACTATGTGTGAATCTCAGTCGAGACAAGCGTTACCCTGCACTTCTTGTGGGCTTGTCATTAAGGCCTCCGCAGGCAGTGGATTACCACCGGCTCCGCCAGTATCGGGTTTGTGGACCCATACACCTCCCAAGTCCGCCTTCCTTCGCCTGTACTTTACTCAAGATGCAAAATTGACTAAATGGCGACACCTCTTATCAGGGCAGGCATTTTATGAAGGACCCACAGCTCGCTCGAATGCCTTACCTTTTGATCGTTCCAGATCATTTTAGCGATTGCTCGGGGATAAGTTCTCTCCAAGCTTCTTAACAGAGTGGGCCCTTCGGTTGGACCATCCTCCCCATTCCTGGAGTCTAATCAAGGTCGTCCTCCCACGGACGATAACGCACCCTAACAGTTTAAGACGAAAGTACGGGTATCTGTGCTTGCATTGATATCAGGGAAAGATCGGAGCTCTCCCGAAGCGGTACGTTGCTTGAAAGGAAATCTTCAGCCCAAACCGGAAATTGGTCCAATGGCCTTATCGGATGTCTGAATAACTATCTAAACGACGTTCGCCAAGAACCTCGATCTAGCTTGTTGTATGATCACATTTTCAGGAGTAGGTGTTGCCCTCCGACGCTTGACGACAAATTCGTGACCAAGGCGCTCAATCAACGACATGTCTGCAGGGTCAGTTATTATCGTGACAGGAGCCAGTGCTGGAATTGGTGCAGCGATTGTCGACAAACTGTTGCAGCAGGATGCCAAAGTCGTGCTGGTGGACATTGCTGAAGAGCCCCTGAAGAACCGTCAGGCAAAGCACGGAGCTGAGAGTGTAAAGTACGTGGTTGGAGATGTCTCGAAAGACGAGACCAACTTCCAGGCTATCAAAGTTGCCATGGATACCTGGGGGAAGCTTGATGCTCTTGCTCTGAACGCTGGCATAATGGCACCAGTGAAGAGAGTGTGCGACGTTGCATCATCGGAGTGGACGCGAATCTTCAACATCAATGTTGTCTCTCAGATCTCTATGGTACGAATGTGCTTCTACAAGACAAACGGGAATACGCCGAGGCTGACAAAAACGTTCACAGCTTACAGCGGCAATCCCTCACCTCAGGAAGTCAAAGGGCAAAGTCATCTTCACCTCTTCTGACGCTGGAGAAAAGCCAACATTTGCGGCATGGGGAGCTTATGGCGCTACCAAGGCAGCCGTCAACTATCTCATCAAAGTCTTAACATTGGAAGAACCTGATATTACTGCCGTCGGGCTGTATCCTGGTGTGGTGAACACTCCCCTGGTGCAAGGCATCTTCAAAGGAGACTGTAAGTCCACATGTCAGAAATGTTGCTTAATCTCTGTGCTGACTCGTTGATGCTCAGATAATTCTGGAATGAGCGCCGAAGAGTTGCAAATCTACACGGACTTCGTCAAGCCTAGACTTGTCGAGGCTTATCAGCCTGGTTCTGTTATCGCAAATCTGGCTTTGACTGCTCCTCGTAGCCTTAGCGGTGAGATACTCTTCTGGGACGACGAGAAGTTCTCCGCCTATCGATAGGACAGTTTTTGAGCTTTCTTTGAGATGATACAGCCACTCCAGATCAATCAAATCTCTATAATTTATTTATTGCTCGTGGTCGGAGCGTGAACACCTTCTCTGGACTACTTGGCCTCCCCACCAACACTCGAGCTTCTGCTGTTGTCAAGTTCATGCTAATGCTGAACACACTGGCAGCATCACTCTCTCCTTCCTGAGCTCTGTTGATCGAGCATGGATAATTCTCTTCGTCACACAGCAAAGCTTGTATTGACTCTTTGGTGATCTCTCTTTGCTGTTGGTCTGCTAGTTGCCGAATCCTTCCGACACGGGTTAGACTGTCATCTACCCACAACATCTCTGTGCCGGGATGCTTTCGTAGCATGTGGTTGCTGTGAAAGATCCTTCCTTTCGCATCTGGCTCGAGGGAGGAGATTGTCCTGTGGGTGACTTCCACACCTATGCTACCAGATGGATCCGCTATGAGCATATGGCAGGCACCTGCGCAGCCATGAGCCTGGATGGCTCTGACTGCAGATGCTATTGAAGTGCACTCGAGTACAATCCGCCACATGATGTGAATGGGTGTACGGTAGGGATCGCTACCAGCACAGCGAATGGCATTGACGCAGAGTCCCAGGCCTGCCGAGTTGAGCCCTACAAGAAGGATTAGCGGAAACTTCTGGGCAGGTCGGTGTTACACGCACCTATCTTGCCAATCATGCCGGCCTCGGTCAGCATCTGAATCACGGGCTTCCCAGTCTGTTCGATCTGGAGACAGACGAGGTTCTCCTTTTGCTCGACCATCCACTATTCCGATACATTAGATTACCTTTCAGTTGATGGTGTCGTTCAAACTCACGTCCCAATTCTGTGCCACGAAAGACGCCTTGTCAGTCTTCCAGGATAGGCTGGTACAGCCATCGACAGCTGCCCCGAAGAACAATTCTGACCGGACATTCAGAGCCAAAATTTCCTCGTAGGTCACTCCAGCCCCTTCTGCGATACCTCGCATCTCCGTCTCGAGATGAGGATAATGTCGATGAATATGAGGAGCGAACTTCTTCGCCTCGAGGCATGCTGCCTGCCAACTCAGGCTGCATTTCTTGCGAAACAGGTCGGCATAGAACGCAATCGTGCTTCTGATCTGAGCAGTGGCCTTTGCCCCATGTTCAAGGCCGATCTAGATATGGGCGGAATCATGGTCAGGAACAGAGCTGACTTGCAAGAGCGATCATGGGCGACTCACTTCGAAAGGACTCCCAGTGCAATGGACTTCCAGCATATTGTCAGTTAGAAGCACTCACGGCCCAACTTTTTTTGTTTGTCGAGGCCGGCTCAGGCTTCTTGCGAGCGCAGTGTCGCTCCCTCTCTAATCTGGGCAGGATCCAACCCACGGAAAGAAATACCTCCTGCCAAAGGTTCGGCCACTTTTCTGTCAGATTTCTCTTCGAATAGATCTTGATTCTACGCAGCCAGCACGGCAGGTATTCTTCCCGGGGCCAATCCGTTCACCTTGGTGTGAGATAACACAACCCCCCTCTGGAGCAATCGATGGGATAACCGATATCAGACTTATGCCTCGGTAGCCGCGTTGAAGCCGACATCGAGCAGCATCGAGATCACTGCTTGATAAGACGGCCCCGAAATTGTCGCTTGGACCTTCGAGCAGATATCTGGTATGTTAATCAACTCACCAATCGCCATGTGGCACGCGAGTCGTCCAGGATCGTCCTAGTCTCGCGTGCCTCGCCACTAAACGATCAATCGAGATGTGGAGATGATGCCTCTCCCGGATCTGAAGGCTTTGGGGTGGAGTCCCTCGGCTGTACCTTTCTCATGCCTGCTTTGGGCTGTCACTGTGCATGAAGCGGGTCCGGTGGGAAACAATCGCGGCATGCTAACAGACTAATCCACACCTGAATCACTCATCCGTGCTTCAACCCATGTGTCAAAAATTTCCCACTTTCAAGATGAAAAGCCTCCATCTACTCGTTTCCATGCTTTTTGACTCCCCTGTCCTCATGGGATACTTTTGTGGGTCTCCTGCCCTGAGCGTAGGAGCATATCAGAGCCAAGCTATTGGTAACAGACGATCCGAGAATCGCTTTCACGGCTTACAAAGAGACCTGGGCAGATATCGTCTTTGAGAACAGGTCGGCTGGACCATCAATCGTTGCCATCGGTCTTTTAGCGCATGGGATAGCGGCATTCGAGACGGCTTATCTCCCTAAGTGTCTGGGGTATCAAGACTCGTCTACACGAAGCCGAGATAAGCCTGGACATCAACGGTAGCTCATCGAAGGCAAGAGCAACATGCTATAAAGTCCGAGGCGGTCACTTCCTTGCGCTGAGTTCGAGTTCCGGTTACCAGTACTATATTCTCAGAATATCAACAAACCTTTTTCTCTCGACTCCTTAACAGACACTCTTCTGTTTGTCAGGTATCATGGCTGAGAAGATGGAGAACATGACGACGAAGTCCGAGCCCACAGACGTGTCCAATGGGGCCTCGGACAGGGTAAGCCTTGCGCATGTGGTGCCTGAGGGTGTTGACGTTGCTCTTGGTTGGTTCGAGGAGATGCGAACTATTCCAGTGGCAGAGCTCGACGCGGAGAGCAAGGCTGTGCGACGCCGATGCGACTGGATTTTGATGCCGATTATCTGCATCACCTATGCTCTCCAGTTCTTGGACAATGCTGTTCTTGGGTATGCGTACGCTTATGGCATTTTGGAGGACACTGTAAACAATTCCAACTCACTTCCGGTCATCAATCGCTGACAATCTGGCGCAGGGCATGACACCAAGTGACTATAACTGGTTGGCCAGCATCTACTATTTTGGATACCTTTTTGTAAGTGAGAACACCTTTGGAGAGTAGAACCTGTACCTGACCTTGCATAACAGTGGGCATATCCTTCGACCCTATTACTCCAAAAGCTTCCTGTGGCCACCTATACGACGGTCCTGATCTTCCTCTGGGGCGTTTTGACCTTCATGTGCTGCGTCGCCAAGTCCTTTGCAGGCTTTGCCATCCTTCGTTTCCTACTTGGTAAGCACACACATTGAGGCGGCGGTAGACACGGGCTGAGCTGTTACAGGATGTCTCGAGGTCGGCATTACTCCTACGATGATGATTATCACCTCGTCGTTTTACAAGCGTGAAGAGACTCCAGTTAGAAACAGTTTCTGGCAGTCGTCCTTCGGCAGTGGTGTCGTGGTGCTCTCTATTGTATCATATGGGCTTGGAAACAGCCACAGCACCATTTCGAATTGGAAGCTCGTCTTCTTGGTAGGCGCTTCTGAGACATCGTCGCTTCCGGTGCTCAACTAACCCTGAATAGTTTGTGGGAGCCATCACTACAGCTTGGGCTGCAGTATTCTATTTTCTCGTCCCCAATACTCCCACTGAGACGCGCTGGTTGAGCCGTCGCCAGAAATTGGTCGTCATCCACCGCATCTCGACCAACAAGATTGGTATCAAGGACAAGAAACTCAAACCTTACCAGATCAAGGAAGCACTGGTCGACCCCAAAATGTGGCTTCTGTGCGCATTTCAAATCACCAACGGCATTTGTGAGTACATTCTGTCAGCAAAGCAGAGCCGGCGGCTAACGAGGCTATCACAGGCAACTCCAGTGTCTCTGCATTCGCCTCGCCCCTGATCGAAGGGTTCGGTTTTAACTCCCTGCAAACGGTTCTCCTTCAGATGCCCACCGGTGCCTTTGTCGCGGTGATCGAGCCTGTGCTGGGATACATTGCTACCAAGGTCCCTAACACAGTCATTTGGATCTCCATCGCGGCCAATATCCCTAACGTGGCAGGCTTGTTTGGTATTCGCTTCATTGCCAGGAATGAGCACAACAAATGGGCTCTGCTGGGGTGCACGTGGCTTCAGTTCATCTTCGGCGTGACGAACCTGTTCAGCTGGACGTTGACGGCGTCCAACTTTGCCGGGCACAGCAAGCGGTCATTCGTCAATGCGGCTGTATTTGCGGCATTCGGCGTAGGCAACCTGATCGGACCACACATTTTCTTTCCTTCGGAGGCGCCGGTCTACGAGTCTGCCATCACGGGGCTCTTGGTTTGCTTTGGGCTGAGTGTAAGTACTAGCCGACAGTCTACAAAGAGAGAAAACAGGGACTGGGTGTGCTGACGAAATTATTGCGTGAACAGATTACTTTCAACTTGTGCCTGCGCACGTACATGTCGCACCAGAACAAGAAGCGAGACCGGGCGTTCGCCAATGGCGAGATTCAGGGTGTGGATGGAGAGTTGGAAGGCTTTTATGACAAGACGGATATGGAGAACAAGGCTTTCCGATATGTGTTGTAAGAGGCGGGATGGAAAAGCAGGCACTACAGAGGGCGGCGGGTGGAATCCCAAGGGGTCTTGTGATGCGAATGCCTTGTTCGTGCACGTTGGGGATCGTTGGTTGCATCTTTGTAGAGGTTCATACACTAGGACGAGACTGAAGATTGTAAGAGGTCTTGTGTGCAAGGAATCGAGTCTTGTGGTGGCACACTACCTTGGTAAAGCTGTACGTTACACGGGGCTAGAGGTGTGAAAAGGTGTATCTTTTATCCTGTACCTTGACAATGGTGAATCATCTCATAAGAGAGGGTGCATGATGGGTGCCATATTCAGAGGCTCAGGGGATTCTCTACGTACGAAGGGTCTCTCGTGCACGGCTCTAACAGTTTCTTCCTCCTGTCGTATCTCAATCCTATCGAATTTGCCCACGCGAGCAGCAGAATGTGGTCAGGCCAGGTCAGGTCAGCGCAGGTCATGCCTTGTCTGCTCGACGACTGGTAGATATACCTATTTGAGCATATCATGCCTGCTCCGGCCTAGAAAGTAAAGAGACAAAAGGGTCAGACCACAGGCGAATCATTGCTAGGTGGTTCGGACCCATTCACCGATGCTAGGGCGTGCAATTGATTCGGCCGCATGGACCTTCCAAGCTAACGCGGTTGGGCCATCATGGGCCGGTAAAACTGCTTCAAAAAGGTAAGCCTCGTAGATTTGTGGTCCACCAAGAACACCTAGATTCGTCGGTCCGAGTGGTAGCCAAGCCAGCATCGTTCTGATAGGGTCACTTGGTCCCAGCATATAAGGTCTTGAAAACAGTTGTTGATGTCCTCGATCTTTTTTCTATCGTTCTCAATTTCCGAGCCAAAGCAAAGCAAACGAAAAATCGATCGAGGCTTCAAATTTGCCAAAGATTATCGGCAGCAGCAGTCAGTCGGTGTACGAATCAAAACCAAACCTAAAGAAAGAGGTTCGAAAAGTACCACACGGAGTACTACTACTGTCGGAACATGGCTTCCTCAAAGTCATCATCGATCCTCATCGTCGGCGCCGGGACGTGGGGTTGCAGCACGGCCTTGCACTTGACACGTCGAGGGTACACCAACGTCACGCTGGTCGATCCGTACCCGGTGCCTTCGCCCATCTCGGCGGGCAACGACGTGAACAAGATCGTCGAGCAGGGACAGTTCTCCGAGGGGGACGGCGAGGCGTGGGTGTCCAAGACACTGCTCACCGCGGCCAATGAGGGATGGAACTTGGACCCGGTGTTCAAGCCCTACTATCATGACACCGGGTACATTGTGGCGGCGAGCTCCAAGGACGGACTGAAGGTGCTCTACGATCGCGAGCGGCCGGATATCAACAAGGAGTTTGTCACGCTCGAGGATGCAGAGGCGTTCCGCAAAACGATGCCCAAGGGAGTTTTGACCGGCGATTTCCCGCAGTGGAAAGGTCTTTACAAGAGCACGGGTGCGGGATGGGTGCATGCGCGCAAGGCGCTGGTGTCGTGCGCGAATGAGGCGAAGAGGCTGGGCGCGAAGTTTGTCGTGGCGGACGTGACGGAGTTGCTGCTTGAAGGTGACGATGTCAAGGGCGTGAGGATCAAGGACGGACGAGAAATGCGCGCGGACACGACGATCCTGTGCGCCGGGGCGAATAGTGATCAGTTGCTCGATTTCAGGGGTCAGTTGAGGCCGACGGCGTGGACGCTCGCGCATATTCAGATGACTCCGGAAGAAACGCGACTGTTCAAGAACCTGCCCGTGCTATTCCACATTGAGAAGGGATTCTTCATGGAGCCGGACGAGGATAAGAATCAGCTGAAGATGTGTGATGAGCATCCCGGATATTGTAATTGGTTGAAAAGGCCTGATGGGAGCAGAGTCAGTGTACCGTTGGCGGTCAACCAGATCCCCGCCGATGCGGAGAGACGGTGTCGCGAGTTCCTGAGGGAAACGATGCCGCAGTTGGCGGACAGGCCATTTTGTTTTGCGAGGTTGTGTTGGTGTGCGGATACGCCGAATCGGTCGTTCCTGATCGATCGGCATCCCGAGTATAGGAGTTTGATCCTGGGGTGTGGCGCGTCGGGACACGGGTTCATGCATATTCCGAGCGTGGGAGGGTTTGTGGTGGATGCGATGGAGGGGAAACTGGACACGAGGTTGAAGGAGAGCTTCAGATGGAGGCCGGAGACGGCAGTGGATAGGGATTGGGAAAATACTCAGGCTCGGTTTGGGGGACCGAATGCCATTATGGATTTGCAGACGGTCAAGGAGTGGACGAGTATCCCGCCGGAGCAGACGTTGGCGAGGTTGTAGCTAAAGTAGCTGAAGTTGTTAAGAAAGTACACGATGCGCTCAGAATACCGTACGAGGTCCTGCTAGCTAGTAGTGGACGGGATCTCAGTGGAAAGCACGTGAGCTCCTCCGCAAATCTACTCGTCATGGGTGATGACGGTGGTCATCGTCGCAACCCTTTACGGTCTTCCCAATTTTACTGCTTGGAAGTGCCTGACTCACTTCAACATGCACTGCCGACACAATGGCTCCTCAAAACGACGAGGAGAGACCTTTACTGCGCTCCGACGACGATCCAGAAGTCGACAGCCAATACAGTCAAAAAACACAAAAGGTGCAGTTCGATGACGAGGATGAAGAAAATCCCAGAGCATGGAGTGGCAGGAAGAAGATTGTCAATGTGGCCATCATCGCGTTGATGGCTATCCTGAGTCCTCTGGCAAGCTCCATGTTCACTCCTGGTATTTCTCAGATTGCCGAAGACCTCAACACCAACGAGCGAAGTGTCATCGCCACTACGACTGGCTTTGTCATCATGCTTGGTTTTGGCCCGCTGTTCATGGCGCCCCTCTCAGAGACCTTTGGAAGACGGATGCTGTACATCTGGGGGTTCTCGATATTCACCCTGCTTCAATTGGCGTCTGCATTGAGTCCCAACATTGCCACTCTGATTGCTCTACGAACTATTTCTGGCTTCTTTGGCAGTAAGCATGCCAACTCTCTAGGGACGACCATGTAATGACTCTGCACAGGCGTGGGATTGGCCAATGGAGGTGGGACACTCTCTGATATGTATGACCCTTCTGAAAGAGCGGGGATTTTTGGTTGGTATCTGCTTGGTCCACTACTAGGTGAGTATTTGGTATCCAGGACGTGGAGGGTAACTGACAGCTTTCTTCTCAGGGCCGACTTTAGGGCCTCTGTTTGGAGGGGTCATTGTCAGTCGACTGGGATGGAGATGGATATACTGGGTCAGTGCAACGAGGATGAAGTACCTGACAACATTCAATTGCAAGCTGACCGGTTGCTGTGCAGATTCTCACAATCGTATGTGGATTGAATACCGGTGTAGGGTATTTCTTTCTTCGAGAGACATTTGCTCCAGTACTCCTTGCCCGTCGAAAGGCGACACTCCAGCAAGGAGCCGACCGAGATATCAAGTTCCACTTTGAGGGCGAAGACGAACGGCCTTTGTGGCTCAAACTTCGTGCGAGCATGAAGAGGCCCTTTGTGATTTTTGTGCAGCCAATCGTGCTGATCATGAGTCTGTATCAAGCTCTGATATTCGGCACCACTTACAGCATCTACACCAACATGCAAAGCATATATTCTCAAGCGCCATACAATTTCAACTCGGAAAAGATTGGGCTGCTATACTTGGGACCTGGCTTGGGATTTTTGACGTCTGTTCGATTTCTGGTGCCTCGCATCGACACAGTGTTCAATAGGCTTACCAAGAGGAATGACGGCAAAGCACTGCCGGAATTTCGGCTACCGCTCGCTAACATCGGTAGTGTTCTGATCCCTGTCAGTATTTTCTGGTTTGCCTGGAGTGTGCAGCTTCGTGTTCACTGGATTGTGAGCATCATCGCAACTTACTTTTATGGTGTTGGACAAGTGGTTGTCTTCAACGCGGTACAGAACTATTATATCGATTCATTTTCAGAATATGCAGCGTCTGCAATTGCGGGAGGATCTGTCTTCAGGAGTCTTCTAGGTGGCGTGGTACCCTTATTGGCGCCATCTCTTTTTGAAAAACTCGGCTACGGGTGGGGGATCAGCTGTTTTGGATTCGTGGCTGTTCTCATCGCACCCAGTCCGTTGCTGTTTTATTATTATGGAGCACGCATTCGTGAAAGGTTTCAGATCACTTTCTGATTGCGTGCCATGTATGGGATTTCTCGATTGTCTTGGTCGACATGGGTGCATGGCCTAGCTCTGTTGGGCGGTACGGAGTAAGAGTTCGCGAGATTGGTGGAAGCGAGGACGTTGTTTTGTGCTACCACACCAGACAGGCATCCAGCGCGGCGACTAGCATTGTGGGATTTGTCTCGGGCGGGCGACTATGATTGTGACGGTAGCAATTTGGGTTGTACACCAGCTTGAAGCATAGCAGTGGTGTAACAGGATCTTTCGGAGGCTTGGAACTTGAAGGCAGTCGATTTCCTTCTGGAAGGAAAATAGAAATGATCTCATTCTGCAGCGGCACGAACCTTTCGGAGCCGTTTGGAAATGTCGGAACATGGAGCCTGAAGAATGCTGGTGCCACAGGTGCATGATGCATGATGCATGATGGGTGCCATGCGGAATGGCTGCAGGCTTCCCGCCGCCTCCATAAGCCCAGAGCCGGCGTGGTTTCTAGCGCATATCATGGGTCATGGTTGGGCCTGTTTCCGAAGCAACACTCAACGTTCGTGTTGTTTACCCTCGTCGGCGTCCACTGTGATGAATCACACTCACCCTCTCGCATTGTGACCCATGTTACGAGGTACTCCGCAGGATTCATCACATTCTCTCACCGCTTGGTCTGACCAGTCGACGTGGTCTCTTCTGATGCGTGATCACCTTCCACCGCTTCCTGTCGTTGCTGCAGGAAGAACAACCAGCTCTTGAAGCGCGTTGATTTCTGAACAAATCCTACCTATCAGCGCGGTGAAATCATTGGCTGCAATCGTGATTTGCTCGTCTAGGAAAATTCGCTGCAGCTGGTGGCATCCATCTTGCTGCTGACAATCCGCTCCATTGGATATCAACGCCGTTGTTTTGCAGCTCCAAATGCATGGCTCAGAAGTCGCCTCGTTGCGTGGAACAGGCAAGAGGCCTTATATTGTGACATCGAACGTGTGATAGTCAGAAAAGGAGCTCGAGAGATCATCTTTGTTCGTCTACCAATTTGGAAAAGGGCTTGTTATTGCAGCGTAGGAATGGTTGTGAACCCTCACTTTTAGTAACCACTGCCTGGTGAATTTTAACGGCGTCTTCGCACCAACGTCTATCCAATTTGTTTTGGGACCTTGTCGTCATAAACAGCCGGACAATTATCAAGTTCTACTGGCGCCAGACTTCCTTTCTATCATCCTGGTTCCCCGGAAGATGACCCTGAGTCTTGCACCGGCCTGACCTCCCCTTCGTACCCGCTTAGCGCCAGCACAGACACAACAGGCTCTGCTTCCCTGTCTCGAACGCTCACAGCCATTGTCACCAACCGATCCTCGTCGTTTTCCCGAGTTCTTGCCTCCCTTTCTTGCTCCTCGAAAACTCTGCAACGAGTTCCAAACTCCTTCTCAACCCTCGCGATCAACACCATAACCGAACACTTTTCCGGCACGCCCCAAGTACGAACCCTCTCCAAGCTGCGGTGCTTGTTGGTCTCTGACCAAAGCTCGGACTCCGATCCCAGACCAACGGTACTGCCCAGTGCGCAGTCAACTTTAATATGAAAAAGAAGGCCTTAGCTCTCCCACGACGACCGATACGCTTCTGTTTGGAGGGATAAGCAACTGCAACTTCCAGAGAGCTCTGCTCTCATGGAGCCACCTCCACCTCCGCCGCCGCCGCATGGCTCCAACCCTCAAGGCGGCGGCAGGTCTGGTGGTCTTCCAGATGGCAGGTATGACATTTTTGTCATACCGCCACATTCCTCAGGCTCAGGCTTCCTCTATCTACCTTCTTTACAGACACAACGGAATAGTTTCCTGGCCGGAGTCTTCTGCACGGCCGCCACTTTCTTTATCTACACGACGGCTGTACCCGTGGTAAAAGAATGGCTGTTCAATACCGTCAACAGTGGAGGAGGCGGAGTGTTCATGCTCATATGCGGTGTGGCAGTGGTTGCTTGGGCATTTGGGAAGACGCAAACCGAATGGGCGCAGGCTGGACCGTCCAATGGGCCTAGTTCTGGTACCGGTCCTGGTGGTCAGGCAGGAGGAGGTCATACAGGATTCAACAACGCTGGGTCTTATGCCCAATCTGGGCCGCCACCAAACACGCATTCCGCGCCACCGCCGAATTCTCCCCCTCCGCACTCTTCATGGCAGAGACCACCACCTCAAGCCAATACAAAAGCAAACACGACCGGGGCCAAGTCCAGCTGGGAAAAGGCAAGGGAAGAAACGAGAAAGAGAGAAGAAGAACGCAAGCGCGCCGAGGAGTTGAAGAAACGACGGGAAGAGCTGGAAAAAGAGCGTCAGAAACAAAGAGAAAAGGATGCCCTAGAGAGGCTTGAGCGGGAGCGCAGAGAGAAGAAAGAACGTGAGGACAGGGAACGCGACCAGAAGGAGAAAGAGGCTGCCGCGGCCAAAGCATCCGCTGAGGCCTCTGCGAAAGAGAGACATCGACAAGCAGCAGAAGCAGGCGCCAGACGGCCTCCGATGCCCACAGCAAAGACTGAGCAAGAGGATGATTCATATTCTTTTAGGCCTTACGACCGACCCCGGAGACCGTACAAGGCGAACTCGGCAGCATCAATGTACTCAGAATCATCGTATGCCCCTTCAGAGAGCACGGTGAAGCCGACAGCTCCTCCCTCAGCCCGAGGACCTTACTCGACGAAAGACCCAGACAAGATCATTATCAAGGGCGTGTTCTCCTTCAACAACGCCTTCATGCGGACCCCAATCTCACAGCTCGTTTCTGGTCAAGGTAACGTCACTGACGGACTTATTCTTCGAATCACCACCGAGGGTCTGTTCATTGACGATGATGTGCGCGGCGTCCCGCAGCGTGAATGGGATGTGAAGGCTTGGACAATGAAATTAGCAGAGGTATGGTGTCCCAATCTACCCACAGAAAATGCCAGCCCCAGAAGGAAGTTCTCCCTTGGAATCGGCTCCCATTCGAGGCAAGAACCTTCGCCTTCGCAGACCGAAACCAACATCTTCGTCGACAAGTTGATGGAAGTATGCGGAGCGAGCTGCAGGCCTTCGAAGCCGACGTCCACATTTCAAACCTGTTATTCTTTGTCCACCGATCCGAAAAGTGAATTTACTGACGAGACTTCCCCACAGAGCTGCGAACTTGATGGCATGCATGTTCTCCGGGCCAGCATTCGGGACCAAGAAGGAAAGAAATACGTTTTCATTCTTTCCCAAAGTGAAGGATGGAAGGTGGCCGTGGGACTTCAACGTCTCCGGAGAGGCAGTCAGGTGCGCGCACTGGGTGTTGCCGGCTTGCCTCACAATGAAGCGAAAGCGATCCTCGAAAGCCTCGGATTTGCATGATCGAACCCGCAAGCGGAAATGTTTCTTGTCTGTCAAGTGATACCACCTAAAAGCTATGCACATTATTGAGCGAGATTGTGGGATTTTTCAGTAATCAAAGTCGACAGTTAGCGAGGCATCAGCGACGGAGTTGTGTACATTCATTTGAGGGCGCCGGTGATTGGGCTTCTAGTTGGATTTGTTATCAGACCACATTCGCTACTGGGGCTACACATTGGACAGGGGAGGCTCTCCAGGCGTGGACAAGTGGAAGTACTATGATAATACTTGTTGGAGGGCCTGAGATCCTGGGGCTGAAGTCGACCTTGCCAGACACAGGCCAATGGCACATATGTCACTCATCACTTCTCACCTGTTTCTCTATTGTGTTTGCCGTTCTTTTGAATCACAGCGTGACTCTTGCATTGCCGACTCTGTTCCTTACTCCAGAGAAAAATGCACTGTCAGCAGACGCTTATCAGCCAGATCTATGTCTATGACGTTCTGAATATGCACATTCACATGGGAAGCCTGATCTCGTATTCGGGAAGAGCACGCACCAGTCACCTACTGTAGCAGTAACATCTTCCCTACACCGGGGTCGGCTATGTCAGTGTCAGCCCTGTGGATGCCAATGGCTAACCGTCAACGAGCTTGTGCATGTGGGCAGCGGCGCATTACGGGCGAAACAGGCCTGAGAGCTCTTTCTTACAGGTCTTATCTCCAGCTGAAGTTCCCGCCCTTGCAAGGATTCTGCATACGCCCGCTAGCCATTGTGGGCAGTTATGAGGGGCGCTGGTCGAGCGATTCGTTGTTGCCTGCAACATTCTCCCAGCTTTCCAATGTGTTGACTTGCCCCGTACTCTCTTCCACGATACTACGCCCCTCAGGTGACCTTCAGAACCTCGAGGCTTGAGATCTGATCAATCTGTACATTGCCTTCGCGACTGTGCTTTTACGTTATAGCTTCTCAGCTCATCATCCAAATTACCGTCCTTCGTCGAGCATCCTTCCCCCACAAACCTGGAGATAATCTTATCAAGCCTTGACTGATCCACCTCGTTCCGCCTCTCTGGGTCGCCATGACCGTCCGCAAACAATATCCTCCTCGTAACTACGAGACCTTCCCTGAGGAGGGAGCGTCCGAATCCCAAAGATCATCCAGTTCAGACAAATCAAGAACAGCTGCAGCAGAAGCCCAGAGACTGGGCTCGCTAGGGTCATGGGCAGACAACTTTGCAGGCGAAACACCTGCCACAAACCGCACGCCGACTGCATCGACAGTCGACGGCGATGAAGTCAGAAACGTACAATATCCGCAACTATCTCAAGAGCTGGATCCGTCAGATCCGCCGCCGGTCTATACTCCCTCAGACACGACTCAATCACGACCACCTACCGAACCTGCGTCACCAGTTGTCCAGCGATCAGTGCCGGTACAACCAGAGACAGTAAGCCCTCCTATCACAGTCACTTCTTCCTCCACTCCCTATGCGCAACGCCCTTTCCGAGATGACGATGGGTCCGATCTGCCTGAACCTGTTCAACATCCGCACCACTCATGTCACCACCACCAGAACCGCCATGATCAGTCCGAGACAGAAGCCGACAATCTCCCATCCTTTTTGCAATCTTCCGACACATGGGCACGGGGGCGAAGGTGGTGGAGAAGACGCCACGAAGGTCGTAGTCGAGGTTGCGGCGGTCGACGATGGGGTCGTCGAAGAGATTGTCACAAGGAACGAGCACGTCGATTCAAGAAGATCTGCTGGTTTACTTTTGCTCTCCTCTTGTGCTTGTGGCTGATGATCCCCGGCCTGTGCAAGTCGCTCTCCAAAGTACACGCCCTCGCCATCTTGGTTGTATCTCTTGGTAGTCATTTGCTAACCTATGTACCTGGACAGGACGACCGAAAACAATTTCCCAATTTTGGCCCTCAACCATCTGCATCACCTTGGCCGCCGTTTCCAAAACGCGAACACCGTGAGCATGAGACGTTCCGTTCTATCTCTGGTACATACCAATTGTACGACCTTCTCGACCTCTCCACAACCAGCGGCAGCATTAGTGTCAACATCGAGGTCCAGTCTGGTGAGAAGCCGGCTGTTCTCCGCCTATCGTCCACGGCAGGCAGCGTGCACGTCAAAATGACCTCGGGCGGCGGATTGTTCCGCAAAGCGACTGTCCCCGAAATAGCAAGTAAGCGGACTTTGATCACCGAGATCTCGGCACACGCTGGCAGTGTGGCTGGCGATCTGGTACATGGGAATGGTGGATCGACCACGGTTACTACACATGCCGGTTCTGTCTCTCTCACTTTATACACGAGTGGAGTCTCAGACGAGGACCCCGTCTCCAATATCTCAACGTCGACGTGGCAGGGTAGCCAGAACATCAAAGTCCTGGCGCCATTCACACCGACGGAGGCCGTAAGAGCCATCTTAGGAAGCCACGTCGTACGGGGTAGTGGCAGTATGAATATCCAATACCCTCAGGAGTGGGAGGGGATGGTCCATATCAAAGCCATGGGTATGGGGAGCATTGGTGCCAGTGGGCAGGGCCTCAATGTGCAGAAGGAGAGCTCACGGGAGTTATACGGATATAGGGGCATGAAAGAAGGCAGAAGGATAGAAGTCCTCGAAGGAGGCAGCGGAAGCGTGCAATTCCGGTGTTGATTGCTATGGTGGCTCTCGACAACACAAGACGTGTACAATCTTACCTTTTTGGAGATATGTTTTGTTTTCAGGGATTGCATTGGCCATGACGCCGGGATGACAATGGACGAATATTTTGTCGGTCGTTTGACAGAGGATGGATCTATTGAGCACAACTCAAAGCCTAATGACCTGTTGATGTACGATTGACGGTCAAATACTCCCCACATTTAGTGGAAATGAAACTTCAATTCTACAAAAGGTTTCTGTGGCTATTGACTTTTCAAATTGGTAAATGTCTACTCCGTATGCTGCAGCAAGTTTTTCATGTTGGCATTGCCGCAATTTCCGACATGGTAGCGTAGAGAGATAGACAACGACCTTGTTTGCACGTCAATCACCCCAGTCAAGGTCAAGTCGTATCGAGTTTCGACTGACGATGATAGGAGAATGCACACAATTGATCGCAAAAATTTAAGCGTCCTCGATGAATCCTTTCCTCTTCATCTCCTGCGCCGTCCAATCCCAGAGTTTGTCGGCCAACGCCGAGTTGCTGGCCAATTTACTTGGGGGTTTGGGCACGCCGACGGGCATGAAGTATTGCCCTGACATGTTGGCACTAACGTCCGGACTGGCGACGGCCCAGAGCGAATTGTAACTCCCCTGCTCGGGAGTGATGTACACGCCCAGACAGCGCAGGATCGGGGTCAGCGATGAGCCACCCCATGCCGAAGTGTTGAGCTGCGTGTCGACGTTGCCAGGGTGCAGCGAGATGCTCCAGATCCCGGCATCGGCGTATTTGGTAGCCAGGGACTTTGAGTGCAGGATGTTGGCGAGTTTGCTCTGCGCGTACCGGCGGAATGTGAATTTGGTGGACAGACTGGTGTCGGCGAAGGTGATGCCTTCTTTCAGCGTGGCGGTGTGGCCGGTCGAGCTGACGTTGACGACTCGGACGGGTGTGGTGCCAGTGGGGGTGGGGATACCTGCGGCCAAAGAGGGAGAGGAAGAAGAAGAGCGGGCCGTCGACTCGAGGAGCGGGAGTAAAAGGTACGTCAGCAGCCAGTGGGAGAGGTAGTTGGTCTGGAATTGTGACTCGTAGCCGTCCTGGCTCATTGCTAGGGGCGTGGCCATGATCCCTGCGGAGTTGACGATGCCGTGGAGAGAGGTGCATTGCGTGAGGATGTGTGTGGCACCTGCGGCGACGGAAGAGAGCGACATGAGGTCCATGACGACCAGGTGGATTCTGATTGAGTCAGGGTCATTGTCACAGTCACGGTCAAGGTCGGGGTTGGGGCCAGGGGCGGCGGAGAGGGATGATTTGATGCTGGCGATGGCTTGTGTGCCTTTCTCGAGGGAGCGCGATGTCATGTACACTGTTGCACCATGGCGTGCGAGGTGGTGGACGGTCCAGTAGCCGATGCCCGTGTTGCCGCCTGTGACGAGGTATGTGCGGCCACGGAGCCAGGGGAGCGATGAAGGGGACCAGTTCAGACGGGCCATGGCGAGAAAGAGAAAGTCAAGACGGAAAGGAAAAGGCTGAGCGGCGGCGCTGCTGCTCTGCGAGCGTTGTCGAGACTGTCAGTCGAAGGCTTGGTCGCGGACATCTTATGTCTGTTTTTATATGTGAACACCTTACAGATACGGAGAAACGCCGCGGTCGATTCATTGAAGGAGGCTTTGCGAACTCGATGATATGATGATGAAGTTGATGTACGTGGATGACATTGAAAAGAGGCTATGAAGCTGCTTTTGATATCGACCAGAGCAGAAGTCCGGGACAATGATAATCCAGTTCCGATACAGGGCGTGGTTCGTTGCAGCCGGAAATACAGAAGGTCCACTGTCAGCGTCTTGCAGGAGGCTTTACCAGTCTGAGATCCGTTGTGCGCATGAGGCTTTTTAATTCGCTCAGCCCCATCCATTCTCCTCTCGTCTCTCGTCTCCCTCCTCAGTAAGTACGAGGGTCTCTCTCGGCCATCTTCCGAAGGGTCATGAGAGACCAGGCTTCTCTGAAACGTGTCAGCAAGATGCGTCCCATCAAGATTCGATCCTCCTGTTCTTGATCCATCGATACCGCCTGTCCTCTCTTGAGCCATCTACAGACAAAGTGAACAATGTTCAATACAATTGTCATGGTACCAGAAATCCGTGCAGAGTTGAAATTGCATCCAGATGTGCACTCGCTGGATGATGAGTGGTCAGGAATTACAGACCCTGTAATTCGTCGGAAGCTGCAGAATAGATTGAATCAGCGAGCCGCAAGTATGTTCAAATGGCCGGAAGCGAAAACTGCTCAAAGTAACTTTGACAATGCAGACTGCTGACCCGACAAATAGGACGACGCAAGGCTGCTCAGAGTGCGGCTGGCAGTGGGAGCCTCGAGTCCTCTGAAACCTCCAGCAGTGTTAGAGCTTCGAGGCTAAAGGACAAACCCTTGCATGCGCGGATTGATCTCAATGACACCGTTGTCTTGAGATCGAAACTCCTTACCGGAAGCCAATGGCATATCGCTGCCGAGTCATTCGACCCTTCAAAGGGGTCAGCGTTCGTCTCCATTCGCAGCAAGCACTCGTGTCAACGATGGTATGAGGTGCTGCTTGAAAACCGGCTGTACGCGATCAAAGATCTGGCTGCTCGGCTCGAGAAGGAGCGAGACGACGCCTGGCATACCCCATTATCGAGCGACCACCTCATCTCATTGGTGTATTACAATGTGTATCGAGGTCTCCTCGCCAATGTGGAGATGCTGGGGTTGGACATCAATCTCATGTACACGGATGAGTATCCGTCACCATTCTTGCCTCTTTCTCCAAGTGCCTCCTCGAACATACGGCATCTGCCGCCTGGGCTTCAGCCGACAGACTTGCAGAAGATGATTTCCCACCATCCACAGTGGGATATCTTCCCAGATCCAGTGGTGAGAGACAATATTCTCCGCTATGGTGAAGAGAACATCAATGATTATGAGTTCTGTCTCGATTTGGTGGGTAACGGCCAGTATGACGGTCTCGGAGAGTGCTTCACACAAGAAAAGAATGGCCTGATCATCTGGGGCGAGCCGTGGGATATCGACGGGTGGGAGGTCACCGAGGCTTTTGCAAGGAAATATCCATTCTTCATCAGAGGGGCACATTGTCTTCAAGAGTGCAGCAACAGATGGAGGATCAAGAGAGGTGAAGAACCGTTGGACTTTGAGAGGATCTGTGAGATTGAGTGACGGACGAGAGGAGTGGCGAGTCTCAATACCTGACTTCACCTGAACACATTCCTTGGGATACGGCGGGTGGATTTCTCATAGACAGCTCAGACAGTAATATCTGATCATATCCAACGGAGCGGAACTGATGCTGCATACTGTCTTAGGCAAAACAGGTACTGACAGGGCATGACTCGGCAATCTATCGATGGAGAACCTGCAACAGATTAGTGACTCGAAATCCGATCTGCGACGACTACCCTCCATGATTGCCTGTTGCTTACTGCGAAATATTCGAATCTCTGCGTCGCGTAGAGGACGAGAACGAAAAGGCCAGACTAATCTTCAGTCTATTGTGCGCCCGAGTGGCTCCATTTGACTGGATTTACTAAACAAGCGATGGCGGCTCCGAGAATCGCAGTCTCAAAGCATTGAATACTAATCATGCCGGCGGCTCGAAAGTGTCTCATATACTACAGTGAGGCATCATATTTTATATTTTCTGGTAGGATTTTCCACTCGTTATTTCCTGGCCCAAGCCTTGCTTCAAGAATTGTGCAAACATGTCTTCCTTCCACCAAACCTCACACATCTTCGTCATTGGCGGTACGGGAGCTCAAGGCATCCCAGTCATTCGAGGACTTGTCAAGGACAAGAAGTACAGATGTCGAGTCCTGACCCGAGACGTGAACTCGACGCGGGCTAAGGATCTTCTCGCTTTGGGCAATGTTGAGTTGGTGCAGGGTACCTTTGCCAGTGAGGCAGATCTCCGAAAAGGGTTCCGTGGCTGTGATGGTGCGTTCGTCAACATTGACGGGTTCAATTGTGGAGAGAAGACGGAGATGTATTGGGCCATCAGATGTTACGAGCTGGCCCTGGAAGAAGGAATCAAGTTCTACGTCTATGGCAACCTCGATTACGTCTACAAGAAGAGTTTATATGATCCCAAGTTCAGGACTGGCCATTATGATGGAAAGGGCAGAATAGGAGAATGGGTGCTTGCTCAGAACAAGGTGAACAGCCACAGGATGGGCGTCACAGTCTTTACCACCGGGCCATATATCGAGATGTCGATTGCGAAATTCACCATCTTCACTCCCACGATTGAGGATGGAATTGTGACATGGCGAGTGCCTCTTGGAGATGACAGTGGTGTCGTGCATGTCTCACTGGACGACTGCGAGTACTACGGCAGGTGGCTTTTCGATCATCCAGAGCGGTCGAATGGCATGGATCTTGAGGTCGCCATCGACCATGTCAATTATGCCGACCTCGCAAAGGCATTCGAAAAGGTCACAGGTCATCCGGCGAGATACATCGAAACCGATCTCGACACATATTGGAAGACTGGCAATACAGCATCCGCGGCCGACTTACCGAGTGGATATAACTCCGATCCTAAGGTCAGTCGCAGATATTGAGTGTAGCTTGACTCGCTGACAGGGACGCACAGGATCCTGCTTTCATGACTTTTCGACAGAATTTCACCGGCTTCTTCAACATGTGGAAACACTCTGGCCGCAATCAAGGCGTCATTCGTCGTGACTATAAGCTGCTTGATGAGATTCACCCGCACAGGATCCGGAGCGCAGAGCAGTTCTTTAGGATCGAGGATGCCCGAGGAAAAGCTGCTAGCCTGGGCAGTCTCTGGGATCGCGTACAGCCAGAGAACCTCCGACCTGTTCTCAAGCTTGCCGAGGACAAGAGAAAGGGCAAATTGTAGATACCAAGATGAAGGCTTTGGAGATAGTGAACAGACGTCGCGCGATGAGTAAACTGGCTAGGTACCGGCACAGAAGCCTCCATCCCCCGTCATACTCGTAGCCCAATTGTATTTCCAGGCACCTCAAGGGTCCGGCCCCAGTCTACTAACTAGGCCGCGGCCCCATCATGGCCTCACCAGCCCGAAAGACGGGCTTCTTCAGTGGTGGACTCGGGCGCCCTAAGCTTCTCGGGGTTTATGGTACATGCACTACTGTGGTACGTGGTAAGTACCCTATGTGGCGCAGCATGGCCGGGATGACGCCGCTTGCATCAAAAGGCTACGGAGGGCTGAAAAAGTTGGAGGCCTCGGTGATGCTTCTTTGGAGATGCGCGCGTGGCGGCAGTCGAAGCAGGAATTCGGGCGCAACAGCAATGCAAATCATCTGCGTGACAGCCACTCCCTTTCCTTGCTTCACCGTCCGCGACACTCGCCTCTGCTCGTGAGACTTGACGCTTCGCTTGTCTTGAAGTGATTACATTCATCAAATACTGCCGCATCCCCCACACAGGCATCATCGCTGAACTTCGTCGGCTTCGACCATGGCCTCAGTGGCCGAACCCAGCTCGCCCACAGATGGCCCTTCAGGTCCACCTCGAACTCCAGGACAGAGTGAAGCGCCGCTGCCTCCAGTTCCTGTCGATATCGGTCCAGGAGGCCAGCTTGACTCTGCGAGCAGGGCCCAAGTGCAGCGTGTTCTCTCTTCAGATGTAAGACGGGATAGATCTTTTGTTAAGGGAGCGTACCATTGACCTGATCGACAGATTGGTATAACTACTTTGTTAAACCGGTTGAAACAAAGTATAGCTTCTACAAGAGTACGCTGCTTTGAAACCGTGGTCGAAATCGAGCTAATTGCGGCGTAGGACTTTGCTGGCTTTCTCAAAGAGAGATCCGTCCTCGAAGAGAAACACGCCAGTGGGCTGAAACGATTGAGTCGAACTACACACGATCTAATACGAAGACCAGAAAGCCGGCAAGGCTCCTTCGCACAAAACTATGAAGAACTCACTCGGGCGCACGATCGAATGGCCGAACATGGCGTCCAATTCTCGAATACCCTCTTTTCTATGGCGGAAGAGCTGTACGAGTTGGCAGCAAACTCAGAAAAAGGAAGGAAACACTGGAAACAGACCGGTCTCAATGCGGAAAAACGTGTGCAGGATGCCGAACATGCTATGGAAAAGGCAAAGAGCAAATACAATTCGTTGGCGGAGCAATATGACAGGGCCAGAACTGGAGAGAGACAGACTGGCAAGTTGGTCGGTTTCAAAAAGTCGGCAGCGCAACAAGAGGAAGACCTACAGCGCAAGCTTGAAGCAGCGGACGGCGATTATGCTCATAAGGTCCAGGCTGCGCAGACTCAACAGAACGAGCTCGTGACCACGTTAAGGCCGCAAACAATTTCTGCGTTACAAGACATCATCAGAGAGACGGATGCCGGCCTGAGCGCGCAAATGCAGAAATTTGCCGCGCAGAGTGAGAAGTTACTCCTTGGCTATGGACTTTCCATCACGCCCATGAAAGGACAAGCAGGAGGCTCATCGCAAAGCCTGAGAGAGGTGGCATCGAGCATTGACAACGAAAGAGACTTTGTCGAATATGTCCTACAATTCAGCAACAAAGCAGGGACGAGAGCGGAGAGCATCAGATACGAACCACATCCATCACTGTCACCGAAACAAGCTCAGCCTTCGTCTACACCATTTAACAGTCAACCGGATCCGTATGGCAACTTCAACCCGGCAAATCATGGAAGGCAAATGTCTGGTGTCACTCCTTATCAGGGGGATGAATATGAAGAATACCCTTCGACCCAGGGACCAGGACCCAAATATGGAAGTCCCTGGCCCGGGCCACCGAATCCGCAAAACAGCTATGGCGCCAGACCACCTAGTCAGCCAGCAAATCGAATGTCTTCGGGAGCTCCTCAACTTCCTCAAATCGAGTCTGCTGCCGGAGATCAATTCGGCGGCGACACTTCAGGTGGTGATTTAGCTCCACTCCATAATCGAACGTCTTCTGGCCAGCTCAACGGCGGTCCAGGTCCGAATGCCTCGAATGCTCGTCCACCAGGACCACAGAATCAACCAAGTGGCACAGGCCAACCGGGACCTCCCAACATGGGCCCACGAGGAGTGCCATCTGCTGCCGAATCTGCGCCACCAAATGCTCAAGGAGCTCGACCACCACGAGGAGCCTCACTTGGACCAACCGGTGACTTTACAGGCAATGGTCGACCTGGTCCTGGTCCTGGTCCTGGCCCACAAAACACAGTACCCCGACCTCCAAACGCCGGGCCACCGTCTCAAATGGGGCCTCAGAATGGACCGAGACCTGGCGCTCCAGGACCACAACAGTCACAGATGGGCCCCGGAAACTCTGGGCCGCGACCACCACAAATGGGTAGAGGCCAAGGGCCACCCGGCGCAAATCCAGCACTGCGACCGGCTGGTACCGGTCCTGGACCAGAACAAGATATGGCGCCGCCAGGAGCAGGTGGTGGAGGCGCTGGGGTTGGGCCTATGCAGGGTCCTCCGAATGGTGCTTCTCGCCAAGGACCCGGTACAGGACCTGGCCCTCAAAATGCTCCGCCACGACCGGCACAAGGTCCTCCCAATGGCGCTCCTCGATCATCACATCCCGGTCCTGGAGGCAGCATCAGCTCCCTTCCGTCGAGACAAAGCGGCCCGCGGCCTGGTCCCCCCGTGCGACCTGTCTTTGGAGTTTCGTTAGATGAGCTGTTTCAAAGGGATGGCTCGGCTGTGCCTAGTATCGTTTATGAATGCGTCCAGGCAGTGGACTTGTACGGTCTTGACGTGGAGGGCATTTACAGAACATCAGGCTCAGCACACCATATCATGGAGCTGAGGCAGCAATTTGATCATGGTAAGATAGTTTCCGAATTGTTTTACGTTTCATACTGACGAGGTCCAGATGCCAGCGCAGTTGACTTCCGCAGTCCAGCAAATTTCTACAACGACATTGCATCCGTCACGACTCTTCTCAAGCACTTCCTTCGCGATCTTCCCGACCCGTTGCTCACGGCCGCGCAGTACCAGGCCTTCATCGATGCGGCCAAGCTGGAGGAGGATATTGTCCGACGTGACTCAATACATGCGCTTGTCAACGCCCTGCCTGATCCGAATTATGCCACACTGAGAACGCTTGTTCTGCATCTGAATCGTGTGGCTTCGCACAGCGACAAAAACAAGATGACGCAGAGTAATCTGGCCATCGTGTTTGCTCCAACACTGATGGGTCGGTCAGGTGGCATGAACGGGCAGTCGCCTGGTGCTGGCGCCGATATTGCGGACGCCGGGTGGCAAGCGAAAGTTGTCGAGACGATATTGAACAACACTTTCCAGATCTTTGACGATGATGAATGAGATAGTAATTACTAATATTTGATTCGACGTGTGTTGAGCTTCTGGTTGGCCGTTAAAGGGTCAGATCGCAGCGCGGGTGACAAGGCATTTAGCACGCAGTGCTCGGAGAGATGATGTTAGCAAGGTGCTGAGGCGTGCTGAAACATACCACAGAGCTGGCCGTCTAATTGCACACATCTATCATGGCATATTTTCTACGCAGTATCTACTTCCACTGCCTCGTCGTGACTGTTATGGAGTATGTTTTCTGTAAACTCCACACGAGACGTTGGTTTCGGACCTCGGTAAATGCTCGAGGAACGTTCAAGTTCCACAACAGCTTCCATTGCCTCAGCTAAACAACCACATATCTCTTCTAGTACTGTAAAGAATATGCCATTCTGCTTAATGTTTTGAACGATCATAGTCAGATGGACTGAGGCGACCTTGTAAATTTCCTCGTCCCTGCAACACCACTTCAACTTCGGTGCATCATCTCGAGCTTGCTAAGCACAGGGGCTCACTCGACGTGCAAACGACCATGAAAGCCATCCAAATATCGGACTATGTCAAATCATACTCGGAGCTTCGTGTGAGGGAAATACCCTCTCCCATACCAAAGGCAGACCAGGTCCTCGTGACAATAACCCATAGCGCCCTGAACCACGTCGACCTCCTGTACGCGCGTGGCCTGCACCAGAATAATCACAGCGGCCTGGTCAGCCCGCCGTTCGTCCTGGGCCTGGAGTTTGCGGGCGTGGTGGCTGCGGTGCCGCCGGCAACGTCAGCTTCTTCAGGGTTCAAGGCTGGAGACCATGTCTGGGGTACCGGCGTGGGCGGGTTCGCCGAACAGATCGCCGTCGCGCCGTCCGCGTTGCACAGGCTGCCTGGAGGCTGTGGCTCTTGGACGCTGCGTGATATCGCGGGTCTTGGGGCCGCCACGGCGCCGGTGAGTTACGCAGCGCTGGTCCGCGTTGCTCAGGTCAAGGCCGGGCAGACTGTGCTTGTGCACGCGGCCGCGGGAGGGCTGGGTGTGGTTGCGGTGCAGATTGCGCAGGCCCTTGGAGCGAGGGTCATTGGCACGGTGGGCAGTGAGGAGAAGGAGGAAGTTGTGCGGAAGATGGGGGTGCTTGGGGTGGTGCGGTATGATGATAGTGACGGTTGGGAGAGGGAGGTCTTGAAGATCAGCGGTGGTGGTGGCGTGGATGTGGTATATGATACGGTCGGGCTGGTGGAGAAGAGTATTCGGTGTTTGAAGTTTGGTGGGAGTGTGGTCATTGCCGGGTTCGCGGGGCTCGGTGGGAAGATGGAGACTCTGGCTATGAATCGCGTGTTGCTCAAGGGGGCGAAGTTGCTTGGTTATGTGAGTAAAAGCCCTGGCACACTTGTGGGATGGGTGTGGAAGAGTGGGTGTTGTAAGGGAGGCTAAGTCCGCTGACGGTTCTGCAGAGATACGGCGAGACTGGACGACGACGACCGGAAGAGAACGAAGAGGTGTGGAAGGGACTGACTGAGATGCTGGAGAGTGGCAAAATCAGGCCCTTCATCTATGGAACGTATACTGGTCTGGAAAGCGTGGCAAAAGCCCTGGAGGAGCTGGCTGCAAGGAAAGTATGGGGCAAGGCTGTTGTTGAGATACAGTCGCCAGCCAAGTTGAGCGCGAGACTGTGAGACTTTCCCCAAGGATTCACCTTATCTCATCACCAATCCTCCGTCGACGATCATCTCCTGTCCGGTAACGGCGTCGGCCCAGGGACTGGCAAAGAACAGCACCACGCCAGCCAAGTCCTCCGGCGTCGCGACCTTTCTCAAGGGAGTGACAGCCTTGATCTGCTCGAAGACCTCCTGCGGTGTACTCGCGCTGGCGTCCGTCGTCTGAAGGAGTCCTCCGGATACCATGTTCACGGTCACGCCTTTCGGCCCAAGATCCGCTGCGCATGTCCTGGTGAAGGCTAGCAGGGCGCCCTTGGCTGCAGTATAGTCATGGTACGGGACTACCGGGTGGTGGAACAAGTTCGTTCCGATGTTGATGATGCGGCCGAAGCCGAGCTTTTCAAAGCCTGAGAGGGCGGCCTGGGTCGTGTTCAGCGTGCCTCGGAGGAAGCCTTGAAGTTGGGTGTCGAAGTTCGACCAGGAGATGTCGGGGATTTTGTAACGACCTGTATCGCCGTTGAACTCGTAGCCGCCGATAATGGCATTGTTGACGACCGTGGTGATGGGTTTGTGGAAATGCTCCTCGGCGGCCGCAAAGAGGGCTTGGATCTGTTCGGGGGAGGTGACATCGGCACGGAATGGAAATGCATCGATCTCCTTTGCAAGGCTTGTCATGGTCGTAGGGTCCGACTTGTAGTAGTTGAGAACCACTTGAGCGCCTTCCGCTCGAAAGGCTTTGGCAATGGCTAGCCCAACTCCGCGGGAGGAACCTGACGAAATGAACTGCAGTGAGCATATGCACGACCTAATCGCTGGAGGACTGTCGATGCTACGCTATGCCAATATAGGCCACATGCTTACCTGTGACGAGAACAGTTTGTTCGGAAAGTTTCATCTTGAAGCCGGATTGGATATATTCCTCAAGTTCGGCGTTTTTGACCAGAAAGAGGCGTTGATCAATGATCGAGGCGATCTAACCTGTTTGCATCGCCTAGTTGAACGCCTTTGGTCTATGACCTTGCCTTTAGTTCCCAGCAAGTCAGTATGCGAACAACGTAACGCTGTAGTAATCACTGGGTTTCCTGACGCATTGAAAAGGGGAAAAAAAATACCAAGCATTACCAGATATGGTCCATGGGTTAAATCGCGTAAAGAAACTCGCTTAACCGGGCTACAAACAGCTGCCGCTTGAATAGTCGAAGCAGCAGTTGGGCCTGGCATTGACAGGAGGCTTCCCTGAGGTGCCTGGCACATAAACTGTCCTCGTCGCTGTTCGTCGTCGAATGGCACCTGACGCCGAACTACACGGTTTACCCTGGCGTGTCTGGGTACTGTAGTACTCTTCTATTCGACGGTGGACCTTATCCATACCTCCCTCGACGACGATCCTACCTTACAAGAGGTTGCCAATCAGACCCCACGACAAGTCAACTTCTAGAAGGACGTGCCTAGCCCAGTCCCAAAAAGATGAAATCGCAAAAAGATGTGATCGATAGATATCACTCCAAGTGGGACTCGAACCCACAACTATAATTGTTAGGCGACGTGTATTGGCAGGCGATACAGGAGAGTATCTTACCCTCCAGATTAGAAGTCTGGCGCGCTACCATTGCGCCATTGGAGCCCCAATAGCGGGAATTGAACTCGTGTGTTTCGAGGACAATTTTAAGCCAAAATTAAGGGCTACAAACTTATATATAAAATTTTCCAACCATCGCTTGGCCAACGACGGTGGGTCTGCGGCCACTGGTTCTGCCTTAAATCCTAAAGCTCTAGACGCAAATCACGGGGGATCAGAATAGTGCCGGGAAACCTGAGAAGAACTTCCATCGTTTGGTCGCTCCATACACCACACTTCACTTTCTATCAAAATTGGACCTAGGGTTCTGGCATAACCTTGCTCGGCAATACAGTCCAGCATTCTAAAGAAGTAAAGACTTACGACTGATATAGTCTCCGGTTCCATTCACCAACGACTCCGGATCAAGAGTTCCCTATGAGAACTCATCATGGTGACGCAAAATGTCTCTCTATGTCATCCAGAGGAATTGGCACTCCCTCAATTTCTCTACGATGAAGTTGACTAAATCTCCCTGAAAAGTATAAAGGCGAGATGCCCTACTGGCGCATGGACAAGCAATGGGTATCGTTACAAGCCCAACTAAGGCCAAATCTCGCCTGCCAGTACATCTACGTGCCTCTAGCAGATTCTCATACCACGGCCACTTACTCCGCCTCAAACACAAGTCTAGTAGCCACTATGCGCGGGCGGCTGCAAGAACCTCCTTCGGGTGATTGTACAAACGAGCTACTCTATACAGACTTGGTCACGGAAAGTTCTCCCAGCTGCATAACATATCCACCAATAGTTTTCTCGAACTCCATTGACCCTCGCTCGTCCCCTGCAATGCCAGCACACCTACAGACCTAGCATCGTCAATCACGAGCTTTCGTGCATCGCATTCTCCTCTTGGATCTTTCAAAAGTAAGGATTGCCTCAAGCGGCCTTCGGGAATTGCCAGGATGTTGGCTTATCCTCCAATCGTGCCCGCTGCGACGCACGGCTCGTTCCATCCGTCTGTCTGTGGCAGTTCGCATGAACTTGCATTAGCTCCCCCTACAGGCAGATTCGAAGCTGCACTCCAGCCTCAGGCCCTTACACCGGTCAAGGCGCGCTTGGTTCGATGTTGCCTATGATTGGCAGCTCCATGCAAGTATTGCGGAGTTCAACATCTCACTATGCTCATCCGTCAGCTATATGGCGGCTGCTTCGTCGAGAGATTGCTCCCATCCTCTCTACAACAGTTTTCCGAATATCCCATGCTAAGTTGCCGTTTCCTCTGGCCAAACTATGGAGGTCGTCGGCGGGGTCCCCGCGATTCTAACCATGGCACTGGAATTCCAGCATATCTGCAAAAGGCTAAAACGCTTCATCAAGAACGTCAAACATGCTCATACCGAAGTCAGGCTGATTGTCAACGAAACCGAGATATATGCCAACCTCCTACAGAGATTCGATGAAACCGTCAGAAGGGCTGACTCGCAAGATGAAGGGTTCTTAAGTGAAGTGGATTCCTCCCATGTCACCGACTGCATCGTAAAAGCGTCAGAAGCCAGTTTGCAGAAAATCAAAGATCTGCTCAAGAAGTCAGAGCCACTTAGAGCTGATAAGAAGGACTATTCGTCATTTCAAAAACTGTTAGCTCGCTTGAAATGGTCCGGTTGGAAAGAGGAATGGTCAGAGATCCAGCTATGCCTCAACTCAACAAAGCAGAATGCTACACTGGTCCTAGTCATGGTGTACTTTGAGAGATTGGTCCAGGAGTTCAACACTCTGAAGGCTCAAAACAGGGACGTACCAGAGCGTTTGCTCAAGAAATTGTATGCCTTCGTCCCACAACATCCAGTTCTGGGCAGATACTGATGAGGGGTTGTCAGGGTTTTAAGCCGCAGAGAAGTCAAGTCTCTCCGGGTTAACGTCAAGAAGCTGCAACGGCAATGTGAGCGATTGGAACTCAAGTCTGAGGAACGGCCAATAGTACAAGTCAACATGGTTCTTGCTGAGGCGACCCGTGGTGTTGTCCGAACGTACATCGATCACCACGAAGAGATCAAAACCATGCTCAATCCGGACACTCCACCTGCCTCCAATGTCATGACTAGCAGCTGGTCTACCGGATCTCGCAACAATTCTCAAAGCGCTTCATCAGAGCGATGGCATCCTTCGACGACCAACGCCAGCCTCGGCATCAACGCTCTAGAGGGGGAATTTAGTGACGATGAAGAAGTGATTGAAGTCGTGGAGGAACGAACGGATGATAGTGGGTTGTTCGAAACGGGGGAGGAAGAATATGATCATATAGAAGATGTTGTTGAAGAACCTAGCGAAGAGCCTGTCAAAGAGCCTGTCGAAGAGCCTGTTGAAGAGCCTGTTGAAGAGCCTGTCGAAGAGCCTGTTGAAGAGCCTGTCGAAGAGCCTGTCGAAGAGCCTGTCGAAGAGCCTGTCGAAGAAGCAATGGAAGAGGTTGTTGAAGAGCTGTCGAAGAAGCAACCGAAGAGCTCGGTTCCACCGGCGGAAGAGGCTGTCCCAGAGGCCGAGGATGGGCGTGTTGAAGAATTGATCGAGGAGCTCGACCAGGCGCCGGTGGAAGGAGCTATCGAGCAGCGGTTCGCACTGCCGGTAGAAGTCACCGATGATGACCACAGACATCTGGAAGAGACCGCTTTCGACGCCGAGGACACCGATAGTTGCTCCTCATTCTTGAGCTTAACATACTCGAATGACGCCCCAAAGAAGACAAGCCCTTCCGAGCAATGGATGCACGCAGCACAATACGGACTGCGTGGAGGCAGATTACGGCGGGACACACGGCGCTCCCGGACTCCAGATCCTCCTCCACAAGACATCATCGTCGACCGAAACGACGGCCGTGGTCCACGCAATGAATACCGTCCTCCGAGGAAACCTCGATATCCGTCGGCCTAAAGGGCCATCCATGACCATTGGATTTCCCGGTGGACGCAATCGAAAGCTGACTTTGTATATCATACCTCTGCGGCAGGGACCGCTTTCACATACCAGAATCAAGACGAGTCATTGTTTGAGTCAAACTGCATCTCAACTGCTAAAATCTCTTGCGAACGTCCCCCGACACAGGTCAGCTGGAGCAAAGAAAAGCTGATACTAGCAGAGAGCCCAGTAGGAAATACCAGTATCGTGAAAGTGTTTATCTTTTCAGGGCTCATTCCTCGCCTATCACAGCCTTACCTTCTTTGTGGCGATTGGAGGTTGTCGAATATAGATAGAGTGCAAACCTAGTGGTCATTCTTCCAGAATCACGTGTAAAGTAATTGGATGCCCGTGAAGTAGTCAGGTTTAGGGCCAGTCCGGCCGAAGAATATCGCACTCTTAAAGCAAAATGGTGGATGCGCTGGATTCCTTGTCACCCTGATGCTGTTCCCGGAGACTCGGTCGTCGCTGGGCTGCAGCAAGAGAGAGGGTGAACGACAGGTGTAGAGAGCAAAACTTGATCTTCCGACTTCATTCCATTTTCCGCTTTGATGTCTAGGCTTGTAATATGTACAATTGTCTCAACCGAAGCTCGATGTGACGCATTTTCTTCCGAGTCCGCTGCGCTCTTCACTTAAAATGGCTTGTTCGGAATTTATGGTGTTTTCGCTTGGGGTTTCAGGTTCGGGTTGCGAGGGTCATCCTTGTACTCATCCGCTGTAGAGTTCAGATTGTCAGCCACCGCACCCAGTCGAACGACTCATCCACGGGCCACATGGAGTGATCGTTACGGAGCATTCACTTACAAGCCATGTAAGCATTGGCGCCGGCGTTGACCGCGTACAGAACAATGAGGCCTGCAGCGTAGAAGGGGATCATAGGCTCGGCTGCGACTGGATTTAGTTCCAAGGGTCGACATCGTGATTGTTGACGCAGAGTCAGAACTCACCAACTTTGCCGGGGAACTTCTTGGGAATCCAGCCAGGCATTTTGACGGTTGGTCGGATTGAGGTTGTGGTGGTTTCGTAGAGACCTTTCGTCGTTGTCGTCAATGTGAGCTTGCTTCAATGTTCTCGAGCTCTGGATCGAGCTAAACCCGATCGGTCTCGGGACTTGGCACTTTTGTCGTGTTTACATTCTTCGCGACTTGCTTGTCTTTGCTTACCATCGGAATCGCTATGCAAGATGAGTACGACACAGGTACGCCTTCTGTAGCTGGAATTGAGGAACACGTCCGAGATGGCATCACTCGGCCCTGCGGTTTCGTCTTTGCGGTCGTCCCTGTCCCTACTCGACTCGAGCATCTCCATTCTTGACGAAGGTGTCTCCGACTTCCCTCGACTGTGCAAGGTGCTCCAGACGCAGCAGCACTTCGAACTTCTACCTGAGCCGACGCTACGAGAGGCACAACAGTCGCTGGTTGACGAGATCGTCCCTGCAATCAATCAGTTGATCTCGACTGCAGAGAATTACATCAACCAACTTGGCCGCAAGGAAGAGAGTCTCAAAGCGCGATCCGAACTACTAGAAGGACGATTGAACAGCAACAGAAGAAGCTCCAGCTTTGGAGGTGGATCTCAGTCGGTGAGAAGTGGCAGGTTGTCGCAAGCACCCGGACTCAGCGACAACAAAATGCTCGAGATGAAGCGCATGCAGCAGAAGAAAGAGAGGTTGCAATATGCGCTGGAGAGATTGGAGTTGCAAAGCAAACAACGCGAGCGAGAGCTTAGAAAGAGTATGGCTATTGTCCGCGATTGAAAGATGAGTGAATTTGGCAAGTGGTCCCTCCAAAATCCATATTCTCGAATTGGTCGATCGAAGACAGCCACCAGCACGGCAGGCTTCGGACTTCACACCAGCCATTCCGGCCCCGCTGACAGACATGGTACCGCGCAGTTGTTGCTTCTTGCCAGGAATGTGAAGGTCACGACGAAAGGATGACATGAGTGGCACAAGGTTTAAAAGAGGTTTTCATTGCTATAACAGTTTTGGCTTTTTTAATCCAGAATGCAAGATATGGCCGGCATACTTTGCAGCCTGCTTGCCACTCTGCCAGCACGGTGCGGAAGGATCCTGTCTTTTCGAGAGTGGTTCGCAGGGTCGGAGCACAGCAGCAATGAAGGGAAAAGAAAAAATGCGTGGGGGGTATTTTTCAGCATGCAACAGTAAGGGAAGTGTCCCATCCGACCACCAAATGTCGGAGCGAGTTATGCTCCTACAGTATGAAGCCTCGAGCTGCTTCGGAAGCCGTGGCCAGTCGATACCAACGAAGGTACGAACCTTGTTGATCTATTTCGGAAGATCAAAAAGTCCGAGATAACCGGCGGCGCGGGGCAGTCTGACTTCGTGCAAACAGCTTGACTGTTTCCACGGCGTTTGTAACACTGCGAGTGATTGGATTGCCGAAAGGTGTAAGGTCCATGCATCCGGCTGTTGGACTATGGAGGATCGAAGATTGTCGCTGCAATTCCTCCTAGGAAGGCTTCAATTCCTTTCTCTCCTTGGTTTCGGTGTTATACTGAAACACGTGGCTGACATCGATGTTGTGCATTTCTGGGAGGAATTTGCACTGGGCGATGTTGCATGTATTCCCCCTAGGGCACATATGACCGAGACAGCAAGTAGGGTCTGTACAGAAAGGATTGCGGCAATTGGACGTTCTCGCCTTGTATCGAAATGTATCAAGCTGCGCCTGGCTCAACTTCTGGGAATGGTCCCATTCGCAGTTGGCTCCGTAAGGGCAATGGCCTCTTAGGTAGAAATTGTTGCAGAGCCGCGAATTCTTTTCGTATAGGAATTTGAGGTAGTCCTTATCGGGATGCAGAGGTATATCGAGGCGTTGGCCGTATTGGTTTTGGTAGATGACTGGCGATGGTGTGAGACTGAGCGCGGCTTGCCGGGATTTTCCATCAGACGATGTCAAGGACGTGACTGGTGCCTGACGCTCTCGAGATGGCATCAGGCTCTCGGCGGCAGGTCTTTTGACTCCGGCAACGACCTGACTGCCGTTCGCAACCTGGATCTTGGTGGCTCTGAAGATGGTCTCAAGTGAGACCTGTTGGAAACCCTGGGCAACTTTGCGAAGGTCATAGGGAAATGGCGAACCCTCGATCATGGTGATTCGGTCATTGATGGTGCCTGGAAGCGTATACGGACCAAGAAAGCCTGCATAACTGCTGTCTGCGGAGCCCCCAAACATGATGTGCTGGCAGTGGCGGTTTCGGTAAAAGAGCTCGAAGTTTGCTTTGAACAGACCTGTCAAATCAATTGGATATCGGGGACATCTACCTCCACATACCTTTCATCTTGGAATCGGCAGCTTCCTTGTGCGCACCAGCATCGATGTAGTCGGAGAGTGGATGGCTCTTGTTGAAGCCAGTGATGAATTGGTCAAAGATGGACTCCTCGGGAATAATCTTGGCCGCTTTATAGGTCCGACCCAGTCCACGTACGTTGGCATAGACGCGTATGATGATTCGATCGTCAGCATGAAACTTGGCGTTTGTTTTGTAGTAGTCGAGCACAGCAGACCGGAGGTGCTTGCCAGCATCTTCGCCACCCTCGATACTTCTTGGGAGGAATTCATCGAGAAACTAAACACGTCAGCTCGCCCCAAAAATTCAAATCGCGCATTGAAGAAAGTAAGCCGTTGGTTGCTCTTGCCCTTACCGGCATGCTGTCGCCGTCAATCAAGACCAATAAGAATCTGTCACAATCCTGAAATATGTCAGCCATATATTTGTAGATGAAGTCGACCTGAGAGGAACCGTAGATGTTTGCACGTGGGATTTGTCTGCTTCTGCCTGGACCATGCGTTGGTAGTAATTGCGTGCGGTATCCTTAGCCATGTCCAGTTCACTTCTCGCAGCATCGCGTTCTCTGGTGCGTTCCTCAAGTTCAGCCAGCATCTCCTACACAACGTTAGCTGAGTCAGTCGACGGGACAAAGTGCATGCCTCGAAAAGCACTTTCTTCATCTCGTCCCCACGATACACATCTTCCACTCGCGTCCTGAAGGACGCCATCTTTGAAGCGAGGCCAGTCGCAGTGGCACGATAGTGATAGATGGGAAGAAAAGTGGCGACGTAGAAAGAAGCGATGTTGATATCTTAGGAAGCCATGAACGGAATATCTAGATGCAAATATGCCAAGTTATAATCTCTTGGCGTGTTTGTCCACTTTGAAGCTGAAGGCCCGCCCCTCGCTGGAATCATGTCAATAAGTTTTGCTCCTCCTTCCGTCATGAAATGAACCTGACGATGAAGAAGATACCACCAGTCGCAATAGGAGTTCATGATGATACCTTACCCATGTCCTCACACCGTCACATCCTGTTATCTTGATATGACATCATGCGTTTCTCTACCTACCGATTCAATAATTGGCTCTGGCCTGCCTGGGGTCAACCAGCTGCCCTTTATTCTGAAGATCTTGCCTTGACTGTTGCGTTGAAACATGGCGATCAGGTTTTCTTTGACGAAACCCGCAGTAAACGAATGGACATTTCACTTGCTCGGTTTATTCGAGAAGCATAGTTCATAACAGTCAACTTTTGACTTGGAGCGAGTGGGCTTTCGCAAAGATATGGATGTTTTATTACAACGTTATCAAGTTTTCTCAAATTTAGCTGCGAGCTTCCCGTACTTGCTTGCGATCGGAATCGATTCTACCAGAGTCGATCTGGAACAAGATCAATCTGTCGCAGTGAACATGGTACATCGCGAGGACGCCAACACGCGGAACTACACCCTGCACTACCAACGCGGCCAATGGCTGAACCCCCAATACTTCATCGTGCATCGGCGTCGTCAATGGTCAAAAGCTGCGGTGCCTTTCATTGCAAATGGAAGACTTCATCGATCAGTGGGATTACTGATCTATTAAACAGCAGAACGGATGCCTGGATTCTCGGCCCGTCCTCACGCAAGGACGAAGTCAATCTTCAGATCCGCCAGCACGTCCTGCCAGCGGATATCAAAGCCTCCTGGCCCCTCTCCTCTCCGACGCCAGACCTCTTGTGCAACATCCTTCGAGATTTCAAGATTCATAAAGCCGTGTCGACGTTTGGATTTGTACCAACTCAACATGCGATTTTGCAGATCGGCCCACAAGCATTCGCACGCTATGACAAAAGGAGGCCATATTAGCGTGCATCCAACTGTGTCTGCTCCTAGCCGCTCAATCTCCTCGAAGTGATCGATGGCTTGAGCCACAAGATCCTGCAGCGCACATGGTGAGGTTCCACGCACTGTTCTCTCAAAATGGATGAGACTACCATAATGGAAGACAAACGCATGATGGTACGCTAGTTGTCGTTTACGTGGGTCTTTCAGGCTTTCAAAGTCGACATCGTCTGGCGGGTTTGCGCGAGTCTCATTCTCCAGCTCATCCAGCACGTCTGGGCCGACGTCTGCTACTAGAGTCCGTTTCAACAATGAATTGAGCTTCACAATATTCTGAAAAATTGGACGTGTCAAGCCGAAGAAGGCGTCGAGCACATAATGCTTGCACTCGCCTGACTCAACGTCTATGCTCTCGGGAAGGTCTATGTTGCACAGTGCTGCGACCGCAAGATAGCACTGATAGATCATGGATGAGCTCTTTCCACCATTCCATATTGAACCTTCGGACACCGGCAGCAACGATGCTCCACCCTCAACATGTGTCCGCCACTCTGAGGAGCGACCGGTGATCATGTCCATTACCGAGAACATTGTGATTGTGGCAATCACGGAGTCGCGCTGTGCGTCTAGCTCACTTCCTGCCAGACTTGCCAGGGTGTGCCGAAGGTGCAAGATAGCCAGGTGGTAATGCTTCTTTGCAAGCGTCAGGAGTTTGTCGTCAATGAGAAACTGTCCTCGACTGAACGCGGATGTGGCACAAAGTGCGTGAAGAAGGGCGACTCTGCCGTTTGATTCCTGCGATGGAGTGTTCAAGCCCTCCAGAGCCATCGGCGTGAGCACACTTCGGAACGGGTTATCCGGCCCATCCACAGGAACCATATGCCAGGAAACGAAGCTAACCCAATGGTGAATGAGTTCGCGCTGCTCTGCAGGCCGGGGCAATAGGTCAAGGTGGCGATGTACACTCGTGGAGCCTGCATCAACGGAAGTCCTGCGCGCGATGAGCTGTTGCAGAGTGGTGGCGCTCCCTTCTTCCTGGTCAAAATTGGCCGTGTGCGACGTCAAGGCGCTTGAAGGGCTTTGATCGCTTTGGTGATCATGCTGATCCATGTCCTCGATATAGTCCAGATTGCGCTGCGTCTCGTCTTGAAGTGGAAAAACAGAAAAAGGACCGATCGAGCAGGCGTTTACCTGCTCCAGCCGGTCCAGCGCCTTTGGAACATCAACCTGCATCGATGGCGATGTGTCGGTGTACAAAGTGGGCTCTCCCACTACGCGCCGAATCTTTTGTTCCCATTCGTTCGTGGCTGGGTCGATCCAGACAAGTCTGATACCATATCCGCGGCATACGAAGCCGCCCCTCTTGCATCTGCTACAGCAAGGCCGACCCTCGTCGCAGCGGACGTGCCTCTGCCGGCAGGTCCAGCAGCCCGAGAAGGTCTTCTTCGCCCGAGCAGGTCCTGCGGCGCTCATCGATAGAGTCATCTGGATGGAGGAAAATGCTCATCCTTGGGTGTGTATGCTCGCTGATGGGGTCGATCGAAACAAATTGGACTGCTAAGGCCTGAAGACTCTGCCTCTGGAATCAGAATGGAGTAGGCTATGACGACCAGCGGAGATTCTTCTGTGCACAGTGACTATCCCTCCTTTGTCGAGGCCGTGCCACCGTGGACGCGGAGTTGGGCGAGATCGATAGTCCGGCCTAATCACCATCATAACGAGGGCCGTAAGTACCGAGACTTCCGGCCACGAGAGATAAGCCAAAGTAAAGAGCGAGAGATATGACAATGCCACGAGCTCCACTCTGTCGATCCTGGTTTCCGTGGTGTGAGTTTCACACGTCCCCGCAATGTCAGCTACTGTTCTGGCGACAAAATGCGCAGACAGCAAGAATCGCACGCTGGCCACGGCTGGCCTAATGTGCTCAACGACACTGAGAGCGCGTCATTTTGGAACAACTACGTATCATTTACAGTACTATTGCCTGCCGCCACGTTGGTGCCTCACAGCGTCGCACATGCAACATTCGGAGTTTGACTCCGTGGTTTGCCCATCCACACCATCTGGACTTGGCATCCCTGAACGTCCAGCCTTGTGGGTTTCAGGTAAAACGTTGTTCCATCGGAACTCACCAGTCTTCGATATGGTCCCTTCGGGAAGGCGAGTCGGACGCTACTTGTGGGGATGGGTCTGCAGGGTGAGACTCGTTACTATGATTGGCTAAATGGTGGCTCCTGATAAGGAGCATTCAAGTACTGCTACTCAACCCAGAACGGTTGTGAACTCTTTTATAGCGGGGCCCGTCGCTGCAGGCCACCATCTCGACACGACTATCAATTTCCTTTTCGGAACTTGAGCTAATTGCTCGAACGTGAGCTTCGAACCCGACGGCATCTCGACATCCACTCATATAGCCCATCCTTTGGTCAGCTTGTTAACGAACGACGCAGGGGATTGACCCTTGACTATCCTTGTCCCAGTGGCCGCGCGTGCTCATCGTCCTTCGAAAGTAACGTGGTTTGGATTCCTCTTTCTCGGATCTAAGGTCGCGGAGGACATCGCCAGTGCCTTATCATCGACTGCTAAACTGCTAATCACGTCCTGCATGCCGATTTGCAGACTGGTCCAGCAGCTGATGAAGGCTACGGTTGTGTATTGCCTTCTTCCATCCGCTACAACCACCATCTCCTCCGCACGGCTACATCCCGGACTTGTCAAGTATTCATCTACCCAGAAAGCTTTTTTGGGCCGGGGAGTGGTGTTCAAGCTACGCTCAAATGATATTACATGGCAAGGTATCAAGCTCGTTCAATGGGCAAGATTGCCTACAATTTCATGTCTTGCTCAAGCAGTGGCGTCTGCTGCTTTGAGCTTCATGTAGTCGTCAAAGTTCAACACCGATTTGCCCAGGACTAAGGCACTCTCCGCGCAGTCTTCCTTCGATGTCCACTCTTTGGGCGAGTGGCTGATCCCATCTTTCGCTCTGGCAAACACCATGGCGGTAGGGCATAGCAGCTGCGTCATGGTCGAGTCATGACCGGTGCCTGTCCGAGAAGCAATTCCTTTCTCACCACAGGCGAGCCTGACGCAGTCAATGGCTTCGGGCCAGAAGTTGCCTGGCAGCAGATGAACAGTCCTGTCGGTTTCGGTTTCCAGACCATGCAGCGAGGCAATGCTTTTGACGCGTTCCATGATGATTTTGCCCATCTGTTCGAGCCCTTCAGCCTCCTTGTGCATGAGGCAGAAGGTCATTTTACATTTGGATTGAATGTTGCATGCGCCCCACGGCCGACTGTGGATACCTGTCACTGTTGTTGCGCCGTTCTGTTCGTATGCCAGCTTTTCCAGTTCGCAAACGAGTTTGGCTGCGCCCGTCAGCGCGTCTCGACGGCCGTACATAGGATAGGTATTGGCATGACCATTCTCGCCATGGAATATGACATCGTACCACGTCATTCCCTGCCAGCCTTCGACCCAACCAACGGGCTTGCCAGCCTTTTCGAGATCCGTCGATTGCTCGCAGTGGATCTCAAAGTGCGCTGAGATGGGAAATTCTTTGAAAGTGTTCGGTCCGTCTCCAACATATCCAATCTTGGCCAGCTCGCCGCCCATGGTCAGTTCCGATGCATCGTTCGACGCAGCGGCATGGGCCTGTTCAACTGTCGAACGGCCGGCATAGACTATGGACGATCCCAACAGTGGGAAGAATCTTGCGCCTTCTTCGTTGGTCCAGTTTATGAGAACGATCGGGGCGCGAGTCTTTATGCCTTGCTCCTTGAAGCTTCTCATGACCTCCAAGGCTCCGATGACCTGTCTACTGTGAGCTTTCGAATCCATTGGAGGGGCCGAGTACTCACACCAAGGGGACCGTCGAATTTGCCGCCAGTGGCCACTGTGTCCAAGTGACTACCCATGGCAATAGGAGGAATGCTGTTATCTTCTCCTGGGAACACACCAAATTGAGTTCCAGTCGCATTGACCTGGTTTGTGTCAATCATCCATCTTGCGTGGCCAATTGCGGGACTGACCTTATAATCCGCTCCAAGTGCAAGCAACTGATCTCTGAACCAGTCTCGAACCTTCTTATCGTTCTCATCCGCACAAAGCCGAGTTACCCCTCCGGGCGAGGGCGCGCTCCATTTCGCTGTGTGATGGATGTCTTCCCTGGATTGGAATTCGGTCAGTAGGTCCTTTGACTTGTCTTCCATTGTTTTCCTTACCATAGTCGGTCACCGTTTATGGACAACTTTTCTGACAACGGAGAATTCCGGACTGTTGCATATGTGCGAGTCGCTGTAAGTCTGATGGTGGGATTTGTGCTGAGAGTGGCAACACCCCTGCCGAGGACTGCGCGAGAAACAGTGCGACCGAACATCTTCGAGGTACGTTGCCGGTGGGAGGTGAGGTATTCAAGGTCGTGCCTGAGAAGATAAATGTTTTCGGAAAGAATAGTCCTCTCGGCTGGGGACAACGCTGTTTACATGGTTTTCCCAGGTGAGTACTGAGCTTTCTGGCCGCGTCGTGTTGGAGACCACGCCGTGGCGTGCCCATCATGAGGATTGCAGCAGGGTCTTGGACCTTAGACGGAGGTCTGTCCAATCACCCACATCTCCGCGCACATCGCTCCACAGAGAGCACTTGGTCTGGAGAGTGCCTACTTCCAAGCTGGGCTAAGCCCGACCAAGCCTGATAAGAGTCGATATCAAGATCCACCCTGATGGTGCGAAAAAGCGTGGTGCAGATCACGCCGATCAACTGCCCCTGCATTATCTAGCCTTATCCGCCTATTATCGGACATTCTCTTCTTGAAACAGGCAGGCGATGACGATTCGCATGTTTATACAGCCGGCTGGTCTTCGGTATACAAAGACTCGGGCGCCGTCGCCGGGACGTATGCCTATACTGATGAACAGTACATCGCCATAGCCTACCTCTTTCACGTATCACGGTGCATGATAGGCAGAGATTGACATCAGTTTCCACTTCTCTTACGGCTACTTATCGTCCTGTGCGCGATGTACCATACACAGTGTGGTATACCAGAGGGTACTCACTCCACTCCTCGAGATAATGTCCTTCCAACGACACGATCCAAGAGCACCGATAAGGCAGTCGGTCAGAGAGGCGCACGGAGAAGTATCTTGCTGAAGCGAAGTCAATTGTCCTTGGAGCTTTGATATCTGTTGGGCGTGGGCAAGCTGCTCCGACCTGCCCCACAATGAATTACACTCTTTGTCAGATCAACGCGAAAGCCAACGGTGCATCTATATATTACCCCTGCAGAGAAGTTTTGCGCCGTTACGCGGAGGTCTTCCAATCTCATATCAGAATTAGTCTTCTCTTGTTCTACTGACCAGCCACGTTGGTGATCAAAGATGTCGAGCGCAGTTCAGCCCATTCTTCCTCAGGGCGCCGGTTATGGCGTCGTGATTGGAATAGGCTTCTTTTTCGCCTTGGTCATGGCAGGAGTCTCGTGGATGCAGGTGAAGAAAATACCGAGTTCTGCTGGCTACTTAGTGGCTAACAAGAACCCCAGAACCGCTACACGAAGTACTCAACCAAGATGAGCGAAGAATTCAACACGGCCAGCCGGAGTGTCAAGCCCGGCCTCATCGCAAGTGGCGTTGTTTCCGCCTGGACCTGGGCTGCGACTTTACTACAGTCGAGCACCGTCACCTACGAATACGGCGTCTCCGGACCGTTTTGGTACGCAGCGGGCGCAACGGTTCAGATCTTCATGTTCTCGGTACTTGCATGCAAGGTCAAACAAAACGCTCCTCGATGCCATACATTTCTGGAAATCATCTACTATCGCTATGGCAAGGTCACACACATTGTCTTCATCTTCTTTGCCCTCATGACGAATATTCTGGTGGCGTCGCAACTGCTCCTGGGTGGTAGCGCTGTTGTCACTACTTTGACAGGAATGAACGTCTACGCCGCGGTATTTCTCATTCCGCTTGGTGTCAGTATCTACGTCGTCCTAGGTGGACTTCGTGCGACCTTCCTATGTGACTACTCTCACACGGTGATTGTAATGATCATTATCTTATATTTTATGTTCAATGTAAGTGACTGACTCGCTGCTTCTAATGAGCTCATGCTTGCTGACTGATCTCAAATGAAGGTCTACACCTCGAATGAACTCATCGGCTCCCCTGGCAAGATGTACGATCTCCTCGTCCATGCTGGCGAGGTGCGCCCTGTCGACGGCAACACAGATGGCTCTTACCTGACTCAAAAATCGAATTTCGGCTTGATATTTGGAGTCATTCAATTGTGCTCCGGCATGGGCACCGTCTTCCTGGATCAAGGCTACTGGCAACGAGCCATCGCCAGTCGTCCCACAACGGCAGTGCGAGGGTACATCATGGGCGGCTTCGCCTGGTACGCCATTCCGTTTGGATTTGCTACAACTCTTGGTCTCGCCGCAGTGGCCCTTACCGACAACCCGGCTTATCCTACCTATCCAAACAATATGACTACGTCTCAAGTGTCTTCTGGACTCTCGGCTCCCTTCGGTGCAGCAGCTCTACTCGGCAAACACGGTGCTATCGCTCTGCTCCTGACACTTTTCATGGCTGTGACGTCTTCTTCATCCTCAGAACTTATCGCGGTGTCTTCAATCCTTACGTTTGATGTGTATAAAGTCTACATCAAGCCGAGCGCCACTCCGAAGGACCTGATCTTCGTATCACATATAATGATTTGCTTCTTTGGTCTGGTCATGGCCGCCTTTGCGTGCATATGGAACGCCATTGGCATCGATCTGGGCTGGCTCTTCCTCGTCATGGGCCTGCTCATCGGTGGTGCTGTGTTCCCTGCTGCCTTTGCTGTCACCTGGAAAGGCCAGACTCGTGCTGGCGCCATCTCTGGCGCTGTGGTTGGCCTCAGCGCTGGCCTTACTGCCTGGCTCGTCGAGGCCAAGGTGTATTATGGCGAGCTTACTGTCGCCACCACGGGCGCCTCCTATCCTACACTGGCCGGCAACATGGCGGGTGTGCTGACTGGGCTCATTGTGACCTGCGTCGTCTCATGGATCAAACCCGACAACTTTGATTGGTCCGTCACCAGGGATATCAACGCCCCGTCTTCTTTGTACGGGGATGTGGCGCCTGCAGCAAATCCAGGTGTCCTTGGCGGGGCCGCGACCACCACGACTGCTCCTGGTCAAGTGGGATCCTCCCACAACGCGGAATTGCCCACTGTTGTTGACGAAGAGAAGGAGGAAGCAGAAGATGAAGCCGTCCTGGAGAACCCTCAGTCGCTGCAACGAACCTATCTCGTCGCCCTGGTCCTTTCGACCGTCTTGTCACTGAGTATGGATGTCATAATCCCTGTACCCATGTTTCTCAGTCATTACATCTACTCGAAAAGCTTCTTCACCTTCTACGTCGTGATCAGCTTCATCTGGGTATTCGCTGCCCTCTTCATTTGCGGCATTCTTCCCATCTGGGAGACACGGCAATTCTGGAAAGAATTGTTCAGCGAAGTATTCGGCCGCAAGAAGTTTGTCGAAGGCACGTCTCCCAACCCAATGAGGTCCTCGTCGCAGACCTCAGGAAGCCAGTCACCAGCGGACACCAAGGAGACTGCTGACCAGGTCAAGGCATAGTATGGCCAATGAGACGGACGATCGCGCACTATAAGAGTGAGCAATATTCAGCTGAGCTGGACAGCAAGCTTGTGAGTAGCAACAATATACGGCAACCAGATTCAGCGGTGGAAACAACTGCTACTCATACTATTTGTACATGATGATTATGCATTCGAGATAGATGTAGACACATTGAGACCAATCTGCTCCTTCTTCTTCTTCTTCCTAGTCAGCATTGCATCCAAGGTTTTCTGCTGGCCCTTCTTGCCACGATCCTGCTCCTTCGCAGCCTTGTGTTCGCGTCGTTCCTCCCTCTCATCACCATGATCATCATTTCCGCCCAGATCAAGATCATGCTCCTCGGTGTCCTCCTCATCCCTCCTCCTCTTCACGCCACCGCCAAATCCACCATTTGCCTCCTCCTTCCTCCGGGCTCCTCGATCATCATAACCAAACAGCTTCTTCCACCCACCACTCTTCACCGTTTCGTCATCTCCATAGAGTCCCACATGATACGCCTCCTTGACCTTATCAATACAAAACTGCCTCCGCTCGTTGAAATCGAACATCGGCTTCGGATACACCCTGACTTCGCTATTTCCCTTCTCGGTCCCATCTCCTTTAATAACGCAACGCCAGCTCTTCTGATCCGCAATGGGCGCCTTGTGCGGTTCGTAGATGTATCTCTTATCAAACCTGTCCAGCTCCGGCACATACCGCCTGACGAAGTTCCCTTCTGGATCCCACTTCTTTGGAAACGCCACGGGTGAATAACACCTGTAGAACTGCGAGAAGAATGCGGTACACGATAGCCACATCCAATTGCCCGCGTTGCAAGCGATTTCATGATCGATCAACCACTCTTCAAACACCTCTGCGCCTCTCTCCCAAGACACATAGCACCCGCCCCGTGTCAGGAAACACGCAACAGCATGTCTTCCCAGATGATGAATCCATCCTTCCTGCTTGAGCTGCCTCATCAGTGCATCAATCCAGGGAAACCCTGTTCGCCCTTCCTTCCACCGCCTGAAATACTCCTCCGCTTGCGGGTCATCGACCATATACGTCCCGTCCGACTGATAATTCCCCTCTCCATCGATCGTATAATTACTTTGCAGATGCCAGGGAATGAACCTCGCGACTGGGTTTCCCACCGCCTGTCCAAACGGCACTCCGACTTTCGCATGTGCGGCGAAGTACATATCTCTGAACAACAATTGACCAGGTAAATTCACTGGCTCGCTGCTGTTGTGCTTCTTCTCCTTCCTCCTCTTCTCCAAGACATCCTGCACGTCCCACCAGAACTTTCTCACACTGACACTGCCAAAATGCATATGAGGCGAGAGTAGCGTCGTCGCTTGTGGATCAAAGTCCGTCGGCGCCGTCGCCGGCTTCTCAAAGGTCCCCACATATTCCTCGTTGTCAATGTATTTCTGCAACACTGCCAGTCCTGCACCCTCCCCACCCACATGAGGCGTCGTTACACTCGCGGGATCAATACCCATCTCTTCCAACGTCGGCACACTAAAGGATTTCTGCGGCCCCATAAGTCCAACGCTGAATTGGACATTCTTGTCCCCTCCCAGGGTCCGCTGCACAGCATTAAAATCTCCCTCTCCCTCGCCCGCGAACTTGGGCTCTTGATCTGCACCGTGTCCAGTCTCGCTCTCCAGGTCCGACAGATCCATCTCCCCTTCACCAAGCGGATCTGGCAAGCTCTTCGGCGCTTCCAGCGGTCTCGCAGGCTTTCCATCCCCGATCTTCTCCGCCGCCTTCACCAGCTGGCTCATACTCATAGTCGGCCTCCCAGCGTTCTGCTTAACCAGTTCATCACTATCAAACAGCGTCCTCCCGCAGACGCTCATCACCTTCACACCCAACTCCTCCGCGACGCGTGTGACCTCGGCATCCCTCATTCTCGCATACGCATCGGTATCCCTCTCGAACACGAGCACGTCGATCTTCCACTTCCTCAGCAAGAGCCCGATGACCTTGCCGGGCGCGCGACGGACGACGTGTAGTTTCTGTCTTGGGTTGAGTCTGGTCAGCGACCCGGATACATCGCGCATACACGCGACCAGGAAGGCCCAGCGGTTGGCGGACCCTCGCTGGCGGTACACGTAGTGCGGATCCCATGTCCACAAGGGAATGAGGTGTGAAGGGTTCAGGGACAGAGCATGCGCCAGGGCCGGAGAGTCGTGCAGACGCAGGTCGGTGCGGAACCAGTACAACACGCGTGGGCCGGATCCTGACGAGGAGGGTGCTGGTGCTGGTGCGGGTGCTGGAGCCCGCTTGAATTTTGCTGCCATTGTAGGAAAAGGACCCAAATGGTAGAGTGACTCGGATCGGATGCTGCCTTCGCTGACTGGCTTCAGTCTCCCCTCTCTCAAGTGGTGGATGGGAGTTGAGTCTGGTTCTGAGTCTGAGTCTTTCCCGGTACCTTCTCGTGCCGAACTTTCCACTCCCAAAACCCTCTAACTAGTACGCCTGATTCAACTTGCCACCCTTTGCTCGCGGCCGGATCCAATATCGATGACGAAATCGATCGCACTCGATGCGGGCGTTCCCGCTATCCGTTGGCTCGGGCACGCTTGGGAAATCCTACTGTACAGTACAGGAGATTTAAGCTTAAATTTAAGCTTCGAGATCTGGGACATCTAGCCGAGTTAGCGTTCGCTCATTCGGAAGCCTTGACGGCACGTGAAGCCCCCAGTCACCTACCATAGTAAATACTTACACGTACTACACTAGACCTTGCTGTGTACGCCACTGCGGCTGGCACTCACTCTCATACATTTCATGAACACTACGAGCCGGTCTATCAGTATCGACCCGATTCGTTCAGAGCCTAGTACTCATAACTTACTTGTCGAGATATCAAGGACCACACTCGAGTCAGAGTCATTCTGTACACGGCTTGAACACCAAGACTTCTACTCCGTACTGCGGTATTAATCATCATTGCCTTTTTTTCTTGCGCTATGTGCAATCATCGGCCCTCCCTTTTGAAGCGTTCTGGCTCAGACCTCAAGCATGACTAAGCCCCAAGTTCTCGAAACCCTCTTTCCCGGCTTATCGGCATGGCTGTTTCTTCTGTTTCAAGGAGTGTTCTGATTGCTTCTAGTTCTTCTTGTTCGCTTCTTATCTTCCAGTTGGTTATCACTCCTATCATCATCGCAGTCATGGCCTTTCGTTTGCAACAACAAACATTACGTTAAAAATAACCCAATCGCATAGAGACTTTTGTTGTCCAGCCATCACTTCGAGGTAGGAGCTTGAGGCTGCCCGTCCGACAGCTGGCTCACTGGCATCGAAGTCGGTACTTGTGGTTGACCATCCGAGATCTGGCTCACGGGAGCCCCCGTTGTCGCCTGGGGCTGCCCATCCGATAGCTGGCTAACTGGCACTCCGGTTGGGGCTTGTGGTTGGCCGTCCGACAGCTGGGTAACTGCTGCACTACCAGTAGGTGCTTGTGGTTGGCCACCGGATACCTGAGTCACTGGCCATCCACCACTGACAGTAGGACGAGGTCCATAACCCCAGCTACTGGTCGGCTTTCCTGAGGGCCCAGAATTGCCGCCACCCGAGCTCCCACCACCAGAAAGAGTTCCAGAGAGGGGGAGGTTTCTGCTGGAAGCACCGACGTAAATGACAGGGTTCTCAACCTGGACCCAATTCTGAGAGGCAGTGTCCCATACGGACACGTCCTTGCGAGTCAATTCAGCCGTGAATGTTGCAGAGGCTCCGGGTGCGATGGTAAGTCGATCGAAGCCACGCAAGACTTTAGGCGGTTCACCATCACCAAGTGCAACGTACAATTGAGCAACTTCATCACCAGAAACATCACCTGTATTCGTGATGGTGGCGGTAACTGTTGCCACCACTTCATAGAGGCCTGGATTACCACCTGGCGCGCCTCCTGCTGGCAAAAGCGGTTGTGGGGAACCGTCAGTGGCACCTGGTGGAATGTATTGATCTGCAGGAAGGCCATAGTCAGGGTCGTCAGCGGATGCTTCGAGGTCTGTCGAGTTGAGGTATGGGTAGATGTACAAGTAGGGACGATATGGAATGGTGGCATTCGGGAACAAATAGTCGGCAGGGTTTGTGCTGAAGTTGCCGAGGACCGGAGCTGGTCCCGTTTGTCCAGTAGCGGGAGTATATGGTGCTGCATTGCCAGGAGTAATGACCAAGTTGGAGTACTCAAAGGTGGTATAGCTCAACCCAAAACCGAACTCGTAGATGGGTGTAATATTGTGTGCGTCAAGGTATCGATATTCGATGAAGACCCCTTCGGAGAATGTGTCTTGGGGAGCGCCGAACTGTCCGTTGTTCGGTTCGTAAATGACATCGGTTCCGTAATCTGCACGGTTGCGAGCTATTGTGAAAGGGAGCTTGCCGCCGGGATTGACGAGACCATAGAGCACGTCCACGATCGCATTGCCACTTTCCTGACCAGGAAGACCAGCGAAAATGATGCCGGTGACGTTCTCATTGTCGTACCAGGAAGAGACGTTGACGGGGCCGACAGTATGCAGCACAACGATTGTATTGGTGCAGTATGAGGTCACGTTCTTGATCAGTCGATCGCCGGAGCCCCAGAGTGTTAGATTGTTGCGGTCGCCAGTATTCCCGTCGATGGTGATGAAACCTTCTCCCGAATCAGCGTTGGCGAAGACAATAGCAACGTCTGCCGTGGTAGCAAGCCCCTGAATCTGACTATCGGCATAGTTGTCAAGGATGGCAAACACTTCGCCGTCAGTCTGAGTCAGGACATATTGCTGGATGGCTTGCTCTGGCGTGACCAAGTAAGGAAATTCAGCTGTACCACTGCCATAACCCATCGCCAGAGTACCGTTATCGCAGTTACGATTGGGGCAGCCGTTTGCACCCCATGGGTTGCTGCCGGCATCGTATCCGAAGATGCCAACCTGTCTCTCCTTGCCAGTGAGAGGAAGTCCGCCAGTATTCTTGAGAAGTACGTTGGAAGATTGAGCAACTTGTCTGATGACATTGCGATGCTCGTCTTGGACATTGACGTGCTCATTGACAAGGCCAAGTGGAGATTGCGGGTCCGCAGCATGGATCTTGTCGATTGTTTTCGAGCTCCACTGTTAATATATTAGCTTGGTGCGTGTATTATCTTAGGGTATGCTTACGGAGTAGAAATTGGTGGGGACATAATGGGTGTCACGACCAACATAGTAATAAGCGGCCATGATCCTAGTCGCCATATCGTCCACGCGCCATTCAGGAATGGTTCCGTTGAGCACGGCAATGGTTAGGTTGGTGCCCCAGAAAGTTAGCCCAGTGTTGAACACTGTATCGCCCGGCATGGACATATCAAGTCCAGCCAAAGCAGTGCCCACACCTGAATGTTGAGCTTGCCAGTCTGACATGATGAAGCCTTGGAAGTTGAGTTCATTCTTCAGGAGGTGATTCAGAGTGTAAGAGTTGGAGCACCCATATGAGTTATTGATCTGGTTGTAGGAGCACATGACTGAACGCATTGTTAGCTTTTCATGGAGTCAAAGAAGTCAGTCGCGTACCTGATCCAGTACCGGCTCTCACAGCGTCGGCAAAAGGCCACAGGTAGAGCTCGTGCATGGTCTTGTCGTCGAGGTTGGAGCTAATGGTGGCCGTAATGTTGTACCCATAGCCCCGAGATTCACCAACCTGGCGAAAGTGTTCCTGTTCGTTGAGGATGTAGTGCTTGGTGCATGCAATGACACCTGCACTCTGAATGCCTTGAATCGTAGGTGCGATCAGAGCACCAGTCAGATATGGATCGGGGCTAAACCCTTCCTATGACTGGTCAATGTCCCGTGGTTCCATAGCTGGCCTTTCAACCTACCCAATTTCTACCGCCTTCGGGCGATCGACCCAGAGGGCCGCAAACGGGTCCCAATTGGACGTCGACGCCTTTGCCTCTGTGCTCTTCGCCCATTGCAACACCGCGGGCCCGAGCCAGATTACGATCCCACGTTGCAGCAACATTCAGACCAGCGGGGAACGCGGAGACATAGTCGGCTTATTCCGGTCAGCAGGCGAGTGAGGTGTCTTGGCCAGGAGAGCGACGTACCGTTTCTGACACCAAGGGGGCTGTCTTGCATACAAAGACTGGGGAACCCAAGTCTAGGGATTTCACCGACATTTCCGACACATCGCTCGCTTTCCCATCTGGGACGAAATTAACTTCATCTCTTGAACCAAGGGACTTCGGAACCCACCCAACACCGGTGGTGAGGTTGACCTTCTCAAGCAGGGTCAGCTGGCTAACGAAAGCACGCGCTTTCTCGTATGCCGCAGCCCAATCTCCAGCTCCGGAACCCCAGGGCGAGGGATAACTTGGGGGTGAGGTGAATTGAGGTCCATTGTAGTCGTTGTTGAATGGTTGCGCGGCTTGACGTTTGTTGAGTGTATCGGCAGGCTCGACAGGCTTCAAGACATATTGTGAGTAAGAATTCAGTTGTAGCGTGACGTTGAGAAAAGATACAACAGATGCCAATAATGGCGCCATTGTGGCTTCACGATGGAAAGCTTGACGTGACAAGGTCAAGATCCACGATGCCAGAACTGGAATTGGGGGCGTTTATAGGCGCAGAGGCACCAGCTGCCATGGTTGGGGATTGGGCGACGGGCGTGAGAGGGCTGCACTTACAGAGGCCAAGACCTGGGGAACAAGAGCGACGATGGCCGCCACAGCCGTCGCAGTAAGCCACATTCTGGGTAGCGGGCGCCCCGAAAGAGCTTCGCTTCAAATGAACACGAGGAGCAAAGGGTGACCTAACGGGTAATAGTCGGTGGACGAGATTTGAGCAGTGGGTGAGCGGCTGTGAAACTGTAGTGAGTTTGTCGGCGCAGTTGACTTGTCAATACAACTGCCTTAGATACCTGGATGTCTACCGGCTGGCGAATGGTTGGGGATCAACGAGTGGGCGGACAGTGAAAGCAAAGTTGGAGTGAAGAGGGAAGGTCGAGGGGATATTTGTATACCCAATTGCTACCACACCAGCTCAACTGGACATGCACAAGATGATCATGATGATGATGCCGGTATGTGTAGTATTGTGGAGGCGTCAATGGGGCGGGTGGGCGGTCAAGCCTCCTCGTCCCGTCTGATGCCGTCAAGAATAAAAAGGGCAAGAAGTAAGAGACAAACGCACCTGACTTTCTTGCTGTGCCTCGAGACCCTCTTTGCCGAAAAAGTGGCCCTGTCTGACAAATCTCGCTGTCTCAGACTGGCTATGTACCAAGTCGGCAACCTGGCGAGCTGGGCAATGGGCAATGACGGAGGAATTTGACTCGACAAACATGAACCGTGCTGCCTACTGGGTAGTGGTGGTAGTGCGCTCGTTAGCAGCGTCAGATGATAAACGAAATGAATGACCTGGGACTGATACTACGGAGGGCAGATTCTGGATGTTTGCTTTACTCGGTATAACAAAGCGCATCTCGCTCAGTCAGACACCGCACTTTTTCTGGAGGAGAACCTCGCAATGTCACTCCGTACCCTGTGTGGCCAGTCAGGCATACCACCTCGCCAATACCCTCATCCGTCAGCTGCTCCTTGCATGAAGCTGAGATGGCCGAGGTTGCATTCCTCATATCCGGGCTCTGATGGTACCAGCGATGCAAATCAATAGTCATCACTCGCCAGACGCCTTTCAGTTCCCTGGGCCGCCCATCTCAAGTCTTGATGCCTGCTCTACCCCGCAATTGATGGGCAAGGCGCTAGGCGCAAATCCCAAGCCTTCCTGAGCAAGCGAGATTGGCCAGTAATATCCAAGGTGCAAGCTCAAGGTGGTGCAGGATGGTGCGTTGTTGAAATGGAATCGTGTCATCACCTTTGCTTTCTCATCATCTCTGCCTTTTAGCCTTCCTTTTCTGATCTGGCTTCCGTCCATCTTTTGGGCAAATTCTCCGCTCATGTCCTCCGTCCCTGCACATCCCCGCTTCTGGCCCATAAAACACCTCGCCCGCTGCCCGATGTTTATCCCATTTGCTCAAATCTGCCTGCTCGCTGCATACAGCAGATAGTCCATGTCGTGCAGTCCGGACTTACGCTCTTCTCTCAGCCATTTCGGAGGAACCCTCCCCCAATCAGCCTGCTGTCCAGAAGCACCTGCCAGTATAGTCAACTGCACCAGCCGCAACGTTTCTTCGCCTATGCAGGGCCTGTGCTTTCTCAAACCTTCATTCGTGCGGCGTTACTCTGGGAAGAAACGCGAGGTATGTTCGGCAATCCAGCTCACTGACCCTGCAACCGTACCCATACACCTCGTGTCGTACAAGGCATCCTCGTGCACAGCCATTCGTCGGAAGCGTCGCCAACCCGCACAGCGCGGCAGCCATGACGCTACCATCAAGTTCACAGTCCCAAGATGACCCAACTCTGACGGAAAACCGAGGAAGCTCGTGCTCGGCATCTCATCTCAAAGGCACCCGGCCATGTTTAGTTGTTGTAACCCAAGGAAAATGAGTGTCAACCTTCTCGAGATTCAGCATGGCTGCCATCAATAACTTTGCGTCTGTTGTTACAATCTTCCAAAGCTCTTCCCGGCATTCCGCAGGCTGTCTTGGCATGTTCCATTGAACCATCCACAGCCAGTATAGAATCATCCCCACCAATATTGTCTGAGTAGCAAAGGCTTGATTGCGGGGAGAGCTCTTCAGAGAGTCCTATGACCTGCAAGACTTTTTACGTTCCCTGCATAGCCCATGCTTCATGCATCCGATGATCGGCAGTTCGATCCAGCATGCATTTGCCATGTGCACTGCAAATCTCCTGCCTTTTTGGTGTCAGTCTTCCTTGTCATGATCAGCACCTTCCATGTTGGCGAGTATGTCTTTCCCCAACACATAGATCATGTAGGTAGGGAACAGAAGCCATAGGCCATTCGGAATGATCCATAACATAATCAAGCGGTATGGCGTATTGTGTCCGATATTAGCGAAGCCGCCAAAGTACTCATTGAGCCCTGTTTGCAGCATTCTGTCAGTCTCAATTCTTTCCGGAAAAGCTGTCGAAGTTGCTCACAATATAAGACAGTCTTGCTCAATGTCATGACAGCGGTAGAAAACAGCACAAGTACCGCCCTCGCTACTCCAGGTCCCGAAACGGTGTTTTCACTGGACCCGAGAAAGAACTCGTCAATACTTTGTGCCCTAAAGTATTTCTCGGCGCCGCTCTTTATGACGACAGTCAAGTAGTAAATATACATGATAGTCTCAAGGGCGTTGAGAGATGCCTGTGCTGCCGAGAAACCGACATGATTGTCCCAGGCCGGCCACCCATAGATATAATCCACGGTCCCATACAAAGCATAGAGTGTCCAGATAGGCGAGTGTAACTTTCCACCAGGCATGGTGTGCGGACGAAGAAGCATATATGCTGTGTCCCAAATCACAAGCGGCAGAGACACAAAGAGCCATATCATAAGCAGTGGAGGGAGCTTGTGCGAGAAGTTGTACGTAGCTGTGAGACTCCGCTTGGTGCTCGAAGGACGATTGGATTTGCGCTTTCTTGAACTTGGAGACACCACCGTGATGGAATTGTCTGCTGATGGTGAAGGAGAAGTGGCATTGGACCGCGAGGAGCCAGTCGGAGTCGCAGGTTCAGGGAAAGGCCTCGGGTGATGTCTCGTGGAGACCATTCTGTCGAAGAGTTGAAGTTGTTCAAAGGTCGGTGTTGAGCTGGCTTGGAAGCACAATGCACTTCCTTGACTCGGGGTCCCTGCTATACGGCGTCAGATCGCGGCTGCAGCAATATCGGTCGCGATATCAGTCTCAGAAGCACTTAAAGCAAGTTGCTTCCTTTCAAGTCCAGCAATGTGTTTAGAGAGCGACGTCCACACCACCCCTTTCCCAGTGCTCTTGGGATGAAAAGTGTAGAGTGGCAGCGTATTGGGGTTACGGAGGAGGCCTTGTCGCCGGCAAGAAGCGTGTTCTTTCAGCTGTGTCGCGACTCCTTCGTTGCCGACGCGGCGTGGAAGATGCACGACTGTGAGGAGGTGGTATTAAGTCGAAACCGCTTGGTACGTGCCGTGGCTGATCTGGTGCTGAAGGAGAGGAGTTTGTTGAGAGATGGAAATTTGCGGTCAGCGACAGGTCCAGGAGACTTTGGACTGGTTGTCGAGGATGAAACACTTGCCCTTTGATTGCGCGAGTCGCGACAGTCAATCAGGGAGGCGCTTTCGCGTCTGAAGATGTTGACAATGATGCAACTACCTCGGCTTAGTGCAAACCCGGAGCAGGACACTGCCCACAATGTCAGCGATTGGCCAGCAACCATCAAGCCGCAAATTTGCTGGACGTGCGGAGGATTTAAAGACACAGCTGATCCCTTTTCTCGACTCTTTGCCTTGCAGCTAAGTTACCTTCAGGAAGGTCGAGAACAGTGCCTTTGTAAGACTTTTTGCGATATGATCGCCCATCCCTGTGTTAGTCCGTACCTGCATGAACTCAACCGTACCTTGCATTCTTCCGGGCGCCAATCAGAGCTGCGAGCCTTGCGTCTATGTAACTCAGCCTTGTCATCGACCCAGCCCTACCGAACATTCACTTCACTTCCTCTACCAACCACCAGCTTCAGAGGGCTTTGTGCGCCAAGGGGACGGTCCTCACGACCAGACTGACCAATGAGAAATTCAGGTTCAACGGGAAACCCAAATACAAGGGTTATATGTTTAAAAAGGACAATTTTCCCCAAGAATTACTCCTCTGGCCTACCCGTGTTTCGGTCTCGTTCTACACCTGCGAGTCCGAGGCGTAAGGGATGTCACCTGGCATGAGGCAGTTTACCTGGGGCTAGCCACGAATCCTAGAGCGCGATGCCACCCGATAACCAATGAAGGAACTACCAGTGTCAAAGCTGGGAAGGGCCTGAGGTTGTTCCTTAGCTTACATGGCCTCCTCCGAGTGTCCTATGCGGGAGGTAACCTGACCACCACAGAAAAGAATCCCTTCCTCACCTAGGGGTTTCCCTCGGCCTGTCCGTTAACTGCATACACCAATCGAGCAGTTAGCTGACAGGTTAGAGTTTTTGTCTTTTTGAGTGAGAAGTCGTCGTGTTCGAATCCCGCGTCGACCAGGCTTTTACTTTTTGCTCGATGGAATTTGTTGTGATGGAAAGTGCGTTGAAGATCCACTGCAGAACCGTGAAGCTGGGTCGGCCAATTGCCGCACCACATCGTTTCACTTGGTACAGACCTTGACGAAATGCAATGACCATGCCTACCTGGATGTGGACACCGGGGGGACCCCTAGAGACGGCGCATTTAACATCAACGGCTGATGGGAGCAGTTCTCCCGTCTGTTCACTCTTCATTTCGTGCAACCTTAACGGGTTGGATCTAGGCAAGGACGATGTGTGGGTTAAGCTTGATATAACAGCCCTACTGACTCATTGCGCACACGACAACGGTGCCTATGGTACATGTTGCCTGGACAACTCTATCACGGTGGTTGAGCACGAGTTCAGTAAACTATATTCGGCATCTCGCCCACTAAATTTGATCCCTAGAAAACGAGTGCATACCCGACATCTCATGCATCTATCTGTATTGCCCGTAGCAGACACGGACTTTCAAGAAGACACAACGCTGGGCACGAATGGCCAGAGATGGCAACCACCTCCTATGGTCTCCACGGGAGATTCAGGTCGCTAGAGCCTTTACAGCTCAAAATCTTGCGCATTCAGCGATATTGGCCGCAGTACGGCTTATATCCCCAGCATTGGTTGACCTGATGGTCGGCAGAAATCTTAGCCCGGAAGCACCGTCTGACTGTGTGCACAAGCCAGCACCTGAGTCCTGCCTCTCGTGCACAATTCCCCTCGTTCGGAACTGATTTCTCAGCAATTTGTGGTTCCCGTCTCAACTTGCGGCAAAACTTGTCTCGAGTCGAGCCAAGTCTGGCGAATGAAGACTATAACACAAACCCCTCCAAGAGAGACTGCGTAATCCGTAGGCGTATTGGCGACACCAGCCATTGACATGGGGTGAAGCTACGAGTAGAAGACAGTGACTTGTTGCTTGGCCGTTAGACGTCAATTCATCAGCCGACAGCTTGGCCCGGCTCTGTAGGAAGATTCGGCTGGATAGAGTCTGCAGTTTCAGCTTGCTGCGCAGGCTGACAGACCTCTGTCTCGAACAATTTGGCGATGACATCAGGTCTGATCATGTCCTTGCAGAATTTTTCTTGCTGAAGGAGTTCCAAATTCCTCAAAGTAGCCCCAGGATGGGTCAAATATTTGGCATATTGTGGTGTGCGCCAGTATCCGTAGAGATATCTCAGGTACCGTGCAAATCGAGCCGCATCAGAGTCTTCAAAGTCCGAGCTATTGTGGCTTGCTGCTGGCTTGTTCAGGAGATGAGGATAATTTACTGCCAAATATTGAAGGTAGTGAGGATTGGCAAGGCACAGCACAAATTCTAGCTCCAGAGTAAATCGATGGGAAAGCGGTGTTGGCGGTGTTGTGGCATCCATGGATGCCATCTTGACTTCAGCAAGTACCTGAGGCCCACGTTGGACGCCCTTAGATGGAGGTTGTAAAGGACCAGCAATCGTTGGCCAGCAGGGACAGCAGCAAAACGGGTATTATTCGCTCCTTCGAATGCTCCAATTCGTCCGCCTCGCGCAACTACGGATCGGCTGGTGCCGCAGCAAACACGAGATATCTGGACGCGTATGACAGCACACCTACTTGAGTGCCAGCACAGGGTTCGTTCGATAAGGTCGAAGCCGTTGAGCGGCGGAAAAAATCTGGCCGCTAGTGATTTACCGTGGACGGTCCACACCGGCCGACCAGAAGAAATGCTCTCGCGCGGCTCAAGAAACGTCGTGTCCCACTGCGCGTCCTACGGCCGAGGTGCGCTGTGATTTGTGTGGCAATAAGTTTAAATCCAAGAGCCGAAAACGAAGAACGAGGCCGATCGCTGTTGAAGATGGCCGAAATTGGGGAGTTGGCAGTGAAGTCTGCACGAGTATGACAGTTTGCGGTTCCTGAATGACAGCTGTCTCGGCAAAGATTAGATGGCTTGGTATTGTTTTACAGTAGCAGGTTGAAGGCCTTCTACGAGTAAGCTTTCGTGGCCTGCGTTTCAAAGGAGCAAGTAGCTGCCCAAAAGTTTGGGTTGGATGCAAGGGGCCAGACGCTGTGGGTAGTCTCAGAGAGGCTGTGCCCTGGATCGACTGCGCCAGGCACCCTACCAGGAGGGTTTTCGGTCTTCGATGGTTGGCAGGCACAAAGACCCAGACAATAAACAAAGGGGATGATGATCGATTCGCAAATGACTGGCCGCGGAACCCTGACAGTCGACGCAGGGTTGGAGGAGGAGCAGGTTGTCGATGTTGATCAGTGACGGAAGCTAGCCAACCCGCCGTCGATGTCAGTGGCGTGCCAGGTGGGATTTATCTTGAATTATGCAATAGTGACTAGGATGGTAGAGTAGTTGCAACTGATGGATGCGGCTTGACGGGTATCTCGAAGAGCAGGAATCGTTGGGAGGCAGCAAAAAGGTCTACAGGTCATTTCACCAGTCAACATCCCAGTATTCGGTTGTTGATGTCGACAGTGGCCAGTGGGCTGTGGCGTGTTAAGCCTGGTGAATCCACGTTAGTTTTAGTCAGTTGGTTAATGAGCCCTGATGGCCCCGATTTCTTCCCTTTGAACTTCCCCGAATTATTCTTTTGATTGTGCCTGCGCTGCACTTGCCTGCGCCTCCATTCCCCCCCTCTGCCTCCTTTTTGACCCTTTTTGACCCTTTTATCCATACTGAATCTTTACCATTTTCACGAACGTTACTTTCATCCTGAACGTTGTGCTTCTTCCTCGAATACGACAGTCAGCATATCATATCTCTGCATACTCTTCTTCAAGCAGAAATACCGTCATCGTCTCTGTGGCGTTCAGCGCACGTCCCTCCTGGTCCTCACACGCTCTTTCGCGTCCGCTTTTGGACTAAACAAAACCACTTGCTCTTGTTCTCACGTCCTACTCCTACCTACCCATCGCGTCTCCCTATCTAGTCCACCTCTTCCGTCGTCGGAGCTGCGTCGCAGCATCTTGTAACACCCAAAATCATCGGGCCTGTACATTCATCGCTGGTCGCCCAAGGTAGCACCTGACCTGCGGCTCCAGAGAAGAAGAATCGGAGTCACAAGACACCATGGCGCAAGCTGCACCGCTCGCAGGTACGTGGTGACTCCATGTCTTTGCTTTTTCAGCACTAGGGATCGATCCTGAGGTGCTCCTCATTTGGCCCCTGCAATGAATGGCTCTGTTTACAACCGACAAGACTGACTCCATTCTCAGATCGGGGCCCTTCTCCTCTAGCCTCGAACAATCCCTTTCGCAATCGCCTTGTCGACAATGCAATCAGTCCTGGTTTGGCTCCTGTCAAGCCCGTGTCTACCAACCCATTTCTTGATAGCAGCGAAATCGCCTCCCCAGACGGAACCAGCAACGGCACATCCACGGGCGACAATGTGACAAAGTCACCCAAGCCCGCCGACCTGACTGCAGACATCTTTGTAGGTTCATACGTGTCTATGCTTGAAAGCCTACTAATGGATGGTAAAGGCATCCCTCGATCTCAATGATTCTGCCAAATCATCACAGAGAGCCCCGGCTAATGGAGCCTCACGACGTGAAAACATGCCCCCACGACCTCACCAACGCGGTCCTCCTGGCCGCCACAGGCCCAGTAACTCTGACGAGGAGCGCAGACGTCAGCAAGCGAAACAACGTGGCCTGCCAAACGAGCTTGACATCTTCGCAGACCCATCCGAGAATCGACCCCGCGAGAAACGGACACAGCGTCGAAATTCAGAGTCTTCTGTCCGTGATAAACCAAAGGATTTGGATCCAGAGGCCGAAAAGAGACGCAGAGAGAGAAAACTGCGTGAAAAAGAGGCAAAAGGTTCGACTAAGTCGAAGAAGCCGAGTGCAAGACTAGACATTATCGACAAACTCGACGTCACAAGTATCTACGGCACTGGATGTAAGTTGTTGCGATATGTGATCCGTGAAACATTCACTGACGTTTTCCAGTATTCCACCATGACGGACCCTTCGATGCTTGCAACCCTCACCGCAATCGGAAAGGCTCCAGGCAAGCACCAATGCAAGCCTTTCCAAAAGATTCTGTAAACATGCAACTGGGTGGTGCTGGGCCTCTGAACAAGAAAATCAACCTTGAGCAGTATCACGGCACAGGACAAGAAGCTCACGTCGATTACAATGAAGCGGCAGTTGTGGACGAAGATGTCGACTACTTTCGCCGACCGCCGACCGAGAGAAGCACTAGTTTCAACCCAATTGCACGCACTGAGCCAGTCCATGGAAGTGAAACCGCCGGTCTCGGCACCAGCACGTTCCTAGAAGGCGCACCAGCAAGTCGGGCTGCTATCCAGCGCCGAGAAAGCGAGTACGAGGCCCAGCAGCAAGCACTAGCAAACGGTCTGTCACGAAAGAAAAGTTTGGCACAGAGGATCAAGTCCGTGCGACCAAAGATGTCCGACGGGGGTCGCATGACGTCGCCAGAGCCGATTGGCACCCCAAACAGCCCGTTGGGAACGGGCAGGTCTGAGAGCAACGCCAATCCATTCTTCAAGGATTACGATAAGGAATATGAAAAGAAAGGTGCTCAGATCGCATTCGCCGAGGACCCACAAAAGCCAAGTCGGGCTCGAGCGCCTAGTAGTCCTCGCCGTGGCCTCGGTTTAGAAAGAAAGTTGACAGTCGAGAGCCTCGGAGCTGAAGAAGGCAAAACTGGTGGCGGCTTTCTTAGTCGAGTCAAGAGTCTGAAGGGTGGAAGCCGCACTCGCGGAAGGCGAAATACCGAAACTTCTTGAAGGGCTTGCATCGTCTCGGCTTGGGTTAATGGCGGCGTTTGGGTGAGCTGCATGGGCTTAGGATAAGCGCTGTCACGCTGGAGTTTACTGACGAGGGGGGCGGCATTGGGCACGGGAATGGTATATGCTTGGGCATGCACGACCACGACAATGATGACAATCCTATGACAATAAATAAGGCAAGCTTGAGCTGGTGAATGTTTGTTCGATGACAAGTCTGGGCCAGCTACTTCCAAGCTTGCTGGCAAAGTTGGAGGTGCTGGACTTGGATATGCACAGAGGATGGAACTGTCGAGCATCGAAACAAGAGCTGAGTGAATGGCCGTCGCAAGCACTCACTCAGTACGTCAGCCAGGAGTAGATAGATAGGGAACGGCTGTTTCCATCGAAGCAGCCTGAGTTGCTGGCTTGCGAAGGGCTTGCTGTGTGCTACTTCAGGTAGACTGCCTGTTCACCTAGGTATCCGAACTATTTCTTGTATTCTGAACTCCAAAGTGAATAAATCCTGAGAAGAAGGGATTCGTTATTTCTTCCCTACCCGCCTCCTAAATCATCAGGCCCGATATTATGATGTTGTCCAGATCGTACTCTGTAGGAGATCGCCGTGATATAGGAGATGACCGCCATCGAAGATATTTGGGGCTTCAGGGGGGAGTGTCCTGTCACCAACATCTGAAGCATTATAAAAAGCAAGGTATAGCGGAACGTAGGGTTGACACCGTATCATCCATACATGATGGCCATCGTCACCATTCCAGCTCGGACAGGCGACTATGTGGCCCTCAAATCCGGGCAACGACTCAAGCTGATCAATCCGCACGGCAACCAGGTCATTGACTTCTGGGCTTTCGTGTTTCCGAATAGCAGTACCACTGCGACTGCCGGTGACGGTGACATACCCAGGAGCTTCATACGCTCCTCTTTTCCGAGTACTACAAAAGCCAACGATGCCGGCAGTAGTACTTGTACTGGTAAGCCGTCGTCCGATACAACGACGTCTACAACAACGCCATCCTGCCCGTCACCCAGCCCGTACCCATTCGCAACGGGTATCCAGTACTTCTCGGCCTCACGCACCCGCAGCATCCTATCCAAACTCATCCCGGCGACCCAGGACGTGCTGTACACCAACAAATCCCTCCCGCTGTTCACGCTGCTCGAGGACACCACGTCCGGCATCCACGACACGCTGTTCGGCTGCTGCGACCGCTTCCGCATGCACAACCTCGGCTATCCGGACTTCGAGCACGCCAGCTGCGCCGAGAACATGCACGTCGCGCTCGCACGGGCTGCTGCTGCGGCGGCGGCCGACAACGACAACGACCTCTTCACTCCCGGCAGCATCTGCATCTCGGACGAGTGGACGCCGGACCCGTTGAACGTCTTCATGAACGTGCCCATCACGACGGGCTTGGATCGGGACTCCGGCGGCGGGAAGATCGAGTGCGTTCCGCCCGAGAGCAAGGCCGGCGAGTATATCGTTCTCAGGGCCGAGCGGGACTGTCTGGCCATCATGAGTGCTTGTCCAAACGATTTGATAGAGGGCGTCAACGCGGGAGACTGTACGGGTGTGGAATATGAGGTGTTGGCGGCGTAAAGAAATTCGATTCTCATTCGCCTGGCCAAACCGACTGATCGGGACTGCGACGGGGTTTCCTCTTCTACAGTATAATCCGACGTCGAAATCGAGCAAAACGCGAAGCGAAGCGCTGCGATGCAATTTTACCTCATTGCTGAGACAGAACGTGGGTTTGCCAACAGGTACGTATAAAAGAGCCATCGAAATCCAAACGTGACAACGGCATACGCCAACTCTGTGGCAGGCTTCGGTCTCTAATCCAATCCAGTCTGTGAATCTAATAGCCTTGCGGATGACATTAGAGTCGATGGCTCTCCTTCGACGTCTCCTGTAACAGAGCGTCTTCGCTTGCTACATCATCCGCGCGATTAAGAAAGGTGATCTGGACGCTCTCCAACCCAGTCCGCCTGAACCTTCATGGCGGCATGCATGTAACGAATTTACCATTCTTTGTCACTCCTTTCAACTCATCAGGGCCTCAAATCCTGGCTCACCCCTACATGGGATAAAAGCAAACTCTGCAAAAATCATTGGTTTTCCCTTCCTTGCCAACAAGTTCGTTTGTAGCATCCTTCGACCCCTTTCCATAGCGTCGAATGCTGAACTCACATGTACAGTAAAATTGCCACCAAGCCCAGTCCCATCTTGCGACTCAATCACTCGGACCACCGACCCAATCCAAGGCCGCAGCAACAAGTACAACACCAGCGCCCCAAATTCCTGCATATCCGATCGCGCCCGTAAACTCAACGCCCTCGAGCGTTCCCCAAAGCAAGACGACCGTCTCCACCACAATCAAATACGCCAACAGCCCAGCTCGACTGATCAAAGCCTTCTGCCGTGGCGAATACCAGCCCCAACCATTGTGATAGACATGCTCTGCGAAACTAGCGGTTGAGGGGTCGAAGGTTGGGGCTGATGGTGCAGTACTCGCTACAGCAGTGGACGGGGCGAATAGATATTCCATAGCCGCAACGCCGGCAGGTATCAATGCTAGGAGCAGAATTGGCAGGCCCCCTGCACCGAGATGAGCCTTCTCAAGGGTGCGCAGCCCAGTGAAGTGTGTGATCAGCCAGCTAGGCAGAAATGTCGCAAAACTTGCTTCAAGGAGGACGGCGAAGATCGCTGTTGCCAAGAGAGATGTCGCGACAGTGGTGTATGGGTCAGTAAGGATGGGACGATTGCGTAGAATAGCCTTTGGCGCTGCGTTCGGGTTGTGAGACGGAGAGAGAGGGCGAAGGAGCAGATAGGGAAGAGAGTTTGCCAGGATGGAGGATAGCGTCGTTGATGCGAGTGTTGTCGGGTGGATGTCGTAGAACAGACCGAGAAGAATAGATTGAGGCGTGGAGAGGAGCAGGGTCATGGATGCCACGTCGTATGCTGATTGAGTCAGTCATTGGGGAAAGCAAGCAAAGGTGATGAGAGATCGTACCGTCAAAATCAGCGGCCCAGTATATGCCCAATTTGGCGATCTTCCAGGCCAGAAGTCCCAGGATTTCAGGCCATGTATCTGCTCGTTTGGAGATTGCCGCGTAATCGCCTGTGCCCACCATCGATGCTGCTGTTTGCAGGCCTGCTTCGAGCAAAGTACTGAGTATGACAGTGCCTACGAACTTGACTACCTCAAAGTCTTTGTGCACCTCTGGTTGTATTACGACTTTCCTTGTAGCCGGGATCACAACGACAGGAGACGATGGAGGTGAAGTGGTCGATCTCGATGGACGCCGTTTACTGGTGCGCGTTGTAGTGTGATCCGGTGTCGTGGCGGGCGGGAGCATGCCGCCATTGATCAAGTCGGTGCCTTTGACGGTGGTATCGGCATCAGTGCTAGACGCGACGCTCGCAGATTTTGTGTGTCGGCTTCGTGGAGCCATTATGTCGGTCTCTGATCCCGAAGCTGCGCTGAGCTCGTGCTCGTGATCCGAATGGACGAGGGTCGTGGTGAGGGCGAGGAGGTCGTCGAGCATTAATGGCAAGGAGGTAGTAGATGAGTAAGGTGAGCCAAGCAGACAATGGTGAGCGGGACTGAGGGTAGGGGGCAGGAATGAGAAAAAGCAGTGGCTGGAGAAGCGAGAAGCGAGAAGATGCTGGTGGGAGGAAGATGAAAAGGCACAGACGCGATCGTGACGTGATTGGCCCGAGAGCGGATATTGAGAGCTACGTCACAGAACAGCAGAACAGAGGAGGGCGGAGGAGGAAACCCGTTGCATACCTCATTCACCTCACCTAAGGTATTCTTAAATGACTACCCCGTACCATGCCTAGGGACTGGTACCTAGAGTTCGTGGGATCTTCTGTTACTGTATCCCAGTGACAATACAAAATCATGGGAGATTTTGACCATGTCTTGCTACTGCCGGCTGCCGGCGTTGTGCTCAATGATGGCGGTCAAGCAGTCTCCTTCCATACCTGGCACGGCGCCCGCCTCGAGCTGTTCAATTCATTGTCCAAGTCGTTGTCTGGGAGGAGGAGAACAAAGCTCCTTTACCAGACTCGAGTCAACGAGGAACCTGATAGGATCAGTAGACTTCATACAGTCAAAGAGGATAATGGAGCTTTGTCCAACACCTGTATTGATGTTAGACATTGCGAATAATGCCATTGTGTCCAACAGCCCCTATTCTAAGCATAAGAACGAGATAGCCCTCCGGCCACGATGTTAGGAGGGATCCAGCGATCAGCTCGAAATCTGCACAACCAACATCATGGCGACCAGCAAGAGACAACGCTCCTTCTCCGATTGTGTCGAAGTACTCTCAGGTAAGCAACGTCGCATTGAGACCGAGAATCACATCAGCCTAACAAGCTGCCTCACTTTGCACAATCAACAGGTTCCACCTCCGCCATCATACTCGAAGCCCAAGTTAGACTTGGTGAGCTTGTTGACCTCCATTCCTGACTTCCGAGACGGTCTGAGAGAGGTGGGTGGTCTCAGCCCCTATGATTACACCAGACTCCGGTTGACATCTCGCACAGTTGCCGATCTGTTCAAGCCATTTCCTCACATTCCAACCCAGCCAGATACGAAGGACCCCTATTTTGCTGGTCTGAAGCCCGTCAAATGCGATGACTGCCCAAACACCTCAGACATAGTGGCCGTGTCACGTTGTTACGGTAGGTACCACCCAGGAATCTTCTCCGGTTGCAACAAGTTCATCTGTATCAACTGCGTACGGCGAGCTCAACAATTCTATGACCCTCACAAGTGCCCCCAGACCGAGTTGTACTATTGCCAACCATGCAGTCGCAGCACGAAAATCTGCAACCAACTTCGTCCTTGTGATTGCGGCCTGGCGAATCGAGAAAACATCCACCAGCAGCCATACTCCGACTGGCAATGCATAGCCTGCAGAGCTGCCCAATTCCGTGTGCGCAACATGCAAGCTCGATCAAATCTTGAGAACTTGGAAGCCACAAATCAACTGGTGCCTCGTGACCGATGGGCCAGTATCACTAGCACCAGTATGGAAAGATGGATCTATCACCATGAGGGTGTACCGAACAGAAACCATTGTCCAGGTTGTGGCCGAGCATGTAAAGCGTTGCAAGGGGCGTTCGCAACCAGAGGGAGTGGCATAGCGCCGCTGCCGCAGAGAATGATCCGTCAATGCGCGGTCTGTTTCGGTCGGCGACCGTAATTCTAGGTACCTCCTGACAGGTCTGGGAGGCTCACGGCTGTAGTGTTGCGACGTGATTTCTAATCGTCATCTTCAGGTGGGTTGTCGGGTTGAACTCGCATCTCCGTAGTGCCAGTTTCTCGTCCTTTGTGGTCTTTGTTGACAAATACATATTTGCCCCGTTGTTCCCCTTTCTGTTCGATCCATAGATCTTTGAAGGTAAGTTCCTTTGTTCTGTTGAGGCTCTCAATGGCAGATATGCGGTCAAGCGTAGCTTCGAGATACTCATCGAACCCTTCTTCGGCGCATATCGATTTGAAAGCGTTCATCATAGGGACGCTGTCTGCGCGAACCATGGCAGTGCTGTCGATAGTGAAAATATTGTCGTGGTCATAGCTCTGAATGAAATCCGCTCTGGTCATGATCTGCCGAGCAATATATAGAGGGATCTGCGGTAGAATATGGCCGCTTTCATCGTCGTAGCTCGACTCCATCTCCTTCTCCTTCTCGACGAGAGCCTTGGCTAGTACCATGGCTGCACTGGCATACTTTTGTTGGTCCATGACATCGTCGTCCATGTCTTCTCCCAAGATGCCACACTGATTTAGGAACCAAGTCTTTTCGGCTTCGTTGATTTGGTGGCCCATCTTCACCATGTCTGTGGCTTTGGCGACTCGGCCGAGGAAGTTCAATCGCCCACCGACGAGCTCATAGACCTGCTTTAGTATCTCCGGATCTCGTTTCTGCTGCGGGAAATATCTCGCTCGGTATGCATCCAAGGCCGCGATGGCCCGATCCTTTGGCAGATCAAATATCTGAATTACTTCCATTCTTGTTGCGAATCGCTTCAACCGCTCGTAGACCCAGTAATCATCGGAATTGAAAATCATAGTGATCAGGTTTGCGGCTGCCCACTGCTCGGCACGTTGTTGCATCAGTTCAATCAGGTCGTTTCCGTCCTCATCATTCCTTATGAGGTGCGCACAGTTGACGACGAGAACTAGCGGTCCTTTGCCGCTGCCTTTCAGGCGAGAACCGTCCCGATGAGACAAGGATATCTTTTCGAGCTTGTTGAATGCGCGCTCGATATCCAGCAAAGCTGTCGTATCTCGCGGTCCGCGAATCGAAAAGAGTGATCCAATGTAGTCTTCGTGAAAGTCGTAATTGAGGGCTTTACCCAGGCGGATTCGAAAGATCTCCGGATCTGCGTGAGCTTCGAACATTGAAACTCCTTCACCGTCGATCTTGCGCATAGCTTCGAGAATCATGGATGACTTCCCAGTGCCCTTCTCGCCGACCAGAAGATAATATCTTCCTCTAGAGTCCCCGTTTATGATCTTGTCAATCCTGGTTTGTTCAGGTCTCTCGACCCAGTGATCAGACTCGTCATCTGATTGGTCAGTAGGCGGGAGATGAGGTCCAGGAGGTGCGGCGAGGTCCAGCATCGGGTCGCCAGGAGTAAAAGCCTTTTCCATCTTGCGCAAAACAAGCGATTTGTAGTAAAGGTGGTAGGAATAGCCTGCAAGGCCGAGGATGGCAATGGAGGCAAAGGTAGTTGCAGCACTTTCAAACATCTTGAACATAGTAGGTCCAAAACGAGACTGTGAGTGCTTTTCGGACTTTGAGCCTTTGGGAGTTTCTTCCTCTTCGTCCTGATCTTGACCAGGAAAATTGCTGGTAGGGCCGAATTGCGACGCATTTCGTATAGAACTGACACTGGCGCAAACCCGACTTCTAACGATATTGGGCCGAATTGCCCTCCTGCTGATTGTGCATACTTTGGGGACTTTCATGATGGGCGATCAAATACACACAATCAACCCTCGAGAATTTACTCCTAGAAATTATGGTACCAGGAGCTCGTCGATTTGGAAACGACGAGACCGGGATTCAAGGATGCAGATGATTCCAACCAATAAAGGAGCGTACGAAGAGAAAAAGGCAAAGAATGACTTGTACAGAGATCAAGTTGCTGAGAAGCCCGGCACAGACACAGAAGATTTTGAAAAATGGATGAGATTGATGAGCAAGAGAGGCTCGCGGCCTGATAATCTTGGAGGTCTTAAAATGAAGCCCACGTGTGTCTAGGCATTGATTCCTTCATGTACGCGACTGAGCCTTCATCATGTTGCGCTTTCTAGGACAAGCTAATATCGCAGCCATACTACATGTGAGTTGGTGTAGTAGCAGGGCATGTCCATACCGATATAGAAGACGACAGTCAATTCATTTTGCGACCTTCGAGGGAGACATGGACGCATTATAAGGAAGTCGCGTGACACGAACGGAGAAGTGTCCATGTCCATGATGATCCGCTTCAAGGGCCCATCATGGCTAGGGAGGCGTGTGAGGCTGGTGAGGCCCATTTCAGCCTCTGCGAGGATATCCCGGGCGCCCTCGGCTGTGCGGCTCTTTAACTGTGATGACTGGGAAGCGCCTAGGCGGATCGCGACGGATTGAGCAAGTCCAGGGCATCCACAGCGCAGCTCTTCTCCCCGTGAAATTTTCTTCGTCTCGGGGCCAGCTTCCTGCGCTCCGAGCGACCAATCAGCCCATTCGCATCTTTTCTCCTCTACCAATGCTAAACACCTGCAATTGCTTCATCTCCAAAGTCGAGGAAAATTAATCTCTTCGATTCAACTTTGCCGGTTCCTTGCTTGTTCATACTGTACATTAATCCTATCTTACTCATCGTTCTGTGTATAGTACCATCTCTTCGTCATTCCTTTTGTTTGACACCTTCTTTACCGGTGGCTTCCTCTGTACAGTGCTGCATTGTTCTCCAAAAATTTCCTAATGGCTTCCAATGGTGACGTGCAGACAAACCAAGGTTCGCCAGCTCTACTCAGCAGTCACGGCATGCGATCTTAACCTGGAATACAGATGTAACAGATACACAGATGGAAGGTGAAACTTCCTCAGCCCTGCCGAACGGTACCAATGGCCATATGCATGACCACGAACATGCTCACGATCATGACCACACCAACCATGACGATCCCAACGCTGGTGCACTGTTCCAAGTCACCGTGAAGCTGCCGCACAAGCCCTACCAGCAACAGGTGATGGTGACACATCAAGAGCAGGTCCAAGATGTGCGTCAGTCAATTGTCGAGACACCGGATACATTCCAGTATACCTGCTTCCACCTCGAGCACAACGGTCAGAGGATCAACGATTTCATCGAGCTCTCCGAGGTCAAAGATCTCAAGCCCAACGACGAATTAGTCCTGATGGAGGACCCCTACACGGAGAAAGAGGCGAGATTACATGTCATTCGAATAAGAGAGCTCATCGGAGCCACCGGAGACCGCTCCGACCAGTTGCACGGTATCTGTGCTGGGCTGTCTTTACACGACGAAAAGTTCGGCTCAACGCAAGCACCTGCGGACAAGTTGGAGGACAATCCATTGGCTGGCTACGAGGTTGACGGTCAACCATCTTTGGACACCATTCTACCTGCACATGAGGATACCTTGCCGAAGACGATCAAATCACTCTCTGTGTCTCAATGGAACCCACCGCCATACCATCTGCGTCAGAGGGGTCATCTGCTGTATCTGCAGCTTACGACCAATGAAGGCGAGCAGCATCACATCACGGCAAGCGTATCCGGATTCTTCGTCAATAAGTCCTCGAGCAACAAATTCGACCCGTTCCCCAAGCCAGCCCCTAAGAACCACAGCGCGCATTCTTTACTGACCCTGATCTCGCTGCTGTCACCGTCTTTCAACGAGACTTTCGTCGAGCTGCAGAAGATCAACGGTCGGAAGGATCTGCTCACAACATTCCCATTCCAAAATGCCATCCCAGCAAACCCTTGGCTCGTCCCAGCTTCGTATGCCCAAGGAACCCAACACCAAGCTGATCCTACAAGAGCGCAAGAGGCATATCTCATTGGCGGCGCGGACGGAGCGGAAAACCTTCGGGATTGGAATGAAGAATTCCAGACGACGCGCGAATTGCCACGTGAGAACTTGCAAGACCGTGTTTTCCGCGAACGTTTGACTTCCAAGCTATTTGCAGATTACAACGATGCCGCCGCCCGAGGTGCTGTGCTTGTGGCTCGTGGGGAGGTTGCACCTCTAAATCCCACCGAAGGTCGAGATGCACAGATCTTTATCTACAACAACATCTTCTATTCCTTTGGTGCCGATGGCGTCCAGACGTTTGCCAGTGAAGGTGGTGACGAAGCTGCGAGAGTCGCTGTAGGAAAAGACGTTGCTGGTGTTAAGTCGGTCAACCAACTTGACATTAATGGGCTTTTCACGCCAGGTACTGTCGTAGTTGATTATCTCGGCAAACGCATTGTTGGCCAAAGTATTGTTCCGGGCATTTTCAAGCAACGAGAGCCAGGCGAACATCAAATTGACTACGGTGGTGTCGAAGGCAGGGACATTGTGACCGAGAACGAGGCCTTCGTTCCGGTCTTCGAAAAGCTTTCAAAATCTCTACACGTCAAGAAGCACGCTGTCTGGGACAAGGAGAACAAGCGCCATGATTTGGAGGGAAGTGTCGAGACGAAAGGGCTGCTCGGAACAGATGGCCGCAAATACGTCCTTGATTTGTACCGTATCACACCGCTCGATGTCGCTTGGTCAGAAGAAGTGGAGAGTGACACTTCTGATACCAAGTACCCTCATCGTATGTCGGTCTTGAGGCTGGAACTTGTCGAGGCATACTGGCGCATGAAAATGCAAGAATATGTCCGAGCCGAGGTGGAAAAGCGTCGTGCGAATCAGGCTAATGGCACCACCGAGGAACAGAAAAAAGTGGAGGACTCAAAGCCCGATAGCCATGCTGCTGAGGGCGAAAAGAAAGACGAGCAGAGCTCTGAGGCCGAGGTCGCCGAGAAGAAGCAGACTCCAGCTCTGGAGCAGGAGCGGGTTGACATCTCGAACTTCAACTTCAGCCTCAATCCAGACGTGTGCAGCGGACAGCAACCACAGACCGATGAAGAGAAGCAAGAATACGCCGAAGACGAGAAGGAAGTCCGGGCAGTCTGCGACTTCTTGCGAAGCAAGGTCGTTCCTGATCTCATCACAGACCTCCATGATGGTGATGTCGGTTTCCCAATGGATGGTCAATCTCTTTGTCAGTTATTGCACAAACGTGGCATCAACATCAGATATCTCGGCCGACTGGCCAAGGCCGCAGAGGAGAAAGGTGTTCGTTTGCAAGCGTTCTCTCGGGTTGCCCTGCAAGAAATGGTCGCTAGAGCTGTGAAGCACGTTATCAACAGTTATTTGCGACATTTGCCTGCGGTCTTCGCTGCTGCTTGCATTTCACATCTTCTGAATTGCTTGCTTGGGGCGGAAGTGAACCCAAATCCTCGACCTGAGATTGACGAGGACCTACGTGCGCTTTATCCAGAGGGAGATTTCTCCTTCGAGAAGATGAACCCTACCAAATTACAAGCAGAAATCGCAAAACAGGTGCAGATGCGATACAGATACGAACTCCAGGAAGGTTGGCGGGCGTCTATCCAGCCACTGCCTCTACTTAGAGAGACGAGCTTGAAGCTTGGCCTACAGCTTGTTGCCCGAGAATATTCTTTCAGTAAAGGTGTTCAACTGTCTCTCGAGGCCTCACCTGCTCGAAGCAGCAGCGACACTCGTTCCAGCGATGGTACGCAACAAGAAACCGCAAGCAAGAAAAAGAAGAAGAGCAAGGGTGGTGAGCAAGCGCAGACCAACGGTGCCGTCGTCAAGCCCAGCACGACCTTCACTCCCGACGATGTTCTGAACATCGCCCCTATCGTTAAGGACTCGACGCCTAGAAGCGCGTTGGCTGAGGAAGCACTCGAAGCCGGCAAAATCTCTCTAGCGCAAGGTCAGAAGCAGCTTGGTCAAGAATTGGTGTTGGAATCTTTATCATTGCATGAGCAGATCTACGGCATTCTCCACCCCGAGGTTGCTAAGATGTACCACTCCCTGTCAACAATCTATTATCAGACTGACGAGAAAGAAGCCGCTGTTGAGCTTGCTCGCAAAGCGGTGATCGTCACCGAGCGGACATTGGGTGTGGATTCTCACGATGCGATTCTGGCATATCTCAATCTGTCTCTCTTCGAGCACCACGTTGGCAACACAAAACAGGCCTTGAAGTATGTCAGACATGCACTCGATGTCTGGAAGATCATATTCGGGCCTAGCCATCCAGACTCGATTACCACCATGAACAACGCTGCGGTCATGCTTCAGTCTCTCAAGGAATACTCTGAATCTCGCAAATGGTTCGAAGCTTGTTTCACTGTTTGCGAGGGTCTTTTCGGACGACAGTCGATCAATGCTGCCACGATCTTGTTCCAGCTGGCACAGGCTTTGGCTTTGGATGCAGACGCCAAAGGAGCTGTGAATAAGATGCGTGATGCGTACAACATCTTCCTTGCAGAGCTGGGGCCCAATGACCGCAACACGAAAGAGGCAGAGAGCTGGCTTGAGCAATTGACTCAAAATGCGGTCTCGTTGGCGAAGCAAGCTAAGGCCTTGCAAAGTCGAAGACTAGCCGGCCTGCGACATCTTCCTCGAATGGGTCTGGGTACTCGACTCCAACCACAGAATGCCAACAGTGCTGCGCCGAATGCAGCTGGTCGGACGGCCGCGACCCAGCCGAACGTCCGTACAGGCACCGGCAGTGTCGCGCTTGATTCGAGAAGTATTGATGAATTGTTGAAGTTTATCGAGGGCGGAGACCCGGCTGGCAGCCCTCGTTCGAAGCAGAAGAAATCACTGAATCCGAAAGCAAGGACAGCTAGGAAAGCAACAGCTGCCTAGGAGCATATCTCTCAAGAGCTAAAGCGTCGAGCCGGAAGCCGCATCTATACCCGAGAGAAAATATTATGGAGACTTACGACAAGTGTGGCTTTCTGGTCATATTCCTGGCAAATGACCTATGTACGAATATCATACAGCACAAAGCGTCCAAAGGCATTGACCACGGAGGCACCGTCCAGGCGTATCGCGCCTGCAAAAGTTGATTCCGATCTGGATAATGGCTTGAATTTCAGCCAGGGATGGAAGTTTCTAAGCCTCTCCTCCACTACGTGAGTGGATATTTCGATGGAGGATCGAGATTACATAGATGTGAGTGGATGTAATAACAACGTTCTCAACTCCAGTCTATGAAGATCTGATATACCTACATCCACCCAGCCATCATCCTCCCTTCCATCTACTTGTGTGCTTTTTGGTTGTGGTCACGTGGTAGGCCTATTATTGAGAGGTTAGCCAGCCGATTGGTCAGCGTGGGTGGATGGTCGCTTTGTCAGCGTCGTGTCCTCCACTTCAGCTAGACATGCCATACCATGCCATGCTGGTGCCCAGCTACCAAAGGACAAGATTACGCACGCCTTACAAAGCTGTTCAATATTGACTGATCCTTATCGTTCAATATTTCCTACCATCACCAAGGGTTCCGGATTTTGAACATCTGGAAACGCGCTTTGTGTCGATATCGACGCATTAGGACAGTCACCAGTACAAACGCTCTTTGGATTAGTGATCGTTCATATTTCTCGTGCAGCTGAGACAACCTTGTGTCCTGGCTGAAAGACCACGATTCGTTTCTCTCAACGAAACAAACTCAAACCTGGATCCGGAAGCGGTTACCTGGTTCGAACAAGCAGGCTCTACGACATCAACTCTCGCTTCTACTGCCTTAGGTGTTCATAGCCCAGTGTCTTGCAGGCCTGCTACTCCGATCAAACCTTGTTGCGCAGCATACTTGGCACAAGTCCTTTCGCGGAAAGGGCTCAAAGACACGTTCGCTACTTTCTACTCCACAGCGAGTTTCTAGTTTGACGGGAGCCAACGACCATGGCTATGGCCATCCCTCGACGCACACCCGCCCGCCTCAACACCGTCACGACCTACACTCTCGCGCACACGGCGCAATGCAAACTCAAGCTGGCAGCGAATAGGCCGGATAGGAACTTGAGATTCGTCTTGGGCCATGCCTTCACACTGGATAATTTGATGCTTAGGATCGTGGAGATTGAAAATAGCAGTGCCAAGTCGGCTTTTGTAAGTGATCCCTGGACGGTGCCATTCAGACGCAGCACCAGTCGAATGTTTTTGTTTTCGTGTCTATATTGGCATATCTTTTCTGACCATTTGACAGACGGAAGGGAAGAGGTCTAGATCCGCCAGCGGAGACGAAAGGGAACATTATGACTGCACAAAGCCTGTCGAGCATTTTGACTGTACTGCGGCGGCAGCACCACCACCAGAGCCGGAACACTTTGATTGTACGGCAGCGCCTCCTGAGCCAGAACAAGTACCAGAGGACTACGACTGTACAGTGGCCACCCCAGTTCCAGCACAGCCAGAATCTACCAGCAAGGGGCGGAGGATAAGTTTCCAGGACAACAATGCGCGACCATCAAAGACGAGTACAGGTACGCTGATTCCGGGTTCGCCCCAAGGAAGACGCTCACCCCCACCGGTCGAAAACCCTCTCTCGTTCGACGACGATTCGGACGAAGGGACGAGCTCCGATGATTACGACGACCCAGAACTGGCGGCGTATGACTGCGAGGCTGCACCGCAGGTGCCGGAGGAAAAGAAGATGGCGAAGAAAGCGAGGCCAGTGCACGACGCGTACGAGGATGAAGAGGATGCGGCGCTGGAGTTGGCTGATGACGAATTGGATACGGACGCGGATGCGGATCCGGATGGAGAGGTGATGGGGTTGGAGGAGGATATGGACGGATTGGGCTTGACAAGATTTGAAAGTGCGAGTGCGAAACCGCCGAGGATGGTTCAGGATCTGTCGGATGACGAAGATGAAGAGGAGGAAGGGCCAGAGTCGCCGCCTCAACTTCCGGCCGACGTGGATGTCAGGCAGATCATCGAAGGCGAGAAGGATGAAGAATTGACGGATTTGTATGAGAGTGTCAGACGATGTATGTGTCACGGGCAGAGGGATACCGTGGGCGGGAGGCCGGAGGGTGTGTGGGATGTGCCGGAGGAGAAGGCAGGTGGGAGGAGGTTGGCTCTTGTTGCTGTTGCTGCTTGATGGAGTATTGGTGGATGCTAGCAGCGGGAATGACTGGTCCGGGTCGTGAGAATTCCCATGACTGAGAGTTCTCGTCCAGGCTGGGGACCATGATGGGCCGAGCAAGCATTGGTCAGAGAGGATTCAATGATGGATATTGCGGATATGGTCAATTGTTGATACGGCTACTATTTATTTCACAACCCAAAAAGAAGAAAATCCCACGCCTGTTGCAAAATGTGACTGTATATCTGAAGTAAAGCAACCATTTACTCTCGAATCACCATCGTTATTCGACGCGTGGACAGCGTGTTGAATCAATCTTGTCGATGTTGAGGCTTCCGTCAAGCAGAACCTTGTGAATCAGGCGACAAATACGAGTTGCTAGCAGCCAGAAGTTCTCGCATCGACGATGCGCTGGTCTGGATCGACCTTTTTCTCCCATCTGGTACTTTAAGCGGGGATACCGTCCGTCTCATAATTACTATCAGACTTCGCCATCATGGTTGGGCTGTCTGACAGCGTTTCCTAAGTTGTGAAGTCCATCTGCCCACGCCGCAGCGGTGATTGTGGTGACCTCTCATATCCAAGGGCCCTTGGCAGGAACTGCTTCGGTAGCACGAAGATTGCCTCATTCGGCCGACTGTTAACAGAAGCTTCAAATAGCGTGGAGGAACGGAAGGCAACCTGGCAGATATTGCACCTCGCATCTCGTTCTGCTGAAGAAAGACGCCTGGTATCCATGAAAGTCGCTTTCCGTCTTTCGTCGATTTGGCTTCTCGAAGCTTGAGATCGAGAGCGGCATAACAGGACTGTTGGACAATTTGCCAGAGACAAAGACACTGATCATCTAGGATACACGATGATTCGGTATTCGACATCGTGATGCCTCTTACTCTTTTTCTGGTGACTCAAGAAGATTGCCAGCTTTTTATGTTTTTGAGCTGTCCGTCTGTCTGCTGGCATAGCGAGCCCTAGCGCCAGGTATATGCCTCAAGAGGACTTGTTCTGCCTCTTCCTCCTTGTGCTCTGGGCTGGAGTCTTGTTCATTTGCGTAGGTGTCACAGGCGCAGCATCGCTCTCGGCGATCATTCTTACGGACTTTTTGGCTTTCGCTTTCGCCTTCACTGGTCCTCCTAGAGCGATCCGTTCTCCTACACCGAGCCCAAGCAGGAAGCAGATCCTTGTCAATGCGCCACAGTAGACGAACAGAATATTGCCATAAGCAATCGAGTTCCAGCTCTTGATGTCATAGTAGTAGTTCAAGCCGAGTGGGAAGCAGCTGTATAGATGTCCAAAATCCGCTATCAAAAGTCCGAGCAAGAGAGTTCGCCAGACTCTCAGATCAGTTGTGGCTCTTAGCACAAAAGCCTCGTTGATGGCAAATGCGACGTAGAGATTTCCTAGCTGTCGTAGCGCGACCTCAGTGGAGACGGGTACACCCAGAATTCCTGGCGCCGACTGCGCATGCGTCAATTCCAGGTATGTTCCAGGCTTCAACCAGGCGTAGAATGCTCCAACAAGTGTTGAGAACGGTTCGATCCACAGGAAGAAGGCTATATAAGGGAGAGGGATGGATGCCATTGTCAGTCGCATGCGCAGTTGGGTTTGATAAGGAGGAAGAGGTATCTCTATGACAGCCACACGGAGAGCTCGGACGAGATGCAAGAAGATGTAGGAATCGGTTGCGGTGATGACTGTGTTCGTGATCAATGAAAGGGTGAATGTCTATCAATCTTCATGGAACAGAGTAAGCAGCTGAAATGACTACGCAAGCTGCGATTCAGCGTCGATCTCCATGGGAGCAGGTCGAACCCGAGGCGCTCAGTGGTTCCTCGCTGACGAGCTGCTGATAACAAGCGAACCAGTCACAGATGGATGGGGCCTGAAGAACCCGACCTGCCAGATGGAGGACACGCCAAACAGATGCGGGAAATTATGGTCAGGAACGTCATGGGGATGATGAAACACCGAACCGACTCCTTAGATCTGAAGCTCCAGGCCTGGTTCTGGGGGTCGGGGGGCAACGGGCTCTGAGATCCCTTGCCTGAGGCACCTTATAGTGGGCCAGGACCCTCGTCTGGGTGGCCGATTGGGGTCGATGGCTTTAGGGGCCCTGCGAATTTTTGTGATCCCTCCACAAAATCCTGGCCTGGCCGCAAGCCATCGATCCCACTTGTCAAAACACTCCGAACTCTTTCTTCCTCTGCTTGACTTTTCATGTCCCCAATAATCAACAATTCTCACATTCGCCATTTCCTTTGAGCGCCATGTCTTCCTTCCCGTTCAGCTAGCTACTACTCGAGTCGCAGCTGCTGCCACTCCTTTCACAGGTCTGCGTTCGTCCTCTGTCAGCATAGCTTTCGGTCAATCATACTTTTTTCGCCTCAACGGCATTAGAGTCCTACCATTTGCCTCGACAACTACAATCTTCCGGTATTTTGAATAGGGCCATCGGCAGGTACATTGTTTAGTGGCCACACCAGTCAGTTTTGTCGAGTCAATCAAGAGTACCTACCAATCGTCGCCATGTCACACAACGAGCCTTCCTCGATAGCGCCTCGTCGAAGAACCTCTCTCCTTGTTCAGTCACGTCCAAAGACGGCCTACGAGTCTGTCCCGGCAACAGGATCTTTGTCGAGGAGACCTATCTCGGCATTCATGTCAACGGCTACTCATGATGTGTTGGACTGGTCATCTTTCAGCCGCAATCAAGAGGAGGCAGGAGGTGTCAACACAAGCCCGCATTTCGTCGATCCATTCGCCAGCTTTTCCACGGACCCTCAATCGCGAGAGCCCATGCACCAACGACGATACTCGGCTATCAGCCAGTCCGTAAGAAACGGAATTTCAGAGTTGAGGTCTTTGACTCGACGAATGTCGCTGACTGTTAGAAGCAAAAGCTCAAGGCAAAAGGAAGAATGTACAGAGTACAAGAGACCTCCCTTGACTTCATTCAAGACCACAGACCAGATGATGGACCTCCCTGCGGCTATGTCTACGAGGCCCAAATCTCGAGGGCGTCTGTTCAGGAGTCCTAGCACAAGAAGAAGGCCATCTCTCCCGCTCTTGAACTTTCAGGAAGCGCAAATCCCACCAGAGATTCCAACCACTCGAAGCAGAGGTCGCCCAATTTTGTCCGATCTCGTCTATGGCGGAGCTGAGGCCAGAGCCTCCGCGGCAGCTCAGAATGAACTCTTCCATGCTTCGAGGACTCCGCCCTTGCCACCCTACGAGCCTCGAGAAAGCCAGAGCAAAACCGAAGGAGATGCGGAGAGTGGCATTGGCATAGTACTCGACACGTGTGACCGGAGAGGCTCTTCGCCAGCCAGTGCGCACGTGCGCTGTCGAGATCCTGCTTCTGTTCTAGCCACCGAACTGGTTGAGAGCGTTTTGTCTTTCCTTGATGTCGAGTCGCTGATTCAGGCCTCACTCGTGTCTCGGAAGTGGCACGACCTTTGTCAATCGCAGGCTGTTTGGAGGCGAATATTTCATGGAGAATACGGATCGAAGGCTCAAGCGAAGTCGTCCAATGTGCCTCTTGCTGCTGGACTCGGCAAGAACACCCCAGGCCAAGACTACCGAAAACTGTTTAAAGTCCGTACGCTGATCGACAAGCGCTGGCGCAACGGTGAGGCGGCGGCCATCTACCTTAACGGACACAAAGACAGTGTCTATTGTGCACAGTTTGATGAGCATAAGATCATCACCGGATCACGCGACAACACTATTCGGGTATGGGATGCCCATACCTACCAATGCATCCGAAAGCTAGGACCGCCAAATAATCCCAGAGAAAAACAGCAGCTGGCTTCTGTTGCCGTTGAGCCAAAAGGAGTTCTTCCTTTCTTCAAGGCGGATGTTTCATCTCCAGATCCGGTTTCTCCACAGATGCCGATGTGGCATCAGGCTTCAGTCCTCTGCTTGCAATACGACGACGAGATTCTCGTCACAGGGTCGTCAGACTTTTCATGTCTTGTCTGGTCTGTGAAGGACAACTACAAGCCCATCTTCCGCCTTATCGGCCACCACGCTGGAGTGCTCGATGTATGTATTGACAAACACCGGATCATTACTTGCTCCAAGGACACTACCATCAAAGTCTGGGACAGGTTTACTGGTCATTTGATCAAGACGTTAGTTGGACACCGTGGCCCTGTGAATGCAGTTCAAGTTCGAGGCAACCTGTTGGCCAGCGCTAGCGGCGACGGCATGTCGAAGTTGTGGCGCCTTGAGGACGGGGTGTGCATCAAAGAATTCCAGTCCAAAGACCGCGGCTTGGCTTGCGTTGAATTTTCGGACAATGGACGGACGATCTTTGCTGGCGGGAATGATCAGGTCATTTATGAGTACGACACGATCACTGGCAACAGGATTAGAGAGCTTAAAGGACACCGAGATCTAGTCCGTTCACTGCATCTCGACTCGGCGAACTCGCGTATCATCAGCGGTAGCTACGACCACTCGATCAAAGTTTGGGACTCGGAGAGAGGGGAAACCGCAGCAGATGGCGGACTCCGGATCAACTTCGAGGGTTGGACTTCGAGTTGGATACTGGCGGCGAAAAGTAATTACCGGAAAATTGTTTGTACCAGTCAAGATGGGCGGGTGGTCATTATCGACTTTGGCTACGGTATTGAAGGCGTGGATTTAGTTGAGGCCTGAGGCCGGAAAAAGCATTGGAAGACAGGGACAGGACGATTTGCATTGGATCAGTGCAATATGAATACTAATGATTATTAGAGAGGTTCCAAGATTGCGAGGCATTCTTATTGCATATTTTTGCTAGCAGGTCTCATAGCGAGGGGTTCTTTTGTTGTTGTCTTTGCAAGGTGTTGGTGGCTTGCGATAAATCAGCTCAGGAGTCTTCAAAAAGGGTCTGGAACATTTCATAGACTTGCATGAGTGCTGTATTATAGGTTAGTAGGGCATTTGTGGTCTTAACCATGGGCTGTTGTTGTTTGGGTTTTGCAATGGTATGTCTCATACAATTGGGCGGGCTGACAGGAGGCCGGATTCTCAGGGGGTTTTACGAGCCTTTGGACTAATGCAGGGAGTGACTTCAGGAGCTCCTAAATGTCACAAGTAGAGCACAGGTGTCCTCATGGCATCCTTGAGGATTCAGAGCAATCCGCATAAAAATGCCAATACGAGTACTACGGATGCATGAAATATCCTGGATACCAGATCTGTATCTCGCTGAGCACGAGGAAGTCTTGGTGGTCAGATATGCGCATCCAATAGTAAAAAGTCAGGCGCCTTGCATGCGAGAAATGTGGCGAAAAAAGACGTCATCATTGTTTACGTTGATTTTCCACCCAATCGGTTGAACACAGTAAGCGAAGAAAATAGTGCGCACGAGGACCTGCCCGCCATGGATCGATCTGTCGGGTTGAAATATACCTACCTTAGGTACACTGCTCATAGAGATTCACCAAAGTCCAGGAGTAGGGAGTCAGCTACGTACAAAGAATCTATCGGATGAAGTATTAACTTGGATCAGACAGTCGTTGAAGGATCGAGGTGTCACAATCGCTCGTGAGAGTGGTTCTTTGTTTACATTTGCGCAGGCATCGGAGTGTCGGCATTGAATGGTATGGTAGAGACCTGTTTACCGTGGAAATTCACGGTTTCTGCCTGAGAGGGTGTGTGCAGCATGATACCTAGGTACTCAGGTAGGTACCTTAGGCAGTGAACCGCTAGGCAAACGAAGCAGAGCACCATCATGCACTGTTCTTATGGTTAATAATGGTGGCGAGAGGGCTTATCCGGGAGTACGCACGGCACTAACCAACTGCTGAACCCACCACCTATTTATTAAGCCCAAACTGTCAAGTCAACGCGTTTTTGTATCCAATTAATCACGCGAAAAAAGATCCAGTCTTTTGCGTTCGAACCACTACTCGTACGAGTACCAGTCAACCATCCTTCTCCCTCCTTCGAGAGAATCGGAGCTCGATCATCTTTCTCGAATAAGCCACATTCTCTTCCATCCCCTCCGCATCTACTCATCATTACGAAGACCGTCAAGGCTGGCATTCATTGTCCATGCCGCCTGCGCCCTTGCCAGCCCACCCACGTCCATCCTGAGAATCCGCGCAGATTCTCTCCGGCGAAAACCTTGCGTCAGAAATAAACATTGACGTCGCAAATATCGTGGCCCGCGTTACTAGACCCTATCCAGCCTTTTAGAGCCTACGAACAGTCTCTCGACCGTGATATCTCTTCGGGCAGCGCCACAAACGCCCTGCAATACATAGTAGCCGTCCCATCGGCAGGAAAATAACATGCCGCCATCAAAGCGCAAAGCACGTCGCAAACAGGCAGATCTTCTCGGGTCGTCTGAACCTGACCTTCCAGATTCTTCCCCGACACGTCCATCTGCAAAGAAGCGCAAGGTGCGTTTTCTCGAACAATACCTTGCCGAGCCACAATCTGCTGACATGTGAACCTAGGTAAACGGAGGTCGCGCCGCAGCCAGAAGAAAATCCATCTCTGCCGAACCTGAGGTCTCTCCTGCTCACGATTCTGGCGATGAAACCGAAGAGTTGTCCCAGACTGACTTGATAGACTCCGTCGTCTCCTACCTACAAGTCTCCAAAGAACCGATCGTGGCAGCTGCCGAGTACTCGAATGACAAACCACAGAACAACAGCCCGCACAAGGTGTCGGCGTATGCGAAGATTGCTGGAAGGGATTGGACTTATTTCGTGCGGGAACAGTCTGTCAATCTGGGAAGACCGCCCGATGAACGGCCGACTGTGAATGGTGCTTCAAGTCCTCCTATCGCGGACTTGAAGGATGTACTGCCAGTGCACATTGACCTGGGTCCAAGCAAGATCGTGTCCCGACACCATGCCTCGGTCTATTACGACGCAGACTATCCCGTGGAGGAAGGGGGCTGGCATGTCAGAGTCAACGGCAGAAATGGCGTGCGAGTCAACAACGTCTTGGTCAAGAAGGGTTTGAGGAAGCAGATCAAGTCCGGCGATATTCTGGAAATCGCTGGCACACAGATGATGTTTGTTACTCCGGGCGACAGAGTACAAATAGACCCGTACTTTGTCAATCGAGCCAAAGCGCTGGCTGCGGGTGAGGACCTGCCTCCTCTGCAGGTTCCGATTGAGCCCGCAAGGCACGACATATCGTATGGGCCACCTCAAGCGTTCCCTTCCCTGGCTCCAGCGCCACCAGACTTCAAACGAGAGACCACTCCGCCGCCCAACGACGCTGGGAAGAATCAGCGAGGAGTGTTCGACAGCAAGACCCCGGTGTCACCCATGTATGGCCGCGGTATGATGATGCAGAGCAACCAGGAAATCGACTACAGTCGGGATAGTTCCAAGGATCTGAAACCGCCCTTCAGCTATGCGACCATGATTGCTCAAGCTATTTTCTCGAGCGAAGAGGAAAAGCTGACCCTGAGCAATATCTATTCATTCATTGCCGAGAAGTACGCCTTCTACCGCCATTCCAACAGTGGTTGGCAGGTGAGTATTCCGATTCCAACGATTCTACGTTCTTTGCTGACTTGTATAGAACTCGATTCGGCATAATCTGTCTCTCAACAAAGCGTTTCAAAAGGTCCCACGACGTACCGACGAACCAGGTAAAGGTATGAAATGGCAGATTGCGCCAGAGTTTCGTCAAGAGTACTGGAAGAAGCAAGCCCGTCGTGGAGGCTCAGCACCTTCCTCTCCTGCAGCCGGCAAAGATGTCAACCCCAATTTCCGAGGTCCGAATGGTCAAAACCTGGGATACGATACGAGCATGGTCAGCCAATTTTCCACCCGGGACGTGGGACAGCGTCCTGGCCCTCCACCACCCAAGATGAATCTACAATTTCCTCCTTTCAGCCAAGGACCTCCAGGGCCATTCCCACCAGGTCCGAGTCTAGCTCCGCCCGCAACACCTCAAGAAGCCATCACGCCGCAAAGGCGGAGAACGGATACGCAGAATACCTTGCCTGACCTAGAGCTGGAAGATTCACCGCTTCCCCATCGTCCGGGACCGACTCCTCGCCTGGGAAATGGTCTTCCTGCATATACCTTGCCATCATCTGTACCCCAACCGCATCACTCACCAGCAAACCCGACTTTATCTTCCTCGTACCTCGACACCCCGTTTCATCCTTCGCAGCATAGTATTGTTACGCCCGCGCCATTACGACAGAACCCTAGATTGGCTCCTCCGAGTACCCTGGTCGCTCCCAGCAAGTTCATGCCCGAATCTTCTCCTGCCGGTCCAGGTTTGTTCTGGAAGGGCCTTATGGCCGTCACTCCAGGCCAACCGTTGCCCGATATTTCACCCGTCAAGGACGACGATCCCAGATCAAATGGCTTGAATCGACATGTAATGAGCTCCAGTCCGCCACCAATGGACGGCGGGATGGGGAGTCCCAGTAAACCTGCTAGAAGCAGCCAAATGCCGAATAGCTCAAGCTCGAGTGGGAAGCACGAAACCACGCCTGGCCTATTGCAGCGCGAGAACGGAGCGAGTGCTGAGAACGAGGCGAGGTTTGGCCGGAATGCTGCAGGCGCGCCACCGATCAGATTCAATTCGGAGCCATCGGCGAACACGATTGAAAACCACGACGATGACGACGACGGCGATGGCGGGTTCGACCTTGCCAAGGGCTTTGCCCCTATTGCTGGTGGGAACTTTCCTTCTCAGCGGAGTAGTAGTGTGAGAGCTGGGTCTTGACTTTGAGTCCTAGCCGATGGAATCTTTAGGATTTGCAGCTGTAAGAGCAAGGACGGTTGGACCAGTGACCGATTTATGAGCTCGAGTGTCAAAACATGGTGTCGACGTTGGTATGTTGTACGATTACGAAAGCAACCTGCTTGTTTGATGAGAGTCACAGTCATGTCTTGACTGTTTGTGTTTACGGCGGCGTTTCCGAACAACAAAAGGGGACTTGCCTGTTGCTTTGTGCATAAAATGGGTGGTGAAGCATTGCATTGCGTGGTGCCGACGTGAGATTGATTTGCTTATGGCTTTACGAATGAGTTGTGCATGGGCTAACCCACGACTGATTATGATGAGGTGCATTATCAGCTACTGAGAGCTCGAATATGGTGATTGCTAGGACTGTAAAATATTCCTTTCTCTTTGAAATCTTGCTCGAGATGTAAATTTAAGATCCGCATGAGCTAGTGCTTTTGTCCGACCTTTGATGAATCTTGACTTCACCTCAACTGAGTTCCCGTCTGTATTTGGCACCTCTAAACTCCACCTCCACCTTATAGTGAATATCCCACTCAATCCTTTATCACTTGTCACTCGCTTTCGGCGTGCTTTACTACAATATTCCTTCTACACGATAGTCAATCTGTTCCGAACTCCGCGCTGGACTGAGGATCAAATCGTCACCCTGCAGTCAATCCTTGTTAAGTTTGCACCTACTAAAGCCGACCTTGCGATCTCGCAGCACCTCAAGTAGACATCCATTCTCCTCGATCGGCTAATCCGACACAATCAAGATTCAATCTCAAGGTTCTACTGTAAGAAAGAGCCACAAACATGTTCCGCCGCCGCCCAAATACCCTCCCTCCAGACCCTGTCTTTGAGCCAAACCTGGACAAGTTGGGCTTCTTCGTCAACGAGCACGATCAGATCCGCATGATCAAGAATCCCGAGGCGAAGTACACGTTCGGAATGAACAAGAATGAGAGGGTGAATCACCTTTATCGACAGGCTTGTAATAGTACGTTTTTTGACTTTATCCATGAACCTACATGGCAGACAGAGGAAAGGCTAACCTGTATCGACGGTAACAGCCGCTATCAGGAAGATCGTACGAGATCGATTGACTACTCTGGGTTTTGAAACGGTCAGACTACCTCTCGGTGCGAGTGCAGACGAGAAGCATATTCCTATCCTAGTGTCAAAGGACATTGCCAGCAAAGATCGAGTCATTGTCTTATTTGGCGAGCGGCACCAGGAGCCAGGGATATTTTCATGGCGGGTGCTCGGCGAAGAGGGGATCAACGTAGGATCAGCAGTTGATTTTGCCAGCGCGGCTATGTTCGGGCCGATACCTACGCTTGCTCATTTTGCCCCGGGGATCGTTGTCGCCAATCCATGCCAGTTGTTGTGGTACAGGGGTGGTGGCAGAGCGGTTTCGTCTGACGAGTGGCTGAACCTGCCGAGAGCAAGTGGGGTGAGTGAGCCGTTCAAGGTTGATGACCTGAAGAATCGGGTGCTTGGAAATGGGAACTACGAGGAGCATGTGCGGTATGTTTTTGAGGAGGTGTTGCCCCAATTGATGCGTAAAGAGGCGAAAATCGATGTCGTGGGGATCGAGTATCCGGGGTCAACAGCCGTTGAGTATCTAGCGAATCATTGTGAGTGAGTGGGAAAGACACCGTGGGATGCGTGCTAATGAGTAACATAGGGGATACTTGGTCTACGCGGGTCATAGGTATTGCACTGATCGCGCCACAGCATAAGGTGCAGGATCTGAAGGCGTATGGCGCGTCGAGGGAGTTCCTTGACTTCTTGTCGAAGAGGATGAGGGCGTATTTTGTCTCACCAGAGAAGCTCGAGACGGCGATCACAGGACGAGAGGTGTTTGGATGCAATTGCTTTGCGAGTGGGGAGAGTTTGTATCAAGAGAATGCGATTGTGAGGAGCTGGAGAAGTATACTCGATTGGTTCAATCGATTGTATGCTGATCCGGAGTTCCAGGAGGTGCCATTTGCAGGCGTGGACGGTGCTGAGGGAGGTGGGGAGTTACAGATTACTTGGTGAAGCCATATTGACACGACATGGACTGAACCCAGCTAGCTGAGTGTGGTAGAAGTGTGCTCAGGATGGACTGCGGTGCTGAAGATTGACAATATTGTCCTCGAAGGTTGTAACACTTGGTACTGCAGCAAGCACTAGCTAGCATTTTGGCCTGGCACAGTACGAGAAAAGCTGTCATCCTCTGGTTGCTGATGGGAGGCCATCGTTGACAGATCTTCCAGGAGAAGCGAGAAAGATGGTCAGTCATGACTTCCCCTAAGAGTGGTTGTCTCGCTTTGCTCCTTTTCCTTTCATTATACTGCCGCGCCCTTGTTCCAGATCTTCACAAGACAGGTTGAGTGACAGTGAAGTTGCGGCTCACTCACTGCACAAGTGTCTCCTACAAAACTCCGGAGAGACTATCTTTGACCATGACCTTGCAGGATTAGCAGTCAAAGAAACTACCCAAGATGGTCAAATATCGGGGCATCGAGATTTGCATCATCTCTCAATTCGATGTCTGCAGGTTACCTGAATTCCGCTACCCGTCCTCACCTCAACCAGAGGACCCTTTCCAAGTTGACGGCAAAGCTCACAACCCTTCGTCCACTGCATATCCAACAGCTTCCTGTCATGTCCCCATCTACCCTGGAAGCCAGATCTGGTTCGAATACGCCATTGACGGTCCTCATCCTCCAGGAGCTGCCTACTTCTTCAAGCTCTCCATAAATGGCAAGGCAATTACGGCTTGGGATTGCACTGCAAAGCATGGTTTTCATGGCAAGATGATGTACAATCTGCTGAATGAAGGCTCAGATCCAGTCACTGGTGAGGGTCTGGTTAGAAGGCAGGCTTTGAGATTTGGTGACGGAATCGAAGACAGGGATAGAGGAGAGCTCGACGACGACCTGATTCAGATCAACGTCCACCGCATCGAACATCGCAAACGCATTAGAGACTTACAACAGGGATTGGGGGCAGTCGCCATCAATACCACCAGTGTTGAGGGTTTGCGGTGAGTTCAAGTCTTTCATCGTGGTATCGGAGCAGCAGCTGATAGATCTAGCTTGACCAACAGCGGCCTTCTGGAACCAGGCTTCCGTCCTCGGCGGTACAAATACCAACTCCTCGATCCTATCGATATGCCTTATGCTGGTTTTCGATTCTACTGCAGACCATACGGTTAGTCGCGGTGCACAGAACTAGGGATCAGCTAATTGATGTGTCAGAATACCTTGAGAAACACGGAATCCTGCACCGGAGTCTGTCCACTATGACCAGCAGCTCGACATCTTCTGCCACGTCACAAGACACGGCGAACAACTCACGCAATGCATCACCGGCGAGGCAGGTCGTGAAGATCGCTGAATCTCCAATAGTGAAGTGTGGAAGAGCCGACGAGTCACCTTCGAAGAATGGGGAAGCCAGTACTCCGCAGAGCAAATGCAAGGGAAAGATTCGCATCATCAAGTCCGAGAGCTCGACTAGCGGTCAGCTTGCCAGCCCTGACAGCTCTTTGAGTGTCAAGACAAAGGATAGCATTGAAGATCTGCTATCATCAGTGCCTCGGTCACCTAGATCACCTCGTTCGCCAAAGAAAGGGTCGGAAGACGAGGCTGACAAGATTGAACCTGAGATGCCCCTGTCTCCAACCAAGTCTCCCAGAAATACCCGTCATCGCCTGAAAAAGAAACTTACCGTGAACATCAATGGGGCGGATTTCGACATCGAGAGAAAGAAACGTCCTTTGAGTCCATTCACGAGTGGCGGAGTGCTTAGGAAAGCAGTCCCACAGACGGCTCCAGCCACAGTTACTGAGTTTGGTCCTACCGTAGAAGAAGAGGTGAGGGCAAGCTCAGCACAAACAAGTCAGAAGCTGTAGTTAAAACCGAGAACATTATCGAGAGAACAACCAGCACGGAGAGGGGCGGGAAAAGATTGATGGGATTCCTCGGAAGGAGGATTGGGAGCGACAAGACTAGCTGATGTTGTTCTCAGCAGGCACCGGAGGCTCTGAAGCCGCTTGGACGACGCCGTATGCTGCTGAGATATGTTGTTGCAACAGCAACAATATGGCGATGAAGTGTGTTCGAACAGATGCCTTGGACTCAAAGGGACAGCTCGGACCTCATCTTGACTTTTATCTAGATCTGCCGTTGATAGCTATGCATCCATAGAACGGGGTCATCTGGGACGGATGAGGTGCAGAAGCAGATGATATTCTCTCGACTCAGAGGAGTAGACTGCCTTCCCCAAGCTCTCTCAAGTGTGGCCAGATGTAAGTGGGATACCTGATCCCACTGTTGGCAAATCTCATCGTCAAAAAGGCGGACAGCGTCCTGCAGACAACACTAGCATGTGGGCTTATACTGTTGAGCAGCATCATGCGCTTCACATTCGTCTCATTGAGAGATTTCCTCTAAGAAAAGGGGCTGAAAGCAGCATGGTTCTGCCGTTTGGGGAAAGTTACGCGAGGAGCGGGCTTTACGCTGCCGCAACTGATTCAAGCCTTCAACCATACTCCGCTGCTCGAAATGCGCGAATAGAGCAAAATGTCTTCATATCGTTCACGCGGAGGACATGGTTCTCAACAATCATACCGACATCCGCCGGCGCAAAGAGATGACTTTTACGACGATCGCTCAAGATCCAGATCTCCCGACCGCAGATACAGTTCACCTCACAGACGAAGTCCTCCGCATGGTAAACCATAGATCAGCTTGGGAAGGAGTGTATTCGAGAACATACTGATGGATCTTGTCAAAAGATATCTCCAGACCTGCACAAGACGAATTTCATATCCGTGGTCGGAGTACCCGCAGTCCAGACCGCAGATACGAGCGTAACTACGACAGACGAGACTTCCATGATGAGAACGATCGTGACTACGATGACCGTAGCACATCATCACGTCGGCGGGGAAGAGGCTACTACGATCGAGACCAACCATACACCTCAAGAGATCGGTCGAACCGAAGTCGAAGTCGAAGTCGAAGTCGAAGCAGAAGACGAACACCTCCAGAAGATAGACCTCCCAGCCGAGGAAGACCAAGCAAGGAGATTTTGATGGAAGGGCTAGCGCCAAGCTTGACTGAGAACGATGTTCGCAATATCCTTGAAGGGACCACACCATTCCGGCCCAAGAATCGTTGCTGCTGGAAGACAAATGGCTAAGATGGACTCGCTGGACAGATTTCTTCCGAACTCAAACAATACTACAATGTCCAAGAACTGGACGATGTGCGCGTCATCCGAGACCGACAGACTAGTAAGCCTTAGCCGTTCTGCTACTCGACCCTGCCACTCACACAGCTACAGAGCAATCAAGACAATTCGGCTTTCTACGCTTTCCGACCCTGCAGGAGGCAGAAGATTTTATGGACCGCAATTATCCTGTCCTTTACTTCTATGGTGACAACAACGATTCTAACGGAGATGCTTGCAAAGTTCGAATCGCTTTCGGCCGTGAGCGGAAAGATCAGAGTCGCTCTGAGGACACGGATTGGATTTGTTCGAATGTATGTCACCCCCTTCCCTCAAGAGATTAAGCTCACCAAGTAGTGTACCGCCAACAACTTCTCAACACGAAACAGATGCTTCAGATGTCAGGCATTCAGACCAGGTATGCAATTTCCCCCATAGCGGAGCCAACACTCACAACGCCTAGATCCTGCTTACGAATTCCCTGCGAAAGCGGCGAATGTCGGAGACAATGATGTATCTCCTGACAACGCACCATCACAATTTCTGCTTCTCCGCGGACTCGAACTCTCCGTTACTGAAGAGCTATTGGTGAAAGGAGTGTCCAAACTCAATAAGCCCGGCACCAACGCAGCACAGAAGGATGATACTTCCAGCAAGAAGGGCGCTAAAGTCGCTTCAACAACCGGAGATGCGAATCTCGGCGCGAAGGATGGCACACTTCGACGAGTTCTCCTGGTTCGTGATCGAAAAAGTAACGAGAGTTGGAGATACGGATTCGCAGAATATGCTTCCGTCGAAGATGCGCAAGCCGCTCTGACTCGATACAACTCGTTCGACCGGTTCACCATTGCATCGAAGCAGGTACTTGTCAGCTACATACACGCTGGAGTATTCGTGCCTGTTCTCAATCCGACTCCGGACATCAGACGATTCACGTTCAGTCCCATGGGCAACCCGGCCATGAAATTGGCATACTGGGATGAGGCTGCTTATGTCACGGAAGTAGCAGTGTCTGTGCCCACACGTTTACCTGAAGCACAGAAGACGACAGCGAAGGATCCAGAGGGTCTGAAGTCCATCGACGTAGAGAAGAGCAAGAAACGCAAAGCCCAAATCGACGCCGAGAGTGCTAGCGTCAAGAAAGCGGCCCCGTCACACTTACAGTTCTGGAGCAACAGACATGCCGAGCTTCATGGTATCGACCAGAAGTCGAGTAATGGCGACCGTGCCACGTCGACTGACGACAACGGTGCTCCGCCGAGTCAGTCCTTTGCGGATCCAAGCAGACAATGCTGTTACCTGTGCATGCGCCAATTCAATAGCGCCGCTGAAGTCAACAAGCATGAACGGCTGAGCGATCTACATCGTCAGAATCTCCAGGACGAAGCGAAAGTAAAGAAAGCGAGTGCAAAGCTAGAAAAGCATGGGGCCCAGCATCAATCAACATCTGCGTCGGCGCCTCAATATCGGGACCGAGCGAGAGAGAGACGCAAGGTCTACGGTGTCGTCAACAAAAAGGGCGAGCAGGTCGGCTCGTCGAACGTGGCGAAAGGTTCGGCGCATGAAGACGAGGAGGACAACGCCCCACCCGTACAATCCAAGGGTGCGTCTCTGCTGAGCAAGATGGGGTACACGGCTGGGCAGGGCCTTGGGGCTAGTGGAGAAGGCATGACGGCGCCGCTTGCGCAGGATATCTATGTCGCCGGGGTAGGGCTGGGTGCGCAGGGTGGCAAGGTCGGGGATGCCGTGGCAGAAGCGGAGAGGAATACAAAGGGGCGGTATGAGGACTTTGCGGAGAAGACGCGCGAAGGAGCCCGAGAGAGATATTCTAGGTTGGGATGAAAATGTCTTTGCGGAAATGAGGAGGCCCGTGACCATAATCGGTGGTAGGCGTCAGGAAGTGTATGACTACATGATGGAGGGAGTGCTTCATTCATGAGAAGATGAGTTGGCAGTGACTGACTGCTTAATCACCCTCATTCCACCGGGTATTTCCTCTGCTCTGATGTAATTTGTCAGCCGTGCCCTCGACAGTGTTCTGTTGGCTGTAATCCTAGCCCGAGGCTCGTCGAACATGGCACGGTGTGAAGCAGGTTAATAGAGCCTTTTAGTGAGCGAGTGTTCTGAGCCCCTATTGCGTATCGATGGTTTCGCACCCGATCTGTCCGCCAAACAGACACCGGATGGTCTACAAACCTCCATTCTGCCGCACGATACCGAACTCGACCCACAGAAGTCGATCTAAAATCCTCTCCCACCCGCCAAAAGATGAAGAATCAGAGGGAGCAAAAAGTCAACGGGCCAAGGTGTCTGCTCACACCTGCTGCTCTACCCCGGATTCCCTTCTCTGTCGTAGAAGACGAGGCCCCGCCCGCCAACCAAAACTGGCCTACCTTCGAGGGGCAATCCCGGACACATACCGCTAGACCACCTAGGTAAATCTAACAGAGTGCGACACGAGGCCTCTACCATCGGCCGATTCAGAGGAAGGTTGGCTGACCTTTAAATATGACCTGTCGAGTTAGTTTTGGTGCGGTAGACTGTAAGGCGGTGTGAGTGGCGAAGAGTGAAGGTTGCTGTAATGTATAGATGTAGGACAGAATACTATCCAGCCTTGCCGCCACGAAGGTTGCGTTCTTTTGGCCCACTCCCACCCTCAACAACGGATTGGATTTCATTCATCGGTCGTTCTGATTTCAGTGCGCCCGTTTTGTTATCACGAAGTTCTCTGCGTGTCAGTGTGCTGGCCACTAACATGACTAGCCATCTCCGCCTGAGCGGTTCTCGCGGCTAGACTTCCCAACACCGTGTCCTCCCACCGTGCAACGATCTCTTCGATCGCGCTTGGGAGAAGACCCTGAGTGTTCTCGTCGTTCGTTCCTGGTCGTTCACCTGTCAGGATGGTGCCTGGATCGTTTGGGGAATTGACACGCCCCATCCGATCGACCATCTCATCGTCCAAGCCCCTTAGCAGTTCCGAAATCTTCAGTTGCCGCTTGGCTTGCTCGTACAGTTGCTCCACGAACTTGATGTCGGGTACAGCAGCCTTGCCAGTCGCATCATCAGTGCAACTCGCATCGGTGGCGCGGCCGCTGCTGCTTCCACCTTCCACAGCAGCAATATTCTTCTTCGAAGCGGTGGTGGTGTTTGCCGTTGTCGTAGTAGTAGTTTGAGTCCCCGCGGACGCGGACGCGGACGCAGACGCACTCCTCCTCAGCCCGGCCGACGAAGACGAGATCGACGACGAGGAAGCAGGAGTCGTAGTAGTCGTGGGAGGTGACTTTCTCAGCCCCTCCACAATCCCCTCAAGCACACCCAGCACCACACCGACCCTCAATCCGATCTGGACACCGAACGGATACCCGGCGTCAAACCCGTCTTGCATGACACTCGCTTTCCCCACGGCTAGACCTTCACGGTACCCATCCGTCATATGCTGCCTCCGAAGTTGAGGTAGGTCGCTTAGTATCTCGCCTCGTCCTCGCCTTCGCTCTCCCGTGGGAACTACCAATCCACCAGCCTCTTCGCTTTGTTCAGAATGAATGAGACCAAGCTGATCATGGTCAGACGATGTATCCCAAATATCCTCATCCGCGCCTGGGGATTGGTCAGGCGTTGTCACCGTGGTCGAGGCCGGTGATGAGTTTGTCGTGTGGGATTTGGGAGAGTGCGATGTTGTATGTTCCATTCTCTCACTCTCGAGAAGTCTAGCTCCTTTTGAAGATCTCTCGGTCCAACAGTCTTGCTTACGAGGATGTAAGTCGAAGCCGGAGCCTGTGCCCGACTTCAGATGCCCCTTGTTCTCGGGCTGTCCTGTTTTCCACTAACTAGATATTTGTCAACCAGTTGAACCAATCAAGCCAAGCATGCTCGCAAAACCGAGGGCGGCTAGATCGTCACCAGCACAGTATCCTTGGAGTATACAGATACAGGATGGGCCGGAGAAGGAATGTGAAATGCAGCATGCGGGTACCGGATAGTCTTCCATTGAATAACTTAGAAGTGCTTTCGAATGGGGGTTGACAAGAAATTTTGATATCACGTGCTTGCTTCAGGATGACTCCCCTTCTTCGCTTACTACGAATACCAAGTCCAATCAGCACATTCTATAGCTTTCTTTGACGACGACGAACGGATTGTGAACGAATAGTTTTCTTCTCTACCAATTGTAGCACACAGGGTATCTGTCCAATAGGCTGACCATCAACTCGCCACACGATGGTAGGAAGGATCTCCCTGTACTCGCCATGCACGTAACGGTAAAGCCTGCAGGGCCAACGCCTTCTTCTCTATATACATCCAAAACAAGACAGCCCCAGTAATCACAAAGATAACATTTGTGATATAATATCCATCACGTTGCATAACACATGTGCCGCCACCCTTGAGGCAAATATTCTTATCTGATTCCAGTGCGCAGCTGAATTGGCTGGTAATGGGCGTAACGTCCGGATGAGCCTTGCTGAACGCATCGGGATTGGCTGCTGGTATGCAAGTCGCTTTCGTAAAAATGTCGACGAACTTCAGTATGAAGAACTTGGGAAACGTGCCGCCTAGGTTCGAAAAACTGGATTTCAAATGTTAGCAGCCGCGTCCGAGGGAGATTGGAGACAAAACTTACGTAGCCAATAAAGTCATATATGTTCCCCCAATGGCTGGATCAGCAATTCTGGCATGGAAAGCAGAAACTGCAACGAACATGACTGTGTTCATGAAAGTGGAGTAGACGTGTTCAGCAATAACCACCAACATGTACCAGAAAGGGACAGCTTCGTCAAAAGCTGTAGGATAGATCATGATGGTGAACTGGGCAAAGACAGCCGCAAGAAGCCGCGCGACGTATGCCCAGCACCATAGTTTCAATGGAGTATACTCGGTCGACCATTTGCCAGCGTAGTATCCCAGGCCAAGTTCGAAAGGGAAGTCGATCAACACAACCAGAGCCATATTGGCTTGACCAAAACCCTTGTCGAGCAGCTTTAGATTGGTGACAGCATCATTTGTTACGAAGCCGAGCTTTCCCACGAGATGGATAATGAGGATGGTGATGATGTTAGGTAATCGGAGAACTGCCAACATGCTGCGATAGACATCCGCAATCCCTTCACGGTCATTGGTCTTGTCCTCGCGCTTCAAGATGGCAATACCAAGTGTCACAAAGAGGTAGATCCATCCCCAGAATGCCATGTATCCACCCAGCGTGAATAGTCCGTAATCTTGCGGCACAGTTCTGAACCATGCGTTGGCGAAGTCGGGCGCTTGTAGGGCCAGAAAAACGGTATGAGAGAGGAAAGAGCCAGCCGTCAAACCGACTGTCTGTGCCGTCGACGCGTAGGAAATGTTCTGCATGGACAAAAGCGAAATAGCCCATCCGTCGACAGCAATGTCCTGAGTGGCGCAGAGAAAGACCAGAAGAAACCACCAGCCAGTAAATCCCCAGACTCCAGAACCGTCCTTTTCACCAGCTCGTTTCATTAACTCGTCGATTCTGCCACCAAGGTAGATCATGGACAGTCCAGACACGGTCTGAATAGGAGTGATCCAACTCTTTCTCCGGCCAAAGCGTCGACTCCATACTGCATCCACGATAGGACTCCACAACAACTTCAATGAATAAGGGTATATCGCTAGGGAGAATATGCCGATCTGTCCATACGACAGGTAGCTCTTGAGCAGAAAAGGTACCGACCCAGAGGCAAGACCCATCGGTATACCTTGGAGAAAGTAGAGTAGACACAGCAGCAGAAAATTTCGCTTGTCTTTCTGAGGCAGATTCGAAAAGCTCGTGTTCACCATCCCAGGTGTCTGCGGAGTCTGTGGTGGCGGTTCATTATCAAGGCTGAAATCGTCTCTGCTCATGGCCCTCGCAACATTGGCTAGCGGTTCGTCATTCGAGACGTGTTTCCGCCTCATTTCAATGTGTTTGTCCATCGTCCCGTTCGCATGGCCATTCGCGTGCCCGTTATTATCGGTGTCAATCCGCAGATTCGGTCGCGAAGGTGATCGTTTGTCTTTGCTCTTCTTGGACTTGGTTCGTTTCATCTGTCGTACGGAACCTTCTGCAGTCACCAAAGGGCCTTTTTCAGAATTCTCCGACTCGGAAACTTCTTCTACCTCCTCTTGTTCGAAGGATGAGATTATAATCCGAGGCTTCTCCTGTATGGGAAAGTCTTCGAGTTCGACGTCGGTACTTTGGTGTGCTTTCTCCTGGTCTGTTGCAGCTGCGTGGTGGTAAGGAAGACTGAGATGGTGATCTGTCGAGCGGGGGCGGGAGTGAAAGAGTGGATGTATAAGAGGTTCGGCGATTGAATCAGGCATACATGCAGCGAAGGAGCGTGTGAGTGGGTGGAAGTGCGAAGAGGACTCTGTGTCCTTTACAAGTGGACCACGTCTTTTAGTCAGGCACAGAGAAAAATGTTAAGTCATCGATCGGCGGCAAGTCGAGAAGGAGGTTTGGGTTTATCTGTCCTCCTTCTCGTCAGCAACGGTCATGATGAAGAGGCCATAGCATCCTGTGTCCCCTTGATGTCACAAAGTCAGAACTGCGCGAGGGTGGCCCCTCCAGATTGCGATTCCTGGCATTTTGTTTAGCCTGCCACGTCTGCAGAGTAGTTCTCTCCTTTTGTCTCTAGCCCCTGGCACGTGACCCCTTGTCAAGGGACAACGCGTCTTTCTTATCGCCGACGCGTTGAGAAATACGAGACCAGAGGGACAAATTGTTTGCACAGCGCACTTCGAGCATTGCGATTCAACGCCACTTCAGAATTGAACATGATCTCTGTTGCTGCATCGCCTGCGCCTGAGGTACCGTCTACTTCTTATGATGGCCTGGGCGAGGCACTCGACGAAGAGATCGCCCAAATACGAGCCGAAAGTAGGCTTTCTGCCCCCACAGAAATGCTGCTTCAACCCACTGACTTCGCTTCTCACAGTTGAGAGACTGACGAAACGCCGCAAAGTGTTGACCTCATCTCTACTATCTTCGACACAAGTCCAAGAGAGACTTTCTAATTCTCCTTTCCAAGATGCTTCTGAAGGCTCACACTTCCGACCTCTCGAGTCTGCATTCCAGCAATCTACACTCAACATCCACCGCTTAGGGTTCGGCGTCACAGCATTTCCGTTCCACGATCCGAGTCCCGAAGTACAACCCAAGAACCCGCTGCTAGGCATAAGAATAGACATATGCAATCGCAAGGGTCAGTTTGACTCCCCATACTACCTCTTTTGTATCCGAGCAGGCGACGGAGAAGGACCGGTAAACCAAGAATTGCGCATACATCGTCATACAATCCCTGCATTGGTGCCGCTCCAGGAGTATGAGAAGCAGTATCTACCCTTGTCGGACGAAGGATATGGTGGCTCGGAGGACTCTGCGCTGAGCGTTGACGGGAGTCAGAAGAAACAAGACCTTCATGCTCTTGTGTCGAGGGTCCGACACGACCTTGTTGCTTGGAGATTACGACAGGACGCAATCGACTGGATGAAAGAGAAGCTACAGATACCCGTCGAGCAGGATCAATCCAGAGAAGATCATGAAGACCAAGACCCTGCGGATGAAGGCGTTGGGGATGGCACGTTACCAGACATCGACGCACCTGCAGGCAAACTTGGTATCCGCGAGTTCGAAGCCATGGGTGTTGATGCTCGACAAGTGCGCATACTGTGGTCAGACGACAGAGTTGGACGGATCAAGATATCAGACCAAGGCAAGATCGAAAAGGCAGCTGTCGTTGGGCTTGAGGGCCGTATCGTGAATATGGAACGCATATTGAGTGAGGGTGATGCCACAGTCTTTGATCTCTTCGACCGTTTACAACAAGTCGATCTGAACACAAGCAAGATGGAACGAAGAATTGCAAGAAAAGGGGACTAGGGCACAATCGTGTTCAAATTAATGCGATCAATGAACTAATGCCGACTAATTTGTCGAAGAAGCTGCGTTCAATGTCCATCACACGCATACTCTTCGCCTCAATGGAAATTTGGACGGTTTGGCCAGTGGTGCTTGTACGTGCCACTATTTCCAATGGTGTCGCTAGTCTCCGGATCCTTTCCCAGGCGTGCTGTACAGGCTGCAGATGCAGTTCCTGATTCGGGGCACAGGGTCACTAAGGTCCCATTCAACTTGTGGGCCTCTCGAACGCTTCCTCCACGACCCTATCTACGTCGAGAGGGCAGATCAACTTGACTCGGTCTTTGACCTCTTGCTTCCGTGTCTAGAGAACCAATAACTGGTAGACTCTCCCTCCCATCTCTCAACACCATATACTCGATCTCGTTCGACGCCTTCTTCTCTTCATCGTCCTAAGGAATAGCCACTGGCTTACCGACCAACAGTTGTCCATGCTCTTCCCACTCACTCTGCCTCCTCACAGTCGCCTGCCAACTCTGATTCCTCAATGCACAAAGAGCTGGGGTCCCAAGAAAATGTTGCGCTAGAGACTCAACAGCCGGTTCGGCCAGTTGGGTCGAACGGCCTGTGTCGTCAGGATGCACACTGCTGGCAATGGTCTGGCAAGTGGGCACAAGTATGATGTGCCCCTTGCTTTTCAATCCGTGCTCAAAGAGGTCATTCTGAGATAAAGGCTCGCTCTCCACAAGTCCTCTGCCAAGCTGAAGCAGGACGCTACCGAGGACGAGTGAGGACCATGTGGCGCAACGATGTCCGACAGGAGAAGCATGAAGGCAACGGGTAAGCTTCCTGTTAATGTAAGCTTGTGCCAATGCGCCCAGGGTAAGATCGGCTTGGTGGGTGGCGTTCTCAGTCATGGGAAGAGAGGCATCCACGCTGTTCTCAATATTTCTGGTCTGCGAAGCCTGCTGAAATGTTCTGTCGAGGTAGAAGCAAAGAGCAGGCAGGCCTAGCCGAGCTGTAACTCGACATGGGAGAGGCGGTCCGAGGACAGAATCCTCCTTAGGTGAATAGTGACGTGAGCGCTGACACGCCTGTCGAGTCCTTCTGGTATGTAGTCCAACAAATGCCCGACTTGCACAGCGGCAGCTACCAGTTCAAGAGAGATCAAGCCTAGATAGACTAGCTCAACGAAGCCTGGTTCGCCCCAGCGAGCATCTGACATTGCTGCCACGACAGCACATCGTATATGTGCGTCAGCCTTACGACCGCTTGCGACGTATCATTCTGCAGCCTTTGTCTGAACACGTCGACTCCGTTTCTGTAGCCATCAAGCGCCTCCCAGCTCCTTAGCCGATGAGAGACCACGCCTGTGATCTCGTCATTCGCTTTCCTTGCAGAAAGGTAGCTGTTTGCGACGTTCTTGAAAGCTGTCAGATGGATCTTGAACGCTGCGTCGCCTTTCGTCATGTACGAGATGTTCAGCATGTAATCCATAGTGAACAGGATATTCTCCTTCACTCGTGAGAGCCTCTGACGAAGCTTCGACATGGCCATGCCTCGATGTTGCAGATGGAAATGATCGCTTTCTGGTAAGGTCCTTTGGGCCAAGCACCATGCTGCTCTGCTGCATGCCATCGTCACATCGAAAAACATATCATCCTGCAATGCGATCGGCCAGCAGAGAGCGAGATACGTGTTTTGTCTGTCCATGTGTTCAGCATCCTGCGAACAGAGGCTGTTTCTCTTCACCTGACGACATACCCAATCAAAGTGTAAGTGAGTGGCCTTCTGATGAGCCCAGACGTGGATGACTATCATCACTGGGAGAGGCTTGGAGAAACAGGGATGCATTCAGGCACGCACTTACAGTAATCAGTCACATACATGACATTTCTGTCTTGTTCCACTGGGAGTGAATTGAATGGATCCACGCGTAGACCGCTCGTCGGTTGCACCACTGTCACGGCCATAGGCTGCGAGGCCGATGAAGATAGCTCTTGGTCCACCTCCGCGGAAGAGCCAGTTTCAGGGAAGTGTAATCTAACCTGCGCCCGCCACCCTACCAGACTTTTCGCATACACTGCATCTTGTCGTGCTGAGCTGCGCAAGTCTTGCCGTCTGCTGTCTGACTGCCATCGGCGCGAAAAACTACTGACAATTCGTGAGCTTGTGGCTTGCCGCGACTCCGGACGATGTTGAATGAACAAGAAGCGCTCCCTGGAGCGACGGCTGATGCCCTCGCTGTTAGATTGGCCGGACATCAACGGACATCCGTCTGCAGCGGTAGCTGACCTTGCAGATGGCGAAATCCAGCCGAGTGTGTAAACTTGCTGTCAAGTGGTGCTCGAAGGCTACCGTAATTTGCTCAGTTCATATTTTGTGGTGGTTCGGTTTCGTGCAGGGGGGAGGTCGAAAGAAGGTCCTGCTAACTCATTCCTGACGAGACAGCATGGGTTCAGGCCGGACGTCAAAACCCCCCATGACTCAATCAAGAGTAATGACGGCCGTCTTCTAGCATAAGCGAGACCAGTGACCAGGTTGCGGAAACCCGTAATAGCAGTTGGCTCTTTGCCCAGACGTCCTGGATCGTGATCGTTCTCCTAAGCAATTGAAACGCAAAGGAATTTTGCTTGATTCAGCTTAGCATTCCTTGGCCTCGTGTTTATGCCGCAAGGCCGTTGCACAGCTATGTGATCCCTGTACACGAACTGAATGAGCTCGTTGATCTTGTGAATGTACGTCACCTTCTGAAGAGAAGCAGCTCGTGGCGGATCAGTTTAGTTTATCGGGTCTGAAGTGCTGGTACCTCCGCCATGCGCCGAGGCTTGGCCGAGACGCTCGAGTGTTCATGACTATGCTTCATTTAGTACTCAGTGAATTGCTGCGATTGGTTGGGTAAGAGCTTTCAAGGGCACACGCTGTGTGTACAACGGCACCTCCAATGCACAGAGCTTGTCATATCCCATGTTCATCTGCGTCGCAATACAGCATCAAGGGCCGTTCCTGTCGGCAAGTGGCGTGATGCAGGCGCTTTGTAATCGAGGTGCGCCACAAAGTATTCGTTGCGAATCAATAAGGACAGTGCTGGACCAAAGACGCATATCGAAGAAGCAGGATTTGATTCCCAGAGAGTTGGAATCCCTATCAGAGTGGTTTTTAGATCGCCGCATGCTGATGTCACGGTCCAGATATCAACGCTGTCTGTCAAGGAGAGCACAATGAGGTGGACAGATCCACCAGAGACAACGCATCTGTGCTCGTGAATGCAATATATAAGCTGCTTCCTCAGAATCAAGGTGGCCTTCCCTTCTTGTCCTGTGACCATCTTCCTGGGCAGACTCGCAAAATGACCAACTCCGGTATTCCCAAGTTTCAAAACGCAGCTGTACGCGTCGGAGATGGTGATGACGCTAGGGCGCCGCTCAAGAAAATCGAGGTTGACCTGCCTGGATCCGACCAGATCCTAGTCAAGATCAATTGGTCAAACTCTTCGCCTGATGTTGGTTTCAATCGCTAACCTTGGAACAGGACTGGTCTTTGCAGTTCGGACGATGCTCTCATGAGTTGGAGTAGACATGCAGCCCGAGACCAAAGGCATTGCAGGGCATGAAGGAGCTGGAGTCGTGGTCTCTGTCGGTGACAACATGCATCAAAAATGGAAAGTAGGGGATCGAGCTGGTGTCAAATGGGTGCACAGTATCTGTGGAGCATGCGAATTCTGTACTAATGGTACAGCCGAATTGCATTGCCCAAACCAGAGGATCTCTGCAGTTACCGTTCCTGGGACATTCCAGCAATATGTCGTCGCTGATGGTAACTATACGAGCAGGCTTCCGGAAGGCGTTGAAGACGAAGAGGCCGGACCAGTATGTATTCTTGTTGCTAAAGGACTGTGCCATTCGAGCACATGTCTTATGCTTTGCCTCAGTTTACGACTCTCTGACTGTTGTAAAGATCATGTGTGCTGGGGTCACTGCGTATACTGCCTGCAAACGAAGCTCGGTCCGACCAGGTCAGTGGATCGTAATTCAAGGAGCGGGTGGAGGCCTGGGTCAGTTCGCCGTACAGTATGCTAAGGTCATGGTAAGACTTACCTGAAAGCTGTCTGAGTCGATAATGACTTACTTTTCTTGGGGCATGCGCATCATTGCAATTGACAGGGGCGACCAGAAGCGGGAACTCTGCCAAAGGTTGGGAGCTGAGGAATTCGTGGACCGACAATTGAGCGAGGACATTCCGGCCGAAGTGAAGCGCATTACCAAATATGGTGCACAGACGGTGTTAGTATTGCCTCCATCAAAAGAAGCATACGCCTTAGCACCCAATCTTGTCCGACCTGGCGGCACAGTCGTCGTCGTCGGCCTACCGCATGATGAGTCGGTGATTGCAGGAGCAAGGCCCAAGCAAATGGTGTTGGACCGCTTGAATTTCGTTGGAAGTGTAACTGGAACGCTGAAAGATGTCGAGGAAGCACTCGATTTCACCGCGAGGGGGTTGGTTCACGTAAGTCATGTTGCTCCAAACAAATAACTCGCAGGTTTCGAACGCTGACGATCACCAGCCGATCTTGACCAAAGGGACCCTTGCCGAGGTCGACAAATACTTCGAATTGAGGCATCAAGGACAGTTGGCAGGCTGCGTGGTGCTGAAGGTCGCCTAGAAGATGAAGGGAAACGTTCCTGAGCCAGTTTGAAAACCCAGCAAGGCACGGGTGGTGTGCAGGTGGCCAAGATTGCAGGCAAAGCACGTTGCAGAAGCACATAAGACTTTGTCGTAAGATCTTCATTCACGCCTGTTAGTCTGAGTTGAGTCGTTGCTTGTGAGTCATTGCCATTTTGACAGGGCCGCTTTCTGAGAAGGTGCGTTGGACGGTTTGGCAGACTTGCCGGGGCACTTGCGAGTGCTGCCTTTAGCCACGACTTTTTCGTGGTACAGGCTTCCATCCAGCAACCTCCTTACATCTTCTTTTCTCAAAATCCCATCTTCCGGCCAGATAAGGACCCAAGCAAAGCCCCATTCAAACATTGCCGACACTTGACCAAAGAAATCGAAGGCCATCCTGGACCTCCTGAGCCCATGCCACAATTCCCATTTCGTCAATCCCCCTTTGCCGTCACTATCAAACTTCTCGAAGAAATCCTCGAATGGCTGTGGTCTGAACCGTCCTTCCGAGTCGAATGTCCCGGTTCCACTACCGTGTTTATTCATGTATGCTCTTTTCACGTACAATCTGAAAAATGGATCCGGCAATAAGCCCGGCGTGGTATTGTAGGACTGCACACTGTGGAGGAAGGCAGTGAAAAAGAGAGATGTGATGACCTTCCAGTCAAAGGAGCGGCAGACGCGGTAGGTGTCGCTAGGCCAGATGACGCCGTCGCCATCGGGGTCAAAGAAGGAACAATGTTGTTCGAGCACCTATAGGCATACAATCGTCAGTATTTCAACCAAGGCCGACATTCTAACTCCTGATCAACTGCTCACCGTCTGATGTTGGTGTTTCTCTGCCCACCCATCCTTCTCAGTTCCGCAAGGCGCATCTGAAGTCGGCGCAAAGGTAGTCTGAACGACCCCCGAGTTCACAAGCTTGGAGTCCGCGGGAGGCGTATGGGCCTTGTACTGTTCAGTGATGGGAGCCTCGGGTATGGAAACTCGTTGTTTCGTTCCTGGCGGACTCTCAATGTAGGGCGACATATTCAACAATCACCTGGAAATTGCTGAAGGCGGAAGCTTACACTGGGAGAATGCCATCAGTAGGCGTACCATATTCGCTCGAGCAGCAGCACACATGCACCTCTCATCAGCAGCAGGTACATCTTCGATAGTGGATCAGTTCATGTTCCATTTAGGGCTTGTAGATTGATGTCTTGACATCATGGACTTCGGGCAGCCCGGTTAGTCAGTCCAGTCGAAACCCTCACCGCCTGGCTGATGCATGAGTAGAGGCCACCTTGGCGACACGTCTACATATTTCCCGCATGGTGAGAGCCATCATGACGTGGCTGATGGTGAGACGGAAAGAGGTGAGCCTCTTTTTTTGTCCAGATACATACGTGTTGATGGAGGAACTCGAATTACCGGGGAGCAACCACCGTCCGCCAATCAACATGTACTGATGTGTAGCAAGCCGCTAACGGAATAGCACAACTAGCTAACTGGATTTGGACTAGTTCGGAAATTAGCATCCCATGTTAGATGAGAATCTCTGAGTCTCGAGATACATCGCCGTGGGGAAGATTATTCGCGCCAGTCGAAGCAAAGGGCTATTTACAGGGAACTGAGGTTAAAGTTTCTGACTTTCATATTACCTATTGCTTTTGGGGACAAGACTGTGATGCCTAATTACTATCGAACTTTTAGACCTTGAGGCTCGAGTACAAATCCAGTTAACGTGCCACCTCTGAAGTCGGAATGCTTATCCAAGCTCGCGAGTTCGAACCCTGTCCTACCAGAGTCAGGGCTGCGTTTATCAGCACTGCTGTCCAGTATTCAGGGTCGAGTCCCGAAGCTTGCTCGGCGCTGTTGAATACGTGTATTCAATATGACGCTGCTTCGACTTGGGAGCTGGCACCTGGATCGTCGTGACGACCCGCTCGTCGGACGGCCTTCCTAAGGTATCTTTCCACCTCATACCTCGTAGCCGCAAACCCGTCGTGCGTCGTTGCTCCCAGAGCAGCACGGAGCAAATCTTTCGCAACCGTCAGCAACAGAACATATTGATTGACTTGTTGCCCTGTTACCGCTGATCGTGAGTCTGATTCCAGTTCCACTAGGCTGTGAGCGGATGCAACAGACACACCAGGGACCGAAACATGCAGTCTCGGGGTAGGTGCTGAGAAGCGCAAGGCAACGCTGAAGCTCTGGTCAGCTTTTCTTGCTGCCGCAATGGTTTCCAGAAGATTCCTCAAAGATTGGACGGTTACGGGATCCGTCGAGTAAGTCCTCATCACCTGTTTCACGCGAACGTTGTCAGAGAGCTGAAGCTCTTCGAGGACGGCCGTCCAAAGAGCCATCGTTGGCTTATAGTCTCCAATTTCGGTATCCCCTCTCGCTGATCTCGGATGCTCCAACACGACAAACAGGCCATCGCAATTCTCGATATGTGTTATACCTCTGAAGGCCTGACGTGACCTGGCACAAACACTTAAAGCTAACTCGCCGAAGATGCCCATCACGAGCATCGCGAGCCTGTTTCCCGCTTCTGTGAGGCTTCCATCCTGCGCTGGCACGTACTCAGGCCACAAGTCTGCAGTATGTTAAGGTTGCAATCTTTCAAGATGACCAAAGTGAGGTATGAACGGAACGCGGAATATACCCTACCCATAGTCAATGGCTCGAAGTCGTTCTCGGGGTAGACTGTAGGCATATTGAAGAATAGGCAGTTCACGACCTCTTTCTTGCTATACGGAACAACGTCTTCTTCGGCGAAATGTGTGGGTTTGGTATATAATCTGCCCATTGCGGTGGCGGTGGCAGGGACTCCCTCTGGGATACCCGCTTCAGCCATCGTCGTTTTGCGTAATACCACCTGATGAAGATCCTGACCGAATAATGTCACTATTTGTATCACGCGCGTACCTGGGTGCCGGCGCGCCAGCAGTATAAATCGGGGAGTTTAACGCTCCAAAACCCCGCGGATAAGAAGCGTCAAGCTCTCGTGGGTGACGGAGGACAATTTCCTGGCCCCGAGAGTTCCTAAACACCGGCCTCGGTTCGTAAATAGGGGGCGGATGTGTAAAGGAGGTCCTAGTATGTACCTCCGGATACGATGTCGCCATCAACTCGTTAATACCACGGCCATCATGTCGTGAACGTGCGTCTTCAGGAGCAGTATCCTCCGTGCTTGCGATTGCAGCCGACCAGTCGTTGATAAGCGTGGCAAGCGAATTCCCTCCGATCTCCAGGCCCCAGCGGGTCATCACGTATCTTTCAATGAACTCGACGCCATTGTCGCGCAAGTTGATGCACTCGTATGCAATTCCGGCGGGATAATATGTTCACGAACATATCCCTCTTTATTGACCGGAGGTGTGCTCACAGGGATTGCATATTCTCCTCCGGAGGCGATATCGAGCGTAACCTCGAAGTCTCTCTCGATGACTGCTCGGATCGTGTCTTCGTTGATCTCCAAATTCCACTCGGTACGGATGTGGCAAGGTAAACACTGGTAAGAACGGTTAGTTTTCAGGAGATACACCATGCGGGCCGCCAGACTGACGGGTATGATCTCCCCAGTCCCAAGACGAAGACGGCCGAATCGTTTGGATTGAAATATCTCCGTTTCGAAACCAGGGACAGTTGTCGAAATAAGCTTTTGCTACCATTGTGGATGTTGTTCGCAGACGTACTGAAAAAGGTGCCGTAAGAACTCAGCTAAAGAGTATATAGGTTCATTCGGCGCAGACAAGCTGCTAATCAACTGGTAGACAAACAATGAACCATTTCCTGGAACAAGGGTAGCGCCATTCGCGACAAAAAGCCGCTGCCGCAATGGCAGGCTGGTCCTTTGTCACGGATAAAGAACGGCCATAGAGACACAATTGCCAATGCGTACCCTGACAAACCGGCTTTGTCTTGGCAGTCAATCACTCCCCCCAAAGGTGTAGCCACACGCCTCATGTCCTTATGCTTGCAAGCAGCGAGAGTGATCTTCCCGACAATGGTAGTCTTGCTCGTGGTTGGTGGCTCTTGAACCAAAGCACAGCCTGCCACGGTTCTGAAAACCTGCTTCAGGACTTCTTGCTGGGAGAGAGCTCGCAAAGCTGTCCAATTGCTGCTCTCCTGCTAGAGACCGAGTTAGTACTTCGACAGATATTCTTCCTGTGGATGACCCACCTCACCTGAGCATACATGCATATGTTCGAATATGTATGTATATATAGAGATTTGAGATTGTCAGATTCCTAGAACGGTGTCACGCCAGCGAGGCTCTATGTAGAATTGTAAGTGTTGTCGCGTACTCGATGTCTGCCTCGATGTTCTTATGTCTCTCCAGGACTTGTTTCATCTGGTTCTCGATCGTTGAAAGTGTCTTTCGCCGATCGTCAGAATCCGTCTTCTGCTCTTGAAGCTGTTCCTTCTGCCGGCTGAGGGCATGATTGAGAAGCTGCTTTTCTTGCTGTTTTGCATCTTGTAGTCGCACTGTGGCGGCCTCAAGGTCCCGACGAGCTTCAATCCGGGCTGCCCGATAAGCACTGACATTCTTTGGCTTCTTGAAGGGAACACTCGGTCTGTTTGATGTTTTGGATGGTGCCTGGATGCGTCGCTGATTCTCAAAGATACATTTAACGACATCGGTGACGACTTTGAGAGTCTTGCTGCCGGTGTGGGTAATGACCAGTCGAACGACTTCTTCCTCGGTTTTGCCTTCCATGAATAGTTGCACGATTCGCCAATAGGCGGGCAGTGGGACTTCATGGTTGTGGACGTTGATCGTCGCTATCTCCTCGAAGTTGGGTTCGGGCGCTGCTACAAGCCAGAAAGCTTCGAATTCTGGCGACATTGCAATATTCCCGATAGGCAAGATTTGTCGACAGTGATAACATGCAGAACATATAGGAATGCAGGGAGACGCACAGCAAAGCATGGCAAGATCGAGCATATATGTCGAAGATTCTTTGTTCCGCTTTCTTTGTCTGAACTCGAGAGTCGAGACTGCCGTCGAGCTCACGTTTGGGAAGGAACAATAAGTGAGAGATACGACTACAAAGACCCGACAAAAGGCCTTGTATCTGGAAGAGTCGTGCTATAGCCCAGGCAGGAATAGACAGCTCGAGGTCGCTCGCGTATACTTCACGGCCTACCACTCCTCACAGCATTGCCGGCCTTGATATAAAGAGCGATGGCAGCGCTAAATTATCAGCGCCAGTCTCGGGGTGTGCAACAGATACTGACATCAAAGCTGCATGAAATGGGCCGCCTCTCGGGATTCTAGAGACGACGCCCTTAATGTAAAGCACGGCGTACAAGGCTCTGCTGAAGAGGTAGATCATGCTCAAGGCATTCAACCACCTGACATTTACACCAGCCGCGTTAGCGGCAACCACGGAGCCAGCGAAGAAGCCCAGATTCTCAAAGCCATTGAGTTGTGCCCCCTCAGCACGAGCAATGCGTTGCTTCGTGGATGAATCAATCATTCGGTTGGCTTTCGGGGCCGACAGGAGCGTCCTAGGGTTCACCCTGTCGAATTTTTCGGCGGTGGAAGCCTTGTCATAGAGAGTGATGGCGTAGACATGAGGTGCCAAGCATAAAAACCATGCGGCAGGAACAGTATAATAGGAGATATTTGTTCGCTCCATGCGAAGTCGAAGATGTAGCAAGCTCACTGTCATGTCCAAGCAGAAAACCTAGAAGATATCTTGCAGCTCCAGATGTTCAGTCGAGGTATCTGTCGGTTTTCAGCATGACCAGACTGCCCAGTCACCCTTGCAGCATCAAGCGGCTGTGGCATGATATGTATCTGGTCTTGAAGGCTGAATATGTGGAAGGAGAAAAACAAATACGAGAGGAAAGGCGGGTGCGAATACGATAGGCGTCAGCGGTACGACGTCACACCCATAAGCATTCGCAAGGTGTTCATCTGCAAGGAATTCGGCGTGCATATGAATATTACTGCATACAAAGGAGAGTTGGAGGGATTAGGGGGAGATAGCATTGAGCAGCAAGAGAAGTTCTGAGCGCGAACAGGGCGAAGGGCGGAGAGAACGAAGAATAACGACAACGCAAGAACAGTAACTTTTCGTGTTGCATCCTCGTTGGATTAACAATCTGACTGTGAAATTCTTTGTTCTCTCCAGACGCCGTCCCTATCCAGCCAGTCGCTCTTCGTCCTTTGAGAAGAGAAACCCTACTTATGCCATCAGGCTATTCGCCAAAAATGAAGTACGTGGCATTCTTGTTACCATACCGCTCTTGCTTCCTCACAAACACGTCGCATCATGGCGCTGTTGAGTACCCAACGTTTTCGTCTGGTCCGCTTCAATATTGCTGGTCGCCTGGACATCATGCATGACAGTAATCGATCCTTGTGGGCCGGCGACGCCATCATTTTCCCAGAACTTGTTCTTATTATCATGGCCCCTGACCAGCCCCGCAAGATCGAACGGATCAAACAGAGTCAGCAAGAAATGTCTCTTATCTACCATCCCTGGTCCTTCGATTTCGGTTTTGCCATCAACCGCCAGGTAGATCTTGTGGTTGGCCGGAAGATATTTCGCAGGTGGATAGATATTCAGCAGGAATGTGTTTGCTAGCATTGGAAGAGCTTCAAACACCCAGAAGAGTACTTCATCTCCATTTGCAGGTGAGGTTGCCGGATAAAAGAATGCGGCGGTCCTGAAGGTGTTGCGGATGAGAATCAAGAAGCAGGATGCATACATTTCGTAAATGATGACCTTGCATTTGTGGTTGAAGACACCAGCCGCAATACATCGTCGGTGGAAAAGAACAATAAGGGCCTGCCAAGTGTGAGAATGTTGTCATGGTGCAGACCGGAAAAGAGCATGAGATACGTGCTTGATTGGCACAATCCCTTGGAGAGCCGAATACTTACTACGAAGCCCAGGAACATGCCGAGCAAAAGAAACAATGAGACTTTGACAAGGATAAGGCCGAGCTTGATCTTGGATTCGCTGTTGTCGGCGTTGGCAGCATACGATGCGCCGTTGCCCGCAATGATGCCGTCCACTGTATCCAATGCAATGAACTATCAACCGTCAGAAGCTGCACCGGTCTAGACAGAATCAAAATTAGGGATTCGTGCGTGAAAGGCACAGCCCTTTTCAGGGGAGAGTGCATACTGTTGTCCACACCCTACCTGGATGTAACGGCGAAAGGTATGGGAGATAGTATAATATTCTCCCAAAGATAAAGTAATTTGCCCCGTTATATACTGGAGGCGCGAGAAAGAGCAGGACCGTGCTTGAGATGAATATATCGAGATTGTTGTAGTGGTAGGCTCCGACCTCACGAAGCGCGAACCCTACTATGAAAAGTAGGGCAGCCCAGGGGAGGAGAAACCCGATACGCCAGGACCTAAATTTCAGGTTGTTTTGCCACACATGCAAACCCCCTGAGATGAGGAACAAGACGGCAAAAGCAGCCGAGACACCTTTGGTAGGTGCGTAGACCCAGTAGGATCCTTGGACAACATGTACCATAGTGACTAAGGGGAATATCTGCGGTTCAAAGAACTTTGAATCAAGTATAGAGAGTGAAAGTCGACATTCGTGAGAAGCGTCCGTTATATGCTTGGATCAACGAAGGTCGCTAGGGAAGCGAGGCAGGGAGACCAGTTCGAAGTGTCTCGTCAATCTGGAGGATTCAATATGAGCAATACATCGTTGTCTTCATACAGCCTGGTGAACGCCTCGCTTGATAGAGCCACCTATGTGGACACAGAATCAACGAAGCGAGCACTGAGACAGGGTGGCTGATCCACAATGTAACGTGTTTACATTGACGCTGGAAATGTGCGTCTGGCGCTAGGATACCACAATCACAATTAGCGCCAAAGCCAGAGGATCGTAGATATATAAACCACCTAGAGTCCTCGATGCCGAGTAGAGTCTTGAGATAACAGGTAGCCTTGTGACTGCCTTGCAAACCTGGTTGGACCTCTTTGACGAGGTATCTGGAGGATAGCCAGACATTTGCGAGGGATACTCGAAGGGGCAATAAATCATTTTGCCTTCGATTCGAACTCGCATGAACGCTGTGTGGATGTGTGTTCCAGGCTAGTGAAAGCAGGAACCCGAATACGAAAGGTGTGGTGATTTCAGAAGAAGAGATATGAAAGCGAGAACAAAATTCAGCCTCGCGGTTCGCCTTGTCGGAGGGTGCGGAGGCACGTGGCTCGGTGAGAAGGACCTAAGCACGTGACTGTAGCATAAAACGCTATGCCGTTTGCGTACTTCCACGTCGGAGCTCCACGTGATGCCACCATGTCGCTTGCCTCGGCTCTTACAAGGGACACTATCCAAAAGCAGGACGGCTTCTTCAAAGCTTGTCATCGTGGTCGGAGACGATGACCTAGAGAGTGCAGCGAGGTCTAAGCTCTCAAGAGATCTAGGTTCAGGATTACATGCTTTGAATTCTTTGCGTCGCTGGTGAAGCAGTCTGCTTCGAAGGATGATGGTATGTACACTGCAGATCTCATCCTCAGAAAGACTGATAATCTGTCGGTCAAGTGAGAGGTTTTATTTTCCCTCACAATCAACCTCTGACGTCTGAGCATCTGACCGACTTGAGCTTCTAACGGGGCTGGTGGTTCTCATCCAATATTATCACGGTCGGAACAGTCCTTTGATCCATCGTCCATACCTGAATCATCTCCGTCATATACAGAGCGGCTAAGCGTGGAGCGCTCATCAGCTTCAGCATGTCGCCGCAGCAAGCCAACGGTGCAGGGCCTGCCTATTTTGATGACTACTTCCACAAGAACCCGGCACCGAAGTCGCTATCCAAGCATCAAGCATTAACCCGCGAATTCATACAGTATCACCTGGAAAACTCGCCGAACCGACGAATTGCCTTGGTCACGTCGGGAGGGACGACCGTCCCTCTTGAGAATCAAACCGTGCGTTTCATAGACAACTTCTCTGCTGGGACTCGTGGAGCTACATCTGCCGAATACTTCTTGCAGGCGGGCTATGCCGTGATCTTCTTGCATCGTCAGTTCAGTCTGCTACCATATTCTAGACATTACAGCCACAGCACCAATTGTTTCCTTGACTTCATGGAGGAGTCTGATGGAAAGGATGAGCGAGTTGTAGTCAGGAAAGAGTATCAGCAGAAGATGCAACGAGTCTTGCGACAATACCAGTTCGCCAAACAAAACCGCCTGTTACTACTGCTCCCCTTCACCACGGTGACTGACTATCTTTTCCAACTCCGCAGCCTTGCAGTTCTCATGCAACCTCTCGGCGAGCGCGCGCTATTCTACCTAGCTGCAGCCGTCTCGGACTTCTTCATTCCAAGAGAGCGCATGGAAGAGCACAAGATCCAATCGAGAGAAGATCATGCTGGAAGTCAGGGCTCCGGAGCTAGCCGGCAATTGGTGATCAACCTCGACCCAGTCCCAAAATTTCTCAGCACTTTGGTACACTCATGGGCTCCAAAGGGGAGCATGATAGTGAGCTTCAAGCTCGAAACCGACCCGGCTCTCCTTGTGTCAAAGGCTGAGCAAGCGCTAAAGCGATATCAGCATGATCTCGTGATCGGGAACCTGCTGACCACGCGCAAGTGGGAGGTGGTCTTTATTTCGCGAAATCGACGCGAGAAATGGCTCCGGGTTCCAAAGGCTAGAAGATCCAAAAGCATTTCTGGGGTCGAAGAACTGGTCGGCAAAGCGGAGCGCAAGCACGAACCAGAACATGTCGATCTGGATGGAGGTACTGTGACTGAAGGAATGGAGATAGAGAGCTTGATCATCCCTGAACTGGCGCTCCTGCATACCGAAATGATGGAACATGGGAAATGAGTGTCAGGCGTGTGAAGCAGCGCAGAAAGTCGATGTGATACCTAACCTGGCGCACACGAGGAAGGGGCCGGTCTTGCCTGAACAGCACGAGGATTTGCGCTTTTCCACAGTACATAATACTAGCAAAAATGCATGCGACCATCTTGTGTATATCCAGGATGATAAAACGCGCCAAAGCGTGGAACCCCGGATGAAGTCGAACTTTCGTCTTAACTACCTCAGGTTGCCGACCGTCGACCTAAGACAAGAAAGGAAAATACTCATACCGCTACATAGTAGACTGTGTAGACCTTAGGACGGTCCCGTAACCGATGATGTGCAGCCCACTCTGCTGCAAGGAGCCAGGGATTGCCAATGCCGTGCCGCAGACTGCACTTAGCCGCCTTTCAGCGGGCCAACCTGGGGTCGATGGCTTCTTCAATCCATATCACAAATCGAGATATCTCTCGTCTCCATGGTCAAGAAGCAGAGTGACCAGGATGGATCAACTGGGTCATAGTCGCGGCCAGCCGCAGACGGCAATGTTGCTAGCTATCCACAGGATAGTGAAGCCAAAGCCGATATAGGACAAGAGAACGAGAAGAAGCTGTCAAGTTGGAGTAGCGGAATGATCATCGGGGCGCCAAACAGGCCGTGACGTTGTGCGCTCATCATTACCATTAAGTTATCCGGTTTTCTTTAGGTTTTGCACTTTTGGCATCGTTGGAGTTGGCTCCTGTCAAAAGCTCCGAGCCAAAGAACAAGCGAAACCGAAGAAACCCAAGCGAGCAAAAGCTCAAAGCTAAAGGGTCTGGTCTCGCGATCACAGCAGCCAGTGCGGCGCCTTCGGATGGTGCCGCCCATCGATTTCGATCTACGAGGGCGCATCTTGATCCCTCTTGGCTACAACCCTTTCGGTATTCAAGCCACATCTAGACTGCGCTTCCAGCAGGCTATCCAGATCTTAAACCCGTGAGGAAATGCCCCAGTATCATGACGAAGATGGCAGTCGAGCAAAATGTACTCGTAGAGAGGCAACGCAACAAGATGATGCTCATGATCAGTTTCCGGGCCGTTTCCTGTTCAAGCATCCTTGCTCACCTGCAGCCCAGACGGGATGGAAAATGGAGATGCAAGAGTCAGTGGCGTTGGAAAGCGGCATCGTACTCGTAGATCAGACGAGCCTTGGTTAATGCAGAACAAGGGTCGGCCAAGAGGGAATTGGATGGACATTGGACACTGGCAAACAGGCCGTTAGTGGCGTATGCTGGATTTGTCCCTTTCCAAGTGGATTGACACCTGCCTGACAGCAGTCATTGTACTCCGTACCATGATACTCTACAGTACTGTGGGAGACGCCGCGAGCCTGCTCCCTGTCGCATTCTAGCTTCTTCAATGCCTTAAGTTCCAATCTATGCGGCAACTGGCAGCTTGCCTCACTGCAAGTTTCCCTTCAACCTTTCTTCGTCCTTCTGACCTTCAAGTCGCTCGCTTGCATCCAGCGATAGTATCCGTCGATATCCTTCGACCTTCTTCTCTGCTCAAGGGCACGATCTTCTTCCCCTCCGCAACCCGCAGTGCTTTGCTCAGACGAGACGGCGCACACAGACCTCCGTGCCCGCCCATGCCTGGTTGGCTTTACTGATCGCAGGTTGTTGGCTACTAGTATCCTGCACCCCGACCTTTAAGTCCAAAAACGTCGCAGTTCTTGATTCGGCCTGGTTAGTCTCATTCTCCGACTTCTTCCTGAACGGCTACCAAAACACTGTATGATGCATGTATTTGCATTTGCATTTCCATTCATGCCTATCACTCTGTCCGCCTTCTTGACGTGGCACGGACTTCAGCTGACCCAAGCGTTCCAGACCCGAGCAGCATCCTGAACCCCACCCTCACCAGACTTCTCCCAAGGGCCTTCTCGAGCCCAAAACGAAACGCTGCAAATCTCGACAATCTCCTCTTGCCGTTACACACGAGTGCCTCCGAGACACTGCGAAACGATCTCTGCGTGACAAGCATCGCTTTTCTTTACCAATCGATCGGCCAAGCGATGAGATAGAGCACGGGGTCGGTCCTTGCTTCAAGTCCGCGGACATGACGGCCGTCGATCCCAGCGGGCCTTTGGTGGCAGAGAGCATCATATCTGCGGGCAAAACAAATTGGAATTTAATGCATGCGAATTTGCAAACATGGAAAGCCCCTGCCAAACTTCTCGATGACGACTCCTACAACACCACGGTCCTACAGTTGAACCCCTCGACGTCCGAGGATGATCTTGACGACCGGGTTGCGCTGGAGGCACAAAGTCTCGGCTTGTTACCACATTCTGTTGTGTCGGACTTGGTTGCTATCACCTCCTCCCTGTCTACGGTCACGGTAGCTTCCGACTCCATCAACCAGAGCTCAATCCAATCCCAATCTACAGGCCAGATATCCTGTGCTTCGAGTGATCACCGTCCGCTTACGCGATCGTCTCAAGTCTCCGACCGCTCGCCTACACACTCCGAATCTCCTTCATTTCAGTCAGAAGGAGATACGAGAAGGAACTCGCCTTTAAGACGAGGCCTGAGGAAGATGACAGGATTTCGAAAGAAAAGATCAGGCTCGACAGCTCTTGCATCACCAACATTGACGAGCATCAGTAGTGATACGGACACACAACGCAGTGAAGAAGCATCCATCGACATGAAAAGCCCGTTGTCGATCAAGTCGAGCAAGAGTTCGTGGTCGCAACCATTGTCAGTCAGCAAGCCGAGCTATGAGCAACCCTTGCCCTTCGATGAAGATGCCACCAAAAGGAGCATTGAATGTCGACGCTTGCTGAACCTTCGAATGAGTCAAATGGACGAAATGGCGCGCTTCCTCGAGTTCCAGTCCTCTCTGATATCGAAGCTGAGGGCTCAGAAAGAAGATTTCAAGAGGCAGAGACAGGCGGACCACGAAAGGATACTTTCCGAGCAAAGCCTAAAGGTGAGTACTGTGCTAGCGTTTCCTTGGCTTCACTGACAATTATCAGAACGAGCAAGCCGTTGAAGAACTCGAAGCCCGTCAATTGGAGGAGGAGATGAAGATGCAAAAAGAGCATGAGCTGGAGAAGAGAGCCGTAATGGTGCGGCTGCGACACATGGAAGCCTATTGTCACAATCCCACGCCACCACCAGAGATCATCAGCCCGGCTTCCGGACGTTCATCAACGGATTCCAGCTTTCCGGAGAGAAGAGTCACGGACAAAGATTATCACAACCTTGCGCAACAATATCGTGAACGCGATGCTATGGATACCTTGCATACCTCCAAGATCAATGTCCTACGAGGCAGGCAGAAAAAGGCCGTCGAGAAATTGATGGCCAAAAAAGAGGGCGAGCTCAAAAAGTTGGAACTAGAACAAGAGAAACAGCTCCAGGCCATTGACCAAGCCTTTGGTGCCCAAGAAGCCGATCTGAGGTTGGCTCTCGAAGCGAAGCGTATCAGACTTGAAACGAGGTGGAAGACGCAAGCATTGATTGAACGGACCAAGATGGAGAAGGCCACGGGCTTGACTTACGCTCCATTGCCCGATGTCATCGCTATCGAGGATTCTAATGCTACAGGTCTCGCCCTTTGACGACCCCTGGACGCGACAATGATCTACTTCCGGCCCAGCATACCAGTGGTGGCTTCAGCTCTGTTGTTGGGCTCATGATGGCTTTTCTGAAAATTCTGGCGCAAGTTCATTTTCAAAGCTGTGCTTCACGCCGACAGATACCCCTTGCTTGTCTGTTCTTGTCGAATGTACCATACTAGTTCTGCGCTGTGGAGGTCACTGAAGGCTCTTGCAGGCGAGTGCCGACCTATAATGGAGATGTACGGTGAATGAGACGGAGAAGAATGAAAAGAAGCTAGCATATCACGCTTCAACGACTGCTACGAAATGTCGGTAGAACGGGTTTCAGGGCCAATATGTACACAGTATACGACAGTGATGAATGAGACGGAGTTCCAAAATCAGATGCCATTAATGAAGCTTTGTCGTCACAAGATTGACACGATACTCCTGTTCACTGGTCCCAGAGTATGTCGGAACGGAAAAAGAGATTCGCCGGCCGATCATGCAGCTACCGGATATGTTTGCCGGTCGCTGTGTTTACGTCATTCCTGCATAGCGTCATAAATATCAATAAACATCTTGCACCCTCATCCCATGCTTTAGAGGTTTGTGTATGACGACCAAGATCTGTCCCTGTTCATGCTTTAGCCTCAGTAATATCGAGTCAAGCTGCATTGAAACGTTCCCCCCAGAGATTAAGACACACTCTCGAATCTTTTACATCACGTCACAATGGCCGACCGAACCCAAGACAAGACTCACGGTGTGGTCAACGATGTGAAATCAGCCTTGAAGGGAATCAAAGGCACTGGCGATGCTATTCGTGGCACAGTCAATGAGTCTGTAGACACGGCGTTCAACGACAAGCAAGGAGTGGCTGCCAACCGTGCTGTCAAAGAACAGGGAGAAGCCAATATGAGAACCGCCGATCAGAAACTCAGTCAACCTCATAGTGCGGACACCACTTCATCGGGGCTTCGGACAGGAGGAGTGACTGGGGGAACAACCACCACCGCTCATGGGACCACTACCGGTGCTGGTGCTCATTCCGGAGGTGTGGGCAACTTGAGGAGTGATGTGCCTCAGACAGGACTTGGTGGGGAGCCTGCACCGACGAGAGAAAGATATTGAAGCAAAGACTTGTCTGTTGATGGGGACAAACATAATTCACCTGCTGTGTTTATGCACTGGCAGCTGCATGTACCCCAGCGCGACTGCCTTTCCACGGCCAGAAGCTCGGCGCTTTCCTCTAGCCCAGTTCATTGTTTACCCACATCTTTAATACCTGAATGTTTTTCAGGCTCGACACTCAAAGAAAGCAAGATCCTTCCTTCTCTCACGTTTTATCTCTCCTCGATCACTCTTCACCCGTCTTATTTCGTATCTTGTTCTTCATTGTCTCTTACCTTGACAAGCAACGGAAGAGAGGGATTGATTCTCTGATACAGTCTGGACTTTGGTGACCGAGCTTTGCTATCATCGAGGTAACGAGATCTCATCTTTCTCATATCTCGTTGTAACATCTCCTACAGTCCTTCTCCACTTGGCGGCCTCCTCGGACATCCCGTTAACCATGTTCGAAAATTACGAAGACAACACTGGGGAACAAGTGCCGCGCGCCTGGTCTCAGTTGCATACTCCTGTACTTGCCATGACAGTTGCCGGAGCCGGGAACTCGTCTTCGCCTGCATTGGGCCGGGACGGTGGTGCTTGTTCGCCTGTGCTTGGACATCCTGGCGTTGGTCCCGATGGCCCCCATCATAACTCCTCTTTGGTTCCCAATGTGAGTATGAAACACCGCGAACAAGTCCTTTACAAGCTCATCAAGCCACAGGCAACCTCGAGAGATTGTGCCACTCTACCTTCTACGCTGGTTGCATTCCCAGCACCAACTACCAACAACGTGGTTGATAACTTCCTGAATTCCTTCGACCCCTTTGCCTCTCAAGATGCGCCTTCGTCACGTACTCGTGCCATGATGAACCAATACCTGACACCGGCTGGCAGTAGTCCAGCATTACCAAATTTAGTCCACATCAAGCAAGAGGACAAGGAAGAGGCTGGCACACAACCAAATTCGTTCCTAAGCATTATGCAAGGTCAGCATTCAAAGTCGGGCTACTTTGTAGCGCCAATCAATGATTTAGAAAGAACACCACTTTTCTCTGGCGAAGCTCAACTTGCAATGGACAGCAGAGTGACTGATGTGAGCTATGAGAAAGTTGAGAAACAGCCGTGGTGTCCTCAATACGCTCTCTTGGGCATTCGAGAGATGACGTACAATGTCCCAGATGTCAATGTCTTTGAAGAGTATGTCCCGGAGAGAAACCTGATCTTCAGCAACACGCGGGCGCCGTGGTCGACCCTCGTTTGCGGCTCGGAAGAGGCAGGGACAAGCCATTCGCTCATTTGCACGCTGGAGAACTTGCTCTTACCTAAGTCGCCAGCTCATGTCAACCCAAGAGCATCGGCTGGTATGGTCTTCCATTGCGACGAGTGGACAAGCGACATTGCTATTCAGCCTTGTAAAGCAGCTTACCTTTGCTCAAAAGGAGTTTCGGTGCGCATCTTGGTGTCGCGAAGCAATTTTCGTGCCATGCACAAGTTGTACACGACTATGCCTGGACTTGGACCGGACGTTCCAACACCCACAGTGATTCCTTTGCAGCTGCAGCAAGAACAACTCAGCCTTTCGAGAATGATGACACTCATGACCGTCACTGATGAATCCCCAGGTCTCCAAGAAGTTGTTTATCGCATTCTGCGAGAGATGGCGCTCGAAGATCATCATGGAGGGGGGATCGATTATCTCGATTTCAAATCCAGACTGGCTCGTCAAGAGCTTGGTAACAACCAGCGTAGAGCTCTTCAAAAGCGACTGTGGTTAATTGACGCATTTGTTGCCGATTCTAAGCAGTCGCGAGACGGCAAGATGCTTCTTGAAGAGCTCTTTACACCCGCTCCCGGAACTTTGACCGTCATTGATCTGAGTTGCCCTTTCACAAGCGAGAAAGATGCTTGCGCTCTGTTCAGTGTCTGCTTGTCTGCCTTTGCGGAGAGTCGAGCACAATGCGGAAGGGTTTTAGCTGTCGACGGTGCTCACAAGGTCAGCGACCTCGCTACATTCCTCGTGATTCCGACTAACCAGCTTCTAGTTTCTCAAACAATCCATGGAAGCAGGAAAGCTTACTGATCAGCTTGTGTCGGTAATGAGCAAGCAGCAGCAGCTCGGCATCCATACAATTGTTACAACCCAAGAGCCGACTCTCGACCGTCGTCTCTTGAATCTCTTCGATGTCAAAATCGTTCATCGTTTCAACTCACCAGTTGGGACCCGCCTTCTTCAGGACCACCTCACAGGGCCCGCAGTAAGTCCTGAACAAGATCTGTTCAGGGATGCTGTCTGCCTACAAACTGATCAAGCTTTGATATTCTGTCCCACCGCTCGAATCCACCTCCAAGAAAGCACTACCGGGCAACATGCCGCGCAGCTGAAGACTGGATTTATCCGGGTCAAGATCCGCCCGTCCTTCACAGCTGTCAGTGAGGATGAGTTCATGGCATCAAGCGAACTTGACGAAGGAGAGGTGCTTGAGTACGAACTCGATTTCGGACCAATTCGACCGTTGGATACTTGCACCTCCAACGGAGTCCCGGCTCGCACAGCTGTTCGTGAACACAATCGACCCACCAGACCTTCCGGTTTGGCACCAGCATCCCGACAAATGGTGAACCATTTGCAACAGGCAGCAGCTCCTCCAGCTGCGCCACCGACGGCTTCACCAGGGCGGCCTCAAGGTCCCTCAACTGTCAGAGCTGCACCTGCTCGAGTCACGAACCGTGATCATCTCGTAGCCTGCTTGCGATCCGAGACCACGAACTTGCTCCGCCAAAATCCCAAGGCCATCTCTTTTACCCTTGCTCGCAATGCTGCCGCAAGAACAGCCGCTGTACACGAAGAATTCTTTTACCAGGGGAGATGGCTCAAGCTCAGTAGAGCGATCATACACGATCAAATTGTGAGCTCGTTAGTCCTGGTAGTGACGACGCCCGCTGACCTGCTTTTAGGATGCTCATGTCAAAGCCTATCACATTCCAAAACCGAAACTCAATTGAGTAAGAAAGCTGATTGTGAAACTTGCGTGGCAGATCTGCTTGCTGTCGGTGTACTTTATCGAGAACCAATATGCCAGAAAGCCTAGAGGAGCTTTTCCATTGTGAAAAGTCCATGATGTCGTCTCTATGCCCAACCGTGGACGCAGAGCGCACGAATGTTCGGGCACAGCGTTGTTTATGTCAAGCGCCGGTCAGGTTCAATCATCCCAAATGCCAGCGAGGCTGGTTTGCCTTAAGTGGTAACTTCGAGCCTGAGATGGAGGTCCAAGTACCGTGTTAGATGTCTGGGAACATTGGTCGAAGTAGAAGAAATGGAGATTGAGATTCATTGCCACTACGCCGTCAGCGGACTCGCGCCTCGTATCAAGAACCTTGTCACGAAATTGAACTATCCTTGGGTACATGCCGACCACGACAGTCGTTGCGCTTGGAACTCTCTTGATTGTAGAGATGTAGCTCGAGCGTAGGACAGATGCAGAAACAACGATAGCAAAGTCCTTTCGTCCTGTCGTGCTTCTTACGTAAGCATTCGCTCGACTCGCTTCCGCTATGTGCATTCTCCGCAGGGACAGAGCCGCCGCAGTCCGCCGCTCAGGAAATTCGAGCTCTCCAATGATAAATTTATCATCCAATTTTCCAGTATCAATCAATCCACTGTGAGTTTACAACATGTCTGGGAAGATGCCTCGTGCTCAGCAGGCTGTGCGGCGCCTTGCTTCACAATCAACACCGACCGAATCCAGGCCAAAGCAATTCTACAATGCTTTCTCGCCCGTCAGACCACCCACAGCACCGTCTTGTCGGCGGCAGCCTCTATCATCACAATGTCTGCAGCTGAGACAGTTTTCATCATCAGGCGCCAGACTAAAAGCCGGAGATAAGATGTACCATCGCACAGGCGTACGTATGCTCACTCGCGGTATGTTGACAATCCGTCCTCTCTGACTTGTGAGGTAGCCATTCTCATTCAGATCAGCGGGTCTATTCATCGGTGTCGGCGCCGCCATGGTCTTCTACTTTCAATATGAGAAAGCTAGATTGGAGCGCAAACGAATCGTGGAAATGAGCAAAGGTTATGGCAAGCCTAAAGTTGGTGGGCCGTTCACACTCAAAGATCTGAACGGGAATGATTTTACTGAGAAGGATCTTCTGGGGAAATATTCGATGGTACGTTCGCACATGAACATTATCAGGAGGCACACTGACGATGAACAGATATATTTTGGATTCAGCCATTGTCCGGATATCTGTCCAGATGAGCTCGACAAGATGGGTGAAGCCATTGACATTATTCAAGAGAAAGCACCAAACTGCATGCGGTCGATTTTCATCTCCTGCGATCCTAATAGAGACACTCCCGAAGTCCTTCGAAGATACCTTGCCGAGTTCCACCCTTCGATACAAGGTCTCTCGGGTACCTGGGAACAAACCAAGAATGTCTGCAAACAGTACCGGGTATACTTCTCAACACCTCCAAAGTTGGAGCCGGGCGAGGAAGACTATTTGGTCGACCATAGCATATACTTCTATGTGATGGATCCCGAGGGCGACTTTGTTGAGTGCATCGGTAGGCAAGATACACCAGAAAGCGCGGCTGCCATTGTGCTTGAGCATATCAGGGACTGGAAGAGGGAGGGCAAGCCCATTGACACGACACCTCTGCCGTATCTTGCAGCCAAGAACTCGGCGACAGCGGCCAAATGAGTCTCATACAGTATTTCCGCTGGTGGATAAATATGTTCACAATCAACACGCAGCCCCATGATGGTGAAGCTCCGGCGCGACCCGTGCTGTCCAAAGCAGCACGACGCCGTGCATTTACCAGCATCGCGGGCACCCGTATACTTCGAGAGCTTGAAGCGTTGGCAACAGGAAAAAGCAGAGATTAGAGGTTAGGATGTCCATACATCCAATTTACACGGCATGGCGATGGAGTACTCCGGCACATAAAACTCCGCTTCTCAGCAAATGTACTTTTAGATACTTAGTCACCAAAGGGAAATTAAGCATGTACAAAATAAAAGCATGGGTTGCAGTTGAGCCTCGATCTGTCCCTGGCATTTGAAGATCACGCCGTCTCTCATCTTGCATATGGCCGCTACCCAATCCCATTGCTTCCCAGCCACTTCAATTCTACTGCTGGTTGATGGAGTTCTGAGAAAGGAAAGTGGCCTGCCGGAAGGAGGGTGATGAGTATGCAGGGGAGAGGTTAGACACACAATTACTGCATCATGGCCGGGGTGAGTGGAAAGATGTTGAGAAAAAGGTGAGGCGGTGAGCATGAACGTGGCTCCATTGAGACAGCGAGGAAGTCGTGTTTTTGTGCGGATTTGGATATTATTTTCACGGCCAGCACACAAAGATCGGCTGGGAATGTTGGGCAGCGAATAACGTGTGACAGATCGAGGCTGGGGGGATGGGATGTTTACGAGTCAAGCAGAAATGGGTATTGCCTGGTTTCCACCCTCGAACAATCTGATACTCATAGTATCAGACGTTCCACAGCAATTAATTGATAGTTGGAGACCCGAACTTAGGGTACAATCGGTGGAATCTATGGGATTTGACGACCGTCGGCCCATGACGTCGGAGGGGGTTCGATTTCACTAAGTTAGCTGGCTCGGCTGCTAATCAAAAAATGCGCTCATATTCTGATGCCTCTCTTGCACGATACGCCAGAACTTTTCCCCGTGCGATATTGGACTAAGTACCGGTGGAATAATCTTTCGGTCCTGTTGCTATCTCCAAGATGAGTTATATGCAGAAGAGGAGCGCGAGGTGAAAGCATTTTTCCCCTTTCTCGCACACAGCTGCATCACGCAAGTGAATGGTAGACTCGCAACAGCGCACGCCTCCAGAACATCATGTCTGCAGCAGACAACCCTTCTGCCACGAATGGCACTGAAGCCACGACATCAACGAAGTTGTCCTCAATCCTTGATCCCGCCAACTTCCCTCAAACCCTCTCTTCCGAGACCATCTATATCTCCCTGGTCTACGATCCACTTGACAGCCAATCCTATCTGCGCTTCACCCGCTCCCCCACTGCCGGTGCCAACGTTCTCTTCCTCGGAACCACCCGCAACAACTTTGACTCTCGGCCTGTCTCACGGCTGTCATACTCAGCCTACCCATCCCTGGCTCTAAAATCACTGTACTCGATCGCTGAGGATGTGCAGAAGAAGCATAGGCTCGAGAAGGTCGCGATCGTGCACCGGCTGGGTGAGGTTAAGATCGAAGAAGAGAGCATTGCAGTTGCCGTGAGTAGCGGGCATAGGGCGAGCGGCTGGACCGGGGCAGAGGAAATTCTGGAGAGAGTGAAGGCGAGAGCGGAGATCTGGAAGAGAGAGTGGTTTACTGATACTGGGGAGGTGGAGGAAGGGGTTTGGAGGGCGAATAGGGATAGGGATGGGCAGGGGAATGTCATCAACAACAATACCTGATCATCAACCTACCTCAGCAATGGGGCTATCATGGGCGTAAGCCGAGAACAACAGTTTTTCGACATTGACGTGGCCCCAATATCGAAAAGGCATGGCGAAGTGCAAGTCTCGACTACCTTATGCGATGTGGTAGCCTTGCTACACCTACATCAAGGCTTGGCGAGAAAGCATACCGACTCTATCATTTCTGCCGTTCTTCACCCTTCAAATATTAAAGAAGTGCAATTTCTGCCAACAATTCCTCATCGGTGTCTGGTCAAACTAGCATTCGGTTAGGGGCGTACTAGTGACGAATTGTTGTCGACATTAACCACCAACAACACAAAATTCATCCGGGTTCGACTCTCACTGTTGGCTATAGTACGTCACATGATTACTTTCCAACTAGAAGGCTGCTTTGCGTCAGATGGGGGGAGGGTGATTCTGGGGGGTATGAGAGCGCGCGCGGACAAGAAATAGGTGGACTAGCGCTGATATGGAGTATACAATTGGGATACAACGGGATTTACAATTTCAACAACTACTACCAACAGGATCCGGATCGAAAAAACCACCTAACCACTAGGGAGTTTCCCTCACCAGCCACCGTCTAGGAACACCAGTTCCTAGGCGCTGGCTGGCAGAGTTTTTTGTCTTCGTTCAATGCTCGGAAGTTGGTAGGGTGTGAATAAGATTTTGCCTACTCAGGCCCTCCTGGACACGATCAAAAGGCCACGCCAAATTCACGGACGAGGGAACGGGCTATCTACGCCGGCCACCGTTTCGCATATCCCACTGCTCCTTTCTAGCTCCTTGCCCGCGATGGCACAGGCGGCGCTATCAAATCCACAGATTGGGTAATATATCGGCAGACGAGCATCTCAGGAAAGTTCTCGTCATAGCTACTCAACCGAGACGCTCGTGCAGAAAGGTGGGCTCGAAGCCATGACGACTCTGAAAGTAGAATGGTACGATATATAACTGCTTGCTTCTATGCCGTGGAAGCAGGGGTCGTTATCTCTAGAACTGACGGATTTCAGGTGGTTGGGAGTTTAATCACAAGGTCCTCCAGACAAACGTCTTCGCTTGAAAAAGTGCCGCCCTCGAGCTGTTGATGGTATACGGGTAGACCAGCAACAGCTTCGCCATCCGAGGGCAACCCTCAAAATGGCTGTCGTTGCTTCGATGGCGAGGCTCGTTGGCGCACTAACGTAGCCGCTGTCGATACTGGATTCAGATAGCATTCCCGGGCTTAGGAGATGCGCTCCGCAGACAAACACAGGATCGCGACAATATGTAAGAGCTGTCAATGAGACGAGCAATGGTTCAATTCCTTGGAGGACGATACGTGGTCAAGGAAACTGTGGTGTGAACCTCCTCGTTGGGTCTAGGCCACCATGCAGATGCGATGACTCAGCTGGAGGAAGCTCTGCAAAGTAGAATTACATATTTTCTTCTCGGCTCGGTGCCTTCATTCTGCTTGCGAGCTTCTCTAATCGGATGTCATCAACGGCCACCACGGTCGAAACTATCAAGCTTACCGAACAGGTTCTTCGCAGTGCTGTGTTGGAGAATCTTTGGCCAGATAGCATAAGAAGAAGGCGCAATTGAGCCAATAACGAACCCTGTAATTCTGAGCAATCATGCATATTGCGGTTGGTCAGAACAAGATCATAACGTCACAGTGCATCGAGCCGACCTTTTCGGCGGTCGTGCACTCATGTGTACACGTGTGTACTACTCGTAAGGTGCATTCCATTCAATGCGAGAACGATATGCACTTAGTCACGCCCCGTTGCTACGTGAGGCATAGGAGGTCCAATAATCAAAAAGGACCAAGAGCGCAAGGGCTTAGGTGGTGGAGGCCAGAGCTGAAAGTGAGAGGTTGTGACTACATTGTATGCAGCCCAAGCATGTGAGGATTGCGCCGTCCGTCAACCATAAGTCTGGTGACGAATGATGCGTCATGTCGAGGTCTGGGGTTGCAAGTTGCAGCCCTACAGGGAAGACCCTGCGGCTGATTTCGTGCTTATTTGCATTGGCGACTTTGGACGCCTGAGGTATCAATCACTACAGTATACTCAGTGTGAGTTGTGGGCCATTTAGGCCAGCCTGTACGGCTGTTCACAGTCAGCCGCAAGCCCAAGATCCGAGGAATGCTGACGAGCGTCAAGACTTGCAGGAGGCATCATCATCAAGCGTCACTGAGCATCATAGATAATCTCGTGAAGCACGGAAAAGACGGGATTCCAATCGAGCTTGGTGGAGTTATCTTTTTATAGCGATCGGAGCGCAAGGGTGGGAAGGATCAAGCCCAGCTTGGCATTTCGCATTCTATGCCGCAATTGGTGAAAGCTGGAGGATTGTTTTCTCAAGTCGCAGGTATCGATGTACCACCATCACGGCATTCCAATGATGCCATGATTAGCTTTTTGCCCGCTGGTGCCACTGTTACATATTCGTGTCATACAGAGACTTCTGAGTCGGAGCGGGGCTTTTGTTTACCGATCGAAAATACGAGCATGAGGGAAAGGCTCTGGCCTCTACTGTCGGTTTATCATGGGGAGCTGAGACGGCATGGTCGCATGTCTGATACGGTACTCCGTAACGGTCTAAGCGTTGTCAGCAAGGCAGATTTCCCCGCTTGATCCAGCTTTTGAAGTGGTTCCACGTTCGTGTGGCGGACGATATCACAAGCCGTAGTGTCCATTTGGGAGTGGTGTCCCCATCATGCACGCGAGATACCGGTGCTCGGGCTTGCTGCCGTTGGAAGAGTACGATTGATTCTCCGCGAGCCCGTCTACCACGAGTATGTGCACGAGCGCCCATTCACATCTATCGATCTTACCGGCCTCTCTTAGCTGGGTTCAGAGCGCTCATAGGTTCGACAGAGAAACATGGCTGCAGGAATCCTTCAGTAGAGAGTGGTACAGCCAGACGGCAAGCATGGCCTGGAGGTTGTGGCCGACCTCAGAAAGACACATGGTGACCAATGTTACTGCTTACGAATGCTACTGTACGTACCTAGGTAGGTACTCCGTAATAGTGCAGCTTTCGGCGGAGAGCTTCCGCATGAGCAAGCTACCGAGGTGATGACATTTTTAGCGCAACATGCAACAGGTGGATAGTTGAAGAGCTCATGGCCAGTTTCAGATGTGATGGAGAGTGCGACAGAAACCATCACCGGAAGATAGGCGAGGGGTCAGAACTGATAGGGACGATAAAGGAGGCCGAAAAGGGATTTCTGCTCCCTGGGACCTCAAGGTGTGGTTTCGCCTTCGAACAATTTCGCTCGGGGCGGTGGTGTGGCGATCGCACGACGAAACACAGCAACCTAGGCGAAAAGCAGTGATAGATAATCTCTGCTCAAGGCTGGATCGGTGGTGAATTCAATTGGCGATGGAGATGGTTATTGTCAGGAGGTCGCCAAGACTGCGAGCAGAAATTGGAGGTGAGAAAAGGAGCTGCTGAGGATGATGAGGCTCAAATTGCCTTACGCAAGCAAATCCGGGGCAACCGAGTCTCTAGAGTTTCTGGACCATCTGTTTGTTGTTGTTTATTATTGATTCTGGCAACTTGGACCATGGGTTCGGACAAGAAGATGATTGTGCGAGCCGCTCCCAAGCTGAGAGATGTGAAGCTCGAGCACGCTGTGTATTTGCCTTTACATGAAATGAAACCTACATACCATGGTATTTTCCGGCTAGGAGGGAATAGCCAGATCAGAGGCATGAAGGATTGGCTATAGATTGGCCCGTTAAACCCGTTCAGGGCAATGAGGCGTCGCTAGCCCGGTGGTCGGGCGATAAAGGCCGTGGAGGAGCAGCCAGGTCGAAACAACGGGGGGGGGGATGAAATTGCGGCGCAGGCACTAGCGAGACACGCTACGGACTCATAATTAGCAACAGTGGAGGCACTGGAGGTTTGCGACCTTTGGGGTGGCCTGAACTCCGATCAATGGCCCCGATATCGACCAATGCTTAGGCCCTGTCCCTGCCAAAGCCTCCGCTAAGGCTGTCGACATCTTCTGATCCTTCCCCACCTGCCCGAATACGAAATCTGCATTGACAACTTGTTTTTCCCTCCTGTCCTGTCAGTGCTCTTGTTTTCAGCCTGCTACTGCTGGGCGGTTGCGATGCTTTGTGTGTCGAATAATACTGGCTTCAACGAGCACCCGAGTGGGAATTAATCTTCCTTTATGTCTCTGGGGAAAGCCTGGCGAGGGAGGATGATAATGGTGGCCAGTAGCTCGAGGATAGGCGACTCTCCGTATCGTACCATAGGACTCCGTACATAGTAAGGTACCTTTCTGGACGTGATGACGATACGAAGCCAGTCGGATCCTGCAATACTTGCCTCACCGCACGGCAGCTAACACCCGTGTGAACCATTCATCAGGCTGAAAAAACGCCCCGGGGAAATTCATGACCGCCGCCTCTCGCAGGCCTAGTACCGTTGCGTGCACGATGCGTTCCAAGCCTTCTACCACGATACTGTGCATGATTTGGCCTTCCGGTATCAGGTGCCGAGAGCGTGTCATATTCGTGCGAGGTCGACCTGCAATAGACTCGCGGGTCAAGGCGTAAATGGTAGTAACGGCCTGCAGTGTATCTGACCTTGGGCCGCTCCGTATGGAGACTCCATGATGGCCGTCCGTCTCATCATCCGACTCACCGAGCGGCGAAGGCGAAGTCGTCCTAGATTGAGCCTTAGGAGCAAAGCCTCCCATTCTAAACTCGGGCCTGAAAAAGCTCATCCCCTCCCAAGGCTCCCTCGCAGCTATGGAATTGGGCCTCTATTCCCCTTTCGTTTTAACCTCTGATCCCAAGGGGCCCGCAAAAAGCCAGCCAGCAACCCAGCTCGCCAGCCCGTCTCTGGCTCTCCATTCCTCGTCATCTCGCTCATCTTGCGGATCTTTTCTTGTCTCCCTTCCTCCCTCCTCCTGGCTTTCCAATACCCTCTGACCCAGACGCTCGCTCACACAATACACCACACACCCGTTCCACCTTTCCCGGTTCTTTTGTTGTAATATCTTCCCTGACCCCCATCTTTTCCCAACCACATCACGCTCGTTCACTTCCACGCTTCCAAACCTGGCGGCTCCAAGTAGTTGGGACAGCTGGGAAGTCGCCCAAGGATACGACTCTGGCTCGCGTCCCTCTTCGTTTCAAGTCCATCCACCTCAACCTCACCACCATCCTCGCTCGACCACCTTGGCTGTCTATCCTGACAGCAACAGCAACAATAACAACAACCCCGCCGCCGCCGCCATGGAGGACGACACGCGAAGCAACAGTGGTCAGACGCTGCGTCCCTTCTCCCAACCCGCAATAAACTCGAGATTCCCTTCGTTAAGACGCCTGAATTCCACCGAACCCTACCGACATCGATCGTTACCTGCTGAGCCTTCACCTGGCTCCGACCGTGCCAGCAGTGAAATCACCTTCGCCGTTCTTTACGACGATGGCCCTGACTATCATGTCGGCCATTATGACGAGGAAGGATCCATGAGGACAGCCCACAACGGACGCGACTCGATCAACTCTTTTGCCCCTTCCTTCCGCACTCGCGACTCAAGGATGGTCAGCGACGACCATTACATCGGTCAACATCCAGACTTTGTAGCCAACCAGCGGTTACTGGCAGAAGGTTACCTCAATAATAATGACTCGTATTACGACCAATCCGTCCCTCGTTATCCCACACAATCGGAAGAAACATTGGCTATGAACGCACTACATAATACATATGGACGCGATGAAAAGAGACCCCTTTCACAACAGATGTCTCCACCCATGGACCGTGCCCAGAGCAAACATTCCCACGAGTCTTGGTGCACTTGTGACGAAGACCATGGACACGGCTTGGGCATGGGCATGAGCGACAAGAAGGATCCAAGCAAGTTTGATCTGGAAGGTCAGAATGGTCCTGCCACGCCTACGCCTTTCCTCGCTCAAGAAAAGGGTCCTGGCGGCCCTGGTGGACCACCTGGCGATGATAACCCCTACAAAGTAAGCTTGAGCTCACACCTTTAGCAGAACCAGATGGCTAAGCACGCGTGCAGGTACAATTCAACGGTCCTACTGATCCACTCAACCCTAAGAACTGGCCTTCCAAGCAGAAGTGGGCAGTCACTGCTCTCACTGCGTCATTTACTTTCCTCTCCCCTCTGGCTTCGTCTATGGTCGCCCCAGCGCTTCCTCAAATCAAAGAAGACTTCGGCATTTCCAATACGATCGAATCGCAGATTGTGCTGTCAATTTTCGTCCTGGCTTACGCAATCGGCCCCATGTTCCTAGGTCCTCTTTCTGAGTTGTATGGACGTGTCATCATTCTCCAATCGTCTAACGTGGTCTTCCTGGCCTTCAACATCGCTTGTGGTTTTGCTCAAACGAAGCAGCAGCTTATGGCTTTCCGTTTCTTATCTGGTCTTGGTGGGTCTGCTCCCCTCGCTATTGGTGGTGGTGTGCTCGGAGATCTATTCAAACCAGAAGAACGTGGAAAGGCCATGGGTATCTATGCTATGGGTCCTCTCCTTGGTCCTGCCGTCGGTCCCATTGTCGGTGGTTGGGTCGCTGAGAAGTCGACCTGGCGCTGGATGTTCTATGCAAGCTCCATCGCCAACGTTTTCATCCTCTTGGGTGGCTTCTGGAAACTCCGCGAGACATATGCGCCTTACATCCTCCACAAGAAAGCCAAGACGATCCGTCAGCAGACCGGCGACAATCGCTACCGAGCAGATGGCGAAGGAGAGGTCGACCAACCCGTCTGGAAGAAGATCGTCAAGACAATGGGTCGATCATTCGGCATGCTGTTTACCCAACCGATTGTCCAGGTCTTGGCTGTTTACATGGCCTTCTCCTACGGTATCCTCTACCTCGCCTTGTCCACCTACTATGAGCTTTTCCTCACGAGATATCACGAAAGTGTTGGTATTGCCGGTCTCAACTACATCTCTCTTGGTCTCGGCTTCTTCATCGGCGCTCCTGTCTGCGGAAAGTCTGGTGACAAAATCTACCAGAAACTCAAAGCCAAGGATCCCCGTGGCAAAGGAAAGCCCGAATTCCGTATGCCCCTGGTCATTCCATTTTCGCTCTTCGTCCCTACCGGGCTGCTGGTATATGGATGGTCCGCACAGGCGCAGACTCATTGGATCGTTCCTAACATCGGCGCTTTCCTCTTTGGCATTGGCACGATCGCCGCGTTCCAATGTGTTACCACCTACCTCGTCGACTCCTACGGTCCCCTCGCTGCCTCTGCTGTAGCTGCAGTCACCATTCTTCGGTCATTGGCTGGTTTCGGCTTCCCACTGTTTGCACCTGCCATGTACAAGGCCCTCGATTATGGATGGGGTAACACTGTCTTGGCTCTTGCTGCCATCGGTATCGGTACTCCAGTGCCGATCCTGTTGTGGATCTTTGGCGAGAAACTCAGGAAGAAGAGCAGTCTCACAATGAAGGGTCCTCCTCCAGGCAAGGGTGGCCCAGGAGGTCCAGGAGGACCTGGCGGCAAAGGTCCGGGTGGTCCTGGAGGCCCCATGGGTGGCAAAGGTCCCGGTGGTCCTCCAGGAATGGGACCCGGTGGTATCCCCAGCGGCCCTCCGCCTCCCTTCCCTGGTGGCCCATCCAAAGGTCCTGGCGGAAAACACTAACCGCCCTGATTTATCGCGACATGAAACGACATCAAAAGAAAATGAGCCAACAGCATTATATTAATATAACCAACCACCTTCACCACAACCTTGTATCTATGTCGCCATCTGTTGAAACTTATTCATATGTCATGAGCGGGACTGGCGTTTTGGTCTGGGTTTACCCTGGAACGGGAATCTCCTATTTGATGTGCGCAAGAAAGGGCTGGCATATGGGAATGCACCCCTTTCTACGTCATATGCTCATTGGATTTGGATCAGTCATCCAATGGGGTAATGTCTCTGTTTGAGAAGAATCGAGGTGAAGAGCGGTGGCAGGTGTGGAAGGATTGATTTGAACGGAGTGACCTGGCTTGGACGTGGGAACGGGATATGGAGAAGATGGAGAATATGGAGACGAAGAGATGGGAATCTTTATTATCTTTTCCTTGTCGTCGTTAGAAAAGGAGCGCGAATACGACTCGAGTTCGAAAGTGTCATCTTTTCTATCATATACATAAAAGCTCCATTATATCACTGAATTGACAGCTCAAGACAGCAGGGTACGACAGCAAGGCAGTATGGAAATTGGCAAGCAGACAGTCGAGGAACCCGGTGATTCACACGCTTGGAGCTGCGCAAACTGGGCGTCCGCCTAGACCTTACTTGACCTGACTTGGTCTGTGGAGGGTTTACGGGGTAGGTTGAATCATTTTCGCTATTGCATCCAGGTTCATTACATTCCGTCCATGTCTGGAGTTGCGAACACACCCAAGGCGAGACAGAACGTTGCGAGGCGAGACAGGTGGGATTCGATGTGGCTGTGCTGGTAGGAGAATGAATGGTGCTTACTCCGGACTTTTTGTCTTTTCCCTGCTCTTCACTACATGTGTACCGACTAGAGTACTAGTATCGTGCTATGCGGAGGGTACGAGTACGAGACATTAGACTCCGGAGGTGAGGCCAAGCAATTCGACTTACTATAGTAATTCAATGCCAGCCCAGTCGATTCCTTCCGGCAGGATGGTTCGTGCATGGGTGGAAGTGGGACTCGGATATACCGCGTATTAGCTAGCGAAGGATTGCAGATGCGGGAACGCGCGCGGACGGACGAGATTTGGGGGCCCCGACGACTACCTAGGTAGAGTCGCTGGCAAAAGTCATGCACCTGGAGTGGCAGAGCTGTTTCTCCGTCGCGGATACGAAGGACGTGCGTGTCTGAGACTGGGCCCCCAAGACAAGAGGACTCGAGGGTGGCCTTGAGACCGAGGGTGGAGAACTCGTCGTATACAGTTTGTGAATGATATGAACTCGACTTGGGGGAAAGGGAAAGAGAAAGGAAAAGATTGTCCGTGACAGTTTGGTTGGTGGGTGCATTGCGTACGAGTACCTACTACGTAGGTATTTGGCGAGGCTGTCATCATATTTTACGTGTACCGGAGCGTTGGTTCCTCATGGAGTAAGAGTACGAGTACTCCGTACTTACCATGCCATAAGGTACGTAAGTAATAAGTGATAGGACATACTCGCAGCATAGTATGTGTTGAGGCATCCCACGAGCAATGTTGAGGCTTAGTTAGGTGCCGTCGTTACCCGGACGGCCGGGTCGTGTACTACCTACTGCGTAGTATGATGAACGTCCCTTGACTTTGACTGATACAGTATGCACATGTCGGATAGACCGATCGGCGGGTGCGAGGCTGAACAAATAGCAAGGCTTGTGTCGCTACGGAGTATTTCGGACAGGAATAAGACAAGGATGGGGTCACTATGAGAATTGACCTTCAAGCTAGGGTGTTAGATACCTGCGAAGCAGCACAGCTTTCTAGTTACCCAGGTAGATCAAGTGAGGAGGATAAGTAACTGATACATCGTACACCCAGCACTTTTGCTAATTTTCCATGAATACATCAATACACGGAGATATCACCAGTCAGCTTGTCACCCTGACGCGCTTTGTTCCCATTTCCAGCTCTCAGAAACACCTCGAAACGCCGTAGACCCGAAAGTAAAACAGACAGCCGCCATCCCATGATCTATTTCAATCGTCAATGTAAGTTACGTCAGAACTCCGTGCGCCCAGTTTCTCGCTGAAGGCTTCTCCCAAGCAGGAGCGGTTGATCTCAAGTATAACGCCAAATATCAGTAAAAAGCAAGGTCGCACCAGGATAAAACATTGACAAGAAGGGGATAAACGGAATTGCATCCATAAAACGAATGCGACATCTGATAAGAGCATGCATACGTCGCCACGAGACCTGGAGCAATTGCAGCGTCAGGCGCTTAGCTGGGTCCAGTGACCGAAACAGACGGTAAAGGAGCCCCGTCGCTTGCGTTCCTGGCGTGGGTGGCATTGACGTTGGGAGTGACATTGACAGGTTCAGTCGACATGAATGTCGGCATGGAAGGGATGCCAGTCTCTTGGTCCACAGTCGCAGCCTTGTTTTCCGTCAAGCGCTCTTCGTCGACGGACTGAACCATCGCTTCGTCATCATCGGAGGAAGGTTTCTTGCCTGTGATTTTACGCACAGTACGTTTCGAGAACCGCGAGATGGCTCGGAACACCTGCGCGACGGGGTGGAAGATGACGTGCAAGACCTTCGAGATCGGTCGGAGGACGACGGTCATGGCACCAACACTCCCGTTGAAGACGACTGCGAACCAGGCGTCAGGGAAACAGCGGACCAGGACACCCCAGAGCAAGCATGGCAATGCGGTGAGGAGTGAGATGGCCCATTGCACACCGTTCAGTCGAGTGATGCTGAATGCCTGACCACCGACGAAAATGATCATGATCTGTCCACCGACCATGATACAGTTGATGCCGATGAACCAGAAGTTGCGGTGGATGCCCTCGAAAATGTTGAACTTGTTGTCCAGCCGGCGGTTGTTGAATTCGTTGAATATCTGCATCCAGACAAACGAGTTGAAGACGATGGTGTTCAGTTCGATGCGTTGGTGCATTTCGTAGCTGAAAATCGACATGCCCGCGAAGTACAGAATGAATGTGACAACAAGTTGGTAGATGGCTTGACCAATGATCATTTTCCACATGTTGATGGTGATCAGAGGCTGGGACTTTGGCTGAGGTGGTCGGTCGAGGATCTTCTTGGTTGGTGCGTCAGTCGCGAGTGCCAAAGCAGCGAGCGTGTCCATAATCAGGTTCACCCAGAGAAGCTGTACTGCTGTAAGCACAGAGTGGTTCGAGTCACTAGACACGGCGGACACAAAGGTCAGGATCACAGCTGTGATGTTGACGGTGATCTGGAATTGTAAGAACTTCTTGACTGCGTCGTTGACTGCGCGTCCCCACATGAGGGCGGTGATGGTCGAGGAGAAATTGTCGTCGAGCAGAATGATGGAGGATGCTTCCTTTGCGACTTCTGTGCCAGCAATACCCATACTAAAACCGACGTCGGCCATCTTCAAAGCAGGGCCGTCGTTGGTGCCATCACCCGTAACAGCGACAGTTTCGCCCAAGTGCTTCAGACGGCTGACCAGAATGCGTTTGTCCTCTGGCGACGAACGAGCTAGGACTCGCAGCTTTGGAAGCATGGCGTCCATTTCTTCGTCCGAAAGTTGCCGAAATTTGGGACCTTCCATAACAATGCCAGACTCATCAGGACGGAGGATACCACAATCGACAGCAATGGCGCGGGCCGTGGTGATGTTGTCGCCGGTAACCATGCGAACCACAACGCCAGACTGTTGGCATTGAGCCACAGCCTCGACGACACCTTCTCTAAGAGGATCTTGGATACCGACGACGCCTACCCAGGTCATGTCATGGAAAACATCGTCAAACACGACCGATTTGGGATCCTCCTCGAGCGTCTTTGCGCCAGCTGGCGGCCATTGAGGGAAGTCCTTGTATAGTATACCGATGGTACGAAGGGAAAGTTGTGCGTAATCGTCGATGGTGGCAGCAATAGTTTCCACATCTTCAGCCGTCATATCGACCACTTGGTAGGGCCTTTCATGTGCATAGATGCTGGAGACAGTTTGGGTTGCTTTTGAAAGCATGATCTCCGCTGCCCCTTTCACGAGCAGTCGGTAGCCACCATTGTGTTTGATGACAATGCCCATACATTTCCGGCCGGAGTCAAACGGAATGAGCTGCTTGACCTTGTAATTTGATCGCTCGGTGGCCAGGTGCTCCAGACCAAGTTGTTCTTTGGCAAGGGTGAGCATTGCCACTTCTGTTTTTGAACCAATGAATGTTGGAATGCCTTTCTCCTCGCCTTCAAATGCTGTACTGTTGAGTGTGATGGAGAGGCGAAGCAGCTCCTTGAATTCTGCGCCCAGCTTGGTAAACATATCTGCGAAAGAAGCCGGCGATGGCTTTTCGCTGTTGGAGGCCGGCGAGGCCGCAAATTGCTGGTCTGGTCCAAGTGTACCAGCAACAACGGTCATCTTATTCTGCGTCAGTGTACCGGTTTTGTCAGAGCAAATCGTCGTGGCATTGCCCATGGTCTCGCAGGCCCGGAGGACCCGGACAAGATTGTTTTCTTTCAACATTCTTGTCGTCGCAAATGCAAGCGCCAGAGTGACCGCTAGAGGCAATCCTTCGGGGACGGCCACAACGATGACAGTAATGGCGACGATCAGAATATCCAAGAATTCTTGCGCTTTCACAGGACCCGGACGATCGTCGGAGGACAAGTTTGTGAGGAACTTGATCAGGAGCACGAAGAACAAAAGAACAGCAGCAGATGAACCGAGGCCACCAATCCAATTTGCTAGCTTTCCAAGCTTGACCTGCAAAGGAGTTGGGTCATTGTTGGTTTGTAGACTCATCAAGATTTTGCCGTAAGAGCTGTTCGTGCCAACGCTGGTAACAAGGTATGTGCCGACACCTTCAAGAACTTTAGAACCGCTGATGATGAAAGGATCCAACTTGGCAGTCGCTGTGCCATCTTGGATACGTTGCCAGACTTCCTCACCAGGAGTCTTCTTCATCTGGTCGGACTCGCCAGTCGCAGAGGACTCATCGCACTTGACGCCGTGGCCGGAGATAAATACACCATCGGCAGGAATGGCGTCACCAGGTTCGAGGTGAAGCACATCACCCACTGTGATATCGTGGACAGAAATCTGGATCGATTTGCCGGACCGAATAACCTTGACTTCTCGATCGTCTTTCCTCTTGCTGAGCTTAACAAACTGCCGCTCTTTTTGCCAGTCATTTGCGGCACCCACAGTGACAACAATGGTGATGGCAACGCATATAGCGACACCTTCAACCCATTCGACGCCGGTGCCTGCGTCGACGGTTTCGTAGATACCCAACGCCAACGAGATTACCGCCGCAATCGTAAGAAGAATGAGGATTTTGTCGTTATAAGCCCTCCAAATCAGGACTAGAATTCCATCGGGCTTGCGTTCCGGAAGCCGATTGTCTTTGAAAACGCGTAACCGATCGTCAAACTGATTGCTTTTTGACTCTCGTTGCTCAGATTTCGCTGGTGCGGAGGACAGTGGTATATCTGCAAAGGCTTTACCGTTGCCGGCTGCGGTTGCTTCCTCGAAAGACACGCATCCATCTAGGCGATTCTCGTCGACTGATAACCCGGCCGTGAGGCTCGTTCGGAGCCCTTTCTCAAGCCCTCTCAAGCCGCCAAGAGCTCTGAATGCTGAAAGTGATTTCGGATTGAGGAGCTTGTTTAGCTGACCGGGAGAGAAGGCAAAAGGATTGTTCTGAACCACAAAATCCTTCTCGTTGCCCTTGTCCGGTCGCAGGGCGTCTTCTGGAGATTCATACTCGAGGCTAGATTTGGAATAGGCGGTGGCAGAAGAGGTCGCGGAAATTCCGGAGTTGGATCGAAGCCGAGTCGAGCCATCGGCCGATTGCGAAGTTAGCGTTGCCCCGTCGAATGCGTGTTTGCGTTCTGGTGAGGTCGGAGACAAGTATGAGCTTTCATCCACGGCCGACTGAGGTGGTGTTGACATGCTAAGTCCCCTTCTGTGACTCGATGGCGTATCGTATTCTGACAGATTCTATGGCCACAGTTAGTAACTGAAACACGACGAACCCAAGCATGGGATGTGTGTTATACCACATACCGATGTGTCCAGGGTGATTTTGGGCGCCGATGGATTGTGGCCTGCCATATTTGAATATGACGGAAGCCGCGATAAGCCTAGAGTAAGATGCTAAAACTCGAAAAATATGGCAGATAGCATGACCTCTTATTCGGCCTTGTTCGAAATGAGCCTCACGGTCGCGAATATGGGTTGTACTGGAGGTAGCTAGTGCGAGGCGACTGAGCATATAAACATGAAGAGAAACGAGAAGTTTGCCTTGCGATGATACAAACCTTGAGCATGTCCAACGCGGGCAGTGCGTGAGGGCTGGCAATTGGAAGGTCCCATGTTGTTGAGCTGCCCAGAAGGGGGCAGTGCAAAGTAGGTGCAGTCTGGGCAAACGACGCAGTTACACAGGCTGGTTGCCCCCCCAGTTTTGATGTTTGAGCAGGCGCCCAGATTGCAAGATCCGAAGGTTGGTATGTGGGGTGATTCATCTGTTTCAATTTGGCGCCTTATCCACGGCGATGATATGTGGTTGATTCACCAGCATTATTTGGCCCCTTTAAAAAGTGTTTGTTGGGAGAACATCGGTTGCCTTTGGCGCCTTATACGAATCGGTATAGCCACGTACTCATCCATATAGCTTCACCAGGTCTTAAGGTTGAGGATGGCTCATTGTCGCTGGTTCACAGATCTCATTCACCCCGTGACCGAACAGAATCCGAGACCGTACCAAGAAAACATGGTTGCCACTGTCGATAACAAATTCTGTCATCACTCTGGATTTGGGGCTTGGCCGAGGATCTGTCACTCCTTGGCTTCTTGTCTGTTCTCTTGGACTGCGTCATTCAGCTCGACGAAAACGATGGCATTTGGGAAGATTATTGCCTGGATAGTCGAATCATTGATACGTGGACACCACGAAGGAGAAAAATGATGCAGGCTGAAAGATGATGAGATTTGGGCACTTAGAATTGATTGCCTGAATCGAAGACGTTCTTACTCGTTCCCACGCCACTGACAGCCACAAACCTACTTGATCACGTGGACAGCCCCGCCACAAAAGTGGCTGAGCAAGACTATCGATTTGTCCATGTGGCTTGGCAGCTCAACCTTTGTCCACAAAAGGATGAATCCTCCGATGACACTTCCACTCACTTCCTACCCATTCAGGCTTGGGAACCCGTGGAGGCGTATCGAGCTGCCTGAAGCCTCCAGGTCGACACGAGTGGTAATTGTCGGTGCTGAGTTAAAACCTTGCTGCTGTTGCAGTTGGGTGCTTCAGACTTGGTTTGACTACCGAAGACACGGTATTGATCATGTACCTACACGGTGAGACCGGTTCAGCTACCTTCCTTGACTCTCAGCATGATGTAGCCTGATTCCGCATCTCACAGGCATACGTACACACTTTTCCAGATTCGCCTCCAAGACGAGTTCAACATGAACAACGCATCAGCCTTGCTCAGCCCGCTCGCAAGTCATGCTAACATTGCCACGATCATCTCCACTGAAGAGGAGGTATACCCATATTCGAAAGCCTTTCGGCCGTGGATCGACACCAAGCCGCTTCTTTCGACAGGTTCATGGACCTTTCTGCTTGGGCCCGTACGAAGAACTCCCATGCGGTCTCCAGCGGCCAAAGACTTACAATCCGTCCAGCAACTTTGAGTCTGCCTGTGTGGAAATATTCGAGGCATTGGCACGCAAGCCTTGACCAACGCAGTGCCTCTACCACAGCCAACTCGGCATATACTTCGGCTGTTGGTTCATGGACAAGGATGTCGTCAGAGACCGCGGCTATCAGCGCTGCCACATGTATCCGTACAGCTGTGTACATGCTGAACGCTACGCCTGTCGACGGAAGGGGAAATTCGAGACAATAATCATGAAGACCATCCCAGATCGCAGACCTCTTTGTGTACAAGACACCAGAATGTTGTGAGCGCAGCTTACGCTCCCACTCATGCAACTCATCAAGCACAGCCCTTGCTCGTTGAAGACGCTCCTGGAGACATGACAGTTTCCACCTCTTAGGCATATCTTGCTTGACTATTTCTGGCAGGATCTTGAGAGCGATATCGAGCATGGTGTGCAAAGGATGTTGTGCGAGGTCCAGGTCCTTCTTCCAGGGGAATTCAACCCATTCGGGACTCGATAAGAATGCGCTCTGTCGGTTCATGAAGAGGAACGGCGCCTGCATAGCACGATAGCCGTAAAAGTGTTCCTGAGCAGATTGCGTGCTCAGGCCGTGTAGGCCCCCATGGAAGATCAGCGCTCCCACTCCTGAGAGATGGCGGTTGAAATTGTCCCACGACTGGTTGGCAATGAGCTCCGACATGGCGCATGTGAGTGCCGTCAGCGATAGCATGGTTGGACATATGCTTCGATCACCTTCCGAAAATCGTGTCAACGCAAACCGCAGTTTCTGTAACGCACGGGTCTGGACATATGCTGCATGCAGAGTCATGTCTTCATTCTTTCGATCTCTTCCGATGATTGCCAACGAAGCGGCAATAAGAGCCTCCATCAATACTTTGGTTTCTGGCCTTCCCATATCCAATGTTGCCGACGTTACCCATGTGGAACAACATATGGAGAATTTTCTCTTGGGCTCGTACTGTATCCGTTCCAAATTGGTCTGCGACGGGAGATATTTGTCTTGGAGAACCGTGGTGAGGGCGTCTCGATAAGTCATTCCAATCAATCTGGCGCCGAATTCCAGGGAAATGGCCCAAAGCCAAGGCTCAGTGTCTTCGGAACTCACGAAAGGATCTCGAGAGATCGACTCGAGGGATGAGAACGTGGTAGGCCCTATCGCTTCTTCTCCAATGGCTTCAGCCTGCTCCAGCTGCTTCGAGGACGGCTGATTTGTCCGGTGAGCGGCCGCTTCTGTAAGTTTCTTTTCCCTCTGCCTTCTCCTGAATGCTTGCACATTGGCACGGACTTTTGCTCGACGGGCCTCCGCCCTTTCTTCCTCTGTTCCAGGGACCCGAGGTCTGCCGATCGGCATTTTGCAGCAGCGAAGTTCTTCTCTGGTTGAGTCTTCACAATGTCAATGCCGAATCAGAAATCAAAAGGACGGGCGTTTCATATTGAAGTACTCTGGCTTCCCGCGGTTAGCAATACTTGATGGGCCATTCTCTGTTTCCCAGCCCTGACAAGGTGACACTGTTGGTACTTGGCAGGGCTGTCCTCATGGTCATCTAGCCCGAGGCTCCACCACCCTAGCCTATCAGGTAAGAATGCTCTCTTTGGTACTACTCGACTGCGAGATGTAAGCGCATACAAAAGGACCAAGCCATGACCAGGCCATTCGACGGTTGCATACGGAGTAGTCCTTGCCTTGTTGCATGGGCTGACACGGGCCAGAAGCACTATTATCTAAGGTACACTAATCCTGATTCAGAAAATGGTCGCGACGTCTCATTGGCCTTTGAATCCAGTGCAGCTGGGTGGCTTCTTCTAGAGTCTCACCTCGCTGATTCTCGCACAAGAGCGGCAATCTGCTCCTTGCATTCTAGCCAAAGACACAAGGATTCCTGCTACTCGTACTGGTGGGCGACGTTATACTCGTGGTTTCCCGCAGTCGTTCCAGGTACAGGACCTTTTTTTAACCAACCGCAGCCCCAGGCTCACGCGCGTTTCTAGGAATACGAACTATTAGCAAGCAATCCAGACACCCTGGATAGGACTTGTGTCATGTTACGGCCGCTTCACGGTCCTGCCTGCTGAATGAATGGCTACGGCTTTGCATGGGAGTGTGTGCCGCAACGCCTGAACGTTTGTTTGGGACCGCCATTACTCAGAATCACAATTTGCTTCCGGAGGTCTCATCTGCCAACTTTTGGCACTGTTCTCGGCCGTAATGCAATGCAGTGCATGCATCAATATCTCGGTTCAAGCACCTGAGTCTACATATGATACATCCAGTCCACTTTGCGAGATATTTTGTTTTCGTCGATCTAATGCTGGGCTGACTCATAAAGTGTATTCACAGTTCAAGGTCGGTCACTAAGTAGACAGGACACGCCGAGAGGTCGAGTCTTGCTTACGGCTAGGTGCTCAAGTCAGGTCAGCAACGGTGTGATATTCCGTGCTGCGTCGTTCAGCCGCCTTAGCATTGACAACCAAGCCGAAGCGCCCGATAACAGAAGTGACGTCGCGCGTTTTGAAGGGTAAGACTCATTCAAGCAACCTGACCACTGCGGTGTTTTTCGCAGGCAGGCATGTGAATGCGACATTTGGGTCCGCCATCAACGTGCCACAGAGCCTTCCGGGATCCCGAACCCAAGATGCGAAAGAGCCATCACGGAAGCAAGATCCTCATTGATTGTCCCATGCATGAAGATTGGCTCCAAAGACTTCGAAGCAGCTGATCGCGGGCTCAAATGAGGATGTGGACCGATCTCGACGCATCAAAAAGAAGCATACCTCGCAACCACCGTGCTACAGTTCTATGCAATGCTTCAATGTCGACAACACCGACATCATAGCGTCGGATTCAAATTATCCCAGGCCCTGGGGGAATGCTATGACAAGTCGCTTCGACGAACACGTAGTTGATAATAAGAATTGTCGGAATCGCAATGGCCCACTGGGAAGCCACGTCTACCATGTTGTTGCTTAGCAGAGTCCATCGCTGAGGAGGGCGATTTTGACGCTGACGTTTTACTGCCTGTGCGTGCCTGTGGTGACTCGTAGATGATGGCAAGGCAAGGCCAGCTTCACTAGCCCCTGGAATTTGGAGTACAGTACTCCGGGAGGTACCCAGAGAATGGAGTAGACTCCGGTGCCATCCCCGGCGTCAATAACCGCGGTGGATGCCCAGCGGATGCCCAATAGGTGCTCAATAGGTGCCTCATTAGCCGCCATGTCGAAAAGCGCAATAACCGGCGAATGAACTTCTCCGCATTGACGGGTGAATGATGAAATGAGCCGCCTCGCTTCATATGTGGAGGTGTTTTAGGCGGTTTTCTTTCCTGACGCCTCGAAAGACTATAAACAGCATCAACGTCTTTCTTAGGCTGAAGGATACTGGTGCTAGGTTTCCTGTACATCGACGTCGAAATCATATTCAGATTCAATAGAGGGACTGCCAGGACAGACGGAGGAAGCTATCGACATCTAGTGAGATTGGGCTATCTTCAAACGAGTCGCAGTATTGGAAAAGCCTCGAAGATGGCGCCACCAGCAGTCTTAATGGTAGGTACTGGAGAGTACACTACGGGTTTCGTCTCAGGCGCTGCGTCGACTTCGGACAAGAAGGTGGGAGTTGTCGGCTTGACACGTAAGTCCTTCGTCATTTTTGAACAACAGCCCAGCACACAGCATACTCGTTCCGCACAAGTCGTCGCAATGCTCTCGCTTTTCATGGGCAGGGCCATCATTGCATGCCGCAGCACAGCAAATACCATGGAACTGATCTGCGGAGGGCTAACACGTAAAGTACAGTCTTCGATCTCCGCCGACGAGGAAAAGTATCAGACCTGTCCATGGCAGGCGTGTCTGGTCAGAAATTCCCCGCCATCAGACAACATCTGCAAAAGAACATCTCGGAAGCGTACAATGGACTGGACGTATCTTTCCAGTCTTTCCCCTCTGACGACAAATCCAATCCACAATCCTACAAGACAGCCATCGACGCTCTGCCTCAGGGCTCGGCCGTGACGATTTTCACGCCCGACTCAACGCACTACGAGATCGCCAAATACGCCATCGAGCGGAGGATCCACGTCATGCTCACCAAACCCGCGACGAAACTCCTGTCTCACCACCTCGACCTGCTCGCCCTGGCCCGGAAGCACAAGGTATTCGTCTACATAGAGCACCACAAGCGATTCGACCCGGCGTACGCGGACGCCAAATTCCGCTCCCGCAATCTCGGGGACTTCAACTACTTCTACAGCTACATGTCGCAGCCAAAGTCGCAGCTCGAGACGTTCAAGGCCTGGGCGGGCAAGGAGTCGGACATTTCGTACTACCTCAACTCGCACCATGTCGATATCTGCGAGTGGATGGTCCGAGACGCCGGTTGGCGACCTGCGAGTGTACGCGCGAGCGCGAGCGTTGGCATTGCCGAGTCGGTGGGATGTGCCAAGGGCACGGAGGACACGATCACGCTGCTCGTCGACTGGGTGAGGAGTACCGATGACAAGCGCGCAACTGGGATATACACGGCGAGCTGGACGGCGCCGATGAATGCAGGTGTGCATTCACAGCAGCATTTTCATTATATCGCGTCAAAGGGCGAAGTAAATGTCAACCAGGCGAAGCGTGGGTATGATGTTGTGGACGAGAATGATCATTCGGGAAGCTCGTTGAAGTGGTATAACCCGTTTTATATGCGGTATGCGCCGGACGAGGAGGGTAACTTTGCTGGCCAGGGTGGGTATGGATATGTGAGCTTTGAGAAGTTTGTCGACGGTGTAACGGCGGTGAACGAGGGTAGAGTCAGCCTTGAGGAGTTGGACAAGAGAGGCCTGCCCACGCTGAGAAATACTGTTCTCACAACGGCCATACTGGAGGCGGGAAGGAGAAGTCTGGATGAGGGCGGTAGATCGATTGAGATTGTGGGAGAAGGGGACAAGATTGAGTTGAAGTAGGAAAATCTGCGACCAAGTTGAGGCAACATGATACATGTAATTGTCCTAAGGATGACTGCGCGATTCCTCTCGCCTGTGTCTCCTAGCCAAAGAGAAGAATTGAACGACAATCTGTATCGACAAATGTTGTGGCAACCTGATCTCGTCTCGCGACGGGCTTGTCGAGAAGCGATGACGATTGTCGACTTTTCTCCATGGTCTTTGCATCAAGCATGCGCCAATGTTTGGAAGTCCACTTTGCCAATGCAAACATTTCGTGTGACGTCTTGGGTCAATATAGCGCCCATCGAGGGAATTGCCTTGTGCCAATACTTGCCACAAAAGTGGCAAGTATGAGCAGCAGGCTCCGTGCAGCCTCAATGCCGCGCCGTCGCTGGTATTGTCATCGCCGTTGATGATTGATGGCAATGCTAAAGGAAACACATCCTAAATTGCTCCTCCTTCGTGGTAATCTCACTTGGTCGAGCCGGAAGCGCCGTCTTTGCTACCTCCGCTAATGACTCTCGCCAGTCTCTCGGTGAAGCTATGCGTCCGGTGATGCTCGGCCTTCTTTTTCGCCTTCTCTTCTGCTATTCTTCGCTTTCTCTCCTCGTCCGTCTCTGGAGTCAGTCCAGCGTAGGCACTATCCTGCTGCGTCGGCCCACCCACAGACAAACTTCTCATCCCCATACCACTCCGGATATCAGGAAGCGTGCCATTGGTGCCGGGTTCGACGTACAACTTGGACTCTGCGAATTCTCTCAATGCAGCTAGTTCCTCTTGGCCGCTGGCGAAACTGTGCGACGCCCTATAGGGTGGGAGTCGGTCCCTTGACCCGTCAGCTGAATCCGAGTATGGCGGTGGCGCTGCTGACGGCTCGGCCCCCGATCTCGCTGGTGAGTTAAGCACAGTTGTCATCTTGGGCAATGCTGAATAGTGTTTGAATTGTCTGTTGTTGTTGTCGCTTTCTCAGAGCTTTTGTTCCAAGTCTTCGACCTCTGGCAAGGAAATTTAAGGTCCTCGTCGTTGTTGCCATGGGGTGATCATCTGAGCCACGACTGATGTCAAGCCTCCCACTCTTGGTGCGTCACATGGGGAATTCGAAGCTCTCCGTTGGCCAGTCTTCCGAAGCTAGCCATTTCTGTGTCATGCGAGGTGGCGAGACCACAATTATTTAGAACCTCATTCACAAGGGGTCTTCTCCCATGTTACGAGTACTTGCCTTGCGTTCGTAGAGTGTCATGATCGAACGTGAGAAAAGACCAGATCAAGGTCAATACCAGATCGAGGCGTTATTGAAGTGTAGAGCTTGAGTGCTTGTGGCGGATATTGCGCAAGACTCTGAAAGCCCCTTCCGAGGCTCTTCATGATGGCGGATCTTAGAAGATTGGTCTAGGCATCTTTGAACTCAAGTGCATCGTTTGCTGCTTGTCCATACAGTGAGGCCAAGAGAGAGTCAACGAAAATCGACTCTATAAATGGGAATGCGCTGGAACAAGACGACTTGGCAAGTCTGTCAGGGCTCACTCGGCGTGGCGACAGACAGTTCTTATGGGGGCCCCAGGCGGCAGGTGGAAAGACTTTTGGGCTCACCAGGCTGCACTTGAACCTGTACAGTGGTAACTTTGGTCGCTACCGTGGCTCACAAAGTTAAGTTAGGCTTGGGGGGCTTCAGATCTCGGTACCAGCGACGCCTGGACCTTACCGTAGTTGATCTCGTGCAAAGGCCAAATTTGGGGGCTCTCCATCTTGTAAGCGATCAACTTAGTCGTTCTCAGTTAGTCAGGGCGCTGCCCGCGCTCCTCGGTGTGTCTTGTTGGCGTCTCGGCAAGTATCATTGTGGTTCCACCTGTTGCTTCTCTTCTTCTCCCTTTCATCCTCTTACCACTTCCAATGTCTCTCTCATGACCAGCTACGAACTGCATGAGGCGTCGGAGTCCACTGCCGTTGAAGAAAATGTTTGCAGGAAAGCCCAGAGAAGGATCCCGTGAAGCCGGGTTTCGTGTTTGTTGGATCTCGACTCTCCACTAGCTGACCCAGTGACACTTCGCTGCATCACCGATATCTGACAATTCATCTCACGGGAAATCCTGACATGTCGGCATTGACCCTTGGTATCTTCCTCCTGGATCAGGCAGACTTCTACGGCTTGAAATTGACTTGCTGGGCGCATCTTGCCAACGAGAGCATGACACCCGGTTATACCTCCAAGCCCAATCCCTAATAAGATTGAGGCTTGGTATTGCAAAGGAGGTTTTTGTCGACAGGCCCTTTAGCGGGTGATGCTCGTCAGCTGACTCCAATCAGCTCCGTCATTCCACCAGACCAAGCTGTACCAAGGAAACCGTCATCGTTCAGGCGCTGGCCAAGCTGTCGCCAACTTATTGCTTTCAATGACACCGAGGCTTAGGGAGCCCATGGGAGCCTCACTGCCTCCGGCGCGGAGTCTTATTTATTGGAAGTCATCCTTGGCAAACACAATCAATGGGTAGAGGTTGGCCACTCACGACCTCCCCGAGGGTCACTATGTGGCTAAGCTGGTACCTACATTGGCTAGGCGTGTTTGAGGTCGAATATCAGAGTCCACCCTCCACTCCGGCCCTGTCGCTTCTCAGACAACCATCGATCCTTTCCTTGGCAAGCCCCGTACCACCGCACATTCTGTCTGAGCAGCACTGGTCAATGATCACCTCTCAGCTCAGATACCGTACTCAGCCTGTCAAGTGCAGTGCACTGACTCAGATCAATATAACGAAAGTTGCATCAACAGCCTAACGAGTCTATTGTCAATCGTCCCAGAATACAATCGAGCCTCGCGGTGTGTGGTGATATGCCAGCCAGCCACTCGGCTGGATATAGCCATTGGGCCCAGCCTCAACAGCCGTTCCTGCAGCAGAGCGGACCGAAATGGCAGAGTTTGTTCACGGCTCACTCTTTTGGCCTCTTGAGCCACGAGTTTCGAAAGTTAACTCATACCTGGATTCATGCAAGCGCTGCATCAATGCCACCTGCCACGACCACACTACCCATGCCAGCCGCATCAGCCCCAGATTAAATGTGACTGCTAAGCCGCTAGCAGATGGATAGGAACGGTCAGTCTGCAATTTTCAGTACCAAGCCAGGCCATTGCTTCCAGCTCAGTTGTGGCGCTGTAATTCCCCGGCATCCTGTCACGAGCCGAGTCTCATCTGGAGAGCTGCAGCAAAACAAGGGTAAGCTGATGAAGGATCCTGGTGGCGGATCTTATACATCCCAACCTCGCACCCACACGACAGCTTCCTTTCTGTGTTACTTCTATATCATCTTCCTCTGACCTCCCCTCCGTGGAGTACAATACACTCATTGTTTGTACAAGTCTTTCTTTCTTACTCCACATCATTTGCACAATGGCCTTCTCAAGGCTCATTGCGATACTCTCGTTCTTGTCACTCGCTATCTTCGCATATGCTGCACCCTCCTCCTCATTATCAGCACTTACGACACGATCTAATAAGGTACACTTCGAAGTGACCCTGACATGGGAGGACTATTCTCCCAGTGGAGGGAAGCCACGCAAGATGATCCTCACTAATGGGACCTTCCCTGGACCGGCATTGAAGTTGAAGGTCGGCGATGAGGTGGACTTCCTCGTTCACAACGAGCTTCCTGATCCCACAGCGGTCCACTTCCACGGAATCGTGCAGCAAGGAACACCTTGGTCGGACGGCGTGCCAGGTCTTTCACAAAAGCCGATCGCTCCTGGTTCTTCATACCTCTACAAGTGGACCGCTGATGCTTCAGGCGTCTACTTCTACCACGCCCACTACCGCTCGCAGATGATGGATGGCTTGTACGGAGCTATCATTATCGAGGCCGCCGATAATGCGCCCAAGCCTTTCACGTTGATCAGCAATGATTCCTCGGCAGTTGCAGCCATGGTAGCCGCAGAGAAGATTCAAGAAACCATCTTCGTCTCCGACTACAACAAGTACACCTCGAAAGAATTTCACGAGCAGGAGGAAGCCGCCAATGTTGACATCGCTTGTGCCGACTCCATCATCCTGAACGGCAAGGGTTCGCAATACTGCTTGAGCCGGGGTGAATTGACAGCCTACACCAACCCAAAGGCCACCGCTCTGCTTGCTGCCGTGAGCCCATCGCAGCTAACTGACAAGGGCTGCTTGCCTCCCAACCTCCCAGCCACACAGGGAAACTTCACATTTGCCATTGACACCCTCCCCGCCGATGCCTACTTCGAGTGCACGCCGTCCACCGGCGAAATGGCCACTTTCGAAGTCGACCCGGCTAAAGGTTGGGCTGCCTTCACCTTCATCAACCCAGGTGGCTTCGAACTTCTCAAGTTTACCATCGACGGCCACAAGATGTGGGTGTACGCTGTCGATGGCGGCTACGTGACCCCCCAACGTGTGGACCAAGTCATCATCAACAACGGCGATCGTTACTCCGTGCTCGTCCAGCTCAACCAAGCGCCAGCCGAGTACTCCATCCGTGTTGCCAACAACGGTCTCAACCAAGTCATCAGCGGGTTTGGTGTCCTCAAATACAAAGGCTCCTACGGCCCCGCGTCATCCGACCCCAACGCCCTGTCCGTCATGAACTTCGCCGGCACCAACCTGACTCAAATCGTCCCCTTCAACGACAACAAAGCCGCGCCATTCCCACCAAACCCGCCCGCAGCCGCAGCCGACGTCACGTACATGTTCAACATTAAGAAGCTGGGCCGACCTTTTGGCGCATATCAATGGACGCTCAGCGGCATCGACGGCTTCAACACGTCCATGGAAGACGCGATGCCCCTCCTTGACCAGGACCCAGCCCAGGTTCCCGCTGACGACCTGATCATCAAGACCAAGATGGGCCAGTGGGTCGATTTGATCATCAAGACCCAAGGTCCTCTCGCCCAGCCTCACCCAATGCACAAACACAGCAACAAGGCCTACGTCTTGGGCAAGGGCGTTGGCGCATGGAACTGGTCCAGCGTCGCTGAAGCTGCGGCCGTGCTCCCGAACACCACGTTCAACTTTGTCAACCCACCTCTACGCGATGGGGTAAGTCTAACCACCCTCCCTTCTCCTGGCATGCATGATGTGCTGACATAAGTGTTATAGTACACCACAACCGCCGCTGAAGCGAACAACACCTGGATGGCTCTGCGCTACGAAGTCGTCAACCCTGGTGCGTTCCTGTTCCATTGCCACGTCCAGACCCACATGGCTGGCGGCATGGCCATCGCTATGCTCGATGGCGTCGATGACTGGCCGACCGTCCCTCTTGAGTATGCAGATGGCAACGGTATGACCTCCACGCTCAAGAAGAAGGGCCGGAAGCATCCCATCTCATCATAACCGGAACACTCGAATCCGGCTTTCTTTTTTGTCATTTTGACTATTCAATGGTCCGGTCCAGGTTGCATTGGTTCGGTACTTCAAAAATTTTGGGGCGGATGCGTGATGGGATGTAGTAGGATGGCCTGCATTACTAGATCTTTATTTTCTCTCCATGTTTCACATAATATTGGAGTGGGCATACCGTGTATGTATGCAAAGTTTGGTGGTGCGCAACATATAATGACCAACCCATATTCCATGTGAGCATATACATAATGATGATGAGCTTTCCTTTCTCTTTCACATCTGTCATTTCGCTGCTCTGTACCGATTCAAGTTCCTTCGTGCCCTCCCTTTGTACCCATACTCACGCATATACATGTTGGCCATTCGGTTTGGCACGCCATTGCGTGATATACTGGTACAATTACTTGCACGAACTGTCATGGCCCGTCTCGATTCGTGACCCCTCCACTCTCCATCCCCATGACATTGGAGAACGCCCATCGATTCATGACTGTCAGCCACTGATCACGACCAGCGACCAGTACTTGAACGATCCGCCAACCGAGCCGTGGGTTCGCCGGAAGGAGGAGAGGGCGTACAGATCCATAAAGTCAAGCCTCGACAAGAGAAATCTTGTTCTCGACTGGGTGTAACTGACCTAGGTCCTAAACCATGTTCGGGTGTAACCGTTCAAACTCCCCAACACCGTACATGTACGTAGTCCCCCCAGCCCACCATGCACGTCCGAAGTTCGATTGCGAACTCTCCCTGCGCTATCACATCATATCATATCACCATCACGTCGCACGGGAACAGTGGACACAGGTGTACATGACTTCACCACCTCTTTGTTCAAAGTTCTGACTCGTCCAGCGGCCGGTGGTTGTGCGACAGTAAAGCTACTCGCTATCAAGCAACAGCTGTGCAGCATTTCGAACCCTGCTCTTTTTCAGGCTTTCTTCGTCCCGGTGTCGCAGTAACTTAGCCTAGCATCCCCTAATGTAGTCGAGCCGGAGGGACAGAAAGTTCAGGGGCCAGTAATTGACTACTAGTACCCAAGCTCGAGCATGAGACGATTATGGCTCAATCTTCACGGGACAGGTGGCTTTTGCCTTTCTCGAAGGCCTGGCCTTGGTAAAGTTTGTCCTCGTGGCGGTGTGTTGTAGGTACCAAGGGGCCACATACAAGTAGTAGGAGACTAGTTAGTATCCAGGCGCCGGTCGTTGGAAAGCGGACTCTCTCGAGCGCAGGACTAGCTCTGAGCATGTGCTGCCTTTCACTCGGTGCAGGCGCTCTCGCTCTAGCCTGCATCCTTTGCAGCGCCGGCCGTGGCGATTGATGCTACCTTGAGCCTGCCAGTGGGACGTGAGAAGCCGAAGATTGCCCAAGTTATGACGGGATTCGAAATAGCCGACAAAAATAATGGATGCGAACCTGACTCTTGAACATGATTCGGCGCCTGAAGGCTTCGCATTAAATCAATCCAGGACTGTTCATTAAGACTATGTACGGCCACCGCTTGATGGCATAATTGGATAACACAGTAGGAGAAGGGTACTCTGCTCAATCAACGCCACGCCAATGCAAACGCTGTTCGTATGTGGGTATCTCATGTTCTGCGTAGAATCATCATCCAAGGAACCTCTCTATCCAGTCCCTCACGGCTAGCCAGAGGCTGCCTTGTTTCGTTTCATCCATCTCCTTGATGCCCCGTATGGTCTCCACGGGCCGTTGAGATTTGATTTGGTCTTCGCTGAAGAAGTTGCCATGGAGGCCATAGGTGACCCGCTGAGTGAGGTGAATGCGAGCGACGACCGTATTCATGTCTCTCGCATCAATGATCCAAAGTTCACTTACAGCGTCAGGTCGACAATCGCCATTTGAATCGAGCTGAGACTCATCGAAGACATAGGTTAGTAACCAACCATCATCTTCATTCTGGCCGTTTCGACGCGACACGAAGCGTGGTTCTTGAGTGTACCAACCGGGTGGCAGACGGAAAACTGAGATGGGGTCATCCTCGACGTTGGAATCGACAATTTCTTGTACCGTCCTGGTGTCCACGCAGCCAGTGATGTCTTGTACAGTTGGATCCTTCTTGCCTCGCTTGATCAGAGTTTCTGTGTCGAACTTGACGAGACAATCGATCTTGACTGCTCTACCAAGGGCGGCACCAAAGGAGCCCTCGGAAGTCGAGCAGCCGTAGACATACTTGACCCAACCCATCCCTTGCCTCTCATGCACGCTTGGAAACTCGAAAGGAATGGCGCTCAACGCGAACTGATAGTTAATCCGGTTTTGGTCAGGATCGTCCATGCGGAATTGGTAGTAATACAGTCGACACTGGTCTTCTTCTTCCGTGCCATCAAGTGAAATCGGTTGTGGTGCAGCGACGTCACCAGCGGAGAAAACAAGTGAAGCCGACGTCAATCGAGACGTTAGCATATTAATATTGATAGTTTCGACCCTGCCGCTGTCTTTGTTATTGACTTGATCATCCCAAGTATTGGCGGTATGAAATATACAACAAGCTTTGGTCTCAAACCAGCGGATTTGCTCTGGCGAGTGCCTGGGAAAGACACCGAAGCGTGACTTGGAAGCAGGGTCATAAGCGACAACCGCTTTATTCTTTACAAGGTTCAAGGGGTCAAGAGATAGAGGTAAATCCATGATGACAGTGTGGTTGAAAGAAACCCCAAAGTCGTGCATCATCTTGGCCGATGATATGCCTGGAATCGGTGCATTGAGTAGCCTGGTCGGCCTATCCAGCGGTGTTGTGGAGACAGCCGGCAGATGTGTGGCAGGAATGATTGAGTAATGTACATATGGTGGTGCAAAGGTCGAGTGGAAGAGGACCAGCTCTCCCGTTCTGGGATCGACTCGTGGATGTGCTGTCGTCCATTCTTTCATAAAGCCGAGCAAACCAACCCCCCCGAAGCCTGAGCCTTCTTCGCCACCAAGCTCACCTTCAGCTCGTTTTCCATTGTACCAGCCAATGGTCTCCAAGCCTGGAAGGCTGACTCGCATGGGCGGACCAGACTCGCAGGTTGCAAGGCCCCGACCATCATGAAAAAGAATACCTGTATTTGCAACGCTGATTTTCTTGATAGCCTGTACCGAGCCTGGCAATCTTGACAAGATCACAAGAAAGATGGTACGGAAGACCAACAGAATGATGTTGTATAGCGAAGACAGCGGATTGACGAGAGTCGCAATACTGGGTAGGATCGGAGTACGTAGGTGTTTGGAGGTTGTTGTGGATAGGAAGACATCAGTCAAGACATACTGGTTGACGAACTCAGGTTGAACTCCGTCGACGGTCCTTGTGAATGCCACGCCACTGAGCATGCCATCACCATCAAACCAGTGGGCATCTCGACCCAAGTCCTCGTTTGACACTGGGTTGCCCCCATTTCGAACGTATTCCCCTCCAATCAGCTCTTCCGGGATCGTGCCCGTGTATTTACATGGTGTCAACGGAACAGTCTTATGTACAGGAGCAAAGTTGCCGCTGAGATATGGATGTGGATGGCTCTTTCTGCGTTTTGAAGGGTTTGGAAAGGGCGTCATCTTTGGAGGGGAGCCCGGTGAAGGTTGTCTGTAGACATCGGGGTTGGAACTGAGAAGTCAGGCTTGATGATACTCGTAGTCGTGGGTACGCCGGGCGAGCGACTCACAGAGGTCTTCGCAAGCACCTCGGTCTTGTCGATCTTCGCGCGCTCTTTGCAAGGCCGTTGATGAGATGTCCGTGTCGTTGTGACTTTGACGTGGCTAGTCTTGCATCTAGAGAGAGGCGTAGTCTTGACCTGAGCGCTTCGAGCATATACCCAGCCAAGGTGGGATGAACACGTCGTGGTGGATCGGAATCACGGAAGACCAAGTGGGAGCAGGAAGTGAACATCACCTGTTATGAGCATGGTAGCAGCGAAACAAACATTCACACATGTCAAGAAGGATTGCAAGCGATACTTAGCGGCAGTGAATGGACGAACCCACATGATGTAGCCATGACCAAGGACCAAGGACGTGACTATGAAGCGGAGAAAATCGCGATGCCGAGCAGATCGTATGAGGAAGTGAATGTATGAGTTCATCGAAAGCGCTTCGTACCGCAGTACAAATGCAGGGAAAAATGGCCCGCAGCGAAGTCTTGCATGAAGCTAGGGTGACGCAATGTGAGTTGGCACCTGCAGCCGGAAGCTTTGGGACTTAGACAGGGTACTACCATGCTAGCGGGGTGGCTAGGAGCCACCGTAGCGCGATTCCGGCAACTTTTCCGGGAGTTGGTCTGGCTGCTTTTAGCCTCACTAGCCCTTACCAGCCTCGTGGATCAACGGATTGCTCGGTGATGCTTGTAAGATCTGTGGCTTGAAAGTCCCCCTTTGGAAACACTCATGCAATATCATCCGCGTCATGACCCGAGTCTCTCGGAAATTTTTGTGCAATGCTCCCAAATTCAATTCCTTCTCACTTGGTCCTTTGTAGCGCGTCGGCAAGCTCAGAGTCAGTGACTGCTTTCGAGCTCTTACGTGTGCTCGTTGATGGTTAGCGACATCCTTCGATTTCTACATTATCATGGCTCCTACCACATGTCACTGTTGATCGCTCAGTCTATGATTCCATCATTACCCCTTCACCGACGGATGAGAGAACTCCTTGCACGCTTGACCTGATGTACGACTATGCGCTTGTGTATGTCCCTTCCGCACCTGGAGCTACCAATATCTGGGCAGAAATTGACCTTTGGAGTAGCCACGCCATCTACACCATCCCCCTAGCAATCACCCTGACCGTAATCCTGGGCCCCCTGTTCACGCGGCGAGATGTGTACAAAATCTGCTTTTTGCAGGTCATAGCAGTTTCGTACACTATTCCATGGTATGTCCGGAGACACAGTTGCACTCGCTGTAATATATTGACCCAGTCTCAGGGATTCATACCTCATTAGAACCAAGGTTTGGAGTACGGTGAACTTTTCTCGTATTTGCTTCTAGCGATCTGACCTTGCCCAGCGTATCCTGCAGATGTCATTCTAGGGCCGAAGCTTTTGGATATCCCGGCGGAAGAAGTCTTCTTCTTCGTGATCCAGACTTATATTGTGGGTGTGCTCCTCGAAAGTTGTTTATGACTCTGACATGTTCAGACAACATGTCTGCAAATAATACTCAGCAAATCAGTCCTCACAGCGATCTATCTACGCAATGAGGCGGATCCCGAGAACCCATCTGGCAAATCCCTGATACCATGGAAACGTGCTGGTCAAGTCATCTTCACGTTGGCCTCAATAGTACCTATCCTCCTACGAGGTGGTAATGCTGAGGGCACCTATATGAGATTGATCCTTGCCTGGGCCGCTCCCGTCTTGTTGATGCTCTGGACCTTTGCCTACCAGCTGCTCATACTGTTGCCTTGGACGAAGACCTGGTTACCAATCGCCCTGCCAACACTGTATCTCTGGATCGTCGACACCCTTGCTCTGCGTAGGGGCACTTGGAGCATAGAACTGGGAACCAAACTCGGCATTCATGTCTGGCCACATCTTGAAATCGAGGAGGCGGTCTTCTTTCTGATCACCAATATCCTTGTCGTCTGGGGCTCGGTTTCTTTTGATAATGCCTTCGCCATCCTGGACGCCTTCCCACAATATTTCCCCGTCGTTCCAGGCACACCGTCGCCGTTGTTGTTACTGAAAGCGTTGTTCCTGCCGACCTCCAAGTATGACAGCAACCGTCTGCGTGGTCTGCAAAATTCCCTGACGGTGCTTGCGAGGAAAAGTCGGTCATTCTATCTCGCCTCAGGCGTCTTTTCTGGTCGCCTGAGAATCGATCTCATCCTGCTGTACGCGTTCTGCAGAGTGGCAGATGATCTGATCGACGACGCACCTTCTGCGGAGGAGGCAGACAGATGGGTGAAACACTTCTCAAATTTCCTCGACACTGTTTACTCTCCAAAGAGTGACCCAATCCGACTTCAGCATGCCTTGTCTCCTTTCCCACCAAAGGCACAGACCATTCTGATGCTGCTGCCTTCTGATAAGTTACCCTCGGAACCACTCTACTCGCTGTTGGACGGTTTCCGGATAGACCAGGAATTCTTCGCCAAGGATGCCAACGAGAATCCGCCGATAAAGACATTCGCTGACCTTGAGCGATATGCCACATGTGTTGCGGCGACCATCGGGGAGTTGTGCCTCAACTTGGTCTACCAACACAACCCTGATCATGGTGTCAATCCAGAAACGAGACAGAAATGTCTGGCGGCCGGAGCACGAATGGGACGAGCACTACAATATGTCAACATTGTGCGAGATGTTCAAACTGACGCTGAAGTTGGAAGATGTTACATTCCCCACGACTGGTTCGCCAAATCGTCAGCGTCCTCGCCCAATGCTCAAAAGCAAGAGACCTTGATCCATCGAAAAGAAATACTGGACACAGCGTTCAGGATATACGCCGACAACCGTGACGCCATTGAAGAGCTCCCGTCCTACGCGCGAAGTGGCATTCGGGTCGCGGTCGAAAGTTATATGGAGATTGGGAGGATCTTGCGGTATCGCATACAGCATGGCCAACCCCTGGACTTCGCCGGCAGTGGGAAGAAGGGAAGGGCAAGTGTCCCCAAATCCAAAAGAATCTGGGTAGGATGGAGGACAATGGCAGGATGGAGAGGCTCAGCCTGAGGATGCGACGACATGAACCCTAATAGGATATACCCCTGATCTGCATAGGAGTTCCGGAGATGCAATATACTGCATCCGCAACCCCTCATCACCCGGCTCGCCTTGCTCCATGTAGGGGTGCTGTCATAGGCATTTTCGGGCGTGCGGGGTGATCGTCCCGGAATTTTTGTGTGCAACGAGATATGATGGATCTCAGATTTCAAGCTTGTATTCTCTTCCGCAACCCATAGATTCACTATCAACATAGATTTGTTGCAAATTTTGCGCAGTTCTCATGTGAACCCTTGCAGACGCCTCTTTGGGCGGCTGCAGACGGAGCCCACCTAGGCGCTGTGCGTTGGCTAGAGTCATGTTGTCATTGACTTTCTCGGAGTTACAAATACGTCCCAACATGTGATTCCATTGACTTTCTACCCTCCTTTGGGTATCTGATAGTCGAGCAATTACTTCTGAGGCATGGAAAAGCCCAAGACTGCTGTAATCATTGGTGAGTGCAGGCAATCTGGTTGCTACAAGCTATTCACGAAACTGACTCTGCTTCAAAGGTGCCGGTGCTGGAGGCATCGCAAGCGCAGCGCGCCTTGCTAAGGCCGGCTTTCGCGTTACTGTCCTTGAAAAGAACGACTTTACCGGCGGACGGTGCAGTTTGATTCACCGAGATGGCCATCGATTCGACCAAGGGCCCTCGCTGCTCCTCCTTCCTGACCTCTTTCGCGAAGCCTTCACCGACCTAGACACAACCCTCGAAGCAGAAGGAGTTGAACTGGTCAAGTGTGAGCCAAATTACAATGTGTGGTTTGGGGATGGCGAATGTATCGAGCTGTCAACAGATGTCGCTGTCATGAAGAAGACGATTGAAAAGTGGGAGGGTAAAGATGGCTTTCAGAGGTACTTGCAGTGGATGCAAGAGGCACACGTCCATTACGAGGCAAGCATAGTTCACGTTCTGAGGAAGAACTTCACGAGCTTCTTGCATTTGGCGAGGCCCAGTTTCTTGCCGTATCTGCTGGCTCTCCACCCTTTCGAAAGCATCTGGCGGCGCGCATCGACCTACTTCATGACGGAGAGGCTAAGACGAGCCTTCACATTCGGCAGCATGTACATGGGCATGAGTCCATTCGAAGCACCAGGGACATACAGTCTTCTACAATATACAGAACTGGCCGAGGGCATCTGGTAAGATGGCAAATCGTGTCATTGCAGAAGTCGGCTAAACATCAAGCAGGTATCCTCGAGGCGGCTTCCACAAAGTTCTGGATGCCTTGGTGAAAGTGGGCGAGCGTTTCGGCGTTCAGTACAGACTATCGACACCAGTCTCTCATGTAAATCTGGGTCGATATGAGGACGACGCCACTGGTGTGACTCTAGCCTCGGGAGAGGTAATCAATGCCGACATTGTCCTTGTGAACGCTGATCTTGTCTACGCATACAATGAGCTGCTGCCACCTTCGACAAAAGCCAAGTCACTCTCCAAGAAGCCAGCATCATGCTCAAGCATCTCCTTCTACTGTAAGTCGAGTCAATCTCAGGCGACTGGGAATAGCCTCTGACGTAACCAGGGTCGATGGACAAGATCATTCCTGAGCTTCACACGCACAATGTCTTCCTGGCGGACGAATATCAGGATAGCTTCGATGACATATTCAAACGACAGCTGATCCCCAAGGAGCCTTCATTCTACGTCAACGTACCTTCGCGCGTGGACCCAACCGCAGCTCCGGAGGGCCGAGACACCGTCGTTGTTCTCGTGCCTTGCGGTCATCTTCTGGAGAATGAGGCTGACCGGGGGCTAACCCCTCAGAATCCTCAAGACTGGCAAGCCATGGTGTCCAAAGCTCGAAATGCCGTCATTGAAACAGTGCGCCTCCGGACCGGAGCTGACTTGGGGTCTCATATCGTCAACGAACTGATCAACACGCCAGTGTCGTGGAAGGAGAGCTTCAATCTCGACAAAGGGGCGATTTTAGGATTGAGTCATTCCTTCTTCAACGTCCTCAGTTTCCGACCTCGCACGAAACACGATAAAATCAAGAACTTGTACTTTGTTGGGGCAAGTACGCATCCTGGCACTGGCGTCCCTATTGTGCTTGCAGGCAGCAAGATCACGACTGGACAAATACTCGACGATCTGGGCGTGGTCAAGCCCTGGCCTCCTGGCGGCCACGAAAAAAGGGTCGTGAGCGAACTGGATAATGTGGCGAGACCACCATTGCCCCTAGGACCTCTGGTGGTGTTCTTTTTGATGCTGTTATGGGCGTTCATTTTGCCCTACGTTGTCGGGTATTCCAGACTGAAGTGAGCGTGATACTCTCAAATGCCTTTGATGAACGAATCAAGATTTTTGACAAATTGAAGACACTTCCGAAGTTGTACAAGATCCGTCAATGTTGTGCAACCTAGCCTCCTCACCCTTGTATTCTTCCCAAGATCTGTGGCGTTCCTGATCTCCATCAGCCACAGGCAGTAAAGCAGCAAATTTACCAGCCAGAAACCGCATTGATGACGCATACAACTTCCTCGCCGGCCCACCGTACCTGGTAGTGAGTTCAGATTTCTGCCCCCTTGGTCGATCCTGGGAAATTATCCTACTCAGTATACATCGAGGTTGAGCCAAGTTTCATATCTGCTGGAACAGCTCTCCGGTAAAGCTGGTTACCACATCATGGCGGGGATTGCATTGCCGATCAACACTGAGGCGGGTGTCTGCTTCGCGGAGCGGTTGATCATCACTTTGCAGTTCCGGTGCAAGTTACAACAATGAACCGGTGCTTGCCATCAGTGCTTTGTCGGCCACAGAGCATGCGGTCCGAAGCTTTAACCTGCTCGACCTTATCAAATTCTGGTTACTTGTTGAGATCACCTGCAAGGCTCCGCAAGCCGTGCGTTGACCATGACATCAACACTTGATATGCACAACATCGACAGTCGATAGCCTTGCAGAATGCTGGTAGAGCCATTTGCGAACATGCTCGATGAAGAGCTTGCTTCAGATATGCTTTCCTGCAAGCTTTCCTTGCGGTGCAATCGGCAAGCTGCCGGCAAGCACCGGGACGGTAGGTCATAGATGTATGAATCTGGTCAGATCACTTGCATTCATGATTTTCTCGCTCAGGAGGCCAGAATGAAGTGCTGTTGCGAAGACGTCATGTTGTTCTCATTCAAACCGTCCCCTTGTGGGCTATAAAGAAGTACCTCGCGGGTGGTGTTTCCAGAGCTGACTTCATACTCAACAAGATCCAACATTCCAGCGCCACGTGTGACGGTCGAAGCAGCCATAGAGCATTATCGCAGTACGCCGCCTTACTGCCGCCAACATGGGTAACCAAGCACTTCAGATCAATGGCATGACGAACACGGTCAATACCAACAATCATATAACGCGTCGCGGAAGTGACTGGTATTTTACAGTCTGCGCTGTGATGGCGGTTTCGACGCTGGTGTTCATGGGTCTATCCTTCAAAAAGACCCGCTCTCAACGCATCTTTCGTATGTGTGCTCCTCCTCGAAAGGCTGTGACAATCCACCACGTGCCTTTTGCTTTCTTCCGGTTTCATCGGTACAGCTTTCTGACACCGAGTAGATTATATCACGGCTGCAATTACCTTGGTAGCTGCAATCGCGTACTTCAGTATGGGCTCCAACCTGGGCTGGACTGCTATCCAGGTCGAATTCGAGCGCGGCGACCCCAAGGTAGCTGGGAACATGCGCCAAATCTTCTATGTTCGCTACATTGATTGGTTCATCACGACACCTCTCCTGCTTGCCGATTTACTATTGACCTGCGGTTTGCCGACGCCGACTATTCTCTATGTGATCTTAGCCAATGAGGTCATGGTCGTGACTGGCCTCGTTGGTGCGCTGGTGAAGAGCTCTTATAAATGGGGTAAGGCCCAAATATCTGCTTCTCACGTAATGAGACCATGTTCACGCGTTGATAGGCTTCTTCACCTTCGGTACCGTTGCATTCCTGTTCGTGGCATATTCCGTTGTCATCGAGGGCCGTGCATATGCCCGCATCCATGGTGCCGACATTCAGAAAATCTACACTCTTTGCGGTGTCTGGACCATTTTCTTGTGGTTCTTGTACCCTATTGCCTGGGGTCTGTCTGAAGGCGGCAATGTTATTCCTTCCGACAGTGAGGCTATCTTCTATGGGGTTTTGGATCTTCTTGCTAAGCGTAGGTATTCCTCAAACATATGTATGTGATGACATTGACTTGAGAAACAGCTGGTTTCGGTGCTCTCCTTCTGTGGGGTCATCGCAACATCGAGGTCGAGCGACTGGGAATTTCCATTAGAGACCCTAAGTCGAGCTTTAGCCACCGTACAGAGAAGGCTTCTCACCCTGACACCTACATCGACAACGTCAATCACCAAGACGCTGATGCCGTTCAGCCAGCGCCCGCGTGAAATGGGAGCCACTGGCCAAGGACAAGGTAGAGACGGGTCCGTTGATGGAACGTCCTAGTCGGCGGCCCAGCCCATCTATGCTTACGGAGGACAAAACGACATGCTGTCTGTTCAAGAGAGGAATAATTGTTTTATAGTTGAATGAACGGAGCTGGAACTCAAGGTTATGTCGAGTAGCATCGTGTATAACCACGCGAAAATATCAGACAGAGATGTCCAATAAATATTACTATCATTCATAACGTCGATGCTTTGATTCAACATTGTTCGCTGTCTGTTCGTTAGCAAGCATTGAGTATGTAAAATATTTCGACTGCCTGCAACCTATTTGCCTCCAATCGCGGCTTCTTCTTCACTTGTGATAATTGCACATCCAGATCTCACGCTCAACCTACCTCTGCCGTTTCTTCTCCTTTTCTCCAACAGCATTGAGAGTTATTACTCTTCGCCTGGCCACGAAAAGGGGCGATAAGATTCATGAGTCTTTCCCTACGAAATTCCAGCCACAAAGCGATGTGGATATAGTGGCTTGCCGCAGAGACGAACTCTTTCATGCTAGCTCTCGGAGCATTTCAGGACTAACCTTGTTCGAAAGGCGCCGAGCAGTTTCACAGTGGTTGGTGAAGCTTTCACGCTCGTTTTCATATTTAAGTGGTTGCATATGGGAAAGGAGGAGATTATGCGGAGCCAGACCTTCACAAAGGAATGAGGTTTCTGCTGACCCGTTGCCCACAAGCGGAGATGCAGATTCACGAGGGAGTTGCGCTGCTGAATCAACCTACCCCGTACGGAGTACTCTTCCTGCTCATGCACATTCATCCACAGAAGATCCAACAGTCGCCATTACAAGCGAACATTGTGATCTCGCTTCTTACTGATGGTCTGGTTGCTGGGCTACTATGGTACACTACAGGTGCTGCAGGCGAGAGCATCGTGGGTAACCTCCACAGCATCTTTGTTGTTGAGTGCGAGAAAGATAAGAGGCATACAGGGTTGAGTCCGAAGCGAGTCTGGAGTCGTGTGACCGACGGGACGCATCGTCTTCTTTGTTATCGCTGCACCGGCGTACGCTAATAAATCTCTACCGTCCGCCATACGACCACCCAGTATTTTATCGGTGCAGCAACGTGGTCTTACTATAGGCACAAAGAATTTGAGGTACTTGTATCAACGCTCGTACCTCAAGACTGGGGCGCATTACGCTTCGACCATGGTTCTGAAGTTTCTCGAACAATGTCCTATCTCCTGGACAGCAGTCTTCGAGATAGCTACTAATATCTGCCGTAAATTTGGTCCACCTCATCTACCACAGTACAGAAATTATAACAAGAGAGCAATTTCTCTGGAGCGCCAACAGAAGCGCCCGGTGTGAAGATGGTGCCAAGCCAACCACTTTGGGAGCAATGCGAGCACAGACTAGCCATTGACCACCACCAGCACCACCACCCCACTCATATGATTACTCACTGTTAACGTTGGTCAAATTCATCTACCGACGTTTTTGCTCCTGGTAAGAAGTGCAGCAACCGGGACCGGCGGAGGTGTACGTGCTTGAACAGGGCAGTTTGGCCACACTGTATCAAAAGACGCTTGAGTCGGATACTAGTACTGAGAGCACGCGGCTGTTTTGCATATTGCAAATTTTGCATGCTTAACCTTTGCGACAAGCGATATCGTTCTCTCGTGGCTAACTGCATAGAAGGTCGTCCGATATGTGGTCAAAAGCAATATTGCACGAAGCACCGGCGGTGAATCAACACCAAGCAAAGCATTCTGTCCGGCTCTCTGCGAAATTGACAGAGTGACACAAGCGGCTACAAACGGTCTAGGGCACTTGAACAAGCAAACATGTCAATGCACCCCAGGCCCGAACCGAAAGTGCCAGCCGAATAATGATAGGCAGTCAACGAGATCGCGAGAAATGCTCTGTCCACTCTGTCCTGCCAGGGGCCGAACAAACTGGTCGTCCTTGCAAAGCGTGACGCTGGGACGAATCAGGTACGGAGCGCATTTGAATTACCTCCTGCAAATCAACTTGCGACCAGGACTTCTTGCAGATTCGGTTTCCAATGAGTTTCGCGGGTTCCTGGCTAGCACAGATGGCTAATCTGGCGCTTGACATCCTTAGCGGGCTGTCGGGAAATTTGGCATGACTGGCATTGGCTGGCAGTGGGGGGCAGACCAGGGACAGGCCCAGACAGCGAGAGCAGGCCAGTCAGCGATGCTGTTTCATGCTGGTCCGTTTTCGCTTCTACTCCACGATCATCGAGGTCTCCTCCTGGTTCAACCAGCCAACAAGCCAGTCGATGCTCATCATCCGACGCTGGTCAACGACCGGCGCCTTGCTCCAGACAGACGCAATCTTGTCAAGGCGACGATGCCATCGCTGCCAGGCCAGCGCTCCACCATTATCAAAGCTAGCGGGCCTTGCACCACGCTGCCCACCAGATATGTTCCCGACCGCCACATATACGCTTGTGCTTTCCTACTCTTGTCCATGGCTTGACCTCTTCCTCCTACCTACCCCAAAGTCTGGTCTGCTGATAGCATTCTGCTGTCGTCCGAGTCACTGAGCTCCCTCTCAGTCGCATCACCTTCGTTTCAAAGCAACTCGAGCAGCGCTCGCTCAGCCCCGTCCTAGCAACAAATACCACTTCCTCGCCAAACGTCCCCGGCCACCACTCATTGGAAAGACCGTATATGACCGCAGGGATATCAAATCGCATTTGCGCACAACAGCACACGCAATAGGATCGCCTACACCGCCCACAACATCATACCAAGATGCGCTTCACCATGGCAGTCGCAGCGGTCCTGCTGGCTCTCACACCAGCCACTCTCGCCGACGCACCTACTGGTGACTGGTCAGAAACGACCACCACCACTACAGTCACATCCACCATGTCTACCACCCAGACCGTCACCAAATACTTGAAGCATGCCAATACTACGACCAGTAGTATCAGCTCACACGCAACGGGCTGGAATGCCACTGCCCATACGGCCACCGCAGAGACCACATTCAACAAGCCTACACTTACACCAGCCTCCACGATTACCTCTGCAAGCCCCTCAATTGCTTCAGTAGCAGCTACTGGCGCAGCAAGCCCGCAAGAGATCAACCTTGCAGTGGCCGCTCTTGCAGGTGCTGCCGCTATGGTCTGGGGCTCGTTATGACCCGACATGCTTCGATTACTGTCGGCATGCTCAGCGTCCGGTCGGCTACTTCGCTTCTTTTATTTTGACTGTGTCAACATTCGCGTCAAGTCGAGCACCAGGTTGCTCCTTGGGTGACTATGGTATGATTTTTTTTGGAATGTTTTATACCCATTTTGTTTCGTCTCTGTGAGAGTTTGAAGGACATTCATGGATAAGTTTGGAGGGCGGAATGAACCGCAGCCGGGTCATTCGAGAAGAGTCGTGAGAGGGATTGTCGTCGCCTGTGGCAAGATGGCTCGAAGGGAAGCATTGGACCTCCTGTGAGAGGCTCGCCGAGGGCGGGTAAGGGGCATGGTGCTTCGTATGCACTCTTGATCATGAGAGAAGCAAGAGGAGGAGTATTGGGTGGTGTTGTATGATCAGCGCATTTGGATGACCGACACGACTGAAGTACTTCTCTTGTTACAAGCGGTGTAAGCGAGATCGCATCAGCTCCTCTTGGTGGGTTTATATGGCTATCAGCTATACAGACAAGCAGACTTGTAATTGAACACTAGCATTCAAGATTGTGAAGACGTCTCATCACCTCTCAGGCGAATAGCCGCGCTGTAAGACATTTACCTTACAACAATGCCGACAGCCACTATGGCTTAATGTGGCAAAATCCGCAAACTAGACGGCTCGTCTCCGGACAAGGCATCTTCTTGTTTATATTGGACACAAGTAGAAGTCTAGTATGGTCCCAATTCTCGAGCTGTTTGAGGTGTTTTCTTGAGCCAGGCACTATTCCCCAACATTGAAGAAATTTGCAACACCAGCATGTGTACTGTGACACATAATCACACCGCACAAGATAAACAGAATCTCGAATGGCATTGATGTTCGGCCCGTGTCCGCTGTCAGAGAACTGGATGATGGGCAGGCGTTGATCTCGGTGGCCTAGCTTTAATATGGAGCCTTGATGAGCTGGATCTGCTCAGCCACGCTCACCGTGAGCTTAACATCGGACATGCAAACAGTCCCCCAAGTTATCAACGATGCCTGAACCAATTCGTCATCATCTCTCCAAAATAGTGTCTAGGAGTTAAGTACGGGGCAGCCTTCTTGCACCGACACCGAGGTGAACAGGCGCTGTTGGGTAAAATGCTCCGAATTATGGAGTACACCTTACTCAATCCGTTCTTATGCCAGACAACACCTAGTATTGTTCCTGTTGCTTGCTCAGATTCTGACCTATACCCAGGTTATGATTTATTCCTAGCCCCCGAACGCAGCAGCCTAGCAAAACGCGATTACTAGGTACGTAGCCCTGACAAATACTCACCGGATGTCGAAAACATATAAATGAACAGCCGTACGCCCTGTCCATCGATTGTGTCTTCGTCGTCCTTGACAGACCAGTCGATGTGATCTTTGAGACCTCTTCCACTCAATCACACAATCCCGCTGATATGTCGCAGTCATATCATGATGGATCCTGCACGCTGTCTCCCCTCGACCAGCTGATGCCAAGGATATATACCACCGTCTTTCTTGTCTACGAAACAGACCAATATGAAAGCGCAATCGGAAAGCTGAACGAGGGATTAGCCAAGACCACGTCGCTCCTTCCATTCCTCAGGGGCTATGTTCATAAGTCGCCGGACGGCTGTGATCCGCGCAATCAGCTGTTGCTATCGTGGTCGTCTCAGGACCCGCCACCAGCTATGGTCGAGACTCCCGCTCCAGAGTCCCTGCCGAGTTTCGAGACGCTGAAGCTAAGCGAAGTGCCGCTATCGATCTTCCAAAATGGCCTCAGTCCCGTACCAGTGGTCATCGACTACCAGATCCCGGGAGCAAGAGCGCCGGCCCTCGTCATCGGAGCTACACGCCTAGAAGGGGGGTTGATCCTTTGTCTACAAGCTCACCACGTCGTCATGGACGGGGCGGGAATGGGCATGTTTCTCAAGCTCTGGGGCGACTGCACAAGAGACGAGCCGAACCATTCCGATGATAAGGCGCCGTTCGATCCTGGGGAAGTCTACGACAGGGTGGCCTGGCTACGGGATGCTAGCGGTTATTCCGCCCAGACCAAGCCAAAAGCTACGCTTGACGAGCTCCTCCTTCGTCATCCGGAATACAGCCTTCGATCTCGGAGCTCAGCTCTATCGTCATCGTCCGTGTCTGTGCCGACGAATGTCGCCAGCCACCCAGCCAAGTGCGCCGCGAATATCTTTGCCTTCTCAAGTGCCAAGTTACAGGAAGCCAAGCAGGCCATGAGTAGTTCGGTCCCGGCCAAGTTCCTAACGGTTAACAATGTCCTGGGCGCTGCCCTGTGGCTCTGTGTCACACGGATACGGCTCGGACGCGTGCGCCGCGACGGCCTCGCAACTGTGACAGGCTCTACCACGTCGAAGCTTGGATTTGCTGTTAATGCGCGCTCGAGGTTAGGACCCGCGGTGTCGAACAGGTCATACCTGGGCAATGCGACCATGCTCAAGGTGGTCGAGTTCCCTGCTACCAAGCTGAAGAGCATCGCTGGGAATGCCATGGCCAGCCCTGCCGCCGTCGCCGACCTATCGCTCATGGCACCGGTTATCAGTGCCATTGGCGCAGCGACGGCCGCGGTGACAGCCACCCACGTCGGCGAGGTTGTGGCGTTTGCGGATCACCTCGCTGATGTCGAGGATGTCGGGCCCGGATGGAACTCGTTCCATGGTCTGGATCTGACATATACAAGCTGGGCAAACTTGGGGATGTACGATTGCGATTTCGGGGCTAGTTTAGGGGGTAAGCCGCGGTTCGTCAGATGCCCATATATGCCTTACATTGACGGCATGGTACTTGCCTTACCGAGACGTGGGCTGGTGGATACTTTAGATAGAAAGGCTTTAGAGAGAATCGAGGTTGCTGTTATGTTGAACGAGCGAGATATGCGGGCGATGGAGGAGGACGAGATGTTACGAAGCTGGAGTGCTTGATATATCATATTTATCATTGAAAGCCATATGCTGGTGTATTTCATGCGTGGAAGATCCCCCTTGTTCTCCGTACGTCAAGCTCAGGTGTTAAAGCGGCCGAACGCTACGGCGTAAGGGCGAGCCCACCGGCATACCCCTACAAGTTGATCCTGATGCACACGCGACACTTTTCAATTCTCCGACGCGTCTTTGATTTGCCCTCGCCCAACTCATCTCACACATCAACGTCTTTCAAATCTGCATTACGTCCCGACCTTAGCAGCTCATGATCACGTCCCTCGTTAAAGCCTAGGTAGTAGTACTTTGGATACGCTTCCGTTCACACTTCTCCGACCTCATTGCTTCCGTGTTCTGCTCTGCTCGGACGTCACACCTCAGCCTTGCTGGAGACTCGGGCGAGAGTCTACATCTACACTTCAGGATGGAGGAGCCCGATCTCCCGCCTCTCTCCCACTCCGCCATCATCGCCGCTCAAACACCGCCACGCCCGCGCCCGTCTTTCTTCCTCACCCGCAAACGCACCCATGCCGAAGTCTACGATGCCGACCCGCTCCCCACGACATCAAGCGATCCCGCACTCTTCTCGTCCGACGAACAAGCCCCCGGCGCCGAGAACTACGCGGGTGGCAGGCGCAAGAAAAGCACATACAAAGGTTCATGGTGGGATCGACACCCACTCAAGCAGGGGAGCAGGAAGAGCGCCAGACCGAAGCGGGAGTTCACGCGTAACTTCGACTCGGGCATCTTCATGGGCAGCCAGGACGAGAGTAGCGAGGAGCCGTTGTCTAGTGATTCGTTCACACTAGAAGACGAGTTCATCAGAGATCAGGCAGGGCAACATCAACACGAGCAGACGCGGAAGACGTGCGAGCCGAGATCGTTTAGGCTGTGGGCGCAGGAGACTCATAATCAAGAACACAACGAAGTGAACAACCATATCCCAGGCGATAGCATCAGTCCTCGGACGAAACGCGCCCCGAAACCCATTGAAACAAGGTCAAGGGAGCATTCAGAAGTCTGCGCTATTGTCGCCAGGTGTCTCGACCAGGGGAAGGAGGATGTGGATTTATCGTGAGTACAGCCCATCACCACCCCTCTGGGCCTACAAGCGACTCTGTCGGTCTGAAAGCCGCCGTGGTCATGGTTGGAGTCGACTAACGTGATACTGTTTCTAGGTCCATGTCTCTAACCACCCTTCCCGACGAAGTGACTTCACTCCAAACGCTCGCCAAACAAGACGAGATCGTCCCTGGAATGCTCGACATGGGCACGGACCTCGAACCGCAGTTGCGTGTGTATCTGGCGAACAACCTCTTCACTCGATTTCCCACGCCTGTTCTGGAACTGCGGAATCTGCGCATGTTGTCGCTGCGGAATAACAATCTGACGTCCATCCCGCCTGGGATTCGGGAGCTGGTCAATTTAGAGTTATTGAATATCGCAGGCAACCAATTGACGGAGCTGCCGTTCGAAGTTCTCGAGCTCACGAGGTTCCATAAGCTGGGGGAAATAATATCTTCACCTAATCCGTGGACAGAACCTGATGTGGCGGACTGGGGCGACCAAGCGGCAGAAGACCATGACGTGACCCTGGTTCGCACAGATCTCCGGAATATGGTGCAGTGGCTAGTGTCGAGAGTCAGCAAACCTGTGCTGGGAGGCCAAAGGACGGACGGCAATCCTGGGGTATCGTCACCGTCGCTAAGCGAGAGCGTGCTTCGACAGTTGGCGAGGCTCGATCCACAAATCAAGGTCGACTTTCCAAGCCTGATGCCCCCTGGGACGTCGGAGATAGTTCTTGAGCGTTTGCAAATGCTGCAGGAATATCCCGGGAGGCGATGTGGATATTGTGGCCGTCTGATTGTGATGGCTGCAAATGAAAGGTTGGAGTGGTGGTCTACACGCCGCAGGGGCGAACTACCAGGGGACATACTGCCATACCGGAGGCTTGAGTGTGCGCAGGGTTGTGGGAAGAAGAACGACCGCGCGACTCGGGGCAGCCCGTGTACAAAGGTGTTGCATTTGAAGCGCAGCATGCCGCGATACCCACTGTTATCTCCAGGTGTGATCGGGACGCACAGTGACTCATGGTTGGGTGATGCGTAGCACATTGCAGTGCACACTGCAGAAGTCGACGTTGAGATACATGGCTGTGGCCGTTTTCGATGTATAGGCGGTCGGGATGGAACTTCCTGAGCTTCAACAGGGAGAATCTCTGCGATTCTCCGCAAGGAACAGTGACAGCCATATTGGATATCCGGCGGCCTCGGCGATGATGCTGCCGTATTCGTTGGATGGAATCCACATCTCGAGCACACATCTGCCGCCCAGGAGGGCGCAGGTGATGTGATATGGAGTGTATGCGTGTATCTCGGGGTGTCCGGAGCATCTAACCCTAGACAGAGAATATCGATCGACATCATCGGCCAAGCATACGTGAGGTGATTCCATAGGTCTGGGTATGTATTTGTCTTTCTATCCAGACAAGATTCCGCGTGTCAAAACACAGTGTTCTCAGAGTCACTGGCGCCGTGCCTTGTGTTTTGTTTTTGTCTTTTGTTTTATCGTGGCGCCTGCCGTCGCTGTCCGCCCATCTGCTCTTTAACTTCATCTTACATTGGTGACTTGAGTTGGGTAGGTGAAAGTCGTGCTCTGTGGCGCCAGGGTCTCGCTCTCGCACCGGAATCTGTGCGCCTCTCTGTCGAGTTGCCCGTCAATATGTCAGGGAGGAGAGTCCGGACCCTGGCGCACGGCGTACATAGGAGGAGTGTCTGTGGCCAAGTTCGATTTCAAGGTATTTTAAGCCTCCCCGTCTCCGGATCCATACGCCATCGCATGCCTGCCTTCTGTCTCTTTGTACGCAAAGTCGCGCATCTCGCAGTGTCCGCACAGTCTTCGATCGATTTCGGCGGACCAGTTCTGCAGGGTGCAGGCGCGACGTTTCCTGGAGTGGCTGCCCTCGTCGCCGGGATTGGTGGACAGATTCTCGCGACTCATTGGGAGGGTGAAGTAGATATCCTCGATACGGCTACTTTTCGGTGATGATGGTCGGGGTGGTGGTGGTGTTTTGCCTTTATCGTCCGTATGAGTATGACTGCAGGGATGAACCACTGTGTTCTCTGTGTGGAGAGTTGGAGTTGGAGTTTGACTTGCGGGTTCGAGACAATTGACGGCCGCCGTGGGTGTCACGATCGTGGTGAGTAGGGAAGTGCTTGAGGCTGGCGAAGGGGGTGAGTAGGAGGTCGAGGGCAGGAGAAGTGGAGATTCTGACGGTGACGAGGATCGCGGCGAAGACAATGGTGATGAGGATGGCGTGGTGAGGGAAGAAGGCGAAGTTGATGAAGAAGAAGAGGAAGACCGAGGAGGCTCAGCCGAGCCGCATAGAGCTTTCATTTTCTTTTTGAGAGGGAGTAGCGGACCGAAATGGTTTTGGAGCGCTTTGGTTCACGCGAGGGCATATTCGCCGCGTGGTGTGTTGGAGGGTCCTTCGGCTTGCTGCTCGAAACTGGAGCTGCTGGAATGGACAGATTTAAATCATTGGATACGCGGCGTCCAGTGTCTGTATTGAGGGATGCGCAAAGACATACCTCGAGTCTGGTGTGAATAGGCGTTGGGCAAACGGGCGGTGGTGTTGATCTACCTATCTCAAGTTGAAGCAGGGTCATCCTTCACTACCGCCAGACGCAGTAGTCAGTACGAAACCCAAAAGACCAGGTAGGGAAGCGCACCACATGACGTATTCTCTGAAGCAGACAGACGTACCTTTTCACCGCTCGATGAGGCGGAGTGGACTTGTTCCGCAGCCTTGAAGTCAGGCACGCAAGCACGATGAATCCAAACAAATAGGTAGATGGGGGACACATCACTCTTGGTAGAGGCTCGCGCGTCCAGCTATCACTAAGATCCCATGTCACGGTGGCTTGTATAGGTGCGGCAGTACAGTAGACGATGCATGGTCCTCGCGTCCAGTGACTTCCAGGTCCGGAGTCGAAATTTTCACCCCGCGGATGCTGGCGAGTGAAGATATCGCAGTGACGAAAGAAGGCCATTGGAAGTCGCTCGGAAAACCAATATATGCGTACATTGTGGTTGGATTGAACATTGGTAGCCTCCTCTCCGAGGGAGGACTATGTCAGCCAATGGCAGGATATGATCCGCACTGTTGCGAACCTGCGTCGAAATGAATTAGATGTGTTGCAAGTAAACCTCGCAACCAGCCGTACTTTTTCCATCCATGGGTATCTCAAATCGTGACAATCATGAAGAATCCTGGCGGTTCAGCGCTCGAAGAACCCGCCGTCACTCATATCTTCGTCATCCTGCTGCCGGACTCGCACCCCACCATCCTCGTTGTCGCTATCCAGGTCAGCCGGATCAATCATACCACCATCATCAAGCCATGATGGCTTTTCCTCAGGTTTGGTTTGGTGCAGACTTCGCAGGTCGGCCTCTTTCTTTCCGCCTACAGCAGCAAGGTCCTTGTCCAGCTTCTTTCCGGTCAATTTTCCTTCCCGAAGAGCATTCAGCTTGTCTTCCCCTTCAGCCATGTAGCTTTCCACCTCGTACCACATCGGCGGTTTTGTCCCTGCTGCCGTCCGAGCCACATTTGCAAGCTCGTCTGAGAAGTTCCGCAATTCGCCACGCTGATCCTCGTCGAGAATGGCGTAAGCTCTCTTGTTCATTTTGTTCTTGCTTGAGCCGCTCTCTTTCTCTTCTTCCACGAACAAGCTGATGTATTTTTCTCCCAACGGTGCATACTGAGTGTAAGCAATATCCACCTCGGTTTCGTGGATCATTTTTTCCAACTTCTTCTGGTATTCTTCGTCACTGTATGCCGGAGTGTCTCTCAACTTGGTAAGTTTCTTGAGTAGTCTGGTGGCCTTCTGACGCTCTACAAATCGCACAAAGTGATATCGTTGCAGGTTCTTTCTGGCGTTTTGAGCAAGCTCGGCTTTTTGTTGGTCCAGCAGCAGTGCCGCTAATTCCCGTTCTTTCTCGTGACGAACTGTCATGGGCATCTTGGTGTCTTTCGCCAGCAGGTTTCGGAGAGAGTGAATTCTTGTGGAAGGATTGTTATGACGCTCTTTCTTGGATTTGGTGACTGCCGATCTGACCGGAGAGAGACCTCGGGGTCTTGCAGAGCGATCAGGGCCGCGAACGCGGCTTCGATCTGAATCCGGACGCCAGGAGTCGTGTCTTCGGTCTGGATCTAAGTCTGGACGGTAGGAGTCACGTCTCCGATCTCGAGTTTGATACGAAGGTCGGTATCGTGCCATGATGTGGATTTCGTGTCAGCAGCCAGCAGGGGAGTTCCAAGAAAGTTTCGAGAAACGGATCAACCCTTGACGTCGGTTTCAGGAAAGACAGTCGAAGACCATCATCGAGAAGACATGGTGGCTCTGAAGTTTGGCCTGGAACGAAAGGTCAGTGAAAGTTGCAGGTGGGGAGTCAAAGACATAAAATATTCTGCCGCTTCTAAGTTCTCACCGCCTTGAAGATCCCTGTCCGGGCAGAAGATCGCACTATTCCTCTTTCGACTTAGAGGGCGACGATAACATCAAGGCAACAAACGACACTCAAGACACTGTTCTGCAGTTAGACTGTATGACCCATCAACCATGGCTCGAACGTGGCAGGAACTTTATGGGCGCTAGGAGCGCACCAGCCTGACTTCTACTGGCTTCTACCCTGCCGGCATGGAGGCTGCAATTCGGTTCTCGCAGAATTCCCACCCTGGAACGCAGCAACGATTTCTATATGTTGATGTCACAGGGAAGACTTTCAGGCTTTGTAAAATCTCCAAGCAGAGCAAGAGTGGTGTCAAATATGATACTGTCCATACATCAACAAAAGTCCCAGCTTTCCGAGCTTTTGATTGGCATCCTGTCAACGAAGATCTGGTGGTTGTAGGACAGGCAGGCGGCGAGGCTACTCTGCTGAACATAGCGGAAGGTCATCAGGACTCGCTGTCATTTCAAGTCCGAAGCCAACGACTTTGCAACGCTGTTGCTTTGAACAGCCAGAACTTACTTGCTGCTGGACTAGATAAAGTACGAACCGACTTCTGTCTGAATGTGTGGGACTTCAATCAACGCTTGCCTGCCCCCGGATCGAAGGGATTCTCCAAAAGCTATTCCGAGCCTCTTCATAAGCTAGCGAGCGGAGAACCGATCACCAGCCTGAAATTCTTTCAAGATGATCCTCAGCTGTTGGTGGCTGGTGTCAAGGGTCAATTCGTCAGATTGTATGACCTTAGGGAGCCCTCCATCGGTAATGGACTTCAGTTCGCTACTCGATGTGTTCACAATTTAGCGATCGACTGGCTGGACGAGAACTACTTCGCCTCCTGTTATCCTACAAATGATCCTTCATTATGTGTCTGGGATCGGAGGATGATTAGTCGGCTCAACACTCCCCATATGAGCTTTGGTGGAGGATCACATTCGGGAAGTGGACAGCCAGAGGTCTCGCTAGAATTGAAGAATGTGATTGAAAGCCCGGGTACGATTTGGAGTTTACGATTCTCCAAGTCTCGCAGAGGGCACCTCGGTGTCCTCTCCAGCACAGGCAACCTCAAAGTCTATGACATCGCCAAAGATCCCGTCTCCGAGACAAATCGGACCGGCCAAGACAGTGGCCACGATATTTCTTGGGAGAACAGCCCACCACAGGAAGTGTTTCTTGACCGAGCCCAGGAAGTAGCGAAGCAATACCCCCACCAATCCGTCTCTCAGGACGAGAAGTCGAGGGTAGTGTCGTTCGATTTCATGACATCGGCAAGCAGATTAGGACAACCGAAGATTCTCACTCTTGATGGACATGGTGAGATCAAAACCATCTCGACGAATGCCTCCCCTGAGCCAGCTACCATTGCAAGTCTTGACTTCCTCTGCAAGGGCGGTACTGTTGTTGCACAATCAAATCCAGATGTGCTCCAAACAGCGAAAGTAATCGAAGAGATTCGTCGAAAGGTGCAGCCCAGGAATGTGCTCAGGCAATCAATGAAACAGTCCCGACAGGAAAGGAAGCTTCCTGACAGTAGGAGGATGTCCAGCCTAGACAACCAAGCATGGTATACTGATTTGGGATTCTATGAGAAAGATGTACCATTACAAGATCTTCTCACTTTGACCTCCGTGCAAAGGATGCGCTGTCAAGCAGGATACTTACTAAATCCAACAAAAAACAAGGCGATTGTCTCTGATTCCCATTGGGTGCAGACATTCTGGGCATGGATCGAGCTTGCGGCGAAAATATCCAAGAATAGCAACATGACACAAGACAACTTTGACTTGTCCTATCTTGGTGTATATGCTCTTTGGATGGAAGATGTGAACGCAAAGAACCGGACATTAGGACCCGGTTCCAACAAGCCTGGCAAAATCATTGAGAACCTTGTCCGCCGCCTGAACATTCCGAAGATCAGAGGCAGCGCAACAGAGTATCCCGCCAACCGGCAGATTTGTCTTCATTCTGCAGGGTTAGCATGGTCGTATGATGAACTTGAAAGAAGAGTTAAAGGACTTGTGGCACAAAATCACCACACCAAAGCTGCGGCACTTGCGATGTTCGCGATGGAGCGCAAACTAGCCTACAAGGCCCTTCGTGGCAAAGGTGCTAACCAGTCCCACAAAATGTTGGCACTGGCTATCGCAGGAGCTTCGAAAGGTGCGAGGAATGGCGAAGGAGGAGCTATGTCCGGCGATGAGTTAGATGCGCAAGACGACTGGGCTGAGACCATTTCATCTCTAGGTGAAGAGTTGACCGATCCATATGCGCGTGCCATCCTTGCCTATGTGAAAACGGGAGATTGGTCCAACGTCGTTGCGGAAGATTCTCTCCCACTTAAGTACCGGGTTTGTGTTGCACTACGACATCTCGATGACTCCAACTTGACCCGGTATATCTCCCAAGCAATGAAAGCTGTGTTGGTGGAAGGTGATATTGAAGGAGTCGTGCTGACTGGTATTGCGACTCGTGATGCTTTCGAGCTAATGAACAGCTACGTTCGCAGGTTTGGTGACCTGCAGACAGCAGTGTTGGCACTGTGTCCCGCCATACCGCGATATGTCGACGGTGATGAAGTTGTTCGCAAGTTTGATGGTTGGAAAGACGCATACAAACACATGATCAATAGTTGGAATTTGAAGTTTGACCGCGTTAGGTTTGACATTGCGTGTCAAAATGCCGCTGTGGACGAAAGCGGAAGACGACTCATACCAACTGCAAAGCAGCAAGTCCGACTTGTTTGTGGCTTTTGCGCGCAAAGTATTGCCCACGCAGCAGGTACAGATGATGAGGGCTCGCCAGGGCACAAGGTAGTCGAGACGCCACAGCACCCACTGACAAAAGAAAAGGCTGCCGCGATTGGCACTGTTTGTCCAAAATGTGGCAGGCATCTACCGAGATGCGGTGTCTGCGATCTGTGGCTTGGTATGCCGGATGAATCGTACTTGCCATGGTACGGGACGCAACAAGCGAGGCAGAAAGGCAGCAAGGGCAGTCTCGATCTCAGCGCCAGTCTGGCGGGCAGTGTGCATACCACGATTGGGCCAGGAACGGCGTCGGCGACGTTGAAGGGCTCTGCATCGCCTCAGCTCGAGTCTTCACCGCATTCTCAGGTCAACTCGACGAAATCAGCTACTACTGAGTCTACGACTGGAACAGCTATTCCCACATCTCCAGCAGCCGTCAACGGGAACATCGTTGTGCCTAGTATTGCGGTCATTGAGCCACCAACGACGGCGCCAGAGCCAGACAACGACATAGAAAAGGCTGACAAGGCCCAAAAATGGGACGCTGCCATGGCGAAATTCACCGTGCTTTGCCTGAAATGCTCTCATGGCTGCCACGCCGCGCATGCCAGGATGTGGTTTGAGAAGCATAGCGTCTGCCCTGTGCCAGAATGCTCATGCCTATGCAACGAATGAGGCAGATGTGATCTCGATTGATGACCACCTGGCTAACAGTTATATGAAAACGGAATGACAAGGAACATTGAATTATACTTGTTGCATATATGCCAGTGCTTGGCCGCTTACTCCCAGCTCCGTCACAATAACAGCTAGGGGTTAGGCGCCCCATTACTTGGGAGCTTGGCAGGACGACCCCCTATTAATTCCTCCACTTTGCTCTTCTCAATCCATTCCCGGGCATTGCAAACCAGTATATATAAAAATCAACTCTTATTTTTGACAAACCGGATCAAATCCTCGACGTGCCTCGAACATGGCCCAAGTCTCAGAAAAGCCCGTCAAGCCACGGAATGGAGGGGGTTGGCTAGCAGCAGGCGTCTTCATACTGCTTTCAATGCTCGCAGCCTATTATATGCGCATTGCAACTAACCTCGCTGGAATTGGTGAAAAGATGGAGTATATCAACAAGATCAAATACTTTCCCGACAATGGTGTTTCACTCCGGACTATATATACTGGGATTGCCCCGCTGGACACCTTCCTTTCATTTCTGGTGTCGGCATTCCTCTCTGGAGCAGCAGGGTGGGACCGGGGATTCTATGTTCTTCAATCTTACTTCCTGGTGTCCTTCTTCCCTATCGTGACAATTTTTTCGATCGAATCGTGCAGGAAACGCAATCACCTCGCTTTGACCAGCTTGTGAGCACAATCTTCGTTGTTCTCTGACATTGCTAATGACCTCCTAGCACCAGCATATGGGCATTGTTCTACCAGACTGTCGGGGGCGCCGTCATCATCCCCTTGTATTATTTGGCATACCTCCGAGATTCCAGAGGGAGCAAATACTGGTCGGCAGAGTCAAGACAGGTCCCCTTGGCTTATGCAAAAGCCTTGTTACCAGCGTTGGTGATCGGATACCTGGTCCCGACGATCTTGATGTTCTTTCCATACTCGGAGAAAAATTACTGGACGACACAGGGAATGGTCGCCCTATGGCAGCCGTCACCATGGTTCGTCAATGCCATTTTGTGGGCGTGTTCCTCGTTTTACGCCAGCTCGGGCTCAGAAGCCGAGGACACCGTGGCTCCTTTGGTCGACGTGAAATATCTGGGATCCATATACTCCGTAGCTCTTATCGTATCGGCTATCTCGCATGTTGCCACGATGAGCGTGTGTCTATTCTCGGGCGATCTGCAGCACTCATTCAGTCACGTCTTTGTTCCGGGCAGCCTTACGAACGACACGCCCTTGTTTGATGCTCTTCGAATGATATTTCAGGTCGACTTTTGGATCATCTCTGCCGCTTCTCTGGTGTGGGCTTATCTTGCGGTCTGGGATCTTAAAAGGATTGGCAAGACCGATGTGTCACTGATTCAGACCACGGCTGCAATTCTCCTGGGCTCCATTGTTGTTGGTCCTGCAGCTGCGGTTACAGGAGTATGGTACTGGCGAGAGCATATTATGGCGAAGAAGATTTCTGCTTAGGTCATCTCGTGTTAAGGATGAAGTTTGGGTATGAGTAAGACAACCGGCTTTGTGGTCGAAGGCGCTGGGCTGTCGGAATGCTGTATCAGGTCTCTGGATTGTATCAATCGTCAGCCGCGACATGTCAACCTTGGAGCACGCCTATCAAGATGGGAACCTGGTTGCATCAATAAATATGGAGAATCCGTCAGTTGCAACAAACGCTCTCGAATAGTGTCATAGGTACTTTAGGCGTCAGAAGTGCTGCTGCGGGAAACGGTCAATAGCATCGTGCACCTGAGCATGATTACAGCCTCGTCAGCGTTCACGAGGCTGATGCGGGGAGATTCTCGTACCCTGGAAACTAGGCAACAAAAATTCATCGCTTCAATTGATATGGCCACTGTGTCTCCTTGGCCGCCATTCGTCACAAGCCTGAACAAGAAAAGCCTGATACTCTTCAGGGCCGTCATGCTGGACTCTGCATTTCTATGCTCTCTTTCGAGGTTTGTTTCAGGCATAATCTAACTTGACCCTCAAGAGCATTGTGATAGCTGTTCACGATGAAGCTCCTCATGCTCTTGACCATATTGTTTGTAGGCTCAGCTCTTTCGGCACGAGTCACGAACCCGAAGAAAGTCCCGCGAAATGCTGTCCTCCTGTCCAAAGTCTCGGCGATCACCGTCCGCGCAGGCAAACAAACTGCCTCGCGTCGAGTCCCTCCCGTCCCTCAACTACAATGCGTTGGACCTGCAAAGATATGCAGTCTATACACAGTTGATGTAATGCGCTGTACAAATGAGGGCGTCGAGTATGATGAGAACAATGTACAATGGAGCTGCAAAGCATCCTTGCCAGAAGAGTTCAAGCTGGGTAGTACAGATGTGACCTGCGAAGGCTATGAGAGCAGCGATGATCCCTACGTTCTGAAGGGCAGCTGCGGTGTGGAATACAGGCTTTTACTTACCGACAAGGGAGAGGAGAAGTATGGGTCACAAACAGGCATGAATTTCAACATCTTACCGAAGACACATCTGGTTTCGGAAAAGATTGCAGGCTATGTGTTTATGGCAGTCTTCTTCCTGGTGTTGTTCATCATCGTTCGAGGTTTCTATAGAGCATGGCGAGAAGACTCGGGACCACCACAGGACCGTCCGTTTGGCGGAGGAGGTGGGGGTGACGACCCTCCACCACCGTACGATCCGCGTCCTCCGCCACGACCGAAGAAACCTACCTGGTCATCAAGCTCAAATTCGAGTTCCAGTTCGACACAACGATCACGCACGACTCAAGAAGAAGGCTGGAGACCAGGTTTCTGGACTGGTACAGCAGCTGGAGCTGCTGCAGGGTACTTTGCAGGGAGAGGCGCACGCACACAACCCGAACCGCCACGAAGAGCGCCGTGGGGGAATGGATGGTTTGGTGGCACGCGAGATAACGAGTTTGAAGAAGCGATTAACCAGGGCGGTTGGTTTCGGGGTGGGCGCGGAGGAGGTGGCGCCAGACCTGGACCGTCTTCCTCGAGGACTCCCAGCTCAAGTTCAAGTTTCTCGAGCTCGCGGCATGAGAGTTCGGGCTTCGGTGGAACGAGTCGTCGCTAGAGATGCTCTTGGGTACCGTCGTGGACATTGACATCAGGCTTGGCGTCCAATTGCGGTTTTGGAGTCACTGAACCCGTGAAACGCCCTTGAATACCAACCTGAGGGCCTGCTTTGGACTGCTTTGATGAAAGAAATGAGATATGATACCCACGATTGCTATTGTCTCTTTGATACTTCGATACGGTCTTTGGACAACCCATTTTTCCCTCCATAAAGTCGGAAATCTCAAGTCGCCGTATCGTAGCACTCATTGTAGGACGATTACTCGTACTAGTAAGCATCGACGTCACGCAGTAAACACGAAAGCACGTGATACCGACATTACATTTGCCAGGCTGCACCTCGACGTTCTTTGCATGTAGCAACAGTCTATGCAAGATCCTGAGCCCTTTATGAGACTCGACTGGCGCAGTCTTGGGACCTTCAGCTCTTCAGGGCGCTGGCCGATCATCATCCGACCCAGCGGCAAACGGCAGGCGATCCGAGCAATCCGCTCCTCTGGTAACAAAGAATCTTGGTTCAGCCTGCTCAGTCAAGAACAAGATTGAGGAGCCTTTTTCGATAGGCAACACACGCTTGCTTTTGTCCCACCTGACATCATGAGAGCAACGTGTTCTAACAAAGGCTAGCATTGCTTGCTATATCTCGCATGTTTGGCGGTAGTCATTGCTACACTCAGTCATTGCGACACTCCTTGATGCTACAGCTCCGTATAGTGTCCACTGAGACACTTGGATAAGTCGATGATAAGCTCCCTATACCACGTGGGGAAAGGAGATCGAGATTGGGGCTTTTCGAGAACCAAGGTAGAGAGTCTGGAGTCAACAACCATATCACTCGACCAAGTGGCATGACCTTTGGATTGGGATATGGATCGTCACTTTACATGCATTTGACTTGCTCCTCTATGAACATATCGACGAACTCCCGGGTTTGTGAATATACCATTCAATACTGCCAACCCCGTCGCGCGACGGTATCCTCACTTCTTCATTCACGGTCTGGCCAGCGCCGACCATTCCGCCTTTCCACCTCGTCACTACAACCTGGATTGCACCTCCTTGTTCAGCCTTGTCAGTGGTTACATGCATGTTTGTTGCAAAAACCTCCTAAATCCTTTGTTCAGAGGATTGTACCATCAACACTACACAAGCCTTTATCACCACCCTCACCCGCATCCTTAGTCGAGCTCTCTAGTATACCGCCGGCGCCCCAAAGGTCCTTGCTTCTATCCTCCTTCAACCACGATCACCGGACCGCAGTCATGGGCCGAAGACGTACACGACCGGAGTTGGTCGACCTCCTCACCGATAGCGATGAAGAAACCCTCAACCAGCCTTCGACCTCTCTCAGTCAAGTACAAAAACAAGTTCTACAAGCGGAGCGCAGTGATGACCACATCAAAATGCACAACTGGCTCCTTAAACCACTCTCTACTTATACCAAAGGTCGGGTGCATCGCTTCACGGATCTCGAGAATGGAATCAATAAAGAGCACTACATTCCGGATGACCAACTCGAATGTCGTGGGTGCAGCATTGAGCCATTTGAACTGAAACCCGATATGAAGGAGGTCACGGACAAGAAGAAGAATACAGGGCGGCCGACGCTAGGAGCAGATCCGAAGATTCAAGCGAGAAATGCTGACGCGCAGGGTGGTGACAGGAATGGTTCTAAGCTTCTCGATGCAGATGGCCCTGGGGCCACCACCGCCTCTGATAAGGGCAAGAGCAACGATCGGCCTCGTCGTCAGAAGGTCTTGGACCTCATCGAATACGAAGGCAGTACCGCAAGTCACACCGAAGCTGGAAGCGACAACGAAGAGGTCCAGATAATTCCTGGCCCTTCTCAGCAAACACCTTCGCACTTGCGTTCGCAACCCGGTCGAGATCGCAAAGGGAAACAACGGGAACGGCTCACTGAAATTGACCTCTCACAGCTCTCTGACGATGATGATGCACCAAGTCCTCTGTCCCGCTCCGGCCGAGCTATCAGCCTCATCGGAGATGCCAATGAGCTTGATGATGAAGACTACAGAAGAGCGGTTGCGTTGTCTTTACAAGATGCGGCAGTCTTGGATGCTGGCAAAAGTACCCCAAGCGGCAGCAACAGCAATGAGGGATCTGACGATGAAGATCTGAAGAGAGCCATTGCCCTATCTCTGAAGGACGCAGAAAACGAGAAAGAGAGAGCACTTTCAGGTAAAGACAGTGCCAGACCAATCGAGCTGCAGCGACACCAGGACAGCGATACCACGCTATCTCGTTCACCGCCAGAGACGATCCCTTCAGACAGCCTACCTGCAGCAAATACACAGGCGGCTCCGCTGGCCCCATCGCTTCCGACCGTGCCTCACACTCAGTCGTCGGGTACCACAAGCTCCTCAGCCTTCAACATCTTTGGTCTCAACCGCAAACAAATGGAAGAAGAGCGCCTGGCCAGACTCAAGCGCAAGCATGATGGCGACAGTGGCAATGGCCAAACCTCCAAAGCACTCCGTCTTGATGCGTCAGGATCCCTGTCTCAGAGCACGAGAATCTCACCACCACCTCTTCAGCGCCAGATTCGCCAACTTCCGACCTCAATCCCATCGTCGGGACCATCTCGACGACCTACCTCTCAGCAACGCCGCAATATCTCTCCACCGCTCGCCACCTCTGCTGCTAGCAGCCGCAGCGCCCAACAAGGGGAGACCGCAACAGCAATCCCCACCACGTCCTCCGCATCCTCGACGCTCCCTCTTTTCCCTCGCGGGAAAGTCTATAAAACCGCCCTTTCCAAATCTGATACCGACACCAACACCATCTCCTTCCCGTCCCTCCTCGGGCCGACCACAGCCCTCGAATCCGCTCTCCTGTCCTCCTTCATTTGGGACTTCGACTGGCTGTTCCCTCACTTCGACACCAAGAGCACAAAATTCCAATTGGTCATGCACGGAAAATCCCCCGCGCAGCGCGATGCCATCAAATCCGATTTTCAAGGCGTGAATAACGTGCGCATCTGCTTTCCCCCGATGGACGGGATCGTGAACTGCATGCACAGCAAACTCATGCTACTCTTCTACAAAGCTCAGGACGGTGCAGAAAGTTGGTCACGACGATGCCGGCTCGTCATTCCCACGGCGAATCTGGTCGGTTTCGACTGGGGCGTTGGCTCGTTTATGGAAAACAGCGTGTTTCTGATTGACCTGCCGGCAAAGGCAGACAGGGATACAAACAAAGACACATCAATAGTATCAGGGGAGGCTGCAAAGGGCATGGATGTCACATCGAACGCACGAGACGGTAGAGCGACGGCGACAAAGGTCAATTCCAGCAGCACCTCCTCAGAAACGCCGAAAGAGAGTCCGTCACCAGTAGCGATATCGACAAGTGTAAAATTTCCAGTCATCGCTGGATTCTCGAACAACGACAAAAGCACTTCATCAATCATGGGAACAGGGCAAGGCACAGAAACGGAATTTGAAAGATCATTGAGAGCGTTCTTGACTGCGCAGACGATCCCAGCGGACGTTCTCTTGAAACTCTCGGGCTTCGACTTCAGCCAGACGGATCACCTAGGATTCGTCCACACGATCGGTGGCATGCACATGGATCAAACCCGCACCACGACAGGACTCTACGGTCTCAGTCGTACCGTCACCCACCTCGGCCTTGCAACCCAGCGCCCAATTGAAATGGACTACGTAACGTCCTCCCTGGGCAATTTGAATGATGAGTTCATGACCTGCATGTACCGTGCAGCACAAGGCGACCTCTCGTCCTCTGACAGCCCGCCGTGCCCTCGTGCGGCGAAAAAGACATCAGCAAGCCGACACAATCAAGCAGAAGATCGACGACAAGAACGACAACGAGAGTGGTGGAAGAACAGCCTCCGAATCTACTATCCCAGCGATACGACGGTGCGCAGATCCAAGGGTGGTGCACGCAACGCGGGAACGATTTGTTTCTCGAGTAAGTGGTGGGGTCAGGGGACGTTTCCTCGATCGAATATGCGCGACTGCGTTAGCGTTCGAGAGGGGATGTTGATGCACAACAAAGTGAGTGGATTGCCGTTTTTCCCGCATGTCAAGTGATGGGTTTCGGAATATGGCAAAGCTGACTTTCTGATTTTTCTCCCGTGCTTTTAGCTTCTTTACGTCAGACCTGCATGTGCGTCTGCATCTGCATCAGATGCTAACGACGAGTCGTCTTCGCATCGATCATGGGTGTATGTGGGGAGTGCGAATCTGTCTGAGAGTGCTTGGTAAGCTAGGTCCATTGCGGGAGATAGATAGAGAAAGCTGTTCTGACATGTCGCATCTGCTAGGGGTAAGCTCGTTCAAGACAAGTCGACCAAACGGCCCAAGTTGAATTGCCGTAACTGGGAATGTGGTGTTGTCATTCCGGTTTCTACGGGTACATCCGACTGCGAAGTTGTCGACGATAAGGGAAAGCACGAAAGCGGTGTTAGTCATACTGATCTTGCTGTGTTCGAGAAAATCGTCCCCATTCCAATGACGCTTCCTGGCGAGAGTCTCGTGGAGAAGGGAAAGAAGCCTTGGACCTTGTTCGACTGATGAGCAGAGATCAACCACTTCTAGAGCCTTTCGATCGGCTGTTGATGCCGTGCTGGTGGATAGACCTGGGAGGTGACCGGTGAGCACCCCGGTACAACCCATGGTGTCGGCTGTTTAGCTATACTGCGATCGCATTTCTTATCCGTAGCCAGAGTTTCCCTCGGGATCGCGGACGCTCATCCTAGCTCGACTTTGGGAAGCTTTGAAGAAGTCAGATTATGGAAAGAGCTTTCTGATCTTGCAGCACTCGGGATTGACTTTGGGTCAGACCGAGATTTGGCATGAAAGACGCCCGCGGAAAGCCCCTGAAGGTGTTTATAACGCAAAAGGTTTGGTATGCCGACTGGTTGCAGGAGCATTGATGAGGACGGAAAAAACCAATAGTATTGTTACATTCTGAGCGTTGTTGGGGCCGACTTGCCGCCTCTGCATACCTTTCTAGTACGCAGTAGGAGAGCCGCGCTCACATGCCGATCAATGATCGAGGCTGCAATGACTGAGTTAGGGTTGCATGAGAGGATCGCTGAGGAGCTCTGACTTGGACTGGCGTGACTGGATAACTATTCGATAGATAGTATCACCATTCAACGAGTGCAAGTAGCATATGCCAAGCCAAAAGTTTCCGTAGACGTCGATCACGAGCGGTAACGGCAGCCAATGTTGATCGAGGTACGCCATATGCATTCTGTGAGAGGAGATGATCCGTAGGAGCGAAGAACGAGGGTCAGCAGGTGTTTCGGTTCAGAGGAGTACCACAGTAGACAATATTGTCAGCAGAGGTGAGTGTCGATCGTCAAGTTAACAGTTGAGAGGAGCCTCTCGCAACAATCGATCTTTTCCCCTGCAGGGTAGTGGGCTGTTTGGGCGCGAATGGTTCGCTTGAGCACTCTCTCCGGGAAATGCAGGTCAATGGCTGGGAGGCCCGCATGCGGCATAAGTGTTGTGCTTTGGGTTCGACAACTACTCGTATGGGCGACGAATCTTACCGTACATACTGTGTATTGTCTGACGGCTGTTCATCTCCAGCATGATATGGGTTCTCCACACAATGGCGGGCTTCAGATGTGGTTGATGTGATGTGCAGGGGAAAGCGACCATCCCCGTTGTGGGCACAGGTCAGGGTTCGGGGAGGACGCCATCATACGCGTCTTCACTGTGGTCCAGGGGTATGGAGGGAACTCTCTCACATGCCAGCTTGGGGTATCGGAGAGCGCCGCAGTAGGCTACTACCTGTAACGTACAGGGGCCCTCCCATGTTCAGGGTGTGATGGGGTCCAGTCGCCGGAGCTGACTGAGCTCGATCCGAAGCTCGGACGCACTGTACGTAAAAGAGCTGTAAGTTCGAGATCTGTACCAGTAGAAATGTGGTGAAATGTCATTCTGTGAGGCGGTGAGCGTCCCCTGGAGTGAGCGAAACGATTTTCAGGGGTGCTATGAGGTAGTCACATGAGAACGTGCGAGCGAAATGCTGAGGTACATACTGTAGCGTCGGGCAGTTGAGGCCGGGGGTTGAAGACGCCGCACCTGTCAGGAATCAAAATGCAGAGAAACGTGGCTCAGGAGCATCAGGCGATGAGGCCGATCTGAACCGGTCTCCCTTGTGAAACCCAGCCAGTAGCGACATAATGCACCGTTGGCGAACCTCGGTACAAGGGACTTGGGGGTTCGGATGGATTTTGGACAATCCGAAAGCGAGAACCAGAGTCGGAGAGGTGTTGATTGAACTCGAATCGGTTCACGCCCGCAGGTCACTGCGATCTAGTGAAGGAGAAAGTGGAAATGCACGAAGCGGGAGAAGTTCAGTCAATCAAATCAAACCAAGTCAAATCACGACAAGTTTAGCACCGACTACCAACTTCACGAAGAAGGAGCTAATTACAAAAGTGCATGCTGTAGTAGTGGAAGGTACCTAGATAGATACCATAAACTATACTCCTAGGTACAGACAGAACAGCCTTCCTGATGGGTTTGGGGGTTGGATGTCTGGGGCACGATTCTGGAGCGATTCAATATGCACTGCCATCGTCCTCGACATGTTACACCACAGCCCGTACCAGTACCACTCCTTTGGGTCAAGATGGCGTCACCCCATTTCACCGAATCCTCGGAAATCGAAGCCTGCTCCTGCCACTCAGTGGGCCGTGCTTCAGCCAGCCGTCCTCGCTGTGAATGACTCTTCCGGGCTACCACAGCCGACGCTGGGTGTTCGGACCCTCGCAAAAACAACAATCATACTGTACACAGTATCACCATGCGCGCCATGCAAAGAACCTGATCGATGCGTGACAAGACAATCTACTATGTATGTTCGGAGAAATCATCTTTCAAGCTGAGTATCAAAAGTTCCGATGGTTTTACCGAACTCTCGACAATAATCACGTCCCACAGCACCAGCTTACCTTCGTTCGGCAGGGGTCGGTGCAGGCGTATGACCATCACCAGAACGATGCCTGCTAGGCTTGCAGGGGTGCCGATGGTGCTTTCCCTTTCAGGATATTGACAAAACTCGCGGGGGGCTCGGGGAGGTGCTTTCCGTCACGAGCATTTGCAAGGATGCAAGGATGCAAGGAGCGACGATGCGCTTCTCGGACTCGAGTACTCCGCCAATTGCGTATGTGCGGTTGGGTTCCATGACAGGTGCACAGTATGTAATCGTGTGTCTGCCACAATTACTTGGACGGGTTCTCAGTGGACACGTTGTGGACTCGTCGCGCCGTGCTCAGAGATAGCGCAGATTGTTGCACATGTTGGTTGGCCACAGCGCGACATAGAAGCCCCGGGGTATGTTCTGCTAAGAACAGTCTGGACCGCGTTTGTGGCAGAGATTGGCGCAACCACTACGAGTAGCCATTCCTCACAGGGACTGTTTGAGCACAGGCCATGATGGGCCTTTTCTTCAGATGAAGAAGACACGAGCACTTGGGACGAGTGTCCACGACTGCCCGGGACTCCCCCCCGAGTGTGACCTGTTCAGACAAGGGTGCTTGGTCAATTCCTGAGGGAGAGATCCACTCCGCTTGGCCTCAAGCATGCTGTCAAAAGTTGGATGTCGATACAACCACGAGCTGAATTTCCTAGGTGCTTGCCTGGTACGAGTATGAGATTATTACGGATTACCGGCGTGGTTGTGCTGCGACTCCTAGCTTGTAGTAGGCGGCCGGAACCCCTAGCAGCTGTGAGCGCCGATCTGCCCTAGCTGACGAATTTCCAGGCTCCATCCTGAGGGCTACTAGGCTTGGGGTCTATTATGACATGGGATTTCTCAAATTCGCTCTTCCTGGTCATCGCCAAAAGTCTCCAGTGATGAGCATGTTATTCCATTTTTCGCAATAATGGAGCCAGTCACCCAGTGTCTCAGGGTTTCCATTCCTGCCTGACCGCCTGTATCCTCCCGCACGCGGTACATGACTCGCAGAAAGTTGAAACCAACCCCGGAAGCACCTGTGAGAACCACAAATGCAACGCCTCATTCCGCCATCTTCAGCGGTTGTGCCAATGATGTGTGTGCCTCGAGCAAAAGGGCCGATGTTTGTCTGCACGGACCCGTCCATCCACGAGACTTACTCTCCCGTACTCCCCTTGGGTCAGCTACAAGTTGCGCTGCGTGAATACCTGGGTAGGTACTCCGTAGTCCATGGCGTTACGGAAGACGCTCCAGGTTCACAGTTGGCCTACGTAGAGCATCTATACCCACGACATAGTCCAGAATATCGTTGCCGCCTCTGATTTGGAGAGATCCCAGTCAATGACTGGGATCCCTGTCTCGCAAACCTCTACAGCGACCGACTCGGACAAGGTTACCTCCTTTACAGAATGATATCTGTCGTTTCGCTGCCCAGCCGTCGTAGCTGGGTGTCCTTAGAGTCCAAGTACGGTGCAGCCAATCGTGCGGCTTGGAACAGAGGTCCCTAGATTGAACCCATCGGATTGTGCCCTTTTGCTGTCATCTGCTACTCGTAGACCCAACAATCCACACTGACCTATCCTATCCGCACCGCTCTAGAACTTGAGAGTCACCATCACATCGCCTATGGTCCTTGACCGTCGTGCTGAAGTTCCGCTTATTCGATATAACGACTACTACTAGCCCTGAGTGCCGGCTTCATGTGGTTCTTGCTTCGACCCTCCCAGTGTTGGTCTGTGTCCCGTTTCCACTACAGTGCACTAGCTTAGTACATCTTTAGTAGCCCATCCAAATAACTAGCGAGGCCATTTCCGATCCGTCTCGTCGTCCCTCCCTCAGGCCCCCTTTGCTGGAGCATTTCCCGACAAGTGGACAAGCCACCAGATCCTGACAAAGGGCCATCAGGGCTGAGATCTCTGGCCCTGCCGCGTAGAACGGGAGGTCCGCGTATCTCACTTCTGAAGCGGACGTAAAATCTCTGCGCATGCCCGGGCTCCATCTCCGTTGTTTCTTGTCTTTGTCGTCCTCTGAACCCCTCCATCCTGATATTGGATCGCCGTTTTGGTCTCGGCAATGGACCTTGAGAAAGTATATCTCTGTTGATACAGTTGGCCGACTTCTTACTCTCCATAGCTACTCTGCAGCTACCCTACCTTACCCGAGCTTGCCGAAAAGCCAAACGATAAAAAGATTTCCGTTCCCTGGCGTTGAGCCATTGCCGAGTGAATGCTTGAGCTCCACCTTTGACAGGCCATTGCCACATCTTTCAAAGCATCTCACGAATCATTATTCCTTGGACGGATTATTCTGCTAGACGACTATCGATGAGAGCTATCTGGTAGTTCCCGTACGAACGTGCTCTTCTCGAAATTGGGTACAACCTCGAGGCGGGGGCTTAGTTAATTCTATCTATCCCATCTGCATGACGGCGGGCAGTCCCCATCGACTTCCAACAAAGACGCCTAGCAGTGGATTTCCGGACTGTCACAACGAAGCTGTTCCAAGAGTGCCTGGCCGCTGGTCACTCGCTGCCCAACCCAAAGAAGCTTGGTGACTTTCAGTGGTGATCAAACTCTCAACAGCAGCGCGACCCCCAAGAGCTTTGCTTCTTCCGTTTCACCTACACCCCTATCTCTTGCTCATCTGTTAGAGCACCCGATCTTGAAGATTCGTCACAAGTCCGGCCGCCCGTGGCAGCAACGGAGGGTCCAGGAAGTGGTCAAATTATTCCAGTAGGAGGAGTTGCTCTTCGCTCGACAACGTCGACCCCGCCAAAATTGCCCGGTCCACGCTCAAAAGTCTATATCGCATTCCACTAGAAAGTTTGCAGATCCCAGCTGGCATCAATTGCTTATCTATTCGTAAAGGCCTGTGAGGACCCGGTTGTCAAACAAGCAATTCACGTGCTGGCAAAGTGCGAGAGTGAGCTCGAAGTGAAGGAAGGCGCTGCCAGCCAGCAACAATCTGGGACACTTCTTTCACCAACGAATCGCCTGCTCAGCAATTTTATCGACACGCTATACACAGCCGAAAGTCCTCTTCGAAGCATCTTTCCAAAACCCTCCTCCAAACTCAGACGAAGCGGACCAACAAACTTGCTTCTACCTCTCATCTCCTTACCTAGGTAACTTGGAGTAAGACAGAGCAACGATTGCCGTTGAGAGCGTGCCCTTGCCTCGCCAACATTTCCTTTGTCTCCGCCCGGGCGCATTCACCAAGCGCACGTCAACAGTAAGTCAAATGTGACTTTGATGCCTCTTTTGGTCACGGCCGTGAGCTAACATGCCATTAGAGACCTGTACGTCGTATGCTCAGGCCGTCCACTCCCCGCGAAACCCCGGCCGACACCTGCTCGAAGCTTTGCAGCAGCACGCCTGCACAGTCTCTCTTTGTTGCGCACACGTTATCTCGCATACTCGCCCTTTTGGTACATAACTTCCGCCAAGGTCCTGGTCTATTCCCACTCAAATTTGTCCGTCGGCGACGTGCCCTCAGCCGTCGGATCTGAGTTCAACCTAGGATTAAAGTCTCAAGCACCACGGGAACTCTCACCAAAGGCTCTCGGACAGAACCCAGTACTGCAGAAGCTCGCAAATCACCATATCAACCATGTCCTCTGGTGGCGCCGCACTGCAACCGACCTTTCAAGGCCATGTTGCAACGACGCAAGATGCTCTCATCCTCTTTGAGGCATGTTTGCAAGGCCATCTATCGCATGTGCCGCGGAGACCCCACGATCGAGAACGAAGCAACCTGATCAGAAGCGGCTGCGTCTTCATCTATGAGGAAAATGCGTCAGGAATCAAGAGGTGGACTGACGGCGTAACATGGAGCCCGAGTCGAATTCTTGGAAACTTCTTGGTCTATCGCGAACTGGACAAGCCCTTCCCTCCTGGTGAGAAGAAGCGAGCAATGAAAAAGCAGCAAAGACGGCCCAGTCGACCTGGTGAACCGTACCCGAGATCTGACGCGAGTTCTTTCTCAGATGGACAAAGTGGCCCGTCTACAGAGATCGAAAGACAACTTATTGGCTCCTTGGTCGATTCATATGGATTCAAGGAGAGCGGCCTTGTCAAAAAGACCATGAGTGTGACCGTTGGGGGTGTCACTCATCATTTGGTCTCCTATTACCACGTTCATGATGTGCTGGGCAACCAACTGCGCACGCCTTCGCAAACCGACAATCTGCAATACATCCGGCCACGGGCAGAGCTCACCCAAAAACAGAGCTTTCGGTCACCTATCGAAAACGTCGATGAGCTGGACGCTGGCCAAGCAGCAGTGTATGGCTACCGGGCCAGCTCAGGTCCTTATAGGCCGGAATACAACAACCAGCCATACTACATGTCTCAGAACTATCCTCAAATGCCTCAGCAGAGCGGCGGCCCTGCATATGGCATGGGAGTTGCATCTATGCCTGGATCGTATATGCAGTCGCAAGTTCCTGCAACCCAAATGCAGAGCCAACGAGCAGACTACAACCACTATGACCAGGCTGTGTACAGTCGCCATTATGATCCGACATCACGACCAATGCCGGCGACGCCCACGAGTATGCCTTCGACGATGCCACCAAGTATGCCCTCAATGATGTCGGATCGATCTCAAGGTCAGCCTGCCATGTACCCCCCTATGAACATGCAGCGACCGATGAGCAACATGAGTCCTGTGTCAATGGATTCTCGTAACCAAGTGTCGTATCGATCCAGCCCGTACACGGTGCCTACACCAACGACTCAGATGGATCAGTCTCGACAAAGTCAGCAATCTCCAATTTCGGATCGTCGAGAACAAGGGCAGCAACCGTCTCAACTCTATCAAAGTCCGAGGGCGCCCTATTATTCTGAGGCTACGAGCCAAACACTTCCTCCGGCGCAGTACTCGCAGCCTCCCCATATGCCGCAGTGGCCAGGACAGACCCATCCTCCACAGTAGATCGATATCGAGTTTGACCATTCAGCAATACTCGTTAACCGTCAACACCACTGTTCGAGTCTCTGGCCACAGTGAGTTGGTTTGTATTTGACAGGCAAGGTGCTCTTACAGTGGCATCTTATTGATGAATCCCGCCAGTCATTGCAGTACGTTGTATGCCGAGCGGTGGCAATTCCACGGCTTGAAAAAGGCTTTTCAGTTGGTCCATTTTTTCCTTAAGCTCTATCAGATTCAGGAAGGTTCGGCTTTGGTGTATAGGCACAGCATTTTCGCATCAACATTTCAGTCAGGAGGTCTAGCGTTTCACAGGCTTTCCTCTTGTTCACGGGTGCTTTCTCAGGGAACAAAGGGGCTAAAAAGGAAGGCGCATGCGGATGATAATGACAGAAACAGCCCACTCTGGAAGTGCTGATGAGGTCAACGAAGTGGATGACGGTCGATATTTCTTTCTTATCTTTCTTTCCCTCAATGAAAGGTTACTTGCGGGATAACTCCCTTTGTGAGAGCTGGTGTGAGGGTGGAAAAAGTGAAGTTACTCGTTCATGGCAGTCTGTACTTGTGCTTGGGTGTTAGTTAGGGTGTCGAGAAACGCTTCACAGCTACAAGTTGATTGATTCCTGGACTCATATAATGTGCAACAGATAACTGGATTCACTGGACAGTCACGTTGCTATCGACGATCAAGCGTCAAGACCATCGTAATGATGGCATTTGCGCTTGTCAAGTTATCAAGTTCTAAGCTATGTGGTTTTTGTGGTTTTTGTTTTTGTTTAATCATGGGGAAGGCACAGTCAGTCACCTCAGTTCCGCCTATACCTTCGCTGAGAGAGCTATGTAAAGCCCTCACAGAACGACCATACTTCGACAATAACAAACCCTTGGAAGTTGGGCTTAAAGAGGCCCCTACCTTGCCTTTCTCACCTCCGCCACAACTTATCGACACTGTAAGCTGGTGTTGGTCATTCCAGGACGTTCAAATTTGTCACAGTATACACCACTAAGATCCCTCAGGTCACGTCGCTACAGAAGACGGATCGTCGGCCCAAACTTCTTTGTCGTCTGCTGGTGTGGCACAGCGTTCACCCCACCGGGATCGGGCCTGCGAGTGTCCACCGAAGCCACCTAACCGGCAACTCTCGACGAGGTGCGTGGCTGTTCACAAGAGGGCTATGGCTACGGACTGGTGATGAGATTGCTGATGAGAGAAGAGAGTGGGGTTATTCAGCTGTGATTCTGTCGTCAGTACAACATGGAAAGGGAAAGGTGAAGACAACAAGAAGTGACTGCATAACACCTCGCCGCTCGCTGCGCATGCCAGAGCTGGAGCAAAGTGGCACACTCCACAAGATCTACATTCATTCACGTTCTGGAGACGACGATTCACCGGATATAGGTTTCGCAGACGGGACTGAATTACCGCCCCAAGTGCCTGGGGGTCTCCTGTTATGAGAACGGATGGGGAAGAATCATCTGAACGCTGCATGGTTGCTCGTGTCGAGTCCATGGCCGGAAGTCGACGACGTGATCGGCCAGCGGAGCGAGCCATGCTGCCCTCCCATATGACTCGATCATTGGGCATCAACGGCGTCCAAGCCCGCAGCAAGCCTGGAGAGACTACATCCCGTAGTATTCATCACCCAGGGGGTGAGGACCACCATTGTGGAGAATCTCAGCCGAAATTCTGCAAACATCAAGTTCGGATGAGAGGATGCTGACTGCCTTTCAGCATTTCCTTGGACATGATCATTATACGGCTCCTGATTGTACAGAAGTGGTCGATCCGCAGGACTGCTCACGGAATCGATGAGGCCAATATTACTACTAGGAATTACTCAGAGAGGCAGGTGTCATTATTCACATCATTTCCTCCTTTAACACGTTGCGGAGCCAGCTTCGGGCACCATTATTTGACATACAATTACATGCAGCTGGCGTAGAGTTGGTGACCCGAATCTCATGCAGGGTCTGATGGTGGCGAGCCTACGCGTGCTTGATTGGTGACGCAGTGCAACGCACCACGTCTGGGTATGAGATCGCGCCTTCCATGCAGTTTCTTTTGCAGTCATTTGCCCTCCATGGGTCAACGGCCGGGGCACCGGGCAGAATCGTTGGGTGTCCACACCTGAGAAGATTTCGGATGTCGCTACACTACTCCCCAGATGCGGAAGCTCGCAAAACCGAGCTGAGGGGGTTTTGACTCTTGAGTCGTGAGTAGGCGGATTCAGCAAGCTTACCGTCACTTTTTGCTTTCGCGATACCCGTCCTCGCACGGCATAACACGAGTACGAGGTTGTGTGGATCAGACTGGCTGCCAATGGAGATATGATGCTTGCAAGTGCGTGTCAGAGGGAAGAAGTCAACCCAGACGTTCGGTGCCACGGCAATTGGACAAGCGCACACCCCTTTGTGCAGCGGAAGAGCCTGAAATTTTTGAGCTTTTGGCCCTGAATTATTGGCCTACTAACTCACCCGTACACGCCCGTATAGCCATTGAAGTTTGGTGAACCAACTACCCACTGGCCCGAGAACTCGGAACCTTCTCCACAATTTATGTGGAATACTACGGACGCACAATCCGATCTCTTTCACCATGATGCTTGTCCAGCTGGCTTCCTGCAACCACATTCTCTTCAGAGGCAATACGAGCGGTCTTTACGTAAAGAGAGACGCACGATGGCAAGGATTGAGCACAACAAGTCCGCGCGATTTGGCGGGTAATCAACAATACCGCAAGGGAGAGTGCAGCAGGGGCATCGCTGGCACGTCCCACCGGCCTTGCAGCTGCAACACCAACCCGGGCTATTGAATCCATGCCACTACGACGGACTGTCCGAGACTGCTAGTCTCCAACGTCTTGTTGCGACCTAGCATTATGGGACGTTGATGGTCAAGGTGCAAGAATGTCGGTGTTTTCTAGCGAGGTGACCACTGACGCTCCTCTGCACGGGAGGAACTGTCGAGTTGTCAAGTTCGACACACATACTCCATCGCACCAGTGCTGCAAGCTATTGACTATGGGCCTCCACGCACCAGAATTCAAGCCAACAAGCCGGGCCGAGCGGTTTTCTGCAAGCTCGACGTCTGACACTTCCGGGGGGCAGCATTACTTGGGTTTCTGGCCGCCTGGTGTACAACGTGGATCTGGAAGAATAATCCGTCGCTGTGCCCGGTGCATGCTGTTTCAGCGCCAGAGAACAGTCCAAACTTGTCATCGCCATCGTTCCATTGGTGCAAAGGAGGACGTCAAGTGTCAATCTGTCAGGAATTCGCACGGGTGCTTCTTGAATGGTTACGGGATGTACACACGACACAGTGTGACAGTACAGTACGCGTATTTATTCTTCAGGTGAGGTCCCAAGAAAGTTGACGAAATTTTTACGTTTGAGAAATGTGATCCGCAAAACGCGAGATGCGAAACTTTTTCGATCGGAGATCGCAACTCAACTCTAAGCGTGTCGAAAGGTTGTGCCTTGCTTTGGGGGCCAAAATAGGCTCACTAGGCTCCCTACCTAGGCACTTTAGGCATGGCTTTTGTGCTTACTGACCGTGATCTACAGTTAAGGTTGCGGGCCAGTCACTGCTTCCCTTATGAAAGCACTGGACTCGCTTTGAGTTTTGCGCGGGTTTTCGGTACTCTGGAGCTTTATTTTCTACGGTCATGGTTTACTTTTGTAGCGGGAGATATACACTTGGACCGATCTGCCTACGGTTACGAGTACTGAAGGTACAGTACAACAATTTCGTACTGTACTAAATGCGTGTGTACACTGTGTGGTCAGGACGAGGTAAGATCTTTTTGCGGCGAAATACTAGTAGTTTGTGGGCTCTTCTTTTCTAAACAAGGCCAATCATGAAAACGCCCAACGTTGGGGGCGGGTGTGATGCTAGTGATGCCCAGCAGTCCCTTAGCGAGTACTACGCACATACTACGTCTAGGTAGTAAATGGCCAATAATTCTGCCAATCGAACGCTGCTACGACCACCTACCTTGCGCCAATAGCGACGGGAACCTGCTGGGTTACGGCTCTGTATATCCGGAATCTGCGGAGTACGGAGTAAGGGTACCTACCAGTACCTTTAGGTAAGGTATTTGGCAACGACCAGCGAGACCACCGTTACACGGAGGCGCACTGATACTCAAGCCAGAGCCAAGAGAGCCGAACATGAATGAGACTGCCATTGCTCGAACGACCTGCCCCCCCTTCCAGCTGACATGGGTTCAGTTCCTTTGAAGTCGATTTCTTGCTTGATGATCAATCAATCGGCCCCCCTGGATGCACCGACAGCACCGACACGACCGACTACTCTGGAGCGAGTCTGCAGGGCCGAAAGACGCACATGGGGCCTGACATTGACATGCGCCCAGTCAGCGGCAGCAGTGGCGGCGGCAGCAGCAGCACAATCAATGGTGTGTTCTTTAGTCGTCAAGTTGGGCCGTGGTTAGGCTGTTGGCAGCATAGACACGACGGACATTACAACAGGAAAAAATCCATCAATACGATCCTCATACACCAGGACAGTAGCTTGAAGCATTACTATAGGTACCTAGATGCTCTTTGTTTGTCACTCTCCGTCAGTACTCTGCCCGAATCGGGATTGTGATTGTGATTGTTCATGTTCATCACATAGACGGGGCTGCTTGGGGGTATTTCTCCCATATTGAACTCCATATGGTTCAGGCATGTTTGCGGGACTCAGAGCGTCTTCTTACCACCCGGCATTATTTGTCGGAGCCAGCCCAGCTCCGCCATCGACCTTCTTGGCCTTCTCTTTCTCAACGGCTTGCTCAGCACTGGGGGAAACACTTGAACCGCTCGCCGCAGCGGCCTGGCCAAACTTGAACTCGGGAAATTGGATCTTCTGACCCGTCCTGGCTTCGAGCTCTCTTCTCAGCGATTCCCCGGTCGGCATGGTGACTTTGCTACCTCTCCTGCGCCTGATTTCGACTTCTTGTCGGATCTCGTCGATGGCCTCGTCAATCTCGCGGCCCGGATCACTCGGCAGACCCAACGACGGCGGGTAATTTGTCTCTTGTGACAATGTCTTGCGCAGGTACGGGTGGTTGCGCTTGTCGAGTTTCTGGACCAGCCATTTCTTCGCGGGTGACGCGAAGAACGCCATGGCCACCGCGACTTCGATGACGGCGTAAAAGTATACGCGCGCCCAAGCTTTCAGGGAGTCGTTGAAGCCGAGAATGACAAACGGCGCAGTGACGAAACTGAAGGTGAACTGCGTGGCGAGATAGCCTGCTATGTCGTAGTAGATTTTGTACTTTGTGGACTTTGTCCCGTCGGGAGTCAGGAAAAAGGGCCGAATATATCGTCTCGAGTTCTTGGCGACCGTCTGGACGAATGCGCCGAGCACGAAAGTCAGGTAGTAGCCCGGGTAGAAGCCGTGCCAGAAGGCTGATGTGACGAACGTGGCCAGCGTGGCGCGGAAGCCTGGCTTCTTGCCCTTGGGCGTGACGCGCAGGTAGACGTAGTTGCGTAGCCATTTGTTCGTGTTCTTGTTCCAGTTGTCCAGGTATGCGCGCGAGTTTTGCGCGGTTTCGATGCCCCATGCGTTGACGTTCTCGAGGCGGTTCCAGAGTGGCTTGCCTGTGCTGGGGTCCATTCCGTTGTAGCCTATCCCGGCCATGATGCAGGCTCCTTCGGTCAGGGACCAGACGCCGTAGTATTTCAATCGCGAGGTGAATCCGAGCATGTACATTAGCCATACGCGGCGCGGGAACGAGTATTCCATATATTTGTCGGAGAGGAGTAGGTCGACGTTGTACCAGCCAGAGAAGTTGAGGAAGAGTAGTATCCAGATCAGACCGACTACGGCCTTGTACGTTGCAGGCCTGCCGGAGCGGGGGATGCGACGCTGCTTGCGAACCGGTGGCCCTTTCTGGCCGGGCGCCACGTCGAACATGGATGTTTCGATCCAACGACGATAGTCCACGTAGTCGAAGGCTGGGCCGGTGAATATGGAAGGGAAGAAGAACACATAGCCTGCATAGTCGAGGAGGTCGGGCAGCTTGTATATTGCGCGATCTTTCTGGCTGTCCGTCAGGAGCTCGGGTTTCAGCCTGCCGTCATGTACATTCCAGGAAAATGCGTGCAGCTTCATGATCAAAACCATTTGTCCACCTGTAATCTCCACCACGCTGGGATCATCGAGGATTTGTCGCTGGATGTGGCTTATTGACAGGTGTCCCATGAGGAAGACAAATACGATCCATGGCATCAGAGACCCGTCGATGTAGTATGCTATTGCGTATGTGCCCCCAGAGGCAATCAGGAGGGTCGTTGTACCGCTCCATAGATCGAAAAGCCCGACAAGGTAGAATAGCGTGACTGCGATGCTAAAAAGGTTTCTCGAGTGTGGTTGGTTGTCGGGAAGTCGTTTCAAAGCCGCTGCAAGAGGGTACGAGATCAGGAAACAGCTCAACAATTTGAGCTCGTCGACAGAGGCTCCAATGGCCTTGCCCAGGTATTCAAAAGCTGGATGGAAGGTCAGTGGATGTGGTCGAGTCACAGGTGTTTGTCACTCACGGACATTGATCCCAGGGATCATTTTCGAGAAGCGTTTCGGACAGAATCGATCGCTTCGAACTTCATGGAGCGAGTCGGCCGCGTAAGGTACCTAGAGGAATATGCCAGACCAGACGCTGCTGCACAGTAGGATCTTGCTCGTACACTTGACCATGTCGAGGGATGAAAAAACGTGCCGAGATGGACAATTGTTGCTGGTCAATTTTGGTACGTCATAGGAGTAGCAATTGTGCCGATGATCAACCGGTGGCCCTTGAAGAATGATCACAACGATATCAAACGTTGTCAAATATCAGACAGAGAATGCAAAGGCATCTGTCGAGTGCGCTTCCAGCAATGAGAGAACAAAAACTATCACGGATGTGCCTTCGAGGCTTCAACATGCTGAAGTCGCTGCTCGCTGACGCTGTTACCGATACTGATGGGACCTGGCAAAAGGGAGCATGGGGCTCAGGAAGGGAAAGTGACTCGAGCACGACGAGATTCGCCGACCCTTAAGATATAAAATATCAAGAGTGTATTGTCCTTCACGGGTTAGTCTTCTGGCTTGGCGAGGATGGTGGTAGGTACATATATGTGTCACCGGCCGGGTTTCCTGCTCGACTGCTCGAGTTATTGGCATCATGTCCTCAACATCTTTCATTACAGCGAGGTCATTGACTTCTAAGAACCGAAATTATTGACAACGGCGAGATGGCGACATTCGATTTTGAGCGGCTTCATGCTGACCTTTACGACCTGGATGACCCGGATAGCGCGATAGCGTTTCAGGACATGGTTGAGGACTTCATGAACGTGGCCAAGACCAATCCAGCTGTCCTCGAGGGCAAAAAAGAGGACGTCGCTCACTTCTGCGCTCTTGTTGCTGACGACGAAGCCTGGCCTCTTGCTCAGCTTGTTGTACCAGAGTTTTGTGTTACCCGGTACGTTTTGCTTCCTTGGCTTTCACGACCTATTCTGATAAGACACGAGAGATCAAGTTTTCGATGGCAAGACTCCAGTGAACATCATCCTACATTCAGTCAAGCATAAGATGCCACCACCATTGACCATTGTCGACACTAGTCTAGATTGTGACAACGACTTATGGGACCAGATGCTGCAGGCTCGAATGCTGTATGCGCCGACGAGAGGGCGCGGTGTCCCATCAACCATTCTAGAAGAGCCCGAACCTGCTGACGATCTGATCGAGAATGTCAATGGAAATACAAGTAAGTTTAGGTTCCATTTGTGCAACTATTTTGCTCACCCATCCTCTAGACACCACGAATGCATGTAACACAGCCTACGACCACCAAACCAGAGTTTTGCAAGCCAATGTCCGTAAGGATGATCGTGCGTGGGATTCACCAACAGAGTGTTCGGAGATTCCGAAACCGGTGCTTGCAACAACCGCAGACTGTTTGGAATCCCTAGAGAGACAGGAGGAAGATCATGACAAGACGGCGGCACCTTTCTAGGCTTCGAGGAGTGAAGCATGGTTATTGTTAGATCAAGGCAGTATCGCTTCGACTTCATGAATGTCTTCTTCAGAGTACTTAGTCACTTTATGCCTGATGGGTGGCCGAACTTAGTCCTGGTACATCTGCTCTGGGCAGCCTTGTCTGTTGTATAGCGTAGGGCGGCGTGGCTGTCAACCTTAAAATAGGTTGGCCTTCATGCCGCATCTCTCCATCTCATGGCTATTGCACGACGAACACTTCGATAGCGGTTGCGATCCTTCTTCTGCTTTACATCTCAACAGAAGCCTCCATTGAGACGGCTTCACTTGATTTACTGACACGTGGCAGTGGTCAGTATGATTCGGTAACCTAGCGACATCTCCGCACCATGGACGTCGCGTCCGCTGTCCAGAACTACATCTCGAAAATCGCAGGGCCCGGCGAAGGCGCTGCAGCTACTCAGTCGCAAAAGCTCAAGATTCTACTCCTCGACAGAGACACTGTTTCAATAGTTTCGACCGCGATTACCCAGTCAGCTCTCCTCAAACATGAAGTCTTCCTCATTGACCGACTCGACAATGCTGCTCGAGAACGTATGCGGCACCTCCGCTGCCTCTGCTTCGTCCGACCTTCACCAGACTCGATACAATTGCTTATAGACGAACTACGAGACCCCAAGTACGGAGAGTACAATATCTACTTCAGTAATATCATAAAAAAGTCATCCTTGGAGAGGTTGGCGGAGTCAGATGATCATGAAGTGGTCAAAGCAGTACAAGAATACTTTGCCGACTATATCGTGGTCAATCCCGACCTCATGTCTCTAAACCTGGGATTTCCCACACAGAGACTATGGAGCCACAGCCCGGATATTTGGAACACCGACGCCTTGCAAAGGACCACGGAAGGGGTCATCGCGTTGTTGCTGTCTTTGAAAAAGAACCCTCTGATACGATATGAGAAGAACAGCCTGATGGCCAAAAAGTTGGCGACAGAGATACGGTACCAGATCACCCAGGAAGAGCAATTATTCGACTTCCGGAAGACTGATACCCCACCAATATTACTGATCCTCGACCGAAGAGACGACCCAATTACCCCTTTGCTGACGCAATGGACGTACCAAGCCCAAGTCCATGAACTGCTAGGCATCAACAATGGCAGGGTAGATCTCAGCCATCTCCCCGACATCCGCCCAGAATTGAGAGAAATCGTCCTCTCACAGGACCAAGACCCGTTCTTCAAGAAGAACATGTACCAGAACTTTGGCGATCTCGGCGGGAATATCAAAGAATACGTCGACCAATATCAAACCCGGACAAAATCTACCGCGCAGATCGAATCAATAGCAGACATGAAGCGGTTCGTCGAAGACTACCCTGAATTCCGCAAGCTGTCGGGCAATGTGTCCAAGCACGTCACACTAGTCAGTGAACTGAGTCGCCGGGTGTCGGCTGATCTCCTACTCGATGTATCAGAACTCGAGCAGAGCTTGGTCTGCAACGACAACCACTCCACGGATCTGAAGTCTCTTCAACAACATATCCAGAACCCCCAAATACCAGCCGACAATAAGATTCGACTGGTCGCATTATATGCGATTCGCTACGAACGAAACCCGAACAATGCCCTTCCCGTGCTCCTCGACCTGCTCACCACTGTCGCCGACATTGCTCCGTACAAACTCTCAATCATCCCAAAGCTTCTAGCCTATCACCATAGTCTGCAGCCAGCTCCGGTAGCAGGCGGATTCACCAATCTTTTCGAATCTGCATCATCGCCGTTCAACCAGTTCCGACGCAATCTCAATCTCAAGGGCGTCGAGAATGTGTATACACAGCACTCACCCCGACTCGAGAACACGTTGCAAAATCTCATCCAAGGACGCCTGAAGGAGCTGCAGTATCCGTTTCTCGAAGGCCACACGCGCGATAAGCCCCAAGACATTGTTGTTTTTATGATTGGCGGCGTGACTTACGAAGAAGCAAAGATGGTTGCCCAAGTGAATGCCTCTGTGCCTGGTGTGAGAGTTGTCTTGGGCGGGACGAGCGTACACAATTCAACCACTTTCCTTGAAGAGGTTGATGATGCGGTGGGGAGTTGGCCAGACCAGGCCCCACCTACGGCTCAGGGGAGGTTAGGGAGAGCCGTGGGGAGATGAGCATGTCGTCCAAGTACGAACGACACGAGGCTTTTACTACTTTCACCATGAGACCGGCCTATTCAGGCTCGCATTGGCCGATATGTAGGAACGGCGCGTATTCTACGGCTGTGCGTATACTCGGCCCTTCATCAAGGCTGAAACCATAAGAACTCAGAACGAATTTAATGAACGATCGATGAATAACGAGAGTGTAATACAATGTTTCCATCTTCTCTACGAAGTTGCCTTGTTTCCTCCAACAACATGATAATGTACAGTTGACGACCGAGCCTCTGCCTCTAGCGCTCGCCACGAAAGAAAGGGCGTCATGTTATTTCTGTTCAGACCGCCGGGCCTTCTCCCTTTGCGCCATCTGTTCCTCGATCTCTCCGCTTGACAGAATCTTCACAGCAGACTTGTTGCCCACATAACTCAGCCCACTCCACACCGTCGTCCCGGCTACGAGGTACATCCATCCTTCGAACACGCCTGTCAGATTGTACGCGTGCACCAGACTTTCAGGCAGGACGGGCAATATCATCGCGTTCCCAATCAAGAGCAGCTGCAGAAACGTATTGATCTTGGAGATCTCGGTCGGATGCACCTCTGCGCTGGGCAGACTGAAGTCCCAGTACCGCGCCATCGTCTTGGGTGGGGGCAGGGATATCCAGCGGAAATAGATGGCGGATATGGCCAGGCCGACGTCTCTGCCGAGAATTATCGTGGCGAGCCACAGCGGCAGCGTGCCGTTGACCGTGAGGCAGACGACGGTGATGGTCATAAGAGCCTTGTCGGCCATGGGGTCGATCACCGTGCCGACTACTGTCGTGGAGTTGAAGCGCCGGGCGAGATAGCCGTCGACAAGGTCCGTTATGCCCGCGTAGAAGAAGAGCGATACGGCGGCGAGAGGCTGCGAGGTCAGGATGAAGTAGCCCACTGCTGGAGCGGCGATGAGCCGTGTGAAGGTCAAGATGTTGGGGAGCGTGTAGATGTTCTCGTGCAGCGTGGGAAGGCGTGGGAGGATCTTTGTCAGCGTTGTTTTTGATCGAGCATCACTGGAAGAATTGTGTGGTTAGCATGGGTGTTACCTCTTCATCCGGAGATCGTGTTGACGATGGAAAGAGCCAGGTAGGGGCGAAACTGATGAGATGGATGCTGCCTGAGGAAGCACTGAGCGATGGATAGGTGCTACTCGTGCTCCTCGATGACATACCACCGTGATCGCACTACGTTGTGGAAGGAAGCATCTATGTCCCCGAGCCGGATTTTGAGTGTCTGATGCTTACCTAGTCTCCTGGTTCTTATCAGTCTGTGATCGCTCGGGCCCCGAGGAAGCATTGCGAAGTTGCATCCAGCCTTTGACAGGCCACGCCCTTGTTGGAGCACTTTGCGCTTGTATACTAAGCCACATACCCCGTCAACATACCATGACAGCCTCAGTAGAATAGTTTGATCACGTACCTCGGAGTCGTCTGACTTGTTTTCGCCGAAATCCACACCGATCGCCTTCCACCAATAGTCCCTGATGGAGTGCAGCAAGCTGAACTACACAGTGGGACATAACTGAGTACTGAGGACCCATGCCAGGCTATGGAGGCTGGTCGAATAGCTCGTATAGCCAATCCACCCAGAATTCTGGAGTTGACGCCGGGACGGCTTGCCAGGCCAGAGATCAGGCCCACGGCATTGTGTCGCGACGGCGCAAGCATGTGGCCTTCACCATGCAGCAGGCCGCAGGATCAGGTTCTCAAAGGATAGAACTCACTCTTGGCTGCTTCAGGTGTACAATGAAGAAGTAGAAGAAACATCCAAAGCTGGTACGTTTGTTCCAACTTTACTTAGTTTACACGTCTCGGCACGGAGATTGAGATGACTAATCGTGCCAAGTCTCACGTGAGTTCGGATCATCTGGTCCAAGTCACCAGTTGGGTGCCCGTGATATCTCGGACGGCACGCCAGCTTATTGCATTGGAATCGAATCCTTTTCAGCATTGGTTCCTTCCGCGATCTGGGATGCTGTAGTTACAAGTTGTGGTTTAAGGATTGTGGAGCGGTAGTTTTCAATTACATCTCGAGGCTGCTTCAGACAATAGTAAGTTGCCTTATTGGAAGCGTTGATTTCTCGAATATGTGTCGATTTGGTAGGTCAACTTGGGCACGGCCGACACGGACAAATTCATCTCTACCGTTTTCACTCGGAAGCAGCACTAATCCAGCTGTTCTTAAACCCTCCGGGTCTCCTCGATACATGATCAGCGGCAGGAACGTTGCCTCAAACTCACCGTCTCGCACGCGTGACAACCATAGCTCTGAGTCCATGTCATCTATGTCGCACTCGCCGCGCAGTGAAAGGCCCTTTTCGCCCTCGATGACCACGTCGAGCCAATATTCGTCAAACGCCGTCCTGTCCATGGTCAGAGGAAGAATGGTAGTTTTGGCCATCGAGTCATGGACCATATTTCTTCTGTTGCCATTTGGTTTGAAAGGTGTCGTCGTGATACGTACGGATGGCAACCTTGCCTTGATGGATAGCCTGCCGGCTTCGACTTCCCCGTACGGTGCACTCGAAGGCTTATACTCGATGTCTACGCTGGTGACTTCGGTACCGACAAGGGACGTATTTTCCAGGTAATTGCAGCGACCCCCCGGCAGGATCTTTTCGGCAAAATACAGCCTGATCCGTCGATGGCAATGCGATATCCAGGACCAGGACGGCCCAGAGAAACCAGTTGAATCGTAGTTGGTCAGACCAGCTCGGATTGGTAATCGACGCGTGCCCGCGACTTCCGCTGTCCATAATAGCCCGAGAAGCAGATCGCTTTGCCACAAACCGGCAACATATTGATCGTCCTTATTCATGTAGCATGCATAAGACTGAGCAAGGCCGGAGAGGGCCGGAAGTGCATCGCTTTTCATCTTCATATTCCGAGACGTAAATTCTTGAACAGTGGCATACCAGAGATCCAAGTAGGGATTGCGCCCAGCATTAGCTGGAGTGTTCGATTGGGTAGCGTGTATTTGCATCCTCAAGAACTGACCGCCACCGAAACCCTGATGGTGATATGGCGTCATTTCCCCCGGCATAATGTTGGCAGCCGTCGTCGAGCAACACAAACACTCCCAGTAGATGCCCCTCTTTCCAAACTTTAGTATACGTCGTGATAGCTGCTGTTCCTGAAGGACCCAAGCTCGTGAATATAGGGGAGCGTCCAGCACTTCGTGTTGATCAATGTGATTTAGTCCCATCAGACTGACGTAGTAGTCGTTGCGAGGAGGCACATCGGCGGCTTCGAGAAGACGTAGAGGGTATGTAAGTAGAGGATTTCGTGGATAGTACAAACCAGCGTCGTCATTCGTTGAACCAGTCGCAGCTAGGGTAAATGTAGCGTTGCCGAAGTATTGCGCCATACGCTGCGATTCTGTGGACCAGTCTTCCTTGTCGCCTTGCTTAATGCTGGTATTATCGATCCACAGATAACGAATGTTGAACTTTCGAGCAATATCAACAGCATCCTGGAAAGTCTGCGGCCAAGTCGCCAGTGGTGGGAGACTGTATGTTCTAGGTGATGTTGACTGTGAACCGTCGTCTTGCCTTACTATGTGCAGAGGCTTTGTGTCTCCCCAGCAGTGGCTAAGACAAATATACTTGCCGCCCTCGCCTTCAGCCGGCTCATACAGGACTGGTTCACTTCCCGCACTTCTAAGGTCGATAACTCTTTTCGGTAGTATGGAACTCGTCGTAGTCTGGGCATCGCGTTCGGCACAAATTGGGTGATTCGAGATACAACTGCTATACCATAGCTTGGCCAACTCTAACGTAGTGTCGGACTGAGTAGAGTCATCAAGCTGGAGTAGCTCTTTGGATTCCCATAGCTCATGGATTCGCTCTGTAAATCTCGCAAAGACCCCTGCTTTCTCAGCACAAAACTTTCGTAGGGTATTAGCTGTGTAGCCTACCTTTGGGGGTCTCGACCCGATAGATATTCCTCTGGTAGTTTCCACAGAACACGTAGAGCAAGTTCTCCACGTTGAACCACATATCGGAAGCATATTGGGGACGGCGACTTGCAAATACCCTCCATATCACTGGGCTTCTGTCCACAAAGCCGGGTGTTTCGTGACTGCTGCACTGACGATCATTTGTGGTCAAGGGCGCGGAGCAATCCCCAGCGGTGATGGAGTCAATCGCACCTTGCTTTGGATCGCTGGATGGAGCCTTGAACGCATACCACAGAGCAGCGCAGAGGTAGCAACCCTCGTCTTTCGAACTGGTGAGATGGTGGAAGTCGGGCTGGTGTATGTAAAACTTTTGCTCGATGGATGAGACAACGTATTTGTTGCAACTTTCGAACACGGCGTTGGCAAGATTCTGTGCGTATGTGGCAGCGTCGGGGATCTCCTCAAACCATTGAAATTGTATGTTTGAGCAGCTGCGACACAACATGATGGTGGATGGTAGACAAGAACGGAGTGCAACCTACCAGCACTCGGCCTATCTTTGTTCAGCGGATGTCGGCAATACGTGGCAGAATTGAAAACGAGCTGATGATAAGTAGTCAACTCAAATCAATCCGACATCAAGATCTATTGGCGTCGTGCGTCGGGAGATTCCTCTGACCACAAAAAGCGCCTCATCAATCAGCCAAGTCTCTGTTCCTTGTTATGTGTATGCTGCTCGTCGGAGGATGTGGTTTTGCACATCTTTTGAAGTGGTCTGAGATGTTGCGGCATTGTAATACGAACCAAGAGGTCTACATCCAATGGCTACGGCGATGGCCACGTCAGAGATCGGATGATAGTAAATTCATTTGCGAAGGCAACGCGCTTTATCGCCGCTGAATACGAAGACTGCCGGGGAAACGGAATCCACAGCAGGGGAAGGGATGAAGGGTGAGTGTGAACTTCTGAAGGTGAGAGGGTGAGTTGGTTTCGAAAGCGGCATCGCTCCAGGGTGAATTGCACGTGAGCTCCGAGCGGGTTTAGTCATCTTTAGCTGCCAAGCTCCATCGAGTTGTGCATCATCGAGATAAGGTCTTCGACAGCAGGCGGCCATCCTTTGGTATCAACCCAGCACGGACAGAGTCATCGAAGCTCTCTCCTGCGTCTTCAATCCTTTATACCGTTCTCATCCCGGCCTGGGCGGCCTTCTCTCCTCACATAAACCGCCCAGCATGGCCCATAAGGACACGCTCTTCCGCTCGGCGGGCATGTCCCTGACCCAGCTCTACATCTCTAACGATATTGGCCGCGAAGTCGTCTCTGCCCTGGGAGAGATCGGTGTAGTACAGTTCCGGGACCTCAATGCGGAGACCACTGCCTTCCAACGCACCTTTACCAAAGAGATTCGCCGCCTCGATAATGTCGAACGGCAGCTGCGGTATTTTCACTCCCAGATGGACAAAGCAGGCATTCAGATGCGAAGCCATTGGGAGTTTGACCAAGACATGCTCGCTGCACCTCAGGCCAGCGAGATTGACGAGCTTGCCGAGCGATCGGAGACCCTAGAGCATCGAGTCAGCAGCTTGAACGAGAGCTACGAGACGCTCAAGAAAAGGGAAGTCGAATTGACAGAGTGGCGTTGGGTCCTGAAAGAGGCGGGTGGTTTCTTTGACCGAGCACATGGACAGAGCGACGATATCAGACAAAGCATGGATGATGATGATGCTCCTCTCCTCCGCAACACTGAGGCTGAGGAAGGCAGAGCTAATGGCGATGTCGGCCAACAGCAGAGCTTTGCGGTGATGAATATTGGCTTTGTGGCAGGCGTCATTCGTCGCGAAAGGCTGCCGGCTTTCGAACGTATCTTGTGGAGGACACTGCGTGGCAATCTCTACATGAACCAGTCCGAAATTCCTGAACCGATCATCGACCCTGAAACGAACGAGGAGATCAGGAAGAACGTCTTCGTCATCTTCGCCCATGGCAAGGAAATCATTGCAAAGATTCGAAAGATCTCCGAGTCCCTCGGTGCAGACCTCTACAGCGTTGACGAGAACGCCGATATCCGACGAGACCAAATTCACGAAGTCAACACTCGTCTCAGCGATCTTGCCAGCGTCCTGCGGAATACAAAGAACACTCTCGATGCCGAACTTACGGCCATCGCCCGATCCCTCGCAGCATGGTTGATCGTGATCAAGAAAGAGAAGGCTGTCTACAATGCGCTGAATATGTGCTCATACGATCATGCAAGGAAGACTTTGATTGCCGAAGCTTGGTGCCCTACAAACTCTCTGCCTCAAATCAGAGCTACCTTGCAAGATGTCAATGACCGTGCTGGCCTTTCCGTCCCTACCATTGTCAACCAGATCAAGACCAACAAGACTCCGCCGACATACAACAAGACGAATAAGTTTACGGAGGGCTTCCAAACCATCATCAATGCGTATGGTACTGCCAAGTATCAGGAAGTCAACCCTGGCCTTTACACAATCGTCACGTTCCCGTTCTTGTTCGCTGTCATGTTCGGCGACTTTGGTCACGGAAGCTTGATGGCCATGGCTGCTACTGCAATGATTTACTGGGAGAAGCCGCTTCAAAGATCCAAGCAAGACGAACTCTTTGCCATGGCTTTCTACGGCCGATACATCATGTTAATGATGGGTATCTTCTCCATGTACACCGGTTTGGTCTACAACGACGTCTTTTCAAAAGGTTTCACACCGTTTGCCTCCGCTTGGGAGTATCCCGAAGACGGGCGACCTGAGGTCACCGCCCACCTCAAGGGCAGTTACCGATATCCCTTCGGCCTTGACTGGGCATGGCATGGTTCCGAGAACGACCTTCTTTTCAGCAACAGTTTGAAGATGAAGTTGTCTATTCTGATGGGTTGGGCACATATGACCTATGCTCTGTGCTTCTCCTATGTCAACGCTAGACATTTCAAGTCACCTATTGACATTTGGGGCAATTTCTTGCCCGGCATGATTTTCTTCCAAAGTATCTTCGGATACCTGAGTTTCTGCATTGTCTACAAATGGTCGATCGACTGGGCAGCTGAAGGCAGGAGCCCTCCGTCACTGCTCAATATGTTGATTCAGATGTTTTTGGCGCCGGGTACTGTGGAGAAAGGCGAACAGCTGTACAGCGGTCAAGCAGGGGTTCAGGTCGTTCTTGTTCTCGTCGCTGTCATTAACGTGCCGATCCTTCTGCTCTTAAAGCCACTCTACCTACGTTACCAACACAACAAGACAGCAGCAAAGGGCTATCGTGGTATAGGCGACACGAGCCGCGTCACTCATGCTACGGATCTTGATGATGACGATGAGAACACTAGTCATCGTGCAAACGGCCGTCCAAGTGAAGACCACGACGATGAGGGAGCAATGATCACCGAGAATATTGGCGAAGATGAACATGAAGAGTTTGAATTTTCTGAAGTCATGATCCATCAGACCATCCGTAAGTCACTCCTTGCTCATCCACTTCCTGATCTTATGCTAACAAGCACTTCAGATACGATCGAATTCTGTCTCAACTGTGTGTCCCACACAGCTTCATATTTGCGTCTATGGGCTCTCTCGCTTGCTCATCAGCAGCTGTCCGTCGTCTTGTGGACCATGACGCTCGGCAACGCTTTTGGCATGAAAGGCGCTGCACAGGTCCCGATGATCATCATTACCTTCTATTTCTGGTTCGTCTTGACTATTGCTGTGCTGTGTGTCATGGAGGGCACATCTGCAATGTTGCACAGTTTGCGTCTGCATTGGGTCGAGGCCATGAGTAAACACTTCATTGGGGAGGGTGTACCATTTGAGCCATTCAGCTTCAAGCTGTTACTCGAGGAGGAACCTGTTGACTGAACGAGGTCGCTCCCAGCACAGTCAGGCAAGAGAACTTGGCGACTATAAATGTATTGGTAGATAGACGATAATCGAGTTTCAATGAAACTGATCATTGATTAACATAGCTTGCTCATGCTTTCTGTTGAGGGCTGGTCTTTCATGCCACTGTCTACCGCCAGCGAGACTGCATCTGTCGGGAAGAATGGTTATGTGCCTTGGGACCTATCGAATACCACACTTGAAATTGAGCAAGGAAAGAATCCGATTAATCAGATTGCGGTCTCTGCAAATATGGTATAACGAGCCTAAGGCCGTAGCTCTACGACGAAAATCAGTCCATTCTGCGTTCAACGCGAGCGCCAGTCCAGCTGCTAAATCTACTGAACATGTGAGTATGCGTGCTCCAGATTAAGTCGTGTCATTGCTGTTGAACTGGGTCTCGGGTTCCCAGCGCTCGCTGGCACCAATTTATCAACCAGCGACTCCATTCTCAGCCTTGTCCTTCACGATGGTCTCCCACACACCCTCCACCTGCTTGACATTTTCACTTAAGCCACCTTTCTTGATCACATCCAGCGTCTCCTTCAACTGCTCCACACTGCCCGCTCCAATAATCACGCCGTCGCCGAAATTCCCATCCAACAAACTATCCCAAACAACCCACCTTATCGCGGCCTCGTGGCCCTTCAGCCCGGCCTTGCTAGCGACATCTCGCACCCGCTGAATCGCGTGCTGCACCTCTTCGCCTCCGTAAAGCCGCCGCACGCGATCTCCAGCCGGCCCTGGCGCGGCCAGTCGAGTGCCTGTCGGCGCCAGTGCGCCCCCAGCACCGGGACTGTACGCGTAAAATGCGATACCGTTCTCGTGTAGGTACGGAATGAGTTCTTCGGTCTCGCGGTTCACGGCGTTATACTCGCCCTGGAATACCGCGGGTTTGGTCCAGCCGTGCTCTTCGCACAGGGAGAGCATCTCCCGGACGTCATCGAGCGTATAGTTTGATAGACCCCATTGCGCGGCTTGGCCTGTGGATACGGCTTGGGAGAGCGCAGAGACCGGGTTTGATAGTGGTTGGGTCCGGTCGGGGAAATGGAGGTAGATTCTGTGTACTGAGGGAACGCCTAGAGCTGCCAAAGACGCGGAGATGGACGCGGCGATGTTCTCTGGTGTGTGGCAGCCTGGGGCGGAGAGGACTTTTGTGTCGATATCGAGGTTGATGGATGGAGGCAGGGACGAGAGTGCAGAGCCGATTACGGCTTCGCTTGTGCCGCCGGCGAGGGGTGGGTAGCGTCTTGAGGTGTCGATGGTATGGTACCCATAGGAGCTGAATGTTGTGAAGAGGGCGGATGCTGCGGCAGGTGTGTGGTGTCTGGTCGTTGGATCGTCGGGGGAGCCGAAGTTCGCGCAGCCAAGGATGATTGCGGGTTGTTGTTTGACGGGAGGTGTTTGGGTGCTCATGTTGACGAAGTTGCAAGATGGTCAAGAGTCACAGGCCAGGGCGAGTGTGTACATGGATTGTTGAAGCCTCAGAGTCTATCAGGGAGAAGAGAGTGGTTCAAAGCTGGGGCCAAGAGCGACGATGTCTACAGTTGTTCGCCTTATATCTGAGCGAAGAGCTTACCAATCCCTGCTCATCCGTGTAGGCGGAGGTGATAGGACTTCGTTTCAAGATATACTACGTAGTATATGCGAGTCTCGTCTGGTAAATGTAAAGAGACTAGCCGGTTCGGAAAGAGGGTTTGCTGAAAAGCAATTGAAAACGCTAACCTATTGAACACTTCGCATTCCGTGCTGCTGGAGGTTAGCCGGCTCCTGTGAACAAGTAGAGCATAACAGGCTAGGCCTCAGGATAAGACCATGCATAACTTGAGCGCCGAATTTTGGGCCGAAGTCGAAGTAAGAGAGAGAACACAGCAGGTGGCCTGAATCTGTTGTCTCGTCAATCTGCGATAGCTCGTTTGATGTCATTGAGCTAGATGACTAAGCCAGATCCTCAATTCCACGTGATTATGTCTTGGCACCACCAATTCTGCACACTGAACATTTCAAAGTGCGTTCCCCCTCGTCGACGCATCATCACGACCATCACCCGTTTTCAGTGACCCGAAGATACTGTCAAGAGTAAGTCTCCCTTACTGCATATATGCTGAGCTGATCATACTGACATTTAACACAGTGCAGATGTAAGTGTCCCCGCCCTCTCGAGTCCAGCGAGCGACGACGTCGAATTATCCATCCCAGCGCCACCGAAGCCGAAAACTCGCAAAGTGAACTGTAGACTGACAGGAGACCCAACAGCTTCGTCAAGACCCTCACGGGCAAGACCATCACCCTTGAGGTGGAGTCATCCGACACCATCGACAACGTCAAGTCCAAGATCCAAGACAAGGAAGGAATCCCTCCCGATCAACAGCGATTGATTTTCGCCGGAAAGCAACTCGAGGATGGCCGAACCCTGAGCGACTACAACATCCAAAAGGTACGATCTCTGCAACCGATGGCGCGGAATCCGAGCTTCAGGATCTGACTTGCGAATGTAGGAATCAACGCTCCACCTTGTCCTCCGTCTCCGTGGCGGTATCATCGAGCCCTCCCTCAAGGCTCTTGCCTCCAAGTACAACTGCGAGAAGATGATCTGCCGAAAGTGCTACGCCCGTCTGCCACCGCGAGCCACCAACTGCCGTAAGAAGAAGTGTGGACACACCAACCAACTCCGACCAAAGAAGAAGATCAAGTAAAGGTTGCGCGCTTGGTTTATGGTGTGGTGCGCATGGCAGGAGAGATGCACAGCCAGAAATGGGAAGGCTCGGCGTTTGCATGAGAGAAGGAGTCATGATATTGCAAGAGCAGAAAGATCATGCTAGAAATGGTCTCCTCACAATGACAATGGACTGTTAGCTGCCGAGGCTAGATCAAGTCAAATTCATTCAAAGCGCATTACTTTGTCTTTCTTCGGCACGCTCTTCTGAGAAGTCAGTCTCCCAAAGTGCCAATGCCTAAACTTGTTAGGCGCATAAGATGTGGTCACTCTATGCATGCGCCGGAATTTAAAAACTGCGCCAGCACGGAGAGCCTAGACCTGAGTAACCGTGCTGTAATTTCCCCGATAAATCCCATCTATACTCATAAGGATATTGATACATCAATGCTGGGTTCCCCCCAAACCCCCCAGCTCATTTCTCACTGCCCAGTTTCCCAACACTTGCCGAAAGCCGAGCCCAAAACCTGACCGAGCATAAAGTGTACGAATCCCCGTTTTCATTCCCCATCCTTAGCAGGACTCTTGTGACTGAAGAACAGAATCTTGATAGCAATTGCCAAGCCCGCATGCAACAATACCACCACAACCAACAGTATCTGGCTGATCTTCTTCTCCGTGGCACTGATGACAGGATACAAGTTCTTAAGCAGGAAGAAGACGCTGACGCCGTATCCTAGTCCAACTATGGCGTAGTTAAGGCCATTGAGCGGCGACCAGGATACTAACGCAACCGCGATCCAGAACAGATTGCTATATCCGTACAACGCCCAGCACTCAACAAGCTCCAGCGATTGTGCGCCGAACCAGCGTAGGGCAGCCCAGAGTCCAAGTGGGACCAATAGTGTATAGCCGTAGATCAAGCCTGCTGCGCCGCTCAGGAGGCGGAAGTCGTATACGAAATGCTTTTTGCCCTCGGTCGCAAGTTTGTGGCTTATTGTGCCTGTGAGGAAGAGAATGACGACCACGGTCGTGGCGATCCAGAAGGGCCCGTAGAGGTCGGGATTGCCGTCTAATGTGTCGAGAAAGGGCGGTTGGTTGGGAAGGAAAGGCAAGATCGCGCTCCGGCAGCGGTGTAGAACTGTCGAAGTGTCGACGTCGAAGAACTGCGCGTAAAAGGAGAGCGACCAGAGCATGTGCTTGGGAGGAACGGCTGAGGGGTCATTGGGAAGAGTTGCAGGGTTTGTCGCGCTGTTGGCGAGGAAAGGTGTGGAATCTGGTTGGACTTTGCGGTTCGAAGGGTTGGTCTCGAAGTCTGACACATCTTAGCCTACTTGACATGATGATGGAAGCGCAGCGCAAGGGCTGGACATACTCGACGGGTGAAATTCCAGGTCGTCGTCCTGTAGATCGGTATGGCCTAGGTCTCCCTGAGCAGTGTTAGGTTGTTGCATGTGCGATAGATATGTAGGAGCAGATGTACCTCCGTGTCGACGTCGACGACGACGTCGTAGCCTCGGTTTGCCATTGCGTTATATGCTCACGACAAAGGTACAACAGTTTGCGAAAATGCAATATGTGGAAGTTGCAGCTGAAGTGAGTGGGATAATATTGCGAAGGTGCAAACACGTTGCCTGTATGTTTGACGTGAACAGGAGTGGCTTGTAATGACCAAACTTTTGCGCACTTCTTCCACCCTGAGAGAAACACGCCAGCCGTCATTTGTGCGCATATTCTTCTTGACACGTGCGAGGCATCTCTGAATGTTCGAGAGGAGTGGTCGCGTGAGTCGCTAAGGATGGACAATTCCTTACACGGGTCAAGAAGCAGGACGATTCCGGCAACAGAACTTTGGATCTACAAGTGCCATCGTACTGACATAAGAAATCATATGATACAGCTGGAAGCTCCAGTAGCACAGTTCCGATTGTCCGCAATGGCTTAGGCGAGGTCTTTCCCTCCGTCTAAGAACCAGCCAACACAATTAGAGCTCCAATCGGGATGATAAAGAAGCTCGCCTGAAGATGGATAATGAGCTGAAGATGGCACATCACCTGCACGCCCGAAGCGGAGGGTCGGTACTAGCTGGAAGTCACCCATTGCCGCTAACCTTTGCGGCTGGTGTTTCTCAGCTTGAGGATGACATTGACGTCTCCAATGTCGCGAGCTCTGCTTCCCGGTTTCGCCCTCCGTGACCTATGACCGGTCTGCATAAGTCTCACTGCGAGAAGAGTCGTGTTGTTGAGGAGATAATGGTCCAAATGAATCTGTCCTGTCCATTTCGTCTGATCCAATAAGAGATTGCTCCAATGAGCAAAGCAGTGGTCAACGACAGGGCTGGTCTCCTGTACTTCGCCAGTGATCTCATCCTCTTCTGTAGCTGCTCCTCCCTACGAAGCTGCTCGATTTGATTCTGAGCCAGACGTTCCGCATCCTCCAGGCTCTGATGCTGACCAATACTGCGCGATGTCTTGAGGACGCTGTATCGTGACAGGCGCCACCAGATGAAACCTCGAAGACTATGTGGTGGGTGTTTGCGGAACAGAATCAACGTGTCTTGAACTAATACGTCAATATCGAGAGTCTGTGGCAGTTTGGATATCATAAAGGTTAGTATGTCCGATTGATCAGCAGGCATCTCGAACAACTCAGACCGTCTTGAGATTGTCACAGTGGCGAACAAGTAAAGGCTCATGGCTGGTTCGTGTGCAAGCAGAAAATCGTACAGCCGCGCAATGGCGCCATAGTCTTGGATGTCGTGGGCGAATAAAGAGTGAGTAGCCGAGAGTGCAAAGCTATTCTCGGCTTCAGATATGTGGTCGGCTAGTTCGGGATCCGCAGACTTGACGATGGCTGAGACAACCTCGAAATGTCTCCTCGCGGGAGATATCGTGGGCAGCATGTAGTCGCGAAGTCTCAGGAGAGATATTCGTGGAACGGCAAGGCGGGCATATGGCTCCCCAAGCACCAGGAGAAGCACCTGTACGACATCGTGATAGCTTTGGAAGTACGAAAGCATCGGGTGACTTCTCAGTGTCGAGACAATGACATTGGAGAGTTCCGTCTTCCGCCTGTCGAGAGACTGCTCGGATTCATCTAGTTGCATTTAGACCTGTGGCACCGTTGATGAGAGAGGGTGGCGCGAACCTTTTGGGTAGTAAACAAAAGCGCGATCGACATCGAGCTGAACTTGGTCTTCATCGGGATGCCGGGGTAGTTCCCTCCAAGCCTGATTCGAGTGTTGTTGTTCAGTTCCTGTGGACTCGTTGTTGCAACCCAATAGAATCGGCCCTTCCAAGTTCTGAGTCAGTTATGTTCCACCAAGGTATCAAGCAAAAGAACATGGTGACATACAAGCTTGCCGGCGAAGTTCGTCGGTCAAAAGGCCACCGGTTGAAGTTGCTAGCTTGACCAGGGTGTCGAAGTCACCTAGCCTGCAAGCTTCTTCGATGACTCGGTACTTTTCCTTTTGGGATTGATCCATAGACGGAATTGATAGGTGCCTTCTTGCTAGGGTTTAAAAACGTACTGCATCAAATATGCATCGGACCTTATGTCGACGTTACCTCTACCGTGGGAGACCCTCTAGCCAAAAGTTCGCAGGATCGCAGGTCGACAGTGGAAGCTCGCCGCTCTTTGAGTTGAAATTGAAATAGGCTCAAAGAAGAGAACCCTCTTGTGGCACAACAGATGTCAATGATTGCCTGGGGTTGATTCTGATGTGGCCGCGAAAGGTGACAGGTAACACGACAAAAGCCAGCCTGTTAGTGTCAACTTGTCAAAGTCTGTGCCGCCTCCGCTGCATCTGTTTAGACCAATGTTGCAATGAATCAATTCGCACAAGGATGCACCGCTTCTCCTTCTCTAGTCATGCAGATGCAAGGGTGTGTGTGGTGGCAGATGCAATAGTCAAGATGGAAATACGAAGGAGAAATTGCCTTGTTGGTCAGCTCGGGCTTGGACTTCCGGAGGACTCGACAGGGAAGACCCCTTCCAAAGACACCTTCTTCTCGTCTTCGCATTTTCAGCTACTCCATTACTGTGACGTCCTTTCGCCGACACAAGACAACAGATTCATCCAAACTCGGCTGAGCATTGTCACAAGGGGAGAAGCCTTGACAAGGATAGACGTCTATGGCTATTCAATTTGGGCCGGGTGCCTGAGCAAAGAGGCTTAACCCCTCGCCATCATCATACGACGACAACACCCATCATGTCGCGATAAATTGGGTGCTCACGACAGAGACATAAATACTTGCATTACCTGTCCATAACACCTTCAGCTGTGCCGATACAACGCTTTGCAGACACCGCCAGCCAGGACCTGTACAGCGTGCTTTGTTCCCTACAGCACTTTTCTTTCCAGCAATTAAGGATCAATAAACGGCCAACGCTCTTAGAGAAGGGCGCGTGCTGGTATCCAGATTATCTTCGTTTGCTTTTGTCCACTGTGATTATGTCGGGCATGAATGGGTCAAAGAGGGTCAACTCTCCAAAGGTGGACAGCACTCAACGTCGGAAACGAACGGGCATTCTTTCGAGAACTCTCAACTCGAGCTCAAGCATCCGATGGATCCTTCCGGCAAGAATAAGATCACCTTCAAAAGAGGATGTTGTGTTTGTTGGGGCGACATTCGTTCAACTTCACGAGTTCAATGAAACGGGCCAATTGGTCAACACGACGGCGAAGCTGGACTTTGGAACTCAGATAACCGACGCGAAAGTCATTTCGGCGGATGTGGAGGTCATTCCCACCGTCGATGCGATCCTGAAACAAGAGAGAGATCAAGAATATTACAATATACGTGGAGAACCAGTCGGCGATACCGACCCGGCACAGATACTCGTACTCGTTACTGTTGACAACGACTTGATCTATGTCTACGCTAGAGAAGACGGCAGTGGAGACGTCAAACTCATCTTCGCGAAGAGACCTCTGCTCAGAGGAGCAGGCCTGCCGTCGAGCCAGTGTCGATACGTCGCTGTTGACTCACAGTATACCCCTCTTCAGTCCCCCCCTGATGGTGGTCCGCTGATTAAGCTCAGGTCTCGTGCTCTTGCTGTTGCCTCTCCTGCAGGATACTTTGGCATTTTCAAGTTACGTCCTGTTGATGAGATCAGATCCGAGATCGATGGTTGGGATCCTCTGAAACATGGTTCGTTCCGACCCTCAGACGAGGTATGTCAGATCCACGGGTAGCAGTCATCTACTAACAACCTAAGCAACGCTTCATCCAAGTGAACGGAGATATTTTGACAATGACATTTCTGCCCAGCCCCGAGTCGGACCCTGAGAGAGTGGTGCTTCTTCTCCTGGCCTACTGCGGGGAGGAAATTCAGACGACACATCAATACCTATATAGCTGGGACACCCGATCCCCACTTCAGACGATACGGCCGATGCCCAGTAGCGGTCGCGCACTGGTAGAGCCCAGGCTACCTTCGATGCTCATACCCTCTGCCCGGCCTTATTCATTCATGGTGGTCATGGAGACCGGCGTCTCGTATTACGAGAACGTCCATACCAGTAATACCAAACGGATTCATTGTCCCTTTGGGCAAAAGGCTGCAGGCTCTTTTGAATGGGTCCAATGGGCTAAGCCTAGACGTCACAATGCCTACAAGGAAAAGCGCGACGACATTGTCTTGGTCAGAGAAGATGGCCTGCTTCAATACTTCCAGATCGAAAAGGCTTCGAGTGCAAAATTCAACCTGAACTGGACGATCGGCCGTCTTGGTATCAGAGTCGATACAGCTTTTTGTATGCTTGCTGGGCCCCCTGGCAAAGGTGGCGACATCTTCATAGTTGGCGGCAGCATGACGGATGGAGGTGTTTTCCATGTCTCTGCAAGGGGCTCTCCAGAATGCACTCAGGTCATTGAATCAATCTGTCCTCTTCGCGACATGATTCTTGGTCCATCCGGCATTGAGCCGGATGGACCGTGGTCGCAGGAGAGCCCGGATCGTCTCTATGCATGCTGTAGTCGGGGTCATGGACCTGGATCACTCTTTCATATCCGATATGGCTTGGAGGCTCAAGTTGGGTGGACTGTGCCTTTCCCCGATGCTTCCTTCATTGACCGGATGTGGACACTGGAATTGCCGGATCAAACCGAACTCTTGGTCCTTGGATCACAGCCAACCCAAACAACAATGGTGGCGTTCGAACTCGACACCCAGGAACTGTCATTCACGAATTCAGAGAGTCATCCTGGGTTTGACTTCGAAAATCAGACACTGGCTGCAGCTGTACTCGACCAACGATTCATCATTCAGATCACAACGGGAAGCGTTAACCTGATGCCGACTGGACGGGATGCCCCGTTGTCTGAGTTCTTCCACATCAAAGGAGAATTGCACCAAGCAGCCTTATTCGAAGAGGATCGCATGCTCGTGACAGCATCTAAAGGTGCTTCAGGCTACGACATATGCCTGGCGGCTATCTTGACTTCTGCAGATGGTGGTGCTCAAGTGAGGCCGGCGACTCCCACGCACCTGACCGATGTACCGACTGCCCTCTGTTGTTTGAAGTTGCAGAACTCATGCATAGTTCTGATAGGAACCGACAGTGCAAAAATACTCGGGTATACTATCTCTCGAGATCTTTCGATGGAGCTGGCCTTCCAGTATGAAGTTCAGGACTTCGATGCCAGGATTGAGGGCTCAGCGATAAGCTCCTTGGTTGCGCTTCAACAAAGTATCGATGGCCCAGTCCTTGTCCTCTGTGGGCTTCGTTATGGCATTATGCTCTGCTTGGAGCTCAGGCTGGAAACGGGATCGCTGGGTACCAAGTATTCCTCTCGCAATGGTGAGCTCTACTGACGATTCGACAGATGTAACTTTTGACGATATGTACAAACTTGGGTCGACTTCGGTGCATATCTTTGAGGAGACCGTGTTCTCGACGCATTCTAAGGCATCGTCGGCACTCGTCCTCTGTCAAGCCGAGGTGCGTCGTGTCACGCTCCACTGTAATGCTTCTATGGTGGACTACACCCTCTCGTCCCTATGGATCACGAATCATTCTGAAGTGAGTCTTGACCCAACTATCGAGCGTCTCATGTCTGATATGTCCCAGCCATCAGCGCAATTTACGATCAATGCGCTTCATCGTGTTCCGAAGCTGTCCTCTCCTCACCAAGATCCAGGCGGTTTGCTGGTCTGCGCTACCGAAGACGAGCTCTTGTTCTGCTCCCTCATTGCTCAGGAACAAGGCGTCACCAGAAGAACCCCTGTTGACGGTGCACCTCGACATGTCCTATACTCAGACTATCTGCAGAAGTTTGTTGTCGCTTTCGAGAATACCCATCTGCTGACTGGCCTCTCTCGCACTAAACAGCCTGGTGGAAGCCATTCGCGCGGTCGGTTGCAGGTGCAAGCCAGCGGGAATAAGGATTCTGTGCCTCCACGGAAGCTCCAGCAGGTTGGCCTTCAGATAATCGAACCTAGCATGGAAGCCTCACTGGACGAACGACTCACAATTATTGTGACCGAAGAGACCAACGAGAGCGTCAATGCATTGATTCACTGGGCACCCACTGACGGCCAGCATCACTATGAATGGTTCGTTCTCGCTTTGGAACAAAAAGAACCAGGATTTCCACAATGCAGTGGTCGTGTTGTCTGTGTCAACGCCAAAAACCTTAGCAAGGGCGTACCAGATTCCAATCCAAAAGTTGCGTTCAGAAGCCCGGACCGACCTGTCACAGCCATTTGTGCTTACAAGATGTCTTCTCTCTTGATTGCCGTTGGAACGGAGCTACATCTCCATCATCTGGACTTCGCCACTCGCAAGTGGAAGACCCTTTCCAAGCACCCTTTGCCGTCTCACGCTAAGAGAATCTCTTGTCAAGGTTCACTCATATTCGTCGCCACGGCTCTACATTCACTGTTTGTGTTGGTAGAGCGTGACAACAAGCTGTTCCAACATAAGTCCGACAACAAAGCGAGATCAACCATGGATGTCGTTCCCTTTGATGGCACATCTGCGATCTTTTCTGCCTGGAATGCAGGCACCACTGATATCATGGCTTTCTCTGGGTTTCGCAAGGACGGCGAAGAAGAGCCTTACCCTTTGTTCCACGCCAACTTACCACTGCTGGTCGACAATCTTCTTCTGAGTCCAAGCTCAGGCTCAAAAGGCCAACGACATCGCTTCTATGCCAGTGCTAGCGATGGCACGATTTTCCATTTGTCCCTGCTCGATGAGAACGAGTGGGAGCTGCTGCATTTTCTGGAACAGACAAGCTATCTGGATAAGAAGTCGATCAAGGCTGTGCCTATTGTGAAGAACGATGTCGACGGTGACGATGTCGTTATTCGGCCTCCGGGTATTCGACTGACAGATATGCATGTTCGAGGTGACCGATTGCTCATGATGATTGAGGAGGGACCGTATAATCTGCGAAATGTCTTGAAAGGGGAGACTCTGGAGACCTTCAATGACTTGGCTTACGAAGTGTTGGGAGCCAAGATGAATCGGGTCGAGGCTGTCGCTGTGTGGCTGAGGAAGCTGCTTAGATACCCATCAAGGTCGACCCCTCGTACGTGACGCTCAGGAATATGTAATGATACGAACGGAATGGGAATTGCTCTTTCCTAAACGCACCCTCCATGGAGATCATTCTTAGCTATGCCCCCTATTCCTACAGTCCACTTATGTGATCTGCTTTGTCTTTCTTGGATACCGGTCCAAGCCCCGCTAAATCAGTTTCCCAACGTTATCGAGAAGCCACGACAACTACTACTCTTTCTTCCCTTACGTTGCATAGGTCCCAAGAACAGATCCTCGCCAGATTGGGCCCTGGTTGACTCTCCGATGCGTGACTTGGATACGACCGATGTGAATGCTCCGTTCGCTCTCCGGACTTATCCAGGTGCTTTCGCCGGGCTCTTTAGGAGACCCATGCCGGCCCCCGAGCCTCTTTAAAAATAAAGTGGCACACCAAAATATTTGGTAACAACACGTAGGCCCGAACGAACAACTTTATATGATAACATAGTATTTTAAAGAGATAGATATATTATTTGAGAGATGCTCTATCGAATGATATAAGTTTATCAGTATGTCGACACCAAAAATATATACGCTATCAAGGGTAGAAGCAAGAGATCTTCTAGATGCAGTGGTCAGACAGTGATTTTGGTGTGCCACTTTTTCTTTTAAACAGGCTCGCCCCGTAGGCCGAACGCGCCTGAGCCTAGGCAGGGTCCCTACCGCTTCTCGCCCGAGACTTGGGGCGCCTCTGGTTCGTGCGTTATATTATATATCCGCCAATTTCTCTTCAACAAATGTAGGAGCAAGTTCTCCTCGCTGTCTCTTAAGGGATACCCTCCCTTTAGGGCCGGATGGTGTAGGTTCGTCTATCACATGTTCCTCCAAACAATGTATGGGTTGTTAACTGTATAATAGTTGGTTATCACATCTCCTTAACATCTCGCATGTACGGAGAAGGTCTTGAGTTCGAGCCTCAATCTGGTCGCAAGTACTCCCCAAAAGCCAGTATCGGTACCGCGCGACTAACACCATCGATAGAGATATTACCAACTTGGAAAAACCAATTTGGAAGTCTTTTTTTGTATCCCAATGGGAGATAATGGGGCAGCTAATTAAAATTCTGCCGGCTTTGCGTGCGATTGTGGGCAACTAATGGGCAGACCTGGGACTACCGTGGTTCTTTGATTGCTTGAGTGCAAATCAGGCGGCAAAATGAACCGCTGGTCCGCTCCTGTCCTGTCAGCCGCAGAAATGCTCCGTTGGTGCTCTGGCAGAGATTTCCGAGTCGTGTGGACGAAAGGGGCTGATAAGATAAGATGCGTATTGTGATTGGATGATACTTTGAGCTAGCCTGGCATAGGGCGGGGACCACCGGGGATGGCCAATCATTATAGTGTCTACGGTGGAGTATTCAGCCTTGCTGTACATTTGGTTGCATAGGGATGAATTATTTGGAAGTGAAAGTGACCCGTCTTCTTTCCTTCACATTGCACTGAGGCTGCGACATTGTGTGTGCAGAAGAAGTAAGGTGTGATGTCTACACAGAGTTTGCATGCAACAGCGACACACCCTACAGAAACATCCACGATGAAGACTTTTGCATGTGCCTGGTGGCTCATGCCACCGTGGGTAGCGAGGTCGCAAAACAATGTTGCAGATGCCGATCCTTAGAACATCGCGAAGTGTGAGTTGTGAATATTTCTATATGTTGAGGGAATCATCAATTTTGCTTCTCTCGCTATAGGCACTCTCATGGCTGTGGTCGGTTAATTTCAATGGTAAGATCCTTCCGCCCTTTGTCATGCGCTATTAACGTCGTTTACACTGCTGGACCCCATTCATAAGACGCCCTACTTTGCACAATGTCTTCGCAGAAACCATCTATTTCTAGATTTCTAAAACCAAGAAGAGGACTTCCGCATCATGCCAGGGACGATTATTCGCACTGTCGCCCTGATAGGCCGAACGGAAAAGTCGGGCCCAACATTCTGCAAGTCCTGCTAGACATGAAGTCTTTCCAAGTCACCGTGATCAGTCGCAAGTCGTCGAATCTACATACCAACAAGCTGTCAAGGTTGAACAGGTTGACGACTCGCTGCCCAAGGACCAGCTTGTCGAGGCACTGCGAGGTCAACATGCGCTTGTCATTGCATTTTCGGGCTCCCAAACGCAAAACTCGATCAAGCTCGCTGATGCAGCGTTCGAGGCCGGCGTCAAACATATCGTCCCTGCAGACTATGGAAGCTGTGATAGTAGTGACCCCAGGTCGCTCGAGCTTGTACCATTGTACAAGAGTAAGAAAGAGGTAAGGGACTATTTGATCGGGCTTTCGCAAAGATCAAGGCCTGATGGGAGCCATTTGACGTGGACGAGTCTGATTACTGGGCATTTCTTCGACTATGGGCTCAAGTCTGGACTGCTCGCTGTGGATATCAAGGAGCATAAAGCGAGGGTATTCGATGGAGGGAATATTAGGTTCTCGGCATCGACACTGGCGGATATCGGTCTGGCTACGGCAAAGGTCCTTGGGAGGGTGGGTGATGCGAGGCTCAGCAACAAGCTGGTCAACGCGCACAGCGTGGCAACGACACAGAATGAGCTGATTGGGAAAGTGGAGGGTGCGGTGGGGCCAAAGTTCGAGGTCGAGCAGGTCTCGTCGAACGAGTATATCAAGGAGCAGAAAGGGCTGTTGGCGGGAGATGGGAGTCAAGACAGTGCTGCGATTGAAGAGCTGGTCTCCGTGGAGGGGATTGTTATGCAGATTGGGAGGACAAAGGGGATCTGCTCGTAAATCATGTGTTGGGAATACCGAAGAGGGGACTTGATCAGCTTGTCAGGGAGGCTCTGCAATGATTGTATAGAGGGAATCCGGGAGACGTGATAGATTGAACAGAATAGACGATGCTCAAGGTCGAATTTCAGGAATAGATCTAGATGTTGACCGGAGTTTGGCTTCGTTAATAGTAGATATGGCTTAGTAGGCTTGAATTGATGCCAAGCAATCCGAGGCTTTTGTCAGTGACGAAAGTTCTTATGCAAACCCCCACCATGCATCCATCTGCGCACGACGACATCTCCTAAATCCGAGTTTCACTCTCTTCTAGAAGTGACTGTGGCAAGAGGCAGTTGAAAGACTGCAAGATCTTGTTTGTCAACTAATCATCTGTCAATCAATCGTCGAGATTCGACCAGTCTTTTGTGCATCGACTTTGCACACGACTTTATGTATCCGCCTCCTAACCGTGAACGCTTCCTATCCTTAAGACCATCTTCTCACCACATAACCCACCAACATGGCGCCCAAGAAAAAGGCGGGCAAGAAGCAGGCGGACGATTGGGACGCCGACATGGGCGAGACCATTGACCCTATCGCCCAAGCCACTGCGGATGCCAAAAAAGAAGATGCAGATCAGGCTGCCGCAGATGAGGAAGTGAACGCCGGCGGCTTGATGGCTGCCCTTAGGAAAAACAGGGACAAGCGTGCAAAGAAGGGCAAACCTGTTATCAATGATTTCGTCGAGGGCGAAGACGCAGACGGTGTTGCTACACCTCCTCCTGCCGAAGATCTTGCCGCCAAAGCCCCGGCCGATGCTACGTTTGATGACGAGGCAGAGGATGTGTTCGCCGGGAACGTGAAGAAGGGCAAAGGTGGTAAAAAGCAGGTCGAGGCTCCTGCTGAAGATGGAGAGGATGGTGATGGTGGCGGCGTAAAATCCAAGAAAGAAAAGGAGCGTGAGAAGAAAGAACGGGAGAAGCAGAGAAAGAAGGAACAAGCTGCGAAGAAGAAGACTACAGCACCAACACCCGCACCGAAAGCCGAAGAGAAACCTGTTGAAGAGAAGAAAGTCGAGGCTGACGCACCAGAGACCGACAAGGCTGGTAAGAAAAGGAAGGTTCCTGCACATCTCGCAGCCATCCAGAAGCAGCAGGAAATTCTTGCCAGACAACGAGAAGAGGAGGCAAGATTAGAAGCCGAGGAGAGGGCGGCTGAAGAGGAACGGCTGCGCAAGGAAGCTGAAGAGGAGAAGAAGAAGGCTGAGGCAAGACAACGCAAGAAGGAGAAAGAAAAGGAGAAGAAGGAGCAACTCCGGAAAGAAGGCAAACTCCTTTCGGATGCTGATAGGAAGCGTAAGCAACAGCAAGAACTTCGCCTGCAGCAAATGCTTGAAGCTGGTGTGAAGGTCGCAGGTTTGACCGAGAAAGGCGAAGAGAAGAAAAAGCCTGCTTTCGACAAGAAGCGCAAGGGTCCGAAGAAAGAAGAAATTGATCTCGAAGCCGCCGCAGAGAAAGCAAGACAGGAAGCTGAAGCTGCCGCAGCCGAACGCCAAAGACTCGCAAAAGAAGCTGAAGCCGCCGCCGCCGCCGCTACAGGGACTGAAGCGGCAAAGGAGGATGAGGAATCCGGGCTTGATGACTGGGAGCAGGCTGCTGATGAGGAGGTCAAGGACAGCTGGGATGCTGAGTCGGACGAAGACGCACCCAAATCGGCCGTTAACGGCGACGCAAAGGCTACAACTAATGGCGACGCCACCAAACCATCAAAGACTTCGACCTTGCCAATGCGAGACTCTGGGCGGCCACCCAAAGAGAAGCCGTTCGAGTCCGACACGTCAGAAGAGGACTCTTCTGAAGAAGAAGAAGAACGCACCTCTAACCAACGGGCAATTGCGCAAAGGAAAGCCGAAGCCGCTGCGAGACGACAAAAAGCGCACGAGGAAGCCCTTGCAGCTCGATCTAAGGATAATCTACGATCACCCATTTGCTGTATCCTTGGTCACGTCGACACTGGCAAGACGAAATTGCTGGACAAGATTCGGCAGACCAACGTTCAAGAAGGCGAAGCAGGTGGTATCACACAGCAAATCGGCGCCACTTATTTCCCTGTTGAAGCCCTGCAACAAAAGACAGCCGTGGTCAACAAGGATGGCAAATTTGAGTTCAAGGTTCCTGGTCTGCTCGTTATCGATACTCCAGGTCACGAGTCTTTCTCGAATCTGCGGTCTCGTGGCTCTTCGCTCTGCAACATTGCCATCCTCGTGGTTGATATCATGCACGGACTGGAGCCTCAGACCATTGAGTCTATGAACCTTCTGAGGGAGCGGAAGATTCCATTCATTGTCGCTCTCAACAAGATTGATCGTCTGTATGGCTGGAGGAAAATCGATAACAATGGTTTCCAAGAAAGTTTGGCCATGCAGAATAAGGGTGTCATGAATGAGTTCCGAGACCGGCTGGAAAAGACCAAGGTCGCTTTTGCAGAGCAAGGATTCAACGCCGAACTCTACTACGAAAACAAGGACATGAGACGCTACGTCTCCCTCGTCCCGACCTCAGCTCACACTGGCGAAGGTATTCCTGATATGCTAAAGCTTTTGGTGTCTCTGACGCAAGAGCGTATGACTTCCAGCCTGATGTACCTGTCAGAGGTTGAAGCCACCATTCTTGAAGTCAAGGTCATCGAGGGTCTCGGTACGACCATAGATGTCATCCTGTCCAACGGTGTTCTTCGGGAAGGTGACCGAGTTGTGATGTGTGGTATCAATGGACCTATTGCCACGAATATACGAGCACTTCTGACGCCAGCACCGCTCAAGGAACTACGTCTCAAGTCGGCTTACGTGCACAACAAAGAGGTCAAAGCAGCTCTAGGTGTCAAGATTGCGGCCAATGACCTGGAGGGTGCTATCGCAGGCTCTCGATTGCTTGTGGTTGGACCTGAAGACGATGAGGATGACTTGGAGGATGATGTCATGGGTGACCTACAAAAATTGCTTACCGCTGTCTCCAAAGACAATCGTGGTGTCAGCGTACAGGCTTCGACACTGGGCTCTCTGGAAGCCCTGTTGAAGTTCTTGAAAGACATGAAGATCCCCGTGGCCAACATCTCGATTGGTCCAGTCTTCAAACGCGATGTGATGATGGCGGGCACAATGTTGGAAAAAGCCAAGGAGTACGCGGTCATGCTTTGCTTCGATGTCAAGGTGGACAAGGAAGCACAGCAATACGCCGACGACCAGGGCATCAAGATCTTCACAGCCGACATCATCTATCACCTCTTCGACGACTTTACCAAGTACAGAAATCAACTTGCCGAGCAGAGGAAAGAGGAGAGCAAGCTCAACGCCGTCTTCCCTTGTGTGCTGCATCCGTTGCAAGTGTTTAACAAGAAAGATCCGATCGTTGTGGGAGTGGATGTTGTCGACGGCAGTCTTCGACCTTTAACACCGATTGCTGCTGTTAGAACAAACCCGGTGACTCATGTGAAAGAAATCGTTTCATTGGGTAGAGTGTAAGTCATTTCCGATGCGGTGGTTCGGCTGAAGCTAACATTGTACCAGGACGACGATTGAGCGAGAACACAAGGCTATTCCACTTTGCAAGAAGGGACAGCCGGCTGTGGCGGTTAAGATTGAAGGACCCAATCAGCCACTGTATGGGCGACAGCTGGACGAGAAGGATACCTTGTATTCGTTGATATCCCGACAATCAATTGATACGCTCAAGGAGTTCTACCGAGATGAGGTGTCTAAGGACGAATGGTCATTGATCAGGAAGATGAAGCCATTATTCGACATCCCATAGACGACCGGGGAGAAAAGTGTTTGTAATGGCTAGCATACGACGAAAATTGCATTGTATCATTGAAGCTTTTTGGGGCATGGCAAACGGCGTATGATGATGAAGGGGATGAAGAGGATGATGAGGATGATGAGGATGATGAGGATGATG